TTTTTATTCTTTTCCTTTTCTTTTGATAGTTTATGTAGCATTCTATGATTAATGATTTGACTTTTATCCAGTCTTCTATGTTGTTGATGTTGTTGGTGGTGATAATGTTATTAATAAGTGATTGTACTTCTGGTTCTAGTGAAGTTTCCTTATCGAGTCTCCACTGTGTTTGTGATAGTTGTGGTGGTGTGATTTTTATGTTTGTTGTGATTGGTGAGTGGTCAGATAGTGCTCTAGGGTGTAGTTGGAAGTTGGATGTTTCTATTGTAAATTTGCAATATATTCTATCTAATCTCTTTTCTGTATCGCCACGTTTCCAAGTGCTGCTGTTGTTTGTACTATCTAGATCAATAAGATCATGATCATCGCTGAGGAAATCTAATATTGTTGATAGTGGTGAGCTGTCTCCTGGTATACAATTAAAGTCGCCAGTGCAAATGTCTATATGGTTTGGTAACCAAAGAGAAGTGTTGTTGAAGAGTTGATCAGCAAACAATCTTTGCTCTGGTTTGCTTGCTGGAGCATATATATGTAGGAGATTGAAGCTATTGTTGAATATTCTTATAGTACACAGAATGAATCTTCCATTAGGATCGATGAGAGAGGGGTATAGATTGATATGCTTGGAATGAGAGATGATTGCAACCCCAGTTCCTTGACCGTTTGAAGTAGTTATTATCTTATTATTATTATTATTTTTGTTGAAATATGAGTTGAGTGAGGTGATTGTGACGTGATTAGTTTCTGTAAGTAGGGTGATGTGTGGTGAAGTAGATGAAATTAAAGAGGCTATATCTTCCAGTGATTTTTGTAGAACTGCGCCCCTGCAGTTCCATAGAAGTAGCTTAAGGTTGTCCAATTGGGGCTAAGGGTATTCTCACATGTGTCTGCGTATTACCTGCTGGAGCCTGAGTTCTCTTGTTTTGATTTGTATCTTCTGAATCTTTAACTTCTCTTTGTCTAACTGTTGTAGTGTCATTCTTCTTCTTATTTCTCTTCTTATCGGTTGAAGTTGTTGTTGTAGTTGTAGAAGAAGTTCTTTGTGTAGGTTCTACGTATTTGGTTAGAGTTGAAGTATAACCCGATTCTTCGTCTTTGTAGTCAGCGTCAGAAATGATGACATCTTTCTCGTAGAGTACCCATGTAGATGCTTTGTATAGTTTAGTGGTATTGTCTTTGGTGGGTAGCAGAGAGGAGACATGTGAAAAAAGAGCATGATTCTTCTTGTATATCTTCTTGAATTCATCCTCTTTAATTGCTTTAGAGCTGTCTGATGTTGTTATTGCTGATACTTTTAGAAAGTTGAAAGAAGGGAAATAGGCAACAATCTTTCTAGGTTTATTTATCGAAAGGTTCTCACTACAGTAAACATGTAGATCATTGAGACGTGATCTGTCAATCCTTCCGTTAAATACAATTCCTTTGCTTGTCCTACGACCCTCGGGATCTGATACAGTGCTCATAATGAAGAGATCATATAGTTTTTCTAAAATCTTGTTACTGACGTAATTTGATTTAGGAAAGTATAGACGTACATGAATGCTCTCTAGTTGTATGAGTTGCATGAAGGTCGCATTGTTGCTAAGCTTTAGATTCTTTTTATAGAACTCGAATAGAGTACTCATTTTACTAATTGATTGTTCTTATTGTTATTTAAATGTATATAAATATATATTATAGAATAAAATAAGATTTGATGGTGATTAGATGAATATGTAATAATTAGTTTAAATTTATATTAAATCTTATATTATTGCAATAATATGTTGTATTATTAATAGTTATTGCTAAATAGTTGATATAAATATGAAAATATAATAATTATAAATAGTAGTATACAGTTACTAATTGTATACGAAAAAAACTAAAAATCCAATTTATGTGTTAATAGCAACTTTTGTTTTTTTTTTTTTTATAATAACTAAAGTGGTATACATGTTTTATTAAAAGTTGTATTAAAAGGATGGATTTACCATCAAGTTTTTTTCGTAGTCTATTTTTTTTCTTTTTAGTTGTTGGTTGATTTAATTAATTAGTTGGCAGGTTGGGAAGAGAGTTAATTTCATTTACTTGATTAGTTGGCTGGTGTTGGAGTGTTGTTTATTAATTTTAGAATGTTTCTGTGGATATCGAAGTCGGATATAATAGATTGGTTGGAGAAATCGAGTATTTTGTCATCTTGACTGAATAGAATTGAACTGACATGTTTCCAAATGTTGTGGTAGATGATCGCTGTTAGGTCTGATGATTCATCGCAGAGGTAGAAGTGAGTAGTAGATTTTTCCAGTGACCATTCGTCTTCGTAGTTGGCAATTTGTAGATGTTGTGTGATGTGTTTGAGGTTGAATTTGTTTAGGATGACTCGACAATTAAAGAAATAATGTGTGTGTGGGTCAAAGTCATTTGCTGAACATAGTTTACAACTGTCTTGTTTGATGTATGCCATACCAGGAAGTGATCTTGAGAAGAATCTGAATACTGTGTTTCTACCTCTGTGGTGTTTGATTGAGTTAATGTAGTAGAAGATGTTTCGGGTTGATGTAAAGTCTATTTTGGTGGGGGGAAGAGATAGTTGGAATTGACCTGATGTAAGTACTGGTTTGTGGTGATGGTTGATAAGGTTGTGGTATATGAGTTTAAGTGGTAGTGGTTCGTCATTACGCAATATTGGTTTCATTTGATGTGGAGGTAATTTCATAATTGGTCTAAAGTGTTGCCAAAGAAGGATGGAATGTTTGAGTGTAGGTGAGGTTATCTTGTTATGTCTAATTTGGTTACGCCAGCTTTGGTAGTATGGGGAATAGACATCTTGATTTGCAATTACTCTATTTAGTATCCAAATGTGTTGAGCGTCATTTCGTAGTTTCATATCCCACAATGATATGCCACCATTTTTCCAATGATGTACTGCTCTGGAGAGTGTCATTGTATTCTTAAATGATTTTGCATCTTCGAAAGGTCTGAGATTGGATGACCATAGGAACCAAGTGATTATTTTGTTGAGTGATTTGATATCTGATTCTGTGAATTTGTCAAGGTACATGTGGTAAGAGAGTTTTGATAGTGTGTATGACTTGAGTATTGACATTTTAGTCCTTAGGGTTGTGCCAAACTTCTTCCATTTGATCAGTGATGATTTAACTTCGCTGACTATTGATGAAAGTGAATGATGTAATCCTTCGGAGTTAAAGAAAAGACCGAGATATCTTTCGTTGACAATTGACTTTGGTATTCTTGTGTCGCCTATGATCGGGGGGTGGTGAAGATGGTCGCTGCAAGGTGGACCTATTTGGATGATACAACACTTGGTGGGATTGATTTTGGATGATGTGGCTTGGCAGAACAGGTTAAAGATTCTTAATTTTAGTTTCAGATCTTTATAATTTGCTGAAAATGTGCTACTGTCATCTGCGAATTGTAATAATTTAACCATTGTGTTGAAATCGTTTAGTGGAAGACCGATTGCTTTGGAATTGAGTATGGCTCTGGCCAAACATTCGATGACTAGAACAAATAACGTTGGTGATAGTGGATCTCCTTGTTTAACTCCTCTGTTGATAGTAATAGGGTTAGTTAAAAATCCGTTGACAATTACTCTGGCGGTAGAACCTGTGAGAAGGTTCATTATTAGGTTGATTATTTTGTTGTCTATTTTAATGTGTTGTAGTGTTCTTCTAATAGCGCCGTGAGAGATGCTGTCGAAGGCTTTGTTGAAGTCGAATAATGTTATTAAGCCACTTAATCCTCTGAGTTTGCAGTATTCTATTATTTCATTCATCGTGATGATGTTGTCCATGATATATCTCTTGTGTACAAAGCCAGTTTGGTTGTCGTTGATGATTAGGTCTACCAAGGTTTTCATTCGATTGTTGATTGCTTTGGTGATAACTTTGTAGTCGTTGTTGAGTAGTGTTATTGGTCTTCTATTGGCTGGATCGAATATATCACCTTTCTTGTAAATAGTTGTGATGGTGCCTACTTTGAATTCGCTTGGTAGTGGATTGCCTGAGTTGAGTGATTGGTTGTAAAGTTTGGTGAGTATAGGGGCAATGACATCGCAGTGGGCTCGGTAGAACCATAGTCCTAAGCCATCTGGGCCAGGTGATTTCCATGGGTTGGATGAATTAATAGTTTCTGTGATCTCTTCGGTTGTGAATTCTCTGGCAATGCTATCATCGGTTATTTCACATTTCCATTCGTTAAGTAGTCTATTGTGTATGGTTGGATCATCTGGAACATTTCTGAATAACGATGTGTAGTACTTCTCCATGATGTTCACCATATCATCGAGATTAGATGTAACCGTGGTTTCATTTAATCTTAAACCGACGATGTTGGTATCTTTTTTGGATTGAGCTAGTTTAGCGGTTAATAATCGAGAAGGGATTTCACCGTTTAGTTGCTGGTTGACCTTGCGAATTGAATCTCTTAGATTCCTTTCTTCTGTTTGTAACTTGATAAGATCTAATTTTGCTGATTGTATGATGTTGTTGGGGAGGTTGGAGTCTATTGTTTTCAGTAAGTTGATTATCGCATTTCTTTTTATTCTTTTCCTTTTCTTTTGATAGTTTATGTAGCATTCTATGATTAATGATTTGACTTTTATCCAGTCTTCTATGTTGTTGATGTTGTTGGTGGTGATAATGTTATTAATAAGTGATTGTACTTCTGGTTCTAGTGAAGTTTCCTTATCGAGTCTCCACTGTGTTTGTGATAGTTGTGGTGGTGTGATTTTTATGTTTGTTGTGATTGGTGAGTGGTCAGATAGTGCTCTAGGGTGTAGTTGGAAGTTGGATGTTTCTATTGTAAATTTGCAATATATTCTATCTAATCTCTTTTCTGTATCGCCACGTTTCCAAGTGCTGCTGTTGTTTGTACTATCTAGATCAATAAGATCATGATCATCGCTGAGGAAATCTAATATTGTTGATAGTGGTGAGCTGTCTCCTGGTATACAATTAAAGTCGCCAGTGCAAATGTCTATATGGTTTGGTAACCAAAGAGAAGTGTTGTTGAAGAGTTGATCAGCAAACAATCTTTGCTCTGGTTTGCTTGCTGGAGCATATATATGTAGGAGATTGAAGCTATTGTTGAATATTCTTATAGTACACAGAATGAATCTTCCATTAGGATCGATGAGAGAGGGGTATAGATTGATATGCTTGGAATGAGAGATGATTGCAACCCCAGTTCCTTGACCGTTTGAAGTAGTTATTATCTTATTATTATTATTATTTTTGTTGAAATATGAGTTGAGTGAGGTGATTGTGACGTGATTAGTTTCTGTAAGTAGGGTGATGTGTGGTGAAGTAGATGAAATTAAAGAGGCTATATCTTCCAGTGATTTTTGTAGAATTAATAGCAACTTTTGTTTAAAAATTATTAAAATGCGCGCATTAAGGCTGTAAAATACGAAATATCAAGTGTGAGGATTGAACTCACGACCTTAGGATTATGAGACCTACGCTCTGCCAGCTGAGCTAACCTGATTCGATGTTTTTGATATTAAAATTTTAATTTGTTTTTTCTGATAAAAAACCCAAACTACCAAAGGAAAAAATCCTAATAAGTAAAGGATTCTCCTGAGTTCCCTGTGAATTTCAGTATGATCCGTTTTCTGATAGGTATATAGGTGTTGAGTATTTTGAAGAGGTGGTGCTATGTGATCTTGATCGGTGGAAATCCTGAGAATAAGAATGGTAAGGTGAGGTCGATCTTTGAGAACGGTAGACATCTAGAGAAGAGTTTGAAGAGAGTGTCTGGCCCTTTTTGATCTTTGATCTTGGCTATGGTGGTGAAGGTGTATGAATTTCTTTTTAGGTTTTTCAAAACACAAGATTTTATATGGTACAAACTTATATCAAAACAAATTAAATTAAAAATTTGCAATTTTATTTACAGCTTAAAATGAATAATTCTTTATTAATGATATTAATTCTTTTACATTATTTTTTAGATTTCATCTTTGCACTCATTGATATACTGGTTCTCTTTTTTAAGAAAGCGGCTCTTCTTTTATGAATTACTATTGCAGCTGCTACACCTCCAATACTTAAAACACCTACAACTATCAATGATATCCACCAAAGAGATGAACTACTGGAGCATCCACCTTTATCAGCTGATTTGTCAACCAGCACTGAGAAGTTTGGATCTATAATAGCTTCAGAAAACTTTGGTATTACCATTGCAACAACCAGCTGATTCTTGTCATCACCTGATTTGTCTTTGTAGTATGGTTGTGAGAATATGCTGTCTGATGTTGAAAGAAGAATTGTATTACTCTCGACTGTACGGTTATCAATATACATTCGATTGGAAAATTTGGTCAAGAATACTTTGTTTCCAAGTTTAATTTCAATCCACGAAAGCTTATTGGCATCGTTATAGCTATTTGATGATTCTGAGCAACTCTGTTCTTTTGGTGATTGAATTTCATAGATCAATTGAAGTGAATTCAATTGATTCTGGAATTGATAGTTGGAAAGTTCTATTTGATATTTAAAACTATTCTTTTCCATTGTAAGTGACTGGCCTGCAAACCAAAGAGTTGTTTGTTCCAAGAATATAATGGATGTTACATTGATTGTGAAATCGGTGAGATTGTTGATTGATCCAATCGCAGTTGTAACGGTTGTTGTGTTGACGGTTGTATTCCATTGAACAAGTGTGATTGGATAGATTGCAACATCACTACCAATCTCATCAATCTCTCTGATATGTGTAAAGAATACAGAGAATTGTCCGATCGATCCAGTATTGTTTCCAATTTCAGGTTTTGTTGTGTTGTCAATTGTAACCGTTTTATCACAGATTGCACCACCATATCCAGAAGTACAATTACAATTGCCATTGATACAAACTCCATTTCCAGAACAATATGGTTTTGTTCCACATGCCGAATTATCAATATAAAAGAATATTGATTCTGTATCATAAGCAAATCCACAATCAACTTTAACTGGTAAACCTGCTTTTAATTGTGGAGATGGAGCACTTCCATCAAAGAAACATGTTATTGTTTGACTGTCTATTAAATCTAAACTTGTGCAATTCACACCTCCAATCGTAACATTTACTGGATTGGCAAAACCATTTCCTTTAATCGTTACAACTCCTCCTATGTCTTTATCAATTGATGTAGCATTTAATATTTCTAAGTAAAAATAAAAAATAATAGCAAATTAATAAAAATGTTGGTTCTTTTTATTTTTTAAAATACATACTTATAAATCTTGGTATAAATTGTATTTCATTAGATGGTTGTCCATCAACATTGATTGAAATATTGTGAGGTTGAGGTCCGAAATTATAATATATAATCATAGATTGGTGTGGTGTTATAAGTGCCTTTGATAATGGATTAGAATCTCCAACATTTACAATAATCTTATTAATGTCATTTCCAAATTGTTCACCCAAAACGGTTATGAAACCACCGGTGGTGTTGAATCTCTCTTGTTGAACGTTGTTGATAACAGGTGGTTTAAATGCCAAAGTATTTAAAGGAGTTGATCCAGTTGACTGACCATTAACATAGAGTGTTAAATTTCTCTTTTGGCCAGTTCCGGAAAGTAAAAGAATACCCATTAAAGATTTTTCTATTTTCGGAATTAAACTACAATCTACTTGTAAACCACCAGATAATAGAGTGTAATTACTGCTTGGTAAGACCATGTTATCTACACCAATTTCAAAATAACCTCCAGAGGTTGGGAAAATAAAATCGTTTGCGCTCATGAATACTGGTGGACCAACAGACAAGTCAAACTCTACATATAGGTATTTATATCCAGTTACAGATAGTGTAGAACTGTAAGGATCCAAAGCTATAGTAGTAGATACTAAATTAAAAATAATATTAATAAATATTATAAAGAAATAAAATATATTTAACTTACAATCACTCATTGTATCATAAATATTGCTATCAATGTTTGCAATTCCAGTTATAATATCTTTATTTAAACCATTACTATCGATAACTAAACTATTGGTGTATGGTCCAGATATAAAGAAATATCCATCTTTTTGTTGAAAAAAAATAAATTATTAATGAGTCAAAGTTAAAAAATAGAATAATAATTTACTTACTGGAAAGATGATTTGATGGGTAATATAATAGCTGATATAAAAGAACTCTAAGAAGATCAATTGACGATGTATTTACAGGAGCATATGGGTATGATGGGAAACCTTCAGCTTGGAAGTAATTGATAAAGGATGCTATTGTTGATCCAGTTACCATGATTAAACTATTTGAATATTTATTATCTAAAAAAAAATTAAAATTTTTTGTTGAAAAGAATTTTTTAAAATAAAATAAAGAAATATTACTTACATGTTGGAATTCTTGTAACTTCAGATATCTTAATACCTCCGATCACTATTGTAACCATTGAATATTGAATACTACTATTTCCAACAGTCAAATCTGGAATAATAGTATCATTCAATCTACAAATAACAGATCTATCACTAACTAACATTTTTATTGGAATACAAGTAACATTCAAATTTGAAATTGAAATTCTATCTACAAGATCAATTGTTTCTCCAAAATTTTGTCCATTAATAGTAACCAATGAATCTTTTACAAAATTTGGTATTAATGAAGTAATCAATGGTACTAAAATAATAAAAATAATTAATATTAGATTGAAGATAATTAAAAATAATATAGTTACAATTTGGATGATATCTTTTAGAAGAGAAACTATTAGTTTGATCGGTTATCAAAACATCGTACTCTCCGACTGTGTATGGTGTTTGGCAAGTTACTGATGTAGTAGTAAATGATTGAATGGTACAATTGAAATCTGGTCTACCTAAAGAACTGTTGGTGAAGGTAACAGTTATCAGAGCAACATTGAATTGAGTAGGATCGATATTAACAATTGTTATATTGCTTGGTGCCATATCGGTTGGAATGAGCACTGGATCTTTCTCTCCTCCTTTCTCCATGATTAAAGAATAGGTATGATCGATGATATTATCATAGTCATCCCATCTCTTATCATGCCAAATATAGATAACACGTTGATTATTTGCATTTGGCTCCAATGTATAGAATTTACAATATCCAAAACATTTGGAAATCTTTCTATCGTACATTGGCAATCCCGATTCCGGTCCATTTTTCCAAGAATAAACAGAAAAATCAGCAGAACTATAAGAGTTTGCTCCTATCCATGGGTAGTTTGGGTAGTCACCTAAAAAACTCTCAATAAAATCATTTTCACTACTTGTGGTAATAGTAGCTAAATAGCTGATTTATTTTTTTAGTAAAAATTAATAATGATTCTAAAAATAAATAATACTTACTATCCTTCATTTAATGCGAATGAATAGGAATCATTCCAATTTGCATTGTATTCAACTAGAACATATTCATGTCCGTTTATATTATTGACTTGACTTTTTATAACTGTTTGGGAATTGACTAAAACAAATAAAAAAACAATAAAAAAATAATGTGTATTTTAAAAGAGGTCATCTTTTATCTCTATTTTTAAATTTAAGAAGGATTTGAGAAAGAATGAGAAAGATATTACATGCAAACTCCTTTGATTTGTTGAATTGAACATGAATTCAAAGGTTACAGTTTGATATTAAAATAAATAAATAAATAAAAAATCAATTTAATCCATTATTGCATCATCAATCAATTTCTATCGGAGTTAATATTAAATTTCAAGTTGATCATTGAATAAAAAAAAAGGTGGTAGCATCGGAGTTTGAAATTTGCATAAAAGATATTTTTGGAAATAAAAAAAAAATCAGCAAATGTGAAACTTTTGTGGTGCTAATCGTTACACCCATCAAAAAATTAAAAAAATTAATCAGTTCTTTTCTAAAAATAGTAAAACATGGCTTCACCGTAGTTCATGAATCTAGTTATATGTTATCGATAACAATCAAACAAAAATCTGTAGATTTGAAGGTATATCTTTTGCAAAAGTTGACACCAAAAAATAAAAAAACCGATTTTTTTTTGTTAAAAAATAAAAAACTCGACTACCAAAAATGAAAAACAACAAAATTGGTCGATGCTGACCTCAAAAACTGGATTTTACAATAGTTTAAAATAAACAACAATCAAATGAAAATCATCTAGTTCATCTAATATATGAATAATCTACTTGGGACTGGTTCACCAGACGTGATGTTGCCAAAAAAAGCTGATTCAAGTCACTGTTAACTGCGACAGATCACCTTTTTTTTTGATAGTGCATCTACCAATTTTTTGGAAACAAATTCGATTAGAATGTCTGAATATTGGTGTGGTTTTTTAATTTTTAACAATCATGTCCTGGTTTCAAAAATAAATATTTTTTAAAAAAAAAAAGTGTCCGATCGATCTGATTTATTAAATAACAAACAACAAAATTTTGGATATTTATACTTAAATATATTACCATTGTAATTCTTGTTCTGAAAGAATTGGAATGTTGAGAGATTCGGCTTGTTTGACTTTAGATGACGATGGTTTTTGACTAACAATTAAATAGTCTGTAGCGGAACTAACTTTACTCTGTGATTTCGCTCCGTTTTGCTCGAGAATCGTTACAACTTCATCTCTTGATCCAATGGAAAACGTTCCACTTACCACCACTTTTTTACCAGCAACCATTTCAAGTAATGATTTATTTTGTGGTTTAGATGTTGGTGTTGATGGTTGTTGAGATTGTTGAGCTGCTTTTGTTGATTTAGATTTCAAAGATTTTTGTTTGTTCATTTCAACACCAATACCATTGGATTTAAGTTTGTTGACTAACGAATCGATTCCAAGTTGTTGTGCTTTGTCATATGGATGGAAGAAACTGTACAGCTGATAGGTCGTTAAATCTCCAAGTTGTACTCTGTTTGTGATGTCCTCGAGAGATGTGTTGGATAGCTGATCGAACGTTTTAAAAGATTTCGCCAATGTTTTGCATCGAGATTTGCCAAAGCCAGGTATACCGAGTGCACACAAAACCGATTCGAAAGGACGTTGCTTGCTGGTTTCGATTGCTTCAAGGATATTATCGACCCTCTTCTTATTGAAACCTGGTATCTGTAACATTTGATCACGTTTGTCTTTTAGTGAATAGAGATCACCTGCATCACTTATCAGTCCTGCAGCCATCAGTGCCTCTACTTGCGATGGACCGATACCTGTCATTGCCATTCCATCTTTGCTAACAAACCACAAGATTTGACCTTGTAATTGTAGAGTACATTCACTCCCCATACAAAAATGGTCAGCACTATCGTCGGCTGTAAACAACTCCAACTTTTTCTCACAGGGACAACGTATTTTACCGTCGTTACACTGAGGATTGAACAATCGTGCTAGCGTAGTATCATCCATTTCCTCTCTGTTGTCGACTTGATCACCATCGGCGTTGTTCTCATCGATGTATCTAGTTAGGTATGGTATGACATCTCCCGCTCTTTCAATGACGACTCTATCGCCAAGCCGAAGATTCATTCGCTTGACAAATTGAATATTGTTGAGTGTCGCTCGCGACACCGTTACACCATGGACGTCGACTGGATCGACAATTGCAACCGGTGTTATCTTACCGGAGCGGCCGACCTGCAAGACGATCTCATTCAAAGTTGTTAAGTATTGACTGGCACCGAATTTGTAGGCGACTGCCCAACGCGGTGCTCTCTCGGTCTCGCCGAGGCGACGCTGCAACTCCAAGCTATCGACTTTGATAACGATACCATCGATATCCCATTTATAGCTTGGTCGTTCCATCTCCAATTGATCGATATAACGGTCGACCAACGCCAACGATCTGATAGCAACAATATCACCACATTTGAATCCAAGTCGTTTCAGTTCGGCAAGACTCTCCGATTGACTAGTAATAGCTGTTGTCGTAGGTGATTCTTCTCCACTCACCATCTGATAGGCGAAAAAGTCAAACTTTATCAAGTCCTTATCAAACTCGCCAATTGTTCTGCCAGCGCGGAGTATACCCGAGACGGTATTACGTGTGTTTTTGTACAATGGAAGATTGGCTTTAGCTCTACTACTGTTGATTTCCAATAGCTGTTGTTTCGAGAGTACAACTTCACCTCTGACTTCAAATGTTCCCTTTTTATATGGACTATTATTACTGCTACCGCCACTGCTTCCTGGTAACAACTCTCTAGGCAATCCAGTGTTTATAAAGATATTGCCACACTCTGTGACATCTTCACCGATAATACCATCACCTCTAGTTACCAGACGCACTAGTTTACCATCCTCATAGATAGCACTGAGTGCAATACCATCGTGTTTCCTCTCCAGTGTAAAAGTAATTTGATGATCACCATCACCATCACCACCTCCTCTTGACTCATGAAGACAATCGGCAACTATACGTCTTTCGAATGTTTGTAACTCCTCTATGCTGTAGGCATTGTTAAGACTTAGCATTCTAACGCTGTGCTCTACCTTTGACTTTGATGATTGTGACTGTGGCAGTGGTGCTCCAACTGTGTTGAGTGGCGATTGACCCAACATCTTGGAATGCGGGAATCTCTGGTGGAATTGTGATTCTAGTGTAGCCAACCTCTTGAACAGCATGTCATACTGATAGTCAGAGATCAACGATTGTGATTTATTATAATAGGAATCATTATATTTTTTGATTTCATCTCTTATCTTTAGTATTTCATTTGATTCCAAACGTTCATCCTTATTATTATTATCTAGATAACTGTTACTACTACTATTATTATTTTTAACAACACTAAAATATCTAATATTTCTATCAAGGTAATAATGATTCTTGAAGTTATTGGAGCTATTCAAACCATTCGGTGATATAATTATAAAACTATTTTTATAATAATTTCTAAAAAAACTGTGATATCTCAGCATATATATATTATATCTTATTTATATATAAAAGATAAAATGAACATTTAATAATCGATTATAAAAATAAAAAAAAGATTTTGATAAAAAAAAAAAAATAGAATTTAAAATAAAAAAATCAAAATGACTTAAATAAAAACAATTATTATGTCACAATGGCAAACATTATCTATGTAATTTCAAAAAAAGTAAACCAATAAACTCTAGAATCAACATGATAAGATTCTGACAATAAACAATGAATTTAACACCTTATTACAGAAGATTCTTCATGATGGATTGATTTTTTGGTTTTTTTAAAAAAACATTCAAAAAAAAAAAAAAAAAAAAAAAAAGTGGAATCTTGTTTTTTTTTCTTTTTTTGGCTTGAATTTAAGAAGATCATTTATCTTCATAGACAACTAAGTTCATTCAAATATATAAATTAATTAAATATTTCCGTTTTTTTTTAAATTGATATCAACGATAACTTTATAACTGTATAAAAACACACACAAACACCACAAACACACATAAATATATATATATTTAAAAATTCATACACTAGTATACCCTTGAATTAATTGTTGGAATTGGATAAACACTAAATCTAAGTGAAAAAACAGAACAGTGAACACAATTCAATTTAATTTAGAATTATTTAATTATAATTATCATAAAACTGCAAATATATAAAAATTTTAAGTAAAAACAAAAAAAAAAACAAGAGAAAAGAAAAATAAATAATCAAAGAAAAAGAGAAATATATAAATAAAAAAGGAAAAAGAAAAACAAAGAAAAGATTAAGAATTATATATATTACATATACATGATTAGTAATAATAGATAAATAGATATATATAGATAGATAATTATAATAATTAACAAAAAGTAGTAGAAAGAGAAAGAGAAAGATGAAGTTAATAAAAAAATATATTGAAAAGGATATGAGTGGGTTGGTAAAGTTGCATATAGAGGAAGAGGAAGACTTTTGGAATATCTATAATTTGGTGGCGGTAGGCGATCGATTGACATCGACTACGATTAGAAAGGTTCAGAAGGAGACGGCTACCGGCTCGGTGAGTAGCGAACGTCAACGTATCACGATAACGATCAGCGTCGAGAAGATCGATTACGAGACGACATCGAATCTCCTGCGTATATCGGGTCCGGTCTGCGAGGAGAACCGTGTCGTTAAGATGGGTGCCTACCACACGATCGATCTCGAGATGAACCGTGACTTTACGCTGTTCAAAGACGAGTGGGATACGGTGTCGTTGGAACTCGTAAAGAATGCCTCTGACATTACACAGCGTGCCGACGTCGCTGCGCTGATAATGAACGAAGGTCTAGCCAATCTCTGTCTTATCACATCGTCGATGACCGTTGTCAAGGGTCGTATTGACGTGCCCGTACCACGCAAGGGTCGTTCCTCGTCGGACAACCACCAAAAGGGTTTGGAGAATTTCTTTAATCTCATACTTCAATCGATAATGCGTAACATTAACTTTGAAGTTGTTAAATGTTTTATTATTGCATCACCTGCATTCGTAAAGGTAAATAGATAGATAGCGAGAACATCAATGCAAAAATAAGAATGCACACAAAATTTAATACTAACTAATCTTTTGAAATATATATTTGTATTGTAATTATAATAATATAGGATAAATTCTATCAATATATGATTGAACAATCAACAAAGAATGAAATGTATAAAGATATTAAATTGAATAAATCAAAGTTTATTCTTGCACACTCGTCGTCTGGACACCGATATTCGTTGAAGGAGGTGTTGTCCGAACCAACTGTACAGAATCAATTGACCAATACAAAGGCAGCAAGCGAAATCAAAGTGCTGAATTCATTTTATGATATGCTAAAGAAGGATCCAAACCGTGCATTCTACGGCTTTGATCACGTCAAGAAGGCAAACGACAGACTGGCCATCGAAACCTTGTTGGTTACCGACGACTTTTTCAGAGGCAAAGATGTAAGAACAAGAAGAAAATATGTAGATTTAGTACAATCAGTCAAGGAAAACAATGGTGAAGTAAAGATATTCTCTGGTTTACATGTTACTGGTGAACGTAAGTCTAAATGAATCAACAACATTATCGACGAATCAATCGCATGTTTAATCTAATTTATATTTATTTAAAATAGAATTATCAAAACTATCAGGTGTAGCAGCTATACTAAGATGTCCAATGGAACTTGAAGACGAAGAAGAAGAATATAACGAAGAAGAGGAAGAGGCAGCCAACAGTGAGAGTGGAGACGATCAATCAAAATCAGATGAGGAATACGATTCTATATCAAATAAATAATCTACTTATATTATATTTATAAAAACAATCGATTTAATATTAATACGTAGGGAATTTTAACTTCTTTATTAAACAACTTGTCTATCATTTTATTGATTCATGAACTAAGTTATCAGTAATTAAATATAGATAGCCAGCTTCAAAGAGAGGAAATTTGTTTAATTCAGTGAAAGATAAAAAAAAATTAAAATTTGGGGGTCAACCACCCAAATTTTTTTAATTTGAATCTGTTTTTCCATCGATCAAAAAAGGAGAATTTCATGAAATTATATATTTCGTGCCTCATTTTAAATTTGAGATTTACAAAAAAAACAATCAAACATATTTTTATCTGTTTTCATTTTTTTTTTATCCTGATCAGTAGATAATTGATTCAATCTCATTTGGATTGAGATTTGATAAGTGAAAACTTTAGATTTTTTTTAATAGAGTGCAAAGGTAATAATATTCTAAGAAGAGAAAAAAATCAAATTTGGTCGTAATACTGGTATTTTTTATCAATGATTAGATACTTGGTATGTTTCAAAAGAAACAATCACCTAAGGATTAAACATCCCCTTCAATATTTCAAAGCGATAATTCTTTGTTATTTTTGGAACTTAGAGATACAATAATTTAACAACGTTTCCAAAGTTTGACAGTAGAAAGTAAATATGATTTTGGTAATGACTACGTGGACAATGATGACATCAGTTACTAATAAGAATCAGATATCAAATGATTTGTCGATACAAATAGTTGTATCTTCCTAAAGATCAACCATGTTGTCGATTAAAAACTTTATTTCGAATGTTGCGAGTAAAGATATTTTTTAAAAAACGGTTGTCCTTTTAGAATTAAAGTGATGAAAAACAATTGTTATTATTATACTCAACAAGCCTACTGCTAGATGTAAACAAGAACTAGAACTTAAATAGATCGGATGATGATTTTTAAAGTTAATTATCATAAAGAATAAATATCGTTTTTTGTATTAACTAGTCAATAACAAAGCATGAAAGATATTGTTTTAAAAAATAAAGATTACATAATTGGGAAGAAACATTCTGCGTAGTCAAATTATTGTATTATTTTGATGATTCAATCAAAATAGTCTTTGATGTAAAAAAAAACAATACATGGAAAAAAAAAAAAAAAAAAAAGGGTCATTCAGAAGTGAATTTTCTGAATGCAAATAAAACAAAAAAGTATAATTGAACCACCAATCATAGTTAAAAACATCATTCCTCGAGGAAGTATGCTAATCAAAAGGATTTTTTGTGCATTTGTGTTATTTCATTTTGTGTTCTTGCATTATTTTTGCATATTACAGACAAAAGCTATGCAAATTTTTTTCATTTTTTTAAGTGAGGGATAAAATGAAATTTCCAAAACAGGAAATTAATTTGCATCACACAAAAATAAATAAATAAAGGTTTAAATCGACCAACATTTCGAGAGTGGGTTCAAATTCATATTTTCAATAGGATTTATATAAGAGAGCCTGAGGGGAGATTAAAAAACATCTTCATCTTTCTTTTATGATAGATATAAATTATTTTTAATACTGATTGAAAATTCCCTTTTTGGGATTTACAATCTCAAGATGATCTTCAATGATATCTCATATCAATTATCAACTAGGACGAAATCAAAGGTTGTAGGATGATTAATCATGATTCAAAGAGTGGTTCATCAAACTCTATAAATTGGAGAAATTTTTGATTTTGTTATTCATATTTTAATTTATACAATAATAAATTATTATCTTTAAAGTAAATATATATAAAATTCTAAGTAATTTCCTAAACTTTGACTAATTTTATATTTTAACGAAAAACTTTTAGATATGGCACCACCAGTAGTAAAAATAGTTTACCAGTTCTCTTCATCAGTAGTTGGAAGTTATAAGTTCGAATTCGGAGGAGCTGGTGGAAGTGGTTGGAGTCAAGGAGCGGAAAGATTCAGTGCCTATCCAATCAATTCTACTATGGGTTCCCAAGTTTTTAGATACAAATCATCTGACAACTTCTTTGCCTATTCATTGAGTTCCAATGATCCAACATTTGCTGGATGGACAAAGGATGGTGCTGCATTCTGTTGTCCAAATGACAATGATCCATTAGCTATTCCAGTTTATAGATATTCTAGAGTTATCTCAGGAAGCAAATTTGCATTCACCTATTCAACAAGTGCAACCTATACCGAATCTGGATTCACTTGGATCAAAGATAAAGTCGAATTCAAAGCATTTAAATTGATTCAAGAAATGCCTTCTGATTATGGCGCAAATATTGGTTCCAATGGAATAATATCTTTCCCAAACATTATTGCCTACCAATTTGCAAAAGCTGATTTCTCAGCGACTTGTCTCTTGCAAACAACAGCACCTGGAACTATCATGACAAATAAACCATCTGAAGGTGGATTACCGACAAGAGGTGGATGGAGAGTTTTTCTCAATGCATCTGGTGTCGTTGTGTTCGTAATCGATGATGGTTATGGATCGGAAAGAGTACTATCACCATCAACTCAAATATTCGATGGAGATTGGCACAGTGTTGCTGTTGTCCGAAGATCTGGTCTTTTGGAAATTTGGGTTGATGGAACCAAGCTAAATGTTACTTACATCGGAGAGGAACAAAGAAATGCAAACTCAACAAAACCATTGTTGGTTGGTGCAAACTATTACGGAAACGAACCACAATTAGTTGGAATTGTCGAAGATATTACAATTTGGAACATTGCAATCAATCAAAAACAAATTTTCAATTCAATGTTCAACATGATTGTTGGAAATGAACCTGGTTTGGTTGCATTCTGGCCAATGGACAACAATTTCAATGACAAGAGTTCAAACAATAACAACGGATCTTCAAGTGGATCTGTTTCATTTGTTCCAGTGTTCCATGAGAAATCTGTCGAGAATGGTCCAAATTCATTTTCATATGTTTCAGTTATGAATCACAGCACTTCAACCAGTGGAAGTTTAACAACAACCAGAACTCAAAGTATGAATGTCCAAGCAGGTTCACCAGTTCTTATTATCTCAATCTATGATATGGTTACATCAGCTTTCCCAGTTGGATGTGTTCTCAAAGTTACAGATCCTTCTGGAAATCAATATAATAATCCAATAAACACAGCATCGTTGTATGTTAAGATGAATGGAACATCAGTTCAATGTTTAGTTGTATCAAATCCAACACCTGGAAAATGGACCACCGTTATCACAGCACCAACTATCAGTTCATTCCATCTCACACTCCAAGCATATCCATCTCAAGATGTTGCCAAAACAATGATGGAATCATTACAAGCGCTTTATCCATATGATGAAGATACCAAGATGCCACTTTGCAAACATCCTTTAATGAAATTGGAGAATATTCAATCTTGGAGAAGTTTTGTTGGAACATTAGCTGGAATTGGATTTGCTGCGGTAATTGTCTTAGCAGCCGCTGCAGCATCTATTCCAATCGCTGGTACCGTGGCTGTGCTCGCTACTGCTGGGTTTGTAGTTGGTGTTGCATATGATGTGGTGATGTATCTATCTTCATCAAAGAAAGATGTTGAAGATACATCTGGAGCAATTTCCACCAATACTGGAATGGGTGACTTTGATAAACCAACAGACCAGATTTCAGAGATTTACAATAATTTCTTGAAGGTAGCATCATCCAGCCCATACGCCACTCCACCAACCAAAGTCAGCAATACAACCAGAGTAACAAGAAAACAATTGAATATTGCAGATACCTATAAACTTCATCTCGATATTGGTGGTGAAGGTAGTTTCACTTACAATAATGCGATTTCTGGATTCCCAGATGCACTCAATATCAATGTTAATACCAACCAAAGTCAATATCCAGTAAAAGCTATTCCACTTCTTGTTCGTCTACAACAATGGGAAGAACAACCTACCTACAAACCGTCACTCCCATTCGCCGATAAGAGTGTTGACTATATCACAATGCAATCAACACCAATTGCAGATTGGGAAGTCACCGAAATCATTCGTATTCTGAGACCAGGCGGAAGTATTGGATTGTGGCTCAATTTGCCAGATCCAGGTTATATTTATAATAATCTTCCAGCTTGGCAAAAGCAGTTGGTTACCAATGTGAACAGTATTGTCACCCAACTTAATGCAACACCAAAGTTCACTTGCAAAGGAAATTATACACTTCCAGGTGTTCCTCCAAACAGCAATCCAATTTGCACAGTTGGACTTGTCGATGAAGCCGATGGTACATATGGAATGGCAAAGATGTTACTTGTTGACAATAGACCAACTGAATTGCTTTTTGATTCTGAACTCAAAGATTCTGAATCTGTAGTTGGTGATGCTTAAATAATTCATTTTAGATAATCTAAAATACCAATCATTATCAATAGAATTTATAACAATAAAAAAAAAAAATAATAAAGAATTAATAATAAGTTAAATAAACAAAAAGGAATTTTTTAAAATTGATTTTTGTGAATAATATGGTTCAATTTACACTAATTTTAATGATTCATACACTGCACAACAAATGGTATTTATTATAATTTTTATTTAATTTTTTAAAATATAAAAAGAATAATTTTGTTCTATCTTTCTTTTCTTTTTTCTCTATCTTTTTCTCTTTCCCTCTTTTTCTCTTTCTTTTCTTTCTTTTCACGTTTTCTCTCTTTCTTTTCTTTCTTTTTTTCTTTTCTTCTTCTTTTTCTTTCTCTTCGCTCTGTATCGCTACTACTGTCACTGTTAGAACTATCGCTATCAGAGCTATCGCTAAACTGTGATAGATATGATTTGATATTCTCAACCCACTTTTCGTTTTCTTTGTATTTTTGTTGATCATTGTCTTTCTTTGATGACTTTGGTGCTGTGAATGTCGATGATGCTGATCTCTTATTTGATTGTGTATCTCTTTCATTTGTTTTCTTATTTGGTTCTGGTATTGTTGTTTTTGTTGAAGATGATTGTTGTTGTAAATGATATGGTTTGATATCTAATACTTTATAATAGGTAGGTGGTGGTTCACCACTATCAGGTAAACTATTATCTTTTTGTGTAGTAGGTGGTGTTGTTGGTAAAGCTGGAGGTGGTAGCGGGAATTGTACTGCCTGTGTTACATTATTATTATTATTATTATTATTATGAGCATTTGAAGAAGGTGTTGTCATCGGTTTCATTTGCGTGTTTGATGAATCTTTTTGAGCTTGTTTTAAGAATGACGCAAATGGATCACTATCATCATCTTCTTCATCATTATTATTACTATTATCGTGTTGTTGCTGCAAAGAATCTGTATTAATAGGTAGTAATCCTATATCATTATTATTTCTATTATTATTATTATTAATGTTGGTTTTCTTGTTGTTATTATTATTATTGTTATTATAATTGTTGTTAATGGTAGTTGTAGTTTCTGGTTCATTCGACAATAATGATGAGAAAGGATCATATTCAGATTCAGTTTGGTCGTCGACTAGTTGGTCACTTTCAAATATTGATTTGAATAGATCCAATGGTGGTCTCTTCTCTTCAGTGTATTTCAATTCCATAACTGGATTGTTTGTATCGACGGACGAGTTTGAATTGATATCTGGTTCGTAGTCATTATCGTTTTCGTTATCGATGTCGTCGTTGCTATTGCCATCGCCATTGATATCACCACCGATATCGTCAGCATTGTTAATATCACCCGATGGAAACTCTATCTGTAAATTCAACTTTGATATCCAATCGACATCTTTCTTCTTGGCCAATTGTTGCTGTTGCTCTATCTCTTTCTCTCTATCTTTATATGGATTCTCTATATTGAAACGACGACACAACAGTCTCGCTGGGAACCAATCGCTAGTTACTCTCTTTTGTTTTACAGTCTTTTGCTGTTGTTGTTGTTGTAAACTATCTTGTTTCGGTCTAGACTTGTAATCATCAACCGATTCAAATCTACTTGCAAGTGATTGTTGTAATGATTTCAAAGCATCATTTTGAATTGCATTACTATTGTTATTATTATTATTATTACTATTGTTATTAACTCCATAAGATTGTTGTAAATATGAACTTAAATTTGGTTGTTTAGATTGTTGTTGAATTAACTTTGGTTTTGTAGTTGCAAGTTGTTTCTCTTGTAGTATTTCCGATCGTTTTGTTGGGTTGATGTTTACTGTATAGATAGGTCGTTCAATGATGGAACGGTCCAGTGGTTTGTCGTACTTGTGTAGCACGTTGAAGTTGTCAGGTACTTTCGGTGGTTTGAACCACTTGATTTCCAAAGAGGTGTGTGACGCCACAATGAAATTCCTCAGTGGAACAGAACCGTCTGAACATCTTCTAAGATTAGCTGAACTATCTTCTGGTTTCAAAAACTCCAATACTTGTGACTGCTGCTGTTGCTGTTGCTGTTGTCTTTGTATTCTCCTTCCACCTAAATAACTATCATATTGATCCTTTGAATCTGTATCATAGATATCCGAATCTATATTATTAGATCTATCACCTCCAAATGTAACTATATTACCACCACCACCAATGCTACTATTATTATTATCACCTCTCATCTGTCTCATTTCATCGGTGATCTGAAAACCAACACCATATGAATCGTTCTTTGGTTGATACTCGATTATCTTTGGGTATTCCTTTCCATATTCTACATGTACCAATTGATCTTCTTCTTCCTCCTCCTCCTCCTCATTTTCCTCTTCTTCATTCTCTTCTGCTTGTTTGTCACTACCAAATATCATACTATCATTATCGATGATGGTTGTTGTTTGTATCTTCTTCTTGGGCGGCAGTTTCACTTTTGGTTGATTCTTCTTCTTGTAGATCTTCTTTATTACACGAGTCTGACCTTCTCTCCATCCCATCTTCTTTAGCAGTCTCAAACCAATTGGATCTTTTGTTGGTTCAACAATATCCTTGAATACACCCTCGAATAAACTATATCAATAAATCAAAATTCAATACATTAATATCAATATTCATTACAATTTTAACCAACTACATAACTAACATACCTTTGTGACATACTCGTTGCAACAGATGATGTATTTGTAGTTGATTCATTCTGTTCACTCTTTGTCTTAAACAATGCAGATGTACCTTCGAATATATCATACTCTGGTTTTGTCTTTATTTCTTTTGTCATATTCTATAATAATAATAATAATAATAATAGTTACGAAAGATACTAAAGTTAGTATATAATTTACTATTATTTATAATTATAGATAGTAATAATAATAATAATAATAATAACATACACTTATATCTTCTTCATCCATAAAATCATGTACAGTAAATTGTTTGATATTAGCTTTATCACGGCTGGTAGATTTGAATGTAGACGGAGTGAAACCTTCCTTTGACCCAACGGTGTTAAAGAAACCAGCAGAGAATCCACCAGTGAAAGCACCATGGAATCGTTTTCTACCTTTTTCATCTTTAACCTCTTGTTTGTATATTGGTAAATACTTTGATTTACTACTGCTACTGGCACTATTTAATGATGAATCATCTTTACTCTTTTCAATAGGTGTACCAAATATACCTGCACTACTATTATATCCATTATTATTTAGACTATCATTTACATTGTTACTCTTATTAGTAGATGTTATATATCCTGAAGTACTACTACCTCTTTGATAGCTGCTACTACTATTTTCATTATTATTATTATTACTACTATTATAACTATTAGTATATCTCTTTCCACTCATTAGATAGAAATGATATTTGTACACATTTGTGTGTTAAAGGAAAAGTATTGATTGTTAGCTAACTTTGAAAAAATAAATTGCAAAAATGTTGCCAAACAAAATTCAACTGTCGAAATTTCTAAATGTTAAGATTCAAATTAATGATTTTTATTTATTTATTATTATTATTATTATTAATATTATGAAATTAATCAGTAAAATTAATAATGTTGTTATATTGTTGATTGTTGGTGATATTTTAATTGGCGGATTGGACTGATTCTTCTTTGTCTGCACTGAGATCTCTGATTTCATAGAGTGCAGGTGCCTCACAGATGACTGAGTAGGAATCTCTTTCCTTGACGATTTTGAATGATTCCAACATGGCTCTGTAGTGATGTCCGTTTAGTTGAGCCTCGGCGTTGTAGCTCTTTCCACTGATACGCACTGACAGTACTTCGGGAATGAAATTGAATTTCGGTTGCTCGATGAATTTAAATGTGAAATTACTCAAGTCTGTGAAATGACAACACTTTGAACTGGTAATACTACCATACGATATTTCGAAATCATTTCGATTGACAATCTCTATCGAACAATTGTAGTGGGTGTCTACGATTTTCTGTTGTTTCGGGTGGAAGCACTCACCATCACCAACAGTTGAACCACTTACCAAATAATTATTATTATTGCATGAAACGTAGAGTACCAACAACAACAACAACAACAATTTAGATGAACGCATTATTGACATTGTTTTGTATTGTATTGTTAAAAATTATTATTTGTAAATTTGATGTTTTTTTTAGATATCTAAGTATTGTTGTTGATTTTTGTTTGTATAATGTTTGATTGATTGATATGAATGAATTTACAAACCTTAATTTGAAAGCTTTTATAATCAAGTTTCTGTTCTGTCAGTCATTGTAGTGATAATTAGATGACATTGCCCACTCTATCGAAATAACATAATCATCCTAGAATTCAACAAAATCTATTTGTAATTCGTCAAGATATTTCGATTCTAGTATTACTATAAACAGATATGGTTCGAATGTATCACTCTCTTTTTCATCAGTTAAATTTAGATAGATAGATATGGATACACGCACAAACAAATGTGTGGTAAAAACTAAAAATCGATTCATCATAAACACACACACAAGCCAAAACACTAATAAATCATTGTTTGTGCTTTGTTATCGATTGTTTTTGTCATTGTTAATTATGATAAATTTTATGGTCATTGGTTAAAACATAAAGAATTTTAAATTGAATTAGAAATTAATGTATATCTATTGATTGATTTTCGGCAAAAAAGATGAAAGTAGAAAGAGATTAGAGAAGTTGACATGATTAAAAAGAACGATTACTAAAGTTTAGCTATTAAATAAATATAAAAGATCATATGATAATTAATATATATATTAATGATGAACTTCACCCATTATTTAAATTTAAATTGTTGATTTTTTAGAATAAAAAAAAACTAGTTTTTTCATGTACATTGATGAAAAATTGTGACCCATTTTTGGATTGTACCTTTTGGGTTTATTTTGATTTTTTTTAGCATCGGAATTCTAGGAGAACAGATTTTTTTTATTTATGTTGAATTTTTTTTTTTTTTTTTTTTTTTTGATTATATATTACTTTTTTTTTATATTTTCATTCATTCCACTACTGTATATACAATTAATTTAAATAAATATCTATTCAAACATAATTCATCGAAAAAAAGCAAATATTTAAAAATAGTTTTTAATCAAAAAAAAAAACCATCATCGAAAATCTCAAGATTTGTGAATTATTTTTTTAATTTTTTTTATTTTTTTTTATTCCATAAAAAACCCCACACCACACACCAAATCACAATCAGATATAACTGAAAATTAGCGAGAGCTGTTTGTTGTAGAACAACAAAAAGGTAACCAATAGCAACAAAAAATTCATAGATCATAATTTAAAGATAATATATTTTATTTATAATCTTATTATTTATTATTTATTTATTTAAATTAAAGTTTATTTTTAGAATTTTAATTAAAATAAGTAAAGTTTATCGATTTCAGTGTATTTAAATTACTAGTAATTAGAAACAGATAGATAATAATAGAATAAAATAAGAATTAAAAAGGTAAGTTTGACTAGTTGATCAATCTAAAGATTGTATTGTATTGGTTTGGACAGGTTTGAATTCAGAGAAAGAAAAACATAAATAGCTAGCTTCATGTTATCAATAAAAATCACAACTCATTTTGTCACTTTCGAATATAATATAATCAAAAGTTGCATAAATAAATAGTAAATGACAATAGTATGAATTGATTTGACAGGTTATGACAGATCAACGATACATTTTTTTAATCATATTGTTTGTTGTGTATTGTTATTTTTTGTTGTTGTTGTTGATGTTGATGTTGTTATAGTTGGTGGTTCCAAGCATTTTGTAACTTTATCGTAGTAAAAATCGATCGATCGATCGCAACAAACAGGCTATAACTTAAATCTTTAATCAATTGTGTGAGCATTAATCGAATTGTAAAGAGAGTAGATAAAGCAGAGTAGAATAGAATGAAGGAGAAAAGTATCCGATGCGAGCTAGAGAAAACAACAAACACACTCCACACTCACACTCACACTCCGGCCAACTACTCACTCAACCAAAAAATCAAAGATAACAAGTTATCCGATGAACATAAATGGTAACCAATCAACTGATTAGATTGGATTTATATAGATGCCTGCCTGGGCAACAAATCATGATTTGTCTGGAAGTTGAAACCAGCATATTGATGGTCCATTTAAATAACGTCTTTCCGTCAACAACATCAACAACAACATCGATATAGTGTCTAGAGAGAATATATATATGAGTGAGTGTATTGATTTCACAGCAGCACTCACTGAACATAATAAGCTTACAAATATATCATAGATACATTCATACATTCATACACCAAGTTTAGTTTAACTTAAAATCAGCAACAACAACATCACACACAGGCATACCATCAATATACTTGGTTTACTATAAACAGTAATCTTCACACTTATGACAATGATGTTTTATTTGGATGTTGTTGTGAATGACAGAGGTAGTAAAACTGTTACTAAATTAGCTTATTCACTCAATTATGCTCAACACACCACTTTTTACTAAATACAACTTTACCTTTTTATGGTTAAATTAGAGATCTGATGATCATTGACTCCTATATCTAATTACTTCTTTCTTTTCATTTTTTTTGTTAACAATGTTTATTGATTATTGTTGTTGTTAGCTTTGTTATTTCATTGATTGCAATTAACAACAATTCAAAACATATTCTACATAAATGGAAATATTTAAACTTCAAACTCTATAACCATCATTTGATAGCACAATCCTACTACTGTGCCAGGAATTTTCTACTTCCCTTTTGTACATCACTCTTTTTCTTTATTTGTTTGATATTATGTTTCCACTTCACCCAATACTTTTGTACACTTCAACTCTAATTATTTAGGTTAATGTGATATATTTACTATGATAATAATTATAATTGTTGTACAGCACACTGCTTAAAATAGTTCAAATAAAAAAATGATTGGTGATCGTTACTTGGTTGTCTTGACCAAACAGCCATCCCACCTGTTATATTTTATAGGTGTGGAACGATTGATTTTAATATCAAAGTAATATGTGTGTGTTGTGTATGATTGTTGTTAGTTATTTCACACAACTATTATAACACATAAAATTAAAGAGAAAGAATACTCTAACCAATAATCATCAAACATTATTTTTTTTTCATCAGTGTAATTACTTTGCAGCCACAAACACACACACACACAAACACATAAAATTAATAACCATAAAAATGAATTCCCCCTCTTAACAACCGCCTTTATATCAATAATAATAATATTAAATATCCACACAACACACACACTCACACACATACATGATCAATAACAATTTTTAATTCCACACATAGCCCATCAATCACTTTCCATTCCAGTCACCGATTGAAATTTTAACCAAATGCAAAAACACTCACCAAATCATCATTGAGAATCACTACCATACCAACACCATCTGTTACTATTACACTTGCAAATTGAGCAGTCTACTTTTTATTTCATTAAGTTATATTTACTTTAAAAATCAATCAATAGTAACCAACTTCACCACTTTTACTCAATTTTTAATTATTATTATTATTGTCATTATTGTTTAAATTGCTTGACAAACAAACTAATTGTAGTTATTGTTATTGTTAATTACTTTTTTTTTTTTTATATCAATTCAATTTCATCGGAATTCATTAGTTACTTCTTTACTTTGTTTTGCTTTGCTTTTCCAATTTAATCAAATCATAAATAACCACAACAACAGAACCACCACCAAAAGATAAAAACAACAGAGAAAGAGCAAAGGATACAAATTGACAACCAAACCATCAATTCATTCATCCATTTATCTTATTTAAAATTTAAATCCATCATTGTTGTTATTTCATTTGCTTGAATTGGTACAGACAAATAAATAATCTCACTTCAATCACCTATATTTATACAATTACTGTTACTACTAGATTTGGTTACCATAAAACTTGTGCTCGTTCCATATCCTCTTTCAATTGTTAAATTCGTTGTGTTTTTTTTTATATCATCAATCCATTGATTTATTGCCTACTTTATATAATATATTCATAAGTTAAAACTCAAATATATAAAATACAATATAAAAGTGGTGGTGTGTTAAGGATATGATTTGTGGTTAATTTAGGTGCATCATCCACCACTTGATTTCACAAAAGATCAAACAATTAAACTTCTCATAGGTATCATTTAAATAATACAAATATACAAGTGATCCAACCACACAGCAGCAACACCACACTTTATCATTCCGAATCGTTCTCTGCTTAGAATAAATCATACATTTTAAACAAATTATTGTCAATATTTATTTACATCCAATTTTTAAAACATCTCCCTAAACTTTTATTTTCAATTCATCAATATATATATCAAAATTATTTATTTATTCCTAAAAAACAAAACTTAAGTTTCTTTAATTATTTATTATTTATTTATTTATTTATTAATTCATAAATTTATTCATTCATTACAAATCAAATCAATTCTCTTGTTTCAATCCAATCCAATCCAAACCAATCCAAAAACCTTGGAAACAAAAAAAACAAAATGAAATTTTATATTAATTTTTTAAAGAGTAGAAGTAGTTTGTTTAAAATGTTGATGAAAGATGGTGGTCAGCAACAACAACTCCAACAACAACAACAACAAGTACTAGATGAAAAAGATATAAATAAAAGCGATGACTATTCAACGTCTGATGAAGAGGAAGAAAACGATCAGCAACGAGATCAAAGAATCAGAAGAACCGACAGTATCGTTGCTTATAAATCAAAGAATGGCACATTTTTGAATATCAGAAGTTCAGTCGACGAACAAAACAACAAAAATATCGCAGACGACAGCAGTGAGAGTAGCTCAGAGAATCAAGATTTCGAATATTCTGGCACTGAGCCAGTGTCTGTATCGGTATCTTCATCCACTACTACCACAACTACTTCTTCTTCTTCTACCGCTGCTTGTAGTAGTAGTCAAATAACCAACGGAAATCATTGTATTAATATATCAACAAACAACAACAACAACAATAATAATGTATTGTCAGTATCTACCAATCCAATTCCATCGAATTTAACCAATAGAAGAGATTCAGTCGATTCGAACGATCCAAACTTTGGCTATGAAGACCAACCTATCTACAAAACGATATCCGATCCAATTCCAACCGATTTGAAACCAATCAACTCTCCAATTCCAAACAGACCAGTATTCAAAGTGGAACTCTCACCCGAGAATGAACTCATCAATCAATCACTGATAGCACTACGTACATCGTTACTAAACTCTAACAGCGAAGATAAACAACCAATTACACAAGATCAATTTGAATTAATTAAAAAATATAGAATATCAATGTAACTATCGATCGAAAAAACAACAACAACAAGCTATAACAAACAACTCAAAACAAAAACAAAAGCAATTACTAATTAACTTTAACAACATTATATAGAAGCGAGAAAAGATCACTGATAAAGGATTTTGCACCAAATGTTTTTAAAGATTTAAGAAGTAGATTGAATATTGACCAAACTAAATTTTTAGTAAGTTAATGTTAAACTATTGATATGTTTGTTCATAAATAGATTGTATGTTTGTTTACTAACTTGATTTGTTTTACTTTTAGAAATCATGGTCATCTTATATATCAAATGAAGCACAAACCAAACAAAATAGTAATAGTTTCACCATCTACTCTTCTGATAGAAAATATATTTTAAAGACAATTAGCAAAGCTGAATCGATTAAATTAAGAAAATTACTACCACATTACTATGATGTAAGTATATATTTATTTATTATTATTATTATTGTAATCTTTTTTAGTTTATTAACACTAATTATTAATAACTATGATATGTGTGTTGTATTATTGTATACTATAGTATTTAACGTATAATTCAAATTCAATGTTACTTAAATATCTTGGTTTGTTCAGAGTTGACAAGAGAATGAACCAGAATTTCTATGTTGTATTATTATTAAATGTCTTTAACACCTGTTGCAACGTCGATCAAACCATATCGACGAAACAATCGAGCGAATCACTCAAAATCAAATCTCACAAGAAAATACAACTCGATCCAACACTAAAGAGTGCCATTTATAAACAAATTGAAAAAGATACAACAGTAAGTGTATTATTATGAATGAATATAATATAAATATTCTATTATTTATTAATATTAATATTAATATTAATTGATGACATTGTTGTTTATAGTTTTTATCAACACATGATTTAGCTGATTTTAATTTAATCATTGGAATTAATAAGATCGATAGTAAACATGAACAAGAATCGATAGTAGCTGCTGGTGAATCAGATACACCGACTACAACGGAGCTGTCAAGTTCCATTCAATCACATCCACCTCTACAACAACACGATGGTCTGTCATCGTCTGCTTCGTCCACACCAACCTCCTCTGTATTTACACCACAACTCATCACATCGTCACTGGAACTGAATTCATCAGTCGATACAAGTGCTCCTGTTATTATTGAACCAATTAAAACAGGTAAACTATTTAATAATTATTATAGATATTGATAAAGTGTTTATAACTTTATAGATAACTAATTAACTAACTAATTTACAATATTATATATATGTTTAGTTCCAAGATTATTATTCTTTGTTGAAGAAGTTGAATGTATAACGAAATCCAATAACTTTACTATTAATAAATCATTGAAAAAGTCATTTTCAACGCTGCCTAGATCTTGGACATCAGAGACTGTCGAAGATCCAATCGGTAATATCAGTGGTCCATATAGAACCGACAAAAACACACAACCAACTATCAACAGTATGACTCAGAGTTTTATTCTACAGACCGATAGCAGTGAGATGTCCAGCTCTCTACCACCATCGCTATTCAACTCACTACCAAGTGTATTACCACTTTCACATAGAGCATCATTACAACTTAGTCAACAAAAACAACAACAACCAAACAACAATAATAGCAATAACAATAACAATAACAATGTAAATTCAATGAATGGTAGTAGTAAGTTATCTTCATTATCTCTTACTTCGAATAGCAGTGGTGGCAGTGGCGGAAGTGGCTTCCTCACACCTCAGCAACAACAGAATCAACGTCGTTGTATCAATGGGTTCATCTCTGAGAATAACAATGAAATCTACTACTTTTGTATATTAGACCTGTTGGCTAGTGTCGAGTCAACCAAACAGAAGGTACCGATCAAGCTGATGAGCAAGGTCAGACACAGCTCACCGAACAGTCCAAACACTTTTTTGAAAAAGTTTCTCAACAATGCAAAGAATCTGTTGTTCCTAGACAACAGTGTCCAAACTATAAACTCCAACTATAGCAACAGTACCGGTATCACAGTTAACAATAATAACATTAATAATAAATTTGGTACACTACGTAAATAACTATAAAAGTTAGTTAGTCGTAGCAACTTATACATCTTTGTGAAAAAAAAAAACTTTTTTGTTCTATCACTTTTTTTGTTTTATATATATATTTTTGAAGTTCACACATTATTCTTTTTATTTCACATCCATTATTCCATTCAAGTTGGGCATTTTCTATTTCAATAAATGTTTCTCAAAATTAAAAAGATTTGTTAGAAGAAAATAAAATTTATCTAAATGAGATTTCTCAACCTTGTTTTTTTTATAATCCTGTTTCAATTGATTTAGGATTGATATTTTAGTAAATGTTGTAATTGTTCAATTTGAAAATTTACACTGAAGATGTGAGCTACTTAGTCTAAATTTAAGTGGATCTCACAGCAATAACTAGAGAAACTTTTTCTCAAAAAAAAAAAACAAAAAAAACAAAAAAACACCCATTGTACTGTTTATACGGTTCTCATTTCTGCTGAATCAAAGATGAATTTCCAATAAGAAATTAGAGAAACAATGTTAAGCAATGTCAAGTTAAATGAGAATTATATTCTTTATTGATTTATCAATATTACTATTAGTTTGATTTAAATAATCAATCAATTTATTATAAATATGAGAAAGGTATGTAAATGAAATTAAAAAAAAAAATAAAGAGAAGAGAAAGAAATGAAATTTATTTATAAAACTAATAAAAATAATAATAACTCTACTACTTCATTATCTAAAATGTTAACACTTCCTCATATATTATTACAAAATATATTGTCGTCACTCGATAATTTAGATAGAATATGCTTTGCTCTAAGTTGTAAAAAGTGGTATCAATCAAGAGATAACTTCCTCTTGTTCGATACCCACGACCAATTCCTAAACAACTTTGATTTCTATCTGTTAAATGATCAATTCAAGTTGAATTCATTTAGAAAATCACTATGTAAATCAATTTATATGAATAGTGGTAAATTCGGTAGGTAAACAATGCTGATATTAATCAACTGTTGATTGATTAATATATACTAATTCAATATCGTTTTGTTTTATTCTCATTAGATTTCAATGTTAACAATACAAATACAGAAATACCGATGTGGGCAAACTATTTGTATTTCTCAAATAGCTTCAATGATCCATTCCAATTCGGTTGGATACCGGAATGTATTACGACTCTCCACTTTGGTTTCTCGTTCGATCAGTATCTAGAACCAGGACTACTGCCTTCATCGATAAAGACATTGAAATTCGGTAATAACTTTGATCAGAAGATTGTGTTTGGTGCTATTCCCAATTCGGTGGTATCGCTCACCTTTGGCAAGAAGTTTAATAACGATATAGATCCTGGTGTTCTACCCAAGTCCATCAAGAAGCTGGTGTTTGGTGAGGATTTCGATTGTCTGCTGATGCCCGGCTCAATACCATCTTCAGTCACCAAGCTGAAATTCGGTAATCACTTCAACAGCCCGATTAAATTGGGTGTCCTACCAAACCGCTTGAAATCACTGATATTCGGTTACTACTTTAACTATCCACTTGAGTACAACGGTGTCAGTGTGCTACCGCCTACACTGCAAGAGTTGAGCATCGGTCGAAACTATCTGCATTACATCGATCCAAAGATATTGCCAACCACTTTGAATGAGTTACACTATGTCTATTCAAAGACTAGTAAACTACAGTCTGATCAACCGAATGTTGTACCTGCTGCTAATACTACTGCTGCTGCCGATGTTGCTAATGTTGTTATCCCTACAACTACAAAGTCAGCGCTACCTAAAGGTGTAACTCATTTAATGATAGATAATACGGTTGGACCAATCGAGCCTGGATTTATACCAGAGACAGTTACCAACTTACAATTCCTACATGACTATCAGCATCCGATTATGGATAAGACAATACCATCGAGCGTGAAACGGTTGGAGATTGGTATCATTCTCCAACAACTACTGAAACCCAATCAAATTCCAGAGGGTGTGGAAGTGATCGAATTCGGCAATCTCTTCAATCGCCAGATAGAATCAGAGTTGCTGCCAACCAGTGCAAAAGATGTCAGACTTGGATCAACGTTTCAACATGTGTTACCAAGTGACATCCTTGCCAACGATCAGCTAGAAGCACTAGAGATTTCCGGTGCCTATAGATATCCTCTGCCAGCATCCGTTAGAAACATTCACCTTATGAGTCGTGTCTACTACAACTTTAGATATGATTCATTCGATTTCGAATCACTACCGATTGGCACCACCATCAGAATGGAAGTTCCAACTCTCGAACAAATCACCATTAGAATCATGTCGAAACAACACGCACTACTCTTGACTGACAATTACTTCTTGGGTGGATTCATGCCAATTTCATCTTTGAAAACTGGTTATTTTACATCTTGCTAATATAATTAATATATATATATATATATATACAAATTCAGTGTAATCATGATTTTCTCGAACAATAATCATTGTACAAATGGTATCAAAGACAAACTAAAGTATCATCTGTATAAACATTTACCCTTACAAATATGAAAAAAAAATCTAAATAAAAAATATATATCTTTTAAAAGATAGAAATTTTAAACCAAATATTATTTTTCTTAATCAAAAAAAAAAATAACTATTATTATAATTGATTTTTGATCATTCTATTGGGATAAAGATGAACTACATTGACACGATCAATTTTTTTAACTGAATAACAAAAATGACCTTTCTTGATTACATGGAAATATGAAGTCTGAGGTTGCTTATGAAAGCACAAATATATTTTTTAAGAGCTCGAAATTTGGATTTTTTTCTGAGCCAAAAATATAAACATTTGAATTTTCTTTTTGAAATGACATTTGTTTTGATAAGATGCATTGTTGGTTTTGCTTTATCATTATTCTTTTTAGGTAATCTTTTTTCTATTGTCAATCAAAATAGATTGCCACCAAAGCACTCCCCAGAATTAAAGATTCACTACATATTGACACCTTATCTGTATTTGTTAAAATTAAAAATTAAAAATAAAATTAAAAATAATATAAATTTTTCTTAAACTAGACGATTCATGTTTATATAAATCGATTAAAATTTTATTTTAAAATTAATCCTAACCGATAACAAAATGTTTAAGATTAAATTAATTTTATCAGTCTTGGTGTTGGTATTGGCAATAGCCAGTGCTAGAAATCCAAATAGTACAACAACTTGTTCCATCTCGAACCATAAAAGTAAATGTGAATATGGAGTATGTCCTTCAATTGTAGCCTGCATCAATGAGTATTCACCAATGTATTCCAACATTGTCATTACTGTCCCAGATGGTAATTTCCCTTGTAAACAAATCGATACTTATTTTCTTAAATATGATTTAAATATCGACTTGAGACCAGAAGGTCAGAAATCGGTTCCCTCTTTTACTTGTCAAGTAAGATATTATCTTTTTAAAAATAATTTAAATCATAAACAATTAATTATTATTTTTTAAAAATAGGGTAAAACATCATTCTTAAAATTGAAAACAGCTTTCGTCTTTTCAATGACTATTTCCAATGTTGTCATCCAAGCCACTCTGGTTACCGGAAATCGTGGAAGTTTAATTAATATCAACTCCTCCACTTATATTTACCCGAATACCAACCAATTGACGATGAACAATGTTGTTTTGAAGAATGGCCAATCCATCCCTGCCAATGGTGCAAATGAAGCTGGTTCAATAACCCTCAATTCCGTTAGCTTAGTACTTAGCAACTGTTCAATCACCAATTCCCAGTCTACTGGATCCTATCCTTCTTGTAAGTACAAATTAATAAAATTTTAAATCTCCATTTTATTAATCTTCCACATTTTAAAGCGAGTGTTATGAATCTCATATCCGGTAGCTTAACAATAAATAACTCGACCATTTCTAACTCCATCAGTTCCAATAGTAACTATGGTATCAATTTTAGTGGTGACAATATCTTTATTTACAACTCGATCTTTAATGGAGGTAATGGTATTGGACATTTCATTAATGCAGTTGCAAAATCTGTGTATGTTAAATCAAGTAAATTCACAAACAACTATTCAAAATATGGAAGTTGTTTTAATTTAGTTTCTTCATCAATAATGTTTGATTCAAATGTTTTTGATAGAAATTTTGGTCAATATGGATCTGCTTTGGTCAGTACAATCTTATTAGAAATTATTATTAATAATTATTTTATACTAACAACATATAATTATTTTAAAATATTCTAGTTTGTATCTTCAAACTACAACTACCAAGATTATTACTTTATAAATAACAACCTCACAAACAATATTGCCTCTGATGCTGGAACACTGGTAATTTCCCTTCTTTTTTTTCAATAATAAAATTGTTTATAACTTATTTGTTTTTTTAAAAAAAAGTTCCTTTCCACTCAAGGTAACCATTATCTAACAGGATCAATCTTTGAAAACAATGTTGCCTGGGGTGCAGCTGATATCTTTTTCTATCAACAAAGAATAACTTTGTTAGGTGGTACATTTATCAATTCATCATCATCGAATGAATAGTAAGTAAATTACTTTTTTTATTTTTGAAAATCAATTTTACTTATTTATTTTTATTTTTTTTATTCAATCTAGCTCACCTTCTCAATATCCTCAATTCCCAATGTATGTAGTTGATATGGTCTATTATGAACCATATATTGGTATCCAATGTATTTACAACTACCAGACCCTCGTTCAAAATGGTGCCTATACTTGTATGAAAGTAGACTATTATCCAACAAACCAGAAGTAGCCCAGGAATTGGAAGAACTAAACTCATCTATTTTAAATTAATATAAAAACTCTATATTCTTTAAAATCACTTCAAATAAAAAAAATATAAATTTAATATTATTATATTTTTTTTGGTATTAATTTTATCAAGGATTTAATCAAATATTTTGATACAATGGCATTTGATATCTGTTTTATAAGTTTGGTCAACAAATTGTGAAAAAACCAACCGATTTTTGCTGAAATCAGATAAAATTTTGAGAAATTTTAAAGATTTAATATATTATTATATTCGCATTAGTTATTAGGAAATTAAATAAATAAAAGATATTAATGAGATAGAATAATTAATTGTACATAACATAATAAACATACATATATAAAAAACAGTATATAAAAACAATGTCAAGTGAAGAATGTTCAGCTTCAGGCGTATTACCTTATCTATATAAAAATGGTGTATTATATTTCATGTTAGGATTGGAAGGCAGAGGATTGAGTGACTTTGGTGGATTTTCAGATCATAATGAGACTGCATTCGATAATGCATCAAGAGAATTTAGTGAAGAAACAATGGTAATACAATACACTACAACTATCTATCTATCTATCCTATCTAGTTACAGAAAAGAATAGATAATAGAATAGAATATTATTTATTAATATTATAACTTATGTGTACAGGGATTATTCTGTTTAACACATGAACTTAGAGGAAATAAACAAGGTGTAATAAGAAGCAGTGCAATAATGAAGACAATCATATCGTCGATCGGTCTGCATGATTTGCTGGTGAAGAAAGTGATCAATCCGAGCAATCGATATCAGATGTATATAGCGCCGGTAGCGAGATGGGTACTACCAGAGGAATTCGAGAGAACCAGTGACGTGAACGATAAGAGAGCGTTTGCCGAGCGAATAAGATGCGTCGAGAAACAAAAGATTGCATGGTTCAACGCCGACGAACTACTCGATTCACTCAATGAGTTTTCACCCAGTCTCAAAGTCGATGGTTTCACAGAGAAGGTTTTCACACAGTTTAGAAGGACATTGTTACACCGTGATTCACTTGAATTCATAAAGTTCCTACAACGACAAGATCCAACCATACAAACTCAACTAATAAATCAATTTTGGATAGATTCATAATACAACTATTTTTTTTTTTTTTTTTTTTTTTTTTTTTTTTTTTTTTTTTATACAACTATAAAAAATAAATAAATAAAAATAGTATAAATTAAATGTATTTTTAACTTAATTAATTAAAAATATCTATTATCTTTTACTCACCACTTAATTTTGATCAAACAATAATTATGGGCGAAGTTCTGGTCAAATGAGGAAGTGTGTGGTTTCAAATTTTTTGGCGGTCTTTTTAATTTTTTAAAATGATCATGTTTTTTCTTCAACAATTTAAACTTTCTTAAATTTTAATTATTATTATTTTTGTAATTCTTTGCAAAATCATAATCAATATTTATTTATCTATTTTTATATATCTTATCTCTTTTTTTTTTAGTTTTTTTCGGAAATTAGTTTTATAGTAATATGTCATCAGTTAGTGGAAGATATCAATATCATCCACAGACATCTGTTTTAGAGGATATGGATACGAGTAACAGTAGATACTATAGTTCACAGAATGGAATCAATGGTGGTGGTGGTGTCAATAGTATGAATGGCGGTGGTGGTGGTGGTGGTAGTAGCGGATACAATTTTAGAACACCTGCAAAGTCAGCGAATACCACAAATCAATTTGGTGCCAGTGGAATCAATGATAATAGTAACTTTGATATGCTAATGGATGATTCAAGCTATTTCAATCCAGACGAATCATTACATATACCGGTTACTCCAATCAAGGCAAATACCAATCCACAACAACAACCACCTACACAAAACGGCTCTGCTGCTGCATCTACCATTGGAAGTAGATTTACAAATAACAATACAAGTAATAGTCAAAATAATAATAGACCACAAACACAACCACCACCACCACCACAACAACAACAGCAGCAACAACCACAACCACAATATTATCAACCAACCACGGCTACCTCTACTTCTGCAAATCCAACAAATTTGTCAAGACCAAACACTCAACAACAAACACAACTACCAAGACCGAATCAACAACAGCAACCCCAACAACAAACTCAACCAAGAAGAGACGAATTCACATATAGTACATATCAAGATAACTTTGCAAGAGATGCTCAAAATGTTGTCGATAGTATGAAACAATCTACAATGAGAAGAAGAGATCAAGATTTGTATGTATTATTAACAATTATTATTATTGTTATATTTCTTTTTTAAATTAATGTTATTAACTATTTTGTTTTGTTTTAATTTAATAAATTTCAGTACATATGAAAATCAACAAACACAACAAACACAACCACAGATACAACCACAGACACAATATAATTATAATAGTCCTGCTGCCGAGACTCCTAACATCGGAATCTATTCGAAATCCTATGTGAAGAACCTGGAGGATGACATTAAGAAACTGACCGACCAACTAAAGATGAACAGTTTGAATGGTATTAGTAGTAGTAGTAGCGGTGTTAGTGTATCTCCTGTTACACCCAACTCTGGATCGTTCGTTGGTAACTCTGCAAACACCACTGTTAATTCATCGAATGCATCTCAACAACCAACACATCAATCACAATTAAATCAACAACAACATCAACAACAACCACTTCAACAACAGCAAAAAACACATCAACAACAACAACCAACATCAACAACATCACAATTCTCAACACCATCTTTTAAATCTAGAATGAATAGTCAGATTAATAATACACCGGGTAGATCGACTGTCAATGATCTTACACTGATGGAACTGACCGAGAAGTACTCCGATAGCATGTCGCTCTACAAGGAAGCAAAAGCAAGTCTGAACATCAAGGAGAATGAGCTCGCCATTCTCACCAAGACCTACCAGGACGTCTTGAAAAACTACGATACCGAGCGTAACATGAAGGAGTCGTTCCAGAAGGAGCGCGATCAGCTCAGTCTGAAGTGGGCAGAGATTCAACAGGCGAATCTAAGGCTGGCCGAAGACCACAACCGACTGGTCGACGACATCCACCTCATCGAAGACCAGAAACACCAGGCCGAGCAACGATTCAACGAAACACACGCCGCCTTTATCCAGCTGCAAAACGACCTGGCGACACGCGACCAGCAGATGGCCAACCTGCGCAAAGACTACGACAGCTGCTACTCGATGCTCCAACACAGCAAAGAGAAGGAGCGTCGCTTCAACGATGAGATGGCAGAGGTGCAGCACACTCTCAATGAAGTCAAGCAGAGGACTGACAAGGAGAAGACAGAGTTGGAGCAGCAGTGTCAGCATCTGCAGAAACAACTGGAGCTGGCAAACCAGGAAGCCAGTAACAGCAAGCGCCAGCTCAATGTCGACATGGACCGACTGAAATCAACAATCACCCAGAACGAATCGATTGCACGCGAACTCAAGGAACTCCGACAAAAGTCGGTGCAAGATCAGCAGTCGCTGCAAGCGAAAGATCAGTACATCCTTCAGCTGCAGCAACTCGTCAAGAAAAAAGATGCAGATTTCCAGCGTAAGGACCAAGAGAACTACAATATCTACAACCAGAATTTGGCACGTGTCGAACAAGATTATAAGATGAAACTTCAGGAACAACGAGAGGAATTTGAACAAACCATTTCACAAATGAAAAAACGTATCAATAATCAGCAGCAACAGATATCTCAGGTTCAGACGACACAAACTCAGGCCCAAGGACAAGGTCAAGGACAACCACAAACACAGACAACAAGACTCAATCCAGCTGGAAGCACCACCTCCGGTACTACTGGTGGTAGTCAGACCGTTTCAACGACGAGACCACCAATAGCACCTGGATCTACAACAACTGCACCATCCACCTCCACCTCCACCACCACAACCATTCCGACAACATCGACCACACCAAGATTAGTAAGAAGACAACCAACTAATCCACAAACATCAACATCAACATCAACACCAATAACATTTACACCTCTTTATTCATCAACATCAAGATAATATTTTTTTAAAACAAAAAAAAACATTAAAACATTGTACAAACAAACCATATCAATCAATTCAATAACTCAATTTACAAAATATATAATTACTTGGAGTAAATATATATATAATTATTATTATTTAATTTAATAAAAAAAATTAATTTAAATCTAAACTAAAATTAAATCTGAATCATTCTAAATCTAAAGCATGATTATTAGAAGAAGTTGATCAAAAAAAAACAATGGCGCGATTAAGAAAATTCATTTAAACTGTTTAGTGAATAACTGACTTTTTCAAATTATTGATATTAAATTTAATTAAATTGGAATTTAAAAGAAACCAAGGATGACACAAAGTATATAACAGTTTTAGAAGTTTTAAAAATTTGGTCATTTTCTTGCACTGCTGATTCAAATTTTCAAATTTGAATTCAAATTTTTTTGAGTGGGTTTTTCAAATTTTAAAACGGTCACATTTTTTGATGAACAAAATAAGTTCGCCAAAAATCATTTTCAATTTATTCACTGTTTGTATATATACAAAGTTAGCTACAAGAACTAATTATATAATATATCTATCTATATACAGTCTCTTCTTTTTTTTTTTTTTTTCAATCTTGTTTTAATTTATATTATACTATTATATTATTATATAAATTAATTATCAAACACATACATACTTATATATATTAAAAAAGAAAAAACAAAAAAGAAAAAGATTATTATTTTAAAATATTTTATAACCATATATAGTAGAGTTAAAATGGCTACCTTGAATCCTGCCGCTAATCAGCTAAAGCCTCTTAGTAGAGCCCACACAATGCACTCCATGCAAGTACCAGTCGATGAAAATAAATTCACCGGAAAGTCAACCATGTTGGGTGCCGACAAGAAACCAGTTGCCCTAAAGACAAGCAGAGGTGCACTTTCAGAGATTACCAACAATACCATCATCACCAATGCCAAGACTGGAAAATCTATTTTAGTAAGTTTTAATAATGATCATTTTTAAATATTGAATCAAATTAACTAATTTTTTTTAACTATTTTTCTTTTCTTCTTTTTTTTTTTCATTCATTCTTTTCTAAAGACTACACAACCAACCAATGTTATCTCAAGAATTACCAGATCAAAGTCAGAGATCAACGGTATTCCAAGACAAAATCCAATTTTGACATCCTCCAATGTGATGATCCAACCACACAAGATCCAAAAGACCGACCAACCCAAGGAAGTCATGATGCCAGACCAATTCGATGATGAAGAGATGATCGTCGATGAAGACGTTCCAATGGAGCAAGAGCAACCAGAGAATATCGATCTATACGATGCTCATGATCCACAATGTGTTGGTGAATATGTTAACGATATCTTTGAATACTATCGCCAAAAAGAAGTAAGTTTGTTTATTATTAATTAATTAATTAATTATATATTTCCAAAAACAAAACAAAATTAATTATTAATACCAAAAATTTCTTAATTATTTTTTTCCTAACCAAAAAAAAAAAATAGATTGTTGATAAAGTTAATTCAAATTATTTGAAAGAGCAATATAATATCAATGATAAGATGAGAGCCATCTTGGTAGATTGGATGATGGCCGTCCACGTCCGTTTCAAAATGTTGTCCGAGACTTTCTTTTTGTCTGTCAATATCGTCGATCGTTATTTGTCTGCCGTGCCAATTCCCATTAACAAGCTGCAGCTTGTTGGTATCACCTCGATGTTGCTCGCTGCCAAGTACGAAGAGATCTACTCGCCAGAGATCAAAGACTTTATTGTCACCTCTGACAATGCCTGTACTCACGATGAAGTGTTGTCAATGGAACGTTCGATCCTCTCGACCTTGAAGTTCCACATGTCCACCTGTACACCACTGCACTTTTTGCGACGTTTCTCCAAGGCCGCCGGCAGTGACTCTCGTACTCACTCGCTCTCCAAGTATCTCACTGAGATCTCGACTCTCGACTACAAGTTGCTCAAGTATGTGCCATCGATGATTGCCGCCGCCTCGATCTACGTCGCCCGAAGAATGACCATGAGAAATGGTCCCTTCTGGAACATCACTCTCGAACACTACACCTGCTACAAAGAGGCCGACATCATGCAATGTGCATTGGAAATCAACGATGTCCGTAAGCGTGAAGAGAACACCTCTCTCAAGGCCACCAAGAAGAAATATCTTTCACCCAAGTTGATGGAGGTAGCTGCAATTCCACCAGTTGACTTTTAAAAACTATAGTTTAAATCATATTTCCAACACTAACACTCCTCTGATATTTATTATCAAAATCAAATCAAACAACCATTAATATTCAACCAACTAGAATATGTATTTAATCAAACAACAACAACAACATCATACTCGCCAACCAAACAACACTTTCAAAACAATCAATTCATTGTTTTTGTCAAAGTATTTCAAACATCCTTATTCTTAGGTGTTAATAAGGATGATTATTACACATAAATCAACCCAATCAAATTTAATTACAAAATAGTTTAGTATGAATATTAATAACTTTACGTTATTCTTTCAAAAAATTAATAAATAAATGTATTATGTAAAAATTCTAAAATATAAACTGCAAAAAGATTATTTATTATATTTATTTGTAAAGATCTTTTGTTTATAAACAACACGCTATATATTTATTCTTGTAATGATTGGTTTAGTAAGTATGCTTTGGTAAGATTGGACTTCATTCATTCAATCTTAAGTTTACATTCATGTAAACAATCTTGGTATCCACCAGCACACACTTGTCCTATGTCGGCATAGAATCCATCCAAACACTTCTTTTTGGCTTTGTCACAGTCGTCGAAACATTGATTTCCAAGAATAGATGCAAAGCAAAGAACCCAAAGTAGGAATAAACAAACTAATAGTTTATACATCAAAAAATAATTTAAAAGTTTTATATGTTTGTTTTGAAGAGATAAAGTTTAATATTGTATTGAATTCTTTTTATACCTATTCACTTCAATTATTCATCTATTCATCATTCATTAATTATAATAAGCTAAAAAATAATAAATGATGATCAACTAATCAACTGAGACATGTATATAATACTGTATACTTTCTATTCAAATAAAAACATATCTGATTGGGTGTGTTGTGAACAGGTAATTTTTATCTTTATAATAATTTAAAACAATTATTAGATTCGCAATTACTTTATTATAATTAAAGACATACAATTATATTTATCTATTTACAAGGAGTATTTAATTGAAAATCAATTATATATTATTCAGATCATTAATACTGTATTGATAAAAAAAAAAAAAGAGTGAAGAGTAGAGATTGTAGATTAATTAATTTTATTAAAATAAATAAATTAAAGGATAAGATGTTTAGATCATCCTAGTTTATTACATTAATATTTCTATTCAAAATAAAGATTTATTTTAAATAAAAATATTTGTTGTTGTTGTTGTTGTTGGAAAAAAAGAGATTCATTCATTCGTATGGTATGTGGTGGTGCATGCGTCTATCTATGTTATGTTGTTTGATTTGTATCTAGAGAAACTAAAGATGAAAGATCGTTTAATGGTGGTTCTTTCCCGATGATGTCTCTGGTACCTCTTCTCTCAAAAATTGAAGTAAAAATGGTGATTGACTGGTTCCGGCACCGGAGATCAGTCCTTGGAGGTAGTCTTGGAGTGCCACTCTTCTCTTCTCGGTGTGATCCTCCGATGAGAAATAGAGTCCATTCTTCTTGCCTGGGAATGCTGGCAATCCATGCTCACCAAACTGTCTACATAATAATGTGTTTAATAGTACAAATTGTTTATATCTCTTTGATAATTGGTAACGTCTATAATTTTAATGGTTGATTTTTAGATATTTTTATTAAAAAAAAAAGTAATTAATTAGTAATGGGGAAAAATAGTTAAAAAAATAAAATCAATGAGGAAGAGGAGTGGGTGTTTGTGTTGTGATGTTTTGTTTTTGTAAAAACAACAAAATATCATCAATTAATTAATTAATTACACAACAATTCGGGAATGTAAAGAAATAATGTGAATGAATTTGTTATTGCTTACCTTTCATCTGTTTCAACCTCAACTAAATAAGCAGTGTATGTTCTTGAGCTTGACTTTTCGTTCTCGATGACCTTCTTTGGTACTGCCACTGATCTGAATATTGATTTTCTGTAGGCAGTGTTGTCGTTCTTGTTTGCTGCAGACTCTGATGAGAATTGAGTGTTCTTTGCAATCTCTGATGCCAGCTTATCACTCAATACTTTGTTGGCATGTTCCAATTTCTTAATCTCCTCCTGTTTGGTTTTGAATTAATGATGACGAACTAACTAACTAACTACTTATCAACAGTGAACAGCTATAACTTACATTTAAATGATGAGTATTTCCCTTTGCCAACTCTAATCTTAAACGTTGATTTTCAGCCTCCAAAAGAGCAACCTTTGCTACTTCTGCTGCAAGTAATTTTTCATAATCTACAGTATTCATTATTTATCGAGATTATTTATATATATATTTGTTTGTTTGTTATGTGATTGATAATTGATGATGTATTAAAAAAAAATAGTATTAAAAAAGTAGATAATAATTACAAATTATATAATCTACTACTGTGAAAAGAAAAAGATTTATAAAAAGATAATAAAATATAAAGAGAGAGAGAGATATACAAATAAAGTAAAAAGACTTTGTGTTTGTCTTTCTTATTTAGATATTAGATAGACTTTTGCTTGCTGAAATGAATGAAATGATAAAAAAAACTATTGGCAACAACTAAACTAAAAATGAAATAAAATAAAAAAAAAGGTGGTAGGAATGTGTTATTGTTGTTTTTTTTTTTAAAAAAATTAAAAAATCATAAAAAAAAATAAAATAATTAAAATCACAATTCCTCATTTAATTTTTTAGATAGATACAGTGTGTACTATGTCTTGTGTTGAGTTGTTTTGTGTTGCTGTTTTTTGAAAAAGTAAAAGAAAATTAGTAGGTGTTGTTTAAACATGCCCAAAGGAGATAGGGAATCATTTTTTTTAGAATGCAAGTGGGTTAGTGGGGGTTTCGCTACCAGTGAACCAAATAAATTTTTTCTGTTTAAAAAACAACACACAATTTTTTTGTTCTTTGGTTGTTTGATGAAAAACAAAACAAAAAAAAACCAAACAAGCATTGTGTTTTTTGAAAATATCATTTTTGTATCTAAACACCAGGTCAGATGCAAATTAATCAATAAACCAGGCTAAATAATGATTAAACGAAGAAATCGCAAATGAAAATTCAACATGTTTTGTTTGTGGAATCATTTTTATTATCTTTGTAAGATTAAATCTATTTTTATCAAATATTATAATTTAAATTTAATATTACTTATATTTTTTATTTATTTTATTTTTAATTAATTAAATCTATTTTTTTGATTATTCATTTGTTTCACACCAAAAAAAAAAAAACAAAAATACACACACATTCATTTGATGATTGTGATGATGATGATGAATAACCACACGTAAATTCATTAACAAAGATTATAGAGATATAAAAGACAGTATTTGTATGTCTATACTATATATGATATTGGTTTTGTGTTTTAGTGAATCTTCAATAATAAGTAAACATGCGGTAGATGACGTTGTATGTATGTAAGTATAGATAAAGATGTATGTTCACCAATGCAATGAATTGTGGTCACCAAAATTCATTCAAAGCAAGTTCAATGCTCAATCATCGTCTGAGGATAAAAATTATTATTTCAATATTCTTCTTTTATTCTTTTATCAATCAAATTCAACAATTTACATCTATCTAGATTTAATCCAAAAAAAAAACAAACGATATATTAGAGATTAAGAACTTTCTGAATAGTAGATATATAAATTGTTAAATTATTAAATAAATATTATTTTCTTCTATATAATTAATTATGTTTAATAATAAATATTTAATAGTTATATTATTATCATTATTTCTGTTGATAAATATTTCAAATTCTTTACAGGAACAAGATAATAATAATGATAATATTGATAGAAATAAAAATAAAAATAAAAAATAGAAATAGATATAGATAATGACAATAAAATTAAAAGTAGTAAAATAAATAGTGATACTGATGATTCGTCACCATCAAATAATACATTAACGATTTTCGATGAAAGTCTTTTGGATACTTTTATCATACCACCCTATAGTAAAGTGGAGTTTAGTTCCAAACAATACTTTAAAGGAAACCTATCGATTAGCTTCCTCACAGATTTCTATTTGTTCTCAAAGAATGATCCAAAGAAAAACTTTACGATCGACAAGCGATACTATCACGATCTTACATTTCAAGTATACCCCACACAGGCACAGCAAGATCTCTCCGTATCTCTGATCACCTCTGCCAAATCCGAACATTCAATCCCAATCACCAATCCACTACATCCTATAAATTCAATTATTAAATCTGCATACCTCCCACCAAATCAATGGACTCAAGTATGTTGTTGTTATTTATTCATTTTCAATATTAATTTCTAAAAGTAATATTAATAATAATATATTTAATAATATTTATTTATTTTATAGATTGTTATTCCATTATCATTCTTTCCAGTATTTGATTATAGAGGTATTTGGTTCCTTCAGAAACATCCAAATTCCAGCATCTATATTGATGATATTCATTTGACAAAGAGATCACAGGTGGTCAGACATTTCAAAGTATACGATGACGGAATCAGTGGTGTCGGTGTATTGGTACACGATGTCGATGGAATAAGACTCGATCAATCAAAAGAGACCTATCATGACCACAACTCATCCATACAATTCGACATTTCAAATGGTGTCAATCTTTTTATAGAGTTTCAAAATAATTTTAAATCAATTGATTATGTATGTTATAAAAATATATATATCTAATTTTTTTTGTATTTTTAAAAGATTAAGATTGTTAACAATATATATTTAATATTAATTAATAATAATAGGATATTAAATTAAATTTCCATATGTTCGTAGAGAAGTCATTCTATGATACTGGATTACTTTTATCTTTTTTGCCAGTTTTACCTTTGGAGGTGGTACCGACATTCAATTTCACACATGAGGGCAATGATATTAAAAAAGGACATTGGAAAAAGTTTAGTGTTCCTGTTCCAAGATCCAATTTCAAAGGTATCAATTTCAAATCTATGAACGCAACACTCACCGATCCAACCGTTATTTATCTCGATAATATATTTTTGGAGTTCCCAGTGTTAGCTTCCGATTTGCCAATCAACCAAAAACAACCGCAACCGTTCAGTCCCAGCGTAGATTCCATTAAACTAGTTCGATCTCTAATCTCCAATGTCCAAAGATGAAAATAGCATCAATTCAACCGCAACAACAACAACAACAGCTGCTACTCCATTGCCAGCCAACTACTACTATCCATATTTCCCATTCAATCAAATTAATTTTGCATACATCTCTTCGGAGCCATCGGAATTTTTCAATTGGAGACCTGGATTCCCTGGAATCTCTTTCAAGACTTCCAATCGATTGGTATCTGCAACCACAGCGAATCTAACATATGGAATGGATTTCAATAACACCAATATCACCAAAGCGCTGAACAGTACGGAGCCAGTCTTGGTTCTCTTTGAGAAGATGAGAAAGGAAAACGAATTCCAATTTATCAATCTCAACTTTAGTGCGCCGACCAACCAGTTTTTCCTGATGGTAGGATCGCTCGATAACGATGAAGATGTTTGGGTGTCGGCAACGACGCTAGAGGGTAAGGTGACAAAGAAGTGGAATATAATCTCGACCGGATTCCTATTCGACGGTCTGAATAGCACCAATTTCATAAAGTACAAGCTATCGAATCAAGGATTGTATTTGACGGCCAAGAAAAGTCTTGACGACTCAACGATAGCTTTCACCAACCAGAATTTCATTGTTGTACAGCCAGTCGATCCCATTACCACACTGACATTCTCAATGGTTTCTGACGTCGAGAGTTCAAAATTCTTTTACTCACTCTATGCCATTGTCGACACCAACTCTACCAACACACCCAAAGGATCTGTTATCAACGATATAGTAGAAGAAGAATAAGTAATCACTTCCCACAATATTTACAAATAGTTTATATATAAAATAAAAAAGTTAATAAAAATAAAAAAAAATTTAATTTAAAAAGAGACTGTTTTTTCATGATTTACAAATTAAGATATTTTTGGGAAAGCTTTAGATATTTTTTTTTTTTTAAGCATTCTCTTTTTTTTGTCTTTGTGTTTAAATCAAAATGATTTACAAGTAAGTTTAAAGAATAAAAGAAAGGAAATGAATAGATTACTTTCATCAATTTTACAAAGATCATCAAAACAGAAGCCAATATCTTTGTCAAATAATATCAATTATAATAATTATAGTAATGGTACAACATTAAATGCATTAGTACCAACAACAACAAAAACGAATAGTGTATTTCTAAATCATTTATCATTGTATAGTTATAATATTATCAATCAAGATAGATTAAAATTAAATAGTACCACTTCCAATTCAAATTCCATTGTAAAATCATTTTACAGCAGTGGTGTTAATAATCAAGATCAGATAAATGCAGATGCTTTCAAATTGATTGGAGAAATCAATCGGTTGACTTTGTTGGATCAATTCGATGAGGCATTGGTTCTCTGTGAGAAGGTGCTTCAAACTAGAAATGCATATCTCGTTTCTGCATTGTTGGTCAAAGCCAAGATATTCTTGATGTATCATAAAGACACTGACAAAGCAATGTATGAGATCAACACTGCCTATCAAGTGGTTAATATGTATAGTGAGAAATATCACAAGGATCTACTGTGTGGTATCGATCTAATCAAGCTGGAGGCACTGAGTCATCAGGAAAAGTACAGCGAATACACTCAGTTGGTTCTACACGTCCATAGGAACAACCCTGAGCGTGTCAATGCGCGACTATTGAGAAGCGCAGGTAATGCCGCTGCTAGATGTAGTGATTATCAACTGGTCGTTCGTTTCTTGACGTTGTTGAGTGAGCAATACCCAAGTGAATTTACAGCTATCGATTCTATTTATCTTGGTACTGCCTACTTCCATCTGAACGACTATCAGAAAGCACTGGAAAGAATCAATTTCGGTCTATCGAATTGTCTACCCTCCGAATACAAGACAGACCCCCAAACATTCTACACGGCGTTGAAGATCAAAACATCGCCACTCATGCCAAAATCACCACCTCAAGAGAATATCGAAACACTAAAGATTCTATTCGATATGAAACAAGAGTGTCTCACTGCCTACGGAATTGCACTAAATTACAGTGAGTTAGGACAATTGGAGAATGCATATGAATATGTAAAATTGTTTTTCAAATATTGGAATGTAAGTTTTAGTTTAGCAATTTATAGATTGCCTTATTAATATTTCTTTGTTAACTATAGGATCAATCTGTTGTTCAATTGGATCAAGCTAAAAAAGATTCATTTCTTTTAAATATGTTTATTATAAAAGGAGAGATGTTGAAGGTAAAGGATCTACCGGTGGCGGAAGCCGATATGATTTTGGCAGACACACAGAGAATATTGGATACCTACAAGAATGATGAATTCGATAGACATTTGCTGGGTGTTTACAGTCCAGTTTTATCATTCTATGTCAGTAGATTACCAAAGCACTATGATGTCGATATCAAGTTGGTAATGGATAGTCTCTCCCCCGAGGAACAAAAAGATCTCAGACAAACATTCCCAATCGATGTCAAACATCCAGAGCTATTGAAAGGATTCAACCAAATCAATAGAATTTCTAAGTCAATTCAGCGTATTATCAGAGAATACCTGGAGAACAATCAATTTAAATCAGTTTATTTGGATCATGTTGTCAAGTTGTTTAAATGTATGGAGGTTGTCTCTGGCTCAAGGATGTTGGCTATGGATTCACAACAAGCCGTTCTTCGTGATATTATCAACTTTTACAATAGAACTATTCATTCGATTGGTATTGTTCAGTCGATTCTCACTGTAAAGTGGTTCCCCAAACATCAGCCATTCTGCGATATCGCGTGGGAAAACAAGACATTCCCAACCACCGCCGAGCAATTAGCTGACGTCTTTGAAGATTTATTTTTCAAAATGGATACATTGCCAGTTGCCATCAGCCAAGTCGACCAACGTTTGATATCTCCAAATGCCAAATCCATCGACTTTGCACTTATGGCTTATTTGTTGATTGCAGATGCCACCAAATTGGATATCAATGGAGCATGGGCATCGATTAGACAGGCTATCAACCTCGATAGGTTTGACAATGATTTCGAGAGGAAAATGGTCCATTTGGTTAGAGGATATCTCTATGTCAATACTTTCCAATACTATGAAGGATTGGACAGAATGAGATCACTCTACCAACAATATCCAGATTTTAACCCAATTAAATCTCAATACATCAAAACATTACTTGTCAATGGTGAAGTTCAAGAAGCAAAATCAATACTTTTAGATATTATAAATAATAACAACAATAACAATGATAATAATCAGTTAATTATAAATTCATTAAATTGGCTTGGTCTCATTGAAACACGTGCTGGTAATGGTAGATCGGCAATCGATTATTATAATTCAATTTATTCACGTGGATTGGATGTTCCAACTTCTACAGCTAGCTCCAACTATAAGACTAGACGTGGAATTTTTGAAGCTCAGCTCTCTATAATGGTAAAGGACCTAGAGGAGATCTTGGCTGTTCACCCGAAATTGGTAAAACCAAGATATTTATTATCATTAATTGCCATCACAATGGGGGATAACAGTCTTGGACACCGACATTTGTTAAAAGCAAAGGAAGTTAAAGAGTCGACAAAGGAAGTAAGTGAAAACCCTGCCCTTCAAGGTATCTTTGAATTGTTGGAACCTTTGTTAAAGTTAACAGCAAACAGTATGGATCTAATAGGTGTACCAAGATCGATGAGAGAAAATCTAGAAGATTTCTCGAATTCATTGAAAGAGATTACCAACTCTGATAAATATCAAGATTTAACAAAATCATCGTATTACAATGATCAGATTTTATTGTTAAAACAATCACTAATGGTTGAAGAGCAAATGGCAAAGTATGATCCCGCAGCAATTTTAAAAAAATAAATGACTTGTTAAAAAACAATATCAAAATGTTTAATAATTTTATCAATAAAAAATATTATGTGAATACTTTTTATTTACTGTTTACTAATATAAATAAATAAATAATAATAATATAATAATAAAAATATAATAATAATGTGAACTGTCAATCATTTGTTTATTTTTTTTATAAGATAGGTGATAATTTATATTCCTCACTAATCATCATTCTCTCTTCATAGTTAGAAATATAAAACAAATAAATAAATAATAGAAAAGTCAATAATATTATTAAAAAAGATATTATAATTTTTATTAAGGTTTTCTAGTTGTACAGATAGAAGGAATACACACAAATATCTTCAAATCAAGATCTGGTACACACTGAACCAAATAACGAGTCTCCTACACTCTTGTCATGGCAAATACAGGCGTATTTGGAGGCGATGATACTTCTACTCATTTGAAGAGATCAAATCAAGGCAGTGATGGCACTTTTCAAAAGAAACAAAGTGGTGATCATCAAGCAATACCGATGACTCAGCAACTGTACTCTTCCTCTGATCAAGAACATGCACACACTGAACCATATATCGATTCTCTTGCGCTCTCCTCACCAACAAATCATTCTCTACCCTACTCACCAGAGTCAGAATCTGATCCCATTCTGGACACCTCGAATGAACCTTTGTCAACAGAGCCAACACCTACAACAAATCCTACCATGACAGCCCAACTGACAGATGTTGACGGAGCAGAAGATCACACACAAAAGGAAGTGCTTGAAGCAGTCAACAGGATCAGAGGTTGGTCCAACAAAATAGATTATTTGAGACAAGTATGACTTCATTTGTATTGCAGGGGAAATATATCACTAACATCCCCATCTATATCCAGGTAGGATATGTTCCCGATGGAGGAGTTGAACTTGGACCCATCAATCATAATACTTTTATAGCAAGAAGACAAAAGGATGGAGTGAGATCTGAGTTCAAGTCGAGGATATGGTTTAGGGATGGAAGGGCATGGATCTATGAAGTACCCTCAATGGCGCATTCATACACTGTCAATGCGATCACGGATATCATTCGGTATCAAACATTCCCAAACCAACTTTTGTTGCACACCGGAGGAAATGCGACTTTGATCCTCCAACCAGGACATGCAAATGCTGAGCCAGACCAATCTTTGCGACCTCTTCGACCCAAAGTCCCCAACAATCAATCGGCAGATGGACTTGGAAATCCTTACCCAACATTGGTCATCGAAGCAGCCAAGTCTCAATCACTTCCAGTTTTACATCAAAAGTGCCTCGACTATTTCATGGATCGTGTTGCTGCTGTGCTTCCTGCTCCTGGTGTCCCTGCGGTGGCTACAATACCAAGCATAATCAGGATCGTTATTGGTGTCAAGATCTATCCCAGAAACAATGGAGACTTTGCGATGCTTGTTTTGTACTATCAGAATGGTGCAGCAGCTAATCCTGTCAGGATCATCTCTTGTGGAACGACACATTTGGATGTCACCAATACAATCCAAAGACACTTGCCTCCCATATCTCCACCTGGATATGCTTCTCCTCAAGGCTATGAAGGTGTCATGCCTCCAGTTGGGCCTCCTCCACATGTAGCCAATCCAGCCAATCCCCTCAACCTTCAAAATCCTTGTAATGCACTTGGTCTTCCACTTTACCAACTCCAGATACCAACTGTTGAACTGTTCAATGGAGCACCACCTTTGCCACCAGGTGTCATTATTCCTCCATTCTACGCTGTAGACCTGCATTCCATCCAACAAATCGCCAACGAAAATCTCCCCTGATGAAGCATCCAACTCTCGCAGAGCACTTGATCCAGTAGTCTCCAATAACAATCCAATAAAGACAATGTATATATTCCTCATCCAAACCATCCCTCCAATTCTATCTCTCATCTCAATACAATCACTCTCCATTCTCACCAATTGTGATTGATCACAATGATTCAATGATGATAATAAAAAAGACATAAAGGTGAGATGATTCAAATTCTTTTATTGATTAGAGTTGGAATAGTACGACCGGTGAGAGTTCAATAACAGAATTAGTTCTATTGCTCAACTAAAAAGTAAAACAAACTTATAAACAAGCACATGTAATCATAGATTGGCTAAAAAGGATAGTGGATGTAATATTTATAGAGGTATAGATTTATTTTATTTTTTCACTTTTAAACAGCTTTAATTAACTGACTGATTAATTTATTTATTTATAGGTATTAGATTTGTTAAAGAAAGATTGTTGTTGTATACAAAAAAAGACCATCATCATCATTCAGAGAATTCTATAGGAGAAGAGCAGGTGAGAAACGTGAACCTTTTTAATTATTGTCAAGATATGGTGATAACCAATGGTTTTATTTTAGCTAACTATTTAGTATTTGTTAAAAATTAAAAAACCACTTTACTTATTACAATTTTTTTATATCAAATAAAGAATGTATGTATTAGTATATTACATTAAGATAAACAATATTTTATTATTAAATTGGAACCAAAAAGTGATATATAATCAGAAACGTACATAAATCAGAAGTCTATAACATATTTATATATGTTTACCTTTTTATTTGTTGGTATATTTTAGGAGGGCTTCTATTTTTCTTTAAAAACCTCTTTATTTTGACCAATCTATTTTATTTCCACCTTTTTTTTTTTTTTCCTTATCTTCAGTCTGAATTTTGTAAAAAACAGATAAATGAAAAAAAATAATCAAAAAAATTTAAACAAAATTAATAATTACCTGATCATTTGAGATCACAATCTTATTCGAAAGTAATATTTTTCCAATCATTCTTTTTAAAAATGTATAGATTTATAAATTCTTTATCAAAAAAATCAGCAACTTTATATATCAATCAGAGTAATATTTTGTTTTGTATCAAATCTAAACAATGTTTTTATACACCCTTCTCATCGCAACGAAATAGACAAATTCTAAATCGAATTTCTTGCAGAGATCCGTCGAAAACCGATAGTTATCAATTTGGTCAAAGATATTTCAGTAGTGATTCAAATTTCAATATTGACAATAGCAATGAAATAGAAGCAGAGGAGTTGACGATATCCTTGGAAAAGTCATTTGAGAACAAAGAATTGGATAAGGTGATGGAGATATGTGATCAAATTCTAAGCAAAAAGAATAGCTATAATGTTTTTGCTATGCTGATGAAATCAAAGATCTATTTAGAAGTACATGGTTTGGTAGAGAAATCACAAGCTATGGTCAGTCAAGCATATGAATATAGTTCAGATACCGATCAACTCTACGATATACATGTAGCTCAGTTGGAGATATATGAATATCTTGGTGACATTCAACGTATTGCCAACCAGTGTAAAGTTATATTTGAACTTTATCCTGAGAGAATGGATGTGGAGTTTCTTCGAAAGGCTTTTAAATCATCGGGTGGTAGTTCGGAGACTATTTACAAGAATCAATTGATGACAATGTTGGCAGATCGATTCCCAGAGCAATTTACACCGGTTGATTCTATTTGTCTTGGTCTCACATATTTCGAAATGGGCAAGAAAGATAAAGCATTGGAGAGAATCAACACTGGTTTATTGGCGATGGGTAACACTGTGGACAGAGAATCAGCAGCTTATATCTTTGTTGGCATGAGAGTTAAAGCATCGATTGTCGGCGAATCTAATCCTTTTGAAAAAGTAAAGATATTGTGTTCCATCTACGAAATGGAACCGAATGCAGAGATGGCCTATACTATTGCTGCTAGTTACTTTGAACTCAATCAATACTACCGACATGAAGAAAGAAAACCTGTTGACTATTTAACGAAATCTTATGAATATGCAAAAATTTCATTATCTCTATGGAATGTAAGTCTAAAAAAAAAGAATGAATAATTTATTTTGTCGTTACTAATATTTATTCATTTATCTATTTATTTTCTAGGATGAGTCAAGTAAAAATATACCAAAAGATCTTCAGGCTAGTCAACTATTAAATATTATTTTGATAAGGGCAGAGACCTTGCTGGAAACCATGGATTCAACTTTGGAAGATGCAGATCAATTGCTAAAGAAAGCCAAAGAGATTTCCCATCCTTTTTTGGGTTTGTCCGAAATCGATACAAATATGACCAAAATATATTTCAAACTTTTGACATTCTAATGGAAATCGTTGAAAAATGATCCAAGTAAAAGTAGGAAAGAGGCAGATCAATTACTAGATAGTTTGTCATCTCAAGATAAATCAACTATTGGAGCAATGGTTAGCAATGAAGATGTTATTACCAATCAGTCAGTAACTAAAGTCAATCATCTTTCGAAATCAAATCAATTGATACTCAGCAGATATATCAAAGATCATAAACAATCATCAGAATATATTCACCATTTGTTGAAAATATTCCAATTGTTTGAAGGTATTTCCAATCTATCAATTTCGAGTACAGTCGAGAGTGCTCAGCTACTTCAATCATTTTATAACAATGTCGTTACAGAGGCGTATCTTGTCAAGAGTATACATTTCCCGATGATGAATAAACAGTTATCACCTTTCAATCAAATTAAATGGGATTTACACAAGTTTCCAACGACAACCGAGCAACTCATGAATGTATTCATTGAATATCCTTATTTCAATATGAATAGTTTGGACACTGCAATTGACCAAGTTCAAAAGTTGTTAGATAAATCATCAAGCAAGACCATACACTATGCAATGATGGCATATTTCAAGCGTCATAAAGAAGTAAATGTTGCAAATGGTACAAGTTTTGGTTATCTAAAGAAAGGAATGGATCTTGATAGATATGATAATGAATTAGAGAGAATTTTGACTAAGCTGGTAGAAGCGAGAATCAATATCAACACATATAAATACAATGAATCAATTGATCATCGAGAAGTGCTGGATTTGAATCGAAAAGCTTATTAATGTTAGCAATCTCTTCGTTTAGTAAATCGGACTTGGCCAAAATTGAATATATCGCTGCTTTATTGAAACGAAGCCAAATGACATTGGGATGCGATTCGATAGCTCGATTCAAATCGTTGAGAATCATCAGCATCTTTGATTCAAACAGTCCTCTTCGAGTGAAAAAGTTTGATACTGATTTCGATGATTCATCTTCCAAACCAAGTAGATAGATCCTATCGAAACAATCGTGTGCCGAAATTCCGTTTCTCTTGACTAGAGAACTACAAGTTGATGTCAACCATCTCTCTAAACTACTTAAATGACAAAACAATCTCTGAAAAATACAAACAACTTGCATCTAAACTTGAACAAACACACCTTGTTGAAGAACTAATGGTTTAAATTCTACACATAAATAAAAAATATTTATAAATATAAATAATTAGAATAGAGTGAAACAGCAAGATAGAAAAGGGTTAATTAAATCTTTATTTTTTAGATAATTTAAGAGATGGATAAAATTTGACTTTCTGTTTCACACTATTTTATAAACAACCACACATTTCAGTAACTCTTTTTTTTTTCATAGTGTCTATTTATTGTTATTTTAATGTTTTTCAATTCATTATTCATTCATTCATTCACTAATTATTATAAATATGAAAACCTTATTGTTTTTAACCTTAATCATCATGATAGTAGGAATATCAAGTGTTTACTCTGAAGTTGCTAGCCGTTGTCCCGCTATTGGAATGGCTATTGGTGATTGCATTGAACGTTATTCAAACTGTGCTACTGACTCTGACTGTAAACCTACTCAAAGATGTTGTTTTAATGGTTGTGGTTATTCATGTTTTGGAGGATAAACAAAGAAAATAATGCTTATCCTTGTTTTTTTTTTAATAAATAAAGTTAAAAAATAAAAAAAATAAAAAACAAAGAATATGTTAAATCACAACATTAGAATATTTCTTGAATTTCAACTTAACATATTTCTACAATATCTTTTTTTTAATATTCAAAATAGTTTCTGATTTTTTTTGAAAAATATCTAAAAAATCTAACATAGTTGCAGTTTGGTGACAAGATTATTTATTTTAACATATATTTAAAAAATACTATCAATTAAATAAATTTAAAATGAATAGATGTATTACTTCTATTCTTCAAAGATCTAATACATCTTTGAGATTTAGTACATTACAATGTCATAATAATAATATTTATAAATCAATTAGTAGTAGATCTAACAATAGTCAGAGATCTTCTTCCTCTTCTTCCTTTTCAATAGTTAGTCATAATAATAACAATAACAACAACAATACAAGAATACAATGTAATCTTAATGTTGGTAGTTGTGCTAGATATTTTGGTAGTGGTGTTGGTGGTATTGGTTTTTCAACACTCAATAGAAATAACAACAACAACAACAGTGGTGATAATAAGAGTCAAGAGGTGATAAAGATGATGGGACAAGTCGATCAATTTGTGCTTATGGGTCAATATGATGATGCTTTAGCACTGTGTGATCGTATATTGCGTATTGACTCTGAGTATATAATCACTATTCACCTTGCTAAAGCTAAAATCCTATTGAATCACTACGGTGATTTCGAAAAGGCATTGGAGGAATGTAATAAAGCACATGCTGCCAAATCTAGATTTGAAAGTTCATGTCATAAATCATTGACTTTCAATATCGATTTGATGAAACTACATGTGCTCGTACCACAAGGTAATATTAAAGCTGCCTCTCTACTTTCTTTGGCTATTATTGACCAGCATCCCGATAAAATCGATGCACCATTCCTCCGATCTGCTTCCCTCGCATGTAATGGCGCACAAGACTATCAGTCGTGTCATAAGATCCTCATGTTAATGAAGAATAGATTCCCAAATGAATTTACACCGATTGAATCGATCTTACTTGGAGTCACCGAGTTTAATTTAGGAATGTACGACGATTCATTGAAGAGCGTCAACATTGGTTTATCAAGTTGTCCAGCATCAGAATACAAAAACTCTCCTCAAAAGCAATTTTTTATCGATGCACTGGTAGTGAAAGTAGTCATTCTTCAAGACAAACTACAAGAACAAATCGATACTCTAAAGATACTTATTGAACTTCAACCAGACTTTATTAATGCCTACAAGTTATGTTCAAATTTATCGCAACAAGACAGATTTGAAGAAGCCTATAAATATGCTGAATTATCATTGAAATGTTGGGATGTATGTTGTTTGTAATTAGTTATTTCAATATTATTTTTATACTAACTAATTGGTTATTGTATAATTACAGGATGAATCATCCAAGTATATAGATCAAAGTACAAAGGAAGGATTTCTATTGCATATTGGCACTGTACAGACGAAAGCACTTCAAACGATGAATATCGATATATCATTGTCTTCGAAAGAAGTTGCTCAAATTCTTGAGAGGTCATTGAAGATAATCGAGAAGTATAACCAGCAACAAATCTATGGAGAACGTTGTGTTAACTTTTTAAGTAATACAATTAATTATTATATCAACAAGTTTGATCTCAATTCCGTAGAAATGAGTGATTTCTTTAGTGGTTTGGCAGCAAAAGATAGATCGTTGATCACGAAAACATTTAAATCAGAAATACAATCATCGGAACAACTCAACACTTTAAATGAAATTAAAAGTAATTCCATTGCATTACAATCGATCATCAATCAATTCTTGGAGAACAACAAGAATAATCTTCAGGTGGACAGACTTGCCAAGTTATTTAAATGCATTGAAGTGTTGGCTGGTCTATATTTAACGGCCAACGATATTAAATTTACAAATATCTTGGTCTATCATTATAATTGCGTCATTTATAAGATGGAGATTCGAGAGATCAACCAGTATCAATATCATAAGTCACATGCACCATTCAACGCTATAGCATGGGAATTCGACAGTTTACCAAAGACCAAAGAGGAGTTTGTCAATCATTTCTATGAGGATAAGATACCGGATATCGAAACATTGAAAGATGCCATTGCAATTTGTAACAAGAATATCGAATCGGTTGGTACATCGATTTACTATGCAATGAGAGCATTCTTTTTGTTCCATGAATCAGACAAGATTGTTTTACATACAGCACTTTCTTTGGTGAATCAAGCAGTGCAAATCGACAAGTATCATGACATTGAAGAGAGAATCATGGTTCGAATCATTACAGCATATTTCTTAATTAGAACCTACTCTTTCAAAGAGGCATTGGATCTATCAAAACAAATTTATGGATTGTATCCAAACAATGATGCAGTATGTATGTCCCATGCTCAAACATTGGTTGTCAACAACGAGTTTAAAGCAGCACAAGAAGTACTCAATACCTATATTGAGAGATTGAACAACAACGATAGTATGAACACTCAAGATAAAACAATCAAGTTAGTGAATGCAATCAATAGACTTGGATATATACAATTGTATGTTGGTGATGGTGAAAAAGCAACTGAATATTTCAACTCTATCTATAAACAAGGATTGGCAGCACCAACATCAAAGTCGACATCCAACTATTTCACAAGACACGGTTTGTTCGAAGCAAAACTAAAGATAATGATCAAAGATTTGAATGAAGTCCTTGAGAAGAATCCAATTGAAGTCCTATCGTTATTTACTCGCTCTTTGTTGAATATTGGATTGGCGAAAAAAGATGAAGTGATTCGTGACATGCTCAAGATTCAATCGATTGCCACGGAGCATCCAATACTATTAGAAGATCCAACATTCAAATCAATACTCACATCTACAAATAAGATGTCTGAAGATATTAAAAAAACAGATATTAAACACACGCAGATTGAAATGAGAACTCTCCTTCTTCAGTATTATTCATTGATGGTTAACATTGCAACTCATTTCATGGAAGGTAAAAATAGACAGCACTATTACCAACAACAACACGACGATCTTACATTTTCATTATCAATTGAAGAGAAGATGGCAAATTATAGCTTAGAATACCCCTCTATCAAAGATATTCTCAATAAAAATGAATAGATATACAAAATCAAAGTCCACACACCTTCATATGTTATATTTATTAAAGACAAGCTAAATCATGACTAAGGATGAGATCATTTAATAAAAATAATATGATTAATTTTAATAATATTATTTTTCTATTTTTTTTTTCCATTTTCCAAAAAATTTCTAATATCGATATATTTCTTTGGTTGTTTAAACCATGGTTTACTATTTAAAATATCTTAAGATACTAAATTTACAAAAAAAACAACTCGGTTACCACTTTATAATTGGGTTGTTGGGTTAACACAATAAAAGTCGTGTGTTTATATTTATTGTAACCAACAAATAAATTTAAAAATGAATAGATGTATTACCTCTATTCTTCAAAGATCTAACACATCCTTGAGATTTAGTACATTACAATGTTATAATAATAATATTTATAAATCAATTAGTAATACTAATAGTAAATCTAGAAGTACTAACAATAGTCAGAGATCTTCTTCTTCATTTTCAATAGTTAGTCATAATAATAACAATAATAATAACAATACAAGAATACAATGCAATTTTAATGTTTTTGGTGGTTTTAGTATTAGATATTTTGGTAGTGGTATTGGTTTTGGTTTTGGTTTTGAAACAGTAGATAGTATTAATAACTACAATAACAACAGTAGTGATAATAATAGTCAAGAGATGATAAAGATGATGGGTCAAATCGATCAATTTGTGCTTATGGGTCAATATGATGATGCTTTAGCACTGTGTGATCGAATGTTGCGTGTTGACTCTGAGTATATAATCACTATTCACCTTGCTAAAGCTAGAATTCTGTTGGATCATTATGGTGATTCCGAAAAGGCATTGGAGGAATGTAATAAAGCACATGCTGCCAAATCTAGATTTGAAAGTTCATGTCATAAATCATTGACTTTCAATATCGATTTAACGAAACTTCATGTGCTTGTTGAACAGGATAATGTTAAAGCTGCTTCTCATCTTGCGTTGGCTATCGTTGCCCAACATCCCGATGATATCGATGCACCATTCCTTCGATCTGCTTTCCTCGCATGTAATAATGCAGAAGACCACCAGTCGTGTCGTAAGATCCTCATGTTATTGCAGAATCGATTCCCTGACGAATTTACACCGATTGAATCGATCTATCTTGGAATCACCGAATTTAATTTAGGAATGAAGGACGATGCTTTGGAGCGGATCAATATTGGTTTATCAAGTTGTCCAGCATCAGAATACAAAAACTTACGCAATGTTTTTTTCTCTGCACTGACAGTGAAAGCAGCGCTTCTTCAAGACAAACCAAAAGAACAAATCGATACTCTAAAGATACTTGTTGAGCTTCAACCAGATTCTCTTAATTCGTATAAGTTATGTTCTACTCTATCACAACTAGACAGATATGAAGAAGCCTATAAATATGCTGAATTATCATTGAAATGTTGGAATGTATGTTTGTTTGTTTATTATTAATTGGAAATAACATATCATAACAATATTAATTGTTTTATTTTTTAATTTTTAATTAATTATATTGTAGGAATGAATATAGATGAAAGTCTAGAGGATGTCTATCTATTGAATATTGGAATCGTACAGACCAAAGCACTGGAAACGATGAATATCGATATATCATTGTCTTCAAAAGAAGTTGCTCAAATTCTTGAGAGGACATTGAAGATAATCGAGAAGTGTAAACATCAGAATACCTATGGAGAGCATTGTCTTACCTTTTTAAGTAACACAATTAATTATTATGTTGCCAAGTTGGATATCAACACCACTGAGATGAGTGATTTCTTTGGTAGTTTAGCAGACAAAGACAGATCGTTAATCAGAAAAGCATTGAAATCAGAAATACAATCATCGGAACAACTCAACACTTTAAATGAAATTAAAAGTAATTCCATTGCAATACAATCGATCATCAATCAATTCTTGGAGAACAACAAGAATAATCTTCAGGTGGACAGACTTGCCAAGTTATTTAAATGCATTGAAGTGTTGGCTGGTCTACATTTAATGGCCAACGATATTAAATTTACAAATATCCTTTTATCTCATTACAATTGCCTCATTTACAAAATGGAGACACGAGAGTTCAACCAGTATCACTTTCACATGGGACATTCACCATTCAACGCTATAGCATGGGAATTCGACAGTTTACCAAAGACCAAAGAGGAGTTTGTCAGTCATTTCTGTGAGGATAAGATACTGGATATCGAAACATTGCAAGATGCCATTCAAAGTTGCGATAAGAATATCCAATCGGTTGGTACATCGATTTACTATGCAATGAGAGCATTTATTTTGTTCAATGAATATGATAAAATTATTTTAAAAAGAGTAGATACTTTGGTGAATCAAGCAGTGCAAATCGACAAGTATCATGACATTGAAGAGAGAATCATGGTTCAAATCATTAGAGCATCATTCCTCGTTCGAACCTACGCTTTCAAAGAGGCATTGGATCTATCAACTTTAATTTATAGATCACATCCAAACAACGATGCAGTATGTATGTTCCATGCTCAAACACTGGTTGACAACAACGAGTATTTAGCAGCACAAGAAGTACTCAATACCTATATCGAAAGATTGAACAACAACGATAGTATGAACACTCAAGATAAAGCAACCAAACTTATAAATGCAATCAATAGACTTGGATATATACAATTGTATGTTGGTGATGGTGAAAAAGCGACAGAATATTTCAACTCTATCTATAAACAAGGATTGGCAGCACCAACATCAAAGTCGACATCCAACTATTTCACAAGACACGGTTTGTTCGAAGCGAAACTAAAGATAATGATCAAAGATTTGAATGAAATCATTTCAATAAACCCAGGTGAAGTCGTGTCTTTATACAATCGCTCTTTGTTGAATATTGGATTGGCGAAAAAAGATGAAGTGATTCGTGACTTGGTCGAGATTCAATCGATTGCCACCGAGCACCCAACACTATTAGAAGACCCAACATTCAAATCAATACTCACAGCTACGAATAGGATGTATGATAAAATTAAAAAAACTGAAGTTAAATACATGAAGGTTGACATGAGATCGCTCCTTCGTCACGGCTATACTTCAATGGTTAGCTTTACGACTCATTTCAATCCAGACAAGAATAAACAGCACTATTACGAAGAACTTTCTCAATCATTATCAATTGAAGAGGAGATGGCAAACTATAACAAAGATATTCTTAATAAAGTTACATAAAGCAATAATTTTTTTAAAATGCTTTATTTAAAACACAAGTAATCTTTTGTGTCAAAATTTATTATTATTATTTTTATTTTAAGGACTATTTACAAATTTACGAAACTCTCAAGAATAACAGATCACTACGTAGATTGTACCTAAATATCCGTGATCCAACTGACAAAACAGCAAACTTTAAATTTATTAAACAAATCAATGATATCATTCAAGAACATCCTACCATCGCAAATAAATCAAAGTGGTTTTATCAATAGTACAACACAAAACAAAACTGGCTCCCAAGAGGGGTTAATTCAGATCTGAGTGGTTTTTTTTATTTTATTCGATTTATGGTTACAAGCAAGAAAAAATCTTTGAATCACACACCCACACAGTTCCTCATCATCAATTATGATAATTTAATAATGATTAAAAAATAAATTTAATAAAATTTTACTTTTTTTTTTTATTAAATTTATTTTTTTTTGGCAAATCAAACAAAAGTGAATCGATAGGTGTCAAATAAAAAAGTGATCTTGCAATTTTTTTTCAAATAAAATGGATAAATCATTATTTTTATCATTATTCAATAATAGTGTATTAAATAAAATAATACGCAGTTTATTAAGATGTCAGTGTAAATCATCTAGTTGCAGAGTATATCGATGGAGTGAAATGATTGAAAGACCACAGGTAATGGCAGGCAATGGTTATCTTGATCTGTTGAAACAGTATCGATATAGATATCCTGGTACCAGTTGGTATTTCTTTTTTAACTTTAAAGATAAAACGTATCGAACCCTGGTTAATACAATCAAATCATCACATCCAAACTCCTTCGCGATTCTAAGGTATCTAATCGAAGAAATCGGTATCAATCCAGAGATAATTTTGGGTGCAAAAACAAAACAAAAGATTAAACCCAAGATCTTTTATACTATGCATCCAAATATAATAGATTAGACATTCTAAGATACTTTGACATTATACTCGTAGCAAAATCAAGAGAACTCGATACGCGCGGATTTCGAGTTGATTACCGACCTGCATTCATAATATCGCCATTCTCACATAATATCGATGTAATGGCCTTTCTTTTGAATAAAATCAGTAGTCGACAGGTTGTAACAAAGGCATTCGACTCTGCTGCAAGAGTTGGGAGAATAGATTTGATAGAATGGTTGGCTGAACATAGACCACAAGATAGAGCTGGCAATTTTATGTTTGATCAAGCAGTTCGTGGAAATCACATCGATTTGATCAAATACCTCAGAAAAGAGAATAAAGATCGAGATGAATATCCAGAAGACAACATTTTCTTAATAGACACAGCTGCTGAATGTGGTCATTTCGATCTTTTGAAACAATTACATCAAATGAATTATAATGGAACAACCAAGGCAATGGATTTAGCTGCATCAAACGGACACCTAGAAACTGTTGAATGGCTCAATCACTTTCGAGATGAAGGAGCTACAGTATTAGCAATGAATGGTGCTGCTAAAAATGGACACAACGATCTGGTTGAATGGCTCCACTATAATAGAACAGAAGGTTGCTCGAGCGTTGCGATGGATGATGCCTCTACCAATGGACACCTTAAAATTGTTGAATTTTTACATAATCATAGATTTGAAGGATGTTCAATAATTGCGATGAATGGAGCTGCATCAAATGGACACCTTGATCTTGTCGAGTTTCTTCATATTAATCGTAGTGAAGGTTGTTCACATGAAGCATTTGATGGTGCTGCTGCCAAAGGACATCTTAATCTGGTCGAGTTTCTTCATCATAACAGAACTGAAGGATTTACAACGAAAGCACTTGATGAATCATCAAAGAATAGACATTTCCAGGTCGTAGAATGGCTTCTTGAAAACCGAACCGAAGGCTGCACTCTTGAAGCAATGTTGATGAACGAAGACAAAAAAATTAGAGCGTTATTGACCAAGAAGAAACCAAAACTCTTTTATTACGAAATTTTGTTCATCCTTGTAATTATAATATTCTTTATTATTTTAGGATGGACCTGCTACCTATTTGAATTAAAAGGAGGTAACAATAAGATTTTATTCATTCCTGGAGCATTCATTATCTCAGTTCCTTTCTTTATGTGTGGTAGTTGGTTAAAGTCTAAGAAATTTTGAGTCTATCTCAAACATACAAAAAGAATAAAAAAGTAAAATTACATAGCTTTATTTAAAAGTATACATACTATTAGTCTTTAAACTTGTTCAAGATTTATTTTTACTTTTAATAAACACCCAGTCACGATCGTTGGAAATTTGCCTTCTCATTTCTGAACAAATTTGTGAAAATTTTTAAAAAAATTAATATTGTTTTTTTTTGAAGCTAAGTTATTAATATCTGTAGATTTTAAGATAAAAATAAACAAAGTTATATTAAAATAGAATGTATCAATGCAATGGTATGTCGGGTCTAACATTATTTACAAATTATGTTATTATTTAGAAAAGATGGTGCTAATATAGCACTTTTAATAGGAGGATACACAAGAATTAAGCAATTTCATACGTGTAACACCTCAGAGGAAGGAAAAAAAATCTTGGAATTTTAATTGGATTGAATGATTATATTATAGAATAATAATCATTTTATTTATAAGATAGTTTTAATCAATACAACAAATTTGGGATAATATTCGAAATCATATTTATGGACAAGTGTGACATCCACCACCACCCAAGACACCACCCAATAATCCACCAACAACACCAAGAACACCACCAATGGTTGCACCCAAGTTGATATTGACATTGGCATCGATATTGATTCCATTTCCACCACCACAACCTTTTTTTTCCTTCCTTCCTGCAATCGATTTTTTGCGATTTAACAAGACAATTGAAAACATCGATCATAGGAATATTGGTTCGAACGAGTTGATGTGGAATTGACCGTTTAACAGGATTGAAGGAGGGAGTCTTCATGGCAATTTCTAAAAGTTTTAAAATAAACGATTGAAAAATAATATTTAATTATACATTCAAAAATTAAAGAATTAACAAGAAAAGAAAATATCTAATTTTAGGATTTAAAAATTGTGATATGTTTTATTTTTGCAAAATGCACACAAATGCTTTGCAAAATTTTGGGATAAAATGAAATTACACAATTAGTACTAAATTGATACAACTCAAACATAAAATGAAAAAAAATGAAAAAAATTTTTTTTGGAGTTTAACAATTTTTTTTATTATTGAAATTTTTTTATTTAATTTTGTACATTTAAGTACTCTGCTCTGAGAGGACAACCATTAAGAATATTGGTAACAGTTTATTTATAGTTGATATTGCAACTAAATACTTTTCAGAAACGAATTCTTCATTTCCCCATGTGGGGAGTTTCTCAGCTAAGAGTTTAAAAAAATTGTTTTGTTCTTCCATCTTCAAACAAAAAAATAAAATAACGTGAAAAAATGAAATTAGAGATGCAATAAACTGTTACCAATATTCTTAATGGTTGTCCTCTCAGAGCAGAGTACTTAAATGTACAAAATTAAATAAAAAAATTTCAATAATAAAAAAAATTGTTAAACTCCAAAAAAAATTTTTTTCATTTTTTTTCATTTTATGTTTGAGTTGTATCAATTTAAGTACACCCCTAGTACACCCCCATTATGAAATTCTGGATGAAGAAGATCATGTTGAATTCCACTTTGACTTGCATCAAATTTTAAATGAGAAAAAATATAAATTGAATAAAAAAAAAAAAAAAATTTATAGTTTTAAAGAATAATTTGACAACGAATAAAATTAAAATATTTTTAAAGGACTAACTGTAGTTATCTGTTCCTTTAAATATTTATAAATAAATAACCACCTCCGCTCATCAGTCTCGAAACAAGTTGTACTGATATCCCAAGAATTTTACTAGATTGTTCTTTTATAGACTCTAGCCTACTTTTTGTTTTCATCTCTTTCCTTTGGAAAGTAAAATTGGTCTAAGCTTTATAATCAGCTGGTATCGCCTAGTTGGAAATACAAAAAGAAACCTTCAGGACAAGTATTTAAATGAAATATCGTTGGAGTGTCCAAAGGATCTATCTTCTATTTCCAACTAGACGATATCAGCTGATTTTAATAAAAATTAAATAACAAACTCAAAACTAAAATGTTAATATTAACTTTTTAATTGCATTTTACAATATTTTATTTGTTTATCAATGTTAATTATATTTAAGTTATTATTATTGATTATTGTTACTATTAATTCATTGATTATTTTATCTTGATAATGATCTATTTGTAGGTTACTTAGGGTTTTGTTATTTTGTAATCCTAGTATGAATGATTCTATCGCTTGATCTTTAGTTATTGCTTTCTCTTGTTTTATTTGGTTGTTTCTATTTGATATCGTCAGTTGCTTAAGTGATCTATTGTATTTAAGTGACTGTCCAATCGATTGTAGATTCCAAAGATCGCAATCGATCAATTCTAATTCGCTAATGGTTCGATTGGAATGTGATATCGTTTCGTAGAATGAATCGGACAATATTTCACAGGAGATCGAGAGTGTTCGAAGTGTTTGGTTCATCGATAGTGTTGCGCCCAATGATTCAGAAGTAACTTGTATGGTTGACGCCTTCAACCTATGCTCCTCCCTATCGTTATTATAGATACTCTTACACTGATTGGTCAAGTAGAGATGTTTTAACGTTGTATTACTCGCCAGTAATTCACAGAATGTAATCCAATGTTCCAACCGATTGTTATTGTATATTTCATCAACAACAGATTCTTGTGTGGACAATGGTAAACACTGACATTTCTGAAACTTATTCGTATTTACTTCCAACTCTGTTGTTCTTTGATAATCGTATATTCCAAACGGTACATTCCCTTTGAATGCTTCAATACCACCACCAACTGTTTGTTGTTGCTGTTGCTGCTCTAGTATATATTTAAGTTGGTTGGTATCGATATGATCTGACGGTATAACAATGGATTGTAAAGATCTAACCTTGGTAAGTAGTTGCTTGTAGGATATATGGATGACACCCTCTACATCACCATCGGTTCCATATTCACAATAGATGGAATTGGTTCGCCACTTTCTTATGTAATCTTCAAAGTAGTTGTCAATATCTTCGTACTCCACGGACGATGAGAATTCTCCGGCATGGACATGAACAAACTCGAGTGTAGACCGGTCAAACTCTGAAAGATCCACCACATTCATGTAGTATTCGTGATACTGAAAGACAAGCACCTCTATCTTGATGTTTGGCAAACGACGCACCAACGTTCTGACCAACCCTGAAAACTCTGTGCCAATAACCAATCGTTTCAGATTCACAAACCTTGAAATCCAATGGACTATCGCATGTTGTTCGGCTTCCACACAGCTAGGCATATCGCTCGTATCGAAATATAAATAATTAACATTGTTAAACTTATAGATTGAACTTGATTTAGAAAGATCAAACAATAAATTTCTATCACTATTATTATTTTTACTATTATTATTATTATATTTAAAATAAAACTTTTCACATAGTGAATTAGATATGTAGTTGAACCATACTTTGGATACTAATGAATAGTTCACCAATGAATGATATGATCCACCTTTAAAGTATTTCAAGTCCTTTGCATCGGTATGTGATTCTATATAGTTTTTTAAAGTTAAAGATGATGGGACTTGATCCTCTTTTATTAATATATTTAATATATATTTCTGAATGATAATAAATAAACTATTATTATTCATAACTGTTATGATATGATATCATATATATAAAAATATATATATCTAATTTTAAGTCTGCAAGTGTGACTTTTGATTTTGCAGAAAGTCGCATGCGTGAGTCAGTGGTTGGTGTGGGATAGATAGGTTATCGACCATCAACTTTAAAAAGAGAAATCTTTGTTGTTTTTAAACAAAAATGAAGATCAAAAAAAACGAAGTGGAAAATGACTTAACCAAAAGGAAATTTCACTAAAATTAAATTAATTTGCAAAAAACAAAAAAGATATTTTTTCAAATAAAAATCAGGGGTAGTAAAATGATCAATACAAAAGTGTGAAACTTTATTGTAGAATAATTATTAGGTGTTTTTTTCTTGACGCTTGGACCTTACATATCATTTCATTTATTTATATAAATATAAGTTCTCTTCTATTGTTATGTATCTTTAAATCTAAGAAAAAAATGAATAGATTCATTACATCAATTATACAACGTTCAACAATACAAAACAGTTGTAAATTAAAACAACCATGTATATATAATTATAACTTTATAAAATATAGTAGTAGTAGTAGTTCTACTTTACTTTTAGCAAAAAATCAACAAAAACAATTTTCATTGTCAACTTTAAGTTTCTCAAGTGTTGGTGGTGGTATCAGAAATTTCAGTAGCGGTGGTGTCTCTACTGAAACACCACAAAAGACAGATGAAGAAATTAATGAAGAAGGAAGAAAGATGATAGCAGATATTGAGAAACTAACTTTAATGGGCCAGTATGACGATGCTTTGGCTCTATGTGACAGGCTTATAAAGACCAACAGTTTCTTCACTGTCAATGGCTATCTGATCAAATCACGATTGCTCCTCGATTACTTTAAGAATCCAGAGTTGGCATTGGAGCAAGTTGGAATTGCCAATAGTTTGGTGCAATACTACAATCCTTCGAACCAAAGGCAACTCAGATACAACATAAAGACTGGCGCTCTGCAAGTCTATTACGCCATGAAGAAATACCAAGAAGCATTGTCGGTCATTCTCGAGATAATCGACCAGCATTCCGAATCAGTAGATGCAGATTTATTGAGATCGGCCTATCACTTTGCTTCGATTGTCAAAAACTACCAGCAAGGACACAATGTCATGACGATGTTGGAGAACAGATTCCCACAGCAATGGAAACCCACCGATTCTATATACATTGGTCTCGCAGAGTTGGGAATAGGTAACCTTGACAAAGCAGCCGTGAGAATCAATGTTGGATTGGAGCAAACCAAATCCGAGATTGGCAATGATGTTGCTACCTACATGGCATATCGCGGTGGAATGCTAGCCAAAGGAAGATACTTATTACCCAATGACCATAAAGAACGTTTGGAAGTGTTTAAGATACTATTTGCCCAAGAAGAGGATTGCCTCTCCGCCTACATGATTTGTGAATGCCTAATACAACTAGATAATCTTCAAGAATCAGATAAATTTGCTGATATTGCATTGAAACATTGGAATGTAAGTATCAATTGATTTATTTAATCTTCATATTGACTGAATGTTTCAAAACATAGCTAATATTAATTTATTTAAATACTCTTGAAATTAAATTAGGATCATACAATGTCAGATATGTCACAATTTTATAAAGATACAGTAATATTGAATATTTATATTGTAAAGCTAAAGGCTATCATTGCGAACAAAGGAAAGAAGGAATTGATAGACAAGTTGGCTGTCGATGCACAAGCGATATTCGATAGATACCGTGGTGGTGATCGAGAACTAGAAGATAAAATCGATGTGTTTTGCATGAACTTTTACTTTATATACATCCACTATGTAGTCAAAGAACTTCCTCATGACAATTCAGTTTGGAATGATTTCATGTCTAGTCTTTCCACAGCTGAGAAATCATTGTTCTACGAGAACGTCAAACTTAATCAGTCGGAATCTGATGTCAAAGCAACAGTCACCAGAATCAGTAGAAACTCCAAAGAGATACAAGCGATTATCACTCGATATGTAATCACCAATCATTTGGAATCATCGCAATTCTTCAGCTATCTCTCACAGGTATTCAAATCGTTCGAGATTCTCGCTCGACTCCAATTGTTCAAGACAAACGTCAACCAATCGACTTTGTTCCTCTTGCAACTCTACAACTTTGCAATCCAGAATTCAAAGGTTTTCAAAATCATCAACTTTACTCCGTATCATCATGCACACCAGCCATTTGAAAAAATCGGTTGGGAGTTCCACAAGTATCCAACTTCCATTGAGATGTTGGAGTTAAAGCTTTTGGAAGATCAAATATTCGATAGATCCACATTCGACAATGCAATGGAGCAAACCGATAAGCTGATCCAATCAAATGGAAAATCGGTACATCTTGCCATGAAAGCATATCTCATGTCCAAGGAGTTGGACAATGTCGATCAAATTTGGAATCAAATAGACAAGGCATTAAAGGCGGACAAGTACGACAACGAACAAGAACGAATCTTGGTACAAATAATCAAGGGAATGATGTATATGAGTACCTATTCGTTTGACGAAGGATTGGAATTAGCAAAAACACTCTTAGAGAAGCATCCAAATTCGCCGCAGGTCAAGATGTTCTATGTTCGAGCTTTGGTGCTCAACGGCGATGCCACCAAGATTCCAGCAGCAATCGAATTCCTCAAGACTATTGTCAAGACCGAGAAATATACCAATCCAATATTAGTTATTAATTCTCTCAATCGTCTTGGATTCATTCAGCTGTATCTTGGCAATGGAAAGGAAGCAATGGAATACTTCACATCGATCTACGAGAGTGGATTGGCTCTGCCACAGTCAAAGGCAGGATCCAATTACTTTACAAGACGTGGAATCTTCGATTCAATGGTTGAGATTATCATTAGTGACTACAATCAAATCTTAAAGTTACGACCAGATTTCATTGAGGTAATCTACAGTAGAGCTCTTGCAAATATTGCAATTGGTAATCGTCGTTGGTCACTCATTGACCTCCAGAAAATTGAAGATCTTTTCCAGGAGAAACCAGAGTTGTTAGAGTATGAAGGAAACCAAGGAATTGCCAGCACTCTAGAGAATTTGAAGGCAATCCTTATGAAGGAACCATCGGTGATCTCACTTGAAATGAGAAATATTTTAGAACGTGGTTATACAGTTTTGTCCAGTCAAGCAGTATTGGATATTTTGGAGGATCCAAAGAAATCTGAATACTATCGTGTATTACTTCATCAACTTGAAAATAACAAGTTATTGGAAGAAGAAATGGCACTTGAAAAATAAAACAATAAAAAAAAAATCTTGGAATTTTAATTGGATTGAATGATTATATTATAGAATAATAATCATTTTATTTATAAGATAGTTTTTATTTAAATAATCATTACAACAAATTTTGGGAAAATATTCGAAATCATATTTATGGACAAGTGTGACATCCACCACCACCCAAGACACCACCCAACAATCCACCAACGACACCAAGAACACCACCAATGGTTGCACCCAAATTGATATTGACATTGGCATCGATATTGATTCCATTTCCACCACCACAACCTCCACACGCAACATTATTTGATGATTGAGATGATACTCCACCGAATGATGATCCAAATGAACTCTTTGTGATTGAGGCTGGCTTTACATTACCCATAGTTGAAAGTGATCCTATAAATAATTATTTTTATTAGTTCTTTTTGTTTTCAATATTTATTAATATTAAAGAAATCATACCTAAGATAGTCATTTTTAGTTTATTTGATTTAAAAAAAAATTGATTAGATTAAATTTTATTTTTGATTTGAATGATTTATTAATTTGATAAATCTTGGTATTTATAGTTAAACTTTGTATATAAATTAGTTTTAATTTTTAAAATTAAATAGTTTGAAATTTAAATGAATCACAGGTTCGTAGAATGATAAACAATCTTGACCCAATCTGAATAAAAAGTTAGTTTAAGCTTTACCATTTTTAAAATTGAATATCTTCACTTGTATTTTTACTCTTAAATTTTGATTGTTTATATAAATTAAATGTTGATTAAATAAATAATCATCTCAAATGTCACAAATTTTATTCATTCAGTTATCAACTACACCCATATGATAAAAGAATATCATATCATATATCATTTGTGGTGTGATTGAAAAAAGTGTGAATGACACTTTGATTGATGTATGTCTTTTAAAAAACAACCGTATTTTATTTTTAAAAAAATAATTATGTATGATTAGCAGTAAACGAATAGATATAACTACTTTAAATATAATAAAACAATTTAAAAAGTTACCAAAATGGAAATTTTTAATTTTCAAAGATTTATATTAAATGAAATAGTTATTTATATTTAATTTCATATCACTCTTTGAGAAGAAATGTGATTCGAAAGATTTTGGATTTAGAATGAAGATAGAATTGGATAAAATTTTAGATAGAAATAAATATTCAGTGATTTTATTGACTGAGTAAAATCCTTAGATTCTTGATATGTAATTTAATGATTAGGGATTAACAACCAAGGTTTTTTTCTTGTTATGATTCAATTTCTTTTATAAATTGTTGTATTTAGTATTGGAACTTTTAGGAAAGAAAACTCTTACATCAATTTAAATATTGAGAAATTTTTTATTTTGTTGAATGAAAAAAGAATGATTATATTTAGAAAAAGAGTTTTTTATTTAAATAATCAATACAACAAATTTGAAGAAAGCATTCGAAAAATAAATGATTGATTTATATTTATGGACAAGTGTGACATCCACCACCACCCAAGACACCACCCAACAATCCACCAACAACACCAAGAACACCACCAATGGTTGCACCCAAATTGATATTGACATTGGCATCGATATTGATTCCATTTCCACCACCACAACCTCCACACGCAACATTATTTGATGATTGAGATGATGCACCACCGAATGATGATCCAAATGAACTCTTTGTGATTGAGGCTGGCTTTACATTACCCATAGTTGAAAGTGATCCTATTAATTATATTTTTATTAGTTCATGTTAATTAATATTTTAAAAATTTAATGATAACATACCTAAGATAGTCATTTTTTTAGTTTAGTTTGTTTGTTTTAAAATAATTGATGAGATTAAATTTTATTTTTGATTTGAATGATTTAATAACAAGAGAAATCTTGGTATTTATAGTTTAAACATTATGATATTAACTCATTTTAATGATAATAGATTGGAAAATAAAAGAGTACTAATAAAATGAATAATAAGTTCGTTGAATGATAAACAATCTTGACGGAATCTGATCAAATAGATTGTTTAAGCTTTACCATTTTTAAAAATTGAATATCTTCACCTTTTTTAATCTTTTGATGGTGATTGTGTTTATTAAAATTACTTAAATGTATATAAATCATCTCAAGTGTCACAAGATTAATTCATTCAGTTATCATCTACATCATTCACACAAGATAAAAGCATATGGTTAATAGGTTGTCGAGTATTTCGATAGTTTAATGTTAATCATTTTGTGGGTGATATAAAAACAACTATTGTGTTACATGTGATTGGTGTGTCTTTTTAAAATTAAAAATACACCATCAAAGAAAAATTTTATAAATTTTTTATTTAAAGAATATATATCAATAATAAGTTCTTGTTGTGAGGGTTGAAGATAAAGATAAGAACATTATTAATACTAGTATTAAGAGATAAGTAATATAATAATAAGAAATGATTAAAGATAAAAGACAAAAGTGGAAGAGATCATTCCAATAAAGTAGTTGAATTAAAATGTAATTGATATCAAAGATTTCAAATAATAATTCTCTTGATATAGTTCTAATTGAATATTGTGAAGTTGTTTATGATTGTATTCAATTAAAGTTATGACTAAATTTTGAAATATATAAAACTGATTAAGTCAAATGATCTACAAAATTTTAAGTTGACTTTTGCAAAAACTAATAAAAAAATTAAAAAGACTTTGCTAGAAGATCATTTGACTTTATCAGTTTTATTAATTATTTATTAAAATATCTATCTTTTATTTAAAATGATTTCATCAGAGTTGATTGTTGCTTTGATTTCGATTGTATTGCATGTTGCCAATTATAATGCAACCGCTCAATATGAATATACTACAAGAACTTTTACAAAGGTAGCTATAGCAGAAAAGATAAATTTCATTGCATTAGATTAGATCAGATTATATTAGATTTAATTTATATGAATTGAATTTACTTATAACATACATTTATATTAAACCAAATTTGAAAATTATTATAATAAATTTATATATAATATATAACTATATATAGTTAATAGGTAAAAATACAATCTATTATTATGCAGTATATTTGATTGCCAGTGCATTGGTAAGAGATCATTTCATTGATGTAGCAATTAGAGCAGATCGTTTCGGAGTAGAGATGTTCCCAGACGAATTCGCAACACTCTTGGGTAACTCTTGTTTCATCTTTGGTATCTTGTTGAACATCTGGACACTCTACTGTTTGGGTATCAAGGGAATGTACAACGGTGACAGCTTCGGTCACATCATGGACGCTCCAGTAACCGGTGGTGTCTACCAATACTTTAACGATCCACAATACGTCGGTACTACCATCTCTTGTCTCGGTTATGCAATTAGATATCAAAGTATCAATGGATTCAGTAAGTTGTTAACCTTACATAAATTAATATTCATTAATCAATCAATGATAAATAATCAAACCTAACTTCTATATTTCAAACTAATTAACTAGTTTGTACTGCTGCAATGGGATTGGTATTCTATATTTCAGTTAAATTCGTTGAAGGACCACACATGAATAGAATCTACGAGAATAAGAACGCATCGAGAATCAACTTTAAGAATTTAAAGAGTCTTAGAAATTTATAATTAAATCAATTATAATATATTATATAATATAGAAACTATAAGATCTTATAGTTAGAAAAAAAAAACTATTTTTTTTTTTTTTTGTTTTGTTATTAATAATAATTATAATAATAATAATAAGTAATATATATATGTTTTGTTTGTTGTTGTAGTTGCTATATTAACTATATAGTTATATGTGATGGGAGTTTTTCTTGTTTTTTTTTTTATTAAAAAAAAGGTAATATTACTTCTATTCTATAACTTTCTTTTTACTTCTTATCTTTTTGTAAGACAAGTTAAGAAGTTAAGAATTTAGTTTGGTTAGTGTTGATATGCCATTCCAATACCTGGCAGTTCTTAAAGTTTGGTAACTTTCCGTCGAAAAGATTATAAAAGTAATCAGAGTGACCTACAACTGCAATACAGTTCTCTTCTCTTTGTAACAACCATTCTTTAAATATTGCTATTCTCTTTAAAATAGATTCTACAATAATAATAATAATTATCGATCAATATGGTTAGATGTTGTTGTTGTTGTTTTAGTTATCTATAAATACCTTGTGGCTCTTGATATCCAATAGTCTTAAAATATTCTTCTGTATCAATTGTGAAATCGCTCTTTATCTCTGTTGGTAAGTACCACCATCTCTCTTCGATGTGCGACAAGTCAAAGTCGAGGAACTCTTTCTGCACCATCGACTTTGGACGACCGTTGTCATCACTTGTCTTTACAGTTTCTGCGTGATATGGAATAACCACTGTTTTTATATTTTTCTATAATAAATAATGCTTTAGTTTCTTGTATAGTAATATTTACTGATATGTAATCGACGATACATACTTGTGAAATTAAATTTGAAAATCCTCTTCTTGTAGTGTCGAGTGCTCTTGACAATGGTGATGAAACGATCAATTCTATATCGGTTAGAGATTCGTCGACGATTTTGGCCAATCCATTGGCTTGTTGCTCACCCAACTCTGTCAGACGCGCATCGAATAAATATGGATCCTTCTGGCCGTTGGCGTGGTAGGCGGCATTGAAAGTAGATTGTCCATGACGAATCAAATAGATCTTCTTTAAGGAAGCTCCATTCTCTTGAATTAAAGGAACTTCTTGATTGTCTTCTTGTTGAATCATTATATATTTTTAATAGAAAAGAAAAGAAAAAATAGTTTTATTATATATTATTATTATATATAGTAAAAATTAAATAAATATGAAATGAACAAGCAAACAAATAAATATAGAAATATTATAAATATATATTTGTAAATAATAATTAATAGTATAATATGAGAGTATTATTACTTTTGTGTATGTGAGTAGTGTTGGCAGTGAATATTATAATAATGATTATTCATTAAATGTGTGCTGCAGTTAGCAAACACCTTTAAGAGTAACTCTTTAAGCAATCAATTAAATTAAATTATTTATTAAATTAAGAGGTGTTTGGGAGTGTGGGTGTGGGTGTGTGGGTGTGATCATTTTTTTATTTTTTTTATTTTACAAATTAACAAGTTTAAATTTTTAAAAAAAAATAACGTCTATGAATTCCTTTTTTAGTTCACAATGTTATTGTACCGAGATACCCTGAAAAATAATATAAAATTATAATATCTTGTTTTTATTTGTCATATGTTTTTTCACTTTTTTTTTAAGCACTCGTCATTTTTTCTCATTTGTAATCTCTCAGGCTATTAAAACTAGTTTTAGTTTGTTCATTATGTAAAAAAAAAGTAAATATATTTATCTATGAAATTATTCAACTTAGATAAATAAAATATAATTTTAAATGTTATATCTGTTAGGAGAACATAATTAATTCAATATATGTCGAGGCTAACTGGTTTAAGATAAACTTATGTTTTTTAAAAAATGTAACAGAATTTGAAAGTTAATAATTAATATTCAAAATTTCTTTTAATTTAATTCCTTGGTTTTTTATTTCTATAATGAAATAAAATCTTAAACAACTTCACAATAATAATGAAATAGATAACGTAAGTCCAATCATTACATTCATTCATTATAATGATCATTGGTTTGGTATTATTCAATATAAACAATCAACTAGACATTCACCTATATAACAATAATGATTATATCCTTATCTATTATTTGAAATGTGATCAATATCAAGCTACATTTAAAATAATTACATTTGAATGAATACTTTTATTCCATTGTATCTCTTCCTCTTTTGTCTTTTTTCTCTTATTGTTTTACTTCATCTATTAAAACTAGATTTCTTATTATTATATTACTTATCTCTTAATACTAGAATTAATAATGTTCTTATCTTTATCTTCAACCCTCACAACAAGAACTTATTATTGATATATATTCTTTAAATAAAAAATTTATAAAATTTTTCTTTGATGGTGTATATTTAATTTTAAAAAGACACACCATTCACATGTAACACAATAGTTGTTTTTATATCACCCACAAAATGATTAACATTAAACTATCGAAATACTCGACAACCTATTAACCATATGCTTTTATCTTGTGTGAATGATGTAGATGATAACTGAATGAATTAATCTTGTGACACTTGAGATGATTTATATACATTTAAGTAATTTTAATAAACACAATCACCATCAAAAGATTAAAAAAGGTGAAGATATTCAATTTTTAAAAATGGTAAAGCTTAAACAATCTATTTGATCAGATTCCGTCAAGATTGTTTATCATTCAACGAACTTATTATATCATTTTAAGTACTCTTTTATTTTCCAATCTATTATCATTAAAATGAGTTAATATCATATTGTTTAAACTATAAATACCAAGATTTCTCTTGTTATTAAATCATTCAAATCAAAAATAAAATTTAATCTAATCAATTATTTTAAACAAACAAACTAAACTAAAAAAATGACTATCTTAGGTATGTTATCATTAAATTTTTAAATTATTAATTAACATGAACTAATAAAAATATAATTAATAGGATCACTTTCAACTATGGGTAATGTAAAGCCAGCCTCAATCACAAAGAGTTCATTTGGATCATCATTCGGTGGTGCATCATCTCAATCATCAAATAATATTGCATGTGGAGGTTGTGGTGGTGGAAATGGAATCAATATCGATGCCAATGTCAATATCAACTTGGGTGCAACCATTGGTGGTGTTCTTGGTGTTGTTGGTGGATTATTGGGTGGTGTCTTGGGTGGTGGTGGATGTCACACTTGTCCATAAATATAAATCAATCATTTATTTTTCGAATGCTTTCTTCAAATTTGTTGTATTGATTATTTAAATAAAAAACTCTTTTTTAAAATAAAATTATTCTTTTTTCATTCGATCCATTTATTATACCTTTTATAAGAATTTTCGCTTAATATTAAAAAAACAATTGTCTTAATATGTAATTTGATGTAAGGGTTTTCTTTCCTAAAAGTTCAAATACTAAATACAACAATTTATAAAAGAAATTGAATACAAGAAAAAACCTCGAGTTGAAAATCTCTAATCATTAAATTACATATCAAGAATCTAAGGATTTTACTCAGTCAATAAAATCATTGAATATTTATTTCCATCTAAAATTTTATCCAATTCTATCTTCCCTCTAAATCCAAAATATTTCGAATCACATTTCTTCTCAAAGAGTGATATGAAATTAAAATAAATAACTATTTCATTTAATATAAATCTTTGAAAATTAAAAATTTCCATTTTGGTAACTTCTTAAATTGTTTTATTATATATTCTATTAATATGAAATGCTCACAAGTAAATAAAAGTATTTAAAATAGTTATATCTATTCGTTTACTGCTAATCATACATAATTATTGTTTTAAAAATAAAATACGGTTGTTTTTTAAAAGACACACATCAATCAAAGTGTCATTCACACTTTTTTCAATCACACCACAAATAATAGATGATATGATACTCATATGTTTTTATCATCTGGATATAGATGATAACTGAATGAATAAAATTTGTGACATTTGAGATGATTTAATCAACATTTAATTTTTATAAACAATCAAAATTTAAGAGTAAAAATACAAGTGAAGATATTCAATTTTAAAAATGGTAAAGCTTAAACTAACTTTTTATTCAGATTGGGTCAAGATTGTATATCATTCTACGAACCTGTGATTCATTTAAATTTCAAACTATTTAATTTTAAAAATTAAAACTAATTTATATACAAAGTTTAAAATATAAATACCAAGCAAAGTAAATAAATCATTCAAATCAAAATAAAATTTAATCTATTATATTATTTTTAACCAAAAAAACTAAAACAAATAAAATGACTATCTTAGGTATGATTTCTTTAATATTAATAAATATTGAAAACAAAAAGAACTAATAAAAATAATTATTTTTAGGATCACTTTCAACTATGGGTAATGTAAAGCCAGCCTCAATCACAAAGAGTTCATTTGGATCATCATTCGGTGGAGTATCATCTCAATCATCAAATAATGTTGCATGTGGAGGTTGTGGTGGTGGAAATGGAATCAATATCGATGCCAATGTCAATATCAACTTGGGTGCAACCATTGGTGGTGTTCTTGGTGTTGTTGGTGGATTGTTGGGTGGTGTCTTGGGTGGTGGGTGGATGTCACACTTGTCCATAAATATGAATGAACCCCATATATTTTTCGAATCAAACTTGTATTAAATAACCAAATAAATGATTTTATTCCAAATCATTCAATCCAATCATAACATTAAAAAAGTTTACAGATAAATTATTTTTCAAATTTTATGTTGTTCTTACATAAAAAATGAATTTTTAGTGTGCCGGCACTTTTTGGTTTGGGTACTCTTGCTAAAATTGAAACACTACACGCTGTTTTTTTAATACTTAATTATGTTTATTTATTAGATATTTCTGAAAATGATAATAATGTTACATTTAAATTAAATTTGAATTAATGAAAAGAATCTATTCTATTTATGCTAGTTGTTGATTTTGTTTTGAAACGGCATTAAGAATTCTCTTTCTATCACCAATTGAAATTTTAAGTGATACCAAATCCGCCTCTGTTAGATATGGCAAGATGTCAGTGGTTATAGTATGATCTTCGAAGCATTTAATTAAACCTGGAAGTTGAAGATCTTTGAGTAAGTATCGGACACCAATGATTTTGTTTCGCTCCTCCATGAGTGCAGCTAGGATTTCAGGTGCTCTTTCACCGGCACCGCTCAACATTCTCTCTAATAATGATTCTTCGAAGCAGATGATGTCGAAACCTTGAATGTTGAATCTATCAAACTCCTCAATGACAGAGGGAGGTGCCTTCATTCTGTAGGTCAACCAACTGAGTGTATGTCTATCGTCCCAATCGTATAGATATCTTGGAATTTGAGAGACTTCAGTGAGAGGATCAGGTGACAATTGGAAGGCTGGGTCACGGAATACAATGTTGATAGGGATCTTGAGGTTGATGTCGACACAACTTGGAATGTCGAGATTAATAATGAGCTGGTAGTCGATACTGACTACATCTTTGTGATAGATAGATGGAGTAATATCGCTGGGTGTTTCGAGCACGATGTATTGGTTGGTCTTGGAACCCTTGTAGATCTTTGGGTAGAAAGCCTTGTTGGTTTTGCCGAGGGTGTAGGGAGTCTTCACACCATATTTCTCTTCGGTTTTCAAGAGTGAGAGCTCCACATTTTTGATGGTTTTCTTGCTGTTGTTGGAACATTGGATTTCCAGTTCGATATCCTCGCCAGGATAGAAGAAATTCTTTGGTCCCAACACTCTAAAGTCGATGGCTCCACCAGTGAGTGGTGTCTTGGATGCATGGGCGTTGATGGGAACTGCGGCTTGCTTGAGAGTAGTATCTTCAATATTAACGATTCTCACGGTTTTGGTAACAGATACATCTGGACTATTTACAATATCGGCATAGAATGTCAATACATATTGAACTCTGTAGTCGTTGGCAACAATGGAAGACTTGCATTCCTTGGGAATGTAAAACTGGAATGGGAACATGTGCTTTCCACGTGGCAAACTAACACGCTTTGGACCTTGGACATTATAGGTATGCAATAGATCTCTGGAGTCTGAAACCAATGTTTTGATCTTTCCGTGATTCGACCAAACTTTTCCTTTGAACTCGACATACATTGCTCTCACTACAACCTGCGGGTCACTAACGGTATAGATAATCGACGATTGGAAACTGGTACCGGTTAAGTATACCTTTTCATGATAGATTTCACCGGGAGTAGAGAATTCGACAACATTTTGTGAGGGAATCGTTTGGATATACAGTGGCTGTAGATGGACGGGTGCTGGCAGTGCAGACCAACGGGGTGCGGTGGTCACTGGAGATACAGCGGCAGCAGCAGGAACGACATGAACGGTTCCATCTTGAGCTTGTTGGGTGACCATCAATGGTGGATTGAATTCGAAATAGATATTCAGATATCCCTTCTTGTCGAGTTGCAACCATTTGTCGGTGATTCCTCTAACGGTGGCATCCTTCAACTCTACAATCCCAACGGTGACAGCACCAATCAATTTATGTGAACCAATACGCTCCCAGTCATATATTTCAAAAGTAATATAAGTTGAATCATCAACGGAATCCCTATTTATTAATAAAGAAAATAATAATAAGTATGTAAAATAAATATTTTAAGTTTAAATTATACATACAATTGAACTACATAATTCCAAATTGGAAGTTTAGTGTCTTTGATTACATCGGTTTTAAATGTTTGTGATCTACATTTTACAACTACATAAGGGTCGGATGTTCCACCGAAATTATTTGACTTTAATTCCTTTGCATCTTTGACGATCAATTTTAAATGTCTTGGACTTGAATTATCCATTTTCTAATTATAATTTACAACTTTTTAATATATATTTACAACTAAATTAAATTAAAGTTAAAGACTTTTTGTTTTATAGTTTTTTTAATAAAAATCTAAAAAAAAAATTTTACAAAAAAAAAATCTTTCAAAAAAAATCTAATCTATCAAACCATGGTTTTGCAAAACCGATCAATTTTTGGTGCATTTTTTAAAATCAAACACAGATATCTTTGTCTTTTCATTTTTTGGCACATGTACAAGATGTCTTTGTTCCCAGGTCAATCTTTACAATAAATATATTATATTATTTTTAAATTACAAAGTTTGATAAAAATAAATAATTGCGAATTCAAAAATAGTTACAACGAATATTAATACTTTTTTGCTTTTTCCAATTGTTTATTTATTTACATAATTTTTGAATTTTCATTTTTGAAATTTTTTTTTTAACCGTTAAAAAAATAAATCATTTTGTTTTTTTTGAGGAATTGATTTTTAAAAAAAAAAACAAAAATTACTTAAATTAATTAACATATCTCAATCAAAAATTAGATATCATTTTTCATATTTATACTTTTTTTTTTGATAATACTTATTTGATATTCGATATCTAAAATAATAGATTTAGAGTTTGTTTCAATGCTATGAATAATATAGATAGTAAATCATCTGATATTAGTGTGTTGGTTGATCAAACTAAATCTACAACTTTAGCTTCAACGTCAACTGCAACAACAAACTTGACGACGTCGACAACGACAACATCATCAACATTAACAACTTCTACATCTTCATCATCGGGTGTAGCAACAGTATCATCACCTTCACCTTCGTCTTCCTCCAATTCATTACCATCTTCATCTTCATCTTCATCTTCATTGTCTTCACCCATCATATCAACATCATCTCAAACGACAACATCAACAACAACAACACCACATCAACAAAAAGAATCAAAATGGGATTTGACAAAACCAAAAGAATTTGCAGTAGTGGTAGATAATAATATTAATAATATCAATAATAATAATAATATTTCGAATGCTGCAAATTTACATTTAAGTGGTGGTGGTGGTGGTGCAAATGGAAGTGTTGCAAATAGCAGTAATCCTGTTGGTGGTGCGGCAGCAGTTGTTATGGCACCACACCATGGTTTGCTACCATTCCCATCGTCGGTGTATCATCAACCTCATTATCATCCCTATGCGCACCAACATCACCACTATAGCAATAGAATGAACAATTCTAACTACTTCCGAGGTGTTGCTGGTGCTGGCACTGTACAGCGTCAGAGTCAAACAAGTACTGCCGAACGATTTGAAGATGAGCATAAGCGAGCATCTGGTAGGTCAATCGTCAGTAGCACTACTACAACCACCACCAGTAGTAGTAGTACAAGTCGTGTTAGTGGGTGGGATAGAGATGTCAGTCGTGATGTCACTCGTGATGTTACCATTGAACAAAGAGATAGTCGGGAAAGTAATGATCGTGATAGAGACATAAGAGATAGTCGTGACAGAGATATTAGAGACAGAGATAGAGAAAAAGAAAGAGAATCTGAGAGAGATAGAGACAGAGATATTAGAGACAGAGATAGAGAATCTGAGCGTGATAGGGATATTAGAGATAGAGACCAAGATCTAAGAGATAGTCGGGAAAGAGACATTAGAGATAGAGATAGAGACAGAGATAGAGATAGAGATCTAAGAAGTAGCAGAGATAGTCGAGAGAGAGATAGGGATAGAGATAGAGATAGAGATCTTAGAGGTAGTAGAGATAGTATATATAGTAAAGATAGAGATAGAGACAGAGACAGAGATAGAGATAGGGATAGAGATAGAGATAGAGACTATAGGGATAGAGATAGAGTTGATAAAGATAGAGATAGAGAAAGAGAAAGAGAGAGGGAAAGAGAAAGAGAGAGAGAAAGGAATAGAGAAAAGGAAAGGGATAGAAATGATAAAGATAGAGATTTAAAAGGAAGTAGAAATAGTATTATTAACAATAGTAGTAGTAGTATTAGTAGCAGCAGTAGTAGTATTAGTAGTAGTGTAACAAAAGAAAGTAGTGTTGTTGCCGATGTAAAAAAAGAGAATATAGAGAGTGACAGTATCGAGAGTAAACTGAATCGGCTGAGTTTGGCAGAGAAACAGATATTTCAACAGACATCGAACCAGATATTGAGTATACTAAAGAACAATGGTACATTCGATCGGATCAGAAAGATCATTGCAACTCAGCTGGTGGAGAACGGTGTACAAGAAAACTTGAAACTCGAAGCCAAGACAAGGTTGGAGAGCTCCGCTATTCTGAAGCAATACTTGAAAGATAAAACCATAAACAAGAGATCGATATTCCTACAGCTAAGGCGAGAGACAGAGTATATCACTGGCTCCATCAAGAAAGAACTGATACATATAATCAAAGAGAAAGATAAAGAACCATCGCTATCTTTATTAGAATCAATAGATCAGTTAATTACTTCTTTAAATGGTTTGTATTATACGACTACCAACAACTATATATCTATTATTAAATATATATATATATCAGATATTAACAATATTATTTCGTCGCTTGTTTACTCTTTTTTGTAGAGGAAGAAAAGGTAAATCAATCGAATACATCACCAAATATTTCATCGGTATCGAGTTCAAGCTCAACAACTACAACTACGACGACAACTACATCTGCAACAACAGCCAATAAGAAACATATGATTAAAGTAATACCAAAGGGTCCAATGTTAAAGAGACCTGTTTCGAATAAGCCTGCTCTACTGAATAAAGACAAGGATGAAGACGAACAATCGCTACAACATGACATTGGTTTGATAAGAAGACAACCACTAAGCATTTCACCGAATAAAAAGAAGTTGGCCGAAGATGCTACTGGTACTAGAGAAAAGATCGATATTGTAGAGAGTCGAACTCACCAAGTCAATGGTAAAACACTGACTATTAAATCTACAAAACAAAAGATAGATAGTAGTGATAGTAGTGATAGTAGTGATGATAGCGATGATGAAGAAGATAGCAGTAGTAATAGTAGTGGTGATGAGAGTAACAATAATAATAATAACAATGTTCAAATAGAAGACGATAGTAGTGATAGTAGCATTGATAGTGAAGACGAAGATGATGAAGATAGCGACGATGAGAGTGACACCGAACAGATATATAATAATAGAAGAAAACCAATTACACCAACCAAAGTAAAGAGCAGTGGTAGTAATAGTAATAGTCCTGCTAAGAATATCTCACATATTAGACAAGTAACAGTTGTACTCGGTGGTAAGAAACTGAATGGCAGCAGCAACAACAATGGTCATGGACATATCGATAATAAGAAGAGAGACTATCATGATGACCAAGATACCGACAATCACAATCAATTGAAAAAGAGAAAATTGTTATTTACAACCACAAATAATAATAATAATAACAAAGTAATAGTTGAAGAAGATGAAGAAGAGAATATAAATATAGAAAAGACATCATCTTCATCAAGTAACTCATCATCATCATCGATTGAATCATCTCCACCACTCATTTCAAGTGCCTCTAAATTTGTACCACTTTCATTTAGAAAGAAAAAGAAATAAAGAACAACATTTTTGTATTATTATTATCTCTTTAACTTTAACATGTTAACTAATGATATATGTTAGCATACAATGTTTATAAATTTATTGTTTTCTTTTGAGTATTGATATAATGAATGATCGTTACTATTGTATACTCTATTTAGATATAATCTTCTATAGTATTTACCATAGGATTTAACATATTCAAGTCGATCTGAATAGATGAAATCGGTTAGTACTCTCTTGGAGTATGGTGAAAGCATTTTGTAGATTTGATCTAGTTCTTTGCTGTGCGATTCAATAGTGAATTGTTGATTTGTATAGGATATCACTGTCGTTATGTTGGGACATGGCAATACCACTTCCAGCGAATGACTGACACTCGGATTAAAAGTCTCTGCAATATTCAAGAGGAATTCGATGGTACGCACCGATCGATTGTATCGCATGTGTTTCTCAAAGAACTCTTGACACTCCAGTATGTTCAGACCGAGATACTCCAGCTGACACTCCTCAGACTTGAGATACTCTGTGAAATCCGGTTGGAACAAGATTTGGTTGCTGTGATAGTCGAGTCGCAACTTTCTCAGTGACCGGCACAATATGCTTTTGAATGAGAAGAAATTAACTTGACTGAGTGATACCGTTGTGAATTGATCTACCGGTAGATCGCACTTTAATTGTATTACCGGTAGACTGATCTTGCGAAGTCGCTCTGAGAAGTGTGTCTTTGGAACCGTTGAGAATTGTGAGCATAACGTGTGTATCTTCAATGAAATCAAGCTTGGCAAGTCTTGTTTGATGTTCTCGAGGTAGCGGAGTTGGAATACATCGAAATTCAATACCAAACTCTGAAGAGCGGGCATCAAGAGAGCCAGAGAATCCGATTGCAAAGAGTAATCTTGTTTGGGAGCTCTACTGGTGATCTCTAATTTAATGACGGAACTAAAATAGTTGGTGGTGGTGGTGGTGCTGCTGTTGTTGTTGTTGTTGCTTTTCATTTGATTCTCAATGCCATGAGCTATTATCATATTATAAATCTCTTGTGATAACGATAGTGATACAATTGATTTAAGTGGTGAGTATGCACTGTTTATTGATTGGCTGACGTGAGCAAATGAAAACTGATTGTTCTTGATAATCGATAATCTATTGAATAGCTTTGTAATCAGGGTAAACATTCTCTTTGAAACTAAATCCAATGATAATAACCATCGATATTGTTTCTCCAAACAATATTTCAATTGAATATCGTTATACCAAAGAGTTTGTATGATCTCTTGTATTATTATCCATGGTAAATTATTATTATTATTTATTAATTCTTTATTTCTATTATTGCGCATTGATCCACTTCTTTAAAGATAAAATAATAGAAATTCATTGTTGTTGTGGAGTACAAAGCAAATGATCAAAAATTTTGATTAAAAACAAAGTTAAATTTATTACAGAAATAAATAAGAATATGTATGATTCATTTTTTCAATATAATTCGAATTTAGCGATTTATTAGTATTATATTAGAAATTATTATATAAATTTGATAAGAAATTACACTTTCCAAAGAAATTTGATTCTTCCTTTACAATTACAAAAAAAATTATATATTTATAAGTTTGACCAAAAAAATTTAAAAAAATAGAAAAAATTAAAATCAAAAAAAAAAAAATTTGGTGTGATGATCAAAAAAAAAAAAAGTCAAACTGATTTAATTTAAATTTTATTATTTATTATTATTTATTGTTACTTATTATAAACTCTGTATAAAATCTAATAATAATAATCATAATAATAATAAATGGCAACACCACAATCACCAACAGAATCAGAGACAGTAGCTACTGTAACATCACCAACTACAGCAGCAGCAGCAGTAGTAGCACCAACACAAAAGTTTTCATTAGACAGTATGTAATAATCGTCATCAAACAAACAATAAACAAAGTTTAAATTACTAATACATAGATAAATGATATCATATTATTATGTTATTTTTCAATATGATAATTGAAATTGATTTCAACAACAACAACAACAACAGTTTTAAATATTTCACAAACATCACAAATACAGAATGGTTTGAGACAAGATGATTTCACAGCATATAGACAATATTGTACACGTAGATTAGGACGTATTAGAAGTTCAATGAAGAAACAACTAGGAAAGAAGAATTATATTGCAAAGTTGAACGATCCAAAGAATATCGTCGATGCCAGATACTTGTTGATCGTGCTGATAAAGACAGAGCGTGCATGGGCCTACGCCAGAGCGTTGAAGCAAGAGTATGAGCAGTCCGATCAAGGACGTCTCAAGTTCCATATGAACAGTCGTTTCGCCAAGGCTGCGGTACACGCCGATCAACTCGAGCGTTTCTGTCGCGAGGTCGCCGACCAGTACACTCAGATCGAGGCGGCCGCCTACGCTGCGTGGATTCGCAGCTCTCACATGATTGCCTGCTCGCGTTGGCTCGAAGCACTCGAGGCCATCACCAAGGCTAAGACCATCTACAGCTCGCTGGCCACCTCGGGAACACCGTCACTCAAACAACTCTATGTGGGTCGCGTCGAAGATGCCGAGCCAATCGAGCGTTTCTGTTTGTACAATATGCGTTCACTCGACACCAGTTCCAACTCGACCGTGTTGGCAGACACCACCAAGATCCTAAAGAAGGTGACAGACGACACTGAGAAGAAGACAAATCAAATATTGTCAAACAGCAGCAGCAGCAGTAATACAGGTAGCAAACAACAACAAGAACAACCAATGTCAACAGTCAGCTGGCGTCAAAGACAAGTTAGAGTCAATGAAAAAGTTCGTGAAAAGCTGGTAAACTATAGCAATTTCGTCAAGGAATATGACGCCGCCACAAGCGACGATGCTAAATTCCCACTCTATGAAAAGATTGTCAAGCAGTTGTTGGATGCAGAGGTGATGGTGCGTAATGAACTCGTGAATATCGTGCGTGTCAACATAAAGAACAAGACTGTAAAGTCAGAGGTTGAGGAATCGGATCTTCGTGCACTCCTCGCCTATATCTCCTATCACAAATACCGTTATCTCTACAACCGTAACGAAACTCTAATCAACCAATATACACAATCAGCAGACAACAGCAGCAGCAACAAGCAACAGACAACTGTTGTCAATAGCGGTGGCAAGAAGAAAAAGATAAGCACTCGCGACATCATAAGAATTCTAACCAATCAAATCAAAGTGTATTCGCGAATGATCGAGAACAGAAACGAACAACGTCAGGATGCAGTGCTAGAAGCACAGCTGCAGTTGCTCAAAGCGACACGTCTCTATCATATCGCCAACGGTCTGGCACTCGCCAAGAAGTGGTCAGAGACAATGGCGACTGCCGAGCGTGTCTCGTCGATGATTGCAACTGCGCGTAAAAACAAGAACGCCGACGTTGTTAAGCGCGCCGACGAACTCGATAAGCTGGTCGCTTCGATCCGCTCGCAAGTTCACGCGAACGCGTTCATCGAGCAGATGTCAAACAACGAGGATTTGAAGCGTCAGATGTCCGAACTTTCACTGTCGTCCGGTGGCGACAACAATAGCGCAGCAGTAGCCAGCAAGGATCTTCTCAGTGGTCTCGACAACTTTGACACTTCGTTCCTCGCTGAGAAACGTCTCGTTGAATTCCCACCACCACTTCAACCGGCACCCACCAAACCTTTGTTTTTCGATCTTGCATTCAATCAATGTCAATTCCCCTCGCTCGAAGCCAGAAAGAAGTCAACTCAACCACAATCAAAGGGTCTATTCGGTTTCTTTAGATAAAAATAATAATAATAATAATAATATTTGTTTAAAAAAAATCAACAATAAACATATTTACAATATATAAAAACTACAGATATATAAATTAAAAAAAATATTTATTATAGTTAAAACTACTGACAATGATCAATTTCGAATTTTGTTATTAAACTAATATAGAAAATAAGTGTTACTTTAAATATTATGATTTTCTCACTAGAATTGTCCCAACTTATTTATTAACAACAAACCACAGGTGCAAACTTATTTCAACTGAATTGTTTCTTCCACTTGTGTTTATGTGAATAAGGGAAACAAAAACATACAAGATGTTGTTTTATTTTTCCTTCATTTTTTTTTTTTTAAATTTTTTAAAAATTTTAATAAATTATTATTTTTAAGAAGTAAAAAAAAACAGTGTATTTATAAATAATAACTTAAAAGAAATGAGTGAGAATATCAATAATAGTAATAATAGTAGTACTGTCGATAATAGCACATTACCTGACAATGTGGTTAAAGATGTTGGGAGTGGTGAAACATTTATAAGTTCACCAGATCTATCTATTACCAAAAATAGTAATGATACCATTACAACATCGTCGTCAATAATACCAGATGTCGATATACCTAAAGAATCAAATGAACAACAACAGCAGCAACAGCAAACGACAACTAATACAACTATAACAGCAACTACAATAGATGAGTTAGCAAAAGATGACTCTAACGAACCATACCAACCAGAGAACCCAAAAACAATCGATATTGTAGAAACACCTATAGTAATTGCAACTACAACAACAACAACAGCAACTACAACAAATGTAAAGAGAAAATTTGCAGAGAGTGAAGAGAGTGGTGATGGAGATGGTGGTGAAGTGGTAGTAGCGAGCGGAAGTGGAAGTGGAGTTGGAGGTGGAAGTGGTGAAAGTGATGTTAGCGGTAGTGGTAGTGGTGGTGATAACAGCAATTACAATCTATCAATACCAATACTAACCAAACACAACAACAACCTCAACAACAACAACAAAATACCGAAAACAACAACAACAACAACAATAATAATAGCGCTGCCGCATCTCAAGAATATCATAAGAGACAAAGAACTAATCTGTGTTATAGATGTGGAGGTAAATAATAATTAATTCATTCATTCATTTTGTTTAAAATTATCTTTTGATTTTGATTTATATAATCACAAACAACAACTTCACTCCCTCTCTCTTTCTCTCTCTCTCTTTTACACAATCCCAACACTTTTCTCTCTTTATTTATTTTAATACATTACTAATTGGATATTATTTAAATAATAATTATGATAATAAAGGAGAAGGCCACCAACAGATATTTTGTCCATCCAGACCGCTACTTGGTGTTTGTCATATATGCAACGGTAAAGGTCACTTCCAATATAGTTGTCCAAGTATAAAGTGTTTTAGATGTGGAGGAAACGGTCATTTACAAAGAAATTGTACAAATCCAAATACTGTAAAAACAGAATATGGTAAGTTTATATATATATGTTTAGTATATTGATAGATATATATTTTCAAACTATTAATAATGCTAACTAACTACAATACAATAAAATATTAGATCCAGAAAGAACACAGATTAAACCATATCCTTGTTACGCATGTGGAAAAGATGGACATGCCGCCAAGGATTGTGATATCTGTTTTAGTTGTAAACAATCCGGACATAAATTTAAAGATTGTGATGTATGTCACAGTTGTGGTGAGAAAGGGCACAAATCAAAAGTAAGTTTAGTCTAAACCTATTGTCATTATTAAATAATGATTTAATATTAAAAAATAAAAACTAACACCTCGCTTTTTCACTTCTGTGGCTCCACTTTACTTTTTTTAAAAATTTTCACTTCGCCACCCTACAGGAGTGTCAGATGTGTTTTGGTTGTAGAAAAACTGGTCATAAATCTTATGTAAGTAATAATGTCATAATAATATTATTATTAATAATCATTGTTTATTTTTTATTTTACAAATTCATCATGATCTTTTATCACATCACATTTAGATCAACCCAAATTATGTTTTATTTTATTTAGTTTGTTTTGTTTTGCTTTATTCGATTTTAAACCAAATCAATAATATTCATTTAAAGTTCAGATATCTATCTGGCTTTCTGGTTTTAAAAAAGAAAAAGAAAAGAAAAGAAAGAAAAAGTCTTAAATACCAGATATTTAATTAATATAAACAACAACAACAACAATAACAACGGAGTTGCACCGAAATACTCTGAACAAGTGGATTTTGGGGTTTTGTTTGATATGATTGAGTTTACTTTTTTCATGTTTCATTTTTTTTTTTTTTTTTAGTTTTGTATCACTCCAGTGTTGTTGGGTTATGATATTAGGTTATTGGATTTTTAAATTAATTTTTTTAACTTTTTTTTTTTTTGGATCATCTTGACAAATATTAATATCATCTACTTTACTTTTTTTTTTTTTGTAAATGACGACAGGAATGCCCTGAGAAGAAAGCAGCTGTACCTCATGGTCAGGCTATGATGGGTGGTGCACACCATAAACCTCATCACTATCAGAACGCTCAAAATTCGCACCCTGCACACAACCATCATTTTCAGCAACAGCAACAACTACAACAACAGCCACAGTCTCAACAGCAACAACATCAGATGCAACAGCAGATGCAACAGGCAATGTCTAATCAAATGGGCTATTACTACCCACAAAGTTATGAACACTACCCAGCCGGCTATTATTATCCATATGGTTATTATTCTTCAAACTAATTAGTGTAACATATCAATCATATCTATCCATTTTTGACATATTTTCAAAACAAAAAAGACCAAAAAAACAATAAATTAAATAAGTTTTTGATTATTAGTATTAATAAACAAACTATGAATGATCTTGATTCCGTTGAATAAAACCATCATTCGGAATCCCTTACATTATTTTTTATCCAACCTGATAATCAAAATCTTTTCTTAAAAAAATTTATATATTGGGGCAGGCAATAAGATATATATGATTTTAATTTTCAAGAGTTGTGATGTTACATAATACAGTATAGATATTACCTTCTTAAAGTTTAATAGTTTTAATTTATTCTTTTTTGATAATATTAAGTAAAAAAATAATTAGAGCTATTTGTTAAATGCATTTTAATTTTACTTATTATTATTATTATTTTAAAAAGTAATAAACAAACACACACAATTTACTCACACACACAAAAACAACCCCACCCACATTTATTTGTTAAATTTTTTTACCAGTTTAAAGATTTTTGTCATACCTAAACACTTTAAATAGGTAAAAGGCTACACAAAAGTATCAGTACATATATTCTCTATTAAATTCGTGTTTATTTTGTAAATTAATATTTGATTACATCATATTTTTCAAAAAAAAATACTTAAAAACAAAACAATTATTTATTGAAATTTTTTTTATAATAAATATGTTTATTGGTACGAGGTAATATAGTTCATTGTTGGTTTTGTTAAAGTCAAGTTCACAATAAAAATATTTATAAATATTAATAATTTATTTCTAATGATAGTCCTATCATCTTATTTATTTTTCCCTACAATTTTTAAAAATAATAGTTAATTAAATTATACGATCGAGTTGACCAATACAACTACCAATATCAAATAATTATATTATTGGATATCTCCGAAATCAAAAATTAATTAATAGTAATAATTTTGTTTTAGATTTTCTATTTAATATGAATAGCAATTCATGTATTGTTATAATTATTCTATTTTTATTTTTAAATAAAATTAGTAGTAGTTCTAGTTCCAATTTAAAATTTACAAATGGAACTTTCAAAATTGTGCAATTCACCGATTTACATTTTGGTGAAAACGAGTTCAAAGATTCTCAAACAGTAGTTGGACAAGGTAATATATTATAAGTGAAAAACAATATTGTATTTTTCAAAAATATTAATTTGTTTTGTATTTTTTTTTAGATGTAATTTTAGATATTGAAAAACCAAATTTTGTTATGTTATCTGGTGATATGATAAGTGGATATGGTCGTAGATTCTTGGATTCAACCTATTACCAAAAGATATGGGATCAATTAACTGGTCCAATGAGAAAAAAAAATATACCGTATGTTTTCTTATTCTTTCCAAAAGGAAATTGTAAAATTATTATTAATATTGTTATGTTATAGATGGGCAATTACATTTGGAAATCATGATGGTGATGGTATTTTCAGTAATAATCAACTGATTGCTTTGGATATGAAATACGATCTAAGTGTATCTACAGCTAGTCCGGTGAATGTAATTGGCAATTCCAATTATGTCTTGGAGATATCCTCCTCGAATTCCACGGATTTGAACTCGTTGATCTATGTTTTCGATAGTGACAATAGACCTTGTAATGAATCCACTGGACCATGGGGTTGCATTCACCACACTCAAGTCGAGTGGTACAAGCAGACCTCGGAACGATACAAACTGCCGGCAATAGGATTCGTCCATGTTCCCCCAATTGAAGTGTTGGATCTCTGGAATAACCATAATGTGTATGGCGAGTTTGGAGATAGTGGTTCGTGTTGCTACTACACGGAGGACACTCAATTCATTGAGGCAATGATTGAGCAACGTGATATCAAAGGTCTCTACTTTGGACACGACCATGGCAACGACTTTCATGGCGACTACTTTGGCATTGATTTGGGATACGGGAGAAAGTCTGGCTACGGATCATATCCTCCAAAGAACACAATCGGTGCAAGAGTAATAGAACTACAGGAATCACCGTATCTCATTAACACTTGGATCAGAAATATCAAAGGTGAGCGAGAAGATCAACCATTCCACAAACAAAATAATCAAGAGAGAGTACCAAGATTTTGTTGTACAACCAATGGTAAGTAACATTATTATATATATCCTATTTATATATATCCCATTAATATCTATCGATCTATCTATTATTTTTATTATTATTTAGATTCAAGAGATTATAAAAATTGGGGAATATACCTTGGTATTTGTGTTGGTATTTTGTTTATAAGTTTCATTCTTCAACTTAAATTCAACAAACGTACAGACCAACAATTAAATTCACGACAAATCTATAAACTAATGAATTTATAACTATCTAGCCAACAATATGTATATAATGATCGTCGATTTCACATGAGATAACAAGTAATCTTGTTTAGATAAAACCAGACTTTTACATCTCACAACCTCGAGAAAAAATTTAGATTTTTTTCAAGATTTTCGAAAAATCTTTTTTTGGATTCTATTTTATTTTTATTGTTAATAGTGATCACTTTTAGTTAATAATAATATTAATAATAAAACAAATGTTTAATCAATGTTTATAAAAAATGAGTTTATATTTATTTGTACAATATATATATTAATAATATTATGTCAAATTGAAAGTAATAATCATCACTTTTTTGTAAATTCTCAGTGTACAGGTATGTTTGATTATTATTATGATAATAATATCATTTTTAGTTTATTGTTTCTTTCATTCTAATCATAAAACAATAACAAACTATATATAGTTTCAAATATAAAAGATGTAGTTTTAGATGATTGGGGTTTTCAATTGATTGGTAATCGCGATAGTAATATCAGTGAGACATCGCCTTGGAAGGTAGAATACTCCAATTGCGACGGTAAAGAGTGTGTAGCTTTCTGTAATAGCAATAAGTGTGGTTCTTTGGAAGATCAACTCAATGGCTATTACTATGCGATGTTTTCAAATGTCGTAGAAAACTCGACACAAACAATGTCACTCTCTCAGCAGTTTACCGTTACGCCAATCGACAGTACAGAGTCACAGTACATGCTCTACTACTCGTTGTCATCGAATACTCTATTCCCCGACAGCTCCACAACCTTTAATTTCAGTATCTTGATCAATGGTGATCTAGTTTCTTTCAAGAGTGATTCGATCTACAGTCAAGAACATCAATTGCCAGTTTCTCCATTCATCAACAACTCACCTTATATATCGACATTGGAGTTCGTAGTAACTTTTACATCGAATGGCAACGGTAATAATAAACAGGTATTCAATATACTCTTGTCGGATGTTGATATTAGGAGAGTTCCAGTTGAAGGATCACCACCGCCACTACCAAGTGATATTTATGTCGATGTAAAGAGTGGTTCCGATCTAACTGGAAATGGTAGTAAAGCATCGCCATTCTCATCGATTGGCACTGCTCTAGATTGGATCCAACCTGGTCAATCGATATACCTGGCGGAGGGAGTATATTGTGGTCATTCAATGAGTAGTGATATCGATTTTTCAGTAACGATCGTTGGTGTTTCCAGTGTCGCTACAATCATCGATGGACAGTATCAACTCAAGCCATTTACAATCACCGGTAGTAATATCGAATTCTCGCTGGAGAACCTAGCAATACGCAATTGCTATGCCGGTCTTTATCATCCAGGTGGTTCCGTTGTCTATCTGGATGGCGGTAACAACAGTGTTAGTTTTAACTATGTTGAGATCTATGATAATCACGATTTCTCGGATAGAGGAACTATCTATGTTCTCGATGGATCAAACTCGCTGAGTCTTGCCAATAGTCAACTTAGAAACAATACAAACTCGCTGTCGAAACTTGTCAATCCTTCCATCAATATAATATCAACCATTCTCTATATTTATAATTCAACGGTTGTTGGTGAGATCATCAATGCCAACGTAGTTCCAAGCATCCAGATAGAATCATCGAATTTCAGTAAATCACCAACAAAAAGAGGTGAAAACACTTGTCTTTTCTCAGTGTTTAAATCCGATATCACAGTTATCAACAGTGGTTTCCATCAATTCGAAAATATGTTATTCTGTCTTACAGAGACAACCATCAATTTCACCTCTACGGAAATGATAAACATTACAAGTCCTGTACTTTATATGTCATTGAGTAATCTGACATTTACCAACGGTACGATATTGTATGGCGAACATCAAAATGGTGTCATTTCAATGTCAGAGTATTCCAATGCACTTTTCAGTCAAATCAAAGTGATTCCATCGAATTTGAAATCGAATCAATCTCACGGAATCAAGGTGTTTTATTTGTTGGATTCAAATGTAAAAGTTGAACGATCCTATCTAAGAGTACACAATGGAAATTACCTATTCTCTACGTTCGAAGGTCAACTTCAAATCATAAATTCGACTGTCGACAAGTCCGATGGCATAAATATCCAGGCGACAAGAACCAGTGTTTCTTTGGTGGATTCAATATTCTCCAATAGCAGCTATGAATCCAATCAGTTCGTTTTCTATTCGATCAAGAACGACCGATTTGTACTGATCAAGCGATGTATATTTGACAATATTCAAGGTTATATTAGATTGACATCGGCCGAACTTATCATACTACAAACAAGAGTCAATAGAGCTTACTCCTTGTTGGTTAGTGATGGAGCTTCCTCAATAAGCATCTACGAGAGTATCTTTACCAACTGTTCACAAGGTATTATATCTTCCAAGTCACAGCTGCTCATCTCCAACAGTATTTTCAGGAGAAATCAGGGTCCTCTCATCCTTGGAATCGGTCCAACCCAGAATGAAATCTACGACTCGACATTCATTGAGAATCATTCGGAGATCGATGGATCCGTATCGTATTCCTCTGCTAACAGCAAGGTGCTCTATACGAATTGTTCGTTTTTCGATAACTACGCAGATGGCAACGGTGGAGTGATGTCAGTGGATACCGACACCACTCTACAGCTAACCAATTGTCTCTTCCACAATAATAGTGCACTGAAGGGAGGTGGCGGCGCTATCTACTTTGCAAATCTAGTACCAGAGATGGTTAATTGTACGTTCACCGATAACATTGCATTGTTTGGATTCGATGTAGCGTCGCAACCGAACCGACTGATACTCTACGGTGATTTCCCAGAGGTTTTTCATTCGAACCAGACTCTATTCACAGGTGTCATCTCGATTGGCGATATCCTCAATCAAACTCTACCGTTGACACTCAAAGAGCAGACTATCTACTTGCAGATCGGTGGTGTTACCATCGCAGAGTCAAAGCTAAACTATGGATATGCGAAATTCGATTCGATTCCACTGATTGGTCAAGTAAACTCGAATAGTTCAGTGTCGTTTGTCAGTAGTTTCTATATTATACAACCATTGATTCTAGAGAATTCAATTATTGCTCCATGTCAGAGTGGTTCCTATCCAACTTTTTCATCTACCATTTGCTCGAGTTGTCCCCAAGGAACTTATGGATTCGATGGAAACAGTTGTGTTTCATGTCCTGCCAATGCCTATTGTCCCGGTGGTGAAGAAGTATATTCGCGTACCGGATACTGGTACGACATCAACCAATACCCAAGAACCATCTACCAATGCGAAAAGTCGCATTGTTTGGCGGACAATAAGTGCTCGGAGAATACCTATGGTGTATTATGCTCGAGTTGCAATCACGCGAAAGACTACTACTCTTGGATGGGCAGTTGTATTGAATGCAAGAAAATCAATGTATTCATAATGTTTGCCTGTATTGCTGGAATGATATTCATTGTGTTTTGGTGTCATCAATCCGGATCGAACAGTGGTTACATGAATATCGTGGTGTACTTCACCCAAACCATAATGGTTCTCTCACAGGGTATCAATTTTAGTATACTGTCATTACTGAATCTACAGCTTGAAAGTGGTGGATCATCGATCTTCGGTACAATCTGTCCTGGACCATTCGATTGGTACCAGCGGCATTATATGACGTTCTATGTTGGTCCAATCTTGGTATTCATTTTATTATTATATTCATTATTATTATCTCTATTTAAATATATACAATCAAGATTTCAAAAACGATTCGGATATTCTCGCAAATTGGAAGAGAAAGAAGAAGAACAGTTAAAGCAAACCCAAGAGAATGATTCATTAGTTGAACAAGCAACAACAACAACAATGATAATACAATCTCCATTTATTGCCAATCAATTCGGTGCATTTATAAGGATCCTCTTAACAATCTACTCACCGGTTTGTACAGCTGTATTCTCGATTTTCTTTTGTCAACAATATGGTGTTTCTCCAGAGGTTTTGGTAGCAGATACTTCCGTTCAATGTAAAGGTCACCAATATAGCACTGCCCTCAAAGTTAGTTATGCTATGTTGATCTTTGTCATTGGAATGCCATTGGTTATCCTTCTACTGCTCGTGACCAACAAGACCAAGAAACATGTAGAAATAACCTATGGTGTATTCATTCTAAAATATAAACCAAACTATTACTATTGGGATGTGTTACTGCTATTCAGACGTTTGTTCATTGTGCTGGTTTCGATCATGCCAGATTCCTTCCCCATAAGATCGATACTACTGATTGGTGTATCGCTAATCAGTGTAGTTCTCCAAGCTAAATGTCAACCGTACAACAGAGACGAAGACAACCGACTGGAACTGGTATCACTCATTCTCTTGTTCATCTCATGTCTCTTCCTTGGCAATGAAGTACAATCGTTTTTAGAGGATTGGATCATCTTGGCCAGTTGTATTGTTTTTGCAATCTACTTTGCCTATACTTTCTATAAACACTACCGTACCGAGATCATTGAAAAACTCTCACATTATCTTTCAGTTGTATCCAATGGAAAGTATGGTACAAGAAGAAACGAATTGCCAGAAGTTAACATTCCGCTGCTCAATGATTTCTACAACAGAGACAACAATCGAAAAAGTGAAATTCTTGAAGATATTATTGAAGATGATGAAAATAAAGAGGAATAAAGATTCAATAAATTAATATAGATAATAGTTGAGCGTATAATAAGCGTTTGACTCTCAACTCGTAATACTTGGAATTATTTGAATAAACCTTCTCATTTTTTTTATTTTCGCGGTCAAGATATAGGTGGTTTCGATACTCTTACATTGTTAGATCTCATCATATTATGATATTCACATCACTTGGATTTGGTACAGTCATTATCATCATCATCATCATCATCATCATCATCATCATCATCATCATCATCATCATCATCATCATCATCATCATCATCATCATCATCATCATCATACCAGACCTATGTTTTAAATATTGGCTATTTTTTTGTAATAACCAACCGATAACAAGTCCATTTAATTTAATAATGGAATAAACCCAAAGTTATTCATGGTCAACCAATCTTAGTAGGAATGTCTGGCTCAAAAAAGCTATCGATCTACAAAAAAGCTATCGATCTACAAAGGAAGAAAAGATTTTCGATATATATGTTTATAGAATTTTCGATATATAGAATGGAAGAATGAGCAACGATTGACAATAACATTCAGTGCGCCTCTCACCACTGAGATAAGAGTGACACTCAGTCAATAATTTGATACCTATCACACTGATATCGTTACGAGTCTAGTCGATGGCATACCAACACTAGAGCTACTTCAAGATAAAGTGTACAGGTTACAATCTCAAGGTTATATGGTGGTTCCTATAGTACGAGCGGAAACAGTGAAGAGCTTTCCTATTGTTTCTGGAGTTCAAGTGTCAGCTTCCAACAGTTTTTCAGATATTGTATGTTATAAGGCTCTTTCACTTTGTGCACATTCCATTGTTATATCCTATTATACGGATCAAAATAGTATAACTCACCTGATCAAGATTCGTCGTCAAGATATTGGTGATTTCGATACACTTAAATTGCTTGAAGTCATCAAATTAGGATTTACACCGCATGGATTTTGACCCATCATCGTCTTCATATGAAGATACAGAAATGAACAATGTTTTAAATATTGTTAATTTTTCGGTGGTAACAAGCATGCTTTGTTAGATTAAATTTAAATGAATAATTTTATATTATTACTTCGTATTTAAATTTAATCTAATAATATATATCTTAGTATTTTTTTCAATAAAAATTCAAAGAAAATTAAATAAACACATAAATTGATTCAATGAAAATCAATTTCAAACCATTTGAAGGAAAGAAAATAAAATTCTTACAAAAAAATCCTGGAAAAATCAATTATTAATCCAGTTGGATTTTTTCATTTTTTATTTTTTTATCTTTAAATAAAATGAACAAGTTATCACAGAATGATTGATAAATTTAATTATTATATATTAAAGTATATAGTCAGTTGTTTAGAGCAAAACATCGATAGATGTTGTTTTGCTCTCACTTGTAAGAAACTCTTTATAAATAGAAATCATTACCTTGTATTCAATAGCGATTCTCTCTACTTTGAAAATGTAGATATAAATCATTTACATCACTATCAGAGATATACAACTAAGGTATTCAATTGTTTCAGAGATCAAGTTGTAAATACACTACTCTCTACCGATGACTTCAAACAACATCGAATATATGAAAGAGATGAACAAAAGAGATTAGATAAATCAATACCTTATGGTAATAAATATATTAATATGATTATTAAAATAATCTATTACAACTAATACAATTGTATTATTGGTGTAATATATATATATTAAAGATATAGATGGAGATGTTTTGAAAATCAATCATAATATACAGATAGATCATCGTTGTTTTCCACACAACTTGAGAGTTCTGGTGTTTGGTGATGCATTCAGTCATGAGTTACCAATACTCCCGTTCACTCTAGAGTCGTTGACTCTCGGGAGATCGTTCAACAATACAATAAAGGTGGGTGTCTTACCAAAGTATTTGAAGAGTTTAACATTTGGAATACATTATAATCAACCGATTGACATCGATGTCTTACCAGACAGTTTGGAAACCGTTGAATTTGGATTCGATTTTGATCAACCATTGCTAGAGGGTGTTCTTCCATTCTCATTGAAATCATTGGTGTTTGCCGGCAAATTCAATCAACCGAAAGAAAACATATCGATTCCATCGTCAGTTGAAAAACTGTTGTTTGGAAAGTACTTTAATCAACCGATAACTTCGATAGTGCCAAACTCTGTAAGATACCTCAAACTAGGTGAACACTATGATCACCGATTCAAAATTGTCGACTTCCCAAAGTCTGTTACACATTTAAGGACCAACCAAAATAATATGTCTGGTAAACTTCCAGATACGATCGTAACGCTTGAGATTTTTGGTTCGGCATCACTAGAGAACATACGGTTACCCGAGAAGCTTGAGACTCTCAGACTCCACACGATGTACACATATCCCAACCCGTATCCAACGAGTCTCACCTCACTGAAAACCAACTACTATCAACCAGCGTCACCTCGCTTGCTATCGAATGAACTACTACCGAATTTAAAACATCTCAAAATGTCGAACCTCTGGACCAATGTGAATTTAGTTACCCATCCACTTCCAGAACGATTGGAATCACTATGTGTCAAAACATTTCATCGATCCAATGAATGTCCGACCAACTTTGGTTATCCCACCGAGAAGACGAAATGGGAGATGATACCAAAGTCAGTGAAACAACTGTACATCACCAGATCCTTCTTTAATAGCAATCCTCTAAAGACTGTACCTTCACATATTGAACTGATATTAATATGTGACCAAGAGTATTTTACCATTCGTAGACTAGATAAGAACTATCTACTGATAATGTCAAACAAAATAATTGGTGGAATTGCACACCATTCACAACTAACAGGTTCATGATTTAAACATAAACCTTAATTATATCTAATAAATATATTTATACAATTGCTGTATTCTTAGGAATCTAATAGTTTAGCATTTATATTACAATTTCTTCTTTTATTTACAATCAACTGTTTATAAGTGAAATAAGGGAAACCAACTATGAATAAAACGGAAATGACAAGACATGCAGTTCTTATATTATGACCTCTCTTTGTAAATGAATATTTTCACCTGTAACAACATCTATACCATTCATAAATAAATGTCTTCTTGTTTGCTATTAAATAAAATAATTATTAATTATAAATTTTATTTATATTAAAATTAAAGAGTGAACTTACGAATTTACTATAATCAGGTGGTGTTACTATATATTCATCACCATTCAGTTTAAACGAGGTAATATAATCTTTTGTATCTGATGGAATAGTTGTTAAATTGAATAATATCTTTATAACATCTCTCCGCAATCCAGTGTTGCTATCTAGTTCAATATGTTGTTGATAGTGAATCTTGAAATTTTCGTCGAAAATCCATGTTGTTGTACCATATTTTCTAGTTCTATCCCCCGAAGATGGAATATAAGAGTTAACCATTATTTATTAAATTTTAGTATTAAGTTTTACGATTTAGTATCTATGATCATATTTCAACTGATGTTATATTTATAGAAATCCTCATAATTCTATTCAATTTCAGATCTCTTTCTTTAATGAGAAAAAACCGTTGAAAGCCGGAAAAAAGATATTTTTTAAAATCAAAATACCCAGGGAACTTTTTTGGATAATAATAATAAACTCTGAGTATTTAAAAAAAAATCAAAAAGTCTGATTCCACGCTTATTTTAATATCATTGAAGTTATCTGTGTTCAGTGTATCTAAGATCAAAAAAGACCATAAAAAATAAAATAAATGAACTTCAAATTGTTTTTTTACAAGATATATTTAAATGAATAATCAGATAAAATATTAAATCTATCACATTTAATATTAAATAAAATAATAAGTCAGTTGGATTATAACATTGATCGCATCTGCTTCAGTTTAGTTTGTAAGAGATGGTACAATGTTAGGGATAAAATTTAATATATAGAATTCAACATTAAGGGGATCAACCTATTTGAACTTAATAACATGATATAAAGCAAAATAATGAACATTTTAAATTACCAGCATATCATAAAATCTTTATGAAATCAATTCAATCAAAGACTAATTGTAAACTAGATATTGGTAGTAAAAGTTCACAATATTCAATTTACGATTATCATTACGGTAATAAATATGTTCTAATACTACTACAATCATAACATGACTCTAGCTATTTGTTAATCTTTCTAAAAAGATGATATTAAGAAGCTAAATAGTATTCCCAGCAATGTTTCCAATATCTATATTTCAACTGATGATGGCACAGAGTATCTACATACATTAATATCAGCATCACAATCAGTAACAATGTTGGTTGGATGTAGAACATTTAAGTATGGTTTACCAGTTCCACTTAGATATCTTCAACTCGATTACAATTTCGATGAACCACTTGTGAAAGGATCACTTTAGAGGAGCTCTATTTGGAAGACGATTCTAACCAAGAGATTCCACCGGGTGTACTTCCTGATCTTTTGCGAACAATCACTCTATACAGCTATCCATATGAAATTCCACAAGGTGTACTTCCAAAGAGTTTGCACACAATTAATCTGTACAGCTATCAATATGATATTCTACCGGGTGCACTTCCCAATGGTTTACGCAAACTCTCTCTATACCACTATCACAATGAAATTCAACTAAATCTACTTCCAAATAGTTTACGAACAATCAATCTGTACAGCTATCAACATGAAATTCGACCGTGTGTACTTCCGAATGGTGTACTGGAATTTAATCTCCATTCCCATGAATATGATATTCGACCCGGTGTACTTCCAGATGGCTTACAAAAGATTACCATAATCAAATATAAACATGAAATTCAACCAGGTGTACTCCCATCATCTCTTAAGATATTGTATCTTAATAGCGAACTAGATCCACTCTATAGCAATGGAAGAAAGTAGTGTATTACCACAATCGTGTTTCTCAATTACATTACAAGCAATATCATCACTTGTCAATCTTCAACACCTCTACTTTTATTATCTCAATCAAATTGGAGATGATAACATATTCAATCTTGAATACCTCCCGCCAAATCTACAGATGCTCAACCTAGCACTTAGTGGAATGGAATTGAAAGGAACGTTACCGACATCGCTGAAAAGAATCGATCTTGATGATTGTGAATTTAAAGATTTGTCGATGAAATATTCCCAGAGACAATGCGATATCACCTCGAAGTATTGGAATTTAAAAAACACATTATGCCTCAAATTCCATCCAACATAAAGATCGACAAATTGAAATTAACTGCAGAATTAGGAAAATCAGTGATATCTCTACCATCTGGAGTTAAATCAATCAACTTCTTTATGGATTTATCAAATTCAAAAGACAAGATAATTGATTTCGGTGGGGTGGTGGAGATTACGACGGCACATATCGATCACGTTCATTAAGAGAACTGCGACTTCCAAAATTCAAAGATGGAATTCCTAATGTTATACTACCAAACACCATCGAATTTCTGGATGCAAGTGGCAATAATCTCAATGATATTATACATTTGTTACCACCAACACTCAATACTCTTGCCTTTAAAAAAAAAAATCGAAATCTTGATTCCAAAGACTATCAAAACGATCTACAATTATTTGTTAAATGGCAGGACAAGAAAATATTAGAAAGTTGGATGATATTATATAATATATGGTGAATGTGAACGAACAGACAACGGAAACTTGATTGCTAAGATATTTCATCATACTATGCTTGAACAAATTTTAAATAGAGGATTAGAATAAAATTAATAACAATAAGAAAACAATTTTGATTCTCGGAGATAACACAAATGTTTATGAAAAATTTATTTATTTAGTAAAAGTAATCAAATAAGATGGATAAGCTCTATTGATGTCATAGATCATGTAAACTTTGCTTCCATTGGTATCACCATTGATACTGTCATAACAAATAACAGTGTCATCATTTGGGTTTTTTGGTTTCGGAGGAGGACGTTGGATTGATGTATTGGGTGCTTGGTATACAGAATCACCGATCATTACACGTGCCAAGAACATTTGGAATTTGCCGTTTCCTAGGTCATATGGATAATTTCCACCAGAATAAGACGCGTTCACGGCGAAGTATGTGGATTTGCCCCACATTCCTTGGGCAGAGAATCTCATATCGAAAGCATGAGCATCATTATAGATTTCTGAGGGTTTAAGTTTTCTAGTGCCGTGGAACAGGTACATCTCATATTTGTTCAATGTATTACCATGAATTGTTTGAGATGGATCCAATCTCCTACTGATGGACAGCGCATTGTCGAAATATCTAGACCAACTCTCATTGTTTTGAACTTTCTCGATCTTTTCAATCTTGGCGGGAGCTGACAGTGTCTTTGTAAAATATCCATTGACCAGTTTACCTTCCTCCGATGTAAGTGGAATATCTTTGAGTCTGTCTACTTTACTGGTGGTATCCCAAGGATATACCATTTGAACACCACTGTTTAGTGATTGTATTAAAAGGATTTGATTTTCAACGCTTGAAGTGTACACGTTTGGTCCATAGATATCGATCGAATTTAGTCCTTGGTTTTTTAATTCACAAAAGTTTGATTTGATTGCTTTCAAGACCTTATCTTTATGCTGTTCAAGTAGACCCTTAACAGAGAGATTGATAGTATGGTGATGATATAGCTGTTCTTTGATAGAGTTTATCATTTTATCCCTTGATACATTTGGGTTGTGACTTGGAGACCAGAGTACAACATTTACCATATCTTCTGTCTTTCCTGGTGGGGTTGATGGGGTTGGAGCTGGAGTTGGGTTTGGTTGATTGGGACGGTTCGTTGGTGAACTGCTGTTTGTTGTGTTGGAAGCAACATAACTTTCAAACGATTGCTCATAGGATGATTTGAGTGGGAACTTTCCGACTGACGCATTATTTGCAAAAACTTCAACCGTGGAATCTGGGAAACTTATCTTATAGTTATCAACCCTGATGCTCATTGAACGATTGCAAGCCATCTGAATTTGACCTTCTTTATCAATGATCTCTACTCTCTGACCAGTCGAGTTGATAAAGTACCATGTTCCAACAATTTCAATTTCCATTTTCTCACGTCTAATTGGACGAGGATTGGTTTTGTACTTCAAATTGAGTTCGGTCATCTTTTCGAAATCAATTTCATACTGTCCACCATTTGAAACTCCATTGAGGTCACCAACTACAGTCATCTTTTTTTGTTTTTGAAGATATCCAATTTCAATCTGATAATTCTGATCCGGATCGAAATTCTTATAACTTCCATCATTCTCTCTCCATTTCCACTCCAAGTAAAAATATAATTATATGTTAGAAAATGTAATTTTTCTGTAAGTTAAAAAAAGTGTTAAAAACATACCTGGTATCCAACTTTGAAAATTTCTGGTTGATTGATTTTGAGATTATTTCTGAAATTGACTTCATTCATTGTCTCTTCATCATTATAATCAAATATTACGTCGTCAGAGTAATTATTATAATTATTATTATTATTGTTGTTGTTGGACTTGATGTTACTGTACTTCATGAGACTGACTTTTAGGTTGTACACACAGCCGTCATCGATGTCGATTAGTTTGATTTGTCGCAAGGAAGTAGATCCTCTGATACTTGAGAAGTACTTGGAGTTAACATCGTGGATGTATTCAGTTGCTGCACTTACAATGGCATCAGTAGCAACATCTTTCGGGATACAATAGACACCCGAGCCAATCACTGGAATTGAGATACTCTTGTATCCTTTCTTTGTTGCGATGGTCAAAGCAGATTGAACACAAGATTTGAGAAGTGCTTTTACTTGATCTGGAGAATGGTTGTACCACATCGGGGCAACTGTATGAATTACACTCTTGATACCGAATTTCTGTAGACCATAGGAAGATGATTCATGTGAGGTTCCTACATTGAGATTACCATTGTTATTTACATAGTCTGTACATTCCTTTTGGAATGCTGGTCCAGCTGCTTTTGAGATGGCACCGGCTATACCACCAGCATGATAAAGGGCGTCATTGGCAGCATTAACAATAGTTTCAGTACCACAAGTGAGAATGTCAACCTTTTCAACATTAAACTCAGTCTTGTGAACTCTGAGATTTGAAAGCATGGTCTGGACACTTGGCTTCTTGTTGTAATTGGTATTGTGATTGTTGCTGTTTACATTATCTACTCTTGGAGAATAAGATTGAACATTATTGTTTGGATCGTCATTTGGAGGATTGAACTCGCACTGTTCATTATCATCTGATATCCAAACACCATTATCCTCGTTGAAGTTAACGCAAAAGTCAAGCTTGAGTACGTCACGTGCAACCTTGGGTGGAAGTGAGTGAGTAGTTCTCTTGGATACCAATGCTTTCTGTAGATCATTGATTTGTTTGATCAACTCGCTTCTAGCATTCGTTAAAAGATGTTTTGGTCCACACAATCCAACTGCCATATCTCTGAAACTAAGTTGAACTCCAGGGAATTTAGCTGAAAATGTCTGTTGAATATTGCTCTTTTTGGTAAAGTGCAACAATACCTTCGATTGAAAGTCGATCTTGATGCTCTTTGTTTCTCTGTTCATAATCAATTCGTTTAATTTCGTAATGACATCTTGAACTTGCTTTTGATTTCTTCCAACTATGAAATAGTTCTTCTCTGGTCGATATTCGATTGAAATCAATCCAAAGTTGTCTTGGAGTTGAAGATTGTCGACTTGGCCTTGATCTGGGAATATACGAATAACTGGTTCCAATTCTTTGAATTTTCGGTCGATCTCTTCCCAATTGATTGATTTAGAACCAAAAACAGAGTAGACAGGAGAGTTTGGAACAACAGAAACATCATACTGCTTCTTGAGGCTTTTCAAAAAATCTTGGAAACTAAAGTCTTTCTCAATGTATTGTGAGACTTGGAATTCCTTGTAGGAGATATCTTGTACTCTGTTTTTGAGCTGATCGATACAGTGCTCGACATTCTTGGTATTTCCTCTAATAATGACGTTAGTCTGTGAGTAATCGATTTGTACGTCAAACTCTGTCTGTAGTGAATTTCGCTTCATGTTGTCAAACAAGAGATGTTCATATTGGAGCTTGCTACTCTGGTAGATTGGGATGGTCTTTGATGTTTCCGAGGATTCAAGAAGAGTATGGATCTTGGCAACCAGTGACTCTATCGATGTTTGCAATAATCCATAGACTGCGATAGATCCATGTGGGAGATATCCAATCATCTTGGCATCATGTTTAAGATTCATTTTAACGTGATTGTATTGAGAATGAGTTGCTATGATTTCATATGTTTCACCTTCCTTCATATTTTGGAAATCATTGATCAACTTTATGTCATACTCGAGCTTTGGATGACAGTAGAGACTGATTGTGAATTGACGGAATTCAGAATAATCGCTTTGTTGATATAGATATGTGATGTTGGTGCTGTCATCAAAGTACTTCGATAGGTACTCGTCAAAGTAGTTTGAAGATTCCCTTGAAAATCTCTTGGTGACGGTAAGAACCAGATTGATCTGCGATTTAATTTCATCGAGTTTACAGGTTACCTGTCTGACTTTTGACTCTTCACCACTAATCGACAAACAAATTTTCTGATCTAATGTTTGTTGGAAATTGATATTGCAATCTCTGAAACATTGATAGTCTGGCTTGTCTTGGTTGGTTTTGATGAGTTTTTTGTAGAAATTCATTTCAATATTGGTGATGTATAACTGTTTGGAATCTTGACGATTCAAAATTTTCTCGACAAACTTGAACATCTTCTCGATTGAATCTGAATTACCAAAGGCAACAACCAAATTTCCCACACAATGAGTATTTTAACTTTGAATGCGTTGTAGTTGCTTCTCGTTGTTTCTGAGAGATTGCCTCTCCTTGTGTAATACGGTTTGACTGGCTGAATTCAACTCGAATGATTGGCAGGATGAGTTGGACAATTCCTTAGAGATCGAGTTGATTTCAGCGATTGGACCATACATATGGATGCTCAATTGCTCCTCACCAATACTATTACCAAGTTTCAAAACGTCATAGGTAGATTGTTTTCCCATGAACATATCCTTGACTACGTACAAAACGAGCTTTGATTCTAGACATGTGACCTCTTCTTTCTCGGCTTTGTATTTGTCATCCAAGAACTGGCTCAGCTTTCTCAGTCCTGAATCCATCGGGTTTGGCGAGGTAAAGACCATATAGCATGTCTGTGAATCGTCTTCTATTTGGAAATCAATTTGATCTTTCAATAGTAGATCTTGCAAGTCACATTTGATTTTCTTCAAGAATTCGTATTGAACTTTGGAGATTTCTTTACGGTTGGAGCGAATCTGACATGTTTGATGGTTTTCATACACCCAATACTTATTGGTGTCGGTAATGAGCAATTTAATATCCAAAAGTACATCTTTCTCGTCAGAGGTCGGCATAGACACTTTATAAAAGTTACCATGTTGGACACACTTGGCGTGTTTCAAATAGCTGATGGCACTCAACTCTGAGGCATCGGATACTGGCTTCAATGGCAGAAGGTAAACAGCCCATTCCGGTAAATCACCTGTGAAATGATTTATTCTTATCTATAATGGTTTAATTAGCAAATTATATTTTCAATAGACATTATATCAATGAATTTAACTTACCACTTTACCTTTGATGTCAATTAAGAAATCACGACCGGATTCATTGTATTTGAAAATGAGTGGATCAATCAATCTATGTTCCAGCTCGACGATTGCAACTGGACCCAAGACTACAGGATGAGACAAAGGAACTATTCTTGCTTTTTTCAAAACAATGAGCAAGTCATCAATAGTCGGGCAATGGTCGGTAAGTCTGAATGTTACATAACCTGACTTTAACTCCTCGACTTCAATGTCATTCATATGTTGATCTTGTTGAACTCGTGTTGTTGTTGATGATGTTTGATTATTTACAATTGGTTGTTTGGTGGGTGTTACATTAAATGGTTCCATATTTGGTAAATTTGGATAACCGTTATATTCTTGATTATTTACATTTGATTGATTTGGTGATGTTTTTGGTGGTGATGATTGGTGTTGTGAATTATTATTATTGTTATTGTTGTTGTTATTATTATTGTTGTTATTGTTGATGTTGTTGTTGTTATTATTTGGTCTTTCAAGTGATCTTAATTGAAGTAGTTGGTTTCTGATTTCCTCGGATGCTGGAGTAATGGCACCAGACATACCACCATGGAAGATGAGATGGTTGTTTGTTTGGAAACTACACTGGCTGAGGAATTCAACAAGAGTTTCTTGTGTGAGAGCATGTGATGAGCTGAATAGAATGGTTTGGCTCGAAGCTGGGAATATAGTATGATAGACGTTATTGAACATCATTCTATAGCCGTCCTCACGGAGAATGGCGTTGAACTCCTCGGTGTCACTGACGACATTAAGCCAAGCTACACTCTTGTCATTGTTGGTCTTGACCGACGACACTTTGACATCCATGGTGCTAGCGAGATATCGGATGAGATCGTCTGGATTCAACGGTTGGCTATCGTCAGACTTCGAAATGATATAGTTGAACGAGTTGGCCACTGAGATGGAAACTGTCTTTCTCATTACACGGAAAGTTGAGTTGGATCGAAGTACATGACTACAGTGCTCATGGCTTAATGTTACCTCTGCGGTGCTTTCATTCGGTCTAGTGATGTTGATAACATTTACATTGTAAGTAGTGGAAAAACAATCTTTAATCGTTTGGATATCTGAATTAGGTAGGAGACCATTCAAAATAAGCTTTGAAGATCCAGTCTTTAATTCTCTAACCTTTGAGAAATGTATCTAGAAAAAAAATAAGATAAAGAAAAAGAAAACAATCAAAGATAAACATTAGTTATGATGATGATGTGGTGATGATGATGATGATAAACATACGATCATATTAGCATAGGTGATAGGAGCTTCAGTCAAACATTGATAGTCTGCATTAGAGTCTACAACAAACTCGAAACCTTGTGCAACGGCCTTGGTATCTCTGGCCTGAATACCAGAGAAATTTGCAACATGTCTTTCAAATGCAGAGATTTGGGTGTTTGGAGGAAGGTTGGTGGCAAGCACTAGAAGTGGTGAGTCTTGTTGTTCATCTTGGTGGATTTCAAGAAAGTTTAAAACCTGACCACTATTGCCAGTGTTTCTATTCTGCATTGTTAGAAATTAGTATGATAGATTATTAATTATTTATTTTTTATAAATTAGAAATATTGATATAAATAATAATAGTATAACTATTGATTAATAAAAAAAACTGATATCAATACTGTATTGTGAACATACCCAATTTATAAACAATGAAAAAAAAAAAAAAAAAACAAAAAAACTTAAAATTTCAAAACCTAAATCAAAAATTTAAGCAATCGAGATTAAAATTTTAATTATGCAAAAATAAAATCAAAAAAAGTAAAAAAATTAAATCATTATTATTATTTTTAATCCACTCAAATTATTTTGGTTTAAAGTAGATCATGAAAAGACCGAACAATTAATTGTTTTTCGGAAAACATTGAACGGGATATATCTATTTGATTTATTCTCTTAAAAAAATAGAAAAAGTTATTAACTTACCATATTGTTGTAATAATCATCCAATAAATATCTTAAATTTCTCTAAATAATAAATAAATCAAAAAAAGAGAAAAATAAACATACGTATAAATATATTTGTTTATTATTCATGAATACCATACAATGTGCATTGAGAATTTAATTTTTTGGGTTTGTGGAAAAAAAAAAACCAAAATTCAAATTAATGCTGATCTGATTTTTGTTTTGTTTGAGTAGCAGAAAGAAATAGATAGATAATGTCGATATTCAATACAATTCAAGATTCTGCTTTTAATATATATTATAAATTAAGATTTTCATGGATAACAGACTATCAGCCAAAGGAGTTGTTACTGCCTCCACCTCCAACCACCTCCACAACACAGTCGTCTGATAATCGTAGTAGAGTGATCTCTTGGATTACATATCTACGATCACATTCCTCGGCTGTCACCAGTACACCTGCATATATATTCAATCATAAACTACAGCTACTCTTGGTATCGCTTGGTGGCAGTGTTGGCTATCTCTACTACAAAACAAATCGAACACACTATGAATCACAAATAAAATTAGCTGATGAACGGTATGTATTCTTTATCTCTAAGAAAATTAAACAACTTTGCTTTATATATATATATAATATATATATATATATATATATATGTAACAATCGACTAATATATATATTATAATAATCGTTGATAGAATAACAACATTTTTTAAGAATACACAAGCAACATGTGATCAAACAACCATACTTTTTATAACAAAGAATCTTGAAGACAATCTAAATAAGACTGTTATTACACCAACTATCAGTGAGATTCGTTCGGCTTCCACTCCAGAGATAAAACAAGATCTAACTGACAAGCTAAAGATATCAAGTAATTATTCATAGATAATTAATTAGTGGATTCACACCAATGTTTATTATTAACTTTACTTTACTTTACTCCATCCTTATTTTTAAATCTATTTACCATTTGTAGTTGTAACAAAGATAACATCAACATTATATTTAATGCCTTTATTATTATTATTCATTCGTGTACAGATCAATTTGGTCGGTAGATATTGCTATCTCGAGAGAATCGTTAGACAATCGGTCAGTGAAGACACCGAAACCACAAAGCGGCCAATCAGCACAGAGACAGAGAACAAATTCTTTTCAATATCAAAACATATCATCGAGAAGAGATTCGATGAATTTGTAAATGTAATCAATGAACAAGTTACAATTGTTTTGAAAGAGTATGAATCAATATTAATTAACAACATGTTGAAATGATAATAATAATAATATTAATCTTAACAATTTTATTAATCATTTTAATATAGTTATAAATTAGATCAACTTTTAGGATTTGAAGATTTATTAAGAATATTTATAAAGATAAGAGATAGATTCGAGAAACCAGAGGTATTTGCTTCGATTAACAATAGAAATTGTCTTGCTCGCTACTTGATGCCAGACGAGGACAAAGAGTTCTTGCTGCTGAACGAAGCGATGAATATATTTGAAGATAAGGATTTCTATCAGGTTATCAGTGAGAGCATCAACAACTCATTCCTTTTGTTCTACGAGAATGTCAGAGGTGATTTCCAACCGTCCTCTTCAACAGTGGCAGATATGGCAACACTATCCACTTCGGAACCTCCTAAACTTCACCTCATCGCTTTAATACCTAAACTAAACAAACAATTGGATCGATTGATCAACAGAGACCAAGCAAAGACAATCAATCAACTAGTAGATCAAACAGATATCATAAACAAAGCAAACAAATTAATACTAACCAATAATATGGATTTAAATAAATTGGTTAAATGATCATTCATCATCATCATCATCATTATAATTAAATTATATGCAAATATATCTTAAGATGCAATAGCTTGTTTTTTTGAGTTATTAAATTCAAATAAATAAATTGTTTTTTTTTTTATTATTATTTTTTTTAATTGGTCGGATAAAATAATTAATATTATTAAATCTATTTACATTTGTTGTTATTGTTGTTGCTGTAGATGTAATAATATTAATATTCTTATTTTATTTTTTTAAAAAAAAAAAGATAAATACAAAATTGGATATGATTTATGTTGAAATATTGTTATTATTTGACTATGGAGATCTAGGACTAGATTGAGGAGAATTGTTATTGTTATTATTATTATTGTTGTTATTATTATTATTATCATCGGCACCATTTGGTATCAATGTTGAAGAGGATGTAGAAGGTGATGAATCGGATGGTAAAAGTGGATTTTGATGTTCAAATGAATGTTCTTTCTTTAGAAAGGAAATTGGAAGTGTAGAGTTGACAGATGTATTCATGATTTGTTTGTGGTTGGACGGTGTAGTTTTGACCCAGTCCTTTTGAGGCGATCCACCAGAGTTGGAGATTTCGCGTTGTAACAGCTGTGAGTGAAGTGTTGGTGAAGTCGAGTTTGGAGTTATAGAGGTTGGCGATGGAGAGTTGGTCGACTGTCCCGGCGACGACGATGTCATGCTTGGCGAAGGTGTCAAATTGGAGGTCGACGACTTGGCGGTGGTTCCGCTGCTGGTGCTGGCAGCGTCGTCGCCAAGAATCTCAAAGTGTCCAACACGGAAACAGATACATGTAGTGTGATCCATCTTTCCTGGGTAGGTTTCGTAGTCGGTTGGCAGACGTTTGCCTGGATTCGACTCGAGGAATTCACGTGATGTTATGGTGGTATCCCAACAATGGTTGATCAAACGATGTGAAATCTCGGCGGGTGTCTTCAAACCAGCCAACATTGTCTCTAGGAAAGCAGTGGTGAATGCTGTCTTGGCTTGTGCAGCCTTGGAGAGATCGACATCGGCCCACTTTGCTCCGGAGAGATTGAACTCTCGCGACATGTCGGCCGGTGTCTTTCCGAGGTGGAGCGGGTCAAGGTTATCGTAGACACCGTCAGTCACAAGAAGAATGATGTCACCATAGTTGACACTGGCACAGAATATATTCAAGTTTCTCAGATCGGGTTTGCCCTCCTCGAGATGTGGACCTAGACGACCACCACAGTCCTTTGGATCGAGTGAGATACGATTACCCTCTGTGATATCGGTGATCTCTCCCTCGGTGATGAGATAAGCTTTACAATCACCGACAGACGCCAGCACAAACTCCCACTCTGGCGACCACTTGTCGTCACCTTTGTTGATCTCCAGCAGGATTCCACCGAGCAAAGTTGTAGTTCCAGCTTCCCAGTATTCACCCTTGCCTTTCATAATAGAGTTATGGGCATTCTCAAATGCGCCAAACAAGATCTTTCCGACTTGCTTTACGTCGTGCATTGTGTCATTCTTTGAGATGACATGCTCGATGAAAGCCTCGGAAGCTTTCTGAGCTGCTTCCTTTGGAAGAACACCCCAATTGCAACCATCTGCCAGACATGTGATCAAACGATTCTCATAGACAACACAATTATAACGATCGGCAATTGGGTCACCATCTCTACCGACCGATCCCTTTGAATAGGGATAGGTAGAAGTTGACAAAGCATGGATAGAATCACCATAGGCAACTTGATACAATGTCTTTGGTCCACCTGCAACAACATTGACCTCTGTATGAGGTGGATAATCAGGTCCAGAGAATTTAACATAACTCTTGGTTTTTTGTCTAATTGGTTTAATTTGTAATCTCGAAGAATAAAGAAATTAGTTTAAGTTCAATTGAAAGTTTGAGGACTAATTAAACTTACTTTGGTAAATGATGATAATGAGTACTTAATCCACGTTCATCATAGGTGAATCCAGTTGAAATATGATCGTCTCCTTCGTTGCTTATAGTTGGATCCTTTTTGCTGCTGTTGTTACTTCCATTTGAGACTTTACCTTTGTCAAGGAATTTAATGAGGTTCCACTTCTTTTTCTTCTTTTCATTGTTGGAGATTCCATTTGGATCGAGATTGCTACTGCTACTTCCACCACCAACACCGATGTTGACACCATTACCATTACCGTTGCTACTATAACTATTACCATTGCCACTACTAAATACATTGCCATTTCCTAAGCTTGAACTACTGACTGGAATTGGTGCCGACGATCCACTGTAACTTCCAACACCATTTCCACCTTCTTTACTATTGTTACTACTGCTACTGCTGCTACTGCTGTTACTGCCATTGTTATTGTTATTATTGTTATTGATATTGACATTACCATTTCCACTTTTGTTTGGTGGTGACGATGGTTGTAGATCGAGCGATCCTCCGAGTGTCAATTGTGAGAAACTGCCGGCACTACCAACACTGCCGTTGATCATCATTGGACTAACACTGACATTATAAGATGAAGGTGAATTCTTTCCTTTTATATTATTACTATTACTATAATTACTATTATTAACACTTAAACTATTATTATTATTATGACTATTATTATGACTATGATTATTATTATTATTTAAACTATTATTATTATTTATTGTTGATGGAGATGACCCTGTACTTGTTAACCTGTTTATGAAATAATATTAATATGATGAATTAATTGATTGATTGATTGTTGGTATGACTTACAAATCATTATATTTTTGCCTTAAATCATCTAATTTAGTACGAAGATCTTGTGACTCGGCCATATACTTCATACTTAGTTTCTCCCATTTCGAAGCTTCTTCTTTCCAAAAATTGATTCGCTGAGTTGCATCTGCACCATACAGTGATTCCGATGACCCAGAATGTGACGATGATATAGTTGAAGATGTTGTTGATGATGATTTAAGTGGAGTACTCATTTTTTAAATTATTTTTTGATTTTATCTTCAAATGAAGTACTCTCTCTTTCTCTTTTTACTTTTTTTTTTTTTGTTTTGTAATGATTCTATTTGGTTTTGTTGATTAATTTGACTGACTGACTATTATTACTACAAATTGCTATTTTAAATATTATTATTTATAAAGTTTGTATGACTATTAATAACAAGTTTATTACTAAATAAACTAAACTAAATCTAATCTACCTAAACTAAACTAAACTAAACTATTTTGTAAAATAAATTATTAATTAATAAAATAAAGTAACTTTTTTTTGTATTTTATTATTGTTATTATTAAATATGTATAATGGAATTGAAGAAATAGAATATAATTGTAATTATTATTGTTATATTATACTATATATTACTATCTATTAAAAATATATTTATTTTAATTAAATATTTGTAGTAGATAGGATATGAATGGATATTATTATTTAAATTATTTTAATAATTATTAACATAAGAATAACAAATATAAATTAATGTGTTATAAATAAAAAAAAATGTTAACTTGTAATAATAACTATAATGAGAATTTTGAAAATATGATTATTGTTATTGTTTTTGTGTTTGTCCTCAAGAACAAAAGATAGTAAAATTGAAATACCAGCTGTAATATCTTGTGTTTAATTATAGAAAGATGTGTGGTGTGTGTGTGTGATGAGGTGTGGTGATAATTTGTGGTGATGGGGGATTTATATAGATATTTTAATTCTATATTTATTTATTTAAACACATCATCACAATCATCATCATCAAAAGCAATACAAGATACATATAGATAGGCTTATGGATATTGTGCGTGTTTGTGAGGAAAATGTATAGTTACTTGTTTGAGTAATTGTACATGTACATATGCAGGTATAAGTGGATATAGGGAGGGAATAAAAAGAGAAAGTAGAAAAGAGAGTGTTGATTAAAGTTGTCTCTTTATCTCTTTTTTATTTGTTTTAATTTTGTGAGTGTGTTTGCATTTTATATTAAATAATTGATTGTGTGTGTGTGTTGTGTGTTGTTTGGTGGTGTGTGAATTTAGTGTGTGTGGGATTGACAGACTCTTTAAATAAAAATTAAATATATATAAACGGGATTATCAACTAAACATGTTATAAAAGAATGAGAAAGGAAAAAAAAAATCCAGACGATCTATCAAATATATATTTATTATTAATGTGGTGGGGTAACTAGAGAAGGTGGTAAAAGACATGTATAATTAATTTTTATTCAACAAGAGTGTGAGTGTATATGTTTGTGGGAAATATGTTTGTGATTTGAAACATTTGATTGATAATTGTTGATTTAATTAAATGATTGTTGTTATTCCCTTGTTCTATTAATAACAATTTGACACCTCCACAAAACAACAATACAACATATTAATAAACTTTTTGATGCATTCTACAAAACTGGATTGTTAATCCGTAATTTGTTTAATTGAAATTTGATTGGGGTTTTGCTTAATTGATTGATTGATTGATATTATTTAGTATGAATTGATTATTAAAAGTTGTTTAGTAAAATATTATTATTAGATGCGTAATATAAAAGTACTAGAGTATAGTCAAGTGTAATAATAAAGAATTATGAGATTGATGTTATTATTATTTGTTTTTAGTTGAAGACGATCTACTACTACTATTGTTTATTGTTTGTTGTTAAAATTAATTTGATTGATTTCCTATTTTAGTTAAAATATGGAAAACAAAATAAATAAAATAAAGTCACTATAGAGGAGGTAGGAATAGGGAGTGTGTAGAATTGAGAAATGAATCTAATATATATTATTTTATTGTCATTTACCTTTCTATCAATTATCTCTGTTTTATTTTTTAATCGTGGAATGAAATTTTAAATATATATACAGGTAACTTTTTTATTTTTTTGCTAAATTAACTACTATCTACTCTAATCGAACTATTTTTTATTACTACTTTTACGACAACTACTACTTCTACTACTACTTTTATTATAAATTTTATTATTTATGACTAAAATTACTGATGAATGATATATTAAAACTAATTAAAATTTTAAAACTATTCTTTGTAGTAAAGTTTTGATTACCACGACTAACGACTAATATAGACAATGATGACTATGATGATGATGATTAAGTTGTTGTTATTTTAATAATTATTCATTACCAAATACCAAAAATAAAATCGATCACCGTACTTCTTTCTATTCTAACACTTTTATTCTATATAATTCTTTGTTCTTCTCAAAAAAAAAAATAAAATCAAACAATTATTTTTAATTTGGGGCTTTGATTTTATTGATTGACTGATTTTTTTGGTTTTGTGATTATTTTATTTTATTTTTGTTTTTTTTTTGTTTGTAAATTCTCGAATATTTTATAAAGATTTGATCAAAATAAAGATCGATTCGGATTGTCACCAACAAATAAAAATAAAATAAAATAATAACAAACAAACAAAAAATATATATTCTATTCTATTCTATTTTTTTCTATGAAAAATTTCTTTTACTAAAAAATAAAAAAAAGAAGATATATTTTTGATAGATAGAAATAAATATAGATAGTTAGTTTGGTTGGTTTTGTGGATGAAATTTTGAGGAAGTGGAATGAGCGACGTGTTGTTTGATGTTTGTTGGTGGAACAAAAAAAAAAAAAAAAAGATGAAAAAGAAAGAGAGAGAAGAAGAGTGTTTCTCTTTTTAGGTGATGATGTAAGAGATAAGACAAAATAAAAAATCAAAAAATCAAAAAAAAAAAAAAAATAGAAAATCAGAAAAAATCAAACAAAAAAAAAAAAAGTGATCAAAAAATGTGCTTTTAGGTGAATTTATAAATATCCGATTTTTTTTGAAAAACACATCATCATCATCAGATTCAAACCTTTTCATTGTGACAATTTTTTGATAAAAATCCAAAAACCAATAAATAACGTTATCCTATTAATCTTTATGTTGGCACCTTTTTTAAATGTTTTGATAAATTCAAATTCAAAAAGAAATCAATTTGTTCATTTGAGATTGGAAAAGAAAACAAAAAACTAAAACCAAAAAATTATGTGTTTTTTTTTTTACATTAATTTTTTGTTTTTTTTAAATTATTAAAACTAAAATTTGATTTATCAGATAATTATTTCGTTTGATTTTGTTTTTTTTTTTGAAAATATTTTCATTTAATATTTATTAATCTTATAAATATTTATTTCTAACAATATCACTATATTTTTTTGTTTGTTTTAAATTGAACAATTATTTAAAAAATTCAAGTGTTTTTTTTTTTTTTTTTCAATTTTATCAATTTTTTTTTTGAATCGAATAACAATAGTTTTTTTTTTTTTTTTTTTCAGTTTACTAGATTGTTTTAGTAAAAAAAGCATAGAAATAATTATATAATAGTTTGATTATAAATATAAATATAAAACTATAATTAGATTAAAGAAAGAAAGCAGTAAAGAATGACTTCTTTAGGTGGAACTACACTTGGAGGTGGTGGTGGAAGTGGAGGTAATTCTTCGACAACTTCAACAGGTACAATGTTGGGAACATCGATTGGTGGTGGTGGGGGTTCTGTAACTTCTATGAACACTACCACTACTCTTGGTAGTAGCAGTAGTTCTGTAGGAACAACTCTATCGGGATCATCGTCAAGTTCCGTTCTAAACAACAGTGGTGGATCGATACCAACAACAACAACAGCAGCAGCAACAAAGAAACGTCAACAAAAGAAAAAGAAAGCAACTACCACTGGCAGTAGTGGCGACGTCACAATGGCGGTAGAGAAAATATGTTACTTACCGCAGTCGCAGTCCGACGATGAAGGTATACTCGACTATAAGGTGGGTGGCTATCATCCGGTGAGCAAAGACGACGTTTTCAACGGACGTTACCAGGTGATCGACAAACTCGGTTGGGGTCACTTCTCGACGGTGTGGCTCTGTCTCGATCGTGACTCGAAGCGAAACGTCGCGTTGAAGATCGTGCGAAGCGCCAAGTCCTACACGGAGACCGCCGAGGACGAGATCCAGCTGCTCACTGCCAGTGCCGGCACGCACACAGTGGCGACGCTACTCGATCATTTCATACACAAGGGACCGCACGGCCGTCATGTCTGCATGGTTTTCGAAGTGCTCGGAAACAACTTGCTCGATCTCATCAAACACTACCGCTATCGAGGCATTCCACTGACGCTCGTCAAATCGATCATGAAACAGGTCATCATCGGACTGGACCATCTTCACACCAAGTGCAAGGTGATACACACCGATCTCAAGCCGGAGAACGTACTTCTCTGCAAGTCGTTCGACACGCACTCTGAGGATTTCACATGGGGTCAACTATATGGATTTTATAAATACAATAACAAACAACATCAACAGCAACAAGCACAACAACAACAAGAGCAATCATCAACAACTTCAAATTTGTCGTCTGTCACAGCAGAGACGGCATCGACATCAACATCAACATCGACTTCACCAACTTCCTCCACTATTTCATCGACTTCACCACCATCCACAACAACAACAACAAGCAACAACAACAGCAGCAGCAGTAACAGCAATAGTTTATCTACAACTTCAAAAGAACGGCAACTCTCAAGAGAATCTTCACTCAACAAGAGTAGCAGTAGTCACAAGAGTGGTAGTAGCAGCAACACTACACATCCAAGAGATATTGAAGGGAATGGAGAGGATGATCTTAAAAAGATAAGAAATAGCAGCAATAACAACAACAATGTTGATAATGATATTGATATGGATAGTAATAGTAACTCCAATTTGAACTTTGTCAATGGAAAGTCTTTTGTTATCGATAATACAAAGAGCAGTGAGTGTCTGACAGAGACACACTATCCAGAGGTGGAGATTGTCGATCTGGGCAACGGCTGTTGGATCGATCGTCACTTTACAGACGACATTCAAACGAGACAGTATCGCTCGCCCGAGGCAATCGTTCGTGGCAAGTGGTCGACTCCAGTCGATATTTGGAGTGCGGCGTGCATGGCATTCGAGTTGGCGACGGGCGACCACCTCTTCAAACCAAAGTCTGGCAAGTCCTTTGATAAATCCGACGATCATCTCGCACTGATGATCGAGCTGCTCGGTCGATTCCCACGATCGATCACCAGCTTGTCGTCACGCTCCAAAGAGTACTTCAACCACAAGGGTGAACTGCGACGTATCACCAAGCTCAGTGCTCAGTGGCCACTATACAACGTGCTCACCGAGAAGTACAAATTCTCACACCGCGAGGCATCGGAATTCGAAGAGTTCCTCCTACCGATGCTCAATTACAACCCAGAGAAGAGAGCTACCGCCAGAGACTGTTTGAATCATCCATTCCTCAATAGCGTACCTCCTTTTAACACAAACATATAAAAATAATCAATAATAATTATAATCAATAATAACAATATATATAAACAAAAACAATCAAAAAGGATAAAAAGTTTAAAATTATTCTTTCAAAAAATAAAATAAAAAAAAAAAAAGATAAAATAAAAAAAGATAAAAAATAAAATAAAAATAAAAAAAATTAGAAATTATTTAAAAGTTATAAAGTCATTTGTAAATATATATATATTTATGTTTATTAAATTTTTTTTTTTTTTTTATACAAATAAAATTGATTAGATTTGAACTTGAATGAAATAAAAAAAAAAAAAAGACAAATATTTAATTTTAATTTTTTTGCAAAATTTTGCATAATTATATTGTGTATGTTTCGATTGTGTTGTGCTATTTCTGTTTATTTATATATTCAAGTATTTTTTAATTAAAACGAGTAAGTTTTTTATTTTTTTATAATAAAAACAAATAAATAATTTGTTTTTCGCATCAAAGTAAAAAAATAAAAAAAAGAATAGATAAATAAATAGTATTTTTTATTTTTTTAAAAGTAATAACTTAATTAACTTATTTATCTATTTAATAAACAGTCTATCGCATAAAAAAAAAAACCATAATAGTTGTAATTTTTGTTTTTATAAAAAAAAAGTTGGAAATTAATTAAAAAAAGTTCAACTAATATATTATTCAATTTAAACAACATTCAAAAAAAAAAAAAAAAGTATTTACTTTGATAATTATATCTTTTCTTTCATCTTTTGTCTTGTTATCGTCACATGTAATAATCATAATCATAATCATCAAGATCAAGATCAACATTCACTATTTAATAACAAAAACACTTTTTATTATACTTTAAGTATAATCTTTAAACTTTGACTTGACTCGAATATCTAAACTACTATTCTCTTAATCTATTTTATCTTATCTATTCGCATTATCTTCTTTCTAATAATCAATAAATACATACATTACATACATACTTATATTGTTGATATTATACAAATCAAATATTAATTTCAATTTTAAATAATCAATTTTTTTTTATAGAGAAAAACAAAACAAAACAAAACTAAACAAAAACAAACAAAAAAGCAGTACTTTGGTTTCTTTTCTTTTCTTTTTTTTTATTTTTTATTTTATTCTTTATCTATCTAATTTAATATTCCTTCTTGTAAACAACGTTGGAATTGTCGATTGGATTCAGAGTAGAAAAGATAAAAAATAATCATAAAAAGGAAAAGTTAATTTTATCCTATATTGAAGAAATAGACAGTGCCTACATATAGTGTTGCATGGACAGACAGAAGAAACGGAAATCTAGCAGCAGCGGCATTGAAGAGAACAATAAAAGTTCATCATCAACAACTTCAGAATCAACATCTAAAAGCAAAAATAACAATAACAATAGCAATACACCAACAACCACAACAACAACTACAACATCAACATCACCATCACCATCATCATCAACTAGTGCAGTTCCTGGAACACCAACATCACCTTTTGTTTCAATAATCAGAACTCGTTCCCAAATCGCTGCGGCTAATGCATCTGCCAAATTATCATCATCCTCACTAGATACCGATAACAACAACAACAACAACAATAATAATAATAGTTCAGAATCAACTACTACAACTACAACTACTACCACTTCATCATCATCATCATCATCTCCATCTTCATCATCAAAGAAACAATCAAAGTAAGTGTATATTGAATAATTGTAAACAATTTATAAATTATATTACTAATATCTTTTTTTATTTTAGAACACCAAGTAAATCAAAGAAAACAACTACAACTACAACATCAACAACAACACCTTCAAAATCACCAGCTTTATCAAAGAGAAAGAAAGCTAGTCCAACCACAACAGCAGAGGCATCAAAGGAAAAGATAAATCATCAACCATTAAAAAAGAGAATGACATCAAAGAAGCAATCAGCATCAAAGGAAATGGAAGACAACATCGATAGTTCAATGATGGATGACAAGGATGAATCTATGGCTACTACCAGTACAACAACAACAACCTTGTCATCTTCACAAGAAGACACTAATAATAATAACAACAACAATAACAATAATAACAATTTGACATCACCACCTACATCGCTACAAGGTTTAATGAGAGGTATTACAGGTGCTTTGATGGATGAACTCGCCAATTCACAGGGTTTCAGAGGTGGTTCACGGGAAGGATTGATAAATACACTGATAGAGGGTCGTTCGCGTTTGAAGCAGATTCTCTCTGGTCTCAAGAGTGACGATGAGTCGTCACAGATGGAGTCGCTCATCGAGTTGTGCGAACTTCTCTCGATTGCTACTGAGGATACAATGGCTGGATTTCCATCGGATTCGTTTGCACCGGCACTCGTAAATCTACTGAATATGGAGCACAACCCCGAGATGATGTTGCTGGCCTGTCGTGCAATGTCCAACATGATTGAGGCGCTACCCGGCTCGGTGTCGTCCGTCGTCAGCCATCAAGGTATCGTCACACTCATTGGCAAACTTCTCTCAATCGAATATATAGATCTGGCAGAGCAATCACTCCAGACTCTCGAGAAAATCTCACTGGAACAGCCAACCGCTGTGCTTCGTGCCGGTGGTCTGATGGCAGTTCTCTCTTATCTTGACTTTTTCTCCACTGGCGTCCAGCGTATGGCGCTATCCACCGCTGCCAACATCTGTCGTCAGATTCCACAAGATTGTTTCGAGATGATCAAAGACAGCATTCCAATATTATCAAATTTATTAACTTATTCTGATGCAAAAGGTAATAACTAACTTCTATTAGTAAAATAATAATAATTAATTAATTCTAACATTTAATATATCTATTTCTTTTTAAACATTATAGTTTTAGAACTGGTTTGTTTATGTTTTTCTAGATTGGTAGATAGTTTCTATGATTCAGAAACAAAATTACAAACAATAACTAGCGATGGATTGATTACACATTTAGTTAGAATATTAAGTGGAATGAATACAAGCACTATTACACTCAGTGCAACTACATACACTCAAATCATTAGAATCCTATCGAATATCTGTCATGGCTGTCCAAGCTTGACACGTGTAGTACTTCAAGAGAGTATTGCCAATATTATACAATCGATATTGTGTCCATCGGACAGTGATGCCAGTTCAATGAGTCGTTCCAATCAACAGTCTTATGAGATCTTGTCGTTGATCAATGAGTTACTACCGCCACTTCCCGCAGAATTTAGTGCACTCGCTTCCACCGGTCAGCGGTCACTTCGTAAGAAGCGTGAATCCGCTGGCGAGAAAGAGGATGCCAGAATCGAGATTTACCGTGAGCAACCAGAGCTCCTTAACAATCTAGGTAAAGGATTGTTTATAGTCTTGGTGGAGATGTTCACTTCCACTGTGAATCCAGCCGTTCGTTACAAGTGTCTCGGTTCCATCTGCAAGATTCTCTACTTTTCGACACCGGAGATGTTGACCGAGTTGTTGAAACACTTTGCATTCAGTTCGTTCTTGGCTGGTCTGCTTGGTTCGCGTGATATGACCATCGTGTCGAACGCCCTCAAGATCTCAGAGATGATGCTCGAGAAACTACCATCGATCTTTGAGCGCTACTTTAAGCGTGAGGGTGTCATCTATGAGATCGATCGTCTCTCCAAGCTCGAGCCAATTCTAAATACAGAGAGTCAGCAATCGAGTGCTGGCATCACAGGACAATCATCGTCACCATCGAAATCGCATGCCTCTTCCTCTTCCTCTAGCTCCATTCCCATCTCGATTCCGACCACTCCACAACGTGGAATCCCACCACCTCTGGCCAGCTCTCCATTTGGCGCAAACTCATTCTTTGTTGGTTCACCAATGCAATTCCCTCCAAACACACCGTCATCGTCGGTACCTTCTCAATCGCCACTGACTGCCACCACTACCACAACTACAACATCGGTAACAAGCGGAGGCAGCACATCGTCGCCACCCGACGACATGAAATCATTTGTTTGTAAGGAAGCACGTAAATTCAAAGAGAAATATCTTTCATCAAAGGATTTCACCAATGTCGACAGTCTTTCAACTGACGAGTTGAAGTCACTCAAGAATCTGAGTGACCGTCTGTACAGGTGCTACAACGAGGCTGGAATAGAGGTGCTTCAAGAGATCAGTGCTTGTCTCACCACAAAGGAGGGTGTCTCTGCATTCGAGTTCCTCCACAGTGGTCTGGTATCGAGCATCCTCTCCTATTTGACTCGTGGCGACGTCAAGAATCATGTAGAGTGTTTCTGTAGGGTGTTTTTAGTGCCATACAAGAATGAGAATCGAACTATTTCCTCTTCTCCTATCAAACCGTCGAGCAGTCACACCATTCTCCTCTCACTGTTGGTCCAAAAGTTGCACGATGCACTGACCAAAGTTGAGCGTTTCGCAATTAACATCAATGAGGTCGGTGGAACCAGCTCTGGATTGAAATACCTCGCACAGCCATTCAAGTTGAAGTTGGTCAAAGAAGGTTCCGACGATTCACTCAAAGACTACTCACTGAATGTCGTGTTGATCGAACCACTTGCTACTATCACAGCGATCGAGGAGTTCTTGACATCACGTGTCATTCAGAAGCAACAGGCCGACGCCACTCCGACCACTCCAACCAAGACTGACAGCAGCTCACCGAAATCATCGACACCAATCCACTCGTCGACTAGCATCAAAGAGAAATCGGAGGATGAAGACGACGATGAAGACTACCACGACGACTACGAAGACGACGAGTTGTTGCAAAACAACGAAGATGTAAACGAAGGAGAAACAGAGCCTGTCCACGATGTAAAAGTCAGCGATGCTTCACTCTCCTCATCTGGCACCATTCCAGTGCCAACCAGCAACACATCGACCACCACCACCACAACTACAACCACCAGTAGCAGCAGCAGCAGTAGTAATGCTGCTCCATTGGCTTCCTCCTCCTCTGCATCATCTTCCTCACATGTGCAACCAAACTCACCAATGTCTACAACCCCACCACAAACACCTTTGACAGCATCTTCATCAAGTGTACAGCCAGGCTCTTCAGGACCAGCACCAAAGCTGGCAATCTTTGTAGATGGACAACGACTTCTTCCAAGTTTCACCATATTCCAAGCTGTTCAAAAGATTGCAAAATCATCAAGTTCACTTTTGGTCGCCAATAACAATAACAACAACAATAATAACAACAATAATAGTTCGTATGGTATCGATCAATCCAATGAAGGTTCAATACCAACTAATAGATTATGGGAAGGTACTCACACCTTGAAGTATCGTTATTTGACACCGTCAGAGATTGAGCAACCCAACTCACAACAACTCGCAGCAACCACAACCAAACCATCGATTAAAAATTTAGGTGAATCGAGTGTTGTCAGTTTCCTCGAAGAAGGACACACCTTCCCGCTGTCATCGAACGATACCACCTACGAGATTATATCACTACTCAGAATATTATATACATTGAACTTTAGTCATACTCTACAGTCGACCTATGCATTCGACAAGAACTACATATCACAGACAGAGTTTGTTTCACAGAAACTCACTGCCAAGGTGATGCGTCAGCTTCAAGATCCATTGGCACTGTGTGGTGGTGCACTTCCCGATTGGTGCAAGCAACTACTCACCTATTGTCCATTCCTCTTCCCATTCGAGTGTAAGCGTTTATTCTTCTACTCCACCTCGTTTGGCATTGCAAGAGCTCTGTCCACTCTCCAACAACGTCAGGATCTCATTCGCCAGACACACGATTCGCGAAGTGGCCAACAAGGAGAGGTGCGTGTCGGTAGAATCCAGCGTCAAAAGGTTAGAATATATAGAAACCGTATATTGGACTCTGCCGTCAAGGTGATGGAGTTGTACGGAAAGACCAAATCAATCTTGGAGGTTGAGTACTTTGGCGAGGTCGGTACTGGATTGGGTCCAACCCTGGAGTTCTTCACATTGGTGTCTCGTGAGGTGCAGAGAAAAGATTTGAATCTCTGGTACTGCGACTCTGAGAGTTTGGTCGCGAATGCTGACAGCACCTCACCTTATGTATATAATGCCGGTGGATTGTTCCCCAAACCACTGATTCCTGGCACCGTGCCAAAGAAGATTCTCGACTACTTTAAATTCTTGGGAACCTTTGTTGCCAAAGCATTTTTCGATCAGAGACTGGTGGATCTTCCACTCTCAAAGCCATTTTATAAATATATGACCAATAAGGATCTATCGTTTGAGGATCTCAAAATTATTGCACCATCCCTTTACAATTCACTTGCCAGTCTTTACAAAGTAGTTCTCAAGATGAAAGATATCAACAACAACACTCAGCTGAGCACTCAAGAAAAACAAACCGAAATTTCCAAACTTAGAATTGATGGTGCCACAATCGAAGATTTATGTTTAGATTTTGTTTTACCAGGTTATCCAAATTGGGAACTTAAAGTAAGAGTTATTTAATAAGATTGATTTAATTAACTAGATTTATTATATTAACATAATAATTATTTTTGTTTTAAACTAGGAAAATGGAACAAATATTAATGTTACATTAAATAATTTGGAGGAATATTTGAATTTGGTGGTAATGAACTTTTTATATTCCGGTGTGATTCAGCAGATCGATGCTTTCAAAGAGGGATTCAATCAGATCTTCCCTCTCACTTCACTCGGTCCATTCTCGATACAGGAGGTTGAATCGTTGTTGTGTGGTTCACTGACAGGTTCCGATAACGATTGGACAGTGGATTCATTGATGGAGAGTACCAAGTGTGACCACGGATACACCAACTCGAGTATTGCCGTTCAGAACTTCTTTAAGATTCTCTCTAATTTCACACCGGACGAAAGAAAACAGTTCCTCCTTTTCATCACTGGTAGTCCACACCTTCCGATCCAAGGCTTCAAGGGTCTCAACCCTAGACTCACCATCGTAAAGAAGCACAACAACCCACCGGCATCTGCTGACGATTCATTACTTAGTGTCATGTCATGTACAAATTATATCAAACTTCCAGATTACACCACCAAAGAAATTATGAAAACAAAGCTTATATACGCAATGAAAGAAGGTCAATCATCTTTCCATCTTTCTTAAATCAACATTAACATTAATAACAATAATAATAATAATCCAATATAAAAAACTGGTACCTTTTTTTTTAACAATAAAATAAAATTATTTTTTTCCTAATAAATGCATTGATCAATCATATAATTTCATTTGATTCACTATTTATCTCTATATATTGCAAATTGGTAAGTTCCCATTATTATGAGTAGCAATTTAATTTTATTAGAATTTTTGTTTTCCCAATTTTTGCAATTCATGAAATATTGATTAAAAAAAAAAAAGATCTCTAAAACTGATTATTTTTTCATGTAAATTATATTGTTATAGTTATTAAAGTTTTATATAAAGATGGATTCAGATACAATAGATCTTAGTGTTACTTTAAATGCCCGTGATCATCTTAAAGAGACAATAGAAAAGCTATATACTCAAGATGAGAAATTAATTTTAGAATCTCTTGAAGATATAAGAGCATTGATATTTGTATGTGAAATTCATATCATGATAGTTTGTAAAGTGTTTCTAACCATATTTAAAAATGAAATTAAGAATGATATGACCGATAAATATTTATCAATGGGTTTGATACCAAGAGTTTATAATCTACTATGCAATGGATCAACAGAAATACAGATACAAAGTGCTAGAACAATAAGAATAGTATGTATTAGAATCATTCCTCTGTCAATTAATCTATCTATCTTTATCTATTTATCTTTATTAATATTAACAAAGAAACAACAATCGTAATATATATTTGTTTTTAGATATCTAAAGGTGATGCTAATGATTGCAGAAAATTGATAGTAGATGGTGGTTTAGATATATTGTAAGTAAAGATGATGATGATGTTTATTTAAACATTAATGTTTGATATATTCGTAAACTAAACATAAACACTTGTTAGGTTAAACTTTTTAGAATCACCTAATATTCAGGTTGTACTATATATTTTAATTACTCTGTCAAATATTGTTGGTGAATCGACAGAGTTGCGAGATGAATTAATGAATGCCACTTTGATATCATCAGTGCTGAGGGTTATAAACAGAATCGGTGATTCGAGCGAGAGCACAATTGAATCGATTAGAATTGCAATTCTTTGGTTATTTGCAAACTTTTCATTATATTCTCCAAGACCACCAATGATTTTGGTATGTATATTTAAATTCTTACAGAAGAATGAATAGGAATGAATGGAATGAATGAATAATAGATTAACTAAATAATCTACATTCAAAAATATAAATTTTAGGTTAGCAGATATTTTAAATTTATATCAGATAGTTTGGATTCATCAAATCCTTTGATCATTAAAGAAGCACTCAGTGGATTGGTTTTCATTGCAAAGAACACCTATTCGAACGTCGACTACCTACATGGTATCATCAATTTGGTAAAGCAATACAAAGTATTTCCAAGATTATTTAAATTTCTGGAACATGATCGTCCTATAAAAATGTAGATAGATTAGTTAAAAATATAGATGTTTGATATCTTTTTACTAAAATTATTATTCTTTTTAAAAAATAACAGGCAATTGTTACCAGCACTTACATTTATTGGTGATTTACTATCAGGAAGTGATTTACAAACACAAACTGTATTGGATTTCGGAGTGTTTCCATATTTGGCAAGTGTAGTTCAGAGTGTTAAAGACATGGAAGTGGTCCGTGTTTCACTTTGGGCAACATCAAACATTGCGTGTGGAACACAGGATCAAATCAAACTGGTCATCGACTCTGGTATATTAAAGTTTATAATCAACCTAAATCTAACTGAATTTAAATCAACCGTATTAAGAGTAACTATCGATCTTTATTGTGAAAACAAATCAAAAAAAAAAAAAAAAAAAGAAGAAACATTAATTCTAATTTAAAATATCAGGAAATAGAATTTATATTTACAAATATAATAGAATCGGAGATTTACGATTATACCAAATTGTTAATAGTCGACCTGGATGCTATCGATTTCTTCATCAAATTATTTGAGATTGGTAAATATGAAAGAGCCTATAGTTTTTTCCCATTGTACAAGGTAATGGCAAGCTTGTTGAGTATGTCTGATTCTCGACCGGAATTGGAAATTCAATCGAGATTTAAAAGACATAGATTCCACAAGAGATTATCAACATCTAGGCTTAACGCTTTTTCCCAAGCTCTTTTTGAGGATTTTGGTATGGGTATTGATTTTGAAAAAGATTATACCTGTTTCTCTGTTACAAATAAATAAATAAATAAAATAAATCAATCAAGTTGTATTTGATTGTTTGTTTCTTATTGAGAAAAGTGTATGTGATGTTTTTTTTTGATAGATAAATTATAAAATCTTGATTCTATTAAATAAAGAGGAAAAATATTTCAAACTGTTTATTCAATTATATATCCAATCTGAATCTCCTAATTTAATAAGATCAATGATTTCTCTCTCAGACAAATCATGAATTTCTATTAAACCAGGAGAACATGAGTGGCACGGAATTTCTAAGGATGAGGGACATCGCTTAGAGTTGGAAGTTTCCAAGTTTGTTTCGATCTTGATTAAAAAAGAGACTTTCACTTCATTTTGATAAACCTGATTCTCCTATTATTATTTTTATACTGCTTGTATCAGATGAAGATGAAAAAGATACTATGATTAAGGTTGATTATTATTTGCTGTATTATACTCTTTTTTTCTATCTTTTGTTTCTAATAGTTCCAAATAAATTTTTTTGTTATTTTCCATGCTTTAACAAATTAACTATTCCAAACAAACCTTTTTTTTGTTTAATTTTCGATCAGTTTCATTTTGCTGTGATTACCAAAAAATAAATAGGAATTGATTAAATAATAAAATTTTCATATTACTAAAGTTCTTATTAATTATTTTAAAAAAAATGATTCAGATTAGTAATAAAAAAGAACTTATAAATTAAATTTCGAACAGGGACAAAATAACAAAAAAAACTTAAATTTTCAATACAAAACTTTCTTGGCGGGTTAAAATTATTGCTGAGTGGTGCACTTGTAGAGATGTGAATGGTTTCACATGATGATGAGCTGATGCTTGAACTAATAATACTTTTTTCAACTGTAACTTCATTGCCTAAAGTAGTGTTACATGTTCCTGAACCCATGGTGACATTGATAAGATAGAATCCAGGTGGTAAGGATGGATTGTTGGTGTTGTACACTGTTCCATTGATTGTATAGATATCACCACCATAGAAACTTGAAAGTTTGACAACTCCATTGGTACCTTGAACACATTGATTGATTATATTAGCTTCAGTTGAGAATTCCTTTGAATTTATAAACTGTCATATAGTATTTTCGCACATATATCTATCTCTGTTGGAAATGGAAAGGGTGTATTGTCCAGGATACAAATTTGTAAAGTTATTAGTAGTTTTTTGTCCAAATTCAGGCAATGCATATAAACTCTCGAAATCAGTGAATAACTTGTAGACATGATCAGATCTTGGATTGTTAACTGATATGAATCCATCTCCACCTAGACAGCTGGATTCTCCAATTAAAATGGTTGGCATTGGTATATAGTTAAATGAATAGAAACCATTACTCCTATCCATAAGCTGCACCAAAGGTTTTGTTAAAAAATGAGATAGATCCACCATTGAAGGTAGGGTATATTTCCTTTTTTGGATTTAAAAATTCCAAACTTTAATTTCCAAAATCAACAACAATTTGTTTTTATATCACACTTTACCACTTTCTTCTCGCTCAATTTGACTTTGACTGACAATTTGACATGATTAAATATAAATTAAATCTTAATAAATATATTTATTTGTGATTTATGTCAGTCTAAAAGTTATCAAAAACATGAAAAATAAATTTAATGATGTGGCAAAAAAAAAAAGAAAAATATATTTGTTTAAAGTGATTGGGTTTGTGTTCGAAAAGGAAATTATGAAGTTCACTTTGTTTCTCTACAATAGTATTTGAAGAAGTAGTTACAATAGTTATTAACAATGATATTTAAACAGCTCTATACAGTCTACCAATATAATAATAAATTTAATATTTTTTTATTTTTATTTTAGTTGTTGTTTTTGTTTTTGTTGTAACATTAAAAGAACTTTGAAAATCAAACAAAAAAAAAAAATTAGATAATTTTATTTTCTTCACACTAAAAAATTGGGTTTTCTGTTTTTTTTAACAGATTTAATATTTGTTTTATTTTGATTTTGTTATTTATAACATTAAGAATCAATCCCATTAATAAAGAAAACAAAACCTATCAAGAAGCTTTTAAGTTAACAATGTCAATTGATTAGACATGGAATAGGCTGCATAAACGGGATTGTGCTACATCGAAAATGAAATTTATCCTACTGTCAATTAGCAATAGTCGTCCGCCGCGGAAGAAGAGGCAAGCTATACAGCTTACTCGCAAAACTAGTGGATCTGTGCTTGCAACAGCAATCACAGTGAAACAAAGCATTTCCTAAACATTGTCAAATAGATGATGTTTACAACTTCCCTGCGACGACCCACAACCACCTAAACCATAACCTTTTGTTGTTTAATAAATAAACAATCAAATCAATTGAATATTTTAAAGTGGAAATGAAAGAAAAATAAACAATTTTTAAACAGAAAAATCAAATTAAAAGTTTTTTTTTTTATTTTATTTCAAAACTATTTTTTTTTTTTTTTTAAAAAACTTAAAACACCCAGCTGGTCAGATCTTTTTAATATATTCTTTATTAAAAAATACATAGATATAGCAATGATAAAAGCAATACTTATTATAAATAATCATGGTAAAGCCAGATTAACAAAGTTTTATGAACATGTTGTAGGTGTTTAGTTTAATGTTTTTAGTTTTAATCTAGGTTTAGAGGTGGTTTATATATTACACTTTATTTACATATAATTAACGATAATTTCATATAATATAAAAGAGTGTAGAGAAACAACAACAGATAATTAGAGATCTATTCTTATTGGTATCAAAGAGATCGGATCGTGCATGCAATTTCTTAGAGGTTGAAGATATTTTCGATAAAGACACAAAGATCATCTATAGACATTATGCTACACTTTATTTTATATTCGTTGTCGATTCATCAGAGAGTGAATTATCTATGATCGATCTTATTCAAACCTTTGTAGAGACTCTTGATAAATGTATGTTTACAAAACAATAATCTATTATTGATAAGTTATTATTTGTTGTTTTAATAGTATACTAATTTATATTAAATAAATAACAATAATAGGTTTTGAAAATGTTTGTGAATTACATTTGATTTTCCATATTGATAAGGTATGTCTCATTCGAATATAGAGATAGCAGTAATCGGATCGGATGATTGCTGGTTGTTGTTGTTGTGCACAATTTAAAAAGTTTATTAATATAACAATTATTGTTTGTTTTTAGGTTCATTATATATTAGATGAAATAGTAATGGGTGGATTGGTGTTGGAAACCAATCCAAATATTGTTGTATCAAATTATGAAACTCAAAATAAGATAGAGAAATCAGAGAATCCATTGTTGGCTGGATTCCAGGGTGTATTACAAACAATCAAACCAAAATAAACATCCAATCAATACAACCAATAGTAATAATATCATCATAACAACAACACAACAACAACATTTTATCATTCACCACACTATTTAAATACAGTATATTAAGATTATATCGATCAAAATCAACCTCTACCCAAAAAAGTAATAATAACAATACCCAAAATCAACAAAGTGAACGACTAATTAATTAGTTCATTTTGTTTTTTAAAACTTCAAAAACACTTGTCTTCTTTCAATAAAGATATGTAATTAAAGTAATAACAAAATTGATATCGAAAAGATCTAATTAAAATAACTATTGCTTATGTCATTTTTTCTATTTTATTTTTAATTTTTTTTGTTTTTTTTGAAATGATGACTAAATCCATCATCACTTGTTTAATTAATTAGGCTGTAGTTTAAATGATAGATTCATAATTTAAGCATTAAAAGTGAACTTTGTTTTTATAATCTATTATTATTAATAGTAAATATATATATATATATCAAATATATTATATAAATAGACTAAAATGACAGGATCATGGGTATTTTTTGCTATGGGTGCAATAGTTGCAAAGGCTGTACCTGCTATCACTTTTATTGAAGGTGGTTGGAGATATATGGGTGTAAGTATACAATAAAAATAAATTGTTATATCATTAATATAGAGATATATATTAAAATTATATTTATTAAAGGGTGCTTCAATTGTATTTCATGGTATAAAAACATATGTCTTTGGAAAGTTGATTAGAACCATTGAATACCCCGATGGTGAGATGGTATCAATCATTGTTAGAACTAATAATATAAATAGATTAAAGAATGAAGTTAGTATTGATAGAAATTCAACCAACATTGCTTTGAATAATTATAAACTAATAATAGTGATTGATCTAGATTTTAAAACATCAACCAGCACTATTTCCAGGAGTTCAAATGGATTCTTCAGATGTAAAGTTTATTTCGAGGTGGACACCACCACATTTCACAGAACCCTGTTCAAAGAATCGTGATTTAAAGATGGTTCCGGACGGTGGTGTAATTTTCTGGTCTAGATTCGAACCGATACCTAAACGTAATGTCACTCTCGATATAAAGGATAAGGAGTTGTTAAAGTTGGATCAAGCCATTCAGTTTGTTCACCGACTCGGCAAGACTATAGGCAGTGGCGTCGTCGAGGAGACTGCACGTCTCACCAGCGCCCAAGAGAATGCACTGATAGACTTGCTACTCGAGAAAGACGAAGGCGTGCTGGCACTGCATCGTAATTTCAACCAGTATCCATCGTTATTTAAATATCATGCTCTGAGATATCTCACTGCAAAAGGAAAGTTAATCGATAAGGAAGTCGTTCAACAACAACAACAAACTGTACAACAAACTACGCAACAAACAACATCTGTAAATCAACAGCAACAAGCTGCACAACAGCAAAAGCAACAACAAGCTGCACAACAGCAAAAACAACAACAAGAACTCTTGAAACAACAACAACAGCAACAGAATCAAGAACAACAGAAATCACCAACACAAGCACCCTCTCCACATGAACTAACTAATACCGTATAGTTATTAAAATTTTCAGATAGAAATAGATAGATAGATAGATAGAGATAATAGAATAGTACCATGGTTTTAAAAATAAATGGTACCAACCAAACCAAACCAACTCAACACAACCGTTTGTTTATCAAAATTTTATTTAATTATAAGATTCATAAAGGGAGTAAACCTTAAATTCTAATGGTTTGTCGTTTTGATTTAAATCATTATTATTGGTGTAATCCGGATAGAATTCAATGGATTTAGATTCCGATTTGAATAGGAGGAATCCGTTGTCAGAGAATCTACCGGCTACCGATGCTTCTACCCAAACAAACAAAGCAATTTCCTTGGTTTCGATTTCAATAGTTGATACTCTTGATTGCTCTATGGTTTGGATACTCTTAATGGTTACTCCCGATGGCTTTAGATTCAAATATTTATATGGTCCAAAGAAATAGGTGTTGTCCGCCAGTTTCTTTCCATCCTTTTCCATATATGCATAGAGGAATTGATTTTGTCTTCCATATGCATCCGGTTTACAACAGTTATTAAATAAATCACTTACTTTAACTGTGTTTACTTTTCCATTTGTAAATTCTGTCGATTTAACTTGTTCCACTGATTCATATGTTTTCTGTGCGTTTGCAACATTCCACATTTCCAAATGTAAATTACATTCATAACTAATGTTACTGTCGTTGGTTATCCAAGCTTCTACTTCCGATTGTTCATTTACAAACATTGAAAGTAAAAGTGGGTTGTAGAATCTAGTTGCGAAATAGTGGAGTGCTTTCCATGTACCGTCGAATTCAATCGATGACCAAGATGGTCCAACCCAAATATCGTTCAATTGCCAATAGAGAGTACCCATACAATAAGGTGACAGTCTTCTCCAGTGTTCACATCCAGTCTTTATGGAGATTGCTTGTAGTACTTGAGTAGTATAGCAAAGATTCTTAAATGAATTGGGAACTCTAAAGTGAAGTGCAGTGTGTTGAAGCAAACCATTGTTACCTGGTGTTGGTGATCTCTGTCTACCTTCCATCTCTGGTGAAGTAATATTGAGTTGATCCTCTCCAACGACCTGTCTAAGTGCAGCTTCTCTTGGTAGCGATTGGAATCCAAATTCAGAGAGGAATCTACTCTTAACTTTGAGATACTCAGTGAATGGTTTATTACTATGCCAAACCAACCAACAATGTTGATCACCACGTCCATCTTCATTGGGGTCACCCCATTGATTCACTCCGTTCGTAGGAGAACTCGGTAGGAAGAAGGCAGAGGGTTTCATTCGTTGAAGAGAAGGCATGATAGTCTCAATATACAGCTTGCTATAGTCGATGATATAGCGAGGTGGATTATCCTTTGATGGTTTCCAAACTGCCAATGCCTGTTCGTTTTCATTGTTTCCACACCAGAGTGCAATCGATGGATGATGTCCGATTCTATGGATTTGATCTTCGACTTCATGCTTTACATTGTCGAGGAACTCTTTGTTCGAAGGATAGAGTGCACATGCAAACATAAAGTCTTGCCAAATGAGAATACCAAGTTCATCACATAGATTGTAGAAGCTAGCGGATTCGTAAATACCTCCACCCCATACACGTAGACAATTCATATTGGCAGCCGCCGTACTAGTCAAGAGTGCACGCAATCTTTTTTCACTGATTCGCGTCAAGAAGGTATCCGCAGGAATCCAATCGGCACCACGAGCAAATATTCTTTGTCCATTTACAACAATAGTCAATTGTCCATCGGAGGTATCAATCTTCATATTTCTAATACCGATTCTACGCTTTGCCAACACCTCTGAATCTCTATATACCAACAATTCGTATAGGAATTGTTTACCATAACCAGCAGGGTACCAAAGTTTAGGATTAAAGAGTATTTTATTGGCATGTAGCTTTGAATGACCATAGGCAGTGGAATCAGTGACAAATGCAACGGTTGGTTGATCGATTTTTTGGATTGGACTGTTGTTTTCATTCGAGTATTCGACAACTTCAATTGACCAGACCGACGGTGTAGTGATGGCAGTCGGCGCAAAAATATCAATAGTCAGCTCAAGTTCCACTCGATTGTTTTCCAGATGTTTCTGTTCGACCAATAGATTTCTTATGGTTATTTCCTTGGCCATTACCTCCAGTCTGATTGGTTTCTCGATACCCATAGGACAGAAGCAAGGACCCCAATCCCAACCGAAATGACAACCATTCTTGCGAATGAAATTTCGGTGATGAATACCATTAGGATATTCCCAGAGTGGAATTTCATAGGAACATTCGGCTGCTTTCTTCTTACAATAGACAGCCGGTGAGTAAATATTGATCTCAATGCGATTGGTTCCAACCTTTAGAAAAGAGCTAACATTGAATCGATAAAGTCTGAATTGGTTTTCAACATTGGCAACTACACGCTCGTTTATAATGATGGTTGCAATGGTATCTATTGATTCACAAACCAAATCAATTTGTAGAGCTTGATCTATAGTATGTTGGTCCAACTGAAATGTTGTTGAGAATTGCCAATCAGATAATGAAATCCATCTATATTCTAACTATATTCCAATAAATTTATTTGAATGAATATATGATTGTTCTTTTTTATTTGTATATTACTTTACCTCTTTTTCACCAACATATAAATCAGGTATGACTTTATTATTCATCAAAGAAAGATGAACATCAGTTGGTATATGAACATTATTCAATTCAATGAGTTGTTCATTGCCATCGGTATAATCTTGACCATTGCCATTGACAACAAGATTTCTTCTATTTAGTTGTGTTAATTTCCACTCTAATTTATCAAATTCAATTATCTTCATACTACTTTATTCAACATTAAAGTTGTATAAATACAAAGGTAACAATGATTTTAATGAAAAAAAAATTAAATAAAATAAAACCTTTGATGATCATCATATCATTTAAAAATTAATATTAAATTATCGGGGTAGTGCTAAAAACTCTCTGGATAAAAAAAGATCGAATGAGTCAGTAAAACAACCTTTAAAAGAATTATTTTGTTTTTGGTTTATAAAAAAAAAGAAAGAAAACAATATTAATTAAATTAGATAAAGTTTATTATAAAAATTAGATTTAGTTATTATTAATTTTTTGGGATTTTTTTTAGTTGGTTATCAATCTTGATTCTAAATAAATATGGACTTGTTTGTATCACTTTTGAATGTTTGATCTCCACATCAGTATCTTGTTTTGTTGGTGTCTCAACTGAAGTATCAGGTGTTGGAACCGGTGTGTTATCAATAGGTAATCCATAGATGTCAAAGAAATGTATGAAAAAGCTCTCAGGGTGCTCAAACAAAAGGGGGGTAGTGTTTGGATCCATAGCAATTGTTATCTCAGTACAATAGAATCCAGAGATGCTTCCATTGAAATTGTCCAGTTCAGCCTCGGAATTTAGCTCACTTGGAGTGTAGAACATTGGATACTGATCGAAATACAAAGGATTGATGATGGACTCACTTTTAGTAGCTGGTTCTCTTCTATTGAAGCTGGTATTTGAGTACCGATTTCTATATTAAATTCATTACTTTACCTCTTTTTCACAAACATATAATCACAAGTATTTTATTCTCCGTTAAAGAAAGACGAACATCAGTTGGTATATGAACATTATTCAATTCAATGATTGTTCATTGCCATCGGTATAATATTGACCATTGGTGGTAACCATTGTTGGTCATAAATTAGGTAAAAAAATTAATTAAATTATCGGGGTAAAATTGGAAATTTTGCTAAAAACTATCTATCTAATGTTGATGTTTACTTTTACTAAAGGAACAATATTAGAATGTATCTACATTCATATAACTGTGTAAAATAACCTTACATCAATTAATATTCCTTAGATTAAAAGATCAAATGAGTCATTAAAAATGACATAAACTTTATGTTGATTTATTTTTAGATTGAAAAAAATAAAAATAGATATTTCAAAAAAATGTTTGATTTTTTGCTGTTTGCCCTTCAGTGAGTCACAATTTTGGACAAACTATAAAAAGTGTTTTGTAGTTTGGTTTAAACAAATCAAAAATTAAAAAAAGAAAACAAAAATTAATTATTTAATATTAGATTATTTTTTTAAAAAAATAAAATATTTTATAGCATTATTATGTCAAAGAAATTAGTTGTTGTATCACAAGCTTTCAGTAAGCAAGGTCAGAGTATTATTAATAGTTTGAGAAATAATGGTGGCTATTCAATTAGAGCTCTTACCAGCAGAACTTTGGATACTCCTCAGGCTTTGAAGCTGGTCGAGAGCGGTGTCGAAGTTGTACAGGCCGACCTTAAGGATAAAAACAGTTTGGTCAGTGCATTCAGTGGTGCGTACGCAGCATTTGTTGTTCGTCCAGCAATCCCACCAGTGGTCCCAAATTTCAGAGATGTCGAATTTGCTGCCTTGAAAACACAAGCCGATGCCGCACAAGAAGCAAACGTCCAACATGCCATCGTCTCAATGACCGACGCGCCAGTCGACGAGAACGGAAAGACTGCCATTCAAAAGTACATTGAAGATCTCCCACTTAAATACGTTTCCACAATGTATCTACAGTTTTTCTATTCCAATTTGATTGAGTTTACACCACCAAAGAAACAAGAGGATGGATCGTTCGTATTTGCTTCGCCAATCGAGGCGGACATCGCAACTCCCTACGTCGATCCATACACCGCTACAGGCCAGGTGTTTGTAGAGTTCCTCGAGAATCCAGCGGTCTACAATCGTGTCGCGCTGACAGTGGCAACGGAATCACTTACCGGTCCACAGATTGCAGAGACATTCCAGCGTGTCACAGGTCACAAAGCAACCTATCGTGTCCAGACACTCGAGCAGTACTTGGAAGCCAGCGGTTTCAACGCAAGTCCACAATACCAATATGTTGGTACTGTACTCTATCAACACTGGGTAGATTCCGTCAAGAATCCATCGGTACTCAAGAAGAATCCACCCAAACTTCACAGTGCCAACCAAAGAACCTGGGAGCAATTCCTTCAAGCTACCAAATGGCAAGGTGAAAGTTTCCAAGATTTCAAAGAAAAGAATAACTATTAAACTAACATGTTAGCAAAATTCTTAATAAAATGTACAATCTATCTATCTATCTATCTATTTTACTTTACATACATTATTACATTATTACTCATTTTATAATTGATTAAATGATTGTATTTTCTTTGATTTTTCTTGTTGTTGCTGTTGTTGTTTTAATTTCTTTGATTTCTTTGTTCTTCTTCCACCACTGCGGCCTGCTCTTGTTTTAGAACTTTGCTTTGACATTGAAATGTCATGTGCAGTATGAGTTACTTTTAACTTGCTGGTGGGATTACCTATACCACTCTTGTCATGCTTCAACGATGTCGATAGAGGATATAGTCTTCCTTGATTATCTTTTCCTAGACCACCTTGTTCTTCATCCCAACCATACTTCTCTGTCAACAACTTGTAACCTCTATTTCGCTGAGAGATATGAAAATGATTCTTTGGTGTGCCAATAACGTTGCTAGCTAATAAATGAACTGTTGATGTGATATGCTCTTGCTTTAAATCGATAGATACATCGATATTACAACTTTCACAATGATAAAAGTGTATCATAATATCTTTGATATCTTTAACATTACTATCACTATTATTTATTTCTATTGTAGTAGTAGTTGCTGCTGCTGCTGCTGCTGCTGCTGCTGCTGCTACTGTTGTTGTTGTTCTAGTTTGATTTTGTAATTTAGCTTCATACATTTCTATTCTTTTAAGAGTTGGGTTGAATAGAAGATCATTGCTCTGACGCTTTGCAATTTGTTCCCGATAGAAGTCACTTGCTAATCTACCTGATTCTATTAGTTCTTGGTGATTACTATTACTACAAGATTGCTCATTGTTTAAATCATTATAATCACTCGATTGATCGTCATATCCACTAAATATAAATCTATTCTTTATATGATTATTCATGAATCACTAACAAAAAAAAAAAAAAAGTTTACAAACTAAAAATTTTTTTAAAAAAATTTTTTTTTACTACATCTAGTATTATTATTTAAATCTTTCTTTGAATATTCATGTTTCTCTTTTTTATTTGCTAAATTTATCTTGTCTGTTATTGCTATTATAAACTGTCGATTTGGAGAGAGTTGACTCAATCATTTATATCTTCCAGAATATATCAAATAAATTAGTAGTCTTTGGAATATGACGTAAACTAAAATAATTAAGTATACTTATTTATGTTTTATAACATGTATTTTGAATATATAATATTATTATTATTTAATAGAATAGCACTGAATGCGTTATTAATATTATTTATTATATTAGATTTTTTTCAGTAGACACCTGGATCTGTATCACTCTTTAGCTAGGTGCACTCCGATCGAAAGACATAAATGATCGAGTCAACTCTCTCCAAAAACAAAATATTCAGTTCCAGAAGAAAATCGACAGTTTAAACGATAATATAATACTTCTTCTTTACTATACTTAATACTAGATGTAGAATTATGTAATTTTATAAAGTTAAAAAAATAAAATGACATTATTTAAATACCAACCACATCAAAGACAACTAGAATTTATTTGTTATAAATGTGATCACATTCACTAGTTTGTTTTGTATAAGATGCTTAATTAATCATAATTATGTTATTGATCATAAGGGATTCTATGAACATATATGGGATATAAAAAAATCATTAGTACATTTTATAAAAAACAATTATCAAACATTGTTCGACAATAACGATACAACAGAAACAACAGAAACAATCAAATATGAATATAAAATAACAATGGTAAAACCAAATTCGATCAATTACAATCGATTATAAAACAATCGATTACTTTAATGAAAATACCAAAACATCTAACTCAATGATGATAGGAAATCATATACTGTATCGACACATACTCAAGGTGTAACTTTGATCAATGTAAGCAAACTCTTTACAACCAAAGAGTTGAATAACATTGATAGCTATCGATTCAATGATACCTACCAATCGATGATTACCGTTGGTAAATACATCTATCTATTCGGTGGGCTATACCATCCAAACAAATGGTGCAAATTCTCAATAAAGACAAAATCGATTAGCCATATCGGTGTGATGGAGGGTATTGATACAGATCTCTATATATCAGCTAGCTACGATGGTTTAGATCATATCTATTCTCTATTAGATTTCATTCAATAGTAATCGAGTGATTGAAATCAATCTAACAAGTCCTACAAACACAGCCGATCACGATGAAGGATTTGAACTGACAGAAATTCTACCGTGGTCAGCTTGTCACGATGACATAGGTAATTTCTATATATATACTTCCGACAATAGATTCATTCAGTTCAACGCGCAATCGAAAGTGACTCATTGGGTGGTGTAGATCATGGTGACTTTATCTACTGCATTGAATCGAAACGATCTCAACCATTCGATCTCGATGATAAATATCGTAGAAGATGGTGTGGTGGATCTTTTTCTTTTTCAATTAACAAATAGTAATAACAATAAAATATATATATCTATCTATCTATCTATGTATAATAAATGTTGTTTTTGTTGTTTTTATTCTTAAATTCTTCCATATTTACTCTTTTGTTGATCGGAACTTGATGGTAGCGATACTTCTGTAATCTCTTTGTTCTCTACTAATATGTTGTTCAAAATGAATTCGATTTGTTGTTTGACTTGTTCTGGTGTTGCCGATGGATTTTGACGGGTGACGGCATCTGTGATGTTGGCGATGAGTGTCTCCTTTGACTTTAAGAGGTTATCACGTTTGTCGACTAGTGTCTTTAGGTTGTCCCAAGCGATATTGAAATCGTGTGTCGCTGCAGATTGTCTCTTGTAGTCTCTTACGAATACAACACCTGCCAACACTGCACACAAACCAATGACCAATATCTCCTTTCTAAGTTTACTATCGCTGGCTGCTTCTTTCGATGATGCATCATCAGTAGCATCACTATCGGTTGTTGATGATGATTTATCTTGTGAATTGTTATTCTTCTGTTGTCTCAATTGTTCTTCTTTCTTCTTGATCTCTGCATTGATTTCCTCTACCGACATTCCTTGTGTCATCTTTTTCAATTCTTCTTGCATCTGATTGACATTTTCAAGATCATTATTCTTCTTTGAGTAATTACATCTTCCAACAACAGCACCACCAACAACATTCATTGAAATCGACTGACTAACTAAACTATTTTTAAAAACATGATTATTTCTAATCAATGTAGAACTATTAACTGTTCTACTACTACTACTACTATATCTATATATATTTTTTGAAATTGATGATAACATTTGATAATAATATTTACAAAAAAAAAAAAAAAAGATAAATGTTTGATCACTGAAAATGAATTTTGATTGTGATCATAATTGCTTGACCAAATTTGGTTTTTTATTTTATTTTATTTTTTCACATAAAGAGAATGTGCATATGAATGACTGTTTATTTAAATTGCAATTATTTAATTATATACTATTGAACAAGGTTTAAGTGATTGTTTATCAAATTTATCATCGTTGAAATATTTTGCAAGGGTTTCGACAGAAGAGAGTGCAATGTCGGCATTGTGACGAATTACGTAGGACCAGAATGTTTCACTAGAGATTCCGGCGTTGTGATCGTTGAAACAAAAGAATGATCCCCACTCATAGTTCTTACCGATTCCCTTTGATTCGAAACCGGCTGTCTTTTTCTGGAGTACAACGATTTCCTCTTCGTCTTCGATCTCCTCGACGATGGCAATGGTCATCCACTTGCAATGTTGCTTCGGGGCACTGACGTCGCCAATTAAATGATCACCGACATAGCAGAACGAGATATTCTCTTTGTTGGAGTGACGACGAACCGCTTCGATCAGCGTCTGCACACTTCCATTGTGATAGACAGTCGGTGTGTTAAACTCGACGGCGTCCACCAACATCTCTTCGGTCAACTCCTTGGGGAAGTAATTTCCACCAAGGTCGTAGAATTTCGCTGGCTTTCTAAAGAACTCTGGTTTCTTTGCGTCGGCAATGATAATGTCAAAGATCGACTGGAAATCCGGTCCATATGCATAGGTCATTAGGAGATGAGTGTACTCTGACTTGGAGTTGGTGATGAGACAGACGCGACAACCTCTGCTCTTCAGATCCTTTAGCCACGCGATACACGCGTCGGTGGCGCGGTGCACAAACTTACCGGGATCCTCACGAATCTCACGGAAATAGCGGGAGTTGTAGAAATCTCCGAAACTGTGATTGAAAGAGACAACCGCTTCCTTGAGGAAGCGCATGAGTTCGCCGTGGTCGTAGCCGGTTCCATCGGGAACACCCGACTCTGCTACCAAATGGTTGATATGTCCGATCCAGAGTGGAGTCAGTGGCAACTCAAAGAATGAGTTCAAAACAAAGAAACGACCGTTGTTTGAACCACTGAATTGAGCCAACGGACGATTCTCGGGGATGACATCGGCGTGGTAGATATCATTGATTTTCTCCTTGCTAATTTGCAAGTCACCGAGGAACGCTTTCAACACATGCTTCTGACTGTCCAATTTCAACATATAACCAGTTACAGTATCGACAATCACACCACGATGTACTTGATCGATATCGAATTTTGTCTATTGGGAAACGAAATTCGTAAGTACTTACAAATCATAATTTTTATGATTGATAATCAAACAACACTTACTTTATTTAAATGTGGGAATATAGGTCCGAGATGATCCAACAGACATGAATACACAAGTTGTGAAAATGGTAGATTCTTATATCTTACAATTGTCATATCCATATCGAAACCTATGCAATCTAGATGTTTCAGCTGCTGATGCAACTCAATCTCTCTATTAACAACATTTGTTTCAATTGAATCCATTATTATTTTATTGTTACAAAGTACTGTTGACTATTTAATATATAATATATATAAATTACTAATATCTGTGAATGAATTTAAAGATGAAAAACTAATGATCTTTTTTTTTTAATAAATCTTTTTGTAGGTTGAAATTAATTCAAAAAAATCAGTCAAAATTATAACCCACCTAAATTAATTAAATTTTGGTGAAAAAAAAACTGAAATTGTGCAAACATCAATAAAAAGATCCTTTTAATTTATGAATATTCTTGAACAACAAATATTAATATAGTTCATCAATGGGATGTAATAAATAACATCTCTTTATGACATAATCATTTCAAAGTTATGAATCATAGGCAAATGATCTGTTTATTTCGGATCGTTAAGAGTAATTCTGAAAACATAAATTATAATTAAAAATTAGAGAGTTATTTAGAAAGAAATGTATTCAAAGATGAAACTTATAGTTGAGACAATTTATTTGTTTGACTTTCACTTGGACTTTATCCCATTATCTTTGCAGAAAACTTACCCTATCAGAGCAATGCTTCATCAATATTAAACCTACACCTATTTCAGAATTTTTATGTCAGTCTTCATGATTAAAATTAAAAAGATGATTGTTACTTACCAGTTGATTTTTTAACTTTCTCAATTTTATAGTTGTTTTTCACTAGTTGAAGGTTATTCATTCGTTGTCGATGATGATTGCGTCTGGCTCGTTGAATGATCTCTTACATGAACTTTGGCTGTCCAAAGTTATCTCAGACTACTTTTCTTTCTATATCATCATATTTGATGTTTGAGTACCATTCTACACTATTCTAGAATTAGTTCAATTAATAAAATAAAGTGAAGAAAGATGTGAATAAATTATTCAACAACCGATATTTTTAATTTATGTGTTTTTTTTTATTATTATTTATTATATTTCGATCGATTGATTTTATTGGTAATCAGTAAGTGGTGGACATGAACAAACTAAATTACGATCACCAAAGACGTTGTCGACTCTACCAACCGATGGCCAGAATTTAGATTCTCTGGTGGATGGTGATGGGTAGGCAGCACGTGCACGAGTGTATGGACGATCCCATGTGTCGGCGGTGATCACTGCTTCGGTGTGTGGTGAGTTTACGAGGAGATTGTTGTTACGATCGGCTTTGCCTTGTTCGATCTCAGCGATTTCCGCACGGATTGAAATCAATGCATCGCAGAGACGATCCAACTCGTATTTCGATTCCGATTCGGTTGGTTCGATCATGAGGGTGTTTGGAACTGGCCATGACATGGTTGGACCGTGGAATCCATAGTCTTGAAGACGCTTGGCAACGTCCTCAGCTTGGATACCGGTGGTCTCCTTGAAATCACGCAAATCAATGATGAACTCGTGTGCAACGAGACCGTGTGATCCAGTGTAGAGAATCTTGTAGTGGTCCTTTAGACGCGATGCCATGTAGTTGGCGTTGAGAATGGCGACCTGAGTGGCGCGCTTCAATCCGACACCTCCCATCAACTGGAGATAGACGTAGGTAATTGGGAGAATTGAACTGGATCCCCATGGAGTGGCAGAGATGGCACCGATAGCGTGTTGACCTCCGACGTTTGGAACTACAGAGTGACCTGGGAGGAATGGAAGGAGGTGACTGGCGACGCAGATTGGACCCATACCTGGACCACCTCCACCGTGTGGAATACAGAAGGTCTTGTGAAGATTCAAGTGACAAACATCGGCACCGATGTCACCTGGACGACACAAACCGACTTGAGCATTCATGTTGGCACCGTCCATATAGACTTGACCACCGAGCGAGTGAATCAAAGCACACATCTCTTTGGCACCCTCTTCGAATACACCGTGAGTCGATGGATAGGTAATCATGAGTGCAGCCAAATTGTCCTTGTGTTTCTCAGCCTTGGCACGCAAGTCTGCTTGGTCGACATTACCAAATTCGTCGCATGCAACGACCACGACCTTCATGTTGGCCATGACGGCGGAAGCTGGATTGGTTCCGTGTGCAGACACTGGAATCAAACAAATGTCACGATTCTCCTGTCCAATTGAACGGAGGTAAGCACGAATAACCATGAGACCGGCATACTCACCTTGGGAACCGGCATTTGGTTGTAAAGAGGTTCCGGCGAATCCAGTGATCTCGGCGAGTGACTTGGCGATCGAGTCAAACATCTGACGGTATCCAACGGTCTGTGAAGATGGTACGAATGGATGGATAGAGTTGATCTCTGGCCATGAAACTGGGTACATCTCGGCGGTGGCATTCAACTTCATGGTGCACGATCCCAATGGAATCATGGCGGTGGTCAGACCAAGATCCTTCTTTTGGAGACGGTGAATGTAACGAAGCAACTCTGTCTCGCTGTGATACTTGTTGAAAGTTGGATGAGTCATAAACTCAGAGTGACGAGTCAACTCGGCTGGAATAGCAGACTTGTTGGCAACGGTCTTTTCCAATTGCTCAGCAGTGAAATCGACCTTCTTTCCGGCGGCAGCAGCGAATGCCTCGAAAATTGTCATCACATCCTTCAAAGTGACAGTCTCATCCAAAGAGATCGAAACAGTTTGATCGCAGGTCTTTCTAATGTTGATTTGTCTCTTTTCGAGTTCATCAATAACCTTTTGTGTCTTTTCCATTGTTCTAATCTTGATTGTATCAAAATAGGCTGTATCTTTTACTGCATATCCAAGATTAAGTAGACCTTCAACTAAAATCATAGTCCTAAAGAAAATAACAAATTTGTTAGTTAAAACTAAAACTATTATCTTCTTTTTTTCATCTGTCTTTTTCTATTTCTTCTTCTTACTTCTTATGGATTGCTTGTGCAATTTGTTTAATTCCTTTTGGACCGTGGTAGACACCGTACATGGCAGCCATGTTTGCGAGTAATGCTTGTGAAGTGCAGATGTTGCTAGTTGCCTTTTCACGACGAATATGTTGCTCACGAGTTTGGAGTGCCATACGATAGGCTTTGTTTCCAGCGTTGTCCTTGGAGACACCAATGATACGACCTGGAAGAAGACGACTGTATTTATCAGAGGTGGCAAAGAATGCTGCGTGTGGACCACCGAATCCAAGTGGAACACCGAAACGTTGAGAGTTTCCAAGGGCAATGTCGGCACCCCATTCTCCTGGTGGTGTCAACATGGTCAACGCCATCAAGTCGGTAGCGCAAACAACCAGTGCGTTATTTTCATGTGCTTTCTGGGTGAGAGCACGATAGTCAGAGATGGAACCATCGGTCGCTGGATACTGTACGAGCACACCGACAACATCGCCCTTGGAGTAGTCGAAATCCTTGAAGTCGACGACCTCGATTCTGACACCCTTTGGCTCTGCACGAGTACGGATGTTATCGATGGTTTGTGGGTGACAACGACGATCGATCAAGAAAGCCGGTGTCTTCTTTGTCTTGGAGATGTTGATACACATGGTGACTGCTTCGGCGGCGGCAGTTCCCTCGTCGAGCAACGAAGCGTTGGCCATTGGCAACTTGGTCAAATCCGACACCATCGTTTGGAAGTTGATCAACGACTCCAAACGACCCTGAGAAATCTCGGCTTGGTATGGAGTGTATGGAGTGTACCAACCTGGATTCTCGAGGATGTTACGCTGGATGACGTGTGGAGTGATCGAACCGTAGTAACCCATACCGATGAACGAACGGAACACTTTGTTCTGCTTGACGAGCTCACGGAACTCCTGGAGCATCTCAAACTCACCCTTGATCTTGTTGCCTTCGATGTCGAGATCACGTTGCATACGAATGGAGCTTGGCACGGTGTAGTCGATGAGTTGGTCCAGCGATTGTGGGGTGACCTTGGACTGCTTGGAGGTGGTGATCTCCTTCAACATCGACTTGATCTCTTCGTCGGATGGACCGATGTGACGACGTGGGAATGTATCGAGTGCTGTGAACACCGAAGCATTGCTTCCAACGACATTGATAGATTGTGTAGTAGTAGTAGAAGAGGAGAACTGACGAACCTTCAAAGTTGATGAAGCAGTGGTTCTTCCAACAGTTGTGGTGACTACTTTTTGTGAAATTAATCTAAACATTATTATTTGACCTGTGTGTGTATGTGTGAATGAATTTATATATGAAATAAAAGCAATAAAAAAACAACAACTAAGAAAAATTGCTAATATATATTATTACAAACAAAACAAACAACAACAAAGTATTAGAGATAACAGTAACAAATCTATCTAATATACAATTATAAAATTGTAAATATATTAGGTTGAATGTATTACCAACAGCAGCAACAACTACAAATAACTTTGCTAAAGAGTACAATGACACGACTCTAATCCAAATTTGAATGATAGTGTTAGGTTTTTTTTTTTTTTTCAAATTTGAATTGAAAAAAAGCCAAAAAAAAAAAATCAACACACATAATATGACTCTCTGTTGAAACGAAACTTCACCACCCTAAATGCACATGAAAAATAAAATAGAAACGAATCAATTGGAGGGGTATGTGGTGAAGTTTTATGATTCACCAGTTTTTTTTTTTTATGTTTTTTGAGCATAGTTTTTTTTTCGCTTGATTTTTTTTTTTTTTTGACACGATTGGGCGCGATTTACAAATCCAAACAAATAAATTTCAGTTCCAAAACTTTTCTACGAAAGGTCATAATATTATATGTTGATTCTAACACTTATTCATATGATTTCTACATTCTTAATATAAAATTAGTCATAATTTGATCAAAGTTGAATTGATTGGAAAGTTGAAAAAAAAAAAAAAAAAAAAAGAGGTTGTAAAGAATAATTATTTTTGATTGTTATTGTTGTGATCTTTAAGTTTCAATAGAGATTGATTAGCTCTATCTAATACTTCATCTTTTTTACAAAAACAGAAACGAGCATAGTTGAAACCTTCTTTGGCATGCTCTTCACTGTAGAAAGCACTGGGTGGAATCGATGCTACACCAATGTCGGTTGTTAGCCAACGACAAACATTCCAGTCACGCAAGTTTAGTCCCATTCCTGTGAGTGAGGTGTTCTGTCCTTGATCACCACTCAGCTTGATGTTGCTGGTGTCACCCATAACAAAGTAGGTGCCTTCCGGTACGACCGGATCCAAGCCGGCTGCACGCAATCCACCGACCAGCTTGTCACGCTTCGCCTGGTACATTGTCCTCAGCTCGTGGAAGTAGTTACGTTGTTCGACCTGCTCGAGAGCGATTGCAACCGCTTCCTGGTGTGGAGTGGACACACTGAACGGTACGTACTGGTGACTCATCGAGATGGCAGAGACAATAGCGCGTGGTCCAATGATCCAACCTACCTTCCACCCGGTGATACTGAAGGTCTTTCCGGAGCTGCCAATTGTGATGGTTCGCTCGTACATTCCTGGTAGAGTGGCGATACGAGTGTGTACTGCGTCGTCGTAGGTCATCCACTCGTACACCTCATCGCTGATCACTGTGAGATGCGGGTGTTTCTGAACGATCTCTGAGAACTTCAGCAGTTCTTCACGCGACCAAACCTTTCCAGTTGGATTGTGTGGGTTGTTGAGAATGATAAGTCTTGTCTTGTCGGTGATAGCCGATTCCAACTCGCTCCAATCCAACTTCCAGTGACGTGAAGATCGTTGTTCGCCAGGTTTGCGATCCTCTTTGTATTCGCGCAGTGATATGCACTTTGCTTGACCACCTGCCATTGTCACGGCACCAGTGTAGATATCAAAGAATGGCTCGATCAAGATGACTTCGTCGCCCTTGTTGACAATCGTTTGGATGGCAACGAACAGACCCTCGGAGGCACCGACACTCACCATGATCTCAGTCATCGGATCGAGAGTGCGTCCAAACAACGGTGAATATACAGTGGAGATTGCATTGACCAGTCTCAGATGTCCAGCGGATCGCGCGTACTGATTGAACCCACCGGATTCAGTTGTCTTGATCGATGCTTCGCTCACAAACGAAGGTGGTTCGAAATCTGGGAATCCTTGTCCCAAATTGATAGCTTTATATTTTGCAGCGAGTGGTGAGAACTCTACAATATCAATCAGTAAAGAAAAGAAAAGAAAAGAAATGATTGATTCATTCAAAAATTAACAAAACTATATATTTTACTACTCAATAGCAACAACAACAATAATAAAGAAAACAAAGAAATTTAACTTTGTTTCTTGTTCTGTAATACAATACATACCAACCCATACTGTTGGTCCAAAAGAGGCAGTTTGAGCACTAGGTTTAAAGATGTAATTCGACATCAATTTTATTGATTTCCTAAACATCCAATTTAAGTAAACTAAACTAAAATTCTGACAAATAAAAAAAAAAAAAAATTAATGTATTTAGAAATTTTAAAAAATCAGAATTTATTTTTGGTGTTACGCCTGAACACTCAAATGAAAGTGTGAAAACCACCATTCATAAGAAAACTTTTTTAATTAATCAAAAAAAAAAAAAAATTCATTTTTTAGTAATAAAAATTTTGACAAAACGACTAAACAAATAAATTAAACAGTTTTTGTTATTATGACACTTCCAATTAAAGAAAAATTAAGAGAATGGGATAAAAATATTTAAATAAAAAGAAATTGACTTTATTTTACACTTTTTATATAAATATGGAAGTAAGACCTTATTCATTTCATCATTCATCTCATATCTCGAATAATTCTTTCATACTTCACATTATAAATCTCGTATTTATTATCTATTTTTTCACTTAAAATTAAATCACTTAAAGCAATCACCCACCTTACCTCCCAACACCTCTGAAAAATCAAGATTAAAATAAATAAAAAATAATTTTATTGTGTGTAGTATGTTATGTTAATTAATTAATTGATCATCAGATTATAATCAACAACAGTTCATAATATTTCAAATCATTTTATATATCTATTTTTTATTTTATTTTATTTATTTTTTTCAAGAAGATTATGACAAATAATATTGTAAAACTAAATGTTGGAGGTTCAAAATATACTACGACTAAAGATTCACTGAATTCTCAGTCGACATTTTTCAGGGCGTTGCTCAATGGAGACTGTGGAAACGCAACAGATAGTGATGGACACTATTTTATCGATAGAGATGGCGATTTGTTTGGAGATATTCTCAGTTATCTGAGAACTGGACATTTCAATATCAATCAATACACTCGTGGTCAGCTTGGTCGTTTCCTAGTTGAAGCTGACTTTTATGGTATTCGGCCACTTGCAGAGCTACTCGATCCAGTCAATCATGGTGGTGGTGAATATTTTATAACCAATATCGAAACATTGGATTCAAATATAACTTGGACCGTTTCAAAAGCAAACATCTTGGTGATTGCATATGAAAATCGAAATGTTCAAGTTTGGGTGTAAGTTTGTTTATTTCTTTAAATACCAAGCTAGGAATAACATGTTACTTACTTTTGTTTTTCAACAACAACAATTCCTAAAACATCAGATATAAAGGATTAACATATCATTGGATATTAATGAATCAACTTGAATTACCTTTTGAACAATTAAATGGAATGGGAATGTCAATCTCAAAGAATAGCTATAATGAAGTAAATAATATCATTATATGTGCTTTTTCAAACTCAAAAGAATTACAAATTTGGAAATTAAAAGTCGACCATTTATTATATAAATCTACAATTGTTAGTATTATATTTACCTAAATTATTTAAAGTAGATAAATACTAATTTTTTTTTATACTCTTTAAGACTCTTTGTCATATGATTGTTATCGATCATTTTATACATTTCTCACATTTTCTGGTGAATGGACATTATTTAGCATTGCTATCAAAAGTTGGAAAAATGACAATCATGGAAGTTGGACAAGACAATGTCGGTACGAGTATACCAATGAAGATGTTCAATGTAAATCGTCTCATCTATGTAGTTGCAGATATCGATAACTTTCTATATATCGGATGTGAAGACGGTGTTATAATGGAGTTGAAACAGAATCTAAGAGACAACTGGGATTGGAGTCTAGATGAAGTCTATAGAATCAGTAAAGTGGTATTCAACGTTACAAACTATGTCTCCGAAGCGATCGTTCAGAAGGAGAAGAAACGTCTTTCCGATCCATCGCCAATTGAAGACGATCCAGAGATGGTATCGGTCGGTAACCTCCAGAGGAACGTGCCACAAAGCGAGCATGCCAGTGTCATCACTGCAATCTCATTGATTCACATTCAGCAGATGAACAACCACAGAATGGCAATGGCCATGGGAATGCTCGACGGGACCGTCTATCTGGCATTCCGAAACACAAGAAGAACCGATCCCTATGTGTTTGGCGCTTCACAACAGGTGACATCCCGCGCAGATCCCATCGAAAAGATACTGATTACCGGTGGCAACGAAGGTCTGTTCATCACGGCAATCACCAAATCCAACCTAACAAAGACCTGGCAGTATAAATACACAAACACAACGAACCCGCATGCAACCCGATGCATCTCAGTACACCATCCGATCACAGCAAACAGCCAGTTCCGCACCAGTCCCTACTACGACATACTCAAATTCAAAACATTCCAATATCTCCATTTCCACTCGCTGAAAACACCGCAACTTGAAAGCAACAATAGCAACAACGGTCAACTAATCAATGGAGGTAATCATCATCTTTTCAACTCCAACACTCTCGATCAGATCGTAAACAATGCCAACCCACCAGAACCACCTAAACGACCGACCAACTACACAGGCAACGTTCACTTTACACCGGTCGATCCTACCAACTTGAAATACTCTGTTTCCACGTACAACCAAATCTATGTGACCAACGATTGTGAAGGTGGCAATCGAGAGCTGCAAGTCTATGCAATGTCACACCGATGCACCGGTGATTTGTTCCCCACCAAGGAGGAGCTGGCCGACCATCTCGCCCAACCGCTGGCAACCATTCCAATGACTGACACATCACCGATCGTCAAAGTGATAGTCAATACATACGGTGGTGTCGAACCGAACATGAACGATCTATCCTATATGCTAATCACCATACATGAAAACAACATGATTTACTGCTGGGAGTTAAGACCAATCGATAACTTGTTCGGTCCACAAATTAAACCAGAGAAAAAGAAAAAGAATAACAACTAACACTAATTGTTTTCTATACGAAAACATCATTATGTATAACAAGTTATATATTAAAAGTTAAATTTGTTTATTTGAATAAAGAGAACGTTTATTATTTGTTTGTATATATTTAAATACTTTTTTGAATACAACTCTATTTGATTAATTATTTACATATTATTATTTATAAGTTCAAATTCTAGATATATTAAAGTCAATACTAATGATTTATTCTCTTGAAAACAGAAAATTAATAAACCATGCTTTGTTTCAAAAAAAAAAAAAACAATTTAATACTTACTGCGTGAACGCATAAACCAAATTCTGTCGAAGACATTCCTTGCCTGTGGTATTAATAATAGGTTGACTGGTGAATGGAGCTAAAAGTTGTGGGAGGTTGCTTTCCACAGAGGTAGGCTGCTAGCAATTGAATGCAAGAATTCTAGAATTTGAACTTATTAACAATAATATGTACTACCAATATCAAAGATACTCTTTGATTTACAATTGAAATCTGTTGAAGCAACTTTGATTGGCTCTATTCAAAATTGAGGACTATTTAAACAAACTTGACATTGATCTCACTGACTGTGTTCTTATCTCCTCCTTTAGACTTCAAGGCCTCTTTCATTACCATTTCTTTCTGGTAGCTAAATAAAAAAAGTATATAAATAAAAAAAATTATTACAATACAAAATTTTTATTCAAATAAATACTCTACAACCCTCACCCAATACTAAAAGTAGTAAAATGTGATAAAAATAGTATTAATTTGATAAACATCTATTCTGATAGTGAGTAAAATAAAAAAAAATTATAAAAGTGTCATCTATTCATTCCCTTTAATCAGTTTCGAGGTGATAGATATGGATCAAAGTATCATTGTAAGTAATACCAAAATACTATTTATTATTATTGATGTGCTTAATTTTTATCTAATATTTTTCTGTTTTTAAAGTGAATAAACCATTTTATTTTATTTGAGAGAATAACAGAATTTCCAAACTCAATTTGCAACCGGAGATTGAGTTGGGAAATTCTGTTAATATCACCATTCATATAGATAGAACTTCTTCTAAGAATGTACTCTTCATATCTTGCACAATCAAGTTCAATACTTGAAATATTGACTCTAATTTGGGAATCTGTTACTATATTTAAGAAATAATTATCCTATTAACAATATAAATAGTTATTAGTTGGTAGTTATTTTAAAAATAATCATTTTAATTAAATTATTTTAATTTTGAACAGAATCTTCTTTACTTACATAACATTTGAATGAAACACCTGAAGATACATTGAATGGTTTGATGTTGATGAATAGATCGTTACTCAAAGAGATTGAGGTGGGTTGAACCCAATCATAGACACCATCTTTAACCAAGATATTGTAAGTTCCGAATTGTTGAGCTTGACCTGATAAACATGCTGTGATCGATGGACATATCATAACATTGTATTGGTTGTGTGTTGTACAATCCATCGAGTATTTATCATTGGTGATTCTTTGATCTAGAATACATCGAGGAATCGATGAGGAGGCAGCATCGACAACAACAATGTTGATATAAATATTATACTTTTATATCTATAATTACTAATAATCATTTAAAATTCACAAATATTATTTAAATTAATTGATTAACAATGATTAAAGATTTATTTTTTTTTTTGAATTAAATTTGAATTGTTTTTTGCAAGTCAGAAAATCCATTTAATTTCTGAAACTTGTTAAATTTAGAATAGAAAGTAGTTACTACTGAGATATATTAAGATATAAATTGATAGTTATTTGAATACAAAACAACTTATTTTTATTTAACCTTTAAAAAAATAAGATGTTTGGCTGAACAGCTCAGTTGGTATTAATTAGTCTTCATAAGTTTCAACCCAAAAAAAAGTTCAAATAATAAATAACATTTCTAATACTCATATCCACTAGAATATGAAGAACTTGAGGAGAAGGATTTTAGAATTTCTATTGAGATGTATTCTAGTCAAACAAAAATAAAATTAATGATAATATTATTACTACAACTTTTTTAGTTTATTTAAAATCAAATTAAATGGCTATATTCAAATCATTGTTGCTGTTCTTTTGTATAGAAATATACATATCCATCTTTTAATAATCTATCATATACATCAATGAATCGAATATCAGTAACAACTTTTTCATCGTCATAGAGTTTCCAATACTCATTATTTCCTTTAACGAATGAAACATAATGTCCAAAATCCATACTACCTATATGTTGAATTGCACTCTGTAAATTGAATTTCTGTTCGGTAGTTTTCTTTTTAATAGTGTTGTTTGGTAATTCTTTCGATTTAGTTGAGCTGATATTGTTGATTTTGGTAGTAATATTTGTTGTTGTTGTAGTAGTAGTAGTTGTTGTTGTTGTAACATTAACCTTTGGTTGTTGAAAATTATCATCAATTTGTAAAATCGTGGTAACTTTGATAGTTTCCATTGGAGGAATAGACAAAGAGTCTTTTCTAAATGTCTGGTCATCGTTTTGTTTGAATCGTTTCAAATGCAAAACCAAGACATTCGGTGTCTCTGAAAAGTATTTGGTAACTGATGATTTATCGTGAGAACACTTATTACAATTTCTATAAATGGTTTCCTCCTTTAAATAATTTTCCAAAAGTTTCTCTATATTATAGGTTTCCGATCTAACATTCAAAAAAAAAGTAAGATATTAAATAAGAAATAACAAAATTTTATAAATATTTTAAAATATATATTTAGAAAAATATAAACATACGGTGAATGTGTAGGAATTTCCAATGAAATAATTGTCAACATTTCATTGTTTTCTGATATAACTTTACAATTTATACAAGTGAAAATGTTGTGAATTGTCGATCTGAAATTCTTTGTGATTGGACAGATTGATAAGAGTAACTTTGGAATGTCCAAAGGTTGTGGTGATTTAATAAGTTGGTTATTAATTGTTTCATCGTTATTGTTGTTGTTGTTGTCATTGTTGTTGTCATTGTTGTTGTCATTGTTGTTGTCATTGTTTTTGTCATTGTTGTTGTCTTTAATGTTCACGGGTATCTTATTCTCTAACTGTTTTTCTTTTCGCTTTGCTTCCAAAATTTCATTCTCTTTCTTCAGAGTCTCCTTTAACTCCTCTTCCAGGATATCCGTCAATATTAATAAGAATTCATGAGAATCTTGTTGCTCACTACCTTTAAAAGCTCTAGTTTTTTGATCCAAAAGATATTTGAAAGGTTTGGTATCAATTCCAGTTGAACCTCTTACCAAATAGATTTCTTTCATCTCTATTAAATTTAAAAGTTTGGAATAAATACTTTTTTCTCTATTGTCTTTTTAAGGTATTCATTATTTCTATAGATTGAAGTAAAAGTAAATAAAAAAAATACTTTAAAATTTAAAAAAAAAAAAAAAAAAGCTTTATATTTACGAATTTCCTTTTAAATCTTTTACAAAATGTGGAACTCCAAATAGAGATTGTAAAGCTGCATTCATGTAACAAGTATTTCCTATATTTTTAAAACTAGTTTTTTTAAATAAAAACAAAAAAATATTAGTTTAAAAATAAAGAATTGTTATATTAATAATATTCAAAGTCACCCTCTTTCTACAAGTATTAAATTGTCCAATGTATTTACACAAGTCTTTTCAATAGGTCGGGGAATGGATTTAGTAAAATTAGTTTGTATTGATCCAACATTGTAGTGTTGTATTGTACTACTATATTTTTCTTTTATTTTTGAAACATGATTATTATTTCTATCTATTGTCTGATTGTCTTGTTGGAATTGATTAATATTATAATTTGTACTAATTGTCTTTGTTAAACTACTTAAAGAGGAGTATATAGGATTCCTTGATTGATGATATCTAGATATTTTATTATTATTCATTCTGTTATTCAAACTTTAATTTTTTGAAGAATCTAGATCAACAAAACAAAAGATATTAATATAGTTTAAAAAAAGAATTTTGGATCTTAATAATTAAAACTAAACCAACATGATATACAGTTTCAAAACAAAGTATTTGCAAAATCCAAAACAATTCATTGAAACAAACATCATTACCAACGATAAAACAATTTTAAATTGATACCACAAATAATCAAGAATAAAATGATTTTAAAAAAATATAATTAACCTTTTTTAGATAAAAAAGTTTTCATCAAAATGTGTGTTACAAATTAAAAACATCATATTTAATTTTTTCTATGGTTGTTTGATATCGGGATTGTGTGTTGCAAATTCGACAAATAATATTTATTTTGTTTACTATGGTTGTTTGATATCAAGATTGTGTGTGTTACAAATTCGACAGATAATAATGTTTTTTTTAGAATAAATAGATTACTAAATTTTTGGACTTTAATAAGAATGAACACCTTTTCATTTTCTTATACTTGTTCTATTCTTTTATCAAGAACTATAATCTTTTATTTTTAAAAATTATTTTTTATTAGTTTTACTAAAATATAATAGATTTATTAAATAGTTTTAATGTTTTTAGAAACAATGGTTTATATACTAGACCTGGCAAAAACGACCTCAATCTACAGATTCAACAACATTCAAGTTTTATATATGGATATCAAATCAGAAAATCACATTCAATTAAACAATCTCTTTGAATATGTTAGCAAATTCACAGCCCTTAAAAAATTAGTTATTTCAACTGAAAGTTGGTCTTTATTAGGCGAAATCAAAAAAATGTTTCCAACTTTACTTCTTGATGTATACTTTAAGGAACGTAGTTATAACCTGTATCCTATCCTTTATCCTGAATTGTATAATAAAATAAAAGAAGGTATCAATTTTCTATATATTGAAGAAATTCCATTAAATAAATAAAATAAATCAATATTTGTTTTAATAAAAAAAAGGTTTTTTTTTAAATGTCTCTATTCATATTTATTAGAAAACTTAATCGGTATATTAAGTTTTAAATCTATAATCTTTGAACTCAATGATGGGCTCGATCTCATTTAATTCTAGTTTAACATTGTAAGATAACATAATTTTAAACCCCGGGGTTTACAGCCAGTTTTGTTTTGTTAAACCATTGCTATCAAAGAAAATTCTTTTTTATTTTTGTCAAAAATACAAATATGATCAGCAAGTTTTATTGTTTATAATATATATCTTTTATATCAAAGTATATTATTCAATGTGAACTGATGATAAATAATCGACAAATTATAAATACAGTTCTCAGTATGATTGTAACATTACGAATAGTTATATTTTACAAAGCAGTAGAGTATTTGATTCTACATCTGATTAAAGTAAGTAGATTATAGTATAAATGTATCTATGATCTAATATAATTGACAATTTTTATAAATTAATCTAGATTATATTTTATCCTATTAATAATTTGATTATCTATAATAATTTCCAGAAAATTGAATCTAAAGGCAATGTCAAACCAAGTAGTCCATTAACAAGGACAGGATCATCTAGTGGTTTCAAGTACCAGCCTCTACTTCTACAACTACAAAACAACAACAATGATAGCATAAACTACCCATAGCAGCAGCGACCAACAGTTATGTATGGGATGATCAATGCGCGAAACAGTAGTTGGTCAAGTATAGGAAGAAGTCAAACAGCAAGTAGTATACCACTATAGTAGAACCCGACAAGAAGAGGAATTAGTTGTGGAAGAGACCGATGAAATCGTAAGAGAAACCACAAATGGCAATGGAATCGACACCAACATACTATTTTACTTTTAATCAACAGCAATAATATACAACATCTCTATCTTCTAGAATACCATCCAGTGCCTGTAATTTATGAACATGTGCTCTTTCAAGATACCATTTCCTACCTTTACACCACAATATTGTTGTTTCTACAGCTTCAGTACGCAATCACAAAACAAAACCTGCTCCCAACAACTTTCGCCTGGGCATTAATTTTAAAAAAAAAGTAAAAATTAAAAATTAGTGGGGTTAATGTGATCTGAGTGGTTTTTTTTTATTTTATTCGATTTATGGTTACAAGCAAGAGCAAGAACAATTTCAAAAACAAAAACAAAAAAAAGACTACACAAAAGAAACAACAACACATCAGAATCTCCTTTATCAAAATCACCCAACTCATGATCACCAAAACCATCATGATTTAAAGTTACATTTTAATGAGGTTATTTACAGAAATGAAGAGATTACTTAGAGAGTACGATCAAATTATTAACATTTTATTTATTTACAGTAAATGAACAACAATCATATCAAAAATATTATTATTGATATTACTATTATGGGTGCTTGTTGGTCGAGTAACTGTATAATTCTTTCACTCTTTGAATCTCATTCTCTCTGGTAACAGATGCACGTCCAATTTTTATATAGTACCTATCCTCTAACTCTTTGAAACCTTTGTCATACTCTTCTTTCGTAGCTGAACATACTCTATAAAATGTATCATTGATAGACTTAATTACTTCGACTAGTTTTGGATTATTATTATTGATATCACTATTATTAATACTATTACTTTGTTGTTGTAATTGTTGTAATTGTTGTAATTGTTGTAATTGTTGTTGTTGTAATTGTTGTTGTTGTTGTTGTAATTCTCGTTGCACTATATATTGCTCTTGTAATTTCAAAGCAAATCTTTTTTCATTTGTTTCTTCTATATCTTTCTCCAATTGCGTTTGTTGTTGCTCATGTAATGAATTGTCTCTCTCAAATTGTTCATGAGACTCACCCACTTCAGATGTTGTATTCTTGAAAAAGATCAAATCATATTTAAAAGTTATTCACGATTTCTGAGGTACTAGTGTATGTTATTACTATTACTATTACTATTACTATTACTATTACTATTACTATTACTATTACTACCACTATTACTATTACTATTACTATTACTACCACTATTACTACCACTATTACTATTACTACCACTATCATTATTATTGCTATTGTTTTCGTTAATAATATTATTCAATTGTTCTGATTGATCGAATATTTCTAATCTTTTATCTTGATTATTGTTTTGCTTTAAGGTATTCTGTCTCTCTAGCGCACGAGGTGATAACTGAGTAAGTTGTGACTCCCAACTATCACAAGAATCGATAGAGTTTGTATCTGTCATATTGATTTATATTTTTATCTTTTTCAATTATTTTATATGTTAACATTGAAAAAAAAAAATAAACAATAGTTTATCATAAAAAAGTTATAAACAGATAGTAATGTAAATAAATTTACTTTATACAGTACATGAATGAGAACCATGGTTGGGTGAGCTGTTGAATGAATTCGCCTGTGGTTGTTTGTTACAACTATGCTTTTACACTGTTTTTAAATACATATAAGGTAATAGATGATGATAGTTAGATTTATACTTTCAAGTTAAGGGGCTTCAAACTTGATTGCTCAGTTCTGTCTCTTGCAACCACTTTATTGTTCGAAATGATCATTACCGATAGCATATAACATAGCTGTAATGTAGATCCTACATTTCGATGCAGTCATTTATCATTCGAAAATTGCTGTTTTTTTTGATTCATTCCATAGTGTAATTAACACTTGGCCATTTGACGAGTTCTAAATGATATAGTTAGTAGATCGATTGATTGTTGAGATTGAAGTACATTTCTTTGGTTCTCATATCATTGTGTAGCTCCAATATGGCCTGACTATTATTTTTATTTTATTTGTGAATTTTATGATTGAAAATTGTTATATATATATTTATTAAATAATCCTACATAGATAAAAATGGGAATTTCTTTACAAAATCACTTTAATCAATGGTTGAAGTACATTGAATGCCAGACTCATCATGTGTCTCAATTAAAAGGTATCCTGTTTGATTGTAACAATTTATTTAAATGAAGAGGTACCTTTGTTTAATTTTTTTTTTTGTACCTTTGTTTAATTTTTTTTTTTTTTTTGAACAAATCATTGAAATTTGAGAACGTAAAAAAATTTGAATTGTGACTTATGTTCGAAAACCACGAACTTTAGTTATAAAAAAAAAAAAAAAGTCCGAAGAGCCTAACTTAAGTCATAATAAAACACAAAAAAACCGATTTTTTCAACTCAAAAAATAAATCCCAGAAAATAGTTGTGAAAATTAGATCGAAAAAAAATCTTTGTTTTTTAAATGTGAACTTCTCTATGATTTAAAATTTTTTTTTTCCATTTTTTAGTTTTTGGACAAAACCATAGCACATTTGTATTTTTTTTTTTATGACTTTAGTTATTCAATGTGTTAACAGGTTTGGCTCCTTTTTAGGACGTCCTAAAAAGTTTAAACAAAACAAGTAAAAACATAGTGGTCTGCAAATCACGATTTTTGTTGTTATCCAATGAATCATCACAATTGAGAGGTAAGATTAAAAATATAGTATATTTAACTTTTAGAAAAAAAGGAAGGGGAGTTGCAAATAAAATCAAATATTTTTTACTATGGTTGTTTGATATCAGGGTTGTGTGTGTGTTGCAAATTTAATTTTTACTATGGTCGTTTGACATCGGGATTGTGTGTGTTGCAAATTCTACAAATAATATTTTTTTGTTTACGATGGTTGTTTGATATCCTTGTGTGTGTGTTGCAAATTCGACAGATAATATTTATTGTATATAGTTTATAGATATATTTATCTTAAATATTTTACTTATTTTGGAATATTCTTTTCCAATTTTCTTTCTAGTTATTGTTCGAATAAACATCAAACAATGTTATTCTAGTTTTAAACTTGTACTATTATCTCTTTTCTTTCTCATTTAAGTTTTTATTTTTTTAGTTTTTTTAATTATCTAATAGCACAACATGTAGTTTTATAGTTTTTATTTTATTTTATTTTATTTATTTATTTATTTTATTTTGTTTTTTTTTTATTTATTTATTATATATATTTCATTCTTTCAATTATAATATTTTTTAATTTTTATTCTCACAATAGATATCTTTATATAATTATCAAAATGTCATTTACCACACAGTTTACTCATTTCAATAATATAATTTCAGATTCAACTCTAAAAAGTATATTTTTTGAAAATAGTATTTTTATTCGTGATGTAGAATCAATATTTGCATTATTTTTAAATATCTTTTTACTCAAAAATCATCACTTGATTGGTAGGGAGCCAATAGATAAATTTAAATCATTTATAGATGGCTCCTTACGAGATAGAAAAGATATAAAAGTTATTTTTAATGAATATTCTCCAACAAAATTTTTAGTATTAAATCATAATATAGTTGTATATTGTATATATAGATTATTGCAAAGAAAAGAATATGTAACAGAAAAAATAATTCAAGATAAATTATACAGAGAAAAGAACAGGTCCGATTATTTCAATATTCAAAGGGATTTTAATTTAAAAAAATCAAAGTATGTAACTTTTTTGAAAAAAATTTAACAACAATGTTCAATGCTTTTTTTTAAAGTTTAAAAGTTAAAACATATAATTGCACATCCTAATTTTAATTATTTTTTTTTACTACCTATAGACAACTTATTAAAAAAGATATAGAAGAGTTCATGAAAAGAAACAACATCAATAATGAACTCAATAATAATAATAATCTATTCAAATCAACAACAGATCATATGACAAGTCAATTCACCACTGCAATAATGAATCACTTCAACTCTCATATTATGTTAATGTTGAATCATATCATGAAACAACTAAATATATTTCTAAAAGAAATCTTCAATATAAAAAACAACAACCATAATAATTCAGATATTCTAAGATTTCTTTCTGAATATCATTTGGTAAGATATAAAAAAAATTAAAAATAACAAACTTTGATAGTGGTTAACATTCATTTTCTTTAATTTCAGATTGGATTTTTGTCAAAGAAACAATATGAAGAGTTGGTTAAAACCTACAACAGATGTAGTGAGAATCAACTAAAAGCTCACCACTGGATTGATCACAATTCTATTTTGAGAATGATATTATATCTAGAAACCGATCCAGCTTTTCAACATAAAATCAATCAACTTGATTGGACTTTTGGTATGAAAAAATAGATATATTTATTTAAATTATTTATTTATTAATTTTTTATTACCATAAAGAATCTATTCAGTATTTTAGGGAATACGATTTCCAACAAGTATCTAAATTTCAAACCACATCAAAGCATAGAGAGTTGGGACTCGATCATCTTTTTAACAGATGCTTAAAAGTTGTAATGAAGAATAAAGATATATTGGATTGTGATCTTACCAAATCTTTTTATCTATACAAATTTCTATTGGAGATAGATAAAGGTAAATATTTAAATTAAATTCCAATTTTTTAATTGTTTTTAACAATTTTTTTTTTTAGATTTTAAAAATATTTCAAATGATATTTTAAACGATTGTTCTAGGATTTTAGAGCGACTCCAACGGTTTGATATTTACAAGGATTTCCCAACTACGAGTCATGGGTTCTATGGTTCGGACTACTTTACCAAGATCAGTAAATTTCTACACGAAGTAGATAGACCATTCGGGTACTTTCTGGCTATGGATCCACAGCTTGAGGAATATTCCTATTGGAATATTCGTGCTTCCGAGAATTGCAATTCTCATCAACCAACCGATGAGATCATGCTTGATGCTCCAGCTCAGTCTATCTTTGATAATGGTAAATCAATCACACACATCTTTTTTTATTTAATTTTTGCTAATAATTTTTTTTTACTTTTCATTTAGATACTCCATTGATCACACAATTGAAACAAGGTTTTGAAAAGAGACACCAATTTTTCAAGTCAAGCAAAGCGGAAACAGATTTTAGTATACTCTATCAACAATTAGAAAAATTGGATATGCCAGAAAATCAATACAAGACACAATTCATTGAAGAAGCAATAGAAGAGTTTATCAAACATCTCGACAACTTTTATGATAGATCCACTACAAGGAATCAATATATGGAAAGAACAGAATTATTTATACAACAATTAAATCAATTAATCAATCTACCGGTCCTTAAACATTTATTTATCAACCCAATCGATGGACAACCAATCAATTCTAATACAACTCCAGATGTACTTATAGTTACACTCTCTCCCTACGAAGTAGACCATGAACCGCAAACCACAAAACCTCGTGCCAGCAAAGGTTCTGCCACTGTGTTCCTATCCAAAGAACAGCTAATGAAACAGGATTTCATTTCATTCTTAAAGGAAGAGCTAGAACGTGGAAACCTTGATATCGATCAACTTTTGGCTAGAGGAGTATTAGGTCCTTCCATTATCCCTCCAATTCAACCGTCAGAAGATTATCTTTGTCATGGTGGTGAAGCGTATTGTGTGAATCTTCTCCCAATGTTATCACCATTAATTGAACCAAACTGTCCAGCTGAAGAGAGATTGAAATCTGAAACTGCTTTGAACTTGTCAGCTCTTGCCCGCTACATGAATGGTCATTGTTCATTTTCATGGACCGAGCTCTGGCCTATGATGGTAAAGTCCATTTATGATATTGGCTATGTATTTGACCCACTGTTGGAAAGACACTTATTATGGTTACTGCAATATCAAAGTCCACCGACCATTATTTTATCTGGTAAAAGAGACCTAATCATTTTGTCAAATCTTATCAAAAACCACAAGTTACCGGTACATGTAGTCGAGCAACAACTTTGGAATTTTAAACTCTTGGTTTCAATCGGTGGAAAGGTAAAGAGAATATTTGCTACCAATCATGCCTCATCTCTAAGTCCTTCCTTGACCAAGTTCTTCCATGAGGCAGTAGACGGTCTTTATCCTGACTCTATGTATTTATCAGACTCGGATCTAGAGATAGTGCCATATCAAGTAGTAATCTCGGATAAAGTCTCTGATATAGTAGCAGTCTCAGATCAATTGCCAGTGTCAGGTCAATTGATAGCCTCAGTCTCAGACCAAATATCAGGCTCCAATCAACTATCAGAATTATCCAATCAATTGTCAGTCTCTGATAGTATGATAATCCCTGATCAACTATCAGTGGTCTCTGATAATGAATCTGACGATACTTTATTAAGCTATTCAGATCTTGAATCGTCCGATGATTCATCTGATTCCGACCTTGTACCAGTCCAATACCGAGAGTATCCGGTGTATCGAGTACGAGTACCTGACCAAGTAGCAAACGATCAAGCGCCTACTGTAGACAAACCAGAGACAGAGAAAGAGTTTTTAGGTAGAAAGCGAAACCTTTTCCTTCAAAAAGAAAAGCCTTGGATTCCTAGGAAGCCGAGATCGCCTAATGTACCAAAGATACCAAGGCATTACTGGAAATCATTTGAAAAGAAACTCCTAGACTATAGCGCCTCCTACCACTATTCTTTGCTGCCAATTTTCAAAGGGTAAGAATACAAATTAATTTCTTTTTTTTTTTTTTTTTTTTTAATATTAATTTATTTTGTTTAAAATACTATAGATATGAACTAAAGTTATTATTGTATAAACCAAAGGATGTGGATCAATGGTTAAATCTCCAAAAGTTGAATAAGTTGTGTGGAAAGAAACTATCAGAGGTGAATCACTACATGACCGATGCTGTAACATTCAATTATTCTTTTAAAAGCGGTAAGCACAAATTAATAATACAATATTTTCAATCAATGACTCAATGGTTTACTAATTGTTTTTTTAAATCTAAATATATATATTTCAGAGTCAACAGATAATACCAAAAGCAGCAGTAAGCTAACTGTAAATTGTCCTGTCAAATTAAAGTGTCCAGTGGCAGTAGATCCATCTCCATTCAAAAATCTATATCTAAACAAGCAGTTAGAGTATAATTTTGATGGTGAGAAACATTGCAAAGACCTCAAGGATTCTGTAATGGTTCTCAAAAGTAAAAGTCACAGATATCACACCGGATCTAGCTTCACCAATTACAAAAGAAAAAGGAACTTGGGTCCAAAGCTATTAGAGTTTGAAAATAATGTTCCTTCTCTGAAATGTATGTATTGACTCAAAAATTTTTTTTTTAAAATATAAAAAAACTTTTACTTATACATTTGTCAAACAATAGCTTCCAAAGAGAACGATATTCTTTCAATTCAGACCTACGAGATATATATAGACTTTAGATATAGTCACGAGAACTATAGCACTTTCGCAGAATATAAACTTGTCAGAGGTGGACCAGAATTCACAGAACAACACCTAAGATCTCTACAGAGGAGAAAAATAGCAATGAATTGGAGGAATAGAAGAATTTTTAATCACGCAATCATGGCCGTGGATAGAAAAATTGGAGAAGAAAAAGCAAAGAAGACAGGAGATATCAACGATATAATAAATATCAACAACAACAAGAATAATAACATTAGTACAAGTAAAGGTAGTAGTAGTAGCATTGGTAGTAGTAGTATTAATAGTAATAATAGATTCAGTATATTAGAATATGAAGATAATAATAATAATGATGATGATGATGACGACGATGACAACGATGATAAAAAGAAAATGAAATTAAGAGGAAAATCATATTATAAATATAAGCAACAAGAAATCAACTACTACAACTTCCAACTCGCACTTTATAAATTATATAAACTATATCCCAATGAATTTCTACCATATCCACCCCCACAATCACTTCCTAATAGAAAGCGTACTCATACCAACAAAATCAATGATGTACATATAATAATAATAAGTATATATGTAGAAATGCTAAAGAATATCGAATTCAACATCCCATATTGGCTGAAAAGAATGACGAAATTCATTAAGCAACTGTTTCCGATTGTCGAGTACGGAAGGTCCAGTGGAAATACAGATATTCATGAGCTCCTGGTGGATATCGAGGAATGGTTCCGAGACAAGTTTCAGAAAGCTAATGGTTGGGAAAAGATATTAGGACCATTCCTAACAACAAAATCATCTAAATTATTTAGCACACCATCAACTACAACAACTTCTACGACAACAACATCATCGGCAACTACTATACCAACTACAATCACACCTCCAACTACAACATCTTCAACAACTACACCAACAACTCCTACAGATAAGTCCAAATGTGCAAACCGTAGACACGATTCAGTTTATAAGGATCAACCATTGGGAACAGTTCCTGTATTTTTCAAAAGTGGTAAAGTAACCAAGACATGCAAGCTATGCCTCGATTTCATAGATAAAGAAAGAAAAGAAAAGAAGAAGAAAGAAGAAGAGGAAGAGAGAAGAAAGATAGATGAAGATGAAGAGGAAGAGGAGGAGGAAGAAGAGAAACAGAAAGATAGAAAAAAAGGTAGAAAAAGAAGTAGAGGAAAGAAGAAGGTGGAGGATGAAAGAAGAAGGAAAAGAAGAAGAAGAAAGAAGAAAGAGGATAAAGATAAAGACAAAGATAAAGACAAAGACAAAGATAAAGATAAAAGAGGAAAATGAAAAAGTAAGTAAAATGATAAATAATTTAATCATACATTAAAACTAATTATTTTCTTTTATTTTTAATAGGACGTAAGTGGAAATGCAAGAACTGTGGAATATACAACAACTATTATGTAGATGAGGCATTCCAAGATCGAGATCGTGTATGGTTGGCACATTGCAACAATTGTAATGAAATCAAGTCTGTCTTTTACGACAAAGAAGTGGCTGAACGATATGCTTTGAGACAAATATTTAGTAAATATCAATTTTAAATTGTTTTTTATTTCACTAACAAACTAATACTTTTTTTTTTATTTAGTCTATGGTAATGGTCCTGGACACCTTGGGTATGTCAAAGGTATGAAAGGAGTAACCAGTGCACCATACATTTCCAAGGAAACAGAGTCTCTTCAAAAGTATATTTTCTCAGTTGCTGGTGTTAAGGTTGACCTACTCATCGTAGATGAATATAATACATCCAAGGTTTGTAATTATTTATTAAAATATATATTTACCTTTTTTTAAATTTAACTAATATGTATTACTTTTTTTTTTTTTTTTTATAATTGTATTTTAGATGTTTGCTCCAAAGCTCATTGAAAATGAGCAGATCTATTTGATGAACAAATCACACTATGAAAAGTCAAAGGTGCAAAACTATATTAAACATACATCTTGGTCACCCAATAGTCAACAAACAGAGTCAAAGCTGAGATACACTCGACTGATGTACATCTTGGAGGATGGTGAAGCAGTCTATATCAATCGTGACGTAAATGGTGCTGGTAATATCTTATTAGTGGGTATGCGTCAAATTCAAGATTCAAACAATGAATCAAGGTTCACACTGCTGATGAAAAAAAAAAGTGAATCAACTACGGGTAAGGAATCCGTCGATAATTATTTGTTCGCTGATAAATAATCATTATTTTATCAGGTAAGTTTGTGTGACGAAAAATCAAAAAAAAATCGTAGTTACTAATTTATTTATTTATTATTTATTTTTTTGAAATTGTAGAGAGATATTTTGTCATAGAACAAAAATAACATAGAATAAATTTTTAATTAATTAACATAGAATAAATTTTTAATTAGGATAATATTTACTTTGTGTTTTTTTTTTGTGTAAAATATTAAACGTATTTGTGTGTGTGATTGTTGAACATCAAAAATGAAAATGGTGATTTTTAAATAGTATTGTTGTGTTTTAATTAAAACAACAACAACAACAACAACAACTTTTTTTAATTCCTTTTTTACTTTCAATTATTAATAATAAATAATTGAACAAATAATATTATTTAAAGATATAAATAAATAAATGTCTAAAAAATTAGAGGATTTAGGTGCAGATGCAAAAAAGAGATTGGATAATCTTATGAATAAAGATAGAGTAAAGAACCAACAGCAATTCGAAGAGCAACAAAGTCATAATCAACAAAAATACAAGGAAAGTCATAATCAAACAAAGAGTAGTAGCGGTGGCGGCAACAACAAAGAAAAACTTTTCGATACTCTAAATGTCAAGAAGAATGTAGATGGTGCCTACAAAGTAGCTGAGAATCTGAGTGATTTCTTTAAGAACAGACCGATCGATTCGAATGCAAATTCGCCATCACCTAAATTTCAAATCAATGAATTCTATCGTGGTTTCTTAAAGATGAGTGGATATGCATGGGGTATTGTATACAACAAAATAAATAATAATAATTTTTATAATATTTAATGATCATTTAAAACTAACATTAATCTTATATCATCACATTAAAAATAGGTATTGCATTAACATTTGGATTGATTTCATTCGCAGTTTATAGAACTTTTACACCAAAACAATATGTACCGCCAAGTGAATTGACTTCAACAGCAGCAACAACATCATCATCGGTACCTCAATCAATAACAACAACAAACAAATCCAATAATGATTCAATGAAATCAGTATTACCTCTTACACCAAATAAGAGCTCCTCTGCACCAGTATCGGTACCATTATCATTATCATCCTCATCATCGTCGTCATCATCAACAGATAACAGTAAAACAAGCTCAAAATACACTGCAATCGTTACTGAAGCAAGCAAAAAGTGAGACAAACAAATAATAATCATTATTTTGAAGAACAGTTGAATGTTAAAAATCAATCCCATTTTGTAAATTCTTTCCTGTGTTTTTCCAATTATATATTATAATCATGTATATATTAATATCGCCAATTAAATTTTCAAATAAAACATAATAATAATCATAATAATAATATTAAATTAATGTGCACATTTTTTTAAAACGTTACTAGTATTTTACATCCAACCTCATTGCAAAAATTTTTTTCGTTTGTTGAATTTTTAAAAAATAAAATAAAAATAAATAAAAAAAATTTCACAACAAACGAATCGAATTTTTATTAAGACAATCGATTTTTATCATTTTTTTAGCTTGATAGTTGATTGTTAATATTTATTTAATTATTTATATATTGATATTTATTAATAATGTCTGGAGGTAAGAAATAGAAAAAGAAAAACAATCTATAGATTCCCAATTCCCATCTTTAAACAAACCGATACAGCATATTCAGTCACTAAGATCAAACAAAGAAAAAAAAAAAAATAAATAAAAGAAAAGAAAAAAAAATAGTAGTAATAAGTTAGTGTTATCAATAATACAAAAATTAGGCACATTAATTCAGCACAGAAATTACAATTTCATACAATAATATGCAGAAGGAATAATAATAGTTTTTCTTTTTTGATTTGGATAAAATGGATAAAAATTAATCATAATCATACAGTTACATAGTTTTTGTTTGTTTGGGATTGCATTTATTAGATACTACCAAAAATTCAATTCAATTCAATTTCAACTCAAATTCCAGTTTATAATAATTTAGTGTGGAATTGAACGAATATGATTTTCATTTGTTTTTTAAAAAGATGGGATATGGATCTAATAGTTGTTTTAAAATAGCTTATTTTTTTAATTGTTTATTAATTTGATTATTATTTTTTAAATTTATTTATTTGTAGATAAAAAGAAATCAAAATCCTCATCATCTTCCAACACTGAAGAGAAGGAATACTCGATCAAGCCAGAGAAGACACCAGCTCTCGATACCTCGAAATGGCCACTTCTCTTGAAGAACTACGACCAATTGTTGGTTAGAACCGGTCACTACACACCAATTCCAAGTGGTAACTCACCATTGAAGAGACCAATCAAGGATTACGTTAGATATGGTATCATCAATCTCGACAAGCCATCGAATCCATCGTCTCACGAAGTCGTCTCGTGGGTCAAGAACATCTTGAAGGTCGAGAAGACCGGTCACTCTGGTACTTTGGATCCAAAGGTAACCGGTTGTTTGATCGTTTGTATCGAGCGTGCCACTCGTCTCGTCAAGTCACAACAGGGTGCCGGTAAGGAGTATATGGGTATCGTGCGTCTACACAGCGCCATCGACGACACCAACGATCTCGCCAAGGCAGTCGGAACACTCACCGGTGCACTCTTCCAACGTCCACCAGAAAAGTCGGCCGTCAAGAAGAGACTGAGAGTTCGTACCATCCATCAATCCAAGTTGCTCGAGTACGACGCCGAGCGTAATCTCGGTTTGATCTGGGTTGACTGTGAAGCCGGTACTTACATCCGTACCCTGTGTGTTCACATCGGTTTGTTGCTCGGTGTCGGTGGTCACATGCAAGAGTTGCGTCGTGTCCGTTCCGGTATCATGTCGGAGAAGTCCAACATGGTCACCATGCACGATATCAAGGACGCTCAATACGAGTACGACAACAACAAGGATGAGACCTACTTGCGTCGTGTCATCCAGCCATTGGAAGCCGTTCTCACCAACTACAAGCGTATCGTCGTCAAGGATTCCGCTATCAACGCCATCTGCTACGGTGCCAAGTTGATGATTCCAGGTTTGTTGAGATACGAACAGGACATCGAAGTCAACGAAGAGGTCGTTTTGATTACCACCAAGGGTGAAGCTATCGCTATCGGTATCGCTCAGATGACTACCGCTTCGTTGTCGTCGTGCGACCACGGTGTCGTTGCCACCATCAAGAGAGTCATCATGGACAGAGATGTCTACCCAGTCAAGTGGGGTCTCGGTCCAAAGGCCAAGGTCAAGAAGGAGATGATCAGAGACGGAAAGTTGGACAAGTTTGGAAAGCCAAATGAGAACACTCCTTCCGACTGGCAATCAAACTATGTCTACTACAGTGGTGAGAACAACAATAACAACAGTGACAGCATGTCCGTTGACACTCCAGTCAAGAAGGCAGCCGAGCCAGCCAGAAAGCAACCAGTCGTTCCAGAGGAAGTTGCAACTCCAGCCAAGAAGTCGGTTGTCGCCGACTCATCCGACAGCGAGGTCGAAGAGAAGAAAGAAAAGAAGGAGAAGAAGGAGAAGAAGGAAGAGAAGAAGGATAAGAAGAAGAAGGCTGACTCTGACGACGAGAAGGAGGAGAAGAAGGAAAAGAAGAGCAGCAAGAAGAGCAGCAAGAAGGATTCAGACGATGAGAGTGAAAAGAAGGAAAAGAAGAGTAGCAAGAAGGACAAGAAGGAAGATAAGGAAGAGAAGAAAGAAAAGAAGAGCAGCAGCAAGAAGAAGGGATCCGACGATGAGAGTGAAAAGAAAGAAAAGAAGAGCAGCAGCAAGAAGGACAAGAAACGTTCTCACGAAGAAGAATCTCCAGCCAAAGATAAGAAGAAGAAGAAATCCGAATAAATGAATAACAACAACAACAACAACAACAACAACAACATATCTTTATCAACTCTTACAACAACAACAAACAACCAACCAACCTAATCTATTTTTTTGCAACAATATAATTTAAATAAATCTTTTTTTTGAAAACATAACAAACTCATTATATCATTATTCTTTAATTTTATTATCTTCTATTATTAATATCTTTTTCAATAGATCCGATAGATTAAAGGTTTCTGCTATACTTTTCAAAGATGCCAAGTTGGTTTGATTGGAATTGATGTGATTGATTAAATATTTAGTACATTGATGTTTGACATCGTCGATGAGGTATCGGTCAGACAACGAGAGCAGTTCCAGAATGTCGACTTGGTGAAAGTGTAATTGTCCAGTATATATATAATGTATGATCGCTTTGAATGCTTCATATGATACATCCGATATTGTAATGATATCTTCTGTACTTTCTTTCATTCCACTTGTTATCATTGCTTTAAAATGTTGATTTCTAGAATATAATATACACTATTTTTTTTTTTTTTGTTTAAAAAATCAATAGTAATAATAATAATATTAGTAAAACATAACATTCAAAATAAAATAATAGTCTATATATATATAAAACATACTTTATGTGCATTTATAATTTTATCTTCTACTAGGAATTTGATATCAGAGAAAATAGGATTATCTACTAATGTCTCGAAATTCAATGATAGTTGTTTGGTAGATGATAGCGATGATGATGATGATGGTTGATTGTTTTTCTTTCTATCAAGTTGATATCGGTAGATATCGTTCTCATTGTAATCACTCTGTCCACCCACTATATATAAACAGTTGTTATGTATGACACCGCTTGCAAACTGTCTCTTGGAAGGTCGATCATCGAGTAGCAGTTCACTCCAAGTGAGTGTTTCCGTATCGAATTGAAAGAGCGAGTCTGTAAGATTCTTGTTTCGCCCACCGAATTGATAGATCACTCCGTTCTGAGAGAGCGTTACAGCGCCACGACGAATGACGTGTCTGCCGTTGGCCGCCATGATTCCACGCCAAACCATCGTGTCGAGATTCAGCTCGTACATGTCGTTCGGACAGACCAGTCCGTCGTAGCCACCGACTATGATCAGCTTGTTGCCGATCGCCGCCATTCCGTGGTACTGGCGTCCATGCGGAACCGGCGAGATCTGGCTGTCTCGAACCTGCAGATGATTCCACTCCTGTGTTTTAAAGTCGAATCGAATCACGTTGTTGAAGAACGAGAAATTCATGCCACCATAGACATACATTGAATCGCCTATAACGAGTGCGGTGTGTCCCCAGCGCGGTTCAGGATGGTAGTTACCACGATGTGTTATTTGTGTCCACTGATCGGTGGCCGGTGAGAACATCCACAAATCGTTATAGACATTGTCATCGGATCCCTTTCCGATGCCACCAAACACCCATAGACATCCACCGTACTCCACGGCAGTGTGTGAGTGTCTCGCATTGATTTTCGCACTTGTCTTTATACGATGCCACTGGCCAGTGAGAATATCGAATCTATTCAAATCGCCAAGATGTACACCACCCAAACCGTATCCACCAAATATCCATATAGTATCACCTATCAAAGTACTAATAGCAATATTATTATTATTATTATTATTATTTCTTTCGATTCGGTTGATGTGATTCATCAAACTTATTATTATTTACCATGAATGAGCATGTCTTGGAACAGGTATTCTCCCATAGACCATAACACTTTCCCAACATTCATTTAACTTGTCGGATCCAATAGTAATAGAATCATCTAACAAACCATTACCTCCATCTAAAAAAGACATTTATCTAAAAAAAAAAAGTTTATATACTTATGTTATATATTATATATTTAAATGTTGATTCAATTTAACAAAAAAGCAAATAATATAAAAACTGTTGATTGATATCAAAACCATCACCCAAAAAAGAAAATCAAAAATCAAAAAACCTTTTTTATCTAAAAATACCTCATACTTTTTCAGATAAAAAATTTCATCAATCAAAATCAATCTAAAATAAGAAGGTGGAAGAAAATTTTAGATCTGACTTAATTGTTTAAAAAAAAAGTAACCTTTTCTTTTTTGAGTTTATGTTCTTAAATCTTATATATATATTAAGAAAAGATATTTAATATTATAATAGATTAACAATAGTCTTCTCATAGTGGTATTCTAAAGAGTGGTGGTGTTAGAGTCGATAGGTTTGTACTTCGATTGGAGGAACTTCTCAACTGATGTGCTTTGCTTGCGAATAACCACTTTTATTCTGTTGTGTCACTTTCAAAGTCGCAGTTGGTTGCTTATTGAATAGTGATGACCATTTGTCTTCTCTTTGGATTAATTGAATATCTTCGTTTCGAGTGTCAAAAAAATATATAATATAAAATTTTTTTGTTTTTTTTTTCTTTGTTATTTTGACAGACTATTGTTATTTTTTCAGAATCTATTAGATAAAGTATAATTTGATCAGTTGGTTGATATGATTAAAACACTCATAATTGGTATCGTTACAAATATTTATTTGTCTATTTTTTTTAACACAAGTCATTCACAAATTTTTCTGGTTTTGCTCCAACAAAATAAAAAATGCACCCAATCTTTGAAAATTTTTAAACAAAAAAAGGTTTTTTTTTTTTTCAAAAAATTCTTGATTTTAAAAAATCTTCTTTAGGCAATTTGTTTGCACCAAATTAAAATTAAAACAATATAAATAAAGATTTTCCAAAAGTAATTATTTTCATTATAAATAGTTTAAAATTAAATTAAAAGATAAAAAATATTTAGAAAGTTTGTAAATTAGTAGTATAATTATAGTAATAATTAGTTTGTTTGTAAATTAGTTAGTTAGTTTTATTGAATAATAATAAATAGTTATGTTTCAATCAATAAAAAATAGATTCACTGGAGGATCTACCTCCACATCTACTTCAACTATATCTTCAAAGAAGGATAATGGAGTACCAGAGAATGCAAGTTATTCACTGTTTTTCAATCGTTTGGAGAGTAATCAGGTCAGGCGTTGTTGTGGTTTGATCGCTCCCAAGATTACCAATCAAGCGGTGTTCCAACTGACAGATTACCAAGTCGATGCCGTTGTCAGCGACGCCACTGTCACCACCGTAATGACTCAGCAATACAAGAACGATTCAACTACACCGGTCGAAGCTAAATACGAAATGCCATTGCCACCTTACGCCGCCGTCAATAAATTCGTTGTTACCTACGACGGTAAGGTGCTGTTTGCCAAGATCAAAGAGCGTCAAGCTGCCGCAGAGAAATACGACGATGCCATTGCCAGCGGTAACCAAGCGTTCCTCGTCGAGAAAAACAGCTCTGGAACATTCTCCACCGTCATCGGAAACATTCCACCAGGAAAGGAAGTCACTGTCAGTGTCACCACTGTCTCTGAGATTGGAACACACCTCGAAGATCTCCACTTTTGTTTGCACAGATTCATGTTCCCCGACAAGAAGTTTGATTTCAAATTGAATCTCACAGTGAATCTCTCCAGTCAAATCCAATCGATTGCAGTCGACGATTGGAGTTCTGCCGATAAACAGATCACCGATAACAAAGCAACCGTTAAACTATCGAGTAAAGAAGGTGTCAAGAAGAATATCATTATCTCAATCAAGCCAAAAGCAGACCAAGAAAAGCCATCGTATTTCATTGAGAAAACAGAGACCACACCAGCAGAGTATGCAGTTGGTCTCAATTTCTATCCAACACTGACTGTCACACCAGAGGATGTAGATCAACACTCTGAATTCATTTTCTTGATCGATTGTTCAGGTTCCATGTCGGGTTCACAAATTCAAAAGGCAAAGTTGGCACTGGAAATCCTCATGAGATCTCTCACTGAGAAGTCAAAGTTCAACATCTGGTTGTTTGGATCGTCACACAAATCGTTATTCCCAACCTCACAGATCTATTCCGATGCCACTCTTGAGAGTGCAAGTGCATACATCTCGAAAATCGATGCCAACTTGGGTGGAACTGAATTGTACGCACCATTGAAAGCAATTTTTGCACAAGCTTATGATCCACAATATCCAAGACAATTATTTATTTGTAAGTATTTTCTTTTTATAAATTATTCAAATTTTATAATTTTAGTAGTTAACTAACTAATTCGATATTGAATTCCAATAGTAACTGATGGTGAGATTTCAGATCGTGATAGAACTATTGATTTGGCTGGAAAAGATTCATTGACAACTAGAATTTTCACTCTTGGAATTGGATCTGGTGTAGATAGAAACTTGGTTGTTGGTCTTTCGAAATCATGTAAAGGATACTATGATTTCATTGATTCCAACACTGAGATGGAGAATCGTGTTATGAAGTTGATGTCGATTGCTATGGAACCAATTATCTCTAATATCAAGGTGGATTGGGCAGATTTGGATGTTATTCAGGCACCAAAGGTTGTTCGTCCAATCTACAGCAAAGAGAGAATGATTATCAGTGGACTTGTCAATTCGATTCCATCCAATTCATCGTTGATCAAGAACATTGTTATAACAGCCGACGGTCCAACCGGTGAGAAGTTAACTTATGAAATCGCCGTGGACTTCTCACAGGCCCAATCCAGTGGAAGCTCACTCCAAACTCTAACAGCACACTTGATCATCGCCGATTTGGAGAAGGAGGAAGAGAAATCTCGAAAGACAGTCTCACACAAGGAGCAAATTGTTGCACTCGGTAAGAAGTACAACTTGGTTTCCAACCACACCTCGTTTGTCGTCATCGCAGAATCGGAAACACCAATTGAAGAAACCATGAAGACAGTCAATGTTTTACAACAAAAACAACAAGTTGAGTTGTATGATGATGACCTTTTGAGTGGACCAATACGTAGACGTGCTGCACCTGGTGGTGGTGGTGGTCGTGGTGGAGGAATGCCTCAAGTGCTCAGAAAGTCAAGTGTCACCAACTCTAGAAGTTTGAGTGCTAAAGGAGGAGCTATCAGTCCTATGTCATCAGTATCATCATCATCATCATCATCAACAATCGATTCGTTAATGGATGACTGCTTCGATGACCATGACGACGACGAAGAAGAAAATGCTTCAAGTGGATCTTCCGATGATGGTGGAATGTTGCGTAGTGCTCCACAACAACAATCAATTGCTTTCTCTTCGCCATCCAAAGATAAGAAGATGAAGAAAAAATCAGAATCCAAGAAAGAAGAAAACCTATGAAAGAGCAGAAAAACGTGATTTTTCTTCTGGTGGACCACCACCTGCACCATCTTCATCAGCAGTTCCATTGTCATTTGCATCTGCAGAGTCGGGATCAATCTCTAAGCCAAAGACATTTGCATCCACCGGTAACTTGATGATGGATTTGATTCGTATGCAGAATGCCAACGGTAGTTGGAATGGTCCATTGCCATTCGCCACCTCCTCCAAGGTTCCAGATGAACTCGCAGCCATTCCAAACGTTTGGTTCACACTCTTGGTAGTTGCTAAATTCAACAAGGATTTCACCGACAAGAAGACTCAATGGCAACAAATCGTTATCAAAGCAATCAAGTGGATCAAATCACAATTGGCCACCGCTTCACTCACCGATCAATATGATTCATTGAAATCAAAATCCGAATCAACTGTATAATAAATAAAACAAACTAACTTTTTTTTTAAAACATATTGAATGGTTCTTTATTTAATAATGAACTGTGTGAGGTATAACAATATTGTAAAGTATTTAATTATTTAAAAAGTTTTGATGAAGTAGAAGATGTACTATTTGAAATAAATGAAGAGGATGTTGCTGGTCTTTTGTTGTTGTAATTCAATGTATTGTTGTTAAGATACAAACTATTTGATTCATCTAATCGTTTCTTTAAATCTTCAATTTGCTTTTCATAGTTTTGCTATTTGTATTTGAAGAATATGAATCAACAATCCAAATAAATACTTTTAAATGAATGAATTTCTTTACATACTTTTTGAGAGGCAGATAGCTTCTTGAGTGATTCTAATTGTGAATGACATCTAGAATGTTCGGATAATTGTTTTTCTAATTCTTGAATCTAATAATATCATATCATTATACAATCAAAACTAATAGATTAAAAAAATAATAACAAATTTCTTTTTACTTACTTTTATATCATTTTTCATTAATTCTTCACTTGCTAATCTTTTAGATTCATTCAATGACTTTATATCATTGATTTTAATCTCAATCAATTCTTTATAATGTATTTCTTTTTCTAAAACTAATAATATTATACAAAAATTAAATAGAATAGATTATTTAGTTTAAATATTAAAAATACATTACATTTCTTATTAAAATCAGATAATTCATCATTTTGTTCTTTTAGATCCAATATTTTGTGTTGAAGATCAACCGATTGGCACATTGAATCGTTAGAGATTGATTCTATCATTGATTGCAACTTTTCAATGGTTTCTTGATTTGTTTTTGTTTGTTGATTCATATGCGACTCTAATTCAATAGATTTATCTTGATAGAACTTTGTTAAAGTTTCAACTTTCTATTATTATAATTATTAGTTAATAAAAAAAGTAATAAAATAAAAGTAAAATAAAAGGATACATTTAATAAATGTTGATTCTCATCTTTTGAATCAGATAGTTTCTTTTCTAAATTACTAATAACAGTAGGATATTCATTGTATAACATAATAGACTTTTTGAATTGTGAAACCAAGTTTACTAACATTTGATTTACTACAAATGTAATGAAGAAAGTATTTTTTAGTAAGTTTTAAACAAAGATCTAAAGTTTTTATTTTACCATCAATATAATATTGTATTCTTTTGTTTAAGAATTGATTCTCATTGTGTAAAGTAAATACTTTATGATTCAATGTATCTGTATCTATATCTCTTTCATTCATCTTTTAAATTAATAAAAATGACAAAAGTTAAAACAAAATTAATAAATGAATTAAATTTTTAAAAAAAAAAAAGTTACATTTTTTTTTGTGTAGGACAAAGAGGAAGTGGAGTATGTTCTTTTTACTCGAAGTTAACTCGTCAGATGGATAATAAAAATAATAATAATAATAATGAACAACATCAACAATGTAGTAGTTGTAAATCAAATATAAATAATAATGATTTTAATCGTGTTTTGTGTTTGGATTGCAATCAATATGTTTATTCAATTGATGATATCACAGATCTTCATTTTAAACACAATATATTCTCGAATGCTTCACTAGATACCTATTTGAGAAAGGAAAATATCATCGATAGCAGATTCAAAGACTTGATGAAGCAACTCAGAGAAAACGCAGAGACAACCTACAGTCTACAGCAACAGGTTGGTAAAATCACATCGGTATTCAAAGATATCTATGAACAACTCAGACTTGAAGAGTACAAACTTCGCAAACCAATAGAAGATGAAATCGAAAAGTCAATGGAATCACTAAAGACAATGTATAATGAAATCATTCATTATTGGAGAATAAATAAATGGATGAATAATAATAATGATAGTAATAATAATAACAAAAATAACGATAATCAAACAACAAATAATAATAATAGTAATAGTAGTAAGGATGGTGATAATAATGAAAATGAAGAATTAGAGATTCTTGATAGTTCAATTGAGTATTCAACGAAAGGTGACATTTTAAAATTGACTGATAATAGTGTTTATACAACTGTTTCAGTGAATAGTGATGAACCAATCTATGTACCAATTATCAACTTTAAAAGTGGAGATATCACATCGAAAATGAAGGATAAAAGACCGGATCCTTTCAATTTGATGGAGGAAATGCGATCACACCAAGAGATCTATCAAAAGTCAAAGTATTTGAAAGCAAAGCCTGTGGAGCCAATCATGAACAACAAGATCAAATGCTTTAAAGATGGAATCAACAAGTTCGTTGAACAAGTACTCAATTCAAAGATAACAGTCGAAATCAAAGTACCCACTAAAAATGAACCAAACTCCTATAGTGATACTTTCGTTTTATTAGATAATACATGGTAACTAAGCTAATCAAATAATTCTAAAGTTGAAATATAAAGAGATTTATTAATATATAAAAACAAATTATCTATTTATATAGGAAGCTTCAAATCAGTAAGAATTTCAATAAAGATAGTAATAAATGGATTAGTGTTTTTTTATGTTTGGCTGACTATGTCAAACCGGTCAATGTTGAATTTCAATTGGAGATTGGTTCCAAATCACATCTTTTAAATTATTGCTATAAAGAGTCGATAGGTTTTGGTTTGACTGATTTCATGGCAATCCAAGACTTTTACAAGAGCGTCACAGAAAAGAACACCATAATGGTGACAGCAACCATCAATACTTATGAAATTGAAAAAGATCAAGTTCTTTTAGAAGATCTAGAAGAAGAATGATAACAATTTTAAAAATAATAGCAAGAAGTGCACTTAACAACCATATCCTCCAAATAATATCAAATTAATAGTTTTTATATTATTATTAAATCAAAGTTGTGCATTTAAAGTTAATAAAAGTAAACAAACTTTGTATATGTTTGGAGCTTTTTGTGCTCCAAAATGAAGTCGGTATAAATATTTATTAAAAAGTGACATTTATGTGATGGATTTAAGAATTACCTCTGCCACCTTCATTGTTGATAAAGCTCGAGGAATGGAAATGATTTGATATATGTGGATTTCCTCTCTTAACATAGGAGGTCGATGGTGTAAACTCTTCGATATAGTTGGTGTCCCTTATCGTTGGAATAACAACTTGCTGTTGACTATTATCATTGAATGGTTCGAATATATCAGAGTGTCCATTCTTTAGATTGTCTCTATTAAGAATATAGAGTCCCATGTCACCTTTGCCCTTGACAGTGATCGATTGTTTTTCAAAGACATATTTCTTACTCAGTAGATTAAATGTATTTTCACTAACACAAATCTTATCTGGAATACCTGAACTCTCCATTCGACCTATTAATTTTTTAATATTAGTATCATTATTATTATTTTAATTGCTTTTTTTTTTACTTACTTGCAACATTTACAGCGTCACCCCATAAATCAAAAGAGAATCTCTTCTTTCCAATGACACCAGCTATAGCATCACCTGTATTAATACCTATTCTTAGATGGATGTCATAACCATACTTTTGGTTTACCTTCTCGACTAAATCTAAAAGGTTATTGGCAAACATGATTGCTTTGTTTGCATTGTAGCTAACTTTTTGATCCACTAGATTGCTACCTTCAAAAGTGAGATCTGGTGAAATTGTATTGGTATCATCACAATCCATATGCCATGGTAATCCACAAACTACCATATCTAACAAGGTAAAGATAAAAATGTTAATAAATATAATATAATATACAATGTTTAAACTATGTTACATACATGAATCACCAATAGTTTTAATCTTTTCTAATTTCATTGTTTCTGATAGATCATCGAAAAGTGAATATAATCTATTCAACATTAATACAAGGTTCTTTGGAGAGTAATTATTGGTCATTTTTGTAAAGTTTACAATATCGGCAAAAATGATTGTTATTCCTGAGCATTCTTCAGCAACATAAATCTCTCCTTGTTTCATTTTATTACTAATTGCTATTATTGATCAAGAGGTTAGTAAAATAACAATGTATTTTAAAAACAATTAATTACTTACCAGATGGTAAAATAGAATTAATTAAGATATCTGATTTTAATTTCTCCATCTTCAATTCGTTGGTCAACTTTGATAGCTTATCTCTTACTCTTTTATTTACAATCGATGTTAAAACAATACAAAAGAAACATACTATTAGTGACATTAATGATATATTCTAATAAAATTACTTGTTAGTCATACAAAATATCAAGAAACATTTAACTCCAACTTACTAATGCCAAATAAAAATTATTATCGTTGTTGGTGTATCCCATATCTTCGTAGTAGTAATCAACTGATTTCATTCCAGTGTAATGCATACCACATACACCCAGTCCCATGATGATTGCCGAGAGGATATGTTGAAGATGTGTGTTGGAGAAAGCTGTGATATAGAGTGCTGCAAACGATGCCAGCCATGCGATGATGAAAGATAGGAACACTATCCATCCGATATAGTGTGAGGATGCGTTCATTCTCATTGCCATCATACCTGTATAATGCATTCCGAAAATACCGATGGCAAGTAAGAAGCTACCAGCTGTAAGTCTAAAAAAGGTATTCCTGTTGTTATACCATATGTTGGATGACATGAATCCATTGTGAAATATGTATTTTTTGAATTTCATCCAGAATGATTTTTTCTTTTTTGGTATTGTACCAGAGTGACTGAGGAAATCACTGCTACTAAAATCAAGTGGATTCTCTAGATTCTCTAATTCAAAACCAATGCTCTGGCTTTTAGGTGAATGTGAATTTACAAAGGTATCGTTTTTATAGATCGATGAGTTTGATGAGTTTGATGATGAAACTGATGAAGATAAATAACTTGGATGATCATTATTAATACAATATATATTTTGTTCGCTATTAATGCTACTAGCCGCAGTGTTTGGTGTTGAACGATTATTATTATGATGAAGGTGATGGTGATGGTGATGGTGATTATGGGTGGAATTGCTATTAGATGGTATATTGATGTTGGCTGTTGTTGTACTACTAGTTGATGTTGTAGTAGTTGTAGTGTTTGTTTGGGGATTTAAAAAAGATTGATTGTAAAACAGTGGCTTCGATTCACTGTCGTACGGTGAATCCGGTGGTGAAATTTCGGGAGTCGATGGCTCCCTCTCGAGATGAAAGTTGGAATTATCTTTGAAATATGGTTTTACTAAGAAGTTGCGATTAAAATAGATAGGTGATGATGAAAGTCCCACTTTGAGACCAGAGTAACTTTGATTTAATCCAATTTCATTCTCTGGATCATCGTTATAGTCGTAATTATTATTATTATTGTTAAGATTATGATTGGGTGTTGGTAAATTAATTAGCAGTGGATGATCTTGGTCACCTCCAATATATTCGACTAACCAAGGTGGAAATTTAGTTGTTAAAAACATCAGACATATCCTACATGATATGACTGCAACTAGCCCAGAGAGAATTGTCAGGCCAACATCAAAAGATACTGGTGTTCCCACAAAATTACATGCCATCATACCAATGAAATGCATACTCCTAAAAGATATTTGATAAGTAATTATTTTAAATAGAAATAATTATTTTATTTTATAAATTTCTTACCAAACTGCACATCCTCCTAATGATAATGAACTTAATGCAAGATATAATTGTTTAACTAATCTACCTTTGGAAAGTGCAAGTTGAGATAGTATCTGAAAGTATGTATAGGAGCCCAAGACACTAATGAGATAGGAAGTGGTAATCAACCCCCAAGACCATTCGATAACGATAAATGATCCCGGGGATAGATCACCTTGCACTGAATTATTACTCATTAGTATTTACCTGTGAGTTAAATAATGATACAAGAGAGAATTAATACAATGATATTATTACTACTACTATATTATTATTATTATTTCAGGTGTTCTAAAGAAAAAAAAAACAAAAGTGTTTCAATCAAAATTATAAACAACAATAAATAACAATGCTAGAAATTTTCAATGTTTATTTAAAACTAAATGAGAGAGTAAAGTAACTGGTGTGGTGGTTGCAATTGGATGTAATACCAATTGCAGTAAGTTGGTTGTAATACACAACAATATGATGATGGTGATGATGATGATGTTAAGAAAATAAATAAAATTTAAAATGATTCTAGAAATAAATAATACATCATATATATTACATCCTATTGTTTTGAATCTATAGATAATTGTAGTAGATGTTATTTATAATGTGTAGGTATTTATGTAGGAGGATGAATGAAATTGACAGTTGTGGATGTCATTCAAATATAGATGATAGTGTTATTTAATTGTTGTTGGTTTCAATTTTAAAAATTGTACTGTACATTTGAAATAAAGAGATCTCTTTATAATGCATTTAATATATTTAGATGATTGAGGGGTCGAATGGGAAGTGTCTGTTGGCATGTAAAAAATTATACAACATTGTCGGTTTTTTGCTGTTTTGTTTTGATTTTAGTTCTTATTTCTTAAAACACATATGTTGTTGGACCATAAAACACAAAAATAGAACAAGTAAATGGGAAATAGTATTAAGGAGCTGATTATAATAGGAGTAAGTGAGTTGGTTAATTGCATTTTGGCACCCACACAATGTGGTTTGATGAATTTTTAAAAAAACGCATACAACACACCACTACTATATTATTAAAACAAGAAGTGTCAAAAAAAAAAAAAAAAAAACAATAAAATTAATACAATATCATTGTTGTGAAAAACCAACATATATTATTATTATTACAACTCCAACAACAGTACTGTTGTTTAAAAAAAAAACTTTTGAATATGATGAAACTTTCTTTTTATATCAGCTACCAGGTGGGAGTGAAATGATTTCGATAATGTGGTTTGTTATTGTAGGTGCCTTTATTATTATTGTCGTTTTTTCAAGGTTCTGATGATGGTTTTTAATATAATATAGACACACTTTATTATATATTATTGCTTCTAAATACTGGTGAAACTTAATTTATATCGTATAAATAATAGCTATTGAAAATTATTATTATTGAATATCCGCAGTGCCGTTTCATTCAAATTGGTTTATTTGTTAAATAAATTATTTAATAAATTTAGAATATTTTAATTGAAAAGAATTGCATGAACGGGTGTTTGTTTTTATGTTTTGAATTTATTGGTATTACTACTACCTCTTCTTTTGTCACAGTTTCTCCAATAATTATCTGATAAACTAATCTTGTTTGCAAAAAAATTTAACAAAAAAAAACAATTTTTATTTGTTTCTATGGATAATTAAAATTATGATATATTTTAATAAATCTAATATTTTAGATTTTTGATGGATATTGTTTTAGTTTAGAGATTGTTGTTTGTGTTGTCGTTGTTTTTTATTTTTATTTCTATTTCTATTATTATTTTATTTGCATTTTTCAATATTATTTTGTATGTATTAGTGGGTGTTTCTATATGATATTTATTTAAAAAAAAAAATTATTGATGTTAAAGTAATAATAGTTGCATTTTCCATTTTCCTTTTTCCTTTTATATTTTCATGTTCAAAAAACAACCACACCACCAACGTTAAACACACTTAAAAATAAAAAATTAAACACAAATGTCAATAAAGATGTCACTTTTAAAAATCAGCCACCCCCACATATTATTGAACTTAATTATTTTTTGAATTGATCTAGACTTGTTAATTATTATTTAAATGTAATATCTGAATATTTTTTGGGATATTTATAACCGAAATTCAATCATAATATATATATTATATTGATATTCATTCTATAGAAAAATAATGGAGAAAGGTGATGTAATTCATACTTTTTTGGAAATATATAATTAAAATATATAATGAACATGATAAAAATATATATAAATAGATTTTGTGAAATATTTAAAAATTTACCTATATATAATGAAATAATTCTAATTGATCCAAATCAACTCTATATTGTTGTTAGTTTTATCCTGTTTGGTAATTAGAAAGAATAATTGATTAGCTGGATTGTTCTTCAGTCGCTTTACTTTCTTATTACTAGCTATCTAACATAATGAAATATTGGTGATGCTGATGATAGATGATGATGATAATTATAATGATACAAATAATATCTATGAATAAAATAAACTAGTTTTATAATATATTTGGTAATTAAATTAAAAAATTTGTCCAATTAATTCAATACAAGTTATAAAAAAGTTATTTTTAGCTGGAATGGTTTGATTATATAGTAAATAAAGTAAAGTGTTGTAGTGATACTATACATGTGTTGAGGTTCTTCTTATTGGAGGGCGTGTTGTTGATGTTTTATGTGATACTATTGTTTATATTATTTCAAAAGGTAACAAAAGAAAATTATAGTGTAATGATACAAGTAATAATATTTTAAGATGTATTTATATGAAATATATATATTCCAATTAGTTTAAAAGATGATTTATTAAGAATATTTGTTTTTTGTTTGGCAACTACAACTTTTTGTTTTGTTATTTTATTTTATTATGAAGATGGATGGTCTTTCAAAAAGTGTCTGTTTGTTTAAATAGTTTTCTGTTATAAATAATGTGTTTGTGTGAAGGACGACCTCTTTTTAATGTGGTTGTATAATGAGGAGGGGTGGTGTTATTGGTGTGATCGTGGTGGTTCTTTGTGATGATGAAGATGATGGTGTTAATGTGCTATTGTTATTAAATACCTTGGAAACATGTTATTCTTTCAATTCAGTTGTAAATTTGATTGAAAAGATGATGGTGTTGATGATCAACATTCTATATAACTATTGTTTATTTGTTAGTTTGATTGATTGATTGATTGACTAATTGTGTTGTGTAGTGTTGTTTTGAACTATGCTGGGTTAGTTGTGGTGGTGGTGGTGGTAGTAGTAGTGGAGTGGTATTGTTATTATTGATATTATTATTTAAGTTTATGTATGAAATGAAATAAAATCTTTATTGTTATTAAAATAAAGTGTATTAAACAAATTCTTGTTGTTGCGTAATGAATATTTATAATGATGAAAACGAAACTACAATTATAGGTGATGTTGAACATTAACATCTTTACTAACTCTACTATATCAACATTGGTCACAGAGAGTGATGATCTATCATATTAAAACGACAACTGCTCTGATTAGATGGTGTTACTACACAATGTGTGGTGAACAACTTTGTTGATGATGATTATTAATAATAAAATTTAAAGGGAAATAAAAAATTGGTTGTTTATCACTATGATATTAAATGTACTATATTTATTTATTACTAGTATTGATCCACCAAAAATAATAAATATTTAAGTTGTTATTTTTTTTTTTTTTTTGTTGAAAGGTTAATTTCCTACAACACCCCCACATGATTGATGCAATCAAATAATTGATTGATTCTACCCCCCAAATAAAAAAAAAAAAAAAATAAGATACCACACTCTCTGTCTTGCGGATTTTAATGAATACTGGTATGATTTTTCGTGATTTTATTGAGTACTGTTAATATAATCATTATGTGGTTGATTTTTATTTATAATTGAACCGTGAGAGGTAAATTCAAATTTGAATTATTTACTGTTAAAAAAAAACAAAAACAAAAAAAAGATCAATCCTAAGCTTTGGGTTGAAATTTATCTTGGTGTTGAATTTGAAACTAATAAAATCTCCAATATACTTTAATTAATTAATTAATTAAAAAGAAAATAAAAAAATCTGTTAAAAAAAAACGATTCTAAGACGTTCACAAGTGTATTTCAATAATTTTTGTACAAGTTGAGGAACAAACTAAAAATTAGATCTTATGTATATCAATTGAAGGTAGTAATCTAATATTAAAATGAGTTCATATGTCCAACTGCAATAAATTAATTGGTGAAATGGTGTGGATGTTGAGATTTTATTGATGTTTTTCAATTAAAACTTCATTCGTTTTCATGAAAAAAACTGTCTTTAGAATGTTTATAGGAATTTATGATTTTACCCTAACAAATATTCTGTAACCTCTTTAGCAAATGAATGATATATATGAAAATTGTTAATTATAAAATTGATCCAAAATAAAATATTTACTTTATAATAAAACCACATTGATTTCTAAAAGTCTAAAAAATAAATATTGATACAAATTTACTAATTAAATAAAATTTATTTAAAAAAACTAAATACATACTAATAATAATAATTTTATTTTATTTTGATAAAAAATAAAAAAGTTGTTTTTTAGGTAAAATACCTTAAAGGTATCAGATTTGGATAGAATTTTTATTACCGTTATTTTTTTAATTAATTAAAGAACAAATTAATTAATTAAAAAAGTAATATCCTAACTTATTATAACTAATATTTTTTTTATATGAAAAGTACAACATTTAAAAAGGTAAATTATTTAAAATTTAATTAAACTTTAATTTAATTTTTGATTTCTTTTTTTTTTTTTTTTTTTTTTTTGTATTCTAATGATTTTGATTTAGAATTATTTAAATATTAAAAGGTTTTTTTTTAATTAAAAAAAACAATGTGATCTCAATCATTCGCACTATATTAAAAAAGGAATTTAAATTAAACACACAAGACGGAAAATTTTGTGAAACATTGGTGAAATTTGGGGATTTTCCATTTTAAGATTGTTTTTGTTAAAAGATTCACTTTTTAAAGTATATTGGCGGTTAAAAATAAAGTTGAACAACAACCCATTCTGACAAATAGGAAAAAATATTATAGATATGACAATTCACTGTTTATTTTTTTTTTTTCTTTCACTTTTATTATTAAAACGAAGCAGTGAAAACCCCTAGACATTGAGCTCTAAGTTTAATTAATTAAACTTTTGGTGGTTCAAACAAACGGATTGGATATGGAAAAAATCGATTTTTACTTTGTTTTTTTAATTTTTAACAAGATTGATGACGATGTTTTAATACTCTATAAAAGTAAAGCAATATAATAACAATAACTCATTAATTTTGATGCAATTTAAATCAAATGACACTAATTGATATCCATCATTGGTGTAGTCTTTGTTCCAGAACAATATTAAAATTCTGTTGTTTCGTTACTAAAAGTATTTCTAACCAACTCAGGGGCAATTGATGAAGAATAAAATCAAATTGGTTTTTTTTAACCTATCAAAAAAGAAGATAGAATATATTTCCTAAAATTTTTATTCCAAGCAGAGTGGCTAATAGGCTCCAATATAAAAAAGTGAAAAAATGGAAAAGAACAGTTTTTTCATCCAATATAATAAGCAATTGTATGATATTAAACTTTCCATATTCCAAAGTTCCTTCAAAAAAAAAAAAACAAAAAATTAACTCTATTCTATTTTATTTATGTTTTTGAGATTTATTTATTTTTTTGAATAAATTACTTTTAAACTTTATTATCAATAATATGGTATTGATTTTCAACAATTTTTTAAATATTTATGATTTGATCTTGATTAATTCATCTTGTAAGTAATAACTATTAGATTTTATTTTTCAATTCCACTTTTTTACTGTTTTTTTGGTTATTGCAAAATAATAATAATAATAATAACTTGATGATAGTAAAAAATTGATTATGTGATCTATTTGTTTTCAAAATAGCTATGTTAAGATGATAGATCAATTAAGTTTTACAATATTAGAGTATTTGATATCATTTGTTGAATCGAATGTTGATCGATGTTGTTTCGCATTGACGTGTAAGAAACTTTTCAATCAACGTAATCGATACCTTCATTTCAAAATTGAAGATCTGCATTTCAATCGAACCCATTACAATCATTTGTATCGTTATAGAATATCACCATCTGTTCTATCTAGTTTCAGAGAGCAAGTACTACGTTCCATAGAATCATCCGACGGCTTTAAGATTAGAGATATCACACAATTCGAAGAAGACTATCGAAGAGACAAGTCTGTACCTTATGGTTAGTATTATATATAACATTAAATATATTATCTATATTGTCATGTTGTTTCAAACAAACAACAACTAAACAATTAATTTGATAATTAGATATTGATACCGATGCCATTAGAATAAACTATAGTATTCCATTGCCTTTGTTATGTCTACCCAGTAATCTAAGATATTTGGAATTCGGTTACAATTTTAATCAACCTATTGCACCCGATGTATTACCAAGCACTCTGAGGATTATGAAATTTGGTTTACATTATAATCAGGTGATTAAGCCAGGTGTATTACCTTCGGGGCTAACTCATCTGACATTGGGAATGTGTTTCAATCAATTGTTGGATGTTGGTGCGCTTCCACAAGAATTGGAATTCTTAGAGTTTGGACATGACTATGACCAACCGATTCTGGAGGGTGTTCTACCCTCGAATAGATTGAAAACATTGATATTCAACGGTGTGTTCAATCAAGTCAATATAAACATACCAAACACCGTAACGACACTCAGGTTTCGTAGGTCGTTCAACCAGGAAATCACCAGTACCAACGGTATATTGCCTGAATCGGTTACATCGTTGTGTCTAAGCGAGTATTACAGTCATCCATTTACACACAACTCATTCCCAAGCACACTGAAACACCTCATACTCCGACACCGACATATCTCTGGTGCACTGCCAGACACTATAACCTCATTAGAGATAGACCAAACACGGCCAAACAGTAAGATCGACGTGCTACTACCTGGTAGACTTGAACATCTAACGATTCTACACACCGATGACTCTCCTGGTATCGAACGGTTGAACCGACAACTCTTTTACTCATCGTTCCTACAGACCTATATATGTTATCCTCTTGATTTCAGTGAAGATGACACCAAGATAGAGTTGGGATGTCCACCGAATATCAAGGTATTGAAATCACATTCGGCAAACAGAATGATAGGTATATTGGCCGGTCAACTATCGGATTCGATCGAGGAACTAGGTATATCGAAACTACAAACACTCAGAGACATTGACCCAGGCATTGGATATCCGCATCATAAAGTCAGATGGAACGATATGCCGCGCTCATTAAAGAAACTGCATGTATTTAACTCATCATTCTTTGTGGAAAACACCATACCTTTCAACATTGATATTATAGCAAACAACTACACCATACGAAGACTTGACCAAAACTACATGATCGTCATGAAGAAAAACCTACAAGGTGGTATAACTAGAATCGATCGGTTTAAGAACAATCATCCCAACTCCTTAATAAAAGTTATCAATGATTCAGATATATAAAAAAATAGAAATAAAACTTGTATTATAAACCTTTTTTTCATAAATAAATAAGAAAAAAGATATTATTAATTTTTTTAACAAACAAACCATTATTTGATTTGTTTGCTCTTTGTTTGCTCTTTGTTTGTTATTATATATTATATTGTATTGTTTGTTTTTGTTTTTGTTTTGTTTTTTTTTTAATTAATTTATTTTTTAGAAGATACAGCTTCTAGTGGTTCCATCATAACTATTGAATTTCCTCTAATAACAACCATTCCCATATTGATTTGTTCTTGTGGATAAGTAACTTCAACTGTATCTTTTAGTACAATATTCATAAATGAATCGAAACCTCTTAATATTCCTATAACTGTTCTATTTCCATTGAGTTTAACTATATTATCGTAAATTTATATTTATATTATATTGATATTAGTGATGATAAAGAATGTTAGTATTAAACCTGTAACACTACTAATAATATATCATAATAATAAAAATTAATTACCATTCATCTTTTTATCTAAAAGTCTAATAAATAAAGTAAAAGTAATAGTAGATAGATAGATAGATAACATGTTAGTAAATAATAAATCATCATTAACTATTATATCTCTCTTTTTAATAATATAACATACTTTGTTAAATCAGGGTCTTGAGGTTTACCGAATACCATTTTCTATAAGCTTTACTTTATTTATATATATACAAATGTGAGTGAGGTTTTGTTGTTTTAGTTTATTATTAATTCGATCTATTTATGAAACTAATTAATTAAACTATATATTTATATTTATGTTCTAAGATATATTTAATCTTTTAATTTCATTCGTACAAAAATTTTGATTGTCAAATTTTATTGATCAATAATCGTCAATGCAAAAATCATTTAAACTTCAACCTAATTTTAATGAGAAATGTTAATATTTAGATACATATTAATCATTAGTGATAATACAATAATAACAACTATTATTATTTAATATTATTATTACTTTTTTTTCTTTAAAAAGATTTATAATTTATTTTAATTTTTTAGTATTTTGGGTGATGAGTTCATCATTCGTTTGGTCATCCTTTTCGTTCAATAAGTCTATAGATACTCTTTTGTTTTTATTTCTTCTTTGGTATTGGTGCACCTTTAGTAGTAGGTTTCTTTGCAGGTGGAGGTGGATCTCTCTTTCTCTTTTGATTTTGATTGAGATTATTGATTTGTGATTCATCGATATTGGAACGTCTATCTGCTGCAGCTGCCTTTGAATCTAAAGTATCCCAATCCTCACCGGAATCTTCACTCTCTTCTTCAGAGTAATCGGATGACATTGATGATTGTGATGATAACTAATAAATGAAATATTAGTCAGTAAATTAACTAAACAAAAAATTCCTATAGATTTTGTCATTACACTTACGTAATCAGATGAAACATCGGATTCAGTTGGTTCATAATCTTCATCGTCGTCGGAATCCTCTCCACCGGAACCACCACCACCATCTCCTTGTGGATCGAGGAAAGACCATCCACCGTCTTCCTTCCAACGCTTGAGATCCGATTTGATCTCAACCATAATTCTCTTCCAGTTGAGATTTCTCTCGGACATGTAGAATTTGATGTTGCAGGAATCCAGCCATTCCTTGATGGTCTCGAAATACTCTCTTGGGATGATACTGATACGAATGGTTGGTCTCGAGTAGTCTTTGAATACGAATACCAAATCAAAGTTACGAAGTGCACGACTGACACGCTCGAAGCAAGCAATCTCCACCTCCTCCAGTGTCAGCACAAAGAACGGTGTCTCCAACAGCGACACCAAGCACTGTACCGACGGTTGCAACAACACCGTATTGACATTGGGCACACCATAGAATGCAAGATCTCTGTAGGGAATATCGAATTCGAATCCACCGCCTGGGACAAGCTCTTCGACACGCTTGACAAAGTTTTGGTACTCAGTGTTGAGCTTCTTCTTGATCTCACGCTCACGTCTCTCCTCCTCGAGCTCGTCGCTCATCGAGCGACTGGTGACATCGAGTGACTGTGAAAGCTCGGAAATCTCAGAGTAAAACTGGACGTCCTTTGATTTCTTCTTACCGATCATCAGTGCATCGTAGAGATGGAAGTGAATGATGACCATCGACTCTTGTTCGGCCTGCTGGAACAGAGCGTGCTTGATATTCTTGTAGAGGATATCGATTGGAGTCTTGTCTTTATTTCCGGTGGGGTTGAAACGCAAACCGTTGTCGTGTGCCTCGAGATTACCGAGTGAACGACGACCAGAGATGGTTGGACGCACCGAGACATCGGCCAAACGTGGGAAACGACCTCTGGTGAGAATCAACTTTTCCTGAGCGATCAGTGTTGACTTGTCACGAGTTTCCGTCTCACGAGTGGTAACACGCTTTCTCATCTCCTTGATGATACGCACGTAGTTGTTGAGAGTTCTGATGTCTTGGACACGGAAAGTGACTTCACGAATGAACAACAACTGCTTTGGCACGAGTTCGGCTTGTTCCGGTGTAAACGACGACGGTGTATTGAAATTGATTCTAAGATACTCTTCGGTCTTTGAAACGTTCTTGATAGTGGAAATATGGAAGGGAACGATGTAACCATAGATGGGCAACAAGATACTCTCTTTGTTCATATCGATGGTGATCTTGTTCTTGACGACATCACTTGGATATCCAGCGGGACCATTGTTATATAAAGTCAGTGGGTTATTAAACATTGAGTAGTCTTCAGTGCCTTGTTTAGATCCTCCCTCAGTTGTCTTTTTCTCCATTGCTCTAATCTTTGCCTCTGTTTCTTCAAGATTTCTTTGTGCCAACATATTCTTTAAAAAATAAAAATAAATAAATAAGAATCGATTACTTGGGTATGTTAATTTAACAAACCAAATTACTCACTTGATGATCTTTTCTCTTTTCCTCTGCAGTTCTCTTTGAATCTCTCTTTTTACCGGTGATTGCCTTTAGGTCGTCGGTCATTTCCAATACCAAAGATGGATCATGTTTTGCACTTGTCGAATCATCCATGGTATCACCATCTTCAGAAATAAAGTAAAATACATCGTTTGGTTTCTTTCCACACTCTGATGTCAATACATTTACTTTTCCTTCATCATCAATTGATACTGTATCACCAATCATCAATGAATAACTAAATTGATTTTAAAACAACTAATATAAGTATATATTTTATATTTAAAATATTATATTTATATACATACAGTTTTGATTTATCATCTTTAAATTTCTTTGCTTCAATATTTTGGAATCCAACAACCACATTCAATACCATTCCACCTTTAATTAACTTTTGATTCGATGCACTAATATTTGCATATGATTCTTGGAATTCCAATCCAATCTAAAAAACAAGATTATAATAATTATGATTATTATTATTATTGTTGTTAAATTAATAGATATGTTAACTACTTACACCATAACCACAACTCTTTAAAAAGTATTTTAATAACTCTGGTTTCTCAGCTTCAATCACTTGTGTTGCTTTTTCGTAGATTTGACTGAATTTGACGCCAGGTTTGAGTTGCTTGATGATCTGATTCTGTACGTTGAGTAGTAGCTGATAGTTCTTTTGTTGCTCGTCTACGGGATCGATAATGTAGGTTCTGGCAATGTTGGAACAATAGGTTTTGTAACGAGCACCAAGTGATACTACAATGGTACCAAAGTGTAGATTATCTTCGTTGCTAGTGGCATTGAACTTCAAGTCGTAGACACCACCACTCTGAATGATTGGCATATAGGCATAGTCGACAGTGTCCTTTGTCAAACGAGTACTGATCTTCTCTGGTGCATTGAAAACGTCCAAAGTAAACTCTGTCAACTGTGAATGTGACTCTTTCTCTTCCTTATCGATAATCTTTTCGATTCTTGGTAACAAGAATGACATCAATACTTTATCTGAAATCTTTGCAGAGTATGTTATATTTTTCTGTACAGCAGATGGTAACAAATAATTAATACGACACATTACTGGTTACACTATTTAACACTAGTGATTAAATAAACATACCAATTCTTGAGTATCTTTAATAGCTAATAAAGAAGATAAACCTTGTGTAATATCAACTTTTTCCATTCCTGAAGATTCGATTGCCTCTTCCCATGACTTTCCAAAATCACCCAAATACTTTTCCTTTCCGATAACACCCATATGTTTCTAGATAATAAATAATAAGTAAAAAATTTATAAAAAAAAAATAGATAATGTTGATAATCTTACACCTGTCTTTGATTTCTTCATCTCTGCAATAACTGATTCAAAATTTGCTTTGTTATTATCAGATTTATCGATTGTGTGAAAGTGGAATGGTTTCTGTTCACCTTCTTCTGGTTTATCAATTGCTTCAAAAATTGAAACTATAATAATAGATTATGTTATTAATATTAATAGTTAGCTAGTAGATTAACAGATCTGTGAATCGCATATCGATATCTTACTTTTCTTTTGACTTGCAACTATATGTATTGACTTTTTCAAGAAAACGATAAGAGTCTCTCTAAGTTCGTATCCAAAGAGCCACGATTGCATCATTGTAACTTTTTGATATGGGTTTTGATCGTTTGGTGCACCCAATGCTAATACCAAGCAATCAGCTGACTTCCAGAGTGCATCGTTCTCTGCGTTCTCCCATGATTGATAGAGACTACGTAATCTCTGGTTGAATGTCTTACTGTCGATTCTTACATCCGAACTTCCATTACTTGTTGTCGTTGTTGTAGTTGTTGAACCACCATTACTTGTTTTTGCATCCATTTATTAGCTACTTTATTATTATTACTAATGATTTCTAATAACTATTAATCTATAACTATTAAAATATAACTAATAAATAATAAATATATATAAATTAAAAACTAAATCTTAGAAAAAACACTTTTAAATTTTCTAAAAATAGAGATAATTATAATATTTAGATATATACAACTAACTTAACTAACTATATATAAATATATATATATATAAACAATTTATAAGATAAAGAACAATAACAAATGAAACAGAAAAAAAAACAAAAAACAAAAGTAACAAACTTTATTCTTCTTGTAAAAAAAGAATAAATTGCAATTAATTATCAAATAAAATCAAATTTAATAAATAATTTAACTATCTATTATTATTTTTTTTAATTATTGTGAAAAATAACAAAGTTCAAAGACAATGATAGATAAAGCGCGCCCAAACAAAGTTTTGTTTAATTAAAAAAAAAAAAAAATCGATTTTTTTAAAATTTCTAATAATTTTTTTGAAGTTCATATTTTTAAAATTCATCAAACAACTTCCCACATTGTTTCAAACTATAATGAATCTAAAATTATTATCATCAATAATGAAAGAATAAATTGTAAATATTGATTCTATTAATATTTGTTTTATAAATACAAATATAAATGAAATTTAACATTTATGTTTTATCTATTCTATTCTATTGGATTGATGATTTTATTTATTTGTAATTAACAAATAACTTTGTTGTTGAAATTTTGTAAAATCTAATTTTTTTTTTTATTTTTATTTTTTATTTTTTGCTCTGCTGGTATCAAATTATTATGATCATTTTTTGATAGCTAATTTCAAATAAACATTTTGATTATAATAGTTGGTCGATGATTTTTTATTATTGAATTTTTTATTAATGATCAATAAAAATAAAAATCATGTCGATTTAATTAATTGTAGAGTAAAATTGAAGTGCTCTCTTTGTTTGATTGGACAGAATGCTTTGGAACTTAAATTAGGACAATCAAAGAATTTGAAATGGGCGACCAAACAATTAACCATATCGAAGTCTAGCTAACCTAAAAACTCAAATCTTAATTAAATTTCGTTATAAAATCTGATTACGAGATTTAAAGTTTAATTATTTGCAGGTTTAAGTAATTTTCTCCAACACATACCCCTCATTTGCAAATATTGTATGATGCAAAGTAAACAAAAAACAAAAAAAACAAGAAATTTGAAAAACAAAAGAGCACACAATTTTTTTGATCAAAAAAATCTGCAGTCACCAATTTTTATTTTTTTGATCATTTTAGCTATCCTTCTTCATTCGATAGCCACAAGTTTCTAATTATTTTGTAAAAACAACAAATTTTTTAAACGTTTTTATTTTGATTGATCAGTAGAGTTTTTATCTCGAAACTGTTTTGATTACTATCTCGAAATTCGATTGGACAGAATGTTTTCATACATACAATCATTACAACTTCCCAGTTTTTCAATGATATTATTTCGAAACTGTCGTTTCATTGATTGGTGCTCAGCTGAGAAGTCTTTTGATCAAACCTTTCTCTATCTTGTAAGGGTTTAATCCTAAGCAGAATCTGATAAGTTGAGAACAACTTTTTTCGAATTAATAGGGCGATCACCTATGAACTTGCACATATTTGTTACAGATTAAAAAAAAAAGAGTATAATGTTGGAAAAAAAAAAATCTTTAAATTTTTTTCAGTAAAATTTGAATGTGTGGACAATGAGTTGTCGATCACAATAAATACTCGGACTCCGGAGTCTTAAAATTCATCATTTGTAAAATCAACCAACTATAATAAATATCATTATATATTTGTATTACTACTATTATTATTATCTGTATTCTAATTAATAACTTCTACCAAACAAAATGTTGAAATATATTCTCGCTTTAGTTTTGGTCACTGTTGCCGTCAGTTTGGCCTGTGACGATCCATTCGTTGAAATGCCACGTCCAACTCGTCTCTTGTATCCAGAGGATTTATCTCGTGCTGAGCGTAAATACCACGAAAAGTACATGCAAATTGCCTATGATCTTGCCATTGAAAAGAACAACTTGTTCACCACTGTAATTGTTGCTCCAAACGGTACTGTCGCTTGCACTGGTCTCAACCAAAATGAAAACTCTGCCATCTACCACGGTGAAATGGTTGCCATCATGAACTGTTCACGTATTCACAACAAAAACACCTGGGAAGGTTATTCTTTGTACACTACTGGTGAATCATGTGTTATGTGTCACGCCGCTGCCATGTGGGCTGGTTTCTCCAAGGTAAGAAAAGTTTTAAACAAGGGATTTGATTCTTTTATTAATTTCGAATCTAATATAAATTATGTTTTTATAAATTTAGGTTATCTACGGTACTTCCATCCAAACCATGTATTGTGACAAATGTCTCGGTCAAATCCCAGTTCTCTCGAATCAAATCAATGCTCTTGCTTATGGTCTTTCAGGAAATAACTCTCCAGCTCAAGTAATTGGTGGTATCCTTAGAAAGAAGACCGATACCATTTATCCAAACTTCTGTTTGCAGCCATCAAATGGATGGCATGTAGACCCAATCTGTTCTAAGTGTGCAAAATACCCAGAATTAGATGATTAAATTATTTAAATTAATAAACAATCTACTCTATTCTTCATAATATTGTAATTCAATAAGTAAATAAACCTTATTAGTAGTTTTTTTTATGAGTAACTAAAATTAATTACTAAAGTTACCACCATATTAATTTTCAGTTTCGGTTATCTCTAGCTCAAATAAAGACCCAATTATATATTTCCAAAGAACCATAGGTGAATTGAATTAAACTATACCTCCACGTTGATTCTCCTTGAAGAGTGAATTTTTAATAATAGATGATTCACTTAGTCCAACCAATCGATATATATAACTATACTGATAATTATCAATAAATACCAAACCATCTAAATATGCTGGTTGTGGAGCTTGGGATATAGAGAATTGAATAGTATGCCTTATTGGCTAGGAAATAGGCTTGAACACGTTGATTGTGAATTTGGTATTGGTGGCATAGACAATGACAGAAGAGCTCTGTCCAGTATTTAGCTTAAAAATTCTGTTGTTGAGAACCAATTCGAAAATCGTCAGTGATTTAATAATATTTTTTGAATAAATTATGAATATTGATCTTACAAATAATTAAAAATCTATAATACTACTGACAAAAATTAAATGCACAATATAAAAAAAATTGATATATTTATTTTAAAAAGAGTTTCAAAAACATATTAAAATTTGGGGTTAAACCACACAAAATTTTTTAATTTTTTTCTATACTTCGGACCAAAGAACATCTTCACCACAAAGTGATCTTGGGCAACAGTATGGATAATCCTTGTCTTCATTTCCATAAACCACTTTACAACCTGGTGCAACTTGGAATTCGGGACAACCCACTGCAGAGAAAGAAAATTCATTTATTTTTTCGATTCGCATACATGGCTGCTTTGAGAGACAGCTACGAGCACTAAGATAAGAACCAAGATTGTAGTATATTTCATTTTCTTTGGTTTAATATTTAGATTTATTATATTGAAAATAAATATTTATAATTGTATATATATTAATCTTGTTAAGATGATTCATATTTATAGGGAAAACATCAATGAAAATGCTGATCGGTTTTTTCACACTAAAAATATTATCAATTTATTAAATTATGTGATCTATCTAATTGGTTTTTATTTTCTGATTTTTCATTTTCCCCCACTGTTGATCAGCAGATAGAAAATGCATTTTCACTTCTTCAATTTAACCTAATCCGAGATGGGTAAACTTTATTCATTTCTTAACATGGTCAGACTACTGATTATTATTATTTTTCATAGTTTTATTTAATTTCGTTTTTGTTTTTACAAATAAATATATAATTAATTTTTTTTGTTATTATAATAATTAACAAAAAAAAAAAAAAAAAAAGTAAAATGATATTGATCTTGATTGTTAATATTAAAATTATTATTATTATTATTATTGAATTCTAGTGTAGAATCTATATTGTTTGTTTCTCTTGTATAATATATATAGCACTGTTAATACAACTGATATGATGAATAGTGGGATGAGCACACCCAAGATGATTCCTAAACTGTGATTACCACCAGAGTTATCTTTCTTTCCTTTGAATTGTAGTTGAATAGCTTTTGTAGTCTTTTGATATTCAAGCTTGAATTGTTCGAGTGCGGGATCAGCAATGATCGTGTGGAAATCCGATTCAAAGTAGAGTTGAGTGCTGAGTAGTTTGTAGGTGTAGTCACGTGTAAGACTGGCCGGTGCCGATACGTTGTAGCTGAATGTACCGTTCAGCGTGATGATATTCAAGACACTGAGCGCTGCGTTGGCACTGTTTCCCATGACCTGATCCATTGTGAGAGTGGCATCGGCAGAGAGCATATCGAGATAGCCGACGATGTTCAAGCTATTGGCGGAACCAATTCGAATGGAACCAATCGATTCGAGATTTCCAAGGATCTGTGCGTTGGAGAGTGCGAGAATCGATCCGTTATTATAGAATTTGAAGAGATGAAGCAGTGGTGTATCGACCAAGCTCAGCTGACCGGTGGCACCTTGCAACATGTTTCCTTGGTGACATGTCACATTCTTGTGAATAAAGACACTACCATAGGTCTCCAAACACATGGTTGGTGTGAGATTCTGTTGGATATCAAGAGTTGCATTTGGAGAAACTAAAACCAAACCATTGAAATCAAATGCAGCTGCCAACACTACGAAACCACTGAGTTGCAATGTGAATAACGGCTGGTTTTTAACGTAGGGTTGGGTGGTCGTCAATGAGTAGAGTGTTGCATTTGAAACGGCCAAAGTAATGGCACCGTTACCACCAATGACAAACTGGTTATAGAGATTCTGTGCGTTGTTTCCACCGATTGTAAGAGTTGCTCCGTTATCAATGGTAATCATTGTACTATCGATAATGGTTGGTGTGTTGAGATAACGGATGTTGGAATCACCAATGATAGTGATAGCAGCACCCTGTTGGAGAACTAAATTGGTAACACCCAACTCTGAGAATGTCGCTTGCAGTCCAGCGTTAATGGTGAGAGTGGTTGCAGTGAGACGACCACTGAATACATTGGAAGTGTTTGTAAGAGTGAGTGTTCCAATGTTGGCTGTTGCGTTGGTAGCCACTGTTATACGATCGAGTATAGCTGTTTGGACAAAGAGAGTGGCGCTATCCGCCACCGAAATGGTACCGAGGGTGTCAATGGTGAGTGCCAACAACGTCGATTGGTCATAGAGAGAGATGCTCGATGATGCATCGCCTGTAATAATGTCATCGACCATCGATTTCAACGATGAGTTTTGACCGATGTGGAGTGACGCCGTGTCTGTCAACTGAATGGAGCTTGCAGAGAGTTGCGCGCCGTTCATCACTTGAATCAACACAGAACTGACCGAGAGTGCATCGCCAGTGACATTCATGGAGGCATTCAAGTTGAGGAATGTCTGTTGACCACCGACAATGTTGAGCGCACCAATACTAATCGGTGTGAGCACATTGAGATCGATAGCGGTATCATCTTTCGAGAGATCTATGCTAAACAAATATTGTGTAGGATTGACCAACGCATTGGTATCATTCCACAGAGTTGCATCAGTAAAAGGTGTGCATACACCGGTTGCACCTGAAGTGACACAAGTGGCAGTAGAGTTGAAAACTGCTACCTTTAAAGCATCAGCAGCAACAACACTACAACAAACAAACAATAAAAATAATGATAATATTTTGTTATTTATCATTATATTGTTATCTAAAAGTGACCTATCTAAATCTTTTGAAATAACTTGATACTTATAATTAAAAGATATAGATAAAAAATAAATAAACAAAAAAAAAAAAAAAGTAAAGTGTGTTTTTTGTTTTTCAAATTTAAATTAAAAAAAAATGAATTTTGTTGTGTGACAGTGAGTTCTCACTATCGCAACACAATTGTTGACAAATTAAACAGAATATAAATACTGGGTGTTCATTTTTATTTTATTTTGATAATTTGTTTAAAAAAAAAAAGTTTTATATTGATAAGTTTCTGTTGCTAGAAACAATTTATTGAAGTCTCTACATTTCTCTTCACAACAAAGTCAATTAAATAATGGTTTCAAAAATAATAGTAATATTTTTATTACAATTCATTTTCCAATCTAAAAAAGTAGATCGAGATCTTAAAAAAAAAAAAAAAAAATAGGCAAGTTTGAAAAAAAAGAGAAACCCATTTTTTGTTAGATTTTGATCAAATTAGACCACGAAAAAAAAAAGCACTAAAAATATAAATTATAAAAAGTAAATTTTAATTTTTTTTATTTTAGAAAAAGGGTAATACTCACGACTAAACAATCAGAATTCTAAAAATTCATATTTAGATTATTTATTATTATATATTATATTTATTTATTTATTGTGTAGGTTTTAACCACCAATTTCAATCCAACTTAAATCAAATCAACGATCAAAACAGATTCAGAAAAACCACACCTTATCACACTTCACCACCTTTACACATACTTTTAAAAAAAAAAAAAGTACATTTCATTAGAAATACTTGTTACATTTTTTTTTTATTCGGAGACCAGTTATTGCTAAAGTGTTGTGTGTGTGTACTCGTGTGTGATAAACTTATCAAAGTTTTGATATTTGATTGATAGATTGATTGGTTTGTGTATTGTTAATAGTGTTTATGTATAGTAAGTAAAATTTGTGTATAAATATAAGTTTAAATATTTATTGGTATAAAAGATTATAAAGTAGTTAGTAAATTGTAAGTTCTATAGTGATTATGTTTTATAAATAAAATATTTGAATAATTAAAATCAATAACTCCAACAACAATAAAAACAGCAGAACAATAGAAAATCAACAAAATAATTAATTATTTACAGAGTGTTGCTGCTATTAGATTTTACATTATTGCATTGATTGAATGTAAGGAAGGAATATAATAATATTGTTATCCACATCGAATACCAAATAAACAGACAAACAACTTTTAAAATCATCAACTATTAACTACCTAAAAAATCAAATGTTATATATCATTATCAACATCATCATTAACATCACCAAAATCATAATCATCATCATTATCATCATCAAACCAATTCTGAATTTGGTTAAATTTTATATCATTCATTATCAACATCATAATAATCAAATCATATTTGTCAATCAATTAAACATAGAAATAACTTTATATAGTTATTTAGCTATTTTAATCTTAAGATTGGACTTTAAACTAAAAAAGTACAAAAAAAAACAATTTTTGTTTGAAAAAAAAAAATATCTTTTAAAAAAAAATCGATTGATTGTTGTGTTAAGATAACCCAAAACAAAATAAATTTGTTCAAGTGGTTGTGGAGAGTCACTTGGCACTTAGGACTTCACACACACAAAAACTTTTTAAAAATTTAATTTAAAAAACGCACTATAACATCGATGTAGCAACAATCTTTAAAATTGTTACTTACTCCTTACACACAATCATTCATTTAATTATTATTAGAAAAAAAAAGAAAAAATTAGCCAACCAATCATCGTTACCCACACTCAAATCGTTCAACAATCAGTAAAAACAGCCAATCCAAGCAATTATTATTTCTTTTAAATTTTTAATTTATTCACTCTTTACACAAAACACTTTACACTTTTTATTTATTTATTTTATTATTATTTATAACAACTCCATGTATTTTTAAAAATTAACAACTATACTTACTCATTTACTTTATTTATTTAATAACAAATCAATTATCAAATCTTACAGATTTATTTCACAATTATAATAGTATCAAATTTATTTATTTATAGGTAGGTTTTGTTAATTAATTCTAATATCTGGCAGACAATCAATTGTAAAAGATTAGTTTAGTACTAGTTACGACAATAACAACTGATCAAAAGATATCAATATTTGATATGGCATTAGATTGAACAATCAATCAGGAACTGTAATTTAATGATTGATTGATTGACTGATCGATTTAAAGCTAATCAGCAATTCAGTTCATCAATCAAAAACAATGCATAGGATTTACATTGTTTTTATATAACAGTTTGAATAGAATGCATCAAATAACAACTACATTATTTAGACCAATCATCAATTAATTAATCTCGATCAATTATCTATTCCTTCGATTCAACTATTTTTATTTTCGCAGCCAAGCAGCCTATAATAATATTATTAAAGCATCAACAAATAACAACAACAACAACAGCATAACATCAATTAGAACAACAACAGGAACGTTGGAATTTAGGAATTGAATTGAAATATCAAATTAATTATCAATCTGACAATCGTATACGATAGATATATTGCATCCACCAATCATATCATCTCAATCTCAATCTCATTCTTTCTGTATCTATATTTCAAATAGATAAAACTGACCATCCCAACAACAAACTTATCATATCATATCATATCATATCATCATACAAACAACCAACTTATTATATCATATTATCATACCACATATTATATAAAGTACCATATAAATACGATACGACACGCATTATTATCAACAAAATAGCAATTTATAATGGTGTTTGTTTATAAATAATAATAATAATAGTAAAAATTACATCATTTTTTAATATAATTATAAACACGTAAACCATTCACACCACACACAATAAAATTAAAAAAATAATGTGTGTATTATGATTTTTGTCCAATATTTCACACCATCTCTTATATAAGTCCAATACCATTCATTCAACAAACCCCACCACACACCCAACTGTTAATCGATCCATCCATAATATGAAACAAAACACTATTACATTAGTATGATTGTCATCATCAATCATTATACGCTTACGCTTACTTTTTGTTTTTCTTTTTTACCCCACTTCATGATATTACAGAGGATTTATGAATCACGCACACCACAAACACACTCACACACTCACACATATTATTACTGCAAATATCTTAATATTATTTATATTTTAATCATCTCATAGATTGCCTATTGGTTAGTTTATTATTGTCATCGTCAATCATCTCGAAATAAGAAATTTTAATACAAGTAGCATCAAATATAGATACATTTATAATACTCAATTGAGTCGATTATGACAATTATTAATTTATATTTATAACAATAGTATTAGTAATAATAATAATAATAATAACACCATAGCAACATTCAACAAGCCAACAGTTGTTAAAACATTAGTAATACTTTAACCACAATAGTATCTATATCTATATCTATATACATATTAATATTATTACTATCAAATTGTTGATTTCATTATTGATATATCTAAAGATTGATCCCCACTCATTCTCTCTTTCTTTTTATATTTATCGACAACTTCCTAAACTGGGTATTGTTAAATATACCATTTTACCTATATAGGAAATCCTATTATTTAATTAAAACTTTTTATTATTATTATTTATCTATTATAATTTTTATTTTTGGTTTAATCCACTTCTCTCTCTCTCTCTTTATTTTTTGTTTAGTTGGAGTTCTTTTTCTTTTTTTTTTTTTTTTGTTTGTTGTTAAATTAATTTTTAGTGACATATTAATAGTTGTAAATCAATCAATAATAATCAGTCCAACCAAATCAAATCAAATCAAATTCTAAATTTCTATTTTTAAATTGTATTTTAACATTGATCTTTTTTTTTTTATTTTTACTTTTTTTAGATCTAAAAATAAAAATTATAATTATATAAAATATAGAAAATGTCATCATCAAAGATATCGAATAATCCAAATGATGAAGTTTTAAGACGAATTAAAACAGTTTCCAGTATGGTATGTTATTTTTAAATAGAAAACATTGTTATTCAAAACATTTTGATTTTCAATTATTAACATTTTATTTAAATTTAACTATTATTATTTATATAGGATGGATTGGAACAATTTGCAAAATCAACAGAAAGAGGAATTAATGCATTAAAAGATATAAAGAGATTTTTTAAACTGAGATCACAGATAGAAGAGGAATATTCAAAGAAATTGGCAACTCTAGCCAAGTTTGAACCGACAGTCACTGCCGGTTGTATTAGTTCAACGATAATGGATGCATGGGCACAGGTCAGACAGGAGACTGCTTGGGAAGCGGGCTATCACGAGACACTCTCTAATAATTTGAATGACGGCATCGTCAATTCCATCGATACACTGGTGTCTAGTCTGGAGAAACGAAACACAACTATAATGACCGACGCCAAGCATTCATTCAACAACTACTCGGACAGCGTTCAACGTCTGCGGAAAACGCGTCAGACATGCGAGCGTGCCTTTAAAGACATGGTTGGCGATAGTGGTTCGCGAAACACCGCCGGCGACACACAGAAAATCAATCGTCGCGTTCTCAAACAGAGTCAAGATGCGATCAAGTTTGATCGTGAACACCGCGAGCAAGTCAACGAGACGAATTCGCTACAATCCACTTTCTTTGGCTCCATCATCCCAAAGACAATGGTCGAGTTTTACAAGATGGAAATCTACAGGTCACACATGTTGAAGCAATATTTTCTAAAGTTTCTAAACATGGTTTATCTCCCGGACAACTACGATGCCGAGATGTCGGGACTGCGCGATCGACTCACAAACCTCAGCACCGACAACGAAGTCATTGACTTTATTCAGCGCATCAAGCCATCGGTCTCAACCGAAGCCAACCCACGCCCGTTCGAGGTAATCGACTTCCGAACGGCTGCTGCCTCCATCTCTGTTTCCGACTCTAGCAACATACCATCGTCTTCACTTCTCTCACAATTCCCAACACCAGCATCCTCACCTTCCTCATCGATCGACGAGAAACCACTCACTCCAACCAAAGACAAAAAAGACAGACTATCGGTACACATTAAAAAGCGATGGAGTACCAGTTTCAACTTTTCCTCTTCATCAAAGAAACAGCTACAGTTTGGAGTGTCGTTGGAGGACCTGATGAATGCGCAGCGAAAGACACACCCAACACTTGAAATTCCACATGTTTTGGTGGTGATGAAACGCAGAATGATAAAGATGAATGCCTTCCAAACCGAAGGAATATTCAGAGTGCCATCGCGTCTTGTCGATATCGACTCTACCAAGAAACAAATGAATGATAATAACTTTGATCTATCGCTAGTCGAGAATGTACATACCATTTCATCGTTGTTGAAACTGTGGATTCGTGAACTTCCCGAACCTCTCATTCCTTTTGGAATGTACGATTCAGTGATCGGTGCACTCAACGATCCAAACGAGCTGATCAATCAATTCTTCAGACTGCCTGTATACAATCAAAGAGTACTCTCCTATGTCTTGGAGATCATGCGACTCTGTGCAGCTCCAGAGAATATTAAAGCAACTCTAATGACATTCGACAATCTCTCTACTTGTTTCGCGCCATCCATTATACGTACCAGTTCTTTAGAGTTGTCGAATGCAATGGAAGGTCTAACCAAAGAAATCTCTGTTATCAAATTAATGTTAGAGGTCGTTCCACCACTTCCAATCGACGATCGTATCGAACCATCGTCTGGATCGACATCCCCACAACTGACATCGACAAACCAAGGTTCCTCGGCATTAACACCACCTCGTGCTGGCAACAGCATTCCTTTCACCTCACCGCAATCCATCAGTGCTGCTTCCGCTGGAAGTAGTGGCAGTAACAGTAGCAGTCGTAGCATTCCAACACCAATCATTCAATCACCTAAATCCGACCAGATATCGTCGCCTATGAATACACCTTCGAGTCCACGCTCACCTTCTCTCAACAGCCAAGGTTCTTCATCGACACCGATCGACATACCACACGGTCTCTCACCATCCACCATCTCACCCAACAACAGTCTGGTGGAATCACCTTCACTTGCCCTCGAAGACTATCCAATCCATGAACCAGCCAAACATCTCATTGAAGATTTCCACTCGAATATGGTTCAATTGTATCTGGATGTCAGTAGCGGTGCAGAAGTCAGTGCTTACTCAGCGATGACCGTGTCTTACACCATTGTTAAACTTACCCGTTGGCTAGAGGATTTCGTTACCAATACATTCCAAGTCGATTCCTATGAGTCACTTCTTTTGGAAATCGAAAAGAACAACTTTATTTCACCACCACCCGTCAACTTTAAGGTTGCATCATCAACGCCCTGCTTACGACCCATTGAACTTTCCAACATGATTCCAGCGGCATTGAAGCAGTGGATTTTGATTTTCACATTAGTTGTCAACTATGCATCACACTATCTCTGCTATCTCGGTGGAATGGTAACCGGTAGCACACCAAAAGAACAACTGCAGCAAGTCGAAGACTTTTTCAACCGTAACAAACTTATTACACTCTCAGATGTATCGCAATCCTCGCACAATGGAATCGATATAAATGCATCGATAAAGTTGATCTATGGAACCGTTGAGATGTCAGGATCACACCTACCAGAAACCATACAAAAACAGATTGCTCAACATCCAGATTTAACAGAATCATTACAATTACAATTTAAACAATCAATGTCATTAGAAAATAATATTACTAATAATAATCAACAACTACAACAACCAACTAGTAATCCACTTTCAATTTCATCATCGATATCAGCACAACGACATGAAAATACATTCCAAATGGAAGAGGAAGAAGTAATGGATGAACAACTCTATGAGGAAGATGAAGTACAATTGACTTCAAGTAACTCAATTACACCACCCAACTTGTTAAAGTCATCATTGAACCAACAGGATCTCATTAGACAATCGACATTTTTAGTTATCGACAAGTTGAACGAAAGAAAGAATATGGTTGTCAACGAAGATTGGAGTGAAAAAGAACAACAGGTTGCACTCTCCTTGATTGCCAAACAGATGCAAGCAATCAAAGTTGGTTTAGAGAGTTTTGTAGTTGAAATTGGAGTGCCCGTAGCACCAGAGGTTAGATCAGATGAGAAAGCACCAACAGCACACGGTCAAATCGTTATTTTCACAAAGAATTTCATAGAGAGATCCACACAACTGTTGCGAGCTGTCATCAATTCACTAAACACCCTAAACTCACAACTCTATGAACATTTAGTTTCAAAATTATTCGAAATTAAACGTCTTTTAGAAAATTAATAAATCTTTTTTTTATTTTATAAATCTTGTTTGAAATATTGACAATAAACTGTTTAGATAAAATTATTTTCTTAAGTTTTTTTTTTTTTTTTTGAAATATCAAAAAGAAAATCAAAAAGGTTTTCATTTGTAATTTAATTTAAACTGGTCAAATTATCTTTTAATGGGTAATATTGAAAGTGCACCTAAGAATGTTAAAGAAACAATCAGAGAAAATGATAAAAACAAACAAGTTAAAATAGTGTGTTCGTGGATAGCAAAAAAATCATTGTTTAGTTGGTTTGGTCCCAATCACTGGTCTGTCATTTTGCAACTTGATAATGGTCAATATGCATGTATTCAAAAGCATAACTATAGTTTTGTAGTATCGTTGGTGAGAAACTCATTGGAGTCGGCAGCACTCGAAACCTGGGGTGAGACAGGTCGGAGAGTCAGGTTATCATGCTATGGAGAGGTTGACAACATCACATGGAGCTCCTTCTTTGAAAGATTTGTCTATGATCAAAGATATTTCTTACTTTTCGATGATTGCCAAAATTTCTCAAGAAGTATAATAAAATACCTAAATAATAAATCGGTCGGAATCTTCCCAATTGAAAATGGTCCAATTTATTATCCATAATTGTAAATATAATTTTTGAAAAAGATCGATAATAAATAAAAATAGAAATTCCTATTCGTTTTTTTGTAGTTCCACAACACATCCCAAATTTAAGTAAAGAAATTGAGTTTTTTGAAAGCCAAACTATTTTTTTAGTCGGTTCACATTTGCACATCTTTTTGGTTTTACAAAAAAAAAAATCTAAAAAAATAAAAGTGATCATCATTTTTATGTTAATGAATTCCATTTTTTATTGTATCTTTTAAAGATATCTTAAACTCGAAATCAAAACCCAAAAGTCACACATGTTTTCTCAAGATTGGGATTTATTGGTAACTACAAAAAAAAAAAAAACAAAGAAAAGAAAAATAGAAAATATCTAAATCATGATATTGTCAGTAAAAATCTATCGATCAACATGACATTAGTATGACAACAACAGTATTGTAATACCATGATTAAGATGTCACCAAACAGATATTTCTCTATTCAAATAATACATCGGAGGTCGTAGATTATAATATCTAAACATGTTCATTTTCGACTTTGAACTATCATTTTTTGATAGATAAATACCAACACCATCATAACATTGATTGAAAATCTATATCATGAAGTATCAATTATTTTTAGGTAAATACAAAAATTATATAATTATACTATCAATCTAGATTGTTAACATTTTTTTTTTGATTTCTAGTTTTTATACTTTTAATAGTAACATGTTGTTATGCTCAAACATGTTCAACTAATGCAAGTTGGAGAGAGCCAGTTGCATCAGCTAGTGTTCCAGTTTCACCAGCTATTCTCACACAAAATCCAGCATATTCTATCTATGGAACATCAGATACTCAATGGAGAGTGATGTGTGATTGGAACTATGATCAAACTACCTTGACAGTGGCCACAGGTCTTTCCAATGGTTTGTCAGTGGCAGGTGCCCTGAAATTGACTACCTCTGTTTGGGGACCAAGATATGTGTTTTTGGCATCCAGACAATCGACTACCATTGCCTATCGTGCAGGTCGCCAGTATCAAGTAGACTTTTCTTTCCTTCTAGGTGAGACACAAGCTCAGTACAATACCATCACCAACATCTCTGTTATTATAGCCAAGAAGATCGATGTCAACGGTTGGCCAAATGGTTGGTTATCCGAAGACTTTATTGTTGCACGTATCAAAGGTACCACCTATGGAAGTTGGAGTTCCACCAACGCTTGGGTAACCAAACAAATTCTATTCACTCCTTCGATTGATATTGCCGAGTCCACACTTTTCATTCAAATCTACTTTAACGAACTGTCTGGACCGACACCAAGAAAATATTATTTCCGTGATCTCAGATTAACTGTACCATCGTACGCAATCACAACACCAGCCAATCTGCTCACCCAAGATTCAGAGTCAATCGTACTTCCAAGACCACCTCAATCACTTGATCCACAAGACATCTCGAAATGTCCTTATCTCCAGACTGGATTGAAACATTGGCACGATCCAGCTACTTGGGGAGCAGCAGGTGTACCTTCTCCAAACACAAATATCACCCTGCCAGCCAATACAAAAGTTTTGGTATCATCTTGCTCCATGTCTTCAACTCAAGTGTACCAAAAGATTGTTGTTCCAGCCACCAGTGAATTGATATTCATGGACGCCAATATGACTATTAATTTCCGTGATATCTATGTACAAGGTAAACTTATTATGGGTACCACTCAATGTCGTTACAATGCACGAATCAATTTAATCTTTAGCGGTGCCAAAACATTGCAAGATAATATTGCACCATTCCTAGGAACAAAGGGTATTGGTGTTGCACAGAATGCATTCATTTCTATGCACGGTAAACAATATCATAACACTTGGACCAAGTTGGCTACAACTGCATACACTGGTGATCGTGTTGTCTACCTGTTGGACAATGTAAACTGGGAAGTAGGACAACAAGTATTCATTACAACCTCTTATATGCTTGATGATCCTTCGTACAACCTAAATGAAATCCTTACGATCGAAGCAATCCAAGGAAAAAGAGTTCAGTTCACGCAACCGGTGCAATATCTTCATTACGGTGGTCAAGAATACCAATCTGAAATCGGTTTGCTCAGCAGAAGAATCAAACTATCTGGTTCACAAGCAGATTCTACTGAAGCCAATGGATTTGGAGGACAGTTGATTATTGTAGGAGAAGGACAAGTTGCAGGAGTAGAATTCGAACGATTTGGACAAAAGAATCTAAAGGCTAGATACCCAGTACATTTCCACTTGGCCAATACTGTCAAGAATTCTTATATTTCCGATTGTTCCGTACATGATTCCTTCTACCGTTGCATCACCATTCATGGTACAAACAATTTAACAGTAACAAGAAACACTGCTTTCAATGCATATGGACATTGCTATTACTTGGAGGATGGTGTCGAAGAGAACAACACAATCTCTTACAATTTGGGTGCCTATATTAAAACCATTGGTACTCCAGCGGCTGGAACTACACAACAAGGCGAATGGTTCTATGAAAGTGATGACCTAAAACAACCTGCTGATGTTGCTGCAAGCCCATTTTATATTACCAATTGTTATAATAGATTCATTGGAAATGCTGCAAGTGGTGGTTGGGCTGGATTTAGTTTTGTAAGTAAAAAAAATATAAAGTATTTATTAAATATTAATATTATGTTTATTTAGCCAAATCTTTATAAACCAATTGGAAATCATAAAACTGTTAATATTGTCCCTGCTTCTAGACCTTTCCTAGAGTTTAATGGAAATTCAGGACATTCTTCAGGTTTCTATTTCAATTTTGGTGGAACTTTTTATGTCGGTGGTAATCTTTCACATTCGTTGGTAGATGGTACACTGATTTACAATTCCGGTAGAACATCACGTCAAACCTTGACTTCATCTGGTAATATTGCATTCTTGACCTTTACCAATACCAAAGTATTCCTTTCTCATATGGGTGTCGCTCATTGGGGTGATACAGTTGAGGTAATCGGTTTGGAATCGCATGATTCCAGTCGTCCTGCTACTTTGTTTGGTCAGGCATGGCTCCACAATGCAATCGTTAATGGACAAACCCAAAATGCTCTCTCTCGACTCGACACTTACACCAGACAAGGTTTCCAATTCTACGATACCTTGGTTCAAACAGTTCTCAGTAACATTCAATTTAGAAATTTCATTCACAATCCAAATGCACCAAACCCAGAAGAAGATAACTCTGCTATTGTTGGTATTACATTCTCTGATGTCTATAAACCACAAGGTATCTCTGCAACCAAGAACATATCGTATGTCAATGTACCAGATTCTCAGATTGTCGGATTAAACGTAATTCCAACCGGAGCATCAAGATTCTTTAACTTTATGGATTGGGATGGTAGTGCAACAAAGCGAGGTGTTCCAACTCTTTTAGGATCCACTCCAAACTGGTGGAATTTCCATAGCTCCTGTTCATTCCAAAACAACTGGAAAACATGGCTTTGTAACAAGGTTCCAGGTTATGAGATTGCCAGTTTGTTCTTTAGAGTTCCTGGATTCATCGAGTGGAACGAGTCCTATCCTGGATGGCCACTCACACCCATTGGTAATTTCTCATTGTTTGGTAATGGAATTACCGATCGTCGCACTATCCCATTCACTCAGAATCCAGGTATGACCGGTATGTCCAATTTCGGTTGGTACATGTATACCTTTAGAGGATCACCAACTTTCATTGAGTTCCATCTACTCCAGATTCCATTCAACAATCACATCATCATGGCTATTCCATACCCAGCTGGAACCACATTCTCTATAGTTGCCTACTACTATGAAGAGAGTCGTACTTTCACACCAGTATCAAGTTTGGCAACACTTCGTGCTGGTTCAGGTCAGAACTTCTATTTCGATGGTGTCAATCTATATATTAAATTTGTAGATTTGGCAGCAACAGGTAGTTCAGATGAGTATTTTGAAAGAAATGGAGTTCGTGTTTACGGTGTAAACTGGGGTTTGTATGTACATATCCATGCTAATTGTGCAGGTGCAGTCAATGATGTATGCCCAGTTACACCTGATATCTTACCATACATGGTATAGATCTTATTTATTAATATTATTATTTTTACTTCCATAAGGAACATTATTTATTAAATAAATGTAACTTTTTATTTTACATTCAAAATTTTTTTTTTTTGATTTATTATTGAGCTCTGCTGATATTTGAAAGTCTATAAATGATCAGCAGAGTTGGAAAAAAACAATCATCAAAATCATAGTTACGGGAACCCCTTCCTTAATACCAACATCCTTCGTGCGCTGGAAAACGTTCAAAACTAAGACATCCATGCCAATCCACTACCACTTGAAAGTTCGTCCGATTTACCTAAAAACCAAGATCAACGAGCAAATCGAACTGCCATTATGCATGCTGGTGCAGACATCTGTTCTTGGAACAGAGTTGGCAAAGAATTAAAAGTAAATGTGGTTTATTGTAAACCTATAAAGATTAATAATATTATTAATGTTGTGATTTGTGATAAAGTCAATAATTTTTATTAAATGTGTTGATACTGCTGATATTAAATTAAACTATAAATTCAGCATTATTAATACTTAGATTTCCTTGGAAATTGATAATCGTATCCCGTTAAATTCTAAAGGAAAGAAAAAGGAGGAATCTATTGATATTATATCAATAAAAATCACATTATCATTTTATAAAACAAAAATAGTTGATTCTACTTGCGAAAATCGGAAGAACATTTTCTTGGAAATGTTGTCTATAGTTCTATTTTTTTATTTACATTGATTTATTTCTATTTTTTTAAAACAAAACAATGTGTGCCAATCAAGATTTAAAGATTTATCTAAAATTACAAAATTATAAATAAAAATTAAGTTAATATGTTTGATCATTTTTAAATATTAAAACTAAAGATCAAAAGTTGAAATCTATACTATTATTGAAAATCACTATAGAATTATATTTAAACATTATCAAATAAATTGGAATCTGATAAAAAGTTACATTTTTGTAAAACCATCGAATCGGTGGAGAAGAACGCCTAATGTAAGTAAAAATATAATAATAATAAATAAGATCTATACCAAGTATGGTAAGATATCAGTTGTCACTGGGCATACATCATTGACTGCATCTACACAATTAGCATGGATATGTACATACAAACCCCAGTTTTTGACTAACAGATAAAATTATTTTTAATAAACAAAATTTCAACACCCTTTTTTGGGTTTAAATAATTATATTTATTTATCTTTTTAATTGTCCGAGTGTGTTTGTTTAAAACAGTTTTTACAAAAAAACATTAAAGGTACAAATTGGGAAATTATATTTGTTTTATATTAATTTTATTTACAAATTTTATTATTTAATTAATTTACTCTTTACTTAATAAAGATAAAGATAAAGATAAATATTGAAGTTGAATGAATTTTGTATTTCATTTTTTATATATTTGTTAGAAAAATATGAAAATTTATCAATTTGTTAAAATATTATTATTATTTGTTTGTTTATTAGAGTTGGTATTGACTTGTCAGTATGACTGGCAATGTGGAAATAACCAACCATTTAGTCAGTGTAGTCATGATGCTTTTGATTTGTTGACTGGCATTGGTTATGACGATTCATTAGATAGAGTTATTCTACTGGGTAAATTCAATGGCATTACTAGTAATGCCAATGAACCACCTTATATTGCAAGTTTACCTGGAAATGGCGGTTCACCTCTCCAAGGTGATTATCCAATCATCACCGATAGTACAACTATCTACCACCGTACACAAGCACTCATTCACTACGATCAAACATTGAAGCTTGTCTACCTTGAAGCTGCACAATACAATTCCTATGGTGTCGGACCATATTTTTCATCGAACAACAGTTTCGTTACTACCTGGAGAACAACCAATTTGATACCGTTTGGAATGTATGTAGATGAGAGTACAGGCGATACATACACATGTGAATACTACCTACAGAGAAAGGCAGCCAATGGAACATCGATAGAGATGTTGCTGCAACCGGTGCGTTGTAATCACATAACCAGAATCGGAGAAAAGATCTACTATGTCGATCAATCGGGAATGTACAGTCTCAATCGTGATTGCAATCAATGTAGACAGGCGGACCTAGTTATAAGACTTCCATTCTATACGACTGCATTCGCTCGTTCCTCCAGTGCCTTTTACTTTGGTGTCACTCATAGTTTCGGTACCAACTACACCGGTATCTGGCAACTACCCATCGACCGAGCATCGGATATCTCCTATCTCAAGAAGATACACTCTTCTTCGACACACGGATTGATATTCAATCGCGATGCTATCAAGATGTTTGCAGCCACCGAAGATCACCAAGTTTTAAGATTCGAACAGCTCGATACTACCAACCCAACATCGACAACCATCTACAATCATAACCAAACAACCGAAGGTAGTTGTCGTTGTCGATCAAAATTCTCGGGTACCGATTGCAGAACTTGTAACCCGGGAACAGTCAGATGGCTAAACGGAATACCAGAGTGTGTCATCAAAGGTACTGGACCTATAAGTTGTCTGCAAGACTATGAGTGTAAATATCCCTACGGCTATTGTTCCAACGGATACTGTAAATGTCAAAATGATTTGACTTTTTCAGATACACTTGATCGATGTGATTGTTTCAATGGCACAATCTCATGGGATAACAATGGTTTACCTAAATGTTCAAAATAAATATCAACTGTTTTTTTAATACTAGCCAATTTTTTCAAAACTTCTATAATTTAAAAAATTATTCCGATGCAAACGTTTTGTTACCAGGGTTATGATTTTTATTTTTTTTTTTTGCAATTTTTAAAATTCTATGTGTGTTGTTATTTTTTGAGAGGTTGTTTTTTTTTTTAATTAAACATTGTTGTTTAAACAATAATAATATTTATTTCTTTTTAAAAATAATCAAATATTAAATAAAATTTATATATAAATAAATAGATAGTAAATTGCTTTAAAATAAAATAAAGATCAAAAAGATGTTGGACATAGGTTTTGGTTGGGCATCTTTTGGTGGTGTTGTCATTGTATGTATAATTTATATATACTTATTATTATTATTATGTTTTAAATAAATGAGTATATTAATATTGTCATATGACAATCGCTTTTAATTATTTTTTTTTTTTTTGAGTTTGTTATATTATTAAAATATTATTATCACTAAAATATTGGTCAGATAAACATGAATCTGAAAGATTGACTACATTTGTCACTGTAACAGGTCTTACATTGACACTTATGTGTGTTATGCTTATTCCAGTCGATATTCTAAATGTATCTACAATGTCGAATTCCTCTGGTAATTTCACTATATCACAGTCAGACATCCAAACACGTAATGACTCTGTTAAAATACTTTACTATGGTATGTCTTCGATACATCAAGACAATATTCATTAGTTGTAACAATCCGATCTAATCTAATATTTCATTTAACTCTCACTTAACTCTCTCTATATCTCTATCTTTAGTTATGTATGCATGTATTTTAGCATTTGCATTAATTATCATACCTTTTACCTATTTCTACTATGAAGAGGATGATTATGATGTATCTACAGGTGCAAGAGTGTTGGGTGGTTGTAAATACACTGCATTCTTGATTGTGTTTACTGTGGTGTTGTTGGTGGTCGGTGCTTTCATCAGACCGGGATCGAGCAAGCCAGTCGATAACCAGAACATCAAAGATTGGATAGAACAGGAACTGGCTAATCAGAATGCAGCAGAGGGATCACTGATGTTTGCAATTGCATGTCTAACTCTACTTGGATTCGTTGTTTGGATCTGTTACACTGCCTACGGTTTCTCTGCATTCCCAATCGGTTTGATCAAGGGTAAGCGTCGTGTCAGTGATGATCGTCGTGAGATCAACGATGATCTCCACAAGACCAGAGAAAAGGCAAATTACTTCAGATCAAAGTATGCCTCTGGTAAAACAATGTCTGCCGATGAAGAAGCAACAATGAATCTATTAAAATCAAAAGAAAGGTTTGTTATTATAACTAACAACATAATATATATATATATATATATATATATATATTTTTATAACTATATATATTAACATAATTTTTATGATACAATTTATATTTTCAGAGTATTATCTAAACATTCAGCAAGATTGGAATCATCAAATTCTGGAATTAAAAAGATTTTAGTTATTTTCCGACCATTCGCTTTCATATTTGGATTCTTCTTCCTTCTCGTCTCGATCTTGATTATCATTTCAATCGTACTTTCCATTATCGACAAACTTTCAAGCTCTGTCTGTGGTGCTGCATGTGGTTTCCTTACCGATTATCCAAATTTGAAGAATCCAATCGATTTAATGTTAAGTTCAACTGCTCCAGTAAGTAAACAAACAAGCTTTTATAAAAGATTGTAGGGAAAGAATTTAGAGTATATTAATAACCTTTTTTCAAAAATATATTTTTAGTATTTCCCATTGGATTATATTCTTCTTGGATTAATCATTGTATATATCTATGCAGTTACAATCTCTGGCATCGTTAGAATTGGAATTAGATTCTTGTGGATCAAGATGTACGAGTTTGCACCATCAAAGACCGTTCCACAGGGATTGTTGATTGCTTCAATTCTCTTGATGCTCTCCAATCTATGTTTGAATATTCAGATCATTCAGCTCGCTCCACGTTACAGTTTGTTTGGTACCCAAGTATGGTACAATGCAACAAGCAACACTGTCCAACCATGCTCGATCGACGCTCCAACCGACCTCTGTGTCATGTCACAGATCGGACTATTGACCTCACGTATTGAAATGGGTACCTCATTCTTTGGTATCGTTTACTACTATGCCACCTGGGGTATTGTTGGTGCATTCCTCATTGGTACTTTAGTTTCCATTTTCAAACGTCGTGATAGCAATCTCCAATCGTTCAACAACGATAGTGATGAGGAAATTTAAACATCATCCTGCAACCAATTCATGATACAACAACTCTTTCCGCTAAAAATCAACAAAAACCTTTTTTTTTTTGCACTAACATTTTGTATATTTTAAATAAATAATATTCATACATTGAATAAATAATTATAATATTTTCCTTTCTTTAAATAGTTAAATACAATTTTATTTTATTTTTAAAAAGTTGATCAGCAACTTATATATATATAACAGTGGTTTATTAAACTAGTAAAATTTTTATTCGAGAGGAGAAGCATCTGCTGTGGAAGCAAACTTTTGTTCGACTGGTGAAGATTCAGCTGCGATTGTTCTTCCGAGACGAACTGGCTGAATAATATCTTCGTAATCTTTTGTTTCCTTAATGTCAGTCTTTCTACCGAACCAACCTATTTTAATTTTAATTGAATGAATAACAACAAAATGTTAGAATGTATTTAAAAGATTAACTAGTTAGCCATTAAGATAAACTTACCTTTTTTGATAAAACCTAGCTGTGTATATAATCCAGTATACAACGGTTCACCGTTTGGATTATCTTGCTTCAAAGAAATGGAGTAGCTAAAGTCTCCACCAAATGAAAGAGTGCTCTTCACCTCTGCGTTTCCAACGTTCTGAATGTCAGCATTGACATTGATGGTGAAACTCGAGTTCTTGGTCTCTTTGTAGAGCAAATGGAATTCCATGGCATAGAGGGCACTATCTACAAATCGGTTTGGCTGTTTGGCCCACGCTTTGTATACAACATCGGAGAAGGAATCGATGTCTTTGATGGTGACATACTTTGGTGTGGGTCTACGAACGATCACCATCAATGACTTCTCACTGTTGGTGGTACATTTGATCTCTGCTTTCTGGCCGGTCTTGAGTGAACCTATCAAGTCACCTTCGATCTTGAATGTATTTCCGATGTTATAGATCTTCCAGTCTTCGACAACGTTATTCTTATTCTCGCGTATCTCATAGTTGAATTTTTTCTCGATTTCCTGGAAGTTTGTCAATGCTTGGTGAGTATGCACAACTGGTCCAATTCCCTCATTAAAAGTATAGTAGCATCCTGGTTCCAATGATTTTCCACCATCCAATCTCCATGGATGGTCAAACTTTTCCTTAAAGATTTTATTTATTACTTTTTCCATTTATTTATTATTTGTTATTATGTGTAGAATAAATCAATTTATTAGCTAAACTTCTTTAAGCGGATAGGATCACCAAATCACCAAGCAAATTAAAAATCTAATTTTCAAAAAAATTAAAAACACAAGGTATCACGAATTTACCTAAACTAATTTTAGATGAATTTTGTTATATCGAGGCCAATCATTGGGGTGAGCATACACAAATAGGAGCAAAATTTTTATTATGAGGGAGATGTTCCAAAAGTGATAAGAAAAAAAAATTAAAAATTTAATCAAAAAAAAAAAATTAAATAATAAATTAATCTTATTTCAATTCATTCAGATTCCATTACTTGTAGTAGTGCAATATGATTTATTGATTGTTGAGCTTATAGTTCTATTACCTTCCATCTAAGAAGCGTGGTGAGTGACAGCTACTACTAATGTTTTTTTGAAAACATTCTCAATTAATTATGAATTGGCTTGATTGCTGAGAATTTTGTTCTTTGTTTGTTGTATACAATTTAATACAATTGTTTTACTATTTATTAATATAATAAATGTTACTATACAATTGGGTGATGAGATGTCAAGATTGTAGAATGTTCGACTATCAATCCTAGGAGATCTATTTTAAGTTTTGCTTTGCTGTGTTCTGTTGTACTGATTTGTTGTTTATAAACTAATCCCTGTTATGTTTCTAAATATATATCGTTTAATAATTCTATCCTATTGATTTTAAAAGAAATGCTTAGCACCTAGTTTTCGTACTCTGGCATCGAATGCAGTCGATGTAATCGGTGTATTATATGTATAAAATGGATTGAGTAGTATCTAAAAAAAAAAAAAAAAAGATTTAATATCTTGAGTGAAAGTTCATTGAACCTACAAACTTACCTTTAAGTAAAGATCGTGTACATCTACAAAAAAGTTTCTGATTGCTTCTTCATCTTTCTTTTCATGTAGCAACATGAACTTTATATCTAAAAAATAAAAATAGAAATAGATAGCTATTAGGTTGTAGTTCATTATTTAATATTATATAGTATTGTAATATGACATACGACCAGCAGTAACATAAGATGATATATTATATTTATTATATTTATCTACAATTTTAAGATACCTAAATAATAACAATGATTAAAGATATTTATTAATTAATAAGAATTGTACAATATGTATTATATATATATATATATATATATATATATATGGTCAATAATAATTACATACATATTATTTGTTTTCCATACAGCTTCTTCAACTACATCTAGTGAACTATGTAATATATATTGGTTTATATAGGCAGCATCTTTCTATCAAGATCACATTGTGTAAGTATTAATATTTAGTTGTATTTTATATCAATCTATCTAACGATCTATCTTATTAAAGTATTTACTTTTTGTGAAGACAATGCAGGAAGCTCTAATTCATATAAAGGATTATCATTCTTGCCTATAATAATAAATGTATAAGTTGACATTATTATCAACTATAGTGATAAACTAGATTGCTGATGATCAAAAATAAAACAGATAAACAAAAAAAAAAAAATCAATTAATTTTGTTTTTTTTTTTACAAAATTTTTAAAAAATGAAATTTGCAAGTTTATTTCTATTTAGCATCTATTGGAAGTTGACTATTTTGATTATCTATTACAACCTCAATCGAAGTTGTTTTCTTTTGGTATAGGTCAACTTGTTGTTGCTCTTTCTCTTTTTGTTTGATATCTGCTGGTAATTCCTCTAAAGAGTAGGTAACAGATGGGAACATAGGCAGTGGTTTTAGTTTGTAGGCTGGGTATCGAATGATAATGCAATAAACGATGAGACTTGCTAGATCCAAGGTATTGGTTATTACGAAAGCATAGTGTGTATAGGTGAATTGAACAATGGAGAATCCGAGCATATCCAAAGCATAGACAATTCCAAACACTTGATAGAATCTCTTTAGTTTCGTATCTTCAATGTTCTTGTCATGCGAGAGAATCGAGAGGAATATAAAATATGGCACTGGAAGGAGATAGACTATTCCCGTCCAAACAGATAGATCGCTAGGTGGGAATGGTGTTAGGTTTACCAGTGATACTACCAAGTAGACAGCAGTGTTATAAAAGAACAGTAGCATTCCAACAACGAATGGAACATAGTAAACAAATTTTGACATGCCGTATGGGCTGAGCTTTGAAGTCCAGGCACCCTGAGCAACCAGCAACAAGAATGCATAGTAATATCCCTTTGACAGTAAATCCATATAGTTTCCAATAAAATAATATGAAGTAGCCATTGTAGATATGGCAGCACCAATCTTTAGGAAAACACACACCAAAGGAAAGTCAAAAAACTCTCCTCTCTTTGTGGATTGCCTCGTTGACAATAATATTGCAGCACATATTAAATTGAATACCAAAATCAATGTTGCGAATGAAAATATAATTCCTCTTTCTCTATCTTCTGCCGACAAGACATTTTCCTGACAGTTGACAATTTTCGTTGATAAACTTATTATCAAACTTGAAATAATAAATATTTTTCTATAATTTAAAAGTATGTTTTGTTTTTCAGGATTAGACTTTTTATTTTTTAAAAAAAAGATACAGTTACTTACTTTATCATTTTAATAAATAAATAAATAATAAATAAAATTTATTAAAAAAGAAATAAAAACATTAACTTTAAGTTTACATTTAGTTGAGTTCGAATTTTTATCTTTTACCATTTTTAGTAAAAAGTAAAATGAAAACCTATTTTACAATTTTAGAATTTTTGTTGTTCGTATACAAAATTCTTTTTAAAATATTATTTTTATAAAACAAAAATATATAAAACAATTTTAAATTATCTATTCAAATTAAACAAAACTGAAAAAATTATTGAGATAACTTTCTATCTCTTTTAAAATAACAATAATTTTTTTTACTTAAAAAAACCGAATATTTAATAAATAATTTATTAATAGGAATTAATTAATAGAATGGAACCCTAACTTTAAGAGGTGAAATTTTTTGGAGTGTTTAAAGTTTTAGAACTGTTATTTATGAAAGAAGAGAATTTAGGATCCTAATCTATTGATAATTCTAAATTATTAAAATTATCCACATACCTATTATTTTGACTTTGACTCAGAGAGATTATTTTCAAATGTAGGTAGAGCTCTTCAAGTATAATTTTCCTCTTCACTTACAAAAAAAAAACACTTTAAATAAGTCAATAATCTCCATATCTATTTTAATAGAAGTCATATGAGACATCCGGTTATTATCATTTCAACTTTCTTCAGTGGAAAGATTATTTTCAAAAACTGTATAGTGTTTTTTAAAAAGATTAGATAAAATAAAAAGTTAAAAAAAAAGAGAATCAAGTTTATAATATTTTGTTTGTACACAATAATAATTTTTATTAATTTTTTACACTTCAGGGTTTTTGGTGAAAAAAAACAAATCCTATTGTCAAAAATATCCGACACACATCGATATTATTATTTGTATAGATGATTTTTATTAGTATCATCAAGTTATTCCTTGTTTGATTGGTCAGAGTCATTCAGGGTTGGTTTGTTGGTATTCTATCATTTGTTGTTTTGTTTGTTGATGTGGTTTGATTGTTGTAACAATAACCGTTCATTCATTGACAAACACCAAGGGTGTTTTACTATGCTAGAGTTTGCTATATTTTTGCATACTTCTTTTCATTAGAACAGCTTAGAACATACATTGCTAATAACAACATCACCACCACCTTATACATATATCCTCTATTTCATATCAAATGCGCATATTCATCAGAGTAAACATACGAATGTATCATATCTATTTGTTTTACTAGCCTTATAAGGCAGATAGTATTATTCCGATGATGGTTTGTGGTGTAGGTAGTGTGGTGGAATTCCAACAAACTTTATGTAGGAAAATAATCATTAGATTACCTTCAACAACAAAGCAGAGAGAAGAACAGTTATTCTATTATTATTGTAAGTTTGCCTGCTCACAACTATAATCACTACCATTTCAAGCAAAATGAAAACTAAATTACATGACAGTGAAGTATTCACCTTTTTATCTGCTAATTCAATGGTCATCACTTTATAATATTCATTAAAACAAACTTTCTTCCTACCAATAACACAAACAAACAAAAAAAAAAAACAAACAAACAAAAACAAACAAATAACAAACCATAACCACACCACACACACACTAGATTTATTGTCTTACATGTTTTGGAGATGCATCATTATTTCAGAATGAATGATTTTCACACCCACCACATCAATAATGTATCATATACAGTTCACTTTGGATTTGCACTCGATATGATATATGTGAATTAAATATTTTTAACCAAAACAGGGAATTTCATAAACACTGTTTTGCAAGTTATTGTTGATATTTGTAGTAGTAGTAGCTGTATGTGGTATCATTAGTTTGCTGATGATTATTATTATTATTGTTAATAATAGTAGTTTCCATTTCAAAACCAATATTTTATTTTATTTTTATTTTATTTTTTGTTATTGAATTGGGTAATTAATTGAATATTGAAATCATTCAAATCAAATATCCAAATATTTTATAGTTAATAATGAATATGATGATGATGTTGATGATGTTTTTATTGATGATGTTAATATATGTGTGTATTGGTGATGGTAATGGTAATATGGTGGGTTGTGTTGCAGTGGTGTGATGGGTGTGGTATTGTCATAGATGTTTGTTGACAGAGGTAGGCATACGCATCTGTAAAGTTTCTCTGTAGTAATCAACAGACACCACACCATAGTTAGTTCACCAATGTCAGTAAAATCAAATCACCTGACTATCTACTAAAAAAAATTTAATCACTCCATATCCAAGCATCAACTCATTCAAATCAATCAAACAATTCCAAAAAAAAAAATACCAACAACAACAACAGAATAATAATAATTAATTGATCATTAATTTATCAATTCATATCTCTAATCTAAAGAATAATAATAATTCCTCTTTTCGATATTTCATTTCCAATTTTCCTCTTTTAATTTCCCTTAACAACCAAAATAAATAAATAAATATAAATAATAATTAAATTAAATTAAATAAATTACTATATATATAGAATTAAGATATAATAATAAATTGAAGTTCATAAATAAATAAGAAATATATATATATTATTTATTTAAATTAAAATCATGAATTTTGAAGTACCTAGTATTCCAAATCCATTTGGTAATAATGGATTAATGGGTATTAATGCACAACAACAACAATTAACTTCACCACAATATCCAAAAGCAAAGGTAGAAGCATCAACCAAAAAGAATTCAAAAGATGGACAGTTTCATCCAACATCACCAGGTTTGATGAGAAAATCTTCTCCGTTGATTGGATCACCACTCGGTTCATCAATGAATACACATCACCATAATAATCTACTCTCACAAAAACCAGGATCGAAAATCGTTTTCTCTCAATACCTAGAGATCGTAGAACAAGAGTGTATATCTGTTGAGAATGTTATTTTAAATAATAGAAATTCCAACGTTCATATCGTTGTCAAAAACACATCATTCGTCCTGAAAATTCGTAGTCTCGATTTGAGTGCCATCAATTTCACCAGTTGTCATGTCAAAGCCGGTCTCTATTACGCCAACGAACCAATGAAAGAGGTCAGCTTCATCCAGACCCCACCAATTACCTACGTCGGTAGCAGTTGCCCAGCCGGTGAATACTTTACCATTGATATAAAGATTTCCATACTCTCCAGTCAGCATCAAGGCAATATGTTCTACGTAATGCTGCACGCGATTGACTCTGGCAACAAGAATGCCTCGCACTACTATCTATCCCATCCAATCAGAGTTGTCTCCAAAGTCGACCATATTAAAAAAGATCCAAACGGATCCTGTGAAAAGAAACAAACATTCATTGATATTTTAACAGACCGTTTGAATACCCTCGAATCCATACACGTAGGACAATCTAATATTCTTTGTTCAATGTTAAAGCAACGTGGTTTACCAGCCTCTGAATACTCTTACAGCGAGTTGGATCCACTGGACATCAACAGTACTACAAGCTCTCCACCTTCGTCACCGTTTGTTCTTAGTGCTGAGGGTACACCAATCGCAAATGGCAGTTCTAAATTACACCATAAAAAACTGAAACAACAACAACAACAACAACAACAACAACAAGAGGAAGGAAAATCAAGTAATAAAAAGAAGGCCGAACAATTCCTAGATAGTTTTAATAATGTAATAAGAGTATATAAGAAAGAGAATCTCGATAGCAAGAAGTTGAATTTCCTAGAGAATCTTACCAATGATGAAAGAAATATATTAAGCGATCTCCTCGATTCATTTACATTCGATGATCCAATCGTAAAGAACCATCAATCAAATTCACAGTCGTCATCAACCTCCTCATCTTTCAACCTGTCATCGTTCAACGTTGGTGAAGAATACAATTGTCAATGCACCGATTGTCCTTATCGAAAACAAGCAGAACAATTGATACTACTCTCTCCCATCATGTCATTCCACTCTCCCATTCAAGTTCTAACACCATCCACTCCGAGATCACCATCTGAAACACCTCTAACCAATGGAAATAACTCGACAACGCTTGGCGATGATATTGAAATAATAGAAACAATTACCACATCTTTAGAATAAACTAAGTTTATAATATTATAAAAAAAATAAATAATTAATATATTTATTTAAAATCAATATTATTTATTTTAAAAGAAGTTCGTTTTTTTTTGAACAATTTTTCAAAATGGAAAGAATATCCATTTTTTCATTCTTTAAAATCAAAGAAAGTTTATGAATTTTATTTTTCTTCTTGATAATCAAAGATGTAGGTCAATCAAATTTGAAAACCGTACAATGCACAAAATTTTATCTTTGGTTCCAAAGAATCAGATCTTTTTTTATTAATAGATACAGATATTATTTTTAGTTAAAGGTATTCCGGTTTGATTTTTTTTTAAAAAAAGGATCTATCAATTCTAATAAGGTATTTATAGCATTTACATAATTATTTTGAAAATATTAAATCATGAATAAAGTTTATTTTATATTTATATTATCATTCTATTTGATTAATATTTGTTTATCACTTGAATTAAATTCAGGTTCAAACAACGTTTCACTACAATGCACTAAGGATATAAATAGTATGATGAGCTTTGCAAATCTAATGGATGATCTTCAATGTAAGTTAAATTAATATCTATTTTAATCGGACAAAAATATTATCTTTTAAATAAAAAGCATATTAATATTTATTTAAATAATTAAAAGTATGGGCCTACTCAGGAAGAGCTCCAAATGATCTTGGAAATATTGATGGATGTTTGGGACTACCTTCCAATGTATCGCATTATTGTATATATTCTACAAGTGTTCCAGTTTCACCAAGTATTAACACCACCTATATCATTGGTCTATGTATTCCACCAAGTTGCAATACTACTGTTGATATTTCGAGTGCTCTTACTACTTTTCTAGAAACAATGTCCATCATTGCACCACCAGGAGGCGATCCACAATCGATATGTTATTCCGAAATTGGTCAATCCTACAAGAATTGGACAACTGGTGCTTATGTTGTTCTAGGAGTTTGCATATTCTTTGGAGTCTTGGTGTTGGCAGGAACAGGAATCGAATTCTATCAAAACAATATCTCTGGATTACTAAAGAAAGACGATGACCAATTTGAAGGATTAATAAGTGGTATCACAAATAACAATCCAATTTCAATTAGACAAGATCTATACGAAGAGATTAATGAAACGCCGTTGGTTGTTAAATTGCTTTTGTCATTCTCGCTTATCAGTAATTATAATTCCTTCTTTGGTTCGTCATCTACAAAACGTCATTTCGATACACTCGATGGAATTAGAACTATTTCTACTATCTGGGTACTATTGGGTCACTCTCTTCTATTTGCCAATTCCCCTGGTTATGATAACTTGGCATATCTATACTTAAAAGCCAGATCCTTCTTTTCATTCCAAGCAATTCCATCTGCCGAGTTTGCCGTCGATGTTTTCTTTATGCTAAGTGGATTTTTAGTGGCACATTCTTTACTCTCACATCTCAATTCAGAGCAATCGAAATCACCATTTTTCTGGTTTAAATATGTAATTCATAGAATCATTCGTTTATCACCACTCTACTACTTTTTGATTTTTGTTGATTGGCAACTGATGCCACTGTTTGGTACCGGACCGTTGTGGTTCCAATATGCCGAGCAGAAGAATGCATGCCAAGAGTACTGGTGGACTAACCTGCTGTACATCAATAACTTACATCCATCTATCATGTCCAAAGAGTGTTTCAGCTGGGCATGGTATCTTGCCAACGATATGCAATTCTATTTGATCGCACCATTCGTGTTACTGGCATTCCGTTTCAGAAAAGCATTTGGATATCTCATTGTTGCTGTACTTTTGGCCATCTGCTTCACAACAAACATTTGGTTGACAATGAAATTCAATATTCCAACTTTCTTTCAATTCGCAGTGCCAACCACAACCTTTACCACAGATATCTATCAGAAACCATGGACCAGAATCGGACCGTATGCAGTTGGAATTGCTGTTGCTTTTCTTTATACACATGAAACCACCAAGAAGGTGTACGACAAACTCTGGTTTAGATTGACAGCTTACTCATTGGCCTTTGGAATCACCTTTTTCTTCACCTATATCCCATACACCAGTTTCCAAGGAAGTGGTTGGACAAAAGTAGACAATGCTCTCTACAATGGATTTGCACATACCATGTTCACAGTTGGTTTGGCATTGTTCATGGTGGCGACTTTCTATGGACACGGTGGACTGATGTCAGCTTTCCTCAGACTAAAGATATTCAACTATCTATCGAAACTAACTTACGCCACTTATCTTGTTCATCCTATTGTGCTTTACACCTACTATTACTCACGTACAACATTCCTACACTACTCTCCAATTGAATTCTCATGGTTGTTTGCAGGTAACATCTTATTTGCATTCTCGATTGCTTTTATCATTCATTTAACAATAGAAAAACCATTCATTCAAATCGAACGTTTGATCTTCCCGCCAAAAAAACAAAATTCTTCCCCACCACAAAAAGAATACCAAAATTATTCTTCTTTATTGATTCAAAAAGTCTAATAAATAATTGTAATTAATTTATTTAATATATTCATAACTTAGTTTCAAAATAATTATTTTTATAAAATAGATAGATATAATAATAATATAAAAAAATAAAATATTAGAATGAAATATTTACTTTAAATTACATATATTATGATAATTACAAATGATGTAATGTAAAAAAATGTACATTGATCATCTAAACTCATCATCATCATTTTCAGATTAGTTCTGAAGATGATGATGTATTATACTTCTATATAAATTATAATACTTAATAATTCATGTACCATTTATTCCAGATTATTAATGATTTGTTTATTAATGTTCTATTAGTCAAATTACAATATTTAACCAATTTACATTATATTAATCAAATATTGATTATATTATTTAGTTCATTTTTAATTTAAAACCTGACTTATCACCTAAAATGATCAGGTATTCATTTGGTATGAACTATTTAGAATGATACCTTAATTTGGAATCATATGATAGTAGCATGTGACATTTACTCATTAATACAACTTGGAGAAATAAGAACATTGAAATTCTAAATTTTACATAGACATTGCTGTCAACATCATCATCAACACAACCACATTCATTTAATTGCAGATAAAACAAAACAAAACAGATAAAAATTTATCAAATAATGAAAAGTTTATACAAATAATATCTATTATTACAATACTTGAATTACACCTCAATATGATTCAGTTCATACAAGTAAAATAATTAATTTTATTGTATTATCATAATTTATTATTTTTATTTATTTATTTATTGCAATTTTTAAAACCATCCCCTAAAACCTCTTTTAACTACAGATAAACTTCAAATATTATTATAATATTTTAATAACTAACTGTTTTCAACCAATTTTTAAATTTATTTACAGTGTTAACAAAAATTTAAATAGATAATTGATTTGTTGTAGTCCAGGAATACACGAAATTTGGATTCTTTGATGTTGAATTTTATTATGATCAAATATTTCTCATCACCATTCAAAATAATATAACATCACCACATCACAACAACATACACCACGCAGTCAAATAATCAATTGATTTGATGATAAGATCGATTAATATTTGAAGAAACTATATTTAACATTTTATTATTTTTAAATTGGCACAAGACATGTTCACATTTATATTAATGTAGATTATTCTTTGTATCAAACAACACCCTTTAAATTGTTAACCAAACAATCTTTTTTTTAAAAAAATGATTCCACACACACATAAACAAAAAAAAAAATAACAACAACAATCAACACACTTCACACGCTATTCACTCTTTCAATTGAGATCTTATCACAACAAGATATCATTATTATACATACATATAATAATTATTACAACCTATCTATTTCTCGAATTTAAAATAAAAACTCTCCAACAACCAACCTTTTTTTTAACAAATATGTATAAAATAAACACCAATTTAGAAATATGTTGTTATCTCTATCTTTATATTAAAGTGTTGATTAGTGTGTCATGATTTTTCATATATGGAGTTAAAGGGATAGGAGGAAAAATGACTGATCAACAGATTTCATTAAATTCATTTCAATTCAATTCAATTGTTTGAAATAATATAAATGTTGTTGTGTGTATGTGTTTGTTGATTGATTACTCAGACAAAATATAAACTTTTTGTTTGTTTGATATTAAAAATGATAATTGGAACTTTTTATTTTCTTAATTAAATTCAGTTCATTACATTATCAATACGAATTTGTACCATCACCATATTACACAGCTATATCTGTTATATTTGTGTGTTGTGTGCATTGTTACAGTTGTTTTTTGATGTTGTTATTGATTGATTACTATTAATAATAATATTATTAATATCAGGTGTTCTATATATGTACATATATGGAATTGTTATTTTATTAAGAAAATAATATCAATCTTATCTTTTCTTTCTTATCTATCTGACTATCTGCACTGCCTGTCCGCTGGATGCGTTGTTTTACTGTATTCCTATAAATGAAGCGTTAAATACTTGTTTTTTTTGTAAATGGTCAAATAATTAAATAATAATGATAATTTAGATTCATACGAAAATCAAACTCAATCACATATTACAATTGTAATCGACACCCACCTCTATCCTCTGAACTTATAATAATAATCAATTAAAACAAAAACGCATAACACAATTTATATTAAAATGAATTCTAATATTAAATAACCTATATAAATCTATCTATCCTATCACAAATATCGACCAACCCACTATTACTACTACTACTACTACTACCAACCATCAAACAACAACAACAACAAACACCAAACACCAAACATCCATCTTTATTTTTATTGTTTCTCCCTACACTATTGTTGGATGAAGGAGCAACAGAGCATCTTTCCTGCTAAACACCAGAACTGGAAGAACACCCCTAACATATATACTCTACATATTTGGTGTTGTATTTTTTTAAATTAATAATTTGGTATTTAAAGTAAAATCTGTTGGATGTTTCTCCTCTGGCTGTCCCAAACCAAATTATAAATTGACATTCTTGACGTCAATTTTATCATTCATTTGATTTAAATCATCAAGCATAAACATAAAAAATAAATAGAATACCAGTTGTTATTTATTTAAATATATAAAGAAAAAGAAGAATAGTTTCTTATTAAAATCACAAACAAATTCTATTTCACCTTATAAAATCAATCATTTGTATTATTATTATTATATAACATTACCTAAAATAAAAATGAAATCTGTAACTTTAATTTTAATTGTATTATTAAGTATTATCGCTCTTAACAGTTGTTTAGTAGCAGCTAATGTAAGTATTAAATAGTCCGGAAAAAAGTTAATAAAAAAAAAACCCAAATTATTAATTATCAATTTTAAATTAAAAAATCAGGTAAATGATGATCCAGCACCAGAATCATCTACCGCACCACCAGCAGAATCAAGTACTGGATCTTCGCAACCACCAGCAGAATCGACTACCGGATCTTCACAACCACCAGAATCGACTACCGGATCTTCTCAGCCACCAGCTTCCACTGGATCTTCTCAGCCACCAGCTTCCACTGGATCTTCTCAGCCACCAGCTTCAACCGGTTCATCCCAACCACCAGCCTCCACTGGATCTTCTCAACCAGCTACCGGTTCATCTCAACCAGCCACCGGTTCATCTCAACCAGCCACCGGTTCATCTCAACCAGCTACCGGATCATCTCAACCAGCTACCGGTTCATCCCAACCAGCTACCGGTTCATCTCAACCAACCACTGCTGACCCAACCAATGCTCCAAATGCTACCACTACTGCTACCACCAAGCCAAATGCCACTACTACTGCCACTCCAAAACCAGTAACCCCAACACCATCACGTCATACCACTGGAAACAATGCTTTGACTGCCGGAAGTGTCTCTGAAGAAGAAGGTAGCTTTGCCTCACGAAAGGCAATCAATGTAGCCGGTATTTTTGTATTAGCCTCACTTGCACTTTTCCTTTAAAGAACGAATTTTCTTTAAAAAATCAAATATATATTTAAATGAAATTGTTTAAAAATATATAAAATATATCTAACACAACTCCTTTATTCCTATCTATTTTTTAAATAATAAAAAACAAAAAAGAATTTTTTAACAAAAAAAAAAAAAAACCTATCCTAATCTTTTTGTTTATTTTATAACAATTTTAAAACTAATATTCAATTCTTGAACTTCTTTGGAAATATTTTTGATTGAATCAATTACTGGAATAAAAATACAATCTGTAGTCTTACAATAATATAAAATAGCTCTATCCTTTTATAGTCAATTCACACGCTTCTCAATAAATAATTTTTTTTTCAAACACCCATTATTAATTCTTTAAGATTTATTTTTTTTTTGATTTTTTATTTAGAAGCTTTAACTGCTTCTTCCAAAGCAGAAATTAATAGTTTTACATTGGTTTGATTAGCATTGAATCCCATCAATCTATAGATAATATGTTGTAGATAAAATGTTAGTTATAATTGTAAAGATTATTATAAAATGTATTAATAATAATATTTACCCAACTCTCCAAACTTTACCAGCCAATTCACCAAGTCCACCAGCAATCTCAATGTTATATTTATCGAGTAGATATTTCATGACAAGTTTAGCGTCGAGTCCATCTGGAACTGCAACAGTTGTCAAACTGAATAGTCTACCACCTTGATCAAATACCTCGTTGGTATCGGCTAGATATGGTTTCAGACCGATCGACTCCAAACCTTTGTAGAGTGATTTGGCAGCATCTTGATGTCTGTTCCAAGTGTTTTCAATTCCTTCCTCGCAGATCATCAAGATTGATTCACGTAGTGCGTAAACCAAGTTGGCAGGTGTAGTATGATGATATCTTCTGAGTGGCTGTGGAGTAGTGACCGTACCGTTGGCGAAATTGTACTCTGGACACCAGTATCCACCGAGCAACATTGCATCCAAATACCAATTGGCAACAGGTGTCTTTCTATTGGCGATCTTTGCACATGCCAGTGGTGAGAAGGTGATTGGACTGATACCTGGTGGACCGGACAAGCACTTTTGACCACCGGTATAGCATGCGTCGACTTTCCAATCGTCGACAAAGAATGGCACACCACCAAGCGCAGCAACAGTGTCGACCATCAACAAACAATTGTGCTCCTTGCAGAGCTGTCCGATTCCGGCCATTGCTTGCTTCACACCGGTGCTAGTCTCACCAAACACCATGGTCAACAACGATGGTTTGTGCTTGACGAGTGCATCACGCACATCGTCCAAGCTGAACCAGGTTCCCCACTTTCTGTCGACTTTGAGAATGTTGGCACCGTAACGCTGGGCCATCTGGTAGATACGGTCAGAGAAGTAACCGCTGACACAACAGACTACGTTGTCGCCGGGTTCGATCAAGTTGGCGACACACGCCTCCATAGCAGCGGTACCAGCACCGGTAATGGGAATAGTAAAGTGATTGTTGGTTTGGAAGAGGTAACGCATCATCTCCATGGTTTCATCCATCACCTTGTAGTAGTTCTGATCGGTGTAACCAATCATGTGAGTACTCAACTGCTGATTGACACGTGGATGTAAATTGGATGGTCCTGGTCCCAAGAGTAAACGAACCGGTAAATTTGAGATAGAACTCTTTACTCTGTGTGCATTTGAAACATTAAACATTTGTTTCATTTTTAAATATCTATATTGTTATATAAAAAAGTATATTACTGTATGATTTGTGTTTAAGATTGAAAGTAAATAAATATAAAAGTTTGAAGATCAAAACCAAAAACAAATGCAAATGTTTAAAAAATAAATGAAAACAAAAAAATTTCCCATTCAATTTAAATTACATTATTTTTTTTTTTTTCATTTGTAATTTTAGTAAATTAAAGTGTGGTAAAATCATTTTTTGATTGCTCTATTAAGAGAAAGGGGGTGTTGATTACTGAGAAAAAAAAACCAAACAAACATAGTAAGATATCTTTGTTGTTGGTTCCCACCCATTATTCAAAAAAAAATACAAATTAGATTATTATTAATTTTTGCTTCATTTTCTTATCACTGTAATAATAAAGAAATAAATAATCTTTAGATATCTCACGTCATATTATTAATTAGTAATATAACAAATAAATATGAATAGAATATGTTTGTTTTCATTAACAAAAATAAATATTTTACATCTCTGATGTTATTATAAAATATATTTTTTTTTTGATGATAAAAAATTAATATTAAATTAGCATTATTATTTGAAAATATATTAATAACTGATATGACTCCTTCAATTTCAGAATCTCTTCCCTAAATCATTCATTCCTACTAACTATTACAAATACTGAGACGACACAACTTGTCAAATTGGACCTGACATCTATCATCTTATAGATACTTTCTTATTATTAAATCTATGCCACGAAAGATCATGATTGCACACTTAGCAACGATTTTATATAAACAAAAAATTGATGGTCACATTTTTTTTCAATCTCTAGTAATTTATATACTGAAGAGCTCTCACAAGTAATACAATCTATCATCTGATACCCTCTAATATCAATACAAATTATTTTTATTTTTTTTACATTCATGTTTGTTTTTTGGCAATAGAGTTGTGCATCAACCAAAATTTAATAAATTAAATTTTAAAAAAAATCTGATTTGAAAAATTTGTTCATTTGTGGTCATTTAAATAAATCCCCCCACAAAGTTTTTTTTTGAAAAAATTGAACCAATGAATGAGTGGATCTTCATCAAATTTTTTTAAATTAATATTAAAATTAAGTTATTGTTAAATTAAACAACTTAAGCTTCTCAGTCAATCAACCACAGAACTAAACATAAATCAAAGAAACTTACAAAAGGACCAATATAGTTATAAATATATATATATATATTAATTCAATATTATTGCTTTTAAAAATTACTTTAAAGTAAGTAATATATTGTTATCTTTTTTTTTAATTAGTCAAGTTTCACTGTTTTGTTGTTTGTTTTCGATCATTTAGGAATAATATTGTGATGGCATTATGTCACATTAATAATTATTATTATTTGCATTAATTAACAAACAAATAGGAGTAGATTGTCAGATTTATTCTTACGACAATATTCATATATTTGGTGACACACCGAACCCTTTTCACTACAAATATTAATTAATAACACACCATTGTGCCGCCAACATTATTTTATTACATATAACTGTGACAACAACAACACAACAGCAAATCAATCAATCAATAATCATCAAACAATTTATCTTTTTTGATTGATTGACTGACCGACTAATAATGTGATGGATTTGACTTTTATATGTAATATCATATGATATTGTGTGTTAAATTTGTTTGTGTAGGTAAAAAAAGCGGCATATATATATATATACTGTTTTTGTTGTTGTTGTTGATGTTGTTTCTGTCTTTTTTAGATTCCGAAGAGTGGGTGGGTGGTTGAGTGAGTGTGAGTGATTGAATGGTTGGATGAATGAACGAATGTTTGGTGGGTTGGATAAGAGTAGAGTAGAGTAGTAGAGTGGAGTGTTGAGAATAGTTAGTAAAGACAAAGGAGATATCATATTCAACATTCAAATATGTTTACAAAATGAATGATCACAGTAAATTAATAATATAATTAAAATAATTAAAAATTATCATTAAAATTTATAACTATTTAAATGCTTGCTTACATTATTAAATAATAAAATAAATATATAATTACAACAATTAGTAAATTATAACAAATCAATAAATACAAAAACTAGTAGTTTTTAAAGTTTGTCAAACTAATTATAATCAACAACAACAACAACAATAGCTTGTTATTGTTTATTATTGTAAACTAAACTCAAATCGATTTGATTATCGTCACTCACTCATCCCGCTTCCGACTATATATATTTTAAAAGGTATAATGAATATAATCATTCAATCTTTCATCGTAATCGATTGATATCAACACTTCACTCATAGTTATTTATATATATAGTGGCGGTATGATTGATTGATTGAACATAATAATATATATATATATATAATTAATAACAAACCAAATTAGCTAATATTTATATATTAATTATCTTTAACTTATCTTCATTGATTAAATTAAAATATAATTTTATATATTAACTTTATTTTTTTTTTTTTTTAATTAATTATTCTTTATAGTTATTATTTTATTATTATTTCTAAATTTATAAATTAAAAATATGTTTCAAGATACAGGAGCAACAATTCTAGGTACATCACCAAAGAACACAGATATTGCTGAAAGATTCAAAAAGGCAGAGGTGTTTGAACACAACGAAGACGAGTTGTATCCACCATTGGATCATCATGCACGTTTCGCTCCACCCTTGGAGGAAGCACAACTCAAGGCATTGGGTATGCTACCGGACGAGATTCAAGCATTCCGCAAACAACGTGACATGTATATCAATAAGGACAAGATCTTGAAGGATCAAATCAAGATTCCCAACAAATCGTCGTTGGTCGACTACAATCAGTTGCATGTGCTCTCGCCGATCGACCCAGCCAACGCCGTCCGTCTTCTCAACAAGCTGGTCGTCGTCAAGTTGAACGGTGGTCTCGGTACTCGTATGGGTTGCAAAGGTGCCAAGTCATCGATTGAAGTGGCACCCGGTATCACTTTCCTCGATATGGCAGTGGCTCACATCGAGCAGATCAATCAGGACTACAATGTCGACGTTCCATTGGTGTTGATGAATTCATTCAAGACCGATCAACAGACAAACAAGATCATCGAAAAGTACAAATCACACAGAGTCACCGTAAAGACATTCGTTCAATCAAAGTTCCCAAAGATGTACAAAGACACTTTGAATGTCGTACCGAAAGCATCGTCGTCCAGCGAGAAGGATTGGTATCCACCAGGTAGCGGTGATCTCTTTAGAAGTCTCCAGCGTAGTGGACTCCTCGATGAGTTCTTGGCACAAGGAAAAGAATACATTTTTATATCAAACGTTGAGAATCTTGGTTCGATCATTGATGTTCGTAAGTTTTGTTTTTCTATTATTTTACTGATGTTGCAATTCAAATACAAGTTTATTAATATTAAAAATGTCTTTTCTATTTATAGAGGTGCTTAATCATATGCAAATGGGTAAGATTGAATTTGGACTTGAAGTAACTCATCGTATTAGTACCGATGTCACTGGTGGTATTTTGATGTCCTACCAAGACAGACTTCATTTGTTAGAGCTCTCACAAGTCAAGCATGAGAAGCTCAAGAATTTCAAGGATTTCAAATTCTGGAACACAAATAATATTTGGGTAAATCTCAAATCAGTCAGTGAATTGATAAAGAATGACAAACTAGTTTTAGATTGGATTGTTTCATATCAAGTAAGTTGTGGCAGAAAAATTAATAATAGTAATTAAAATGTTATTAATATTCTGTTTTAAATGTTATTATTTAGAATGAAAATCATAATACATTGGTACAATTGGAAACACCAGCAGGTATGGGTATTCAAAACTTTGCCAATTCGATCGCCATTTTGGTACCAAGAGACAGATACAGACCTATCAAATCAACTAGTCAGTTGTTGATCTCACAATCCAATCTATTCCAGTTTGATCACGGTCAGATGGTCATGAATCCAAAGCGTGAATCTGGTGATGTACCATTAGTTAAGCTCGGTGAAGAGTTTGCCTCCGTTGCCGAGTATGAAAAGAGATTCAAATCTATCCCAGATCTCTTGGAGTTGGACCATCTCACTGTATCTGGTGACGTTCATTTCGGAACGAACACTACTCTCAAAGGTACCGTCATTATCGTCGCTAACCATGGTGAGCGTGTAGATATTCCAGATGGTGTAACACTAGAAAACAAAATCCTTTCTGGTACTCTCAGAATCTTAGATCATTAAAAAGAGAATCAAAAAAAAAAAAAAAAAAAAACAAAACAAAACAAAACAAAACAAACTAAAATAACTATCTAAATTTATTTAAAAACAATAATAAATGTATTTACTAATTTATAAATGTAATATTACTATAATAATAAATCTATTTTTTTGGTGTGATTCATTTTCTAATTTGTTTTTTAATTAATAATGATTTAATCGGTTGTTTTGGTTTATTTACTATCTTTGATTTGTTTTGATCGGTTTTGTTTGGTTTTTATTTTACGTTTGTTATTTTTAATGTATAGACATTATGTGGTGGATATTTGCCTGGGGTCAGTAATGGTAGTTTAATATTTAGACCTCCATTGTCTAATGGATTAAAAGATAATGATGGTCCATCATAACCAAGTAATTGGACTGCCGTTTTACTATTGGTTATTGGTGAAATGAGTTGTATTTGGTTTGTTGTAGGCCAGTTACCGGTCATAAAAGCATAGAGAGTTTGACTATCGCTATTATAGGTATACCAGAGACTAGTACTGTCATTCTGTACTCTCCATGGCACACTAGAGTATATACCTTCGCCGTTGATACTCAGCCACTCACCTATTCCAAGTAGACTTTGTTGTTGTGCCACTACAATGACACCTTCTTTGGTTGGACCGATATTCAATAGTAGGTTACCTCCACAACTGACGGTTTCCACTAAAGTGGTAATCAGTTTCTCCACCGATTGATATGTATCTGCATCTTCATTTTGATTATAACCCCAAGACGTCGATATGGTCGCACAGTTCTCAAATTTATGAGGCATAAGATGTCCAGGATTCATACGATCTCCACCAGTATAGAATCCACCATTCTTTCCACGACAGTCTTTTCCCCAACGATCGTTGACGACTACTTTATCACCAACTTTCGATGCGAATAGCCACGTAAGAAACTCTGTTGACTTCCAATAGTCACTATCTTCTTCCCATTCTCCATCAGTCCAGACAATAGATGGTTCGTATTTATTAACTATATCTTTCATCTGAGGAATCATGATATCGTCAACATAGTTTTCAGTCTTTGGTGGTTTACCCGTGCTCTTATCTTCTAAATACAATGGATTAAACCATTCAAAGAGAGAATAGTATAATCCCATATTGATTCCTTTGTTTTTAATAGCAGTTGATAATTCACCTACAATATCTCTCTTTGGTCCACTTATTAATTAATAATTAAAAATAGAAAAGACATTCAATTAAATTAATAATTGTTTGATTGAATACTATAATAATACTAAAAAATATATTTACACATCTACAGAATTCCAATTAGGTGCTTGTTTGCTTGGCCAGAGTGGGAAGCCTTCGTGATGTTTACTCGTTAGTACAACATATTTTGCACCAGATTTTTCGATAAGATTCGCCCACTTATTAGCATCAAAGAGATGTGCAGTGAACATGCTTGCAAAATCTTGATATGTAAAGTCAGCACCAAAAGACCGATTATGATACTCTGCTGTCCATCCTCCATCAGTATCATGCTTCCAAGTATCCCAATACCATTCTGCTGAAGGTTCAGATTTATTTGCAAATGCAGGTACACTATATACTCCCCTGTTATTATTTGTAATATCACATGTAAGTTAGTTGTAAATCAAAACTGTAATTAAAAATAAATTTGTTTTTACCAATGAATAAAACTATTAAAAAATAAAATTATAATTAATATTTAATTAAAAGAAAGAACCATTTGATATATTTACATTCCGAATTTTGCTTGATCATACCAAATTGGTATTGGTCTTACATTTATTGTATCCCAATTAGATTGATAAACTTCATCGTTGTTTGTCAATTTTACGGCAGCGATACCACATATCACTAGTATCACCATAAATACTAAAAACAAATTCCTAGTTGTTTTATTATTCATTTTGAAAAATTATATATATATATTTTTTTATTAATAATAAAAAAATACAATCAAATATTTGGTACAAAATAAATAGATATTTTAAATAGTTATTATTTGTTTTTTTTTTTCTCTTTTTTTGATACCACACCATTGTTGTAGTTTTTCAACCACCAACACCGAATTCAAAATTTTTTATTTTGTAATTAAATTTATTTCCTTTTTCCTTTTTTATTATTAAAAAGCTCTCTTTTTTTTTTTTTTAAATGGTTTCTTTTCCGAATGAATCTGTGTAATTTCATTTTATCCCTCCCCAAAAAATGAAAAAATTTAGAATAGCTTTTGTGTGAACATGCGAGAATTCAAAAAAAGCTTTTTGGAAAAAAACCCTAAACCATAAAATGAAATAAAACATCTAATAGAATTTTTAGATTCCTTTATTACAATATAAATTTATTTTTTAATTTCAAAATACTCTTCTTAAATTTTTGATATTTTATTTATAGATAAAATAAAAAATGAATAATAACATTGTAGATTATAAAAGTTTTCTATCCAAGAAAGGATTAAAAAGAGATCCACTACCTGAAAAATTAGAAATGACATACCAACTTAAAGATGGTTGGGTAATAATTAGTTTTAATAGATATATCAAATATATATTTTAATATTAATTTTTATATTATTAAGGTTATTTTTGGAGCCGGAATTCCCAATCCTTGTTTCTACCCTTTCTCTTCAATGGATCTAATTTTAAATGATGATTGTAATAGTAAAATATCATTGGATCCAAAAGAACTAGCTATATCACAAAACTATTCCCAAGGTTTTGGATATCCTGGTTTACTAGAGGTTCTAGTTTACTTTCAAATCCGAACACATAATTTGAAAAGTAGGTGTAGTTTTTATTTTTATTGAAATCAATACTAAATCAAAATATTATAGATTTCGAAAACAATTATGGAATATGTTTAACCAATGGTGCTCAGCATGGAATATCAGTTGTTCTGGAGAATCTATTGGACGAAGGGGATTCAATAATACTTGAAGAACCAACATATGGGTAAGATTAAACTTAAACTTTATTAAATTCATACTATTTATTAATATTCTTAAAAAAGTGGATTATTTGGGGTGACTTTTGCTAGAAATATAAATTTAGTTGGTTTAGGAATGGATGATGAAGGAATTTTAATAGATGAACTAAAATCTACTTTGTCCAATTGGAATATAAAAGAAAAACCATTTCCTAAACTACTATATTTAATTCCTACAGGTCAGAATCCTACAGGAATAATATATAGTAATAAAAGAAAAAGAGATATCTTGGAAGTGGCGAGAAGCTATAACTTATTAATAGTCGAAGATGATCCTCACTATTTCCTTCAATTTGGTAATGATGAAGATTCAGCTTTGGACAAACTACCCTTGGAGCCATCATTTCTTTCAATGGATACAGATGGTAGAGTTATTAGGTTGGATACATTTAGTAAAATATTAGCTGGTGGAATTAGATTTGGATTTATTACTTCTCATCCATTTCTAAATGCGAGATTCAGAGAGGAAGTTAACGGGACAATGTTTCACATCAATGGAATTTCACAGCTTATGATGATGAAACTTTTAGAGAAATGGGGTGATGATGGGTGGAATAAACATATTCGAATGGCACAACGATTTTTAAAATACAAAAGAGATTCAATGAAAGAGATACTCGATAAACATCTTGGAGATCTTGTTCAATACAGAGTACCAGATGCTGGAATGTACTTTTGGTTGAAATTTCCAGACATAGATGACACTTTTGATTTTATTTTTAAATATATGGTTGACTTGAAAGTGTTGTTTGGAGCAGGTTCTGGATATTCTTGTTATCAATCACAAAAACAATATGTACGTGCATGTTTCAGCCATATCCCAGTTGATTTAATAGATAAATCAATAGAAAAGTTTTCTCAAACTTTAAAAATGTATTTAAATACTAAAAAAAATAAAATAGGGTACTCGAGCAAATAAACTTTTATTAAAAATATATATTATTATCCATGATATATTGTTTTAATATTTATGAAATTGTTTCAAACATATTCTTTATTCATTTCTTTCTTTTTTATCTTTGATATATTGTTTTAATACTTTTGAAAATGTTTCAATTGTTGTATCCATTTCTTCTAGAGATATATGTGTAAATGATGCTCTTAAATATTGATTAAAACCTCTAAAGTTTGAAAATGTTACACCAGGAGCAAAAAGAATTTGAGTTGGTATCATATATGTTTTAATAAAAGTAAAAGAATCTTCTAAATCTTGGAATTTCAACCAAAAGTACATTCCAGCATCTGGTACTCTGTATTGAACAAGATCTCCAAGATGTTTATCGAGTATCTCTTTCATTGAATCTCTTTTGTATTTTAAAAATCGTTGTGCCATTCGAATATGTTTATTCCATCCATCTTCACCCCAAGTAGTAAATGTTTTAAACATCATCAGTTGAACCAGCAAATTTGATTGAAAGGTTGTTCCGCTTATTTCTCCAATAAATTTTTCCATAAGAATAGGATGAGCGGTAATGAACCCCATTCTAATACCTGGAGCTAAAACTTTACTAAAACTATCAAGTCTGATTACTCTACCTTCTTTATCCATTGAGAGGAATGATGGTTCTAAAGGAATCGTTTCTAAATCATCTTGACCTTCTTTTGGGAACTGAAGAAAATAATAAGGATCATCTTCTAATATTAAAATATTGAATCTTTTTGCAATTGATAGTATTTCAAGCTTTCTCTTTTGAGAATATATTAATCCTGTGGGATTTTGACCAACTGGAATCAAGTACATAAGTTTTGGAAAACGTTTTTTATAATCCCAATTTGATAGTATTGAAACTAGATTTTCTGGAATTATTCCTTCATCGTCCATTTCCAAAGCTACCATATTTATATCTCTTGAATTTGATACACATGCAACAGCACTTTTAAAATAATAAATTAATGATTATATTAATTTGAAATCTATTAAAATACAAACCCATAAGTTGGTTCTTCAATAAGTAAGGAATCACCATCATTTAACATCATTTCAAATATCACAGCAATAGAATGTTGTGATCCATTTGTTAAAAATAACTCCCATGTCTTTTCATAATTATTAACTAATTAAAATAAATAAAATTAAATTAAATACAAATTTCACATTTAAATTATCTAAAATTACCATCTAAACCATGGAATCTTGATTGGAAATCTCTTAATGTATCTAATAATCCAGGATAACCGTATCCCCGTGGATATTCTTGTGCAATATTCAATTCTTGTTGAGTTAGAGTGATTTTGCTATTGTTTTCATCATTAATGCTAAACTCTAATGATTTAAATGGATTAAAACAAATATTTGGAATTCCAGCTCCAAACATAGTCTAAATAAAAAAAGTATTAATAAATATATTTCTCATTTTTAAAATACTTATAAAAACTTATAAACATACCCATTCATCTTTGGTGGTAAAAATAAAATTAATAAACTTTGAGGCCTTTGGTCTTCTTTTTGCTCTTTCACTTAAAAAATAATTAAAGTCTATTTTTGATTCCATTTGTTTTTTGAAATTATAAAGTTTTAACAATAGCAAGTATTACAATATTACTATTTATAATTATATAAAAGTATTTTAATAAAGGGTATGGTAATATATAAATTTATTTTTTCATAAAATAATCACCAATCAACGATAATTTAAATTAACATTATTTGATACTTTTATTTATTTATTATTATTCTAATTAAAAAAATGTGTTGACTATTTTGATAACTTTTATATATACATATATATATATATATATATTAATTAATGATTTGTATAAATGTTAAATATATTTTAAATTTTAAATATTTTTATAGATTTGTGTGTGGTGGTGGTAGAATCATTTCTAACTTTGATAGTGTTTTCCTTATTAGCAGGTATAACTAAATTTCTCAATGTGTTATTGTTTGTCAAGTCGATATCAAAAATGTTACACTTTGATAGCCGTAATGATTGAATGGTGTTATTGGTTTGTAGGAGATCTTGTATTGTCACTGATTGACAATGTTTCAATGATAGAGTAGTGATAGAGGTGTTTGATTTTAATAGATTACAAAACTTGTTATGATCTCCAATTTCCGGGTCGAATTTAACTATTAGATGAGTGAAACTACCGAGATTATCACATATATCATCGGGATCAATGTATCCTTGGGTGACAAGTGATCGTAGTGATTTCATGTTAAAAATAGGTTTAAACTCTGGTGGATAGAGCTGAAAACTATCGGAATATAAATCGAACCCAACTAACTCTGAAAGCTCTAACAAAATTAATGATACAGGTGATAAACTTTGTACCATTGCTACTTTCTCTTCCAGATTTCGATAGTCGCTCCATGTAAGATGAACTGATAAACTAGGTTGCATCGAGATGATTCTCTCACAAATCTTTGTTGTAAAAGACGGTGATGCTATATAGGTGAATAGCTGAAGTGATTGTTTCGAATGATTCAACTGTGAATGAATATCACTGATGAAATCGATTGATTTTTCATCGATATGGATATCGAACACCAATGTTTCGAGATTATTCATATCTGATAGAAAAGATCGTATCTCTGATTGATAACTATCCTTAAATCCAATAAGACCAATATTACTAACTATGTTATTATTAATATTATTTAAAACTTGTATTTTGATAGACTTTAAAAACTGTGGTTGTATGATTGACCATTGATTTGGTTTGATTGTTGTAAAACTTGTATTTCCTCTAATAGGAAATAGATATTCACAAGGTTGAGGTGTATTATTGTTGTTTATAATGATATCTAGATATATTATATTTCTTTGAGTATGAATGAACCAAGCTTTACATACCAAAGCTAATTGAAATAGCTGTGATATAGCAAATCGATCATAACTGTCATCTACCAAATCATAAGATTTCTCCCTATGGAACATACTCTTTGATCTTCTATTTTGAAATAACTCTGATAGTTGCATATTCTTACTAAAATAGAACACACTGTAGTCAAGATAAGAGAGTATCAGTTGATGAAGTAAATCTGGTGATGTCTGACTTGAAAGTTGTTTCTTAAACAACAATTCTAATCTATCTATTCTTTCATCTTTAAAGCTATTTTTTATTTTATTTTTATTAATAAAAGAACACATTTGTCTGGTTGTGTATTGTAAACAAACTAGATTCTACAAAATAGTTAGTTATTATTGTTTTTGAAATAATTTTGCTTTTTTTTTAATTATTTTCAATGGTTTGTAACAGGGACATAAACATATATATATTTTCTTTATTTATTTCTTTCTTTTTTATCTTTGATATTTTTTAAAATGTTTCAATAATAGTATCCATTTCTTCTACAGATATATAAATGATGCTCTTAAATATTGATTAAAACCTCCAACATTTGAAAAAGTTACAATTATATTCTTTTTATTTAAAATATTTTTGTTTAAATAACTTTTTAATAATAATACATATTTTTTTATTAATCATTGGGCCTTATTTGCGATTATACTTAATTTTACAAAATAAAACTATTTTTTGGCTTTATCTGGGTCAAATGGAGCACCATAATCAAATAGACTGATAATAGTTTCGTTCATTTTGGGATATTGGTAGCAACTCTTGGTGTGGTGAGGCAGAATGATCTTTTTGTTACCAGATATTTTGATGAGCCATTTGACTATTGCCAAGTTGGAGCTTAGACAGGCACCATCAAAGACAGACATTATATCGTGTAGCGATTCATTTTCAAAACATCTCTCCAACAATGTAGAATGGCCTTTCATTGCAATTAAACGAAGTAAATATGCAGGATTATTAACTCTTTCTGCTCCAAGATCATTCAATAGCCATTGAATCATCTTCAAATTGCCACGGTCACATGTCAGTCCATAGTCAATATATTTAAAAGAGTTGCTGGGAGATAGATTTGATAGCAAATTGAAATTACCGTAGGAAACTGCAGAATTAATGATGGTTTGAAGGATATCGGAGTCTTTAGGCATACATGGCTTCAGCAATTTCAAAAACTTTGGATTTCCAACGTAACCAACTTCCTCCAAGCCATAATTCTGGAGCATCTTTGTTCCAAAGCGGATCTTGCCACTCATGATAAATTTCAGTAGCCTATAATCATTTGTTTTGGCAGTCTGTCGAACAAATCGAGTTAAATTACTGATAGTATGATATTTAGCATTGAAATTATCAATGAGATAATGGACAATATGAAGTTGTCGCTTTTCTAATAAGTGGTCCAATCCCCACGGAATTCTATTGATATGATGCTCCTGATGGAAGTATTTTACCAGATCGAGAGATCCATTCTCTGCAGCCAACATCATTGCATCTGGATAGCTGGAGTGTAGAGATTCATCGTCATGGAATCTCTCTATTAGAAGCTTGACTATCTCCAGAGAGGGAAGTGCAGCGGCAGAACATAAAGTTTGCTTTTGAATTTTCAAATCTGCTACATTCTCCAAGATGAAACGGACCAGCTCTGTATTGCCAGAAGTTGTAGCATTATCCAATGCGGTATGCCCTCCAAACATGTGTGGAAATTGCTCAAATAGATTCTTGACTATGGGAAGATGTCCATTTCCACAAGCAGCAAACAGAATGGTTGCTATATGTGCAAGGTTGAACATAGGAGATTCCATATACATTCGAAATATCTCTAGATTTCCACTCTTTACAACTGATTGACTGGATCTGAGTTTAAAGTTGTGTTCTCTGAGTATAGTGACCATTGGTATATCACCATTCTCCATTGCAATATCCAATAGTTTACTCTTTGCATCATACTTAACACTGGAATTTAACAGGTATTCAACTACCTCGTGATGACGCTTGGAACATGCCAACTCCAACGAAGTAGTTAGATTTTTATTCTGTAGCTCGAATGTGTCGAGCATGTACTTTACAATCTCTAGATGACCTTCAGAGCATGCAGTATCTAGAAAAGTTGGACGCACCACTTCTACATACTTGGTTTCCTCCACCAGGAATCTTAGAATATCCAGATTACCTTTGGCTATAGCGGTTATGACAATCTTCTCTGCGTAACTATCGATGGAATGTGAGAATACTCGTAGGCGTTGGGAGGCAGACGACTTTCCAAATGAAAACAACTTCTTTTTCAATAGGCTTCTTATCATTTCGTAATGGTTGTGTTCAATCAAGCCAATGATTGTGTTTAACGAACATCCTTCGGTTCTATTCTTCATTAGGAAATCCATTACTTCCATGTGGTCGGCAGCTGCAGCGTTGTCGATAGCCGAAACCGTACATTCCACTCCCATCTGATGTAGATAACTGACCAAATCCAAATTACCACTAGATGAAGCATAATCTAAGCAATTCGATCTCATCTCGGGTTGTTTGTTCAACAGCAGCTTCACAACCTCCAAATGACCATGTTTAGCAGCGTTTTCCAGCGCATGATTGGTAAATGGCAGTCCATATTCCAATAGCACCTCTACCACCTTTAGATTACCTGTTATTGCAGCTGAATCTATACACCAATACTCATTGCTAAATAACGATTTGAAATGGTTGTATATCTTTGAAATCAGCTGAACATCTGTAATCTTTAAGAATAGCAACTTTATGGTTTCAAGAGATGGTGGTAACATATCGTCAATCGAATGAATAATCTTTTCACGCAATAAGCATTCATAGTTATTCTTTATTATCCAATCGAACGAATCGATCTCTTGATACTTGAAACTATATCCACAACTCTCTTGATCGTTGATTATCTTGATATGACTATTCAATACATTTGCAATATATCTATTTTTAAATATTGAAACAAGTAATGATTTTATCTTTATATCCATATTGAATATTAATATTAATGAATCAAATTATTATTCAACATAATCATCAATATCACTAAATTTCAATCTAAATTCCGAATTAATTAAAAAAAAAAACATAAAAAGGAATTCAAAGAATATTCCAAATGATAAATTTGGTGCAAACACAACTAATAATATCTCAATAAAAAGATCATAAAAAAAAATCTTTTGATATATTGATAATGTATGTTTATTTACAATGAAATTAACTTTATTATTATGTTTGTTGATGTATTTTAATGATATTGTTGTTGTGGTCTTTGTTTGACGTACTTAAAGGCAAACGAGAAGAAGTGGCAACTTGTTTATCTTCTTGAGTAGTTGTTGGATCCACTGGACTTGTAGTAACCGGAATTACCGTCGTTATAATATCTTGATCCATCGGAATTCTGATAGAAATATGAATTATCTTTGTTTGAGTAATGGTAGTTACCACCATCACCTACACCATCACCTTTGTGATGCCATGTATTACCTTGATTGTTGGTACCTCTTTGGGACATGTTTCGTTTTTTTTTTCTAAAAAATTATTCTAAAAACTTTTGAGTAATATTTATTGGTTGTTCTAACTGATTGTAAAATTTATTATAAAGAATGAAATTAAAGGTTTCGAAATTACGAGTAATGTCTAAAACCAAAAAGTTCTTGGAAAAAAATAAAAAAAATTAAATTAAATTAAATATTATTATTAATTTTTTATTTGTTTTTTTTTTTTTTTCATTTCATTAATTTGGATTGGCTAATATATGAACTGCAAAGTTGACACCGGTTGCTTTACTCTTTATACTCTCTTGTATCATCTCTGAGAATTTAGCAGATGCTTGATCCGATGTCAAGTCGAGAGCGAGAGCATCTCTAAGATATTTTATATCATCCCGATGATTTAATTCTGGCATACCTGTTGATACCATCTATTGTCATGATAATTAATGAATTAATATATATAATAAAAAGTGATAGTAGTAGTATTTAATAGGTATATAATATTTACCATTAAAAATAGATTGATAAAAACATGAGCTTTTCTTCTAATGATATTATAAGCTTTACCACAGAGATCTTCAAATGTTTTAAAGTGTTCTCCAATGATATGAGCAAAAGAGGGTGGGAATACAAATGGTGCTCTTTCTCTCTTTATTCCATTCCAGGTCTGTACATTACCCAAGAATCTACCGAAATCAATATGGAAAAGATGACCTGATTTCGTTATCATAATATCTATTTAATAATAAGATTAGTTATGTTAAATAAAAAAAGTTTGTTTTTTTTTGTTTTTCAATAAACACTTACTATCATTATGACGATCACCAATACCAAGTATCCAAGTATATACACAACAACCAGCACAGGATCTTACAAAGTTCTCTACTGCCAGTTGATATTCAAATTCGGATGGATTCATCTGTTTTAGCCAAGTTGCGATGGCTGTCTCTGAAAATGCAGCAGTGATACCACCAGATAGTTTTTGTATCTCTGCAATCGTAATTGATTCACCAACGATCTCAATCATACCTTCAAACGGTCCTGTAGCAATACATTTGTAACTAATAGTTTGTAAATCTATACCTTCTAATAACCACATCTAAACATTATTGATTGATTGATTTGTTAATATTTAATAAACATATGATGTTTTATATACATTTAGAATTAATAAAACTTTAACTTACTCTATCCATTAAATCAATCATTTGTAATGTTAATTGATCTTGTCTAAGATCATCACCTGCTTTGAAGATGGTGAGAATGTTATCACCTAGTGGATCGTGGTTGTAGAACGATAACCAAAGTGGAAGTGTCTTTGACTCTTTGATCTTACACGATGTCAGCTCTATTCCTCTGACTTTCATCTCGGGGTTGATAGGAAGTTGGAAGTCGCTTGCCAGTTTCAGCTGACCGAGTGTAGTCTGCAGGTAGTCACGACGCTTCGTATTGGGTATGTTCTTCACCGAGATTGCAATACCCTTGATCTTCTCGTAGAGATCGTATTGCTTGCTTATCTCGTTGAGTCGCGGACCGCTACCTCTTAGAAAACTCTCTAGAATCAAGGTGTAGCGTTCTACCCATTCGGAGTGGAGCTCGGCATTCAAATTGCTAATCTCTGCTTTGAGATGCCAGAAGAAGTAATGTCCCATTTGTTGTCGGTTCAACAATACTCGGCGAAGTAGGAACTTTGCAAGAGTGGAGTAGTGGTTCGGTTCGTGTTTGAGTGCCTGTACTAGCTGTGGGAGATACAGACTCAGCTCAGAGTCGGACATTCTTCTGAGTGTCATAATGGCAAACTTTCTAATTTCACGGTCAAGGAATTTCGAGCTGAGCAGCTCAAGAGTGTCGACTGGCTCAAGAGGAACCCAGTCGTGTAGTAGCTGATAGAGTTCCTGCACTCCCGATGGCTCATTCCACGGCACGGAGGAGATGACTTTCGACGTCGATTTCGCTATGAACTTGCAGTAGTGGCGATACTTCCAGCATAGCACTCTCTCGTCCTGTGTCAAGTCTGTGAGTGGATCTTTCTCAATGATTGCCGAAAGTTGTTGCATTTCACTGAATGATAGCTCATTGTTGAGTTCCGAGGAGTTGTTCAAGTCGATGGAAGAGGAGAGTGGCGAGCTTGCTGTTGGCGTGGAGCTGGTCGACGACGACGAAGAAGTCGAGCTTGTTGTCGGAGGGAACGGGGTGAATAGAATGGTTGGTGAATTCATTTCTATTTCAAATGAAAGTTGGATTGCATGCATCAATGAACTTTGAATGATTGAACCGGTTGGATCTGGCTTATTGTCGTAGGTTCTCAGACAGTGGAATCCAGAGTTGATACGATATTGATAGTTCCAGACACGACAATTGATCCATCCCAAAACGATATCTTCACGTGCGCTCGTAGCTTGTTTAACTCGTACCTGTAGACAGAGAATTGCATTGGACGGTATATGATTGTATTGCGGTCCCTCAACCCAGTGCAACCACGATGGATTAGAGGTGAGCGGTAGCATCGGAGTAGTCATTTCCTCGCCAATCTTATAGCCACACTGATACATCTGACACGATGCATAGATCTTACACTTCTCTGGTGCCGATAGACTAGGAATCATCTCTGGTGAGAAGTTCTTTAGACCACCGATTCTAATGCGTAGTCGTTTGGTGACTTGGTGCGATGCCAGAGTGTTGGAGTTTGAGGCGCCGTCCCAATCATCTTGTAACTCTATCTCGAGAGAGTCACGCGAATGCAATTTCGAGAGTTCAGAGTAATCGTAGGTGTTTGTTGTAATCTGTTGATCGACCTTTTCACGAGGAATCAACAGGAGATCAATCTTTTTCTGACGTCTCGACTTGGTATTGATGAAATCGATCGATGACAGTGGAATCGATTGATTCAACAAATAGATCTCCAAACCACGAATCTTGAATACAAACATTGATTTCAAGTCACTTCCGGTCAGTGGTGACTTTGCGTTGGCATTCTCTTTAGACTGCGAAATCTGTATGAATTTAGAGAACTTTGAGTAGATGGTATCTATCAGTTCACCGACCGATGTTTGTACATGACATTGGAAAGTCTTTATGATGTTGTCCGATATGAATAGACGGATCGTACAAGTACCGGAGTGTCCAACCGATGTCGTTGTTGTATTCGGTTGATTGTTAGGTGATATCATGATGGTTGGTGACTCTCTTCCGGTTCGGTTCGATGGACTGCATGATTTCCATCCACCGGAGCCATTGAGAAGCGGTGATGGTGATGGTGATACCGAAGAAGTAGAATCATTAAGTGATAGCTTTCCACCACTACCATGTAAATGATTGTTGTTATTGGCATTACTGATATCAAGTGGTCGTGATAGGAATGTAGGTGATGTTTGAATTGATTGATGTATCAGTGGATTGGAGAAGGTTGGTGGTGACATTGGACGCATTTGATAGTTGTTATTGAAACTGGCTGTAGATGGCAACGGTGATGTAACAGATCTGATCCTAATGAAAGAGGACATCGGTGTTCTATAGGTCTTTAAATCACCATCTAATTTCTTTCTTTGTTTACTAATTGAATCTAAGAAACTATTTTAACAACAACAACAACAACAACAACATTCTATTAGTTATATAGTTATTATTGTACGATAATCTAATCATAATTTTCTTACTTTATCATTTTAGTTCTAAAATAAATAGATTCTGGATTAGTTGTTTTAATAGATTCATTATAGTTATCAATAATCTGACTAATTTGATTGTTAAACAATTGTTCCTATAGTAATTTAAAAGATAAAGATTGAGATTATTAGTTTTAACTATTATCTTTTTTTAATATTATTATGTAACTAATAATAACTTACTATTTTATTTGATACAATATATAATACAGGATTAAGTGAATGATCACTTGTTTGATTGATTTGATCTGCAAAAAACGGTATATATTTACTAATAGATGATAAATTAATTAATTAATTAGTTTGTTTGTTTGTTTGTTTGTTTGTTTGTTTGTTTGTTTGATTTCGGTACCCTTGTTTGTTTGTTTGTTTGTTTGATAGTAATTAACTTGTTATTTTTATTTTTACTTACAGATATACCTTTGGTTCGTTAAGGAAAAATGTGAATGATGTGGTTTTAATGGATAGATCATCGGGTTGACATGCTTCCAAGTTGGTGAGTATGTGTGGTGCTTTCTTTTCGAGATGAGTGTATATATTTTGACGTAGTGTTGATATGCTATCGAATTCTAAACTGTACATACAATAGTGTACTTCACTGTTGACCATAATTGTAAGTGGGTACTGAATCGGTTTATGTTCAGATAGATCCGGAGATTGACCGACTCTATACTCTGATTTCTGTCGAGATAACATTGGACGACCATTACCATTACTATTACCACTACCATTATTATTGTTATTATTACTATTACTATTATTATTAACAAGTTGATGAATTGGTACTTCAGGTAATGATGATGTTGATTTTGACATTACTTTTGTTGGTTCTGGCTTTTTAAGTATGGTTGTAAGATTGTTTAGTTTCGATGCTGTTGAACTTGATTTGCTATCCTGTTGGTTGGTAGTGCTATTGTTCTTAATGGTGAGATCGGATAGATCCAAATCGAGTTCGTTATTGTTGTGAATGTCAGTTCTTGAGTTTGATCTCAAATACTCTTTTTTTACCATGCCTACGAGATCTTCGATGACTGGACTGCTTGACTTGTCTTTCTCTAGTTTCAGCACTAGTAGCTCTACTTCTCGCTTGTTCCTGCTAGCCAGTTCTTTGTCGTCGCGCTGCTTGAGTAGTCCGGCCACCTTTGTCTCTGACTCCATGATCAGATTGCATAGATGACTCTGCTTGGATCTCGCCGACTTTTGTAACTCTCCAAAGTTGTGCTCGATCGAATGAATCTGTTGTTGGAGCTCACGCAACTCACGCAGGATCGGATTCGACTGTGGCGGTATCATTGAGATTCGGCTGGCGGTGCTGCTGTTGCCGTTTGGAGTTGCCTTTTTTTGAAGTCGTTCCAACAGAACCACTCGCTCCGACTCCAACTCGATCAGTTGTGACAAGTCGGATTTCTCTTTGTTTAGGAATGAGATGCTCGAACTCTGTCTTCGCTCAAACTGTTCGATTCGCAGCACCAAATCCTTCTTTTGTTTCTCGATCGACTCTAACTCTTGTTCACGCTTCAAATTGTCGACTTTGACCGACTGCACCAATCTCACGAGATTATGCTCGATCTCATTGTATTTTTCCTGTGCTTTTTGGTGTCGCGCCTGCAAAGTTGACATTTTCTCCGACTGTTGTTGACTACCACTACCACCACCCACTACCACTTTTTCATTTTCATTTCCATTGCTAATACCATTCATCTAAAAAACCTTTACTATTTTATTTTATTTTGATTTGATTTGATCTGATCTGATTGTAAAAAATAAATAAATAATTTCTAAAATCACTTTAAATAAATAGATATATATTACAATTTTTTAAAAATACAAAAAAATAATTTACTACAAATAAATAAATGTTTGATGCTGATTATTAATAATGTCAATTTAATATTTGTATGATTCTTTTGATTTTAAAAGGAATCTTTTTTTTTTTTTTTTTTCGGGTGTAAATTTTAATCTTTTTTTTTGAATGGTCCATCCATCACTTTTTTTTTTTGAATTCCGTTGTTGTGGTCCTTCAAAAATTTAGGGGTAACCGATCTGATTGAGAAACAACTTCATGTGTGAGAAGTAAATTGTCACTTTTTATTTTCTATTTTTAAAAGAAATAATATTAATCACTATCATTTCAGATAAGTGGTAGATTATCGAATAAATTTCAACATATGAAATTGAATTTCGAATTAAATGTATGGTTACAATTTATAACAAGTCAAACTTTTTTAATCTTGTTTTTTTTTTTTTCTCAGTTAAGTATTTTATTTCATGACATAGTATAGTATGTATTATTATTAGTTTAAAAGCAAATAAACAAACCAAAATTTGATTTTTTATTCTTTCACTTGTTAGATTTTATCTTCAAAAACATTTATCTCTAGTTGATAGGAATTGACCTGTTCTTCTATTTTCTTCTTTTTGCTTCTTTTTGCTTCTTGTTCAAAATCTTTTACAATTATAAATAGAATAAAAATATAAAAAAAACTGAAAGATTTTTCTTTTTTGTTTTTTTTTTCAAGTAGATTAATACGTCATGTTGTTAATCTACATATTTATTATTGGTTCCAATACAAGTTTACCAAATAATCAAATGGTTAATTTCATATTATTTTGAATATTCCTAATAATAATATTGATATTGTCAACATAGACAGATATATATAGAAGTTAACTAATGCTCATTTGATGTGAATTATACCTAATCAAAGTTTAATTAATTAAACTCTAAATAATATTTACTTAAAAAAATGACTGAAAGAAACTTCCCAAGTCAAACAAAGTTCCGTAATATTGTTTGTTTTCCAGCTCATGGAACTCAATATCAACCATTCTCCATCAGTGGTGTCTCTACATACTATTCCCTATTGATTCTTCCACCAATTGATGTCTATACCTTTAATGTTGACTCACACTTTGTTGGCAATCCCAATGTACTGAATGTATTAATTCCTTTACAAAGAGCACAAATTAATACAGAAAGCATTACCAACGTTGATGCTCGTATCAGTTTTGATCCCAACACACATAAATATACCCTCCAAATTCATTTTAGAAATACTATTCAAGAATAAAATATCTCTGTAAACAATGAATAATCAAATGAAAGACCACTCTTTAACATACTAATAAAAGATATATCTTTCAAATATTTTATACACTAAATACTATTACTTTTACTGTTGTTAATTAATTCATTATTTTATTCTTTATTACTTATATGTATTAATTATTATTAAATATATATAGTATTATACCAACCCCTCTATTCCCAAATTCATAGATAGATAATAACGCTATTGTATATTTTGAACCATTTTTACCCAAATGCCCTCCCTATTAGTAATAATAAGATATTGTTATTAGTAGTAGTGTTGTTAGTTTACACAAACTATTTCTCCAACTATCTCCCAACTGTTTTATAGATGAGAGATAGAGATATGTAGTATCGATTTATTAATTCGATTCGATTCGAATCGATTCAAATATATGTTTGTTTTATACACTAAATACATCGGTTGCTATTTGTGTGATTCGCTTCATAAATCTCTCTTGATAGAACTCGGGAGGTGCAGACGATATTTCATGTCTATTCTTCATCATAAAGTATACTTTAAAGAATCTCTCTGACTTCTTTTCAAAATCGTATAACTGTAAAACATCTATAATACCTATATAATATATATCCTTATTATCTAAAGATTTCATTACATTAAAATCTTTAATTTTAAAAATAAACTATTAGTAAATTATTAATTTAAATAATATATAAAAGAAAGAAGACATACCATTATTATTATTGCTGCTATTACTATTACTATTGTTAATTAATTCATTATGATTATCATCTATATCTATGTATTCATTATTATTATTATTCATTTGATTATCATCTGGATTATTAGCATTACTCTCGTGTTTTGTTAAGATTGTTGGTAATGATAAAGATAATGGTGAATTCTGTTGATTTTGTTGTTGATCTAGTTCAAATCTAATGTGTTTCGGTATGAGTGAAGGTGATACTGTTTGATAAAGGTTGTTGATTGTCGATGATGTGGTTGAAGGTGATGTTTGGTGCTTTGGTTTGATTCCAATGAGTAAACTGTAGTCCATGATATTGAGTGATTTCAAAAACTCTGAATCATTGGCCATCTGTTTAATCAAGGTTTCTCTATCGATCGCTGATAATGATAGAGTCTTTCTAACATTGATGAAATCTAGATCCAAACCAAGTGTATTATATCTATTGTAATCATACTTTCCACCTCTATTGATACTAGATCCCTTTATATCATAACGTTCAGTCATCTTTACCGATGAACTACTAAACACGTTAGACATAATAGCTAGATATACAAAATGTCCATTCTACATAAAGATAAAATATAAATTAAAACAATGATTAGATTCAAGTTTGTAGGTAAGTCAGCTAATAGCTTAAAAATATAAAATATATCATTACTACTCTACTTACTGGCATAACAACTTTATATGAACCATAGAACTTTGTAAGAAAAGATTGATTATTTGTTTGGAAATACTTGTAAAAATGTATTATTAACTTTCTTAACAATCTACTTTCATCGGCGGTGATTGTTTTTATCAGATATTGGGTATCAGGTGTGAAGCACATGAAACTTCCACTCTTACCCTCTGAAAACTTTTGATTAGATAACTTATCAAAGAATTTATGACAATTAAATGATTCCTAATTATAAATATATATAAATGGTTAATAAATATATAATAAAATTCAATAATGAAATAATTTAACTTAGTACTTACAAGAAATTGTTCATTTGAAATACCTTGAAGTTGTCTAATCTTTGCAAAGATAGCAGGAGAATAATCCTTGAATTTATGTTTCTTTAAAACATTGGAATGAGGCGTTGAACTTAGTTCTTGGTTGAAAAGATCGGTTTCATTGTATACTGTTTGTTGTGTCGATGGTTTGTTTTCGTCTAATATAATGTCGTCTGCGTTGTTGTTGTCTCGCACCGATAGTTGAATACCCTTGAGACAACAAGTGATAATATTCTGTCGGAGTATCTTGGCGAGTTGAATTGGATCTTGCGATTGATCGGCAAGTGTTGTGAACAACGGTATAGTCTCGTCACTCAGGATATCGGAGGAAGGCAACAGTTTCTGTAGATTCTTTATCAGTGCATTGAAGAACTGTGGATTGGTCAGCCAGATCATCGCATTGAAGAATCCTTGGATCGATACACCGATCGCATCGAAATACATAAACCAACTGTTGTCTAGTTCCTCATTGTTGTTGTTCTTTGTGCCCTGTTCAATCCATTGATAGACACGATGAATCAACGGTCCCAGCCAACAGATGATAAAGATAAAAGTGTAACAACTCATACGAATCAACATTCCCATTCTGCCTTTATCGTAGCTGTGATAGGTACCGCGAGAGTAGATAAAGGTAGTAATGAGTGAACCAACTGACAACGCTATATAGGTGAGCAACGGAATGAAGAAAGTAAGTCGGATGAGTGAACGATTCTTTAGCCAGCACGTGCCGTCGCCTGACTTGGCAATGGAGTCACGACTAAGAATAAAGATGAAAGCGGTGGTGATTGCACTCAGACTCCACACCCAGAACTGATAGAACTTGGCATAGTTGGCGGTGTTCTTGAATGGTCGAATCGAGGTGATGATCAAGTTGAGTGAGATCATACCGGACCACCCAATCGATGCCAAACCAAAGAACTGTTGTAGAGCTGCCTGAATGTAGCACACTGCTTCATTGTTTTGCAGCGAATAACTGTCTGGTATCACTGACGTCACCATATACTTGAAACTAAACACCAAGTCACAAACAGACAAGTAGAATATCATCTGTGTTGGGTGTCTCTTTAAATCTTTATACAATCCAAAGGTTACAATAACAAACAATGCACCTAAGAATGACATCAAGGCAAACGACCCAGATATTCTATATAATAACTATACATACACATATTATTAAATTAAATTAAATTATTAACTTTTTCTTTTCTTTTCTTTTTGTTTTTTTTATATCACGATTCTTTATTTATTTTTTAAAACTTACAGTCATTTTTTTATTTACTTTCTATTTTAAAATTGTCATATATATATCTATTTATATTTATATTATTGTTATTTATTATTATTATTATTCTTTATTATGTATTGTTGTTATAAAATGAATGAAAAATGATTATTATTTAAAATTAGTTCTAATTAAAAAAAATGAAATTATAAATATTTGAGTTGTTTGTTCAAATAGCACCTGATTTGTATTTTATTTAGAGTAATTATAATTTATCATGATTTCTAAACAATAGAGATCACCCTTTATTTTATTTACATCGAAAGAAAAAGAGTGGTAATCTTAGGTTATTTTTACTTTTCACCCTATTTTTATCGCAAAAATTTAAGAATGAAAAATAAAAATTAAAAAAAATATGTTGTCTCTTCGAAACCTAAAAACAATGATGATGTTGATGGTTCCAAAAGATAAAATAAGCAAATCATAATACTAATTCGATAAGAGAGATACATAAATTTTATCTTGCATTATCAAATAGAGACAATCTTTTTCATTTTATTTTTTTTTGTTAAATTTATCAAAATAGAATGTATAAGAAATCTAGCTATTTTTTTTTTAATGTTTTATTAATTGTTTACCACCCACCACCAACTATATCACGTTATTGGACTAGTCCAAAGACTTTATTTAAATAGTAGTTATTTCTCATTTTCATTATTATTATTATTATTATTGGTTAATCTAATCTAGATTAATTTAAATTTTAATTAAATATTATTGTTGAGTTGATTTTTTTTGAAAGTAATTTCTTATGAAATTCAAGTTGGTTTGTGAAAGTTTGGTTGTGGTGTGGTGGTGTTGGGTTGGTGTAAGGTTGTCATTTTGTGATGGATCTTCTTTGTTGATGTACATTTGACCTAGTAGGTGACCTGTCTCAGTGTCTTTGACTGTGTAATTGATCTTTGCTATACGATTCCAAAAACTTTGAGTCACCGATTTCAGTTGCTCTTGAAGTCGCTTGAAGATGGCGAGTTTCTCTTCCTTTTTGGGTTCCGCTCTGATCATGAGATCTATTAGACGCATATTCAGGTTTCTAGGGTTGCTAAAGAACGATGGGTCGACATTCTCGATATAGTGTTTGGCAATGTCATTGCGACCGACCTCCATGGTCATCAGTGCCTCGAAAAATTCAACGTAGAAGTGGCCACGATACGACAGTTGCGAAGAGTAGCCAAACAGCTTCTGGGCGGCTTCTTCTATTGGGTAGCGAGAGAATAGCAGCGAAGCGGCGAGTCTGACAGTCTGCGTTTGGTTGAAGTTTAGCGTGCTGAGAAGTCTCTCGGCTTCATCGAGTTGGTTGGCGTCGATCAGACTCTTCAGCTTGCAGTTTCTGAGTCCGTCGTTTCGCTCGGCGAACGGCAGTCTTGCAAGTAGAGGATCGTTCACTCTGTTGAGTTCCAACATCTTACAGGCAATGGTATCGACGGTACGCATATTCAGCTGAACGAATCGATCCAACATGGTCTCGGCGACAGCCAGTCCGTCTTCCAGATACCCATTTTCCAGGAGTGACACTACAATTGCATTCCAAATGGTGTGTGAACTCGTCAGCAATAGAAATTGCTCTTCTCTCATGATATCGAATGTACTATCCAAGTTGATAATCAACGAGTTCTTATAGGGAAGTGGATGGAATGTAAGGATTCTGGTGTCTTTGCTGAGAGAAGAACGATAACGAATGTACTCCAGAGGATCGAGAATCTGAGACAAAACAATATGTGAATTCAAGAGTAGCGCACCAATGTTATTGTTGATGTTTGTTTGTTCGCACTCTCTGTGAAGCTCCGATAGTATCGATTGGAGTCGTAATGCATCGTCTCTTGTGACTGCGATGTTTATCAGTTGTTTGAAAGGAAAGTGATCCGATCGATTGTTGGGCATTGGCATAGGAGTGCCGTGCAGTTTGTTATGTATATGTTGTCCTCTCGATGATTTTCTCTGCGAGACAAAGTTCTGTATCATTCTATCCATAGTCTTCTTGGAACTGGTGTTGAATGCGCGCCAAAATTGAAGAAGTCGTTCCTCCATTTTCAAATCTTCACACAAACTCAAATGGTACTGTTGATGTTGATTAAAATTGTTATTGTTACTTTCGATAGTAGTAGTAGTGCCAAGGTTTTTTATGTCTTGTTCAGCCTTGGCAATCCGTTCTTTTACGCTCTCTATGCGTAGATGATGGTAGATCTCAAAGTTGGCGGTGGAAAGCAGGTGACGTGGCAAATGCAGCTGCGAAGTACGACGTACCATCCAGTCGAGAGCGTGTTGATACTGTCCGAAATGTAAGAACACCTGAATCACTTGATCTGAGATTTTGTCGGTGTGGAGTGGTGACTGAGTACGCAGGAAATCGACGAGTGTCGTGAGCATCCGCTTGTCCGCTGCGAACGAGTTGTACACAACCAGACTGGCAATGTCGTAGCAATGGTTATTGGCGACACCGAATGCCAGATGCTGCAAGAACAACTCTAGATCTCTTTGTACATCGAATTGGTCAGAGTGCTGCTGGAGTGCTGCTGTATTGACATCGATCGACGAAACCAGTATCTCTAGCAACGCCTGTGAAGATTCGATTGGCAATTGTACCTTTTGATCGACTATCATCTTTAGCAACTGAGAAGTATGCTTTAACAATTCTGGACTGATCCGATCCTTGCTCTTCTCGCTGCTCCTGTAGATATACATCAATAGTTGACCGACAGGGAATTGCTGTAAATTAGAAGTCCACTGTGTATAACACCGCAGCGATATCGAATCGTCATACTGTGAATAGGTTTTGATAAATTCAATGAAATTAAAATGATTTGCAACACCTTCATCATTCCATTGTAATACCATATCAACTATTCTATTGAATGATTCTTGTTGTTGTTGTTGCTGTTGTTCAACTTGTTGTTGTTGTTGATCTATGTTGTTGAAAACTATTGGTGTTATCTTTTGTAGAAACCAGAATGCAGTGTCTCTATTGTGACAGTAAGTTCTCATGATGGAGATTGCACGTTGAAAGTCGTGGGTGAGAGAGTGAAGAAACAACGATTGGAGTGCAAGTGGTGCCAGGTTGCGAATCTTGCGAGACTGGTCGACCAGATCGAACAGTCGTGTTGCAGAATCGAGTTGTCCAATCGTTGTATACGCCCAGATGTACGAGGAGAGCAAATCATCGTTACGCCCATCGTAGAGAATCATACGTTCGATCGACTCGGCATGGTTGAACTGCATGTCGTTGATCAGCTTGCAGAGTAGCTTTCGCTCGTCTGGTCGATCACGTCGACAGTAGTAAACAAACATATACTGATAGGTCTTCACCGACATCTCTATATTGAATCGTCTAAACAGATCGAATACACGCATCACCTTGTGATGAGTATCGACCGACTCCTCCAAACCAGAGTAGTACTGAATGAACAGATTCAATCGGACACGATCAATAATATCGGGTGACAGCTTACAATACCATTCCAACAGACTATCTACATCGTCCAAACATTCTTTTCTACCCAATTTCGATACTAAAAATCTATGAATTCTTTAATAGACAATAATGAGTCGGTTATTAATAAAAATGTAGTTCAAAATCAATGAATGAATGATTAATAAAATACATACTTATCAACTAATCTCTCGGGTGAATATTGTTTTTGATTAGCATCTGTTATAAAGTCATAAGCTGATTTATGTCTATTACTTGGTCTTTTAAAATTTTCACCTCTATTATTATTATTATTATTATTATCAATATTATTATTATTATTATTACTCTTTGTTTCGTTGTTTTTCTTTATCTCTTCTATTAACTTTTTTGCACTAACACTTGAATAATTATACTTTTGTTGTTGTTGTTGTTGTTGTTGTTGTGCTTCATTTCTTTGTTGATATGATTTTATATTGAACTGATGATTACTAGTTGAATCTGTATGAATCGATGATGCATATCCATCAATTACTATTTTACTATTTAGTGTATTTTCTGGTGTAAAAAAACATCTACTCTGATTAAATGATATGATTCTACTGATCGTAGTAGATGAATACTTTTTACTTAACATAATAATAATATATCTTAAATCATCTGACTCGCGTCTATTTAATTAAAAAAATTAAAATAATTAATTAAATTTTAAAAAAAAAAAACGAATGAAGGACTTCACTACCAAAACTCTTATGAGTAAAGTTGCGTCTCATAAACTATTCATATCGATTGATTATTTAATTAAAAAAAGAAGTAGTATTTATTTCTATTCAGATCTATCAGATCCATTCAAATTATTCAATTCAACTCCATGATAGTTGTCATCAACATGCTCATTGTTTACTCTAGTGTTAACTTTAAGATTATTATTATTTCTTTTGTTTACTTTATCATTATTATTAGCATTACTATTACTATTATTATTACTATTGTTATTGTTTTTAGTAATACCAACACTACCACCACCAAATGAATTCTTCAAACTAAGTACAGTTTTCTTTCCTTTTCTTAAAAACAATCTGGTATCAATACGAGGTACTATAGCCATTGCCAAACCTACTACGATCAACAATATAAAGATCCAAAACACAAATGTATCCGTTGGATCATTGAATTGTCTAAATCCTGACCATTTTGAATAACTCCTATTTATATTTGTTGTTTTTTGATTTGTATATAAATGGTTAAAAGATTTGTTTAAAGAAGAGTACTCTATTTAAATATAACAACAACATACCATTCACCATTTATACATTGTTTACCATCATTACCAAATATTGAACCTTCTTTACAAATTGAACATGAATGCTGAATACACTTTAAACCAGCACCACACCAACCGGTTGCTGATTGTTCACCATTCAACTCTGAAGGACAACTCTGATGGTATAACGGGTGATCTTTTAAACTCTTACAACTTCCACTGTCATCACAAAACTCATTGATTCCACATTGATCTGGATTCTCTAAACCTGATATACCAGGTACACATTGACCACACTTTTTATATTAAATGTTTAGAATAAGATTTTAAATATTTATGTTTCTTTTTTTTTATAGTGATTGGTTGGTTGATAAATAATAATACATACAGTTTTTGCGCTAGGATCAATTAAACCATCTTTATAGTACGGTATTAATCCTGAGGGACATCCTCCATTATTAGCAATTGCTTGATTTAGTTTAATAACCGCTCTCTGAATAGGACCTTCACAGCTACCAAGAGGTGGTACCTTACCATCCATAAATGTACATTGTGAATATATATTATCTACAAATACAAATAAAAATAAAAATAAAATAATCTTAACCATTTTAGAAAAAATAAATAAAAAGATTTTGTTTTGTTTTTTTGCTTACTTTGCGGATATCGAGACACAGTATTTTGATCCCAATGTGGAAAATAGGTACACATTAATTTCAATGGTTCCCACACTAATTTTAGTGAAAAAAAAATTAAAAAGAAAAAAAACTATGATAAAAAGTAAAAAACCAAATATTATTATTAAATAAATTAAAGAGATTGATTGTTATCATATTTATAATATTTATCATATTTTATTTATATTGTTATTAATTGAATTTAATTTAATTTAATTTGACTTTGTTTTGTTTGTTGTTGTTGTTGTTGTTATTTAGGATTATTGCGTTGATTAATTTAAGTGTTAAAATATTGAGTGGAATGTAAACAAGTGTTAGGAATGGGAATAATAATGTCGAGTACATCTGATGTTGTCGTATCAGTGTGGCAATGAATGAGTATACATTCTGGTTCAAATAGAGCTTGGCAATCAAGAAGACTACCAGTGGCGGTGAGAGAATGATGGTGAACAACGACTGGAACCATCGGAATAAACGGTAACTACTGTGTTGTGGGATAATACAGAGCGGTACAATAAAGATCGCTGCGATCGTACAGAACGAGAAATTCAAGAGTGACATCGTCGAGATGAACAACAACACCGGTAGACATGTAAACACCTTGAAACTCATTCCACCAAGATATCTTATTGTTTTGTTGTTGTTGTTGCTGCTGCTATTATCATCACCACCACTACTACTACTACTATTACTATTATTGTTGTTGTTACTATTGCTATTGAAATAATTATCGAATCTTGGATAAACAATAAAGAATAAAATAAAATATAATAAAGTGAAACCTATAAACAAAGCGGAATCTGTCAACTCGTTGTCCTGTAGGGAGAGTTGTTCGAGTATCGATAGAATCGTATGTGAAAATGTGAGAGGGATTGTGTAGAATGCCAGTCCAACTACCAGTGTTAGACTAACAATGATTGTTGAATATAATATATCGGATGGTGAATCAACATCTAAATTACTATTTTTATCACCTTCTGTAGTTGTTGTTGTTGTTGCAGTTGTTGATTTGTCAGTGTTGTTTTTTGAGTCTGTAGCTGTTGTTGTTGTTGTTGTTGTTGTTGCTGTTGTTGGTTTGACTATACGAAGTGAAGGTGGTTTGAATGCACCCGATAGACTAACGAGGAGAACCAGTACCAAGACAACTAGTGGCGCCAGTATGCAACCTAGAGTTATCATATACTCACCGATGGAGATATAGGTGAATGGTGATGGCAGTAGGTAGTAATAGAACGACTGGTGTAGATGCTCCAACAGATTATTCAAGCTACGTAGAGTACCAATAATAATGACAGAGTTTTGGTAAATGGTATGCTGTTTCTGGTGTGATGGCAATGCAATGGTGACGGCATCGATATGGTAGGCATTGAACAGTCCGTGGTCACCCGTTGGCACTCCCAATGCTTGATTACCCATAAAAGTAGTCAAAGTCTTCATATCGGATGGAATATATCTATTATACCATTCTTGTATCTTTGATTGTACAATCTTTGCAATTTGACTTGTAATTGATTTATCATTATTATTATTATTATTATTATTATTATTATTGTTATTGTTATTGTTATTTTTATTACTATTATCAACAGATAAATGTAATCTATCTTTTGCATTCTCTTTTGATGCCATACGACCGATTGTGTTGATTAGATCCAAGTTGGGAAGTTGTCCGTTTGAACCCTCGGCGAGTATGTTGAATCGGTTGGTCGGATAGTTTGGTTGGACATCGATATTGAGTGCCGCTTGGATCATGCCGGCACGTCTAAACTGTGTTGACTTTGAATGGATATTCGAATGGTAGTCTGACAGCCATTGCTTCATTCCATAGCCACCACCGAAATGACCATCGGTAATCACCACAACAATATCCTTTGCCAGCCAAACTCTAGCTTTTCTCTGCAAGTTTCCAACAATAGACAATAGCAATCCAACACCATTAACTTCATCTCTATTCAATTTAGCAGCATCCACTTTATATATAAATATATATTTGCAATAGAAATTAATATTTTTAAAAACTTTTTCATCTTTTAAAACATTTTTAAACACTCAAACACTTACCCGAATACTTTGTTGATATTACAAGTGATTCAGTACCATCTGATTTAGGTGCACGTATTACACTATAAAGATTATATCCTGTCTTTGAAGTTGATGATGAAGATGATGTTGATGATGTTGTTGTTGTTGTTTCGTTTGATGACAGTGATGATGATGATGATGATGATGGTTTGATGAATGTATGTTGATATGTTTCTAAACCTATATCTCTAAGAGTGGATTCTATCCAGTGTGAAAGCAATCGTCTACAATTTGCGTCTCTGTCCAGACCACATGTATCTAGCTTTGCCTGATACTCTTGGGAATAACGAATCGAATCGGAAATGTCAGCCTGTTCAAACTCTATCTTTGCTACACCTGGCAACAAAGCATTCTCTGACATATAAGTTCTATGTGCCTGTCCTGGATAATATGATATAGACAATATACCACCTATATATAATATTAGACTGTTCAATAAATAATTTTATATATTATCATTATTATTTAATAATAATAATAATAATAATAAATAATCATGATTAATAAGCTATTTTATTAAACTTTAAAATATCTTTTAAGAGTAATTACCCTAATAAATATAATAATAAATTATTTCTTTTCTGCTTTCTTAAAGTATTGTCACCATTATCATTGTTTAGTTTTTTCATAATTTTATCTATATATTTAAATCTACTTCTTATCATACTATATATTTATATTAATTTACTTTCTTTGAATATATATAGCATTTATTAAATATATGTATGTTCAAATTGATAGATTGATTATTAATTAAAAAAAAAAGATTTAGTTTTTTTTTTTTTTTTTTTTTGAGGGGGTTTGATCAATTTAATTAAAAATATTTTTATTTTCATTTTTTAAAAAAACATTATCTGTTGTTGGTTTAACAACACTCATTGTTGTTGTTGTTGCTGTTGTTGTTGTTGTTCATTGAGGTTGATTTGACAATTTTGGTGTTGATCAAGTTCATCAAATTGAACTCTCATTTCTGTTATCGATCTTATCAATCTATGATTTGATTTGTACATAGTATAGCTAGATTTATCATTATTGTTGTTTTGGTTGTTTGAATCGGTAATGCATTAGCTTTAATAAATTAGTTGGTTTGTTGATAGATTGATTTGATTGATTGATTTGATTGATTAATTCTGTCGATTTTGGTTTGAAGAAGAAAAAATTTGAAAAGAAAAAGTTTGCTATTGTTGTTGTTGTTGTTGTGGTATAATTATAAATGAATGAATGAATGATTGATCGATTGATCGATTGATTGTTTGATTGAATATCATTACACTTTCCAAATCTTAATTGTGTTGTCAGAGTTGATTGCACCAGAGGCAATGATTTCCTCGGTGGGATGGCAAGCCACAGCCAAAACGACATCGGTGTGTCCTTCGAGTCGCTGTACGATCTCCTTTGTCTGTAGATTCCAAATGTAGATCATGTGATCCTCTGAACCAGATACCACCCATTTACCGTTGGAAAAGGTTGAGAACACGCAGTACTGTGAGTTCTGATGACCCTCGTATACCTTTAGCATCTTATTCTCACTGTAGTTCCAGAGTCGCAGTTTCGAGTCGAGTGTACCGACCAACACGTACTTGCCATTCGGTGAAAATATTGAATATGAAACGATGGGTGGTGCCACGCTGTCTGTCGATGACAATGTCGCCGACAAAGTCTGTAGTGGTGATCCTGAAAATGAGTCCCAAACACGACTAAAAAAAAAGTGAATAAAAAGTGTGTGTGTGTTAAACATCAAACTATCTATGACTATGTGATTATGAATATTAAACTACTACTACTACTACTTACACTGTACCATCTATACTACTTGTAAGTAACATTGAACCGTCTCTGTTGAAATGAACCGATGAAACTGGTTCGGTGTGTGCTGGAATACGTATGAGTTGTTTGCCTGACTTGACGTCCCAGACTATGACGGTCTCATCGAATGATCCACTTGCAATCTTGTTGGATTGTGGGTTAAAGTTACATGAAAATACATAATTATCATGTCCTTTCAATGTTTTAATTAGATCTCCCTAAAATAACAACGATAACAATAATAATAACAATAATATATTAACATATATATAATGATAGTTATAATTTATCTCAATATCACTTACAGTTTCAGCATCCCAAATCTTTACGGTTGTATCATCAGATGCAGTGCAGATAAACTTTGAATCGTGTGACCACGATGCATCCGATAGACCTTTTTTGTGTCCTGTTAGAGTCCTCTGGAAGGTACCCGATCTTGCATCCCAAATCTTTGCAGTGTTATCAGCGGCTATTAATAATAATAATGAAAAAGATGGATAATATTAATTTCTACAATCATTCAATATAGAGATTGAAATAAAAAAGCGAGTTATTACATACATGCAGAGAGTAACCATTTGCCATCTGGTGAAAACTTTACCGATGAAATAGATTTCCTGTGTCCTTTTAATGTTAACTTTAACTTGTACACCGGTGGGACTTCAACTGGTTTCGGTGCCGCCGCTGCTGCCGCTGCTACTGGAGGTGCTGTACTTAATCTCTCTGTGGTAACACCTCTCTCTATTGTTTCTGCTGGTCCTCTTTCCATTCCTTCCATTTTTCTATATTATTACTATATAAATATTTATTGTTATTAATTTATTTTTGTTTATTAAAAATAAAATAAATTTGACTAAATGTACAAAGTTGTGTTGTACAACTATCTAACTATCTATCTATCTATCTATCTATTAAAGTTATGTTATATATATATCTATAGCTATATAAATCTTTGATAACAATTCAGAATTAAGATAGATCTGTATGGCTCTTAGAAATAAGTAACTAAACACACGATGAAACGAAAAACAAAATATTCGGTTATTGTGATAAATTAAATTAAAAATTGCAATTTTTAAAAATTTTTGAAAGTTTTTTGGTTTTTTTGAAAACGACTCACTCGGTCAGCAAAAAAAAAATTAATAATATTAAATATTATTTGTGTGTTTTGTGATTAAAAAAATAAGGGTTTTTATTAGTAGTATTAGTAGTAGCTATAGTGTTTGACTAGTAACTCGAGTTAGTTCACTTATTTTCACCACAAACAATATCAATATACATACCATATACAACCACCACTAATAGTTATCTATACAACAACAACAACAACAACAACAACAACATTTTTGATAATAACTTAAGAATCATCATTAAAATATAGATTGTACCAGGTGCCAAACCAATCAAAATCAAAACCAAAACCAAAATCATATCAATTATAGTTAGTTTATTTATTAGTTTTTATATATTTTAAAATCAAATCATCACCATCATAAAAAATAAAAATGACAGACAGTTTACCTAGTGATTTGGAACAAGATGTAAATGATTTCGAGGCATTGTTGGAGAAGATAGAATTACAATTGGAACCATTTTTTAAATACTCGATGAAAGAGCATCAAGACGAACTTTCACCAGTCCAATCTGCAAAACTTAATATATTGGTTGCCTACTCTTTAAATTCTCTTTTTTATAGTAGGTTCTATCGATTCAGTAGTAGCTCACTCATCATATGATGATGACCATCTGAATCTTTATTGACATTTGAATACATGATTCTCAAACTAACAACATGACTTACTTTCAATACTATTAATAACAAAAATAGTGTATTTACAAACTCAAGGAGTATCACCACATTCACATCCAGTTAAACAAGAATTAGTATGTTTATATATATCATGATCTAGATTATTTCATCAATTTAATTGGAAAGAAACATATACTAACTTAATAAAATAGGATCGAATTAAACATTATATTACAAAATTACAAAATATTGGAAATACTCAACAACAGCAACAAGAAAAACGTATGAATTTGATTATATATTTGTTTAAGTTCCATAGATTAACATGTTATTTTTAACTTGGTTGTTATCAATATTTTTTTTATTTTAAAAATTAGCAAAATTAACAATAGATCCAGAGGCAAGTAAGAGAATGATTAATCACACTTTAAATGCAAATCAACCAACCAAAAGTATGTTAGACACCAATTAATTATTAACTGTATTCATCAATAATGAATAAAATAAACTAACTGAATCAATTCAATTCAATTCAATTACTATCAGAGGAAACAGAGCAAAAGAAAAGAAAGAAATAGTTTAAATAATAAATATTAATAAAAAATTAATTTTCAAGATTTTATTTTTTTTTTTTTTTTATTTTGCAACTGTTTTTAGTCTATTTTTTTACTCAATAAAAATAACTAACTCCATCTGATAAATGCGACATTTTGGATTTGAAAAAAAAAAAAAAAAAAATTAAAAAAAAAAAAAAAAAAAAAAAAAAACCTTGGTTACAATGAATAAAATAAAAAAGAGAAACCTGTGTTCATACAAAAGTATTAAGTGGATTATTATTATAAAGTGTACAACTATTACAAAAATTAAATATTATAAAATAAATAACATAACAAATCAAAACAAATAGATAGTCATTTTTATACCATTCTTTCTCTACTTTAGATTTAGATAATCAAATTAATTAATCTTTGATTTGTATATCTCTATCTATATTTAAATAATTCATATTAGTTTATTAAAAGTAAGTTTTATTATTATATTAGCGAAACTTCTTTGAAATCTAGTTTGTATTATTATGTTATGATAACATAAAAAAAAATAAAAAATAAAAAAGTCATAACCTATTTTTATTTGTGTGAGGCAGTTATCCTTATTGTTGTATTTATCCGTTGGTTCTACTTACTTACTTATTTCTTCTTAAGTAAGCAATAAATACCACACACAACATACAGATCTATAAAAATCTATTTTTTTTTTTTTGTTCTCAATACCACAAAACCCACCAAAATGTATAACATTGTTATCATATCATAATCCATTGTAATAGAAAAAAAAAAAAAAAAAACCAACAACCATATTCGATTATTTTAATCTTTTTTGTAATAACATTATTAAGAAGAACTCTTCTCAATTTTTTTTAAAAAACAATAAAAATAAAATACAAAATAAATATATAAAAATAAATAAATAAAAAAAATACAAACATACATTACATCACCTCAACTTTATTAACTTAGCAGATATCATCAAATTTGCTTTTTATTCTTCTTTGTTCTTCTCACTATTTCACTACCTTTTTACAAAAAATATTAATATCAATTTTTATTTGCCAAATCTAGATACTATTATTATTTATTTTAATATCTCAAATTAAGTAGATTTGTTACAAAATAATATAATTATTTATCAACTTTTAAAAGTAATAGTAGTGTATTTGGTTTATAGTGTGTGTTTAGAAGGAGATGTTACAACAGGCAAAAAGAAGCAAAAATAAATAAATGGTCATAAAAGAATCTCACACAGAGACCATGGTAGAGAACTCTACTTTGTCCACAAATAATAATAGTAATAATAGCAACCACCACCACCATCACCACCAACACCAAGACAATAATAATGTTTTCAACTCATCTAATACTAGTATAACAAATGAATCTACTGGATCTGCATTACTACCAATGTCACCAGAGATCGATGTTTGTAATATTAGTACGAAAGAATCGATATCTTCCTCAACTTTTACAAATAATAATAATAATAATAACAACAACAACAATAATAAAGATATAAAAGAAACAACTACAACAACTACCACAACAACCACAACAACAACAGCAACACCTTCAACAAGCAGCCTGCTAGGAATTCCAAGTTTAAATAATGTAGAATCATCACCATTTAGCACGTTTATCAACAAATCCATTTTTGATTCACCATCGAAACCTCTGCCTGACCTAACTAGTACGCCTTCGTTGAACTTTCAACACAACATGCGAGCAGACTCACCCAGTAAATTACTTTTTCATTCGTTCGATCTGCACAATCTCTATGCAAAGTCACCGCAACTCAATTTTCACACACCACTCATCTCTGTTTTAACACCACCACAGCCACCACCTGGTTTATCACCGCGTGGTAGTAACCACTCGACACCCGAGAACATGGTGTTTCGTATCAACAGCGGACTCAATCCACAGCTGAACCAACGAACATCATCCTCCACCTCCAATCCACTCCTAAACATATCGTCGCCATCCAACTCGCTGCTGCCAAGCGTGGAGCACGTCGCCAACAAGCACAATCGCCATGCCAACAAGCACTTCCAGACGAACGGTCGCTCCAGATGGCATCGCTACGACACCAGTAGCGAAGACGAGGAGGACGCCGACGAGGAAGAAGAGGATGACGACGATGAGGAAGACGTCGATGGATCGTCGTCTGACGACGGCGAATACAGCTCGAGTTCGAAGCGTGGCAACTCCCTGATGGATGTATCCGACACATCTTCGTCTGAGGCCGAGGAAGTAAGCGGTGCCACCACTGACGACGATGACGACATCTCGTCGGCATCGTCAATGTCAACCAGTCCTGCAACCTTTATGCCAATTAAAACAACCGCTGCCCTACCAAGGAAAACAACCTATACAACCACCAGAAAATCATCAACCACAACCATACCGAAACCATTAAACAACACCATTCACACCACAAGCATTTCAAATAGTATAAACAATCATATAGCAACAACAATAACAAATAATTTATCAAATACTAAAAATTTAATTAATAACAACAACAACAACAACAACAATAATAATATTAATAAGACTAAAAATAATAATAATAATTTAACAAATAATATACATGAAAATCATCATATAGATATAAATAATATAATTAATGCAAATTTAGATAATATACAATCGACGATGGCTGCGTTTGGCGATCAGTCGAAAAATCAATATGTTAGTTCAGTTTCACAGGAGAAGGTTGCAAGCGGTAATAATTCTCAAAAATCAGGGTCCTCGCGTAAGAGTCTGTCGACAGGTAACATTGGTAACTCTGCCGGTGCGAACGGTGTTGGCGATGGCGCTAATGACAATGACGGTGGACCCACGGCCGACACTACTGTCCTCAAGAAGCGAAAGAAGAACGGTGCCGATGCCGGTCGTTGGTGTCACCAGTGCAAGGCACTCAAATTTGAATTCATTCAGTGTCAAGCATCGGAAGCCGGTCGTCCCAAATGCAACAAGCGGTTCTGCTCGACCTGTCTTACCAAACATTACAACAAGGAGGTGGCAGTACTGAAAGAACGTGCCAAACCTTGGGTCTGTCCGTTTTGTAAGAATACCTGTATATGTGCTGCTTGTAAAAGAAGAAGAGTAAGTCAATCTCTAAACAATAGTAATCATTAATCATAACAATAGCCTATTGTATATATATAACTATCTATAACCAATATTCCAAGTCAAAAACCACCCACTTACCTATCCCTCTCTATCTTCCATTATTATAATATCTATAATAATTTTAACAGCAACAACCACAGTAACAAACCAACCAATAGTTTAAATATATATAATATTTAATTTACTCAATCAAACTAAAAACAAAAGAAGAAGATATCAAACAAACAAACAAAAAAAAACTGAAAGAAGTCGACTAACAACAATCAATTCAATTCAATTCAATTGCAACAAACACACACTCTCCTTTCATCTCCAAACAACAATCCCTCATCATTATCATCAATTCAATCAATCGATCGTAACAATCAACAAAACAAAACACTTCCCAAACACACCAACAACTCGCAACCACTGAGTTGTGTCAATAACCTAACTTAATCATGTACTTTTTTTTTTAATTTTAATTTTTTTTCTTTCCTTTTTCATCATTATTCTTTTTTTAAAAATAAAAAGCAAATTAAATTTTTTAATTTAATAAAATTAATTAACCCCAATCCCTCTCTTTTCTTTTTTTAAAAACCCTATTATAATCACACAATAAAAAAAAAAAAAAAAAAAACAACAATTAAAATTAGGGAAACTCAGAACGCAAATTAAGTAAGAACAAGAGAAGCAATGTAGTTAGTGGTACCAGTAAATCAAGAGCTGCAGCAAATATCAATAATAATAATAACAACAGTACAAAGAGTCCAAGAAGACAACAACAAATGAAAGATACTGATATAAACATAGAGGAAGATGAAGAAGGGAGTAGTGATCTGTCAACAACAACAACCACCACTACAAATTTGAGGAGAACACCACAAACTAGTAGTAGATATAAAAAGAGAAAGAAAGGTGGTGGTAGAAGTAGTGCAAGAAGAAGAAGTATCGTCAACTCTAGAAAAGTTAGTGAGGAGGAGCAAAGCTGTGATGATGATGATGACAATGATGATGATGATGATGATGACAACGATGAAGAAGAAGAAGAAGATGATGATATTGCCACTGTTAGTGAGGAGTCTAGTGATAGTCACCGGGTAAACAGTGTAAGCAGAAAGAGCACCAGTAGGAGAAGATCTGCACCCGCCTCCACAACCGCCGCCACTAGCAACGGAGGAATCATGATGTTACCGACAGCATCAGAGATATCTGCTGACAAGTCACCGTCGATTGTCTATAACGTACAGTATCCAGACTTTAATACCACAGTCGATGTCATGACACCTTCGTTTAGAGTCAACGACCAGTACCTCAAAGACGATGGATTCCGAAAGTTGCCCAAGGCATTCTATCGTGGCGGTTGGACCGAGAACTTTAGCGTTGAACTCTATCTCTACAACAAGGAGATTGAGATGCAAATACTCGAGGAGGAGATTGCTCGTCGTAAGGAAGAAGAGGACAAAGTCACCAAGGAAATTATGGCACAACAACAACTAAAAGAACAACAACAACAATCAGAAGAGCCACCAAACAGTCCGACCACATCCAACCCCACTCCTGCATCGACACCTACCTCCTCTGAAAAGATTAGAACTCGCAGAAATTCATCGCTTACCAACTCTCCACCAATTGACTTGTCACTTGCGTCGCTCACCAGACGAAAGCGTAAATCCAAAGAATCCAACGGTCATGCACATCCACAACAATCACAGGAAACTGTGGAGTCGAGCGATGAAGACACCTCGGACGAGATCTACCTGCGTAGACATGCCAAGTTGGCGGCTGAGGAGAAGATTTGGTATGCTAGCTTCGCCAACAAGAAGAAGGATAGAAAGAACAAGAATCCATCGTCAACGTCGACCACTCCCACCAGACCAACCGAAGCATCAAACAAGTCTGTTCCATCGTCACCCTCGATGCCGTCGACACCAACCAATAGCGCACCTTCATCCCCATCACTCCACAACAAGGTCATACCACTTCGCTCTAGACTCAGAACAAGCTATCCAGGTTAATAGATAGATAATTGTAGTCGTCGACAACTACAATAATCAAACTCATTATTACACTCTACTGTAACGGTTATAACAACAATAATAGTACCACCATGTTTAATTTGTTTTGCTCCACAAAAAACAACGATACATGATATACTGGTTATCAAATTGCAATTCAAGTCGCCTTTAATAGTCAACTTTTACAATGATACCACCAAATTTTATCTACAGGCTATTAACAGTCAGTATTAAATCTAGTGAAATCAGAAAAAAACAACAACAAACGAACAGATAGATTCACAATAAATGCACAATAAATTTAAATTTGTTCCTTTACATTCTCCTTTTTTGAAAATTTTAAAGTTGTAAAATTTACAAACTTCTTTAAGAAAAAAAAAAAAAAAGTGTCAACTATTACATTTTCACACAAGTGTCAACAACAAAATACTAGTCGTGTGGACCACACATTAATTCTAATAATATCTCCAAAATAAAAAGTAATATTGTTGGAAATTGATTGGACGAGGAATTCAAACCCTGGTTATTTCCTTTAAAAAAATAGGAAAGTTAGAATGATGAAATCAACTTTTATATACATCTCAAAACAAGTTAACAATTGACCTGCTAGATATCTCAAATTTAATTAGATTTAACGATTTTTTTCATTGATTTTTGTGGTGTTTTTTTAACAAAAAACTTAAAAAATGATTTTTTTTTGATATACTGAAAAAAAAGTTGATCACCCCCTCGCAAAAACATCATACCGACAAGAATGATAAAAAAAATCATTCAAAAACAAAATAGATGCCACGCGGATATTAAAAGATTGATGAAATTTGTTGGTTTTTGAAACCAATGTTTGAAACTTAAAAGGAAAAGAAGTGAGACATGGGGGTTATATTGTATACCCCCTCCATCAATCAATCAATCAATTCACCTCAAATACCTTCACTTGCAAAAAATCATCCCAAAAACAGACTAAGAGTAGGCTCTTCGACCAACAACGCAATGAATCTGTGCCTCAACAGGTTAACCACTTTTTTTTTGTTTTTTTTCATATTATTATTGTAATTAATTAGTGTTCAACCTTTTTCTTTAAATAGGCCTACAAGCTTCATCTCTAACATTCATTAGTCTAGACTTTGATCATAGTTTTACAGAAAATGTCTAAATTATTTGTTTGCTTATCACTATTACTAGTAGTTTTATTTATTTCCACTACATCATCCACCAAGGAATTGGAGGATTTTGTTTATAAATCAGACCCAGCGTATGTAGAATCACATTATTATAATACACTCAAAATCACCAAATAATTATTTATAAATCTGACTTTTTTTTTTTCTTTTTATTTTTTTCTCTTTTTTTTATTCATTAATTTTTTAGATTTGGTTATACTTATCATTCAAAGATTGATAAAGTTGGATACACTATCTATGTTTTAAATTATACTTCAGGTACTTGGTTAAATAGTGAATTAACTAGCAATCCAGTATGGTGGCATTGGCTTCACATTTGTATTCCCGATATCGTTACCACCCAGACTGCTTTCCTCTGGAACGAAAACGGTGACTTCTCATCGCCAGCCAACTACACTCCATACCCATTGGCTGAGCACATCTGCGCGAATACCGGATCGATTGCCGCTATCCTCTACCAAAATCCAAACCAAGCAATCAGTTTCAGAAATTCTACAACCTTGTTGAGAGAGGACGGAATCGTTGCTCGTACCTGGCGTGAGTTTTTCAATAACCAAACCAAGAAGGATTGGATCGCTTCCTACCCAATGACTCGTGCCGTCGTCAAATCGATGGATGTCGTCCAAAGATTCGTTAGTGAACGTTCATTCTGGCACCGTGTCAATGATTTCGTTGCCGGTGGTGCAAGTAAGCGTGCTTGGGCTGCCTGGTTGGCTGCCGGTATTGATCCACGTATCAAGGCTGTCGTTCCAGTCGTGCTTCCAATCTTAAACATGGAAACTAACATCAACAATCATTACCGTGCTTATGGTGGTTTCTCCTATGCTTTCTACAACTACTTTGTCGAAGGTTTGATGGCCGAGTTGAACAAGCAACCATTCCATGCTTTGGCACATGAAATCGACCCACTTATGTACGTCCGTGGTTTAATCAAGCCAAAGTACATCGTTACCACCGTCTCTGATCAATTCTTCATCCCAGATTCCTCAGTTTATTTCTTTGACAAGCTACTCGGAAAGAAGCATCAACGTATCATTCCAAACGACGACCACTACATGAAATTGCAATTCAGCCAACTTGTCAGTGATGTTACCTCATACTACAAATCGATTGCCTACAACTCGCAGCTACCAACCTTTGACTGGACTGTCACCCCAGACCTCTCGAACAACAGCACCACCATCACACTGATTCTCGGAAACGGTTGTGGATTCCCACAACGTCCAACCTCTGTCTTGTTGTATGCCGCCGACAGTGCATCAAAGACCAAACGTGACTGGCGTCTCTTCACATGTCCAACCTGTCAACAAAATGTTACTTTCGTTCCAACCGTAGTTCCAGAGACTTCCGACAGAAATGTCTACACTGCCACCATCGAACAACCAGCCACCGGTGGTTGGAGAGGAGCATTCATCGAGTTGACCTACGATATTCCATTCGTTGGAATCCAAAAGTTCACCACCGAATTCTTCTGGGCACCATACACATTCCCATTCGCCGGTTGTGGAAACAACTGTCAAAACGTTCCATTCCCAGCATAAATCGACATCTGCACAAAAGTATTAATAATATCAATATACTTTTTTTATTTTTCCGATCATTAAATAATAGCTATTATTTTTTTAAATAGCTCGCTACCAAACCAATACATAAAAACTTTTTTTTAAAGTAATTATTACAAAAAAAAAAAATTAATCTAATGTATATATTGTTTTATTTATTCTTTTTGAAAATCTGTAAATATTGACCATGTGTTAAATCAATATTTAATAATATAATTTTGTTTGATTGCTTTTTTTTGTTGATTATTTTTGTAATAGTAATTATATCAAGCAATAAAACAACATTAACACAAACTTGAATATCAAAATTTAATTATTTATTTTTCATTTTTCATTGTCATAACATAAAATGAATTCATTTCTTAACTTTGAATTAACTTAATAAAAGAGTCTAGACAAATTACATTTTTTATAATAATAACTTGATCAAATTTAATTAAGAAAACAATGTGATAAATTAAGAGATAGAATATAATGATTTCAAATTTCATTCAAATTGCAGGCAATTTTATGTGACTTTTCTACCAAAATTTTTAAAAAGACTTTTTTTTTTTTTTTGAACTATTCAAAGTCAGCTGAAACACAATAATCTTTCGAAACAATTAATTTGTTTTAATAGTTCAATTATTTTATTTGTTTGGTTTAATATTTAAAGATGTCTGACGCACAAAGAGTAACATTTGAAAAAGTGATAATCAAGAAAAATCATATCCACTAACTTGTTTTTCTTCTTCTTCTCTTACTTGATATTATAATTTAAACTTTTTATTTATTTATTAGGCATTAGATGCAAAGAATAAAGGTAATGCTGCATTCTCTGCAAAAAAGTATGAGGAAGCAGTCCAACACTTTGATGAAGCGATCTCACTCGATCCATCGAATCAAATTCTTTATAGTAACAGATCGGCTTGTTACAATGCTTTGAACCAATATGACAAAGCTTTGTTGGACGGAAACAAAGCTGTAGAGTTGAAGCCCGATTGGTCAAAGGGTTACCTTCGTCAAGGTAATGCTTTGTTTGGTTTGATGAAATATACAGAGGCTGCCGAAGCCGCCAAGAAAGGATTGGAATTGGAGCCAAGCAACCCACAACTCCAGGATCTCCAAGTCGACATTAGAGCGGCAACACAGCCAAAGAAATCGATGTTTGGTCCACAGGAAATGGCAAAATTGGCAATTGATCCAAGAACACGTGACTTTATGAGTCAACCAGATTTCTTGGCAAAACTCAGAGATTTCGATAGAAACCCAGAGTCGATGGTTCAACACCTTGGTGATCCAAGAGTGATGGCAGCATTCAGCGTCATTACAGGTGTCGATCTTTCACAGGGAGCCGACAACAACCAACAAGATTTCCCATCGCCACCACCAACCAAGCCACAACCAAAGCCAGCCGAACAACCAAAACCAACACCAGCTCCAGCTAAGCCAGCACCAATCGAGTTGACAGAGGCACAAAAGGAACGTGACGCCGGAAATCAATGCTACAAAAAACAAAGACTTTGTCGGTGCAATCGAACACTACGACAAAGCCTACGAATTGGATCCAAAGGATCTTTTGGCTCTCAATAACAAGGCCGCTGTATATATGGAACAACAGAGATTCGAAGAGTGTATCGAGCTCTGCAAGTCCGCCTCTGAAAAGGCATCGGAGATTCGTGCCGACTACAAGATTCGTTCAAAGATTTTCACACGTCTCGGAAATGCTTACTTGAAGACCGACAAGATCGACGATGCATTGAAGGCTTACAATCACGCTATCATCGAAGACAAGAATGCTGAGACAATCGCCAACCTCTCCAAGTGTGAGAAGCTCAAGAAGGAGCGTGACGCCCAGGCTTACTTGTCGCCAGATCTCTCGTTGATCGCCAAGAACCAGGGTATTGAGCATTTCAGGAAACACGAATTCCCAGAGGCCATCAAATCATTCGAAGAAGCTATTCGTCGTAACCCAGTCGACCATACCATTTACAGCAATCGTTCGGCTGCCTACTACAAGTTGACTGAATATCCATTGGCCGTTAAAGATGCGGAAAAGACCATCGAGTTGGCACCCAATTTCATTAAAGGATACATCAGAAAAGCCAATGCATTGTTTGCTTTGCGTGAATATCAAAAGGCATTGGAGGCATGCGATCAAGGTCTTCGTATCGAGGAGAACAATCCAGAGTTGGTCGAAATTTCCAACAAGACATTCCTTGCCATCAGAAAGCAAGAGAGCAACATGACCGACGAGGAAAGAATCGAAAACGCTGCAAAGAATCCAGAGATCAGAGACATTTTACAAGATCCAATCATGAACCAAATCTTACAAGACATGCAAACCAACCCAGGTGCCATCCAAGATCATCTCAAGAATCCAATGATCAAAGCCAAGTTTGATAAATTAGTTAGAGCTGGTGTTGTAAGAATGGGTGGTAGATAAAATAATGTATACTTTTAAATAAATTACATATGGAATTCCATTTAATAATAATAATATAGAGACGGCCAAACAAGAATACTATTAAAATATATTTAATTTTCAATATTATTTAATTGATAAATAGAATTATATATTTTATTTATTTTCTAATATGAGAGTGTGTTTTGTTTGAAATATTATTATTATTGTTTATATATTTAGAACTTGGCTTTAAGTTCTTCGACGGCCTTTTTGATGTCATCGTTGTACTTGGCGAAACTGGTATTTGGATCGGCAATCTTTCCTGATTCGTTGAAAATATCTCTGCTGAGGAAAACCTTTGGTCTGGCGGAGACCAACTTGGTTTGGATACCACTCATACCAGAGATGATTTGAGAGAGTTGTTCACCGGCGAATTGACCACCGTGGGACCAACCGTAGGAGACGATGGCAGCTGGCTTATCACACCATTCCTTCCACAAGTAGTCGATGGCATTCTTCAAGGCAGCTGGGTAACCACGGTTGTATTCAGAGGTGACGAAAACGAATGAATCCAAAGCTCCGATCTTGGCTTGCCATCTCTTACCGTGCTCGGTAGAGTAGACACCATTGAGTGCCATTGGTGGCAAAGCTTCATCGTAGAGTGGTAAGTTCTCTTTGGCCAAATCGATGATCTCTACATTGAAGTCTTCGGAAATTCCAGAGTTATCTACGAACCATTGGGCAATCGTGCCACCAACTCTATGAGTACGGGTTGAACTATAAATAATAAAAGTAATAATAATATTAATATAATGGTTTAAATTATAGAGTTGGTGGCGCGATTTAAATCATACCCAATAATAACACCAACAGTTTTCTTGACAGACATTTCTTATATGTATTTAATTTATGTATATATATATATTTATAAATTTATAATTACTATTATGTATTTTGTAAATAATGATTTTCGATATTGCTTGCACAATCTTTTTATAGAGCAACAAAACCTTACACATTATAATTTAGGAAAACTGTCACCACAATAATTCTGGAAACATATCAAAATTTGAAAAAAAAAAAAGTATAATAAAAAAAAATACCAAAAACAACAGTAAAAAAATCATATTATTGGGTTCTTGAATGAAAAGATGAAAAAAAACATTCAGGAACTGTGGTTAACGATATTGCAAAAAATTACTGTATTATGTGTGTAATGGGTATTTTGAAAAAAAAAAAAAAAAATGGAAAAAACACCACACCTTCCGGAACACCATATTAAAGATCAAGAGAAATTATTTTAATGCAAAATAATTTCTTGAGATCAATTCGATATTTTTTTTAAGAACACTCTTGAATCCCATCTGAAATCATTATCATCACCAAACTTTAAAATCTGATAATAATATATTTTTATGGTGCGATCTTTTTACCACCCTTGCTTTTTTTTTAATTAATCTAACTATCATTTTATTATTATATTTATATTAGATTTAAATATATAAAAAATAAAAAAAAATTGTTGATGATTTTAAAGTGCATAAGATTCTTCTATTTTATAATATTTTGTTATTGGGTCTGAACTTCCTATGCGCAGCAGCTGCAGTGATTGAAATTTTTGTAAACCAAATTCTGTATCCTCTAAATGTTTAAGTTTCTGGCGTTGTGTAGTGATCGATGATGTGGTTTGAATTGTTAGATTATTATCTTATCATCTTTTTTTTTTTTTTTTTTTATTGAATAATACATACATTGAATGCATCAACAAAGTGTTGACCACCTCTACCTTTAGCTAAAGTGATATGTGGATTCCATCTTTTGTCTATATTTATATTGTTCTCTTCGAACAATTTAACCAAACGTGATTGGAACTCTGTTAATCTAGCAGAGTTTTCATCATCTTTCAAACCAGACCATAATACACGATCATTGAATGATCCAATTCCCCTATTTAATTTAAAAACATTGCAAAAAAAAAAACAATAAAAGAGTAGAGTATTAATATCAAATTCATATCATTAATATCAAAATGTATATTCATTTTAAATATCTATAATAATAATATGTACTTTATAGTTGAAGAAGGTGTATTCTCACCAAAGATCTCATTTGAAATCAGTTTTGCCTGTTGTAGCAATGATTTTACAAGAGGTAGTTGCACTTGAACATCGGTGAGAGTCATTACAAATACGGTGAGATGAAACTTCTCTGCAGCTGTAACATCTCTTCTTATCAATGGTACAGTGTTTGCTATATGTTTCTGTGCTTGTGACAATTGATCAGTGATAGTTGGTTCAGTGATTTGCAATCCTAAAAAGTAATTAGGTCTATAGTTATTATTATTATTGTTGTTATTAAAACCACCTCTTGACATATCTTCTTCTTTTTCTTCTTTTGATTTTTCACTTAATTGATTGATTCCAATATTATTAATGACGAAAGCTATCATCAACACAATAAATATGAAAAATATTGTTTTTTTGTTTGATGATCCAAAAATTTTAACCATTTTATTTGTGAAAATTAAAAGAAAAAATAAAGATTTATATTAGATCGAAATGTATTAATTATTACTATATATATACTTATATATAATATGAGTTTATAATATAAATCAAAATAATATGTAAGAATTTTTTTTTTTTTTTGATTAAAAACAAACAGTTAATATTCAAAATTTTTGGGTTTGATGGATGGATGAATGATGACGGTGCAAATTCGATGACCTGTCAGAGTTATATTATTTTTATTTATTCTATTAAAATTAATTATTGTTATTTATTTATTGGCGGTGGCAGTGTTTAAGAGTTCTTCAAGTTCCTCTATAGATTTTTTAATCTCATCAGTATACTTTTCGAAATCTTGGTCGATGTTCTTGAACTGTCCTTTCTCATTGAGTATATCCTTTGAAAGGAAAAGCTTTGGTTTGGTGTTTGTTAGATTCATTTTAATTGGACTTTTATCAGTGATGATACGTTCCAATGAGAGGGCAGAGTTGACACCGCCATGGAATCCATAGCTAACAATGACCGCTGGCTTGGAATTCCAATCCGGATAGACATAGTCAATAGCATTCTTTAGAGATGCTGGCATACCGGCATTGTACTCTGGAGTAACAAATACAAACGAATCGAATTTCTTTACAGTGTTGTACCAATGTCTACCTTCTTCAGTCGAGTAGTTACCTTTCAATGCCATTGGTGCTACGTCTAAAGATAAAGATTTTGTATTTTTTTAGTTTTTATTGATATTTATATATTTGTGAACATTTATATATACCTTCATTAAAGAATGGAAGATTAAACTTTTTTAGATCTAAAATCTCTGCATTAAGATTCTTCTTAACACCTGATTTTTCGAAAAACCAATGGGCTACCTTATCTCCTACACGGTTATCTCTAATAGAACCTATAATCACTCCAACTGACTTCATATTGATTTGTTAATTTATTATTATTAATTTATTATTATTAACTTATTGTTATTATTATTGTTTTTTATAATTAATATTATATCAAAATGTATTATTTTTAGATATTAATCTTAAATGTATAATGATATTAGTTTTCATGTTTTTTCATATTTATAAAATAATAATTAAATCTAGAAATTGAATCTTGAATTTACTTCCCATTCCTTGGTTCCAGAAATGTTGTTGTTATCAAAAAAGACGATTTTTTTTTTTTTTTGAATATCTTTCTTTATTTTTATAATATTTATTTATTTACAATTTTACACAAAACAGTGTAAAGTTTAATTTAAGACGAAAGTTCATTTCTTGTGTTTATAAATTGGTCTATGGTGTCTTTATACCAAGTTAAATGATGATACTGATCAAAGAAGCTTGAGCAACTGTACAACAGATACTTTAGTCTGTCTGGGTCGTTCTCGGAATGAGCCTGGCTGATCATAGCTATTCCTTCTTCTAGAGGATTACGAATCTCTCTGTACAGCTTGATCAAATCCTCTATATTATTGGTTTGTTTTAAATAACCAACATAATACTCTAAACTATCATAATGTCCTCTTAATTGATTTATAAACAACTTCCAATTCAATGTTGTCTAAAATATGTATAAAATTTAGTGTTAATATAATAAAATCATCATTTTTGTATGTATTATTATTATTATTATTAATTTATTATTATTATTATTAGAACATACTTTTAAAAACATAATTACTTTAAATAGAACATCTTCATTAAATTCCTCTTGATACAATTGTGTGGCATAGTTTAATAGCTGTTCTTTGTCTTGAATCGATCTGATCGAATCAATTCCTGTTGGTGTAACATTGTTTTTAATTTTATCTATAATCGATTCGATAGAGTTGTCTTTGTGATAGCTTAGCTCTTTACATAACTCATCGACACGCTTATCGAGAGTGTTGGTTATCTCTATTAGTGACTCATTCTCCTTAAGTACCTTTTGATAGTTGTCGTTCAACCTTTGATTCTCAGTGGTAAGTAAACCTAATTTAGATTCACTCCTATCAGCAATTTCACCAAGATCTCTAATAATATCTTTTTGAATAATAATTTCATCTAGTTCATTTTTATTATTATTATTATTACATCTTGCTACTATATCATTATTATTATTATTATTTTTATCATCGGATTGTTGTTGTTGTTTCTTAGGAGACAATTTATCAAATATTAATAGATTTAGAAATGAACTTCTTGCATTGTTATTGTTAGTTGTATTGATATTACTGCCATTGTTATTGCTATTATTATTACTGATATCATTATTATTCTGTGGTTGATCGATCAAAGACTTGTCTCTACTACTATTACTTCCATTATTGGTAATAGCATCATCGATTGTTTTGTTATTTGTAGAATTCTCTAATGTATTCATGTGTTATATATAACATATAATTCAACACAATTCAATTTAATACATTATCCCAATTCAAATTAATCAGGTCTGTTATTACCGTAATAAAATCAAAAAAAAAAAAATCATTCACACCATTATTTTATTTGAATGATCAACACAATTTAATATTATTTTATATTTTATTTTTTTTATTTTTTATTTTTGTATGAATGTTTGTAGTATTCAACTTCGAGTAAATTGTTCCCATTTTTTCTATTTATATTAAACTGTTTGGTTGGTTCAATTGTTAAATTTTTGGGGAATGTTATAATGGTTTCTAAATTTAAATCAAATCAATATTACTAGTACAATGAAAATTAGTGGTGATGTGATAAAAATTATACTAATATTGATGTATAAAATAATATATATTATAGTAGAGGGGTGATGGTAATTCAATTTCGAATATTATTATTACTTTTACAATATTAATTTCCTTCTTTATAGTTTCGTACAATCCACCACTTTAAGTTAAGATCATTCCATTGTTGTTTATCCAATCAATATATTTGTAGATTATGGAACTCAGATTTTAGTAAGTTAAATAGTTTTTCAGATAAAGAATTGTTAGATAGGTCGGAGTTACCAATAAAGAGTATATTGAATTGATCTTTCAAAATATCTAATTTTTGAATAGAAATGGGATGAACCAAATTTCTCTATTTAAATAGAATTTCAAATTTCCAAATCTATTCAAATCAAAAGCATCTCAATTCAAAATATAAAACTTACCTTCAAAACTATTACTATAAAATGTTATTTAGTAAGTTTTCCTCAAAAAAAAAAACCTACCTTTTCATTTTATACTAATTATTTCTTATTCAAGAGAATTTAATGTCACTTGGAAGTGTATCTGTTAGTTCAGTAAGTAGTTCCTCAGTTGGTGGATCTTCAAACATGAGTGGATCACAGTCTGATAATGATATCACAGGTAGAGGTTGTCATTCTAGAAGAGGTTGCCATTCCGGTGGTGGAAACAATGGATGTACTAGACCAAGACCATGTCCCCAACAACCATCAAGTTGTTGCCCAAGCGGTGGTTGTTAGAAAAAGTAGTTTTACCAATCAATTTCAAATTTCTCTATTGTAAATATATTATTTATATTTAATTTATCAAAATTATTTAAATAAAATTTATTTAATTATTTAATATTTATACAAAATATATTAAAGATTTTTTTTTTTTTTTTTTTTTTGTTTAAATATTTGGACTCATTACAAGTGATCCAATTGAAATTCCAGGATTGATTTTGTGGGCATTCTCCCAAAGTTTTCGTTGTAAAAACTCTGGTCCACCGAATTCATGATCCAAAATCGGATAGTGACGGACGTATGCCGATGGATATTGGACACCGGCCTCTATTGCATTTCCAAGGTTTTGATGGTAGATAATATCCTTGAGCGATGTTTCACCATCTTTGTTGTAGAGTATCGCCTGAGATTCGTCGTCCCATGCCTTCCAATGGATCCAGGCATGTCTGAAAACCGCCTGATAGATGATAAAGACACAACAGTCTCTGAGTTCTTCCATTGTCTCAATGGAGTTAGCCTTTGGATCTTCGTTGAGTTGATGATCGACCAGATCTTTCGATACGGCAACAATCTCACTCCAATGTTGGTTGATTTCCACTTTGTTGTGCGAGATAAAGTCATCGACGTATTCACCGATCAACTTCCATGCTGCTAGGTCCGCTTCGTCATAGGTGTTATTCTTGATGTTCGATGGAAGTGGGTTTGGTTTCCAACGGTAAGTCATATGCTTAAACTTCTCGGTGAGCATTTGTACCTGACCTTCATAGGTGAGCGCAGCAGCCAAAGTTACAACACCATTATACATTGGTCTGACAACCAACCAATTATTAAAGATAACTCCATCAAAGTGAGGGTAGAGTAACTTTTTAATTGGATTTCTAATTATATTTCTATAGAATGCCATATTATACATTTCAACTATAAAATGTACTCCAACATGTGCCCAACTATATATAGTACAAAGTTATTAGAATAATGAAATCTGAGAATAATATGTTTCTAGTAGAAACTTACGTAATATTATAATTGAACTCAATCATCATGTATTTGATTTTGAATTCATTCCACTCTGGACTTCCATCGGCAAGTTGTGTTATAACTGGTCCATCTGGTTTCATTTGATATTGTACATTGACTATAACCAATTGGTCATCGACTAATTTGAAATTACAACATGTATTATCTGGTAGCCAAACATCCTTTCTGATTTCGTATCCAGAAAAACTGAGTCTCATTTCATAGTCCCATTCTTTTCCTTCTACCTTCTTGAAAAAGTTATAAGGACGGTTGCATCCATTCAATCTTCTGTAAACAAAGAATTCATCTGAAGTAGCAAAATCAGATCTCGTATATACATTGGGTGGTAACATATCCCATGCATGTTTTTCTCCACGTAACATCCAATAAATCTATTTATTTTAAAATATATTAATAAAAAAAATTAAAATAATAATATTAACATAGTAACTTACAATTACAAAAGCAACAATCATTTCATTGAACTCATCATGTTCAACAAAACCTGGACTCGGCATTGCCAGAGCAGGAATCTTTGTATCTGGATCAAATACTGGTAGTCTCTTCCAATATTTAATTCCGAAATGTGGAATTGGTTCCAAACTGATTTGGAAATCAATTTTACCCAACTCGAAATCATTGATGTCGTTCAATGTTCTAGAAACTTCAAATTGTAATTTTTCCATTCCATTACCTACTAAACCAGATTGTACCTATAATTATATTTATTTTTTTAAATATAATAATTGTTAAAATATTTCTTTTCTTTTCTTTCTTATTATTATTAATATTTACATTATAGACAATAGAGGAGAAACTTCTCAAAGTATTACAAAGTAAATTTGGTGCGTTGTCATTGATTAATTTAATTTCAATATTAAAACCATTTCTACCAATCTCTTCAAGTGAACTATAAATCAATTATTATCTAATTAATAAGTATTCGCTATAATTATTATTCTGGATAGTTTGAATATTTACAATGATAAAGCAGGATCCTCTTCATAAAAAGATTCGAAACCTTTCAATCTTGATTCAGTTGTTTGTGGTAATGTTTTAGATCCCTCTACATTAATCCATAGATGATAATTGGTTGGAGTTTTCAATATAACTTTTATAACTAAGTTTTAAGAGTAGATTTTAACTTGAAGTTAGTAAAAAAATAATAAAATAATAAACAATCTAAGGAATGTATTTTTTTAGATTACAAACTTTTGATTGTGCATGTTATTGGAACAACATTTATATTCTTTCCATAGACATGATTATATTTATCGATTATCTCTTTTCTAGTGTGCGCTCTAGCCTTACGATCATTATGTGAAATCAATCCTTTCAATAGTTTTTGAGTGATTGTATCAACTTTGTTTGGTTCCATATCTTAATAATAGCAACTATAGTTTTATATCTAAAAATAATCTAAAACATAAGTTTTGCAATGGTTATTGTTAATAAATATTATTATTAAGTATTTCTTTTGTGTTAATTAAAATTGAGTGGTTGCTGTACAATTTAATTTAATTTAATTATTTTTTTGACTGAAGCTGAATGGTTTATTGGGGGAGGGTTATATTATTTACTTTTTTGGTATGCATAAAAAATTTAACCAGAAGGGGTGCAAACAAGTGTAAGCACCTTCAATCAATCAAAAATATAATTTAGCAATAATCTTTATTTTTGTTGTGCATACTAAACTAACTAAACTAAAAGATACCTTTATTATTGTTGTTGTTGTGCAAAAAAGTGTTGATATTTTTTTTTTTGTTGCCTATACTGTTGTTGTGCAATGTGATCATTTATGTGATTGTTGATTGCTTGTTTGTTTATAAATAGCGCTATAGTACTAACTTTTAAAAGAATTTGTGAAAAGGTTTCTTTGCCGGTACTTTTACATTATCGATTGCTTTCAATTTGATTTCGTCTTCTATGTTCTGATAGTTTGGTGTTGGTACATCTACTATCTGTTTTACATAGTGAAGTACCTCTTCTGCCGTACATATATAATCTTCACCACAATACACTCTGAACAATTCAAATATATATTCTTCTGCCTTTGCTCTTTTATCTTCTTTTACTTTAACCGTTTGAGAATATTGTTTTGCTATATTTATTAATATATGATCAAAAAAGTTAGTTAGATCTTTTTATTTGGTTGTTATTCGTCAAATTTCATTTTTGTTTGTTGTTGTTGTTGTTGTTGCTACACCTACCTTCTTTTGAAAATTTAACATGAAACTCTGCTTGCTGTGGAGTAAAGCTTCCATTCAGTAATGAAGTGACCAAGTAGTTTGATGAAGCAGGATCGCCTAGTCTGCCAGTCATCACAGTATATAATTCGTTGACATAGTCTCTAGCTGTGTCTGTATTCAAGCCTTGTTTCAGTATCTCTTTATCAAATTGTTTTGTTTCATAGTTGTAGTATTTAAAATTATTTCCATCTGACTTATTGCTACTACCACCACTATTTGTATTTTGTTTATTTGTTGTTGGCAGTTGTGATTGTTGTGTTGGTTGTTGTTGACCTTTTTGTTTAATATGTTCAGGGGATGTGTGTTTCAATTGGTAGGTTGTTGGGAATTTCTCTGCTAATGATTCAATATATAGTGGTGTACTCTCCAAATTAAGTTTGCCCGTCGCAACGAATCCATAGACTGTATCTATATGTTGTGGTACACCTTCTTTCTCATAGTAATATAAAAATAACTTTCTAATATAGTCTTTGACTAAATATGAATATAATTCATGTTAATATTGATTATTATATTCGAATGTTTAATAATATATATATTAATCAAAGTGCAAAACACAAACCTTGAAGTTCATTCATTTTAATTTATAATTATTTACAAAAAAAAACTAAAAAATATATACAAAAAAATAAATAATATGAAAAAAATACAAATAAATAATGTGACAGATAATAAATAATTAATTAAAAATATCGATATTGATAGTTTATTAAAAAAAAAAAAGAAATAAATAAAGCTTTTAAATATCGTGCAGTAGTCGTGTGAATAAAAGAATCAAAAAAATTAAATAAATTGTTTATCTGAAAACTAAGAAATTTTTTTTTTTTGCAAATATTATTTATTATTAATAATTTTTATTATTATTTATTTATTTATATATTATTCGAATGCAGGTATCGGTTGGTGTGACGATTTCTTCTTTTTCTTTAAAGATGAAAAACCTATCTTCATACTATTAAATGCCTCGCTTAATGTGCTACTACTATTGTTATTGGTATTATTATTGTTATTGTTGTTAAAAGTATCGTTCAAGTTTGAAGAGGAAGTCGAAAATGCTGTAGACGATGATAGTGATGATGATGATGATGATAGTGATGTATTGTTATTATTATTATTATTATTATTATTATTTGAAGATGTAGTACTAATTGAAGATTGTGATGAACTTAGTGCATTTTGAAGATTTTGTAGTGATGCATATGGTGAGGTCGAGGAGGATTTCGTGAATTTTATGATGGAGGAGAATTGAATGATTTCGGCGGCTTGTTCGTTGTTGTCCACCCAGATTTGAATGGCGTTCGATACATCCTGACTGCCTCTGCTCTTGAGTTTCTGGCAGATCTCTTTACAGCCTTGAATCTGGCAGTTCAGAATTCTGTGGATATCTTCGCGCTCATCGGTGTTAGCAAAGAGTAGATCGATTTGCAATGCTATCACGGTTGGGTTGTTGGTATCGTATGACGTCAAACGGATACTGTTGAGACAATTGCTGCTGGCGCTGTGTTCCAAAGATAGCGAGCTGAATGGCAGACTCATTGAGAAGTAAAGTCTACTGGAAAGTCGTTTCGTTCTTGCAATCAGAAGCGTATCGTTGAAGATATAGAGATGTCGGTGGTCCGATTGATCTTTTAGCAGCGACTTGTCGACTCGCACTGGACAATCTTTGATATACTTTCTCGATGCTTCGACAATGGTGAATGGCACTCCCTCCAGTGTGTTTTGTAGTTTGATTAGCTTCTCATTGGTTTCGTCAATCTTTTGGAATTCATTAATGAACTCTGCCACCTCTGACAGTTTGACATGGATGTCCTTGAGATCCAGGTAATCTTGGTCATCTGGTGAAGTATATTTTAATATTTCATTAAAGAATAATGGATATTTACTAAATATTTAGTTTAAATATAATTAGAACAATAAGAATAATCGGAGAAACCAATTTTAAATAATTAATATTACTAACTTACCATATTCTTTGAATTGGTTTAATTAGATAGTCTTGTAATCTCAAACCTCTGGATTGTGGAAGTGCCGAAACATCACTTATGAATTGAGAGAAACTACTGTTTGACTTTGAAAGATCTTCAATTGCAAGTAATGCTTTCGAGTGATTCTTACAATATTGTGAATACATTTTTAAGAATGCATGCTATCAAGTAATTTCTATTAATATAAAAATTAATTAATATCTATTTTTATATTATACTTACTAATTTCTTAAAAATCTTAATAGTGTTACTTAAATTTATATCATTTCCAGCACCTTTCAAATCAGTGATAAGTGTGAAACTAATATTTCTAATGATTTCAATGTTGGAGAAAATTGATTCAATGGCTGTCTTGGAGTATTTCTTCTTTTTCAGCGGAACCATTATATCTTGGATTACATAATCTAGATCACGAAGATAATCCTCCTCTGTGGTGAGTAGTTCATTCAAAGAAGCCAGGGCATTCATTTCCATTTGTTGAAGTGTCAGCGAGTTCTTTTTCGAGTCATTACCCATCGGTGTTGTAGGTACACTGCTACCAACACTATCCAACTCGGAAGTATCTGGAAAAGTGTCATCCTCTGTACTGTATTCTGAATCGATAGAACTCGATGACGTATTGTTGTCTATATAAACTGAATCTGAAACTATTTCACTTTCAAATTTGATTGGTTGGAGTTTATGTTCATGTTGGTAGTTGTGGTTATTCTCGATACTCGATGTCTGTGGATTGATATCTAGTGTTGTTTGTGGACTGTTTGATCTTGGTGGAACTGGTGGTTTCCTTGATTTTAATATTTTCTTGTTTGGAGTGAGTGGTGCGGCTGGAGGAGATGTGGCAGTCATCATTGTCAAACTTGGCAGGGAGGTAGAGTTTCTAATCGTAAGGTTCTTTCTACTATTTACTTTTCTCTTGGAGGGCAGCCTTTTCAATTTAATTCGATCTAAATTTAAATTGGTTTTCATCGAACTGTTTTCTTTATCCTTGAATATTTTAATTTTGTCGGCTATATCCAAGGTTTCGATTTGTGGTTCGGTTACCAATTCATTTTTGACCTCTGAGGATAAACAAGTTTGTTTGGCACTTGTCAGGGTTGGAGAAGTGTGGGTAGAGCTGCAGCATGATTTATTCTTATATTTATGATTCTTTTCAAGTTCTCCAAAATCAAAAACTACACTTTTTGATTTTGGTAACACTGTTTTATTATTACTATTATTATTATTATTATTATTTGAACTTGATACTTCTTTTGTTGAAGTTTTAGATTCCTTTGATGATCTAAACACAGATGCTGATTTTGATTTTACTGAGCTATTTTTTTCATTTCTCTTAAATGTTAATCCTCTAATAATTTGGAATTGAAAATCTCTTTTATTTTTTAAATTCCTTGTTGATATTTCAGTCTCCATGGATTTGAAAACTATTATAAAAAAAATAAACAAATCTAAACAATAAATTATTAATATTGATTGATGGTGATTACTAAATATTTATTATTATTAATTATTGTGATAAATTAATTTTTAATTTCTATCTAAACATTAATTTATTGTAGAGAGTACAAAATACAAATAAACATTTATAATAATTTTAACATTAATAAAATTTATTCAAATATTATTTATAAAAATAAAAACCAAAATAAGAGATAGATAGTAAAAACAGTTTGAGTGGATTCAAATAACTAACGAAATCTATTAGTTAGATAGATAGGTTGACAGTAGATTGATAGATAGTAAAATTAAAGTTGACATGAGTGACATGTGAGATGAAAAATTAAAAATCACACTCCTTGTTGTTAGTTATTGATTGATGGTGAGTTATCTATCTCTATTGATGACGATAAATAAATAAAAATCAAATTTAGTGGTTTAGATAATTATCTATTGGTGTTGATGAGAAGTGTATGTTGTGGTGTGTGGTTTTATCTATTATTTCAGTGTGGGTGATATCATATATTGTTTTTTGATCACCAATATAAAATTGGATTGCCATGTGATTAAAATATATCTTTTTTTATTTTGAAAGAATGAAAATTATCTCACTTATTGAAGAAAACAAATAAACAAACGAAACAATTAGCAATTCATTTTTTTTCGTTCACTTATCTATCTTGTGTTAGAATTTCTATATAACTTTTTATTCTGGTGAAAAGTGAAAGTGAATCTTGGGAAATAATAGAAAGAAATGTGAGGTGTTTCAGTGATGATGTCTCTTTTTTAATAAAAGGTGTATTGTCCGGATTTAACATAATGTTATAACTATTTCTTTCATTAATTTGAAGATATGAATATAAACCATGGTGAAATATTAATTTAAGTATGAGATATAGATACTAATAACATATCTCAATTTAATAGAGTATGCGCATATCTTATACGATTATCGTTTGGATGATATGATAGATGATGAATTATAAGAAATAAATAATATCAATTCCAAAACAAATTAATATATTTAAATACTCATGAGGTCTATCTTGAAATGGAAATAAATAGTATAGTTTTGTATCTGATAAATTTTATTCCTAAATTTAAACTATATTTACCAATATTTATTACAGTTGACTCACTTTATTATTAATTGGTTTATTCTATAAAAAATAATAAAACATGAAAGACTTTGCCTATGATAAAAATTATTTTATTAAAAAATAAATAAATTAAATTATGAGTAATGAGTATCTTAAAATTGATTATATTTAGAAACAATGATTGATTAATGAATTAATTTTTTTTTTGATGATGAAATTAATATATTTCGGTAATTTGATTCCACATCACAACGAATATGTTAAACTGCTATGTATTTGGTAGTTGAAGGTATTCGGTGACCTTTCCTTTGTGGAAAAGCACTTCTCTTTTTGGTGTACTTCCGTAAGACCATCTTATCTTTTATTAAGCTGGTACACACAATGTGATAAAAATACTCTTGTTATTGTGTATGATAATGGAATAAAGTTATTCTGATTCCAACTCTTTGAGTTGAATATTTTAAAACACACAACAACAATAACAACAACATCATCAAACATTGACAACTCAAATATCAAACATCAAACAAGGCAATAGCATCTAATCAAAACAATTTAAAATTGTATATTATTACTATTTATTATTCTTTAGGGAGTGAAAAACTATATGGTTTAAAGATGTGTTGATATGATTGTATGATAATATGAAATCAATATTTGTATTTAGTGAAGTGAACACCACCACTACCACCATCAACACACCACAATTGTGTTTGAATTTTATTTACTTTCCTAAAGTGGAGTTTAGTAGTTTTTTTATAAAAATAACTGCCAATACTGATGAATTTTTGATTGACAGTGGTGACACACATTCTAAACATTCACACTCAATGATGTTGATTTATTTGAATTAATAATATTATATTTTTTTGTTATTGATAACCCAAAATTTTAAACCATTAAATATTTTTATTTATTATATCTTTTTTTGAATTTATTATCTTAAGATGAATATCCCTTTTTTAGATTATTTCAATTTATTTTATGTTCTATTGATATTCATCAATTTCATACTTGGAATTAAAAATTAATTATTTCAATGATATCATGAGATGATTTGATTTATAATAATATAGAAGTTCAGTATGATCGTAAATTAAATATTGTTTGGATGTGTTCCCAGAAATGGAAATATGAATGAAAACAAGGACAGAGATTTGACAACTTTTTTATTTCTAACATCTCAATAAGACACCTAACAAAGTGAAATCTAAATATAACAAATCTCCATTAACTATCATCCAATAGGACAACAATTATTTTGATATTTTACAAATTGTAGAATAATACAAAAGATAAAGTAAAATCTCTAATTCTACAAATTTTTCTATTAAACAGAATTTAAAATAAAAAAAGATGTACTTGTTGTGTTATATCTGATCAAAGAAGTAAAAGAATAGCATTTTATTGTTATTCTTTATTCTTCATATAAATAGACTCTAACTCATCTATTATAAGGGAATTACTTTTAGATGAATTTCTTTTCTTTAATAAATCTATTGCCAACTCTGGTTTGTTTGCCGATATATAGCTATAATAATTGTAAAGGTATGTATTTAATTAGTTATCAATCATTGTTATTATTATTATTGTTTAGTTGTTATTATTATAAAAAAAAACATACCATTTAACACTTTGTATTATGTTTGATTCTTCACTTTGTTGTCCCCATTCCAAATAAAGACTTTGAATGATTTCGTGTTGCATTGGAAGTCGTTGTTTGGCAAGCAAAATTGCTTCTTGTATGTATCCAGATTTACGATAGACTTCAATGGCATCGAATACACGGTTGATTGCAAGCAGATAAGATACTGCCATGTGATAATCACCTTCTATGATGAGTTGTTTCGAGTAGAGCTCGCACATCGACTGGTAGACATCACGTCCGCACTGTGCAGAGAGTGCAACGTAATGAGCATTGAGCTGACCTTGCTTGACAATGCGTTGCAGTGCCGATTTCAAATTGCCCGACCACATGTTCAGCGACACAAAGTGATCGAGTTCCTTCTCTGTCAAGTGTTCTGACATCTCCTGTTGCAAAAACTGCTGAATCACATGATTATCCAATGAGTATATACTATCATTAATATTACCAGCTGGCTCAACTCCACTCTTAGCATTTGAATCTTCCGCAAGCAGAGGTTGACCATTATCGTTCATTGATTTTATAGTCTTTGCCAAATTGATTATCGATTGTTCATCTTTACTGCTGGTTGTTGATTTATAAAGTAATGGAAGGATTACTTTTGATTTTTTCTGTTGTAAATTGTTGTTTTTAACTGCAGTTGAAGGTGTGGAAACAGAAGGTGTTTGGATTTGTGTTGTTGTTGTTGATGGTGGATTTGTAATGTTTGTTGATTGTTCTGTCGATAATGTTGATTTGTTATCAGTATTATTATCATCATTTGTAGCTATCTGACTGTCTGTATTTGAGGGTGTTGGTGTAGTTGTCTCTGTAATTGGCTTTAGTAGTTTATCTTTTTTTACCAGTTTCTCAGTGGGTGGTATTTTGAATGGTTGTTGTGTGTAATCCCACATTCTAACGGTTTGATCCTCACCACCTGTGAATACAACATCTCTGTAGATATGACTCCAATGCACGGTCAGAACTCTGCCATCATGACCACGAATATTGGCAATTGGTTGCATCGTTTCGATGTTCCAAACCTGTGCAGTGCAATCAGCAGAGCAACTAACCAATAGGTTCTCATCGTGTGGCGACCAACTAATACCAAACACAGCTGCTCTATGATTCTTAAAGCATCCAACCAATTCTATTTGAAAAATTGTTGTTGGTATTGTTGTAGTTGTAGTTGTAGTATCTTTGATATCATCATTTGTTGTTGTTGTTGTTGTTTGTTGCTGATAACTTCTAATCAGTCGGAATATACCAATGGTTTTATCAAGTGATGCAGTTGCAAAGTAATCGGATTTCGATGGATGTGGATTCCATCTGATTCTATTGATGAGTTGCTTATGATGCTTCATTGTTGTGAGTAACTTGAATTTCGAATCGTAGAGTTCAAGCTGTCCGGTCTGAGTGGAAACAATCACCAGCTCTGCATTGGCATTCCAACAGAATTCACTCTTGGCACCAGCTGATCTAGATTGATCTTTAATACCATTCTCGAACCTAATTACGTCATTGATATTCTTGAAAGGTTGGTCTATCTTTTCCGGATTCCATTCAAAGATCTCACCATTTCCCAAACTATATATTCTATAATTAGAACTACTACTATTACTATTACCACTTTCATTCATTGATCTCCACTGAATTTCATAAATCTCCTTCTTATGAGCACCTGGGAAGAAACTTGAAGTGTTTCTTTCGGTGTCATAGATTCCGACACGTCCATCATCCAAACCAAAAGCAAGTTGCGATGTCTTTACTGGATGTATATCGATTGCTGTGATTTTAGATTGTATTCCTTTCCAATAACTTTTAGTTTCATATACATCTGTTATACTATTATTAATGTTGTTGTTGTTGTTGTTAGTCTCACTGATATCATCTAAATCCGGTGACCATTGTCTAATGATGTTGTCACCACAGCCAATAACCAATGTCTTTGGACTGTAACAGCTAGAGGTGATGCAATATACGAATCCACCAAGTGCAGTGATCTTCCATTTCACTTTGTTGTTCGGTTCCCAGTAGATCATGTTGCGATCCATCGATGTGGTGATCAATGGCGGGTGTCTGACAGCGGTGTTGATTGAAATCTCGTTACCTTCAAAAGGACAAGCAGTGATATTGAAGATCGTACGTTGGTGATGACTACCTGGGAATCGCTCTCCCAATGGTTTCGGAAGCGTAAGATTCCAAACCAGTAAATCGGCACCGAGCGAGCTTGTCACCAAGTAGTTTGGTGTCTCTGGACTCCAACATAGTGTCAACCAAACTCTGTTCTTATCAGCTGTGTTACCGGACTGTTTCGAAGCATTACTAGTTGCTGCTGAAGACTTGTTGCCTGAAGGATTCAAGTTGTGTAACACCGAGAATCCACTATCCAGCGATTCATGACTTGCCTGTTTCCACACCTTAATAGTCTTGTCTTTAGATGAACTAACAAAAGATAACAACGCTTGATGATCTGCTGATTGTTGCTGCTGCTGTTGTTGTTGTTGTTGTAACTTTATCCAAACTATAGATTGTATTTCATCGGAATGAGCATTTAGCTTACATTTGACCGATTGTGTTATAAAGTCATAGAGTAGTAACCAATCCATTTTGATAGCCAATCGATATCAGGTTTGGATAGCTGTTTTGATTGCAGAATGCAAGTGAGGTTATAGGTGACTGGCTCGATGTCTTTAGGAGTGGAGTGATCAGCTTGACATCGTTCGACCGCCACAATACGATACGACCGTCTTTGTCAGCAGAGATGATCTGCTCTGCGTCGAACGGCGATGAAATCACAGCGGTCACCTCATTCTTGTGCACACTATGATAGGCAACACACTCTAGACTATCGATATTCCACAGTCGTACTGTCTTGTCAATCGATACCGATATACAATGATTCTGTTTCAACTTATGAAAGCACACACCCAATATCCTATCTGTATGACCAACTAATTTACCTATAAACTGTCTAATTAATAATAATAATAATAATAATAATCACATTTTTATATTAGTATAATGATGATGATCATGATCATGATGATCATAACATTTTATTCTTATATTTTTTGTAAGATACTTTACTTTTTATTGATGTCAAAAAGAAAGAGTGTACATTTCGATGCATAGATATAGATACCACTAATATTACAGTCGGATATCTGCGAACAATACCAATTCGATGATGATGGTAGAATATATAAATGACTTTTATTTATATCAAAATTCTTATCATTATTAATATTATCATAAATATTGTTATCATCAACAATATTTGTTGTGGTTGTAGATGTGGTGGGTGTATCAGTTGTTACATTAATACTATCATTATTATTATTATCATTATTATTATTGTTGGTACCAGTAGTCGTTGTTGTATCAGTTGTAAGATTATTACTTTCAACTTTTATTTCAGTATTTGAAACTGATGGCAATTGTAGTTCTATATTGTTAATGGTATCATTATTCTTGTTATTCTCTTTATGATTATCACCCATTTAAAATGCTGTTTATTTTTATTTCCTTTTTTTATTTTTAATTTCAGCTATGCATCTCGAGATCGTCCAATTTTTTATATAATTGAGGATAAATTAACAGTAACAGTTTAATTTTTTGTGTTGACATAAAAGATAATACTTTTTTTTTTTTTTTTTTTTTTTTAAACAACTTGTTATTATTAAATGATATACACTAATATATTTATAATTACTATTCTTATTAAAAAAAAAACTAAAAACATTTAAAAAAACTAAAATAAATGAATAATTTTGTTTCTATTTGTAAAATTTGTTCCTCTTCTATTGAAAATGGACAAGATAGATATGTTTGTACAGAATGTCATAATTTGGTAATCTGTTCTGATTGTTATCCAAAATCCCACCAAATTGAAGATTTACACACTGACTCGGCCCCAATTCCTCATCATTGTACTTTAGAAACAAGTAATATTATAAAACAAAAATATTGAAATTAATTTTTATTATTTTAATTAATAATTTTTTTAAATAATTATTTAGAATCAAACTATGATCATTTCATTTCAAATAAAGTTTCTGAAGATTCAAGTCAATCTTTATAGTAAGTAAAAATTATACCAATTTTGCTGAATCAATTTTATTAATATACTTTATTTTGTTAAAATTTTAAGTAATGCATTCAATTCTTTTTCTCATCGTCCTTGTATTGGGGTAAATAATTCAGAAGTTACCTCTAATATAAAATGGATTAGTTACGGAGATGTACTTTCCAAATCCATTAAATTTGGAAACTCTCTAAGTCACATACTTCCTTATGTAAATATAAAAAAAGAAAAATTCTAAAAAATGATATTTACTTAAATTTTTTATAGTGTTCAAAAGTTGGAGTTTATCTTCCAAATATTCCGGAATGGTATTATGCTGATTTAGGATGTCTATGGTTTGGAATGACAATAGTCCCTTTCCACTTTCAAATAAGTAATATTTATTAGTTTATTTCAACAAACAATACTAAATAATTATTAACTTACTTTAAAAATAGACAAAGAGAATTTAAATTTCATTCTAGAGAATTCTGGAACCTCAGCAATAGTAGTAAATAGTGAATCATTCAAAAATATTGCCAATATCTTAGAGTCAAACCATCAATTCCAATTAAAATTGATCATTCATGTTGAGGATCAATATGATGTTGAAATTAAAAACAAATTACCCAGTAATGTAGAATTCAAATTGTTTTCAGAAATGGAATCTACTAAAGAGACTTTTTTAGAACCAATTAAAAATCACAATAGAGACATTCTTTCAATAAGTAAATTTTATTCTTATTTTTTATTTTTTATAAAAATTTATCTAATACATTAATATTTTTAAAATAGATTATACAAGTGGTACCACTTCAGGTGTTCCAAAAGGTGTTATCAACAAAAATAATGATTTTATGGAATACTTAGGTGAACTATATTTACCTTATCCAATGGTAAAAGTTAGTTTTGCTAGTTTAGGTAAGCTGTTTAAATACTAATAATTAATTTTTTCCAAAAATTCTAATTTATTTTTTAATCTCTTTTTTTTAGCTCATATTCAAAGAAAAATAGACTATCGTGTTTTCTTTACTGGAGGAAGAATTGGTTTATATTCTGGTGATAAAAATAAAATATTTGATTTTATTTCATTACTTAGACCACACAACATTCCGGCAGCACCAAGGTAACTTCTATTTATTTTTTTGCTTCCTTTTTTTTTTAAAAATATCTAATTTTTTATTTTTTTTTTTTCTAAAGAGTTTGGAATATATTATATTCAAACTATGTAACTAGTTTACAAACATATATTGAAGATCATCTTGATCTTTCATTTGAAGAATGTACTTCAAATGTCATGCAAAAGTTCAAGAGCCATCTTGGTGACAGAATCAAGAATATCACTAATGTAGGTGCACCTCTTTCGAGTTCAGTTTTCAACTTTATGAAGACTTGCTGGGGCGAAGATAAGATCTACAACTTCTATGGTTCAACAGAAGTCTCTGCAATAAGCATCAATAACAAGATTCTACCTATGATTCAATACCGAGTGGAGTCTATTCCTTCGTTGGGTTTCACTACAGACGATAAGCCATATCCTCGAGGTCAGCTTGTAGTTACCTCTACAAGAATGAGTGCTGGTTACTACAATAATGAAGAGGATACTAAGAAATCATTCAAAGATGGATGGTACTATACTGGTGATATCGTTGAAGAAATTGCTCCAAATACAATAAGAGTACTTGATAGAATGAATAATTCTTTTAAACTAAGTAATGGTGAATTTGTATGGTAAGTAAATTACTATTTAAACACCTATTTACATTTAAACTAACTTGTTAAACTCTAAAAAGTGCTGAAAAGTTGGAAACTCTTTACTCTAATTCTAAATACATTCAAAACATCTTTGTTTATGGTGATTCAATGAAATCATTTTTGGTTGGAGTTGTCATCCCAACACAGGAGGCACTTAAGAAGGTTGGTAATATCTCTATCAAAGATGCAAATAAGAGTAATCCATTAAAGAAGTTGATATACCAAGATATTGAAAAAATTTCACAAATGAATATGGTTTGTATTCATTAACAACTTAAAAGATGTTTGGTATTTATTTTTTCTAACATTTTTATCATATTTAAAGGGTTTAATTTATGAAATTCCAAAGATTATATCAATTGATAGTACAGAGTGGAGTATTGACAATAATCTTATCAATCCAAATGGAAAATATAATAGAAACAATCTTTTCAATTTCTATGAAGCCTCCATTTCCTCGATGTACCAAATTTTAGAATCTATCCAATCAAAGATTAATACTTGTAATAAGAAGAAAGTCATTGTCAATTACCTACAAACAATTCTCGGATATGATATCAATGACATTGACAACCTTGACCTTTCTTCTATTTCTTTCACAGATATTGGAGGTGACTCTGTTGGTGCTGCTAGATTATCTAATCTATTAAAAGGTAACAACATATCAATAATCAATATACTTTTTATAATATTAACTTTTTTATCAATAGAAAACTTCAATGTAAACCTATCAACACAATCAATTTTGGATAGAAATAATACTTTGGGTAATTTGCTGCTGGAAAAACCAGAGGTTACTCCAGTCAAAGTTAATTGGGAAGAGGAAATGAATTTGGATGAATCTATTCAGGTGAATGGAAAACCAATTATCAAGGATGGCTTCAAGAATGTATTCCTTACTGGTGCTACAGGATACAATGGTTCATTTGTGCTTTACAATCTACTTAAAACACCATCATGCTCCAAAGTGTACTGTCTAACAAGAAGCTCCAAATCAGTGTCAATAGCCAGAGCAAAACTAGTTGATATCTTACGATTCAAGAACATGCTTTCTTTGAAGGAAGAGGAAATCGAAAAGATTCATCCGGTTATTGGAAATTTAGACAGTCCACTGTTTGGGCTTGACATTGATACATTTACCAACCTCTCTAATGAATTGGATATAATCATTCATAACGGTGCCAGTACTCAATTAATGAATCCGTACCTCAATTTGAAGATGGCCAATGTTAAAGGAACTGAAGAAATACTAAGATTGTCAGCTGTCGGAAACCGAGTTATTCCTGTATTCCATATTTCAACCATAGGTGTCTATCATGATTTGGTGATGAAGGAAGGTGTTGAGCCAGACTTACAACGTTTAGATCAGATGTCTGGTTACCCTCAATCGAAATTGGTTGCAGAACAGCTTGTTCAAACAGCTTTCAAAAGAGGTTTACCTGTTTCCATTTGTAGATTGGGTCATATCTACAGTCATTCAGAATCCGGTGTTGACAATGAGAATGACTTCCTACGTCTACTCCTCAGAGGAATCTTGACACTTGGTTACTACCCAGATTTCTCAAAGCAGAGAGCCAATCAACTAACATTGTCACCAGTCGATTGGGTGTCAACTTCCATTGTACATCTAGCTACGAAGAGAAATTGGTCTGCCATCGAAGAGAAAACACCAACCTACCTGTTGACCAATTTTCAATCGATTTCATTCAATGACTTTTTCAAATCGATTTCTAATTATCATCCTTTGGAAATGGTGTCCTACAGTAAATGGATTGAATTGTTATTCGCTAATCCAAACAACCCACTCAATCCAATTATTAAATCATTGACAAGTCAACAAAATGAAACTATCAGCTCTGTAGATCTTCAAAATATTTCACATTTAACAGACCAATCAAGATTCAAAAATGTTGCTCATCTTTCCCATCTAACAGATAATAATGTTACTAATCATACCCACCCAACAGATCAACTACAACTTAGTAACTTTTCACATCTAACTGATCACATCAGCAATCTCTCACATTTAACACATCTTACTGATGAATCAAGAGTGTCTAAACTTGCACATCTTACGGATTCAACAACTATCAGTAACTTATCACACCTTACACATCTTACTGATGAATCAAGGGTGTCTAAACTTGCACATCTTACTGATCCAACAACCATCAGCAACTTATCACACCTTACACATCTTACTGATGAATCTAGAGTGTCTAAACTTGCACATCTTACTGATGAATCAAGAATGTCTAAACTTGCACATCTTACTGATCCAACAACCATCAGTAACTTATCACACCTTACACATCTTACTGATGAATCAAGATTAACAAATCTTGTCCATCTTACAGATCCAACAAACATCAGTAACTTATCACACCTTACGCATCTTACAGATCCAATAACCATCAGTAATCTATCACACCTAACACATCTTACTGATGAATCAAAGATCAGTAATCTTACCCATTTAATATACAAGTTAGAAACCTCACTGACAAAGCAATGATCAACTTTGCGCACCTAAATAATCTCACAGATCATCAGCTTGTCAACTTAGCACATCTTTCACACTTAACAGACAGAGATAATCTTGGAAACTTGCATCTCGCTCATCTTACTGATGTTGTACAAATTAATTCCTTTATAGGTCTAACAGATATTTACAAGAATCCTAAAACAATCCAAACATTGATACAATGCGGTGGATTAGTATGCCCATCAATATCTGATCAAATCATTCACAGACATATTCTACATATCAAATCTTTTGAATCTATTATTGTTTAAAGAAAAATAAAAATAAAAATAATTAATATTTAAAATGTTATTAAATTTTTAATTTTAAGAAAATTGAATCCATTGCGAAAGAAATGATTGAAGTACCAATTGAGAGCTTTAATATTTTTATTTTTATTGAATATATTATCTTTGTGATCAATATAATACTTTAAAGGATTTTTTAATATCTCCCAAATAAATGACAGTACATATAAAAAAATAAAACTAACCAATTGTCTCATAAACAAATAAATTAAATTAAAATTAATAATATTCTTGATTTATTTTTATCCATTGAAAGCATGTTTAACATCACCGGCGTATTCCTTTGATTTATCTGCTACTTTTTCACCCCAACCATCAAAAAAACTTGTAGAAGAATTTGAACTTTGATTAATGAGACCTCCATTGAATGACTGGAAATAAAATACATTTACACTTTGAGTTGAAAAAGATTGTGATAAATTTTTGAATGATCCTAAATAAAATAAATAAATAAAATTAGAATCTAAATTTTAGAACAATGAAAATAATTTAGTATTTACCGATAATTGTCATTTTTTATATTTGATTTGAATTTGTAGGTAATAATGAAATAAAATATTATAAAAACATTTCTATTTATAATGTCGTACAAGTCCAAATTTTGATATTCTTTTCAAGAGAATAAATCATTTAATACTCAATTCAAATAATATTAATAAAGTCTGAAATTAGAAAATCGTTATCAAAATATTAGGAATAGGTAATCACTGATCAAAGATTACAAGTTTGTGAGTAGTTGATTTTATGTAAGGGAAATAGAATAATCAGCTTCCTCAGTGTTATATATTATTTATCTAAATAATATATAAACGGATTTATTTGTATTTTAATTAGGGGTTAAAATAAAAATTATATTTTTATTATAATATTGAATATTTTTAGATGTATATTTAACTAACTGTCTATTAGTTGGAAATTACATCATTTATCTATAGTCTTTTTTGATTTATTATTTAGTTTGATCAATCAGTTAAAAGTTTGTATAAAATGACTCGTCAAAAATATATATTACCAAATTTATTTATTTTTTTTATTCCTGATCAGGATAAAAATAAAAAATAAAAAAATATTATTTATTTATTTATTTTTATTTTATTGTTTCTTTTTAATGGTTAGGTGAGCCAAATCAAATGATGTTCCATCTGGATGTAATTCAAAAATTTGATTCGATTTAATATTTCCTTCTCCGTCACATGGTGCAGCTTGTAGGAATCCATTTGGTGACAAACCAATTACTTTGACGGTTTGATTCTGTTCGGCGAGTGTAACAACTTGGTTGGTGTGCAACCAGACATCCATGAACTCCTGCGCGAACGAAACAAAACCGTGATGTGTGAATTTAATATACATGTTTTCAAATTCATTGAAGAACTTTGCCAAGACTGTTTCACGTGTGTATTGTCCGGGTGCAAGCTGCTCCAATGAGTATGTGGGTTGGTCGTTGGCAACGTTCAAACCGACACCGACAACAACGTCAAACTTTCCATTGAGATGATTCGATTGGCAGAGAATACCTCCGATCTTTTGTTTGTTTGGAGCGTAGATATCGTTTGGCCATTTCAAACGGACTCCCGACTCCTTGCCGATTGCCTTGATCATGGCGAGACCGACCAGATATTGGAGGAAAGGAAGTTTGGTGCCGTCTTCCTGCTTGCATTTGAATGAGAATGTCAGACAGCCTGGTGGCGACGACCAGAGGTTGGAACCTCTACCCTTGGCGTGATTCTGTAGGTCGGCGAGCAACACCAAACCTTGACCGGTAAAAGTGAGTTGTGACATCATAATGGTTTGAGTGGAACTGAGTAATGGCGCATAGAGGAGATGTTGACCAAACAACAGAGTATGCAAACCATCGAAATACTTCTTGGTATCATAAGCAAACTCGCCGTCTGCCACAGTGTTGAATGATTGTTCTTTCTCCAAAACAACAATTAGAGGTGTAGTCGATTCTTCAGCTTTAGAGGCATCCTCTACTGTTAAAACGGTTGGTACCGAATGACCTGGAAACTCTTCATTTGCATAGAGAACCTTTGTATCTTCCAATGATAACTTTTGTTTATGATATAATCTAACGATCTCTGATGTCGATGCTGTTGTTGTTGTTGTTGTAGAACTACTCATATCTCTATAATTCAACTTCAATCGACTAAAGCTATTACTATTTACAATTGAATATCTATTAACTGATTTATAGGTATGAGAAAATAGTGATCTAATCATATATCAGATGTTATTCCTAAAAATAAAAAACAAAAAATAAAAATGAAAATTAGTTTGAACTGATTGATTGATGGTTGTGGTACCATTCTGTCCCGACAATTAAATTTCGTTTTTTTCGGCTTAGCAATAACAATACTCCTAGATATCGGGAATGACGATTTTATAAATAATATATATTAATTTTATTATATTTAATTATATTACAACAAAACTTTTTTTTTATTTTTTTTTTTATTATTTCATTTAATTACTGGTTCGTTGTTTTGATATAGTTGAAAGAATGTCGATAGATAACATCCATTACAAAACTTTTCTGGTGTACAATCATGTATTTGTGAAAGATGGTTTTTAATATCGCTTGGTTCATAGGTTTCTTGACAATTGATGTGTAGACACTTGTGTTTCAGTCTTGATATCTTTGTTGTTGGTGATGAAGGTGATGATATCAGTTTTCTCTTTAATCTAAAGTTGCTATCCATCGAAAATTTATATTCTGTATTATTATTATTATTGTTGTTGTTGTTGTTAATGTCTTCTACCTCCGTACTGTCGTCTGCAGATGATGATTCTTCAGATGACGATGATGATGAAGAACTTGATGACTCGTCGCTCATTGATTCCTCTGAGGAAGACTGATCGCTTGATGACCCATCGGTGGTCGTTAAAACTGGCTTGCTTGCTCTCGGTTTGTTTGTCGTCGATGGAAGAGGTGCTGCTGAAATCTTCAATTGCATTGGTCGAACTTGGGAGGGGTGTGTCGATGCCGACGACTTTGACTGTACCGCGCGAATCTGTGTTGGCGGTTGAACGGTGTGGTTTGATGGTAGTGTTTGGTGGTGGTGTTGTGTCGATGTTTGTGTTGTTGGTTGTTTATTTTTACCGCTGTTGCTATTGCTGTTAATGCTATTGTTGTTGCTGTTGTTCGTTTTGCTTGATGATGATGATGATAATGATGATGAATTGTTCACATTTCTCATCATTGTGTTTTTATATCTGGTCTTGTATCTTCGCAGCGATCCTTTAGTTTGATATCTACAGTTTGGGCAATTGTATATCTTTCCCTGACATTGATGTAGTTTTTTACAATGGTATTTCAAGTTCTTGACTTGACCATGACTAACCCATCCACACTCCTTGTGTAGACAACGCAATATATTCTTATTGAATTTGCAGCCTGGAGGTAGGTGCATCTCAATAAACTTGCTTTCAAAGTCGCTTCCATCGCTGTCTTCTTCATCATCTTCATAATCATCTTCTTCGCTATCATCACTTTCTTCTTCTTCTTCTTCTTTCTCTACTGCTTCTCCTTTTTTAACTATTTCTTTATCTGATGAATCATCTTCACCATTCGAACTATCTGAATCCGAATCAGAGTCAGTGGAAGAGTTTGAATCTGAATCTGAATCCGAATTTGAATCTGAACTATATTTACTATTATTATTACTGTTATTATTATTACTACTACTACTACTACTATTATTTATCACTTTACTCTTGTTATTACTAATATATTTCTTGATGAATAACTTCTCAGCATGACTATCTTTTTGCAAGCCGCACAGTTCGCATTTGAGAGATTTACGACATGGGTCATGCTTGAATGCATTGAGATGCTTTGATACATCTGAGATCCAACGATGACAGCTCTTGTGAGGACATATTATCTTGCCACTGAGCTTGCCATCAGCGGTAAGAGCCTCGATCAACCGCTTGTCTGCAGGGTCGGCAATGATCTGTAATCCCTTGGCTCGTTCATTAGGACAGTTGAAATAGGTACCATCACAATCATGAATAGCCACACAATGCTTTTTAACGCCGGATTTAAATCTCTTATCACAATTACTATGAAGACATTTCTTTTTTGGTTTAACCATTTATTTATATCTCCTCTATCTATCTATCTATTTCTCTTTCTCTTTATCTCTCTCTCTTAATCTCTTTTTCCTCTTTCTCTTTTACTCTCTTTTGGTTTGATCTATCTTAACAATCTTTCTTATCAAACAAATCTAATCTTTGAAAAGATATCATACACATAAATACAAAATTTTAAATATTAAAATTTCAATCAAAAATTTAATAAACATTATGATGTAGTTGTCACAGCAACAACACAATATTAATATTGAATTACAAAAATTGTAAATATTAAAATGATAGAAATCATGATTTATTCTTTTTTGTTATTTAAATAACAAATCGATTTAAATTTTATTCTCTTTTTTTGATTTTTACATCTTTCCTCTTTGGCAATATTCAATGTTTATTACAATTAAACCTCAAGAATGTAGATATCTTTTATATAATTCAAATATATTATTTATTTATATAGTGGACTCTTTTAGAAGGTTAATAAACAATACTCTCTAGGTTGGAATATATCTGCCACTGATTGTAAATCGATTCAACTAACTACAACTTTTATGGATTGTAAAACAATTGAAGATACGGATTTTCAAACTATTTCCTGGATCGAGAGCATATTGAATTCAAAGGTAATTCCATCTACAGTATAAGAAGGCTGGGAGTACTCTGATAACACCAATACTCTGAGAGTGATATTCACCACCAAGCTTGAGGAAACCGAAAACTGTCACGGGGATCTAGATGTGTTTGGTAAGGATTCACTCGATTCACTGCAGTACATCAAGATAATCAAAGACAATGTTACATTATATGGTAAATTCTTACCGGTTGCACTGTCGGATGGCAGACCAACCTACTCTAGAACCCAAATCGTCAACTATAGCCATGGTTCGAACTTCAAACTAGTAAACAACCAGATATTCATTGGTATCAACCTTCCTCAATGCAAAGAGTGTGTTATAGATCCTGATTTTTCATTACTCCTAAACAATCCTGCAGAGTGTGACAATGACCAGAGAAAATGGGTGAAAATTGTGATTGGTGTGTTTGTGGTGCTGTAGGCTTGGCACTAATTATCATTCTCTCAATTCTACTATTCTAAAAAGAATAGAATTAAAATGAAATTTGGTATTTTGATGGAGAAAATCGATCAAAAATAAAATAAACAAATATAAATAAATATTCCAACTTTGAAGACATCTTTTGAATAAAGAGTATATGAACTATTTATTGGTGTTAGGAATGAATCTAATAATTTATAAAATAATAGTTATGACATATGACATTAGTAATTTGATATTTTTATGTTATTTAAATGATACGGTAATAAACTTACTATTGACATGTCATTTAGCAATCAATGATGATTGTAATAATTTGATGTTGTTGTTGTTGTTGTTAAGTTGATCTATTCACAGTAGGGAGTATAAACAGTGTCGCTAGCTGAGTACACCATTACTTTTTCTCCAGGGAGGCGGACTTTACACATGGCCTTGTAAATCATTCCCTCTTCATTGATTTGAGAATCTAAATCTTTACTAATCTTTTCCAATCTGAACTCGGCAGCAATGACAAAGGTAACGAAAACTAGAAATAATAACAATCCTACTACTACTACTTTCATTTTATAATTGATCAATTATTTAAAATAAACATATTCTAGCAAACAACGATCGTTGTTTATTTATTCTTTTCAATGATGACAAGTCATGATTTATCTTAAGATTAAAAATAAATTGCAATGCCTCAACTGTGAATGACTCAACAACTAAACAAAGAATGTGAAAAAAATCAATTTTATTTAATTTTGTAAAAACATCTGATTTGGACACTTAAGTGCGCTTCAATATGATCTACCTTTTTTTTTTTTTTTAATTACCAAATACAATGAAAGATAGATTTATAGTTTCATTGTTTATCATAGTGTTTCTGTTGGTTCAATCATATTTTCCATTGAGATACTACTATCTTTTGTTGGTAAACGATAATAACAAGTACAACGACATCGACTATCTAGCTAGTTTGGGACAGTCGCGTATCGATTCCATTCCACTCGACCAACTGTTAGCACTTGACGACGAACGATTCGTCTGGCGTATGTTCTCACCTACCTCTGCAAACCTAAAGTGTACTGCAAATTATTTCTTTCAACATAATCAATCAAGAGTTTGTATTATTAGTTTGATTTATTGATCAACAACAATATATATGAAGGTTTTATTAATTCAATAATAATATAGGTTGCACACGATAAATTATATACAAAACAATGGACAGATCTAATAGAGAATTGTCGAGCACCAGTCATCGAACGAATAGCAATAGATCTGTGTCTAAACAATCAACGAAAACCAATGTTGATCAATCTGTCAAAGTTCAATATAAACAAATACACTCTTCAAAGGGAGAAACTGTACACAACGAATCGAGAGATTCACTGTTGACCGATTTCTTCTTTGGCTGGGAGCGGTTCGATCGCGAGGTAATCATTGTCTTTAGATTCTGTTTCTACTTGATGATGGCCATCGACTTTTGGTGTGAAATACCAAGAGCTGCCAACTACTGGCGAGAAATAAGCAGTTTCAACACCACTCATTTCACGAGCTCGCTATCGATCGACCTGCTACTCTCACCGCTCATCGATATCAGCAGCTTCCTTTTGTCACTGGCAATCGGTGGGTTACTCTCGCTCCGAGTGGCAATCGGTGTATCGAATCGATTGGAATCATCGTTGATTGCCATAATCAAGTGCTATATAGTATTCGCCAGTCAGACCGACAACTTCCAGCATCACTACCTACTGAGTTTGATTCTCGTAGTTTTGGCATCGGTCGATTGGCACGCGATAAGCAACGTTGGACCAAAGAAACAGTACTGTTGGCAACTACGGCTGATTCTCATACAACTCTCGGTCGTCTATATTTGGACGTCGGTGGCAAAGCTACATCCGAATTGGATCTACGGTTACTCGCTGCCAAGAATGATCGGACCGGAATTCCGACAGCTGGCAGAGTCTATGATCAACATGATCTTTGGTGAATCGATAGCATCGCATGCAATGATGATCATCTCCAACTCTACCATCGTAACAGAGCTATTCCTAGCGGTGACTATTCACATCGGCAGGCTGTCACCTCTCACCACCCTGATTGGAATATCCATGCACTTTATGATGCTTCTCTCAGGTCTTAGAATCGGTACATTCTCACAGTTCATGATGATACTCTATATTCTTACACTACCAGAGAATGCTATCACCTCATTCATTGTTAAATCAACATCATTAGATATCGATGATAACGACAACGACAATCAAACAAACAGTAACAACAATAATAATAGCAATAATAATAGAAGTAATAATAATAATAATCTAGTAAATTTGATAATATCAATCATATTATTTATATTGTCAAAGATAATGATCGATTACTTTATAAAAGATCAAATAATACAATCGACATTGACTAAATCACTTTATATATTAATAGTATACTATATAGCGACTGCATTTTTAACCACAACAACATGCAACAGGAATAGGAATAGCAATAACATGATAAGAGATACAACTATTATCGCTCTTTACTTTTTACTTATTAGTTACTTGTCAGTGTCAACCGACCAGATTAGAAAGCTACATGTCGATATAGGATCACTAGCTATCACATCGTCAAAGATGGATTTGTCAATTGAACACTATGAAGCTGCACTTGCTCAGGGTCACAGAGAACTAAGCGGTTACAAGCGATTGGTACCGATTCAGGATCACGAGTACGAGTTTGTTGGTGATCTAGGTCTATTCTATGAATCAAAGGCGAGATATCAAGATGCCGAGCAACTCTATCGTGAATACATGCCTCGATTCCCAAGCCATCTAAAGTTACAGATCGGTCTGATACGAACTCTCGAACACAATAAGCAATACAACGAAATCTGTAAGATCATCGGTCCCATTGAGTCGTTGGCACTCGAGCAATCACAAAGTGACAACTGTCACAGTATAGATTGCAGTAGATACAAAGGACATGCCAAATATGCATTGAACATAATAAACAATCTTAAAAAGAAATGTTAACATAACATGCGCTAAATAAACATCATCATAATCTAAATAACAATAACAAGAAAAAACTAAACTAAAACAATAATATATATGAGTGTAGATACAAGATAGATATTAAATGAAATTCACATTACATTTCTAAGAGGTTATAAGTTCTATATTTATTAAAGAATCAATCAGAATTAGTCTGTACTAGTGTGAATTCCCAAGCAACAACAAACATATCACGAAAATTGTAACAACATTGAATCCCAGCAGGTTGGTTACTCGAATATAATCTAGTAGAGTACAACTATTACAACATCGGTTGAGTTGATAGTCAATACATTTATGTTTAACCCAACAAAAAAAAACAAAAGAGATCTCATTTTCTTCAAATGAATTGTCGAAATAATCAAAACAAAAACAAAAGCTTAACAACAAAGATGTGATGAAACAAACTTGTTTCTTGAAAAAACACAAAATAAAGATGCATTTAATTGCACCCCGACTATTATCCCACTTTGATTTACGACTTTAATCTTTGAACCCAACAACAACAACAACCACACCCCTAAATAAATCGGTAACTAACTTGAACCAACAACAAACACTCTTCAAAAATTTGAGAAGAATCTTCGTGTGAACAATCTAAATAAATATTTATAGATTCAACAAACATTAAAAAATAAATAAATAAATAAAACCACATACTAAACTAAAATAAAATAAAAAAAATCTATTAATAAGTTGGAAATTTCCTATGATTGTTACATATATACAAGAACTATTAAGATATCATTTCAGTCGACACCAATTTAATTAATATGGGCTCATACTACACAATGCACTCTTTACACTTTCACCAAATTTCAAACAAATTGGATATTTTTAATTTAAATTTTAATTGATTTAAGGATGATTATTGTTTAAAAGATAAACAGAAATGAAAGAAAATATCTTCTTGAGAAATTTCTCCCCAATAACCTGGGATCTGAACATGAAAAAAGCCGTCGCAGTTGGGACACAATGCAAAGTAATAAATATCAAAAAAAACAAAAAAAACAACAAACCAATACTTTAGCCTCCCTATCATAATATTACGCCCTAAATTCGAAAAAAGTGCACAGTTTCTTTTCTTTTTGGGGGTATCCTAATTTCAAATTTGTACATTTTATTTTTTTTGATTTTTTTTCTATCATTTTAATTTTTTTATTTTTTGATTTTTTTATTTTTCATTTATTATTACCTTTATAAAACTAAATCCATAACCCCCTATATTTTTTAATAATCATATTACAAATACATACACATACATATATATTACATTTTTAAACAAAATGAACAAGACTCTCTTTTTAGTTGTTTTCTTAGCTTTGGCTGTCCCAGCCCTCTGTGACATTTGGTCAAGCTGTGGTTCCTCCACTGACCACTTCCAAATCGGACAAGTTGTCATCACCCCAGATCCCCCAGTAAAGGGACAAAGCATCAACATCACTGCTTCTGGTTTCCTCGGTATGTATATCAATCAAAAAACAATCATGATTATTTATCTACACAAATCTTTTTTTAGTTATAACCTACCCAATCAAGATTTCAGATATGACGACAGATATGTCTGATTATCTATATAATCACACATAAATAAAGATTTGATAGATTTTAAAAAATAATAATAATAATAATGATAGAGAATTAGTTGACTAATATCAATCAATCATTCATTAATCTATAAATATCTAGATGAGGAGGTCACCGGTGGTAATGTCGCTATTCTAATCAAGTACGGTTTCATTACTTTGCTCAACCAAAACGCCGATCTTTGCAACTCTGAGAACCCATACGCATGTCCAATCGCCTCTGGTGAATTGCACAAATCCGTCGTTGCTGACATCCCATCCAACGCTCCATCCGGAAAGTACACTGGCCACGTTGTCATCACTGACCAAAACAGCCAAGAAATTGCCTGTATCAACGTTGCTTTCAGCTTGTAAATAATTTTACAATAAAAAAAAATAATAATTATATTCTTTTTGTTTCATTAGAAAAAAAAAAACCAACAAATTTGTAAACAATTTAAATAATGATGATGATGATGATGATGGTAATAATAATAACAATAATAAACAAACTATTATAAATTATTTAATTGATCAATATAATTTACTTGTTACATCGGGAATAACATAAGTTTGAGGACCTTCATACTTTTCGAAATTCAATAGTTTTCTGAGGTCTTCGATCGGTGTCTCCCAGTGATCTTCGTAGCGAACATTCATGAGGAACTTTGAGTTTCGCGCGCATCTCACAGCCCATGGAATCATGTGAGTGACGAGCACCTTTTGCTCGGCGAATGGTAGTCTGAGCGGTCCAACTGCCGCACTGATTGCACACATCGGTAGTCCAGTCTGTAGTAGCTCGAGCCACTTGACGGCGAGCTCGCCTTGCACTGTGGTGTCGACACCGGCCAACACATGCCAAAAGTCGTGTACCTCACGATAGCGTTGCATGATATAGGCTTCGTCGTCGTCCTCTATCATTCGAACGTGTGTACGCTCGTCGGCACTGTAACCGTGGATATTCATAAAGTGGTAGTAGGCGCCACCAAAGGTTGTCGGTGGCAACAGATGTAGATTCGGCGGGAATGTCTCGCTTCTGATACGAGGTTTGCGAGCCAGAAGATCACGACCAACTTCATCTTCCATCATCTTCTTCTTTAGAGTTTTCAATGCACAGCCACCTGTAATCTCACCGAGTGTAGCGATCATATCACCACGTCCAGGATTTATCATAGCAACAATCGATGAGCCAACACCCAACAATACTTTTTGAAATAGATTATTCTTTATCTTTGTTTGTTGTTTCTAATTATTGAGTTTTTAATCTTATATATAAGCATATTGTATGAAGTTTACCATATGGTATTTAACTATCTATCACCAATCTATTACATGACTTACATTATTATTAAAATCATTGGTTGTGGTGACATAGTTATTAAAGTTGTACTTTGATATATTATTTACATTGTTATTACTATTATTATTATTATTTAAAAAATATGTTATAGATGCTTGTCTATTTGTGTATAGATATATATTATTTATGCAATTATTTCTAATTGTTTGATTTCTAATGATATTCATCTTGATGTATAATATGTTATATATTACAGCAACATGAATGATTTGATTCAAAATTTAATTTAATCATTTGTTTGTTTGATTTTTTTTTTTTTTTTTTATTGTAAAATCATAATCATTTGTTGGATCATCAGTCTCACTTGATTTCATTCAATGTAAAGAGAGAATAAACTGTTTTTTATAATCACTTTTTATCTATATAGATTAATTATCTGTTAAGTAGTTATTTATTTTTAATAATGTTATTGTAAATCATTAGATTTTTTTTAAATTTATTTTTAAGATATTATTATTTATTTATTTGTTACAATTATCAAACTTTGACTTATACCAATAAAAAAATCGTTGACCTTTAAATTATTTAGATCTTCAAACCACACTCACATGAAAATTATAATGAAAAGTTCCCAATATCATGAATAAAAATTTTCAAAGATTAAAAACGAACGTCTCAATTTGCTGACTCACCTCCAAGAGTTGTTGTTTTAAAAAATTTAACAAATCACAATTTTAATTAATATTGGTTACAGTTTACAATTATATATTATCAGTAAATTAAATTGTAAATATATACATACAGATATATTACAATTGTTTTGTTGTATAGAAAAAGTGATTAATCATAAGAAAGAGAGATAGGAGTGCATTGTAAAGGTGGAAAAAGAACGACACAGAAAATCAGATGGTGATTCAGGATATCTATTTCTTTCTCTTATATACACCGATTATTCTTGTAAATATAAACAAGTGTTTGGCGATTACACAGGCCTATGATTTCCTCAGATTTAGAAATGAGCCATACCTCCTGAGATTCGCAGTCTACATCTTTCAAGTGCATATAGGATCGACACTAGTTCACATATTGCTTGGTGGTGCTCCGTTTTGGATTCACTCAGAGACTTCACTTGTCATTACACTCTTTGTATGGATATTCTACTCTCTCTTTCCAAGTTTTATACATTTTATTTTAAATAATCCTGTTTCCAAAGTATGTTATTCATCATATCTATAGATTCGATGACGACGACGAAGACATTAATTCAAGCTTAATAATCACACTCTTCTCTCTTTTTTTTTATTATTATAGATTATTCATATATTATTATTAAGTACATTGGCAACGAATGATATTACACAAATCTATGAACTACCAATGTATCCAGAGATCCCGTTGCGAACAGGATCTTATATAACACCTGTTTTACCGAATTCACCACTTGGTGCATTGGCGATCTGTCTTGTATCGGCACTCTCTGGTGAATTTGTAAAGACTTGTATCATTAAATTGTTTTATCCGAATCAAAAGACATCTTTATCAGCACCATCTCTGTAACTATACAAGCTAACAAGCTATTAGCTCTTCTCGATTACTAACCAATCTATATAAACATAGTCAATTTATAACTGTTGGTATACTATCAGTATTGTATCATTTCTTATGTAATCCACACGCCAGTAAATTATCATCACCTCTTATCGTACAATATATATCAATGGATCATGCAAGATTGATTGTCTATTTAATTTACACTTACATTAGTTTTGTACCTTTCTTTCAAAAACCAACGAATCATTCTAACCAAATGAATGATCCTCCCAATAAAAAGACAACATAATAGTAATATCATCCAGTTAAAATAATAATAATAATACATTCTTAAGTTATGACAATGATTGTTTATTAATAATCATCATTATCATTAGCAATCCCCTTCAATTACAATGTGCGATTAACCAAAGTTTCTATTTTGGTCAATAGAAATTTGAACAAGATAACACTATAATAACAAATAAAATATTATAACACTTTTCTTTATAAAGTTGTACAAGATGAACATAAAACTAAACAATCAATCTTGAACTAAATACTATAAATATTTATTATTAGTCTATTTATTTATAAAAATAATAAGAAGATTAATTGATGTTTTTAAGAACCAGTTCTTATTTTGTTTTTTGTTTTTTTGTTAATACACTTTTTTTTAATAATCTATGAATCAAGTTATAATAGAGAGAAATATAAATATTTTAATAATTGGATATTCAAAGATTCCAGATGATATTAATTTGTTGAAAGATGAGATCGATGATCATCAACCACTTCATCAGCTGATTTCATCGGATACAAATGGCAATTATCTTTGTAGATCAATACCATTCTATGGAGTAGACGATGCCGTAAAACTATATATCTACGATTATTATAATTTGGTTGATAACTATCAAGATCAGTTGTCACTCGACGTACTCAGTAAGATAGATGCATTGTTTTTTATTTGTAAGGTGAACGAACCAGATACTATCGATCAAATGATAGAAAAGCATAGTATGTGTCTAACGATTGGTCAGCGTGGTAGTAGATCGACTCTAAAAAGTCAACAGGTGTGTGTAATGATACTGTGCGGCGAAGATACCAATAGCCGAGAGCCTGACTACCAAACCAACTTTAATCGCCTCGATTCATGGTGTAGATCGAACGGTATCACTAAACCATTCACTTTTAATTCCGACCAGTTGAAAGATTCAGATTTGGATTCATCTATCAAGAATCTCGCCATACAGTCCTACTTCTGTAGTGATACTGATCCAAAGTTACCATCGTTGCAGCGCGACGTTAAGTTTGAATCTGAATTGCTTTGGAAAAGCGAAGGTATTATTACGAGTCAAAAGAAACAAATGGAATTGCAAACATTGGATATTATGTTGCTCGGATCGCACAATATCTCTAAATCAATAGCAAGACAGTTTGTACCTGGACAAGATTCAAACGATCATATTTGTAATCATACATTCTCATTGACATGCGATATAAATCAATCACTGGTTAAACAAGTTTCTTTGGTAGTTTGTAATGCGAGCCAATTGATAAATAAGCAAGTAGCCATTCCCAGCAGTCTGTACGAGAGTGTAGCAGGTGTCTATCTTGTGTATGACCCATTCTATAGAGAATCTATTGATATGTTGTTTGAAGACTATCGACAATATGTTGTTGATAAATGTATGAATAGACCTCCGGTGGTGGTAGTTGCTGCTAAATCATTGGCTCCAAATCAAGGTAACAGAAATATTTTTAATGACAACTATTCAACGGTTGAAGCGTGGTGTCAATCAAACAAAATAGATTCACACATCGTCGTTTCAGATCGATACAACGTAAACATTGAACAATCATTCTACCAATTGTGTTTGTTAGCATTCAAATTTAAATTGGAACTTAAGCAATCAGAGCTTGAAAACAAAGTAAAGAAACAAGAAAATAAGAATAGATGTACATTAAATTAATAATTCAATATTTTTCTTGAATCTAGTTAAAGATTGTTTTTTTTAATAATAAAATTACACCTATATTAATTATTTATTATCTATAAAATTATAAAATATATTTTAAAATCTATATCAATTTAAATTGATTGGTATGAACTTCTTTCTGAAAGAATTCTTGATTTACACCAGTAAAAAATACAACAAAATATAATCATACTTCCCAGAGCAAGTGATATTCCACCCAATATCCAATCTATATAGTGATCGCTTGGTTCTTCAAGTATCAATATCTGGGTAAAGGTATCATTAATCTGTAAAGGTCTATCAGAATAGATAGTTTTCAGATGACACTGTCCAAAGTTGTAATGATATGACATTGCATTGCTATAAAAATCAAGTTGGTATTAAATCACTCTGTTTTTTTTTTTATCTTTTAAACAACTTACATATAGATGAATTGATTGGAATAACCTCTAATTTTAATTTCTATACCACTGATATATTGACCATTGTGTTCATGACCACTTATACATGAGCACTCATTAAAAAGATTTTTTTCGTTGGTGGTTACTCTGATTGGCTGCGAGAAGAGATGATGAATATATCTTGGGTTGACAACCCTACAACTATAGTTATAGACAACAACCTGATTATCATGAAAAGATGGAGTTCCATAATCTCCATTTAAAGGTTCACAAATCGATTCTGGTTTTAATTTCTAAAAATATTCTAATATTAGTAGCCATTTCTGATATCTTTAAATAAAATTTGATTGAAAACCTACTGGAAGTGATAATAAATAGTTTGACTTTGTTACAATAAAAGAAGGATATTCTATGGCGGTAATATTTTGACTATCAACAACTATATATAGATCCGTTAAGTTGTTTGAAGATTGCTCTTTGATCGAGCAAAAATTTGATGCATTTGAATACACTTGATTGTTAATTGATAACATCAAATACATATAAATAAGAAATAATAATATAGTTTTCATCTATCAAAAAAAATAAAATAAAAGAAATAAAAAAAAACCTTTCATCTTCATTTTGTTAATATAATATATATAATAACAATAAAATAAAATTAACCCTAATAGAAAAGTTGTCAATAGCTAAATAAAAAGACCAACATATTTTAGTTACTAAAATTCATTATCTTTTCTTTTACATTTTGAATATCCTTTTCTGTAAAAAATTAAAAAAAAATTAAAATAGAATAATAAAATATTGGAATATAAATTTTTTGGAGTTTGAGCAATGATTGATATCTAAAATAAAATAATTATTTATTAGTTTTAAAATAGAAATTTTTAAAGAGGATCCAAATGGTCAATATTGTCTCGATTAAAAAGGAATCCCAATAGATATTATCGGAGGTAAATCAAATTTAAATGTTGATCTATATTGTGAAGTTAGAGAGTTCGTAAGTTCTTCAAAAGAGTTATATTCGTTGGTGTTTATGAAAAATATGAAATTACTTTGAATTGTTGAAGTATTTGTATCTAGGACCATTCTGAAAATTGTATCTTTTTTTTTTTTTTTTAGAAAAAATAACTGATTATTAATTATTCTTTTGTTTAAATAAAAGTATACTTTGCATGGAGAACAATGTTAAATGTCGACTAAAAGTTTTGTTTGTTGGCAACTCTGAATGTAGAGATGCAATTAAGAATATATATATAGATGGAAATGACAGTGTTGGTAATACTGGTATGAGTTTCGGAATGCCCTCTGGATTAGGTTGTGATCTACTCTTAAAGAGGATTATTCTCTATTCCGTTGACATTGATGGTAGTAGTAGTAGTAGTAGCAGTAGCAGTGGCAGTAGCAGTATCAGTAGTAGTAGCAGTATCAGTAGTAGTAGTAGTAGTAGTAGTAGTAGTAGTAGTAGTAGTAGTAGTAGTAGTAGACAAGACGTCATTGTAAATCTAAACATTTGGGATGCTAGCACTCATATGAGTTATCGAAGTACCGTAAACACATTTCTCGCCAACTCTGATGGATTCTATTTACTCTACAATATAGATGACCCGCCTTCAATCAAAAAGGTATTCGATATCGTTAAATCTATCAGAGATATCAATAAAACAACAAAACAACAACAGCCACAACAAATAATTAAACCTTTACCACCAATCATAGTAGTTGGCAATGACCTATCAGAGATTAACTCTGACAGTCACAGACATTTTGAAGAAAACTACAACATTGTAGAGAGACTATGCCAATCTGAACAGATCGATGATCATATGATGATATCAACAACACACAATATAAACATAGAGCAATCATTCTATAAATTAGCTATGAAATCATATCAATATAAACAAAAGTTAAAAGAATATGAATTGTCTATACATGACAAAACATAGTGATAATAATAAAATATAGTATCAATTTGATCTATATTCTATAGAATCAAATTAAAAATTTATAATCGATCACGATTGTATATAGTAATGATAAACAAAATAAGAATAAATCACTATGTTATAGTGTTGATTGATAGTTATTTAGGTTATAATATTATGATTATTAGAACTTGTGAAGCATTAGTCACAGATGTGTTCAGAGAAGAACAAAAGCAGCAAACAGTCAATCTTCACATATCACAGGCGAAAAATACAATCTGAGAGGTACTCATCATTGCTCTGCAGTATTAATTTAAAATTTAAGTATTCAACTAATTTATCTTTTAAAGTTTTTGTAAAATTTGTTATCAAAATCAAAGAATATAAGATATTTAATAAAAATGAAATAGTTATTTTTTTGGTTACATTAAACATCTTTGCGGAAATGATGGGTTTTGATTTAAGCAATCTGGATGCCCAATAAATTTTTCAACATCTGGTCGATTTTTTTTTAAAAAGAATGAATGATTTAACACTCACCTAACCAAATTGAGAAGCGAAATTCAATCAATCAGTTTATAAGTTCCCATTTGTTGTCCTAACATTTTCTATTTCAAAGTATAGAGTGTCAGTTTTGGATACTGCAAATAGCCCGATAATGGTGTCTTGAAATATTCGTCGAATTCAATCAAATAGACAGTTATAACTGTCTGATTCGTATTGGTATCTCTAATGATTAATGGGTTATATTTCCAAAAAGACAAACAGTTAATATTTTTAAAAGTTTATTTCAAAACTATAAATACCTTTTCTAGAATTCTAGAGTTTTAAAATCATTCAATCAAATAACATTTAAAACAAAATGTTCAACAAACAATTATTTATTCTTGTTTTACTTATTGGAGCCGTTGTTTCCCAACCAGCAGGTACCTTACCAGGTATCCAAAATGGTTACTTAATTATGTCGAGTACCACTGACTACAATGCTGAGCATTCAGTTTTCAACTCAAAATTAAATAGACCAATTAGAGCGTATGTAGATCAACTTGACTGCATTCAAACATAAATTTGAACAAAATTAATAATAATAATTCGTCTTTTTTTTTTTTACTTTTTTCTTCTTAGTTGGTGTCCAGCTACCAGTGTTGTTGGTAACAATGGTGAGTGGATTATGGCTAGCAGTATCACTCCATTCGATGTATACGGAATCTCAATTCAAGGTCGTTACGATTACGATCAATGGGTCAATCTATTCCAAATCCAAGTATCGCTTGATGGTTTCGCTTGGACTACTATTGGAACCTACAACTCTGGTCTTACTGATCGTAACACAGTCAAGTACATCGACTTTGGTGGTGTCAGAAGAGTCCGTAATGTCCTTCTTAAACCAGTAACCTGGCATCCAAATGGTATTGCTGTACGTTGGGAAGTCCTCATGAAGTTTGTATAAACTGATTCAAATTTCAACATTCTAGATTTATTTTAATAAGTTGATACTCGATTATCTTTAATAAATAAATTAAAATTTTAACCTCATATACGTGATGATTCTTTTTTTTTTTTTTTTTTTGTTGTTATTATTTGAAGGTCAGTGTTGCAGAAAGTTTTCTCTTTTCGGTGTGTCTTTACTTTCTCTATCTCTTGGAAACCTTATGCAATAAAGCTTTATTGTTGTAAGATCATCAACGTTCTACATCTCTTATCTTATATAGTTCGGCTCTTACCTCGTTTATATCACCATCTCATCATTCATGGTGGTCATACTCAGTGGTCTATATCTTCTACTATTACTTTGTTTATCTTTGTTCTATCTTTATCCATGATTTATTTTCGCGACAGTATTGTTTGAACAAATAACATAACTAATTAAAGATTAATTAAAAAAATCATTTTTTTTTTTTACAAACCAAATCAAATTTGATTATCTTTTTTTTTATCTGTTGTTGGAACCCCGATTTTTTTTTGTGCTTATTATAAGACCTATCTAACACTAATATAAACATAGAGAAATGCAATGAAATCACAACAATTTTTAAACTAAAGTTAAAAGAAAATGAATTATCTATACTTAGTTATATATAGTGGTATGATTATATAATAAACTATTATAGAATCAAATTAGAAATTTATGATCTATTAAGATTATGTTTGTTATAACAAGATTATTATTAATATTTAAACACTACTGTACCTAAAGCTATCAATTGCAAAAGAACTTATTGGGAGCTAACCTAGTTTTTAACTATTTAAATAATAACAAGACGATCACGTTGCAACTAGAGAGGCAGAGTATGATGAGTTTTAATTGAAAATCATATCATTTTTGCAATTAAAGGTATGTCATCATTCTATCAGATACAGATTATATCACTTAACAAAGAAAAAAAACATAAAACCAAAAATCTTATTGTACCTATTTGGTATAAAAACAAATTTTTACTATAATTATAATTTATAAAATATTTTTTTATTATATTTAAATAAAATATTTATATTGTTTTTTTTTTTTATTTGATTTAATATGTACTTTTTTTACTAATTAAATAATGACAATTATCAAAGTAAAAGTTAGAATATTAAATCATCTTTATTATTCATAAATAATTATAATAAAATGTCATCAATATTAGTTTTGGGTGCAACTGGTACCATTGGATTCCAAATTTGTTTGGCTTTCTTAAATAAAGGATTCAAAGTATACGGTCTGGTTAGGAATCAAAATAAAGCTGATATTTTATTAAAAAACGAAAGTATATATTTATTTATTTAAACTTTTATAATAGAGCTTCATTTATTAACTTTCTATTCAAAAGTAATTCCTGTTGTTGGTTGTGCATCAGATACAAAGAGATGGGGTAAAGTTGCAGAGACGGTAGATGTTGTAATAGAAGCTGTTAGTGACAACGACAATCCAGAAACTGTAAACATCATATTTGAAAAACTAAAATTAATTTCAAAGAACAAACCAAACTTGGTGATTATTTATACGAGTGGAGCATGGATATATCCAAGTAGTTGTGATTTGGTCGATGAAAACACTCCTTATAAACCGTTACATCCCGCTCTCAATTCAAAGATTGAAGCAGAAGCTAAATACTTGTCGATCGGTGGAATATCTATACAACCTACTTTTGTATATGGTCGTGCTGGCTCGGAAACTGGATTATACTTTAAGTGGGCAACCGAATCAAAAGATGGAGTTGTCAAAGTCTATGGAAAGAATGACCAATATCTATCATTTGTCCATGCAGTCGATTTAGCGCAACTCTATCTCTTGGCTGCTTTGAATGCACCGGTTGCAAGAGGTCATACATTCATTGGATGTTCTGGCTATTTCAAGACTGAAGAGATAATAAGAACCATTGCTAAATCTGCCAATGTTCATATTGAATCCGTTGAATTTGTAGAACCACCAAAAGATGATGTCTACCTAAACCTATTAACCATATCTATAGCTGCCACATCTAGAAAAGCTAATAATCTATTGGGATGGAAACCTACTCAACCATCATTGATAGATGATCCAAACAGATATTTACATGCTTGGAGATTAGGTCGAAATAACTCAACCAATAATTAATAAAAAAAAGAAAAACAAAATGTTTTCTTATACTTCACTATGTACAATATTTATTTTAATTTTATTTTTTTTATAATTTGATGGTTGAATTCAGTTTCAACTTGAATACTCACTCAACAATGTGAGAAAGTTGGTATTTTAATTCGGCAGATTTGTTGTTTGAAAAATTGGGTGGTGACTGTTGGACATTCATTGTTTGATTGAAAATATTTGGAAGCATAGTTATGTTTTTATGGTTGGGAGAAGAAGTGTTGGTGTTAGCTGTCGAATTCAAAATGAATGGCAAATGGTTTGTCATACAAGGAGTATCTACGGGCATAGGGGAAGATGACACTGGTTGGCCGACAAACCTAAAATCGATATTTTCATTTTGCTTTTTGGAATATTTGGGTTTTGATTGCTTTGGTGATTTAGTTTGTTTTCTTTGTTTGACAACTTTTTTAGAGTCGTTGGTTTTAGAGTTTGATGACAATAGACTTGTGATTGGTCTAAGTGATTGTGGAGATTGTTGAAGTAGTTGTGGGGATTGTTGAAGAAGATGTGGAGATTGTTGAATTAGTTGTGGAGAGGGAAGTGGTGTTTGGTGTGGTGAGAGGTTTAGTGGTCTCGAATTCAATCCAATAAAGGGGAAATCTACGGATATATTTTTAAACATCTGTATTACATCATTCATAATTCGATTTAGGCTTTGAATTTCAAATTTAATTTCAGGTTCATTCATAGCCAAACTCTTTAATTCCTCTCTGGTGTGCACTGAAAATTTTTTAAACAATTATAAGAAAAGAAAATTAATATTTGACAACAAAAAATTACTATTAATAACCTACCTTTACTTTGTAATTTGGCTTTTTTTATAGTATAAAGATCACCTTCAGATAAAGATCTCTTGGACTTTACTGCAATCTTTGACTTGTCTCTGAAGGGCTTCTTAATAGTCCATGGATCAGTATCCATTGTTAGCTTCAGTCTCCAATAACCATTTTGTTTGTATTCTTCGGTTCCAGATTCAAACAAATTCTTACTATGACTTAACATATCTTGTACTTGTTTTCTCCAATTATTTTCTTCTTCAATAAAGAAAGAAAAGAAGGAACTATTAATATTATCTTTTTTAAAATAATAAATAGAAAAAATTAAGATATTTACTGTCTTTTTTAAAATCAAGAAGGATATTCCAATGATCTACCATCCAAGAATAAACGTCATTTCTCAGGTTAAAGAATTTTCTCTCTGGGAAACTATTACTTAAGGTATAGAATACTACTCTCATTATTGTTGACCAAGTTGGACATTTATGGAGAATACTTGGTGGTCCTCGAAGACAAACCAGGCAGTTATTATATTTACAATCGGTTATTGGGATCCATGGTGGTCGTTTTTTTTCTTCATCAGAACTATTTGTAGTAGAAGTGGTGGTTGTAGTGGTTGTGGTAGTGGAATCCTGAGAGCTCGATAGATATCTCATATTTGGAGAAGTTGGAACACTGCTAGAAAAATTTGAGAAATTACTATCACTTGAGAGAGACAAAGGACTGGGTGAATAAGGTTGACCTCCAGAACTACTATACACGCTGAAAGGATTAATTGATGAATTGATGATTGGTGAATCAACATAATCACTTTCAGCAATTGAAACCGAGGGAACATAGAAGGTTTTCTGTGGCTTGAGCATTGGAGATGAAACTAAATATTCTACACCATCAGTTGATCTGGAGAGGGAGAGAAGAATAGCAGCAGTTTCCTTTTTTTCAGCTTCGGTTCCATAGTATTGATTATTTGATTCGAAGTGAGAAGTAGAAATCATCCTTTTAAAAAGAAAAAAATAAAAATTAGTATTTTTTATTAAATAAATTAAATAAAATTTCCAGTTTTATTTACTTTAAAAATTAGATTTAAAAAGAATAGAATGAATTAGTATATATTATTTTTTAGTATAATATGTACTAAAATTCTCTCTTTGGAGATAAAGGGTCAAGATAAAGTTAAAATTAATATTGGTTATCAAAAGAAAAAGATCTGATAAAAAAAAAAGATTTATTAAAAATTTATATTGATGATGTATTGTTATTATTCAGTTATTATTTTGCAAAAGACAGGATGGTATATAGAAAATGTTATATATATATAAATGTTAGGTTTAAGTGGGGTTAGAAATGATAGAGAGTAGGGGGAAGAAGAACATCAAACAACTATAAAAATAAGTGGTTTTTTAATTAACGGTTAAAAACCAATTATTTAGATATATAAAATATTATATAGGTTGGTTGGAGATGCAAATGAAAATTTAAACAAAACAGATCAAAAGATAGGGATTATCATTTTGATGTTTATGTTGATATTAAAATGAAATGGTATTGTACAATTAATTGGTTGCATTTATAGAATAAATGATATACCGCACTTTCCTTATCAACAAAATTAAAATTAAAATTAAAATAATATTTTGTTTATATATTATACATACATGTAATAGTATGATATATTTTTAAAAAAAATAGATGTTTATTATTGTGTGGTGTTAATTTGTTTTTTTTTATGATTTAGAAGTTGTTGCTGTTATTGAGTTTATATGATCATCATATATATGGTTTATCAAAAAAAAAAATTTTATTCACAGCAACAATATATGTTCAAGATCATCATCAAATATATGCTAACACATAAAAACACTATTGTTTCAAAAGTGAAGTATATTAAAGTAGTACTGTAATAACACACCGAGAGATGTAAAAGTAGTAGTAGCATTCTATGTAACAAGTAACAGCAATTCATCAAAAGATGAAAATTAAAATGAAAATGAAAAAAAAAAAGTAGTAGTTGATTGAAATGTGTTATTTCATTTTATAGGATAAAATGAAATTACACAAATGTTGTTTTGATAACTCACACCATCAGCACCCAAACATATAAATTAGTTGAGTATCATAAAAAGTTATACTTTCACACAACCATTACTCAAATAAACACAACACAATGCACCATTTTCACACTGTGGTGTGTTCATCATGGAAAAGGTTGAGTTTTTCAAAAGATTCGAGATGTTTAACACACATACATCATGACAATATTGTGAATGTTCATTTTAGTAATTAGAGAAATGGTATCTATGACCGTATTATCATGACTGAAATGCAGAGAATCAAAAATCAATTGATTGGAATGTATTTCTTTAGTTTAGTTTGTGGTCATGTAATTCGACATATACACATTGGTTAGATAACTTTATTTATAAACAACAATGCATTGATGACTATATTGAAGATAAGGGTCTGGTCTACCAATCAAATATAATTGAATATCAAAACCATTAACAACACAACCACTCCTATCCTAAATAGTAACAGCTAATTAAAACAATATTTAAAGTTGTGGCTATTATTAATTAATGTTATATTACATACAAGCAACTTGTATGCAGAACATACATATTATTTCTATTTTTTTTAAAAATAGGAGTTACTGTTGTGGTGGTAGTTTTGATATTATCACAGTTCCATAATGATAAGTGAGAGTGTGCTTGGTGTTGAGATGGATGGCAATGGTTAATCAACAACAACAACAACAACAACAACAACAACAGAATCATAGAGTTATAACATGTTATTATAATATGTAGAAAAATATTTAAATGTGTATTCATTTCAATTAAATTACTACTCTGAGCAAAAGTTTCCTAAAAGAGATCTACAAGGTGTGGTAAGTGAACGACCAATATATAGAAACGAATAAACAAATTAAAGTTTGTGATCAAAAGTGAGAGTTTTTGCTAGAAGATGTGGTGTTGGTTGTTGATCATCTTAAGATTCACTTCAACTATTTGATATATTTAACAATCTAAACCATCTTTATTATCATTCGCACCAAATTAAAAAAAAAAACAAGCGAACACATATATATTAGAATTGTCAATTAAATCCCATGCTTTCTAAGTATAGCTCCATTGTTTCACTATAATCAAAAACAAATTATATATTGATGATTTGATTTTATCATTTTTATTGAATACCACATCCTATAACAAAAAGAAAATAAAGATGATAAAATTAATATAAATTTGATCATCTAATTTGAAACAAAACTACCAAAAAATCAATAACGAAATATTACCATTTTCTACTAATGGTAGTGAAATTTAGGTAGTAGTTTAATATGTCGACAAAGGCAATGGTGTGTTTGATTTTCTTTGATAGTACTTTTATATAGAAATATATTGGATATAATTCAAAAAATACTTATATCTCCCATTATATTTTACTATTGGAATGCAGGTTTGTTATATGGTGACACTTCATATAACTTTAAAAGTAATTTTAATAAGACCAAACATTGTTTATAGAATTTCAAAAACCACGAAGAATATCGGGGTACTAAGTCTAGAAAGAGGGGGATAAAGTAATATTAAAACTTTGATTATTTTGGATTAGGATGATGATCATGTTTGTAAGCTGTACTATCAAGATCTTTAATACCAACTACCAATCATCTTTGTTGGTAAAGTATGAGTGAGATAATTTTAAAGGGTGAAAGTTATATTTATAGTATATACTATAAATATCATAGTTTATAGATCGGGAACCAGCCTAATAAAAACAATCACACATTACCATCATTGATCATAATAACACCTCTATCTTTTCTAATAATATATTCTTTAATTTACTATGATACCCTATCTTAATACTTAAATTACATCAATTCTACAAGAACAGATTTTAAAAAAAAATAATAACAACACAAATTGGTAATCTAACAAATACCACAAAAATGATGAAGAGTTAAATTATTTTGTTCACTCATATTGTAGTGATTAACAGTACTCCAAACATTTAAATTTGGTACCAAAATTTAATAACGGTTATAAAAAAATTAAATTAAAAAATAAAAAAACTAATCAATATTGATTAATCTATCTTTCTTCAACTGATTGTAATTATTTCAGTTTAGAATTTAAATTCTTTGATTAAATACTTTGGTTTTTAGAAAATATTTTTTAACCAAATTTGTGAAATTTCAATCTAATCATTGGTGATGTTAACTCAAAATTTAAAAAATCTTTTCTATTACCGAAACAATCAAATCATGGGCGATATATTAAATCTCTGAAAAAAACACATTTATTTTATTTTATTTTTTTTTTGTTCAATTTTTTTTTATGCAGCCATCGGATTTGAAAAAATCTCATTTGGAGGTGTTTTTTTGTGGCTTTATGTGTTGGAGAGACCCAAAAAAAAAAAAAACCAAAAATGAGAATCGATAAAAAGCGGAGACCCACAACGAACACTTTCATCACAATTGATCAAATAACTGTTTACATGGTGGAATAGGAATTGATTATCATTGAGTCGTCTAAAATTGCAACACACTTAGACTCTTCCTTCTTTGTTTGTTCTTTTTTTCATTTATTTTGTTTTTGCTCCCCAATGGTTAATAATAGATAATATCAAACAGATCATACAGATTAGCAAAGTAACTTTAAACAGTTACTCTTCACATACAAGTTACTTTTTTTTTTTTTCTTATCAGTCACGAAATCAACATTTTATTACCATTTATTTATTTATTTATTTATTTATTTATTTATATCTTTATTTATTCAAAAACAAAAAAAGTAAGTATAATTTTAACCAAATATGTTTGTTTCTATAGAATAATGAACTTCATCACATCATAAAGTACAATCACAAAAACCAATGTCGAGATAATGGTTAATAAACAATCAAAACCATTCCACAGAGGTTAGTTATTGTTAAGCTGATAACTGAAAACAAACAAAATGTATCAATTTTATATTTAAGGATAAAAATTTTTTTTTTTCATTGTTGTTTTTTTCTTTTTTGTATGTTTTTTAATATTAAAATCTCCATCACAACAACATCTTAACCTGTTATCATGATGGTTAAACAAACTAACAACATCATTTATTTAAAAACAACACTTTTCATCCTCATTGTTTTACCCCCTATAAACACATTGAAAATAATATGGTCGGAATTCACTTGCAACAACAATATAATTGGGTTAATCAACCAAACAAACAGACCACACACTTAACTTCAAAAATATTTGATTATCAGTTTTAAAAAAAAAACAAACAAAGATAACTTGGCCGACGGCTCAAGACAACAACCTGTTATTGAAATAATATAATTGGTTAATCCAGTTTAGTGTTGTGTTGTGTTTGTGTTGTTGTTGTTGTTTGTAACAACAAAAACAAAAAACAAGAAAAAACAATAACAACACCAAACTCTACAGTAACAGAACAACAAAGTCGATGTGTTGTGACGAATCTTTAGATTCAAATTGAAAAATAGATGTAGGAAAAATGAATTACATTTATAAATAACATATTTTTACTGTATTTAACATTAAATACAACAACAACAACACACTTAGCTTCTTAATGCTCTGCCATTTGATCAAATTTGTAGTAATATTAAAAGTGTTATTGTTATTGTCAAGGTATTCAATTTTTGAAGTCTCTCTCCGTTTCTCTGTTTTTATTTTTGTTATTTCTATTATAATAATTATAACAATACATTACTTAAATTATATTTTAAACATAGTTAATTATTGTTATTGTGACCTGATTCATCTTTTAGATTGTTAAGTGGTAATATTAATAACATCAAATCTTAATCTTATTTATATCTATCAATATCTGTTCCGTCAACAATACATTTGAATGTTGCGCATCTATAACTTTCATTTGTGAACAGCAATCAACGACCACATTAAACATCATCAGCAAGCATCTTTTTTAGTAAATTTACTTAAAAACAAGAAAAAACAAAAAAAAAAAAAAAAAAACATTACAAATTAATAAAAAAAAAAACAATAAACTAATCAAAATAATAACAATTTTATATAATACTCTAGAACTGTATATTAATGGTCTATGATTGATTATTAAATTCCGTTGTTAAAATAGTAAAAAGTATGTTTAATTTATCACTAGTAGATAGATTGAGTTGGTGTTTTGTAATTCAATCAATAGATTATTTTGTTTTTTATTTTTTACTACATTTATAATTTAATTTATAATAAAATGAAAAGTTCAATCACATATGATCACAAAAAATATATATATGGTATGCATATGTTTAAAAACGATCAATCGACCACATATGCATGCGAATGAATTCAATCGTTTCTGCAGACGATTAAATAAACAACATTCACTTAACACCATTTTTTAATTGAAAAAAAAAAATACCTCGATTTTCAAACAATTCAATTTCTAGAAATTTTAAAAAACCTCCAAAAAATAAAAGAATTTATAAAAAATCAACATCAATCCTGCAAAAGAGGAGAATAGTTTGTCACAAGAAAAACCACACACCCATTCAACAACACCCAATTTTTGTGATTTAATTTAAATAATTATTTTTGTTTTATAAAAATCATCATCTGCCTTTAATGTTCTAATCAAAACCAACGCAACAACAACCTAATTATCAGTGATCACTACTGCAGCTACATCATACATATTATACACAATTTATTTATTTATTTATTTTTAATATACACAATTATTATCAAAAACTACCATCAATTAATCAAATCAATAAAATACATTATTTATTTAAAATTCAATTGCATTTACACACAAATAGAACAGAGAATATATAAAATCAGAAACAAGTGCAATAAAAGAATAATAACAACAGAGTTAGTTTAAAATCAAGTTCAAAGCTTACTCAAGTAAAGTTTATAAAATTATTACTACTCATGTTTGTTTAGTTTGTTTTATCATTTACTTATTGGTTGTTTTGAATGCATACAATTCAAGCAAGAGGATGTGATTAGATTTTCGATCGAGTTATTAAAAGTTATTTGACAAATCTATACTTTATCTAGTTAGTTAATAACTATTTATGATGCTCTCTCTCTCTAGCAACAATAATCAATTGCATTTACAAATTTATTAATAGAGTTACACACTAATTCCACAATCAATCAAATCAAAGCAAATCAAATCAAATCAATCATTTTTCATTCCAATCTGATCACCCATTTACATTTACATTGTTATCAAAAATGGGTGTGGTGGTGTTTAAAAAAATCTATTTTGCATGTTTTTTTTGCAACCATTTTTTTTTTTTTTTTAATGTTACAGGCAACTCATTCGCTAACACAGGATATCATTGGACAATGAAATTGGAAGACAACAAACACATTAACATGGTTGGTTTATATCGCCACCATTTTAAACTATTATATAATTGTTACCATTGATTAATTGGTTTTTTAATTCGTGATGTTTTAATGGGTCATTTTATATTTTTGTTGGTGTGTCTGTCTGTCTGTTTTGTCTGTCTGTATGTGTGTTGCTTGCATCCATTCCTCCTCATAGTAGTAAAATACTATAGACACAGTGATATGATTTCACTTTTTAATCTGTCGACAAACTGCATTTGATATCAAAACCAATAGATCAAATCAATGTATCTATATAGGTTTGATCAACAACACACACACTGACTGATTCTATCATTTATAAATCAATAATTATAAATTAAACAACCACCATTTCTCTACACCCCCAATTTATTGATCAATAAAACTTTTTTCTGTGGTTTGATCTATTTTAATAATATTTACATAGTTTACCATTGGCACTACTACTACTAAAACTACTACTAATACTGTGCAATGATATGATATGTTATTTTATGATTTTGATGAATCCATTTATCAAGTTTTGTTTTGTTCGTTGCCTAATTGTATTCATACCTACTTACTTACTCTCATCATCATCATCATTATTATTATTATTATCATCATCATCATCATCATCAAATCAATATACTATAGACAATAAATAAATCAATCAATCAGTCAATCAAACAATAATTTAATGATTAAAAATAACCCAATCATTTAGATCAACAATCCTACAATTTATTAATTCTATAAATTAACAAATCTATACACTACACGAACACCTTCTACACAACACCAGTATCTATTGAAAACCACATGTCATTCATCTACACAACAACAACAACAACAATCCACTTTCTCCTCCCACTACCACTACCACTACCACCACCACAAACAACCACACACTAAGCAAAACCAAACAAAAAAATAAAACAACAACAATAACAAACAAACAACCAATTTAACAAATTTATTTACTTACTACTCTCCATTCCATTTCCTTCTTTATGATTAATTAAATCATCATGAAATCCAATGATTCCTAATCATCATAATCAAAAAACAACAACAGCAATATTATTAAAAACAAAAACAAAAAAACAACAATAAGTAGGATTTATCAAAGTACACCATATATTATCTTATAAATCCTGTCAAAGTTTACACCTATTTATTTTATTTTTCAAGTTGATTCCACATAATTACTCCAAAATATTTGTTATACCAAAAATACATGTGTTGTTGTGTTGGTTGTGTTTGTAGGGTGAGTAGATATTGTCATCAAAGACATAACTATATCGTCTAATTGTGATTTATTATTATATTATTATTTTTCTCATCATCATCATCACAATAAATTATTATAATAGTGTTGTGCCTAATATATTAATTTTACTTACTAATAATATTTTATTATTCTATTTTAGTTTAACAAAAATCATAAAAATAAAATAAAATAATACAAGACAAATCAAATAATAATTAACAACAATATTAATCAAAATCAACAAGATTAATAATAATAATAATAATAATAATAATAGTTTAGTTTAGTTTTTTTTATTTTTTAAAAAGTCGACCTCTTAAAATATAATTATAATATAAATATTATAAACCCGCCTTAAAATAGAAATACAGAAAAGAATAATATAATAGTTTTTTCAATTCACACTCATTCACTCACCATCAATATCAAAATTTTTATCTTTTTTTTTTCATAGAATATAATAGTGTCACCACCTTTAGGTAGTTGTCAAAAATAAAACCATATATAGTCCATTAAATATTTGTTGTTTTCTAAAAACAACAAATAATAGTTTAGGAGAGAGGAAGAAGAAGAAGAAAAAAAAAAGAGTGATAATTTAGTTTGAAAAAAGAATCTTTATAATAGACAGTAATCATAGCTCAGACAAACCAAAACCATGGAAACAACTGGAAAAATAGTACCACCTATAATTAATACGTCGTCATCCTCCACTACAACAACGACAACCACAACATCACAAACTCAACCACCTGTGACTTTTCCATTTTACAAACCTGACGATGAGACTCAGATTGTCTATCTGCCGGGTGTCAACCGTAGAGAAGGTTCACTCGCTATAAAATGTTGTAATCTACCAAAATTGATCGAGAAAATGACACAATCATTAAATTATGGTAAGTCCATTAAATCAATTAATTAATCATATTTCCAAAACAAAAAAAAAAAAAAAAAAACACATTCTAAATTAATTTTCCAATCAACTTTAGATCACTACTTTACATCAGCGTTCTTTCTAACGTTTAGAGATTTCACAACACCACTCGAGGTAATGCATTTGCTGATATCAAGATATACAGGACCACCAGCTGATTCAAGTAAAGATCATCTCAGACTCTTTGAGATTGAAATTGAAATTGTACAAAACAAGTATGTTTGAAATATATAAAAAATAATAATAATAATAATAGTTGAATATGTCCATTAACTTTTATTCTTTCCTCAATAACCATGGTGTAGTGTAATTAATTTATTAAGACAAATAATTGGAACTTTAAACGATAATGATTTCCAAAATACAGAGTTGTGTAATGTAACGATTGAGTTTATAAACTCACTGGCTGAAGATATAAAGAATGAGTTGTTTCTCATGTTTTTCAGGGCTAGAAAGTTGGCAAAACCACCACATCAACAGCAACAAAAGGTGTCGCCAAGACCTCACACCACCATTATCTCTTCGGCCGCTTCAACTATGAGATTTTCATTTTCAGTATCACCCAAGACTCAGTCACCGAATGGCACTTCCAATGTGCTGACTGGTCTGCTCGGAACCAATGGAGCGAGCGGTGGCAGTCCCAACAGCACACAGCAACTGCAATCGAGTTCCAGCTTTGACAATAACTTTAATAATCGCGCTAGCATGAAAGTATCGAAAGGAATAATGAGCAAGATATTATCGCCAGGTGGCAGCACTACCAACCTTAGCAATAGCAGTATTGGAAGTAACAATAGCAACAACAGCAGCAGCAATGGTAGCAGTAGCAGTAGCGGCGGATCCGGTGGATTGAGTGGAAGTCATTCGACATCGATGCACATCAGCTCTGCGCCAATGTCACCATCGCACAATGTACAGCCACACCAACAACATCCAAATAATGTCGACGATGAAGGATACCCTGTCAGCAACGAGAAGACTGCATTCCTACCCGAAATGATTGCTAGAGAGCTGACAGTGATGGAGTTTGAATTGATTTCAGCACTGACATTGAACGAGTTTTCACAAAAAGCATGGACCAAAGAAAATCAAGCTATCAATATTCAAAATTTAATTGTTTGGTTTAATAGAGTATGCTAACAAATATTCATAAATATATTTAATTGTTATAATCATCTAACAAATCTATTATTTTTCAGATAAGTTCCTGGGTATCAACTAAAATCATATCAAAAGAAACACCAGAGGAAAGAGCAATTATCATTGAAGCATTCATCAATATTGCAAACTATGCTAAGGAGTTGAAAAACTATAATTGTGTAATGGAGATTTTAGGTAGTTTACATAATTCATCGATTAGTAGATTAAAGAATAGTTGGGCTGTATGTATCTATTTTTTTAAAACAGATGAAACAGAAGCAAATTAATATTAATGATTGATTTCAATTATAATTCGCATAGTTAATTTCACCAAAGGCAAATGAATTATTTTCAAGTCTTAATACGGTAATGAGTCCAGATATCAATTTTAAAATGTATAGAAAAATGTTAAGTTTAGTATCACCCAGTGAACCATGTATACCTTATGTCGGACTGTTTTTGACTGATTACACCTATCTGGACGAATCGAATCCACCATTGGTCAATGGTGGTATGGTCAATGTCGAGAGAATCTACCTGATTGGCAATAGAGTACAAGAGTTCTTCCAGCTCTTTACCAATTGCTCTTACAACTTCCAGTCACAACCACAGGTTCGTGAAGCAATTCTCGGTGAGAAGGTATGGGACGAGAATGAGACATTCCGTCTATCAAAGATTCGTGAGGAGCACAATAACAATGGAACGGTGTCACCCAGCGGCTCTGGAGGATCGTCTTCGTCGTCGTCGTCGTTGTCGTCATCGTCGTCGCATCACCATCAATCCAGCAGTGGTAGCAATCTGACAGTGTCGGGTGTGAGTGGATCGAAACGAAAGGGATTCGCTTCGAAATACCGTATGTCTTTTACTGGCAACGATCCACCTCCCTCCATTGCATCGGCGCTGAGCGAGCGTGACTGGAAGATTCTCTCGACCAACGCCAAGGTTATCAAGCACAAAAAGGGCAAGAAAATACTGGCAATGGGCGAAGTCAATAATAATCTGTATCGTGTCATGACAGGACGTGTCAAATTCGAGAATAATGCACCGGAAGAAACACGTTATCTTGAGTGTGGCGACATCTTTGGTGAAGACAGTTTCCTCTATGACCGACCGATGCTTTTCAATGTGATATCGGACAGTGACGATTGTGAGCTTGTCGAAATCGAAAAGACATTCATTCTTCAATTGTTTGCCAGTGAGCCGATCCTGGCTGCCACCTACTATAAGCACATTGCAGTGTTGATGGCTGAGCGTCTCAAGTTTGTACTCTCTGCCAACTCGAGTCACGAGTCGATCCAAACAAACAGTGCAATCGGAACCTATTCTCATTTGGGAAATTCACTCTCAAACTATGGACATGGAAGTCTGAGCACAAGCAACCTGCTGAGTTCCAGCAACTCCAGTGGCAGCAGTGGCGGTGGCAGTCCAAGCTCGCCCAACTCTGCTTCACCCAAGTTGACATCGATTTCGTCGTCGCAATCAATGTCTGCCATGAATTTGATGGACAACCGCAGAAAGTCGGTAGCAATCGAGCCAAGCACAATCGATATCCTCAGAAATGGAAATGACAGTCGATTCCGCTCTACCTTTGGCTTGTCGACCGAGGAAATCATTATCAAGAGCTACACCTGCAAGCACAACGGTATCACTGGAACATTGTATATCACAAAACACCATCTCTGTTTCGAGGGCAAATTCTTTGGTATCCACAAACAAAAGATGAATCCATTCGAGAAGATCACCAAGATTCTCCCAGAGAAGGGTGCGCTCAGTCTCACCACAAACGATAAGATTAAGAAATTCAGTTTCAAGAGTCAAGAGGATCTGAGTGAGGCCTATGGAATCATGACAAAGATCTGGAAGAATCACTTTGGAATTGTTCGCTCACCGACCAAGACTGTCAGTGCTGCCAACTCACCTCCAACTCCACCTCGTTCACCGAAGATTGGTCGTGGCGATTCGTTCACTGGAATCTCGGATCTGCCATCTAAAGAGGAGTGGGCACAACTTTTGAAGGGTGCCAAGACATTGACATTCAAAAAAGGTGAAATACTTGTTACCGAAGGCACTGAATTCCACAAGATCTTCCAGATCACTCGTGGCGAGTGCACCATCATCAAAGGATTGAACCAGACAGATATCAACACATCTGCCAATCCACCAACAATCTCCTCACTCTCACTGGGTCACAAGAATCTAACGATCCTTGCAAAACTATCTGCAGGTAGCATTTTCGGTGAGATGAATTTCCTTCTGCCCGGTGGATCGTCAACCTCTGTCGTAGTAAACAGTGATGAACTTGAAGTCTACACCTTAGAAGGTTACTTTTTAAATATTATGTTAAAGTCTAAACCACTGTTAGCTCCAAAGTTTTATAAATATTTGGCTTGTGTTTTAGAGAGTAGAGTAAAACAATATCGACAATCAATTGTAGTGTAAAAACAAACAAACAACAACAACAATACAATAATAAAGTAATAATAATGATAATCATCAGTAGTAGTAATAATAATAATAAGTAATAATAATTGTATCAACTCATGTAAATAAATCATTAAAAAAAACAAACCATTCCCTTATTTAATTTAAAAGAAATACTTTTTATTTAAAAAAAAGAAGACTAAATAGTTTATTTATTGTGTAGAGGTTGGTGGTTGTGATGAATTGGTTAAATTATTATTGGTATTTAGATCGGATGTCGTTGAGTTGCTTGGGACAACTGGTGATGTTGGAATAGCAGTGGAATTTGATGGTTGGGAAGGAGAGGTTTGTGTATTTGTATCAACAGGTGGATCGATCTTTTTGGGAGTACATTTAGGTACTGAATAGTCCCAGGTAATTGTTCCAGTGCATACTGAGCAATCGACTCCTTCAAAACCATTCTTACATTTACAGAAACCTTCACAATAGGACATCGATAAATTTCCACATTGACTATCGGCAAAACATGGTTTATATTGATCTGGTGATTTGAAAACACAAGCAGCAACACCGTTGTTCATGACAATATTGTCAGAGAAACATTCTTTACAGTCTTTTCCAGAAAATCTTGAAGTACATAAACAAGCTCCTTCGTTGCTAGAATGTGTGTAAAGCGAGAGTACCTGGTGATTTCCAGAGAGTTGGTTGATTCTGAAAACCTGGTTATCGTAGGTCGACACAAACAAAGAGCTCTTATCACTGTTGAATACTAAACCCTGTACAGGATTATCTAAAATCTTTCTTAGTTTAGAAATTGGACCGTTGATTGGCAATTGATATAAACCTGGTTGGTCAGATGGTGAGCCAAAGTATCCAATAGTCACTCCAAAATAGAAATGTGTAGAACTTCTCTCAAATGCAAAGGTTGTAAATGGCAAGGTAAGAACATTCTCTATTTGGGTACAATCCACACAAGATTTATCGACTCTCTTCATTGATTGTCTATGAATAAAATATAGATAACGATCTAGGACAAACATATGTCTGATTCCAACTACTGGGAATTGTATCATCTCCACTGTAATATTTTTTACAATTCTTTGTAGATAATTGTTGACCAGATAGGTTGAAGAATCGATATCATCAAAATAAACAGCCAAAGGATAGTATTGAGTAGTCCAATATGGCAGAAAAGTATTATTCTTTGGGAAATATGGACCATAGCTGTAAAATCCTCGGTTCATGGCAGTTAGAACTGGTAATTTTATTTCTTCATCATAGTAGAACATTTCTTGAGTAATGTGAGTACTGGAAAAGCTATCGGTCAACACTGAAAACACTCCAGATAATGAGGATGATCCATCTCCATTCAAGCTGACAATATACTTTAGCTCAGAGCTTTGGTTGAATCGACCTAGCAAGAATACCTTGTCTTGATGATTATCATATCCAATGCCAGGAAATATATTGAAATTGGAAAACTCACAATAACTATTGATTTGATTTCCACAATGTTTACTACCACTACATGCAATGGATAGCTCTATTAGAAACAACAAAAGAATTACCAAGACATTTGACCAATTATTTTTGTTTGAAAAAAATATATTTGAAATCATATTATAAGAAAATAAATATTATTAGAATAATAAAAATAATAAATAAAGTTTACAATAACAATAAAAATGATGAATTTTTTGTTTATCTAGTAAACATTGGTTAGCAATCAATCATTTAAATACCAATAATATTATTGATTTTTAAAAATCAATTGGAAAATTTAAAATATTTTATTATTTGTATTCTAAAAATCTTTAATTACTTCTTTGTATCATGATTGGATGGGGGAATAGTGTTGTTGTTGCCTGATAATAACCCACCAATAACAATCAAAATAATCAATGATGAATGAGATGACCATCATATAAAAATGGGTTTTAAATTTGGGGGAATAATTCGCACTATATTTTATATTGTTTATAGATGACTCTGATAAATCTGTTACACCAAAAACCATAACATTTATATTTCATTTACTTTACTACAAATAAAAATTCGATCTTAAGAATAATAAAAAAAAAGAAGATCTAATTAATATGTATATTTTAATTTTCAAGCTGTATTAAATTTCTAGTTTTTTAATTCTTTCCATTTTTTAAACTTTCCAAATTTCAATAGTTGTTTATTTAACCAACAACAACAATAACAACTTGAAACATTAATTATTGATTTGTTTAATTTAAATAAAATACTTAAAGAACTTGTACCAAATAACTAAAAAAATGGATAAAATACCAATAATGTATATAAATAGATCTTCTACTTATTTATTTTTATTTAATAATAAAATTATTTGTTTATATTTCTTTTTATAAATGGTCTGTTGAACTTGATTGTGTCATTTATTCAAACATTGTCATGAATATCTTTTCTTTTTTATTTGTGTTTGTTTTTAACCGAGTAATCAACCAATAAACAATTTTATAATTTTTTATTTTTTGCACTTAGGCTAAATTTTGAATCTTAATTGATACTCCAACTACGGATACACCAGCTTCTACATTACCAGAACTACGGTATACTCTAAGCTCAAGGGAATTAATTGAATTTTACAAAAAATTAGGATTGGATGAATTCCTCTTCAATGCAGAAAATCTCATTTCCGACCGAGCATAATTCCAGATGCTCAAGTACATTAGGAATACGGAATTGGGAATAGTCTACTTAGGCATGTTAATTTATCACTTCAATAATCAAATTCATTTATATTATTTTTAAAAAGAAAGTAGTTGAGAAACTAACTTATTGTATACTTATCAGATAAAGATAAAAATTTAACCATTTAACGCTACCCTACACAATTGGAAATAAAGAAATGAGTGTGAGCGCCACCAAGATTAGTTTTAAAGGAATAGTTTCTAAAAATAATCAACAACCATCATATTTTGATATGCCCGCATTGGCATCCGATCGCTGGAACTTTGTTTTATTTGAACGAACTGGTGCTGTGCAGTTTGTTGTATCGAGAATAAAGAACATTTCTTTTATATACAACCATTACACTCGATCAGTTCAAACTAATTTTAAATATAGCTTTTGGACAATGGCCAGGGTAATGGTTGATGGAGGGTAAGACACAAAATGGGAACTGGCATTTTTTTAATAAATAAATTAACATATTTGTTTTAAAAATTAATTTTATATATATTTATTGGTCTTCATTGGCATTTTCATCTTGGTCGTCGTCGTCTGGAAAAGATAATGAAAGTTCATAGAATCTTGGGTTGATTTCATCTTGTTTCATGTCAATGTTGATTTCAATCTGACCTGCTCCACGTACATCGATTACGTCCGGCAGTAGAATGGTTGTTTGCTTCCAATGTGTATATGGCATGCCTGGTGCAGTGTCCAATCTGACCGTCGAATTACTTCCAACGAAATAGCAATTGAACCAAATTGCAAATCCATGAATCAAAGTACATCTCTCATCGTCAATACTAAAAGGAATATTCTTTACAACAATATCTCTAAGTTCTTCTTTTGTCACCTTTGTAAAATCAATCTCTATAATATCTTTTGGTTCACTTATAACTGTATCTCCTTTTAAATATTCAATCTTCAAATTAAGAAATTTATATTAATATGATATGAACCTGTCAATTGAAAAAACAACAAATTATTTTAAAATAAACTTACCAATGGTTGTGATTGTAATAAATGCATTGACATATCTTTGAAGATGGAAAAGTCGAAACCATATACATCTGACCAGTGACCTACACGTTCGTGCATCAGCTGCTCGAGATTTACAGGTGCAATTTTGATATCACCTTTGGTTGGGAATAGTATTCCGTTTGGTTTTAACCAACGGTCACGTGCATCAAGCACACTCTCCAACATGGATTCATGTAAAAGATAGAATCCCATCCACTCTGAAATGATAACATCGACCTTTCCCTGTGGAATATCGGATTCATCGATATCTTCAACTCTCTTGTGTACCACTGTAATGATATGATCCAAATGGTTAGCTTTCACCAGTGACTTTGTGAATGGTGCCATCTGTGATGCCTCTATCGCATAGACTTTGGCTGCACCACACTTTGCTGCAAACATCGATAGAATACCTGTACCTGCACCAACTATTTATATATTTAGTTATAGAGAGTAGTAACAACAAACAATTGTTCTATTTGTCAATATACATGTAAAATCTAATATACCAATTGATATTATAACAATTACCATCCATTACAATCTTATCTTTGAAATCTATTACATTCTCTTCTATTGCTTTGCGATATGCTAATGTTCTTGTAGTATCCTTTAACATTACATCATGAACGTTCAAATCGAAATAACTTTCAAAATATTCATTATTATTATTTGATGATTCTTCATCATTATCACTATAGTTACTATTTGAATCATTCATATTATTATCTTCATTTTCCATCTTATAATTATTTAATATTATTTAATCAAATAAAAAAAGTTGGTTCACGACAATGAAATTAAATAAATCGTTCGTTTTTTTTTTTTTTTTTATCATTCATAAACATTTTGCTTCATTGAATATGGAAAAGGATCTCATTGGAATCGATTCTTGTATGTAAAGAGAAAAAAATAATGGAACTTGATTTTTCAAATTTATTTTTAAATATTATAAATTTTTTCTATTAATTATTGTCGGTTTTAAATTTTACTCCTATACTAATAATTATCATTTAATTGTTTTTTTGCCTGATGTGTCAAAAAACAAGATTTTGTTTCGATCATCCCATTCAATCAATCATCAAAAAATTTTGGCTTTTGCAAAAAAAAAAAAACCATCTTTGTAGAAAAAGACGTTTTTTTAATTAAAAAAAACAAAAAAAGCTGATATTTATTTTTAATGATAGAAATAATACAGAAGGTTGAGTTTTTATCAATCATTCTTAATTAGTTCTAATATTTATCTAAGTTATTAATCTCAGAAGTAAATTCATCTAAATTGATACTAAAAAATCACAGGACAACGAGATCACCATAAATAACTATATCCAGAATTCAAAAACAAGTCGCATTATGATTTGTTTCTGAAACCACATTAGTTTTAATTCGTAAGCATTGCATACTCTTCTTATTGCATTGTCATTGTCATTGTTATTGTATCTATTATTAAACTAAAATTAATTTTCATATATAAGTCATTTAGTTTCAAATTTTATTGAATGATCATAAATTTCAAAAGAAATGTCTGATAATAATAATAATAATAATCAACAACAGAAATTTAATTCTGTTTTTGCATACTGGGATGGTAAAGACAAGAGAGTTCAACAATCAAAAGTTTTATTACCACACATCAGAAAACCAGTTGCCAAAGTAATAAATGTAAATTCCAACAACCCAACCACCACAACTTCCACCACCACCACTGCTGCCAACACCAATATACCTCAAAACCAACCTGTACAATCAGTTACACAGCCAACACAAACATCACTAGATCAAGTTGTTCCATCAACCAATGTTGTTCAGTCCAACAATAATGAAGTTGTTTCTGTCGTCGAAGAAAGTAAACCAGTAGAATCAACATCTTCAACTAGCAATGGATATGATAATGTAAAGAAAGAAGAAACAACTTCTACTGAAATTTCTACTGAAACTTCTACTGAAACCTCTACTCCAAAACCAAAGAGTGGATATGAAAATGTTGAAGTTAAACCAGTTATTGAAACATTGCAATCACCAGATACAAACAACAGCAACAACAATAATAATAGTAATAGTAATAATAATTATGGATATGATAATGTTATGAAGAGATCAATTGATGTTAGTTCAGGAAGTAGTATTCAAGAGGATTTGGTAGTTGGAGAATCATCAGAGGTTTCAGTGAGTACTCCAGTATCTGGATATGCAAATTACACACCACATTCAACTCCGGTGAAATCACAGTACGATAACTTTGGTAAATCGGAGACACCACGTGAATTGACTGCCGATGAACAAGCCGAACAAATCGTAAGAGATGCCGAGCGCGATCAAATGGAGATGTCGAGAATCTCTGCTTCCACCTATGGCTCGGTCTATGGTGGATCGATGTATACCACCTCCTATGGCTATGGTGGCGATACCACCGACGATCCCTACGCAATCGAAGACGACGAGCCTGAAGAAGACCGTTGTGACATCTCAGAGTCTGCATTGCTACACTTGGAGTCGCTGTGTCACGAGAATGCATATGCCGACCTCGTCTATAGTGAATCGGATAGGCTTGATACTGAGTCAAACACCCCGAGTGCAGAGGTCAGTGCTCCGGCTGCCAGAGTTACCTCTAACAACTACCAATTGTTACCATCGCCATCCAACTATTATATCAGTACATCGGCAGCTCCCTCTGGATACTCGCATCCCAAGTTCCTCACCAACAAGGAGAATCTCCGTGAGAAGTCTGTCACCGATGAATCCCTCACCTCTTGGAACTCTGAATTCCAGAGAATTCTCGAGATGGACGATTCGCTTGAGAAGTTCGAACGTCTCGCCAGTTTGGAACACGATTTCGTTTATGCCGCCGAGTCGTATGGACGTATTATTATCTCTGAACATTTGTTGCCGGATGAGTTAAAGACTATCAAACCGGTGAGTGTCGGTGGTATTGCCGGTGGTGAGAAATACATTGTCCAAGGTATTCTCTTTAAGTTTGCAGTGGAGAGCGATACCTACGGATTGTATGGATCCGATGAGAATGCAATGAAGACCGCTGCTCACGAGTTGAACGGTTGCACTTCATTCTTGAATTGCGGTATCAAAGGATTGCACGTACCATTGATGTCCTACATAGATTATCGTGGTTTCCGTTTGATGGCACTCTCGCTGCTGCCGATCACCAAGAAAACCTTGGTCTATGGTTCGTCCGATGCCGGACAAACCGTTTACACCGCCAACACAATGTTCAACCACTTGTTTGGATCGGCTGCGAAAGTTCTCAATTTGAAATCACATCGTGTTCAAGATAGCTCTGGAGATCTCAAGACAATTCAGGGACCGATCGATATTGAGGGACACGTTGGAACCGACGGACGTTTCTACCTGTTGGATTTCGCGAGATTGTCGCCACCCGAACCACCTATTCACCGTGGTGCCTACCTCTATCGTTTGTTGCGTTTGGAGCTGGTCAGAACTTTCACCACTCCACTTTGTAGCGATGCGTTCTCACCGATGTCAACAATCTCCGTTGAGAATCACAATGCCGAGGTCAAAGAGGCCTATGACTTCTTGATGACCACGATCATCCCGAAATTGGCGATCACACTTGACGTCAAAGACTCTCAGGCCATTGAGAAAATGGAATTCTCAAAGATATTCCATTCGGAGGGTGTCAACATGAGACAAATCGGTCAGGTCAGACAGTATGCCCAAAACGAAATGGTCAGAAGATACCTAATGACCGAAGCACTAGTTAGATGTCTAAAGAGTTTAACAAGAGAATTATTAAGAAGAGAAATGAAAAAGACACATCTTCCATCTGATTATCCTTATAGAAGTAAGTTTTCCTTTTCTTTGATGTTTGCGATATATTTTATTTACTTACTCATCTTTTTGCTATCTATTTATTTAGGGGTGATGGTTAATTTCTTGAATTTAATATTTGGAGAAGGACAAGCAACAAAGACTTTCTGGGATCAAATTTTGAAACCAAAACTCGAAAAGAAATTCAAAGGAATCTTTAATCTTCCACCAAAGGGTGTGATCGAGTTGCCAGTCGATAGAAAGATGACATTTGAAAAGGATACGGATCTAAAGTCGTTCTTGGAGCGTGGATCAACTAGAACTGTTCTATTGAAGCGTTTCACTGCTTCCATTGGTTTGGTGTTGAGTAAACAATCAAAGAGTGAATTCTACGTTTCGGATTCAGTTACTTTTGTTGACCCCGATATCATTGAAATGAGAACACAAATCACCAGATTGAATATCATCGATTATGCCGACGGTATGAGTTTATACTTCAAGTCACAACAACTCAAGAAGGAGAACAACGCTCGTAATAGACTTCTCTCCATCTCCAAGAGTCGTTTGGAACAATCGCTACACTCAATGAGTACCAACTACGCTGCAATCTTCCAACTTGGAAATGTCATTAGATTAATGGCCAGACTAGATTTAAATCGTAAAGAAGACACCTATATTCTGGCAGAGAACACCTATCTTTCTTTAGAGAAATTAAGAATCGATCAGAATTTATTATACCAGTAAGTTGGATTAATTAATTAATATGGAAATCCAAAGTTTGAAAACAAACAAATATTAATTTTTTATTTTCTCACTTTCAAATATAATATAGATCAAAGTTATTCAGAGCTAAAACAATGCTTTCAAGAATACCAATTGCATATCATAAGAAAGAGGTATTGGTTACTTGTATTGATGTTTTGAATGAAGCACTCGGTTTGACATCAAACAAATGTGAGGCGACATACTATATTGCCAAAGCCAAGAAATTGTTGTTCGATAACAATTTACCACATCAAACTCAAGAGGAATTCGATGAGATTATCAATCATCTTGAATCGCTCTTGAAGGAGGAACCAAACAATGCTAAAGCCAACTTCCGTTTGGGTGAATACTCTGCTTCCTGCCCGAAATTCAACAAGAAGTCTCCAGAGGAAGTATCCAACTACTACAATCTTGCAATCACTGAGGATAACTCTCTTATCAACAAGATTGAGCCAACCATTAAACATACCGTTTGGTTATTCTTCCCAATGACCAGATCTTCACCAAAGTTGTTCGATCTTGTCAAAACCGAGTTGTCACAACTCGCCAAAATCGCAATTCCAGAGCAGTTCCAAGTGTTGGAGTCTGACTACCCATTGTTTGACAGTGTCGGTGAACAAGTTAAATTCAGCTTGCTCAACGCCAAAGAAGATTCGATTCGTAGCATCATTAGAATTCTAAAGTTCAAGCCAAACAACTTGAATCTCATGAAAACCGCATTCCAACCGCAGTCGCCAGTTTTCACTGACTTTATAAATCTTACTTCGCTCACCTCTATCAATCTTGGTCGTTGCACTGGAGTTGCCGATTATGTCATTGATACATTGGCAACCGTCAATCTCAAGAAGCTGAGATTCCACAACACCGAAGGCATCACTGACACCTCCATCAAGACACTCGCCGAGAAGGCACCGAACCTCGAAGTTCTCGATGCCGGATCTTGCGATGTCATCACTGGCGAACACTTTAGCACTCTGGTTGCCAGCTGTCCAAATATCAGAAAGTTGGCACTCCCCAAAAAGGTTGGTTTCGAAGCTGTCCAAAATTGTTTGCACAATCTCAAGAAGTTGGTTGCACTCGACCTCTTGGAATGCGAAGAAATTCCCAACACTTTCTACTCGGCTGCTTTCAAGCAATCGGAATCGATCATTAAAATTCGTTCAACCATTGGATTCCCTCACTTCCAATTGTCACGCCAAAACCTTACTCATATGGTTACACGTCACATCCACAACGAAGGAATGATCACTTTGGGAGGTCAATCTATTCCACTGATGCGTTCGACCATCACCGCCAATCATTTCTTCCATCAGCGTGCTATCCATGTTTTCTTCTATATCAATCATCCACTCGTTAAGTTTAGAGATTACAATACAGTCGAGCGTGGTAGCAGCTGGGTGAAGGTTGGTCAGATGACAATCGTAGAGAAACCGGTTTTCAAGATTACCGTTCACAAGTTGCTACGTTCCTCCAATACATGGGATCACGAATTCAACGTTCCAGTGCCAACCATTGGATTTGGACCGACATCTGTCTTCAATGTCGGATACTACGGAAACACACTCAAGTTTAATTTTGGAACGGTTGCAGTTCACGGTGGAATCGGTTACAGTCTCACTATGTTCAACGAAGCCGGTACCAAGGTAATTTTTGCTACCAACCAAAGAACACTCAAATTATCATCGCATTTCGAAATCTATGAGGCAGTTCCATCACATTGGATGTACCTTGTTTTATCACTTTCTCAAATGAATGTTACATTACAATAAAATAATTAAAATATAATTGTATAAAATTTAAATATATTTTTAATTTATTTTCTATTTTTAAATAACTTAATATATGAATTATTTAATTTAACAAAGATTGGAAATGATTTGATGTTTATTCCAATTTTAACAGTGACCACATCCACCTCCAAGTAGACCATTTAATAGTCCACCCAACAATCCTCTGCCACCTCCAAGACGAATATCGACATCGATATCAATATTGATTCCACCATTTCCACAACCTCCACAGGCAATGTTGTTGGCAGATTGAGATGAGGAGCCACTAAATGAACTGTTAAAATTGTTCTTTGTCATCGAGGATGGGGTAACATTTCCAAGGGATGAAAGAGATTCTATTTAAAAAAAAAAAAGATTAAAATTTTTATTAGTTCTAAAGAATTTAGAAAGAGAATGGTTGATAATAATACTTACTTAAGATTGTCATTTTTGATTATTTGATATAAGATTTAAAGAATTTAATATTAGATTTAAAGTATTTGATTTGTTGAATGAATAAATGATTGCAAATTCAATCTATTTATACTTGATTATAGATAGGGATCTTTTCCTTTCTGAAGAGACATACTGTATAGTTGTCACTTAAAGCGATTCTTTTAAAATATTTACTACCGGAATCATATTATAATGAACAAGTATTAATATATATATTTGGGCACCAAGCATATGGTTAACATAGGCACTTAATCAAATGTTGGAGGTTATTCAACTTAAGTAATTGAACTGTTAGATATATAAAACTATTCAACTGATTCAGGTGTTTAAAAAAAAAACATTTCAAATTTATAAATAACTATCTGTCACATGTGTATTACGAAATTTATATACATATATATAAATAAAAAAAAGATGAATTGCTGATAGATGATCATTTTTTTTATCCTTTTTAGTTAAATCATTTAAATGGGGTGTGTTCAAAGAAACATCATCAACTAACATTGAATTGTGTGTTGTTTTAAAAAATAAAAATAAATTAATACAATTGATGAGGATAACCTCTTTTAAAGTACAGATAAGCAAATTATTCAAATAAATATTGATTTTTACAGTTACCAGTTTAGAAATTAAACTATGAGTGTAATAACAATAGATGAAATCTATTCATCTTTAGGTATCGATATTATTATAGATGCCATCAAACTTTGAACAAATAATATTATATCATTATTAATTTTTAAGTTTGATTTAATAAATATTAAAAAAAAAAATAAAAAATTATTTACCATTGTACTATCATTAAATTCTAAAAGCTAAAACAAAATTGAGTAGTAGTACTATTTTTTAAAATTGGTATTATTTTATCATCATTTTTTGAGTTCACTAAATCTTTACTTGATTTCTAGTAATAAATAAGTAATCGAATTTGAAGTTAATTAATTTTATATTTGAACATATCACTAGTGATATACAAAGAATATTTGATCAACAAAAAAAAAAAAAGAAAAAAAAAAAAGGTTATGATGATTTTGATTTAGGTTTTTAGGAATGAAAAGTTTTTTAAAACTTTTTTTTAATTTTTTTATTAAACATTATTGGATATTTATATAAACTAATAACAAAGAAAGATCATTGTAAAACAAAACAAAACATTTTTTAATATTAATAAATAAAAAGTAAAGATTGCTATAAAGTAAAGATTGTTTACCTTAGTTAGTCAGTAAAGTTTTTGTAAATAAGTTAAACCTTTTTTTTCTTACTATAATATAATTATAAAAAGTAGTAGTAAAAGTAAAGAAAAGAGGAACAATAGATAATTAAGAAAAGTTAGATTATAATGGGAAATACAGTGGGTGCTCCCATTGTTTCAGATTATCTTGAGGATGAAATAGGACCGATTGTATCACAACAGTCGATGGGTAACAGTAGATTTCTAAAGACATTGAAAGCTATTCACGATACTGAAGGTTATGTAGTTGTTAAAATATATAAAAAGAGAAATGCAAGAGAATCTTTAGAGAGATATAAAGTACAATTAGATGGTATGTAGTTTTTTTATTGTTATATATATAACAACAAACAACGAGTAAAGTAATAAAGTGAAATCTAATATAAATATGTATATTATTATTTTAAAAACAGAGATAAAAGGTAGTTTTGAAACAACATTATTCTTAAATTTAATGCCATATCAAGATTTTGTGGAGACAGAACGTTCGGGATATCTCATTAGACAGTACTTTAATAATAATTTATATGACCGATTGACTAGTACACGTCCATTCCTCTCGCTGATAGAGAAGAAGTTCATTGCTTTTCAATTGTTGCAATCGTTGAATCAGGCGTTCTTCAAGGGAATCTGTCACGGTGATATCAAGTGCGAGAATGTCATGATCACAACCACCAACTGGATATACCTCTCGGATTTCGCTTGTTACAAACCAACGTTCATCCCGGAAGACAATCCAGCGGACTTCTCGTTCTACTTTGATATTAGCGGTCGACGTACCTGCTACTTGGCACCGGAGCGTTTCTACGAGTCGAACCGCGGTCCACCGGCAGACGGCGAACTCACCAACAAAATGGACATCTTCTCGCTGGGCTGTGTCATTGCCGAGCTGTTCTTGGAGGGTCTGCCCATCTTTGACTTCTCGCAGATGCTCAGTTACCGTCGTGGCGAGTACAACCCGGAGACTGTCATCCGACGTATACCGGACATTCACATACAATCGCTGATCATCCACATGATTCAACACAACCCGGAACATCGATTCTCACCGGAGAAATACATCACCCAGTGGACAGAGCGTGGCGCATTCCCCAGCTACTTCCCGTTCGTGCACCAGTTCCTGTCGTCGCTCATGAAGCTGGAGCACGACGACCGCATCAACTGCATCAGCGATCGCTTCGACGAGATCATCGACATCTTCACACGCAAACCAAAGACCGCACCAAACACACCGCTCTCTGCATCGACCGCATCCACTGCCAACAACACACCAAACACAATGACACCACCCATTCAATCTACACCTTCAACACCACAAACCATTAGAATGAATAGTAATAATAGTAATAGTAATAGTAATTTAAATGTATCTAATACAACAACAACAACGACAACGACGACAACAACAACAGTAAATACAAATACAAATACACCAACATTACAGACATCTGCATCTACTATAACAAGATCAGTTGCATTCCCTTCGACCGATTACACTACGAACAATAACATCTCGACCATTACCAATATCGTTTTGGAAACAGAGAGATTCATTAAGGAATGCGATAATCTGAATATCTCTATTCCAAAGGATAACACCAATAATGATAATATGAAGAATTATATCGATAGACAACAACAATATTTATTGGAACAACAGCAATTACTACAACAAAAACAGAATATTGGTATAGATCATGATGATGATGATGATGATAATGCACCAGTGGATACTAGCAGTGTAGGCAATGAATCAAGTGCACAACAACCATCGATACCTGCAATCGTCGATGGATTAGACTTACTGTTGGCAACACTCTACAGTTCACTTCGTTACTGTCAGTACCCACAAACCAAAGTCAAGTGTGTCGGCTCGCTCTTTGTTAAATTCGCTCAGCATCTCGACGATGAATGTAGACTTCAAAAGATTGTACCATATATAATGAGCATGATATCACAGGATCAACCAACTCTAGTTCGTGTAGAAGCATTACGATCTCTTTCTAAAGTTGTAAGTATCACGTTTATTGATTCACTTTACATCTAATTATAATATAATCTCTAATTTTAAATTATTATGTTATGTTTCAAAGTTGGAAATGGTACAAACATTCCCGCCCAGTGATTCATTTATATTCTCTCAATATATATTGCCATCTTTATCACAGTTGACAGAGAGTACATCGGAGGAGATCGATCGTATTGCTTTCGCAGAGATCCTACCACAGCTTGCAACAACAGCAAAGAGATTCCTCGAGATTGCACAACATTATCGTGACTCTGAAGGAATGGAGAGAAAAGATCTACAGAAATATAAAGTGTACGATGCTGAGCTATCTGAACTACAAGATCTTTTCTACTCAAAAGTTAACGATCTATTAACAAAGGATTCATGTAATACTGTAAAAAGAATAATTTTATCTGTATGTTAATTAATGTCTACTTTTTTAATAGTTTATCTATCTATTAACATTAACTAACATTTATTTATTATTGTAGGATATATATAGACTATGTGTATTCTTTGGTAGACAAAAGACAAATGATTTAGTGTTACCTTTGATTACAACATTTTTAAATAGTAAAGATTGGCAGTTGCGATGTGCATTCTTTGAGAATATTGTTGCGGTTTGTACTGTTGTCGGTGCCGGTAGTCTGGAGTCGTTCATCTATCCAATGACGTTGGAAGCTTTGACAGACGAAGAGGAGTTTGTCACTGAGAAAGCACTGGCGAGTCTGTCAGAGTTGTGTGAGTTGGGACTGTTTAGAAAAGCGATACTTTTGCAGCTGCTGGCTAGAGCATCGCCACTGCTACTGCATCCAAACACCTGGATTCGATATGGTGTCATCTCGCTGATTACCAAGATTAGTTCGCGTCTCTCCAAGACCGATTTCTACTGCTACGTGAAGCCGAGAATCTCGCCGTTCCTCGTTGCCGACATCAACGACCAACTTACTGAAGCCAACCTACTCCAACTCTTGATTCCGGCAATCTCACGCGATGCATTCAAAAAGATGGTGAATCCACTCAATCGGAGATTATTCCCATTGGTTCCACCACCTCAGATCGTTGACTTGGCGCCTTCATTGGGGTCGTCGACGTCGTCTTTGGGAGCATCGTCTGGCGGCGGTAGTAACAAAAAACTACGTGACATCTCTTCGAATCTTGGAAAGCAACAGAGCAACTATGATTCCACCGATGAATACACCCACTTTTTGAATGATTTGGGTATTCCTGAGGTCGACCAACCAAAGATTCTCAAGATCTTTGACTATTTCCTTCACAAGAAACCCTACAAGCAAGACGACGAAGCGAATCAACAGGAAAGACAGAATGCTCCTATTGTTCGTGTTGCGAAACTACGTGCGCCAAACGATATGATTCCACCTGCATCTGGCGCGCCACCAATGTCGGCAACAGGCACAACCTCCACGCAAAAGGCATCGGGTAATAATGGCCCTGCCATAGAAACACTTGTCAATCCGGCAGATCTGAATATTGTCAATAAGAAATTCGTATTGAATCCAAAAGATCACAACGTTAGCTTCTCTCTCAACAATGTACTGTCGGTGGAGACCACCACCGATTGCTTCATACGACCGCCACCTGCCATCCCCGACCTCGGTGGATTCTCAGAGTATGGAATTCAAGGTCAGCAACAAGTCATTAGTCAGTGGCGTCCAACCGGTATCTTGGTATCACACTTTATCGAGCATCGCGATGCCGTCAATGAAATACAGGTGAGCAATGACAACCTGTTCTTTGCAACCGCTTCCAACGATGGAACGGTAAAGATCTGGGATTGTTTGCGTATGGAGAAGCGTGTCACTAATCGTGCGCGTCAGACCTATGTCCACGAGGGTAGAGTCACATCGATCTCGATCTGTGAGAAATCACACACGATTGCAGCGGCCAGCGACAAAGGTTCGATTCACATCTTCCGTGTTGAGATTGGTGGTCGACAAAAGAATGAGAATATCAAATACTCTGGACTGTCGACTGTTCGAAACATATCGGATTGCGAAGGCAATATCTTGGCGGTCGATCATTACAATACAAATTCAGCATCGATTGTAACCTATGCAACTAGCAAGGGTGGTATTCACGGTTGGGATCTTCGTTCGAAACAAGAGGCGTTCCTCTTGAACAACGAGCTAAGCTTGGGTCTGGTACAATCGTTCCTGATCGATCCCGCTAGAAATTGGCTGGTAACATGTACCAGCAGAGGATATCTTACCTGTTGGGATCTGAGATTCAAGATTCCGCTGTACAGTCATCGTATCACCAACGGGCGAATCTTCAAGATGTCGCCATACTACGGAACCAGATTCACCAGTGAAAGTTGGATATTCTTGGCGTCGGACAGCAAGGACAATGTCATCGTTTGGGATCTGGCATCAAAGAATATCACTAGAATCTTCAGACGTTCTTATGCACCAGAGATTAACAATCCTGTTGTCGTCGACCAATCGTCGTTCCAACAACAACAATCATCTTCTGTCATCAATCAAATGTCACAGTCTACTTTTATCAATCCACTATCGACCTCTGTACTTACACCATCGCCAACTTCGTCGAATGCCACACTCTCTGAATACGACTTTGGCATTGAAAACATGAAACCTTCGCCATCGCCATCGAATCCATCGCCAATCTCGATGCGTCTCAATGCCACCGGTAGCATTGGTGGCAATCCACTGGGTGGCAGTGTTAATATTCCAATCTCTCAGTCGATGATGATGACATCCAGTCAAATCGTTGGAAACGATCCGGCCATAGGTCAACAGGCACAGCAAGCCGCAGCAGGCGCGCCAAGCTCCACCGACAAAAAGACTCCTTCAGTGCGTGCCATACTCAGTCCACCAAGTTGTTCCTATCTTATAACAGCAGGTGATGATAAGCGTATCAAATATTGGGACTGGGACAACCCAACACAATCATACTATATATCGCAAGGAAAGGAGCCACCTATGCCCTATTCACACAAGGTCAGCTTTATTTCACAACAAGGTACTCAAATCAACGAGGAGATTTGGGATGCCAATCCTACATCAAACTCTGGCTATTTGCAATCACCATCCAACTCTAGGCCCAAACAAAAAGTTGGAACAACCCCTACTATTCATCATCAAGAGACTATTCTGGATCTCAAAGTAATGGAAGTACCACAACCAATGTTGATATCCGCCAGTGCTGATGGTGTTGTAAAAATTTGGAAATAAAAAAAAACAATCAATCAATCATTATATTTTTGTATCAATAAATAGAAATAGCTAATAATTATTGTTTGATCTATGTCAATATCATTTATGTTTAAGAAAATAATTAATCCTTTTACAAAGATTTTTTTTTTTTAAAATAATCATAATAAGATAAAACATTATTAAAATTTTTTTTTGTATTTTAATATTTTAATTAACTACATCAACCAAAAATGGAAAAAGAACCTTGTGGATGCTGTTTTTGGTTGTAAAAAAAATTTTGATCATACCAATCAAAAATAAACAAAAATTTTTTAAAAATTCTAAAAATAAAAATAAAAAAAAAGTAGAGATAAAATTACAACAATGATAGAACTACCTCATCTCATTTTAAGATATATTATTAATCATGTGGATTGCAATACCGATAGACTCAATCTCTCGTTGACATGTAGAAAGCTATATCAAGAGAGAGACAAATATCTCATTTTCGATACCACTCATTTCACTTACTCTGCACTCTTTTACGAGAGATCATCACAAATCAATTTGAATTCCTATCGACAACAATTTAAATTTTCACAAAACAATCGTCTCAATCAATTGTTATATATAGTAGATGATCGTAGTAGTGTTACTACCAAATCTACTTCTTCTTCCTCCACTTCCACTGCTACTTCCACTTCTACCTCCACTTCTACAACTAATACCTCTGACTCTAAAAAAATTCATTACTATATTCACAATAACACTGTAAATAAGAGTGAGTGTCTCGAGTTCAACGAGCAATTGCAACCGGTCTTAAACTTTAGATACCTGGAAGACCAACCGCTCTCAAGACTCATTACAACCATTCGGTTTGATGATGACATTCTAGAGTTTGATCCACTGTTACTACCGAGCACGGTCCACACCCTTATATTGGGAGAGGAATTCAATCGTCCTCTCACTGAAGGTATGATTCCAGCTGGAATACAAACCTTGGTATTCGGATACAAATATAATCAATTACTATTTCCAGGTGTGCTTCCTCCGAGTGTAACCGATCTCACTCTACAGGAGTCATTCAACCAACCACTCTATGTAGGATCGATACCTTCGAGCGTCAGGAAACTAACTTTTCAAGGAAGATTCAATCGCGGTTTGCAACCTGGCCATATACCGGAAGGTGTTACCAGTCTGACGCTCTCCCACAACTTTAACCAACCACTGAAATCCGGACATCTTCCAGAGACTCTGACATATCTATGCTTTGGATTCATCTATAATCAACCGTTGAAACAAGGCGATCTTCCATCGAATCTTCGAACGCTCATTCTCGGATTCTGCTTTAATCAACCGCTCGATTTCGCATTGCCCGCGCAACTGGAAACACTGAAACTAGGTCAGCATTTCAATCAGAGTATATCACCTCAGACTCTGCCGCTCTCTCTTACCTCTCTGACTATCGACGGTAAATTCAATTTCCCACTCGAGTTGCCACCCAACATAACTTACCTGGATCTCGGACTTCAGTTCACCCAAAACATTCAACTACCACTGAATGTTACTAATCTTCATATTGGTCGACTGTTTAAGCAACCGGCGTCACACTACGACACACTCTACTATCTAACGACGCTTACGATCGATACCAAGATTCCGGTGATTCCACTTACCGTCACTGAACTCACCATTGACTTTAATGAAACGATTGAAATCGGCTACATACCAAACTCTGTTTGCAAACTAACGTTTGCCTTTAACTTTCAATCGCCAAACCTCACTCCCGGCACCATTCCGGCGTCGGTTCGCGAACTCTACTTTAGCGATACGTTCAATCGACCGTTGTCAAGCGGAACACTGCCATCAGACTTGAGGAAACTACTGTTGGGAACGGTCTACAATCAACGATTGCCAGCGCTACCAAACAGTCTTAGGCAATTGCAGATCGGACAGTACTTTAGTGAACCGTTCCACCAAAAGACGATACCGCCATCGATTGAGCACCTGACTCTCACCATCACACAGTCTGCTTCGATCCGATCGATTGCCATACTCAACAACATCGAGCAATGGCTACCGAGATCACTGAATAAACTCACTCTGATATCGCCACTGGTCACCACCGACTATACAATACGACGACTATCAGCTTCACAATTCCAAATCATCGATGATCGCATTATGACCGGTGGATTCATCCATAAAACTCAACTTAAAAACTTTATCAACAAATGTATAAATGAGTCGACATCTCCTTTTAAAATGTTATTGTAAAATATCAAATCACAAATCACAAATCAAAAACAACCTGTAAAAATAAATCAAAACAAACAAAACAAAGTTAAGTCTTTGATGAAATATGTAAATTAAATAAATCTTTAACAAAAAATAGTGTTAATTTTAATTATTATCTTTTTTCTAATTTTTATAAACAATCAAGAGATTTGATATTAAACATATATTTATTCTAATATTTTAAAAACAACTATTATCTATCAAAAATGTCACACAAAAGAAAAAGATAATGATTAAGGGGGTATTCAATAACAATGGTTATAATTATAATAAAAAGATACAGATAAAAACAAACATTTTTCAATTATTTGTAGTGACTTGGTGGTTTTATTTATTTTATATTTTTTAAAAAATAAAAGTGTTTGTTTTAATCTATTTTGTGATTGATTGTCTTATAACACTGTTTTTATTTATTTAATCAAAATAATATTATTAAAATAATATCTTTTTTTTTTTCAAACCTTTTTAAATTATTTTTAACTTTATTTTAAAGTAAAGGATCATCAATCATTATTTGATAATTTAATATGGGTGGAAATCAAAGTAATATAAATAATTTTAATAATAATAACAATAGTAGTAATAGTAGTACAATTGTAATATTAAAAGATGATAATAATAATTTAAATAAACAAAAATCATTTAGAAAGAAATTGAAAAATGTTTTTCAAAAAAAAGATAATATTAATAATAATAATGTAGTAGAATCAATACCAACATCAACATCCTCTGAAATATTATTTTTAGAGGATGAACAGTTGACAGGACCAGAAAATAGAATACAAGAGATTTATGATAATCTTTGTTTAGAAGAACAATCAAGGGTATCTGAATATCTATCATTAATGAAAACTGTCAGTTTCTCTCATTTTCAATTAAAATGTCAGCGTCAATATCTTCAAAAGTGTTTGGATCTACACGAAAAAAATAAAGATATCGATCCTAATCTTTATTTACTACTCCAAATTCAATTAGAAGAAAAATATATCAATGATAACTTAATACTTGAAAAGTTTAAACCAACCAACATTGAATTTACACTTCCAACAAAATCAAAACTATCTAAATCATCACCATTAAACGCAAACAATAACAACAATATTCCTATTATTATTAACAAACAAATTGAAAAACAAAAATCTGATTCCATTTCTGAAAATTACAACTCCATTCACAAATTAAGTATTAATAACAGTTTTAACTTTCTTAATAATATTCATAATAGTTATAATAATAGTTATATTAACAATAGTTATAATAATAATAATAATAATAATAATAATAATAATAATAATAATAGTTATAAACTAAGTAAATCATTAAATTATAATGAATTTAATTTTGATGATAATTTAACTTTTGACAACATAAAAGGTGTTGTTGATGTTGGTGTTGGTAGTAGTAGTATTAATAATAATAATAATGATTATTTAGATACAACAATAGCATTCAATAATAATAATAATAATAATGAATATGATAATGATACACACTATTGTATCAAGAATGTTGTAACATCGGATGTTGGTGTTAATCCGACGATATTGGATAATCAATTATTCAAGAAAGACGATTGTATCATGATATTCAAGCGTTCAGAGATACCAGAACTTATTATACGTGAAATCAGTAATTGTAAAGACCTACTTTCTCTTTCACAACTGGATTGTATCACTGCTCTTTCCTACTTTCGGTGGAACTCACACAAGATGCTTCAGAAATTCATAGAGTTCTCTGATGAATCTGCATTCAAATCATTCGTTGGAATTCATCTTGAAAATCAACAACAACAACAACAACAAGATGATATTACATTGATACAGTTAATCAAAACACCTTTGAATGAATACATAGATTATCTTCATGATAATAACAACCGTAGACAACAACATTATCAACAACTGTGTACAAGTGGTAGTGTCAGTTCGAATCAACACCAACTAATGCAGTTTAATAATAACAATAATAGATTCTCCTCATCCAAGAATGACATTTCAAAAGGTGTTAGCTCAATACCTTTAGAGCTACCTTCAAGTATAGAGTTGATTAAGCTTTACAATAAACGAGTTAGACGACGTAGAGAAAGAGAAGCGATGCGACAACGTCGTGCAAGAGTAGACAGTCAGAGAGAGATACCTCAGTATACTCCTTCAAAGTTTATCGATCGTTTCATTTTAAATAGAGAAAAGTCAAGAGATAGAGATATAATGAATCAACAACAACAACAACAAATAGAACAACAAAATAATAATAATAATAATGAAAGAAGACAACATATCAATATTGTATCTGATAATCATGAATTCATAGAACTGCAGCAACATTCAATGGTTGAATATATCTTGGCGGTATTCCCCGATTTAGAGAGAGAAGAACTGCAACACAAGGTAAAGAGATATATGAAATCGGATGTGTTGATCGATCCAGAGTCGATCATCAACGATCTCATCAATGGTGAGATATTCATACCTACCTATACCGCATTGAAAGAGTTTGAAGCAAGACCAACTGAATTCGATCTCGATTCAAAGTCCGATGACTACGAGTATGACAATGGATTTCAAGAATTGGATCAATTCGATCAAACTGATAGTGATAATGATGATAATGATGATAATGATGATCAACAACAACAACAACAACAACCAATTGTTATTACAGAGCAACAACAGCAACAACAGCAACAACAACAACAACAGTTGCAACAACAATTACAACAAACAACACCATCACTTCTTAAATTTCAACAAGAGTTGGTAAATCATGATATGATGATGTTACAACAACAAGAGTTGGAGCTAATTAATGATGATGATATCTTTAACTCCACTGTTAACATACCTATTGCCAGGCAATTAAAGAATGTAAAATACGACAATTTCAATCCACCACCTTCTCCCAGACCCGTCCGAAGACTTCCGTTTATGAAACAACTGCTTAGAGACAGTCGAGAAGATCTCCTTATGCGAACTACCAGTAGCTTATCGTCTGCCACCACCACACCAAGCTTTAGTACGGCAACTCGATCCAGTTCACATGCCAACCTGATATCCCCACTTGTACTCTCCAACAAGATGTTCAGAACAACATCAGAACTCTCGGTTGCAACCAACTTGGAGACTCAGATGATGGCATTCGAAACTTCATCATCAACCACAACCAACAACAGTATAACACCTAAACTATTTAATGATATAAACTACTACTACAATCGTCATTCTAATAGTAGCAATGAAATACTTTTAAATAATAATATTATGATTAATAATAATAGTATTGAATTACTAGATAATAATAATAATAACAATAATAATAATAATTTTACAAAGATTTGCTGTAAGGTTTGTCTAAACGATTGTAAACCAGATCAAATATACTCTATGAAGTGTAAACATCAGTATTGTTTGGAGTGTTGGAAATACTATTTGGAATCAAAGATCAACAATGATGGAATGCAATGTATATTCTCTAAATGCATTGATCCAGAGTGTAAACTTACAGTCGATGTTATTACATTCAAAACAATTCTCGATTATTCTAAAAGTAGTAACTATTCAACACCAAGATCTACCTTGTCAAGCACGACATCAATCAACCGTGATCGTTACTTTCAAAAATACTGTTGGTATTTAGCCAAAGATTTCATTGATAATTGTTCTAAAGGTAAAGTAATCCATTATTACTATTATATATGCTATTAACACCCAAACATTTATTAATATATTCTCTATTCTCAAATCTACATGTAGCTACATGGTGTACCAATCCAAATATAAATTGTGATAACATTATATATTATAACAATATGGATACACCAAAGAATTTGAATATCAAATGTAATTGTAATTGGAACTTTTGGTATTGTATCATAACATCGATATTCATTTGTTTAATTAACTACTAACTATTATCTACAATTGTAAATGATTATATTATATATTTAGTTTCCATTGTGGTCAAGAGACACACTTTCCTGCTACATGTAAACAGATTGAAGATTGGAAGCTATTGAAATCAAAGGATGAAGGATTGAACTTTAGTTGGTTGAACCAAAATACAAAAAAGTGTCCAAATTGCAAAAGTAATATATCTTTTATATCTTTTAAAAGTAATATAGTTAATATTAACATTGTACAAATATACATTATTTTAGTTGATATAGAGAAAAATCATGGATGTGTACATATGATATGCTCACATTGTAAGTTTGGATTCTGTTGGCTATGTATGGGTTCGTGGAAGGATCATGGCGATAAGACTGGTGGATTCTTTAGTTGCAACAAGTACTACAAGTCGATTAGAAAGGCATCTACATCGTCGAGCTTAACAGATCACTCTGACTTTGTTGATCAACAACAACAACATCATCATCAGACATCGTATATTCATTACTTTCAACGATATATACACCATCATAACTCGAGGAAGATAGCACTGCTCAAGCTGAAACAACTCGATACTCTCTTGCTGCCCATTGTCAATAACTATCGCAACGGTAGTAACATTGATTTGGAACTACAGTTTCTTCGTGATGCCATCAATCTCATTGTGGAGAGTCGTCAACGTTTGAAGTACAGCTACATCTATGGCTACTATCTCGCCGACGACAAACAACGCAAACTCTTTGAGTTCCTCCAGGAGGATCTAGAGAGAAGTTGTGAACAATTGATAAACAATCTATTTAAATCGATTGATTCATTGAAATCATTAAATATCAATAATAATAATAATAGTAATAGTAATAATAGTAAAATCGAACAACATTCATGTATTAATAGTTTAGATGATCTACCAGGAAGTCAGAACTATCAGAATATAAAGAACTACATGAAAATCACCAATAAGTTTTTAATGAACCTTTTGGATAGCACAAGCAACATGATTATCACTTGTGAAGATACTACAACCAGTACAACTACTACAACAACAACAACAACTACCAACAATAATAACTCATCAACAAAGTTGTCAACACCAACATCACAGCTATTAAAAAAGAAACTATCATTCTTAAGAACTAAATCAAGTAAATCTTCATTGAATCTACAAGTAACTCCAAGATAAGATAACTTTAATAAACTTCCTAAAAAGGTTATTTTAATTAAATTTATTTTTTATAAATACTCTTTTTCATTTATTTTTAATTTCATTGTTAAAACTAACTTGTGTTTTTAACCAAATTCAGTTAGCAATCTTTATATTTATATTATATAATGGATTATAAGAGAGAAGATGATGATAATGATGAACAAATTGAAAGATTAAAAAGAATAGAAGCTGAAAGAAAGAAACAATTTAGAAAGAAGTTAAAATATTTGATTCTCACTATCATTATTGTGTTGGTATTTTTTAGCAATCTACCACTAGTCTCAACCTCAGAGGTAGATACAGCAACAACTACTACAACTATAGATATTAATAATAATAATAATAATAATAATAATATTTTAGATACAACAATTATTGAGAATAATGATAATAATAATGATTTACAATCTATAACACCAGCAGCAACAACAACAACAAATACACAAACATTAGATAGTAATATAATTAAAATAAATTTAAAAGATATCAATGACACTACAGAACTATTTGCAATACATAAACAAACAAACGAAACATTTGTATTATTGGTATGTATTATAATCGTTGAATCACTTTAATAATCAAACATAATTATTCATTTTGTAATTGATGTTCAAACAAAAAATCTAGATCTATAAAATAGAATGTACATTTTCACAAAGAATATTACCTGTTTACAGTGCTCTTGCACAATCGTTTCCAAATATGACATTCTATAGAATGGATAAGCTAATGTATAGTATCTCATAAACTAAATATTTTTATCGTTAACTTCTATCAATATATATATATTAATCTATATTATCAATCGAATGTGTTGTGTAGCACTAAATTTAGAATAAGAACAACACCATCATTGTTTATAATACAGAATAGCACTTTGAAGAAATACTTTGGTGAAAAACAATTCGAATCGATAAGAGAATGGGTATCGGCAATGACAGAGACACAGTATGTCAATGGTGTTCTTGTGGATGATAGTATCGATCTCGACTATCTGCTGTCGACCTCTTCCTCACAGCCATTCTCTGTGATCGACATGATCTCTACAAACGCCAATGTAAACTACTCATCAAGGAGATATCTCCTCTTCATTAGCACCTGCTACGTTATCTTTTTAGTGATCAAAGCAATTCATAATCAACTATCGTCAATCAAAAAACTTAAAAAAGAATAATTCTAAAAAATATTAATAAATAAATTAATAAATATATATATGAACCATATGGTGGTAGTGTAGCAACGTTATTTTTATTCTTCATATTTTTTTTTTTTGCAAAGAACATTGGTCAACAATAATTAAAGTAAATGTTTACCCATTGATTTTCTATTTTTTTTTATTTTATTTTTTTACTTTAATAGGTTAATATATTTGATAATGACAATTGACATTGAGTTTAATTAAGTTCGGTTACATATGTCATTTTCATTTATAGTCAGATTTTTTTTTAAATTGTGGGGGTGACTCCACACCGATTTTCTTTTTTTTTGACATTTTTTTTTTTATTAAAATGATTTTATTTTTTGCTTTTTTCAACCTCAACAAAACTTTAGTAACACCAACCAACTAATTTAAAACTACAATATACATAATATTAAATTTTGTAATATCAAATAATAATATTGTTTTTAAATAGTAACAAATAATCAATAAATTTAATCTCTTCAATTCATTAATATATAAATTATATTGAATAGAATAGATTATTTCTTTTGTTTTTATTTTTTTTATTATTTAATTTATTTTATTTATATTTTTTGAACAAACAACAAACAACAAACAACATTTTGTAAAATAGATAGAATAACATAGATTAAGAAGAAGTTAACATAATATTTGTAATATTAAGATCGACACTTTATATATTTATTTAATTATATATATACCGATTATATTATATCTATAGCATATCTTTTCAAAACACTTTCGAAAGAAATATAAATAATATCGAAATCATGGTTTTAAATACAAGATCAGTTGAGCAATCATCGGTTAGATTGAACTCACCAGACGAAAATCAAACAGAGTTGACACTGCGCAACAACAAAAAGAGTGTAAACAACAGCAACGGTCTGTTATCTTCGCCAAAGAAGGAGGTCGATACAAAGAGAAAACAAAAATTAAAAGAATCAACTCTAAAGCAACAACAGCAACAACCACCACAACACCAATTGAATAACAGAAAGAAGAAACCAATCGATGGTTTCGTTCACAATCGTAAATTGACTCTGGTCATTGGTTTCGGTCTCGTTTTGTATTACTGTGCAATGATGTACGTACGTTATCAGCATCGTGGGCTGATTGGATTCGCCGATACTCTCTGGCTCTGTAACATGGCTGTTGTACTTGCAATCCTTTCGATCTTTACCAACAAACCATTCATTTTGTGCATGGGTATCACCACTACTTTCATTGTACATTTCCTCTGGGTCGTAGACGTCATTACTTGGTTCACTCTTGGTTTCTTCCCACTTGGAAATGCCGAATATATTAGTATGTGAAAAAAAAAAAGAGAGAGAGATTAGAGAGAAGAAGAGAAAGATAATGCAAAGAAAGAGATGAAAGAATGAATGAAAACAAAGATGATATCATATTTCTAACAAAAGTTGAATACTATTAAAATTTGTTTAGGTTGGCCAAATATTACATGGGGTGAGATCATCACTAGCACTCATCATGCCTGGTATATTCCCCTCAGTATTTTACTTTTGCACAGAAACGGTGGATACCAGAGAAGAGCATGGCTTGGTAGCAGTATCTGTGGTGTACCAGTTATTTTAGTTAGCACTCTGTTCCCAAAGGAAATCATTGTAAACTCTGAAGTATTCTATTTAAATATCAGTATGTACATCACAATCGAGTTTTATTCAGTTTTTAAAACTTTATTTTTTTCTAATGAATAATTTTCAACATCTAATCTATAGATTGCGCTCAAGAATGGTGGAGAGATGTTAGAGGATGGCCATTCAGTTTGATTCCAGAGAGTGGAGTTGAATACTTGATATTCTTACATATCTTTAGTTTTGTATTGTTTTCTGTTACTCATTTGGTTATGAAGGGCATCTGCGCAATCACCATTAAAAGACACTAAATAATAATTGGCATCACCATGAATCGACAATAAATACATTGATTATTTTTAAAACAAATTAGTAGTATGATCTGTCTGTTTATTTATTCAAACATAACATTATAGAATATAATTTATTTGCTCTTCATAAATAGAAATGATAAACTGCTAAAACAAAAATAGATATGAATTATCAGATAACTATTTGGAAAGAAATTTTTATTGATTAATTTGCAGATTGTTTATTTTACATAAGTGTTTTAATTGTAGAATTCATTGAGATAATACTTTTGAAATCAAATCAAATCATTTGTTTTAATGATAGTTGTTATGAAATATATTTTATTTTATTTAAAAAATGGAATTTTAATTAATTCTTTCTCTATGTTCTATGTAAAAATTATTTCTATGAATTCATTTATAGTATACTATAAATGAGGTTACATTAAACTACAAAATCGTCCTCTTTTATGAGAATGGGATTGTGCTCGTTCCTGTTTAGCACGTGCTTCTGCCTCTCTTAATAACTTTTTAATTCATCAAAATTACTTTACCTTTATAATTTATTATTTAACTTAAAATTTCTCTTTTTAAAAATGTCCAAAAATATAAATATTATTCTATTCGGTCAAACTGGTAGTGGTAAATCAACTCTTGGAAATGTAATATTAAATAAAATGATTTTCAAAGAGAATCCTTATGGAACAAGTGAGACTAAAGTCCATCAAATTGGTACATGTGTAGAGAGTGATATGACAATCAAGGTGATTGATACAATTGGACTTGATGATACCAATTTATCAATTAAAGAGGTTTTAAGATTTTTGGCAAATGCAGCATTGGAATTGATGGGTGGAATCAATATTGTAATATTTATAGTTAAAGATAGAATGACAATACCTATAATGGACCAATTCAAAATAATCTATAGTTTCCTTTTCAAAAAAGAAATATTAGCCTATACCACAATTGTCAGAACTAGATTTGAAAGTTTCCAAGACTCCCATGAAAGATCCAATGATATCAGAGCTATAAAATCAATTGATACCGATGGACTGACTAAATATTATTCTATTCTACATGTTGACAATGCATCTGTTAGAATTGATCCAGCTCAAATTGGAAGAAGTAACTCAAGATTAACACTGATGACACATATTAGAACAAAAGTAATTTCAACTGGATAGACTCCATATATTCCAAATGAATTAAAAGGAATAATGTCAAGAGGTGATTCTTATATGATGGAGGAAGAAAGATTAGAGAAGGAAAGATTGGCGGCTTTTGAGTTGGGAAAGGGAAGAGAACAAGAGATATTGGAACAAGAAGAGAGAAATAGAATTGAAAGAAAAAGATTGGAAGCTGCCAGATTGGAACAAGAAAGAATGGCTAGAGAGTTAAAGTTAAAACAAGATCAACTTGCTATACTTAATAAAGATGTTACAATTAACTGTAAAAATTGTAATAGAACAATGATAAGAGGACAAGGATCAAATCTCAACATCAATTGTGGAATATCAAATACCCATCTAAGTTGTTGCTGTGGTCATATAAGAGTATTCTCGGATCAAGATAGGAATTTAGTTAGATCATGGATTTCAATTAGTTAACCAATTTACCAATCAACGCCATTCCAATTCAATTCATGAGTTCATAAAATATTTCTTTCAGCTTTTTATAAAGTAATAACTATTGTGTCTATTATCAAAGTGAAGTATTTTTATTGAGATAATTATTTTGAATATTTAGGAATTTTTTTTTCTTTGTGGTGATAGTTAAATAAATTATATTGAAGAAATAGAATCCAAATTATTTTGTTAGTTTCAAATTGTAAATTACTAAAAAAGATTTTATTTCTTTAATCAAAAGCTACACACTCTTAAGCTCCCCTACAACATGTACGTCGATAGATTTACCGATGAGGAAGTCGAGAAACTCCATAACATACTGTCTTGGTACCTGTGGTCGTCCAACTCCAATCAGTTCATCGACTCCAAAAAGTATAAAAACACAATGAAAAGGACCAGGGCTGTACAACCATGGTTGTCATTGTAGAGCAATCGACAGTGATTCCTTGGGAGATAGAATTAGCGATTGTGAAGTTAAGCTTGTGGTAATTGGCATCGATTAATTTGGTGTAATGGGTGACTGCTCTTTTGACGGTATTTTCCAGTTTGTAATGGGTACCATCACCAAACATTTCACAGGACAGCGCCTGCCATAACGAATGTACGATAGCAGTAAGGTGGGTGAAGTGGACAGTAGTACGAATAGGACCGTCAAACTTGATGCACGAGTGCTTCCAATTGCGAAGTCTATAGTTACAGTACTTGTGGTATACATGTTTGATAAAGGAAAGGAACTGCTGTGAAACTACACTCCTGCATTTGAAGAAGAAATGCTCATGTGGGTTGCAGAGTTCAGTGAAGGTGTCACCACAGAACTCACAGACATGACCAATGCGCTTGTGGTTGATGGGGAAGGGTGTGAGACAACCAGTCATTTTAGCGACCTGCTAAACCTATTTTGATGAGACTTCATTAAACCGCATGCGGACAAAATATTTATTATAAATTATTCTCCCCTTCCGGGAATTGAACCCGGGCCTTTCGCGTGACAGGCGAAAATCCTCACCACTAGACCAAAGGGGAGTTTGATATTGTTGGAAACAAATTTTGAAATTTTATTTCTTTTCTTCCTAATATTTTTTCGCATCCTTTACGCAGGTAAGACAAAATTATTCTATCCCTTGACCATTTGAATAATTGACTAGTCAATTGTTATTGGATTAAAAGATTCGTGTAGATTTCGACTTTTGTTTGTGCCATTTTCAACAGCTTTGTGTAAACAATTAAAATAAACAAAGTTGAGTGACCTTATCTCTGGCATAAGCAAATAATAATAATTATCCGGATAATTACGTAAATTTTGTTACAGTTCTATACAAATAAAATTGCTGGGTTTTTTTTTTATAAAGTGCCAATTTAAATGAAGGTCAATTGTGGTCAATGGGTTAGAAACCCCATCATTGACAAATTAAATTAAAAAAAAATTCTCAAAAAATACAATTTATTTTTTTTTGAATATTTAAACTTTCAACAACATCAAAGTGAGTGATATCTATATATATATCAAGTAAGAATGTTGGACGATCAGGACAATGATGGTGGATGGGAACACATCCCAACAAAGCAAGCCAAGATTGCTGCGATGCAAGAGCGGCGCCACAAAAAGGCTGTGGAAACACAGAAGCGTCGTGAAGCAGAGCAAAAGGAGTACGATCTCAAACAAAAGAAGATCAACGAGATGTTTGCCGACAGTGCCAATGCATTCTCGGTGAACACCGGTCTACCTACCAAGTCGGTAAAGTCATCGTACAACAATCCATGGGGTGTGCTGGATGACGACGGTGACGGAAGTGACCAGATCAACAAATCCACCAAAACAAAGCAGTCTGCCGACTCTGGAAAACGTATCGAAGAGGGTGGTTATCTCTACACCTCAAAGTACATCAATCAACAGGAGAAGAAGAAACAGCAACACATTCAAAAGCAACAACAGAAATCCGCTGCCAACAACAACAAACAAAAGTCGAAATCTTCTACCACCAAGAAACAACAGCTAACAATTGAATCTGCAAAGGAATCTGTATGTATAACTAATTATATATATATATATATGATTCATCACGAAGCTTCTAACAATCTCGATTGACTGATTGCTAACAACCACTTTCTAGTTCCACTATAATAAATACTATGAAACAATGAGAACCGTAGAGGCAAAGTATCCAAAGACAAACGATATTCAGTTAAAGTATGTAGTCGAATGTCTCGAAGAGTATTTTGGACAAGTAGAATTAGATTCCAATGAACTATCGGAGATCTTACTTCAAAAGAGAACTGGTATGTTATAAATATCAAATTGTTCGTTTGTTTGTTGAATGAATTAGAATAACTGACTGATAATTTTTTGTTTGTATATAAAATATATACAAAGACTTCCCACTTTGTCACTTTGATCAAAAGTTTGTTACAGAGACAGTCAACTTTTTAGAGAAGAAACCGATCGATAGTATTTTACCGACGATAATGTTTTTGATTAACACTTTGATTTCGATTCTCAAGCAAGATCGTGATGCATTGAAGAGTAGTGGTCTCGGTCTCATGGTATTCCTTCAGATCGTATTCAAATATTTCAAAGCGGTTCCACTATCGATGTTGGACTACTACAAGACCATATTCAATCCCAATACATTGGCATCACTCAAACCAAACATTGCAGCTCTCCATCTCTGGCTTGCTGTGCAGTCGATCTCCTCCTCCATCCAGGCACCACTAGCAATCTACTACACCGTCATCTTCCCAATCAAGCTTACTACACATCTCAAGATTCCTGCATCGATCAACGATCTATTAAATCAATATTCAAATGATTTATCTGAACATATGTATGTTTTACTATTTAGCATTTACTAAACTCTCTAATATCTACTAACTTTAATCTATCGTCCTATCATCTCATAATGATCGCTTCTAAAGCGATGAAAAGAATACAAAGACAGAGCTAAATGAACAAACTATTAAATCTAGCTTGGAGCAATTCATTTGGGCTGTACAAAAGGGAATCGTGTTGGATTCAACTACTTTGGAGTTCGGACAACTTTTGTTGAACACAAAGACTTTGTTCTCAGCAAAGAAAGTGCCTCAATCCTATGTAACTGTACTTTTAACAAACACTGCAATTGCCAATGAAGAATATAGAGATAGAGTATATATTATATTAAACTTGTTTTGCTCTGCATTAAAGTAACTAACTTTTGGATTGCTTTCACTTCACTTTAGATTCTAGAAACTATTGTTAATTGCTTAAAGTTGGATTCGGATTGCTTTGAATATATCAAAAAGGCATACAGCAAGAATGTCGCACAAACCAACAACCTGTTGTTGTTTATCTCGCTGTCACTGGAGGAGGGCAAGCTAAGTAGAAAGTCGATTTCACACGCTCGTATTCATGAGTTGGCCAAGTACTGTAAGGAGTCAAACGATGCCATTCTCAATAACAAGAACAAGAGAAAGTCACTCTCAAAGAATGTCGATATCAACGACATTGAGATGTGCTCGGCAACCTGCGAGAGTGTACTTCGTGTATTCAAGCCCGCTTCGACATCAAACAAGACCGCTTCATCGTTCCTCGGTCCCCTCTTGGTGGTACCAGTAGTGATCGCCACCGGTCTATTCGCACGTCAGATGCTCTGCAACTATGATCACACCGATCAATTACTCCAACAACTCTCACAAAAGCTATGCAACTAAACACTACATAGATAATTCAAAAACAACAACAACAACAACAACACAAAAAATAAATATAATACAAATACTTGCAATATAATCAAATTAAATAAATAATAACAAATCAAATAAAACAAAACAATCATAATAGCAAAGTAAACCGTTTGGCAATAAATAAAGATTATTCAGCCCGGGCACAAATTTTAAATGATCATTTCATGAACAACATTTTTCAGTTTTCTTTTTTTTTCCAATTTTAGTTGAAACTAAAATTTTCATGTTTTGGTTCTGCACAGATGTTGATAAAAGTCGTCTGCCGATCGTTCTTTTTTTTCATTGTGTTACAAACCAAATTGTATGTATATTATACAAATATTCTATCATTTCTCTACTTTTCTATCTTCAGTGATGAAACAACTGTAAAATCTAAACTCAGCACTTTGATTTTTAGTGATATTATATTTACGTTCTCATGACAGTCTTCTGATGTTCATTATCTATTATTATTTTATTTTCTTATCTATTCAACCAAACATATTTTAATAATCATTTACTAACAATAACTTTTATTTTAAATTCAACAGGGTTTTAACTTTGGCACTGACTGACCTTGATCACACAAATATGAATGAAATTTGTTCAATTTTAAATAAAAATAAAATACTCTTACAAAAAACAAACAAATTAGACTTTTTAATTTTTTTTCATATTTTAATATTATCTAAATGTAATAAAGAAACCTTCAAAGTTTTTGGCTCACTCTTAGATGAAATCAATCTGTAATTATCATTCCAAAATATCGTCTCTATTAGGTTTATCTATTAAATTGTATTTACTTCCTCATCACAGTCTTCATATGTTTACTATCTATTTTATTCTCTTAAGGCGAACCTGGGATTTGAAATTTGCAAATTCACACACAGATAAATGAACTTGGAAGAAAAGATGTAATTCAGCTCATTTGAGCTCGTAATTGTTTCAATTCTACACAACCTCTTTTTCCTATTCTTTATTATTAGCAAATATGACATGTATAATCACAATTCTGCGTAACTATCAAGGTCGACATTGTTTTTTTTTGACAGTTCTGTTTCCCAATGTGGTGAAATTTCGAACTCATAATTCTGTAATAATATCTTTTAAACAATTTGATAATATTTTGATATTTATATAACCTCAAAAAGGTAAGATAGTTTCACTAAAAATTTAATGTGGGCTGGTGACATGAATAAAAAAACTATAAAATTACACTATAATTTTATAAAGATTTTAGTTTGATGGTTCTTCGTTGTTTAAAAGGTGAGCTAAAAAAAGAACAAAAAAAAAAAAAATTAATCATTCTTCTCATGTTTTCGAAAAAAAACAAATTTTTTTAGGCTGGTTTGTTTTTTGTAGTCAACTTGGAGTGTCTCTCTGTCGATGACAAAATATCGTTAATTTTTTTTTTATGAGTTGCCCAAAAATTTACATGCATGAGTAGGAGCAACAACAATATTGTTCTTTAGGTTGAAAAACTGAAAAAGACAAGTCGGAAATTTTGCAAAGGATCAGTGTGTGTTGTTGGTGCGATATCTATTTTGTAACTATCTTGATCGTTCTCACCATTCTCTATCTAGCAAACATGCAAACTAAAGTCATCAAAGATGCTTTGCACTGCAAATATCATTGTTTTTTATAAAGATTCTTCCTACTTTATTTGCGTGTCTAAATGACTAATATATCTATTCTTTGATTGTCACATACATTGAAAATAGAAAACTTTAGTAAGAAAAAGGATTGACAAGTCAGCAAGCACATTTCATTTCATCATCATCAAGTTTTGTTTTCATTTTTGTTTTTCTAATAAATAATAATAATTAATAATTAAAGAGATATAAATATATAAATATATTTTCTTTTTTTGGGGTGTGGTCAGTCATCAATCATCAACACACAGTTTTTCAAATCGTTTAATTTGATTTATTGTTTTTTAATTATTTAGGTTAAATTTATATATTGTTTAAACAGTCACTGTTTTATTTTCTATTCATTAAATTTATATTATTTATTTACTTATTTTTTATAAACATATATATATATATTAGTTAGCAATGACATTGGCAAGTCAAAATCCACCACAACCAACACTTACAAATAGCAGAATAGAGAGAACATGGGACGATTTGAAATTCGTTATTTCACAAGGACGTCTTCATGAACTTGGCAGAAAGGATGTCATTCAATCAGAAATGAAAAACCACTCCAAATGGGTATCAGAGAACTACAATTCGATGAAAGACTATATTCTATATAAAATGTTTGATTTCGAATTGGAATCAACGGTCGAAGAGAACAACGACAACACTTCACCCAATCAACTGCATTCAACCAAGAAAAAGAAAGCAGTGATTCCAGATATCATCGAACAAAAGATTGTTTTCAAGAAAAACGATTTCCCATATAATTGCGAAAAAGGAATCAATCACATGGTACTGTGGTGTCTCAAACCAATGACAGATGAACAAGCAAAGAAATATATAACTGAAAATCTCAATCTCGAATTTGGCAAAGACTATGTATTTTTTGTCAACCCAACCTATTTACAAAGTATAAAAGACATATTCCACTATCATGTATTTGTAAAACAACATTAAATCAATATCCAACCCAAAAGTTCAATTAGTATAGTTAAACAACAAATTAATTTTTTTGTAACAATAAATAACAAAAACATAGATATTTAAAAATATACTTTTAAAATGAAAGAAAAATATCAAGATTATACGAAAAACTAAAAAAAATTTCTTTTTTCTTTTCTTTTTTTTTTTTTTTTTTTTTTTCAATATTGCCAAATATAGATTTTGTATTGATCATGTGATCATAGCAATTTAATTTAAAACTCAAATTCTTTTTTTATTTATTTATTTATTTCATTGTTTATCTTTTATATTTTATATATTATCTATTTATTTCATTATAAAATAATAGATATATCTAATATATTTATTTTTCTTGTATTCTTTTATTTATTTTTTGTTTGTTTATTTGTTTGTTTAATTCCTTTTTTTTTTTTTTTTTTGAGAGGTTTGTGTAATAAATTCAAATTATTAAAGTAGATAGTAGATAGTAGATGCGTGAAGTTATATCTATTCATGCAGGCGGTGCAGGTTCTGGAATTGGTAGTGCTTGTTGGGATTTGTTTTGTAAGGAGAAACAATATGATTGGACGAATGTCGACCAACACAACCAGTTGGTAGGTGATCCATTTTTCTCTGTGAATGCATCCGGAGATAAACTAGTTCCTAGAGCATTGTTTGTTGATCTATCAGATGATGTTCTAGCAGATATAAAAGTTGGTCACCAGCGAGGATTGTTCAATCACCAAAATATTCTTTACAATCATCTTGAATCTGGTAACATCTTTTCTTCAGCTCGCTGGAATAATGGAAACCACCTACAAGAACCACTATACAATAGAATTCGCCAGTTACTAGAGCAATGCGATCGACCTGAAGGAGTACTTTTCACCCGATCGGTTGCAGGTGGCACCGGTTCTGGATTGACCAGTATGATAATGTCACACATTCAAAATGAGTATCCAAAGTTGGCAGATTTCGATTTCCCGATATTTTCTTTTGGCTCTACTTTAGATCCAATTGTGGAGCCGTACAACACACTATTGTCTTGCGTCGACATGCTTGAAGGTGGACTGACCATTCCAATAGATAATCAATCGCTCTTTAGAATATGTCAAGAGAAATTGGGTGTTAGATATCCAACGTTTCAGAATCTAAACCGTATTGTTGCTCAGGTTATTTCGATACTTACACTCTCCAAAAGACATCCATCGCCAGGCAATATCGATCTACAGGAATTCATAACTGGATTGGTTCCATATCCAAAACTCCATTTCCTTTCGTCGTCATTTACACCATTCATCAACAAGCAGAGTAATAGCCACGATCTACAAACCACTCAGTCCTTGACCGATTCTATCATCAATCCATCCAACACGTTACTAGATCCAAGAAATGGTAATCCATTTGGTAAAAGTTTGTTTTTATCATGTTGTTTCTATTATCGAGGTGATTTCAATATTTTGGATATAAGGGATCATATTGATCAGAGACTGAAGCATCGTTTAAAGTTTGTGGAATGGGCACCCAGTGGAATCAAAGTAGGTGTCAACGGCAAAGCAAAGTGTACCCTCGATGATACCGATATTATTGGTGAAAAGGCTGTCTGTATGCTAGCGAATTCTACATCGATTGCCAATCTATTCCAGAGAGTCGTTAATAGATTCAATATGCTCTACAGGAGAAGGTCCTATGTCTGCCACTTTTTGGGCGAAGGAATGTCTTCCAGAGAGTTTGCTGAAGCTGAAATGAATATTCATAACATGTGTTTGGATTACAAGGAAATTGCAGAAATCTAAAATAAATATCAATTGTATAGGATTAATCTATTCATCAACAAACTCAATACACTGATATAATAAACTCAATCAATTAATTATTAGTCTAAAAAAATATCTTATTTATTATTGTTTTTATTCCCTAAGGATTAAAACTGTTTTAAAAAAATAATGCATTATTGCAAAAAAAATTCAAATAATAAAAATTATTTATTTATTTTTTTATACTGGTTTTTCAGAAGACCTTCACAAAATAAAAGATTATTATTTATAATTATAGTGAAAAAAAAAAGTCGACAGTCAACCAATACCAGAAATTTTTTTAAAAAAAATCTTTTAGATTTAAGAAATTTGAATAGCTAGCCTCCAAAATATAAAAAAAGGAAAGATCCCTCATGTGGCTTTCTAGATATTATTATTTGAATAACGAATGAGGGAATGAAAAGTGATTTATTTAATATTTGATTGAAAGTGATTAAATGTAAGAATAATTCAAAAGTGTCGCCTATTTATTATCTGTCACTTCAATTATTATATCAATCAAGTATTAAATATCAATTTTTTTACACTTTTTAAAAACATAAAATAATATGAACAAATTATCTTTATTACTTTTGGGACTTGCCATGCTCCTCTGTGTTTCCGCAGACTCTATTCAATTTTGTGGTGTTTGTAGTAGTGGAGCTCTTTTAGGTTGCGGTTCATCAGGTCAACAGACTTGTGTTACAATTCCTGTTGGAACATGTTAGTAAGTACTTACTTAACTTTTTTAAAATACTGAATTATCTAATTTTAAGAATTTTTTTTTTTTACAAATTATTTTTATTTATAGTACATTCAATGATATCTGTACCGGTGCTCCATTGATATCTGCTTATTACATTTCAAGTATATCGAATTCTATTGTCTATGGTAAAGGTTATGAGAATATGAGTGATTGTTCCAATGGAACTGGAAGAAGTACTCCCATTGCCCAACCCTGTGGAGATTGTAATGAAGGTACCACTGTATCTTGCAGCACTTCCTCTACCTCAATTTCTGGTAATATAGATACCACCTCGGTTTCAACAACTGCTTTCCCACACAATTCTGGTAATATTCAAGTTGTTTCTTTTGGGTTAATTGCATTTATTTCTTTATTTATCATTTTAATTTAAAAAATTAAATAAATTTTTTAACAGACGAGGGAGACTACCCTCTAAATAAAAATTATTTAAAAAATTTTTTTTTAGAAGTTTAACAACATTCTTTTTTTTTTTTAAATTCTTTTTAATAAATTTTAGTTAATGAGGGAATGAAACAAAGTCAAAAAAAGAAATAATGACTCCAACTGCTCACCAAAAAGTTGAATTTATAATAGAATAAAAATTCAAAATAGATAATTTATTAAGAGTTAGAGAGAAATTTCTTTTTAGGGATGAAAAAAACAACTTAATACCTAAGGTTATCAGATAGAAATTTTAGAATTTATCACTTCTTCATTATTTACTAGCGAATCTTCCAGTTATTTTTACTATCGGACTACAATGAATGAGTACTCCCAATCAACAAATATGATGTTCTGGAGCCAATCATCCAAGAATTTCCTGAATTGAAATAATAGTAACTAATAAAAATCTCTACTTTTTATTAACTTCAAATTCTTATAAATTCTTTGGACTTCTATCTCAATTTACAACAATATTAATAGATACTATCTTTCCAATAAATTATTAACAACCAATTGTAATTTGATTTATTCTGTCAATGAATTCTATGAAGATAAATAATTATTTATTCAATTATACTGTGATACCTCCAAGTGACATCATTTTAAAACAAATATGGGAATGATATTATATTTTATTTACATTGTCTTTGTTCTCTTTTTGGGTGTTGTTTTGACTTCTTGTGACGGTTCAAATTCATCATCAATCTCTTCATTAGCCTCACTTGGTTCTTCTTCATCTTGACTGATATCTTCAATGTCTTCACTTATTTGATCACTCTCATCCATTAAATCTTGCTTTTTACCTCTAGTCACCTTTTTAAATTTGTTCTTGACTGATTTGTTTGCAATCATCTCGACCATAGAATAAACATTATTGAGTGATTCAAATAGCGGATCTTCTTCATTGTACTCTGGTTTGTTTTTAATTCTAAATAAAAAATAGATTAATATATTAAAACATAATAATATTATTGAGAAATTAAATATACATACATTTCAACAGCTTGTTCATGAGTTAATTTTGGAATTAGATAACTGATACATCTCAAAAACTCTGGGTTTTCTGGATTTTCTTTATCTTTTCCAAAGAAATATTCAATTCCACTTTCGAAAACTAAACCAAGTGAATCTGATTATAAGAAAACAAAGGGTTAGCCTTGAGTATAATAGTTTAATAATATAATTTCTCCTTACCTTTTTTGATAAATTCAGCTGACAACCAATTTAATAACTCTTTAAGTCTTGAGAACAAATTCTCTCGTAACTCTTCATCGTCAGTGCTGAGACAAACTTGATAGAGTTCTCTTAGAGATGAAAAAACAATATCTGATTCCTCCTGGTTGTTCTTTTTGATTTTGGAAAGCAGTTGAACATACTGTTTGACGGTTGCAATCGATCTAGCACCAGGTGAAAGAGCTACTTGCTTGATGACAGCACCTACATTTGCTGATCCAATGATATTACAATGTATGGCTTGTAGCGACGATATAATGAGTTGCTCAATTCTGTTTTGAGTGTCTTGGTCGATGGTGGTAGTGTCATTAGAAATATCAAAGCTAGTCTTTTTGGATTGCTGTTCACTTTCTGATTTCTCGGTTTCTGATTCGGATCGCTTGGACTTTCCTGTCTCTTCATCTTCCTCCTCTTCTTCGTCCTCTTCGTCTTCATCTTCATTGCCACTCTCATCAGATGTGGCAACTTTCTTCTTTCTACCTCTCTTTGATTTCTTTGATTTCTTTGGCTTTTCCTCTTCTTCTTCCTCCTGTTGTTCCAATTGATTCTTTATATCCTCCATTACAATATCATTTTCTATCAATTAAAATAATCTTTAGTTTATCTATCTATTATAATAAAATCAATGAATGTTTTGATATCTACCATTTTCCAAAAGTATTCTTAAATTCAACTCTAATAATTTTCTTGATAAAGGTACATTTAATGAATAAATATTTAATATAGTTTTCTCTAAACTGGTTGGATTAAAATATATCATTATCTCAATTAATGAATTATAAGCCTGGTACAAGAGATTAAATTAGAAAAATGATTGACAATCATTTACTATCCTTATGAAATTTGATATACTTACAAAATGTTTAAGAAGTTTGCTAGCTCTTTTGGACTCTAATATCAAGTTCATTCTATGTACAAATTGATAGAACATGAAATAGGTGGTGTCTTGTGGGTCGGCCTCTGGTGTATTGGAGTTCAATTCAGGTGCTGCCGAAGCAACTTGCCATATGATCAGTTGTGAGTAGGACTGTGACGCTATCTTGATGATCCGTTCCTTGTATTCTTCATCCTGGATTGGAGTAGTTCCAATAATCCCATCCATCAAGGGTAGTAGAGTGGTATGCAGATTCATATCGTTCATTTGGAAGTGAACACCAACAAAATGAATCTTTTGCAATAGTGTAAAGGCATTGAATAGTTGGTTGGCTTGGTCACCACCGGATGCCTCTGCGTCGGTACCTGAACTTTCGGAGGGAGCTGAGATTGTACGAAGTGAGTCACCAAGTTGGTTGAAAATCTCCATTATCGTCAAATTGAATGGTGCTTCCAGTTGCGATGGCAGTCCTTGTGACAAATCATGAAGAGTATCGGCAATGGTTTCCACCAACTTTTCATTTGGATTCTCCAAAAGAATCATACTAAGCAGATTGAGTAGTTCGGAATACTTGGTTTGCAAACGGAGTGTAATATAGGTTTCAAGATTAAAGTATTTACAGATCTCCACCAAGCAAATAGAGATTTCAAAATTAGCTTTGTGTTGAGATAGTAATGCTGGTATAATGGAGATAAAGTTGGTAGTAACATCTGAATCTTTTGTCTAAAAAAAAAAATAAGGGTTAAAAGTTTGTTTCTTGAAACCAAATTAAATTTAAATGTTTGTTATTTACATATTCATTTTGTTGGTATGGATCTTCATTGAATAGCTGTTGTCTTTCGGAACTGAAAATAGGTGGTTTGTCTCCAGAGAATATCTTTACAGATGCACTGATCATTCTGAGTATTATCAACAATTGATTCTCTGATAGTTTTTTCTCTTCCAACTCTGATAAAAACTTGACAAAGAATGACCAATCAGTAAAGATTGCTTGTCCTTTCTCCCACAATGCAAACACTAAATAATATGGAACATTGGTTGCCTTTGATTTCTCCTCTAGGAATTCCAATAGTTTCATTAATTGTTGTTCTCTAATATCATTCTTTGCACCTGAATATGTATAAATAAAATAGATTAGAGATTAGTAAAACATAAATTATTATTATTATTGTTGTTGTTTGTTGTTGGCTGAATAACATACTTCTTCTCTCTGCTTTTGGTAATGCATTTAACTTTGATTCCAAAGGATCCAAGAGTATTTGATAGAGTAGCTTTCCTGTTGCTTTGACAATTGCCTCGTTGTCCACCATGTAGTTGGCCAAAACTTTATCTAGTAACACTTGTTCAATGAGTGAGTGTTGGCACATGATAGAGACAAGCTCGATTGCATCGATTGCAATCTTGTCGACTTTATCACCGGCAGCAATATCTACGATTCTAAATCTGAATTTCTCTGTGAAATCATCGTATTGTGTGATCAAGTTCTCGTTTGAGTAGAGTTGTATCACACCTTTCACTGCACTCTGTCGCACCTCTGCCACCCAGTCATTCAGTCCCCAACCAATCTGACTGAGATACGCCGATGTCAACATGGTCGAAGGATACTCTAATATCCAACGTGGCAGACAATCAAAGAGCAATCCTCTAATCTCTGGTCGCACATCTTTAATACGCATCTTAAAGATCTTGTCATACAATCTATCTTTTACGAGTGTTTCCAGTTGTTTCAGCTTGTTGGTGAGTTGCAACTGGTTGTCCTTCAGTGTTTTCATTCTCTCTGAACTCTTTCCGACGCTGCCTTCCGATGCCAGTTGACGCGATGTCAAGTTCAACTCTCTCTTTAGCTCGGCAGCCACAGCCAAGATGTTGGTGGTCAGTTCGGCGCAAGCAAACACCGTGCTGAAACGAACACCACGACTGTCAGCCTTGCAGAATGCTACTGACCAGTAGAGAATCATCTTGATGAGGTATCCATCGTAGAGAATCGATGCTTGACACTTGTTGACCATGGTCGAGATGAACTCACGATAGTTGTTGATCAACGACTTTGATCGCTTGCTAGACAGTGGGAATGCTTTGGTATCGTCTGTTTCGCACACCTCTTTTGATCCATCCTCGAGATCACTCTGAAAATCTTTGACAGTCATTGCATCAGCTCCACCACACTCTACAATTAGATTGATCACCTCAAACGTTGCATTCTCTGGATCCTCATTATATCGATCAACCCATTCTGTAACCAAAGTCTTTACATTTACTTTGGATTTATTGATTTTATCTAGCAATAGTAGATAGTAGCGGGAGATATAGAGAGAGAGAGATATCAAGGAATATTGATAAGTATTAATGTTTAACAACGATAATCTATTTTATATTTACTGAATAATGATTGAGATCTTCTTCTTGACTGTGAAGATTTGGTTTGTGATCCACTATTATTATTATTACTATTGTTATTATTGTTGTTTGACTTCTTTGATGTTACTTTTCTTTTTGATACCATTGTTAATAAATAAAATACATAGTAAGAGGATTTAATTAATTAACTTGTTCATCATAACATCTTTTTGTTTTTTTTTTTTTTAAACAATCTTGGCGCCAATTCCAAGAATAGAGAGATTCAATCAAACTTTATAAATTTATTCTATTTACAAATGTAAATATTATCATAGATTAAGGAATAATTTAATCATGGAAAGTATAAAATAATTTAAATATTTTAAACAAAATAATTTGTAATTCTAATATTTTTAATTTTAAAAATTAACCAACAAAATGCCCAGTTAGCTCAGTCGGTAGAGCGCAAGGCTTTTAACCTTGTGGTCGGGGGTTCGAGCCCCCCATTGGGCGGATTTTTAATTATCTTAAACACGCATTGTGTGCCGCATTAAGGGATGGGGAATTGTGTACCCGGCGACAGCTCTCCTCTTTCAGTGGTTCTTGATACAGCTTCGAGACAGTCCTTAGATGCAAGTGCCGAGACTCTGATAAAGTTAAACTCTGGGAAGAATGCAGTGACCTTGCGAGACTTGGTGGCAGACAGGTTACCATTACAAAACTGATGCAACTCGCCTAGTCTCTCAGAGTCGACTCTGCCAGAGAAGGTGACACTGTTTTTCTTGGCGGTTAACACACTATCTTTGTAGACGATTTGAAACAAGTCGTGTAGCTTGTCTCTGGTGGCTGTAGTTATGTACTTAGAGTTGGGGAAGCAAAGTCTAACATAGAGGGTGTTGAGCTTGATCAATTGCTTGAATTCGGTAGCATACGTATATTTATGCTTTGATTTGTAGAATTTAGCTATTTTAGCACCGATATTATCCATATTTAAGAATAGTGAATGTACTAATGATCGTAAAACTAGTGAAATTTGATAAATTAACTGATATGATCGTAAATTTAAGACTAATAACTAAAGAGGAACGAATATATATAATTATAATAGCTAGATAACTTGATAACAAAAATATGAAAAAATTATCTACAAATACTAACTGTTTGCGAAAAAAAAAAATAAAAATAAAAATAAAAAAAGTCAAGAAACTCGATAACATACTGTCTTGGTACCTGTGGTCGTCCAACTCCAATCCGTTCATCGACTCCAAGAAATATAAAAACACAATGAAAAAGACCAGAGCTGTACAACCATGGTTACGTGGTGGCATCTCGCTATGGGACATCCAACTTCGTAACGATGCCCAACACGTGTGGATATTCAACAGATTCCTACTTTCATCCTCTGATCCTTCCAAAGTTTGTTATTATACCAGTTGGCTATCTCAAATCTATTGCAGATCTATCACCTCGCCATATCTCAATCTATGCTACACTCTGTGGCACCAATTGGCAGTTCATCTCAAACATCTGGACAACAAGATCAAATCTGCTAAACCAATTCTGATTGATGGTCTACCACCCACTCTAAAGCAAATCTACGACCACCTATTGTTCGTCAAACATGGCATTCCACAACTAACTGATGGTCAGTTCCAACTATCGCTACCACCAACCAAATTCGACTACACATCTTACGACTGTATCTTCACCTATATTTCGCTCATCAAACACCAGCGTGGACGAAACACTGTCTTCCGGTTCTTCTCTCGTTCACTTCCTGGATTAGCTTACAACAAAAACAAAGAATGTGAACTGTGCTTCACATACTGCTCTGACCCATATTTCCATACATTCTTTAATTGTCGAGCAGTTATGCACAGATTCAACCTTAACACCATTCTTGACTCCTTACAGCTTTCAGGTGGTCAACGATTCGATTGGACTATGGAAGACGCGTATCAGTTGGTTAGAAGAAAGGACAACATCACTACTCTCGTTTCACTTGTCTTTCATCAAATCTGGAAATTCTATTGTAAATCCTATTTTGGCGGTACTCCTCTCCACGATAACAACCTACTATCTAATGAATCTATCATTAATGAATATATACAGCACTTATCAGTAATGAAATTAATTATAAATAACAGTATCAGTAACTTACAATCCAAACTTAAATAACCAATAACCAATCAAATGTCAGCCAACTATTATTTCCTCTTCTTCATTTCTTCATTTTCAAATTAACCAATTCAATCATCAGTATTCTCATCAGCTTAACAATCTATTAATATCAATAACTAAAATAATTATAATAACAATCAAAATAGCAATCAATTGCAGAATTATGAAAAAGTAAAAACTGTAAAAAAAAAAAAAAAAAAAAAAAAAAGAAAAATTCGATGGTTCACACCATCCCCAATATATTACTTAATAAATCATTTTTTACTTCTTAAAAAAAAAAAAAAAAAAAAAAATTTCAGTGGTTCTTGACTCTCTTAGTGATGAGCACGATCTGGTCGATCTAGGTCAGACTGTCGACATTCCCACGTACCGTTCGCCAATTACCGGAATCGCTAGACGTATTGATAGAGCTTATGCTAAAAGCAGTCTATTAAACAACTCCTTCAAGGTTGCTCCCAACGCTCTCTCAGATCATGCGATACTTTCATTTAACATCCCTACTGGTAATTCCTCTAAGCTTCCACCCACACCTTGGGGACTGGACAGATACACTGCTATGGAAACTGTAGTTAAGTATGAGATAGAATCTATTCTCTCGTCCTGTGTCATCTCTTTGTTAAATGTCTGGTTGTCTCACACCTTCCCCATCAACCACAAGCGCACTGGTCACGTCTGTGAGTTCTGTGGTGACACCTTCACTGAACTCTGCAACCCACATGAGCACTTCTTCTTCAAATGCAGGAATGAAGTTTCACAGCAGTTCCTATCCTTCTTCAAAAATGTATACCACAAGTACTCTATAGACTTCGTTATTGGAATCACTCGTGCATCAAGTTCGACGGTCCTATTCGTACTACTGTCCACTTCACCCACCTAACTGCTGCAATCGTACATTCGTTATGGCAGGCACTGTCCTGTGAAATGTTTGGTGATGGTACCCATTACAAGCTGGAAAATACCGTCAAGAGAGCAGTCACCAAATTAATCGATACCAATTACCACAAGCTTAGCTTCACAATAGTAATTCTATCTCCCAAGGAAAATATCGTTAAGAGAGCAGTCACCCATTACACTAAACTTAACTTCACCATCGCTAATTCTAGGAGTCACTGTCGATTGCTCTGCAATAAGGCGTAAATTTAAATCTGATTGGAATCTAAATCCTTCCAACTACGTGCCACCACTTTATACTGTTGTTCATCAACACTCAACTACTGTTAGATCTATTCTAACCTAATACTACTCAACTTATTAATGAATAATAACTATAAAAAATAATAATAATAATATTATATTGGCTATTTCTCACGGCCTGTGTGAGAATGTATATATAATATAAAACACAAACTAGAAGGTTAATATCAATACATGCAATTTGTTGACTGATCATTAGCCAACTAATCTTTTTAGAAAAAAAAAAAAAAAACTATGATAAGTTGGTAAGAAGAAAGGACAACATCACTACCCTCGCTTCGCTTGTCTTTCATCAAATCTGGAAATTCTATTGTGAAGAAGAGGATATAATAATAATAAAAAATCAATTAAAAAATAAAATAAAATAAAATAAAATTAAATTGAACTAATAAAATATTTCTATTTCTCTAAGTCCTATTTCGATTTGTGGTACTGAATCAAACAACTATTTTTATCATTTGGAATTGTATATTGTCGTTGGTATGAATATAAATACAGATTGAATTTATGGGTATATTTATAATGGCTATTGTCTATTTCGTAGGAAAATAATTACTTCATCAGACCTCCATCAAAAAGATGAAAAGGTGTAATCGACTTTGGTGAAAAAACTTTCGTAAGAAAATCAATTGTAAACTTTACCCAAAAAAATCTCTTATATGAACTGAATGGAGTACAATAAGTGACTGTTGTTACTAAAAAAAAAAATTTGAATTTCTAACAGAAAGAAATTTTATTTAAAGTAATTGCAAATAGATCGGAACTCACGAGTCCACCAAATTTCATAAATCACTCCAAAATTTTGAATCACTTTTCGAAAATCAAAAATAAAAAAGCAAACGTGGCTTTTGAAAATTGTTCTGGGAACTTTTGTTTTCTATCCTTTCAAAGCTTTCAAAAAAATATTTGGATTTTAAATTCAAGATAAATCAGTTAACAATTCAAATGAGGGATGAAATTTTAATTATCTCAAATTTAAACATAAACTTTTAATATAAATTCAAATCAATCATTCATCAATATTTTTATAAAACAAAAATATCTAAAATGAAAGTAATACTATTTGTTGTTCTCATTTCATTGGTACTCCTTATAGGAACTCATAAAGCTACAGCTGTCGAAATTTCAAAAACCGAAGACAAACTCGGAGGTATCACTGTAGAATGTGTACTATGTTTGTTTGTATTGGAAACTTCAATCTCTGAAATATTTCAAGATCTTGATAACGAGACTATAATTGTTAGAGATCTTGACAATGTTTGTATCGATTTATCAAACCACACAACACAAGGAAATGAAGAATGCAATCAAATCGCAAATAAATTTGGACCCGAGATTTATAATGCCGTCCAGAATTCAACAACTCAATTTGAAATAATGGCAGAAATTACTGAGATAGTATGTGAAGGAATTGCACATGCATGTGGTTCAAGCAGTGGCCCAAGTTGGGATCTGGAAGGTGATAATTTCAAAGGTGATTATCTTGATTATTTATTATCTTTTATCAAATCTCAACTAGATACCATATTTCGTTGGAAGTAGAAGTTCAGTCCAAGAATTGAATAAATAATTATCACAATAGATAATTCATTAAAAAATAATATCACTAATAAAAAATAATCGTTATTTTTTTTCAAAATCTTTGTGTTTCTATTAAATTAAATTAATATAATTTTTTTCTATATAACAAGAAATTCACTTTTCAGGTCTCTTTAAAATTTTAATAATCTCTCACTCTCTTTCTTTAATAGAAATGTTGAGAGCTTGACTTTTATCACTAATAAAAATAAATAGATGAAGATGTTTTTATTGCTGATTCAGTTTCGATTCGATTTTTTTGATTTCTTCACAAACATTTTGATAATGATTTTTGAGATCCACAACCTTTTCTTCGAGTTTTGCCTTTTTGTTCATGTCGTCCTGTACACCTGGTGAATTGGTTTTGATATAATTATATTGCTCGTGATTGACTCTCTTAAAAGTTTCCCAAAGATGTCGCTTGTGGTGAAGTCTTGCAAAATCTGGGCTTTCGCTGATGGGAAGTTGGCCCAGCAGGAAACGATCGTCAGTGGCAGTCTCCTTCTTTCCGACCATGACCATACCACTGCTCTCAATCAACTCGAGCTCATTCAATGCGATGATTGTTCCACAATTCCTTTTCATCTTCATGCAAAAGTCTCTGTAAGCCATACCATCTTTCAACGACTGGAATACAATACAATCTTTGAACAATGTCCATCCAAGTGATCTTCTTAATTTCTCGTGCTTCTCTTTCATCTGTATTCTATTTACAAGGAAATCAACGAATCCTTGAGTTGGTGCATTCGGTACTAGCTGCAATGGTAGTTTGGTTGATCTAGGCTGGTCATACTGCGAGGACTGCTCATTTCTATCATGAAAAGCCGATATCAAATCCAAAGACATAAAGTGGACGGGATTACGTGAATGTTGGAATTGCGTATAGTAACGAGACAAATAATCTTTGTTTAAAACAACCACTGTTTCCAACTTTCTTCCAGCCATTTTGGAAATTACTCTGGCCTCTTCCTTTGATTCGATGCAAAACAAATCCAAAACAAGTCCAATGATTCCTGTTTCTTCGGTACTGGATCTCGCGAGTTCAGACATCTCCCTTGAGATTGGATTGGATGGTAATGATGCTGCTCTTCTGGGTTGGGAGTTCATATCGTCGATCTCTTGCAAAATAACTTGAATGGTCTTTCTTACCTCCTCAGGATTGGCTTTTGATTTATCAAACGAAGGGTCGAATCTTAATAAATTGTTCTTTGACTCTTCGATTTGCAGTCTTAGTTGTTCTTTTTTCGAAGTAAAGTTTGCCAATGTTGACTTGATCGTATCAATTTGTGATGAAGCTTCGTTGATCTCTTTGTTCAAAGACACACGCTGTGATTCCAGTTCAACTTTCTTGTCTATATCCTCCTTGCTGTTGGTATAGACAAACTCGATGGAATGTGAATTGATTTCCTTCATGTTGGTGGTGAATCTAATTCGATAGGCCTGTGAAAGTCCAACTGATTCTCTCAGACTCAGCAAAGGGAAAATAGCATCTCCTACGTTGTTAAATGGTACCGGATCGGTTTGGATTAACACTGGCATTGTAAAGAAAGAGGACTGTGACTGTGGCTGTTTGGAGAGCTCGATCGATGCAAAAACACTTCCATTGACCAATACTTTGTTATCATTCTGGTCGGCCGCGTGTATTACGAAATCCTTTGCCAAAACAGATGATGTTTGAGGAGCAATAATCGACGATGTACATAGCTTGACTGGTCTATCCGGAAGAACTACCAAACTAGAATCAAACTCCACTTTGTTGGTGACACTTGTAGAGTAGACAAACTTGAGTGGATACTCTCCAGATTTTCTTGGTCCTGGAATATCCTCGAAAATATATACCGATCCATCTAGTTCCGTTGAGCTACACACAAATGACTTCATGTGAAGCATTAAACGAACATTTGACTTTTGGACAACCAGTGCTTGGCCATCGGGATTGATAAGCGATATCTTAATTGGCGGAATAATGCTATTTGAGATCACTGCAATCGGTGCAGAATTGTGGAGACGTATAGTTGCAGAACCTTTAACAATAAAATATATGGTTGCCTCTTGCATACTGATATTCTTTGTGCTGACTCTCAGCTCGTAGGTTCCCTCTACACCAGTGATATCCATATTCTTGATCGATCCAACACCAGCCCTGATCAGAGTTTTCGATTTGATCTGAAGTGGAGGTGGATTGCCCTGAAGATTCACCCATTCGTATTCGATTTCAATACCATTGCTGGAAATGACATTACCAAGAGTATCGCAAATAGTGACTTTGATCTCCTCCAAGTAATCTCCACGTGAGCATGTAACTGAGAGTTTAGACAGTCCATTGACACGCACCTGTGAAGCAGTACCCTCGATCATTGTGAATTTAAGCGGAAACTCTGCTACATTATTGTGTTTGTCTTTGGCAATCAGTGTCAGTTCACCATAACCAATCATGGTGATTCTACATGGATACATATTCTTCTCGGTGTTGAACGGCTCGATTATACAACTCTTGATCTCTGCGTTCTGTGCTTCGCTGCTGGTTTTCAATACAAAGTACGGTTCGATCTCTACTCCAGCCTTTGCTTCGGATGGTGTAACAACATTTCCTCGCTTGTCATTCAACTTGAGATCAATTAAAACCTCGGAATCACAACGAATCTTTTGTGGAAGCAAGCCTTTTCCAAACTGTGAAAAGAAAGTTGAGGGTGCACCACCAGTTGTCTGTATTGAAAACTCTTTCTTCAAATCGATTTTCTCTGCTTTCTTTTCATCCATATCCCAATCTGTCTTGATGCTAACCCAATGCATCATGGCACGAGATATCTTGTCGGTAATCAAAGTGGGCAGTTCAAAGATGTTGGCGCCATTCATGGCCACCTCCAGCTGATGAGACGATGGGTGCCAGCTAGTAGAAATCTTGCCCTTTAGCTTTGAGAGCTCATACGGTCCACGTCCTCCTCCACCCGCACCATAGACTTTGATACCGAATTGTAGTGAACTACCAGACATTGCACGATAGCTGTCCTCCTCCAACCTAAACAATGAAGACTCTGACAGTGGAATCAATTTGAGAAAGGCCGGCTTTGACGATGGTGTAATTATAATTTGCTTCTCCACTGTACAAATCTCATTTTTCTCCTTGTAGAATGTAAATTGAACGTGTACTGTTGATGTAGCTGTCGGTGTGCTCTTTCTACGAGGTGCACCGGTCTCCTCGAATGGCAAGTCAATCTTTTCTTTGATAAACAATGCCTTGGAATCCTGGAAATTAAAGTAACCTTGTACATCGCTTGTTACCACTATGCTCTCTTCCAACACAGTAGAGGTTGCAACAATATATTCACTGGGTGTTGTTATTGCATTCTTTTTCGATCTAGATCGTGGCTTTTGAGATGCTGGAGCTGATGGCGCCGACTCGTTAATGTACACATTTCCACTCTTGTCTCTCAGTATCAAGCTGAAAGGTGGCACACTCGTTAGGTTCATCACTTTCTCTCCAAATGGATCCTCTACGAATGAAATTGACACTGGTGGACCAGATATCAATCTAATTGGATCAAGCTTACAAGACATTCCCTTGGACTTGAGTGAAACGACCAGATTGGCCTCTCCATCGTCGCCTAGATTCGCACCAATAACCTTCATATTCTGTATCATGATCCTTCCATCGACAATATCGACATCGAAATCCTTTGAAAATTTAACTGCTGTTTTGGATCCCACTATCGAACCTGTATACTCCAAAGCCGGTAAGTCTGAAAAAGGCACCTCATTGGAGTGCTCGTCTAATGATTTGACAATGATGGGAGGCAACGGGCTCTCCAATTGAATTCTTGGAGAATCTGATTCAAGCTGATATTCAGCAGAGATTTTCTTGGGATCGCCTGCCAATACCTTGATGTAATGAGTCGCTGGATTGACATTTGGATAGCTGCATGTAAAAGTGAAAACATAGGCACCGGTTCTGTTGAACGGGAACGAACTCAATCTAAATGATGCTCTTCCGGGTTCATAGTAGGAAGACGATGATGAGCTGAGAACCAACTCGTTCGTTGGCTGATAAACTATTTTCAAGTCGATCTTGATTGACTCCATATCGATGATACGCTTCTCCACTTCTTTCGGTGGCTTTGAACTATCGAGAAGCGCCACAGAAACCCATGTGATTGTGTCGCCTGTCATATACTCTGTCTTGGGAATCGGTGATTTGTCTGCTTCGATAATCTTGATTCTCGATGGCATTCTTAGTTTCTGCAGTTCACGAAGCTTCTCAAACTCGGCAGGTGCAACCTTTCCTTTTACCTTGTTGATTGGGAACGTTTCAAACTGATCCAATGGCTTATAGTTCAATCGTTCGATTGTCAGGAAGAAGCTGCTCGTTCTAAGCTCTGGCATACCAGAAAAATACATTTGCTTGATGGTGCCATGGACAGCGGGACGAGTCAGCAATTGAATGCCGTCCTCGCGATAATATGTACATCCACTGATTGACACCGACTTGCAATAGGTACGATTACTGACTGCATCGTAGACATCTGTTTCAAACTGAAAATCTTGGTCCAACTTATGACATCGAAGAATCCACTTCTTCCACTCATTATGATTGTTACGCGAACCAGACTTTTCCAGATTCAAATAGATAGGATGTTCCTTGATGATGTGTGTTTTGTTCTGATTGACTGGGAATGCCGATGTTAAAAAGAGTGCTCCCTTGACACGTTGTGCATACTTTTCCTCGATTTTCTCGCCGTCCAGTCTAACTCCAGTTGCCATGAATCCAAGTCGTTCGATATGTGCCTCGGGAATCAAACGACCATTCCAAAACACTTCGAAACCAGGCTTCCTTAGTGAAAGTGGTAGTTGATCGAAATCCTCGCAGGGATGTTCCAAAAATACTCTATATGGTATTGGGAGAGTTTCTTTCTCTTGTATATATGGGAAGTATCTTAGATGACACTTTACTTTTGCCAACTCGCCGGCACCAGTGTCGACCAGCAACTCGAAACACTTTATCTTTTTGCCATGCTGAATGTACAGACTCTCCATAGAGTCTGGAATATTGACTAGATCCAAATCATTCAACAATAGATTGTACTCTCCTTTCTTTGGCGGTTTTCCGTTTGGTTTCTTGTCGTTTTCAGTTGGTGAGGTGTTGTCTTCTTCGTCACTGTCCTCTTCCTCTTCAAAGTGGTAGTGACTCTGATCGGTAGGATCCGTATGTATATAGTAATAGTAGATGTGTGCTAGTTCTCGTTTCAGTGAGACGATTGAATCTTCAAAGGTTGAAGTCGGTGTCAAGAGTAACTTTACGATAGGTACATTTTTGATTGTAACCTCTGTGAATTGCTGTGAACGCTCCGCTGCGGTTGATTCACGAACTTTAATTGGAATTTTCCACTCTTGATCGCCTGTCGCACTGAGAATATCCAGTGAAATGGTTGCTTCGTTCACCCAATTGTTGGACTTTTGTTTAGTCACCACTAAAATCTCAGTACCCAAATAGAAAGCTGCTTTCTTTGCACCAACACCAAATCTCGATATCATACCGGTTGCAGTCTTGTCTGAACCAACTGAATCACTACTCGTAATGGTGTCTTGTGACTTTTGTTCCAAATCTGCTTGTGACATACCCATTGTCGCCCATCTCTGTAGATCATCTTTACTCATTCCACAACCATTATCCCAAAATGATATAGACTGTTGTTTATTTTGAAAAGTAGCAATGAAAATATTAGTAAAAAAAAAGGATCAATTACAATTGAATATACCTATATCATATACATACAGATAAATCTCTGGAATCTGGTTTCTTAATATTAATCTTTACTGTCTTGTCACCAGTTGGATTGCTTCTGACTGCCTGAATCGCATTATCTATAAACTCTGCAAAAGCATTGGATGTCCTAAGTTGTGTTGATGTTCATGTTAGTATTTCAATACTAATCATCGAGTACTACAAGTCATATTAAGAAACCTACGTATAATCTGAAGTACCAGCTTTCAATAGAATACTCTTTGATGGTGTTACATCTACCATCAACTCCTCAGGTTGTTCCAATGGATTCTCACCGTCAGTGTATACAATAATAATATTGTTGAGTGAGATAAGGAATTGTTGATAACTTATCTCATCTTGAATCGATTTATTCGATAGATCTGTAAAATATATATTCTGATAGTTGAACGCAAAATAACAAGTTAATAATACTCTATAACTACAAAAGTTAGTTATAAATTACTATTGAATAATAATACCTTTGAATCTATAATATTTAATGTATTAACTTCATTTTTAAACTTTACAAAGGTTGCAGGTGTTTCCAATTCATATCTTTGACCTTTTCTAGATATTAAAACTTGTAATAAGCTGTTAACACTAAGAACTAAATAATGTATTATCTGCAAGATTAATTAATGACTTACTAGAAGTAGGTAAATTCTTTAAGACCATTTCAGTCGATGTACTTTCATTAGATGATTTCGCCTTTTTGTTGTCTCTCAAAGGCGAAACAAACTTCTTGTTATTATTATTATCTGCTTCATTTTTTCTTTTCTTATCATCAAACTTTTTATTTGATTTCATTATATAAATAATTCAACAAATATAAAGAATACAATCGTTAATAAGAAATTCGACTATCTCTCACTGTGTGTGAAAAATCATAATTGAAAAAAATTGAAAAAATGAGATCTCTTTGCGAAACTTAAATAATTTTTAATTTCTTGTAAAAAAACACAAATCATGCCAACAAATAAAAATGATATTTAAATAATAAAAATATATTCAGAAAAGATTTTAAATAAGTACTCATAGAATTGTCAAAAATTTGAAATAAAATAAACAATTTTTTTTCAAAAGAAAGATTTACAATGCTTATAAAATGCAACATTTATTTTATTTGTTTTAAATTTCTTATAACCAAAACAAAGTTTATGGACTTTAAATTGTCCAAAAGGGGTTAATAAAAAAAAAAATTAAAAAATTAAATTAGTAGTGGTCTTTGATGATAAAGTAAAGATTAATTCTTTGTATATGGGTGGTGTTAAAAAACACCCTTATGACACCAGCAATCTGGTCTTCTTCAAAAATCTTTTAAGATGTTTAAGAATTGAAACCGTAGAGAGTACGACCTTGCTTCTTGAGAGCGTAGACGACATCCATGGCAGTTACTGTACGACGATTGGCGTGCTCAGTGTAGGCTACAGAGTCACGAATGACATGCTCCAAGAATTGACGGAGGACGTTACGGATCTCCTCATAGATTGGGAAAGAGATACGCTTGACACCACCTCTTCTTGCGAGACGACGGATGGCTGGCTTGGTAATACCGTAGATGTAATCCTTCAAGACCTTTCTATGTCTCTTGGCACCGACTTTACCTCCGACTTTACCTCCTGTTTTTCCTCTTCCGGCTGTTGACATGATTTAATTTGATTGGATATTTAAAAAATGAATAATAATTGATGAACTAATTTGAATTATTTAACAACTAAAATGATTAAAATAATAATAATAGAATTAATATTTGTAAAAAAATATAGGTTGATTTAAATGAATTACGATTGATAATAACTTACATAAATTATATTTTGATATTTACAACAAAATCTTTTTGAAATAGACTTGTTTAGGTTTAGGTGTCGTGAATTTGAAATGTTTTTAAACAGTGTGAGATTAACATTTTATTCATTCCTCTGTGAAAAACAAAATTCAAAAATCCGATACACACTTTTTTTACCATACAAAATTGAGGAGGGTGCACTCAAAACTCTATTTTTTCTATTTTTTATTTTGTCAACCCTTTCTTTTTTTTTTGGCGCACTATTTTTCAAATTTGAAAAAATCCGACCACACCATCATTTTCAATATAAACTTTAAAAATTTCTTTTGATTTTGAAGAATCTAAATAAAACTTTTTTAAAAATGTGATTTAAATTTAATCAAAATTTAACAGCTAAAAAAAAACTAAGAAAATAATTTAAATTTAAATTTAATTTAAGTTAATTACAATATATATTTTATTTATTTTTCAAACGAAAAAAAAAAAAGTGATTTAATTATTACTTATAAATTATTATTATTATTTTTGTTCATTTTGTTCGAATTCAGTTGTTGAAATATTATTTTCTTTTAAAATTCTATCAATGATATTAATTTTATCGGTCTTCCAAGGATAACCGATGGAATCACCGGTTCTCTTGTAGATCTTTTTGATTCTCTCGAGATGCATTTGTGCTTTGAGGTAACGTTTGTAGGAGATCAGAGGTGTGGCACCGCTATTGGCGTAGACCTGTCGATAGATCATCTCGCACTGCTCTTTGTCTTTGGTGTAGTGGTTGAGCTCGACCGCTGCGAAAGGAATAGCGAGGTGGATCAACGACACTGGCAGCTTATGAGGTATCAACACCTTTGAGACAACCAGCAACGGTACAAAAGTAGCCAGGAACACCTTGCAATTCGACACGATCAAATCTCTCGATGGATGTTGAACTACCGTTGTATTTACAATCTCAATGTTGGCATCTTCCTCCTCCTTTGTTATCGGTACGATTCCATATGATTCAATCAATTGTGTTCTCAACTCAGGATCATCTAATTAATGAGTTATGTTATTGGATTGTTTAAAAAGAATGATGAATAGTTAGCTATTATTATTATTATTATTATAATTGAAAAGTTTATAAACACTTAAAAAATATACTTACTATCTATATCATTAAATGTAATTTTATCTACGATCGATGTATCGTTTCTATAGGTTTTCTTTACGGGTGCGAATGTTTCGATGATAGATTGTTTGGAGCGATCTCTTGTGAGTGGCCAGTCGAATGGGATCAGCGAGATTGCAGCCTCCTCATCACCAAAGCACATAAAGTCACCGTCGGTCATCATAAGATCCCATTGATCAAAGTTGACTCTATTGTATCCCAATTCCTTCGATCTCTCTCTAAAATATTTCTTTCTTTCATCTGGAAGTGGCTGTGATATTCTATTGCCTTCTTCGATGACCTTCTTTGTATAGAATTCCAAAGGTGATCTTCCAAGCAATGAAATACCCATATATAAAGTATAAGCAGTCAATGTAAAGTTACCTATCTTCATTGTGCTGTCTCTATCTATCAATCTATAAATATATATATATTTAATGTAAATAAAAGTAAATAAAACAAAACAAAATAAAATAAAATGCAAAAAAAAGACAAATGATAATCAATGTTTGAAGATTTAGATTATTTCATATGATTTCATTCACCAACTTAAGTTCACACACATTCTTGGCAAAAAAAAAAAAAGAAAAAAAAAAAAACAAAGATGTTCAAATCAAATAAATTGTAATCAAATAATAAGTTCTTTACTACTAATAAGTGAGCAAAACAACATTATTTATTCAAGTGTTACAAGTTCTATTTAATAGCTAGTTTCTCAATATTTTTTAGATGTTTTTATTTTCGAAAATTTATTCAAAGAAGAAAATGCCCTTTTGTGAATAAGTATGTAACCTAATTAGATTGACCAGGTCTGTGCTTTTGCTCATTTTAAAACAATATTTTTAGTTGATCACACTCACCGAGTGTGAAAACCACCTTTTTTGAGTGAATTTTTGGGTTTTTTTTTTTTCTTTTCTCTCAAATTACATCGTACAAAATTTGTTCATTTTTTTTTTAATTAAAATAAATACTTTGGTACTATTTTAATTTATTTATTTATAATTATTAAACATAAGTGCCAACATCACAACCAATCTAAATATATTTATATTATTTGTATTAATAACATAGTGTTTTTTTTTTTTTTTCTATCTTTTTCTCCAAAGTTTTATTTAAATTTAAATTAATTTTTATTTAAATTTTTTTTTCACAATATATAATTAATTAGTAGATATATATAATAATAATTTATAGATATAGATATAGATATAAAAATGGTTCAAGAAGAGGATAATGATTATTTATTCAAGAGTATGTTTTTAAAGATATATATATAGATAGTCGTCAACTAGTTTTATTGGTTGTGTAGCAGAAAAGTATATAGTGTATTGACATTGATTTCTATCATCATCATCATCATCTTCTTATCGTTAGTTGTTATTATCGGAGATTCAGCAGTAGGAAAATCCAATTTGTTAAATAGATTTACTCGAAATGAATTTACAGAGAAAACCAAAGCTACCATCGGTGTAGATTTCGGTACAAAGTCAATTGAAATTGAAAATAAAGTAATTACTGCTCAATGTTGGGATACTGCTGGTCAAGAGCGTTTTAGAGCTGTAACAAGCGGGTATGTATTTATTTATTATAAAGATAAAGATAAAAAGAAAGAGAAAGAGGGAGAGTGCGCTAGAGAATAAAGATAAAGATAAAGATTAAGATCAAGATTAAAATCAAATTGTTTATATTAATTATATTTTATCGTTGTTATTATTTTACTATTATTTAATAGTTATTATCGTGGAGCAGTTGGTGCAATGATTGTATATGATATAACATCTAAAGTTAGTTTCAAGAATGTAACTAGATGGCTAAACGAATTGAGAGAGATGGCAGATCCAGACATCTTGATCATGATGGTCGGAAACAAGTCCGATTTAGACTCTGCAAGAGAGGTCTCCACTCAAGAGGCACAATCTTTTGCTCAATCACATAAAATTTCATTTTTAGAGACATCTGCTTTGAATTCCTCAAATGTAAATCTAGCATTTGAACGTTTACTTACAGGTTTGTGATTAAGGATCTATCTAGCTAACTAAGCACACTTATTAGTAAATATTAACTAACTAAATGTTTGTTATTTGACTTGAATATAGATATTTATCATCATTTCGGACAAAAGAAACAAGTAGTTATGGATGATGGACAGGAATGGTTGAAACCATCGACATCAAGTGGACATAAGATTACACCATTAGCCGAGACACCTGTATCATCAACAACCTCCACTCATCAAGAGAAAAAGAAGGGTTGTTGCTAAATTAACTTTTTTATTCAATCGAAAAAAACAACCAAAATCAAACAAGTAGTACTATAGTAAATCATAATATCAAAAAAAAAAAAAAAAAAAAAACCAAATAAAATTTATAATCTAACAATAATCCAGTAAATAATTGGATTTGGAATTATATATAATAAAATTATAGCAACATATATATATATATTATATATTAAGATAGATAGTGATTAATAGTGATATAAAAAGAAAATTATTTATATTTTTTTAAATATATATTACAAATTTTTATTATTTTATTATTCTAAACTACCCTCGACAGTTTTAGCCCAAGTTTTAGTTTGATGGAATTGCTCTGTCTTTGTAATTAAAATATCACCATAGGATTCATCTTGTTGAACTTGCACCAGTCCTTTTGTTTTGAGTACAAGCAGTTCATAAAAAGTTCCTGCGACGGCGACTCTTGTTTGTTTGTCAGAAACGAGTGAATTGAATTGAATGGTTGTTGATTTGCTGGTGGAAAAATATGAATTGAGAACGTTGTGCATTGTGGCTGTTCTTGGCGTCCAAGTACCGGGTCCTGGTGTTTTCTTTGTTGATTGCGGAGTTTTGTAAAGACTGTCGTCTGCCTCTTGCTGTTGATGTGGAATTGGACTGAGTCCGGCATTGGCCAGATCATCGTCCTGCGGATAATCACCACCACCCTGATAGTCATCATAGTTAAACATATCGTGAGTGTCGATTCCATGAGTCTCTCCACCGATTGGACTGCCCGGTTGCTGTTTGTAGTCTTGAATTTCTTCACCCACCGACGGCAGAGCCGGTTTCATTGCCAGTTGATCCAACTCCTTTTCCAAATCGGCCAGCAAACTCTCTTCTTCCTCGACGGTGATATCCAAATCGAATTTTCTTCTCTTGTTTGGTGTGATGTGTCTTGAGTCTTCAATGTGTGAGGTTACGTTCTTTTGAATGATTTGTTCCTTTAATGAGACGTTTTCAAAGTCGGCATCAGCTGGGATACCGAGTCCCTCCTTCATTCGGCTGTCGAATTCCACACCCTGACCGGCGTATTCCTTCAGTGAGTGATGTATCTTGTTTGCTTTGATGTAGTTGAGCTGGTTAATGTCTTCCGCTGACAAGACATCGGTATATTTATGCTGGAAGATATCTCTAAAGTAGTTGACAATCTTTAGATTCATCTTTCTTCTGATTGGCAAGAGCAACGAGTATTTTGGTCCTGGCATCACGCTTGTGTTGGTGGCGACTTTGAATTCATTGTTTGAGGTTGGCAGTGATGTGTGTGGTGCCAATAAAAGATTGGCATGGTTTTTCAGTTTGTTGATTTCCGCTTCACTAAACACATTGTGTCGGTATCTACGAACGGAAGGAGTTTTTTTCTTTTCTTTTTTTTCTTTTTCTTTTTCCTTTTCACTTGGTCCAACCAATGGAATGACAGGCAGTACTTTTCTTTGTGTGTTGGCCTCAGAGTCTGTTGTGTGTTGCTTTTCCTCTTCGCTCAATGCTGCCTTTGTAATATCTTCTTGTGGTTGTGGTTCAGTGTCGGGCATTTCACCTCCACCGTAGTCAAACTCCATTCCAGCGTGTGTTTCAATCTCCATTCCAGCGTTGACATCGGGTTCATCAGCTGTTGGGAACATATCCTTGTCAAACTCTACAAACTCATTTGCTGGCTCCAAAAGCTTATCGACTTCCTCGGCTTGGTAGAATTGATTTGGATCGAATTCACCGGTGATCTCTGTAGTTGGTAGTTGAATGAGTAGCTCCTGGTCATAGCCAGACATCTCTTTTGGTGCGCGATACGGTGACTCTGGAGAGGGTGGTGGGAATTCCTCATCGATTGAGAGTTCGGTACCAAACTTTTTCTTTTGCTCTTCGCTACCACCTGGCAGACTTGGTCGCTGTGGTGTGATCTGAATGGAGGGACGCTGTGCACCTCTTATAATCATCTCGTCGGCATGATAGTTCTCCATCCATTCTTTGTAGCCAATGAACGAATCTTCTTGACCCTTGGGTGGTTGTCCAGGCAATACCATCTCATCATCAACATCCTCCTGACGTCTTGCCTCCATTCTATTCAGCTCATCTTCAATGTCTCTATCTAGACGTTGTTGTTTAAGCACATCGAGATGTGAAGGAGTACCACTTTCATCTTCACTCTGTATCAAATCTTGTCCTGGAGTAGTTGGTGGTTGATCTCCAGACACTGTTGATGATTGTTGCTGTTGTTTTCCTTTACCAGCTGGTGTATATGGTGCAGCAGCTGACTTCATTGTATCGATGTAGAGTTGTTGGAAATTCTTTGATTCAAAAAATCTATCAATAACCAAGCTAAATATAGTTAAATTTGATGGAAATGATAAGAGTTAGTACTAGATCTAATAATGATCATTTTACAACAATATAGATAGTTATTTTGCATACTCTTCGATTCTATCAACACCACGAAGATAATCATCGATCTGTTGAGCTATATTGATTGGTTTCGATGTTGCAGCTAAAGTTTGTGGATCTTCTTCTTCCTCTGCAACTGTCAATGTAATACCTGGTGTTGCTATTTTCGTAGTCTTTGAGTAATCGTTATATTAGTGACATCCAGATGATTATTGACTTTAAAGTTTTACAAATTGATTATGATTTACATACACCTTTGAATCTGGCTACGGCATCACCACAGTCATCCAAGAGGAATTTAACTTTTTTCGAGAAAATACGAACGACACCAAGCAAAAGATGTGATGTCATACGAAGAGCCATCGGAAGATGTGGATTTATAATATATCCTAAATTATAATACATGTGTTTCAGTTAACAGGTGCATTGTATTGATTGAATGATTTGATGATGCTTACTGATTGATTTAGGAATATTAGTCTTAAAGATATTCTTTTTTGTTAGCTTCTTATCCCAATGACCGGCAAGCCAAATCTTGGCAAGAGGACCTCTCTTGGCCAAGACAATCTGTGAAAAGAACATTTTTTAATCTATAATCTATGATCTATAATCTTTAACTTTATAAAATATTTGTAATTAACAATGAATAATGACAAATTGTTGAAATCTATCTATTTCTTCCTTGAAAATTTATCTAGATTATTCAACATAGGATTATTTTTAAAAAATAAACCGTTTAATAATTTCGAAGTATTGAACATTCAAAAAATGATTAAAAAAAAAAAAAAAAAAAAAAGGGTGAAAAAATTTTTTTAAAGAAAAAGGCGCAATAATATACATTTTTCTCACAACAATTTTTTATCCCTCAACCCCCGATACAGATAATTTTCATTTTAATCTTACAAAAATGAAAATTTACTTTAAGTTTCGAGTGATGAAGTTTTGGTAATTTTGGCCCAAAAAAGATTAAATATAAAACAGTGGCGATTATTGAACCAAATTGTAGTGGTAATCATCGAAAAAATAGTCTTGCGAGGCTTTATCGTAAAGGTTGAAAAATGCAGACGTTTACATTTTCTTTACTAAAATCGGCAAAATATCCTTGGTGGAACTTTCGAAAACCTGAAAAAAAAACAAAAAAATTGCTCAATAATATTTAATTAATTTTCTCTCATGAAATTTATTAATGATATCTTTGTCATGCCATCATCTATAAATTGGATGGTGGATTTCTTTTGATTGTAATCGAGTATTTGTTTTTTTTTTTTTTCGCTGAAATAATAATAATAATTTTTATTACAATATAATCTAAAGATAAAGATGACAAAAATAACAATACTCCCTATCACCGTGTTCTTGCTTTTGGTGCTGACTCTCTTTGTTGCCAAATCGACAAATGCATCGGCTGTCGATTGTGATCTGTGTCAGTTGTCGATCGATGAGCTATCAGAGATGGCACAAACCGATAACCTGACCTACAGTGATATCTACAATGCTATCGATCGTATTTGCCGTTCCATTCCATCGTACTCCTATGAGTGCTCTGCCATTTTGAATAGCTCTGGTGACTCTGTCATCCATCAGATTCTCAACGGTACAAGTTCCAACGTAATTTGTCGTGAGCTAATGGTGTGTTCATCTTCCAACAACGCCTCAAACAAGCAGATCATCAACAACCGAATCACATCCAATCTTGAAACCATCCACAACAAAATCAACAAAATCAAATCCAATTGTAAACAATTTGAGAACAACGATATTGAAAAATCAAAAGTAAGTTGGAATCAAACAACAACACACATATAATCAAAAGATAACTAACATTCTTTTTTGATATTTAAAACATATTATTATTTAAAGTGTTACAAACAAATAGATATTGTAATGAATGAAATTAAATCAATTTTAGTTCAATAAAGTATCTATTTCTCTTTTCCTTTTAGAATGAATAATTGAAGACAATTTGTTACAAATAAATATATAACAATGTTATTTATGACTTTATGTTTTGTTTAAACAAAAGAAAAAAAAAATGAAATGATAGTGAATGTTTTAAAGTTATTGTTTTAATTATTATTATTATTATATTATATTATATTATTATTATATTATAGTTTTTGGAAGTTTGCATTTTGACCAACAACTGGATTGTATCTGAATGATCTACCTCTCAAAGTGAATGCAAGGAAAATTCCGGTACCCTATGAAATTTCAAAAAATAAAATAAAAATAAAAAAAACATTATTATGATTTGTTTTAATAGAATGATTGATTAGTAAGATTATAATAACTTTTAGTGGTTGAGTTGAATTGAACATACGTAAAAAACAATTAAAATAAGATCTTTAATCATCCAACCACTGAAACCTTTTGATTTAATGAGCTCCCAAATGATTGAGACAATCGAGAGACCAATCAAAACAACGAGACCCATCATGAACCACCACAACAACTTGTGACTATTGAATCTTGCACCCACAGCACCACAAATAGCAACCAATACTGTAGCAATACAGATAATGATACCGATGAGGAATGTAGAGATGGCAGACACCACTGCCATGATCAATAAAAGAAGACATAAAAAGTAGACTAATCTAACCTTAATCTCTGTACCTTCGAACCAAGCCATTTTTTTTCTCTATTTATCTATCTATATATTAACTAAAAACTACTAACTAACTAACTAACTAACTATCTAACTAAACTGTTTGTGATTATAATCTGTTTAAAAAAATAAATATATATGTATATAAAATAAAATATTGAAACTCTTTTATAAATAAAATTGAAAATCCGATTTTCTTTATGATCAAATAGATCGATAGATAAAAATAATAAAATAATAATTTACAAATAAAATGTTGTAAAGCAGAATTAAAATACCTAATTTGATGTGAGCAATTTAAAAAAATTAAAAAAATTAAAAAAAAATGAAATAAAACAAGGTATGAAAATTTTTAATGTGACCCCACACTCACAATTATCAACTTTTCAAATATTTATTTTTTTTCAACTTTTAATACAAAGTTGTATGGGCACATTCAATGGTATATAATTCCTAGTTTTATAGGATGTCATATAACAGATATTAAAGTTTACTTTTCAAAAATAAAATAATATCTAAATTTAATTTTAGAGGGATTTTTTTTTTTTTTTTTCAGTAAAAGAATATTTTTCTTTTCTTTTCTATTTTTTTTTTTTTTTTTTTTACTTTGTTATTTTATTATTTTGGTTGGTTGGACATCTAGATACTTACTATGATTAATCCATTAATGATCGTTGTGATCAATGTGTAACGTTTGAATGATTTTTAAAAAAAAATTTATTAAAAAATTAAATTAATTTCAATTCGTTCGTTTTTATTAAAACAAAAATAAAAAATAAAAATAAAATTTTTTAAAATTAATTGATTGATTAATATTTACAATCTATATATATATATTAATACAACAATAACAATAACAATATGGTACATAAAAAGAATAAGAAACAAAGAACTAGAGTAGAGGTTGCTTCTACCTATAGTGAAAAGAGAGAGTCAGAGATTATAAATGAACTTAAATTTGGAAAACCTGTTGATCAATTAGATGATAGTCAATTATTCACTGTTACAAAGAAACGTATGTTTATATATGTTTGTTATAATGTTGAGTTTTTTTTTGTCAGCTGTTATGCATAGCAGAATAAATAACTAAAATGTATTGATCCTTTTTTATGTAGCAAATAATGATATCAAATTATTATCGAAAAAAGAAGCAAAGAAACAAGAAGCAAGAAATAGAACTACTTTTGCAGATAGAATATTACGTGGTAATGAGAATGTCTTACCAATCTCAAAGACAAACGCTGGCAGCAAGCCAATTGAACCAGACAGATTGATTCTCAAGAAGAAGATTAAACAGGTGACACAACAACAGGAGGAGAGTGACGACGATGACTTTTTGGATGACGATTTGAAGAAGAAGAAGAATCTGAAAAAGAGAAAAGCAGCTGCCGACGATCAATCGATTTGGGATCACGATGACAATGCTCAGTATAGCGAGGTTTCGCAATTCGTAAAGGATGAGGTTAAGAAGCAGACATTCAAGGTGCCAACTCACAAGCCACTCGTCGCCAACATGAAATCACTCGAGCTTCCAAAGCCAGGTATGTCATACAACCCCGATAAAGCACAGCATCAAGAGGTGTTGGCCGATGCTATAAAGGTTGAATTGACTGCACAGAGATACGTTAATAGAGTTACAAAGAGATTGGAGATTCAAGGTGATGACAATGATGAAGAGTTGGAAGATGAAAAGAAACAAAAAGCAGCAGCATTAGAGGAAGAGGAGCAAGAGGAAAGTGACAGTGACAGTGACAGTGAAGAAAAGAGTTTAAATATTGCACAGATCAATGCTTTGCAAGAAAGAGTTACAAGAAAACAAAAGAATGCACGTTTGAGAAACGCAGAGAACATTCGTAAGCAAGTTGCAAATCAACTCAAGAAGAAACAGTCGAAACACATTGAAAAGTCATCTGGAATGGTAGATGTTATAGAGAAGCACGAGGAACACGTCAACAAGCGTTTAGAGAACAGAAAGAAGCTTCACGACGACAGAAATACAAAGACCAAGAAGATAGGAAGATACAATGTCACTTTGGAAACCGAACCAGTTTTATTAACAGATGAACTACCAAAATCATTAAAGAATCTTTCAAATGTAAGATAATCCATAGTCAACACAATATATATATTCAACAAGTTGATCAATAGATATTAATCAACATTTTCTTGTTATCTTTCTTATTATATAGGTTCACTTTAATCCACTAGAAGATCGTTTCAGAAGTTTACAAAAGAGAAGTATCGTCGAAGGTTATGGTCCAAAGGGAGAAGCAACCGTTGGAAGAAAGAAAGTCTATACTAGACATTCATATAACAATACTACTCCTCTTTAAACTTTAAAAGTAAACTTTGAAATCATTTAAAAATAAAAATATATTGCTAAAAAAAGATAGAAAAAGTAAAGAATTATTTAAATAATCGATTTCTTTATTTATTTAATTAATCATACAGTTTGTATTAAAGTATGATCGAATCCAGTGGCTATATTTACAACTTTTGGTGTTTCAATTTGATTTTCGTCAATGTCGTACAGTTGTGTTGGTACCAATAGTTCATTGGAGGTATCACCATTGCCAAGCTTTCCTTTTGACCCACTTCCCCATGTGAATAAACGACCGGATTCTGTTAGTGCCACGGAGTGAGCTCTACCCGCTGCCACCATCTTTAGTTTCTCCCCACAAAACAACATTGGATCGACCAGTGTCGGTACACTTCTATTTGACTTGTCACCCAATCCAAGCTGACCACTGCCATTCCATCCGAATGTATAAAGATCACCTTTACTATCGATGATCATAGTATGTGAGAACCCACATGATACAAAACGAATCGCTTCGAATCCATTGATCGCTGTGGGCGTGTTGCTATGTTGACAATCTCCATGACCCAGCTGACCAAACTCACCACTTCCCCAGGATATCAAACGACCGTCTCTGGTCAATGACATTGAATAGTCAGAGCCAGCATAGATACCAACAATATTACCAGAGAACTCGGGTTGTTCCATCGATATTTCCTTTGGTAGTGGAACGGGTTTATCTTTTTCATTTGAAATAGAACCGAGTTGACCATCGTTTGTCCATCCCCAGCCATAGATAGCACCATTGTCTGTCAGTGCCAATGAATGTCCCCAACCAGCTGCAACCATTGTAACATTGTTTCCTTGTAGCTGTTTAACCAAAGTAGGCGTAGTTCTATGTTCACGATCACCCAAACCCAATTGACTCTCTGAATTTACACCGAACGAGTACAAGCTACCATCGTTAGCAGCAATTAGCGTATGTCTTCTTCCACCCGCTACATAGTTTGCTTTGATATCATGGATTGCAGTTGGTTCCAGTGATTTATAGTTGGTTTCTTTTTTGTTTTTCTCTCCACCAACAAAAGATGTCCATCCCCAAGTAAATAAAGTTGATTCTATTCATTAAAAACGGTTAATTAGATTAATAAAGATTGATTCAGGTTTGGATCTATATTGAAATTATACCTTTATTTATAAACATGCTATGATAGTGACCACAAGCAAGTTGCTTTATAGTGTTTTTATCAATGTCTATTTTAAATGGATATGCCTCATACCCTTCAATTCTACCATTTCCAAGCTTTCCATCATTAGAACATCCAAAAGAATACAAGTTTGTTGTACTGTAATATTTGTGAAAGATATTACTTTGTTTGATTGCACTTTTGATGAACATTTAAATAAAATGAAAAATCAAAATCTTTAATATAGGATAGAGAAATAATAAAAATAAGTGTTGTTTAAGGTTAGAAATAAGAACGAAAAATTAAAATCAACATCAGCTGGATTAGCTTTTTAATCTTTCTTTTTTTTTTTTTTTTTTGAAAAAAAAGGCAAATAAAGGCAGAAAAGAAAGATATTTCAGCATCAAAGCTCGATTAGCTCAGTCGGCAGAGCGTGGTGCTAATAACGCCACGGTCGCAGGTTCGATCCCTGCATCGAGCAAGCTCTTTTAAAGTTTCTAATACCGCATGCGGCCTTCAATGTTTGTCAAATTCTCTTTGGCCAAGCCGGTCAATTTGCAAACCCTCAATACTATCTTGGACCCCATGAATTTGACACCGACAGTAACTAGCAGGCTTATCATAGGTTTACACAAGCACCCGCTTAGAATTCGAAGTGGCTTAATTACTCCATCTGCCAAATCAATGGGAACATCATCCCTTACTAACTTAGAATAGGTACGATTAATTTATATTAATAAACAATAAAAAAGTTCTTACACTAACTTAGAATAGTCGTTTATTTATTTGAGTTGAATAATTAATAAATACACAGTCTGATCAACTGCATATTTATTAAAAGACTGTTGAATAATTAATAATGAAGACTGACGATTGTTGTTTTCATCGTCATTGTGATTTGATGAACTATCACTCGTAAGGGAATTGATACGAGGTGTTGGGTGTTGATGAATTGTTGACTGACGTTTTAAGTTGTCAATGAAACTTGATTGAGTTTCAACAGTTGTATTGGGTGCTCTGATGATACCTTCTGATGATTCATATTTCATGTTCAACATTTGATATTCATTCTTAAGGCGTTCATATTCAATGACTAGGTTTTTCATCCACGGCTGCGATTTCTTTTTTTTCCAAATTCCCAAAACTGTAAGGATACAGTCTCTTATTTGCCATAACAGCGAGAGCCTTGAGTGTCAGACCACTGACATTCTTGAGTTTTGCGTAGTCTATTATCGCCATCGAAAATTCTTTCTAGAGTAACAGTCATTTCAGTCATAGTAATGATGTAATTTTAAAACATATAAAGATAGTATATAAATATAATTAAATGATATCCTCCCCGGGAGATTGAGGTATATCCTTAATAGATATTCTATATATAGAATAAAAAAAGATTGATCAGACTGTGTATTTATTAATTATTCAACTCAGATAAATTAACGACTATTTTAAGTTAGTGTAAGAACTTTTTTATTGTTTATTAATATAAATTAATCGTACCTATTCTGAGTTAGTGTAAGAACTTTGAATAGTAAAATTGATCGTTCGTTTTTTGAATAGCCGTTGAATTTTTAAAAAAGAAAAATAATTTGAATTTTGAAAAAGTGATATTATCGTTACATTCCTAATACTACTCAACTTATTAATGAATAATAACTATAAACAATAATAATATTTTATTGGCTATTTCTCACGGCCTGTGTGAGAATGTATATTTACTATAAAACACGAACTAGCAGGTTAATATCAATACTTGCAATTGTTGACTGATCATGAGTCAAAAAATCTTTTTTTTAAAAAAAAAAAAAAAAAAATGGTTGCAAAACATTACCAAGAGAAAGATGATTAAGAGTTTGATCAATACCATTAGCTCCACCTAACTATCATCTAGCATCAGAGCCAAAGCCAGCAGCGATCTACTGTTACTTCAATCTGTTAGATTTACTTACTTTGTAAAAAAAAGTCCAGTGTATTTATTATTAATTGATTTATCACCAAACCTAGAGATTCTATTTTAAATAATATATTAGATAGCGCTCTCAACAACCTAAGATTATACTAATCTGTAATTTCCGGTTACTGGATGAACCCCCTTTCTGTTTTATTATTATTATTTCTAAAGATTGGATTACAAGTGAAGTTCTTTAGTTCCTAAAAAAAATCAAATTCTTCAAGTATTTAATCGAGTTTTATTATTTTTAATACCGATGATGATAAAAGATTTGGCTTTAAATATCTCTTTCAAAGTCATAATCTCTTGAGACATTGCAAAAACCTTGGTATCTCAGAGATACAACCAATCCACCGTTGACATATTCATAAATACAATCACAACTGGTTTGAGTGTTCTTCCAAACGAATGTAAGTGTGGCTTTTGGTACTTTCTCTGCGAATGCCTCCTTGACCATTTCATATTTGACACGGTTGATAATATTTCCAGAGGTCTTCTCCAATGCATCTAAATACATTCCTGGAATGATTTTTGGTGGTCGGCATATATTTGGAATAGCTGCAATGCAACAGCTGGTTCCATCAACGACCATGATTGTCTGGTTGCCTTTGATAGATTGGCCAGGTATGTATCGAATCTTGGTTGGAGTCTGGTCATTTCCAAAGCAATGGAGAATGGATATCCCCCTGCACCTGGAAGTGATTCATTGATTTTAAAATGTGATGAGTTTGGTGAGTTGACTGGACACTTGAAGAGGATGGTCATGACAACGGCATCGAATCTGAGAAGGTAGTATTCGTATTTGTTAGCTTCATCAGTGGCGACAGTGACAATGACCTTCTTGGTAGAGACTGCATCCAAGAGTGCTTCCTTTCTGAATGTAGGATTCTCACCTGTCAAGAATTGTTTTAATGCATCACGGAGTGCCTCCACTTGAGAGTATAAGAATCTTTGGAGTAACAAGAGAATGTCTTTCCTTCCAAATAGTTTGAGAAACCATCTAAATCAAATTGATATTCCCATTCTTGACCAACTAATTCAGCGATTTCCTTTGAGTACTTGACCAAAGCTGGTTCCTTCTCCTTCAAGTTCTTTCTTGCTACTAATGGGAATGGCATTGTTATTTTATTTTATTAACAGCTATTAATATAAATATTTAATATTTGATTGATTGTTGTTTGTCGAATGAAGTCATTGTATATCAATCATTCACTATTTATAGATTTATATTATGAATGAAAGTAACTAATGTTGTAAACAAGTATTAAACTATTTAATCAAGTAATGATAAAAGAATAATTCAAATAGAGAATATTATTATTACATTATTTTATATTTCTCAGTTATAAAGTGTATTATGATTTACAAAAAAAAAAAAAAAAAAAGAAAAGAAAGAGTTTCAAAGTATTATAAAAAAAATGTTGCAATGAAAAAAAACATTATTATTTTTAAATAAAATTTATTTAATTAAAATCTAGATCATCTTGTTGGTCCTGGTCCTGAATGTTCGCTAATGGTTTTGATTTTGTACGTTGAGCACTTCTGAGAATGGCTGGTTTTGATCTTGGGTTCCATTCTAGTTCGTCGGGTGCAGCATACACAGGATCGTCGCCATCAGGAAATACAAATGATTGATTCTTCCTGCTCTGAAAGAATTTCTTTACGATTCTATCTTCAATAGAATGAAATGAGATCGCTACCAACTCACCATTCGGTTGTAATACCTTTTCTGCCTCTAATAAACCTTTCTTGACTTCCTGTGTCTCGCTATTTACATACATTCTAAGTGCTCTAAATATTCTCGATATCGACTTGTTTGCTGCTGGATATGGTATACATTTCTCTATAATAGCAACCAATTCATTGGTTGTTCTAATAGGCTCTATCGATCTTCTCAACACTATTTCCTCTGCTATCTTTTTGGTGTGTCTTTCTTCTCCATACTTTTATTATTAGAGTTACAAAAATAAACAAAAATATGTTAATTTCTATCAATAAACAATGGTTTAGCGTTGTAACAACAATCTTTACTTACAAAATACATTATATCTCGAAGTCGTTTAATTGAAAAAGTATTGACAATATCGAATGCCGACAGTGTAGAACTGTCGTCTTTGTTCATTCTCATGTCTAACGGACCATATAGATCCTTACGAAAAGAGAATCCACGCTCTGGATCATCCAATTGCAATGAAGACACACCAAAATCAAATAAGATACCATCGATAGGTAGATCGCTAAGTCCATTCTCTGCAAGCAATGAGCTCATTCGACTGAACTCTCCATGTATTGTAATGAGACGATCTTTATATTTCTGCCTCAGATGCTTAGTAAGTTCAAAGACGTGTGGATCTCTGTCGAATGCAATGACATAGCAATCGGGTTGACGATCGAGTATTCCTGTTGTATGACCACCCAAACCAAATGTACAATCAATATAACAAGATCCTGGTTTCAAACGAAGTCTATCGATTACCTCTCTAAACAAAACAGGTTTGTGAATGTTAAATAGTTTATCGTGATCATTTCCCAACTTGAAAATATCATAGCCATTGTTATTCGATATATCACTTGATATTATATTTGTTGTGGCTGTTGTCGCTGTTGATGATGCGATATTATTGTTGTTATTGGTTTCAGATGATTGTTTTTGTTTTGGTTGTTTTTGTGGTTGAGTGGAAGAGGTTAATTTCGTTGAAAATAACCTTTGGAAGAGCTGAAGGTTTGAGATTTTACTTTTTGAATCGCACAGGGTGGATGATCCGGGTCTAATATTCCTTGACCACATGATTTTACGTAAAAGCTATCCCCAAAAACTTAAAAAAAGATATTTAAAAAAAAAACTAAAAAAAGTTATGCTTTTTTTTTGTAGTTCTGTGATGTTGATCAGTTGTTGATCCATCAACACCACAAAAATCGATCCATTTTTTTGATAATTTTAAACTTTTATTTTAAATTAATTAATTATTTTTCCAAAGGGTTTTTCGTCATAGGTCATACCAATGTGACGATGCCAGCAGAGCAAACTAAACGCAAATAACTAACAACACTCACGCAACCAACACACACACACATACAGTCGATCAATAATAAACATATAGAGATATAAAAAAAAAAAACAACATTCAAATAATTACAAATTTTCAGATAGTAATAAAAATATTGTATTATTATTATTGTTATTGGTTATTGTCATTTTATATTATAATTATAATTATTATTATTAATTCAAATATTTCGTCAAGTATTATATGTGGGAATGGGATAGGACAGTGGATTCACTTCAGGATCTTGGTTGACCCACTCTTGAAACAGTCTGGAGGCAATCTGGGCGACCTCAGTACGTTTGGTGTAGGCGGTGTAAAGGAGATGCTCGCCATCAAGGAGCTGCTTCTCGAGGTCAAAGTGAGCGTTGTGCTTCAGGTTGCCACCTTGTTCCATTTCATTCTGGAAAACGATTCGTTTGATCAATCGGGTGATCTTGTTGACGACGTACAGTGTCAGTAGATTGGTGGATCCCCACTTGAGACGGTCGGCACTGATTTGAACACGAACCAAGTTCGTATCGAATCGATGATCGTCGTATTCGAACTTTATAATATTTGGAGGTGGAATATCTTTGGTGTTGTTGTAACAAAAGATTGGCGTCGATTCAATGGATAGCAGCTGCTTCAGGGTGCTAGCGGATTTGTCGAGCACAAAGAAAACGATGACCAGTTCCTTGGTGTCGAGCAGACGATGAGCAGACATTCCCGAGAAATTAACCAGTCCGGTGTTACCAACGTTGGCAATGTTGTGGTTGAGATCAAAAAACTCGGATCGTTTTGGTAAAGCCAACACTGTAAGATTTTGAGCGGTGCCAGGCTCTCCAAGCTCATTTGTGAAGTGTCCAGAGATTTGCAACTCTATCGAAGGTATGTTACCGTTCTGAATGAAATATGCTGGAAAAGGAGTTATATTTACAATTGAAAGTGGGTCTTTGACATGCGATCCAATCTTTATCGCTGAGACTGGAATCATCTTCTTTGCTTTGAATGTCGTTATCGATACTTTTTTGGGTGGTGGACCATTGATTGGCTCCTTCTTTACAATCGATTCTCGTGGAACACGTCTTTTCTTTGCATTCGGTGCTTTGTACGATGAGTTGCTACTGGTTGTCGTGGTCGATGTATTCAGTGGTGGACTCTCTGGCGACTCCAAATCATCTCCATCCGGTGATAGACTTGCAAGTGATTCGTTTGATGGAGGTGATGACATAAATTGTTGTTGTTGTTGTTGTTGAATTTGTTGTTGCACTTGTTGTTGTAGCTGTTGTTGCATTTGTTGCATTTGTTGTTGTTGTTGTTGTTGTTGAGTGGATATTGTTTGACTATATGGTGAAATGGAAGGTGAACTTGAGGTTGAACTCGAGTTTGGAGAGTTTGGTCGATGAATTAAACCCGGTAGTAAACCATCATTACTCTTACTCAGTGGTGCGGTATTCTTCCAATTCGATGGTCCTGAATTAGGTGCCACTCTGGAGGTGCCCTTGGAAAAGTTATCCGATTTAAGTGATGGTGTTGATTGTGAAAGTTTAAAACGGCTGGGTGCTTGGTTATTGTATTCATCTGAATTCAGTAGAGATATCAGAGAAGACGACGAGTTTGATGATGATAACGCATTGGTTGGTGGTGGTGGTGACTGAACAATGGAATTGGATGTTGTATTATAAGTGAAATTGGATATTTTAATTAATTTCTTTGGTTGTTGTTGTATATGCTCTTCAATATTATTAATATTGTTTTTGTTTTTCTTATTATTGCTTTGTTGTTGTTGTTGTTGTTGTTGCTGTTGTTGATTAATGAAAATAGGAGAAGTTGTGTTACTACTGCTACTACTAATGGATGTCAGCTTCATAGCAGCAGTCTCTGCAGTGGTACCATTACGACTGGTTCGAGTACTGCTGAAATGTTGCATTTCGGGCTGGAATATATTTTGGTCGATTGTGCCATCCTCTGACTCGACATCGTTTTCAGCTTCAACAAAGTCATTGTCGAGATTGTTGTCGCTAAAGCTGTTGTTGTTGCTGTTGTTGTTGTCATCATCGTTCCCATTCTCAATTTCATTGTCACTGCCATTGTCATCATCGTGGTTATTGTGGTGGTTGTTGTTGTTAAAGGATATTCTTGTGATGTTGTTGGTGGGTGGTGATGGTGGATTTGTTGTTTGTTGACTTAAAAAACTGAAGGGAACATTAATGTTAAAATTCTTTCTTGATTTCGATTGATGAAGCATTTGGGGGTGGTATTATTTAAAATATCGAAAACAACTATAATAAAATATCATTTGTTCCAATTAATTAATTACTGTTCACTATTTTTTTGAGTTCAAATTGATGTTTGTTTTTTTTTTTTTTTTTTTTTTTTTCTGACTGGATGGTCTGTTATTCTAATCCCAGTTTGTTGTGTTGTTAATTGTTATTTGTAGTGATATAAAGATAATGAAATAAATAAAAACAAATAATAATTATTAATTTTCTTATAAATATAAAGATAGATAACAAAGTCTTGAGAAGTTATTATTTCTTATAGATGTCTATTATTAGTGTATTCGGCTGACGGGTAGTGAAAGTGGTGGTGGCGCGGATTTGATTGGTGTTGTTCACAAGTGAATGATTTTGATTTGGTTGATTTTTTTTTTTTTGTTTTGTTTTGCCTGATGCTATTTTTTTTTTTTTTTTTTGATTTTTTGATTTTTTTTTTTTTGAAAGTCTAGCTAATTTCAAATAAATGTCAACAGATTAATATTTTTTGAGTTTGACTTTTTTACTTCTACTACTGTTATTATTTGTTCTATTAGCGACTATTACTACTATTTATTACTATTATTATTAAAAAAAAAAAAAATGAAAAGATCTTGTTGTTTAGGAAAACTTGATTGAATAAGTGAAAGAATAATGAAAACAAATGATAATAAAAAAAAAATAAGGTCTCTATTCCCAATTTTTGCCTTTCTTTTTTTTTTTTTTTTTAAAAAAGAAACCAAAAAAAAAAAATTAACAAAAAGATTAAAGTCGTCCAAATTAATAAAATTTGAAATTAAAAAAAAATGTTTTTTTTTATAACAGTAACTCATGCTACCCTGCACTTGGAAGGATAGTGTTTGATTGGCTGAAAAAACAATTTTTTTTAAGTTTAAAAGAATTAATTTAATTTTAAATAATTTTTTTTTTTTTTTTTGGTAGAAATTAATAAGTTTTGCTCTGATATTTTTGACAAAAAATTTTAAACGCAACTCCACTGAGATCCTCACAAATTTGAGTTTATTTTAGAATCATTTATTAAAATTGATTTATGATTTGTTGGGTTGTGTGTGTTTGTTTGTGGTGTGGGGTGGTGTTTGAGAATGGTTGAGTATTTCATGTGGGTTTGGTTACTTGTTATACTGTAAAATTAAATTTACATGTGTGTAGTGATGGCGACATACTTGGATTCTTGAATATACAAATATTTCTTTCATGAATCATATCACATCAACTTGCTAGAGATGAAAATGAATGAACAGTAAAGGTTTGCATATACTTTAAGGGCAATTCACTTTTAAAAAGGTAGAAATGCTGGAATAATGAGAGGAGAGAGAGAGAGAATATTTAGATAAATATGTATATATATATATATATATAGAGAGAGAAACAAAAAATGATTAAACTAACAACACAAGAGTTCTTGTGGAGCTGGAGAAATCAAACAAGTTTTTTTATCTTTTATATTTTATAAATGTTTTTTTTTTGGTGTTGTAATATTAATACAGTTTGATGTTGTTTGTTTATGGAGTTGGTTATTGGCCGTTCGATGTTGTTTAGTTTGTATTCATAGTAGAGGAATTACAACTGTGTCTGGTTTTTTTATTATCGTTATTGTAGGTGATGACAATGATGATGTTAGTGGGTTGTGGGAGTATATAGTCCACTATAACATCAACAAAGCAACAAGTTGATCAGATAATAACAATCTACCATCAAACAGTAAATACTTCTCAAATAGGTTTGGCATTGGTTTCAAATGCAATAACATCATCAAACTTCTTACAACAATTGAGTTATGTTCCTTCTTTTCTTGGTCACACACACACACACACACATATGTTGTCATTGTATAATTACACCCACCACCACTCAACCCAAACCAACTGAATCACTTTCTCTTTCTCTCTCACACACACATATATATATATACCCACAGGTCTCTTTTCACACTATTTTAACTCGTTAGTTATTTTATTGAAAGATCAAGCATGCTGCTTTTACATTGTAGTTGTTATTATAGTATATGTTATATATTTAATGGATAATCTCATCTACCATGATCAGATTTATTTTTAATTAAACAGGTCTGTTTCTTTTGATAAATATTTCCACCAGAGGATACCAGCTTTATCTCCACTACATCTTACTTGCTATATATCAAGCACTATTTTATTATTATTATGAAAAAGGGTAAGGGTTTGTTTAATGTTTTCTTTTTTTTTTTTATTAAGTTTAGTAATATGAATTTATTTATTAGAAACAATATTCTCACATTAATTAGATTGATTGAAGTTGTATCAAACTTCAAATTTACTATTAATAGATGATTGAATTACATCTTAATGCATTTTTAATGGGTTATTCTAAAGTGATCATTGGTGAATACGATACAGGACTTATTTTGAAATAAATTAATCAATAATTTAATATTATTTTTGTAACAGTATTTATTACTATGATAAGTTTTTTTTTTCTTTTATGTATATTATAATTTGCTATTTTGGAATGATGATTTTGATGAACTATAATTATATTTTTAGCTGTTGTTTTTTTTTTTGTTTTCTTTCTAAATGATTGATCTGATTTAATTTATGTAAAGTCCCATCGTAAAATTAATCCATTGGCACTTCCACTTACGAATCCGGCTTCATCAGAGTCGATACAAGTAATTCCACTTCCATGTTTCATGAGACGTCCACTCTCCTGACAGGTTCCAACAGTAATTCTATTTGGTTCTTGTCTTACCGGTTGGTTGGGTACACCGATGCACTCACGACGTCCACGGTACCAATTATCTAGATTCCAGATTATAATTACACCATCGTCACCACCACTCAGTATTCTTCCACCTTTCTCCTCGTAGCTGACACACTTGACTGGTCCGGTGTGTCCGGCATTCACAATGAGAGGACTGCTCATCTGTCTGAGATCCCACAATCTGATGAGCTTATCGCTCGATCCACTGACAATCATGTGATCACCGACCGCTTCAATACAATTGACGGCACCCTGGAAGTTGTTGAGCGTTGCAATGAGATTTCCATCCATTATATTGCGAATCTTGATTGTTTTGTCTGAGGATGAGGTACAAACGATGCCATTGGCAAAGAGTGATGAGCTGATTGATTTGGCTTGATTGATCTTCTTGGTGTGGTCACTCGATGTCCAGAGACGTGCCTTTTTCTCCTCCTCCCAGCACTCGACATTCGAGCTCTCCCATATGATATACTTTCCTGGGTTGGTAAAGTCGAATCCGTCTGCGAGTAACACTGGACGCTGAGTGGAAATGGTTTGGTATGGTTTGCTCATAAAGTCCACGAGTGTCACGCTTCCGTTTTTGTGACCGATATGCACCTTGGTGTACTCTGTCAACGGCCAAATGAATGATGACTTTGCCGAGCGATCATAGTCAATCGAGACGACGGCAGTCGATGACTCCTCGAAGGTGTTAATGTATTGTCCGGAATTGAGGTTCCAGAATCGAACTTTCTTATCGGTTGAGACAGAGACTGCCGAGTTACCCTCTGCCTTTAAGCAACGGATTGCCTTGGTGTGACCATTGAGCTCAGTGATTTTCTTGGGTTTTGCAGATGCCCATCGATCAGCAAGTTTAATCTTGTGGAGGTATTGGCTTCGCCAATTGGAAACACCCATTATATCTTCGTTTAGACATTCACAGTTGCAATCGTTACGACACGGACAAATACAAGAGTGATTGCAACCACACGATTTCATCTCTTTGGATTTCTCGGGATTGTTTGTTTCCGCAGAGATCTTGCTGACCATTGTGATGAAATCCTCGAGTTCAATTGGCGTTGGATTCGCATCGCCATTCGACTGCACTGGAAGTGGTGATTGTTGTTGTTGCTGTTGTTGTTGTTGTTGTGATAATGGCATGTGTTCATGATTGTGATTATTGAGAATTTGTTGAATGGGACGATACTTCTTTGGTACCGATTTGTTGAATAGCGGATTCAAAATGTATAGTTGTTTCCACAGCGACGATGAGTCTGTTGCCATCTTGAATCGCTTACAAACCATGGAGACAGTGAGAATATCACTGGCTCTGAGGAATGAGAGGATCAGCTGTACGATCTCCTCTGGCAGTGTATCAAAGTTAGAGTTGGTTATGCTGACATCCTTTCTTCTGAGTTTCTGCTTGTCATTCTTCTCGGACACCAAGAACAAGAATGGCTGTCGTTTGGGTGCATTCCACATCTTTGGAACCATTCCATCGTTACAGTTCATCTTGTGCGAAATGATATTGGTAGTGGCACGAATGGTCGGTCGATTGTCTACGACTTGCTGCTGCTCGACCGACTCGTCAACAAAGTTACGCTTTCGCTTTGACTTGGTGGAGTCTTCCGAGTTTCTAAAGGCTTTCTTCTTGCTCACTCCGATGTTGTCAGAGAGCAAGAGGTTAGCAAAATCTTCGACCATGTTGTAGAACTCAGAGGGTGCTCCAGGCGCGTCGGTCAGCTCGATACCTATGTTCAGACAATGGGTATTGACAGTTGGGATGACAGGGAGATTCTCTCCCACTTCCATCTTCTCTGCCAACTTGTTCATTGTGTTGAGAATGTGGTTCTGGGTGGAGATGATTCTGGCTGCGAACAACTTGCTCACCAGATTCTCTTGTTGCGGCGACTTGGCGCCCTTGACGGCGATGACCACCAAGAAAGAGGTGAACGAACCTTCGCCAAGACCATACGAGAATATACCGCTCGGAAGATAGCTGAGTTCCATGTCGTTCTCATTGACAACATCACTTGTACAAATGGAACGCCAGAGCACAGTCGAACAGTTTCCAGGACCTTTCTTAACGGTCTGCAATACTTTCATCGAGAATGATTCATGCCACATTCTATAATATAAATCAACTTCTCTACAATGATCATTTATATCTTCAACAACATAACCTTTATCATAAAAAGTATCCCAACTCCACGGTTGTGACTTCATTTTTGTAAAACGATACAAGTAAAGAAATTATTAATTAATATAACTTTAATTTTCTTTTTAAGATCGCTAACTAAATATAACTTACACTATATAATAGATCACCGATTTGTGATGGAGAGTACTCAGATGAGAAACTACCTTTACCAACCATGTAGTAAATATCGTTGGTCTTCTTGACCAAGAGCTCCATATCGTATTTCTTTAGATATGAGACCCAACCATAATCAACAGTGGTGGTACCAAAACATTCATTCAATTCTCTCTCGGCCTGCTCCAAGATCTTCAATCTTGTGTCTTTGGTTTCAATCTCTCTTACATTCTTTGAAATATGATTTCTAATACATTCAAATATTCGACCCAATCTGCCACTAACAGTAGCCGGGAATATAGTTAAATAATGATAATTTAAAATTGAATTTGGTTCTTTTGATTTTTTTAAACTCTTTCAAAATTATGGAAAAAAAAAATAAATAATCTTGAAAATTGGTTGATCGATTTGATTTTGATTATTATTGTTTTTTTATACTTACTTTGTATCCAGGTATCTTTTGAAGTTCAATATCTCTAATATGACACTGTTGTACAAAGATTAGTTTACAACGATCACGATGACCATCAATACCTTGAATGACCCAACCATTTGGTAGGCATTCAAATGCCTCATTCTCAGATGGATCATCAGTCTCGATTTCAATGGATCTCATCGCAATGACATAGAGACGTGATTGTGGTTCATATTTACAACTTCTATACAAAATCATGTTGAGTACACCCAGTGGATGTGAAATCTGCATTTGAATGATATGATTCAAATGATCATATTCCTCCAGCATGTTTGCTTCCACACAAGATGTATCCCACTATTTATCATTATTTTATTATTATTACAATTAATAAACAGTTAGAAAAAAAAATAATTAATTTCTACTTACTTTTCTACGTTCAGATATTGTATAGAGTAATTCAAACATATTTTCAGGTGATATTGGAAACTCTGCTATACCCTTCGATAGGTGAATTCCTTTTTCCTTTGATGTATATTCATAGATAGTGCTATATACATCAGATTCAAGTTGAAGAGGAACCCATGGTATCTTATTTGTAACTGCTAATGTATGAACTTCGGTAATGCTTTGTGATGAAATGTCGTGTCCATTTACATATTGCATTTTATATAGTGATTTATTTATTAATAATAATAATAATAATAATATTTAGAAATTACTACTTTAGCTGTATTTTATTTTTTTTGATTGATTGATTTTTATTTTATTGATTTTTTTTTTTTATAGATATATTTATTTAATTTTACTATTACAAACTTATTATTTGTTACTAAAACTAATTAATTAAACTGTTACTGAATAAATTAAACCAAGTTTACTTAATATTAAATTATATATATAAAATAATTAGAAATAATTTTTTGAATGGAAAAATGAAGGGAAAGAAAAAAAAAAAAAAAAAGAAAAGAAATTCTATCTTTTAAAATTTATATGGCTATAATAGTAAAAATAATAATAGTAATAATAATAATAATGTTAATTAATAAATTTTGATTAATTTAATTGGATTATGAAAGGTAAATAAGTAAATAAGTATATTATATTTAAATGAATGGTCAAAGATGATAAATATGAAATCAATTCGAAAATAAAAAGATTTCTCTGCTCTATATAAATAATGATTGGTTTATCAAAGGTGATGATCGATTTTCTTTAGATACATTACAACAACAACAACCAAAGAAATCAGTAATATAATAAAAAGTAACTAACAATCAGTAAATATCAAATTATTGATACTTGTTCTATTTCAAAGTGGACAGATTATTGAATATGCTCACCTCTGCAAACCCACAAAATTACAAAAATAAAAAAAAGTGTAACGAAATATAAATATGTTAAACTATTAAGAGAGACAAAATTTGATTTGATTTGATTTGATTTGTTTGATTTGATTTGATTTGTGAATGTTAATAGAATTGAATTGATTAAATTTTACTCTTTAGCTTTGAGTTTCTTAATATAAAATGTTGTTTGTTTGTTTTTTTTTTTTTTGGTTTTAGTTGTAATATAATATATATTGATATGGTAATGATACTATTCTAATACCATATATAACATATATATGTATTTATAATTAAATATATTGAAATTATAATATTTTTATATATATAAATACTAATATTTTTATTTTAATTTATTTTATTTCCTTTTTTTTTATATAAAAACAAATAATAATAAAATATATTTGATCTTTGGAAAATAGAGGGCAACCAACCTAAAGGTTGAATGATATATTTAACATATAAATATATAGAATAACAACAATTAACAGTGAAGCTGGGTATTCAGTACAAACCACGAACTGTTCAAAAAGACAAGCGTCAATTTTACAAAACTATCTCTGTTTTCACTTTGCCCCTAACTTTTGAAATGAACAATAAATATATATACTGGTGATCTCTGTTGAGAGACTGATAGAATATATAAATTGACTCCTCTCTAAAAAGATTTTATTAATTTAATATATATCTATTTGTTTGTTGGTTTTTTTTATTGCTCTCCAATTTTTGTAGGTTCTTTTAACATTATACATTTTCTTATTTGATTAATGAAAGGGGTACAACATACTAATTGATTTTATTTTATTTTATTTTAATTTTCTAAAAAAAACCAAAACCAATACCAATATAAATAATTATGATGATAATAGGAATAAAAATCTAAATAGTTGCTACTGTTAATATTATTATTATTATTGCCACTATTGTTGGTTTATGTATATATATTCCTATTGTAATATTATTTTAGTTGTTTGTTGTTGTTGTTGTTTGATAAATATAGTGGTAGGTTTGTTTGTTAGGTAGTAACTACCTACAGCATGGTGGGGGTGTTGTTTTATAAATACAATACTGATATTGTGTGTGTATTTGCTGTGGTGTTTTTTCAAACATGATAAATAACAGTAATTAGTGAGTCAAGAAGGTAGGTTGGTGTATCTATCTATTTGACAACACACACACACACACACACAATACCAATATCTATATATAATAAAATATTTTAAATAGATAAAGGTTTAAATAGACATAAATATGGCGAGGTTATTATTGTTACTTTAATTGGTGGGAGAGGTGGAGTGAGTTATTATGGTGATATTGATGATCGAACACTTGAATTGACAGTGATTCTAAAATGATTTAGATAAATTTGTTATTGTTTAACTTTCAACAACAATAACAAATAAGAATTACTACTACTACTACTACATCCACTATACTCGACAGATCCAATCTAACATGGCAATGTACCTGCACGCGTATATTGGCAACTCATAACGCTTAAAGAAGAATGAAAGGAAACCATGATCAACACACAGACACACCACACTAACACATGTTTTTTTTTGCGCACAATACAATAAACATGCTATAACATTGTAATGCAATAATGCCTTCTCTCAAAGTAGAAGATTATATTGTTAATTAATATGAGTGAATAGTGAGCTTGTTGATGTTGTGGAGAGTGATTTAGTAATTTTTATTATCTAGCTGATCGATGACTTATTGAAATGAGTAGAGATCTGTTATTTGATGGTATGTTATTGAGGAGTGTAAATGTTTTAAACATGTGAGATTGAAATGTTTAGTTTATTTATTTGTTTGTAGAGTGTCTTGACTCCATGAGATCAACGACTTATCATGACAAGACCATCATAATTTATAAAACATTTCCTCAAGTCATTAACAAAAAAGGAAACTTTTCTTTATAAAAATCTGATTGAATGATCAAAAAAAAAATACTTACAAATTTGGTCACAGCTAAAGATCAGAAAAGAAGAATGATGATCTTTTTATTTCTTTAAACAAATATAAATTATTAACTTTATTAATAAAAATACTCTCTATATATATTTGTCAAACAACAATTTAAATTCTAGTTTAAAAATGTGATATAATTAATAATTTGTACATTGTTCTTTATGATAAATATATCAAATAAATCTATTTAAATTGTATTATTATCGAAAATATATTTATATGATTGACAATCCTCGATCATTCAATTCAAAAATCGAAAATCGTAAGTATGTTCAAAGAAAAAAATTTGAAATTGTTAATTCTTATGATAATATGAAATATCAATAGATAAATAAAACATCAATTTTTTTTTTCTTTTAAACTTTGAACAATTTTTATCTCTTTTAACACTTGAAATCTGACAAACCATTCGAAAATTGGAAATTATATATTCTGATTAAAACTTGTCCACTATCATTAATATCTTTTTATAAGTCATAAATATATACTTATTTTTTTATTTCTTTTAGATTAAGTAAGATCACAAAAAAATAATGTATTTTGATATTTACAAACAAATTTGAAATTATTTTTTAATTTAAAAGTTATATATTTGTAGATAGTGAGAATAGTAAATTGTCAAAAAAGTGATCTTGTATTGATATAATATTAAATAAATTATAAATAGAAATAAAAAATAAGATAATTACATCAAAAGTAATATTATCTTAATTATACTTACAATATAATATTTCTTGGGATACAACCATGTTAATAACTAATTTTTATTTGAATTTCTTTTTTTCATACAACTATTTAATATATCATAATGTGATTGTATAATTCCCCGAGCTATCAAGTTTTTAAAAAGTACAATTCTATTCGTAGTTTGTCTGATTGTAAATTATTCAATTAATTATCTATGGAGAGATATAAAAATCTAAACTAATAGATATTAAGTACCGTCACCTTTAATAAAAATAATTTAACCAAAGTAGATTCAAAACTACATCATCCAAAAAAAAAAAAATACTCTATGTACCCAATCACCAATAATTTAATTGGTAATGAAAAATTATATAAATATATATTATTGGCACCCAATGACATACCACGAAACAATAACAACAAACCACCCACTGATTAAAAAAAATGAAAAGACCAATAAAAAAAAAAGAGGTGGTTTTGATGTCACCTGCCTTGATAATATTAGATAATCTAAATTTATATGGTAGTATTAAAATTTACAGCTGTTGGTTTTATTATAATGTTGATGATGATTGTTGGTGTTGACTTTATTATCAACCAGCAAGCAACAATCCGTTTGATGATTGTTTATAGTTTTGTAAATAAGAACAGAAAAAAAAAAAAAAAAAAAAAGAAGAAAGAAATAAACAGTGAGTGGTAAAGAATAATAGATTTAAAGAGTCGATACGACCTGTTATTGACCCGTCCAAACCAAATATACTACTCCACTTGTAAGTTGTTGTATGATGACATATATAGGTATATGTAAAAAAAAGGTGTATATAGATAATCTAATTGATACTGTATGTAATTATATACATCTAGAGGTTGTTCTTTAGAAGTTTCTATTCGTTGTACATATAAAAATTGAAAAATGAATTGATGACTAGTTGTTGTTTTGATTGATTGATTGTTTGTTTGTTTGTTTGATTGATTATAGTTGATTGATTGATCACTGTGCCTGTAGTAAAGGAGCATAGTTTGGCTGCTCTGCTCTCTGAGAGGGGGCTTTACGTAAAAAGTATAACATTGCGCAGGTTGGAACTATTTCCAACGATACAAAATAAATAAACACCCAATACCAAGCTACACTAAATGATTTGGTATCTGGATTATCCTTTAATATTTAAAAAATAAAATCAAAATGAATCAAATCGATTTGATTGATTGATTGTTTGTTTGTTTGTTAATAATAAAATATATATTTAACATAATAATGATTTTAAATTTGTTTACATACAGAAAGCGAAACAACACTAAAAATCATCATACAAGATCTACATATAAAACAGAGTGAACAAATCCAAGTGATTGCTTTGATTTTCCAAGAATGTACACGTTTCAGTACTAATTTGTATTCGTCGATCAGTCTGTATATCTTGATTCCATAGATTCCAAAGAGAAGCGCTGTAATAAAGTTGAGTGATACTATAAAGAATGATGTACCTAAATCTACTCTTTTACACTGTGTATAATAATAATAATAATAATAATAGTAATTTTAAAATCAATATATATTGATAATGTTGATATAAATGATTAACTCTATTTACTTACCTCTGCATCAGTGTTTGCAGTGAAAAAGAATGCAGCGATCGTCACTATACTTCCGATGATGAATGCTGTCAGCAATCCAACGGCAACATTACTTTTGAAAAAGTTAAACTCTCTTCCGATCGATGCCTGATAATAAAAGTCTGCCCACGACACAAACAACATAAAATACGCTAAAAAGAATGATAGATCAATCATGTGATCTATATATTTCATGTTTATAATCATATTATATGATTTGATCGTTTGTTAGTTTGAATATAATCTAAAAAAAGAAAAAGAAAACATAATATAACATACTCCAAAATAGAAAAGCATTTAGGGGGAACGACTGTAGACTGCCACTGATGATCGATGGACTCAGTAAAAAGTAGACACCTCTCGAAAACATGGCCAATACAATGACGAATGTAAATAGTTTCTTTGCATATGATTTCGGGTACATCATAGCTCTGACCAGGAGTGCTGATGCCACCAGACCAATGAACATCATCATGCCACCCAGAACATAATAAAGATATGAATACATCTTCTTTTTGTTTTTGTTTTTTGTTATTCTATATAAAGTTTATTTCTTTTTCTGTTATTTTTAACTTTAATAAATATAATATTCGATTTTTATTCTATCTATCTATCTATCTAACTAACTATCTATAATAAATAAAACTGATATTCATATGTATATGTATATGTACAAAACTAAGTAACTAACTATTTAATATATCTAACAAACTTTTTATAACTAACTAACTAATAAATACTTTTTCACTATCATCAATAATACTTTTTAGCAATATAACACTTTTTTTTTTACCACCCTTTTTAACACTCTCACTCTCTTATCTGTTCTAATTTATTTATGATTAATGATAAAAAATAAAAATTGAAAAGTCCATTGAATTTTTTTGTTGGATTGTGACAATCCTCTTTTATCTAAAGCTTAAGCCCACAAAATTTTAAAATTAATTTTTTTTTTTTTTTTGTCTCTTTTGTCTGATTTATTTTATTTTTTTCGGAAGAAGAAGAGGCAAATCTTTTAAAATAATTGTTCTTTGAATTTTTGGTTTATATTTATTTAAATATAAGACGGGAGTTGGGGAGTATAAGTAGATGTTATTATCGTCATCATCACATCAATTGATTGCTTTGTTTGTTTGGTTGTTTGGTTGTTTGGTTTGTTTGTTTGTTTTGATTTGATTGTTATTATAAAAATTAATATAATGATCAAAAAAAAAAAAAAAAAAGAAACTGGTTATTGTTACTAACTGTGCACCAGTTTGAGTGTAGTTGAGTTTGAGTGTGTTGTTTGTTGTGAAAATATGATTAATATTAAGTTATTATAAAGTGAATATTGTTTTTGATTTTGTTTGTTTTTGATTTTGTTTGTTTTTATCTCTCTAAATTAATTAATTCTTGACAGGACATCCGATATAACGATGCTCTGGCTTCAAAGGATTCTCTGGTGTGTAGGTTTCAAAGTGGACTGGTGTCCATTGGTAGTTTGGATTTTGGGCAAGTGCTGCCTTGGCTTTTCTTCTCTGTGCTTCCTCGATTTTTTGCTTCTCGAGACCGGCTCTTCTTCCGTCACGCTTGGCAAAGGCGTCGGCGACACCCTTCCACACCTTCAGAGAGTTGTTCTCTTTCAGTTGTTCGAGTGGCTCCTCAGAGATGGTGTCCTGACGGACGGTGTTGTAATTCAGGAAGACCGATGTGCTCTTGTCCTTGAGGTTGGTCATATTTAAAATGTCGATGTGTGTACCGGTGATCTCGTAGAGTGCATCGCTACCCTTTGATACGAGGATGTGAAGGTCGTGCCACTTTCCACCGAGAATTGGCTTGTCTTTGAAGTTGATGACGGCGTTGTAGCCAGACTCTGGACATTGGAATGTGTATTTACCGGTGAATTCAAACTTCCAACGAAGCAGACGCAGGAATCCATCTGGGAATTTGTCATTGATATAGGTTTCGTTGTGATTCTTCAAAGTGGTGCATGTCTTTACGTCCATGTGAGCACGGATGTGTTTGCCCTTGAAGACTGGGGTGATCTGTTGTCTCGACTCCATTGTGATACCGTGCTTCTCATTGCTAAAGTGGAAAGCAGAGATTGGTGGATGATGAGAGATTTGCTCGGCAATGAATTTAGTCTTATCTCCTTCTGCCGGCAGATTTGTCTTCTCATCGATATGATTGACTTCACACTCGTAAATCTCACCCAAAATCGGATTCAATGGATTCTTTGGGAAAAACATCTTTGGCCATGTCATATGATATCTTAATACTTGAAGGAATCTTTGTTCTGGATCTTTAATTGAATTTGCACTATAATAAATCATTATTATTATTATTGTTATTGTTATTTAGATATTAATTAATAAACGATTGTTATATAACTATAGAGAATTAGATTGTTGTTTAAACAATAACAACAACTTACGCCATTAAAACATTTGTGAATATTGCAGAGTGTTGTTGAATTGCAACCAAGAAAGACATTGGTGCAACAAAAGTGGCGGGTATTGGCATCTTTGTCATGTCGGAACCGACCTTAAGATGATTCTTTATGAAGCTGAAAGCTTGTTTCATTACACCATCGCTTGAGCTGTTGTCGTCTACGATGATTGTGTTATCTGTTGCACCACCATCGTTTGATTCGATTCCTTCACCCTCGATACCGTCGCTTGACAGATCGCTGATGGTATCCTCTGTAAGTGGTGATCCTTCCTTGGTCATCACTGGTGATACTGTAACTGTTGGTGCTGCTGTTGTTGTTGATTTACTTCCAAATCCAAACATTTTTATTATTTCTATTTATATAGATATATATATATTATTAAAGTTTTATAGATTGATTTAATCTGATTTGATTTGATTTACTGTTGTTGTTGATGTTTGATTTAAAATTACAAATAGTTTTACAAAGAATTTATACAATTTATTCTGCTTTCTTTATATTTTTTGTTTGAAAAAAGAGATATTTGTTTCAGTTAGTCTAAGATATTCAAATTTAAATGAATAGTTGAATGAATTATGATAATATTTAATCAATATTGATGAATGAACAATAATATTAACAAAAAAAAGGTGAAGCAAACAACTGTTGTTGATGATAGGAGAGCAGTGTGGTGCAGTGCCGTTGAATTGTATGAAAAATCCAGTGTAATAAAAGATTGTTGTTTTTAATATTACAATTATTATTATTTTAATAAAAATTATTATTTAATATAATAAAAGAAATAATGTGAAAAAATGTAAATAGAATTACAAAAGTACTATAAATAAATATGAAAAATAATAATAATAACAATAAAAAGGAAAAAAAGAAACTGAAAGAAAATAAAAAAATAAATTTGTTGATTTCAAAATTTTGTGTGTTGTTGTTTGGTAAAGTTGATTGGTGATTGGCTGACGAAAGTACGACTTTGAGATAAACACAACTATTATATCGATATTATTACTATATGATATGATATTATTAGCGCACTTTTTGATGCCAACAAAAACAGTCAACTGATTATACAACACGCACAGTACAAATACAACAACAGCAACAACTGACCGAATGAAAGAATGACTGGACTGGCTTTTTCATTAAAATTGAAAAAGAAAAATAAATGTGAAAGGTGTTGTTGTTGTTGTTGTTGTTGATGATATATTTATATATACCTAAAAAACAACAAATTTTGTTGCTAGAAAAATAGATATTATTATTATTTGGGGTGGGTGGTCGTCTTTTTGGAGATAGTTAAGGAATTGGATGTATACTAGTATCCATCCATCCACCTAGTAAGTATAAAGTGGTGGAGTATATGGAGTGCAGTGGTGTGGTATTTGGGATTTTAATTATTGTTTTAGTAATAAGAAATTTATCCAATTACAATAACATTATTTAATATGTGGTGGTCGTGGTGTAAGTGTTTTTTTTTACTACTCACATCTGAAAGTTTATAATTCTAATTCTGTTTGCTGTGCAGTATAATATAATATAATATTTTATTACTATATAGTTGTATATGTATCTAAACAGTTAATAAAAAGATGAATAAGTGAATGTTTTTTTTGAAATATATATATATTTTTATTTTATGATTGATTGATTTGTTTTGTTTATTTATTTTGTGTGGGTGTGTTAATGTTGGAAAAGTAAAGAAAAAAGGATTACACTGTTGAATAAATAGTAGGTGTAATAAATAAATAATAGTACTACTACTACTGGTTGATGTAGTCGTTGTGGTAGTGGTGGTTGTGATAATTGATTGATTTATAGAAATGAATTTTTAATTATTGTAAATAATATAATAATTTTATATTAAGGTGATTTTTTGATTTTTAAATGAATGAAAAACCAACAATCATAGTTATATGTAAACACTTTGATTTCTTTTCTGTTTGGGGTGTTTCCACCACTTAATTAAAAAAAAAAAATTATATTTAGAATGGTGTGTGTGGAGCTGTGTGTTTGCTGTTCTCAGTAGTGGTGTGATTGATTTCCTTAATGAGTGAGTGGGGTATTTTTTTATTTTATTTTTTTGTTATATACAATCAATATAAATTGGATTATCACATTATACACACAATTGTGTGAATAAACTGTACAAAAAAAAAATATTATTCTAACATTCTTTTTTGTTCTACCTTCTTATAAATTTAATAATATGATGTATTATTGTTATTTTCGTTGTATGTTGTGTTGTGTGTTGCTTGAAGTTAAATTATGATTGATGTTCATTCATGATACCAAGATGTGATATGATTCAAACAGTTTTGTATAGATAGGAATATAGATTGGCTGGTGGATGGTCGTTGGAAAGACAGATGATGGTTTAAGAGTTGTGTTATGCAATGTAATGTACCTTTCGTTTTAACAAAAAAAAATGATATTCTTTTTCTTTTAAGGAGTTAAATATTATAACTTTCTGTGTTAAAAATAAATGTGATCTAACGGTTGGTAACTATGTTGTTTGATTCGATTGACTTATATGAAAATATTGTCTTTTGTTGATGATTTCTTTGATTGAAATTTAAACTTTTATGTTAAATCTAATCTTTTCTTTGATCTGTAATGATTGTGATTTTAAATATATTTTGAATTATGATTTAAGTTGATAAAATAAATAAATAAATAAATAATAAAAAATGTAAATACTAAATATATAAATGATTATAATTAATAATTATGTAAAAAATTATAAAATCTGATTGACTTGATTTATTATGATTCTTTAATTGCTCTTTTATTTAATATTAAAAAAAAAAAAAAAGATTTGGATTCGTTTTCTCTAAAAAGATTGTAAATTAAATTAAATAAAATATGGTAGCGATATCTTAAGATGTTGATGATTAAAGTATTATTATTCTTCTTTTATTGTAGAATGTGTACAAGTAGGTGTGTTTGTGTGTGTGTGTGGACTTTTGCTAAACACAGAACAAGGAACTTATAAATGAAATGGGTGATTCGAAAATTTGATGTTTTTGTTAGTTCACTTCTAGAACTAGAAAGGAAATGCCCATCATAGTCAATGCGACCAGAAAAAAAAAAAATTGCAAAAAAAAAAATTACGAAATCGAAAAATATAAATTGGAACCTTGAAGAATTTATAAATTGGGAAAGGAATTACCAAAAACACAACAAAAACAATGTATTAATTACTTTTTATATAAATGTCTTATATTGACCTGAATCTAAAACAGTTATTGTAATATATTTATTTATTATTTTATTATTATTATTATTTTATTTATTATTATTGTTTTTATTTTGAAATAAAAAAAAAAAAAAAAAAGAAAAACAATTTATTTTAAATCTATTACTTTAGTGATTTAAATAATCATTAAAGCAACATTACAACAAAAGTAAGAAGTTGCGAATCATAACTGTAAACTAAAACAAAAAAAAATAAAAAATAAAAAATGATTTTTTTATAAAAAATAAAAATGATTTTATAAATATCTTTTAAAATCTTGGATCTGGTTAAAACAATTAGATTGACAAGAGCATATTAGTCTTTGTATGGTAACAGTAAGATTGAACGTTCTTGCTTATTTTCGAAAAAAAAAATTATTTATAGTTTTTTGTTTTTTCAATTTTTTGCTTTGCAAAATTTTGATTTTATGGCGCGTTCACAAGTTGAAATAATAATACATGACAAGACAAATATTATTACTATGACATGATGCAATACTGAATATTACTATTATTATAATGATTGACTGTTGTGAATTTTTTTACCTTTTTTTGAATATTATTTAGTGGTATAGAAAAATGTAGTATTACTTATTGTAAATAATATAATAGTTATATTATTAAGTTGGCTAACTTGGTTGGAAATAGATTGGAATCAAATTTAATGTTTATGACAAAAAATGACCCGTTTGTTAGCTTTGGTTACTTTGCTGAATAATATTATTCTGTTATTAGGTTTCTATCTATATTTTATTGGTGATAACTTGTTGCTGTTATTTCTATGTATTTGTTTGTTGTTTTGTTTTTGTTTGATAGGATAATAATGATAGGTGAATGAAAAACCTAATTGGACAATAAATATAAATTTAATGAGATGGGATTTGAATTGATTGATTGTGTTTAGTTTTTTGACACAAGGAAAAAAAAAACCTTTCAAAAAATAAATAAAATAATATAATATTAAAATAAAATCAAACAACAAACAAAACGATAAGCAGAGTTGAGTTGCATAGTCTCAGAAGCCCAACCACACACACAAAGCTTCGATTGAGTAAAATTTGTGGGTATGTATTTTTTAAACATATCAGCAAAGGTGCACCCCCACCACTTGTCAGCCAAAATTTTCATTCCCAAAGTGATTTTCTGAGCAAAAAATGGTACTCAAATTGGTGGTGATTTTTGGCGAAAAAAAGATAAAATAAAATAAAGTTTATTAAACAAAAAAAAAAAAAACAACGTTTTTTGAAATAAATAAAATAAACCGTGAGTGCACAAAAAATGATGAAGCACGATAAATAATAATAAACTACTCCTCATTTCATTGAATGAAAAAGTAGTTTAAGAGTGTAGCCATGTAGTTCGCGTCCAGGTCGATTCGTCTTTGACCAGAGGTGCACTTTTTTACTTTCCTACTTGACTTACAAGGTTATATTTATAAATAATATATATTGATTGTCTAACAATCTAACCTAATTTTAAATGAGAATCTTACTTTATATATATATTTGGTTGTACTCAACATTGAGGATCCTATTTGTGTTTGTTGTACAATAAACTGTATACATTTTAGATTTCTCAGGTGTTTCTATTAATCAATTATATTTTTTAACATAAATTTTATATGTTATAAAGAAAATCATATAATTTTATAGTTAACTAACTTTTTTATTTTTTATTTGTCTTTTTGTTTCTTTTGATATACCAAGATAGAACTTAATTTATTTGAAAAAATGTTAAAAATAATTAAAAAAAAAAAAACCAACCACTTTCTCAAAAAAAACTGTGATCTATTTGTGTTTTTTTTTAGATGTTTTGTGTTTTGTTTTTTTTTTTTTGCTTTTTTTTTTTTAATTTTGTAACAATCTTATTAATATATCTACAGGTAAATCTGTTGGATACAATTATATTAGATCTTGATATATTAGCATCAATCATTCATTGTAATAGTAGTTAGTAATTAGTACAGGTAAAATATTATCAATATTCTATTTTGATTAAACTAGGTTTTGCTGTTATAGTCAAATTGCACAGGTCCAAAAGCAAACAACTTTCAACATTATTAATACACACACATATAAATATTTGTAAAATTAGCGTATAGGAAGAAAAAGTCATTTTTTTGTTTTGGAGTTTGAGTTGAATCAGTTGTTTCTCTTGAGAAACAATCGGAATCAATAACATATAAAAAAAACAACAATACAATATGGCTGAACGTAAATTAGTTGGTAATTATGTATGTATATTATATTTTAATAAATTAGAATTATGTATATATATATTGGTTGATTTATTAATATTGTTATTGTTGTTTATTTGTTTATTTGTTTATTTGTTTGTTTGTTTGTTTTTATTAGAATTTAGGAGCTATCATTGGTAAAGGTGGATTCGGTACAGTGTATCAAGGATTGGATGTCGAGAATGGAGATTTCGTTGCAATCAAACAGATCAACTTGACAAAGATCCCAAAGGATCAACTGCAGGGTATCATGAATGAAATCGATCTCTTGAAGAATTTGAATCACACCAACATTGTAAAGTATATTCGATACGTAAAGACCAAGGAGTGTCTCTACATCGTACTGGAGTACGTCGAGAATGGTTCACTGTCTTCGATCATCAAAAAGTTTGGAAAGTTTCCAGAGACTCTTGTCTGTGTATACATTCGACAGGTACTCGAGGGTCTCGTCTATCTTCACGAGCAGGGTGTCGTTCACAGAGATATCAAAGGTGCCAACATCCTCACCACCAAAGAAGGAAAGATTAAGTTAGCAGGTAAGAAAAAAGAAAATGAAATGAAATGAAACGAAATGAAATCGAGCATATTGATATTAATATCTATTATTGTTATCATTTGTTGTTGGTTGTTGTTGTTGTTGTTAAGATTTTGGTGTCGCTACAAAGTTTGATGATCTTCAAGCGGCGTCAGTCGTAGGAACACCTTATTGGATGGCACCAGAGATTATAGAGTTGAATGGTGCAACGACAAAGAGCGATATTTGGAGTGTTGGATGCACTGTTATTGAGTTGCTAACGGGTGCACCACCCTACTATGACTTGGGACCGATGCCAGCACTCTTTAGAATCGTGCAGGACGATTGTCCACCACTACCCGAGGGTATCTCACCGGCACTCAAAGATTGGCTGATGCAATGCTTCCAAAAGGATCCTAATCTTCGTATCTCTGCACAAAAGCTACTCAAACACAAGTGGATTCTCGCTGCCAAGAAAAAGCAGGAGCTCGAAGAGGAGCCTGCCAACATCGAGGATCTCGCCAAGAACATTCAAGACTACAACGAAAGAATCAACAAAAAGAAAATATCTAATCATCAAAGAAAACCATCTCTTCATCCAAAGAATCAAAAGTAGGTAACACAAACAAAACAAAACAAGACAAGACAAGACAAATTGAAACTAAACTTTTACTTTTTTGTAGGAATAAGTTAAATTTACCTCCACCTGAAGAGGAGGATAATGAATGGGGAGATGACTTTAGTGCAACTCCTAAATCTTTAAAGCTACCAGGAGATAATAATAATAGTAATAATAATAAGAAGTCACCACCACAAAAGAAAGATCCACCTCGTGTTATATCTAATAAGATATTAAATCCACCACCAGCTAATAACAATAGCAGTAGTAGTAATAATAATGGTGATTTAAAGTTGGCACCGAGAGCAGTTCAACCAGAGTCTGATGATTTGGAATGGGGTGATGACTTTGATGTTGGATCGATAAAGACACAGGATTTAAGTAGAGCACTTGGTGCAATGAAAGATGATGACGATGATTTCGATAGTGGATTCGATTCTGATTTCCCAACTCAAATTAAAGTATTATCAAGCTAGTTAACTGATATTGATTAGTGAATATTTACTAATTTATCTATATCTATATATGTTTAGATTAACAATAAACCAACGACAACAACTACAACAACAGCAAAACCACCAACATCACATAGTAAATCAAACTCTAACAATAAATCGACTACACCACCATCGACAGACAGCAAAAAGAGTATTGACAAATGGGGAGAGAATAATAAAGATGAAGATGATTGGGGTGATGTTGCTACTATGAATTTCGATGGTAAATATTGATAGATAGATAGATAGTGCTTAGATAGGTATTAACTTTAAACTTTAATATTATTAGCTAAAGTTGTAAGAAAAGGATCAATACATCAACCAGATTTATCAACGAAATTAAAGAACAAAATGTCTTATTCTGTATGTAAATTAGAGATCAAATTCGATATTGTTTATGAAATACGATTACTAATTACAAAGTATGATTTGATATATATAGGCTGATATAAATGAAGATGGAGAAGATGATGATCCATTCAATGAGACATTCGATGATTTCGATGAAGAGTTTGATTTAGATAAGAATTTGATGAAAGATAACTATGCAAAGATGTCAGAGGAGATTTTAAAGTTGATGAATCAATTACAAATAGATCAATCGGAACAAGTTATTTCTACTGCATGTGAACAATTGGTATGAATCAATCAATTTATAGTAGATTTAAGATTAGTGGGTGAATAGATTGTATAGATATTAATTGATTGACTTCTATTATAGATTACACTTTTCAAAGAAAATCCAGATCAAAAAACATTGTTGATTAGAAGACATGGTGTCATTCCTATTATGGAGATGTTGGAAGTATCAAATTCAGAGGTAATCTGTTCGATTCTAAAGGTTGTAAATCAAATCATTGAGAACAATATGGAGATTCAAGAGAATCTGTGTTTGGTCGGTGGTATCCCGTCGATTATGAGATTCTCTGGTCGTGACTACTCACCGTCCATTCGTTTGGAGACTGCTTCGTTCGTGAGTAAGATGTGTTCGACCTCGACTCTCACACTTCAGATGTTCATCGCTTGCAAAGGTCTGCCAATTCTAGTGGATTTCCTCTTGACACCCTATGTCGAGTCGAAACGTCTTGTCTGCATGGCAATCGACGCCATCGTAAATGTCTTTGAACTTCAATCGCCAACACCAAAGAACGATTTCTGTCGTCTTTTCTCCAAGGTCGGATTGCTGCGCGCTCTCGGTCAGGTGCTGTCCGACGTCATCACCGACCCACCCAGCGACCTCGCCAACGCCAACAGCTACCCCGACAAAGTAATCAATCTACTCATAATGTTTTCCTCAGCGGATTCAGTCGTGCGTAGATCAATGTCGTCGGTTCCAGTCATCGAAGGCATCCTCTCCGCTCTGCCAAAGTTATCGTCGGACCAGCTCGTCAAGGTTCTCAAGTCCATCAAACAGATCAGTATGGATCACAACACACTGGCCAACTTGCAAGCCGCCGGAACTATCCGCACGCTTATCCCATACCTCGGACGCAATCACTCTGCCGAGATCCAAAACCAAGTTATCAATACGATGTTCCATCTGTGTCGTATTGATGCCGAGCGTCAGTACCAAGCGGCAGTCGACGGAATCATCCCCCACCTCCAATTTTTCATCTCCACTCACTCGCCGCTCAACCAGTTTGCCTTGCCTATCATCTGCGACTTGGCGCACTCGAAGCGTGCACGTGCCGAACTCTGGAAGTACGACGGTGTCACTTTCTATCTCGACTTGCTCCAAGAACGTTACTGGCAAGTCAACGCACTCGATTCGCTCGCCGTCTGGATTGCCGACGAGACATCGCGTGTCGAGAAAATCATCGCCGCCAAGGCATCGATAGAGAAACTGATCCAAACATTCACCACAGCAGAGTCGCAGTCGTTTGCCGGTGTGCTCGAGCCATTCCTCAAGATTGTTACGACATCGAGCATTGTCAATGTTGCACTGGGCACCAGCTCTTTCATTCCAAAGCTGCTCGACAAGCTCAGCCATTCCAATCCTCTGGTGCGTCTCAATCTCCTCAAGATCTTGAGCAGTCTCTACGAGTGTCATCCAAACGCCAAGATGATGATCCAAGAATACAAACTGTACCCAATCATTCAAAAAATATCGACCAGCGACAAATCAGTGCTCAATCAAAAGATTGCTGGAAAACTTTACGATGCCTTTAATGCCAACTCCGTTATATAATCAAATATTCAAAATTATCATCATCCTATAATAATAATAATACAAACAAAACAATGTAAAACAACCTCTTCAACACCCACCCATCATTATCATTATTATCTTTTTTGTATTACCAAAAATAAATATATATACAAAAAAAAAACAAATAATTATACTATTAATTTGCTTCATTTCATTTTGATACTAATTGAAGACTTCTTTCATAAAAATGTTAAAGTTTTATATTAGAATAATTACCTGTCTATTTTTAATCTCTCTTAAAATTTAATAATACGTCTTAATCAAAAGGTTTTCGAGATCTTTTGTTCATTACCACAATACACCTCTATTCATTTAATTGAAAATCACTAAAGATAACATTTATTGATATAAACAACAAACATGCAACTAAAGTATTTCATTCTTCTGAATTTATTTTGATTAAGAGATTGTGGAAACTTTATTATTCAATGTGGTTAAAATGAGTTCAACAATGTCAAGTTCTATCTAGAAGCAGTAAAAAAATCAAGTAACACCTCATATTGCAAATATCTACCCATGGACAGGAAATAATAACATGTTTATAAAGAGACAAAAAAAAATAAAAAATAAAAAATAAAAAAAGGTTCTATGTTGTATTATTAAAAAAACTGAAAAACCAACTCCTACACTTCCTCAAAAAAAAAAAAAAACAAACAACAGCTCTAGTTTTAATTGTTTGTTTCTTTGTTCACTCTCTCTCACCACACACTCTTAGATTAAATTTGTACCTTTATTTATATTTTTAGTATACAATAAACCCACAAGAGTAGAATTAAAACAAAAAACACAAAAGAGATTAAAAGTTTAAAAACAAAAAAAAAAACAAAAAAAAAAAAAAAGCAAATTAGAACAAAAACAACAAAAATAGGATATCAGAGGAGGAGAGTCTCTTTGTACAATTTGATAACACCAACATTAAACAGAAATAAAAAACAGTAATAAACAGATACTGTTTATTATTTATTTTTTGACTCTTTTGATTCAATTGTTATATTAATCGATTAAGAAATAGACAGACACACACACATTCACCAACTAGATTAAATTTTTATTTATTTTTTATTTTTGTTTTTCTTTTCTATTTATTTATTTTTTTTGAATTGTATGTATATTATAATTGACAGGATATAGTAAATAAATAATAAATAAATAATAATAATATAGAAATTAGTAGTTTGTTTGTTTGTTGTTTGTTTGTTTGTATCTCAACAAATTTAAACATCAATTAATCAATCTAACATAAACAAGTAAATAACAATAATAATAATAATAATAATAATAATAATAGAGTCTAAGAAGATCATTTGCGAAATTAATAATACATAATAATAATAATAATAACTAAATAAATAAATAATAGATAGATAATTAGTAGTAATTAGATATTCAAAAATAATAATAATTAAACAAAACTAATATTAAAGTATTTTAATGGTGTATAATAGTTTGAGTAATATATTTATAGATTTGTAATTAATTAAAGAAAATAAAAAGAATGGACTCGAAAGATTCTAAACCACAATCAAATAGACCAGCCAGTATGTTATTAAATTAGATATAATTTAAACAGTGAAAACAATAAATAGTTGTGTTAATTCTAATTCTATTCTTATTATTATTATTAACTATTTAGATACGGCATTTAAACAACAAAGATTGAAGGCATGGGAACCAATTTTGACACCAACACCTGTCATTATCTCATTCATTGTTATTGGTATTGTTTTTATTCCCATAGGTGCCGTTATGATTAGCGCTTCAAATTCAGTATGTTTATTTGGGAAAGATAAGACAGAAGGATAATAATCGGTGTTCGTTATCAAACTCACTAACCAATTAATCACACATTTAGGTTGTAGAATCATCACTTAGATATGATGAGGTATGTCCAGCAGGTGTTAGCAATTGTGTATTGAATATGACTATTCCCAAAGATATGAAGGCACCAGTTTACTTGTACTATAGACTCGATAACTTTTATCAGAATCATCGTCGTTATGTTAAATCTAGAAATGATGACCAACTCCGTGGTATCGTAGTCACTGACTATGACAAACTCAAGGATTGCGATCCATACATCTCTGTCAACGACTCTTCGAATCCCGCCAACTTTTACTTGCCATGCGGTCTCATCGCTAGAAGCATGTTCAATGGTAAGTTGTTCATCTTTTATTAATAGTCATATAATAATTATATTAATGCATATATATTTTTACAAACAGATACATTCTCTCTCCAACAAAACAATATCTCTATTCCACTTCAAAAGAAGGGAATTGCATGGAGTTCCGATGTCGACAAGAAATTCAAGAATCCACCCAATGATGCACCGGGTGTAAGAGTGATTCAGGATTTCACCGATGAGGATTTCATCGTTTGGATGAGAACTGCTGGTTTACCAGATTTCAAGAAACTCTATAGAATCATCAATCAAGATATCAAAGCCGGTACTGTTTTTGTTAATATTTCTTCTAGTATGTTATCGTTATTATTATTTTTAAGAATTATTTAAAACATTGATTATTAACCATCGATGGTGATTTATAAACTTTCACAAAAATAACAGACTACCCAGTAAACTCATTTGAAGGAAAGAAATATGTAGTATTATCAACAACAACTTGGATCGGAGGAAAGAATCCATTTTTGGGATATGCATATATAGTTGTCGGTGTCGTTTGTTTCTTCCAAGGTATCGGTTTCTTAATTAAACACAAGGTAGCCCCAAGAAAGCTTGGTGACACCAAATATTTAGAATGGAACAAGTAGTACTATTAATTTTTATTATTAAAAATCAAGCAATCTCTAATTCAAATTGAGAAAAGTTAAAAAAAAAAAAAAAACTAAAAAAAAACAATATATCTTTAAAATAAAATACACAAACAAATATATTATATATTTATCTTTTTTTTTTTCAGTTTTATTTTGTAAAACAAACAAAACTATTCAACAACAATCAGTAGAATATATATATTAAATATGAGTTGTAAAGAAATAGATATAGAGAATATTGATAATGATAATAATAATAATAATAATTTAGAGGAAAATAAAGAGAACAAGGAGAGTTTCAATGATAAGATTTGTGAACAAGAAAGTTGGCCTACAGCTGTAGCTGCCGCAGATATAATGAGCAGAGATAGAATAGAAAAGATAAAGTGGAATTTAGTTGAGGATTTAAAGGTTTCTATTCAACATATTATTTTCTCCATATTGAGAGAGGATAGAGCTGTGTTAGATTCTTGTAGTTTTGGTGTCGATCGTCTTTGTATGTCAATAGAAAAGATACTGACGCACGACTTACACAGTCACATATCACTTTGGAGAATCATTGAATCTTTCTATGTGGCAGCGGCAGTAATGGTTGTCGATCAACAACACAACAACGGTCATCTCGTTGCAATGTCAGAGTTTAGAGATATAAAGAATTCAAGAATGTTATTTAGCGATAGAGGTAGAGCAAGATCTTACATTCGTTCACTCCTAAACAACAATAAACTGTTGTCATTCTTTCAATCCGTTCAAAGCGTGGCAAAAGATTTCTACACTGACACTTCAATCATGTTGATTGAACAACATCACAATAACATTATCGATCAAGTTGTTTCGCTATTTGAAAAGGTTGGTGATATGAAATTCAAACTATCACTTGACTCCACTACCTTGGAGATGTTAGTGGATCACACATTACTCTCATCGAACAACTCTGATGATATAACATCAATACTTAATAGAATAGATGATAATATCAATAATATTAATATTAATAATAATAGTAGTAGTAATGAAGAAGATGATGAATTATATGAAGAGATGTTTACAATTAAATTACCATCGAAATCAAATTCAAATTCCAAATCAACTGTACAAACATTAAAGTTAATTAGGCCACCAACACCAGTAATACAATCCAATAGTAATGATATTGTATCGAGTAAGAATGATGTTGTTGTTGATGATGAAGAGCTCATTTCTCAATATGATCAAGACTATAAAGATATAGAAGGAATTCAAGAGCTAAGCGTAAAAATACAATCTTCTTGTTTTGATCAACAGCCACTTTCATTCAATCATTTCTCTGACAACACAAAGAAAGAACTCATTCATTCTATCACAAAGAATAACATCTCTGTTGACGACGCAATAAAATCATTAAATTTGAATAATAATGATAGTAATAACAATAACAATAACAATAGCGAAACAAACGTCAATGTAAATATTTTAAAAAACGATAATAGCAATAATAACATCACCACTATCGCTTCAAACAACAATAGTAATGATAATAATAATAATAATAATAATAATAATAAAAATTTATCAGAATTTGCAGATAAAAATGAAATAACATTATCAACACTCGACAATGAACCATTGGTTACAACTGATACTGCAAACAAAACTAAAACCAACAAGAAAAAGATTATAAAGAAGAAAGTCTTAACAAGAACAATAAATTTTGATTAGTTGTTATTTATAAATATTTAAATACATAATTACTTTTTAAAAATATATCTAAATTAAATTTATTAAATTAATTTGCTGATTGGATGATCATTTTTTTTTTTCCATTTTTGGGTGCCCAACACAATTCATTTTTTTTTTTATTAAAAAAAACAGCTGTTTTTTCCTCTTAAAAGATCTAAATTGAATGGATTCAAAAGTAGTTTAAACCTATCATTCATTTAATATATATATTTTTATTGTTTATCTATTTATATATAATAATAATATTTAAATATGCCAATTCTATTTGCATTCTCTCCATGGGCAGATATAGGTCATGATGAACCAGCTTATAAATTATCTAGATTAATGGTAAGAATGTTCATCATTAGTTACAATAACTATCATCATAGATAGATAGAAGGTTACATTTTTTTGTTTTAGTTTGAATAAAAGAAATTCTAATAATACTTTCAATATCATTTATATATTTTTATGTCTATAGGATAAATGTCTTTGGTTTGAACATGAACAAGGTGGCTATGGTATTCCTATATCTTGGGCATTGTCAGGTCAGACTATGGAGGCTATTGTACGTACAGATGATTCTATTAAAGGTTCGATCCGTATGAGAACTGCAAAGAAGGGTGTTTTCTCTGCTTGGGAACAGTCTGAGATTATTGGCTCAACTTTTCATGCATCGGGTCTAGCTCACCCATGCCTTGACGACCCATACCAAGACGCTTATATAAATGGTTTCGTAAAAGAGGATATTAGACATACCAACTATGTATTGAATGATCTTTTTGATAGACAACCCAGAGGTTTTTGTCCAAGTGAAGTAAATTATTAAAATCCATATATTGTTATTTTCATTTATCATCAAAAACTAACTTCTTTCTTCCTCTTTCTCTTCCTCTTCCTCCTCCTCCTCCACTTCTTTTATTATTAGAAATTATTTAGTATACAATCAAGTAGATCGGTGGTGGAAGAAGGCTATGAATATTGTATTGTTGGAGGTGAACATTTTGGAGGTGATTCACATGGACAATATAATAAAGGAATGGTGTTTAGTTTGGAGAATGGATTGAAAGTGTTGCCAACGGCCAATGAGATTATGCCATCGGATTTCAATCGGTATCACAAAGCAGAGTTACTCATTGATGAAATCATCAGTTATGCACGTCGGAATAACATTGGACGTGTGTTGTTGTCGGCGGATGTCGACTTTTGGTTGGATGACAATGGTTTCGAGCGAATCAAATGGCTCTTCTTAAAGGCACGCGAGAGATCCGATGAGATCAAGATGGTCAACGCCAGTGCACTCGTAGAGTCGGCATGGTGTCAGGGCTATGCTGGACTCGTTAGTTTAGAGCGTTTCTACCAATCGATTGGCATCACCGATATCAACAAATACATATCGACATGGACAAACGCTGCTGGCAATCTTCAGTTTATCGATTGGCAACGATCGGCTCGTTCCGCAGAGTTTATCAAAGCACATACCGATCGTTACTTTAGAGGGATCAACAATGAACAGTGGGTAGATGGTTGGAAGCTACAGCGATCCAAAGAGATGTGGATGAACATCTCTGGTACCGTATTCTACGATGGCAGAGAGCAGTGGTATAACTTTATGCCAGATTGTTTCGATGAGAATATGAACAAAGCATGGAATCTATTGAATGAATCATAAATAAAAAAAAATAACCTTTGTATATTTTTAATGCTGACAAAAAAAAAGTTTAGTTTATAGTTTTATAAACTACAAGAACTAAACTAGATATATACATATATATATATATATAGATAGTTTATTTATGTTTTAAATTAAATAAGTTTGTTTTGTTTTGTTTGAGTTTGTTTTGTTTAAGTTGGTTTGGGAGTTGTTTTGTTTAACTATGTGTTTGTGTGTAAGTGTTATCTACAATTATTAAAAAAAAGGATTTGGGAGATTGGGATTGCTTTAAAGTTGCTAGCTATTGAATTGGTCTGGATACAATGAATGAATATTTGTTGTTGTTGTTGTTATTTTTGGATAGTATGTATAAATAGATTGTCGACTATTATATTATTTTATGGATGTAATAATTGTGTGTATTCGTTTGGTTTAACGAAATCTTGCTTTTTGGTGTTTGTCGAATAGTGGATATGATGATTCGGTGATTGACTGTTGGAATTATTCATTCTCAACAAATACAACATGATTGCAATTGGTACTACTTCAAATCCAAAGAAATATATTCCATCAAACCACCACCAATTCTATAGAATAAGAATATTATTATGATAGGTTAGTTAACTAAATGATAATAATCGTTGTTTGAATATCATTTACATACACCTGAAATTAAATTGAATCTATTGACAGCGAAAAGTGTAATGAATGCTCGAATTATGAAACAAACGACTACCAGGAGTGAAACCAATGAGACACGCTTCAAAATGATCTTTCTCTTGTCCTCTGTGAAATTTTGATGAGGTCTACGGAATTTGATGACCAAACACAGTCCGAGACCGGCAAATGCCAGTGCCAAAACAATGAAGCAAATTCCATCGTAATAACCGATGATGTATTCCACGGTCTCTGAGAACTGTGAGACCGTTCTATATTGGAGTGGATACAATGCAAAGTCCAAGGCGTACAAAACAATGATGGTGACATACATCAGTGTTGCTATCAAGTTGAAAATCACTGGCAATCTATGTACGAGAATCATCGATCCACCATTGAAAATCAAGTACATCTCTGTCCAAATGAACAGCACAATGAGATAGTTGCTAAAAAATAAAAATGAAGGCAGCGTATTCATTACGATATTCGCCTGATTCGGTATTTGCAAATCACTTTCTCTAATCCATGGTTGCATCAACATAAAAACTGCTCTAACTATAAATATTGATGGATAATTAATTAATTTCCTGGAAATCAAAAGTGTTTTAATGGAATATATATAATAATTTAGATTTACCCAAAACACCTAATAATAAAATTGGATAAAATAACTTTTGAATTGGAGAAACATTTGATGTTGGTCTGTAGTACCATGCATAAACTGTGATTGCACCCAGTACCATATAGGTGAACGTCAGAAAAATATGTGTTATATCATAATTTAGATAATGCCAAGCCATTTTGCTCCGACTTTTCTAGAAATTTTTTGAAATCCTGTTTGAGATTTTTTGTTTTTTTTTAAATTTAATTAATTTATTCTATTTAAAGATATCTTTATAAATTATTATTGCGAATATATATATATAATTAAATGAATGAAGTTGATTGATTGATTGATTGATTAATTGATTAATTAAGTTAAATTCTCTTGAAATAATAATAATAATTTAAATAAATGTTTGAGTATTGTATTGTTATAATAGCCCTATATTTTGGTGATAATTTTGCTTGATGAAATGATTGATCTATTTCTTGATTGGTGTTTAATAAAATAAAAACATTTTTATTTTATTTTCAATTTTATTAAAATTCTCTCTTTTAAATGTGTTGTTTTAGGTTTGTGTGTGTGTGTGTGGGAATGTAAAATGTGAATGAGAGAGTGCAAAGATGGTGTTTGTTTTGATTGGATGACAGTGATTTTGGACCAATCATTGATTTATTTAGAAAATATATATATATATATTGTGTATGAGTGTATGTGCTATAATGAATGTAGGGGTGTGTGGAAATGTATAATATATATTAGGGTGCTAACTAAATTACCTACTTCTTTTTCTTCTTCTTCCTTTCTTACTCTATCTTTGAATCTATTACTATCGAATAAATTCAAAATAGCATTGGCTGATCGTTGTTATCACTTTATTTGTGTTTTGTTTCACTATTCAATTATTCTATAAATGTTTGTTGTAATGATTTTATTTTACAATGAAAAAAAAACTCAAGTAAATCCTAATCAAAATCAACATTGGAATTGCAGTCAATTGAAAAATTAAAGGGGTTTGTTTGAAAAAATCGCACATCCGATTTATAAAAAAAAACAGAGAAAATTAATCATCCATATTTTTTAACGTTTATTGATTGATTTTTTAAAACTGGTAATTGATAAAATAGTGTTATTTTTATGTACACAAAATAATAATAAAAATAATAATAATATTGATATATATGTTGATTGATTATCAGAGTAAAAATAGAGATATTGGATGGTTTGTCCGATTGCTAACTTTGTCCACTTATATATTTGTTGTTGTTGTTTTTTTAAAAGTGTTTAAAAGTAAATAAATCTTTAAAAAAAAAAAGTTAACAATTTTTAAAAATGTAAAAAAACAAAACACATGATCACACCTTAAAAGAGAAGAGAAAGAGTAAAATTAATATAAATTTGTTTTTTTTTTATTTTTTTTTTTCTTTTTTGGTGATAATATATCTCTTTATTATCATGATATCATTTCGTTTGCTTGAAAAAATAAAAATCCAATCCTCTGAGAAAAAAAATGTTGGAGAATTTGCAAAACCATTTTCTTGACTTTGAAAATAATATAAAAACAATCGATTTTATAAGGTATTGCTTATTTATTTATCAAGCAACAGTCAATTTATTTTTTTTCATCTTTTTTTTTTTTGAGAACAATTTAATAATCAAGGATATTTAAATATTTATTATCACATTATAAAAATAACAATTTCAGTGTTCAACATTCATTCATTCATTTAAGTCTAGTCCAGCTATAATGTTTGCAAATTAATATAATATAGTTTTGTTTATTTTCTTTTTGTAATATAATACAGTATAACATATAATAATATAATATAATAAAAGAATGACATCATCATCATCAACTACATCTTCGTTCATATCAAGATTCTTTGGAAATGATGATAATCAAAAAGATTTTGGACCTCTACCAGTGCTAGAGTACACAAGTGAACCAAGACAACAACCACCATCTCCACTGCTACCACCACCACCACCCTCAACATCAACAACTACCACAACTGCCTCTGCACCAGTGTCACCTTTTGCATCACCAAATGTACCGTCTGCATCAATACTTGCGCAACAAAACCCATCACCTCTCAACTCTGTAATCAGTATATCCGATCCTAACAATAGTAATAACAGCAGTGCTAATAATAGTAATCATAGTAGTAGCAGTAGTATTAGTTTAGATAATAGCAATAGCAATAGCAACAGCAACAGCAATAGTAATAGTAATAGTAATAATGGAAGTTTAAATAATATAGGTAGTGTCATTGGTGGTAGTAGTAGTAGTAATAGTAGTAGCACTGACAATACAACTAATAATAATAGTAATGTTAATTCAACAGATAAAACAATAGTAGATGTATTGAAATCTAAATTTCAACCAAATACTCCTAAGCCTGATAAGGTAAGTTGTTTAAAGACTGACAATTTTCAAATTGGCATGAATGGAAATCAAAATGATTAACAGGCTAATGATTACTTTTATTATTGTAGAAATTTTGGATGCCAGATCATTCCAGTCCACATTGTGCAGAATGTTCAACACTTTTCACAGTTCTGACGAGACGTCATCATTGTAGACTTTGTGGTCAGATTTTCTGTTGGAAATGCTCACAGCATTCAATCACCAACGGCAAGGGCGAAAAGATGAGAGTTTGTAATTTCTGTTATAATACACACAACAGTGGATCACAACAACGTGGTTTGCAAAACAACGACGATCAAATCATTCCGATGTCACCCAATGACATCATACAAAATATCGAAGGTACAGAGCATCATCATCATTCGGTCGATGGTGTACCGCAGTCACAACAAGACAGATCCGGACCGAACCAACTGAAGAACACTGGTCTATTCACCAGTAAACTAATCAACTATGTACCGTCCTTTCAATCGCCATTCTCAAAGAAAGATCTGCCCATTGTTGAACCTTCGCCTTTCGAACTCGAACAGAATCTCACCAAGATTATGCATGAGATCGGTGGTAACGAATTGAATTACGACCTCTCCGAAGATGAATCTTCTGACATGTCTGAAGATGAAGTTATACTACCTCAAAATGAATATATATCAAATGAAGAAAATAGTAGTAACAACAATAACAATAACAATAATAATAATAATAATGGTAATAATAATATTAGTAATAGTACAGATGGAAGTTTGAGTAATTCAACAGGAACAATGAATTTTGCAATGACATCGGGTGGATCTAATAGTTTATTGCCATCGTTGAACAAACAGGGTCAGAACGATCCAATGAGTACAGCTAGCGTAGGCAGCGCTCTTGTGACATCTTTTTCAATGTCTTCATTACCCGTTGTTAGAAATCGTGTGAAATCAGTGGATAGCGCACCCATTCCAAGCTCCAGTAATCTTAGTTCCAGTCATCAGAGTAGAAGTATCCTAAAGTTATCGACTTCACCTTCCTCTCCACCACCTACACCCAACTCACCACCAAGTTTATCATCTTCACTCTCACTGTTGCCAGGTTTGCTCTCACCTCCTATCTTACCGTCGTCATCGTCATCTTCCTCTTCGCAAGCATCAAATAGCACACAGTCACATCCATTGAAATCGTCGGCACCTGTGATCAACTCCAACACCGATGGTGGCGCACTCAACAAATCAAACACACTGGTATCGCCCAAGAAACCAACACAAGTCACTATCTCACCGACATCACTGTTCTTCTCTGATCCAAGTATCGTTTCACTAAAGAGTCATCCAAAGACAACCAACAGATCCAAGTTTTTAGAGAAATATCCACTTCCTCGTCAAGAGAGTTTCACTCTCCCCAAATCAACACCAAAGGAATCACCACCTCTCCAACCAAGAATGAATCTTGTTGATTCTCCCCTATTCAACGAATACCAAAAACATATATCCGACATGATAACTCAACTCATAGAGAAAGATAATATCGACATGAAATGGCGAGATATCATCTTGGAATTGGCAACCAATGCCTGTACAAAAGTGAAAATCTCTGTAAAAGATGGTGATAAAATGTCAACAAAAGAATATATAAAGGTAAACACACTTTGAATAATAATAATTGAATTATTTAAGTAAAAAAATATTAACTGAATCAATCAAATATTTTTTTTCACTTTTTAGATCAAAAAAGTTCCTGGATCACAAGCAGAATATAATTATATAGATGGTGTTGTACTTACAAAGATCCTTACTCATAAGAATATGAGAAATAAGTTTACCAGTCCAAAGATTCTATTGTTAAGTTGTTCAGTAGAATTCCAACGTGTTGAGAATAAGTTTTTGTTCTTTGATCAACTGCTACAACAGGAGAAGGAGTATCTAAGAATCTTGGTATCAAAGATTGCAGAGAAGAAACCGGATATTGTATTGGTTGAGAAAACTGTTTCCAGACACGCTCAGGATTTCTTGTTGGAGGCAGGTATTTCGCTGGCGTTGAACGTTAAGCCAAAGCTACTTGGAAGACTATCGAGATGTTTGCGTTGTGAGTCATTGCCGTCGGTCGATCATATCCAACCAAGTCCAACCGCCGCTTCCGCCAGTGTTATAGTTGCTCCAATAACCACTGTCGCCACCAAGCAGGAACAGAAACAGCTTGGTAGTTGTGGACACTTTAGAGTGCAAACCTACACTGTACCAACACTTATCAATAAGGCAGACGGACTGTCCGGGTCCACCAGTGGACTATCCGGCTCCGTTCAAAAGAAAACCTTGATGTATTTCGAAAAGTGTCTACCAGAGCTTGGTGCCACCATCACTCTTGGCAGTGAGAACAAAGAAACACTTGCTAAGATCAAGGATATTCTAGAGTTTGCTATATATGCTACTCATCACAGCTACCTGGAGATCAAGTTCCTCTCTGACCAATCGTCGACATTCTCAAGTCTACTGCCCAATCCACCCATTCCAACCTCGCCACTGAGCAACTCCAATCAACAGCTGGCAACGGCGTCGATCCTCTCTTGTTCGCCACACTTGAAGTTCCCACTTCCCAGATCGTATCCCAACATTCCATGGGGATTCCAATACACATCTCAACATCTCCGCAATAAGAAATCGTTGTTCCAATGCTTCTACTATCCACATACCGATGCCGGCCAACAACAAGCTGTACTACAGACTTACAGTGAAGATGAGATATTGGGAATTGGACTTTCACAGGCATTCGATCCACCAAAGCGTTACCCGATCCAAGAGGAATCGATTCTCGCACATCAGAACATCTCGTTCTCTCACTCTATCTTTTGTAACACCAACCAGTGTATTCCATTCGAGTTGCACTCAATCGACTTTTACACTGATAACGATATGACACTGGGCGAGTTCCTTGCGAAATTCTGCTTCAACTCATCGTTTGTTTGTAGTCACAAAGAATGCAACAGACCTCTCTTTGAACATGAGAGAACGTTTATGCATGCGAACGGTCGTATCAACATTGTCATTCAAAAGATATCGGCAACAAACACGCCCTCCCAGCCAACAACATCGACACAACAACCAAGATCCAATGGAATTTCAATTATCAATCGTTGTAAGCTCTGCAACAGCTTCAGTCCCGAGCAAATCCTAACAGATTCAACATGGGAAATGTCATTCGGTAAGTTCTTGGAGCTCTCGTTCTATGGTAGTTCGATCGTTGGCAACTATGCAGAGTGTAACCACAATATGATCAAGGATCACATCACCTATTTCTACCATCAAGAGATGGCTGCGATCTTCTCGTATGAATCGCTACCAGTCTTGGAGCTGACACTTCCACCCAAGGTATTTGAGGAGGCCAATCCAAAACTGAAATCGATGGTTCACCAACGTGAGATTGAGCTACTCAACGAATGTGCCAACAATGTATATAACGCAATCTTTGAGAAGTTCAACGAACTACAAGAAGAAGGTGAAGAGCGTGTCAAAGACCTGATGCCCATCTTACTCGAGGAGCGACAAGTAGTCATCTCAAAGATTGGTACTCACCTCGGAAGTGACTATGTCCACTGCTCAAACGAACTAGCTTCACGACTCACCAAGCTGCTCTATGCAAACTTTATGACTTGGAATTCACAGTTGAGTGGAATCATCAACAGTACATCGCTTCAGAAAACAAAGAGAGCGACAACCATGCTCAGCAACAACTCTCATATCGATGGTGCGATGGAGTCAACTGCATCACCACAAACCTCATTCAGTCAGCTTAGAGTGTCAGCTGTTGGTGCCACCACCGACAATATGAACTCATCTTTTGAAAGACAACAGCAACAACAACTCAATAACAATATGACATCATCTCCACAACTTCAAGCACCACCAACCATTATCACATCTTCACCACCACTCGAATCTGTCAGTCAACCAATTTCTACAGCTTCGCCAACATTGCAATCATTCTCCACTCCCACTGAATCAAGACCGATCTCACTGAACCAATCATATTCAGCAAACAACGTTTCACAAGGAGTTGAAAACAGTAGCTATAGTGCAACAACATTGATGGACTCCAAGGCAGATCTAGGTGTCTACACCACATCGTTCCAATCGTATTCCAACTATGCATCACCACAACGTGAGGTTAAGAAACTAAAGATTATTGACACCATTGCTGGTATCGTTTCATCGATATCATCGTCAAAGATCCTTGGTCCAACCATTCCATTCATCCTCTTGGATGGATCAGATAATATTGCAATCTACGAGAATGAACCAAGCACTACCATTGCATACACTCTAACATCCCAAGAATTCAAAACTACTTTTAATGAATTAATGGAAGAAGAAGTAAGTTACTATTATTGTTATTGTTTTGTATCTTATTGTAAAAAACAACAACAACAAATTGACTAAATTAATTTCTTGTTTTATTTTTATAGTTACAAAAACCATCAAACTTTGATATTGATTCGAACAATGTTGAGAATCCAAATGTTCCAAAGAATGATATTGGTAATTTCTTAAAGCAAAAGAGTACAACAGAGGCAGCAAAGAAAAAGAATATAGACAATAGTCTCTCGAGATCGATGGACAAGAGATCACTCAGCAGCAGTAGTAATGGTCTTGATAACTCGAGTAATCAATCATCACCTGCAATTACCCCAACTTCAACTCCACCACTTTTATCAGCTTCTATCGAAGATACACCATTCATCGATATCAATAGCAACCCGAATATCAATCCAAACAACACCAACAACATCAACAAAGAGATGTTCAGTGACAAGAACCTTAGACTTTCAAAACTATTGGTTTCAAATCAAAAGAAGGAAATTAAAAACAGTAAGTCATTATACTATCATAAACAATTTAATATTAACTAATATTAACAACTATTATTACAAATGTGCAGAATTTAAATTTGAAAAGAATGGTTATGAAGTCAATATCTTCTGTACTACATATTATCCAGTTCAGTTTAGTGCACTAAGAGAAATGGTTTGTAGTGAAGAACAATTCATTGAATCATTGACAAGATCAAAGGTTTGGATTGCCAAAGGTGGAAAGAGTGGTTCATCATGGAATAAGACACTCGATGATAGATACATCCTAAAGAATGTCAGTAAGATCGAACTAGAGTCTTTCTTGGACTTTGCACCATTGTACTTTGAATATCTTTGTAAATCATATCTTCACCAGATTCCAACAGCACTTAGTAAGATTCTAGGTGTTTACAGTGTAAGATGGAAAGATAGTAATGGTAAAGCACTAAAGAAAGATTTAATCGTAATGGAAAATCTATTCTACAATAAGAATGTTACAAAGGTAAAATTCAATATTGTTCAAACATCATCTTTTGAATTGTTTACTAATTCTTATTCATATTATTATCTCTATAATAGACATATGACTTGAAAGGATCTTTAAGAAGTAGATTGGTAAAGAATGAATCAGAAGTACTTTTAGATGAAAATCTTTTACAAGCATCATTCTCTACTCCCATTTGTCTATCAGAGTATGACAAGACAAGAATCTCTCTTGCCGTTTGGAATGATACTGCTTTCCTTTCGTCATTGAATGTAATGGATTACTCGTTGCTCACGGGAATAGACTCCAACTCTAACCAACTGGTCGTTGGAATTATCGACTACATGAGAAAATTCACTTGGGACAAAGTAGTCGAGATGAAAGTCAAACAATCCGGTATTATGGGTGGTGGAGGCAAAGTCCCCACTGTAATCTCGCCCAAACAATACAAGATAAGATTCAGAGATGCAATGTGGTTGTACTTTACAATGGTTCCAGATAAGTTTACCAGAGTGAAATGGAACGATGAAAAGGATTCTCCAAACAACAACAACAACAATAATAATAATGGTAACTTTAGCAACAACAACACCACTTCAAATCAACAATAAAGATATATTTTTTTTTTTAAGTAAACTTTTATTTTATTTTTATTGTTATGTATACATAGTTTAGTTTAATATCAATGATATTAATGAATGCGTAATTTGTGGTGTTATCGATGTTTGAATAACTAATTACAATGATGATTAATCATTTGGAGTTATTGAGTTTGGGATTGGGGAAAAAAATTTTGAAAACTAAAATATGTTGTTTCGACTTGTTGATAGTTTTGTTGTTTGTTATAATAAAAAATAATTTAATGCTTGTAGAAGATGACATCTCCTTCATCTTCAACGAATCTACACTCTCTCCATGAACGCCAGAGTGCCTTTGGAATTGGAGTTGGATCGAAAATGTAGTGCTTTCCAAGAACTTTCTTGATGTGCTTGGTGGCTTCTTCGGCGTGGTAATGTGGCATGGTTGAGAAGAAGTGATGTGCAACGTGGGTATCAGAGATGTGGTGGTGGAAATAATCGAGAATCCATCCGTAGGATCTGTCGACGGTCAAGGCAGCACCTCTTTGGAAATTCCAGACACCCTCACGATAATGTGGCATCTTTGGATCGGTGTGTTGGAGGTAGGTAATCAAAACCAACCAGAAATTGACCATCAAGTATGGAATGACGTAGAACTTGATGACGGCGAGTGATCCGTACAACTTGCTGGCATAGGCGAGAATGGAAATCATGGTGGCAACACCAGCAATCGATTGGATGACATCCCAGAATTGCTTCTTCTCAAAGAGCGCGCAGGTTGGATTGAAATGACTGGTCCATGCCTCAGAGTATGATTGACCTGAAAGATGTGTAAGCAAATAGATTGGCCAACCAACAGTGAAAATCTTGATCATATCGAGGAGAGTCATAATTGGTGATTCATCAAAGAGTTTGTGTGGTCCATCTCCCTCTGGATCGTTCTTCTTGGCTGGCAATCCGACAAACTCTCTGCTGTATGGAATGAAAACTTGATCACGGCTCATGTGTCCGGTATTTTTGTGATGTTGGGAGTGAGTGATTCTCCATGAGTGGAATGGGACCAAAAGGAAAGAATGTAAAAACATTCCCATACCATAATTAACAGACTAAAATAATATTAGAAAATTTGGAAAAACAATATTAATATTTTGAGCGAGGTATAAAATATTTAAATATTGCGGACCTACTTTGATGGCGCTGAAACCTTGGTGACCACATTCATGACCGAGTACCCAAAGACCAGTGCAAACAATACCTTGGCAAATCCAGTAGACTGGCCAAAGAATCATACGCAAAGCAAATGATGGTATAGAGTCAATGTATGAAGCTAAATAGAAAAGGATTCCTGCAATTACAAAATCGTGAACTACGTATGACATTGAACGGAGAGTGTCACGCTCGAAACAATGAGCTGGGATTGCATCTCTGATCTCTTTAATGGTGAAATTTGGAATGTCGAAACCTCTTTGGACAGCCTCGTCAATCTTGGCACCCTTCAGTGATGGCAAAACTTCTTCTTTTGCTTGTTTAATTCCTGCTCCCATTGTTTTTATAATTTTATCACAACTATTTTAAAATAGATGTAATATTTTAATGTTATGATTTTAAACAGAATAAAATAATGGTGCGAACCGTATTTAAATCCGGTAAAAACAATATTCAGAAAAAGAAATCAAAAAAAAAACAAAAAAGAAAATCAAAAAAAAAAAAAATAGAACAAGGTTTGTTTTACACACAGCCTCTTATCGTTACCATTTACACAAAATGATGGATTTTTTTTCACACACAAAACAAATCGATTGAGTTTTCTGATTGGTGCAGATTTTTTTTTTTTTTTTTTTTAATGACCTTTAAAATTACGCAATTGAAAAGCCGACATTATCTTTTTTGGAAGTTGTTTTTTTGAACATGGAGAGGGGATCTATAATGATGATGTTCCCATCATTTTATAAATAAAAATACAATTATATTGAATTGAGAGAAGTGTTTAAAAACTTTTCGAAAAAGAAAGACTTAATTGTAATTCAAAATAATATTTTAATTAAATCTCTCTCTCAATTTGGTCTTCTTATTATTTTTGAGTATCTCAATAAACTTGATTGAAAACAACAAACATTTGGAAATAAACATTAAATCTCATTTTATAACCCCACCTTATAAAAAAGTAAAAAACTAGCAACATTTTTGTTTAGATTGAAGTTTATTTAAATAAAAGAAGTGTCACTATCAATGATCTAAAAATGTTAAACTTTCCTTTAATTAAATAAGTGTTATATAATTTATTTATTTTCTACTGAGTTGCGATAGTTTCTCGAGAGCTACATCTTTAAGTCTACGACCCATCAGTCTCTTCTTTATGTATATAGCAGATACAGTTGCAATTGCCATTGAACCTACAACTACGAGTACAACAATGACTGGTACCTTCCATTTATCATTCTTTGACTTGCTCGAACCACCTTGATCAGTGCTACATGGTGGAACTGTTTCGTGATCGTCTGTCAACAAAAGACCAAAGTTAGGATCGAGAATGGTTGAGCTTTCAAAGTATGGAACTAACATTGCTGTTAAAAGTTGAACATCGTGTTTGGATGAGTTGTAGGATGCTGGTGGATCCAATATACTGGTACTGTTGTCGAGGATAACTGTAACCGCTTGAGTTGGTCTTGTGTCAGAGATAAGACGTGTTGCATATTTTCCATGTAAGACAACACCTTGACTTAGAATTGGAATGTCAAACAATGTTACATTTCCACTTGGCAAAGATGTTTTCATTGGACATCCTGGTTCTACTCTGTCACCTACAGTATCGTAGATCAACTGTAATGTATTCAAACGATTATCGAAACTCCAACCGGATATATTGATTTGGAACTTAACAGAGTTATCCAACACTGAGATTGGCTCCTTAGCAAACTCTACCTTGGTTGCATTGGGGATGATGGTGATGTTTACTTGGATGGTACATGGATCGCTTGGGAATCGACCTATGAAAATATAGGTATCATCAAGCTGAGTGTAGTTCACATTGTCCGCTGTCTTTTGCCAGACAATGTCGCTCATGTTGAGAATACGGATGGCATTGGTATCAGAGACTTCACGGATATATTTGATTCCGATGTTGAACACCATGCTCTTACTTGGTAATGTAGTTGATCCATCGGCATTGACTGTTGGTCTCATCGAACTACCGGTAATAGGATAGGAACAATCGCTTCCACCAAATCCAGGATTGCAACTGCAGGTACCAAAGTCTGTATCGCATTGTCCTTTACCTGCACAATCGTTTATACAGGCAATGTTGTTTCTATAGAAATATAGATAATCCCAGGTAATTAAAGTATGTCCAGAAAAGATTGCTACTGGGAGAGCACTACCATTGGTTGGTACCACACCCTTGTAGTAACAAATCAACATTGTACTATTAATATAAAAGAGAGTATCACATGGTTGTTCACCAATGGTTACATTTGTTTCATATTGACCGAATCCAGTTCCTGTGATTGTAATATTTCCACTTGTATTGAAATAAATGGAGGAAACCGAAGAGATTGTAGTAGCTAAAAATAATAATTAGTATAAATTAAATAAATATTTGTTGTTATTAGTTTTATAATAGTTACTTATGTTGTGAACTGGAATATCGACAGAGTTTGAACTTTGACCACCGACTTTAATTGAAATTGTGTTTATGTTGGTGATTGGTGCAACTAAAAATCTGATGGATTGATGTGGTGTGATGAAGGTTGGAGGTGACATTGGTTGGACACCTTGGATTGTAATGAATGCTAAATCGCTACCAAATGAATATCCTGTTAGGGTTACATATCCACTATCAATGTTTGTTGCAGTGGAAGTGATTTCATCGATATGTGGAGCTACATAATTGAATTGTAGTGGACTGGTTGCAATAGTGTCTAGCAAAATATAGGCAGAGAATGTACCAGTTCCTTCTGGAATAGTAACGGTTGCAGCTGTACCATTGAAATTGCTAAACGGTAGATTTTGATTATTATTGTAAACCAATGACAGAAGATCGGCTCTGTCAAAGAGATTCTCACCTACAACGGTGGCTACACCTCCCTCAGATCTGAATTGAGATGGCTCCATACTAATGAATTTAGGTGGTCTATAGGAATAACTGATTTTGTTTGATACAATACCGTCGACGCTCATCCAAAATTGATTTTGTCCATAATAACCAGCAGGAATGGTTATAGTCTGATATCTGTTGTCATTGTTTTGGACAGTAGATGGCAAACTTTGAATGGTGCCATTGATATTGGCAAAGAATTGAATAAGACTGAAAATATGACCTGCGTATTGAATGGAAAGATTGAGCTGTCCACCTTCATTTGGTAAAACATAGCTTGAAGAACCTTGGATAACTGGTGGCATACCCATGTACTGACTTAAAATAGAGTCACATCCACCATTAGTTGTTGCCAGTAGGGCACCTGTTCCGAAATTGATTTTGAAACGTGAATTGTTATTTGTAGAGCCTGATGTGCTGGTGTAATAGGGTGTCACAGACTTTGTTGCATTTGGGTGACCTGAGTAGTAAATGTATCCACTGGCAAGATACTGTAAACCTTCCCACATTCCTGTGTTTGATGGGAATGTTTGTTTTAGGAATTTATATAAATCCAGAGAGTCAATAACACCAAGATAACCTGGTGATGAATCCACATTGGTAGAAGCGACGTAGATGGAGGCATCGTCAAAACTTGGAATGCAAGCCTGTCTAACACTATAGAAGCTATGAGTGTTTTGGTAGTAGACTACAGGATTGTTGGTGACAGACTCTACACCATTGATATTAAGTCTGATTGGGGAAAGTGGGTCTGTAAGATTGGCTGGGTTATCGTATGTACAAATAATAACTTGATTGGATTTGACAACAGAGACAGTTGAGTTTACACATTGAATAGCCTTATTAATGCCAAAGGCAATTTTGATAGCTGATCCATCATTTCCGAAATGTTGACCAACAATTGTAATTTGGTCATTGTCTCTAAAAATATAAGAGATTTGAGATGCTATAAAAATGGATTAATTTATTAATAACAAACTAATATAAAGTTAAAAAATTAGTTATGACTTACGCAAATATTGATATGTAGTATTTGTTGTAACTCCGTTGATTGTGATTTCTACGTTGTAGACACCAGTACCGGCTGGAAGCAAGCATGTGAAATTGTTTGGTGAGATTTGTTGCACTGGACATGGCAAGACCACTGGATTGGTGATGGCCTCACCGATTTGAGTGAATGTGACAGCTGTGTTTTGGTCTGGAGTTCCAGAGTATCCTCTGATAGTGACTAGTCCACCGCTTGATGAAATTGGTGAGTCTACAATTGGATTACCCATACCACCAAACTCACACAGGTAAGCGTTGGTGGAAGAAGCCTGAAGATTGTTGATCATGGTGTAGGATACTTTTGTCTCTGGTCTGTTGAAAGTGGCCATATAGAATTCGAGGGTGGAGTATGAAGGTTCTGTAAGTCCCCAAGGACAATAGGTCAGACAACCTTTGTCAGCGCTGTAAAACAATTGACCACTCTCTGGACCGGTATTGAAATACCATGTTTTGAAGTCGCTATCAGGGTTGTATCCGGAAATCCATTCCTCTGGGGTGCCCAACAAACCAGCAGACTCTGCCCAGTCCCATTCCAACTTTGTAGAGAATGTGGCTAAATAACCTTGACCAAGTCCGTTTGGACCGGTTAACGCTGCACATGCCGCGTTTGCAACAGTGTTTGAAACTTTTGTGGTAATTTTTTGATAGTAATGTCCAGTGTAAGGATTATATCCATCGGAAAAACAAACTTGAACAATACAAAGTAAAGTGAAAACTTTTGAAATAAATTTAATGTTGGACAAAAAAGATGTTGACATTGTCATTTTTTTTTTTTTTTAAAAGAGAATAAATAATATTAAAAAATATAAATACAAAATAAAAATAAAACAAAATAAAATAAGAAGGTCGATCGATCGATGGTTGATTATTGTTGAAAAGTAATGTTAAAAAATTATTCGAATATTAAATGTAAGATAGATACTGAAATTCATCTATTTATTTGTATTATATAAATAAACATATAATCTATTTTTATTATTTGTTGTTGATGTTACTTGTATAGTTTGGGAACTAAGTAATTAATTTGACAACCAAAACTGTGAATCGATAAATACATCTAAAAAAGCTAACCAAAGAACACAATTTTATTCATCAGACCATCCATCAATAAAAAAAAAAGGAGTTAATCAAAATCGAAAAAATCATATGTCAAAATCTCAGCAAAACTGTGTTGGTGCATCATTCAGAGTATTGGATTATGGACAACAACAAAAAAATGTTTGTCGTGAAAAAAATTGCAAAATTAAAAAAAATTAAAAAAAATAAATTTTGCTAAACAAAACACATCATCACAATTTCAGGTTTTTTTTGGAGAATTGACATTTATTATTGTTCAATTTTGTAATATGGCATCAAAAAGAGCTGGGACAACACCAAAAACAAGAACAAAAAAGATTTTCTATCGCATCTAGATCTGACAATACAACATTAAAAGATGTATGTTCATCCAGTGTAAAAACCTGTTGAAAAAGTATTTGTTTTTATTTTTGTTATTATTTAATTTAAAAATAACTTTGTTCACTTCAAATAAGTTGATTAGTTTATTTATTTTTAAACATGTTTTTTTTTAAACTTTTGATTAAATAAGCTCGTTGACTTTCTAAATATTTAAAATAAAGATGTGTTTAGTTTATGATCAATTTTCACATAAACCACCAATAATATGAATGTGTTTTTTTTTTTTTTTTAATTTTTATTATTTAAGTTGTAACTTTCACCACCAATACAAACAACATATTAATACTTTTTGATCTCATTGATTAGATATATATATATGGTTGTTTTATTTGGAAATTAATTTAATAATATACTAGTATATTAAAGAAAAGTATCAATGAATAGCATTGGTTCGCAGTCTGAACCTCATAATCATCAAATGCATGATATGGATATGAGTATGGATATGAGTATGGATATGGGTACAACTGGTAATACACATCATGGAGCTGGTTCAACGTCGAGCTTTACCTTTTCAGTGCAAGTCGACCTCTTTGGTCTCTTGACGTCGGGCTGGCCGCAGTATTGTGTGGCATTTGTTTGTGTAATGGGTCTGAGTATTGCATACGAAGCACTACTCTTTGCCAAACAAAATTGTCACCGCTACTTTGCACATGTCGGTCCAGACACTGATGCAACCACCCAATTGAAATTTAAAATATCGATGACCGCTCTCCACGTTCTTACCGCGATGTTTCACTATGCGCTGATGCTGATAGTGATGACCTTTAACTTTGGAATGGCACTCTCTGTTTTGCTTGGAGTGGCGATAGGATACTCTGTTTTCCTAGAGTATCCAAATAGATACTATAAAAAAGTACAAAGGTAATTAACAAAGATAGATTATAATCAATCTAGATTTCTAATATTTTATTTAAATTAAAACAACCAAGGAGTGCAGGTGAGAAAATTGAAGATTTCGAATATAATAGTGGTAGTGCTGATCATTGCAACAATACATCGTACATCTCAGATATCAATACGAGCGATAATGTAATATTCACTCTTCATGAGGATTTTGAAGATGAAGCGGAACTAAACTCAAAACTGTAAAGAATAAAACAAGTAAGACACCAGAACATATAGGATGTCGAGCAATAACAAATATAGATATTAATCAACATGTAAATAAATAATGTTTTTTTTTTTTTTTTTTTATTGATACCATCCTCACAAGAAAATATCGTCAAAAAAAAAAAAAGGACAGTGGACATAAGTGGTTTTAAAAGTTCGACTAAATATTTATCAATATCAAGCCAAAAAATGGTCAATCGCAGATTTTGTTGAAAGATGGTGCACAATGTGAATAAACTATTTTTTTTTTGGGTTTTTTTTGTTAATTTTTGGTTTTCATAAATATCAGCACATCTCGAATCAGTTTTTTCGTTAAAAAAAACCTTTTAAAAAAAAAAAGAGTAAATTAATAAAATCTCTGTAGTAATATTCGTTTTATTTATAAATAAAACACTTCTTTTTATCATCACCAAACAAAAACAAATAAAATACAATAATAAATAAAATAAAATAAAACAAAAAAATAAATAGTTTAAAAAAAAACAAAACATTAGTTAAAGTGTTAATAAGGATATATAAATAGATAGAATAGAGTCAAAAAAACTAAATCAATCAATTCAATCCTATAGATGATTTGTTTATAATCTTTTTCTTTTTTATATTTATTCTTTTTATATTTATTTTTTTATTTGTATCAATACACAGTAGTAATAGTAACATCAGAAATAATTGAATAGTTTTTTTTTTTAAAAAATAAATATCATTAAAACAAAACAAATAATCAATCACCAATCATATCTGTTATTTTTTGATAACCACACATATATTTATATTTCACTCCAAAAACCAACAACATTAAAATTTGATCAAAACAAAACAACCACTCACATCAGTCCAACCACCACCAGACAACCAAAAAAATAAAAATAAAACATTAAAAAAATAAAATCAATCCAACTTCTAGAAATTCCAATCAGACAGCATGGATGTTGAAAATGATAGGGGTGTGGTAGTTGTATTACCAACTACAACAGAATCAATCATAATAAACAAACAACAAAACAATAATATTAATAATAGTAATGGTAGTAATAATCAAAACTATGCTGAAATTGATACTATAAATAATAATAATAATACTACTACTACTATAGACACAAGTCATCATGATATTCATATCCATCAACAACTACATCATCATTCAGCAATTAATAATATAAATTTAACATCATCATCATCACCAAATCAATCAGAAGCTATTATTAATAATAATCATAATAATCATAATAATAATAATTTTGAAGCTAATCATTTAAATGTAACAATATCACCTTCGTCTCTAGACACATTACCATCATCATCATTATCACCAAATCCAAACCATTCATCTGAATTTACAAGTACTGAAACTAACATTGCAGTAAAGGACAGTGAAGTACCGACGTCTTCCACTTCAGCCTCAACTACAACAACAATTACAACGGCAACAGCAACAACAACAACAACGTCGACAGAACAAGAAATTCAAGATCTAATTAGACATTCAACAGAGTTAATGAGGAAGTCCGTTCAGTTAACACAAGAATACATTGAACATATCGAACAACTATCTGAATCCGAAAACAATAACAATAACAATAACAACAACCTTACCAGTAATAACAAGCATTCTTCAAATTTGGATTCGATATCGGTTGAAAATCATCCATTGGCCAATACAAATACCAACACTGTTGTTGAAAAGGTGCCGATATCATCCGAGGCATCATCACAATCAACCACTTCAAGATTAGTCTGCAAGATGCATAGATCGAGTTATTTAATGACGCAATTAGGTGGAATACAAATGAACTCTAGTATCGATGAACTCTTAAGTGAGAAGAATCCAGATTCCGGTATGGGATACCGCGAACCAGGTCCACAAGGATTCCTATCCTATGTAAACCTGGATCCAAATCAACCGTTGAGCAGTCAGACCATTGCAAGTAATAATAGTTCCAGCCAGAATATCAGTTCGACATCGTTGGGCCAACAGCAGCATCAACAACCACATCATCAGCAACAACAGCAATTTGGACAACATCAACAACATAGCAATGGCAGTCTCAGTGGTTACATGAACTCGAGTAATAGTGCCAACGAGTTTGGCAACATCCTCAGAAGCAGCAGTAACAATTTGAATCTAAACAAAGTAAGAGTGGCATCTAGCCAGTCTGCAATCAACCTCAGTGGCTCAGGCAATGGATTCCCAAGCGCAAGCGGAGTTTCGCGATCTGTCTCCATGCTCAAGAGCGAAGAGGGCAAGCGAAAGAGTGTCCGTCAGAACCGAATGGCGAAGAACGAAGATGATCGCCGAAAGCGTAAAGAGCAAAAGCGTGCCAGAGCCAAAGAGAAGCCAATCTATGTCGGTTCACTCGAAGAACTGCCACCAGAATGCATCAAAATGATAAGAAAATCAAAGATACCAGAGGACAAGCTAAAGGAGCACTTTGAAATCCTACTGCCAATTCTCAGATTCCGTACTGGTTTCAATTTGAAATCGTCGAATCCACTATCGAAATCATCACTGCACGTTCACAACAATCAGGTAACCTCGATGACAATGACATCGACAACCACCACCAGTGGCGCCACTTCTTCACAACACCCGTTATCACCCGAGACTAACGGTTCACGCACACGATCCGAAAGCAAAGGTGCTGGTGGCAATGCAAGCAGTAAGATTGAAACACACAACAACGGTGGTAATGAGGACGACTCTGCCGACGATGGATCAAGATTGGAACAATCTATAATCCCAAAGGGTACCACCGAACTCTTTGAAAAAGGTGATGTTAAAAAGTTATATAAAAATTTAAAGCAAATTGGAAGTGGGTAAGTTATATTATTAATAGTTGTTAATATTATACAATAACAGCAACGACAAAAAAAAAATTTAATAATCATTATGAAATATCTTATTAATTTTATTTTATTATTAATAATAATTAATAGTGGATTTGGCAGTGTTTATTTAGCTAAATCTCTTGTCGACAAATGTGAGATTGCTATTAAGAAAATTGCACATACCACACCAAAGGCACAACGAACAAATTTAAATGAAATTGGTTATCTACATTTTTGTAATCATTCAAACGTAGTTAGATATTTAAGAAGTCATTTGGTGGACGACCAAGTTTGGATTGCAATGGAATATATGCAAGGTGGTACTTTGACAGAGGCATGTTCCAATCATTCCTTTAATGAAAGTTGTATTGCTTATGTTGCAAGAGGTGTAAGTAAAAAAAAAGTTTTATTTATGCTTAGATAACACATTATTAATACTTTACATTATTATTATTATAATCAAATTAAACAGATGCTTGAAGGTTTAAAATATTTACATTCCAATAATTTAGTACATAGAGACATTAAGTCTGGAAATATTATGATGACAATCGAAGGAAAGATTAAAATTGGTAAGTTGTTATTATTCTATTTCGATTTTCTGGAAAGTTATTAATTGTTGATTGTTTTAAATATTATTTTAGTTGACTTTGGACTATGTGTTGATTCAACCGAAAGAAAATTAACTCATATGGCAGGTTCACCATTTTGGATGTCACCAGAGATGATTAGAGGAGAAGGATATGGATGTCCATCTGATTTGTGGAGTTTTGGTATTTGCTTGTTGGAGCTTGCCAATGGAGAACCTCCCAATAGAAAGTCATCGTTGCATGCAATGTTCTCAATTGCTACTCACACTATCAATGGTCATACCGGTCTCGAGAGACCAGAGAAATGGACTGAACACTTTAGACACTTCCTTACACTATGTCTTGAAGTCGATCCCGCAAAGAGACAGACAGCTGAGCAATTATTAACGGTAAGCATCTACAGGTGTCCACTCAAAAGCGACCAATCAATCTATTGTTTATCGAACCTCATATTAACTGTATTATTATCTGTTATCTATAATCAATTATAATAGCATCCATGGTTAACCATATCTGAAAATCCCGAAACTATGAAGAAGATTCTTGCCCAGATTTTCATAGCCAATGTAATGAATCACCTTGATCCAATATAATCAATAATAAAAGCGGTAAAACATTTTATTATTATATACTGTTCAGATTAATTTAAACAGTTTTTATTTCACTGATTGTTATCTTTTATATTTATTTTTATACTCCATATCACCATACTTTTCATTTATTTATCAGCAGCATGATAGGAAACATCACAGCCAGCCATGCAAAATCAATACCATATTAATATTAACCTACTTGTAAGAATTCGTTTTTGATTCATTGAACGGTTTGTGAATGTGGGGATTATATATCAGCAGTCTGATTGTATCAATAAGCTATAAATATGGTCACACCCAGTAATATTTATCATTTACTGATGGTAAGCATTATAATCTCTCATATTGAAAAATATATTATTATTTCAAATTCCGAATTTCATTCTATCTTACCAAAAAATATTTATAATATTAAATTATTTATTATGAAAATTCCCTTCTCCTATTAAAATTGTGATTATTTTTCTACTAGTGTCAAGCCAATTTTTCATTCTACACTTGAGAATCATCATTATATTCAGCATTGTTTGTGTGTTTATGTGGATGAAAAATAAAAATGATAAATGTGTTAATGATTACATGTGGTTTGCAGAAATGGTGTTGATTGGCAAAAATAAATGCGTATGTTTGATCAATTAAAATTTGATGAGTGAGTTTTGTGGTTTTTTTTATTCTTGTGGATAAATTTGTTTGTGTGTGAATATATCTAGATCCTTTTTCGTTGTGTTGTCAAAAACACCTATGTTTGAATTTATATAAAATGATTGAACTTATCAACTACAATTTGATATGGATGTTCAAGTTCACTATAGTTTGCCGGGTTTAATGGCTGGTAGGCAATGGATTTCAAAAATTTTAGAAAAATTTTTGTTCTACAAAAATATATCATAAATATTAAAGTTATCAACTTTGGATCAAATTAATCCGGATATATTTATTTTAATAAATAAATAAATGCTAGACCCATCTAAATTTAAATACAATATAGGATTTTTTTTTCATTTTGAAAGTGTAATCTAAACGATGGATAAAGATTTTATGTTATTGTATTCATTATTTTTATTATTTAGTTTTTTTAGTATATCCGAATCAAAAATTAGTGGTCCTATCGTGAATGGAACAGGATTTTTTCAATATAAAAATGATGTTCAGAATTATGAATTTGATAATGATTTAACTTTTCATTATCAGAACCGAATTAGTTCAGAAAATGTAAAAAAAAAAATTTGTTTTAATTTTTAAAAAATTTCTTTTGTCTAATTTTCAAAATGTTTTTAGTACTCTAGTTTAGAATATGTATATTATACAAATTCACCTAAATTAAGCATCCATGTTTATATAGGTGAGAGTTACCACTTTAGGTTGGGAAACTTTGAAAAAGTAGTTGACGGGTCTGGATGGAGAAGGGTAAGAATATTTAGTTTATAAAAACAATTTGCTCTGATCAAGATTTATTAATTAAAATGAAATATAATAGGGTCAAATTCAATTCAACTCAGTATTCAATGAGTTCGATAAAGTAACCTTCTATAATAGTAACCCCAATAATTTAGTTAGTATTAAAGTTAGTTTAATTCCAAAGGCTGAGAATCCGAACCAGTTTTTAAATTTTAGTTCTTTGGGTATTGGATGTAAAGATTCACCTATGTTGGAGTGGGGAAAGGGTTTGCCGAATGTTAATGTTTTCCTTACTGGAAGTGACGATTATCGAATCACTGGAGGCTCATTCCTATTGGATAACATATATAGTAACCAATGCCTCAGGAAAAGAACCTTGAGCCAACATATTCATACACTTGGACATTATAACAAAGGTGGCTTCGATGGAAATTCCAAGTTTAATGTTCTTCATAATCCTTCTTCTCTTCATATGATATTTGAAAGGTCGGCTCAGGACTTTTACTTTATAGTCGGATCAGTGGATCAAGAAGACCAACTCTTTATTACTGCATTTGATGAAAATGGTGTTCAATATAATATTTACAACAACTGGAAGAACCCTACGTATGGATCATTAAAGGAGAGTGACATTTTTAATCAAATAAGATACCAAAGTAGAGGTGATCATATGTATTTATCTTCTATCATTTCCGATCATTCAAACAATTTTCTTTTGTTTGCAGTCAAGAGAAATACAAGTAAAATTATTGTTGAATATGCTACCACAAATTCCGGTGGATCAGTTTTCTATTCATTGTTTGGTATTGTAAACTATGGGTTGGTAGATGAAAGTAAATGTGAACCTTCTACTCTTCACCGATTAACTATTGATTATAACAACTCTGTCAATGGTTCTCCAAATTGTCCATGCCTGAGTAATACGATAGGCACTGACCAAAGAGTACCAACTTTTACTTTTGAATATAAGCCAGGTAGTTGTGAAGCTCATTTGGTAGCCAGAGTATATTTAGTTGATCAAATGAACCAAGGATCTGGAGTAGTGAGTACATGGAGAATCGAAATCATCAATTATTCACCATTCCCAATTTCCAATATTGTCTTTTCTTTGAACTTGGAGCCCAAAGAAAAATGGGAAATGAGATCATACAATGGAGACTTTATTTTGCCACAGTGGAGACTTAACAATCCCATTCATACTGGAGAATTCCATAGTGCTGGTATTCGAATTGATAGTGCAGAATCTTTAAAAGTAATCATTTTAGATTCTGATTGCCAACCAAAAGTTATTATCCCAAGTCCTCCTCTAATTGAATTAGAGACTTTACCACCCAATCCATATCCAAGAACATTTACACCATATTCTCAAAGTTCCTCTAGTGAATCTATTCCTCCAAATCCACCAGGATTTTCACCCCAAGTTTCAACCACAATATATGACATTTCGTCTAATAATGTTGGAACACCCTTCCATTATAATTCACAACAACTCAACACAGGTTTTGATTTTACTGGAGTGGGAGCTGAAAATACCTATTCTTTCAGTTCATTTTCCGGAATATTCTCCCCCGAAACAACATACGATTTAAGTGGAAGTACCATAGGTGAGATTCCCTCATTCACTCCAATTCAGAGTGGTCCACCAAATATTCAACCTCCTTATAGTTCTGAAGAGGAACACACTTTGTCAACTCCATCATTACCAATTTCCACAGCAATATATACAACTTCCAAATCAACAACTTCTACCCCTCCCATTGACATTAGTAGGACTGATAGTTTCAATCCCCATGGAGAAGTGGTCTTTCCTACAAGTACAATAGGATCAACTACCTCAACATCTACACTTAGTTCATCAAGTTCTTCAACAATAACAGAAGTCCAATCTACTCCAAAACCAACTACTATATCCACAAGTACAACAATGAATTCTGGTATACCCACCCCTACACCATCAAGAACCAGTACATCCTCTACAACAAGTGGTGTCCAGACAACCCCAACCCCAACTCCCCACCACCACCGAAGAACAACAAATTCATTTGAGTTCATTGCCGAGCCACCTGAAAGTACAACTTCTACCACTTCTACAACTACGATCTCTGGTAGGCCATCTACGATAAGTACAATAACAACAACTAATTCAGTTCCAACACCATCTCTACCATCGGCATCAACAACTTCTGATCAACATGGTCAGTCAATAAATCCGCCATCTATAACAATGTCCACTACTTTGTCAACTACTAATTCAGTTCCAACACCATCTCCACCGTTAGCATCGACAACTTCTGATCAACATGGTCAGTCAATAAACTCACCATCTACAACTACGATCTCTGGTAGGCCATCTACGATAAGTACAATAACAACAACTAATTCAGCTCCAACCCCTTCTCCACCATTGGCATCAACAACTTCTGATCAACATGGACAATCAATAAATCCACCATCTACAACAATGTCCACTACTTTGTCAACTACTAATTCAGTTCCAAAACCATCTCCACCGTTAGCATCAACAACTTCTGATCAACATGGACAATCAATAAATCCACCATCTACAACAATGTCCACTACTCTGTCAACTACTAATTCAGTTCCAACACCATCTCCACCGTTGGCATCAACAACTTCTGATCAGCATGGCCAATCAATAAACCCACCATCTACAACAATGTCCACTACTTTGTCAACTACTAATTCAGTTCCAAAACCATCTCCACCGTTGGCATCAACAACTTCTGATCAGCATGGCCAATCAATAAACCCACCATCTACAATGAGTACAACAACGACCACTACTTCAGAGCCAACACCATCTCCACCATCTGCAACGAGTACAACAACCACCAATTCAGCCCCAACACCATCTCCACCATTAGCATCAACAACTTCTGATCAACATGGTCAATCAATAAATCCACCATCCACAACAACCACTCTATCAACTACCAATTCAGCTCCAACACCTTCTCCACCATCTACAACAATGTCCACCACTCTATCAACTACTAATTCAGCTCCAACACCTTCTCCACCATCTACAATGAGTACAACAACCACTAATTTAGCCCCAACACCATCTCCACCATTAGCATCAACAACTTCTGATCAACATGGTCAGTCAATAAACCCACCATCTACAATGAGTACAACAACGACCGCTACTTCAGAGCCAACACCTTCTCCACCATCTACAATGAGTACAACAACCACCAATTCAGCCCCAACACCATCTCCACCATTAGCATCAACAACTTCTGATCAACATGGTCAATCAATAAATCCACCATCCACAACAACCACTCTATCAACTACCAATTCAGCTCCGACACCTTCTCCACCATCTGCAACAATGTCCACCACTCTATCAACTACTAATTCAGAGCCAACACCCTCTCCACCATCTACAATGAGTACAACGACAACCACTAATTCAGGTCTAACACCATCTCCACCGTTAGCATCGACAATGTCTGATCAGCATGGTCAATCAATAAATCCACCTCCAACAACAACTCTATCAACTACCAATTCAGCTCCAACACCTTCTCCACCATCTACAACAACCACTAATTCAGTTTCAACACCATCTCCACCATTAGCATCAACAACTTCTGATCAACATGGAGAATCTATAAATCCACCTTCTACTAGTAGTAGAGGATCAACCCCAGATTCACAATCTGATAGTTCTGATTTTTCAATTGATTTACCTATTGATATAACATCAACCGCCTCTACAACTTCCACAATAGGATCACCAATAACTTCTTCAACCAGTATATCAATAACTTCCTCATCCTCCTCTTCAATACCAGCTACTTCTTCATCAACCACCACTTCTACAACATCTACCGGTACTATACCAGTAACATCTTCATCATCAACTATCGGTACCACAGAACCATCTACCAGTTCAATATCAACTACTTCTTTATCTACAGGTTCCATTCCAGCAATTTCATCTTCTACAGGTGGCGCACCAACCACATCTACTACAACATCAACTGGTACTATACCAGCTACATCTTCATCATCTACTATCGGTACCACAGAACCATCTACCAGCTCAATGTCAACTACTACTTCATCTACAAGCTCCATTCCAACAACTTCTTCATTAACCACAGGATCAGCACCAACTACTTCAACATCATCTTCAAGTTCAACACTAAATACTTCATCATCTACTATCGGTACCGTACCAACTACTTCTACATTAACTCCAACAAATATTGGAACTACCTCTTCAACCACCCTAGAAATTGATACTCGATCAAATATATTTTGTAGACCCCCGTGTGCTCCATCTCCATCTCTCCCGATAACACCAGATAATTGTATTTGTCCAACAAACACCGAAGGAAACCAACATCCTCCAAGGAACTCTCCACAAAACACTAATCCAACAATTGCACCCTCAACAACAACAACATCAACAATGCCAATATCCACCACATCTACCATAGAAGGACAAACGACTCCCACCCCGACTCCATCTTCAAATGGAACACAAACAAATATATATCCACGTCCAGTACCAACTAAACCACCTTATATACCACCTCATCTAGTACCAGGAACACCTCGTTCAATCTTATTCGATGGCGACGGAGATGTGACACCTGCAGGAAGAATAGAACTGATGAAACCAGATCCACAAGGTTTGCCTTCAAGTAATTCGCCATTATTGGTTGATCATGCTCAGGTGTATCAATATTTCCGTGAAACCTCAAAGGTTCATCCAATTGAAGGAGTAAAAGCTTTTCTCTTTGTTCCAATGTTTTACGATGTCAAATATGCAGCTGTATCAGATAAAAATGGAACAGTGCATTTCAAAGATTCAGATTTAAATATGAACCAAAAGATAGGAGTGGAATTCGAAATTCCAAAAGGAATGATGATCACAAGAGACCACCCACCATTCACCACAACCTTACCGTATGAAGTTCAATTTGAGAATATCAGTGCCGGTGCGAATGATAATATGTTTATTATGGGAATGGTTTGGAATGATACCTCTGGAGATGGACATTTTACTGTCGGTAGAGATCATCCTTTGAGTAATATAACAATGAGACTTTACGTTGACGACAATGCTGTAGCAGAGGCTGTAACCAAAGAAAATGGTATCTATATCTTTGATATTAGTCGACCATTTACCAATGGCTATATCGAGGTTGACCATCAATACCAAGATGTATTTACCACAGCTCCCGTCAGACATTCCATCATTGAAGATTTGCCATCATCTCAAAGCATCCTGAGAGCAAGCAAATCATTTACATATTTCTCAACTGGAGGCTTCGATGATGATTTCAAAGTCAGATCGCCAACCTTTGATGCTCCACATAATTTTTGGGGACCAAACTTTGCTCTCACCTCCAAGAGAGTACCACCAAGAGTAGTAAAAAGAAAAGATATAGCAAATATCAATAATAAAAATTAATTTATTAGTCTAAAAAAAATAAAATATTCGCGATTTAATTCATAATTCATTTATAAACCATGATAATTCCTTCTCTTCTGTCAGTACTACAATCACGATATGAATAACCATTCTCTATAATATATTGTTTGACTTTGTTGGGAAGTCTGCAATTCATATTTGAATGATGACCGGTTCCAATGATGAGATAGAGTGGATCCACTCGACCCAAGTATTGTCCAATAATATCCAATGCTTCTTGGACATGCAGACCATGTAGATCCATAATGTTCTGTGGATAATCCTTGTTTCTTTGATAGAAAATCTGTTCCTTTGCTTTTTCATGTAATTCTTTCATCTTTCTATCGTGCTCTCGACCCTAAAAAACAAATACATTAATAATTAATAACAATCAGAAAATCAAACTTTGGTTATTACATACCTCCAGCGAATATTTCTTGGCTTTTTCACCTTCTCCTTTGCCGAAATGTTTTATAGATAGGTCAAAACATCTGTTTCTCTCTCTGGCGTGGAGAATAGCTTCGTCTCTGAATTGACTGTAGAGTCCTGCAATGCTTTCACCTGTTTCACTCCATGAAATACGACGTCCATATTCGATAGCTACTGAGTCATCACGCACAATAGACTGAGATTTGCGGGACTGAGAATTGGTTTCTTGTGTTGGGAAAGAATAGGTTGTTGGAGGTGGCGCACTTCCATATCGTTTTGATCAATCTGTTCTTTTGCAACTTCAAAGGTGTGTTGTGAGCTCTCATATACCTCTAAGATTTGATCAATTGAGACGTGAGAGAACAAATGTTTCAACTGTCCTATATTGACTTGCTGGGCATCCGAAAGAGTGGAAGGAGTAGCAGTCTTCTTGGGTTTCGTACCTTTGATAGACAACGACTCTGAAAGACTTGGGAAACTGTTATTTTGTTGATTGTGATTCTGTTGTTTTGTTGAATTTGCAATTGTATTTGCTGCATTCGATTGCTCTTCTAAATTTGATTTTTGATTATTATTATTATTACTATTTGGTTGTTGTTTTTGTTGTTGTTGCTGCTGCTGATTAACATTGGCTTTAGATTTAGTAACTTTAGTTTTAATGGTGAATTGTGATGATGTAAATTCTTTGTTGTTGTTGTTGACGAGAGTGTTACTCTTGTTATTTATCTGCTTAATATTGTCATTGTTGTTGTTGCTGTTGTTTTTATTTGTAGGTTGTAGACCTGGGAAATCTTTTTCAGTGAATGATAATTGTTTTTGCTGTGGTTTTATTGATGTTGTTGTAGTTGTTTTCGGTGGTGTAATATCTGAAATATGTTCTAATGAGTGTGAATATGAACAATTGGGATTGAAACACTCGTTTTGTAGCCAAAATTTACATATAATTGTCGTGTTAGAGTGTAGAAAAGAACAATTCTTCACTAAACACTCCCCACTTAGATGATAATATTTACAAACTGTTTTAATAGGTGCTTTGCTCTGGTCATGATAGAATGCACATCTATCATTAGAGCAAGCTCCATTTAGAAAAAATTTACAATCTGGCATAGATGAATTATTATTACTATTATTGCTATTACTCTTTATATCATTATTACTATTACTATTACTATTGTTATTCATTGTTAGTAGATTACCAGTACCAGAAGGTGTGAATGATTTTGAATTTATAGATAATCTACTGTTATTATTTGTATTATTATTACTATTATTATTGTTGTTATCAACTAAATAACCAAATTGATCATCTTCATCATCACAAGACATAAAATAAAAAATAGCTTTTCTCAAGTCGTAGTGAACTTCCTCTAGATAAGAGATGATCTGATTGGGTTCTGTGTTGGGTATCAATTCAACTAAGAAATCTATTGGTGTTTTTTTTGTTTCTGTGGTAATAGACATCTTTAATATATTATATTTTGTTTGTAAAAAATAAATAAATAAATAAATAAATGAATGAATGAATGAAGTGATTATTTATCTAACAAACTAATTTTAAAAATTTTAAAAAATAAAATTGGTTGTGTGGAAGGAAGTGTTTTTCTGAATTCATTTTGAACGATTTACATTTCTCACTATTCTCTAAGAATAGTAGTATAAAGAATAGATATTGAATATCGATAATAGAAAACTGTTTTAGTTTTATTATTTAGTTTAGAAATAAAACAAATATGATTTATTCTATTCCAAAATTATTTTTCATTTGGAAACCACGATCATTCCTTCTCTTCTGTCAGTACTACAATCACGATATGAATAACCGTTATCTGTAATAAACTGTTTGACTCTTCTGGGAAGTCTGCAATGCATTGTTGAATGATGACCGGTTCCAATAATGAGATAGAGTGGATCCACTCGACCCAAGTATTTTTGTTCAATGATCTCCAATGCCTCTTTGACATGCAGACCATGTAGATCCACGATATAGTGTGGATTATTTTTGTTTCTCGCATTGAAAATCTCTTTCTTTGCTTTTTCATGTAATTCTTTCATCTTTCTATCGTGCTTTTGACCCTAAAAAACAAATACATTAATAATTAATAACAATTGGAAAATCAAACTTTGGTTATTACATACCTCCAGCGAATATTTCTTGGCTTTTTCACCTTCTCCTTTGCCGAAATGTTTTATAGATAGGTCAAAACATCTGTTTCTCTCTCTGGCGTGGAGAATAGCTTCGTCTCTGAATTGACTGTAGAGTTCTGAAACGCTTTCACCTGTTTCACTCCATGAAATACGACGTCCATATTCGATGGCAACTGAATCATCGTGCACAACTGACTGAGACTTGCAGGACTGATGATTGGTTTCTTTTGTTGTGGGAGCATTGGTGGTTGGTGGCGCACTTCCATATCGTTTTGTCAATTCCTCTTTTGCAGCTTCAAAGGTGTGTTGTGAACTCTCATATACCTTCGAGATTTGCTCAGTTGGGACATGATAGAACAAATGTTTCAATTCTCCGAAATTGGCTTGCTGGGCATACGACGGTGTAGTGGGGCTGGCTACAGTCATCTTAGGTTTCATACCCTTAATAGACAACGATTCAGAAAGACTTGGGAAACTGTTATTTTGTTGATTGTGATTCTGTTGTTTTGTTGAATTTGTAATTGTATTTGATGCATTCGATTGCTCTTCTACATTTGATTTTTGATTATTTTTTGATTGTTGTTTTTGTTGTTGTGGTTGTTGTTGTAATTGTTGAGCAATATTGGTTTTAGATATGTCAACATTATTTTTATTTGTGAATTGTGATGATGTAAATTCATTGGTATTGTTATTATTATTTTTGTTGTTTGTGTAGATGACGACAGTATTATCCTTTACTAACTGTTTATTGTTATTATTTTTATTTGATACAGGTTGTAAACCTGGGAAATCTTTTTCAGTGAATGACAATTGTTTTGGTTGTGGTTTTGATGATGATGTTGTTGTAGTAGTATCTTTAATTCGTTCTAATGAGTGTAAAAATGAACGATCTGGAATGAACCATTCGTTAGATGAATTAGAATTACTATTTTTATTATTACTATTATTACTCATTGCAATGTTACACAAAGGTGTGAATGTTTGAATATTATTATAGCTAATTTATTTTTATTATTATTGTTGGTATTTATTGTTGTTGTTGATATCAACAACATAATAACTAGATTGATTAACTTCATCACTACAAAACATAAAATTAAATTTTTAATTTAAGAAAATAGTGTTTGTGAACTTCCACTAAATATGAGATGACGTGATTGGGTTCCAAATTAGATATGAAAAAACTTAAGTTTTTTTTTTTTTTTTGTCTTTGAAACATATCATATATATTAATATTGGTACCATCAATCTTTTTTTTTTGTAAAATCATTTTGCGAAAGATTTGTGTGGTAAAATTTTGCAAAAAAATCATGTCTTTTTTTATTTTCTATTTTTAAAAAAAGGGTTGCACTGCCAATTTAACATCTTCATCATCTTACGATTGTAATTTACTGTTGGCATGTGCCGGATATATGAATATTAATGAACACTGAACAGTTGATAATATTGAAGCCAATATATTTGGTAAATAGATGTATACGTCGTTGAGTAGAATTCCCAATGTTGACCAAGAAAGTGAGCATGCCAATGAAATCAATGCAATTTCAACAACCATACCTTCACTATTTCTTTTAGCAATGACTTGTTTCTACAGTTTATTATTAATATTGTTAATATAAATACTATATATCAATCAGGTGGTGATTAATTTATTTTATATACTTACCAATTTCTCTAATGGTGATGCATAATTTAGTACTGTGATAGTACTTGCTATTAAACCTAGTCTGTCTCTACGATCCTGTGGAGTTGGTGCAGTGAATGTGAAGAGTATAGTTGCACCAAATATCAGAGTTGCAATTGATAGTTTGTTTTGAAAGTCTTTGGCAGCGGAGCCTGGAGATACATATCGCCAGTAATTAAATACATAGAAGGCTGCTGACAATGCACCCAATCCATTGACAAAGAGAATAGAACCATTTCCTAGAAGTAGCGAGTAGAGAACCCAATTACAACAATTCAGCAACGATGAGATAAATTGCATTCCTGCCAAATTTCCAACCGATTTCTTTTCTATAACTATTTTGATTGCTTTACTATAAAATGTAGATACATATAATTCTTCTGTTAGTAATAGAATCGCTAGCGAACTTTCTCTATATCTTTTTTTCTTACTTACTATGGTACAACAAATAATATTAAAGTAATAACTATACATGCAGATGATATAACTTGTAAAAACAAAGAATCTTTTGTAGCTACATCATCTTGTTTTACCTCATGAACAACATTATTATCCATCTTTTTACTTTTAAAAGAAATATTTAGATATATATATATATTTATACTTAATTTTAAATTAAGAGAATATGTTTAAAATAAAACACTTGATTTTAAATCAACATGATCAATCAACAACAAAAATGGTGGCTATGAAAAAAAAAAAAATTTAACAAATTAAAAATTTAAGGTTTGGAAATTTAATTTGCTTTGCCCACAAGTTCATTCAAACTTAAAACTGTAGGAATGAACCTGTGGTATTTGGTTTTAAAATGATAGTTATTATTATTCTATTCAATTTGGATAAGATTGTTATTGTTGTTGTTGTTGTTGTTATTAATTATTTGCTAGATATATCTAATTTGTTTTCATATTTGAGAAGTTGATCTTTGAATCCAATGTTTGGCATGATCTGAGGTCTCTTTGACTGTGTGAAATTGAATGCATTTCGGTATGTTAGTTTCTGGTATTTCATGAGGTATGCAATGATGAGCGTTGAACTTCTAGAGATACCGGCACGGCAATGTACCAGGACACCGCCTACCTTGCGTCCCTGCTCGATGAACGATGTAGTCTGATCAAAGTGCACAGAGAGATCGTAGTTGGGAGTGTCACGCGCATCGTCAATCGTATAGTATTTGAACTGACGCGGGAAATAGGGTGCGAGATCACCGATTGCCAATACGATATGTGTGATTCCCAGAGACTGGAGGATCGATGCATTGTTGGCACTGTCGAGACCACCGAGGAAAAGGTTCGGAATGATCTCGGTTGGCAGACTGGTGTACATGGTGAGAACCGACTCCACTGCACGGTATTCGAGTGGAACCGAGAGGACATCACGATTGTCACGTATGTTCACTTCCTTCAGGCAACCAAGTCCGCCACCTTCAATGAGAGCCTCCTCAATATCCTGAGATTGACGGCCAGTAGCTATACCACCAACTCTCGATCTCACAGCTTTCGGAGCCAAATATGCAAAATCTTTGGAGATTGATTGCAGTCGATTCGATGAGAGATCGACCATTGTCAAATTGACCATACTTATCATCGATGGTAAATGTTGAATATAATTACAGGATAACCAAATTGATCTAGATAACAATAATAATAATAATAATATAATAATAGAGATTGTTAGCCAAAACATGCTTTTAATAATTATTATTAAGCACACATACTTTAAGTTGGTTAATTTTCCAAAATCATTCGGTAAGGAACGTATTTTGTTATGTGTAAAATCAATGGATTTTAACTTTGTAAGATTACAAAATGATGCTGGTAATGAATCCACAGTATTGTGTTTCATTGATATATATTGTAGATTTTTACATTTATCTATGTCATCTGGAAGTGATGAAATACTGTTTTTTTTTAATAAATGATGGTGCCAGTTAATAAAAAAGTTAATATCAAAAATGTCAATCTTATAAGAAAAAAAAACATACCTATTCTTATCAAGTGTAATATGTGATAGATTTGGTAGATGTGAAAATACTTCGATTGGGAATCTATTCAGTTTGTTACGACTGAAGTTGAGCGATGTCAGTGTCTTGATGAGCTCAAGATAGGGTGGCACCATTGAGAAGAAATTGGTTGAGAATGTAATTTCCTCAACCTTCATTTCGGCGAGGACCTCGAAAATTTCGGCTTGAACAAACTCTAATCGATTCAAACTGAGGTCGATCGTGTGAATGACAATGTTTTTACCATTAAGAATTAATGGTGGTGGTGGTACTGCTTTAACTATATTGGTTGACTGTGATGATTGTTGTGATGAAGAGGTTGATCTCTTTGATGATGATGATGATGATTTCGATTTGGAAGATGATGATTTTGATGAAGATTTACTGCTGCTACCGCTACTATTGTTAGTGGTAGTATTGGCAATATTTAAATTGATACTTGGTTTGGTTCCACTTGATGTTGTTGTTGTAGTGGTAGTTGAAGTCGATGAACTGTCAGTGTTACTCTTGTTACTCTCAGGAATATGTTCTGATGATACTGAAACGGTTTTAGTTGAATCTTCTTGTTGTTGCTGTTCTTGTTGCTGTTGTTCTTTGGCGATGATCTCACCTAGTGTTTCGATTTCCAAGTGTGGATTCAGCTGTTGGTGTAGCCTGTATTTCTTGGATGGTGAGCTGCTTGGTGATGGAACTGGCGACGATGACATGAATGTGTGGTTGACTATCGCTGGGTCTTCGGTCGATGACTTTCTCGTATCATAGATCAATGATGACTGAGGTGTCGAATTGGAAGGTGATCCATGCAACCAAGATGACGACTTTGACTTTGAAATAGTGGTTGAGCCACTAGATTCGTCGCCAGTCGCACTGACAACAACAAATGGTTGTTGCTGTCCCGATACACTTGGTGATGGTGAGGTCGATGTAGTGTGTGAAGTCGATGCTAGCTGCTGTTGTTGTTGTTGTTGCTTTGGAATCAAAACATAATCGTTGGTGTTTCTACACTTTAGATAATCAGAGTTGTTAAGTGAATCAGGTCGTACTATTTCCACAGTGTCGAGCAAACTGCTAAAGATCTTTACTTTCAGTTTCTTCAAGTTTCTGTTTTTAAAGTCGACGTGTAGTCTTCCATCCAAATCTATGACTTGCACCTTGTATTTGTTGCCTCTGAGTGATGATCCGCCACCTCCACCACCACCACCGCTTCCACCTCCACCAGAAGTTTCTACACCATCTTCGTCTACCTCACCATTGTTGGCAAGTGTGCTATTAGAATTTCCCATCGGTCCAATAACAGTTTTCCAAAGTGAAAAAAAAAAAAAACCTTTTCGTTTGCTGGAGAAAAAAATAACTAATATGATTTACTTTTTTGCTATGCTTAACTACTACTAGGTTTGACTACTTCAATTCAATATTTTTCTTTTCACGCAAATCCAATGATAATTATGATATCAAACAAAACAAGTATGAATAGAATAGATAAATTTTTTTTAAAATATTAATATAACTAGTTGCAGTATTACAGGTATTTTATAAATTTATTCAATATTGGTGGGTGTCGCTATTAATAATAAAGTATTTGGCTATAGTAAATTTATTGGAGTTATTTTTAGTTGGTGTTAATGTGTGTGTGTGTGTGTGTGTGTGTGTGTGTGTGTGTGTGTGTGTGAGAATGTGAGTGGTTTAAGATTAGTGTAGAATATGTCTGTTTGCTGTTTGTGGGGATAATAACAATAACAATTTAATTTACACTAACTAAGTGACTGTGTATGTTGGCTTTTGGTGGTTGTGCTTGCTGTGTGTATGTCTCTTTTTATCTGTATAGATCGGTTAGTGATACAAAGATGAAATGTGAAAGTTTATAGTTGCAATAACAGTGAGTAAATAAACTTAACAAAAAAAAAACAAAAAGGAGAAAAAAATAAAAAAGGGAAATGGTGTTTAATAATTATAAATTGAATTGCACAATAGGATTATTCAATTTGATTGTTGTAGAGTTGGTGGTGATGGTGTTGTGTTGTTGTTGTTGTGTGTGGCTATATGTGATTTTGAGGAAAGGATGTTGGTTGTGACTGTTTTTGTTTGTTTGATTGTTGGCCGAGAGTGAACAATTTAATCTAACTGTGATTTGAGATGATTTGATATGATTTGAGTTGAATTGAATGAGAATTTATGGATTGAATTGTATTTATTTCTTTTTATAGTTTAAAACTAAAAAAAAACTTTGTTTTATTTTTTCTTTGCAAAGGTAGTGTGATCAAAAAAAAAAACAAAACTCGTGACCGTTTTGCCCATCAAAACAACAATTCTATTTAAAAAAATCAAAAATATATCTAGAAATATGAGATTTTTAATTTTTTTTATTTATTTTTGGAAAAAAAAAACAACACAAAAATAGTGATCTAAAAAATTATTGTGTTGTTTTTCAATTTTTTTTTTTTGGTTTGAACATTTTAATACAATAGAATAAGAGATATAAAAAATGTTATTTAAATTTGTAAAGATATAATTTTGAGAGAATTAAACAAATTACATTTGGTATCATTTGTTTAATGTTTTTATTATAAATGAATTATCCATTTATCGACAAATTTTTTGACTTCTGTTTATTTAACAAACAACAACAGGTTCTTCAAATAGATAAATAGATAAAAACATGTTATTTATTTATTTGCACTTGTATTTGTTTGTTCAAATATAACATTTATTTTAGTTTTGTTTTTAACTAACAAAAATAATTTACGAACCAATACAACTCTTTTTTTTAGAATTCATATTTATTATAAGTTTTAGTTTATTTATTTCTTTATAAACAAAAATCTTGTTTTTATATTTTATTTAAAATCTCAAAAAAAAAAAAAACAATAGTTATATTTTAATTCAGAATTTAAAAGAGAATAAACGATATATAACAATAAGATTTCATAAGGTTACAGATATTATAATATTTTTAGGTAGTTAAGAATTCTCATAACTATTAGTTTGCTTTTTTTTGTGTCTTTTCAGACTTTTGCTTGTTGATCAATATATAAATCAAAAAAAAAAAAAAAAAAAAAACAAACCATCAATAAAAAAAAATCTCAAAAATAATTTTGAACAATGAAAATAAAAAATTTTGGGTTGAGTCTTTTCTCAAATCAGCACAGCAGTAACAATAATAATCACAGTGACACACAAATTGTAGAGTCTCCGCCACCAACAAGTTCCACCAGTACTACTACAAATAGTCCACTTTTATCAACAAATACAACTACTACAACTACTACAACAACACCAGGTAGCAGCGGTCAATTATCTCCAGCCATCAATAAATCACCAAATTTCAGTAGATCTCCAAAATTTTACTCTAAAAGATACAGTAGTCTAGAAATGTCAATCGATCCAATCGTCGGTATATTACAAGTCAATGGTATGTTTGTTTGATTAAAGTATTAAAAGTTGGGTCAACTAAACATTAAACAATTCTATTTTTTTTTTTTTTCTAGTGATTGAGGCTAAAGGTCTCCCAGCTATGGATCACAATGGAAAGAGTGATCCATACTTTGAAATCATGTTTTCTGGTGTCAAGGTATATAAGAGTAACATCATCAAGAAGACTTTGAGTCCTATTTGGAATGAGTCATACAATATTATCGTTAGACAATCACAAGTCAATTACTCCATCAAATTCAATGTCTGGGATTGGGATAAAATCACTGCTAATGGTAGATATTAGTTTATATAGATAAATTATTTATTCATGAATTAATCAAATTTGTTTTTTTTTTAACAGATTACATCGGAGATGTTGAGGTTGATATTCAACATCTCAAAAATAAAGATGACTGGTACACTCTGACCAAAAAAGAAAAAACAAACAGAGGTCAAATACATATTGCATGCAGAATGATTGAAAAGAAAGAAGTAAATTCTGCATTTTGGACCAGTATTTGTAGACATTTTTCAAATATAGACGATGATAATTTATCATTTGTAGAGTACACCGCATTGATTTCAACTGTAAACCCAGAGTTCCCAGAGTCAGATATTCATCTATTGGTAAATATTCTATCAAACTTTCAACTATTCAATATTCTAATATTTCTATTTTATCTAGTTTGAAAAGGCAGATCTTAATAACGATGGATCAATTTCTGTTTCAGAATTGGAACATTTCTTTAATTTTACCGAGGCTGGTGAGCATTTGTGTGATCAATTGTTATCTGGAAATCCAGATTTAATTTGGTAAGTCTTGATATTTAAAATGCAAAATCCTTATTATGATAGAAATTTAACCAAGATTAATCTTTTGTTAATATATAGGGAGGCATATGCAGTTTCTGATTCATACTCTACTATTGCTGACAATGTATTCAATAAGAATTTGACATCATTAAAGGGTGAAGGAACTGGAAAGATCAAGGTTATCTATGTTCATAACCGTGAGACCGGTAAGCTCGAGGAAGAAAAGATTCCACATTACATTGAGGTATCACTCAGAATCATGTATTCCACTTCATCAGGTAGACATGCCTGCAACAACAATCAAGTAAAGAGACTGTTAAAATACTTGACCACAAAGACAGGAAAGAAGTATTCATCACAGGAGAGTGTCAAAGAAATCAAACCATTCATTCAATTCCATAATCTAAATACCGATGAAATCTTGGATCCATTACCAACCTTTAAGAATTTCAATGAATTCTTTTATAGAAAATTGAAACCAAGTGCAAGACCAATATTCGAACTTAATAATGCTGTAAGTAACAAAGTGTTATTGACTTGGACCAAGTCCAATTGGTCCACATATTAATAGGCAAAATTCATTTTCAAATGGTTTTATTTAGAAATCAGCTGTATCACCTGCAGATTGTCGTTTACATGTATTCCCAACCATCGATAGAGCAAAGGAGTTGTGGATCAAAGGAAAGAATTTCAATTTGAGTAGTTTGTTGCAGGATGATGTGTTGGCAAGTCAATTCGAGGGTGGATCACTTGTCATTGCTAGATTGGCTCCACAAGACTATCACAGATTCCATATTCCAGTGGATGGTATAATTGGACCAACCAAGCCAATCGATGGAGACTACTACACTGTCAATCCAATCGCCATTAAAGAGAACATCGATGTCTACACTGAGAACAAACGTGCCGTCACCATTATTCAATCTCAATGCTTTGACACCGTTCTGTTTGTCAGTGTTGGTGCTACCATGGTTGGTTCCATTAACTTAACCACTCACGAAGGTCAAACAGTTAAAAAGTATGTTTTATTGTATTGATAACTTTACCTAATCTATCGATTCTAATTTGTTTATTATTATTAATTAATAGGGGTGATGAACAAGGATATTTCGCATTTGGTGGATCAACCATTTTATTGTTATTCAAGAAGAATACCATTGAATTCGATCAAGATATTTTGGTCAATAGTTTGAAACCAATTGAAACTTTGGTTAAAGTTGGAACATCCATTGGTCGTAGTTTATTGTAATGTTTGGATTGAGTTGATTGGATTAACAATCTAATAAAAAAAGCACTAATAATTATTATAGTAAAAACAAAATGATACATTCTTATTGTAGTTCTACATATATTTATTAAGTACAGTATTTAGACTTTGAATGTGTTGTTGTAGTGCTAATGATCTATTGGTGGCGATCGGTGATAATGTTACCGACGCTGTTTTACTAGCTGATGTTCTCTTTTCTGGTTGCGGGGTTGCAGGTTGTACTTGTTTTTCTGTGAGTGATTTCACTTGGTCGAATATCGCCTTTGCTTTTTGTGATGCTTGTACTTTGCCAGGCAATGGAATCGATGGATCTGGTTGTTGAAGCATCGAGACAAACGAATTGTCAAGCTCTTCGATAAACACTGGAATCGAAGTGCTCAGAGTCTCGTAGTAGTCATTGGGGATAATGCTTTGTTGAACATTGAAAAGAATGGAAATTGAGGTGAGCAAAGGTGTCGAAAATCTCTCAGAGTCCCACAGCTTTGTTTTGTCTCTCTGTTGACTGTTCTTAATGAACGACAGAAACTCTGGTGTAAAAGCATCATATAAATCTTTTAATGGTCCATTGAATTCCAATCCTTCAGTAGTCTATTATTTTAAAATTTATTAATTAATAAGAATTCTCGAACTGTTGCTCTAAACTTACACTTAAGAGATTCAATAATACAATATAAAATTGATCGTAAATAAATGATTCCGCTAGAATTGAAAGATAAATTCTGTTGATCGAGGTAGAAAGTATAATGGTTGGTCTATTCTTTGACGAGTAATCAATGATATCTTCAAAATCTGGATTTGAACCATCACTGACCGGTGTTGGTGAAGATAAGATCTTGGTAAAACCTCTGTAATTATTGTTTGTTAGTTTGAAATGATATCATGAATATTAAAAATATGTGACGTTACCTCATAAAAGAGAGTTGTTTAATGTACGCATCTGGAGAATTTAGTATCTCTAGTATTTTACTCTCTTCTGGATCCAACACCTCTTTTGGAATGGAAGTAGATAGACGATTGAGTTTTGGTGTGGAGGGTGTCGATGATGTACCATGTGGAACTTTAGGTGATGCGGGTGGAATCTGTTGTTGTTGTTGTTGTTGTTGTTGTTTTCCTGTAGTGGATGTTGTTGCTGTTGTTGTGGTTGCTGGTTGTAATATATTGGTAGAGGAAGAGAGTGGTGTGGAGCTGTTAGAGTCGGAAGGAGTTGCTGTTGTACCATCATTGGATGTTGTTGGTTCATGAAGTGGATTCTTCTCATAGATCGATGGATATACCAACATTCTCATGATAGGAAGTAGCAATCCTAGTTTGTTCTTAAATATCTCAACCAATTGGATAACGAAATTGTAGCATTTAGGAGCATCAAAGTTCAAAATGACACTGACCAACTCTGCAATAGTTTCCATTCTGATACTAAGATGATCTTCTTTCAATGTAAATAGAATTTCATGTTCAATCTCTACAAGTTCACTACTGCTATTCTTTATATGTCTTTGAATATCAAGATTGATCTTTAGCTCCTTAATCTTTGTCATAAGATTTGATGATAGCTGGATAATGATAATAAAAATAATAATAGTTGTGAATATTATGAATATTAGTTAAACACACATACACACTCTATATATAGTTGTGAATTGATATTATTTACCTGTGTACCGAATTTCTCATAGTAAGAGGGTGGAGTGAAATAAGAGTATGTTTCCATATCTTTCTTAAATATGGCAGTCATATCAGTCTTTGGTTTCGATGATTTGATTACGTCTGACAAACTATCCTCTATACTCTGTTGGAAACAAAGCATCAATAGAGTATGTGCCTTCTCCACACTGTCTTGTCGTGAGTGTTTATTCGCCAAAACAATAGCTTTTTCCAAACCAGCTGAGAAATCTCTATTATAAATCAATCTTTCAACTCTCTTTTCTCTAATTTCATCATCATCAAACCTATTACACAATAGATAGTATAGCAATTGTTAGTATGATATTATTAACATAAACTATGTAATGAAATAATTACTTTGTATGTATCATTGGATTCATAAATTTGGGAGAGATGTTCGAGTAGATGACTTGACCGTTTTGTGTACATGCATAGTTGTTATATCCATCGTTTGAAAAGAATCCAGCGTGAACAAACGGTGCATCTTGATGCTTCTCAAAGAGATTGTAGTGTGGCTCCATTGCCATGTTCCACATCTTGAAGGTGTGGTCATAGCCTGCACTCACCAACAGCTCACTGTGAGTAGGACACCACTGCAGCTGTGAGAGCGCACCGTAGTGTGCAAATACAGAAACAACCGGTTTGTTTATAGATCTCAAATCCCAGAGATCGATAACACCATTGTCGTTTCCGGTTGCAAGCCAATATGGAACGAAAGGATGCCATGCAATCGCTTGACACGTTCCTTGTTTCGTTGTTGAGCTGTTGTTGATTTCCGAACTCCAAACGATTGGATTACGTTTAGCTCTAAAAGTAGACATCAATCGCTGATCCAGTAGCATCACTGTGTTGAAGGGTGGCGCACCGCCAACCGCAGCGTAGTGACGCGAATGCGGCGACCAAGACAAAACGTTGAGCGGCATCTCCGATGCACGGAATGAAACGACAGGTTGCACTGGATTGGAAAACTCCCATATGTGGAATGCATTGTTCTCGAGACATGCAAATTGTTTCGATTGCAGCGAGTTGATCTCCACCGCCTTGATGGCGGAGTCGACACCCATTGCACCGACAGGATAAACCATGTTCTTTACACCCTTCAAACGTGTGATTGTATAGGTTTCAGCAAGTGTTGGTTCCTCTCTGAAAGTACCAGAGTCATCCTTGCAGTTATAGAGGAATATCTGACCGTCGTTGGCACCACCCATCAACAGTGAATTGTCATTCCAACACAGAGAGCTAATCGGTGATTCCTGTAGGAACTCTGTTGTAATATCAATCGATACTTTATCGAATGCATCTTTAACACCACTACTACTCTTTTGTTGTTGTTGTTTCTTTATCTTTAGAATTCTTGCAACATCTCTCTTTCCTGATGTATCTGTAATAACAATATGATTTGTAGACTTTATTATTATTTAAAGTAAATGTTGTTATTATTATATTAAGTGTAGTCAAATCATTGATTTATTGATATATATATATATTTAATGATAAAAATACATACATTATGTTGAGTAGCTTTTGAAATATGATCAATAGAACGATCGTTTAATTCCTCAAAATTTATATGTTTAGATTGGAATCTACGACCGGTGTTGAGTGCATGCTTTCTCCAGAGTGAAGATGCAGGTTGAACATCCTCTTGTTGTTGTAATAATGATTGATTAAGCATTATAATCGAACCAATATTACTATTAGTATAAACTTAATTATAATAGATTAAATATATATATATATATTAGATATTTAATTTTAAAAAAAAGGTGAATGTGAGATGATATTGATTGTTTAAAAATCATCAATAAATTAGTCATGACTGAAAAGATAAATAAAAAATTCTAAAAAAAATATCATTTAAAAGATAAACTATCATTAGTTTTTAGAATATCTGATAAATAATATATATACAAGATGAATACAGATACACATCAACAACAATTATTACAAGAATTACAAAATACAGATGAAGAAAGAGAATTATATAGATTGGCAAATGTTACTTTGATAAGAGGTACTTCTGATCAAGGTCAAGGTGAATTAGTTTTAACCAGCAAGTATGTATCAATCAATCAATGATACTATCTTTTAAAAAGGAAACTAACTAACTAATTATGTTCTTTTTAAATATTATAATAGGAATGTTAGATGGACAGGTGAATCATATCAATTATGTATAAGTTTTTTAAAGGTGGGATTGTCAGCGATCATGAGAAATACAGAGCAACCATGTTTGTATTGTCAGGTTGATAAGTTACCAGAGGATGTCAGCTCTACTTCAAATGGAAATGGAAATAATAACTCTGAAAATGGTGGTGGTGATGAAGATGAAGAAGATGAAAATGAACATCACGTATTCGAAGACGATTCTTTTACTGAACTTAAATTTATACCAACAAATAATTCAAATCGTAAGTACTTAATTAATCAATAGAGTACTGAATATTATTATAATAGTAATACTTATCAATATGTTGTTTTTATTATTTTAGTTACCGAAATATATGATAATTTCTGTTTAGGTGCTTTGTTAAATCCTGAACCAGAGACAAGTGATGGTGAAGGTGAATTGTATTATGGTGGAAACAATCAAATGGAACAAGATGACGATGAAGATTACGAAGAGTTTCAAGATGGTGATGATCAAGACGACGACGACCAAGACATCGATATGTTAAAACCAGACCAAGTTGATGATCTGGTAAGATACCAAAACCCAGATGAAGAATAAAACAAATCTTCAAAAAAACAATAATCATTTAATATGTAGTATTATATTATTATAAGTTTACAATTTATTTTATTAATGAATGGAATGATTGATGAAGGTAAGGTGATAAAAAAGAAGAGGTGTAATATGACAATATTTATATATAGTAGTAGATATAAATAACTTAACTTATGTTGGGTTGAAAAGTTTAAATCTAATCAAGAATGAATGGATGTGAAAAGTCTTTAAAGTGTTGTGCATTCTTACGATAACAGCCTGCGCCGTACTTGCAAGGCGGCTTGCTTGGTGTAGCGTCGAGGGTGGCACCACTCGAAGCGATAGTGCTGCTACCATCGTCCAAAAGTGGAACTGCTTTGATTTCTTGTTTGGTCGTTTGTTTCATTGCGAATGAATAGTCATTGAGATCTTTCAGTCCGTGCAAAATCGATTGGTACAACCACTTCTCAGAGACCACCGGGATGTTACTTCCTTCAGCGGCTGAAACCTTACCGCTCTTTGTTGTGAAGTCGGCTTTAGTTGAAATCACATGAGTCACACCGTACACAACCGAAGAGGAATAGGTTCCACCGTGTTTCGTCACTAGATTGTGAAGGCTGATATGAGTCGCTGCCAATGTTCCTGATAAACATACTTTAACTCCACTTAGATCTATAATTGTAATGCAATTAATTGGTATCAGGTTAGTTTAATTTAACATTGACAACTCTATCTATGTTCAAACTTACTTGAAGTAGGTTTGTGAGATTCAGCACTCCAATAGTCAGTTGTGCTATTCTTATAAGAATTATCTTCATCATCTGCATAATGTACAATGTAACATGGTAGAATTTGATCTGGTGAAAAGATAACCAATTCTTTCTCATCAGGTGAAAGCTAATAATAATAATAATAATAATATTTGTTAGTTATCGTTTTTGATTTGATTTGATTTGATGCTACATACATGTGATGTATAACCAGTTTTACATGGTTGACCAGTGATTAATCCAGAACATTTGTAAGATTTACCGAGGAGTACTTTGCAAAGCAAAAGTTTGGAACAATCTGAAATATAACCAATACTATACTCTGGATACTCTGAGAAATAGATACCCTTTCCATACCATCCACTATCGGTTGCATGGTCAACACCGTTGGTTCCTGGAACTGAAAAGTTGTTTGCGCAAATAGGGATGATATTCTTGGCGCTGGTTCCGTGGAATCCAAAAACAGGAGAGCACTCAGTGTATCCTAATTTTAGAAATTCTTGTTTCTTATTTTCAAACCTTTTTGGTGGTTGGTTGTAAATAATAATACAAAAAGGTAAGTAAGTAATCTATTTTTTGGAGTCCAAGCTTTGACACAATTTCATTTCTTACTTTTTGATAAGCTTTGGATTTACAATATATTCAACTTTCGATACTTTATAAGAGGTGGCCGATGACTCTAACAAACGATAGAATTGTGATTCTGCAGTTCTGAAATGTAGATCGGCGATAGAGTTGTCAAAGTGTCTAACTGGTTTCAAAACATATTTCATTGATTTGTCACCGGCAATGATATCCTCTTCACCCGGCAAAAAGAGTGCGTTGCTACTTGATTTCGCTTTGGTTGGAGTTGGTGTTGCTGCTGCTGTGAGTGATTTATCACCTGCCAACAACGATGAAATCAATAGCTTCTTCTCTTCTTCTGAGAGCTGTGAGTACGACTTTTTCAGTGCAGCTGCGGGACCATTGTCACGCTTCACCTTTACAAACACCGCATTACTTCCAGCACCGCTTCCCGCTTTCTCCTTTGTCATTTTCGTAAACAAAATCTTATCGCCATCTGCCGTTGTAACTGTTGTACTCTTTCCATTCTTTAAATAATATTGATACTCTAAATTGAATATTTTAAAACGTTTTCGTTAGTTAATTGTTAACGATATTATTTTTGTTGTTGTTGTTTTTCATACTTTTTTCAATTTCTGAACTGTCTGATAACATTACCCATGTATCATTATCAGCTTGATACCAAGTTGGTGATAAAAGAGTTGTTATTTCATTGAAAGATCTTGCAACTCTTCTGGTTTTTGACTCATCGTCGAATCTCACCTGTTCGAATGTCGATAGATTGATGAAACGCTCGGTGTCAATGGATACCTTTGATTGTCCTTTCTTGTGTGCAGCATCGATCTTCTTTGATGTCTCACTGTCAAAAGCATAGAATTCACCTCTTGCCTTCTCCCACGACCAAACGGCAACTGCCTCAGCTCTACGCACAGCTGTTTGTTTATTATCACCCTTATGATATGTCAATTCTAAAAAATAAAATAAAAATGTTAACTATAATTGATTCCTATTGTTGTTGTTGTTGTTTGAACCACCACATATTTAATATTATCTGTGTGTATGTGTGTGTGCTAATGACATTTTACCTGCAAACTTTATAAATATGGAATCATTAACTTTAATTTCAACAGTTGATTTGGGATCTTTAACATAAAGACTTTCTATTGCACTGCAGTCGGCGGGAGTAAACTCATTCCAAACAGTCTCTGACTCCTTCCATGTCCATGATATATAAGTACCGTCAAGTGTCGATGTACTATTGGTAGTACTTATGTTATCGGTATTATCAGATTTATTCTTTTTGTTTGGTACATTCACTGACGACGATGATGATGATGATGTTGTTGAACTAGTTGTAGATGTAGAGGATGTAACTGCTGCTGGTTTTGTTGCTGTTGGTGTTGGTGTAGAAGCCACAGGTGTTGCAGCAGCAGCATCGTCATCCATTGTCAAAGCTTTTCTTTTGGGTGGCATTTCTTAAATAATATAATATAACTAAAAACTATAATAATATAAAATTGTTTTTTTTTAGATCAGGAGTACTTAGTAAAAAATTAATCAAACTTTTTTCATTTTCAGATTTTTTCCAAGTGGTTTGGATCAACTTTCTTCGAAAAAATCTTTTTTTTTGTTTTTTTAGAAGAAATAATTTTATATAATAATAAATAAATTAAATACAAGTTAGAATTGAGAAATATTTTTAAACTTAGAGGTGTGAGATCATTTGTCTTGGACTCCAAGAGAATAGTTGAATCAATCAGTTGTCTTCTTCACTTGTTCTACCATGTAATTTCTTTTCTGGTTGTATAAAAAAATATTAATATTAAATGATTATATTATAATGACAAGGAACAATGACCATGAAATAGTACTTTTAGAACAAAAGAGGTACAAAGTGTAGATGTTTTCAAAATGAGAGTTTATACCAAGATTCAATAGTCGCGACAAAATTAAAGATAGAGATAGATTTTTCTTACTTTGTGCAAACGGAAAGGGTCAAACTACAAAGAATAGGAAAGAATGTCTAAATTCCCATATTATTGGATATCAAAAAATGTTCTTGGATATGCTCCGGACGGCTCCAACTTAAGCGTGCTGAAATCCTTCAAGATTAATTTCGAAAACATCCACACTTTTTATCTCCTTTAGTTCTAAAAATACTAACCAAAAAGTTGAAATATCTTTTTTTTTTTAAGTTCAATAGAAAAAACTGTTTCGATTTTAAAATTATCATTAAATTGTTATCATAAGTAATCTTATAATCTATCATCACCATTTTATTTTCTTATAATTAAATAAATAGAAAATGAATAAAACATGTTTCTTTTAAACTATGACACCACAACTTTTTACAAAAAAGTCTCTGTTTTAATTGAAATTTTAAGTTTGAAATTTATACAACTTAAATTTTTAGTGCATTGCTGTGCAATATTACAATAATATATTTAAATATGTATTTTTATGGATAAACAGGTAAATTAAATTGTACAATTTATAGTTTAGCTGTGTTTGGATCTACTGTAACATCAACATAATGCCAACTGTTATTCATTACACCTCTCAAATTCCATATATCTTTAACTTCCTTTGGTTGTGTATTACTTGCAGAATCCCCTATTATTAAAAACAAAAACCAACAACAACAATAATTATTATTAGATTTTGCGACTATAGTTGAAACAATTAATCTATATGATATCAATACATACATGCTCTACACATTAATCTAATGTTAGTTGCTTTGTCTGCCTTTATCGATTTGATTGTATATTTAAATAGTGTCCAAGCCCAATACTTATTTACTGGACCTTTATCCTCACCCATCAGCTCTGCGTAGTCCCACGACTCACCGCCATCCAGCGAGATGTCGACTCTCTCGATCTTTCTACCACCTCCAGAGGTGGCATACCCAAAGATGGTGAACGGCAGGTAGAGTCTGGAGTTTGGTGCTGGCACACATATCGCCGATTGAATGGAAAGCTCCTGGAGCGATGGATTCTTGTCCCAGAACTTCTCAATGTTGTGCCAATCGATGCCCGAATGGAAAATCTTGTAATCTCTACGCTGGAAGAAACTGGTGGATTCTTCGTTGCTGACTGTGACCTTGTCGAGCCACTTGACTGAACGCGCACCAATGATACCGGGCGCAATGACACGCACTGGGAATCCGTGGTCTCTCGTCAGCGTCTTGCCGTTCATCTCATAGGCGAGCAAGACATCGCCGTTGATATCCATAGCCTTCTCCACCGAGATGGAGCTACCGTAAGGCAAACCATTGTCTTCGGGACATCCGAAATCCAAACCCCAGAAACAAGCATGATATGCACCGGTTTCGAATGGCAATATCTTGGCTGCCAACAAAACATCGCGTAGTCTGCAACCTGACCATGTTCCATTCGACAAACTCGCAATTCCCCAACCTACACCCTTTACTTTTTTATAGTCACTCATCATTGTTCTTCTATTTCCTGCACACTACAATATTATAGTAACAACAAGACAAAACAAAACAAAACAAAACGAAGCAACAATTAGAAACTAAAGATAATAATTGAAAAAACAATAATAGTTTTAATACATACTTGTAATTGTGCTGTAATTGTTACTTTTTCAAATTTTGTCTTTAAATCGTTTAGAGTAAGCAGTAGAGCATTCTCCACCAAACCATCGATCTTTAGTGTGTAGGTATCTGGGTCGATATCGGGAACAGGTGCGTGATTTCTCACATAGAAATGCTCTGTAGGTGTAATAAAAGATTGAATCAATCTCTCTGGTCTTGGCTCTGCATTGAAAGGATCTTTGTAATTTACAACGAATTCCTCATTCCTGTAAGGTTCATTATCGTAATTTGCTTTTACTTTTTCTTCTGACATAATTTTTCTATTTTTACTATTTATATATATTATATTAACTTTAACTAATTGAATTACCACACATTAAAAAAAAGATAAAAAAATAAAAAAAACCTATTATCTTATTTGCAGCAAATAAGATAGTCCAATTAATGAATGAAACAGTGTAGAGTAAAGAAAAATAATAAATTTAAATAAAATAATACACAAAACAATAATAATAACAGTATATATTGTAATAAAGACTGAATTTAATAGTCGTTGTTGTGCCTATTTATATTATCTGGTGTTTTAAAGTTGTGTTCTCTCGTTTTATGTTTTTAAAACAACTTGTGAACCCCACACTACCCCACATATATTTTTTTTTTAATCCCAAATTTCACACACCCAAATGTTAATTACCATTTTTTTTTTTCGTGTTTAGATATTGCGCATGAAAATGCTGAAATTCATTTTTTTGAAAGTCAATATTCGCAAACATCCTTTTTCCACAAAATTGTGATGATAATTATCCCCTTTTAACACATCATTTTAACGAAATTTACAACCATGTTGTTTGATAATGTGGGAAATTTGACTATACCAAAAAAATAGGTTGCAACTATTGAATCAATCGTACAAATCGGGATCTTGGTGATCCTCTTTTTTTTTTTTCATAGAAATAAGAATATAATATCCATGTTATAAACTTTTTTTTTCTTTTATTATTATTATTATTTTTTAATTTAAAACGTAAAGAAAAAAATAAAATTATATTTGCAATTAAAAAAATTAAAAAAAAAAAAAAAAAAAGTTTGTTGTTCTTTGGACCTAACTACTACTATGTTATGTTTGAAAACTAATCGATGGACTGAGTGATTGGTATATATCCTTGTTTGATCTTGTCGATTACAAACTCTTCGAGTGTGCTATAGTGTGTTTTTGTGGCGGGTGAAGCGGGCGATGGAGGTGCTGCAGTGGGTGACGATGACAAGAGACCGTTGGCCTCGTTGAACTGGATATCCGACTCACTTCCACTTGAATCTTGTTCTTCGCGACTCGACACTTTCTTTCGTGAGGGCAACCCCTGGACGTGATAACCGAGAGTGGAAGATTTAATCAATGAGTGGAGAATCTTTCTGGAGGGATCCGACAGGTATGAGAATACAAAGCTGCCCGGTCTACTGTTGCTGTTTCTTATGATAAACGATCCCGCTTCTTTCCCAGAGAGTAGCGCGGCGGCACCGTTCGTCTCGAGTGTTCCAAAGAACCACTTTTTCTCAAAGACACCGGCGCTTTTGAGCTTGGTTCTGGCCATCGTTTCGAGTTGGTCCGATTTCTTTGGGTTGATGGCGGCCTGACTCTTTAGCAGCTCGGCCCACTGGTACAACGCATAGTGATAGTTCTTCTTGATTTTAATTGCCATTTTGAACTTGTTGATCGCTTCCTCATAGATCTGGTAGACTTTGGTTCGAACTTGACTGGTGATTCTTCCGTTTTCCGCTGCGCAAATACTGAGACAAACCTTACCACGTAGACTCAGCAACATTCCCCAGTGCGTCAGAATTTCAAAGTCGTCGGGCTTCGATTGTATTGCCTGGGCGAATCGCTCCTCTGCCTGCTCTAGCATATTGATAATCTGCTGGCTGTTCGATGTGATATTCTGTTGCTTTTCGGCTGCACTCGTAATGCCGGCGGGATAGATCATTCCCATGGCCTGGTGGAAGAGCGCCACACCCTGCTGATAAGGAACCATGTGAAGGAATTTAACCTTTGGCTGAATCAAAACAATGTCGTCCTCTTGCATCAGCTCTGAACGCTCACTGATTCGCGCAGCCAATCCCGGTCGAAATTCGATTCCTGTCATCTGTGACAATCGGAAAATCAGTAGTTCCAGCGAGAATCCATCCAAATCGATTGCCTGTAACAATGAGATAATAAAAACACGATTCAAAAACTTGACGATTACCTCCAACTTTGGTATTCCCGACATGGTTCTTCGTTGGAGTTCTCGCAGTTGATTCTTTATCTTTCTTGCAATGATCTCTGTATTGATGATAGTGGTGAATCTTGGATCCAATCCAAACACATCGCACTTTTTCAGCTTACTAAGATATCTTGCATTAATTCCTTCTCTATGCATACTGTCTATCAATGACAACTTTCTAGATAGCTCCATTATATTATCGTATTTTTAATTTTTTAATTCTAAAAGAATAAACAAAGTTAGTAAAGTTAACTTGTAAATATGTAATAAAAAGAAATGAATGGTGCTAAACATAAACATTACATTTGATTTGTGGTCAATACGAATCCAGGTATAATCTGACATAGTAATCTCTTTTGTGCACGCTCGACATCTTCATTGTTTGTTTCTTTGTCTTGGCCTCCGAATTTGGTGAATGCATCGGAAGATAATGGCTTCTTGTTGGTTCTGACTAGTTCCGGTCGGAGTAGATAGTAGAGATGCGATCCAGTGCTATCTTTGGCAGGTTTCTCTGGTGGGAATATTCTGGCGGTGTCAATCACCACAAAGTGTCCGTCTCTAGTGATGTGACCCTCGATATCGCATGGCCCATAGAGGAACTTCTTTGCCTCGCCTTGTCCTGTGTAGTGACCCTTTAAATTCATAATCTCGGCGGCACTCTTCATCAGCCCCGAATAAACAGGAAGGTCGTCATGCACACTGACACCTTGATCGTTCGATCCATACACCAGAGTGTTGCTATCGATCGCCAGATGACTGGTAGCAATCAAACGGTAACCCATATAATCGATTAACGCCATCAATGGCAAATAGATGCCATCGACGTGACAGTTGAAATAGCCCATCAAACCCTTTAGCTCATGACCTGCTGCTTTCATAGCGAACTCATCACCCCCATAAATACCATATACATCAAACGCAAACTTGAAAAATATACCATCCTTTAAAAACTTTTGACCACCTGCAACTCCTCCAACATCTAAATGTGTTGTTTGATTAAAAAATATTAATATTTCTTTCTCTTCTTTTTTTTTTTTGATCAATATGTTTGTTTGCAAACTTACCTATTGGAGGGATCGTATGTTGAATTGCACTTCTCTCTTTTATAATTGTAATTCCATGTTTTGTTGCTACCTGTACAAACTCTTTTGCAATTCTTTGAATCTCTTCACTTCTTGTTCTAAAAGATATGAATGATTTGTTAATGAGAGATTTAAACTAATTATAAACATCATATCTAATTTATATATATCTATTTGACTAACTAACTAACTAACTCTAACTAATTAACTTACAATCTATCATTTCCACCGTTTTGTTCCATTTGTAATGCTTCCCAAAATTCAACAGACCAATTACGTACTAAATATTTAAAATAATACCAATATTAGTCAATTGATATTATTTTGATAATAGTGAGCTGTTAGTATTTACCTTTTGGTTGATCATCAGTTGATGATTGTGAAATAGATAGTTTCTCGATTGGTGGTAGTATTTCAGTTGATATAATGCCTTCGGATGAACGAGCCAGTGAAAATGAGTTTGGATTTCTTCGAACATCTTGTGACGGTGAAAGGAATGTTGGTGTTTGTTGAGTGTACTCTTGTTCTACAACGTAGTTATAGATTGGTGATGTTGTGAGTGGTGATGCATTGTTGATGTTGTGTGGTTCGAATGAACTGATACGTGCAGACGAACCCAGTAGTTGATTGGCACCGTTCACCTCGATAACATTATTGGCTATCATTGTCGTCGTAACTATTGGTATCGTCTGTGATTTATGTGGATTGATAGTTGTCGTCGTTGTTGTCGTTGTTGTTGTCGTTGTCAGAGTAGTGGTTGCTGCCGCCGTCGAGTTGGAATCGGTTGTGGTCGTCGTAGTGGTAGTTGAAATCGTCGGTAGTTGTTCAAAGTCGTCACTAAATGAGAATTGATATTCTTGTTGTTGTTGATTTAGTTGTTGTTGTTGTTGCTGCTGTGGTTGTTGCTCTTGTTGTTTAGTTGGTTTCGGTGGTGATATCGAGGAATTGTTATAATATATGCCTTGGCTGAATTTGAGTGATGGAGACAATGTTGGTTTCGGGTTGGTTGCTGCCGGCGTGCTGTTTGCTGTCGTCAGAAATGAAGTTGACGACGATAGTGACGCGGCGGCGGTCAGTGAAGAGACTGCTGGCATTCGCGTTGACGTTGGAACATGAGGATAATGGTCCGACTGTCTTACCGGATCGAATGCAGGTTGCGGTATACTCAATACCTCGTAAAAGTCGCCTTGTAAACTCGGTGACTTCTTTAACTTGTCAAGATAAACAAATATCTGGTTGATGCTATTTTGTGAGAGTGAATTGATAATTGAATCTGTTGTATTACTACTACTACTACTGTTGTTACTAGTAGTAGTAGTTGTTGTTGTTGTTGTATTAGTTGTTGTTGGTTTTGTTGCAGGTTGTATAAGTGTAGGTAACTTGTTATTATTATTGCTATTATTGCTATTATTATTGTTATTGTTATTGTTATTGTTGCTATTGTTATGTTGTTTAGAAGTTGCGGTTGAAGGTGAACTACCATTGTTAGGTGTAGTTGGTTTTACTTCGGTTGGATAGAATACACTCTTTTTCAATGAAGATAAAAGGTTTACATATTTTATAAAGTTATTCAAATCATGTGGTTCCTGCTCAAATCGATGATGACAGTCAGATAGCGTGGCCATCAATTCAATACCACGAGTACTATCTGCTTTCGCCATCACAGATATATCTTTCTTGTCTATTTACAATTAATTAATTTAAAATATATAATATAAAAAAAAAAGAGTTTTTAAAATTATTAATTAAACTTTTTAAAAAAAAAATAATAATGATAAATGAAATGAATGAAAAAAAAATGAAGAAATTCACGCTTTTCAAAAATTTTCACAATTTGTGTTTTTTTTTGAGTCAAGTAACTAGTTACGGTGAGTCATGCTCCTATGAAGACACTCTCATAAGCCCATTAATAATATTAATTGATTATTATTTTAAAAACAAAACAAACATCTAAGAAATTTAATACAATTTTCCAAAAAAAAAATAAAAATAAAAAAAATCAAATGTATTGTTTGAATATCTGATTGTTTAAATATAAATATGTTATGATATGATATCAACGAATGTTTGGTTTAGAAACTGTTGTCAATTTTATTTATTTAATTAAATTATTGCCGTTTAAATTAAAATTGTTATTCAAAAATAATAATAAATAAATTACTTTTCTTTAGACTTTAATGAAAGTTTGTAAAGTTAATTTTGGATTCAGAATCTGATGGTATTTATTTATATATTGGTCTTTTGATCTGAGAAATTAAAAATATCTTTTTTTTGTTTATATATAAGTAAAATACTAAAAGCGGATTCATAGCTTGATTGATCAATCAAATTTAATATAGTTTTTTTTATTTTTATATCTTTTATAAAGTTTATATTTTTATTTTTAGGGTTTCGAAAAGTGGTTGTTTTTTATTTTTAGGGCTTTTTCCTCCATTTTTAGATCATTGATTAAATTTGGATTTTTCACCCATTTTATGGGGGTTGCATCCCTCGAAATAGATTGGATATCAAAATTCCTATCTTTTCGATTTTTATACTGGTTATAAGGTGGCCAAATATTTAGGGCCCAACAACTAGTCACTGCCTACACCTCCCCAACTCTGATATAGATGATCAGAGGCATCACCAACCAAACCTAGCCAAAAGCATCACACACACCAACTGCAGTCAAATCAAAGGCGCAAAAACCATGGTTGTAATCACCTGATGAATAAGATAATGAACTCTATGTTCTATGGATCTATCATTCTTGTTGTTTTTGTTGTTCCTCTCAATAATTGACCAGACCAAACCCTACCACTGGCCCCTTTAATGATCTAAAAAACAAATCAAAAAAAAAAACACTTCTTGATAATATATTATTATTTTTTAAAATTAATTTAAAATCAATTTATTTTTATTGCAATAGACGACTATTTGCAATGCTTTTACTCCTTTTTCTTCTTTTAGTTTTTTTTTTATTTAGATTAAAGTAAATTCGAATTTCAAGACAAAACAAAAAAAAACAAAACAAAACAAACAAAAACAAAACATAGTACATTTCTCTTGTTTGTTTGTTTAAGATTACTTTACTTCAGAAGAAGCATTATCACAACCTTTTCAAAAAAAAAAAAAAGTAAATTATAATCAATAAATAATTAATTTGTTATAAAACACCACTTTTGCCATAGTAGTATTAGTTAGTTGGTAGTAAATCATCTATATATCTAATCTTGTATTTCAACCTCAAACACCCAATAACATCAATCCACACTACAAGATTAATTTATTTTAAGGTACACACTCAACTTATCAAAAAAATTACCTACAGAGCACATATCAAAACAAAAAAAAAAACAAAAACACTCTAAAAGTAGTAATTGTAGTTTTATCGATCACAATTCTCACACCACATTTGTGTTTTTTTTTAAAAAACAACAACCAATAACAAAGCTTTTATAAAACCCTTTTTTTGCTCAATCATAAATAGTATTTATCTTTTAAAAACTAAAACAAATAACACATAAATCTAAAAACAAAAAAAAGATCAAACAATAATAATAACTATTTATCTTTTTACTTTATTTTCAAATTATTTATTAAACTTCATACCACCACTTCACAATAACAAACTACTATTTAAATACTTGTAATAATAGTGAACATATATCAATCTTAACAGTTAGTAAGTTTCATTTAAATGTTTATCATTCAACTGGTTTTGATTGATTCAATATGTCAAAACAATCATTTCAATCAATCATCTGCACACACAAATTAATTCATTCAAACAGTCCAAAGCCAAAATAGTGCTCAGAGTAAATCAACAATATCATTTTCAAAAAAAAAAAAAAACAAAAAATAGACTTTGAATGCATTTAAATATTTAAAAACCAAAAAAAAAAAATTGTTTAATTTCGAGTTCATTCAAACAAACTCCAGATTACTGTTAAACCCATACGAGGTGGTTTCGATTGATCAGCCATTGATGTGGGTTGTTTGTTGTTATTGTCGACCTATCATAGAAATTTTATTTATAAACACACCTTTCACGCAACTTGATCCAAAAAAACCGTTTGCGTTTTTTTTTATCAACAACGAGTGTTTTTTTTTGTTTGCTTTTTTCCATTTCAAAAGGGCTGCATCTCACTAAAAAAAAACTCTTTTTTTTTTGTTTTTTTTTTTTTTACAAAACCAACTGATTTATCTATTTTGCAACACATCATTGATCACAATCCAAAAAACGATCACAGACGCACCTCGAATCACCCCATTGGAGGTCATCATATCAATCCATTACAATTTTATTGACAACAATATATATCATATAAATGCTGTTGTTATTTTTATAATTTTTTTTTTGTTTTATTTAAAACCATCAAAACTACTGTCAATAATTTTCAAAAAAAAAAATTATAAAATTAAATTAAAAAAAAAAAACCTAAATCAAAATCAATATAGGTTACCTTTATCAAAATAACCAACAACAACCAATCTAACAACAGCAATAACACTACTCACTGTTTCATCTATCTATCTATATATCTCTAGTTTTTTTTGTTTTTTATCTTTTCTTTTTGTTGTAACACACCACCGCCAGTAACAATACAAGTACTGTACTATATATTAAAAATATACAATCAAATCGTATCAATAAAGTTTCTTATTTTTATTTTTATTTTTTTTTCAAAGTTTAAAACACTTTAACTTAACTTTACACATCACAAACACATCTTGTTTGTTGCATCAACACACAGTACAATACCTTTTTCTTACCACTACAACTACTACCACCACAATCTTTCTTTCAACAAATTCACTTTTTGAAGAGTCAATCTTTTCAAATCATAGAAATCTTGGTACTAATATAATAATAATCGAACCAAACAGATCATCTTATTATCAGTTCCATCAGACACTGAAAATAAGCAATCAAATACCTTCTTAGTTCTTTCAACCATAAACAGTAAAAACAAACTCCAGTAAATATTTTGCGAGAGAGAAGCCAGCGATCCCTCCAATTTTTTGTATACAAAAAAGGTAATTACTTTATTTCAAAGCACTCAATCTGCGACGATCACTCAAGAGGTATCCAAAACTCATTTGGCACCTGATCCACGATCCCCAAAGTCTGATCATTATCACCATATTATTATTATTTTTTTTTTTATTTGCACACCTTCTTGTTTTTTTTTTTTTGTTTGGTTTTTTTTTTTTTTTTTTTCATCAGAACCAACCCAAAAACATTTCACATGTGGTGTGCTCAAGTATTATATTAGTGTAAATATAGCACAAACTTAATCTCAACAGCGAAATTAATTTGGGCATGAAATTAATTTCATCAACAACCTAAAAGATTTCTGACAACGTTTTTGATTTGACAACACTAAACAACATAAAGATTAAAAAAAAATAATAACATGCAAATCTAAAACAATCAAACCAATTACTCAACAATTACTTTCTCTATTAAAATTCTTTCTTTCTTTTGTATTATTTCATTTTATTGTAACATTACTACTAAATTAAAATTATATTCTTACCTTTATTTTATTGGTACTCAATATATAATATTATTATTTAAAATCTGATCATTAATCGATAATATACTATTTATATATTATACATATATAGTAAACTAAAATCAAATAAATCTACAGATAATCTAGAGTAGGCATAACATCAACATAATCATAATCATCATCATAATAATAATTATCATTATCATCACCGTCATCATGAACAACAAACAAATCATAAATCTGCAATATCTACAACGAAAATCAAACCTCCTTAAAAATCACTTGTTTAGAAACACATTTCTTGACCATTGTCATTACACTAAAGTATTTATATCTACACTAATAACTCAAAAAAAATCACTACAACTCATGCAATATATTATGATATAACAAATCATTTTACAACCTCTCACTCCACCGATGGTCACTTCTGTAGATCTATATACAACGAATTTAGTGATGAGAAGTGGAAAAAATAGAATCATTTTTTAATTATATACATATTTAGAATTATTTGTTTGTTTGGTTTTGAGGATAATTTTTTTATAATTAAATCATTGATTCCAATTCAATTCAACTTCAGACAATCAAATAAATCATTAACTCTTTAAAAACTCACAAATATCATCCTCTTCGCCATCAGTCAGTACGGTAATAAAAAAAAAAAACAAACTTACCTGACAACTTTTCAACCACACACTCTATTTAAAGCTTCACCTTTAATCATTTTCAAAATTTTGTTACCTTTAAATGAACAACAATCATCTCCTGTTGTTAGTGCATGTGAGAAAATAAAATAAACCAACATGACAATCATTAGATATCTCTCAAAACACCACACACAACACATTATCCAACAAAGGCAATTTTCATCCCTGCAGTCCCAATTTAGCTTTGTCATACAACTATTTATTGTTGTTGCAACAACTATTTAATTTTTGTGAGAGAAAGAAGAAATCACCACTATCATTCACACTTTCATGAAAATAGTTCCACATCATCCATCACTACACTCACAATCACAATACATATCTTTATTTATTGAATTGGTATGGTGGAGTGAGCAGACAAAATAATTTTAATATTGATCATTGCCTACTTGCATCACCACCATCACTCACTTAATAATAATGATAACCTTCTCACACAATAAAACATAAAACACAATTTCTCAAGCCACTCACACTCACAAAGCATACTTATTTTTATAATGTAATCAGAAGGGGGTTCTGTTTTTAGCACTTTCAAACACCCAATTTAAATTTCTAAAGTGATTCACCCCTTTTTTTTGATTATTTTTAATTGTTTTGTGTGTGAGTGATTGTGTGATTCTGTAAATTTAAATATATTCAAGTCTTCCTGTGTATTTTTATCACATATCATACATCATAATCATAATTATAATAATAATTATTAGTATTTATTTTCATTTGTTGTTTGATTATCAAATATCCAAAAGGGTGTAGTTTTAAATCAATCAGTCAGTTGTTAGTTGTTAGTAGTGAGTGGGTAACCATACCAGTTCGTTAATAATAATAATATTGTTTTATTATATTGCAAGTATGTGTATTTTTGTTTTGTTTTTTTTTGGTATTGTTTTTGTTGTTTGTTGTGAAATAATAATAAAAAAATAAAAAATCTTCTACTTTAGTTATTGATCAATCAATCAACAATTAATTAATAATCAAATCAACATCAAAAATAAAAACAACAACAAACACAACTCTGAAAAAATAACTATTGTTTATTTGTCTCTTTATTATTAATTGTATGTCAAATAGTCAAATTTTATTTTTCATTGTCTCCTATTTCCAAACATCCAATTTTCATCCACCCAAAAAAAAAAACACCTCTTTATTTTTAATTGTTCATAACATAATAATTCCACTTTCACAAAGAATTTCCAATTTGTTAATTATTATTAATTTAATCTCTAACAATAATATATCTGTATTTCTTACTAACTTTCTTTTCTTACTACAGTAGACTCGTCCAACAAAAAGACAATCAACAACAAGACAGTCCAATCCATATATTTCCAATTTTATTACAAAATAATTATTTATTTATAGATCATATTATTATTTTAAACTTATCACCATCCACTTCCACCTCAACAACCACCAACAACAACAACACTTACCACAAATAATTAAAATTTAATATTATCAATCAACTATTAGATATTAGACCCAACCGAGCACCTCCATCACCAACTACCACTTCCATCTTCCACAACCCTACTATATACTTAATAACCACTTATATAAGTAGTAGCCAACCAACAACAAATCATTATAATTATTATAGCAAAATCAAAAACAGTACTTTAATATTTTAATCAATCAAAAATATTAAATCACAATTTTCAAATCAATCAATCAATCAATCAGTAACACACAAACAAACAAACACACTCACCAACATCATCAACTATTTGTATTTTTTAGTAATATTACTTTTATAATTAATACCTTTTTTGTTAACATTACAATCAAAATCAGCATCATCATTATAATTATTGTTCTTCTTTCTAATTAGCAATTTAGTATTTTCCAACATTCATCATTATAATTATAATTATTTTTATTATTATTATTCTTCACAACTAGTAAACTATCTATTAGTACTAAAGTAACCAATCATAAATACATAAGAAAAAAAAAAAGAATAACAACAAAACAAATCGAATCATAAAAAGAAAAAAAGAAAAAAAAAGAAAAATGATCTATCCAAATGATGTGATGAATGAAGTCCTACGAGACGAAAATGGATGTAATTTATTTAAAAACTATTTAAAGACTATATATTGTTCAGAGACATTGCAATTCTGGCTAGAGATTGAAATGTTCAAAACAAATGCACCACCAGCCGCCAACCAGAGTCAAGGCGGGCCACTCTTGGCATTCTCCTCTATAGATCCATCACAGTTACAATCATCGTCGTCGAGCAGCAACAACACACCACCAGCTTCACCACCAACCAACTCGGCATCATCGTCGCCACCCAAGAAAGAGGGTTGCTTCAAATCGAGTCGATCCAACTCGCCAACACCATCAGACCGAAAATTCCTCTCCCAAGAGGAACTCAGAATCCGTGCACAATCGATCTTTGATCGTTATCTAGAGAATGGAAGTGAATTCGAATTGAACGTAGATTGCATTTCACGCGATGCCGTTCGTCTGCGTCTCCAAGACGAGATCGATGCCAGTATTTTCGACGATGTACAAAAAACTATATATGAATCACTTTGGATGGATTGCTTCCCACCTTTTACTCATACCACTGCATATCATAAATATAAACGTATGTATAAATATTTAACGTTGTTTAATAATTAGAATTATTTTCTAACTTGTTTATCACATTATCATTATCACAGAGGAAACTGGTAAATGTCATCTTCCAGAGTTCTTAAGAATTTCATTTAAGAGAAAATCACAAAAGAATGATTTTGGTGTTATATCAATGAAAGATTTGAATAAATAAAGTTATAGTATCTATATTAATATATAAATTAAATTAAAAAAAAAAAAAAAAAAACAAATCTTTATATATTTTTATTTTTTTTAACCGTCATAGATTTCTTGGAAATTGTGAACTACCAATGATTACAACAGATATAAATTACTTCTTTCTAGATTCAATGTTTTCATTTATTTCAAGTTGTGCACACTTTTTTTTTTACATTACAATTATTATTATTTTTTAATTAAACAAAAATAAAAACTGACCGAATCTGACTGATTTAGAATTGCGCTAAATTAGATTCGTCGTTTTTATTTTATTTTACAAATTATATAATTAATTATAATTTATATCAAATAATATGGTTATTAAACAATCATTATCGTTTCTATCATCAATGGCTATTTCTAATGTGAAATCAATTAATAAGAATGCAAAGATTATAATTTTAGAAGGAAATATAAGTGCTGGGTATGTAATAATATCTCATCAAACTTTATCAAACCAAATCTAATCTATGATAATATATATTTAAAAGTAAAACATTCTTATCAACGAGATTAGGTGAACTATTAAACTATAAAGTATTTTTAGAACCTACTACAACCAATCCATATCTACAATCATTCTATGAAAGTGAGTAGTGAGTTTATTTAAAGTTTAGAGATCTGTTCGAGAATAGAATCGTATTAATTATTATCTATTGTTTTTAGATCCAAAGAAATATGCATTGGATATGCAACTTTGGTTATTGAATCAGAGATTTAAAACTTATTTATTGGCGCTGGAATACTCGTTGGTCAATGACAGTGGTGTCGTATTGGATAGATCTGTGTTTAGCGATTGGGTTTTCGCAGAGAACTGTCGGAAGGAAGGTCTGATTTCGTCGGATGGATTCACTCAATATACAACCATAAGAAATAAGATGATCAGTCAAATACCGATACCGAATATCACTGTTTACTTGGATGTTACACCAGAACAATGTTTAAATAGAATACAAACTTTAAGAAAAAGAGTGTGTATATATACGCAAAATCATAGTTTTAATCTTAACTAATAATAACTAAATTATTATTATTATTATTATTTAGGAATTTGAACAATCTATTCCATTATCATATTTACAGGGTTTAGATGGATGTTATAAGAGTTTTTTGGAGGAAATAAAGAGTAAAGGTTCGAATGTTGTAACCGTTGATTGGAGTAAGTTTGCTGAGATCGATACAATTATAAAAGAGATTAAGAATGACAGATCGCTACCATTATCAGAGAAATATTTAAACCTTATTAATTTGTATGTAACAACATCAAGAGGTGCTTTTATAGTTAAATCATACTAACACCATTCTCTTTCACTACCAAAAAAAATAACATAGTGACGATATAAAACAATCTAATGGAATGAAGAACTATCTGGTAGAGGAATTAAACTATTTAAACAAAGAAACAAATAATTCATCATCGTCGTCATCATCAAACAATACATTCACAAAAGTTTAAGATGAATAAATAAATTTCATTTTAAAATGATTAAAAAAAAATCAAATGTACATTTTGATTTGTTGCAGTTCATCATTGTCGAATTATTTTCAATTAAATCACCATATCATATTTAATAATAATAATAATAATAATAATAATAATAATAATAATAATATTTGATCATTATAAATCTGTTTTTTAATTAATTTTATTTATACTTTTTATTAATAAGAGAAAGAGAGATAATATTTAATAGATATGAGTAGTTCAAAGAGATCTATTGATCAAGAAAATGAAGGTGGTGATACAAACAACAATAATAATAATAATAGTAGTGTGAAAAAAGTAAAGGTGGATAATGAGAGAGACGTTACTCCACCACCACCACCACCACCTTCTTCTTCTTCACCTCCACCACCCCCACCGCCACCAAAAGAAGAAACGCATTCAACGGTCGTAGTTGACAATAGACGTCCAATGTTGGAGGTGGATGATGACGGTGACGAAGAAGATGATCCAGCGGCATTCATTAACAAATCGAAAAAGAACATACACAGAGCAAGAAGAGACTGTCCCTATCTTGACACTGTCAATCGTACGGTACTCGATTTCGACTTTGAAAAGAGTTGTTCCGTTTCGTTTGTGAATCTCAATATCTATGCATGTCTAGTGTGCGGTAAGAAGTTCCAAGGAAAGAGTCCTGGTTCTCATGCACACTACCACTGCATGCAATCGAATCATCATGTATTTATCAACCTACACAACCAGAAGATCTATTGTCTTCCCGATGACTATGAAGTTGTCGATTCATCTTTAGATGATATCAAAGTAAGTTTAAAATATATTCAAATCTAATCTAATCTATTATCACCAAACTTACAATTACCAATTATATAATTAGTATCTAGTTAATCCTACATTTACAAAAGAACAAATTGCATTGTTTGACAAGAGTACCAAATACTCTAGAGCATTGGATGGTACATCTTATCTGCCCGGTTTCATTGGTCTTAACAACATCAAAAAGAACTCCTATATCAATGTTGTCATACAATCATTGGCTCGTGTTTCAATGATTCGTAACTATTTCATTAATCAAGATAATCTAAAGAATGTAAGTTATATTACAACAACAACAACAACTACTACTGTTACTACTACACATTCTAATTCTTTAATTATATGTTTATATAGTGTAAATCAGCATTGGTAAATAACTTTGGAGAGTTACTTAGAAAGATTTGGAATCCACGTAACTTCAAAGGTCATGTATCGCCACATGAATTGATACGTGTGGTTCAAAGTGCATCGACTCGTTTCACGATTAGCAATGAAAGCGATCCACTCGAATTCCTACAATGGTTTTTAAATTCACTTTCATATGATTTAAATGTAATGAATGGTGTTGATACTAAACAACAAAACAGTAATAGTAACATAATTCAACAGGCATTCAGTGGAGAGATTCAACTAACAGTTACACCACCACCAAAATCATCGGGCTCAGAGACAACAACAGCAGCAGCAGCAACAACAAAACCAACATCAAAAACAAGTCGTGTCAGTTTCACTACGTTGGTGTTGGATCTACCCCCGAAACCACTATTCAAAGATGACCAAGACAAATCGATCATTCCCCAGGTCCCGCTATTCACTCTGTTGCTTAAATACGATGGTGTGACACCGCGTTTGCAGCCCAATGGTGAATCGAAACTCTTCAAACTTCTCAGACTGCCGCGCTATCTTGTGCTCTGTGTCAAACGTTTCAGCTTCAACAATTTCTTCAAGGAGAAAGAACCAACCATTGTAAACTTTCCACTTAAAAACCTGGATCTTAAAGATTGTAAGTACACACTCACACACACCGACACATGATTCTTATCTATTGGTTTATATTTGCACCAAACACCAGAGACAAACAAACACAATACCAACAATTAACATATGTCAATCACCATACTTACACAATTGTAATTTTTTATAAATCTAGATCTCTCGCCTGATGTGCTAAAGACTTGTAAATCTACCAAATATAATTTGCTGTCGAATATCAAACATGAAGGTGAGCCAGACGCTGGTAACTACACAGTATATCTACACAATAAGGTATGTTGAAAATATTCTACTATCAAAAGGTGGTGGTGCCCAAAGACAAACCAACCAATCAATCAATCAATCAATAACCAACCATTAATTAATGGTAAATTGATTTGACTTGATGATTGTAAAAAAAAAAAAAAAAAAAGAAAAAAAGCACCCCTCCAAAACCACCATCATTCCTTTTTGAACTAACCAAACCGTTTTACCTTAACACTCTCTTTGAAAACTAACAATTTATAGGGATTCGATAAGTGGTTTGAAATTCAAGATTTGACAGTGAAAGAAACACTCCCACAACTTGTGGCTGTGTCCGAAGCATACCTTTTATTGTATGAGATGCAAAACTAATTAAATTAAAACAAGGGGCGTATTGTGGAAGAAAATATAAAAACTCTTTTTTTTTTTTTTTGACCAAAATATCTTTTGATGAATGTTTTAAATTTGACTCTAATTGGTACTTTGTTTGGATGACCACCCCTAGTGTTGGGGTGATTGCAACCTTGGGTTGCGTGTTTTCAAAAATTGGTAAAAAAAAAATTAAAAATAAAAATAAAAAGCCGGAAAAGTATTCAAAAGATTTAATATAAGGGTAAAATCGATTGTTTTTTTTGATCCCTAATTAGTTGATCGCTGATTTTTTTAGGTCAGCAAAAACCAAAACTCTTGCAAGCGTTTTCAATTTTGAGGTGACGATATTAAAAATTTCCATAGATCAATAAAAAGGAGGTGGTCTCTCACCATATCTACATGTCACTCTTTTGGTATGAGAAAAAATAAAATAAAATAAAATAAAAATTTATAAAAAGACTCTGCAAATGAGTAAAACCTTGGTAGAAACAAAAATTTGATATAACAATTTTTCCATCAACAAAAAACAGTCACAATATATACATCTATTCATAGTTGTTGATCTTTACCAGAATTCAAAATTAATAGAAATCTATAAATCAATCAAACATTGAAGTAAAAACTTTTTACTTCATCATATTGGTTGACGCATCATTCTCAATTATTCTTTGTTTTTCCTAACATTATACTTCACACTTGTAACAATGTTTGACACAGACTAGTACCAACTTATCAATAATTGAAATCAATCGATACATATCTATTTATATAGACTTATAAACACACAGAATAGTAAATATTTTTTTATGACAACCTTTTCACAATCAAACTTATCAATATTTGATCCATATTATTTTAATTTTATTCGATAGTTTTTTTTTTCTTCCCTCAGGTAGGAAATGAAAAACAATTATTCATCAAGTAAAAATAATGAAGAAAAATATAGTAATAACAATAACAATAGTGGCAATAATAATAACAATAATAACAATGAAAACAGCAACAGAGTAAATAATTTATATACAAATGCATACAAAACATCTCTTCCTCCTCAGTCTTATTATAAAAATCAAAATCCCTATAATAATATATCAAACCCACATTATATAAATGCTTACCGTCAACCACAACAAACATATTTGGACACCAATTCCACACCGTATCAACAATACTATTCATATTATAATAGTCAATCTCCTCCCCCACCACCTATGTACACATCCCACATAAATCAACAAATTCCTATAAACTCACATCGTCATTCATACCCTCCACCGCATCATCATCAACCACCTAATCAACCTCCACCACATCAACAATATCTATCATCACAGCGGCCTCATCTCTATTCTCATACCCAACTTATAGATTATCAATCTTATAGTCATCCTCACTGTTCACCTCCTTCACCCCCAACGAATAGTGTTCCTCACTTTCAATACACCACCTATCCAAACATCCAAGAAAGTCATTTTTTACCAAAAATCACCCAGATCATCCGAAAATACAACACCATATTCAACTTCACCTCCTACAAGTCCATTAACTACTACTACCACAACAACAACAACCAACCTAAAGAATAACAACACAGATTTAAATTCCATTCAAAATAACAACCAATTAACCAAAGATCCATGCACACTCTCAGGAAGGTGTCTTGTTTGTACAAGAGGTCCTCCTAAATTAATTCAACATAATACATGGTCAAATATTATGAGAGTTGTTATTTTTTGTCTTAAACATGCCTATCCAGATCTAGAATTTTTTAGTTTAAAAAATCATATTTATGACTTTATGTCAAGTCATTGGAGTATATTATGCTATAATAAAGAATGTAAATATGCGGTCTTATTAGTTTGTATTGATAAAAAAGAAATTAACATTTTAGTTTAATTAATTGTATATATAGATGAACAAAATTGGCATAAGCAAATTCAGGTAGGTGAATTGAAAATGGAAATATAAAAGTTTAAATTATTAATTGCTTTGTACTATTTTTAAAGGATATATTATCACATTCGAAAAAAATATTCGAATCTGGACAGAATCATTTAAATGCTAGTGGACATTGGAGACTTATAGAGAATATAGATCCATGGTCGATGCCAAATCCTAAAGAAGTGAATAAGAAAAAAGGAAATAAAAACAAGAAAAAAAAGAATCCAGATCAAAGCAATGAAAGAAATGCTAGCAGAGAACAACCATCGCAAGTCAAATATCCAATCCAGAATCGCATATCACCTGTTGTTTTCGGTGTACCGTTATCTAGTTCGCCACCATCTCTTTCAATACCATCACCACCACAACCACCACCAACTCGAGTAGAAATACCAATAACACCACCACATCCAATTCGAGTAGACATACCAATATCAACAACACCAACTCGAGTCGACAAAACAAAAACACCACCGCCACTACCAATACTACCAATACTACAAGTCCAACTAGAAAATGCAAGACAAAGTAATTTGAATTCAAGAGAATCAGCTCCAGTGTTACCACCAATATCAATTCCGTTGACATTGCTGCCTACCAATGACAATACGACGACGCCGACAACAACAACAACCATAGCAAATACTAATTTGACTTCACCCAGCACTGATAGAGACTACAATAGGCTCATTGAAAATTTTAACAATTTTCATTCAATGAGTCCCAGAGAGAGTCCAAGATCGCAAAGAAAGCGATCAGCAGATCATTTTAACTCTGTAGAGTTGGAAAACGAACAAACCACAATAACCGGTATAACACCAAGAGAAATCAAGAAATCGCCTCGTCAGTAAAAAAATGATGAGTTTGAAATCAAATAAAATAAAGATTACACACACAAGCAATTTGTAAATGATAATAAAAATATAACAAAATAATGATCATCAACATGTTTGTTCTCACTTCCAAATCAAGAAAGATGGTGGGTTGAAAAAAACAAAAAATAGAAAAAAAAAAATGAAAAATTTTACTTATTAATTTTTTAATTTATAAATTTTATATAAATATATTATTATTTATTTATTTATTTATTTATATATTGTATAATTATGAGTGATATCGAAGATAATACAAAAGAATTGAAAGCAGATGAATGCTTACCAGAGGAGAAAAAGACAACCAAAAGGTTGTTGGATGTAGAGGATGAGGATAATGATTCTGATGTTACTCTCGATGATCCCGATGCACCACCATCAACAGCACAAACAACCACTCCAATTCTATCGTCTTCTTCCTCTTTGCTACCAACTGCTAACAACAACACTACTAGTAGCACAACAACAACAGCAGCCGGTCACAGTCATGCTCATACTCATAACAATAGTAGTAACTCACATCATCCATTGGAACCACCACCACCAAAAATCAGTACGCCATCACCCAAGAGTTTCTCTACCTCACCGATATTCTCTGGTCAACAGGTTCATCCGTCGACGTATGCTCACCATGATGAATCGAGTGACAGTGAACACACCTACTTTAATGGCAGACGTATCATCTGTGAGAGTGGCAGTAGCGACATCAGTGGCAGCGAAGACAACAGCTCGATTTCACGGCCAATGAAAAAAAAGAAAAAGTCGATGCGTCGCGAAGGAAAGATCTACGATCTGTTGGAGCAGCGTTTGGGTTCGGAAGCGTTGCGCTCCACCATATCCAACCCAAACTTTACCTTTGATTGGCCATACGAGTTGGTTCTGGTTCGTCACGGTCAGAGCGAGGGTAACGAAGCGCAGTCGCGTTCCAAGCGTGGTGACCTCTCTGCCTACACACCAGAGTTCAAAAAGAAACACTCTTCCACCTATCGTCTCACCGACAAGGGTATCCAACAGGCCAAGATCGCCGGTAAGTGGGTAAGAGAGAACATTGCACAGGTATTCGATCGTTACTACACCAGTGAGTACGTAAGAGCCATGGAAACCGCAAGTCTTCTCGGTCTAGAGGAATCGAAATGGTTGACAGAGATTCAATTGCGTGAACGTGACAAAGGTAAAATGGATAACATCTCTTGGACTGAAAAGAATGAAAAGTTTGGTCATGAAATGGAATTAAGAAAAAGAGATAGGTAATATATCATTACTTTATTATTATTTATTATTATTATTATTGTTGTTATTGTTTTTATAACTTAACTAATAATACTTTAATAATATTTTAGTTTCTTTTGGGCACCACCAGGAGGTGAAAGTATTGCAAATATATGTACAAGAGTAGAACATACATTTACAACACTGAGACGTGAATGTGCAAATAAAAGGGTGGTTATAGTTTGTCATGGTGAGAGTATGTTTAAATTTAGTTGGTTTGTTTGTGGAACTTTTATATTAATTGTTATTGCTATTATTGCTATTATTATTATAGTTATGTGGGCATTTAGAGTAAGACTGGAGAGACTTAGTCAAATTAGATTCCATCAATTGCAATCATCGAAGGATCCAAGGGATCAGATTCACAATACATCGATTCTATGGTATACAAGAGTGCATCCAAAGACCGGTGAGATCTTCCCGTACTTTAAATTCCTGAGATCGGTTTGTCCTTGGAGACCTGAGTACTCTGCACCCGGCTGGTTAGAGTTTGACCGTCCAGTCTATACCAACGAAGAGTTGATGGAGAGTGTTCGAACCGTTCCTAGATATGTCAACAATTTCGACAAAGATGACGGTCCAAACTCACATCCAGAACCACCAAAGGCATAAAATAATCTTCCTTTCTTTATATTTAAAGATCTGGCGCAGTTTCGAAAACAACAACAGCAAACAACAGCAAACAACAAACAACTTGTTTTTTACAAAACAAATCATCTATCAATTTGAAATGTAAACATACAAACAACAAACTAAACCAAACCAACTCATCTCATTCCTTAGATTACAATTACAAAGATTTTATCAAAACAAAAAAACAAAAACAAAAGAAAAAAAAAAAACAACAACACTGTCTCTATAATAATAATAATAATATGTATAATAATAATAATAATAAAAAATAACATTATTTGTATTAAAAGTTTGATTTGTTTTTAAACATTAAAATCATGGTTATCATGATTTTATTTGTTTATTTGTTGGTTTATGTTTTTACAAGTGATTTAAATTAAAGGTTGATTATATATATAGATATATATGTATATTACTTTATCATTTTGTTGTTGATTCTGTTTTGATATTATTATTTGTTTGATTATTTTGTTTTTGTTTTGATTATGATGATGATTACTAGATGTGTTAGTCATCAGAATAACTTGTATTTTTATCATTGTTTGAGGTGGAAGATGACAGTGAGTTTGCTAGTTTCGATTGTATCTGTTGGTGTTGTTGAATGTCTCTGTCTTTGGTGGAGGTGCAGAGTATGGTGAACTCTAGTTGCTCCTTGATGATCTGTGCCGCTATCTTATCGATCTCCTTTGTGAGGAATCCAAATATCTGATGTTTGAGCCGTGAGTCTATCTTGACGATCGCCTCATAGACATACTTTGACGAGCAGGTTTCCTTATCAAACTTTTTGTAGATCTGCTCGAGGATCTCCAGCAAACTAAACACCACGTGAAAATAATCCAAATCCTTTGCCATCGATATATTAAAGATCTTTAGGAACTCGTAGATCACGGTGTTTCCGATCTTTACGATCTTTGATTTGATGTGGTCGTTCTCATTGACGGTGGTGTGTGTCGGCTGCTTCTTGGAGAGCAGCACCTTCATACCCTGCATTGCAGTGCCAGTCTCGTAGTGATAGTCATACTCTTCCATCAATTGAACCAACGCTCTAACAAATGCAGGTCCTTTATCCGTTGAGAGTAATGGTGCTAAACTTAAACCTAAACTAAACCATCCTAATAATCTTTGTGTATTGTTGATTATGTCGTTCAATTAATTTGATTTGTTGTTTTTGTATATTTTCTTTCCTTAAACTACTAGTGTCTAATATTATAAACATACCTCTTTTGTATATCGACAGCTTTATCAAAGTCTGTTTTCTGTATGGCAGCTACATTCATCCAATGCAGTGGTTTTTGATTGGTATAGTATGCAGCTTCATGTATTCTTCTAATATAATCAATAGCATTTGTTCTCTTTTCAACTATTTGTACAATCGACTTCTTTCTCTCAAGAGTCTCCTCCATTTTTGTTACTATAGCATCCATTTTTTTCTATTTATTTTTCTTTCTTAATTAAATAACTAACTAAATAACTAACTCTAACTTTCTATATATATACACAACACAACACAACAACTTCCTTCTTTCTTTCTTTCAATATAGAGTCAGTGTGCTATATTAAAACTATCTTATATATTTGTTTACTTTACTTAATCTCTTGTAATTAAATATAGTTGAATAAACAAAGAAACGACCAATCTTTTTTGAAAAAAGAAACAAAAAAAAAAATCTAATAAATAAAGAAAAATAAAATTACAAATAAATATAAATATATTACTTCAAGTTATAAATAAATATCAAAAAATGTTTTGTTATGATTAATTATATATATTTTTGATTAAGATAATTCAAACAACACTGCACAGAAAGACACCCCAAAATAAGATGTTTTTTTTTTTTTTTTTTTTTAGTTTCATATGATTTTAATGTTATTTTTTTTTTTCAAACTTGGTGTCACTTATTTTTTTGGTTTTTTTTTTTTTTTTAATAAAGTTATGAGTGTTATCGAATCTATCTATCTCTCTTCTACTAATTAGTTGTTTGGATATTGTGCTTGTTGTTGTTGATGCTCAGTATGTCTATCTTGTTGTTGTTTCTTTAGGTTGTAGATGTTCTTTTCAGTATGTTCGAGTTGTTCGTTGATCCAGTACTCTACCACTTGAAACAAGACATCGAGTGGCAAAGAACCGTTGTTCAATACAATACTATGGAATTTTTGAATTGAGAATCTCTCTTGCAACTGTGCCTTGGCATACTCTCTGATTTCAACGATCTTCATTTGTCCGATCTTCTGTGACAGTCCCCATCCCGGTATCACAGCAATCTTGTTGACTTCATGATCGACTTCATTGAGATCGAATCCACCCTGCTCAATCAAGAACTTTGAAGCATTCTCTTTACTCCATTGGATTCCTTCGAAATGAATACTACAATCTGTAATCAATCTACATGTTCTTTAGAAATAGATGATAATTATAATTAGATTTAGATATCTAAACAACAACTTTTGTTACTATTAAATTACTTACGATCTTAAATCCATAATATGATGGGCGAGTTTCTCCCATTTGCTTTTTAACCAACCGTATTCCACTGCCAAACCTTCAGCATAATGACCCCAACCATCATAGAATGAACAGTTGACCTATTTTACAAAGATTTATTGGTAAGTAGTTTTTAAATAACAGTTACAAAAACATTATTATTAATACTTACAAAGAATTTTCTAAAAGTATCGTTCTTTATGTTGTTGGCACATAGTAGTTGAAGATGATGTCCTGGGATGCCTTCTTTGAACACAGAAACTTTATTCAAAAGTCTGGAGTGTGTAGATGCATGGTCGAAATTTACAAATAGCACAGCACTTCTATCACCAACTGCAGGTTTATATAGGAATGGATTTGGTTCAAAGTGACCAACCACTGTCTCCTCGAAATCAATCGATAAATCTGGAAGATTTTCAAACAATTCAGCTATCTTTGATCTTGTTTCATGGTATGTCTAAAGAAAAAGGTAAATCCCATTAATAAAACCTTATAGGTTTCTTTAAAAAATAAAATCTTAACTTACTTCATTTAAATATGTTAATGTTTCTTTCTTTCCAATATCATCGGAACGGATTTTAAATATTGGATCAAATACAATTCTATTCAAGAATTGTCCAAATGTCTCTTTTGTACTGTTAAAAGTAAACTCTGGCTTGGCCAAGAAAATGATATCTCTTTGAATTCTCTCAAGTTCTCTGTACCCAATCTCTGCCAATTCCATTGGACACATCGTAGTCGAAGTATAGAAATAAGAGTGAAATCTATATAGTTCCTCACCATTAGGTAAACACCATAGCTATTTTACATTAAAATTGATTAATTGTTAATAATTAATATAAATCTATATTTTCAGCAATATATAAAAAAAAACATACTCCTATAGTTTTTCTTGCTTTCAGTAAGTATTTAGCTTGATAGTCAATTAGCCTCTGTAATGGAGGAATAAAGCTATCAAGAATTACTTTCTTCAAAGAGTTTAGTATCTTCACTCTGGTACTGTAGTGGTAGTGGTGAATCTCTTGACTAACCCTCTGGTAGATAAAGTGGTTCTCTACGAAACCTCCTGGTAACTCTATGAATTCTTTAATTTGTTGGTTGGATTTGATAATAGTATCCGCGGGTGGAGTTATATTCTTCCGAATTCTCAACTCGAAATCCTCAATAATATGCTCCACATAATTCTTTGTCCTTCTTATTCTTGTTATATAATGATATATTTCATCTTCACAATCCAACTATAAATTAATTAAAAAAAATTAAATTAAAAGAGTAAGTAATTGTGAATTCTAAAATTAATATTGTTTTTTTAAAAAAATTCATACCGATTGTATTGAATGTAATGTCAAATAGAGAGCATAGATTGCACCACGATAAGAATTACATGGATAGATGGTTGGAATATTTCCAAAGAGTGGTGGTGCATATACTAGCAGATTGTGTCCAAATAATGTTGTGGTGAGATACCAGTGCATGAGATTGTAAGATATCCAATTTTGGAAGGAATCCTTGTCCTCTCTCTCTAGATCATTCAGGACCTTGGTCTCAAAAGTATGTAACAATCGAATGTTTTTCGCTATTTTGTCTTTACTCTTTGCACGAAATGACGGTGATATATCGTCGAGCAAAGAATTGTGGATCGATATTCCATAACGTTCCAGAACATGAATTCTAGTGAGTGTCATAAACTGAGTGGAAAAAGTCTCGTAAAATATTCTGTTTATGCAAGTCAGCAGTCGGTATGGACGGAAATAAAAAGTAGGTAGGATGTAGCACATCGTAGCAAAAAGCGAGATAAGGAAAATCACCACTGTCAGTTCGAACCGCTTCAATTCATTCAAAAAGAATTTCCAACCAAACATGTACCCCAGCGCCAGGCACAACACCAGACACATTGTGGTCATCGTATGCTTGGCCCACAGCACCAAATCTATTCTTGCATACATTATTTATCTTTATTTGTTTATTATTATTATTTTTATAAATATTGTTGAACTGGAAAATTATTAATTAATTGTTGGAAAATAATATTATTACTATTATTATTACTAACTAAATATTTATTAATATTTTTATAAAACAAAGTTACTTTATAGACATTTGATATTAATAGAGTTTACTTCTACTAAAACAAAAAAAAAATAATAGTAGAGTGAATTAATGGCATATGAAATGAAATTGTGAAAATTAATTTTAATTAATTAATTAATTTGAAAAGTTGTCGATTGGTAGATGATGATATATTGGAATATCAAATGATTATCGATATTAAAGCAAGGAAACAAGTTATAACTGAAATAAATACAATCTATCTTATTTACTATCTGTTTGTGTATCTGTCTCTTTGATCTATAAATTAACTAAACTAATTGGACTTTTTGGAAAGTTGTATACATATTTTTAAATTTCAACCAACAAAATGCAATTAATAAAATAAATTGAAGTCCAATACATCATGCCAACATAAAACAAGGTTTTAGACCACCAATTTTGCCCAAAAAAGATATCATCCGTAAAAGGAATTAGACCACCCCACTTAATAATTAATTTTCCCAAAATTCAGTTGAACTTTTTTTTTTTTTTTTTTTTTTTTTTTAATTTAATTTTATTTATTTTAATTTTATTTTTCGCAAAATTAAAGTTTTGATTTTGGGATGGTAAAATTAATCTATTTTTTTTTTTTTTTTTTTCATAATATATTTCTATTTTTAATCTAAACAACAAAATAGCAAAAAAAGAATAAAAGAAGATTGTTCTTTTCTATTTTGTTTTGTTTATTTCATTTTTTTTACGATTGTAACACCAAAAAAGTAAATAACCATGTCTTACCAACAAATGACTGAAAAAGATGTAACACCAACAAACAATAATGATAGTGCATACAAAAAAACAAGTGAAAATATAAATAAGTAAGTTCCGTCATATCCCTACCATATTTAGAAAAATCAATAATAATAGCTTATTTATTTTATTTTTTTCGATAGAAATTCAAATAACTTTTTCACAGGTATAAAGAGTACCGTTAGCACAAATGAATCGCTACAATCGGATCAACAACAACAACAACAGCCACAGGCTCCAAAAACATTTGTCGATGGTGTCTTCAAAGGGTTAGTTTCAATTGGTTCCGGAATCATTAATGGTACCAAAGGTGTTGTTGTATGTGATTATGTTTGATGAAATGAATGACGATAATGATGAAGCTCATTCGATTCAGTTTCCAGAAGAAAGAATTATTATTAATTTACTTTTGATATCAATCTTTCTACAAAAATAGGTTGAACCGTATAGAGGTGCAAAGAGAGAAGGTGTAGCAGGATTTGCAAAAGGTGTAGCAAAAGGTGTAGGAGGTGTAGTCTTGCTACCGGTCGTGGGTGTAATGGAATTCGTATCAATGACAACACAAGGTATCATGAACACACCATTAACAGTTATCGAGGCAATGAAAAACGCACCAAAAGAAGAAACTATGGAACTAACTTCGATTGAACATTGCTTATTTTTCGGTATCAGTCTTGAAGAGTCAATCTTGAGATGCAAAGAAAAAGGTGTTCCACATCTTATCACTATATGCTTAGAATTCTTGACACTAAGTAAGTTGTTTTTTTTTACCAGATTCCTTCGTGATATAGCTATAACAACTATTCATAAATATTTATTGTTTGATTAACATTATTATTTTTTTTATATAGGAGTAAATCATGAAGGAATATTTAGATTATCTGGTTCAAAAACAGAGATAGATAAGTTTCAAACACAATTTGATAAGGGTGAAATTAATTCGGTCGGTCAGTTGGACAGCTTCAAGGTCAATGAGATCGCAGGGCTATTTAAACAGTATTTTCGATTTACACCTGATCCAATAGTACCAAAGAAAACAATCAAGAAACTAATGGAGATTCAATCGAAACCCGCCGATCAAAATGAAAAGATCTCTGCACTCAAACATGGTGTTTGCCATATGGATGAACCATACTACAGTGTTTTGTATAGATGCACTGAATTGCTCACCAAGATTGCAGAGAATTCAAAAGAATCACTTATGACCCCTAGTAATCTATCAATCGTCTTTGGAGTGAGTTGGTTACGTCCAGAGAATGAACTTCAACAAATTGCAGATGCCAACACCGTCGTTTTTCATTTAATTTCCAATTTCCCACAAATCTTTACAAAGAAACCATCTGTTGTTCTATAACATAATAGAAAAACAACAAAAAAAAAAAAAAAAAGATATCTTTAGCTTTTAATAATTACTTGGAATAATTATTATCTTTTAAAGATTTGTATTAATTTAATAAAAAAATTGGTGTATGTCTATCTGTATATATATTATATCTGTTGTTTATTGTTTAATATTGTTGAAATGATTTATGTTCGAAATCGTCGGTTTGGATATCTAAATGAGAATCTTCGGTCTTTGCTTTGATAAAAGATAAAAGGAAAGTCATGACCGCTAGAACTAGGTAGGCAGCAGACCATTGGTATGGGAGGGTCGAACCGGATTGCCATGGCACGTAGACTTCACCATTTGGATTTACACTATGAATGATTCCAAAGAAGGTAATCACCGATGTCAGTGCCAAAAAGAGTGCTGATTTCTTCAGTTGATTGTCGAGCAGGTATGCCAAAGCGGTACCCCAGAATAACGATGTACAAATGAATCCGTGTGCCAAAACAGTGATTACAGCGATTGCATCGACTGCCGATTGATTGGTGCCGAATGCATCGATGATCTTTTGTGGATCGGTGATTGCAAATGAGAATACCGGTGAGATCTGTGAAAGAATGATATTGACAAACTGGAAGAGTGCAGGGAAGAAACTCCAGATGATCGCTGGAATATGGTGTTTCTTGATTCCACTGTTTGGTGTCGAAGGACTCAGTGTTTCAGCACAGATTTCAAAGGCAATGAAAATAAAGATTGGAATGATCGCTGGCTTTGGAAGGATGTTGGTAAGGAACGATAGATATCCAAGGAATCCACCCAAACCAATGATGAGACCGGTGATAATAGAGTATCCGGAACGAGCTTTGAATTTCTGTTGGAAAACAGTGTGACCGATGTATGGAGTGGTCTGTGTTACCGATCCAAAGAAACTGGCAATGATAGTGGTAATTGAATCGATGAGCAATACGATTCTGGTGTTGTATTTATTTCCGACAGAGACTGCGGCGTCAGTGATGGTTAATCCACCAATATTTACAAGAATTGCATATGGAATTGCAATAGAGATGTTCTGTTGAATTGCAGCTTTGAAAGTTGTAAAGATGTCGGCTGGATGTGGATAGCTGAGATAGTAGGACGATGCTACATTCTCTGGCATTGGAACCACTGAGATTTTGGCAGCGGCCATCGAGTAGTAGATAATCGATCCAATGATAGCACTGACCAACACACCAGACAAATTGAACGGCAAGTTGATTGAAACGAACTGATGATGCTCGTTGACTCTGTGCAGCAACAAAATGAAAATGATCCAAAGTGATACCCAACCAGCAACAGGTTCCTGTAAAATAGTTAAAAGTTCATTCAAACCTAAAAGTGCCAAACCAATACCTGCCAAAGCACCGGATTTACCGACTGGATGGAAATATTTTTGTGCAAAACTAAATAAAAATAATTAAACATTCGTAAATATAAATGATAGATGTTTGAAATACAAACAAATTAGGTTATGTATACTTTACCTTAGTACAGTTAAAACTAGTTTGAAGAAACCAATTAAAAATACAGTTGTACAACCAACTAACCATGCATCTATAGCAGCGTCATGTGGTGATTTTCCAGCGGATATAGCTTTTGTATAGGCTGGACCGACCACTAGTAGCGGTAGACCAATGGTGGTTGGCGCATCCAAACCCACTGGAATGGAAGTATATAAAACGCTTGAGTCGTTTTCTCTGTGATCGAGGAAAATAGCGTAGAATGACATGGCCAAACTACCAAGCATGACACCGAGAGCAGGTCCCGGAATGAAATAGGTAGAGACAATTTCTTTTGGCATGCCAAAAGAATACACGAGAATAGCGTACATCGAGGCAATATTAGCCAAGTTATCCAACAACACGGAGAACAATGCATTAACATCACCTGATGTTGGTATCATCTGATCCTTCAAAGTGGCACTCCATGATTTTGCTGGTCTATCGACCAAACCAATTGAAGAAGATCTAACTCTCTGATACATTTTTCAAATAAATTTATATAATAATAATAATGAAAAATGAAAAAGAAAGAATAGAGTAGAGTGATAATAAAAATTAGAAAAGTGAATAAAGAAAAATAAATAAAAGATCTTTTAAGATTGATTGAGCGATTTTTATCCCAGTTTTTTGCTAAAAAAAAAAAAAAAATTTCAAAAATAAATTTTTGATTTTTTTTTGCTTTTTCCAATGGTCTTTCAAATTGTTGGGTGCAAATGTATTAATTGCTGATGCAATGGATACCTACAGGATAATTATCATCATTGTTAGTTAAATTATCTTTAATATTAATAATGTCACTACTACTACTAGAATTATTATTATTATTATTATTATTATTATTATTATTATTATTTATTAGTATTTTCATTATCCTTGATTTCTATATTAGAGTTTTCATTACTGCCATCATTGTTGTCAGCATTATTATTATTATCATTATTATCATTATTAATGATTTCATCGTTCATATTATTAGGTTCCTCAGTTTCTGTCATTATATATTGAGGGTATTTGGATGAATTAAATAATGATAGCTCCATTGTTTACAATTTTAATTTATAGTTGTTGTTGTCTGACAAACCTTCTCTCCACTATCTCTTTACTAAAAAAACAATTTATTATAAAAATATTACAGGTACACACACAAAAAAAGAGGAGGTAGGTTGACTATATATGTATATAATTAATGTATATCTAAATATGTATATATAATATTATAATATTTATTAAGGATATACTATGGTATGTGTATAAAATCAACTTTTAAAAGTTGTGTTATTTTTATTTTTTATTTTTTTCAATCACACACCACCCATTCCGCAAATACCACACTCACCATGTGTCGATTTGAAAGGTGTGAGCATGTTTATTAATTAATAAACAAGAATAGTTATTGTATTGGTTGCAGTAGTAGTGAGTTGTAACCGTCTATTTTATTTTTACCTACTGGTTTTAATGATTCTTTCTTTCTTCTTTTGACAGATAAAATACTAAAGCGAATAAACAAATAAAATATTTGTTATACTACACAAACTTTTCTTTAGCTTTGCCGAACGAGTGACTGACTGATTGGATGTTTGAATGAATTATGAATGAATAACAAAAATACAAAGGCATCTGTTGTCAAAACCGAGAGGAAACAAAGCTTTAACAATGCATTAGTTTAGTGAATTACCTTGTTAAAAATCGACAATAGATTTCTTAATTAAGATTATAATATAATATTTGTGAAAAATCGCAAATGTCATCATGAAATTTTGCAAATTCGATAACAGCCGAAAATCTTAAAATATCTGTTTGCCTAGCTTTCCAAACTAAAAAAAATAGATAAGAATTGGAAATCATTGACATTCAGAACCATGGTGCGAATCTATTGATGGTCTAGAATGCTAGTCATTGATGAACTTTTTTTAATAGAAAATTCACATCAAACTTTTTCAATTTCAATTTATTATTTTAAACATATTCATTCACATCAAATCTTATCAATATTGAGTTGAGATAATAAACTAATAAGTTTATTTTAATAATTAAAAAGTTAAACATAGAAAGAATTTTTTATATATTAATTAAAAAAATAAAAAAAAAATAAATTAGACTTTTTTTGTGGTAACACAATTCACTGTTAACCGTTCCACATTATGGTGGTGTGGTTGATTATGACCAGGATCAACGATTTCAAAAAATAAATTTTTAAAAAATATCAATTTAATATAAAACTAAATAAATTTATCAGATAATGGATAGTCATAGTTTTAGATAAATTAATACATTAGTAGTAGTGTCTTGTTTATTAGATAATAATAACAATAGTAATATTTGTACATATATATAGATTTTTGTAAATATATATTTTTTTTAATTTATTTTGTATATAGATAGAGATATAGGAGTGAGAAAAGAAAATGAATAAACTATTATTAATAGGTAATTTCGTAAATGATATCATTTTGATACATGAAGATCTTGTACTTCAAAGGGAGAGATCTTTCACCGATTTCCTGAGGGACAGTCAACTGAATGGCCGAGATAACAAACCTGGACGTGTCACAAAGAATACTGCTTTGGGTGGAAGTGTTACCTATGCCTCGCTTGCATCCAGTGCGTTCGGTGGTGCTACAAGCTATATTGTTTCTACGCTCGGAACAGACATCAACGACTCTTACAAAACAATGATAGAACCAAAGACACATCCAACCACCGGAACAATCAATACGGACTATATCAAAAAAACAGACTCCAATAATACCAGCTATCAATTGAACTATTACAATCGAAAGAAGAACCGTACTCTGTTGCTAATGGAACGTGGTCAATCGATTGGCATTGAGCAGTGTCTGCGATGTCTGTGTGAGCAACAACCCGATGCCATCTCATTCGTCCCTATTGCCGGTGAGATCGACGTCGATCTCATTGTGGCGGTGCTCGAGTATATCGCGCGCATGCCAACTGCCGACGCCAAGCCAAAGATAGTGGCATTCGACATTCAGGGTCTGTTGCGTGCATTCAACGAGCAACGCGTCACTACACACTCACGAGAGGTCATGGTAGAGCGACTGACCAGAATAGGATACGCTCTAAAGAGTGCTGGTGTCATTTCGATTCTCAAGGCAGAGTATGGTGAAGCCGTTGCCATTGTGTGTAATGACAATGGTGCCGACACCCACAACAGCAGCACCTGCACTGCTACAACCATGTCGACACCACCTATCACTCCAGGCGAATGTGCCTATCTTCTACGATCGCAATTCCACTTCACTCTGGTCAGTGTGACCATGGGTGGAGACGGTGGATTCATCTCGTCGGGAGTCACTGGTGAACAGTACATTCCGACATTCAAACCGGTGGCAGTCATGGATGAAACGGGCTGTGGTGATACATTCCTCAGTTGCACCATTCTAGAGCTGCTACACACACTCTCTGGAAAATCGATGATCGATGAGAGTGCAATCGATCCACTCGATCGTTACCAACTGGCGTCGGAGGACATCATCCACTGTCTTGAAGTTGGAAGTGCAGGTGCTTCATTCCTTGTCGAACAGATTGGACCGAATGGATTTGCAAGTAGATCGACCATTCTTGACAGAGTTAACAATGGACAAAAACAATCAAAATCAATTTATTTACAACAACAACATCAACATCAACATCAACATTCACCATCTTTGGTTTCCAAAGACCAAGAACACCAAAACCAAAATAATTCATCCAGTAGTAGCTCCTCCACAGCAATGGCTGGTGCCTCTGCGACCAGCTCCAACACCAACAAATCATCAGTTGAAAAAACCACTACCACCACAAACGAAACAACCATCACAAAACCACCTAAATCTACAACCCACTACTCTTGATTGCACAAAACAAAAAAAAAATCTGGTTGTAATTAAATAAATTAACCTGTATAATTTTTTGAGTGTCATTAAAATTAAGTGGCTAAACTTCATACCATCAATGCTCATTTGTTATCACCATTATAAACTGTGAGCCCAATGAAAAATAAAAAAATTAGTCTCAACGTGAAGTTCACCACACCCACCAAAAGAAAGATTTCAAATTAAATTTAATTAAAAATTTTATGTTATTTTTTTTTGGTTTTTGAGTTTTGTTATTTTTTTTATTAAATAAGGTAAAAAGTATTGTTTTTTTTTTTTTTTTAAACAGATAATATTATTGATAACAAAATATAAAAAGGTATAACAATAACAAAATAATAATATAATTTATAAATAATATAATAACATAACAAAAAAAAGAAAAGAAAAAACAATAACTTTTTAAATTAAAAAAATAAAAAAAATAACAAAAGTAAATTAAAAAAAATAAAAACATCTATCTTGAAAAATTAATAATAATCATATATTTATATCTAATTACAGATAATCAAACAATCAAAATACAATAAATAATAATAATAATAATGAGTTTTAATAATAACGGAAATAACAGTGGTAATAATGGAGTAAATTTACCAAAGAATTCAAGATTCAATAACTCACCAACTGGTGGTGATGTCAACTCGCCAACCGGTGGTGGCTACTCTGTGCCAACTCCAGGAAGATTTCATATGAGAGGATCAAAGAAATACGCCAGAGCTGGACACTTTAATGCACCAATCGATCACAACATGCTTCAGCAACAACAGCAACAACAACCAAACACATTCCAACAGCCAATCATCACTTCACCCAACTTGATGGCTGGTGGTTCCGTCGACCAGTTGCAACAGCCATCACAGCTGACACACCAACAGATCGGATCGCCATCGCCACACCACCAACACCACCCACACCCAATGCAACAACAGAACTACTTTAACAACCAGTACCAGTCACCACAAGGTAAACCATTTGGAGGTGGTGGCAGAGGTGGAAACTCCTCTTCACACTACTTTGGAGGTGGTGGTAGAGGTGGTGGACACATGCGTGGCGGTGGTCGTGGTGCTCCAAGAGGTCGTGGAAGAGGTGGATACCGTGGTGGACACTCTTACTTTGGAAGCCAATCATACCACCAGGGTGGATATGGCCAGAAAATGTTGAGAACCAACGTAAACATCCCTGCATTCAGTGGTGGTGCCATCATTGGTGTCAAAGGTTCACTCTGGGGACTCATCAACAAGGCAACCAACGCCAGAATCAAGATCATCAAAACATCTGCCATCATTAAGTGTCCAGATGCTCAACAACTTGATAGAGCAAAAGAAATTGTTTTAAAGTTAAAGAATACTGCTGTAAGTTATATTTATAGAGAAAGAGAGAAGAAAATAATATTAATAATAATAATAATTAAAATTAAATATTAATTTATATTTTGTAATTTTTTAATTATTAGGCTAAATATTTATCATTAATTGATTATAAAGGAGAACAAAAGTTAAAGTTTGTCGAGCAGCCAAACTATTCAGTTGTGGTTTTGGACAACAAGACAGCAACCGATGAAAATACAGATATTCAAGATGTCGCAAGGACTCACGAGCCACAGTTTGCCAGTCGTTTCAATGAGATCTTTAGCACATTATCCATCGATAAAGCAACTCAAATCCCATATGTAGATATAAAGACTGGCAAGATATGGTTTATCAAATGCGCTGACATTCCATCAGCCGCAATGTCCGCCGACAAGTATGAACTCTACACCGAGTCACTCGACAGCGTTTTCCAGAGCAGTTCATGTATCAATGAGCAATTTGTACATCAACACACGCTCTTTAAAGAAAAGAAGCCCTATGTCTTGGTTACCATGTTGGATACCGAGTCGTTGGACATCATCACAGTCAAGTGTTTCGAAGAAAAAGTTGTCTCTCCAGCGTCTCCCACCGCCAATTCCTCAGCGACTCCATCATCATCCACCAGCACCACCAGCACCACTGCCGCCAGTGGCAATCAAACAGTTGAATATCGTTTCATCAATCCATCTATTTACAAACAAACTCACCACATCAATGCCAAAGTTTTATTCCCACAAACACGTCAAGGTCACTTTGACTTGAGAGTATCAATCGATACCGTTTCCAAATTGCCGCTTGATTCCCACCACGAAAATTTGCGACAATTCATTACATCCATTAAGATCAGCAAGAATGCTAATGGAAACAACAATTACTCTATACCTGAATCCAACCTCTTTATTGTAGAATCTTTGATTATCCAAAAAGTTTCTATCTATCGCAATGAACAAAAAACCTTACAGTTCCATCTGTTGGAGGACAACGTCACTCGTTTGACCACTTCATCGCCAGAGTACAACAGACCAACCAACTCTATTCTCTGTACCTCCCCATCACTCTATGATATGTTTAAATCTAAAAACTGGTCAATCGAACAAGTCCTCGAGGAAGTGAAATCATTGGCAAAGAACGTTAGAATCCTCATTTCACAACAAGATACGGGCAAACTTCAAACTCCCCCCGCCGTTCAGAGTGATTTTGAGCCAATGAATGTTGATGATGACGATGAAGAAGAAGACTCAAACAACCAATAGCTCTGCAAATCAAATAACAATCAGTCAGTTATAACCAACATTTAAAAAACATTTAAAAAACAACAAAAAAAAAAAAAAAAAAAGTTTGTGGTCCTCTTGTTATATATTTGCTCAATAAATTAATTAGTTATTCAAAATTGTCTAAAATTAGTATTTTTTTCAACCTGAAAGTAATCAATTTTAAGTTCTGAGTGTAGGACCAATAAGGGTTATGATTAGTGTCACCCAAAAATTGAAACCACACTCCTTCGAACAATAGTTTTTGACAAAAACAAAAAAAAGTGTTTTTGATTATGAAACTGTGTTTTGACAAAAAAATGTGTCGATTGGGTTCCAAATTAATCAATTTCGTTAAAAACATTCTAGTATTGGGTAATTTAAAGTCCTCTCTGTTGGGAACTTTTAGTTTTTTGATTCATCTCTTGATGAGATTGAAGTCTGAAGAATTTTTAAAATATCTTATTGAATTTCATTTGTAAATAGGTAAAAGGTTACCAATTTACAAACCAATTTCAAACAATTTATATCTTTTTTAATTTATATTTCTGGCAGAATTAATATTGTTTATTGTTTCAAAAACTATTTAAAGAATAAAAATTGATGTATTTTTCAAATCAAAATAAAACAAATTACTTAGTTATCTAATTAAACAAATAAAACAAAGTCAAAAATGATGTGCGGAAATACATGTGGTTGTGGACACTCAGGATGTGCTGGAAATTGTGCCTGGGCAATCAAAGAGTTGCAAGGTCAAATCAACAAACTCACTCAACAAATTACCAATATTGAATCCTCCAAGATAACTACTCAAACAGTTAAAGTTCCAGCTCATTCTCACAGTATTACTAATACTCAATTCACTGCAATTCCAGGATCACAAGCTACTCTTACCGTCACCCGTCCAACCAAACTTGTTGCTTTTGTCAGTTTCCATTCGATCACACCATCTGTAAACACCAGTTGTGATGTCACCTCTGCTCTCAATGGAAGTATTTTAACTCTTGCTGGATACAATGATTACCCATGGGTAGGTTAATTTATTACATAAAACGAATTTAAATGTAATATTAATAAATTTCATTTCTAGCCAACTGGTACCAGTCTCAATCATAACAACTGGGCAAACGGAGTCAGTATCACCCAAGAAGTCTTGCAACCAGGATGCACCTACAATTATGACATCAGAGCTCGTGTACGTGGTGGAAATCAACCATCAACTGCCAATGGATTTGCCTCATTGCTTGTTTTGATCCCATTGTAAATTTATTTAAAAACTATTTGAATAAACTAAAAATGTCTACTTTGGTTCCACTACTAAAAGAGAATCAAATTATTTTATGTATCCCGATAAAAGGGGTTACAATGAGTTTCACAAAAAAAATAATGAAAAAATTTTTGAAACTGGAATTTTTATGACATGCAAAAAAATGTGTTTTTGACAAAGAAATTGTGTAGATTGGGTTCAAAGTAAATCAATTTCGTTTAAAACATTTTGGTTTTGGGTAACCGAAAGCTCTGATTTGTCCTTACTTATAGTTTTTTTTCATTCATCACTTGATGAGATTGAAGTCTGAAGAATTTTAAAAATGTCGGATTTAATTCAATTTGTAAATTGGTCAAAAGTTACCAATTTACAATAAATATCTTTAATTTATTTTTTCAAAAAGAATTAATATTGTTTCAAAAACTATTTAAACAACGAAAAATACCAAATTCAAAAAAACAAATCAAATACTTAGTTTTCCATTATCTAATTAAACAAATATAACAAATTCAAAAATGATGTGCGGAAATACATGTGGTTGTGGACACTCAGGATGTGCTGGAAATTGTGCCTGGGCAATCAAAGAGTTGCAAGGTCAAATCAACAAACTCACTCAACAAGTTACCAATCTCGAATCTTCCAAGATAACCACCCAAACTGTTAAGGTTCCAGCTCATTCTCACAGTATTACCAATGCTGAATTCACTGCAATTCCAGGATCACAAGCTACTCTTACCGTCACCCGTCCAACCAAACTTGTTGCTTTTGTCAGTTTCCATTCGATCACACCATCTGTAAACACCAGTTGTGATGTCACCTCTGCTCTCAATGGAAGTATTTTAACTCTTGCTGGATACACTGATTACCCATGGGTAGGTTAAATTAATTTAATAATTATTTATATGAAGTATTAATAAATTTCATTTCTAGCCAACTGGTACCAGTATCAATCATAACAATTGGTGCAATGGAGTCAGTATCACCCAAGAAGTCTTGCAACCAGGATGCACCTACAATTATGACATCAGAGCTCGTATACGTGGTGGTCAACCATCAACTGCCAATGGATTTGCCTCCTTGCTTGTTTTGATTCCATTGTAAATTTATTTTTTTCAAAAAAAAAAAAATTAAATAAAAACAATTGGATACCACTTAATGAATGAAATAGTTTTAATTACTTACCAGTTGGTTTCATCATAGTCAGAGAGAACTTTTTGGTAGTTTTGTTCCAAATCTTGTTCTGAGACGTAGGCCATTTTTATTTATATTTAGAGTTATTTAGTTTAGAAATACAAAAAAATTGGTATAACTTATAGAATACAGAGAATATTTAGATATTGATGAGTTGATTGAATATGAAAAGGATTTTATGCAACACTGATTGAAAGCAAAAATGAAAAACCAACAAACAAAATAAATATTAAAATTTAAAAAAACAAAAAAAAACAAAATTAAATTTTTATTTTAAATTTATATATATGATTTGCTATTTTCAAAAAAAAAAAAAAAAAAAAAAAATTGAATGAATCAAAATGATTTTTTTTTTGATTCATTCAATTCAATTGAGCTTTTCTTTTTAATAATTTAAAGCATATATATATTTTTAAAATAAATAACAATGAAATTTTTAGTTTTAGTAACTGTATTATTATGTATTCTTAATTCAGCAATTGCTGACCCAAAATGCTATAGATGTTATCATACTGATAGAGCAATGTGGTGCTCGATAGATTTGGGATGAGCTGATCAATTGTAAAAAGTATATCTTCTCGCTTTGAGGATTTAGTTTTCTCTATATCTACTAGGTATGATCTACATAGTGTTCTACTGATATACTTGAACCAATCTACACACCAACGAATAATCTACAATACTGATCTTTTCTGAATACAACTTTTTAAATCTATCATTTACAATAGCTATCCTAAACTCTTTTTCTGCCCAATTCAATCGTTTACATATCAGGTGATCAATTATTTGGTAATGAATAACATGTATTTGTATTGTCATTTTCAATAAAAGAATATGAATAACTAAAAAAAAATAAAAATGTATATCTTTTACAAAAATCAAATTTCATCGCTCACAACTAGTTTTTCTATTTTTGATTGACAAGAAACTTGCTATTGTTATTTTTTTCAATACCACTAAATTAGAGAAGATGATTGTTTTTTGATAATTCAGAGATGAAAAAAATAACAATAGCAAGTTTCTTGTCAATCAAAAATAGAAAAACTATTTATTAATTATTATTATTTAAAAAATCTTATACAACCATCACAAATTCTCTATCTTTTATTCATTCTTTATCAAACAGAATTCTCTCAACTAAATATTTTAAACTTTTTATTCAAACATTTTTTTTTTGAACTATTGTTTTTTTAAATTTATATATATATAGTTCATAGTCACTCTTTTCAATAGATTTAATTTTGTTTTACCATAAAATCTTTATATTACTTTGTAGATTTTTTTATATTTTTCATTATATACTACTTTTTATTTTTATTATTTATATAATTTATATAATGTCATTCACAACAGAATTTATAAATATAAATAAAGTCATATCAAATCAAGAGCTGATTAAGACTTTACAATCAAACAGTATAATAGCTCGTGATTTACAATCACTTTTTATGTTATTTCTATCTCGTTTTTTAATTATGTTTAATCATCTCATTGGCAGAGATTCAATAGATGATTTTAAGTTTTATATTGATAGTAGTCCTAAAGATTCTATATATTTAAAAGATAATTATTCTCCTAAAAAATATTTAATATTAGATTTTTCTACTATATTTTATTGTTTAAATCGGTTTTTAAGAAAAAAAGAAAAACCAATAGATAAATTAAAATTCACATTAGATAATAGTAGCAAATATGAGAAATCCTATTATTTTGTACTTCAACATGAATTGAATAGGAAAAAATCACAGTAAGTAGACTTTAATTTATAAATTGTTTTTTTTATACCTTTAAAATAAATAAATAAATTACAATGATATTTTAAATATAATTTTATTTTAAAGTTTATAGTTGTTTTTTGTTGTTAATCATATTTAGATATATTCTATATATAATATAATTGAATATGCTATTATATATTTTTATAATAAACTTAAAAACAAATCATATTTACTTTTATTTTGGTAAAAAACAACTAGGAAATTATTTAAAGAAGAAATTGAAAAGTTTATTAATTCAAATGATAATATAAAAAATGAATTACAAAGACAACCCAACTTCTTTACATCAACACTCAACCAAATAGTGAGCGAGATAGCAACTTCAACAATGAACCATTTTAATACTCACATTCAACTACTTTTAAAAAATATCATGAAAGCTCTTAATATTATATTCAAACAAATATTAATAAATAATAATATTAATAATATTAGCAACTATGAAATTTTCTCATTTCTTATCGAAAAGCGCTTAGTAAGATTTCATTATTTTCTAAATAGTTTGTTTGATCTATAGTTAACATTTTAAAAATTTTGTAGATTGGTTTTTTTAGTGTTAAACAATATCGTCAAATTGTAGAGTTGTACAACAAGCATCGAAAACTTTCAATTCCAATCCAACTAGGTATAGACCACGATATTTTAAAACGTATTTGTTTAGACATTGATTCAGAATTAGTGGTTGCATTAAATGATCTTGATTGGGATTTTAGTAAGTAAATCAAATATTCTTTATTTCATTTTTTAATAAAAATGTTTATATTAATTTTTAAATATATAAATATTAGCTTCGATTCAATACTTTCGTGAATACGATTTTGGACAACTATCAGATTTGAAAATAACATCGAAACATTATGAGTGCAGAATCGATTTCCTATATAGATGTTGTTTGGACATAGTAAAAAGGACCACCAATAGCAAAATGAATGATTTAACTGAACCATATTTTATGTATAGATTTTTGTTGGAGATTGATTCTGGTATTTATTTATTTTTTAATTAATTTCTATATATATATTCCCAGTTATTAACAAATTTTTTTTTTTAGAATTAAAAAACTTGCATCGACTTGAAGGTCAAATAGATCATATAGGAATTTTACAGAAACTAGTTGATTTTAATATCTATCAGACATTTCCTAAAATGTATAATAATGGGTTTTATGGCGTGGATTCATTTTTCAAGATTAGTCAAATGTTGGAATCAAACCAAACACCACTCGAATACTTTCTATTAAAGGATCCAACTCTCATGAATTCTAATTTTTTATCAGGTTGGGCAGGGGTCAACAAAGATCATTCTGATGGTAGTGTTTCGGATGGCACTGATTCTGAAATGGGTACTCTGCCCATTTCCCAAGATACCGATGCTGGTGGTACTGTGTCTGTAGCTGATGATTCTGTAATGGATACTCTGCCCATTTCCCAAGATACCGATACTGGTGGTACTGAGTTTGTAGCTGATGATTCTGTAATGGATACTCTTCCCATTCCTCAAGATACCGATGCTGGTAGTACAATTCCCGCTCCTATAGATAATGAATGTAAATATTTACTAATATTTTTTTTAACCAAATTTTTTTTTTAAATTTAAAACTAATATTTTTTTTTAATAAAACAAAACAAAAGTTGTACCATCACTTCTATCTAGATTAAATAATGCAATAAAGAATATAATTAAAAAGTCATCTATATATAAAGATCTAACCAATGATTTATTGTTTCTTTTCAAACAACTTGTGGAGTTCAAATGCGATGCAGAGTATAAGATACAGTTTATAATATTAGCAGTTCAAGAGCTAATAAAGCATTTGGAATCCTTCACCACAGCATATATACCATTGTTTTATGATCATTTTACCAACACCACCAATCTATTTATTCATCAAATCATTCAATTAATAACTAGCAAATTCATCGATAATCACTATTGGTTTATAGATCCAACGAATGGTAATCCCGTGAACCCAACTGGAAACGATGTATTGATCGTCACACATAATCCTTTGTCATCGGTCGACCGTCAATGGAAACCTACTCAAGAGTCATCAAGTTCTACTATTCCACCCAAGGTTGTTCCACCCAAGGTTGTTCATCAGCTTAAACCACCAACAACCGTTAAGGAAACACTCCTTTTAAATGTGAGACAAAGAGAGCTGGTTGCACAGATGAAATCAAGGCGCGAGGTTAGAAATCAAGATGGAGTCGTATATACTAGCTACCTCGAATCACCGATGGATCAATACATGCAAGAGTATGACTTTGGTAATGCAGAAACATCCATATTGACTGGCGATTATTCGTACGATTGGCGAGAATGTTGGGAGAGAATGGAGGAAGAACGTTTCAATCAAAATTTCATTAATGACCGGATAGAGAAAGAAGATGACGATGAGGAGGAAGATTCAATGAATGATGATCAAGTATTGACTGGCGATTATTCGTACGATTGGCGAGAATGTTGGGAGAGAATGGAGGAAGAACGTTTCAATCAAAATTTCATTAATGAACTGATCAAGCAAGACAAAGATAATGTAGAGTATACAATGGTTGGTAATCATTTAGATTCAATGCAATTTAATCCACCATCAATCGAAATCAATCATCAATTGTATCCCACACCTCGTTCAACTTTACCAACTGTTGATTCCGAAATCTTCTCTACGGATGATTCCGATCTCTCCTCTTTGAATGATTCCGATCTCTCTTCTGTAGATGACATGGATCTTGAACCGATAGTTAACACAGATAGCTCCGCAACTCTATATCCGTCATGGTATATTCTAAAGAACTACAGCAACGCTGCTTTGAATCTATCGGCACTGGCATGGCGGACTAAAACTCGATTCACATTAGTTTGGACAGAGTTGTGTCCAATCGTATTAAGTTCAATCAATTGTATTTCTTTTGTTTTGGATCCTATTCTAGAGAATCACTTGATCTGGCTCTTGGAGACTGGACCAAGCAAAATAATTTTGACTGGAAAGAGAGACCAAATAATCTTTGGTAACATAGTTAAGAAATTTAACATTCCAGTGCATCTCGTATTTCAAACACTCGGGTTCTTCAAAGTGCTCATCTTTATTGGTGGAAAGGTAAAGAAAGTTTACTTTATCGAACATCCTTATAGAATGAGTCAGTTTTTAGTTCATACATTTGTTGAATTAGGAATTCAAGAACCATTGGAATATCCATCACCAATTGTAGAAACAACAACAACAACAACAACAACTGCAGAGGTATCATCAGCATCAGCAGCATCAGCAACAACAACAACAACAACAACAACAACAACAACAACAACAACAACAACAACAACAACAACAACACCAGCATCGACCAACAAAAGAATGAGAAATCTATTTCTCCAAAGAGACAAACAGTGGATGGAAAAGGAACCACCGACCAACTCTGAACAAGAATGCAAGAGGAGTTACATTGAGAAACCATTTCGAAAGAAATTGGAAGATCAATGTAATTCTTACAACTATTCTTTGTTACCAATTTTTAAAGGGTAAGAATAATTATTTATTTATTCATTATTTAAATATTAATTTCTAATTTATTTTTTTTTTTCAATAGTTTGGAACCAGCTAATTTACTTTACAAGCCAGATGAGATCCATCAATATGAACCCGATATAGAGAAAAAGATAAAAAAGATTTTTGGTAAGAAATCTATTTATCTGAACCATTATATGACGGATAGTCTTACACTTTATGTTTCTTTTAAAGGTAATATATAATTTAAATATATATAAACAATTGAATCAATAGTTTACTAATTGAAATTATTTATTTTTTCATACATAAACAGTTCCAACCGAATCTGCTGCTAAAGGTAAAAAGAACAAATTAAACTGCGATATATCATTGAAATGTCCAATGGGTATCGATCCATCACCATTCAAGAATCTGTACCTCAATCGCCCTTTGGATTTTGAGTTTAACGATAAAGATGAAAACGATGAGCCTGTCAAACACTGTAAAGACCTACTGGATTCTGTCATGGTTCTAAATAGTGGTAGTCACAAGTACCAGATTCGTTCTTCTTTTTATGAGTATAAAAGAAAGCAAGTTTTGGGTAAAGATTTTATAGAGTATGAAACGAAATCTCCATCTTTAAAGTGTAAAGTATTCAATAGTTTAGGATTATCAAAAAAAAAAAAAACAAAAACTAATATTTTTTTTTAAAAAACAATAATAATTATAGCATCCCAAACCAATCATATTCTAACACTAGCTCCATATGATAATCTTATCGCTTTCAGATACACAGATCACTATGAAACGTTTTTAGAGTACAGAAACCAAAGAGGTGTTCAAGAATTGCAAATATTGAATCTTCGCTCTTTGCAAGGCAAGAAGAGATCGAAAAATTGGAGAGCTGCCAAAATCTTTACCCATGCCATTAGAGAAGTTGATAGAAGAATTGGTGAAGAGACGTCAACACCAAATAATAATAGTAGTAATAGATTTAGTATTCTCAGTATTGATGACGATGATGATGACATTGATGACGACGACGACGATGATAACGATGATAATGATAATAACAACAATAACAATAACAATAATAATAATATACAAACAACTAAATTAAGAGGAAAATCAAATAATATTTATAAACAACATGACATTAATTATCACAACTATCAACATGCATTGTCAATCATAATAAAAGAAATAGGTTTAAATCTAGCTAGTACACCAAATCAGCTGCCACATAGACATAGAAATAATAGTAAAATCAATATAGACCAATCAGAATTAATTATAATAGAACAGTATATTAAAGAACTAGAGGCTATTGGTACAGACAATTGGAAAAAGAGATATAGCAAATTAGTTAAACAACTTTTTCCAATAATTGAATACAGAAGCAACAGTGGTAATACAGTGATGGAATCACTATTGAAGGATCTAATCAAATGGTTTCATACTTTTAAGAATCGTAAAGGATGGGAGAAGATTATCGGAACCATCTTGGCACGGAAATCAATCAAATTATTTCCATCACCACCAACTACAACAGCAACAGCAACAGACAATACAACGACAGACAATACAACAACAGACAGTACAACAACAGACAATACAACAACAACAACAACAACAACAACAACAACAACAACAACAACAACAACAACAACAACAACAACAACAACAACAACAACAACAGCTACTACAACTCCAACTAAGATATGTATTGATAAAGATCACCATAAGTGCAAAGCAAAGGTACCCAACTTTTCTAATGGACGAGGAAAAGAAACTTTAAGATGTAGAGAATGCCTAGATCGAAAAAAGGCAGAGAGAGACGATAAGAAAAAGAAGGAATTGGAAGAGAGGATCAAGAAGAGAAGGAAAGAGAAGAGAAAGAGAAAGAAAGAAAGAAAGAGAAAGAGAAGAGAAGAGGAAGACGACGATGACGATGACGATAACAATGACGATGACGACAACGATGACGACAACGACAGTGACGATGACGACAATGACGACAATGACGAAGACGACAACGACAATGACGATGACGATGACGATGACGATGACGATGACGATGACGATGACGATGACGATGACGAAGACAATGACGAAGACGAAGACGATGACGATTCGGACGACGATGACGATAACAACTCACCAATTCCGAATAGAAGTAAGTAGTAAATTATTTTTAAACATGAAATGTTAAAAACTAATGAATTACTTTTTTTATTTTAATAGGATGCAAGTGGAAATGCAGCAATTGTAATATTTTAAATAACTATCGTCGAGACAAAATGTTTCAAGACCGAGGTCGAGTATGTTTGGCCAAGTGCAAGCATTGTAAAACAACTAAACCAATATTTTATAGCAAATCAGTTGCTAAACAATATGCCTTGAGATTGTTATTTTGTAAGTATCAATTTTTAAATTATTTTTATATTTTGTTAAACAAAACTAATACTTTTTTATTTATTTAGTCTTTGGAAATGGTCCTGGCCACCAAGGATATGTCTCAGGGATGAAAGGTGTAAAACATGCACCCTACGTCGCCAGAGACATGCAAGCTCTCAAACAATATATTTTTACTGTAACCGGTGTTATGGTGGATCAATTCGTAGTAGATGAATATAATACTTCTCAGGTATGTCATTGTTTATTAAAATATTATTTTTTTTTTTGCTTAAAAACTAATGATGAATCTTTTTTTTTTTTTAATAATTTTACTATAGATGTTTTCACCAAAACTAATAGAGAACGAAGAGATATATTTAAAGAATAGTTCACACTATGAAAAGTCCAAGGTGGAAGAATATATTAAAGATCCATCCTGGGATCCGCATAGTCGACAATCCGAATCTAAACTGCGTTACACTCGTAAGATGTACCAGGTGAATGACCAACCGGTCTATATCAATCGTGACGTAAATGGTGCTAACAACATTCTATTGGCAGGTATGCGTCAGTTCGAACGTCCATCGAACAAAAATGGACGAAGATTCACTCTACTCATGAAAAAACGAGGTGAATCAACTACGGCTGAGGAATGCGACGATAGTAATTTGGTGGCTGATGAATAGCTTTCATCAGGTAAGTTTTTTTTTTTTTTTTTTTTTTTTTTGAAAATAGCAAATCACTAATTTTTTCTATCAATAAAACACATTCATTTATCTTTAAAAATCTATATTTATTTTTTAACTTTTTTGAGATTAAAAGTTAGTTATTATCTGAGTTGAATGTGATCAGTTTGTTAAATCAGAAGGTGGTTATTTCAATGGATTTCTCCTTTGAGTAATTGTGACCAGCCTATCGTGATCGATAACGTTGGCTGCTGCAATGACCTGTGCAAAATTGATGAGAACAACATTGCATTCGAAGATGTTTTTAACTTATCGCTTCCCCTCAAGTTGGAAACTCGTGAGAGACTAGCTAAACTAGAATACCACAAACTAATCAGAAAATCAACCCAAGACTTCGGTCGAAACAACTCAAACATTCAAGCATCAATCTAAATGGCTGAAGAAGCTAGACGACTTCAAATTCATCTGGAACCACCAAACCTGAACTTCACAACGCCATTCCACCTCACTAGCCAATAAACGAATAACAATAAAATCCATTTGAGTATTCTTCAAGATATGAGAATACTTTATAAAAAAAAAAACAAAATTAAGTTTTGTTTTTTTTAAATTAGCCTCTTATCTTGAGGAGTAACCTGTGGATTTTATTTGACTATTTGAGTATTAAGTGAAAGAGGTGATTGGTTTGATTGGATTAGTTCTCGAGTTTTTTGCTTAATGCTTAGCTTGACATGGTTTGGATTGGCTTTGACTAATTGCTTAGGATGGTTATTTTGGATTTGAACTTCACCTACCCAAATAAAGTCCACATGGGGCGTTCGAAACCAGCATTAATTTTTTTAAGAATTAAGTTGGTAAAATTCTGTTTTAGAACAGTAAAACGCCCAGTTAGCTCAGTCGGTAGAGCGCAAGGCTTTTAACCTTGTGGTCGGGGGTTCGAGCCCCCCATTGGGCGGAATTATAAATTTACAAGCGCCGCAAGCGGGTAAAAATGACTGAACTAATCTTTTTTTGGCGCGCCACGTACTACTATCTGGGACCCCATGAAGTTGACACCGACATAGACTTGATGTGTTTGGCAAAAGTGGTAGAGCAAAGCACCAACTTGACAAGGGTGTCCTTTAATAGAGTTGATCAGAGAATCAAGCGAATGGTGCAATCCAATAACCAAAAATAAAGATAGCTAGATCTAATAGATTAGCGTTCGATTTAAAAACAAAAAAAAAAAGCTGACACCGACAGTAACTAGCAGGCTTATCATAGGTGAACAAGGAGTGGTTTACACACGTACCCGTTTAGAATTCTTAGTGGATTAATTTCTCCGTCTGCAAAACTAAATCAATGGGAACATCATCCTTTACTCAAAAATGATGGCCATCTCAGCCGGACTGAGGCTGAACTGCTCCAACAATAAATAAACTCTAGGGTAATATCAAGCTCCACCTTGACTATTAGTAATGGTAGTACAAGGATAATTTAAAAAAAAAAAATATCCAGGAGTTAATTCCTTACAGATTAAGAAGGTTCAACTGATGAAAGTGCCTCCCCACTAATACTACTTTACAAAAATTGGAGTCACTCCGAAGTGAGCCAAACCACCTCTTTCTTTATATTTCATAAAACAAAACAATTTCAATTCATCTTCATCTTATATTCAAATCTTTTCTATTTCTAATTCTATTTAGATATACCTTTCGATTAATAAATTTAATACACACTATATCTAAAATAATAATCATTTTTTTTATTTCTCAAGTTAGAAGTAAGAAAACTGAAAAAAAAAATTCAATTCTTAATCATTTCAGTCATCCTTCTAACTTCATAATGATCCTTATGATTATTTTGTTATTGTTGTTGTTTTTTCATTCGCCACTCTTTTCAAATAATTAAAAAAATATATTTACTTAAAGAAAATACTTTTTAAATCAATTTTAAAAAAAGAATTTATTAATTTGATTTTAATGATTGAACTTTAGAAACAATTTGGTTGATTGTAACGGAAGGTATTTGACTGACGTTGAACATGTCAATTTCAAAGTTATTGTCAAAGAATGATTTAATCTGGACAGTCATGAGAGAGTCAACACCAAAGTCTTTGAGTTTTGTGTTTCCATTGAGCTTACTGGCAGACATCGATAGGAGCATAGCAATATTGTTGGAAATGGTATCATAGATATCGACATCAGTACGATTGATTGATGACTTCCTATCTGATCTGATATCTACGTGGTGTTCAATCTTTGGCTTAATCTTTGGATTGTAGTCATAGTTGCCTTGAGTTGTAATATCCGATACGATTTGATTCACAAACTGTTTGTTTGGTTGAGAGATAGCAGCTTCCAAACCACCTAGGAATTGTGAAACATGAAGTGATGCAACTCCTCTTGAGAAGAAAAACTCTTTGATTCCGACGGATTCAGCTACCAAACCTTCTCCTAACAATGGACCGAATCTCATTGATTTCGATGGTAATCCAAGAATGTTGCTACGGTATTGACAGATAGCATCGATGACAAGATTCGCAGAGTTGTAAGATGGTTGGGAAGGGGTACCACTAATCGATGAGATCGAAGAGAACAATATGAACTGTCTGATTGGTAATTGTAGTTCCATTGTTATTTCATGGAGGTTGATCGAACCAATGACCTTTGGTTGATGAACTCGCTGGATATTCTCGAGAGTCAATTCATTTATTCCGAAATCTTCATAGATGGCAGCCAAATGGAATATAGTTTCAATTGGTGGATATTGTTGTTTGATTGATTCCATTGTTGTCTTTAATTGCTGTTTTTTTGAGACATCAGTCTGAATGAAATGAATCTTGGCTCTATTCGATGATTTGTTGTTGAGATTGATCAACTTTCTCAATCTGCTCTTGAGTGGTGAGATGGAGAGAACAACAATATCTGATGCATTGGTGAATTTAGATAACCAGGCAATCAATTCAAGTGAGATACCTTGTTGACCAGTAGTGATAACTGTATGATTGATATCTACTTTGAAATTTGCTTTAGGAACTGGGAGTTTTTCACCTGATGCTATTAAAGGTTGGAGAACTTCAGTTTCAATCGATGACATATCGACCACTATCTTTCCGATATGCTTTCTTTCCTTCAATGACAGAACGGCTTTTTTGGCATCACAAGCAGAGTAGACCTTGTAAATCTTTGGACCATCCAATTCACCAGATGCCATTGCCTGGAAGAGTGAATTGACCATATTTATTGTGTATTCGATTCTTGATACGACTAACAAATTGAAATCGACAGTGGCATAGGCTTGATCTCTCTTGAAATTTCCATAGTCTAGAGGTTCATTGTTGTAGACATGAGTGAGCGAAATGTCAGCAATTTTACCCCATGGTGACAATGCCTTGAAGTTAGCATTCATATAGTCGCTGGAGAGAGTATTCAATAGGACATCAACACCAGCACACTGTTGTTTAATTTGTCTGGCAAAATCAACAGTGTGTGAGCTGAATACATCAATGAGAATGTCGGAATAGTTAGCTCTGAGATAGTCCATCTTCTCTTGTGAACCACATGTAGCATAGACCTTCTTGCATCCCTTCCATCTCAAGATACTCAAAGCTGCCAAACCGACACCTCCAGTGGCGCTATGCACAAGAACAGTGTCATTCTCTGGATCCAATTGACAGACTTTAAAGAATGCATGATAGACAGTACCATAGACAACAGGCACAGATGCAGCGGCGTGGAATGATATTTCCTTTGGTTTGTGAGTAAAGTATTTAACGTGATTAATTGCATGAGATGATATGGAGTGAGAATGAGCTCCAACCACTTCATCACCAACCTTGAATTTTGTTACTGCACTTCCAACTCTAGTGACAATACCACTGTGTTCTAATCCAATGGGTGGATGGAAAGGGTCTCCCTTGTCCATGAAATCTTGTTGCAGCATGTGTAGATGAAACAAGTAATCCTTAAAGTTGAGACCAGCCGATTTAATGGAAACTTCGATTTGTTCTGGCTCCAACTCAGGTCTTTCGAAAAGTTTGTATTCCAAACCGATGTTGATATGACATCCAAGCTTGGATTGATCCTTTTCATAGGCTACAGAGGTCTGAAGATTTTCAATTGCATTATGATAGGTTCTTTCGATGTGTACCTTGTTCTCTTTAATATAGTATTCAAAGTCACCAAGAGATGAGTAGTTGTTTACTATTTGGAGAATCAACTTGATATTGTTGTCATTCAACTGGCTATCAACATCAATGAATGAGAGATTGATTTCATAGTGATCGCAAAAACCAGATTTGGTAATACCATTCAAAGAGTTTGCAAAATAGTTGTTTGTCTGACAATCTCTTGTAACGATAGCAATGATCGGTTGATTTGGTTTCTTGATGAACAGTTTAATCAATTTAGATGCATCAAAGGTAACAGATTGATAATTATCCAATGTCAAATGTTCGACTCCTGCTACCAAGAAAATATGGGAAGAGTGTTCCAATAGTGATAGATTCGATTCAATCTCGTTGCATTTAATGATAGAGAGATTGTTTGTATATTTTCTAAGTGATTCAATCGGAATTGGTTGTTGGCCATCCTTTACGATAACGGTAAGGTGGTCACATGGTTCGTGAGTTGGTGGCAATTGATTGACTCCACTACGTTGAGCAACCACAATTACAGAGTGTCCACTTTCAAGTGAGAGTGGCTCACCCTTTTCGTCAACTGAACCAAATACTCTGGTATTCTTATATCCAGTCTCCTCTGAGAGCAAATCGATCCATTGTTGTGGTCTGAGAGTGTAGTGGTCACGGATATCGTCTTCGAAATTCCAAATTTGAGTGAAACCACCAAACATGATATCTACCAATGGATATTTGTAGTTTGGCTCAGAAAAAGCCAACAGACCACTTGGTGTAATCAACTTTTGAATGTGAGAAAGTGATTCCTTGAGATGTGGCACGATATGGATTACGTATGCCATGAGAACGTAGTCGTAGTGACCAGGAAGATAACCTTGTTCGAATGAATCCTTCTCCAAGTCATACAAACGGAATTTCAAATGTAGATTTGATTTTAATTTCTGTTTGTTTTGGTAACGGTCTTTCATTGAATAGATGAACGCAGGTGAGACATCGGTGAATGTGTAGTAGACTTCAACTTGATTCTGACCTTCAAGTATTTCATCGAGTTGAGAAATAATGAGATGTGTAAGTGCACCAGTACCACCTCCAATCTCGAGAATATTAATGAGTCTCTTCTCTTGCTTCTCAACGATCGGCTTAATCGAAGAGGTAACAACATGAGAGAGTTGTTTCAAATAATATTTCATAAATGGAGACTTAGTGTAGAAATTCTCTAGTAAACCATCATTGAATAGGACCTCTGGTGCTCTTCCATTGCCCAACAAGACTTGAGCAATGACATCACATGAGAGTTTGACAACAGTGTATTCATTAGATTCAGAGTTGGAATATTTCGACTCCAAGGCCAATGCAAATTCAGGGGTGAATGTTTGGTCGTTAAAGTGTTGCATGTATTGTCCCAAGATTTCGAGACATCTTATGAATAATCTATCATTAGATTTGCTTCTATTGATTCCATATTTATCAAACAATTCTTCAATTGAATGAGATTGGATGTCTTTGATATTGAAACCTGGAATGTTGTTGGTCAGAGCAATAACCAGTATTAAAATAGCATCAACAGTCGAGACGGCTTGACTTTTAAGAGAATCTTGAATGAATGACTTTGAAAGTGATAAAGCATCTACATCTGTCGGCAAATCTTTAGATTGAATTACAGTCGAACAGAGTTCCTTTTGAGGGAATTTAATCTTGGACATTCTTAACTTCTCTGGTGTGGTAACAGTAAATCTCTCCATCTCCAGAAGAACTTGACCATCCGGTAACAAAAGTAAACAATGTCCAGTGTAGTTGTAGTTGTTCGAATCTAAGATAGTGGTTGCCAAATACAATTCCTGTGGAAGATTTCCAGAGTCCAATTCGTTCATCAACTTGATGTTAATTCTCATATCCTCGATTGATTTAAAAACAAATTGTCTTCTTTCATCGAGCAGTCCCATCATTCCATGAGCACAGTTGTCAATCAATGTAGTATTGAGTATTTGTGGTGGTGTGATGGCAGTTGACTTTGGTATGAGAGTTGCCAAAGTACATTTCTCTCCGACCATGATTGAAGTTACATGTTGGAAAGATGGCCCATACTTTAATCCTACTCTTTCAGTCATTTGATAGAATTCTCTTTGATTGAAAGTTGTTAGATTGCATTGCTTCTTGAACGATTCAATATCAAGGTGATGGTTGACGACAGTAGTATCAGAGAATGAAACTCTGGATTGAGCAGTCTTTACCCATTGTTCATTAGGATTGTAAGCTTCACCATTCTTGTTGAAGAATTGAATCTTGTAATCGTTGTTGGACAGTCGGTCAATTACAGTTTGCATCTTTGGTGGTGTTTCTTTCTCGTGGAGGAAGAATGGATTGAGGAATTCAAGCTTATTGATTACGATGTCTTGTCCATTCGATTTGAATGCTTGTATAATGGCTTCAGCATAACCGGCACCTGGGAACAATGGTTTGTCCTTGACTTGATGGTCCTTGAGGAAACGGAATGGTGATCTCTTGATATCGATATCTGAGTGATAAACTTGCTGACCATTGTGAACTCCCAAGTGACCGAGAATAGTTGTTGGTGGGCCATTTATTCTCTTGTGGTGAGAATATGCAGATTCCTTCCAATACAACTCGTCATCCCATTGATATCTTGGAAGTAAGGTGGTTGAATCCTTCCAACTGATATTCAAAAATTCGGAAATCTTGAACTGAGTCTTGAATTCGACGTTTGCTCCATAGCAATGAACATTGGCTAAAGACAGTTTGAACAGAGCTTGCTCATCTTTGTTTCTTTGGATTGGCGAAATGACAACAGCTTGTGGTATACATTGTTTGATTAAACTGGAAAGAGTTGGATGTGGTGCAATCTCAAGGAAGATGTAATCCTCCAATTGGTCACCTAAATTCTTTGCAATAGTTTCCATGGTCTTTTGGAACTGTACTGGACGACGAATATTATTATAGAGATATTGAGCATCCATTCCTTTGGTTTGGAGTTCACCAGTTACTGTGGAGTACCATGGAATGGTTGGTTTGGTCGATGTCATATGACCGAGAGTTGTCATAATTTTGGACTTAATAACCTTTTGGTGTGAAGAATGGAATGAACATGGTGTTCTGAGAAAAGTATTGAATAGATCCGCTAGTTTCAAATGCTTTACCAAATCGGTCAAACTTGCTTCATCACCAGTGACAACAATGGACTCTGGCGAATTAAAACAAGCGATTTCCAAAGTTGGAAATTGACTTTGGAATTTGGTTTGGTAGTCATTGAAACTCATACCAACTACCAACATTCTTCCGGATCCAATTGTCTCATTTTGGAATACAGATCTGAAATGAACAACCTTAATTGCTTCTGTTAATGAGATACTACCAGAGATATAAGCAGACGTAATATCACCAAAACTAAAAGATAATATTTAGTAAATAAATATAAAAACTTCAGTATATCTAATTTACATACCTATGACCAACTACAAAAGATGGATGAATTCCCCAATTTTTGTAAAGTTCAAACAATCCGATTTGGAAAAGGAAAAGAGATGGTTGTGCAATGATTGGTTTGTGGATATCATTTGATTGATTTGGAATCTCGTTCATCTTCTCGATGATACTGTAACCAGTGTACTCTTTGAGCAGAGAGTCATAGCGATCTACAATCGATTTGTAGACTGGCTCTGAATGGTATAGTTGCATACCCATTTGATTCCATTGTGGACCTTGTCCACAGAATACAAATGCCACTTTCTTTCCTTTGGAGTCGTTAAGTGATGGCAATTGGAATTGGACAGAAGATTTCTGATTATTCTTAAAGTCCTCCCAGTCTTTGGCAATGATAACCTTACGGTTGGTCATATGTGACTTTGAAAAGGATTGATGCAAGACGAATTCCTTGAAAGATATCTTCTTTTGAAGTTCGGTGTTTGAAACAATAGATTCAATGTATTTATCCAATGAACCAGCAGAGTTTCCACTAATTGGAACGAGATATTCAATTCTTTAAAAGTAATAATTTTAGTATTTATATGTTACACAATTTATAATAAAAAATACTTACTGATGAGTATCTGGAAGAATTGGCTTCAATTCGTTTCTATACTCTTCAAGAATTAAATGACAATTAGCACCTCCGATACCAAATGAATTGATACCCATGAGAATTGGACGTTCGGTTTGAGGGAGATCCTCAACTTTGGTTACCACTTGAATATTCCAATCGTTGAAAGGAATCTTTGGATTCAAAGTGGTAAGTTTGATATTTGGAACCAATTTTCTGTTCTTTAACATCAAGGAAACTTTGATTAAAGAAGCGATACCAGCACCACTTTCAAGATGTCCAATATTTGCTTTGATTGAACCGATCTTGAGTGGATTCTCGTTGGTGTGATGCTCGCTGAAAACCTTAGAGAGTGCAGTCACTTCGATTGGATCACCAACTACAGTTCCAGTGGCATGTGCCTCAACGTAGTAGACATCCTTTGGATCCACTCCAGTCTTGCGCAGAGCACGTTCAATATTTTCAGATTGTGTGACGTAAGAAGGTGTAGACATGGTATCCTTATTACAGTGACCATCGGTGTTAGTATTTCCACCCTTAATAACGGCATAGATACGGTTATTGTCACGCTCGGCATCGGATAATCTCTTCAAAATAACCACACCACAACCTTCGGATCTAACAAATCCTTTTCCATTGGCATCGAAAGATCTACATTGATCTCCAATAACACCAAAATCGGAATCTAAAATATAAATATATTTAAAAATTAATTATTAATTAACATTTTTCAATTTTGAACAATAAATAATTCTTTTCTTTGTCAACTTACAACAATTGGTTGTCTCTGGGTCAAAGAGAGCTGAAATTCCAGATGTGATGGCCATGTCACAATTTCCAGAGATAAGAGCTTGGCATGCCAAATCAGTGGTGATAAGTGACGATGAACAAGCGGTATCAACACACATAGATGGACCTCGGAAATCGAAACAATAGGAAACACGATTGGCAATTACTGAAAAAGTAAAAGTATCGTTTAGAACCTTGGCAGCACCGTCTAGCACTGAGTATCTTTGGATCAATCTGGAGTTATCGATGTTGGAAACACCAACGTAAACAGCGGTTCTAGATCCACGAACTTGAGAAGCTGGAATTTGGGCATCCTCAAGGGCTTCGTAGGTAACCTTGAGTAACATTCTTTCTTGTGGATCCAACTCTGGTGCATCTTTTGGGGAAAGACCAAAGAAGAGAGAGTCGAATTTTTTCCATTCGTCTAGTGGAATGAGTCCGGCATTCTTAGTACCAACAAGCTTGTGTTCATAGAAATTGGGTGACCAACGCTCAGCTGGAACCTCTACAATACCATCAAAGGAACCGAGAAGATTCTCCCAAAGCTGGTCAGGGGTGAAACTTTCACCTGGAAATCGCAGACCAATACCAACAACAGCAATGCTTTCTGGAAATTGTTGTTCATTGGAAATTGTATTGTTTAAAGATTTATAATCCATATTTTTCGAAATTCCAAAAAAAAAAAAAAAAAAAATTAAATAGATAAATTATAATAATGTGAATAAAAAAATGAATATAAATAACTAACTATTTATGATGGAAGAATAGATTATTGATTTGATTTAACTTTTAAAATAGAATCAATCTATTATTTATAGATTACCATTTGTAAATCGTTTTTTTTTTTTTTTTTTTTTTTTTTTTGGTGCAGCTGGTATTTTGTATCCAACTTTACCAAGGAGTATAGGATATAATAGTTTATCTTCTGTTTCAAAGATAGGTGATCGTTGTAGATTGACATATTGTTTTTTATTGTGATTTCTCATAGTTGAGTGATTTTGGGTGTTTGTATCTATCAGCGTGTATTTTAGATGAAAAACATACATCACCAAATTAATATTACATAATCCACATTTGCAGCTATAGTGCTACTGTATCATCTGCTGATACTAAGAATGCCTTTCAGAATATTGCCGAGTTGAAGTAGTGGTATGCAAATCAATTGGTTACTTTGTTTTGTTGTGTTACTTTGTTTTGACTCTTACTTAACAAATATGATTGGGTGAAAGTTTTTAAAGTTGACAAGAAAATAAAAAACATTTAAATGGTTGGCTAAACAAGAACAAAAACAGCAACGATATCGATAGTACCAATATTGAGTGAATACAGGTAGTGTTGGATCTAACTAATTACATGTTTTGGTTAACTTGATCAAATTGATTGATTGATAGATTTGTTAGTTGTATAGTTGTTTTTGAGCTTAGAGTGTGGGTGTTGAAGTTGCAATAAAAAAAATGAATGATTTGGTTATGAAAGGGGAACAGAACATTAAGTAGGTTGAGGGTCAGTCATTAATATTTAAAGTATATAAAACAACTGAAAATGGTGATTTTTGATATATGAAAAGTAAGAGTGGGAAGATTTAGATTAGGCGTGTACAACTTGTGGGGAGGGTGTCGATCGAGTTTTAAATCAAATCTAAATTTTAAAGCACTTTGTATGAACAGAGGTGGTTATTTATGTTTTTGAGCTTTATTGGGTGTATCACAAATTGCAAACAAAAAATTAAAAAAAATCATTAAAAAGTATTGTCGTTTTTTTTTTATTTTTTATTGGGTCAACATCTTTTTTGTGAAAAAAATAAATGCTTTTTTACATTTTAATTATCTAATCTATTTTTATTTTATTATTCTTATAAAAAAATTTTTTATCATTCATTGATACATAAAGTATTTACTGTTTTTTATATAAAAAAAAAAAAATCTTTTGAAAATCAGAAAACTCTAAGTATTAAAATTCTTAAGATCCAATCACAAATCTTTTTTGATCAAAAATGATACCCCTCAACAAAAACTATTATTAATTAATTTCAAACCAGTAATTATTTTCTTTGATGCTTAAAAAGGAAGTGTTTGGTTAAGGTTTTTTTTTTTTTAAGAAGTTTTGGTGGTACTCAAAACAAGTACTTTGTTAATATTTTCTAAAAAAGAAATAGTGTAGTTTAAGTTTGGGATTTAAATAAATTAATTTTGTTTTTTTATTGGTTAAAAATTATTATTCTTTAAAATAGAATAAATAGTAGTACTACTAGTGAAATAAAACTGATTTTCAATGAAATGAATTGATATGAGGTTACACCAGAAGAGAACTCTTTACAGGCATACCAAATTTTATCATGGAAAGGATCTTCTCCGCATTGACTTTGACAAGAATCAGGCTGGATATTAGATATTCTGGGACATCTCCTTCGATCAACACACTCTACAAATGATTCTATAACCTTTTTGTTTGATGGCGTGAGTGCTATCAACGTTATACATATTCCATCATACAAATGGGTTGGGTTTTCAGAGTTGGAATTATTCATGGTTTTGGTTCCATTTTCAAATAATGGATTTACAGGACTACATATTGATAGATGAGGACAATTTGGATTAGCTCTAATACATTTTATATTATCTATATCATTTGTACATGTATTATTGAAACACTAAATTTTATGTTAAAGATTTTAATATTAATAAATTTTTTCATTAAAATTATATTAAAAATTTTCTAATTTCTTACAACTAATCCTTCTGAAATATCACAATCTAAAGTAGAAGTACAACTATCACCTTTTGACATTCTCATTGCAGGTGTACATGTTTCATTTACACATTTACTGTATCTGTGGCAAGATGATGTAGTATTGCAACTGTCTCCATCTTTAACTATTGGTGTACATCTTTCATTTGGTCCACAATATTCATCAAATCGACATTGAATATCAATTTCACAAGATGGATAATGGACATTAGCACATGATGCTTCACAACTTAGTTTGGAACTGCAATCATCTGAAGTTCTACATAATTCACTATAACTATATTTTTGTAATAAAATTAAATTTAATTAAATTTTTTTTTTTTTTTAAATTATTTATTTACCCTAGATACTCATGTCTTTCACAAATTCCATCATTACAAAAAAAATTGTTTTTACATTGTTTTGTTAATGAGCAGTCTCCGTATAGATCGGGTAACTCGTAACATCTTGGTTCTTGTTTATCTTCACTAATACACATAGAACTTGGATATATACATTCCTGTAATCCTATTGTGCATTTCTCTCCTATTTGTTTACAAAATTCACATATATTCTGTTTCGTTCCATTATTATTTTTAATATTTAAATTATTACTCTGGCATTTAGGATTACCTTCTAATCCAGAACCTAAAACGACTGTTAGCAAAATATTAATAAATAAAAAAAAGAAAACAATAAATTTAAACATTTTTTTAAAGATAAAAACAATAAATATTATTTTGATTAAAATAAAATAAAGAAAAAAAAACTATTAAAGTAATATTATTTAAATATTATAAAAATTAAAGTTGAAGATTGAGGACAAGGATAGATATCTATAGAAAAATAACCTATTTACTTTTTCCTAAAAAGCAAACTGATTGGCAAAGCAAAACCTTGTGATACCTTATATACATAGCTTGACATATCACCCAATAACTACAATACAAACTTCAATCCCCAACAAAAGTATCTGAAGAGTTTTTATCCACAGTGTGTACATGATCAAAAAAATAAATAAAAAAAAGCATCATAAAACAAACAAATTATAATGATACTTATTTTAAATTAAACTTAAAAATATTGTTTATATTTTTAGGATGGTCATAATAACCATTTAAATTTTAATGGGCAAATACTACAATAGAAGACATATCACTTACTAGGTGATAAGTATATGATATGATTTGGAATTGCTGTTGGACGAGTAAATAACATATTAAATCGATTTTCTTTAGCGATCTCGATGCTGATATCTGTACCCACCAAATGATTTCTTTATAATGAATTTGTATGATATAACTTGTATCATAGCTTTAATACTAACAGATTAAGCTATCGTTTATTTTGAACATAGAATAACATTTGATAAGAAAAAAATTAAAATACAAAAGAAAAAGGGTGAAACATAATTATCATTAACACTAGTTTTATTTCTCACAATCATAAAATGGTTGGTTTATGAAAAGTTTAAACGGAAATTCAAAAGATACTAATTGAATTAAATTGTGATTATTGCTTATCGTAATAAGAAGTTATATTTTATTTAAATAAAACTGTTTGTGAAATGAGGTGACTTACTGACTAACTATTGGGGTTGATATTGTTAACAACAATTATATTATACATAATGAATGATGTTGATTATTATTATTATTATTATTATTATTATTATGATGATTGATTAACTATCTAAAATCAAGAATATGTGTAATTTGGATGGAATTGAAGGAGACACAATCCTGGACATTATGTTTTTCATGAAACTGATTATTTAAAATACTAGTATACGCTTTTTGTTTTTTTTTTTTTTTTTTTGATTCTATATCGTACACTACAATCTTCTCTCTATTCCAAAATAAACGTTTATATGTTCTATTCAATTTGTTATAAATTGATTATTAATTATTATAAGTGTGGGTGTGTGTTTTGTTGATTTAAAATAATAATCTTAATATTTTGATAAAAGAAAGGTTGAATGTCATTTCTTGAATAATGCCATCTCAAGTTCTTTCTTTTTCAGTTTGAAGTTGTCTTTTGGTATTGGGTCTTTACCAAAGTTATTCTGATAGATTGAAATAGCACGTTGTGTTGCGATGATCGCTTGTTCTATATGAGGTTTCATTGGTAGTCTTTCCTTTAGAACAGTGTTGAGCGAGAACCAATTACGAAGACGCTTGTCTGATTCGTCCCATTCTTTCTTCTTCTTCTTGACGTACAGTACATAGTAGGTGAGATTACACTCTTTATGATGATCGGCTACCTCGAGTGGCTCGATCGATTTGACGATCTTTCCTTTCAGACCTGCCTCTTCAAAGGTCTCACGCTTGGCAGCCTTCTTCTTTGTTTCGTTCTTCTTGATCGATCCCTTTGGGAACACCCATGTTTCACCACTTCCACTCGTTACCAGCATCACCTGAATATCTAGTAACACCAAACGATCGTGTGGTTGCTCGCCTTTGTCACCGAGCGCACCACCATTGCCACCATCTATATATTTCTTCTTGATTCTCAGCGGTATACAACCTGCTTGAGGTGAATAGCTATTAGACTGATACATTGAACTTATAGGAAACATTAATGTGTTTACTTATACTATTATTTTTCTGAACAATAAAAAGAAATAAGAAAGGTGTGATAATAAATTTTTATGATATTTATATATACAAAATAAAAATTATAATAATATTATTATTATAATACTAACTAACTAACAAATAATAAATATTCAATATTACAATAACATTTAAATAAATAACTAACACCCAAAACAATAAATAAATAAGATCTACTAATGAACAAAAAAAACTATTTATAAATATTTTTATTTGTTTTGGTTGGTCGTTTGTATTATTTAAATGAATTAGTAAATAACTAACATTGTTTGTTTATAAATAAACAAATCTTGTTTTTTTTTTTTTTTACATTTATTATAATTATTGTTTGGGTGACATAAGATCACATAACACAGCACACACATTTTCATGAATATAATAATAAACTATTATAATAATATTAAACACAGTTCAAAATGATATCATTTGTTTTTTTTATTTTTGTTTTTACCTTATTGTGTAAATCGATTCTATGCATCTGCAATGAAATAACCAAAGATTGTATCATTCATTTATATGTCTTCATATTTAACTATTATTATTTTTTAATCAATTTTAAGTCAAAGTTGTGTTAATTTTTTGTTTAAATTTAATTCATCTTTCTTATGGAAGACGATAACTTTTGAATAGAGAACAGATGACTATCACATTAACTCAATGTTTTTTATTAAATTAATTTATATATTTTAATCGGTTGTTATATGTAATAGAATTACAATAATAAAGATGATAATACAATGAGTACGGTGAAAAGGAATGTACCCTTGACAATGTTACCAGAGTTACAGAGTCTGTCGATATTACTTTCGACATCTACTGGGTTGCTACATTTGGAAAGACAGGATTCTTTGATTATGTTGTCTACATATGGACATCCGGACTTGGAAACACATTCATAGTATGAGTTGAATTTAGATTGAGTGATTGAACTAAAATCTATAATATCTTGGCAACCACCAGTGAAATTCGATGGACTATCACATGTGCAAATCGACATATCTGGACACTGCCATTGGTCATTTTGAACGGTACAATTTGTTCCTGAAACGAATTGCATGCAACTTCCTTTGACGCACTAGAATATAAACAAATAATTGTAAAATATTATTATTAGTATTACAACAAATTTAAAATATAAATGGTATTAATCATTATTATATTATTTAAATAAACACTTACTCTTAAACCTTTGGATACATCACAATCAACGGTATCCTCACAGTCTCCACCTTCTGGTACGGTTAAAGGAACGGTACATCTGTTCTTCAAACAGGATCTAGTGTAGATACAGTCGTCGTCCTCTTTGCAGACTGCTCCGTCAGCAAGTGGAGTGGTACAGTTTCCTTCGATACATGTTTCTCCTGGCTTGCAACCTCCTCTCTTGGAACACTTTGGATACTTTTCATTGAGACAAAGACCTCCATTTACGCATTTAAGTTCATTGGTACATTGAGAATCACTTGTGCATTTCTCACCATAACTTTATTAAATACAATAAAATATTATTAATTTAAATTTGAAACTGTCTATTTTATTTAATTACTTACCCTAAATAATCTTTGGCAACACAAATTGATGTTCCATCATCACATTTATAACCATCAAGACATGCTTCAGTAACAGAACAGTTACCACCAAGTGTTGGCAAAGCAACACATCTATTAGTATCGGAAATATTTGCACAGATTGTTCCATATGGACAAATAGAGCTACTTGGATTACAAACATCTCCTTCACCCAAACATCTATAGCATTTTGGGTCAGCAATTGCTGAATTAAGAATACATAATAATACAGTTACTAAAACTAAAAATTTCATTGTTATTTATTTTAAAAATATATATATGCTTTAAATTATTAAAAAGAAAAGCTCGATTGAATTGAATGAATCAAAACTTGGATCCAAGTTGGTCTATTTATATCTAAAATAAACATAGGTGATTGTTTTCGCACCTGTCCAATAAAATTCAAATAAAAACATTGTTTTCTCCTTGGTTTTAAGGATTCGATCTATTAAACAATATCAATGGTATAAACAAACATCTTGACACCATTTTTGAGAGTAAAATTTGAAAGGTTATATTTAATTTTTAAATGGATTGATTTTTTTTCACACAATCTGGTGCAAGTTTTAGTAAAACATATATAAAAAAAATGCAAGATTTTTGCAAAAAAAAGGGTTTGTAATGATTTTCTCTGAATTTTAGTGTAGCTTTGACGGAGTGACCAAAAATTATAATAAAATAAAATTTATTATTAGATTTGTGATTTTTTGAAATTTGATCAAAAGTGAAGACGAACAATGGTTATTCATTTTAGTTAAAATAAATATAAAAACATAATTATTTACAAAGATAAATAAATAAAGGTTGTTGTCTTGACTTACTTAAGTACCCTTAACCTCTTGAAATGAAATCCCGAAAGGGAAGAAATTTTTTGGTTTTTTTTTATTTATTTTAAAATATTTATTTTTTTAATTTAAATTATTCTGATTTTTTTTTATTACCATTAATTATTTAAATGATTGAGAAATGAACATAATTTGATTATTATTTTTATTATTTATCAAATTAAGAAAGAAAGTTATAAAGAGATGACAGATAAAATTGATGAACAACAACAAAATGTGGTTGAAGATCAACATGAACAACAACCACCACCTTCCAATAGAAATGATAGTGGTGTTGGAACTTCACATGACCACTGGGGTATTCTCTATTTAGACAACAACGATGACGATAGCTGTTCAATCATACATATCTATAAGTACAAGAAAGTTATACATCTTGAGGATTTCAAAATGGAAGGTGACAACACTGAAAAGTTGATAGTCAGTAAACAGCGGATTGGTCAAACCGATATGGACTTTGGAGAGCTTGTTGCCAATTGTCATAATGTCACCAATGCATATGTTTGTCAAGAGGGTATAGTTCACCACTGTGAGAAATGGACCAACGAGATAAAGGTTCACTTGCAACCACAACTCCAAGAGGAGAAGAAGGAGAAACAGGAAAAGTATAAAGAAGAACAAATTGAAAAAGAACATAAACACAAAGAAGAAGAAGAAAAAGAAAAAGAAAAAGAAAAAGAAAAAGAAAAAGAAAAAGAAAAAGAAAAAGAAGCAGAGGAGGAAGATAATGATAAAGATCATGGATATCATTTTAAAGCATCAGTTTATATTGTACATATTAAAGATAATCACCAGGAATTATTAAATCACGTGATAACCAATAAGAAACATGGTATTGGTAGGGAAAATGATAAAAATAATTCATGTATCATTTTATAAATAAATAAACAATAAATAATATTAAAATTTGTACATATATTATAGAAATATTGAAAAAAATTACTTTATTCCTCTCATTTTACTTATTAGATTTGAAATATTCTTTTCACTACTTTCATAGTTGGCAATGGATTCCAGGTATTTGTCTTTGGGAATAGAAATGAGTTGTTGGGTAAGTGAGAGCAGTGGATCGTGGGGAACACCGATTGCAGAGAGAATGTTGAAGAGATAGGAGATATCGTTGGCCAGTTGCTGACATCCTGAGTCGGTAAGTGTCGAGATTTCAACGATCGATTGGAGATAGAGCTTCTCGGTGGCTTTGGCAACCAACGACATCCATTGATGTGCAATTCCATCTTCCTCCTCCTCTTCTTCGTCCTCCGAGATGGTGGCAGCAGATGTAGTTTGTTCCGACTTGTACAGCTGCCTGACAAGATTCTGATAAAAGTCATCGTTGGCAATTGGCTGTGACAATGCAATCCTATAGGAGAATCTAATTAGTTCCTCCTCAGAGTATGGATCCAATTGCTGTGGAATATTCAGCAGATGCTCAGCAATCTGTGTGATATAGCTGACTTGTGAAGGATTGGTTTGATATGATTCCGTACCAGATTGTTGTTTCCATTCCTAAATAAAAATCACGACACGTCGTTAGTTGTCAAACAAATCTTAGATTAGATTAAATATATATTGGTTTGTAAACATACAGGTAATCTTGGTAAATCTTTCAACTTTAGACGAATGAAATTAATCATTGTTTCAAATACAAAATGTTGGCAGTGAGCACAGTAATTTTGAATTTGATCTTGGGCATCGTGGAAAAGTGAACGTTTGTTGGTTGCCTGACTGGAAATCTGTTGTATTGTGTTTTGTAGCTTATGTAGCTTGGTTGGATCCTGTAGTAGAATTCTTCTGATGTGTGATTCCAAGTTGACTTCTTCGTCCTGCGACGACAGATAGTGTACCAGTTGCACATAGAATGAATGTTCAAACTGTTTCATCTTTGCGATAAAAGTATTGCAATCCTGTAGAAGCTTCATAGCACCTTGGAAATACTCCCAGTTTTGTTGTTGTTGTTGTTGATGTTGTTGTTGTTGTGATTGTTGTTTTACATTTGCTGGTTGTTTTCTCTGTTCGATTTGTGATAGAATGTCTTTGGTGATCGATATGTTTGACATAATCTTTAGCTCATTGATTGAATCCTTCAGCATGGCAACAAAGTCTTTAAATACATTGTTGATAACATTGATAAATGGTTCCACCTCGGTGACATGTGTCAAACTATAAAATCTATCGATCGACGATTCACAAAGTGGGAATATCTTATTAATTGAATTTTCTATATTTTTAATCGTTGTTGAGAAGTCATTCTTTTTCTGTTTTAAAAAGTATTGGTTAGTAAATTAAGTAGAATCGATTTATATTATAATACTACTTACAACTAATGAAAAAGATGATAGATATTGTTTAAATAGTTTGGATTCATTCTCTGGGAATTTCGTTTGAAATATTTTGAATGGTTCCAACACTGTTTTGATGAGAGTTTCCTTCTCTGGAATGTCGAGCGTTCTGAGGAATTGGATGGTCGTTTTGTAGAGGTTGATAAGTTCATTGGTTTTGCCAGGTTGATTAGGAGCTGCATATTGCTCGATTCTAGTTTGGAATTGTGAATTTATCGATAGGAATAGATTGACCAGTAGCTGCTCCGCCAGTTGCCGGTAGTTGCCAGGTGACAACTTTGATAGCCAATCCATCTCCTGATTGGCAAGTAGAATAACTTCATCATAGAATCCTTGACACCATTGGTTAAGATTAGGAACAATTAGCTGTTGTTGTTGCTGTTGTGGTGGTGAAGTGGTTCCTGGCGAGGTAGCGCTGCCTGCTGGCGACTTGGAACTACCGCCTGCATAAGACGACCACAACGCCTTGATCGGTTCCAAACGCACGTTATAATAGTGAATGAGGAACTGTTGTTCTCTTTTAATCGACTGGAATATCTTGAGATAGTTTACACAGGATTCGAGGTCACGCGACTGTAGCGCGCCAATCAGCTGTGGACGCACAAGCGACTCCAGACGATCCTGATGCGCTTGGAAGTGACGCTGTTGCTCTCTAAACTCTGGAATATCCGATAGCACAGCTAAACTCTGCTTTACACCTTCGAGAGTGTCTGCGATCTTCAAGTAGTCGGCAGATTGGAACAGCTTGTCCAGACCCGATGAAAAAGACAGAAGCTTCTCCGCTTCATTTAGCGATATGATACACTGGTCGATTCTCTTTCTGACAGTGTCCAACGATGAGATTCTAGCGACGGTATCAGAGGTGTTGGCATGCATCGATGCAATGGTCTGATTGATATGCTTCACCTTTTGCTTGAGTGAGACCGACTCCTTTCGAACTCGATCGATCTCACGCACTGCCTTTGGCACATACAGTAGTGAATCCGATGCCTTATTCTCCAATGACATATTCAATTCCAAACTATAGATTTGTAATTTCGATAATATATCAGATGCTCTATTCTAATAATAATAACAATAAATATTAACATAAATAACATAAAAATATTACTCAAATTATTAAACATATACTATATGTACCTCTAAATCAGATTCAATTGAATAGTTGAATACATCATTGGTTTGTGATTGTGATGATGTCGAGTTGGCTGGTTTCAATAAGTTATTTATCCATTGTTTAGTATTGAATGTATCTGATGAGAATATTCCATCAAAATCTATTTGTTGTTGATGTCCACTGCTGCTGCTACTCATCTAAGATGTATTAAAAATGATGACACTTCTTTAAATTAAGATATAAAGAAAGACTGTTCCCTGTGTAATAGTTACTAGTAATTCTTATTTTCAAATTTTGTCAGTTCATTGTGATTAACCCCCACAATCATTGATCAAACATTAAAATTATATTTAATTTTTAATTAATTTTTTTTTACTTAAAAAAAAAGTTTTGGTTTTTTGTATTAATTGTTTTATTCTCGCATCCTTAATTAAAATTAGATAAATCAATTTGCAAAAGTGTGTAAGTACTTATGATAGATAGTTATTACTAAAACATTATAAATAGATAGGCGTCATATATTGTAAAACAATAACAATTAGAAAGTTGACAATTAAAGGTTTTATTTTGAATAGTGTCACAACTATCTTAAAAAAACGATTATAATTTAATTTTATTATTGTCATTACCTATCGAATTAGGATATCAATACCAATTTAGTTTGTATTAATATAAATAAAGAAAATAAACAAGGATTTATACAATTTGTAACTTTTTTTTTTTTTGGTTAACTCTCAATAATTTTTTTTTTTATAATCATTATCTATTACATTTTAAACTCTATTATAACTATAACTATAACTATAACTAAAATATAAATATAAAAAAAAAAAGAAAAAGAAAAGAAAAAAAATATAAATATATTAATATTAAAAAAAAAAGAATACAAAAAAAAAAGAAAATACAAATATATATAAAGAGTTTATTATTATTTGATTCAAGATACTCCTATATTATAATTACCATTATTTTTAGTTTGACAATTCAAATAAAAGTTTTAAAAATAACTTTTAAAAATGAATTATAGAAATAATGGTAGTTCATTTATATTGATTTTAATATTTCTACTATTTTGTACTATTAACTATACATTTTCATTACATTTTGAATTGAATGATGCATCAAAATTAAATGAAAGATTGATTAAAGGAAAAGGTAATAAATTTGATCAAGTTAAATGTATTGATTTTTTTTTTTCTAACATTATTATTAAAAAAACCAGATGAATTGGAATCTATCCTTGTCAAATCAAAGAGAAATGAATGCTGGCAACAATGTATTGAATCTTTAAAGAATGGTTGTAAGGATATGGATGATATAGAAAGATCAAGATTGGCCGTTAAATTAACAAATTGGTAAATAATTGTTTGAAATAAATTATATTATTATTATTATTTTCTGAAAACTAATTAATTAACAATTTATATATTTACAGTCATCTGGAGAAATCGGGATTGAATTCCTATCGTTGCAATGAAAAGATGTCAATACCAGAGTGTACATCGACTATGAGTGAATTGGCATTTACCACTTATACCAACTTTTATATATCAACAGAGAATATCTGTTACTATCTACAGTCGGAACTGTTCCAGTCGCAGACAGAGGCAGCTGTGAACCTACTGATTGATTCAACGGTGGACACTCTTCAGTCGGTACGACAGATCTATCTCCAATCACAACTACTCTCTGAGAACCTGGAGCAGTCGAACCTGGCACAACAGAAACTAATGAATGCACAGACCTCGCTCAAGACACAACTCGAACAATCGATGGACTATCTGAACCGAATCACCACACAGTCTGACGATCTCAAACAATCACTCAGAGACACAACTCTCAAACAAGATAATCTACTACAATCACAGAAACAACTATCAGAACAACATCAACAATCTTCTAAAATTGTAAGTTAGTCTAACTAATAATAATATTTCTTTCTTAATAATAATAATATTAACATAAAACAATATTATTAGTCATTAGATTTATTATCACAAATTAAAGATACATCTAATTTTATTTCAAGTAATACAATGGAATCACTTGATAATCAAAATAGGTTATTATCTTTACAAAAAGAAGTATGTATTAGATCTTGTTTATCATTTCAAAGTGTTTGATTTATTGCTCTAGATGTGATTACTAATAAAGAATAACTAAAAGGCAATAGGTGACTTGAATGGTATTGGTGAGATCACTGAGAGTTGTCTTGCAAAACAAAAGGAAATAATGATATCACAAGATAGAATAGCACAAAGTAATCAAATCATTGTTGGTATTCTTGATGGTTTGACTACCATTTCAAATTCTATTCTCTCTGAATTCATTGATTTCAAATCTTTAATATATTATTTACTTTTATTTATATTTGTAAGTTTATTTTATTTAATTTATATTTAGAACATTAAATATACTTATATTAAAATTATTAATATTAATTCAAATTTTAGATATACTTTGTAACATCACAAAAGAAAACACAATCAGCAAGAATACCATTATATGCTGGATTGATAGTTCAATTGTTTGTTGAAAGATATATTGCCGGTGGTTCATCGTTTGACCATCTGATACCACAGATACTCGTAGATCTAATACAGTTGGATGCTTCTGGAGGTTGGTCATTGCAATACAAGTTCGTTCTCATCGGAAAGCTCAGAAAGTTGTACCTTGCCTACCTGACATTCGTGTTGACAAGCTCTCTTTGGTTCTATCGCGACTACGAACAGCTCAACCATCAACTACTCATCAATCTAAATGAGTCCAATCAAACAATACTCAAGTTACTAAACAAATCGATAAAGAAACAAAACAATAGTAACAGCTCCAAAGCAATTGTATTCAATCAACAACAACAACAACAAAAACATACAAGGATTGATATTGATGATGACGACAATAATGATATAGAAACAGATATAGATGACTAAAATTATAATCAGTTATTTATTCATTATTATTATTATTACTATTACCACTACTGCAGCTAGCATTATTATCATTATCATTGCTATTATTATTATTATTATTATTATCATCATTAAATTTATAGAATAAATACTTTAATAATTCAGATACGATTTTACAATTTAAACTGTTTCCTATTAACCTATAGCCTTGAGCAACCGTAACAGAAGGAGGGAATTGAAATTGTTCTGGGAAAAAGTGGAATCCTATAATTGATAAATCAGCATTTCTATTAATAGAAATCAAAACTATCATTGATCATTAACATACTTGTAATCTCTTTAGGTGAAAAATATCGTAACTTCATTGGAATCAGTGAATTTGGAACATTGATATCTGCTTTGTAGTTTGTGTCCAATTGTAATACACTTCCTGTACCTTCAACAAACTTTGAGTATGCTTTTGTAAAACAATTCGTTGTCTTATCATTGATTGTCTTTATATCTATTAATAGTTCATAACAATAGATAATTAGTAAGTTAACTCGTTATCTAAACTTATCTACAATAACATAATGTAGATCAAATTAAACTAAATAAATACATACCGAATAACATTCCTTTACTTAATAATAGCTTTTCTGGTATCTTGTATTTATAGTAGTGTTCATCTGTATTGTATGATTCATCTAAATATTGTTCGATCGTATTGGTTTCATTGTTTTCTGTATGTTGATAGCTTGGTATTGTTTTTAGAATGATTGCATTATCTTTTGTTACTATCTTTGTTTTAATATCAATATTGCTATTGCTATTGTTATTACTATCGTTATTTAATAACACTTTCTTTGCAATACAGAAATATCTTAATCTTTGATTCGGTAAACCAAATTGTGTCGGTGTCAAATGAAACTCTTGAAATTGGTATTGCAATTGATTGAATGTTTCCAATAGTAGATCTCTCGCATTCGACTTCTCAAAGCCATAGACATTCTCTATCAGTATATAGGTTGGTGGTTCTGCTAATGCCGCAAGTTGTTCCAATAAATGAACAAAACTGTTGGTTCTGTTATCTTGTAAATCTTTTTGTAATCCAACTCTTGTAAATGGTTGACAAGGAGGACTCTAAATATCTACTAATTAATATAAACCAATCATCTTTGCCTTATTATAAATAATAATTAAATTAATTACCATTAACCATGTATTTGCACGAAATGATTCCAATTCTTTAGTTGTAAGTGCATCTATACTTTTCTATATGGTTGGTTTTATTAATAAACCGTAACTATATATATTAAATGAATGAAAATTAACTTAATGATAACTTACACTATTTACTTTATGTTTCTTTGGATTAGGATATTTAGATGAAATATTATAGTTGTAGACATCGTTTGCATTGGTATTGATATCGAATGATTGTAGTACTTCGAATGGTATACCTGATATCAGAGTAGAGTAATACATTCCACCAATTCCACTAAAGAATTCTAATATTCTTAGTTTATCTATTGTTTCATTATTGCTGCTGCTGTTGTTGTTGTTGTTATTTGATTGTTGTTCAACACCATTGCTTGTTGTTGTTGTCGATGTTGCTGATACAAACAACATTCTTTTTTAGTAATAATTTTTTTGACGAAAGATTTCTATTTTGACACCCCTAATGATTTGTTCATTTTTGTTTTATCATCATTTATCAGATATCTGATAATATATATAATAATGCAAAGGTTAAATATAAGATGTTTAACTTTTGTTAGAAATAATATAATTAATAATAAAAATAGATATACATTTGGCAGTGGTTTAGTAAACTTTAGCAGTAGTAGTAATAGCGATAAAGTAAATATATTTAATACAGAATTAAAGAAGAAACAGAGATCATATGTTGCAAAGCTAGAGGATGCACAAACATATGATTATTTATTCGATGAAGTAGGAAAGCGTTTGGTAGACAGAATATTCGATATTAAAGATCTAAAGTTTGAATCTGTATTGGACTTTGGTTGCAGAAATGGAACTGTCTTGAAGCAATTAGATTCAATAGTCAACGATAACAACAGTGATAATAGTAAATCAATTGACTATCATATGGTTGATTCATCAAAAGATATGCTATTTAGAGATCAACATTTAGATATAAATTATAAAAGTAAGTAATCAATGAGAAGATACAGAGATTATTCTCCTCATACTATAGATCTAACCATATCTCTAATATATCATATATATATATATATATATATTAATTTAGTTAAACCAAATAGAATATTAGTTAATAATATGGAAGAACCATTACCTTTTCAACCACAACAATTCGATCTTATTCTTTCAAATCTATCGATACATTGGATGAATGATCTACCCGGTGTATTCTCACATTTAAAGTCATTGTTAAAACCCAACGGTGTATTTTTGGCAAGTCTATTGGGTGAAGAAACATTAACTGAATTAAAGTAAGTATAAAAAGAGAAGGTTATTTAGTAAATAGATATAATATAGTAAAACATTTGTTTATTTATAAAACAAAACTAGAGATTCATTGTATCTTGGAGATATTGAAAGACATGGTGGATTCACACCTCACATCTCACCATTTGCCAAATTGAGTGATGTCGGTAACTTGTTGTCAAAGGCAAAGTTCAACCTTCCAACGGTTGACACTGAGAAGATTGTTATAAAGTATGGCTCGATGTTCTCTCTGATGAGAGACCTCCAAGCGATGGGCGAGAATAATGCAACCTACAAAAGCAGGGTGAGTGGTGGTCGCGATACCTTTGTCGCCGCACAATCAATCTATCAAATGCTCTATGGCAATGACGATGGTTCACTGCCTGCCACCTTCCAAGTGATCTATCTCATCGGTTGGTCACCACACCACTCCCAACAAAAACCATTACCCAGAGGCAGTGCCAAACGTCATCTCTCTGAGATTTCAGACAACTCTATCAATATTAAATTGAATGAGAATGGTGGAAGCACAACTACCACAACAACTTCAAATACCCAAACTACAAAAAATCAACAACAACAACAACCATCATCAACAACTACAACAACAACATCCACAAATAGTTCACTTGAATTTGATGCTACACTTCTAGAACCAGTTCCAAAATCCGATGATTTCATTATTAAAAGATTAGATAAACATGGAAATTTACATGAAGTTAATAATCCAGAGAATAACAATAGCAATAACAATAATGATAATAATAATAAATAATAGTTCAGACGAGACTTAAATTAGTCGAAAAACACACCTCACATTCAGAATTAACAACCACTTGTGGATCATATTGATTGCCCCAAAAATACCCACCAACCCATTTTAAGGATTTGACTTTTAATTTTTTTTTTCAAACAGTATTCACCAAAATTAACACAAACCTTCCCCCATTTACACATATTTGCATTAACATCATCAATGTTCACAACAATCTCATCCTATCTTTAATATTTTTGTAAAACAATTAAACTCCACCGATCAATATTTATTTGATAGTTGTGTTGATAGGTCAATATCATTTTAAAATGGTTTTCCATAGGGTGGAAAATCATTTATTCACAGAAAACTGATCATTGTCAACTTAATATAGAATGACTGAAATAGAAGAGACAATTATTGTGTTAAATTAGTGTTGTTACATTATCTCTCTTTAAAAGTTTATAGTATTAGGAAGGATGACATTTTTGGAACATCAAAGTGTACGATTTAAAATCAAAAGGTTATAATTTGTAAAAATGAAGGGAAAAAGTGTTTATAAACTACTGATAAATCAATAACTGAGAACCAGCAAAACAAAGCAAATCAAATTCTTATTGTTTTTAATATATTAAAGATAAATATATAAAATGTATTATTCATTTTCATCATTTTTATTACTTTTATTTATAGCCAATTTTTATTTTGTGGATTCATCGACATTTTCAATTCATGAACAACATCTTGTTGAAATGCAAGATAAAGTTACTTCAGCTAACGGTCTGAATAATGAAGTAGAAATCTACCAAGTCGATGAAAATTCAGAACCAACACTAATTTCAAAATTACCTGTTGGTACTCCACAAACATTTGTTGGTAACAGTACCGCAAATGGATTTCCTTATCTGTTTTTTAGAATGGACCCTACTCTTGGTCTTGGCTTTACCTTTTTAGTGAAAAACAATACAAATGATACCTTTAAACTTACAACTTTGGATAAATATAAAATGGTATCTTATTTCAATATCTCTAAATTTGATATATACATTTGCGAACTAGAGTATATGATCATTCAATATATTTGCACAACAGCTCCTTCTTGCCCCGTCACAATTGGTTTTTACCCTAAAAATCAACCATGTCTTGCTCAAAACTATTCAAACCAACCAAAAATGCCAGTGAATATGACTACCGGTATTAATTATTCACCTCGTTCGAAAGAAAGTGAATTAGAATTTCTTAACGAGAGCTCCAGTACTGGAACAAATGAAACCGAAACTAGTACAACTGGAATTCAACCGGAGGGACCTGGTACAACTCTTGGCAAAAGTATCATTATTTCAGGGGACTCTAACAAGTTATTTTCTGTTCCTCTCATTTCATTGACTTTGACTTTCACTTCATTTCTTTTCTCTTATTTGTATTTGTAATAATTATAATTTAAATCTTAAATGTTTAATAAAAAAATCGATGTAAACTTAAATACAAAAGAAATGTTCTAGATATTTTTTGTCAAAAAAATAAAAAACTTGAGTTTTTTGTAATCTAATTTTATTTTTTTTATTCAAATCACATAAATGTAATAAATGACATCACAAAATTTATACTTCAGAAAAGAGAAATTTGGTGTTAAATCAATAAAGTATGTTTTGGAGAATAATATAATACCTTCAAAAATATATATGGAAGGCTATCAGCAAATCTATAATTGCCTTTCAACGAACTCTATTTCCTTGGACATGCTATACCAAAAAATCACATCAACGATAAGAAACTATCTATATAATGTCAAATCAGAACAATTCTTTTACAAACCAAAAACAATTAATGATGATCTTTATCATTCACAACAACTGTTTAACACATTTTTTGCATTATGGTCAGCCTTTAAGAAATCGATGAGAACCATTAATACTATTATAGCGCCGATTATAAGATGTAATTATTTCGAAGGAAAACAAAGCTTCATCAGTTCTGGTTATCATTTGTTCAAACAGATTATCATCGAATCTACCATATTAGAATCAAAAGGAATTGATACAAACCAAAACATTGATAACAAAGAAATGTAATTAGAATTCTATTTCATATATATTAGTTTTTTTTTTAACTTTTTACTTACTAAATTATAATTATATAGGTATTTATCAATACTCGGTGAAATCAATAATAGCCATTAAATAACAAACATTATTACTTATACATATTTCCTATCCTCACTAATCTTAAAGAATTTAGTTGATAAGAATGAGAGTGTTTGGGATATTCAAAAAAATGTTTATTGTACAAATTAATTAAATAAACTTGTTCAGTTAATAATTATTCTTCTCTCTAAACTCTTGATATGATTCACCAGTCCATTTGGTAGTTTCAAGAAATTGTCTCCAATTCAATTGCTTTGGATTGATTTGATTTGAGAGTTTAGTATTACGGTGTTTGTAGTAGTATCCATACTTGGCGGTGGAATCCCAGATTTCAAAGAGACGATTACCCAATAACTCCAACTCTGGTGCACCATTGAGACCACCGGCTTCAATGTATGCCTGACGATCCAATGCACGGAAACTAGTTTTAATACCGGTAACCTCTTGGAAGATCTCTGCCAGCTGCACACCAGTCAGGTACTCGGCAACCACTGGTACTACCGCACGGTTATATTGGTATGGATGTTGGAGGAACTCTGAAACGATTGGACCGGTTGCAGTGTAGGTATCGATGTATGGCAACAAGTCATTGGGTTGCAGTGGGAGTGCGAGCTCAGCCGAACCATCTTCGTTTCTAATCAGTGGAATAAACTCGATTTGATTCGAGTAGAAGAACGCAAGATTGAAAGTACTGACGTATTTGAATGGCAGTGACTCGATGTATCGTTGGACAGTGGTTCGGCATGAGAGAATATCGAATTTGAATTCGGCACGATGAGCATCTGTCAAGACTGGAGTGTCAACCGAAGAGAAGATAACATGTTCCAAACGCTCTTCGAGGGCGGCATCTGCTTGGTACTTGACGTATTCAATTTCCTTTTGGTAGTAGTCTGGGTCGGTGTAGCTGATGGCTGGTGTCATCAAGAATGCAGCTTTGGCACCATTGAAAACCTTGTTGAAATCAGATTTCTTGGTATAATCCACTTGGACAACCTCAACTCCTCTCTCCTTCAACTTCAAAGCTGCTGGGGTATCTGATACTGGACGTGTTGTGGTGGCACGAATTTGATAGTTACCTTCTGCAACCAAAGTATTAATAATACTGATACCTTGTTTGGAGAAAGCATTTACAACAACGAAAATTGGTTTAGACATATTTTAATATTGTTTGTTTTAAAAGTAGGAATAGAAATAATATAATTGTTTGGTTGATTGATTGTTTGTTTGTTTGTTTGTTTGTTTAATTGTTTAATTTGTTTGTTAATGATATTATTATCCAAGTCTGAAGTCAGTCCTATTTATACTTGGTAGATTGATTCATAGAGGATAAAAATAAACTTATCAGTGTGTGTGACATGTTTGATTGTTGGGATATGATCGAATATGCCTATTCGAATATTCATTTGTTCTTCACACATGACCAATATGCAAAGTCTGTTTCGATGACATTCGAAATGAGCTGTGGTTACAGTGTGGTGAACAAAGTTTTAAAATTACAATTTAATTAAACATGTGCTGCAAACATATAACCTTCGCTTTAAACAACAACCTCAAACCTCAAAACACAATCGAACAATTCGAAATCCTTCTTTTCAAAAAAATAAAAGATGTAACCTCGCTTTGGGTTTTTTTTTTTTTTTTTTTTTTAACACAATCATAAAAAAAATCTATTTTTATTGATGTAAACACAAGATTAAGGGAAAGTAACGTTTAGATATTCTATACATTCTTTGTTCTTGGTTTATTAAAAACATAATTTTTGTAAAAATCTACTTTTTTGAAAATCATTATTTCAAATAATTATTTTATCAAATAAATAATTATAATAGCAATTCTTTTAAGTTATAATAGTGAACCATTTAATATTGTTAAATACAACATTGGTTTGCAATTCAAATCGTCACTCGCCGATAATTATTTTTGCACTAAACTCTGATTCTCAAAAAATCAATCACTCCAAAATTGAAACAACAATTTTTTTAAATTTTGAGCAAGAAAGAAAAAGATTTTGTAATTTTTTTTTTTTTTTTGTACATGTATAATTTTTTTTTTTATTATTATTTTCTTTGGAGCAATAATAATCAGTTGATCGTTTTTAGGCATAAATCAACAATCAATATATTATTATTATATATTATTATTAATTTAGATATATTTAATCGATTTGACTAGTAGTTACCTCTGAGTATAAACAACTTTTACAATTACTATTTGATCATCTTTGAATGTTTTACTTTTATTTTATAGATAGATAGTTAGTTAATTTGATCAAGAAACATAAATATAGATAATAATCACAGTAAATAAAGAGTTCATAATAAATAATAATAATAATAATAATAATAGAATAATAGAATATGTCAGTAGAGCTTAGGCCAATTGGCTTAAAGATAGAATCGAATGAATCATTTCTATCATTGGATGACAATTTAGGTGTTGTTATATTAGCAAACTCTAGTGGTTTCGGATATGTACCGCTATCAAATTCAAAAGAGAGAGGTTATTATTGGTAGGCATCATCATCATCATCATCATAATCATAATAATAATTTTAGTAAAATTACAAATAATAATAATAACCAATAACTAATATTTTATTTTTCAAAATTAAAATAAATTGATTATTTAATACTGTGCATTTAATGTATATATATTTAATATATAGTTCCGATAAGCCAATAAAAGATGCAAAATTTTCACCTAATGGTTTATATGCTGCAACACAATTTAATGATACCGATATCGTATGTTTTTTCATCAAAGAAATGTTTACTTTTACTTTACCTTATGATTGCTAATAATGGTTTTATTATTATTATTATAGGAAATATTAAATATTCATGATGGTAAAAGAATCATACAAAACACTAGATATAAATCGACAAGAGGAACTGTAATTCTATCATTCTACTTCATATCGACAAAGGTCGATACTTTGTTGATCATCACCAACACCTCATTGGAACTATATCAAATCACATCGAATCAAACTGAAATACAATGTAAATTGGTCAAAGATACAAAAACAAAGATACATTCTTTTGTCTTTTCTGTAAGTTTAGTGATAGATAGATAGATAGATAGAGAGAGAGAGAGAGAGAGAGAGAGAGAGAGACAGAGAGGAGAGTTATAATTAGTTATATGATCTTAATTAAATCTAATACAATCAATTTATTGTTAATTATACTTTAGCCAAAGACATCGACAATTTTGACATATGGAGGAACTGGAAATACAATTCAACCCTACAGATTCACTCAGAGCTATATAGAGAAACTGGCAAGATTTACAGTGGATAGCAGTGTACCACTGGATCTCAGTAATTTGTATATGACCATACTATACGGTAGAAACTACTGTATCTTCTCCGATCAGAATCAGATGTCGTTCTACGAGTTGAACAATGAGACTGTCTATCGTGTGCAGATGATCAAGTTCCTCATGACCGGAACCAATCAGATTCATATCGTCGACAACATCGTAATCGTCCACTACAACGAGCACAAAGTATCGATGGTGTACGACCTACGTATGCTCAAGTCACCTTCGAACTTCCCAATCTCTGCCATCCCAATGACTCTTTTCAATAGCAGCTCTTCCAGCGTCACCGATCTCGTCAATTTCCACCAACAACAACAACAATCTGGACAGCTCACACCACGTCAGAACTCTCAACAACAACAGCAACAACATCAACTTTATCTTTCATCATGGAGATATGTATTCCCTAATTACATCTTTGACAGCCTGTCTGGACACTGGTATGAAGTCACATTGAATTTCGAAAAAGTTTCAAACTTCTTCCAGGTAGACACTGACAAGATCATCCCATTCCTTCAATTGCGTTCGTCGCCCAACGCCAAGATCGCTCTGCTACAACACATCAAGACGATCATCGAATACAAGTCAGAGCCGCTCGAAGTACTCGGAAAGATATTCGATTCACTCAACCACGACCTCTTCACTATGACCAGTAGAAACAATACACAACTCATCCAACAACACTTGAATATGGCTGCCAAGAAACAGTCGCCAGCAAAACCATCGAGTGCCGACGATGAAGATCTCATTGGCGATCTAAATACGCGTCAACAGGGTCTGTCAACGTCGACCTCCAACTCCAACTCCAACTCGCCAACACTACCGCCAGTTGTGAGCTCTGGATCGTTGAATTCCTCCACCTCCTCTGCTACAAGATTCGTTCCACCCCCTTCCAACACACAGAGAACAATGACTAATGGTGTTAGTCTGAGTTCGTCGCGCGGTGCATCCACTGCTTCCTCCTTAAAACAATCAGGTTCCGGTCTTGATCTGAGCTCTCTCGATATCTCGTCGAGTCAGTCAACCGGAGGTATCAACGGTATCACTCATCAGGTTGTCAGCATGCGAACCAGAGGTCCGGCCAACATCCTTGTCAACTCTGACGATCTCTTTGAACATGTTTTCAACCCAATCTACGACAATCTTACACAACAAATACAAACGATCAAGTCGAGCACTACCATGTCACAGGCAGATAAAGAATCAAACCTACAGAGAATCGAAGTTGACTCTAGATTCCTAATTGCTATCTTGACAGAGTATATCCGTTCCCTCAACTACCAATACTGTGGTAAATCTGATAAACTATTTAGTTTATTATTAAGTTTATTTATTGATAATCAAATGTAAGTTTTGTTTTTTTTTTTTTTTTTTTTAATTTAAAAAACTATTTTATTATTTACTAATTAGTTTTTTTTTTCAGGTTTTCTCAACTTCACAGATTTTTACAATATAATGTAATTGAAGATTCAGAGAATATAGCATACAAGTTACTTTCGATCAGTGAAACCTATCCACCAGCACTTCAATTATCTTTAGATATGTTTAAACGTTTGAAGATGCCAAATGTAATTATATCGACTCTTTTGGAGAAGAAACAGGTGTTGCTTGCACTTAGATTCATGAGAAGCACCAAGACCAAATATAATGTAGACGAGTTCCTAAAGCATGCTTCATTGCAAGGCGACGATACTCTATTTTTTACAGTGTATAAATTCTTTGAGCAATCAAATCAATTGGAGAATTGTGATAAATATATAAAATTATATAATGAGAAGTTTCTCACTCAATAAACAAATATTATTTTAATAGTATTCATAACTCATACACACATATTGATAAGTGTACATGTATTATACAACACAAATTATTGAATTTTTTTGGTTTTGTTTTTTATTTTTGAAAACTCTGATTTATCAAGGTTCGGGACGGGATGATTATTAGATTAATCAAACAACCACAAACAACACTTGATTTTTATTTTTTTAAATAAACTTAAAAGAATGATAGGTAAAGTTGTGCACTAAAAGACTTGCAAACGTGGTGATATGTTCAATTAACATTAAAAATGCTGATCACAGAAATGGGGATCCAATTTTTGTGACTAAAAAATAAAAGTTTTTTGCTGATCATCAAAAAACTAGCAAATTTTCACACATCTAAATAATATCTTAAAAAAACAAAAGGTTTCATTGGTGCAGATCTTGGAGGTTTGAATTATGTTTTTGATAAGCTAATCATTCACTAATCTTTGTGGAACTAGGTAATTTGTAGAGGAAGGTTCAAACCTCTGAAAGATACAATTGATAAAGAATACCAGAGTTCCCGCTCATTTTAATCTAAAAGGAATTAATTAATTGTGTTATTTTTATCTTTTTCTCATTTACAAAAAAAAAATGTATTTTTATATATCTTTTTTATTTATTACTATAAATTTATTATCTGTGTATAGTGAAACATTTGATGGAAAACATTTAGAGTGTATAAATAGTCAACTTGAATATAATGATATTATAGGAATAAATACAGATATAAATTTAAATCAAAATTGTTTGTTCAACCAAAATATTACACTTTCTATTTTGAATTCAACTTTGACAATAAACCAAGTAATCTCTTCAGATTTTCTCATTTCAATAGAAATAAAAGTAAGTTTTATTTTAAATAAAGATTTTTTTGATTTAATATTTACATTCTATATAAAAAAAACTAAAAGGGAGAATCAAAATTTGTATTATCAAACCTAGAACTCCTTAAAATTTCAAATAACTTTTCAACAACAATAGAAACAGTATCAGTAATTCAAAACTCCACCATATCTATTTCTTCTTCAAAGTTTGAGGTACCATTTATCTCTGTCGAAGATTCAGTTCTAGAGATTTCCAATACCAACATTAGTTCAAAATTAAATTTATTCAATTCAAATATATCACTTTCCAATAATGTAAACAGTGAATCCTTCATATTAACTTTGGTAAGATGAATGTTTTTTAAACCTTACCAACTAAATTTTAACATTTCTTTTGTATATAGAACCAATCAAGATTGAATATTTTAGATAATAATATTATTATTAATGTATGTAGTATTACATTGTCAAAATAATTATAAATAAGTTAATAATAATTTCTCTAATAATAGAATGGACAAATCGATTTGTATTCTTCTAAAATTAATTTTAATGGAAAAATGAACTCTGTTAATAACAGTTCATTTTTATCAATAAATGGAGATTTGGCTTTTAGAAATACAAAGATAGTTTTTCATGATATCAGTTATATAGAGGGAAATGGTTCTTTAACTTGTGGAAACAATATAGAAGCAAAAGATTATTTATACTTTGGATCATTTGGAGAAACATCTAAACTCTTAGTGGATTGTGATATCTCATCAACCAAAGGATTAATATTCAATATTTTTGTTGATTCCAAAACTAATTTTACTCAATGTAAGGTCTATCAATTAATTTTTTTTAGATTTAATACTAATTCTTTTTAATTTAAAGTCAGCACAAAAAATGTCAAATTTTTCTCTACTTCGGAAGTCAACCTATTTATAAATAACAATTTCTCAGAGAATATTACATTATTCTATTTCGATGACCAATCTCAGTTTAATTTGTCAAAGATAACTATAATCGAATATAACAACATAAAGTATGAAAGTGGTTTTTCTAAATCCTCCACAAAACTATCATTGTATTTCGTAGAAAAAACAAATAGCTCTACAACTGGTTCTGATACAAGCACCACTTCAGTTGGAACAACAGGAGCATCTTCAACAACAGGTATGGAAAATATCACTGCAACCAATACCCCAATTATTATTTATGATTTGGAAACTAAACGACCTGCAAGACCTTATTTGGCTATGGGTATTATTTTTGGATCGATTGGACTAATTTTGGTGATGCTTGGAGTTGGTATTTATTTCATTAAATACAAAGGAATATTTGCTTATTCTGACCATGCAGAGGCTGTCAACAGAACAACTAGTACAGATTCTTTTGCTACACTCAATTCACAAGGTTACAAAATTAAACAATTCGATATTTAACATTGTAATAATAATAATAAAAACTATCATATTTATATATATGTTTGAGAATCTTTATTTATATCACCACAAGTTTGATTTGTACAGTGATTCTTCGAATCTTTGATTCTCTCGTTTTTCTTGTGCAAGGCTTGACAAGAGGTCGTCCAATTTGTTTTTTTTATCGTAGGTGTTCATATTTAGACTCTGCGAGAAGTTGGTTGAGGTTCTCGAGTATTTTTCTGGATAGAGGTCCATGGAGTTTGTTGGTACTTCCGAATGATCTCTCTTTTTGGGATTATATGGACTGGTATTAAAGATATCCAAATCTTCAAGGCAAAGTTCGCTACTCTTTTGATTTGGTGTTGTATTGGGTGTGATTGATTTGACCGGTGTCATCTTTTGTGTTGATTTGGTTGGTGTAAACTGTTGTATTGTTGGTGTATCGATCTTTATCATTCCGATTGTTGGTGATGAATGCTGTTGTTGGTATGAATCTAAATAACCCAAAAGATCTTGATGATAGTAGCAGTTCAATAGAGGAACCGTACTAATTTGATGTGATAAAACCAACTCGAATATGATATGCCATGGAAGTGGAATAACAGTATTTATATTAGGATCTAAAATTTAAATCAGAGTAAAAGTTAGGTAAATAAATAAAGTAAAATTCTATATGATTGATTTTTGATAATTACTTTGTAACTTTTGATCGAAAGACTGGAAAATATGCTTGATTTGTGAGAGCAACATTTGGGTGTTCTCTCCTGAGGTGAACTGTTTCAGCCAAGAGTGAATCTTGTCAATCATTTTAAGGTCATTGGTTAATAGCATAGTATTAAATCCATCGAATGAATTCTGAGCAGAGGTGACAATAGTTGCTGCAATCAGATTTTGCAAATCTCTTGGAAGTGGAGGCAGAGCAATTGATTTCAATGATTTGGTAACAAAATCAAAGATTCCATCACTATTCCAATGTAGATTTGAGTTGTCAAATGAAAACTCGGGAATTGGCCAATCAATGGTCTTCAGGCCTGGGTTGGTGATCAACTTGGTCAGTTGCTGTAGCATGCTGTTGAAATATTCGATGAGTTTGCATGGTGTAATCAGTTGGGATGTAAGAAGCGACGCTTCATTAGGTTTACTGGACATTATATAGTAAGGACGTAGAATTGGGCCAAACTTGTGAGTGATTATACTATCGAGAATAGTTGACAAGGGAATTAGCTCAACCGGATGAATCGAATCTGAGTACTTGGCCAACCAAATCAGTGATCGCTCTACTTGTTGTCTCAACGGTGCCCATCCATTAGATTCTTGTTCATCAACAAATTCGATGTTCCACTTGGATATAATGGTATCCCAATGACCCTTGTTCCTATTGATAAACTCATTGATCTTCTCTTGAAAGAGTGGTTTCAATGAAGGGTGGTCAACAGTGCCAATGAACAAAAGTGATATCTTTCGGTCACCATGAACCGAAATTTTGTTCAATAGATTACTTAATCTCTGTTCATTATCAGGACTAAATAAATTATTAAACTCAAATAGAATAGATGCCACACCTCTCATCTAAAATAATTGATCATTAGTTAAGAGATTTATACTTTTTTTTTTGTATTATTATTTGTTTGAAAACTTACAACTATTTCATTTGGATGTTGTTTTGTTATAATTGCTAGATGAGCTGGTTTCATTGATATTCTCTTTGTCAAAGCACCGCTCTCTGTTTGATGAAGATATTCGGTTTGATTCGATTCATACTTTGACCAAGTATTTGTGTTTTTGGTTGCTGGTTCGTACGATAGCAATTGCTTGAGGTGTTGTGCAAGTTGTTCGTCTTTCTCCATTGGCACAGAGACAAATAACTTCCAATAGATATTCTCTTCATTCTGTTGCTTCTTAAGCAATGTATCGTAGATCGTAAAAGGTACTGGTATAGCTGATAGTACTACTTTTTCTTTCTTATTATTATTATTTGGGACAATGGTTATCACCTTTGATTGCTCACCATTGATCTTCAATGGGATAAGTGGTGATTTGATGTCTTGGACAGGTGTTCCATGTGCATAGAAAACCATATTTTCAATAGAGGAAATCTGCTTCTTCATATCGATGTACTGTTTAGTCTTAGCTGACCAATGGTTAAAGAAATATCGTAACAGTGTTTCTGTTGACTTTTGATAGATTAATTAATATTTGCTAAAAATATATCCTTTTTGTTATAATGATAGTTTTACATACTTTTTCTTTATATGATCTTGATATCTTCTTTGGCAGGTATACAGGCACGGTCTCTGAGGATTTCTTCTTGATGTCAACAGCTTCTTGATTAATAAGATGTTGTGGGAATTGAGGGATCGATGTCGAGGATCTCTTTTGATCTACGAATGGGGTTGAAAGTGCCATTGGAGATGGGGTGGTAGAGAGAAGATCTGTTGACTTTTTAGTTGAAATGTTCATAGGTGTGTATGGTACTTGTGATTTTGGTTCCGCCGGTGTTTGGAATAAAGAGTTGTCCAAAGTTGATTTGGGTGGAGCTGGTGTAGCTAGTTTCATTGGTGTATAATCCAAAGATTGAGTTGTGATGTCGTTGCTCTTGTTGGTATCGATTGGTGTTTGTGTTTGTAAGAGATTGGATGGGAATAGACCACCTAATTTAGTGGTAGTTGATGATGAAGTTGGTGGTGGTAATGTTAAGTTGTTACTAAATAATGAATCATCATCTTTTGATTTTGGTTGCTTGTGCGTCAGTGGTGCTGGTGTTTCAAATAAATTTGTCGATTGCTTAGCTGTTTGAGGAGTTATATTGAAAATCGAAGGTAAACTTGGTGTGTCGGACTTTACTGGTGTAGTTGTTGGTGTCGTTGTTGATGTGGGTATTGAGAATGGGGGAGGCAGTTCCATTGTAGATCTTTCAGGTGTTTTTGCAGGTGCGCTTGTCGGTGTTATTTGTGAAAAGATAGAAGAAGCAGATGGAGGTGAAGAAATAGCAGAATCTTTGTTGGTAGCTGCTGACTGAGTCGATGTTGTGAAACTACCATTGATATTGCCAAAGATACTGTTGGGTTGCTCATTTGGTTTCGTTTGTTTTTGCTCCACTTGACTTGTAAGTGCTGAAGATGGAGATGATTTTGGAAGTGAAGTTTCTCTAACCTTTGTTTGTTGTTGTTGCTGTTGTTGTCCAAATATATTTATACTATTGTTGTTAGTTGTTGGTGCAAGCTGTGAACCAGATGTATTACTATGAATGATCGATGGTATGTTGAGTGATGTTGGTGTTGAAGTTGCAGGTTTTAATAATGATATTGAAGGTTTGGCAATTGGAGAGACCGTCGGTACGTATGGTTCAATACCCAAAAACTGGCAATAACCTTCGGGAATTGGCTCAGGAACATCGATAACCTTTTGGAATGTGGACGGTGCTTTGCTTGTGAGGTATTTCGATCGCTTTGGTGAAATCTTTTGACGAATGTCTATGACTTCACCAACAAAGATGACTTGCTCCATTTCGATAGTTAAACCTATCTCTGTGACAAATGTGGCAGCTTCTTCGTTGGAACCAAAGAGCAACATCATTGAGAGATCACTGAGTGGATAGGGACCTGCCTTTGTACGGAATGACTTTGACATACGCGACAACCCAATCAAACGAATCCGATTGAAATACTTGTGAAGTAGACAACCCTGTAGATAGGTACCTTTGGTGACCAACTTGAAGAAACGACTGTAGTTGTCGTGTCTAAATGCTTTCCAGACATCGACTGCGTATCTAATGAACGGATGTTGTCTGAGTTGCTCCGGTATTGCAATCAAGAACGATACCATATCAGAGGTGTGATCCATCTGGTTGAGGATGTAGTACGATCTGATCTCTGCTTCATTGGGATAGGTGGTACCGGTTGATTTGTAGTGATCGTCGTAGAACAACTTCAAACTAGTCAAACAGTTGTTTAGTTGCTCTTGATTCTGGAATTGATTAAAGTCTTGCTCGCTTTCCTCGCACAAAAAGTGGTGACTGACAATATGGAATCGGACGCAGCGCTCGTGAATATCAATGGAGACATCGTCTTTGCAATGCTGACTCGTAAGATCCTGACGAAGTGAACGTGAACGATCACGTACAAAGTTTTGAATCTCACGGAATGGAATACCGGGACGATCTACAATGTTGTGGGTCAGATGATTCATTACCTTGGCGAGGATGGGCGAAGGACGAATATCCTCCGGTGGAATCTCAGTGTACTCCTCGGCAACATTACGTTTATATTTCTTCACCAGCTGCAGCTCGCCGTTCGGTGCTCGCTCCAGAGTGTTGATATCGCCCGATAACTCACGGTTGTGTCTTTCCCTTGGTGGACACATATCCATACACAATCCAACCTTTGGTGCATTCTTTATATCTGACTTTATGTGTGTCGTCGGAGCTGAAGACATTGGTGTTGCAATCGGTGCTGTTCTCTTTGTGATTGGTGTTGATACTGGTGTTGTTGCCGTTGGTGTTGTTGATATAGGAGTCGATATTGGTGTAGCTATAGTTGTTGGTGTCGAAGGAAATGGCGATGATATCGAACCGAAACCATTAATATTACTCATACCATTTCTTTTGAATTGTTGATTTTCAACTGCTGCTTCTTCTTCTTCATCTCCTTCTTCTTCCTCTTCCACTTCATCAACACCATCTTCAATCTCCTCTTCAATATCTTCTTCATCTCCTTCCTGTTGTTCTTCTGCACCATCTTCAATTAATTCCTCTTCTTGATCTGCTTGTTCACCTTTAATATGAGCATCGATCAATGGTGTTGTAGGCAATGATGTTGATGCGGTTGGTATTGCTGTTGGTGTTTGAGGACTACTCTTTTTCTGCAATAAGAATCTTAGCTGTCTTTCTTGTGATTTTAACTTTAAATCATTGAGATCATTCGATTGTATGCTACTATTATTATTTTCATTGGCGCTATTCTGTTGCTGATGTTGTGACAATGAAGATATCGGTGATTTACTTGGTGGATAACCTACACTGCCATAGGTATCGTCGGCAGTCTCTTTATTAGGTTTATATGCTTTAACTAAAATCGGTGTATTCTTGAATGACTTTATTTTCCTCAGTGCATCAGTTGCCTCTTCCTTTATTATTATAATAAAAACATTATATTAGTAAACTTAGCATAATCTATCTATCTATCGATAAAGTGTTTTAAAACTTACAATAGTTGAATATTCTACAATAGCATGATATTTATTCATCTTCTTTAGTAGTTGTATTGAAACAACAGTACCACTATGACCGAACAACTCGGTAAGATCTGTCTTTAACCTATTAACATCAGGAAAAGCAGGTATACCTGTGACATATAACTTCTTTTGTTTCTTTATTGGTTGAAAAGCTAAATTATTATTTGGTTGTTGCTGTTGTTGTTTAATTGGCTTTGGTTCGAATGGTAATGCATTTGGATTTAGATTTGATAATGATGTTGTAGAAAAACTATTATTATTATTGTTGTTGTTGTTGTTATTGTTGTTAGATATTGTTGGTGAACCAAAGGCAGACAATCCTGCACCACTATTACTATTGCTATTAATATTACTAAAACTAGATATACCGAATGTAGGAACATTATTATTGTTATTGTTAGCTATTGTTGGTGAACCAAAGGCAGACAACCCTGCACCACTACTATTATTACTGTTGATATTGTTGTTTGCTGGGAATAGACTACCACTGATAGCAGCACCTCCAAATGCACTACTATTATTATTATTAGCTACACCTCCAAATATAGATTTGAATGCAGATGTATTACTATTATTTATATTGTTGTTGTTGTTGTTGTTGTTTGGTGGAGGTGAATTCATAAATGTAGATCCAAAAACAGACTGACCAACACCAGCTGTTGTAGATTGTGTATTATTTAAGCTGTTTAAAGGTTTAGGTGGGCTGTTTAATGTAGAAAACAATGAAGTACTACCATTATTACTATTGTTACTACCGTTATTGGTAGTACCACCAAAATCCATTATTATATATCTAATTAAAAAAAAAGAAATATACTATAATCTATATATTTTATATAAATATATATTTTAATTATTTAAATATATCTAATAGATAACTATCAATCATATATGGAATTTACAAAAAGAAAGAGAGATAGACCGATAGAGATAGATAAACAAATGAATGTCGACATAAACTTGAACTACCACCCACACACCACCTTATCAGCACCGCCAAATTTGAAAACAACATTGATTTTCAAAAAAAAATTTAAAACTTTTCAATAGAACTAATATTTGCTTGTTTTAACTTATTTGTTTTACCTCTCTTTCAATTCATTAGCTATATTTATTAATTAAAAAAAATAATATTATTTATTTTGTTTTGTTTTGTTTGTTTTATTTTATTGTGTTGTTGTTTTTTTGTTGTTGTTTTTAAAAATTAAAAGATTCTTCTAATTGTTGTGTTGGTGTTATACCTCTAATTAATTCTTTGAAATAGGTGGTACGAGATATAAGGTAAGCATAGAAGGAGATGTCTGTTTTCAACTCTTGAAGTTCGCAGTCTCTGAATTGTGTGGTCTTGACGAGCACTCTGAGTTGACCGAGATTATTACCGAGGAACGCTGTACATACGTTCATTTGCTGCAGTGTTGGCATGTTACACTTGAGCAGTGTGTAGATATCGCTGATTTTCACTCCTAACTCTCTTATCTCTCTGGCGTTCTTTCTGATTTCTCGCGCCTCCTTTGAATCCTTGGGGAGTTGTCGCAGGATCGTTTTGGTTTCGTCTTTGCTCTTGTTGCTGTTGGCAGCGGCGGCCTTTGATTTCTTATCGTACGACGACTTTATCTTGGCGTTGGCATGTTTGAACAACAAGTGACGTTTAAACTGCAGTGTTTTCAGTGCACGTCTCAAGTCGTTGATTCGCGCCAGACAAAAGAAGAACTCTCGCGTTTCCACGGAAAGGTTGATCTTGGCGCTACGCAACGCTATGTTGAACTTGATGTAGCTGATCTCACCGAGCAACTCGAAATACATGATACTGCGTTCGACCTCCAACGAGAGCATCCTACGAAGTTCGGCGATACGCTCCAACTCCACAGTGAAATCTGTCTCTGGTTCGATCTGTGGGAGCGATGCATCCTTATCACCCATTGCCTTGATGAACTGTGAAAGACTATTGCCCAATTCCAACATACGTTGTTCCATATCGCTGACCACTTTCTCAGATTCTCTTAGAGTTGAAAGTCTGAGTAGTTCTTTGGTATCCAATAACTCTTGTTTCAAAGTATTTGTATTTTCATTATTATTATTATTATTATTATTATAAGTTGTTGTATTATTAGTGGTTGGAACAGTTTCAAAGTCAAACGATAAATCTAAATCATCGTTTGATAATGAAATGACTTCTGTGTAAAGATCGATTGGATTGGTTGATTGGAATTGTAAGAGTCTATCTGGTGTTACTGCTGCTTTTGATGATGATGTCAGATATGCAATCATTTGACTGTAGTCTCTGAGTTTAATACGCTGTAAAGCCAAGTTTGACATCTTTTGCCAGTGATCGCTTCCATTTATGTTGAGTTTCTTCAGTTGTTCATATGTATTATTGGTAATCATAAGCCAATCATTAATATCACCTTCTTTCAATTTCAAAAGCTTCAATTGATTCTTATCTAATTTTATATTATTATTATTATCATTATTACTATTATTATTTATTTTAATTTGTTCTTTATCTACAATTTGATTGATTTCATTAATATTTAGATGCGATTGATTATTATTTAAATCTCTATAAAATCTAACTATTAAATCATCTACTAATATATCATTTTTAATATTTAATACATTTGTGTCTGTTATTGATTCTGATGATTGTGTCTCTGTGATGGAGTCAGCTGTTGCTGGTGCTGGTGCTGACGATGATGAATAAGTTCTGTTCATCAATAATCTTGATGACGATGCTGCTGACGATGACATCAATAAACTCTTTGAGAGTCTCAATGATTGTTGCATCATCATCTTTTGATAACTATAATTGAATATGAAATAGATAATAAATAACACTGCACCAATGAAAAGTTTGATCAGAGAAAAAAACAATCACATTTTTTTACTAAAACCAAAAAAAAAAAAATTTCAATTTTTAAAAAAAAAAACAAAAACGAAATACATTTAAATTGTTAACTATCTTAACATTAATGTTAATTAGTATTTACTTGTTGACAAATATTATAATCTTGATGATGTGATTTTTATAAAGTACACCATTATGTAAGGTCTAAATTTCTTAATAGGTTAACTTTACACAAACTCAATGGAAATATAAATCTATCAAGTATATATTAAATTAAAATACCAGGTTACTATAAAGATGATAACAAATGGAGAAATTATCAATATATTTATAAGAAGATCCTAATAAGATTATTTCAATAATAATCTAACTATTTTTAAAATAAACAAACAAATACCAAAGTAATTTTTGTATAAATACTGGTTTAATTTCATAACTATTATTATTTATTATCAATTTTTTAATTATAACAAAAGGTAAATATTATTAATTTGAAGATGTGGTAATCTATAGATAAAATAATAATAATTTTTGAAAAAAAAAAAAGAAAATAAAATGAAAAATTTAGTTGTTCTATGTTGCTTTGCTTTGGTACTTCTGTGTATTGTCAATACGGTGACAGCAGTTGATTGCGTTGTTTGCTACAGAAATTGTATTGCCAAGCACGGAGCTGGCGCAGATGAATCGTACTGTAAACCAATGTTCCATACATGCTTGCTCAGAAATGTTTGTCTGGACGATCCAAATCTTTAAAATCACTAGTTAATAAAACAAAATATTTCATTAGTTTTGAAACCTGTATTAACTTTGTTGCAGATGATGTCTGTTAGACTTGATAATTATAATTAATATTAAAAGAGTGAGCGCAAAATAAAAATAATATTTTGTAAAACAAAAAAACAAAAATATTACATCTTTTGTTTTCTTAGAAGAACATTCGACTTTTCATTTGAAAAACTGATATATATCGACAGTATAGTTAGATAAAGTGGATAGCAATGAGTGAATTACCTCAAGCTTTACTATCGAGATTGAAATATGAATTGAATCTATTCGAGAAGGATCCACCACCTGGTATTCAAGCGTGGATCGCTGCTGATAAAGTAGATCATCTAGAAGCATGTATGTTCTTTTTTCTTTTTGTTTTGTTATCAATGATAATAAATAATTGTTATTTAATAGTTTTGATTAATTTGTTAATAAAGACTTATTTGATTCGCTACAGCAATTATAGGACCGGAATCAACACCCTATCATAAAGGTGTTTTCAAATTGGAGATAATAATGCCAATGAGATACCCTTTTGAGCCACCAAAAGTAAAGTTTATCACACCGATCTATCACCCGAATGTAGATAACCAAGGTCGTATCTGTCTAGACACACTGAATATGCCCCCGAAGGGTGTATGGGCACCAAGTTTAAATCTACTGACGGTGCTCAGTACGATACGTCTCTTAATGTCAGAACCCAATCCATATGATCCACTTATGCAAGATATCGTATGTTCAACATTAAATATAGTTTACAATATAGTACTAATCATATAACTGATGTTATAAATTATATTAGACAGATGAATTTAAGAATAATCATCCTCAATTCTTGAGAACAGCAGAGCAATGGACAAAGAAATATGCAAAAGAAGATGAAGAAGGAAAAGTAACCTCAAAAGAAAAGAACGATAATAGTACAACTACTTCTACATCATCAACAACTACAACAACAACAACTAGTAATAATAATAATAATAGTAGTAGTACTTCATCAAATGTAAATAAATATAACGGAAAGAGAGAAAGGGAAAATGATTTAGATAAAGATAATGATCATCCAACTAAAGTAAATAGAAATCAACAAGAAAAAGTGATAATAAAAGATGATGAAAAAGAAGAAGAAGAAGAAGAAGAAAATGATCAAAGCATTAATAAAGAGAATGAAAAAGAAGATAAAGTAGAGGAAGATGATGATGAAGATGAAAATGACGGATGGTGATATATATATATATAAAGTACTACAAGTTATTTTAAATCATAGAGTAAAAAAAAAAAAAAAAAAGAATTTAGAAACAGACTTTAATATTGTTGTTTTGTTTTTTAAACTCTCTTCCATCAATATAAATAAATGTATATAAAAGTTTAATTTAATTACTTATTGTACAAAGAGCATTTGATTTGTTACAAAAATATATAAGTTTTCTTGACTATTCGTATTACAAGTATATTGTGCACTGTTAAATAATATATGGTGTTGTTGGTAGTTGCTTCTTTCTATGTGGAAATCATCAAGTTATTATTGTCATTCGTTTTAATGTTGTTGTTGTTGTTGGAGTTGGTGTTGTTGTTGGCGTTAACATTACTATATATATTATTACTACTACTGCAGTCACACAGTTCACCACTCTCGCAGTGACAGTTGACCACTCCAGAGCTGTCGGCCGTCGACGACGAGGTGATACTGCCACTGCTACTAACGACAAAGTGTGCACACAGTTCACTGGGCATCTCGCTTATCGTGCTCGAGCTGCTACCGGAGGAGTAGCGAACCGATATCTTTGAGATCTCTTCGAGTAGCAGTGGAATATGTGGTTCGTCGACACCGAGTAGCTCCAGCATGTTGCGATCCAACGATGCTATCGCCATCATCTCAAAGTAGCCGGCTTGCAAAAAGACATTGGTGTACTCGGACAGCTCCAGTCGGTCGAGCCATGCACCGACCACTTTGCTGGGCGACATCGCGTACGAGCGTGGGAGTTCGCGTTCCTTGCGGTTGTTGAACTGGTCCGGTGCCAACGACTGAACAAACTCGATCATCTCGTCGGCGTAGTCGTCCAGGTAGGTACTATCGAGATTCCAGTGACTGGCGTCCTTTATTGGCATGTAGCGGTAGAGCTTCTGGAATTGTTTCGAGAGTTTCTTTGCACTCTTGACATCGACGATATCGTCTTCGATGCCGTGCACCAACATTACGGGACACGCTATTCTATTTACATATTTCAGGTGATCGAGTGAATCCAACGACAAAAATCTATTTACAATATTCTCACTGAGACCGCTCGGTCCAAATGAACTAACTAAAATTAAACCACCTAGAGGCATCTCCGCATATATAGATTCCTCCTTTCTTGGTGTAACATTTATATTCTTATTACTATTACTATTATTATTACTACTATTATTTACTGATCCATTCTTATTTGGTTTCGGGAATAATTCACCTGCAAACTTTAAACTACATATTGTTCCAATCGATTTTCCCATTCTAACAAGAGCAAGAAAATAACAAATTAGTATTAGAAGTTAATTATTGATGATTGATATAATTGGTTTAGTTGATTTACTTACAATATTATATTTGATGAAGGTATATTTAAAACTTTAATACAATAATTATAAACAATGGAGATATCACCTAGTAACTCTTTCATGGTTGGTTTTCCACTGGAGTTCAAACCGAATCCGGTGTAATCGTAACAGATGAGATTGCATTGGAGAATGTCAGAGAGAATACGTATGTTTTTGCGTATCATTCCTAGATCCTCACGATCACATCCGCTGTAGATGATGGTCAATTTCGATGGTTTTCCTTCGCTGCTGTGCCATTTGTGATGTATGCATGGTATAGATTTCGAGTGGTCGCCGGTGATCCACATCAGTTTCTCGAGTTCCAGTGTGTACGAGGGTGGAGGTGGTTGGAATAGGAGATTCTCTTTGCCATTGCTGCTTCGCTTCGCTTTGGCATAGGGATTTGGCATTGAGTTCAGAAGGTTCTGTACAGAGGTGGTCTTTAACAGCTTGGGACGGCTGGAGTTGGAGTTGTTAGAGTTGTTCGAGTTGCCCAGAATCGAGGTGGACGACGACATTGAGGTGACCTCTTTGATTTCGATCATCGGTAGAATGCCGTCGTCGTTTACAAAGTAGTTGGAAAGTAGGTGTTGATGTGGAAGAATCGATTGTTTGTGGATGATAATCAGGTTGATACGGTTGTCTAGATGAACGCATTCGTGGATGCGATCCAGTGTCTCCTTGATCGTCAGACACAGTGGAAAACGTAGGACTTTTGTAATGAGAGGATGTGACGCTGGAAGTTTGACACGCAGTAGCACAGTCGACGACGGACTAGACATGCAACTGGCTGTGGTGATTCCAGTGGTGGCAGCGGCGAGAAGTGACTGACAATTGGGATTGCTGAATTTAAGTGGTGAGAAATCATTGGTATTCGATGATACCGATGACAATGAAAAGTTTGAAGATGTTGAGGTTGAGAATGCTGTAGTCGATGAATGTAGTCCTTCAGTGGAAGAAGATTCGTCGTCTTCTTCATCGAGGTCGTCGTCATCATCATCGTCATCTTCATCTGAAGATATTTCACTCTGTTTATTAGATATTGTTGTTGTTGTTGTTGTTGATTTCTTATTTTTATTGCTGTTATTGTTATGACGTATTGAACCACAGGAAATTGATGCTACTAATGGTGGATGTGAGGGTGAGGATGGTGTGTGAGTGGCAGAGGTAGATGAAGAGGTTGAGACGCAGCTTGGAGTTGGAGTGTTCGAAGATCTGTTGTTGCTCTTCTCATGTTCCTGTTCATCGATTTGTTCGAGATTGAATTTTGGATTGGGTAGAGGTGATCGTACGTTGTTTTGGTGAGAGAGAATTGGATGGACCAGTGGCGATTGTGGTGGAGTCAGTATATCGTTGGACGACAGACATTTCTTGAGATTGAACGGCAACAGTGACGAGGGTTTCGGTAGTGTCGGTGAATCTAAAATCTGTGTTTGTTGGTGCATGACTGCAATGACTGTTTTATCTTCCATGATAGTTCTGCTGTTGGACATGGTTTTTGCATCTATCTATCGATCAAGCCAATCTAATCTGTATTCAATCAATTCTTTATGTTTCAGATCTGTGTGGAATTAAAACAAATTCAAGTTTATCAAGCGAGAGAGCTTTCAACCCAAAAAACCATCAGTTCGAAAGAGACAATGTTGTTGTCGGTTTAAATTTGTGTTTTTTTTTGGATTTCCGTTGAAACTTGCTTTTTCCTGTTTTGGATTGTTTTTTTGTCCAAAATCGAATTAATTTTGGACTATTGATATTATTATTGTTCTAAACTAAAATATTATATTATTATTATTATCTATCTATTCTTATCTAAAAATTACTGACTGACTGATTGATTGATTGTTTAAAAAATTGATTGATTTGATTCTTTTAAAAAAAAATAATAATAAATAAATAATGGTTTGCTTTGACTTTGGCTGATTTATATTGATGGATGACCTTTGAAAGTTATAAATGAAAATGATTGACTGACTTTTAAGATAATATAATATAATTATTAAAATTTGACTCTTGCTATTTGATTCTCTCTTTAAAGATTGATATAAGAGTGACTTTTAATGAGTGAACTAGTTGAAAGTTATTATTGATTCGACTTTGCAGATATAATTTCCTAATACTATTGATGACTATCTGTAGATCTAAATTGACAAATACCAATGAGTTAGTCAAACAACCAAGTATGTATTATGAATTTAAAGTGTGAGAAATTTCTGGAAAAGGGAAATATTAAAAGAGATAAAAAAAAATCACAAACAAAACAATATCATTTGATATGGGTAAGAAATATTTATTATGATTATTTTATTTACTATTATTATTTGTTTATTTATTTATTTAGTACCCTGTAGCGGAAAAATATTTGATGGAGATGTAATAAAATTAATTTTCAATTGAGCTGAACGAGTGTTTTGGTTGCAAAAAAAAATGAGGAAAGTAGTAAGAGGATGATGATGATAATACACAAAATTATAAAATAATAATAATAAAAAACAAATAGTCGGAGGTAGTAGAAGTAATAGTAATAATAATTGAAATGGAGTAGAATGATTATTATTGTGATTTATTATTTTATTTTATTTTGTTTTTGTTTTATTTTTGTTGTCTGGTTAAAATTCTCTGTTGATTTGTTAGTTTGCTTATGATTTGTTTTTGTGAGAAGTGAGTAAAGAGGAAGATATAATTTTAAAATTATAATTAAAATAATATAATATTAACAGACAAACAAACAAAATAATTACAAAAAGGTGCTGGGTAAGAAGGAGTTAGTCTATAAATATGCAAAGCATATATAGTTAGACCTGAAATGTATCACACACCCACCGTATCATCATAAAACCAAATACCACCACAACACACTCAAATCTATTGATTCATCATATAAATATTTTAGTTTGCGATGTGATTGATATTGATGAAAAACCTTTTTTTTATATATTGATATGTATGTATTTTTTTTTATTTATATATATTTGTTTTGAAATAATAAATTAAATTAAAACAAGAAGAAGAAGAATAAGAAGAGAGATGTGATATATAATATAATCATAAAATTATATTTGATTGATTGCTGTTATGTTATTGTGTTTATCACACCAACAACAAATCACACACAAACTATTTTCACCATATATATTATATCAATTTAATTGGTGAAACAAAAGAATCCTGTATTGAAAATGAAGCAAACAACAATAATAAAACCAGATTTATTTATATTTTTAACTTTTTTTATTTATTGTTGATTTTGGTTGTGGTGGGTGACGAGTGGTTCATATACTGATTATGATTGGACAAAAACAAACACTAATTGCATTTTTAGTGAGTGATTAATCAATCAAAATAAAAAAAAAAAAAACGATAATTGTCACCAATAACACAAAAACCACACACAGATACACTGAGGGAATAATGGTATCGCCGATCATCATCTTCACACATACACACACACCATTTCTCTTCTAAAACAAAATAAATTATTTGCTATGGTTAATTCGTGATTGATAGATATGTTAAAACATTGTTTGTCTTATCATCACATATGAGTATAGAGAGAGGTGTGAGTGGCGATGAAATATTAAGTGGATAGTGAAGATGATGATATTACTGATTGTTTTGGACAAACCAAAAGTATTGTTATTAAATTCAATTATATATTTTTTTTTCATACGAATATAGTAGGGTGGGGGAGGGAACTAGTTCTGGTGAAATAAAGAATTTAGTTTGTGTGTGTAGTGCAGAAGTTACTATATATATCTTTTATACATATATATCTTGTGTGTGCGCGGTTTAAGGGTTTGGTAAGTAGTAACAAAGAGAAGATGAAATTTGTGGTGAGACAAGAAGACAATTATTATCATTCTAGTAAAGTAAGAAGCAAATTCTAATTATTATTTGATTGTTGGGCCAACAGTGTTCTTGGAAGTGTTCAATCAGGTGGTTTGGGATAGATAGATAGAAGATAGATAAATAGAGTGGTAAAATAGATATTCCTACACTCTCATACAATATGAAATAATTCAATTAATTGGATGACTGACTTCCTGGTGAATTGCATTGTCGATGAATTCATTGTTTTAAAACATGTGTGTTGGTTAATGGATTGATAGAGTAGAATGTTTTGTTGAATGCAATGACAATATTAAAAATTACAACAATGTTTCCTATTCCAATTTCCAACAACAACTCTATCAATTAAATCTTGCACTATTTATACAAAATATATGAAAAATGATTTACCAATCCTTTATTTATAAAATGAAACAATGACAATAATTACAAAAATAACTATTTTATAATAATATTAAATGTTGTTATCAATTTCTACACTTTGTTGTTATTTTAATATTATTAAGATTGTTATAATTTTATTAATACTCTCTACCAGAATAGAACTAATACAATACAATTTAATAGTTATTTATTGAGTTGAAAAAATGTTTAATGACTGTATTTAACTTATAATGAAATAGGTACAAATTAATATTATCTCTAGAAATGATATGATGATCAGAGTCTAGCTTCAATGAATAAAATTGTAAACTATTGTTGTATGAGATTAATGATTGTTTAGCGCCAATTACAAATTAATCTAATACAAGTGAAAATAAATTTATCTTATGAATCCAATCAAATAATAAAGATGACGAAATGATTTCTATTATCTAATTTACCGTTAAAAAAACAATAACCTAGTTTTTATCTATAATTATAGTTGTGGTGTAAATGAACTCTAAAATCTATATAACTACTATTTTATTTTATTTAATTTTATATGTTGGTCATCATCGTCGTACTTTGATGGTTGTATATTTGGAGCAGAACTGAAAATAAATAATATTTTTATGTAAAAATTTGATATGTTGATGACTATAACAATTAGAAATAATCAGCTGGTACTCCGTTGTTGGGATTTGATTAAAATAGCTGCTGGTTGTTGGTTTGGTGTTGAGTTGTCAGTAGCTTAACTTTTATGGCGGTGGGTGGTCAAACATCGATTAATAAAGTAAATTAAATAATAAATAACAAATAAAACAAACCACCTCTTTGTTGTTTGATGCTTGTTGTTTAAATTTCTTCTAAACTGATAAAGATTTATTACAGTTTTCTTTAAATTCAAATATAATATAAATGTGATTCCTTCTTTTTTTAATTTGTGTGAAACAAAAGAGAAAAACTAATAAGATGTAGAATTTTGTGTGAGTGAGTGTGTACAAGCTGTGTGGGTTTGTGAGAATTTTGTGTGTGTGTTTGTGTTTATGTGTAGTACTTTACTGATTGATTCAATTCTGTGATTCTTATGATGAGTGGTGTGTTGTGTTAAATTAACTTGTTTACTTTAATTTGATGATAAGTAAGTGTTGGAATCTTTGATTTTGAATGATAGATCAATTGAATTGAATAACAATAATACTCTATCATAAATCTCTAAATAAAGTAAAGAAGATGATAGTTTCAATATTTGAAATATTGAATTTGATATTGATCATCATTTTCATCCAACAAACAATCAATCCTGAAAACACATAATACTAATATAGGCAAGTTATAGAATGAAAGAATAGTTATCAAATATTCTATCTCATCATCTTACACAAAACCAATAGATTTTATACTGAATTCAAGTTGTTTTTCTATTCTCTGTTGTTGTAACAATATATATCTAACCTTATTCTAAATATACAATTTATTTGGTAATATTGTTATTTACTCTCTCTTTCTCTATTTATTAAAACTATTTTATAAAATAATTATTATACACAATTTGTCGTGTGAACTTGAAATTAATAATCTAATTAAAAGTGGAAGGTTGTTACAGTGATTGATCATCGAAAGACCCAATATCTTTGAAGATGCCAAAATAAATCAAAAAAAAAGCAAGAAATTAATTTTTTAATAAAATTTTCAAATAATGAAGGGGAGAAAAAAAATTTGAGACTAAAAATATATCTGTTTGTAAAATTTGAAACCTGATTATTTTTTGGTCGAATCTTTGTAAACAAAAATAACAGTTCATCACCATTCTATTTTATATCTAAATCAATATTTCACAGGTCGATATTTTTTTGAAGTTCAACTTCAAGAATTAATCAATCAGTAACATTTTTTGAAAGTGCAAATCAATTAGTAATATTAAAAGCAATCAAATTATTGAAAATCAATAATAATAGTAATTGCAATTAAATATTTCAAGTATTTAGTAATACAAAGAGAAAAGTGTCTCTTCTCATGAATTTAAGATGTAGGTGTCTAACAATTGTATTCATACATTGAATCAATAGATATATCTATTGATCATCTTTAGATTTTTGTAATTATCTTTTTTTTTTTTGATCATTATTATTATTTTTTTTTTTTTTTTTTGATTGTAGACAAAATATCTTTTTTTTGCTTTGGTTTCCAGTATTAAATTTTTAATAAATTGAGATTAAATTTTATTTTTTGATTATCATTATTGGTTGAATTCAGCCCTTTAGATTCGGAATTAAATTTAAATGTGGGTGTTTGAATTGCAATTTTACTTTAAAGTGTTTTAAATTATATTTCTGCATTTCTTAAACAGATAGAAATGAAATTATCTATATTAAGTAGTGTTTTATTATTATTATATTGTGCATCGTCTGTAAACTCGCAGGAATACACTGCCAACTGGAGTAAGTAGACTAATCAAAATCGATCACTATTAATTAAAAAAAAAATAAAAAAAAATAAACTCACAAAATCATTGGAAATTTAAAATATTCATTCATTTAGCTAGCATTAATTCACGTCCATTACCAGGCTGGTATGACGATGTAAAATTTGGAATGTAAATATTAATGTTAATCATGATTTAAATTAAAACATTCCTAACAGTTAACATTTAAAATCAACTTTTATTTATAGCTTTATTCATTGGGGTGTTTATGCAGTACCTGCCTTTGGAAATGGATCATCTGCTGAATGGGTAAATAAATATAGAACAATATTGGTAGTATTGATAAAAGTGTTTTATAATTATTAATTTCTTTATTATTATTTAATATATAAAAAGTATTGGTATACTATTAATAATCCAGGAGAGGATGGAGGTTATGCTCAAGCCTACAATAACAAGACCTATGGTTTCGATCACTCCTACCAATCGTTTGCACCAGAGCTTACTGCACGTATGTTCGATCCAGATCAATGGGCCGATCTATTTGTAAAGGCTGGTGCCAAGTATGTTGTTCTCACCAGTAAGCACCATGAAGGATACACAATGTGGCCATCTGCAGCCAGTTGGGGTTGGAATTCCGTTGATGTAAGGTTTAAAATAGAGAAAAACAAACAAACAATACAATCATGATTGTTCAACAATGTTTACTAAGATATAACTTTTTTTAATATTAAAGGTTGGTCCTCATATGGATATTGTTTCAATGGTATCGAAATCAGTTAAATCACGTGGACTTCATATGGGTCTCTACCACTCTTTGTTTGAGTGGTACAATCCATTGTATCTTGCCGATGCTGCCTCGGGATCACCACCAACCCAAGACATCTATGTACAAAATGTATTATTACCACAACTCTATGATATCGTTAATTCTTATGAACCAGAGGTATGAATACTTTAGAAGAAAAAAAAAAAAAAACAAAACAAAACAAGATTGATTTTAATGTTATATCAAATTACTAACATAAAATAAATTCTATATAGGTAATTTGGGCTGATGGTGCATGGGATCAACCTTCAAGCTACTGGAAGAGTACTGAATTCTTGTCATGGTTATACAGCTCTTCGCCAGTTAAAGATACAGTAGTTGTAAACGATCGTTGGGGTTCAGAGTGTATCAATACCGACGGTGGATTCTTCACTGGTGGTGACAGATTCGATCCAGGACACTTGATTCCACACAAATGGGAGAACTGTAACACAATTGGAAACAGCTGGGGATACAACGAGTTTGAATCGGCTGCCAACTACCAATCCACTCAGACACTGTTGCAAACCTTGGTCAACACTGTTGCACTCGGTGGTAACTTGCTGTTGGATGTCGGTCCCACCAAAGAAGGTACCATTCCAGTGGTTATGCAAGATCGTTTGCTGGACATGGGTGAGTGGTTGTCGATCAACGGTGAAGGTATCTACGGTAGCACTCCATGGCGTGTTCAGAACGAGTCGACCTCCATCTGGTACACCTATAACACCACTACCGACGCTGTCTATGTCTACTCATTCACCTGGCCATGGGATGGAATTCTCGCACTCGAATCACCAATCGTCACCAGCAAGACAACCGTCTCACTCCTCGGTTATGCCAACGAAATATCCTTCTACCAAGCAGGAGGAGAACCAAACGGACTCGTCATCAAGCTTCCATTCCTCACTCCCGATGAGTATCCACCACACAAAGTATACGGATTCAAATTAACCAATGTTAAATAAATAAACACATTTATTATTATTATTATTATTTTTGTAAACCTTTATATATATATATAAAAATCATTGTACAATCCACTTTATTTTAGATGTTTATAACTATCAAAATGGGCATCAAAAAAATAAAAAAAATTTTAATTAAAACTTTAAATATTCGTTAAAATCTATTCGTTTTTTTTTTGATGACTGATTTTTCAGTTTATAACAATTGATTGAATGGTTTGCTTTTTAGAATATGTACAATATTTTACAAAGAGCAAATAAATCATTACCACTACTTAACAGCAGTTGTAATGTTGGTGGTGGTAGTAGTTATTCTTTATTTCAAAGTGATATTCTTGTAAATAGAAATATAATATCATTACGATACTACAGTTCATATTCAAAAACAAACAGATACAATAGTAATATCAATAATAAATATACATATAATACAACAAACAACAGTAGTAGTAGTAGTAGTAGTAGTAGTAGTAAGTCAAAGAAGAAGAGATTGGATGATGATCTAAATTGGGAAAATGTAAAGATTCACACTTCTCTAGATCCAGAGACTTTGATGGAGCTACACAAGGAGAATCAATCGACATCTATCAAATCAAAGATAAACAGTAGAGCAGAGAGAGTCGATAGAACAGTAGATGAAATGATGAACAGTAAAGGTGGTAATGTCAATAAGATGATAGAGCAATTGGAGGACGATAGCGATCAATCTTTGAAAGAACCAATCAAGAAAAAGACATTCATCAGAGAGAGTTACACCTATATTCCAACCACGAAGAACGACGAAAAGTTTATCAACGATGCGCTAAAGTCCGATGAATTCAATGAAGAGATCACAGAGGAATCGGGTTGGCAAGAATGGGACTATGGCAAGAAGGGTGTCAAGACTTACGACGAGGAGAAGACGCGCAAGCAAGACGCAGCCAAGCACGGACTCTCACTCAAAGACGACGGACTTTTATACTTTGAGAAATTCGCAATTCCACCGCAATTCGAATCGTATTTCACCAATCCCAATGCACCTACCAACAGAACCGAGAAGAAGTACTTTAGACGACTGGACGAGAAGCTTCTCGCCAGCAAAGAGAGCAATCCAGACGATCGCATCGAGAAACGAAAGAAACAGAGAAAGACTGTCATCGATGAAGACTCGGAGGAACACACCGTGCTACAGAAGAAGTTCTCGGAGCGTATACTCGATTTGTTGAACGATTCTTTCTTGTTTGACGATAATGACGGTGTTGTTGTCAATAAATCACCGATGACACCTACATTCTTCAAGAACAAAGAACAACAAGAAATGGAACAGTTGGATAGCGATGAAATAGTCGATCCCATCTTGGCGAAAGCAAACATCTCATTGACCAAAGCAAAGATGTCGAGTGATCTTCGTTGGGTCAAAGTATATTGGACACGAGAGAACACTGTCGACGAACAAAACAAAGATAACAACGATAACAATGATATGATAGAGCAGTATCATAAGTATCAAAAGAATCAAGATAAAATCATACAACTAATGAATGATTCAAATATAAATAATGATAATAATAATGATAGTAGTAATAATAATAATAATGAGAAAGAAGAGTTTAATCAATTAGAAGAATCAACAACAACAACAACAGAAGAATATGAAATTCAAGATATTATATCAGAGTTATCTACAACCGGTGCAAAGAAACTGATTTTAAGAAAACACAAGCAAGATATACCACAACCGAGTATCAAAACTAGCTCAACTTTGCATAAGAACAACATGGTTAATGTTGTCGGTGTGAAGGATACAGATGGAAAATCCGATGCATCTTCAATTAATCCAGAGTTCTCTTTTGGTGCTAGCAATGTCGTTGCTGCCAGCTTTGAAAAGGTTCAGCTCAACGTTTCGATCCCAACGCTACACGAGAGTTTGATGGAACCAACAAAGATGGAGTCGTTGGCCGCCAACGACAACAACGAACAAGACGATGAGAAATCAATGGAGATAGATCTACACGATGAACTGCTAGAGTTGGAGAATCAAAGTATGTTGCAACAACAGCAGGCAAAGAAAAATCGATATGAGAAGGTGACAGACGAGCAAATCAATGCGAGATTGGTGGCGCATACACCTCGACTCAGACTGCTGATATCCAAGAATATCAAGACTAGATACGTGCCGAACATCTACTTCCTCAAGGATAAGCAACAAAGAAAGATGGATGTTGCAATCGATCTATACGATGCTGTAGTGGTACCGGAACTTCTAAGAGCAGCCAACGCAACCAAATCACTGCAATCAAGAAGATCTGAACAACTAAAGAATAGATTCATGGGTATTTTCAATGATAAATCACAATCTACCAACAATAATAGCAATAACAATGATGAAGTAGATCAAGCAGATGATATGTATATGGATGAGAGCTTTGCAAATGAAATACTTAAAGAGGAATCGGAATTGGAGAATATTTATACACCTGTCAACATATTTACAAAGAAATCAACTAAATCAAATAATGTTTATAAAACAGATCTTCCAATCGATAATAATAATATTGACGAACAACAAGCAACAATTAACCATAACAACAATGATAATACATCAGATGTTAAACAACATACCAATATTGATAAGATTAAATCTAGATTTAAAGATTTTAATAAATCGCAATTTTAAATTAACTTTGTAAATAAAGATATATATTAATATATTAAGTTATATATACATTGATTTATTATTACTTCTTTCTTTTTAAATAAACTAAATAAAAAGTTTGTTTTGATAAATAGATAAATAAATAAATAAATAGGCTAGATGACATCATATAGAGTGACCACTCTGGTTTATAGATCTTTTTGTTGCAATAATTGTTGTCTACGTAGATTAAGTTGCTCTTGTTTCTGTGGAGTCAAAGAAGAGAATGGGTTGGAAGATTTAATTTGGATATTCTTCTTGATGTTATCTACGATATTGATGCTCTCTAGTTGTTGTTTTGCCAGGAATAACTTTGATCCACTACCATTACTGTTGGTTTCACCATTGGTTGTTGTGGTGGTCTGTGCTTGTGGTATAAAAGAGGATGTTGATTTGTTGGTAGTGGGTACTGCGACTGGATTAGTTGTGGTTGGTGCTGCAATATAACTATGACTTATTCCAATTGGTTTGGCAAATTGCTTTGATATTTCCAATACCGATCCTCCTTTCCTTCCATCTGTGGCTGTACAACTACCATTTATCGATGTGGTTGTAGATGTTAATGATGTTGTCGGTGTTAGTGTTGTTGTTGTTAATGGTGTAGAGGTGGGTTTAAGAATTGAATTGGAGGTGTTGCTGGTTGCTTTAGTTTCCAAGGGTGTAGCTGATTTTGGTTGTGTAGAGGAAGTAGAGGTTGTTGTTGTTGTAGTCTTATTTAGAAATGATGAATATGTTTTTGGTTGGATTGCAGTGGATGATGTTATTTTTGGGGTATCTACATTGTTGTTGTTGTTTGTTGATTTATTCTCAAACTGTTGTTTGTTCAAAAGAAATGATGATGTTGTTGGTGCTGATGACGAAGTGGTAGATATAGTTGTTGATGTGACAGGTGGTGAAGTTACTGGTGTTGCTGGTGATGAGGTGCTTTGTTCATGCTGTTTGGTCAATGGTGGTGAAACATAGGTTGTTGTTGTCTTTGGTGTGACCATGAAACTATTGGATTTATATGGAGGTGAAGTAGATGAATTTGAAACAGATGTGGTTGTAGATGTTTTGTTTGTCGTTGATGATAGTTGTGTTGATGGTTCCACCGGTTCAAGTAACTTTGGTGTATATATAGATTTAATATTGCTTGAGGTTGTGGCTGTAGATGAAATTGTTGGATTCGAGTTGCTCGATGTAGAGTTTGTACCTACTTCCAATGTACTTTTAGAATATACTTTGGATGTAGTAGCTGTTGCTGATGATGTTGTTGATGAAGCATTTGTATTTGTATTTGAAGTGGTAGTTGGTAAGTTGATAACACTAGATGATACGTTGGCATTGTTCATAGACTTTTGTTGTGATATGGAAATCCAAGATGGTTTGGAATCATCTTTCTTTACAACTGATGCTTTTGAAATGAATGAATTGGTAGTGGAAGTGGTAGTAGTTGTTGTTGTTGTTGCGGTTGGTTTAGTTGTGGTGATAACAGAAGCAGTACTAGTACTGCTAACATTTATATTGGGTGGTGATGAAATATTAGCTGTTGTATTGTTAGTTCTTGGTGATGTTGCAATGTTGGTTCTTGGTGATGTTGCGATGTTGGCTCTTGGTGATATGGTATTGTTAGGGATGGAAGGAACAGTAAATTGATTGACTGACACGGGCTTAAGTGTTGGTGATGTTGTATTACTTCTTGGTGATGTGGTAATAGGTGTAGAGTTTAACGATGAAATAGGTGTGACTGTGACACTACTGACTGATACAGCACTTCTTGGTGACTTGTTCAAAGGAGATCCAACATTGCTAGGCTGTGATGCTGTCTGCTTCAAACTGTAGAGAACACTTATTAACTTGATAAATTGCTGTTGGTTTTGTAGGCTTGAATTGAACTCGTATTGCTGTGTTTTAGTTTCCAATTTAGGACTCTCTGGATGACTCTTGTAAAATTGCTCCAACAATCTGAGTGTTGAATTTTCTTTCTGAGTATTGTCGAATTTAATATGACCAACAGCATCACCTCTAATTGAATTTTTAAACTGATTAAAAGAGTTTGCTTCTAAATATAATTTAACCAACTCTTTTCCACTACTACTATTATTGTTATTGTTATTTTTGATGTTGTTGTTGTTGTTGGTTGTTGATTTCTGTTGATTTAAAGAATTGACAATGTAGAGTAATTCTCTTAATTGATTGGTGTTCTTTTCGAATTCACATTCGACTTGACCAATGTTGCCAACTAATGATTGGGTTATTGATTTCTCCTCGGCTTGGAGATAGTCATGCATCTGTTGAAAACATTTCCTTACTTGTTCTCTTGTCGACTCCAACTCTTTGTATTTGCTGGCTTCGTATTGCAACAGAGAATCGAGTGATTCCATTCTTGATTTGATTTCATTGTGCTCCGCACCATCGAGAGCCACACCTTCAACACTGGCGATGTCATCAATGATGAACTTGATATGCTTATGATTATGTTTATTATGTAGTTGATAGGGTGCAACGTCCTTATGACACACAGTCTGTTTACAATCAAAACACAAATACTCAATAGTCTCACCATGCATCGTACAAAATTGGTTATTATTGCTGATCATTTTATTTTATTATTGTTACCACTAATAATGCTATTGTTGTTTATCAATCCAATCTAATAGAAAATAAAATATAAATATAGTTATTTGCAAAGAAATAAAAACATGTACAAATAACAACATCAAAAAAAAAAAAAATTTAAATAGAATAGAATAAGGTTACTGCAAATTTAACATTCATCATTTGATTGAAATTTTTTGAACCCACTAAATGGGGGTGGGTTCAATTTATCAGAACGAATAAGGTTATGATAATGAGAAGTACCAGACTGAAATCAAAAAAATAAAATTGAATGTTGTGCAAAGTGAAAATATTTATTTTATTTATTTTTTTGATTAATTCAACAACAATGAAATTGTTACAAACAATATGTTTGTCAATGAAATTATTTTGATAGTTGAAGATACAGATGATGAAGAACTACCACCACTTGATTTACACTTCATATTTTTAGAGTTTTCAAGTGGGTCTGCACCACATCTCTTGTAGATACAAGACTCCTTTGTAATATCATCGACATAAGGACATTTAGAATTTCTCATACCTAAATTATTAAAGTTAATTTATTTGGTATTTTTCTTTTACCTATTCATAAATGTACTTACAATCTACATAAATTATATACTTTTCTTTTGTTATTCCATCAAAGGTTCTTGAACTCTTGCACATTCCTGTAGTAGAATCTGGATTGCATACACAGTAAGTATCATGAGGACAATCATTTCCTGAACTACAATTCTTTGCCTCTATACTTGAAATGGATACACATTTATTATCTATACACTTTTTTGTTTGAGAAATAAATGGAAAAAGAAATTATTAATTTTTAAATCGAAAAATAGAAAAATGAAATATTTTTAATATTACCAATAAATTCTTTGTAAAGTCACAATCTGTTAAATCGTCACATACTCCTCCTTCTACAGCTGTTAGTGGCATTGTACATATCTTTGGAGTGCCTAAACATGAACTAAGAATCTGGCATTGGTCATTGGAGTTACATTCTTTTCCATCGTCAAGCGGTGCTATGCATGCATCTTGATAGCAGGCCTCGCCTACCTTGCATTCTTCTCTTGAATCACACTTTGGATACTGTCCATTGGCACAAACTCCGCCAGTACACGTCAGGTGTCCGGAACAATCATCATCTTTTGTACAATTCTCACCATATCCCAGATAGTTCTCCGATACACATTTATTATTGTTGCAACTAAGCTCCCCTAGACATCTTTTCGTTACAGAACAGTCTCCACCAAGGTCTGGAAGTGTCATACACTTACTATTCAAACACAATGTTCCATTAGCACAAGCACTGAAATCAGTGAAATGAAAATCTATTAAATATTTTTTTATTTTTGGTCTATTTGAAAAACAAAACTTGCCTGTTTGATGGATCACAGCTAGAGTTTATCTCAGCACATTTCATACAATGCTGGCCAAAAATAGCATTAAATATTCCAAACAAGAAGAATAAACAAAATATTTGGATTTTAGAACTCATATTTAATATAAATATTAATTAAATATTAATCGAGTTTCAAATTTTGAAAATAAGGACAAAATTTTTTAATTAATTTTTTAATTAAAAAAAAAATCCAGAGAAAATCGCCAATTTAGGAAATTAAGATTTTAAATTGTTCACAAATATATCTAAAAAGTCTTTGGATGTGTTATTTTCGCTTAAAGATTTGTTGAAAAAACATATTATAAAATTAATCAAAAAAAAAAAAAAAAAAAAAAAAAAACTATAAATATTTAATTTTAAAGATTATCTATTTTATTATTATTTAATTAATTTAGAACAATAAAACAGACAAGACGATGGCGAAAACAACGAAAGCATTGAATGCGATAGTGGTGGCAGAGGAACAGACGTTGTTGGAAGCACCGGCGTATGGATCAGTACACTTGGAGAGACATGATGGACTGAGGACATTGTCTACAGCTGGACATGAAACTTGACAGTTGACGTAGGTGGTGTAAGCAGCAGCAGTGACATCGGAGTACTCAATAACAGCCTTGCAGGAACCAGTCTTGGCGGTGGCGTCGTTGCTTGGACACATACAGGCAGAGTAACCACCCAAACAGGTGTCGGCACCGGTGAGGGTACAGTTGTCGAGGGCTTCTGGAACGGCAACACACTTACCTGATGAACAGTACAATCCGGCGGCGATGTTACAGTTGAGGCTAGAGGTACAGTTACCGTTGAGGCCTGAGGTCAATGGAGCAGTGCAGACATTATTGGTACATGAGCTCTCTGGGAGACAGAGGGAAGCATTGGTAGCACTGCAAGCACCACCGTTGGCAATGAATGGGGTACAGACTAAACCAGTACCATTGAAAGCACAACCTTCACCAGCCTTGCAACCAACACGGGAACCAGTACAGGTTGGATAATTGGCATTGGTACATTTACCAGATGTGCAAGTCAAAGTCTTTGAACATTGATTGTCAGTAGAGCAAGTCTCACCAACACTAAAATAACAAATAGTTAGATTAAAATTTAAATTATTTTTTGTTGTTTTTATAATTACCCCAAGTAATTAGCTTCAATGCACTTATTTGGTGTGGCGGTGGTATCGCAGGTGTATGAATCATCACAGACTTGAATTGCAGTACAATCTTCGTTCAAAGTTGGCAAAACAGTGCAAATAGTGTTAGCGGCGGTGGAGTTTGGCTTAATGCAAACGGTTCCTTCTTCACAGAAGTTAGCAGTTACGTCACAAACAGCTCCTTCCTTGACACAGGTGAAACAGGTGGCGCTCATAGCGACGGAGACGGTGGCCAATAAAACGAAAAGGGTGATGAATTTATTCATTGTTGTTTTATTTAGAGATATAAATTGAAATATATATATATATATATGATAATATCAAGAAAATAAAATGAAACAGGAGTGTAGCCGGCTATTTCTTTTTATAGAGTAAAAAGTTCAATATGAACAACCACCAAAAATAAAAATAAAAATAAAAATAAATAAAAAAATCAATTAAACTGACGACGACGGTATCTTTAAGATAACAATATCAATTTTTTTTCATTCTGTTAAATTACCCCTTAAAAAAATCTGATTTTGACACAACAAGCACCCACAACAAAAAAAGAAACCAAGCACCATTCAAAAACCTACACATTCAAGGTGAAAAGACCACTCAAGAAAGGAAAATGTGTAACAATTTTAGCAATGGGCTTCAAAAAAGAGTTACCCCCCCTTGATGCCCATCGAGAGTCATGTTGTTGTTGTTTTTTCATCACATCACCCCACCAAAAAAAAAATAAAATAAAAAAAAACAAAATTAGGTGTTTTTTTTTTTTTTTTGTAATCAGTTAAATTTCATACATGAGCCAATTTTATTTTTAATTTCCACTATTTGATCATCAAAAAACGTCAATGAAAAAAACAGGCGGTTTAATTTTAATAAAATATCAAGAATTATCAAGGAATTCGTTATTTTTAAATCAAAAAAATGACATTTTTTCTAAAAAACTGATATTTACTTGTTTGAAAATATCTAAATTTACTCACCTATGAATAACCTAATCATCTAAAATGAAAGACTCAAAACAGAAATAATCTGAAAAAATTTAATCAATCTACAAACTTATTGTAGGTGACCATTCATCACCAAAGTTGGATAATAATACCTGAGCCATACCCACTCGTGTTTTTATTCCAAAGATTTGATCAAATCATTAAATCAATGGCATCAAAATTTCTTGATTTTATTCTTAATTATATCTCTCTTTCAATTGGTATTATATCTTCTCCCCTGCCCGATAAATTTCAATTCAATTTGGTGGGGAGTTTGAACAAACATACACAAATCAATAATCTATTTGATCATGGTTACTCAAAATATAATAAGCAATAAGCACTTGATAAAGTAATGAAAAAACGAAACAGAATATTTATATTTATCTTTTAAATTATTTGGTTTCAAATTATATATAATCCAAATATTACTTTAAATAAATGATACACTGATTGAAACAAGGGAAGGAAATTATTTTTTTTTATTTACATTTTTTGCAAATTAATTTTATAACAGTGTTAACTATTCCTATACTTACAATTTTTCTTTGGCTATTGACTAGACTAAACAGTTTTGTTTTTAACAAAGGACCAAATAGAAGATGTTTGATTAAACTTACAATATGGCGCCACTTATAATTTTTGTTTCTTCTTGTTTACAATATTAATATTATTTAGCGAGTATCTATTTTTTTTAGTTCTTATATTAGTTATGTTCGACTCTCTCTACTTTTTTATTTGAAAAACCAACGGAGGTCTTTAAAAACAAAGAGTAAACTATTTTTTTTTTTCAAAAAAAAAAAAAAAACCAAAATAACCAAAAAAAATTTAAAAAATTAATAACACAAAACTTTTACACCTCTTTGTGTTTTTTTTTTTTTTGGATCATTAATCTACAAAATAAAATAAAAATAAAACAAAATAAAATAATCAGAATAAATAAATTTATATGAATATATATAAATATATGTGAGTCTTATAGTCAGATGAGGCAAACAGCTCAAGTTGAATCAAAGATTTACTTTTAGTTTATAAAAATAAAAGATAACCGATCATTTGAAAATATTTGTGATTACTTTTGGAAAAGAACAAAAAAAAAAAAAAGAATAGACAAATTTTTTAAATCTTAGTGGGTCGACATTATTAGAGAACTCCAAAATCGTTAATATTTTATTATCAAAACATTTATATTAGTAGCACAGTAACTTTGAAACTTATATTTATTATACAATTTAATTTTATATGATAGAATGTTAAATTAATTAATTAATTCATAATTTTTATTTTTTTTAACATATTTGATTATTAATACTATTGATAAAACGACCAGAAGTACACCACCAACTACAATGATTGATATTGCCCATGCAGGTAAGTTCCTTTTCTTTCTGGGTGGAAATCCTTTAATTGTGCAACCAGAGTTTGAAATAGTCGGTAGGTTGGTATCATCTAAATTTGAAAATTCTATCAAAATATCTTCATCGTACCATCCGTCTATACAAACAATATCAGTACCATTGTTATTTCTGAATATTGGATTGGAAAAGTTACAATTTGCATCTTCTGAGTAAAATTGACTGTTGTCAAATGTTGATCCTTCAAAAAGACAATTTGTGATTCTATGTAAAGGATTTCCAAAGCTAATATTACTATTCGTAAAGTTACAGTTAGTCACATTTGTTGATCCAGCCAATATGTGTAATAGTTTGAGACTATCACCAACACTGACAAAACTACTATCTATCAATTCTATTGAGCCGAATAAGGTATCATTGAACTGAACTAATGGTATATTGGTGATTACATAAACATTTTTCATTAAAAGTGTTCCAATGAGAAGCTGTAGCAAATTGGAGTATGTAGAATTTGGATTGTCTATCTCTGTTACCAATTTGGAATCTGATATCTGGATATAGGTATTAACCAAAATACCATACTTTTCTTCATCAATAAAAGTAATATTATTGAAGGTGGTATTGGTGATGTCGAGAGTACAATCCAAATTATAGAGTATTGGAGAACTAACTATTGAAAGTAAACCTCCACCAAATGCTGTATAATCGAATGATGAATAGGCAACAGAAATATTTAATGTTTGAATATAGTTTGATATATAAAACACTCTAAATACATTGATAAAGTTGATTTTGTTGATGTAAAATGATGATTGTGGTCCTGGATATTCAGATTCAGTAGAAATGGTAAACATAAAGATGCTTGTATCTAAACCTGGTGATTGGCTCGTAAAGTTGAATGTAACTTGTCCTATGGTGTTTGGTGTCTGATATAAACTAATATTCATTGAATGAAAGTTAATGTTATTATTTTCAGTTGAGCTATAGGTTCCAGGAGCAACATATATCATCAATGGATTTGAGCGGCTTGAACTAACATTCAAAAAGCTTTGAATGGCACTTCCAAGTGATGGACATGCTTCTGAAACGTTTGGTGATGAACCACAAGGAGCTATTGTTGATGAATTTGTTGATCTATTATCAACATAAACTATTCTATGGGTACTTGTTGTTGTTGTCACAAAAATGACAAGAAATAATGTTAAAATAGTTGTACTATGCATTCTATCTTTATTTATTATATCTAGAACTGTAAAAATTTGAAAAAAAAAGTGTTCATAATTCTATTATTTTAATAATAATATTAAAATGGTATATCTATTTTAACTCAAAAATTTGAACGAATGTTTTGTTTGTCCGATGATCCTTCATTGCGCTTTATGATGATATAAAAATTTTGTTTTTGAATGCACCACTGTTTTATCTAGCACAGACATGTAACCCTAATTGAATTAAATGAAAAAAACATTCCAATCATATCATTTTTTATTTTTCATTTTTTTATATTTAAATGTTCAGGTGAATGTTGTTGGAGCTAGTTTCTTTTTTTAAAAAACAAAAAATTCTTTACAGATCAAAATAGCAAAATAAAAACAAAAAATTTTCTTTTTACCTCTGGACCAACAGTTGTGAATTTTAGATCCCAATCAAAAAGACTGTCAGCCAATCATGTTGCTTGAATTCTCCCAAAATTACATAAAGTAAATACATCATATGATCAAATAGTATCAAAATCGTGTGGTTAAATAAAAGAATAAATTGGCTTTAATTTTATCTTGTGCAGTTCACCGGTAAGAAGTTTTCAAACTGTTTGGCATATTTGTAAACAAAGTTGTTTGTGAATTACCGAGGTAAATATCACATCATTGGTCTTGTTTTTTTTTTGATAGTTTTTCAGGAGTGGGATAAAAAAAATAGTGATCATTGCACTTTGTTGTTTGGACAAAAAAAAATTATTATTTTAATATGTTTAAAAAACACATACTTTGAGGTGGAGTTGGTATTATTCAGGTCCACATCCAAAGGATATTAGAGTTCAATTGATCTATAACCTATTTGCCTTGTTTTAGTGAAAAAAAAAAAAAAAAAACAAAAATATTCTTTTAAATTATTTTTAATTTTATTTAATTTTAATTCTTTTGTTAAGAAATCAAAAGGTATTTAATAATAGTCAAAGGATTATGACATTCAACAAACATAAATTCATATATAATTGTTATATATAAGTAAGTGAAATGAATCAGAGATTTTTTTCTTTTGACCATTACTAACTATCTACCACAGGATAATGATTAGAATAAAATTTATTATATTCTTTCTATTACAGTATCTAATTCTCTCGAGTGGACAATGCCCGGTGCCTCCCAACTGTGTTGATGGTTCCTCTGGTGGTCCAGTACCCTGTGGAGATGACCCAAGCTCGAATGTTTTAGTAAGCCAACTTGAAATGCAACAACAGTTGTCTGATATCGGAAATGCCATTGAGAATGCTATCTACTACTTGGATATTATTGACCCAGAGATGATACCTGTAGGGCCACTCGTATCCTCCCTAGTGTATCATTTTTGGCCGACCGGACCTTCAATTGTAGTATCTTTAACAAACTATGTTGATAGTATAGTCTCACGTTCTATTATGTGCCAATCTTATTCTCAATCTCTGAATTTATTTGAAAATATGAATTGTGGTGCCCAAACCTATAGTTATTGTTTCAATTCCTATCTCAAAGGCTGTCAACCTTTAGAATCAATTTGCCCAAGTAGGTTAGAAGTTTACAGTAGAATGGATACTATGTTATCAATTAACGCAAATTCTTTTGGTGGACCTGGATTTGCTTATATTGATTTCCAAAATCAACTTGCGCTACTTCCGATATATATACAGTACATTAATCTTCGTCTTTCTTTTTTCCGAGATATGATCTTACATCCCGATATATTTAACTTCACAATCAATGACACAATCCAATTTCAGAATGAAATATCGGTATTGCAAGCTCATGCGACTCAATATGCTAATCAAATTGCAATGACTCAATTAAATGGATTCCCAAAAATAAGTTGCCTCAGTACCACTGGAAGTAAATGTGTAACTGTCGATGTCTACAATCAGTTGGCAAATTATACTCTATCTGTTGTCACTGGTGTTCTTAAATATTCCGATATGTGGCCCTATTTTGACCCAATCAAGTATCCTTTGGGACCACCTCCAACCAAACCACGTAGTATATTAACTCCTATAGTTGGTAATTACTATACCACTGCCAATAACGATGTTTGTATTCAAAACTATGCAGATATCTTTTATCCAGATCTCTCATTTGTTAACAGTTCGTCTTTGTCCCCTTCGAACACTATCAACGTATATAAAAACAGTGAGTTTATTCAATGCATCAACCGAGTTCACTGTGCACCTACCCCGGTATTTTTTAGTGCAAAGACGTTTTATGGTATAGCTGGATTAAAGTTTGAAAACAACTTAATTTCTTCTTCAATGGTATATGGTGCAGATACAAGTCATCATGATGTGCACTCAGCTGGAACTTTAGTTGTTAATAATTTTCTTTCTGAAAACACATATAAAATTTTGATTTCATCAATCAAAACTTTTTATCCAAAAAAAGGAACTGGTTTAGATACTGAGTTCACATATATTCAAGCTATTCAAATGGGTCTATCAGCAGGACTTGAACCAATACAAACCACTGGTGTACTTTCTTCTGACCACGCCGATTCCAATCTTCAATCAACCAACTCTTCATTTATTGGATTTTATCTTTCTGGTGTTTCGTATACACAGCAATCTACTTATAGTATATGTACAAACCAACGCCCAAATACACTCAATGCAATTTCATACATATTTACCGACTACACTGGATTGATACCATCGAAGCCCGCAATCGATAATACAAAGATATATCAATATAGTCGAATTCAATCCGATGGAAATGTTCGTTATTTATACACTGCTCACAACTATGATCAAACCAATCTTCTATCAGGATGGACTTTCGATGGACCAGCATTTGGTGGATTGACTTTTGGATTCACAAATACCACTTACCCAACAAAAACCGTTTACCAATATAGTTTCTCGAGTGCAATAAGTGTTGGTACCAGGTACCTCTATGCGACTAATGGAGGTAATGCTCAAGCATGGACTTTCGATTATCCGGTCTTCAATGTATATTCCGATGGATCACTACCCGGAACTATACCGGTCTATAGACTTGGTCAGGCCGGTCAAGGTTCATCTGGAGTTAGTTTTGCTCTATCCACTGAATCCTACTTACCAGATTGGATAACCGTAGGTGTTGTTTGGTATACACCCCAGAATCAAACTTTGCCAAATGCCACAATTGCCACTTGGAAACCAATTGCAAATGTTGGAAATAGTGGTCAATGCCTCTCTTCTTCAACAGGTACCAATAGTTTGGTGGTTGTTGAATGCTCCCAAAATAAATTTCCATTTCCCGATAGCAAACAAGTTTGGAAGAGATTAAGTCCATATCAAAACAATAGCCAACTCTTGAACTACAATTTACAAACAGTTTCTGGTACCAATCAAAATAGTAACCCAATTTTAGTCCCACTCTCCAATAACAACGACCAGTCAACATTGGTAAAGTTCATTTACACACCTAGCAAATATCCATCTTACCAGATTCAATCGAAGATTACTGGTCAGTGTATTCAAATGGTGGCAAAACCTGGTGGTGGTTATACTTTACAGTATTCAAATTGTAATTCCGATAATCTCTTCCAGTGGTGGAATAGTATAGATTTGCGTTTGAAAACTATTCAGACAAATGGATATTGTTTAACCTACTCTACAGATAGCTCTTTATCTACTCCAAACCCAGCAGGGCCATCTATATTACCTTGTTTTGGTGGATATATCTATCAAGCTTGGTTCGTCAATGCCGACACAATATCTTCCAAAGCAGGCTCACTTACACAAAGTTTCGTTGATAGTTGGAATTCAACTCCCAACAAATTCTATTTCACAAGTGGTTTAGGTGCAAGCGCTACAAAGCTAAAATATATCCAAGTACCGAATAGCAATACCTTCCAAATTCAAAATGTTCAAACTGGCTTGTGTCTCGAATTGGTGCCTAATAACTTGATAGGATCAAGGGCTTCATTCACTGGCTGTGATTCTTCCATATCTAATCAAAAATGGACCTTTTCAAACTATTAATTGAATAAAAATAGTTCATCTTTTAGAAAATGACCAAATTTTTTTTCTTTTCTTTTGTTTTAATAATTAATTGATAAGTTTTATTTTTTTTTAAATTTGATTATTAATACTATTGATAAAACGATCAAAAGTACACCACCAACTACAATGATTGATATTGACCAAGCTGGTAAATTCTGTGTCTCTCTTGTTGGTAGTCCCTTAATTACCCAACCAAAGTTTGATAGTCGGTATTGACTTTTGTTAAATTTTGATCCTTCAAATAGACAATAAGTGAATAATGGTTCAGGTTCTACAAATCTAATTACAATTGATCCACTCAATATAAGTAACAGATCTATGCTATCACCAACACTGACAAAACTACTATCTATCAATGCTATTGAGCTGTCAAAGGTTGTAGAGGCATCATCGAACTGAATTAATGGGATATTGGTGATTACATCAACATCTATAATTAAAAGCTGAAGTAATTGTGAGTTCGATGCATTTGGATCGTCTATCTCTGTCGACAATTTTTGAATCTGATATCGAGATATACTTATTAAATGAAAACTAAACAGTTCTTTGGCAATAAAACTAATATTATTGAAGTTTGAATTGGTGATGTTGAGGGTACAAACCATTTTATTGTACCTTCAACCTCCTCCACCAAATGTAACTTGTCCTGTAGTGTTTGGTGTCTGATATAAACTGGTTTTCATGGAGTGAAAGTTAATGTTACTAATTTCAGTTGAGTTATAGGTTCCAGGAGAAACGTATATTCTCAATGGATTAGAACGACTTGAGCTAACATTTAAAAAAGCATTCCTACATTTATTATTTTCTGCAGTTTTTGAAGTGTTGTGTTAATTAAATATACCTACGAATATTAAACAACAGCATTTCAGCCGAATCAGCAGATCTGTAATATTAGGATTAAAGGCCTTCTTTTTGGTGAGGATGTATGACAATCACTGCCTAAATCTGATTATATTCACCAACATGAGATGTCTATTAATATTCTTTTCTCTTCTTCTACTCGAGTAGTCTTTTGTATATCTTTTATGTTTTTCTTGCATTATCATATGCTAATTCAAATTTAATTCGCCTATCTTTGTATCCGCTTTCTGATATTTATCAATGTTTTAGATATCCGAGGAAGATTCATATAAAAAAATAAATATTTAAAGATTCATTTTGATGACCATTTTTTTATTTTTTAAAATTTTTTATATTATTATTATTATTTGTATTTATTATAAAATGAAATAGCAAGATATTAATAGAGTTAAGATCGACAGAATGGAAATTCTCTTTAGAGAGTTACCAGTACTTATATTACATAGATTATTGTATTTCTCGGTTGGATTTAATGGACTTAGAGATTGACACTCGTATAAACAAGATGTCTTGAGAATATTGCTTACGAAAGGACATTTTGTCTTTTCTAAGCAATCAAAGTATGGTGTAAAGTCATCGGGTGACATGTTTGTTGAAGCTCTACACTTTCCAGTAGTATTAGAAGAAGCACCACTACACATACAAGTTGACAAGTCAGGACAGAATGTATCATAGTTCTTAGGATCCATTGAACATTTTATATCGACTTCATCTGCAGTACATGTTCCTTGTAAACACTATTTAAATTGAATTAGAATAAATTTCTTTTCTATTTTAAAAAATATTTAGAAACTAAACTAGTATTAATAGAATACATACTAATAAATTACTTGAAAGATCACAACTTAAACTATTGAAACAATCACCACCTTCTTTCACGGTTAAAGGTAGTGTACAGACACCCAACAAGCAACTTCTTGACATTTTACATTCTGAATCGGCTTTACATGGATCACCGTCTGCAAATACCTTTGTACAAGTTCCTTGTGAACAGACTTGTCCTGGTTTGCAATCACCTCTGTCATCACACTTTGGATAGTCTTCATTTATACAAGTACCTTGGCATTGCAATCCAGATGTACATTCATAATCGTTTGAACATTTTTCTCCATATCTATTTAAAATTGAAAAAAATATTTTAGTTAATGATAAAATTAAAAACCATCAATTAATAAATTATTTAATATTAAATCTTTCTTACCCTAAATAGTTTGTAGCAATACAGGTTGATGTATTTGCACTACATGAGTATCCATCGGCACATACTTGTAGTACTGAGCAATCTGCTCCGGGTGCTGGGATTTGCAAACATTTGCTTGAATTTGATCCGGATTTTATACATTTTGAACCAACAGGACATACTGATGCATCAGGATTACAAACATCACCTACATTTAAACATCGCAAACATATTCCAGCACCCATAGATATACTCAAAGTACATAACAATACTAAAAGTAGTAATAAATATTTAATTATCATTTTAAGAAAATATATATATAAATAATAAATAACTTTTTTTATTTTAATTACAAACAACCAAAATATATAAAAATAGAAATAAAATAGTTCTATTATCAAAGTTAAATTAAATGAAACAATATTTGATAAAACAACTAAATAAATAAATTTAAAAAATAAAATAAATAGGTTATTTGATTGCAATCACTTTATTTATTTAAGCCTATGGATGATTTGATAAACTGCAGTGCTGATTATCACATGAAAATGTTAGTGGGTATACAGTTATATCACTAACATTAACACTACACAAATAATCAATTAAAAGTTTAAAATAAAACTGTCATTTGTTAAATTATTATAACATAATCTTGTGTGAGTGTGTTTGTGTGTGGGTGTGTGTTTTAATTAAGATTGTGAGGAAATAAAATTATAAATATAATTTTTTTTTTGATTGTTGTGTGGTTTTAATTAAACATCTTTAATTATTCTAATTTCTGATTGTCCTGGACAAAAAAATAAATTAATAACATTAACATTCCTTATAAGTAAGTAAGCATATTAGTTTTATTAAAATTATTATAATAAATGGTGGTGTGGTAATAAAAACTGAGACAAGATGGTTGTGGTCGAAAAAAATAAAAGTACTATCTGCAAATATAAAGAGAAGGAAGAAGACGATGATGACAAGAGAAGTGATGGAGATGATGATAGTGACGACGAGTCAGAAGTGGAGGAAGAGGATGTTGTACTGTTGTTGTTGTTGTTGTTTGGTATTCTATTACACGGACTGCTCTTTATACCCCCGCCTGGCTGCAGTGGATTCAAACACTTGTTGAGACACGATTGTGGTAGAACGAAATCGACTGTCGGACAATCGCTCTGAAGTATACACTGTATGTAATCCAAGTAGTCTGTCTTACTGAAATTCAAATTCAATTGATTCACACATACACCAAAGCTAGTATTGGCCGCGTTGCACATACACAATGAATAGGATGGACATTCATATTTTGACTCGGTTGGCTCCATTGAGCAAACTTGTTTTTCGACATCATCAGAACCAATACAAATACCATTGGAACACTAAAAATAAATATAGATATATTTGTTAGTGTCGATTTCTTAAGAAATAGTAAATTGATTTACTTACAATTAATTTTTGAGAAACATCGCAATCACTTTGAACTTGACAGGATCCACCTTTGGAAATACTCATGGGTGGTGTACATTTCAGTGGTTGACCTATACAACTGGATTGATACAAACACTGGGAGGTAGAGTTGCATGCTTTACCGTCGGCCAAAGCAACAACGCATTTATCGTCAACGCACACTTCGTCTGGTTTACACATTGTGTCAGCTGAACACGATGGATAGATTTCATTCGTACATCTATTGGTAGTATTTAAACACTTTAAACCTGTTGCACAATCAAGATCATTTACACAAGTTTCATTGAAACTATTGTTTTTTTGTAAAAAAAAAGTATAGCATCGTTAAATATCAATATCTAAATATAATAATAATAAAATAAATACATATACCTACCCTAAATAATAAGCTTTAATACAAATTCCTTTTGAACAATAATATCCACCATAACAATATTGAGTGTCTACGCATGATTCTCCAAGAGTTGGAATCTTCTTACAGGTAAATGTACCGTTTGATTGTCTACAGTCGGAACCGTCTTGACAAATGGATCGATCTGGGAACCGATCACATGTTTGACCATTAGATCGACATGTCATACATTGATCATCTACTCCTGCAAAAACAACACCACCATTTTTAGTTATTATACATAGTACCAGTAGAACTAATACCAATAAATAATTTCTATACATTCTTAGCTATCTATCTTTTTTTCTATGTTGTATGATTTTGTAAAATGTGTTTTTTTTTTCTTTTACAATTGTATAATGATTGTTTTGTTTGCTTGAATCAATTGATTACCATCTTGTTTGGTTGTAAACCTCGCATCCTGAATAATAATAAAATCATCGGATTCTTTCAATGAAATCTCTGATGACAATAGCTCACCCAAAATAATTTGTAATAATAAAGTACCTTTCAATACGACATTGTTGATGCGTAGGTGGACGTCTTTGTGTAATATTGGTAGTCAACAACGAAAAACCAAAAAAAAAAATCCATCAATCCGGATAAATAATAAAAAATTTGAAGATGATTTAATAAAAAAACAAAACAATCTTCAACTCCGATTTTTATAAAAAAAGGGGTACCGATTCATTGTAATGGGTGGACATCATCAATCAAAAAGATGGGGGTTAAAACATAGTGATTGTTTTTTTGGGATAGAATAACTTGTTGATTTGATTATCCGATTGTTTTGTTTTTTATATTTAGTATTTATTTTAATTTATAAAAATAATTATTTTTTACTTAATAATGAACTGAAATGTAATTAAAATTTATATGTTGTAAATAATATTTTTAGTTTAATTGTGTTGCGAATGTTAAACAAGTAATATTTCTATTGGATTGATCGGTTACTATGAATTGACCACGATATTGACCTCTTGGAGTGATGAATGGAATTGGAATGGTTGTAGAGAAACTGAATGGACCTTGAGCAACAGGACACTTGACTACACTACAAACATCATTTTTGAAGGTTGGAAGATTTCTCCATGCACCTGCTATATAGAATTGAATCGTAAAGACAGAGTTACCAGAGGTGACCTGTTCACTAAGTGTTCCGACGGCGTTGACGACGACACTCTTGCCAATAACTGGTGGATCTGGTTGAAGTGTTAACGATGTAATACTGAATGTAGGATTTACATTTCCTTCACATTGCTGCCAAATATCTCCATTAACAGCTACAAACAACAAACCCAATACTAAAATTATATTCAATCTATCCATCTATTTCTTCTCTACAAAAACTTTTGTTTTATAAATATATATATAAATGAAATAATAATTTAAATTTTGTGTATACGAATATATAAATATTGTAATTTTTATCAACTTCAATAAATTTATTTAACTAGCTAAATAACTAATGAATTGGTTCAATTTAATTGGGAATAGGAAGTTTTATTTATATTGATTTGAAAATGAAAAAAAAATAAATAAATAATCAAAAATAAATATATACTTGTCACTCATCAAAAATGGTGTGTGTGTCAAACTATCATCACTCTCTTTTTAGATAACCTCATTATGTTTGTATTTATTAACACAACATTTTTAACACTAAATTTGTTGACATAAATACTCATTTACACACATTTATCCACCGTTTTTAGACAAAATGAAAGATCTCATGAAATTGAATTGTCATTTGAATTTATTTAAAGATCAAACAAATTATTTTATTTTTAAACAAACAGATTTATACATACTTTTAACTGTTATTTTAATATTAGTTAATGAATCAAACAATTTTTAAAAAAATGAACTTTTCTTTTGATTTTTTTCAAAAAAAAAATAATCATTTCAATTAATTGTGCAAATATTTATTTGTTTTTGTTAATTTTTTAAAAAAGAAGAGAGAAAGAAGAAGAATGGCATCAAGAGGACAATCAGAAACATCAAGATTAAAGGCAAACATTGAAGAACAACTAAATAGATTGCTCTCACAATTGCAAGACTTGGAGGAGTTGCGTGCTGACATCTCCGACGAAGAATATGTCACCATGAAGAAAGATACTTTGGATCAAATGAAGGAGTTTGAACAATCGTTGCAAAAGATGCTTAAGGGTGATATGACTTTGGTATCAGAGTTTGGTTCGGTTCAACTTGCTATTCAAGCGGCCGTATCAGAGGCATTCCACACTCCAGAGGTCATCAAATTGTTTGCCAAGAAGGATCAAGGTCAATTAAGAAACAAATTAGCAAACATTCAAGTATGTAACATAGCATCTAACACAATTATAAACATCTTTTCATTTCAAATCAACCATTAACCAATCTATTCATTCATAAATTCATAACAGAGAGATGTCAAGTTGGGTAAATTATCAAAGGATTCATACATTGATCAAAGTCTTGAGATTCTTGTTGCTTTGAAAAAGTTGGGATTCACTGTAAGTATATATATATTGTATATAGTTATGAAACAATCAATAATGTTGATCAAGATTTAGTTAATTTAACAAACTATCTATCTACAATAACAGTTATCACCAGAGGAAGAGAACTTCTTAGAACAACATAAATCACGTTCAATGAGTGATTTTGAGAAAGCATCTTCAAATATCGGTATGTATTCATTGATTAAACTAATGAAAGTAAGAGTGTTTATGCATTTATTAACAAAATAATAATAATAATAATATATATACATATAGCTCAAGGTACACAAGCCAATATTTTGTCATCAGCAGCAACACAAATTCAAAAGGCATCGAATACCAAGTAGACATAGTTTATCATTTCATCATCTTCAAATCAATTTATTTAAATTATAAAAGGATTATTGTATAAAACAAAACAAATCAAAAAACAACAAATAAAAATAGAATGAATAAATAAATAATGAATGAAAAAAGTATTGGATTAGGAATTATAATTAATTTGGTTTGGGTAATATTATTATTATTTAATAGTCATAAAGATCGTCTTCTTCTTGTTTATCGAAATTTGATATATTTGAATTATCACTTGCCCGTACAAACGTTGGTTTCTTTGAGTTTGATCCGCCACTACCACCACCACCACCACTACTACTATCCATATAGGGGTTGCTACTATTTCTATATCCAATACCGGAACCTCTGCCACGTCCACCTCTACCACCTCTTCCACCTCTACCGCCACCACCACCTCTCCTATTACCTCTTCTATTATTATCACCTCCTGATCTTTCTCTTCTAAATTGATTATTCTGTATTATAATATAATTAAACAATTAGTTTGTTAATATTTGTTGTTGTTATTGTTATTGTTATTGTTATCAAATTAATTAACATACGTTCATTGCAATTGAGATTAATTCAGGTGGTACTATTTGGTTGGCTTCTTCAAGGTGTTTTACCAACTCGGCAGAGAAGTGGATGTCTTTTGGTGTGATGAGTGTGTATGCAATACCTTGAGTACCTGCACGACCTGTTCTACCGATTCTGTGAGTGTGTGAATCGATATCACGAGAAGGATCGAAATTAACGACATTCCTAATTAAATTGATATCGAGTCCACGTGCTACATTTATTCATTAATAATGGTAGTCGTATTTAATTGGTGGTAACAAAAAGAAAGAAAAAGAAAAATAAAACAACAATTAAGAAATAGATAGATAAACACAAAGTAGTATAATAATCATAAAGATGAGATGAGTAACACGTTAGATCTAAATGAGTTAATAATCAATCAAATATTAAATATAATCATTACCAGCTACATCGGTTGCTACTAATATCGGGACACTTCCATCCTTAAACTTATTTATAATCATAGTTCTCTCTTGCTGATCTTTATCTCCATGTAGTCCTTCACCTAATAGTATCAGTAGTGGTAGTAATAAAACAATTGTTAATACAAACAACATCATTATATTAAATTTAATACTTACTTGGGAATCCAAACTTTACTAAATTCATAGATAGCTCATCGACAGCTACCTTTGTACTTACAAATATAATTACATTGCCTTGACTGACTAATGATGGTAGTCTTTGAATTAACCAATTCCACTTTTCACCATTCGAACTCAAAACAATAACATTTTGTGTGATATCTTGATTTGCCTAGAAATTATTATTAGTTGATTAGTTGATTCGGTTGTTGTTATTATATTATTGTTGTTTATCAACAACAACAACATGTATTTCTCTTACACTTCCAGTATTTCCAATTGATATTCTAATTGGATCTATTAATATATTTCTCGCTAGTTCTTCGATGTTTGGTGGGAATGTCGCACTGAATAATAGAGTTTGTCGGTCAGGCCGAATTTGACCGACGATCGATTGTACTTGCGGACCAAATCCCATGTCAAACATACGATCGGCTTCATCTAGTACCAAGTAGGTGACTCGGTTCATCTTGGTCGCTTTCAGCTTGATCATGTCGATGAGACGTCCGGGCGTAGTCACCAGAATCTCACAGCCAGCCTTGAGCTCTCGGCACTGCAGCAACTTGGTAACACCACCATAGATGACGGACGTTCTTATCTTGTAGGGTTTCGCAAACTTTTGTGTCTCCAAATAGATCTGGTGAGCGAGCTCACGTGTTGGCGCAACGAACAGTGCAATCGGACCGTCACCCTTCTCAAGATATGGCTGGTCCATTATATGCGGAATGGCAGGCCATATAAATGAAGCGGTCTTTCCCGAGCCGGTCTTGGCAATGGCGATCAAGTCACGCCCACTCAGAGCAATGGGAACCGCTTGCTTCTGGATGGAGGTCGGTGATTCATAGCCTTGCTTCTGTATCGATTGAATCAAGAGATTGTCAAAGCCGTAGTGACCAAACGATGTCACTGGATTCACCAAGTCTTTTCCATTGATTCTAATGTCCAAGTCTTTTCGAAGCTCAAACACACGCTCAGTCGACAAGTTTGCAATGTCCGAACACTCGTCATAAAAACACTTTTCAAACTCGAAATACTGAATCTTTGAATGGTCTAATGGTGGTAGTGGTTCTATAATAGTCTTTTTCTTATAACCACCAACCCCACCACCATTACCACCACCACTCTTTGGATTATCTTCATCGTCAGAGCTATATTATTTTGATGTTAAATGTGAGTGTTGTTGAATAACTAAAAGTTTAAAATTAATTAAATATTACTCTTGTAATAATAATGGATCGTAATCTTCATCATCTTCTAAATTGCTGTTGTTGCTGCTGCTGTTGTTTGTAGGTTGATTTTCAATCTGTTGTTTTCTTAGCTTAAAGAACTTTTCCTCTTCATCTTCTTCTTCGATATCGTCTCTTGTTGCTCTGGTACTCTGGTTTTGAGTGGTTACTGCTGCTGCTGCTGCATTTGTTTGAACTTGTTTATGTACATTTTCCATAAATGCATCGAGAGGATCTACTTCATCTTCATCTTCATCTACTTTTGACTTTGTTGGTGATATATTACTATTGAAATCATCTAACGCTTTATGTTTCTTTAAAGGTTGTTGTTGTTGTTGTTGTTGATTCAATTGAAATACAGGTGATTGTTGTTTTGGCATTGAAAAAGCTGTAGTCGGTGGTTTAAACGTTGGTGGTGGTTTAAACGATAGCAATGGTTTCGATTTGTCTTTTTCTACATCATCATCTTCCGAAGTATCAAATACATTATTAAATCTCTTCATTATTTAATATGTTAATTAATTATTGATTGATTGATTGATCTTGAATCAAAAAAAAAAAAAAAAAAAATCATACAAATAAGAATATGATTATGAAAAATTATGTGAACACGAATTCACAATTATTTTCCAAAGACAACAAAAAAAAACAAAAGATATTTATAATTTATTATTTGTTTATTTTTATTAATTCGATATTGTATTATAGTTTTGACTCTGGTTGAACCTATAATATTGTTATTGTGAAAGAAACAAAGTAGTTAGTTTTAGTTGTTTTTATTTTGTTTGTTTTTGAGATTTTATTTAAATTTATATAAAGATATGATGATGAATATTTTTTATAAGTATAAATAGAATATTATATTATATTATTTATTATTTAATTTAAAAATATAATAAGATGCGAAGTTGAGTTGATTTTGATTTTGATTTGATTGATTGATTGATTGATTGGAACGTTTAAATATATATTTAACAGACTTCTACGATCATTTCGATTTCGACGCATGCACCCAATGGGATTTGAGCGACACCGAATGCAGAACGGGCGTGACGTCCAACTTCACCAAAGACTTGATTAAGGAGTTCGGAGCAACCGTTCATGACGAGATGATGCTCGGTGAACTCGAGTGTCGAGTTGACCAATCCCATTACCTTGACGATACGCTTGATCTTGTTGAGATCTCCGGTGTGTGAGTGTAGAGTGGTGATCAAGTCTACAGCGATCGAACGAGCGGCATCCTTTCCTTCGTCAGTGTTGATGTTGGCACCGCATTTACCGACCCAGACAGTACCGTCAGAACGTCTGGCAATGTGACCCGACAAGAATACAGTGTTACCGGTTTGCGCAGCCATAACGTAGGCAGCGACATTAGTTGATGGCTTACCCAATTCAATATTTAATTCCTTTAATTTCTCATAGACTGACATTACTTGTTTTCTTTTTTTTTTTATTAGTGTGAATGAAGGATTAATTAATTAAATGATTTTCAAAAAAAAAAAAGGGTTTAGTGATCATCAATCAAACCACTAAACCAAAAAAAGTTAATTTTTTTTAATTATATATTTTTTATTTTTTTTATTTTAAATATTTATAGATAAGTTTATTTTTGTATAATTATAATTTGTTGATTGAAGAGGTAGATGGTTGAGTCATACATTATATTTATTTGTAACAATGTACGATATATCGTTACATTTGTGGTTGTTGATGTTTAAGAATGTTTAAATCGATAAAAAGTTTGATTGTATGTTAAATCATATCATTTAAGTTTATGTATTGCGATTTGTCTTTCACAGTTTTATTCCAAGTAGGAACGATGTACATTTTGCGAGGTTTGTTTATCTCGCGATAATAATTTGAGAAGAGAATCATTATTAACTATTCCAGAACTAAGCTTGTCACCAATCAAAAGATAGTCTGATTTTGAAATACGACGTATCTTAAGTTGTTCGGGTGTTTCACTTACAAGAGAATTGTTGTTTGGACTGATGATTGTGATGTCTCCAAGAGTTTCTGGGAAGATAGACATGTCTGAGAAAAAGCGGAGGAAATTATCTTTGCTTGTTTTCAGGGTGTGACAAGTCGCTGGTAGACTCTCAGCTGTAAAAGGTGCTCCGAGAATTGACAGAGTCAAAGTAAGATGTGTCAGTGTTGATGGTAATCTAGGTAGCGCGTACAAGTGATTTCTTTGCTGTCCTTTAAGCTTGAACTTCTTCAAGCTCGATGGTAATATATCGGAAGTAAGTGGATGCTCGAATACACCATAGTTGTTCAAAGTCAAATTGGTAACCGAATCTGGAATTACATTGGCTAGCAATGGTTTGTAGGTTTTGATTGTTAACTTGGTAACTGTGCTCGGAATGATTCCAGGAAGTAGTTGGTCAGAGTCTACCTTTAACTTGATCAAGCCAATTGGAAAGGAACCAACAACCAGTTCGCATTTCATGGACAATGCATCAAGACTGGTGAGAGCGGGTGGCAGTTGTCCAGGTTCGATTCTCATTACTTGATCTCTTCTGACAAGAACGATTGATTCAATGGTTGCTGGCAAATTCTGTAGGCTTACGGTAACCAGTGACTTTACACTAGGTGGAATCAAACCATCAGGCATCACTCTCTGATTGAGACACAGATGAACTGTACCACAGGGAACAACACCTGGCACAATATCAGGGTTTGGTACAGCAAAAAATTGCGTTTCTCCAGTGAGAATTAAGTTTCTTATTGACTCTGGTAACACTCCTGGTTTGATATGGTGTTTATTGATCTCCAGTATTCTGACAGTCGATGGAATCGAACCCACCTCAATATTGGATGCTCTGGTCAATCTCAATTTGTCCATAGAACTCGGAAGATATTGAGATTCAAACTTTGAACCATCGAATTCACAAATAAATTGAATGTATCTCACATTTGATTCCTTTAAACCGATTACATCCTTCAATGGTATATAATCAATAAACAAAATAGAATCGGTTTCCTTTGGTATTGTGATAGTATCTCCTTGTTTGAAATCTATAGTTGAACTATTCACTTGAGATTTAACTATTAATAAACTACTAATTATTGACTAAAAAAAAAAAAAAAAAAGAAAGATATAATTGAGAAATGATTTCGATGATGTACTTACATAAACTGGTAGATGTATGTATAATACTCCTCATGTGACTCTGTACAAATAAGAAATTCTCTTTTTGCAAGTTGTTACTGCTCTCCAATTGAGACCTGTAGGAAGACAACTGAAATGCATTTTCGTTTGGTTTTGGATTGGTGACGTGGTCAAATTTCAAGTATTTATTTCTATTTTCAAAATATTGTTTGCATGTCAATGAGAAACAAACTTTATCAATATTCTCCAAGTTCTCTAATATATATCTGATTAATAAATAAGATAAACTGTGCATCCTGAAAATAAAAAACAAAATGAAATGTGGTAAAATCTTAAACAAAAAAAAAAATAAAATGGTATCAAAGGATTTTTAAATATTATTTCCTTATTTTCATTTTTACTTTCCTTTTTCTGATTATTTCCGAATCAATTTTTTTTCTTGAAAATGTAATACTTTGTTTACTATGATGGAAAAACAAAAATTACTTTTCCCATTATTCAATTTCGAATAAGAATCTTAAAAATAAAAGACGATTAAATAAATAAATAAATTCGAGTTATTTAATTTAAACGATGAGATCATTTATATTTTTAGATTAGATCGAGATGGTGGTGAATAGTGAAAAGTCACATCTTAACAAACAGGTTATTATAAATTAAAAAAAAAAAGCCGTTAAGCGAGTTTTTTTGTTGAAAAAAAAAAAAAAAAAAATTCAAAAAAAATGATTCAAAAATGTTGATCATTTTATACTTTATCCACCAAAACTACAAATATATATTCAGAGCTCAACTAAACTAAAGAATTCAGAGAAATACTTAATATTACAAGCTGTATTTTTTATATTGATATTCTTTATTTCTTTTTTATAATTTGATCAAATAACTCATAATCATATAAAATATAGATCTTTAATAACAAATATATTATAAAAATAGTTTTATACTCTTTTTTTTATTATTATTATTATTATAAAAAAATAAACAAAACTATCATCATTTTCATATATACTTCCTTTTATAAAACCTAATCTAGAATCAACCAAACTTTTTTGTATTATAATACTTTACTACTTGTGTTTCAACTTTGTAACTCCCCCTCCATTCTATTCATTTAAAATCAATTGGAAAAAGATTGATTTTTTTATATCGTGAAAATTTTTAAACGACCAATTGTTTTTATTGTTTCACTACAGTGTGGTTATTGCTTTTAAGAGTCAGATCACAGCCAATCCTTAGCACAAGTGACAACTCTGATTGACATACATCAAACATCAAATACCAACAGACTCCACTCCATTTTCAATTTCAATCAACTTTTGTATTGTATTGTTTTTTTTTTTGAACCACATTTTCAAATTGTTCAATAACTAACCTCCACATTCAAATAATATTGTATTTATAATTATATTTATATCCATTTATATATTCCTTTCCTTTCCTTTCTATTAAATAATAAACACACTGAAATAACTACCACTCATTGATCAAAAAGAAAAAGAAATAAGAATTTTTTAATATAAAAAAACAGTAAGTTAAAATAAGTTTTTTTTCACCAAAAATATTTGTTGTTATTATTATTTGTACTATAATTTATCTATATATAAAAATAAATACCGAGAAAGTAATCGATAATTGTTGTAAAATATAAAACAAAAAAAAGATGGCATCTTCAAAGTCATCTCCAAATTTGGGTTCGGTTGGCTCGCCAACCAAAGACCTAAATAAAAAAGAATCATTCCAATATTGGAAACAAAAGGATATATCGTCACAGATTTCATATCCTGGTGGTGGAGCACCCGATGGAGCCAACTCACCTCCATTGTCCGCCAGAACAACACCATCATCGCCAACCTCACCCAGTTCCATCAATAAATCGAAATCGCAATCATCCATACAAACTGGCAAAGTCGGAAGTGTCACAACTCCGCCAACAACCTCACCGGTATTGACATCGGCAAAATCAACTCCGACAGCATCTGCAAAAACACCAGTGAAATCAACCAGCACCACCACACCACCTCACACCACTTCAACCACCACACAAAATCAACATACTAATAATACTCATAGCAACAATAATACTGCAGCAGGAAGCGCAGTATCGTCAGGTTCACAAACGATGCCGTCGAGAATGAAAACTGAGGGCAGAAAGAGTATAAAGAGTATTTTCTCATTGGTTTGGTCAGGGAAACCAGAGGAAAATGAGGAGACCAACAACGATCTACAACAACTCCAACAACTTCAACAACAGACAGCATCAACAACAACAGCACAAGAAAATGCCAAAGATAATCATAGTAAAGATACTAAATCAACATCATCCAATATAGGAAAGCCAACTAAACCAAGCTCAAAATCATCTTTAACTTTAAAGTCAACACCAAAGACATCAACAACATCAACATCAACATCGACATCATCTTCTTCACAAGTTACCTCAAAGAAATTAGGTTCCAACAGTACAACAACAACCTCCAACTTAAATTCCACAAATTCTTCAGCATCTTCATCACCAAGTCCATCAAACTCTTCACCAAATACTCAATCACCAGCTTTGACATCAACAAAGAAACCTGCACCTTCGCTTCCACCCAGAACATATATAAACGATTCCAATAATAATACTTTAACAACCAATAGCAATATTAACAACAATAACAATAATAACGATTCAAATGATATTACAATTGACCATCTTATTGATCAACAAATCAACAAGTTAAAGATTACAACCATTTCAGATTCTGAAAGACTATTGCATCTTGAGATGTCATTATCAAAGACAAATAAGATAGTTGAAGATCTAGCTCAACGATTGACAAACGAAGTGATGTGTAGACGTGAGTTGGAGTCGTATTGCAACGAGTTGGAAGCAAGACTAAAGATATCGGAAGCAAGACTGAAGCGATTCTCTGAGCTCAATGTTAGTTCCGATTCGACACCTACCCAACAACAACAGCAACAGCAACAACAAGAGTTGGATCAACAAGCCAAGGAGGCAGAGTTGGTTCAACGCGCCGTTGGATCGCGTGATGACTCTCGTTTCAACACATTGAATCATCGTGTCGATTCATTCGAGCAGCGTATTCGTGGTTTGGAAGATTCCAACTTGAAGATCAGCGAGAATCTGAGCACCATCCAGTTTGAACAGACGATCTTCACCTCGGAGAAGCGAAAGAAAGCATTGAAGAAACTCGAGAAGGAGAAAGAGAAGGAGCGTGAGCAGCGAGAGCGTGATTTAAAGGAGCGCGAAAAGGAGAAGCTAAAGAGTGCCAAGAAAGAGAAGAAGGACCGCGAGAAGGAGTATAAACGTCAGTTTTGGAGTGATACAAGATCCGATCGTTCACAGATGACCGACTACTCAGCCAATGATTTAAGTGATAGTGATACTGACACATGCACAAGTGAAGTCAGTTTGAAATCATCACTCAAACGTATATCACCTCCACAAGATTTCAACAATCAACAACAACAACAACAACATCAATATTCACAATCTTCTACCTCTTCTATTTCAACTCCAGATTTGTCGGTTATGCCATCACCCAAAAAATCAGTGGCATTCAGCAGCAATGTAAATGGAAATGAACAACAACAACAACAACAACAGCAATCTGGACATCCAAAATCAAAGAGTACAGGCAACTACTCGACTTCGTTGAGAAAGTGGGCTGGCAAGAGAATGTCTGCTCATGTTCCGGGTGCTGCTACCACCGATAATATGGATGCATTGTCACAGGAGGACAATGAGTTGGCAACGAGATTGGAGCGTGCCAATACCACCGCTGAGAGATCACAGTTGACCAAAGGATACTTTACAGATTACTATGAAGGCAATGCAGAAGAACTAAGAAATAAGAAGCTTACGCGTATGAGATCGAAATCACTGTCACGTGATTCCGTCGACGATGAAGAAGACGAAAATTTCCAACCAAAGATAAATATCTCTGCATCGGTAGGTGGAAATCAACCACAACCAACAAAGATTTCATCGACCAACAGTAACCAATCATCTCCATCACTTCACTCATTATCAACCAGCCAAACAGACAATGAAAGTATAATAGGTAAGATTAACAAGCAACAGTTTAAAACTAAATCATAACTCATTGATTCTAATAATAATAATAATACTATAGATAAGAAAAAACAATCAACCATTGGTAGAATGTTTGGAAAGAAAGAAAAGACATTGAATGGAGATAAACTTAAAGTATCTATGATTCTCTCTGAGAGATTGAATCAACGTGCATCAAGAGATGAATTGGTTTTAAAGAAAATTATGAAAGCTGGTATGTGTTAGACAAACAGATTTTGAATGTTGAATAGATTGGTTTTACTAATTGCTACTTTATATTTGTTGTTGTAGAATCAATATTTGGTATTAATGTAACTGAAGATACTTTGGATAGATTGATAAGATTCTTGGAGAATTGCTTCGAATTGTTGAGTAACAACGTTAATCTAGAGGATTTGTTTACTCGTAAGGTGGATGAATCATCGGTGCGCTCATTTAAAGAGTCAATAGAACAATCGATTGTATCTGACTTTAGCAAGAGTGATCCGTATTTAGTTGGTGCCACTCTACTTTGCTTCTTTGAGTCACTGCCAGATGCCTTGCTTGGCAAAGCCGCTAACTCGTTGATGTCCGTCGTGTACGTAGATGATCATCCATTCCGAAGATCATTGACACGCTCCATTCTCCTATCACAACCACCATCGCATCGATCGATTCTCAAGGTCATCATCCAGTTCATCCAGGATGTGACCAATTGCACACCAACACCGCCGCTCCACCCCAATCAACATACCTCAATTCCGCTACCACTCTCACCAATACATCCACCTCAATTCAATTTGGATGACGGTGGTAGTTCTTCAACAAACAATAGTAGTCTCACTTCCTCGCCCATTACAGTATCGATGGTTGAGGACAGTGGATCAATCTCAACTTCACCGGCCAACTTGTCGGAACCGTCCACTCCACTGACACGCTCGCAAGTCATCAAACCCAAGTCAAAACTATCGCTCTACTCATTGTGTGCAACCTTTTCCAAGGTTCTCTATCGTTGCGATCAAAAGCTGGCAACTAGCGGTAATGCCAGCGCCAACGAAGATCGTGAGGTGTTGTCGTTCGTCCACATAATCGAAGACTTTGACGGACACTTTGACAGTCAGCCAGATATCCAATTCATCATCAAGGAGATCTCCTACGTCAAGAGCGCATCGTTTGAGAAGCTATTCGAACGATTGATCGACCTAAACAATCGTGACACCGACTACAACTACACGATCTTCTACACCTACGACTACTACTTCAAGTCGCCAACCGACTTCCTCGAGTTGATGGTCTACTACTTCAAGAAGACCGTTCCACTCGATGAATCGAAAGCACTAAAAGCATGGCAGAACGAATTGGCACTCACTGTTTTGTCGGTGGGAATGTTCTGGATGAAACTCCACCAGAAGCAATTGTCCACCGACTTGATGTTCCTCTCCAAGTTGAAATCGTTCATTGAATTGCATGCTCCACCTGCAGGTTCACCAACATCCAACTTTTTCAACTACTTCAAGTCGTACTTCCAGTTGTCGGCACCGATCAAAACACTGTATGAGCGTGGCAACAGTTTCTACTCCAAGGTGAAGAAGCCACTCTCCAACATCTCTGTAGTAAAGATCAAGGATGAGAACGACATTGATATCTATCAAATTGGCGCGCAAACCATTGCATCGCAGATGACCATCATCGATATGGAGTTGTTCACATCGATTCCACATCTTCAATTCCTCCACAAGGCATTCACCAAAGTGGAGAACTCACCAGAGTTCCACCAAATGGTTGACCGTTTCAACCAATGGGCAAGATGGACATCCACAGAAATTCTTACAAAAGAAAAAGTACAAGATAGAGTAACTGCAATCAGTTTCTTTATTGATGTTGCAAAGGTATATATATATATTTCACAACAAAATATTAATAATTGACTTATTCATCTTATTAATATTTAATTTATTTTATTTTAAGTGTTGTGTTGAAATTGGTAATTTTAATTGTGCAGCAGCTATTGTCGGTGGATTGAATCACTCTTCTATCTCAAGATTGAAAAACACTTGGGATAAGTTGTCTGCCAAGACTCTTGGTGATTACAAGTCACTCGAGGTTCTCTATGACATGTCGATGAACTACAAGAACTACAGAGAGGCACTGAAAGCCTCTACCAATCGTGTTGTACCTTACTTGGCCATCTATCCAAAGGACTTGATTGCCATTGAAGAGGCCAACGACACATTCACTGCCAACGGCATGATCAATGTCGAAAAATTCAGATTGATCTATCGTATCATCAAAGAACTTCAACTCTACCACCAAGTATCGAATCTCAAATTCCAGCTGATCGAACCAATTAAGAAACATCTCATCAACATCACAAACAAACTACTCGATGAGAAAGAACTTCATGCTCAATCATTAAAAGTTGAACCTCGTCAATCAACTCAATAAATCTACTATATAAATAAATAATAGGAAAAAAAAACTTTATAAATATAGATTATTTCATAATGACATTTATTTTTTAAAATGATTCGGAAGAATCCTACTCATAAAGACCATTATTAAGTCAACAATAACAAGAACTTCCAAGATAGAATTTGACAAGTCACCACTGTAACCCAAGTTCCATTCGTAAGGAAGAGAAGACCAGCTGATACTGAATGTTACAAAAAGAGTTGTTAACCCAGGAAAAAATCAAAGAGATCTAATCAGGAAAATGTTATAAATGACCATTTTTTAAAAAATAAATAAAATAAATAAAATAATTATATATATATATTCAAATGGATAATGGAAAAAGAACCTAAGGAATTAATTTATTAAAATTTTAATACTTTTTAGGAAACTTGTCAAATCTTTAAAAATAGTAATGATTTTGGTTATTATCTAATAAAACATAAAATTGTAATAATAATCAAATATATCTTAGTTTAAATTATTTTTTTTTGATATTACTTATTAGAATCTATTATTAATTGAATTTTATTAAATTATTTTTTAATACCACTGATTTTCGGTAAAAAAAAATCTGAGTCATATATCCAATGATTCATTCATTAAAAATCAAATCTCCAAAACTTGATTATTCATATTTATTCAAAAAAGAATAAAATAAATAATATTCAAAAATAAAGTTAATCAATCTATTATTATTATTATCGTGTTTAGTATTTGTAAGTGTTGTTGTAGCAGTTGAAGATAAGATGTCGAGTGAAGGATTAGATTGTAGTCAACCATTGTCCAAGGTAGCACCCTATCCAGAGCCAAAGGAAGGTCAGAAGCGAAGTGTCATCTATCTTCCACCGTTGGAGGACGAGTATGCCGCCAAGGTTGAGTTGGTCATCGGTAAGACGCTGTTGGTCGATGGCAATCGTCATATGCTCGGTGGTAAGCTCGAGGAAGTCACTCTCCAAGGTTGGGGTTACACCTACTATGTAGTGGAGAACGTCGTCGGTCCCATGTCGACACTGATGTTCATCCCAGGTCCAAAAACCGAACAATTCGTACAGATGCGTAGTAACAATGAACTTGTACGTTACAACAGCAAACTTCCAATCGTTGTATACACACCTGCCGACGTTGAAGTTCGTTACAGAATTTGGAGAGCAGATACACAAACACAAAATGCAATTCAAAAGTAAACAAAAAAAAAAAGACATACATATTAATTTTGTAGTATATATATAATAATCAATCAATTAATACATATAATGTTATCTAACATTAAAACTAAATAAACTAAACTTGTTAATTTTAAAAAATTTTCAAAAATTACAGTCGACTAATATTTGTTTGAAATGAGTAGTAGCCAAGACGAAACATAGTCTTTCTGTATAACTTTGTATATATATATATTTATTTATTTATTAATTGAAATAGTTTGTAAATATGAATCAATATGATGATTATGATAGTGATGGCGAAGATGTACCAACGCTGGGTGGTTCGACCACTTCAATCATCAACTTGCGACAGTTTCAATTAGATTTCTTTCTATCTATATCACAAAAAGAAGATGATTTAGAACTAGATGAGCTGTATAATAGAATAGATATTAGGTTTGTTTAAATGATAACTAAAAATGAAAGAAAGAAAGTTGTTAACATATTTACTATTATTAAATTGATATAATACTACTAGTATAGATGATATTAGACCTAAGACACATTATGAAAGAGTAGAGGAATCAATTAAACAAGCAGTAACTATCTTATATCTCTCAATTTCAGTAGAATTGTATTCTAACTAGCTAACTAACAAACTCTATTTAATTTTTAGATTTTAGATATACCAAATACACCACCAAATGTATCTACACCTTTAACTTTAGAAAATTCATCTTCACCGATAATGTCATCTCAATCCAATACTTCTACAACTTCTACTACTACCACTACGACAACAACGTCTACCACTACTTCAAATAACAATAATGTAAATAATAACAATAATAATAGTAATAATGTAGAAGATATAGATGAAGATGATATATTAACAAATGCAGAAGTTATTATAACATTCGCATTGTATCACCCTTGCAAATCATTAAAAGTACAAGAAATATCAGTTTTGGGTTCACAAAAGTTGACTGATCTTAAAGATAAAATATATTGTCTTGTAAGTTTTAATAGCAATATTGTTATCTATATAGATTCAATTCAATGAAATTAAATTAGTTTAAAATCTATTATTAATATTTAAACAAAACTCTAATTAGAGAGATAGAATTCTAGATGGTCAAAATAGAAAATCATCATATTTCTTTATAAATAATATATTCTATAATGATACTAGAGACCCAAATAATATAAAATATAGTGAGTAAGTATTATATTATTATTATTATTATTATTCTTAAAGTAAGTAATTAAGTATTAAGAAACTAATTTAATTTAAAAAAGAACTATACTTGAATGGCTGAGACCAAAGAATAAAGATATATACTATCAAGAAAAAAATATGCAAGACGAGATATTCCTGAATCTATCTCTTTCCATCGGCGAGAAGTATCTCTATTGCAACCAAGGAAACTGCGAGCATTTCCTCATTGCCAAGAAGATCCGATTGATAACCGTGAATGACTCTCAAAAAAGATCGGACTATCCCTTTGTCAACTATCAACTCAAAGTCAGAAGAAGGAAATGTAAGATTTGTGAAATCTACCCATCAAAGTATGTATAATTAATCAATGATAAATTTAAAAATTTATTTATTCAAACAAATCTAACCAATCCACAACACAAAATTTAATTCTAGATTTGTTACTATTGGCGATAAGCTTGTCGATGAAACACCCTATTTCTTTTGTGAGGAATGCTATCGTATGTTTCACTATACAAAAGAGGGTGCACTCATTTATTCAGATTTTAAAGTGTATCCTTATTATCACGAATAACATTCTGCTTTTTATTAAAATATCAATGTTTTAGAAATAAAGAAGAATTATAATTTTCAAACCATAAATAAATTATTGATTTTTAATTGAATGATTAATTAATCATTAAATCTATTTGATTTAACAAGTTCTCATTGCAGCAAACAAACTTCGCAGAAAAACCTGAGAACTGTCCTCAAAGTAGCTATTTTTTTTACTGTTTTTGTCGAACTTTCAAAAATCCCAAAATTGGAAGCACAATGATCTAGACAACTTTTTTCTTTATTAATTTTTATTCACCATTAAATAATTCTAGAAAACAATGAATATCTCAATTCGTCGATCTCACTTTGATGAAAGTGAAGTGATGATTGATATTTGGTGTCGCTCAGTAGATTCCACACACGACTTCCTTACAGAGATAGATAGAGTGGAGATTGAGAAGCAAGTACGATCGTTTTTACCAAAGGCTCCACTATGGGTTGCTGTTACTTTGTCGGACAACAAACCAATGGGATTTATGCTGCTTTCAGAAGAAGAGAAACATATGGATGCATTGTTTGTAGATCCTGATTTTCGAGGTATTGGTATTGGAAGTCTGCTTGTGAGGCACGCCTTATCGATTGCACCAGAATTGACGACAGATGTCAATGAGCAAAATCTTCATGCAGTTAGATTTTATAAAAAGATGGGTTTTATTGTTACTGGACGTTCGGAGACAGATGATCATGGACGTCCATATCCTCTCTTACATTTGAAATACAAATCACACACCTAATAGGTTTTTCATAAATATACAGTATCAGTATAGAATAACAGATAGTTTTAGGAAGATCATCTTTTTATTTATTTAGAATAGAAAAAGACTTTTGTATTAGAATATAGTCTACCGGCAATGTGGTCATGTGACGTTGCAATTGAACATTATTTTATAGTCATCCTAGAAATAAAACTTGTAAACTATTTATAAATTGAATAAAAAGACTTTTATTTTTAAAATGTTTTAATTCTTTAGGATCTGTTTGTGCGATTTTTTTTTTAGGTCCGTTGCAATAAGGAGATGTTTTTATCACCTACTCACGAGTTGGTGTCAATGTATTGCCCGTGGGCTCTTAGGACATCAGTTTTTTATATACGTTCCGGTAGCGGAGAAAATTTAAGTTAAGTGAGAAAAAAAAAAATAAAAGTAATTGAATGGACAGTTCTCAAGGTAATTTTCAAGGGAAATTTGTTGGATTGCTGCAATGAGAACTTGTCAAATCAAATCTATTTAATATGTAATTAATGGTTGGATATGACATCAATTATTACTTATGGTTTGAAAATGAGAATTATTCTTTTTTTTTTTCTCAAAATTTTCTTCATACAATTAAAAATAACTCATTTTGAACAGATCACACAAGAGTTTAAGATTTGTTTGAATTGATTTGATTGCTATAATGTGAACTTGTCAAACCAATTCAGTTTACTATTTAATTAATGATTCAATTCATTAAAGAATGATAGTTTATGGTTTGAGTTGTTAGTTTTGATATGTTAATCTAAATCTGATTGAATTTTATTTTAATTATTAACCAAATGCAAGCTTCTTTCTTCCACGTAATCGTACTATATATATATAAAGTAAAGAAAGTAAGTATAATTGTAGTGATGATTAATGATAATAAAGTGTTACCTTGATCTAATTTCGATAGAGTTGCTTTTGTTTTTGATGCAGAGTAGTCAGCATAACCCTTGATAACCTGATCAAACATTTGCTCTGAATCTGGATGAGTACTTAAGAAAGCACGCTCCAAAACATATAAATCGACTGCCTTGTCCTCCACCAACACCGAAACATAGCTCAATCCGAAATCGATGAATACCAACAGCTCACCGATCTTACTGTTACCACCAATGTCATCATTCTTTAATAATATATTCGAAGTTGTTAAATCACCATGTATTACACCGTTATCATGCATTTTCGCTATTAATCTACCGATTTCAAGACATAATTTTATCAATATTTCATTACTATTATTACTATTAGTTGATTGTTGTTGCTGTTGAATGAATGATTTTACAGTGATACCATCTACCATCTCCATATAGATTCTATTCGATATATTATCAACGAAATAGAGTGCAGGCACCGGTATTTGATGTTTACGACATTTGTTGATGTTACGTATCTCCATGAGATGACGTTTCGCCTGTATCTTTGTATCCAACTGTTGATGTCTATACTTTTTAGAGAATCTCTCTTTAACTATACAATCTAATCCATTCAATGCAAATCTATATGTTTTCTTTTGAAATTTAAAGAGATTATCGAATGATTAGTTTAATTTGAAAAGTATTCACTTATTATGATTTTATTAAATCTATATTATAATATAACCTACCGCTTCTGCACCTTGTGACAACAGCATTGCACCTAAACTTGTTAAATCAACCACTGTTTTAGCAGCTGCCACAGTTGGTGGTACAGCTGTTGGCTCAACTACTATATCAGTCATTCTTCTTTTATTTATTTTTTTAAATTAGTTCACTGATCATCAACTTTTGACCAAATCAGTCAAAGCAAAAAACTAAAAAAAAAAAAAAAAAAAACCCAACGACAGTGAACAAACAAAAAAAAAAAAATTTTGATGAACAAACAATCAGAAATGATTAACAAATTTGGTTGATTTATTTTTTTTGTTTGGTTGTTAACAATTGTCTTCATCCAATCAACTTATTTACAAATTTCACCAATGAAATAAATTTAAAATTAAATTCTGTTATAAATTTTATTTTTAAGGTTGGCGGTAAGAAAACCACACAAAATTTGAATTTACAAAAAAAAATTTTAGTATTAAGTAGAGGACACTGATGTGTGTAAACCACGAAAATTATTTTCGCACACAAATCAAGATTTTTGGATTCGCTTTGCCAAAAAAAACAAAAAAAAACAAAACCATTAAAAATTAAAAAAATTTGGCTCCACTCCACCACAAGACATACAAAACCTCCCATTATTTCAATCCATTTCAAATCAACAATTACAGGCAAAAAGAGAAAAGAAAAGAAAAGTAAAGAAAATAAAAGAGATAGTTAGACAACAAACAGCAAAAACAACAACAACAACAACGTTGGCTAATTCAAATTCAAAATTAAAATAATATAAAAATAATATCTCTTCTTTCATTTATATTACCTTTACTACTTACTTTTCTTTCTCTTTCTCAAAAACTATTTTCATTACACACACATATGATTTGTAAAAATATAATAATATAGATTCTTTAAAAAACATCATCAACAACATATATATATTTATTTATTTATTTTAATATCAACAAATTCTTAGTAGTTAGTAATAAAAATATAAATTATATCGAAGAATATAGATATCTAAGGTATTGTAGAATTAGTTTCAACTTAATTGTTGTTTTCATCAAATAAAAATCTCTTTTTTTTTTTTTTTTTAGACCAAAAAAAACCCCAACAAATAAAAGTTTTTATTTTTAGGTTCATGTTTATACAATTTACTCTGATACAGCAAATATCAGTATTTAGTTAAGAGAATCAGTTAGTTCAGTAATAATTGTAGTTTTATAATAATTTCGATCAAATTTTCAAAGGAGAAATAATCTTATATAATTAATTATCTCTTAATATTCAATATTCTTTCGTCAGTTTTAAAAAATAATTGAATTTTAAAAAATTTAAACAAGATAATCCATGTTTAATATTTAAATTCCCTTTAGTATAGATTTCAAACCATTAAACAACCCACCCACCCACAATAATCTTGAAGTAAAACACAAAAAAAAAATAATACAAATAAAACTTAAGTGGTGATGGTGAATGCACGACAAATAACACAGAACAACACAACACAACACATATCTCACACAACACAATAGAAATCACACCATTATTATCATTATTTATATCCTGCCATCTTATCCCTACTTAAGTTTCACATTGTTTATGTGATTTTTTTTTTTTTTGTTTTTTTTTTTATAATTTTTAATTTTTAATTTTTTTTTTCAAATTCTTATGTTAGTTTGTTCATTTCAATCAGTCTATTCTGGTCAATCAAAGTCACACATACATAACAAATCAATCAACTCAACACACACACACACACACACAATAACAACAACACAACAACTGAAAATTAGATAAATAATTAGATAGAAAGTAAACATATTAATAATACTAGACACACTCTTTCATTCTCTTAACAAACTCAAACTCATATTTTAAATTTAATTTTCAGTCAGTCAGTCAGTCCATAACAATATTAATAATAATATCGTATTGATTGATGAAATGAATAAATGAATTGATTTTTATATCAATAGTCAATATATATATTAAAAACACAAATTCCATTTATTATTATTATTTATATTTTCAAATTTCAACTTCCATTCACTCCACAAAATAATAACCACCACAAAATCAAATATAGTTTGATTATAATAATTTACATTTCAATAACAACAACAGCAAAACAAACAAACAAACAAAATAATATAAAAATAATAATAATAATATACACATACTGCTTGCTTATTGTTAAAATCTAAACTAATAAAATAAAATATAAAATTATTATAAATTTTAAAGATTTAGATAGATAAGATAGGATAGATAGTAATATACAAATACAGATAGAATAGAATAGAATGGCAGGTGCAGATGATGATGAAGATTGGGATTCCGATTTCGGAATCGAACCAAACATCAATAATTCATTACAGAGAAAACTGACGATTGGACATCTCTCAAAGAAGAAGTCATCGCACCAGTTGGTAGCAGGAAGTCCTTCAAACTCATCGAATTCACTAAATAGTAATAGTAATAACAATAACAATGGCAACAACAACAACAATAATAATAATAATAACAGCAGCAACACACCTAGTGTCGGCGGTGCCAATACACCACCGATGTTCAACGGTGGTAATAGCGATTTCAGTGGGTTCGACGACGATGACGACGATGACGACTGGGCAAAAACATCGTCACCCTCGAAATCGATCCTTGAAAATCGTAAGGCAGAGGAAGACGAAGATGAAGATTGGGATTCTGATTTCGGTATTTCAAGTGGTGCAGGTGGTGGTGGTGTAGGTCCATTAGCTGGTTTATTAAATGGAAATAATAACAACAATAACAATAACAACAACAACAATAATAGTAGCAATATGAGTAGTAGTTTAACAGCAAGTCCAACAAGTGGTGGTGGTGGTGGAGCTCCACAAATGAAGATTTTAGGTATTAGAGCGGATCCTACTACCAAAGCAGAGTGGGACGACGATTTTCTTTTCAACGATAGTTCAGAGTCAGAATCAACAAACAACAAATCATTACTTACACCAGCAGGAAATATATTAACAAGAGCAAGATCTGGTCCATCCGTATTAGTTAGCGATGCCAAACTTTCAAATTCAATACATGAGTTATTCCAACTTTTAAATTGTATGTTTGTTGTTCAATATTTATTGTTTATTAACACACATTATTAACTTTATTGTGTTATCAAAAACAAAAAAAAAACAAGTTGGAAATGATGTAGATTTAAGTGATAAACAAATTGTAGAATCAAAAACACCACCAATCAATAGTTTAAAGATATGTTCAGGTATGAAAGAGCAGATAGATTTCGTTAATTATTTATTTAGGTTTATTAATCACTAATTATCTTCTATAGAATCTGAATTGAAAAAGAAAATAGACAATCAATTGCAATTGATAGAGAATGCAAGTTTGAAGGAATCAAAGTTGGAGTTGTCGAAAAAGTATTACGAGTTGGGTATGATCTATCAGCAGAATCAACAGACACTGAATGCTTCGAATCACTTCACAACGGCAAACAAGATACTGCAAGAGTACAAAGACGATTTCGATACACCGATCGACGAGAACAACGATGAGCACGAGTTGAATCTGTTGTATCAGTTGGGTGTAACATCAAAGGCAATGGCAAACATATTCAATACGACAGAGTATCTAAAGAAAGCGTTGGACATCAGTCAGAGCGATCTGAAGCGATTCACTGCTATCTACCAAAAGATCAACTTGGAACTCGGTGTCTGCTACCAGACCACGGAGACACCGATCTACGCAACCAAGTTCTTTGAGAATCTTCTACGGTCTATACTTTTTGCACAGTGCACAAACACCGCCGCTCACCAGCACTCCAAGGATTGTGGCGTCGACATTGCCAAGATTGGCGACTGGAGTGGGATGGCGTCGGCTTGTCTGCAGATGGGCAAGACCCTAAAGATTCTGAATGAGTTTGATCTGGCGCTGCAGTTTATCAAAAAGGCATATAGTTCACTGAAGCGCGGCGCTATTAATGATCGATCGCTGGAGAATGAGTGTATATTATTGTATGGGGATATCAATCGCGCGCTTCTGATGTTTGCCAACCAGAACCAGAGCATCGCCACTGCACTGGCTACTAACAAGGCAAACGAAGACGCGTCGACAATCAAGGATTTCGAATCGGAGGAGGAAGAGGACTGGGATGCAGAGCTTGGCTTGGACGCCGAGGAAGACAGTCGTCCGATTCTCCAGCTCGCCGGACAGTCGCCGTCTGTCGCGCCCAACAAAGATCGTATGCCGTCACACTACAAACTGATCGAGAGCATCAACAACCAGACATTCGAAATTGTAAAGTACCCGAAGCCATCGTATCTCTACTCTCTAACTACACCCGAGGGACATTTGTTCCTACACGAAGAAGCACTCTCCAAGTGGCTGTCAAGCCTGATCGTCAAACATCTCAACGGCGAGGACAGAGCACTGCGCGTGCTTCCCCAGAAGGCGTCGCTCGAGGAGCTGCGCAACGACTTTGCACTGGGAACCTCAAAGTACAAGAAAAACACAAAGAAGTGGGCACAGTTGAATTTGGAATTCTGTTATACCATGCATATATTTGGTCACGACGAACAGTGTTGGGAGACGATACAGGCGTTCTTTTTGGATCTGCGCGACAGCGGAACCGCGTCGCCAATGTCGTCGTCGCGCGCCAAACTTGGAACCCAGCATTCATCGCCACTCGGTGGAAAGAATCGATTGTCCATCGAGATCGACGAGAAGGATGCAACCTATCACTATGCATTGCAGATGTTGTATCTGGCTGCCAAGCTGTGGAAGCCCGAGGAAGATGCATCGTTCAAGCACATGTTCCACGGACTGCGAAACATATCCGTCACAAACTCGCCACATGTCGATCTATTGGTTGCCGAGACCTATTCGCATCATCTTCACCACAAGTCCAGAGACGATTCTGACAACGACTCCAACTCTGACTACACTGATTCCGACGAAGAACCAGAGTTGCGTACGCGTCCCGACGAATTCTCTGGAAACGAAGAGGAGAAGATCAATCCACTAAATGTATTCCTTAGAATCTATCAACAATGTCGTATTCGTCAACAACAAGAAGCAAACACTCTCAACATCAACAGCAACAACAACAGCAGCAGCAGTAACAATAACAAGTCATCGACATCATCGAAAGAGTTTCTGGAAATCGGTACAAAGAATGCAATGGTTCGAGCATTGATTGATATTCACTTCCATTTGAATGGTATTTCACCATTGACAACTAAACGTTTGGGTGAGCCATACTTGGATGTCAATGTAAATTCGCAGATGGCAGATCTTCTCGATGCCAATCATCGTATGAAGCTCCTGACCGACCTCTACCTTGAGATTCCGACCACTTTTCTCAAGGCAAAAGCAGCATACGCACTTGGTTTGCACGCAGTGGATACAGGTGATTTAGTTCTAGCAGAGAAATTCTTCTTTGAATGTCTATATATTATCGATAAGTGTAAACAACCGGTAGTCGGACTGCCACTCGTTCTGTCAGAGTTGTCAGCGAATGCCTCGATTGGATATGCAGGTGTTCTACTTGATAACTACAAATATCAATATGCAATCGTTTCATTTGACAATGCTTTGCTCGTCTATAACATTCGTAAGAAGAAAGAATACAACACTCTACTGAGAAGAGTTGCTGCGCTGGCGAGAGAGAACGACGATATCAACTCGGCCATCTACTACTACAAACAGATTCTCAACAACTACCTGGAAGACGACCCCCAATCGAAAACCAATGAAATCATATATATTTGCGATGTAATCTCGACACTCTACTGGGAGAAAGGATGCTACAAACAATCGGAGGAGTATCTCAAGGTTGTCTTCCTCATTCTCCAGAAATCCAGTTCGCCAATCCACGAGAGTGCACTGTCACTCAACAAGTTAGAATCACCGAAATTCGATAATCCAATCTTTTTCCAACTGCACTTGAAACTTGCCAATCTCTATCTGGAGAGCTATCACTTTGAGAAGGGACTCGAGCTTTTGACTACCATGCGTAAACACCAGTTGCCACATGGAAAGTTGAACTCACTGCTGTTCCTGCTGGCTAAAGCTTACACCAAATTGGAGTGGTACGACCACTGCACTGCTGCGCTGAATCAACTGGAGAACGAAGAGTCGACAAGCACCACCAATCTCTCTGGCGCCGCCAACAGAAACAATCCTCTGAGAACCTCGGCCACACCCAAGGCATCGTTCCACAGCTCAGCAGGTGGCAGCGGAAACAACAAGAATGAACGCAATCTGAAATACTGGGAGTTTAACTGTATCAACTATTTGCATGCCAACAAATTCTCAGAGGCATTGATTTGCATTGAGTGTGCCATCGAGATCTGTCCGGCAAGCTCACTGAATGCTCGTGGACAATATTTCTACTTGCGTGGAAAGATCTTCCAAAAGTTGGTGTCGTTCTCCAATGCAACACTCATTACATTCCCAACCACTTTGAAGCCAACCTCTGAAGAGTGGAAAGAGTTTGTCGATGTCAATCAACCAACGACCACCTACACCTGCACTGGCGATCTCATGCAGGAAGGAATTGCAAGTTTCAAACGTGCCTACAACTATTTCAAATCGATTGGTGACGACGTTCGTATTCAAAAGACAGTCAGTCGTATTGCAGAGACCTATTTGGATCGTGTGTTTGGACCGGTTGCTTTGCTTCACTATCAATTCGACGATGTTGCACGTCTTCCTCATTTCACACCGTCTCGTTTCATTCAGAAAGACGGTGAACTCTATCAGGACGACAAGAACAAGCGAAACAAGAAGAAAGAAGAACCAGCTAAACCACCTGGATCTCCACCAATGGTTGAACTCAAAGAGTTTTACATCTCCTTTGAGATCATTGAGAATCCAGCTATTCTTGCTATGGATATCAATATCGATACATGCAATGTAATTCAACTTCTTAGAAACTATATGAATATGGCAGAGCTCAGATATCTCCAGGGTGATCGAGATCTTGCCATTTCCTATTGGACAGAGTGTCGTAATCTTTACTTTACCATGTTTTGTGACGGACCTCACCTCATTGGAAAGAGTGCACCGCTCTTCTTCTTGAAAAAGTTGTTCAGCACTTGCAAGCGTATGATTCGTTTCCTGTTTGCATTTGACCAAGATTTCATTAATAAGAATCTCATGTTGGTCGATAGTTATCTCTCTTTGGAGATCGATATCTCGCAAGCCAAGAAGCGTAATATCGAGTTGAACAAACCATTATCCTATGAGTCGAATCCACAGATTTCAAAGATCTACATGCCATATCTCGGTAAATCCTACACTCTCGGAAGAAACTTTAAGAGAAAGACAGAGATGACTGGCGCACTGTCAATGGATAACATTCCAACTCCCAACCACAACAACGGCAGCAACAGCACAGGTGCCGACGGAGAGAACAAGCTATCGACATTGACATTCAATGAGAAGACAAAGGATGAGGAGAAGTCAGTAAACACTGGCGATGAAGTAGGAGAGAAGATCTGGGGATCCCTACATGCCATTAGCAACGAAATTCGAAAATACTCAATTGGAAAGATTACACAGGAAGAGTTGTGTACTCGTAGTAAAGTCACCATTAAGCAGATACTAAAGATTCAATTGTCCTACAAGAATCATTTGGCCAATCAGCATGCTGGTAGTCCAACCAACTATCCAGTTCCACTTCAGAGTTCCAACAGTTTGGGATCACTCTTTAGATCACAAACAAAGATGAATCTAAATGCAATTGCCAATGGAAATACTAGCAGCACTACAGATTCCGGTCGTACACGCACTCCTTCAAACGCTGGAGCCAACAGTGGCAGCAGCAGTGGTAACGCCAACAATTGGGGAACAGTTCGTAATCTTTCTTCGAAATATGAGGAACTCTCCTTCTCTGCAGCACAAGCAAAAATCAATGCATCTCTTCAAAAGTTGGTTTATTCACTGCAGGTCGACAACTACTTTATCCACTACGTTCCACATACAGGTCGCAAGAGATTCAACCGTATCGGTGGACTTGAGGAGTTGACTCCAATGCCACCACCCACCAACATGTTGTATCTCGAGATCTATCTCTTGTCCAACGCCAATGAAAAAGTCTCATTTGTTGTCAGTCCATTGATCACTCTTGAGAAGCTCTTGCTGTTCTTGTGCAACAAGCCATACTGGGCAGTGGATAGCTCCGACTCCAAGAAGAAGAGTTTCTTTGGATCCTTCAGCAGAGCTGCCAACAACTCGTTCAAATCCACACCAAAGTTTATTGAAAAAACACCAAACTTCCATAATGAGTTGATCTCTTTCTTGAATTCCACTATCGGTGTGCCAGGTACCGATGAAGACACCCACAGCTCTGGTTCAGACTCGCCCCCTCAGGAACGTGCCGCCGACAAACAAGATCATCATCATCATCCTCACACCCCAACTCTCCACTCGACTTCACCACCGATCCATATCAACAATCACCACCAGCATGCTGTTCATCACCAACACATAAACACTCAACCAAATCTACCAACCATCAACATCACCCATGCCAACCAACAGCAACACAATCAAGACATCCACGGTCGTTCCATGTCCGTCGGTTCATCCACTCCTCGTAAGGTATATTCTCATCAACAACTCTCACTTATCTCGTTCACCAAGCGTATGATTAAAAGTGATGATCCTGCCTATGCCAAAGCATATGTATCTTTCGACCAACTCTCATACCAGATCTGCAAGGTGTTCTCCCACCGTGAGATGCGTGAATGTTCCGAGCAGAATCCATTGCAACTCTCACTGTTTGTCAACAACGGTGAAGAGAAAAAGTCACAGACCAACTTGGATCAACAAACCACCAGCAAGTCGGCACCAACCAATGACCAAGCCATCACATTCACACCAGAGATACTTTCATCGTTCCTGCCACTTCTTTCGCTTGTTCCATCGAAAGACTCGATACAAGAGGAGGTCGACCGCAAGAAGATCATCACCGAACTCAAGCACACCACATTCTCATCGCTCTTTGAGATTCTTCCAACCGAGAAGCCAGACTCCAACAGCATTAAACCATCGGCATCATCGTCCTCTAAGAAACAAAGCAAGACATTTGTATTCTTTGGTTCCAACAAAGATGCCACTACAAGCACCATGCCGACCACCAATATCTCAACCACTCCACTGATCTTTATTTGTTCAAAGAGTCTACAAGTGTTCCCATGGGAATTGATCATACCCGACTTCATGGTCAGATACCTGACACTCTACGATTTAATGCGTACCAACTACATAGACATAAGTGACCCAGAGAATCAAGAGAACGGTATCATACCATGTTTTATCAGTTGCTGTAACTCTGTCATTGACAAATCACACTACAATGATCCAGTGAAAAAAGATCAACAAGTTAAGTCTATATTATATAACTTGTATACAACTATAAATGTAAGTTTTCATTGAATTCTCTTTACAAATCGATATCAATTCATTTATTAATATTTAATTAAACATCTTAAAGAAAACAACAACAAGAGTATCAAATGAAAATCAACCATATCTCTCGCCATTGATAAAGTTGGGTGTCAAACCAGCGGTCGCCAAGAAGAAATACAAGTATCTCGACTTTTTCGATGTGGCCACCAATAAGACATCGGGTGTCGTTCATTTCCTTGAGAGTTTCGATGACTCCATTCATTTCCCTGTATTTATCTTTGCCTACAATGATATTGTCGATCTATCACAACTCCCAATATTTATATTAAGGTAAAATCACAAATAACATACTTTTTACTAAATGTTATTATATCACTAACTCTTTGTTTAACATTTAAATCAATATAGGAGTAAACCAATTTGTAATGTATTATTTATACCCTATTCGAAGCAAAAAGAAATTATGAGTAGATTGTTCAAGATATATGATGCTCATTTGAAGCAGAATATCAAGAATTCCAATCCACCAACCAGAAAAGAGAGATACCAATTCTTTATCTCATCGGTACAAAGTTTGAAAGAGGAGTTTTACATTCCCATTGCTCTTTTTAATCCTACTTTCATTGTAAATAATCAATAAATATAATACATATATATTATATACTTTAATATAGCAATAATGATTGACATTTTATTACAACATATTTTTACGATTTTGGTGTTTAACAAATTTTGGTTTTTTCTTTATTTCAAAATGTTAATATGTATTTCGAGTCGATTGATGATTGGATCGATTTTATTTACAGTATCCCAATCCAGCACAAACTTCTTCAGGTAATTTCTCCTTTTGGAAGCATTCAACCACAAAGTAGTGACCAAAGGTTTTGGTAACGTAGATACATGTGTCTCTTGTGAATGGGTCCTTCTCCAGACTGTAGGCAGCAACCAAAGTTTGAGCAATTTGAGATTCTCCCCAAGGAAGATTCTTTTTCTTGGATAATTTCTTGAAGGCAACTGCAGTGTCTCTACAACATTGACATCTGATACGTCTTTCCTCTTCTTCTCTCTTTCTGTCAGCTTCTTTGTCTCCTTGAATCGATTCAACCAGGAATGAGCAAACCAATAGGGCTAATAAAAATAATCCAAATTTTTTCATTGTATATGTGTTGAATAATATATTTTGCAAATTTATAAAATAAAAGATAACTGGTTTGAAAAATATTTAAATCTTGGTATTGAATAAAATTATAAAAAGAAAAACTGTAGCTCGAAAATTTTAAGATCTTTCAATCCCTGGTATGAATTTTTATCGAGTCTAAACGTGTTGAGATTTTTTGTAAAACTGAAAAAAAAAAACCAAACAAGAAAGTGATGTCACAGGTTTGCTTATTTTCCGACTTTGATTGATTTTTAAACAGATGATTATTTGAAGTGCAAATAATTATTATATTTTAAAATTGTATTAATTTATTTAATTTTGTTTCCAAAACTCTGAAATGATTGAGAGTTCACCTTTATTACTATTCATTTGGTCCAGTCTTGGACATTCCACGGTTTCAAATACGGTGAGTTTGGTAAAAGATTCATAATCTTTTGTAGTACATATGAGGTTAGAGTTGATGTTTTCCACATTCTGAATCATATCTAGACTTTCAATCTTGGTGGCAAATGAGCTCCATTGTTGACTAACTTTGAGGCTATGAATGCTTCCAATAAATAGTACACCTTTGGTTGTTGAAAGTAAAAGATTTCTCAACTAAATAATAAAAAATGTTAGTGTATATTACATAAAACAATAAAACAATAAATTAAATACATACAAATTGATCTTCATTCGAAATATCAAGATTTTCGATTTTTTTTGTTCTAACCATTGATACTATGACATATTCTTTCTTGGAGTATTGAGCCTCTTGGTGAGACATAACTTTGATTTCGAATCCACCTGTTGAAGAGAAATGTCTTTTGAGTAGCCAACGTTGAGTGCTGTATGGTGAAACAATAACAATAGATTTGGCATCGATATTCTTCTGGTTAATTAAATACTTAACCAAGAACTTGATCTAAATAATTAAAACATTAATATTATTTAAAAAATATAATAGCAAATTAACAATAGCTTACAAATGTTATTTCAGTAATATTAAAGAACTTTGTGTGTAGGTTGTCTTCAATAGTGTCAAAAGATTTGATATCTAGTTTCTCCTCTGATTTAGGAATATTGTAGAAAGTAAGCATTGGTTTATAATCATTCTAATGAAAAAATAAAATATTAATTAATTTGAATTGTTAAAAAAATAATTATAAATAAAAAATACCTTTGATAATTCCTTTGAGTTGAGTAGCTCAAAGAATACATTTGGAATATTATACAAAGACTTGAGCTTCATTGGTTCAATGTTGGTGAGTCTATGTGCCAAAGGTCGAGTAAAACATTTCTTCATTGTTGGATTCTTGATATACACTTGAGTATCTTTAAATAAAAAATAAAAACAAAGAAATGTTAGAAATGTACTTTTTTTTTTATCTAATGAACTGAAATTTACTTTCAAAATCAGATATTACATCACCAAGCAACACAACATGTTTGGCTTTGTTAAGAGCACACAGAGTAGAAGGCTCAAACTCTTCATTGGCATTATCAATGACCACCCAATGAATATTCAAATCAGAGATTCTCTTCTCAATTGAGACAATTGAAGTACAACATATAACCTTATGTTCATTTAAAACTAATAATTTAATTAATAAATTGTTATAAATAATTAAAGTAAATAATACATACTGATTCCCTCTAGATCTCTGCTAGCCATGTTTGGAGAACTATTCTTTTGATTCTCGATCATATATTGTAAAGAAAGCTTCTTGATATCTTCTGTAATGACATATCTGAAGTAAAAAAAAATTGTTAGATAAATAGTTAAAATTAATTAATTACATAATAAATACCCATTTTCATCGTCTTCCAAAAAATCATTTCCATAAACTCTCAAAGCCTTGATGGCTGGGAATAACTGTTTCAAGTTTCGCAGAGATTCATCTACACTAAAATCGTTTGGACCACAAAGTAAAATCTTAGAGATGAATCCATTGTTTCCTTGATCACCAATAGCAACTTGACAAACTATAGATGCAATAGTTGTTTTACTTTAAAAATAAAAAAATTAGTAAAAATAATTAAAAAATATAACAAGTAATTTTCTTACCAAGAGCCAGGTGGTCCTTCAATAATGGTGAATGGACTATGGATACAATTTTGAATTGCTATGGATTGCTCACCACTAAGAGTAAAAGGAAGCGCGAGTGAGTTGAGATCGACTGGATTCTCTGGAACTACACCACATAGTTTGAGTGGATACTGGTCCAAGATAAGAATACGTAAGACCTCATCAATGTTTGGGAAATTCTGAACTCCTTCACTAAGAGATCTATTAAAACTATCTCTTAGAATAATTTCCTAAAGTTAAAAAAAAAATTAAGAGAATATAAATTTATTAAAATAGATCACAATTTATCTTACCAGTGAAAATGATTTCTGTGTAAGCTTAGGAGATCTAATGGAGAACTTGATCAAGATCTTTCCTGCCTTCTCATCATAGCTTGCCTTTGTCAAGAGGGTATGAAGCGATAAATTACTCTTCTCTTCGTTTGTGTATCTCAGGCATAGGAAATCACCACGTGCTATCATAACATTGCTGGTGTTGTGGTCGAGTGGAATACTGAAGGAACCAACATACTTCTTTTTCTTCTTACTCCATGAAATAGATACATTGAATGCAAAAATCGATGAACTCTTTGATAAACTCTTCTACAATAATTAATCATTAGTTAAGAATATTGTTTATAATATACTTTAAGATTGACTGATTAGATACTTACATGAACAGAGTTTAGATCAACCAATGTATTCCAGTAGTTAACATAGGTAATATCAGAGTCTATTGGTCTTGAGATTGTTTCCATGGGATATTTGTTATGTAAGAAGGTTTCACGATGTTGCAGGTGCTCAAAGCATGAAGGAATTGTATCCTTGAGACCATAGAGGAACTGAATATAGTTCTCCTGCTTGGTTGGTGCAGATTCAAAGGTTGCAACTTGGATTTGAATACGATCAAAGAGCTTCAAGTGCATGGAAGTTGGTTTGGACGGACCGAATGATGTTATCTTTGACACCTGTTGATGAATATTCACTGGAATAATAGATTCCTGTGAATTGGAAATTGATTTTCTTACACAGTCTGTGCAATCGATTCCCAGATATTTGGTATTCCACCCGATCCAAAGTGAGTTGGTAGAGTACATCCAAGTATGACGACAACCACTGATTTGATTGAGATCTATGAAGAGTGTCTTATTGAGCTTCTCTACCCAGATTCCAATGACAGAAGAATCAACACTGACCAACAAACCTTGAGTTTCGTACGGTCTAGACTTCATTAGATGATTGAATTCGATGTGGTTAAACTTTTGCTCCACCTTGACTTTCTTCTGGTAGCTCGATTGCAAGTGACTGATAAGATTGGACTGCGACTTGAATGGACTTGGCAGCAGGTCATCAATGGAGTCTATCTTGTCACTATTCAAAACTCGTAGAACCAGTCTCTGGTTGAACAGATCGACATAAGACTCGAGAGGATTGGTAATTTCAAACATGTAAGGGAATTGGAGAAACATTTGATCCTTCTCACCAGTGAAACGCACCAAATGACCAGATTTTTCAATCTCTGAGACAAAGTATTTCTGGGTGTTCAGGTTGGACACATACGATAGGAGATCGCCAAGTGTCAATAGATCCAAGTTGATGTTGCTCGGGAATATAGATTCATATTTCTCTATTTCTTTCTTGATTTGATTGATCATAGGCTCAGGTATTCGGTTGCACGAAGCCATGTAGATAGCTTGATCCACCTTGATGTTGCTGGCGATGTAGTTTGCAATCAGTTTGATTTGCTCAACCAAGATATGATAGTTCAATTCTTCAGTCGAAAGATGGTTCTTTTTGTAGGAATGAAAGATTTTAAAAGTCTGCTGTGAGAACTTTCCATAGAAACTTTCAATACCATTGAACATCTCTCGTAATGAAGTAACCAATTCGATTGAATGGGACGATTCTTGAGATAATTCGTTGTTTGAATTATTGAATATGTTTGAAATATCTCGATATGATAAGTGACAGTTGGAGTTAACAATCGATTGATATATGTAGGTTTCAACAATGGTAAAATTTGAAGAAAATTCCCATTCAATCGTAATCGCACATCTATAATAAACAATTCAATTGATTAGTAACTGAAATAATAATAAATTGAAGTAATTTTAAAATAATTTACCTATCCTTTCTTGGTTCAAATCTTAACAGTTGGCAAAGATCCGGTGGAAATAGTTTCGATGAGAAACTACCCATATTAATACTGAAACCTTTAGAAGCTGCCTCAGTATCCGAGACGCTCTTCTGTTTAATATAAAATGCTACATCAGATACATGTACAGAAAACTAAAATAAAAAATAAAAAGTCAATAATTAATATATATATATCTTTATAATTTATAATTAAAAACTTACTATGATATTTCCATTTGCAGCTTTGTTACATGAATACAAAACAGTTTGTTCATCAAGAATAGCTTCACCAATTGAAAAAGAAAACAAATTTCTTAAATCCTTTCTCTTTTGAGCATTGGTGATATTGAGTGACTTTAAACCCAAAAGTTGAACTTCATTAGTCATTTGAGCAGGGAAACTATCAATGATTTTATTTTCTGTTTTAAGAAGCTAGAGAGAAATTATGATATATTAGTATAATGTTAATTAAAGAACAATAACAATTTGAAAACCTACTTGAATCATTTGAGTTACATCATCATAGTTTGAGATGGTCTGGGTAATCTCGCCGATTGGAAGCGGATAGTTAGTTGGCCACTGCTGTAGCTGAATCTCAAAAAGAGTCTTTGGTGATGGCACCCGAATGATTCCTTTGACTATGATGCCAACCATCTTCTTGTCATAGGTAGAGAAGTAAGTGACGTCACCCTTTTGTTTCTTGAAGAAACAGCAGTACGATTGCTTATGACTGGAGCTCAGAATTGAAACTACTCTTCCTGTAAGTGAGTGAGGAGCAGGCGAAGGTGCTTGGCTACAACCATTGATTGACGCTGTGATGGGCAGGAATTGCTCCATCTCCTTATCTAGATTATGTTCGTAGGAATCTCCAGAGCTCTCCAACTTTGAAGGCATGATATTACTGATAGCTACAAAGTCACCATCTAAAGCACGATTTCGGTTGTATAGACCAAAGATAGCAATTCTGTCCGACGAATTTAGTGTTAGATCGATACTGATAGATGATTGTAGATCCTGGGGAATATTGGAAGTATCAAGATAAGCATTCAATGGATTTGTTTTATCAACACGCAAAACTCCAAAACGAAGAGTTTTCTAAAAAATTAGAAAGAAAAAAATATTAATATTTCATTAATTAAATATAAATTAAATATTAGTTGAACTTACCTCCAAATTACAATTGTTTAAAGTAGTTGGATCATAGTGCTCTGGATAGTATTTCAAAGTACTGATCGATACAAGGTCCGTTGGGGCTTGGTATCCAAACATAGAGTTGGCACCGTGACCAATGTGTGGCTCATTCAGTTTGTTGTTTGGCGAATACAGAAAGTGAGAATGAAAACTACCGTTACTGTTGCCATTGGAAAGACCGTTGGACAACCAATTCAAATCGATGACACTGCCGAGACTATCTTTTGAATAGGATGAAGTATTACTGTAGGTCGGTGAACTCTTGGCTTTGACAGGAGTCTTTGAATTCTCTTGGAATTTATATTTGTCTGATACTCCGACTCTGAGATCCGACTCGCCATGGGCAAAAGCACACCATCTTCCTTTCTTGCAAGTCTTATTGTTAGCATGGTCATTACACAACTTTGTCTTATAAATAGCTGGATGGTACATAACTTCCACATCATTATGTGAATTTTTACACTAAAATAAATAAAAAGGTTATTAATAAAAATAATTTAAACAAAGTTATTGTAATTTTATATTTACATTTGGTTTTCCACATTTTTCTGGACAAATCAAATGAGAGTAAACAATATTATTATTTTGATCATAGGGACATCTTCTCTTTTCCTCATTCTTATGATAATAGAAGCTATAAAAAAACAATAAAAATAAATATTAATATTTATTTTAAGATATTATTTAATCAAAGATTTTTATAATAAAATATTTACCAATCTCTGTCTTTAATACATTCTTGTTTCTTTGCAACAGTGTTACATTCTAAAGTCTTATATCCATGCATATATTTATTCTGAGATTCTTCATTGGAAATAGGTGGCTTATAGCTTGATGTAAGTTTAGATGGAGAGGTTCTATTACCGCCAAATGGCAAAGATTGTATTGATTTATTTGGTGTACTCATAATGATTAAAAAGTCAAATTTCCACTTGACAAAATAATAAATAATAATAAATAATAAATAGTATATATATATTAATATTGTAAATAACTATAACTGTACATGAATATCAATATAATTATGAATAGAAATGAAAATAAATATTATTATAAAAATAAATATAAATATAAAAATCAGAAAAATAAAAAACAAAGAACTCCTGCAAACTTTCTTTGTTCTTTATTATTCAATAATATAAAAAAAGATATAATAACTAATCCAATAACTTTTAAATTAAAAAAAAATGATATCAAACTATTAAATAATAATTATATAAAAAAAGTATTTAACAAAATAGAAATAGAATAAATAATAATAATAATATTGAAAGTGATAAATAACAATAAACAAAATAGAAATAGAATAAAATAAAATAAAATAAAATAAACTTTGTAATCTTTTTATAAATAGAGGAAGGATGAACATAGAAGGAAAAACAAACTTGATTCTTTAAAGAGTAATAGATATCATTACTATTACTCTATGTCCTTTTTCGATTTGTGGTACTGAATCAAACAAACTATTTTAATCATTTGGCATTGGATATGGTCACTGGCAATAGTGTGAATATAAATACAGATGGATTGAAAAGGTGTGTGGGTGTTTGATGTCATCCTGTTGTCGCTGTTGAATGTATTCAATCGTGGTAGTAATGTGGTTGTTGGTGCTTTATGAAAGGAAAGATTCATAGATAGAGAGTGATAAATTACCCACCACAGATTAATATTACTTATTTTAATGATATTTTAAAAAAATAGTAGTGCTTACCATAGCTGGTTAATTGATACTGTAATATTAAAAAAAGTGAAATTCCAAGAACACATGTGTGTGGATTATTTCAATGCTTTATTTATTAGATTCATCAACCATTTATTTATTGAATTCTATATTTTGTGGTTACTGGTGGAAATGTGTTGTGTGTTGGGCGATGTGATTTAAATATTTATATTTTTGCGTATTTCGTTTAAAAAAAGTGAGTAAATATGCTAAAGATAGTTATTATAGATGTAAATATTAGAACATCGTTCTTAATAATATTAACATATTTGCAGTAACACACTCCACACCTTTGAGTTTTCCAAATTAAAAACAAAAAACTATTAGTTCCAACACCACAAATTTGCAAAGATTATCTAAATAATATAAATTATTCATCTATTTATAATATTTGCAACTACTAAATAAATATAAAACTATTATTTAGAGCTGTCGTTGATGTTATTATTATTGTTGTTGTTACTTTTTCCAACTTTCGAAATAATATCAATGAGGTACTGTTGATATATAACACCTAAATTAAAATAATGGAAATAAAAAAAAAAACAAATTTCATTAATTAATAAGTTTAAACAAAAGTTATATGTAAATAAATAAATATTGATTAATGAATTGAATGATTAAGTGATTGAATGAATTGAATGAATTGAATGATTAAGTGATTGATCATACCAATTGCTAATAAAACTTCAGGGCCACACTTTGAAGATACATTAATCTCTGCCATGTTTATCGTACTCAGTGGATGTCTACAATATCTACTCTCTTCTATTGCTTGCTCTACGCTCGGTACCAGCGATGTCTTTGATTTTAGAAATACAAAATTGTTTTTATTTGGTGGAGGATCGTAATTGCTGTCATTTATAAATGAATCATCAGATGCTTCGCTTCCACTGTAATCATTTTCTTCATCGTATTGTTCTTCATTGAACTCATCCTCCTCTTCGTCATAGCTATAGTCATCTTCATCTTCATCTTCTTCCTCTTCATCTTCTTCCTCTTCACTATCATCCACTGATGAATCAAACTTGTCTTCATTTTCTATCAGTGAATTGTTTATCTTTTGTTTCTTTCGAGTAGGACTATCTTGATCTTCACCTTTAGTATCACCAGCACTGCCTTTGTCATTGAAACCAATACCATCAACTTCCTTTTTATTACTACCTGTACTTCTACTTGAACGTTTCTTTTGTTTAGCTATATCTTCATCTTCCTCTTCCTCCTCCTCTTCTTCTTCTTCTTCATATATTTCATATTCTTCATCATCATGATCATCTTCTTCTTCTTCCTCTTCTTCCTCTTCATCTGTATCATGTTGTCTTTTTCCTTTCTTTGTATATGACTGTATAAAGTTACTCTTTGTATACTCTGTTCGATATTGTTTTGCTAACTTGTATGACACTGACTTTTGAATTTCATTCAAGAATGGCAATGAAGGATTGTTTATACCATTCCTTGGTTGATTATATTCATTATATAATTGAGTATAACAGTCATAAACTAAATATAATTGAGTATGTAAGAGAGATCGTCTATAACAGACTTCAATTTAGAATCTCTTTACTTACTCGCTTTTATCTTTGGATTATCTTCATTCTCTACAACTAAACTCAAACTATTTGTATCATTTTGATACTTATTCTTTGTCATCCTATATATAAACCTTAACAATTAACTATAAAACAAAATAAAAGAATAAATATTAAGATAGTAAAAAGAAAAAAAAGTAAATTAAAGAATTTTTTAAAATTTTTATCTATATTAGTGTCAAAGTCAAAACAACATCATTTGATGATCAATCAATCTATTTAATTAATGAAAAAAAATTAATTTTATTGAAATAAATAGTTTTATTATTAGTTGATTATTACATCTTTTGGCAATAATGGATCGGTGTCACTGTCCTCAACTTTAGAGACGTCGACATTGGATAGTATTTCTTGTGAACAATTCTCGTCAGGACATCCAACTGGGAATCTCTTCATTACATAGAGCGAAAATAAGAAGGTCACAAGGATAATACCGGCATTAATGCAGAAATGCATACCTGGGAAGTAAAATGGTGCTTTACTCGAGATGAAATATGCAAAGATATTCTCTGATGTCAATGCACCAACGAAACTAGCAACGGAACATAGCGAATTGACAGCGGACAAGATGAAACCTTGCATATCCGATGGCGATGCCTTTGACACGATCGACTGCAACAGAGTTAGAGGCATCAAACTGGACGATCCAAGAGTCAGTGTGACGCCAAACATATATTGGTTGAATGAGAATGCATACAAGACATGTAGAACCGCCGAGACAATAAAGGTGGAACAAACCAAAACTCTGTCGCTAACGTATTTCAACAAGCCATTGCAGATACCACTGAACACCATGACTCCAATGCCAAACGTTGACGTTATGATTCCGGCTTGTGTTGGACCCCAGCCATATCTGACATTGCTGTACAAAAATGCAGTGTTCTGCGAGTCTTGCACGGTGAAAGAAAACAAAAAGAATATAATGGCATAGAATCCAATATAGAGGCTTGATTTAAATAGGTAGTAAATGGCTTTGAAAGGATTCTTTGATTTCTTGGTTGCTCCTGACATTTCTTGTCTTTGCTCTTTGGTGATGGGAATCGAGTCACTATAGTGAATGGTTTCCTTCATGAAAACAATGGTAAATAGACCTACTACGTTTGTACAGAAGGCGACAATCACCACTGAGATAACATGCCAGCTAATGAGAGCGACACCTATCAATGGTGAAATTGCCAAAGATAGACCCATTGTGATGCCTACCAGTGCAAGATACTTGGAACGTTCCTCCTTCGAGGTGACATCAGCAGCAACTGCAAACATAATTGGAGTGATATTATTGGAGAATCCAGTGAAAAAGTGTGTAACCCACATTGGCCACACCAAATATACCTGGTAACAGAGAATCATGGAAAGCTGGTCGATCAGAACAAAGAAGATCATTGCATACAAAACTAGTTTTCTTCCAATTCTGTCGGAGATGGTTCCAATGATGGGTCCTGAAAAGAAAGCACAAACAAAGGGTAGAGCATCACCCACCGACTTTAGATTACTGGCCAAACTATCAACCTGAGTGTTTGTATAATCTGGATGATGATGTTCAACGTATCTTGTGTACAACAGTGGTTCAAATGGAAATGTCATAATGGAATCCATATTGAAAATTAAAGTAAACATAATAATTAATACTTTGTCAATGAATAAAGGAGAACTGCGATCGAAAATCGATCCAAAAGTTGGATTTTCTTTTTTATCACAGATTTCTGGTGAATGATCTTCTTTATCTATGTCAATATTAATTATTGAATTGTGATTTATAATACTACTGTTATCATTATTTTTATTAATATCCGACTCTTTTTGATAATACTCAAGATCATCATCTTCAAATTTATTATTTAAAACCATTTTAAAGTTTTTTTTAAAAAATATTTATTTGTATAAATTTTAAAATGTTATTATTATTTTACTATTTTAAATTTATTTTATTTGTTATCCATATATATTATTATTTTAAAATCCATATATTTAAAGATTCCAAAAAGGTTTAAATATTTATTTTTGAATAAGAGAATTTACTTCGGAATTGTTTAAATTTCAAACTTTTTTAAATCTAAGCGGTTAATTTGAACTTTGAGATCAATTATAGATAGAATTAATTAAATTGCTCTACTCCGACATCATAATTTCATATGGCATTAACACCTTCATCCCTAAGAAACATTTAGTATAAACAACTTTAAAATACTCTATTCTCCAGGAATTTAAAAATTATTGCAATAATTTAATCTCAACAGATTTTCAGTATTACACATTAATCAAAATCATCCATCAAAACCTATAATTATAAATCCAATTAAACCAATCTTTATAAACTGAGAGTGTTTTTTCATTCATCTTTGAAACTCAAGAACAACAAAATTAAACAATGAAAAATTTGACTTTACAAAAACTAGTAAAAAAAAAGTGTGGACCCACAAATTTGATTAAAATAGTAAAGCCAAATTTGGTACCCCTGCAAATAAAGTCAAGGGTTACAATGTTCTTGAAGGGTTATATGTGACATTAAAGAAGATATTTTTTGCAAATAAAATATTTATAAATAATCATTTGGATATTTATAGAATTCTATAACTTTGATTATTATTATTATTTTTGATATACTTTTTTTATTACACTGTGCGGATGAAGATCATTGATTTTGAATAAGTGGTTTGTTGAATTGCACGCTTTAATGATCAAATCCTCTTAAATTATATGACTTAACCAAAGAGTTTTGACATCTTGGAGAAAAGTCCAGTTGGTTTTGGTTCAGTGAAACGCATTGGTTTGTTCTCTCCTAAAAATCTATCGACAACATCACGGTATGCCTCGGCTGGATCAGAGTTTTTGTCCAAAGTTATAACAGGTCTACCAAGATTGGTGCAAGATAAGATATCTTGGCTTTCTGGAACTACTCCAAGTAATTTGATTCCTAAATTCTCTTGAATATCCTGTTGTTATATATTTATTTTTGATTTTAAAATATTAATCATCAATATTATTTCTAGAAATAAACAATCATCATCATCATCATTTGAACATGCAAGATAAAAAAAACTTACTTTTACAGAAAGCATACCACCAGATTCAGCACGCTCTGGTGAATAACGAGTGATTAAGAGATTCAATTTGATTGGGTCTTTACCCTCGAGGGCACGCTTTGATTTACTAGCTAAAATACCCAACATCTTGTCGGAATCACGTACTGAAGAAAGCTCTGGGTTTGTACAAATGATAGCTGTAAATAATTTTTTTTTTTTTAATGGATTAGATATTAGTTTATTTTTGAATGTTGTGAATTAGTATAATATTTACCACTATCAGACCAGTACATAGCATGGTGTGCTCCACTCTCAATACCTGCTGGCGAATCACAAACAATATAATCGAAATTCTCTCTCAACTCGTCTAAAACCTTCTCGACCGCCTCCATCTTCAAGGCTGTCTTGTCTTTGGTTTGCGATGCAGCCAATAAATATAGATTTGGATTCTTTCTGTCTTTGATCAATGCCTGTCTCAATGTACAATCTCCATTCAACACATTAATGAAATCAAATACAACTCTTCTTTCCATACCAAAATGAATATCTAAATTTCTTAAACCAATATCTAGAAAACATGTTTTAGAGTTAAATTATTATTTTCGAGGTTGTATGACATTATTCGGTGTTGCAATAACATACCAAAATCGATTGTACAAACTTTATAACCTTTCTCTGCCAAACCATATGAAAATGATGAACTACTAGTTGTCTGTATATTTATAGACAAAGTGATAAGTATTGTTGTGATCATGACTATTTAGTGTGATAGATTTTAACTTACCTTTCCAGTTCCACCTTTACCAGAGGTAACTACAATAATCTTTTGATCTCTTGGTACTGTAACAATAGATAGTGTATGTTAAAAATAATGAATTACAACAATGAATGAAACAATATTTCGATAAATACCTGTGGATGCAACAGAACAAAAGAATCTTGGGCTATTTAATGTAGCCTGACTGAAAATGAATCTCTGACTTGATTGTGAATGATTTATCACACCAACGAATCCTCTAATCATCTTTTTATAACTATTTATTAGATATCAAAATATAATCTAAAAGTAAAATCATATGATCAAAAAATTAAAAAGTCTGTCCAAAAAAAAAAAAAAGACCTTCAAAAAAAAAAAATAAATGTTGTTCAATTTTTAATGAATTGTTGTAAAATCATCATACATAATGATTGAATCTATTAATTTACATAAATATATTTATTTGATTGATTTTATTTGATTTGATTGTGACAGATAATTTAATAAGTGTCACTCATTTACAAAAATGACCTTAAAACGATGATGATGATGAATGAGCTAAAATTTTTAGATTGTGAATCGATATGTCATTTGTTGTTGTGTTTTTGTTATGTTTGTTGGATGAAATTTAAAAATCCGAGGTTCTACCTTTTCTTTCCCAGTCTCCGAAACGAGTTGGCTCTGGACCCTTTGGTCCACCGATTTCACCAGTCTTCTCATTAACGTGTTCTTTGCTGTATTGAGCTTCCAATTCCTCGAGCTCCTCCATAAGACGTCTCTTTTCTTCGCTCATGCTCTCCTCTAGATCTTGCTGACTGGTGTTTCCACTGTTGTTGTTCTGTACATAGAATCTTGCAATTTGAAGCTGTTTGGCATTGTATGCCAACAAATTTGCTCTAAAACATCTACTAATCATTGTTTATTATTTCTTGTTTTCTTTTATTTTTTATCATTTAAAACGAGTTCATTGACAGATGTGAAAATGAAAAAACAAAAAAAAAAAAAATGAAAAAAAAAAAAATGAAAAAAACAAATCGAAATAATTATGTGTTTGCAAAATTATTTCTCTTTTTTTAAAGAGAGATAAACAGTTTGAAACAATATAATTTATATGTATTTTTAAGGAAATTTAGGAATTAAATTCTTATGTGAATGTGATGTAAAATCCTGTTTCTTAAATTTTTTATTTTTTTATTTTTATTTAAATATTTTCAATCATTTTAAATTAAATCTTCTTTGTTAGTTTGTTTTATAACAACCAAATATCTTTTACTATTAACAGATAATTTACAAATGAACTTCAAAAATAAATACTTGTAATTTTTTGTTCTAAAAAATCAATCTTTTCGCTGAAAAATCTTCCCTCCTACACTGATTTTTTTTTTTTGATAAAATCGGTTTTTTTCATTTTGATAAGATTGATGAGAAAGTACCCACTTTTGATCGATCACCCACACACAAACATCTTTCTTTAGTATTATTTTGTTTTTTTTTTGATTTTATTTTTTTTTTGATTTTTTATTTTATTTAGATACATCAATCAAAGGGCTTTGTTCAACTTTAAATGTGAAAGTTGTGATTGTTAAGAGATATTTATTTAGTTTGTTTAAATAACTTATCTTAGCATTTGGTTTTCAAAATTTTAATAATAGAGGAAAGAAGTGTATAGTTAAAACTCTAACAACAAGCTACTTTCAACATTGTATTTAATTGGTTAGATACCAACCATACCCACCTTTTAAACAAACAACAAATAATATATTAGAAATAAAAATACAGGAAAAGGTCATTCGGATCTTGTTTAAATTCAACAAAACATCAACATCAACATCACCATCGCAATCGATAATCGATAATCGACATCTCTTTTTATTTTAAATAAGCATCAGGTATTCACCACATTCAATTTGAATCATTTTCACCAAAAATAAATAGATAGGAGTGTCAAATTTGTGAATAATGTAAGTAAAATTGAATAAAAATAATATTATTCTGTGTTTTTTTTTTTAAACAATATATATATATATGTTTTCTTCATCATCATTCATTCGATCACCACACCAAATCAATTCAACATATAACCTAACACATTATCACACACACCACAATCTTATTAATAAATAATATAGTTACATTATCACAATACCAAACAAACAATCAAATATCAAGTAAACAAGCACTGCCACACTATTGTCATGATCAATCAATCAAAATTTTAAAATATTTTTAGTATTTTTTAGTTTTGTTTGAATGATGATGATATTAAAAGATTAATAATATAAATATAATTATAATAATAATTTTTGGTTATTGCCACATAACAAATAAAAAAAAACAAAATCGTCAAGCTTGGAAACCAGCTAATCCAATTTTGAAATGTCTGTCTGTTTTTCCAGCTGATTGATATCACAACTAAATATATTTATATCATTTATAATTTTAATACCATTTGAATCAATAACTAATATTTTATTAGTTTTTTAGCAAATATTTGTATAGTTAAATTGAAACAAGATAGAATTAGATAGATAATTTTATTTTTTTTTGAAAAAAATAAAATAAAATAAACAACAATGTCACAGGAAGTAGATATGATTGTTGGAAATAATATCTATCACAACACAAGTAATGGTAAATTATTTTTTTTTTAAATACTTTGTTAGATTAATCCGGTTATTAATTAGCAAACTTACAAAAATAAATAATGATGATTTAGATGATTTGGAATTAAAAATAAAAGAGTTGAACCAAAGATTGGAGGAGGAAAGATTAAAACAAATACAGGTGGCCAAGGAGAATGAGGCTTTAAAGAAGCGTTTAGAGGACATGCAGAAATCCACAGCAAAACGATCACCCTCCACCCAGAATCTTTACTCTTCAACATCTTCACTTTCATCACATCTCTCCAAGAGAAAGAGCAGTGAGAGTAGTGGAAGTAGTAGTGATGCTGAAAATACATTTAGTAAAGATTCACAAGATAGTTATCATCAATCTACATACATAAACAATAATAGTAATAATAATTATAAGTTAGAGAATAATGATAATGATAATGATATTAATAATTGTAATAATAGTAATAATAATCAACAACAAACTTTAAATATTGAAGTGAATCACAAAGAGATTGAAGAGACGATGTCGAAATTTGAAGAGCAAGTTTTGCAGCTAAAAGATGTACTTTCCAAGCAAAGCAATGGTGAGCCATCATCAGCTCTGTCGAGCAGTGAATGCACAACGACCCAATCATCACCGACAACGACAGCCAACAACTCTATCGATGCAACCCTCCTCGCAGACACACAACGCCTGCTCCAAAGCAAGGTGGAAACATTCGAACAGAAATTCTCTTCAATTAAAAATATTTTGTTGGATATATCTGCAATGCAATTAAATTCGTCAAACAACAACATCCAAAATAATAATAATACAACCAATGAAATTAATAAGGATGGTGGTGATCATATTCAAGATGCAAACAACAATCTGAATAATGATAACTCCGACGCCAATAATAATAATGTAAATAATAATGATAATAGTAATGATAACAACAACAATGTTTGTGGTGATGGGTCAAAATTGGAAGACAAAAATATCAATAATTCATTCGATGGGATCTCAAATGGCACTGCAACAGAGACTCTCGCAAAGTGTGGTGGTGGGGTTGATCAACAAAAAACAGAAAAATCCAAAAATTTGGATGTTTTTTTGGATAAAGTTGAACAACCCACAGCAACACCCACTTCCAACATTGAAAATCATAACAAAGATGCAAAGCAAATGGATTTCACATTTATTGCTGCTGATGAAGAGGAACTCAGACAATTAATATCAGGTGGAGCCAATAATACCACTACTCAAGATAACAAGGAAGAGGAAAGAGAAAAAGAAAAAGATGAATGTAACAACAACAACAATAATAATAATAATGCACGGCCACCACCACAATCATTAAATGATCAAACCGTTGTTTTTGTTGATCAACAGTCATCATCATCATCACAACTATTAATAAAACAAGAACAAACTATTAATATTAGTAATAATAATAATAATAATAATAATAAGAATAATAATAACGAAGAAGATTCTGAAGAGGATTCCGAGGAAGAAGAAGATTCTGAAGAGGAAGTAGAGAACTTGGTAAAAGATAGTAATCAAGAGATTGTAGAGAAATTATTGGCCGGTGACACTGACACCAATACATCGATGAACAAGACATCACCACGATTGTTACCCATCGATTTTATTGATGTTTCTTCGTTGCCAGATGTACCATCGACCATTCCAGTGATCGGTCTCGGTTCCAATTCCTCTGCCAACTCGCTGCGGGGTGGCGAAGATTCAAACACCTCATCGTCATCCTCATCCAAACACAGTCCATCACCCTCAAAAAACAATCTAAACAACAACATAACAACCGATAAAAACAACAATAATAATAGCAATAACAATAGCAATAACAATTTGAATAGTAGTCAAAGTAATCTTGTCAGTGGAAGTGCAAGCAGCGGCTCTGCACAAAATCAAAACACGGGCAGTGGTGTTGCAGGAACAAATGTCGGTGGTGAACAAATCACTATGTTCAGCATGAAGGTGACTTCGCTCAATGACAATATCATCAAGGAAGGCATACTGAAGAAGAAGGGTGGTGGCGAAGGTGGTCGTCGTAACTGGACCACCAGATGGTTCCGTCTGAAGGCAGACACACTCTCCTACTATAAAAAGCGCAAAGACTCCAAGCCAAAGGGCATTGTAAAGCTGAGCCAAGCCAGAACGGAAACACACTCTGGCAAGCCCTTTGGAATCGTACTGCTATCGGGTATCAACGAAAAGAACATGGTTCGTGACTATCTACTGATGGCCGAGTCAAAGAAGGAACAGGAGGAGTGGATCGATGCAATCAACCAAGTCATCGCTAGAATACCACTGGGTGCAACCACATCCACACCAACACTGATATCAACCACCACCACCACCACCACAACTTCAACATCACCATCTTTAACATCATCAACATCCAACAACAACAACAACAATACATCACCATCATCAACATCACCAAGTTTATTAGCAACTTCACCATCAAAACATAAATAGTCAAAACAAAACAAAATCAAAACAAAACAAAACAAAACCAAAACTTAACTAAACAACCAAACTAATTTTAGTTGTAATAATAAAACCATTTTAATTTATTTATAAAGCCAAACAAACTTTTGAATGTATTAAAAATTTCATTTTTTCTGTTGTAAAGATTGTTTTGAATCATAAAGAAGAAAAAATAATAAACAAAAGATTATATATGTATTTTAGTTAAATCTTTAATAACAAACAAAAATGAATAATACACTCTCTAGAAAGATACAAAAAGTATTAGAAATAAAATTAGATCAATCAAGTGAAGAGTTAATAGGATCATTAGATGAGTTATCTTCATTCTATCAGTTAAATTCAATTGCTGCAAGAAGAAATCTTAGAAATGATATCGAAAGAAGATATCTTGAAATAAATAATCAATTCTTGGATCAATTTACTTTATTATATAATGTAAGAATGAATGATGTGTATAATAATGAATATATATTATAGATTATTAATCATCATTATTTTCTATTAAATTTATACAGTGTGTTGAAGAATTAGTTGATAATTATAAAGAAATAGAAAAGAGTTGCAACGATGTTTGTTCACATTTCGATCAGACCAATCAGTCTTACTCTTCGATTTTGGTAGATGCAAAGAGGATGTTTGACGATCTGAAAGAGACAGAGGAGAAAGAAAAGTTTTTAGATACATTCATATCGAGGTTTAGATTGACGGAAGAGGAGGAACTGTCTTTACAGAGAAAAGATATAGATATGTCGTTCTTTGCTACTCTCGCGCGACTCTCTGACATACACCGTGAGTGCAAGTCGATACTCTCAAACACTTACCAACGACCGACCTACGAGATCATGGAGATGATTGCACAACACCAAGAGAAAGCCTATCGTAAGCTATACAGCTTCATCAAGGAGGAGTCAAAGTCGCTGCAGCTCGACACACCGGAATCCTCGAGAATTCTAGAGTTGTCGTTGAGCGCACTGCAGGAACGTCCGCGACTTCTACTCTATTGTCTCTCGGACATTGGCGAGTATCGCTGCAAGTCGATCACCACTGCATTCATCACCGCGCTCACACTGGGCGGACCAAACGGCACACCGCGACCCATAGAAATCAACGCACACGATCCGCTTCGTTTCCTCGGTGACATGCTGGCGTGGATACACCAGGCGCTAGCATCTGAACACGAACTACTCTCTACGCTTCTCGCTAAAATCAAAATAACCATACCCATCAAATCACAAATAAGAAGTTCTGCATCGCGTGACGATATCATTGATTTCAGTGATCAATCGACTTCAATTGATTCTACTACTAATACCAGTGGTGGTGGTGATAATAATAATAATACTCCAGGCGGTAGTGTTCAACAACAAAATGTTAAACCAATTCAAAAAGTTTTGGATCTATGTTTTGAGGGGGTTTCTCGTCCACTGACGATTAGGGTGGAGCAGATTCTTCAGGCGAAACCCGGCATCATTGTTATCTACAAGATGATCTCACTTTTGGATTTCTACGCGCGAATAGCATCTACTATTATCATTAACAATAAGCAGTCGGGACTATCAAAGATCCTAAATGATGCCAAGCTGTTTTGTTTGAATCAGTTCTACACGCAGATCAAAGATCACTTTGAAAAGATACATAAATCACCGAGTGCTCCCTCGATTGACTTGTCACCGACCATCGAAATCAAAGAGTCGATCAACAAGCTGAAAGAGTTGCTCACCACCTACAGCAGTTCGCTGGTGCCCGACGACGAGAAGGAAGACGAGTTCAAACCGGTCTTGACCGCCATGGTCGACCCGATAGTGAATCTCTGCACGATATGCGCAACCACCTCGAAGCTGCCGCTGCCAAGCATGGCTGTTTTCATCATCAACTGTCTGAGTGTATTGCAATCGGTGCTCTCACTCTACTCATTCACTAAGGCGCGTCTCGAGATTCTGATTGGCCAGATCGACGCGCACATGGACACACTCGTCGAGGAGCAGACCGCCGATCTTTTGAACCAGCTTGGACTCTCCAATAAACTCAGTATTCTTCAGTATCATGATAATTCCGACGCCGCCGGTACCGAGCGTACTCCACTGTCCCAGCTGCCTGGCATGGATCGCATGTCACTCACGCAATCACTCCGCCAGTTTGACACCTCACTGGAATCCAGTCTCGGATCACTGGCAATGCCATCGTGCGAGAAGATCTCCAACACCAAACTAAAGAATCTTTCAAAGCAGAGTGTCACCAACCTCATCATCTCTGCCTATTCATCACTCTATACCTCTGTACTCGAGCCTGCCAACCAATATGATGATCCCAACACCATATTCCAATATAATCCAAATCAAATTAAAAGAATGTTACATTAATATCATATAATTTTCTAATTGTTTGTTCTAACTGGTACTCTGTTTATCAAAAAATAATGAGGGATTTAAATTTTATTTGTACCTTAAAAGGTAAAAACTGACTCCATGAGAGTAGTTTGCTTAATAAAATTTTTATGTTCAATTTTGAAAAATCAGCAAAAAAAGTTATATTTTTATTTTTAAAGATTTTTTTTTGGGTTTGATTTTTTTTTTTTTGTTTTTTGACTACCCCCATTGTCATTATAATAAATTAGTGGATCTTTTTTTGCTCAATAGTAATATATTTGATTCTTTTAAAACAATAATCATTGAATTCACACACAACACACCAATAGTCTAATCAAAAATAATAAAATCAGTCAAACGTCTCTACAGCAAACAGACAAGTCGCTTCATTTAACAAGATATATATAATAAAGATACATACTTATCAAGATAATAAATATCGATAATAGTAAAATAGAAATATAATAAAGATAGTTAGAGATAGTTAAAGAAGATACTTATAAGATTGATTCGATATTGTATTTTACAACACAACACACAGCAAACAACAATTCTTAGTAAATGAAGGTTATTGTACATTATAATGATAAAACAAAAACTATTAGTGTTGATGGAAGCAGCTCTACACAGATCGAACTGAAAGAGTTGACACAGAAAGTTTGTATATTCTTTTCAATCACTGCTTTCTCCGACTATGTGTTAGCCACCATTCCAAATGGTACAATTATAGATGTAAGTAAATAATATAATAGTAACAATAACAAAAGAAAAGAGATGTGTTTTTTTTAAATGTTATATGTTTGGTAACTGTTATGTATTTAACAGTTGGTTTTAATCAAATCATGATGATACACTTTGATCAAAAATAAAGATCAATTCGATTCATTGATTTGTGATAAGATCTTATCCAGATATCATAATAATTAAAAAAAAATTATTTTTTTTTATAAAAAATTAGATCAACTTTAAAAAAGCCCAATAAGCGTGTTTTGATCAAAAAAAAAAAAAAACAATAATAAAATATCTTTGATTAGATTTATTAATGCAAACCTCGAAAACCCAAACAAACATCATCAACAAAACAACAATAGAAAACAAATTTACACTTTATCACAGATGGCTGTGAGTTGATGTTAAAGTTTATAGGTGGAAGTGGATCGAGATTTGTTTCGGCACCCTCAGCCTCCTTCATCAGAGCAGATCGCAGTAACAGGTCCGCCGTTCAAAATTCATTTTTAACAAACCATTCATCTCCTAACCAACAACACCAACAACAACAACACAACTTTTTAACAAGTAGTAACAGTAGTAATAATAACACATCACCAGCAGCAGCAACATCATCAACACCATCGACAACAACAACAAGTGGACAACAACAACAACAACAACAATCGCAATCGACTCACACTCAAACTCACAGTCCAATAATATTGGCATCTCCATTGATTTCAAGTTCATCTCCATCATCTTCTCCCTCCTCATCTTCAACCAACGTGACTGCTGCATCAACGAATATGGTCCAACCGACAACAAGCATTGCCAATGGAGCTTCACCATCTTCCAGCATGATCAATTCCTCTTCTTCTGCTTCTGCTTCCGCTTCTACAACACCAAGTCTGACACATTCACAATCACAATCTCAACTACCAACACCCACTACTATTGACTCGATTTTCAGTGCACTCCACGATTTGTCATTGAAAAAGAAGGCATTGTTTGACTTGAAAGATCTGCTCAAAGACGAGAGCAATGTGAAGCGCTTCATTGAGAAGGATGGAATTCGTGCCATCGAAGATCAAATGACAGAGCTGAGTGGCAACACTCTGGCGTATGCACTGATTGCCATACAGGCTGCATGCTCCTACGAGATTGGTGTGCATGCACTACCGAGCACATTGATTCATCGTATTCTAGCGATGATTGCAGACTCAACGGCAATCCCATCGATTACGAAAACCGGACTCTCCATCCTCTCACAGTACTGTCAAACCATACCACTGGCAGCCACCCAACTCAACAACCAATACGGCAAAGCAGCGCTTGCCAGTCAGCATCCCTCACTTCTCGCCAACATCGTAGCACTCTTGTCGTCGTCGACCGTCGACATCCAACTGAACGCACTGACGCTACTCAACATCATGCTCTCGAAATCCAACAATGAACTTCAATCACTCATTAACAAACTCGATGAATATGATATCAACATTAAACTAAAGAAACTATTTGAATCAAATGTATCACAAGAATTAAAAAAACAATTGTATTATTATCAAGTAAGTAGGAGGAAATGGAAGAATAATAATAGCAATGGTTACCATTTTTATTAACAAAACAAAACAACTATTTTATGAAAATAGAAACACAAATTATCATTATTGAAAAAGAGAAAGAATATTGCATACAATAAGGAATTGGAAGAGCATGAAACATTACTTTTGAAATTGTGGACTACAACCTATCCAGATGTTAAATTGGAAACACGTGTCAGTGAACAATGGAAGTTACTTGGATTTCAAGGTACCGATCCAGCAACAGATTTCAGAGGAATGGGTATTTTTGGTCTTGAAAATCTACTTTATATTGCAGAGAATCATACCGATCAGTTTAGAAAACTCATATCAAGTCAAATCGATAGAAAAGAAAGAGATTATCCAGTTGCTGTTGCCGGTATCAATTTGACTCAAATGTTTTTTGAATTATTTAAAGTCACTGAAGAGAGTAATTAATTATTAATTTATTTACTATTTTAAATCAACTAAATAACTAACTAACCAATGAATTTATCATAACTATAGATAATCCAGAGTTTCCAATATTTCCAATTCTATTTTCACACAAGAATGCATTTGAAGAGGTATATTGTATTGCATTCCAACTTTTAGAGTAAGTTATTTTTAATATTTGAAAATTATAAACTGGAGAAATGTAACTAATAATAATACTCTTTCTTTAAAAGTATTACATGGGACACAATGAATGCTAGTTATATGGAATTCCCAAAGGTCATTGCAACTGTTAAGCAATCTATTGTTACCGCTCTAGAAACTAAACCAACTACTTTAGAAGCTGTATGTTATTATTGATAATTGTTACTCATAATTTATTATTAGACTACTTACCAATATGAAATTTTAACTATAGTTTAATTGGGCAGCTGGCGCATCAAAGAAATCAAATACTTTCCAGAATGAAGATGAAAGTTTGGAGAGTGAGGATATCAAAAAGCTAAAGAATATAATAAAAACCGATATAATGGAGGTACTAAAGACACAGAAACTGAATATACTGGCCGACGGTATCTACTTTAAGCTTCAGAAACCAGTGAAGGCAAAGACTGTGACTCACACTCATTTGTATGTGTGCCAGACTGCCGTCTCACAGGTAAATGGCGAGCTACTCTACGCGCAATGCACTGAGCCATCCAGCTCGCTTTCACCACCGGCTTCCTCAGCCGCCTCACAGCTACAACAACTGTCGCTCCAACCACCAATGTCGCCAGGCGGTGGCAGTGGCGCCAGAGGTGAGCTAACTGGTAGTGGTGGACTCCTAGACAAGACGTCGATGGGCGCCAACAGCTCATCGAATCCAGCGATGCCATCTTCGCCAACACTCACCGGCAGCGGCAGCATCAACAACCCCAACTCGTCCGGCGGCAGCAGTGCATCGGGTGGTGTTGGTGGTGGTGGTCTGTCATCATCGAATGACCCTCGCGCAGCCATGTCGTTCTCCAGCGTAAAGATCAACGATATTCACTTCCCGGCGCAGTCCGACGCGCAACAACGTCGTAAACCCGACACCAAGAACACACAGCAACAACAACAACAACACTTTTTCACCGTAAATCTTGGTCGTGAGATTGTCGAACTCATTGCAAGCACCAGAGAAGATCACTCCAACTTTGTAGACGCCATCAGATTACTCAATAACAAACAAATCGATTGTCCCGAGACAATAGAAGTATGTATTCATATTTTTTATTTTTAAATTAATTATTTAATTTGTGTGAATCCAAAAAATTAATATCTTTTTTTTTTTTTTTGTTTTTTTTTTCTTCAGGAGTATAAAATTCTTGTTAACCTCAGTATGAAACTCAAACTTCTCGATTTAGAGGGTGTTGAACTGCCAAAATCAGCCCCGAAAGTTCCACCCCCACCACCTGACTTTGCTTTTTTATCAAAAGATAGCTTATCATCACCGAATAATAGCTTTATCGCCTTTAACAAGTCTTGATAAAACGAATCAAAAAAAAACAAAAGTTAACAATTAAAAAAATCAATCATTAAAATTCTAATTCCAACGACCAAAATTTTAATTTTAAATAATAATGTTTTTTTTTTTTTTTTGATATTATTTTTTATTATTTAATTTATAAAATGCCTATTTTGGGATTTTTTTGTCTGGGTAATTACACAGGATTTGCAAACATTTTTTCTTTTAGTTTTTTTTCAAAAAAATGACTTCGCAAAAAAACACACTCACACCACACACTTGATATTAATATTTTAAAAAATATATATTTTTTTTAATTTTTTAATTTTTTTTTTTTTGTTGTAAAATTTTTTGTACTAATAAAAATAGACAAGACAATTTATAGCTATAAATTTTTTTAATTGGCCATACATTTTTGTATTAGTTTCCATTTCCTACAGTCGCTTTTAAATTTAAAATATATTATCAAACCAAAAACAAAAAAAAACAGAAACACACAGCAAAGAAGAAGCAACAATTATTTGGTTTAGCACAACACACTGTCTTTCCGGTGTACATACATATTGTATTGTTTTTTTCTGTTGTTGGTGTTTGTTTGTTTGATAGTTTTTATTAATATTAGATTGACAACAACAATAAATAAATAAATAACAACAACAACAACACACTCCTAAGTTAGTTAGTTAGTTTGTCACGCTAAGTTGTTTGTATTGTTTTGTTTTGGTTTTTTATTATTTTAGTTTATTTAAAACAAACAATCTTAAATTTAATCTTTTATTTATTTATTTATAAATTCAAAAAAAATAAGAAAAAGTTAGTTGATTCATTCAGTAGTAGAAGTAGTATCACGATAAAAATATTTATTTGTAAATCTACTGTTTTTTTTTTGGTATATCATCACCAACCACCACTATTCAACCCAATCCAATACAAGTAAAGCAGACGGAACATACAGTTTGTTCAAATCGATAAAGTTTTAACAGTAATAATAATAATAGTATATATCGTTGTAGTTAGTTGTTGTTAATCTGTAAATTTAAAATTATTATTATTAGTAACAATAATAATAATAATAATAAATATCAATATATTTATGAGAAAGGTAGGTTGGAGTTTTGTGGAATTAGATATCAAGAATGAATGTCCGTATATTAATATCATATCATATCATATCATCCTATCTTGTATGATAACTATCATATATCAATCATTATAGACTATAGAAATACTGTAAAATCCAATTCAAGTTTTTAAAAACGATAAACAATAATATTACAATGGAAAGTATAAATATGGGTGTACAAATGCCCCCAATGATGTACTTTGGTGCACCTGGCTATGTTCCAACACATATGCCAGCCTATCCATATGTTCCACAGGCTCAAAAACATCAAAGACGTAAGTTTCAAAGTTCAATCTAATTCTCATAAAAATAATTACCTTATTATTTCTATTTATTGCTATTGCCAATATCATACCATTCACGCAACTCAACACAGCACATCATAACATTCATTCACATATGTTGATTAAAACTTCAACACAATATGTTTATATATAAATTTTATTTAAAAATATTTCGAATCGCATTTAGCTTAAAATATCACATTTCCAATATATAATAATATTATATCACAACAATACTCTAAAGTGATATGTTGTTGTTGTTGTGGGTGGTTGTGTTTAGTTGAATTAAAAGAAAGTTTAATGGTTGGTGTGTGTATATATTATCAATTAATCAATCAATGTTTTTTTAATTAATACAACGATTGTTGTTGTTAATACTCTGTTTTATCTTTTACTATCAAAACTAAACACCCTTTACCCCATTCTTACTCCAATTCGTTATAACATATTCATTCAACACAACAACAAAAACAATAATAGTAAAAATGAATAATATTGGTTTTGTACGTTTTTTCACAGACACCTCTTCATTCAATTTAAATCATCAAAGAAATAAAATACTTCATTTGAAAGAAAAATCATATAATCTATTGTTACCTTTCAAACTCAGCATATATACTCATCACACAACACACCCAACAACAACAACAACACTACCACCCCACTACCACTACCACCATCACACATGATATTATTTTTATCAATTTAAATAGTTGAATCAATTTATAAATATTATCGGTAATCAACTATCACATTAATGGAATTACTCATAAATCTAAAAAATTCTCCCAAAATTTCAACACCTCGTTATTCTTTCAACATTTATCAAATTTCATCCTGTCTTTTTTTTTTTTTGGTAAATTCTGTTGTGTGTGTTTGATTTTAATATTGAGGTGTGTGGTAATCATACATAATTAAAAATATTATTTTTTTTCATTTTTCTATTTTTTTTGTTTTTGTTTTTTTAATTTTTTTTTCTTCTTAATTTATTATTCTTTTATATCATTTGTTGATGCTGTAGTTGTTTGTTGTTGGTTGTCAGTTATTATAAAGTAATTAATTTGTTAAATATCCACTATATTCATTTTTAACAATAAATAACAAAAATATTATTATTATTATTACTATCATTAGAGAACAAGAACAGATCATATAGTCATAGTCATTATCCCTATCAGAACACCTATCCAAACGGCGCTCTCGATACAGTAGTTGATATGAACCAGAACAATATGATGTCCTCGGGTAGTGTCATCACAACAACGGCAACTCTGCAGCCGCAACCAATGTACATCACGCAACCACTCGTCTATAATCAGCAACGTGTGCCTCGTAAGCGATCTTCCAGCGAGAGCAACAACTCCACCAAACGATCGAGCAACGCAAATGGCTACTACGACAAACAACACCACTACCACCACTATTCGCCATCATCTCATCACAATCACTCGCCTTCACAACAGACCGACACAAACAATTCACACAACGGGCAACTCAATAATCAGCCATTTGTCCCGAGATTCTTTACCGATCTCGACAAGGAAATGCCAGAGCTAATGAAGAAATATCTGGGTTGTGACGACGCCGCCTACGAAAACAGACACCAGAAATCCTCAATATACCCAACTTTGAAGGAGTACCTCAAAGACTTTAGTTTACACAATGAAGAGAGAAAGAAACAAATCGATAAATCTCAAAAAACAAGATGGCAAGAAATTGCCGAAAAACTTTTTACAATAAGTGTAAGTTATTTATATATATATATTCACTCGCTATTGATTTAGTTTCGATCATCATACTAACTTATTTATTTTAAACTCGTGCAGTGGCAAGAATTTAGAGAAAATGGTTTCGACTCTAATAAATCTTCTCATAGAACAGAATTGTTAAAGATGAGAGATAAGGCAATCTCTACTGGAGAGAAAGAAATGGAACAAATTATTTCAAACTACCTATACAGTGGATAGTAACCGATGGATAGTATTGACACTATCTCGTCACCTGTACAAATAAATAGAATATTATTAAAATGTTTTTTATTTTTATTAAATTTTACACCATACTCAGTGGTGTTGGTGAATCTACAAGTACGAATTGAATGAAACAAGTTGAAACACTCAAGTATAGTGAATTTCATTTCAATTGTATATGGTTGGTTGGTTTGGTTGTTGGTTGGTTGGTGTGAGACCATCGGAGATCAATCAGTGACTATTCCCTCAAAAGTAGAGAGGGTTCATCAGTGCTGACAATCTTTGGTACCCTCATAAATTATGTTTGGAATCATCAGTGGAGAGCATGGCATCTTGCAATGGCATGCTACCAACTGGATTAAGCGACTTGCAAACACAGGGTCAGCTGGTTCGACGAATATCCCTTACTCTTCAAGTCAAGACGAAGAAACTTGGTCTACCGACCCGATTTTCTATAAAATGCAAATATCTTATTTTTTATGGGATCTCATTAAATATTTTTAATAAATAAATAAATAATAAAAAGATTAAACATATATAAATGTTAAGTCATAAATATATGTTTAGATATTTGTTATATAATATGTACATATTATTATTTTAATATTGTTTTTTTTTTTTTTTTTTTGTTGTTGTGTTTGCAAAATCTAATAAATTGATTTCTATATTTTCGATTATATGTGAATTTGTTGATAAGTGTTATTGATGGTTGTATGTTGTATGTTGTATGATATTGAATGAATGAATGAATGATAGGCTTAACCTTCATTGATCTATTCCATATTATAATCGAATGCTTGACTTTTGTGTTTTTTTTTTTACTGTCACTTTGATGAACTATAAATTTAACTGTATGTGTGAATGTATGATGCTGCTGCCGTCTGTCTATCTATCTATCTATCTATCTTATTTATATATTATATTTATGTATTAATAATTAATTTACTTCTTCTTTCTGCTGATCTTCTCTTCCTATTGTTTTTTGTTTAAAATTGAATTGTAAGTATAATTTTTGATATTACTAAATCATTCTATATATTAGAGTGATTCAAAAGCTAAATCGAGTTGTACCTTGAATAAAACGTGTTGTTGAACTACTGGATCATATTTTCTGAGTAATAACTTTCTGGTGCTCAACTTTGCGCTCTTGGTTGTTGTATAGTAGAAACCAGTGTTGGCCAAACTGACCATCTTGATGATGACTGTGCTGATCTTTGTTGGTGCTGGTGCCATATTTTACTTGGTGATAGTGAATCAATATAGAACTAACAAACTATAGTTATATTATACAGCTAAAAATGATCAATCAATCAAAAAACACGAGAATGAAAAATGAATGATCGATTATTTTTTTCATTTTGTCAATAAATCGAAGTTCGTTCAAAATTATTTTTTTCCAACAAAACAAAAAACCAAAACCAAAAATATTAATGGCTTTTTTAAAAAATTTACCATCTTCCTTTAAAGATTGAATCGATAACACACTTTTAAATATCTGTATATTAAATAACCACACACACACAACAAACAAATCATCAATACCAAAATCAAATCTATTATAATAAAAACTCAGTATATACTTTGATAAAACAACAGAACAAAAACAAAATGGATGCTCAAACTGAAATAGCAAACATCAAGCAAGTAATTGTCAACCCAAACAAAACTAAGACCGATCCTACTCAACAACATACTGTTACTCTCTCTCCATCTCTTTCCCTTCTCTTTTTTTTTCATCTTTTCATCCTCCTTTTTTTATTAAATACATTCATTTAAACAATAATACTTATTTTTTAGATATATACTTATTTTTTAAATTTAATATTAATTTTCAAAATATTATAAATATAATAATTAGGAAATGGCAACAATTTTAAATTTAGCAAATTTGACAAAGGAAACCATTGCAATCAAGAAGGAGTTGGATGAGATTAGAAAAGAAGCACAAAAGATTAGTGAACAATTGGCACAAAAGAAAGCTGCACCAACACCTACAGCCACTCCAGCCGCAGTTGCACCAAAGCCAACTCCAGCTCCAGTTGTTTCAACAGCTACACCAGCATCAAAACCAACACCAGCTCCAGTCGCTGCTGCACCAAAACCAATTCCAACTCCAGTTGCTGCTGCACCAAAGCCAACACCAGCTCCAGTCGCTGCTGCACCAAAACCAACTCCAGCACCAGTTGCTGCAACTCCAGCACCAAAACCAGTAACAGCTGCAGCTGTTGCTTCACCATCAAAGCCAGTTGCCTCTGCAACACCAGTACCAAAGCCAGGTGCCGTTCTTCAAGGACCAAACCCACAGATCAAGGTAGTCGTCGATGCAGTTAAAGAGAGAGCAAAGAAAGACAAGACTTTGGACCCAGCCAAACTCGAACAATATTTAGATGAAGCAGATTTCTTGGTTGTTCTCTCACAATCCAAAGCTGAATTTAACAAACTACCAAAATGGAAACAAGATTCCAAGAAGAAAGAAGTTGGATTATATTAAACAAACAATAATAACAACAACATACCACCAATATTTAACATCTCAATCAATCAATTGTAACAACATTAATACAAGAATATAAATTATAATGTAACTTTAGTTTAAAAAAAATAAAATAATTATAACAATAATCACAGAAATCAAATTAACTTTATAAGGTTAATTTTGTTTTTTGTCGAAAAAAAAAAAATATAAAAATTGTTATATATACACAATAAATAGATTATATATTGTTGTTTATTTAAATGAAAATGACATGTATTATTATCATATTAGAATGTTATGATTAACATATTATCATACTCTATGTTTGATATGATGGTCTTCATGAAAATTTTTCAATGGTCCAATTTTAACAGTTTTGCGACTTTAGTTTTTATGAGGTTCAAAAAAGTGTGTATCTGATATCTCATTATCTCTATCACCAAACAATATAGGTGATATCCTTTTCAAATATTAGTATCCATCAATTGTATATATCAATCTGTACATATAGTATTAAAATATAGTAAAAAATGAAGTTAGTAAGGTAATATAGTGATCTTTATTTTTTTAATATGATACTTCATATTAAAAATCGACAAAATCATCAATTGTTATGATATCTTATAATAATGATAATAATAATTGATGATGATGGTCAATGTTAGTTGATAATAAAGTAATATAGGTTACTAACAAGTTCTTAAATATATATATATTAATAGATTTTTAATGAAGTTACATAATGAAACAGTTACAATCGAATTAAAGAATGGAACAATCATTCACGGTACTATTTCAGGTGTAGATGTTAGCATGAACACTCATTTAAAGACAGTAAAGCTGACGCTTAAAGGAAAGAACCCAATCAATTTAGATTCTCTGAGTATCAGAGGAAACAATATCAGATATTTTATATTACCAGAATCTTTGAATCTTGGAACTCTTTTGGTAGACGATGCACCAAAGAAACCAAAGAAGAAGGCACCAACAGGTAATTATCATTATGCATTGCTCTCTACAATTATAAATAGGTTAACTAACATTCATTCTCATTCATTCAATTAATCAAACAAACAATATAGATAAACCAGCAGCTTCATCATCATCATCATCACGTGGTGGCGGTGGTGGTGGAAGAGGTGGTATGCGTGGAAGAGGAGGAATGCGTGGAGGAAGAGGAGGCATGCGTGGAGGTAGAGGATAAACAAAACAAATCAATTGAATTATTACAAAACAATAAAGAAAAAAAAAGCAAAAAAATATAGAATTTAAAATAAAAAGAGATAGGTGATCTGTCTCTCCATCGATTCATTCAAAAACTACGATCAAGTCAACAGTGAGGATGTCAAGATAACGAATGCAGCCAACGAAACAATAGATTTACTTTTGAGGAATATGACGATTCAATTATTATTCAATATGACCCAATAGATACAAATCAACTGCATATATATTTATATATAAAGATAAATATCAAATTTCATATAAAAACAATCTTTTTTTATTTATTTTATTTTATTGTTTTTAGTAATAGTTAATTAATTAATTAAACCAACCAACCAACCGTTTTCTAATTAATAAATCAATTGATAAATATATCTATGATAATGAATCGGTTAAAATAATTTACTCATTATATGTGCTGTGGAGGTAGAGTTGGTTTATTATTATTATTTTTTTTGAATCGGTTCAAAGTGTAGTGATGTACAAATTAAGAGGCAATGCAATACAATGAATATTTTTATGATAATAAAATTTTTAGTTTTGTGTGAGGTGGTGGGTGTTAAAAATAGAAAGTATTACTTTCATTTATTCTTTAACTTTTATCAATTTTTATTCAACTCTTAAAGATCTATTGTTTGATAAAACAATACAACGTTGGTTTAATGTTAGTCTCTTATATTCAAGTAAACAAAATAATTTATCTCATTGTTAATCAATCATTTCAAAGATTTCATAATTATGATATTTTTTTTTGATTCCAACAAACAGCGGATAGACTCAGACCTTACCAATATCTGAAGAGAAAATTCTTCTTGCACTCAGATGTATGTCTTGCAAATTGTGGTCAAAATCTCTTTTAGGTGGTATGTGTCAAAAAAACCATCAGTTTAAAAAATAATATTAGGTTATTCAATATAATCAATGCCTTTCTAGCCTTTGTTGATAATTTGATTTACTTGAATTTTTATAATTAGTTGTTGTGGGTCATGTGTTCAATTAATATCATTTTTGTGATGGTCACCATTATCTTGGTTCATGCATTAATAAGGAAATAATGTCAAATAAAGTATTTATTAATTTTGTTGTTGTGAGCAAAAAAAATTAATCAATCAGAGAATTTTTGCTTTGCATGGATGCGAGTCCTCCAAAAGAGTGGTGGTATTTTTAAAACGAAGCTGAAACAACATAAAAAAAAACGGTAAATTTTCAATTTACCAAAAAATTTTAAATTAAAAAAACTGATTATTCATATTAAAAAAAAACAAAACAAAGATTTTATTTGGTTTTTCCAAAAAAAAGTGTTTTTTCTTTTTTTATTTATTTTTTTTGTTTTTTTAAAAGATTGATATCAATCCCTTCTTTGACCACATTATCTTGCATATGATGATCATACATGTTTGACACGATGATATCACTATTCATCACCCAAAGAACAAGATAAATTATTAATAACGGTTTCAAATTAAACATCATCTTGGCTTGCTCATCATCAATAAAAGAATAACGAATATGAAAAATAGCAATACCACATGATCCCCACCCTCACCACTCCACATTTAACAAACTACAATAGAATAACACAACGCAACAACACAACACAATGGAGAATTCTCAATCAAGCCGAGGCAATGAGTTGGTGGTAAAGCAGATTCTATATATTATTTTAAAACAACCCACACTTCACACTTTCCACTGAAACTACGATTGTTGTTGTTGTCTCTGGTGAAAGTTATTATTTTACTCATTGTTAGTTTGTTTGTTTGTTTGTTTTATTTTGGAATGGACCGATTGCCTTTTGAGGTTGTTCCCACTCGTAAATTAATATTTTTAAAAACAAAATTGTTTTATTGTTTTTTCTCGAAATTGTCCAACCACTCATCAAATGTCTGGCGTACAAGGAAGCTGCTGTAGGTCAATTCGTCAGTTGACCAAATTGTTTTTTTTTTTCCTATTTTGTCAAAAGACAAACATAGAAATTTTGTCATATTTCAAAAATCCAATTGATTTCATTATTATAAACTCTAAAATCAACACACCACATTTTAGCTGGATTACTACACCTAGTGTGATAGCAGAAGGGGTGTTCAGACAATAAAATAATAGTATTCACTTCATATGTCTCTATCTCAATCCTCATCAACCATAACAGATACAAAAGAGTTTTTTTTTTTTTTTTTTAAAAAGTAAAAACCTTTACAAAAAAATAAATGGATTATTTATAATTGAATCGGACAAATTTTTGTTTTATTGTAATTTAATATATTCCATTTAAGCAAATATATTTATTTTTTTTGTTCCATTTTTATTCAACAACTACAATTAATTAACACTTTGTCAATCAACTGTTCCTTTCTGTGTTATTACAATTATCTATCATTCTTTATTTCTGTACAATTCACCTATAGTTCAGTTCTTTTTATCATTTAGAGTTCTTAGAATCTCTTTGCAGCGCAGTTAAACTTCAATTCATTTGAAATCTGCGAACTACCAACTACATTAACCAAAAAAAAACAAAAGTTTTTTATTTTAATCAGAACAATTAGTTTTACTGATTGTCCAATAAAATTAATAGACTGACACTACAGAATTGTTGAAATAGAGCAATTCCCCTTTTCTAGATAAAAATTAAGTTGTTTTTGTATTATTTTATTTTCTAACATTATTCCACATGGTCATACCTTTAACAATATTTATATATGTTTAAATTAAGATTCCTAACTTTGTTATTTTCCATACCATAAGAGTTATTGCCATCATTAACATTAACTTTTATTATTTATATAATTAAATAACATTTTAATCAAAGGACCAAAATTTCATTTTATTATTACATTCAGTATCATTTCTATCCAAATTAATTATTCAACGCACCACTACAATAATAACTGTATACTTATATAACCAAAAAAATTATTGTACTCGAATACAATCTTGCAATCAAAAAAAAAAAATCTTACCAAGTTGTTTATTTTTCTAAAAACAAACAAACAAAAAATAATATTATAATTAGCATCCCAAAACAATAACAAAGCGTAAAGAGTTTGAGCCAATATCACTCTGGATACCAGTCCACAAAAGTAAAATAGCCAAGTGAAAAATAAATCTGAATAAACTTAGGTAGGTATCTGTGATGACATCTTAACAATGTCAGTAATTGTTTGTATTTTACTGACATCATTTTTCGAATCGCTCACGCACCAAACCCTTTTATTTTCGGAAATGGAAAAAACCGTTCGAAATCCATGTATTTGGACAAAACCGTTCGAAATCCATGTATTCTTGTTTTTCTCTTACATTAATTGTAATTCACAACTTTTTTTTTTTTGTCTCAAACATTGAAATTCATTCACCCTCACCAATCTATATATAAAAAATCCAAAATTTCCATTTGAGGAAACTCATCCAAAAAAAAAAAAACAATTGAATTTTTGTTTTTTTCAAAAATTTTTTTTTTAAGTCCACACCTACCACCACAGGGCATTCTCCAACCATATTTATATCTCATTAGAAATTTGTTTTTGGACTTTGTTAATTTTTTTTTTTATGAAGTCGCTCACCAATGTCTGAAGGAATAATTAAGTTGGACTTTAATTTCCAACCACTCGACATTCACCTTAACATTCTACGATAAAATTTAAATATTATTTATTAAAATATTTTTAAAAAACTATATATTACACTCACATATGCTATGAATTTATTATTTATTTATCAGAATTTTCATTGCACTGTTTAAAGTTATTTATTACTATGTTTGTTAGACTAAAGATTATACCTTAATATTTTAAATATTCTACTGTAATATGTGCAAATATTAAACAAGGAACATCATCTCCATCAAAATAATATTTTATTATAATTTTTTATATGTATTTTTGGCAGTTTTTTTTGCTAATACATTCATTCAATCCACATAATAGGACAACAACTTATCAATTCACAATAGTTATCAATTATTTTCAAGTATTTACAAATAAATTTGTAAAGAAATAAATTAAAAATTTTTAAATATTTAATTTAGTTTTTTTTAAATTGGAATATTTTATTTACTTCCAATATCAATAATAACAACAACAACAACCGCCACCAAAAGAATATTAAACCCAAATTAAGATTTTCATATAGTTATATCTAAAGATAAGATATATTCATATTTCAATCTATAACTATAAATATATATTTATACATATATATTTATTATATTATAGATATATATTTTATTTAACATTAATGAAAAACATACCTAATCACGCCGATTCAAATCACACTGATACAAAAGCCAACATTTTTTCATCACCAACACTATCGTTTAACTCATCACCAAGTTTAAATAGTAATAACAATTTTATTCAAAACGCTTGTAGTGATATAAAAAATATTAATATTGGAAACTATAACACTACCAATCTCAATAACAACGAAGAAAAATATAATAGTACACCACAATTCAACAGAAAGAGAAAAATGTCATCCCCAACCAGTTCTCCATCCATTTCAAGACAAAAGGTTTCTTCGACCTACTTGAACAAGCACGACTTGCCCGATGATATTACACCATTCATTGCTAAGGAGTCTTCAAACACCGAAAGTGAGTTCAAGCCAATTCCAACATTGTTTGACGATTTAGACTTTTCTAAACATCACACCCTTTTGAATTCTCCGTCATCTGCAGAGTCAACTCCAAGATTCCACATGAACGAAGTAAAAGAAGAGCAAAACTTTATGTCATCTTCCCCAATCGACACTTTCAACTTGAATCTCACTTCCTCATCAACATCAACTACTTCCACTGTATCTTTTAATGGATCGAACAACAACAACAACAATGGTATTCAATTCGACAACAATATCAATACCAATAATTATAACATTAGTAATAATCAATTCAATCAAAACAATAAAACAATAAATAGTAATAATAACAACAACAACAAACCAACTAGTAATACCCAACTTTGGCAATCATCATCGGGTCTCAATACTAAAATTGATCTATTCGAAGGTCAATCGCAATTGGTCGATTCACTTTCACTCATGGTTTCACCACCAAGATTAGAAAAGATGTCGATCAGCGATTTGGAGAATGAGAACCTAAAGATGGAGTTGGCCGAGAGAATAAAGAAAGCAAAGGAGCTCCAACACAGTCTTGAACTCGAGAGAGCACTCATGTTTGAGCCAAGATGTCACTGTGTCCACTGTCATAATTACAAACAACCAATGATTACACCAGACAATATGAGTCAAAAGACTCTATTTGAATTAAAATCTGCTTTAAAAACATTTAGAGTAAGTCTAATTAATTAAATTTAAATTTATAAATTAATTTATTAATAACAATTATTATTTCTTTATTTTCATTCATTAGGATGGAGATTTCTCAATTAGATTATCTTCAACTGGATGCTCTGGTATCGGTAAAGATATTATTGAAATGTTTAATGATGCTGTGGCACTGTGCGATTCAATGGCCAAGGAGTTTACTCGTGTCGGAAATCAAGTCGGTAAAGAAGGTAATACCATGGACAGAGCACTCTTGCCAGAGGCCAATGGAAGCTGGAAATTTTGTATCGATCTCGTCAATACTTTGATTGGTGACATGGTCCAGCCAACTGAGGAGGTTGTAAGAGTCATCGGTTCAGTAGCCAAAGGTGACTTGTCACAAACCATCAAGATGGAGTATGGCTCTGGAAAACAATTACGTGGTGAATTCCTAAGAATTGCCAAAGTCGTAAACACCATGGTTTCCCAATTGAAGAGTTTCAGTTCTGAGGTAACTCGTGTAGCTCGTGAAGTAGGAACTGAAGGTAAACTCGGTGGTCAAGCCGTGGTGCCTGGTGTCGATGGAATCTGGAAGGATCTCACTGACAATGTAAATACAATGGCTTCCAATCTGACTAACCAAGTGAGAGCTATCGCCAATGTAACTACAGCCGTAGCCAGTGGTGACTTGTCCAAGAAGATCACATTGGATGTCAAGGGTGAAATCCTCGAGCTCAAGAAAACCATCAATACTATGGTTGACCAACTCAATTCATTCGCGTCAGAGGTAACTCGTGTCGCTCGTGAAGTAGGAACCGAAGGTAAACTCGGTGGACAAGCTCAGGTCAAGGGTGTCGACGGTGTCTGGAAGGATCTAACCTACAATGTAAATACAATGGCGGCCAATCTCACTGGACAAGTAAGAGCAATTGCAGAAGTCACTACAGCCGTAGCTTGTGGTGATTTGTCCAAAAAGATAACCATTGACGTGAAAGGTGAAATTCTCGAGCTGAAGAACACTATCAATACTATGGTTGACCAACTCAATTCATTCGCGTCTGAAGTAACTAGAGTGGCACTGGAAGTAGGTACCGAAGGTACGCTGGGAGGCCAAGCGCAAGTCAAAGGCGTTGACGGTGTCTGGAAAGACCTGACCTACAATGTAAATATAATGGCTGCCAATCTAACGGATCAAGTGAGAGAGATTGCTTTGGTAACTACAGCTGTGGCTACCGGTGATCTTTCAAAGAAAATCAATCTCGATGTCAAAGGTGAGATCTTGGAACTCAAGAACACTATCAATACAATGGTTGACCAGTTGAATTCGTTTGCATCAGAGGTAACTCGTGTCTCTAGAGAAGTAGGTACCGAAGGTAAACTTGGTGGTCAAGCACAAGTCAAAGGTGTTGGTGGTGTGTGGAAAGACCTAACCTACAATGTAAACACAATGGCTGCTAATCTCACGGGCCAAGTAAGAGCTATCGCCGAAGTCACTACAGCCGTAGCTTGTGGTGACCTGTCCAAGAAGATTACTGTAGATGTGAATGGTGAGATTCGTCAACTCAAGGAAACTATCAATACTATGGTTGACCAGTTGAATTCCTTCGCATCTGAGGTAACTCGTGTCGCTCTTGAAGTAGGTACTGAAGGTAAACTCGGTGGTCAAGCTCAGGTAAAAGGTGTTGGCGGTGTCTGGAAAGACCTAACCTACAATGTAAATACAATGGCTGCAAATCTCACGGGCCAAGTAAGAGCTATCGCCGAAGTCACCACAGCCGTAGCTAGTGGTGACCTGTCCAAGAAGATCACACTCGATGTCAAGGGTGAGATTCTCCAACTCAAGATGACTATCAATACAATGGTTGATCAGCTATCTACCTTTGCAGCAGAGGTAACTCGTGTCGCTGGTGAAGTAGGTACTGAAGGTATACTCGGTGGTCAAGCCGAAGTAAAAGGTGTTGGCGGTGTCTGGAAGGATCTAACCGACAATGTAAATACCATGGCTGCTAATCTAACCGGTCAGGTTAGAGCCATTGCCGAAGTCGCCAAGTCTGTAACCAAAGGTGACTTTACCAGAGTCATCTCTGTAGAAGCCAAGGGTGAAGTCAATATCCTCAAGGCAATCATCAACGAAATGATTCACAATCTCAAAGAAACAACCATCAAGAATACTTTGGCCAAAGAAGCTGCCGAGGCTGCCTCAAGAGCCAAGTCAGATTTCATGGCAAATATGTCTCACGAGATTAGAACTCCAATGAATGGTATCATTGGTATGACCGACCTCACATTGGACACTGAATTGAATGCTGAGCAAAGAGAGTATCTTACTATGGTACAATCATCTGCTGCATCACTTCTTACTATCATCAATGATATTCTAGATTTCTCAAAGGTATTTATTTAGATAATAAATATAGAATTTTTATAATAACAAAAACTAATTGTTACTACTTTAAATTTTTAATAGATTGAAGCAGGTAGACTTGAATTAGACAAGAGTGACTTTTCTTTAAGAACCATCCTTTATGAGACTCTAAAGACATTGGCATGGAGATCTCATCAAAAGGGATTGGAAATTATCTGTGATATCATTCCAGATACTCCTGACCATTTGATTGGTGATCCAGGTCGTCTTCGTCAAATTGTTACCAACTTGGTTGGTAATGCCATCAAATTCACTGCTGAAGGTGAAGTCTCCCTCACTGTCAAGTTGGAGGACATTACCAATGGTGAAGTAACTCTGGCATTCTCAGTGGCCGACACCGGTATTGGTATCCCTGCCGAGAAGTTGCATTTGATCTTTGAGGCTTTCTCACAGGCCGATGGATCAATAACCAGAAAGTATGGTGGTACCGGTCTTGGTTTGACTATCTCCACTCGTTTGGTCGAACTCATGGGTGGTAAACTCAAGGCAGAGTCCATTCCAGGCAAAGGCAGTCGCTTCGACTTCATTGCCAAGTTCCCATTGGGACAAGCACCAACCGAGAACTCCAAGATCATGCTCAAGGATGTCAACACCCTGATTATCGACGATAACAAGTCGACAAGACGTGTGTTACACCAGATGCTCTCAGAGTATGGTGTGTCAGCTGACACTACCGACAGTCAAGACTCTGCATTCCACATGCTAAGAGAAGCCGCCATGAAGAAACAACCCTACGAGTACATCTTTATGGACGCTCAACTCAACGGAAAGGATGGATTCTTAGTTGCCGAGGCAATTAAGCAGGATCCATCTTTTGGACAGGCTTCAATCATCATGTTGATTTGCGGTAGCGGTCAACGTGGTGACCCAGAGAACAGAAGCTCAGTCATCTCTGGTTACCTCTCAAAGCCCGTCTCCCCAGTAGAGATGCTCGAAGTCATTCAATGCAGTACCAAACCATTGATCAAACAACTTCAACAGATCACACGCGATACACCTCAGCCTGCACCAATCCAATCTGAGATCTTGTTGGCTGAGGACAATGTCGTTAATCAAAGACTTGCCATTCGTCTGCTCGAGAGATTCGGTCATAAAGTTACGTTGGCAGAGAACGGTCTCCAAGCAGTGGCAGCATCGGAAATGAAAGACTTTGATCTCATATTGATGGATGTCCAAATGCCGCACATGGGTGGATTCGAAGCGACCAGTACCATACGTATTCGTGAGAAGGTCATGAACAAGCATACTCCTATCATAGCAATGACTGCACATGCACTGCAGAAGGATAAGGAAAAGTGTCTCAATGCCGGAATGGACGACTACCTCTCGAAGCCAATCAATCCCGACCAACTCAGAGCGGTCATAGAGAAGTACCTCGGCAATCCACCACCGGTACAGCCACCCGCTTCTCCACCGACCGATTCGAATCTCAGTGTAAAGGCACAGCAGTTTCTCCAAGAGTACCAATGTATCATGGACGAAGTGAATCGAGCGATCAACTCAAACAATCCTGACAAGCTATGCAGTGAGGCACGAAGACTCCGCTTCTACGTATCACACTTTAGCTCCGACATTGAGCGTGTCATCCGCGAATTAGAGACCATCTCTAAGGACTATAGAGACCTAGAGAATGCACGATCAATTAGAAAGAGAATAGAAGCAGAGATCAACAGACTGATACCGATCATTACAAATCTTGCAAAATCAACAAAGAATTAATTTGTAATGATTCAAAAAAAAAAAAAAAAAAAAAAAAAAAACTAATCATGTAAATGTTATACCTTCATTGCCTCAATCCCTCCTCTCCTTTCAATTGAATAAATCAACTATAACAACATATTTATCGAAGTTATTTAAAATAATAATAAATTATATTTATATTGTTTTGAAGTGCAAAGAAAAATCAAATATTTCTATGTTTTTCTACAAAAGATTTTTGTAATTCTTTAGTTGTTTAGAATGAAAATATGAAATAAACAAATCTGATTAAATCAAACAAGTAATAGTAATAAATAAATTGAATAATATATTTTTTTGAAAAGCATTTTTTTAAAATCAAAAAAATTTGTTTTTTTTTTTTTTTATAAATTTTTTTTGACCTGTGTGTGACTCAACAACATTTGATTAAGTTCAACCTTTTTTTTTTTTTTTTTATATATTTAATTTTATTATTATATTAAAAGACAGAAGAAAAAAGAAAAAGAATGAATAATAAATCAATTTTTGCCATAGTATGTTTGGCATTGTGTATTCAATATTCCTATTCATTCATGTTTGAAGTCAGACCTGCCGATGAAAAATGTTTGACTGACGAATACAGAAGAGATACACTTGTCAAGGGTTCCTTTGAAATCTCTGACAAACTCTCAAAGAATCTCGCTTATCCAACTGAATTGGTTGCTCAAAGCATGCAAATGAAGTTCTACGTAAGTCAATCATCATCTATTTTTATCTATTTTTAAGTTTTCCTATCATTTCAATCTATCTATATATTCTAACATTTGGATAATCATCCTTTCAAACAGATTCGTGATTCACACAACTCAATTGTATTCAGCAATCAAGATGCCAAATCAGGAAAGTTCGCCTTCACTGCTCACGAAGCTGGTGAATATTTATATTGTTTCTTGGACTCATACAGACCACGTAGGTGTTATTATCTTTGCTATTACAATTATTTATGCAGTCATTTTCACAAACAAACAAACAAGAAGAAAGATATAGAACAACAAAGCCTAGAAATTTAGAAATTTGATTTCAATCTCTAAAGGAGAGAATTAGATGAATTGGAATTACTATACACTTGTGAATTTGATTTGAGCGTCCGCTTAATAATGAAAGATATATTAATTTTAAACTACTATTTATTTTGTTTATAAAAATGTAGATGCCACAATTATGCCATTAAGTAGAACTGTCAGTTTGGAAATCAAGACTGGTGCAGATGCCAATGACTATCAAGATTTAATTACAAAGGGAACTTTGAAACCATCCGAAGTAGAATTGAAGAAGATTGAAGCCGCTGTCGATCAAATTAAAGAAGAGATCGTCTACATGAAGGGTAGAGAGGAAACCATGAGAAACACTAACGAATCCACCAATGCTAGAGTTGCTTGGTTGGCTGTATTCACCATCTTTGTATTGTTTGGAACTGCCATCTTCCAAATCACCTATTTGAAGAGATACTTCAAGCAAAGAAAGTTAATCTAAATAAAAAAACAAATAAAATATATTAAAACATATATAATATAATATAGAGACACAGCGGAGTGACAGAATTCATTTGAATACACAAAAAGGTATAGTTTTTTATATTTTGTAAATTGTTTAAACTTTATTGATAACTGATAGGAATCGATGGATATGAACAAATAATCATTCCGATGAATAAATATGTATGATAAATAAATATTGAATGTGTTTAATTCGAATTAAACATTTATGATAATGTAAGGGGGTGGAAAAGGAGGTTGGAGATCGGAATTAATTGTTTACTGATTGGCAGCAAAGATGACTGTGTAACTATAGACATTGGAATAGTATTGATCGGCCAATGTGTAAAGGAGAACAAGCTTTTTGAGAGTACCAGGGTAGGCAGTATACATTGACATTGGGTCGACTGGCTGACCTACTGGTACATATTGGCCAGTGTTTTCATAAACCAATTTGAATCCATCTACATCCTGAGGGATCGAGTTGAAAACAAATGTGTAGGGCTCGGTATCGTATGAAGGAATGTAGATGGTCATTGGATCCTTCGAGGGCCATGAAGTTGAGTAGTTGACTCCCATTGGTGGTGGATTGGCAAAGGTGACATTGATTACGAATGGAGTTGGAGCTTGGAGATAGTTGTCAGTAACGTAACCTTCGATCAAGGCAGTTCCCCAAACACCGGTTGGCATAAAGTTGAACTGGGTGTTGATCGAGTAGTTTCCGTTGGGATCAACTGTTTGGTTGTTGTTGGCTGTTACCAAGCGGTAGTTGGCATTAGCGGAATTAACAAACTTGTAGATAAAGAGTGAGTGACCTCTTGGTGACTGAGCATTGTTCTGGAAGGACAATGCAAATGGTTGCAAATCGTATCTTTGGTAGTTCGAGTTGGATGTCGAGGGTGGAAGGTTTGTCATGGTGTAGTTGATTGGACCATAGGTGGAACCGATTCCATCGAATGCAGAGTAGACAATGGCACCGGTTTGTTCGATTGGGTGGAGAGTAAACACTGTACTGGTGGTGTAGTTGCTGGTGTAATCGACTAGTTGACCGTTGGCATAGAGTGGTGCCATTGGTTGGATGATTACGATCTGGATGATGAGCTCACTGGCTGGGAACACTGGTGAGTAAGCTGGAATAGTAAAGTTGAATGGATCGTAGTTTTGGCGCTCGAAATACAAATATGGAGCAACGGGTGGTTGACTCTGACGGAATCTGACGTAGCTGTCGGTGAATGGATGATAGGCATCCTTGTAACGGTAGGCAAAGTAGTCGGACTCTTGGTTTGGTGTATACTCGAAATCCTTGGCACCAGTGAAAGCAAAGGTGGTGGTAATCACTGCACCATTGTAGACTCTGAGAGTTCCATTGACTGGTGGATCGATTTCGTAGTAGACCGGATCGTTCTCTGGATCGGAAGCTTGGATAGTGAAGAGCTTTGGTTGAAGATTCTCAGTGATGATGTCAATTGGTTGACCAACTGGTGGCAAATTCTCGAATAGAACGGCGAGGTTGTTTGATGATTCAAATTGTCCGTTGGAAACAGTGTAGAATCCAGAGTAGACAACATTGTTGGTGGCAACAAAGGTGAACAAGTTGGTTTGGTAGTAAGTTCCCTCTACGATTGGGGCGCCGTTACGAGTTGCGATAAATCCTTGAGTGGAGAGACCAGAGAATTTAATGGAAAGGACATCGTTTGGATTGGCATTGGATACTCCAATGGTGAAGTCGTAGTGGTTGTCTACACCTGGAACTGTGAGATTGACAAACGGTGCAACTGGTGGGGTTTCCAACAATGTAATGTTGACATAGGATGATGCAGAGAGATAACCGTCGGTTACAGAGTAGGTAGCATACATCGATGGATTCGAGAATGAAGGAGTATAAACAAAGGTGCTAGCCGATGGGTAGAGAACGTTTTCAACTACACGTGTACCATCGATGAGCTCAATCGATGCAAACACTGGGATCGAGGTGAACGATACACTCATTGGATTTAAATCTGGATCGGAAACTGGAAGAGTGAATGAGAGCTCGTCGGTGGTGGTTGCAGTGAGTACGACTGGTGCAGCCTCTGGTGGTCTGTTGATCAAAAGAACAGAGACAACCGATGTAGCGGTGCTTTGACCGTCGGTGCACTGATATTGGAATTCAACAGTTGTCAATGGTGCAGACCATTTGAGTGTGAATTGTGTAGAGGCAGGGTAGTACAAATCATCGGTGATTGTTTGGTTTCCAATGAAAATCATTCCATCAGTTGGTGCGTTGAATCTGACTTGGAGTGGGTTGTTGTCTGGATCCGATACTGGAAGAACGAATGAGATATCGGCGTAGTTCATGGCGTCAAAATGGAGTGGATTGGCAACTGGACCAGTGTTGGTGTTGATGATATCGACTTGAATGTAGCTAGAGACTGTGGTACATCCATCGTTGACAGAGTAGCCAATGGTTACTGTGAAGTTGACTTGATGAAGTGGATATAAGACAAATTGGGTGGTGGCCGGGTAAAAAGCGGTTGGGTCGATGCTGTTGTTGTTCGAGTCAAACAGAATACCTTGAATTGGAAGTTGGAATTGAACGAGAAGAGTGTCTTGATCTGGGTCGGAAACTGGAAGTGTGAAAGTGATTGGATCAAAGGTAGTCTCGGTGAAGGTAAGAGGTGCAGCAACTGGGGGACTGTTGAATTGGATGTGGAAATGCGACTTTCCGTAACCCGGTAGCGAAATATCGAATTCGACGTCGGCTGGCGAAGAGACCTGAGCTGGCAATTGGAGGTTGATTGGGATGGTGATTGGCTTGGTTGAGTACCATGGAATTTGGAAGTTCGATGGTAACGATGGCAAGAATGAACGAGAATCTCCGACAATCTCCGGTGATACCTGACGGAATGAATTGAGAATCGAGTGGTATCCTCTGATAACCCAGTCAATGCCGAATACGGTTGTCTTGTCGGTAACACCGAAACCGTTGGCCTGTACGAATTGATTCCAGTTTGGAACGTCGCTACCCATTGAGATGACAGTTGGCATGATGTAGTTCTCAACGAGGTTAGAGTGAGTTGTGGCGACCAGAGAATTGGTTAAAGCTGCACAATCATTGTCGGTGATGACAACAATCGAACGATATGAGCTTGCACGCCATCCAACAGTGGCATTCGATGCCAGACTGAGAGCAATCAAACTGTTACCGGTAGAAGTAGAGGAACTGGTGAAAGTTTCCTTTCTGAAAGCTCTCTTTACCATCGATCCAATAGCGTATTTGTGCTCAAAGTTGAAACCTTTGGTTGGCGAGTCACTGAATAGACCCAAACCAAACTTTGTGTTTTTGTTGTAGACTGCAAATTTGAACATGAGGTGATCAACGTATGCAATAAGATCTTCGCTGCATCTCCATTGCTTTACGTTGGTGTCAACCAAGAGATAGATATCGATCTTTGGAATCTGTGAGTATTGTGACAGCTGGAGTGGAACCTGAAGATTTGGATTGTTTGGTTCGAGATAGATCAACAAATCGTATGGGTTCAAATAGTTGTATGGCGATGAAGTGGAGGTGACAATTCTAGATTTGGCATTTGGATCGCAACGTGGTGGCAATTGAATATCACATGAAGCACCAGTCCATCCAAAGTTACAGACGCACTGACCGTTTCCAGTTCTACCGGAATTCACAATACCATTTACACATGGGGGATCCGGATCACAATTGTTTCCAAAGTATCCTGGCAAACACTCATAGCATGAGGAAGCTGGATCCCAACCTGGATCGCATTGACAACAATTCTCTTTCTTTGGATTACATCCTTTTCTTGGTGCACCATTACCACATGGTTGTGGTTCTAGAATTAAATAAAATAAATTAATATTTCTTAATCTTTTTTTTTTTTTTTTTTTTTTAATTAACTATGAACATACCAACAACCAATGTAATACTTAAAGTATCCCAGAAAAGTACGAAATCAATATTGGTTACGGCTACCAATAGTTTATAGGTACCGATTTGATTTGATTTTGGTTTCCAGCTGACGTTAACGACTGCTGGGTTGGTACCGTTTTGTTTGGAGATATCAAGACCGTGTGGTCTATTTACCGAGAATATATATACGTCATCCTTTGGATTCTTTGTAGTAGCTTTATAGGTCCAAGTTGTGGTTTGACCAACTGGACACTTTATGACGGCTTCGTCGTTTGGTGTGGGTGCGATAAAATAGGGTCTGCTCGGAAACTGTAAATTGGCGCCGTGTCCCTCTACCACCGAAAATGTAGTGACCACTATAATTAGCGATATAACTAAAAATACATAGTTTATATTATTTCTATTGAACTTCATCTTTTCATAAAACAAACATATATAGTTGTAGAGATAAAATTTGTAATATTACAAATAAAAAAAATAAAAAATAGAGAAATAAAATAAAATAAATTTTAAGAACAAACAAAAGGTTGCTTTGCTGTGCATTTGATCATAATAATATGGATTCTTTTTTTATTTTTTTTGATTTTGTGAAGAATTGCATTACGGGTGCCCAATAGCCTTTATGTGGTTTTAAACTTTCATCACTAAATTTAAGAAAAAAAAAAAAGGTTTTGTTTTTAGAAAAAATCTTTTGTGTTTTTTGATGTTACAAAGGCTGTGACATAAAAAAAAAATAACAAAAAAGGTTCACTCCCCCAAAATGATCTACAAAGTACTTGATCTTTAATAGAATGAGGAGAAATTACCCAAAAAGTGGATATTATAAGGTGTGAGATGTGAACTTTGAAAAATCAAATCATTTTTATGATACTTTTTTAAATTGTTTTATTTTTTTTATTTAATTACCAAAATGTTATGACTGCGAAATTTTGATGTCCAATCAAGATCAACTTCATTTTTGGGTGTTGATGAACAATGCAATTGCAAACAAACTTCAAAAAAAACTTAACAAACAACAACTTCACATTGGACAACTCTTTTGGTTCCAAATGAGGCATTCATTTTACCTGCAAAAAATTAATAATCAAGAATTTTCATTGTCACTTTTATTATTATGACATTATTATTATCTTTGGATTTAACCTTTGAAAGAAGGGTGAATAAGTTTTTTGTCTACGTAGGCAATAAACAAGTGGAAAAATGATTTTATTCTAAAAACCATACTTTATTAAACATATTTATATTATGGATATAATATATGGACATATATTGGAGAAAAATGAGTTGGATAAACATCAACAAATAATTTCAAAGTCGATGGTTTCATCATTAAAAGATGTTTTATCCAAAAAGAGACATTTTATTAAATCAAGTAAAAAGAATAAAGATATAATTAATAATGAAACAAAGGAAAATAGTAGAAATAATATAAATGGAAATAATATAACAACACCAATTACCTCGACTGAACCAACGCCAGTACAACAATCGTCAACTACATTTTCCAAAAAATTAATTCACAAAGATAAAGTTATCCTTTCCAATTCACCAATAGTTCAACCAAGAAAACAATCACTTTTTATATTTTCGCTTGATATCGTCGGTGGAATTACTCTGATAAACATTGCCGATAAATCCTATCATTCTTTAGATAATCTAAAATCGATAGGTAAATTCTCATTGTATTCTACGGTGAATACTGGCGATGCAATCTATGTATTTGGTGGATATGACAGATCTATCAACAAGTTTATGAGAATATCCCTGACCTCGTTTCCAATGACTGTAGATTTTCAAGATGATATTCCAACCTTGAAGAACTTTGCACAATTCCGATCGGTTTGTTATGATGGAGATCACATTTATATGATAGGGTATAACGATAGTGGTAGCCACAGACCTGACACACAAAGTGAACAGCAGCTCTACTACCCCGGAAATATGAGAAAGTTAAATTCAAGAATAGATGTATTCAACATTAAAACAATGGAGTTCAAAGCACTGGTCAGGTTCAAAGAGGAAGTTCAATTTGACAACCGGATCATTTTACTTTCATTTATATTCCGTGATTGTATCTACATGGTTTGTTATCAGAATGGATTGGTAATCGTTGAATTCAGCTTTCAGACAAGAATGCTAAAGTACTACCTGAAGGTAAAGAATACCGAAGATTACAAAGTGATGTGTTCATGTCATGACGGCTTTGGAAATGTTTTTATACATTTCAAGGATCGATTCTTCAAGATGAATTTGACAAGAAAGACAGTTACCGAACTCCAAGAGTTTGACTATGAGATAACCAACTTTTATTCTTTGGTTTATCATACGATCAACGATAATCTACATGTAATCTACTTGATTGGTGGTAAAACTCTAGGAAATCATACGTACGTCATTGAACTTAATCTTTGGAGATCATTCGCCTACGATAGTCAAAGTCCTAAAATATACAGCTCCAACAACAGCCTACTCGTTCACAATCTTGACCAATCAATGAGAGAATTATGTGGTGCAACAATAATTAGATATTAAAATAAATAAACTATATATTTTTTATTAATTCTTAATATTTATGTTGTTTTGTATTTGTTGTTGTTGTAATTGTAGTTCAAAAGTAAAAGAAGCACATCCATTACGGTGCATAATATCATTATCTTTGATTGTTACCCAATGGTTGCGTTTGATTGAGTACTTGTGATTACCAAAATCTGCACCGCCCATAAGATAAATATGATTCTTTTTTGCCACCATTGAATAGTCGTGGTTCAAATTTAATATCTTTTGAATTCTCTGATGGTTATCTTTGAAAGTAAGTGGTTGTAGATATTTCTTTTGGAGTGTAGTGGGTGAGAGCGAGAAGAAGCAACAGTGTTTGTCTAGCATGTATATCAGTTGAGTGTCGGGATGGTAGAGCTGAGCGATTATCGTTTGATTGTAGCCGATATCGTCTATCAAGATCTTTAAGATACCGGTATCGATATCAATCGATACCAACGAGCGATTCTCCTTGAAGTCGGTGTTCAAGCCACCGATAATATAGATGACTCTCTCACTTACAAAGCAGCTACTACACACCGTTGGATTAGGATTCTCACCAAAGACGCTGAGTTGTCGTGATTGTAAGTTGAATTGGTAGATCTTTGATTGGTAGGTAGACTTGGCAACGATCTGTGGCGTCAGACCACCAATCACATAGACCGAGTGACTGCTCTCATCATAGCATATAGAGGAACCGAGCGCTCCAATCGGTGGACAACTCTTTTGTGATTCGACAACCTCCCATTTCAAAGGCAAATCTGAAGCTAGCAGAGTGTGTGTGTTGAGGTTGTCCAGACAAAGTCGAGAGAATTCCAGCTTCTTTGATATTAAATTACTTCCACCAAAACAATAGAGATAACGGCCATCCACAAACAGAGTTCTATTCAATAAACATTGATTTTCAATGAAATCATCATTGAATATTTTGTTCCATCTATAATCAATACTGTGACGACCACTTGTTGCTGGAGCAGCATCCAGTGTGTAGAGTCCACCTCCAATGCTTGATGATATGATTACACTTCTTTTGGAACTATCATCTATTGAATTGATATCAATATCATATATCGATGAAAGTGATTGCTTAACTATCTCTATATCCTCCAACTCTACATTGATACTCTTATAATCAATCAGTTTACAATTATTATTACAACTTAATTGATATAAATAATATTTTATTTTATAAAGTAATTCTTCATTATTATTATTATTACTATTACTATTATTATTATTATTATAATAACTATTATTATTATTTAAACTATTTAAATAACTTATAATACAATTAAAACTACAGAGATTATCGGCTATATCAATATCATTACTATTATTTGAAAACTTTAATTCATTTGAACCATTTATATTTTCACTACTAATATAGCCACTACTATTACTATTATTATTATTATTATTATTACTATCTATTATATCTCTAATTGTTAATGATAAAGAATGTAATTGTGATGATAGATTTGAAATGATTGATTTTATTCTTTCTCGTTCATCGATGAAAGGTTTCTTTAGTTTGTACTCTTCAATCATTAGGTGGTCATGTAGATCTCTGTAGTATTTAGAGATAACATCTTCTTTTTCTTTGTATTGATTCAATTGATTATTATATTGATTTAGATTATTTAATATTGATTGCATTCTTCTAAATATTATATTATCAATATCATTATCATTATAGTGAGTAATGATTGATTGTGATATAGTATCAGCATCATCGATTTGATGAGATTTGTGTTTGGTGATTATACATTTAGAACAAAGCAACACTGTGCAATCGAAACAAAGGAATTCACATTGTCTTTGATGTTCAATGCACAATGTTGATTTAAATGTGATTATATCCTCATTATCATTATTAATAATTGTATTATCTTGTACCATAGTAAAATAAAGTAAATAAAATTAATTAAAAAGAAAATATGTGATATTTTTAGAATATAAAGTTTGTTTTATTCTTTAAAAAAACTGAAAGGACTCTATTTTTCGATGGGAAAATGAGTTTTCCAAACTTCATCAAAGTTCGGAGCAAGCTACAACAAACCTGAGAGATCAAAGAATACAGAGACAGACATATTTATCAATGTTATGAAAGAAAGACTATTTTTCTTTTTGTCTTTTAAAAATTTTAGTTTTATTGATAAGTGAAGATACAACACATAATTAATTTATTTAAAGGTAATTTTGTAGAAAATTTAGGAAGTATATTGACTTTTAGAATACACTTGCAATGGCACCAGAAACTTGGCAAAAACCAGAAAATGCATCTGCAGCCTAAAGGTTAAAATTTTTGATTATTAGATTAGATAGAAAAACAACCATTTTAATGAAATATATTATAGTTACTTTAAAAGCAGCACTAAAGTTGTTTGGTTCCAACCAAAATTCATTTACACTCAAAAAGTTTGTGGTATGTGCTACCATCATTTTTTGACCTTCGAATCTGATCATGACATGTCCTTTGTCATCATTGATAGAAGTGAGTACATTATCATAGGATCTTGGATGAAGTCTATATGTGTCACCCTTGTAGGTGATCGACTCAATAGATGAATCTTTCCAAGCATCAACATACGACTTCACATCGGAGGGAGTACCTTTCCAATTGGGACTTGTGAACATTGCTTTTTCACCTTGGTACATTGCCAGTGCATCGAATTTGTCTGCAAGTTCTCCACAGGCACTTTGAACAGCTTGAACATAGCGACTACTATCCATATTTATTTTTTAGAAGTTTTTGTAAATATTAAGAAATTATTTAATACTTTTATTTGTTTTGTTTTTTGTTTCTAATGATAGAAGAAAGACGCTTTATGATAAATAGTTGATTATCAACTATTAAATACTTAATTAATAATAAAAATAGAAATTTGCCAATTTACAAAAAATTCAACTCTTATTAATTTAAAGTAAACAAAAGGGGGATATTAATATTTCAAACCTACCGGTGGTTTTGTAAATTGTCTAACACATGATGGAATCTTATTAAAATATTAGAGATAGATTAAAGTTAAAAAATTGTCAATTTACAAAAAATTAAACTCTTCTTCATTTGTTTAAAAGTTGTTTGTAACATTGGGGTAAAAATATATTGGGTATTAAAAAGCAAGAATTTAAATTGGGTGACTTTTTAAAACAATTGAACTCACTTCAAGTTGTGCATAGAGAGAAAGCGATTGAAGAATAAAGAGGTTGATATCGTAAGACTCTTTAGTACGCTAAAACAGTTGCTCAATCGATTGCTATGAATTCATTATTTATTTATTATAATACATATATATACCTTTATTAGACTATTCTATTGATTAAATTAAATTACAAAATTGTTAAATATTATTAATTTGATCTTTCTTACTTTTAAACTATCTTTTATATTTGAAACCACCTTTTTGAGAATCAGCTTCAATGACGAGTGTATGTTTTGAATCGAGTACTCTTATTTGATGCTTGGTCCTTATTGGGTTGAAATAGTGCGAAGATATTGAGATAAGTGTGATATTGGTAAGTGGTGATATCGATTTCCTATTGCTGTGGTACTGTAGAAACTCTTTATAACATGTCAGCATCTGTAGATTCGGGAAGATATCTTTGATTGGAAATTCATCACTCGTATAGAGCGAGCCTAATGACAGACGAGTGACTCCCAATGCACTTTTGATTTGGCTTTTCTTTAGAGGAATCGAACAACGACCAACTAACTTTAATGACTTCAAACTCTTTGGAATCTCTGTGTATATCACTGACATAGAGTCAGGTATATAGCAGATCGATTCCACTTGATATCCATGCTCATCGATCAAGTTAAACAATTCATTCGGATAGAATTTGATCCATATATTTCTAAGTGTCGAAGGTAGGATATCATGTTGGTGTCGCCGATAGTCTTTGAGTTTTTTCAGGTTGGGAAATATCGATAGATCCACTGCCTGAGTGAAATTGTTTGCCAATATCAAGTAGGTGATACTGACCGGTATGTTGATGGTACGGTTATACTCCTTACCAGGATTAAGATACAAGAGATTCGGTGGGAGATGCAGTAGGTTGTTACTGTAGTTAAATAGCGAGAGTTTCTTTAGGGTGAGGGGAAGTGAATCCACTTGGAAATTTGCTTGATAGTACTGTGTGATAATCAAGATTTTCAAGTTTGGAAACATATCTTTGTGAAGTTGGTGATTAAAAGATCCTCCGAATTTCAACTTTTTCAGCTTGAACGGAAGCATTCCCGGAGCAATAGCCTGTGAAAACGACAAACCAAACCGTAGTGATCTCACACTCTCTGGTATAACTACTTTTTTCATGATAATATTGAAAGAGTTACCAAACTTTAATATTCTAAGTCGTGGTGGTAACACATCCTTGGCAATCTCTCTTCGGAAATTCAAACCCAAATCCAAATACTCTAGAGTGTCAGGCAGAACGTTGGGCTCAAACTTATTATTGAATCCATGTAGCTTTAGATATCGAAGTTTTGTCATCGTACGGAAACTGTTTGGTGGAAGCGAAGGTGTGCGAAGGAATAGCAGGTTGACACATTCACTGAACTCACCAGATGTATATTCATTCATCCAAAGATATTCAAGTGTAGTCTTGGTTTGATTCAACCGATCGATTTGATTTGCATGAGAGTAGACCATTGATTTCTCTGCATACCACGGAAAGATAGAGATCGATGATTCTGACTTTATATTCACATTCAAATAGTAGTCTCTGTGGTTATAGAATTGCTTCGATGTGAAAACAAAGCAAAGTCTATCGATATCATCCAATCCATATTCTGATAATAAGATTTTAATTAAATAGTTTGGTACTTTATACATAGCAATAGAATAACTAACTAACTAACTAAATAATTAACTAATTATGGATGATTACAATTGTAATTTACTTTTAAAAGAAAAATATTTTAGAATTGTAAAAAAATGTCAATCGTTGAAATTTCACAATTAAATGTGTGTCAAAAAAATATCTAGATCAAACAATTTGTTTTTTGTTAGATAACATTTTAGCTTGTTCTATTACAATAGATTTGATGTTCTATGATTCTTTCTAAAAATAATTTGGAATTTGGAAGTTGTTGTAAAAAGATATTTAACCTTATTAATTTAAAATTGAAAACAATTGTTTTGACTGATTTAATTACAACTTATTATGATCTGTTTGATTATCATTAAACCCATTACTTCTATCGATCTTTTTTTTTTATTACAACTTTCAATGATCTTTGCAAAAGTGGCATGAAAAATAAAAATGTAATAATGAGGTGTTTTTTTTTAAATGTGGATGATCAGTTTAAAAAAAATATGAATGAAAAGACGATAATTTATTACTTCACAGTTTTATCATGATTTTAATTATTTATTAATTCATTATTTATTAATTCATTATTTATTTATTAAAAGAAATATATATATATATTTATATAAAGAAATATTTAGTAGAATTCTGAAGAATAAAAATAATGCTTAAGTTGTTTAAAGGTACATCATCTCATCAGAACAGATTACAGTTCTTTAGAAACTATTGTACGACAACAAATGCATTAGATTCACATAGTAACAGTAAATCACCACTACAACTATGTATTATTGGTAGTGGACCTGCAGGACTGTATACTGCTAATCGTGTTTATAAATTACTACCAGATTCTAATATTACAATCATTGAAAAGTGTGTAGTTGAATGAAAAACAACATTGTTTGATTGTTCAAACAGAACAGTCAAGTCATTTTGCAAAGAGAACTTACTTACTTACTTACTTATAAACAATGACATATTATAAATTTTTTTAGACTACCATATCCATTTGGTTTGATTAGATATGGTATTTCACCAGATCATCAAAACGAAAAGAAAGTAAAGAATACATTGGAAAAGACATGGTCGGAACATCCATCGACTTGCAAATTCGTTGGAAATGTCAATATTGATCACGATATAACATTCGAGGAGATTAGAAAGACATTTCATGCTGTGGTGTTGGCATGTGGAATCGAAGGTGAGAAAAAGTTGAATATACCAGGCGAGAAGTGTCAAACTGTGTATTCCGCTCGTGAATTCGTTTCTTGGTTGAATGGACATCCAGATTTCCAAAAGAAACATTATGATTTGCAACACGAGAACGTTGTAATCGTTGGACAAGGAAACGTAGCACTTGACGTCGCCAGAATGTTGGTTAAACCCATCGAAGACATCGCTGGCACCGACATCACATCGACAGCCACCGACATACTATCAAACAGTAAAGTCAAGAATGTACATATTATCGGTAGAAGAGGACCAGCCGAGGTTTCTTTTACCACCAAAGAAGTTAGAGAGATATTGAAACTACCGAATATCAACACCTATGTAAATGATATTACAACATTGGAATTTACTGAAGATCAACGTATGTATATCACTACTTTTGTAATTGTTACCAATAATACTAACTATTTTATTCATACTATTAATGCTATGCAATATTGTATTGTATTGGTATAGTAAATAAAATGGAAAGAGCACAAAGAAAGATGGTTGAATTATTCAAACAATATCTTAAACCATTACCAGAAAACTTTAATATTGGTGATCTTTCAAATCAGACAGACAACAACAACAACAATAATAATTATAAGAATGTTATATTCCATTTTAAGAGATCACCTGTTGAGATGGTCGAATCGAATGGTGGTCAATGTTTAGCAGAGGTCATATTGGAGAAGAACGAGCTGGTGAGTGACGACAAAGGCGATGTCAAAGCAGTTGGAACAGGAGTTAGGGAAACACTCAAAGCAGAGGTTGTCTTTAGAAGCATTGGTTACACCGGTACCAAATTCAGTGAGGTACCATTCGATTTCAAGCGTGTAAAGGTTCCCAATCGTGCTGGAAGAGTGTTGGAAGGAGTAGACTCTGAGAAGATCATCGATGGACTCTATGTTAGTGGGTGGATCAAGACTGGACCGTCCGGCGCAATTGTAAACGTCTCGATGAATGCCGACGAAACCGCTCATACCATCCAAGAAGACTACAATGAAAACAAATACAACCGAAACCTACCAGGCTATCAGGGTATTGTAGACCTCCTCAAATCGAAAGAACACAATCTCATTACCTACGAAGATTGGAAGAAAGTTGAAAACGAAGAATTCAAACGTGGAAAAGAAAAAGGAAAGATACTTGAAAAGATAATTGTATTTGATGAACTAAAGAATATTATAAAATAAAACAAAACAAACTGGATAAACATTATTATTATTATTATTATTATTTGGTGATCTAAAAAAGAAAAAGGTAAAATACCCGGAATCTTGTTTTATTGGATCCTTTAGGATTATAACTATTTGTATTTTAGATGTTGGTTAATGAGAACAGGATGTGAATTTTCAACGTTGATTTACATCTCTTCAGCAACTTCTTCTCCACCTTCTTCGGCGACTTCTTCGTAATCCTTCTCCAAGGCGTTGAGATCTTCACGAGCCTCGGCAAACTCACCTTCCTCCATACCTTCACCGACGTACCAGTGAACGAAAGCACGCTTGGTGTACATGAGATCGAACTTGTGGTTGATTCTGGTGAATACTTGGGAGATAGCGGTGGTGTTGGACAACATACAGACGGCTCTCTCGACCTTGGCCAAATCACCACCTGGAACGACGGTGGGTGGTTCGTGGTTGATACCGCACTTGAAACCGGTTGGTGACCAATCGACAAAGGAGATAGTCTTCTTGGTCTTGAGGTCGGCGACGGCCTTTTGGGCATCCTTTGGTACGACGGTACCACGGTACATCAAACAACAGGCCATGTATTTACCTTCACGTGGGTCGCACTTGGCCATCATGTTTTGTTGTTCAAAGACGGCGTTGGTGAGGGCACCGACAGAGAATTGCTCGTGACCTGCCTTCTCTTGGGTGATGACTGGAGCGTATGAGCAGAGCAAGAAGTGAATTCTTGGGAATGGAACCAAGTTGGTTTGGAACTCGTTGATATCGACGTTCAATGAACCATCGAAACGAAGTGAGGCAGTGAGCGAAGAAATGACTTGAGCGACCAAACGATTCAAGTTGGTGTAGGATGGACGATCGATGTTCAATGAACGACGACAGATGTCATAGATGGCTTCATTGTCCAACATGAAGGCGACGTCGGTGTTCTCGAGGAGTGCATGAGTCGACAAGACAGAGTTGTATGGCTCAACGACGGCGGTGGAAACCTGTGGTGATGGGTAGACACAGAAATCCAACTTGGACTTCTTACCGTAGTCGTGTGAGAGGTGTTGGAGGAGGAGCGAACCGAAACCGGAACCGGTACCACCACCGACAGAGTGGAAGACCATGAAACCTTGGAGACCGTCACAGTCGTCAGCCAAGATCTTGATACGATCTAAAGTCTTCTCGATCATCTCCTTACCGACGGTGTAGTGACCACGAGCATAGTTGTTAGCGGCATCTTCCTTACCGGAGATCAATTGCTCTGGATGGAAGAGGTTCTTGTAGGAACCGGTACGGACTTCATCGACGACTGATGGCTCGAGATCGACAAAGACGGCACGTGGGACGACCTTGCTCTTGTTGGAAGCTTCACTGAAGAAGGTACCGAACGATTTGTTCTTTGACTTGGCAAGTTCCGATTCATTGGAGATGGTACCGTCCTTGCTGATACCGTGTTCCAAACAGTACAATTCCCAACAGGCATTACCTACTTGGACACCAGCTTGACCAATGTGAATACTATAATAATAATAATAATAATAAAAATAATAAGATTATTAATATTTAAAAAAATCTATAGTTTGATGTTCACCAAAAATAATGATGATGATAACATACGAGATAATTTCACGCATTTTGATTGTGATTTACAAATTACAAATTACACCAAAAAAAAAAAAGATTCTAATATAATAATAATTGATAATATAAAAAGTAAATTTAATTGTCTTATAATGAAACAAATAAATTAAAGGTAGATAATTAAAAAGAGAAAATAGTTTTTTAAAAATAAGTTCAATAAAAAAATTTGATCAAACAAAATATTGCTATTTTTTTGCAAAATTTAAAAAAATAAATAATAATAATAAAAAATGAAAATTAGAAAAAAAGAGGGAAAAAAAAATAATCAACAGACATTAAGAATTGATAATTACTTGTTTAAATAATATAATAATTTACAAAAATATTCTATAACAATATCATCCAGTTAGTTCTTTTTTGTTTTAAATCTTTGTTGATCATAAACAGATGTTTATATTTTATTTCGAAAAATACTTATAATTATCTTCAATTTATTACATATAATAAGAAAATTATCAATCAATATTTTTTAATTGTTGTTCTGGTTGTTGTTGGTATGGTTGATAGTATTGTGGTGGTGGTGGTTGTTGTTGTTGTGGTGGTTGGTACGGTTGATAGGCAACATTATTTGGTTGATAGTATGGTGCCTGACCGGTTGGCATCGGTTGTTGTGGTTGCTGAGTTGTTTGTGGTGGAACAACAACGACTTGATGTAAAATTGGAGTGGTTTCAGAAGTGTAGTTTCCGCTGAAGGAAACTGGGGTTGGGAGGTGCTTAATGTTGATTGTTCTTTTTCTAAAGATGAGGAAAATAACCAGCATATAAATTAGAATTGGACCGACAATGAAGAGTCCAAACAGAATACCAAGAACCAAAAAGAGTACAAATACAACAATGGCACCGGACTTGGAGAATTGAATATATGGAGTACCATCTACGATATTGTGATTGTCGAGGTACAGTTGAATATTTAGACCGAGGTATACAGTGGCACCGTTAGTAACTTTGAAATAGTGACCTTTGTAGATAAACTCCAAGGTACGTTCGGCGACATTCGGTGTGAATGGTACCTCAATATCGTTTACTTTAATGCATTTTCTTCCGTGTACTTCTACTTTGGTTTGTTCGCCATCCAATGGGAAAATCCAAGTTGTATTAATACCTGATGCCATATTATTTATTTGATAAGATTAGATTATCTTTTAAAAACTTTTGCAAAAGCTTAAATATTTTTAGAAACCCAGTCATCAGATATTTTTTTGCTCGTCAAAAAAAAATCCCAAGAAAGAAAGAAAGGTCACCTTCAAATTGGTGTTTAATTTTTTTGCTAAGAAATAAGGAATTTTTTTAATAATCCAGTCATAGAAACCCCCAAGAAAAAGTAATATTCTAAGTTGATCACGATTTAATTAACAAACTGAGAATTAGATTCTCTTTTTAATACAAATACCAAGTTTGCTTTAATGTTAAAAATCCGAAGATTTGTTTTGTTATATTTATAATTTTTAAATTATCTATATTTATAAATTTTATTTAATTAATCTTGATATTTTTATTTTAATATTTATATGTTTTTTAAATTTGTTAAATTTCTTTGGAGTTGAAGAAGTTTGATTTTTTTTTTAAAAATAAAGATTTGTAATAATTATTGTTATATTTATAAATATCAAAATTTTTTTTTTAAAAAGTTCTTTTTGTTTATTTTATTAGAAAGATTGACTATTGATTTGGTTACCTTGTGATTGTTGTGGATCGGTTGTTTGAGGTTGAATAACAATTTGTGTTAAGATTGGAGTAGTTTCAGAGGAATCATTTTCTGAGTTAATTTTTTCTCCAGAGTGTGATCGTGGTGGTGAGATTTGGCTAATTGTGATTATTCTTCTTCTAAAGATAAGGAATATTACCAGCTTATAAAGTAAATATGGAACATATAGAAGGATATAAAAGATACCAATAAAAACCCATAGTATGTTACGAATACAAATACCAAGTAATCTTATTGTAATAAAAATGCCAACTCTAGGTGGAGCATAAGGTTTACCATTTAAAATGTTGTGATTATCCATGTATAATTGAAGATTGAAACCGAGGAATACATCTGGACCAGTTCCAACTTTGAATTGGTGACCTCTATGATCAAATGATAAAGATCCTTCTCGCCTATCAAATCTAAATCGTACCTTTTCATCATTTACTTTTATAGAGTAGCCATCTACTTCTACCTTGGTATTTTCGTCTTCTAAAGAGAAATTCCAAATAGTCTTAACTCCTGAAGCCATAAAGTTTTTTGTTTATTATTACTTTTTATAAATAGATATGCTTATAAATTGATTTGATATAAAAGTGATGACCTTGAGTTTTACTATAAAATATTTTATAAATAGAATTTTTCGATGGTAAAAAAAAAATCCAAACCACCTTTTGAACAAATTTGTGACTGGAATTGGACCTTATTTGTTGGGTGATTAAAGTTTAGATCAAAATTGAAATTTTAATTCAGGACAGATAATGTTTTCAATAACAACAGATATTTATTTTTATAAATTTACAATTCTATGACCTTAAATTTATCTCAGAGTTGAATTAAAATATGAAAAGTTTTCAAACTACTTTTCTTTTGTTAATAGTTATAAAACGATTAATTCATTAAAAAAAAATAAGAATGATATGATATAAAAGAATTTATTTTAAATTCATCAACCATATTTTTAAGTTTTTTTTTTTTTGAAAAATTATTCATCGGGTGTAAAAAAAATTGATCAACCCGATATCGATCAACATTAATAAAACTACTATAACACTGTGCTACACTAAATATAAATAAAAATATATGAATAAGATATTGTCTTGTTCAATATGTAAATAGAATGTCCTCAATACCTATTAGATACTTTTTAATATTGATTCATTGTTCATTATCTTTGGTAGGCTTACTGCTTTGTGGTTTATCTCTAAAATGTATGTAATAATAATACAGTGATATTAGTAAATAGATACTTTTTAAATTAATAGATTTTAACACTTTTTTTTTAAAAAAAATAAAAAAAATAGTTGAATGGGCATCTATAAATCAATGCACATATATATTCGAATGGCTGAGTGGCAAAGGAACACTCTTCATTGATGAGTTCAATGGAGTTTTTGGTAATTTGCCATTCGATTTCGATTTAGGAGATAATCATTGGATGATACCGATTCCCAAGTTTCCTGGTGGTGGTGCTCAGTCGTTTATTGACTCTGACCAAGTGCGAACCTATATAATCAAACAATTTGCGCTGATGTTGGTTGGAATTGGTCTACTAGCACTATCTATATTCCCATTTGGCACTGTACTATACAAACGACTACCCTATGCCCGAGTTCTCTTTGCTCTGCCTCTCGCATTCGTTGTGGCATCGGTCACTATCTTTCAATATCAAGTTGTACCATGGTTTAAAAACAATCTCTATGTAAGTCAAAACTAATCTACAGTCAACAATACATATGTATCAAACCTAACTAATCCGATTGATTAACAACTTAGTGTAATGTAGAGCAAGATGGACTTGGTTTAACACTTTCATATATTGCTATGGCGGCAATCTGTACAAATATTATCATACTCATCTTTGTATCACTCTATTTACATCAAAAACGAAAAAAGATTAAAGAGGATTCATATTTATTATCAAAATAGAATAGAAATAGATTGTATAATATAAAAGAAAATAAATAGTTTCATAAATAACTGTACAGTTGCTTTTGTTGTTGTTGTTATTATTATTATTGGTTTTTTAATAATAGTTATTTATTTATTATTATTTTATTATTAATGTTTACATAAAATCATCATCACCGAAATCTTCATAATTCATTTCATTATCGACTTGAAGTGTTTTCTTGGTGGCAGCAGCCTTTGTTGTCTTCTTCTTTCCACCAGCAGCATTCTTTTCATCCTTAATCTTTTCGTTGACGATGACAGTGAGTGACTTGACGATTTCGTTCAATTCTTTAGAACCCATATTCTGAGTTGCATTTTTCAAAACTGTCTTTAATAAATGTGGATAATGATATGATTTCTAAAATATTATATTGTGTTTGTTTTTTTTTGATTATTATTATTAATATGTTAGTTGATTGTTGGTCGGATTATAATAGTTTTAATTATTGGTATTGCTGCTATTGTTATTGTAATGTAGTTACCTCATGCTTTGTGATATAGGTTGAAACGGAAGCGGCATATTGTTCGAATTCTTTCTCTGTCTTTGGATCCATTGTGTCTAATGGAGATTGAGTGGTATCCTTGGCGACAGCCAAGTTACCGAAAAGAGTTCTAGAGTTCTCCAAGTCGGCAGCCTCTTGTAATTCTTGTTTTCTCTTCTTTTCCAAGTATGGATCCATTTCGTGGACCTCACCTTCGGTTGCCTCTGCCTTTTCACGGGCTTCGATCAGCTTTTTCAGGGTTTGCTTTGATTTGGGTGCTGGCTTTGATGGTTGTGATGCTGGTGTCTCTGTCTTTGGAGTGTCTTCTTCCTCGGCATCCCATGCTTCGGCAACATCATCGTCGTCTACACCAACCTTTTCATTGGCCCATCTCGAATCATCATAATCATCTGCGTCTAAAGAACATTAATTAACATTTTATTGATCATAAATAATAATAATAAAATCAACAACAATAATAATCAAATCTTTCTGTAAAACTAGCAAGCAAGCATCAAGCAAGCAAAACAAATGATAATAAATACATACCCCATGCACTCATCTTATTAAATCTATTTATTTATTATAGTCTGTAAACAAAATAATAAAAAAACTGATGATAGAGAGGTCGAAAAAAAATAAAATAAAAAAGAAGTCGAAAATTGAAAAAAATGTTTTAAAAAATAAAATTTATTTATAAATAACAAGAACAAATATAATTCATTATTTTATAATAGCTATATTAATTAATAGTTAACTAAATCAAACAATTATTAAGATAAGATATTAAATTAGGTTGTGTTAAGAAATTAATAAATTTGTAAAGATTTCTTTGTTTTTGCTTTTTATAAAAACCCCTTGGTTATTTGTTTAATCACATTTTTGTTATAATAAAATTTTAAGATATTCTTTTGAAGAACAGAAAAAAATTAGTAAAAGGGATAAATTTGTGAAAAGTGTTAACATCACAATGAATTTTAATATGATTTTATTGTTATTACTATTTTTTTTTTTTTCTTTGGTGTGTGTTTTGTGTTTGTGTGAAATTACTACCTTGGTCATCAATCAATGTGATTGTATGAGTGTGAAGGTGATATGATTATACTCATATGATTTCAATTGTACTATGAGATGGGGGATACAATTAAAAAGTAATAAAATAAAACAAAAAACAAATTGATTTCATTTTCATTTTTAAACATGTTAGTATCAGATCATCAGTTGATTTGAATGACTTTTCATAAGCATATATCATAGCGATCACATTTTTTATTTATTTAATTATTGTAATCATCATACCAACCATAAAACACTACACTAATAGCAATATGCAATGTAAAAATAAAGGGAATATGAATAATCATTTTTGTTGTTTATATTAATAAAATATTCATCAGGTAGAGTTAATATTTCAAATTTATAATATTAATTATTAAATATATTATCTCTCTTTTTTTTTTTATCTAAAAAGTTCATAATCATTAGATAAATTCAGAGTTAATCCTTTTCTTGGGTTCAGAAGCAAAAAAATGAGATTTATAATATTACTTTCGATTCTATTTATTGTTAGTACTGTTGTACAAGGATTTGTAGGTCATCAAACAAAATATTATATAACAATTTCGAAAAAAAAAGGATAATCAACCAACAATCTATAATTTTTTTTTTTTAGGAAATTCGTTCAACTCCCAATGATTTGATTCTCAACTCTGCTACCAAAGAGGGAGTTTCAAAAATGATGATAATCAACATCAATACAGGTCTCTATAACACTGGTAGAGGATTTGGAAACAGATTAAGTGATGCCGATCTTAGTCAATTGAATTCTTTTGATATTGGATCTTTGAATCCTCTCAACTACTATGGAGGTGCTAATCCACCCACCGTTACTGCCACTTGGGTGGTTGCAGGAAAATATATCCAATTCGACCCAACTAGAACTGATCTACCTAAAGTTTGTTATTTGTTGGTAACTTTATTACAAAAGTATCAATAAATTATTTTATCCAAACAAATTCTTTTTTTACAAAAAAAACAACAAAAAAAAGGGAAATCATAATAACTAATAATCAACAATATATATATAAATAAAATTGTTAAAAATAATAAATTAATATAAATAAAAAAAACAAGTTTGAACATTTATTAAAAAAATTATTGATAGATTGTACATATGTACATTGGTTTGATCAAGTTAAAATGATTTGGATTTGATTTGAATTGAAGAGAAACAACATCTAGTTGTTTAATATTTCAATTGAATCTTTGGTCAAATTGTATCTACTCTTTTTTGCATTTGGAAACTAATGATGAATAATGTTATTAATAATTTTAGTTTGGGAAATATGAATTAAGCTTTAATACTAACATTGGTTTGGAATTCATTGTCAAAGTAGGATTGAATTTTCTTGGTTTGAGCTTCAATAGCTTTGGCTCTGACCTCTTCAATTGACACATGGGAACCAGCTTTGTATTCCTTGAGGATCTGATTGATCAATTTTCTACACTGGTTTTGGTCAGTTCTATGATCGGTTCTCTCTCTTGATCTTTTGGCATATTTCTCCCAAACTTTCTCTCGGGGGACTTCTTGGTTATTGACAGATGGAGTGAAAGAATTGGTGGAGGTTGTAGTTGTTTCTTCCTCTGATTCAGATTCAACATCATGGTAAATTAATAAAATAATAGAAGTAATTGATACTTGTTAGTTTTAATTGTTAATGTTATTAAACAAAATTTTTAACTATTTATTTGTTACGAAAAGAAATCATCAATAATAATTTGTGCTTGATAATGAGGGATTGATTTCTTGGAAATTATTTTTCTTTATTCTCTGAGAGTTATCAGTTGAACTTAAATGTACTGGTTAACACAATCTAGATTTTTTTTTTTATACACTTTGTGTTGTGTAATAATTATATTATATTGATGAATTTTTTTTTACCATCCATCTCCTTTTTAAACAAATACAAAAAAAAGATTGATTAATTAAAACTTTAATAATTGAATTTGAAAATTGGATGTTAAAACAACAATGATTCAACTATTGTTTATGATTGTTTATTTTTGTTTTGATCTGTATGTTTCTTCAAAATAATGATTTAATCAGACTTGTATAAGATTCTCATTCTGACTGCCAAACTACCTGGAAGCGATGGATCGGTAATGGTGATTTCATCACCCTCACCAACTTGAAGATCTTCAAGTGACTTTTCTAAATTTGGTACAGTTGATTGGTGGAGTAATCCTTGCATATAGAGATTACGTCCGTTGCATCTGAGACTTGGTTTCTTGAATTGGAATCTGGAGTCCTTGGAGATGTCCTCGAGGAATGTCGACAACAAAGTCTTTGGACTGACCTCGTAGCTGACAATGTTGGAACCGCAGACAGCGCAACCCTCCTTCACTTCGTAGTTGAAGGTGTAGGTGTAGACCGATTGCTGTCCGTTGTACATCATGTAGTTATCCAAGTAACCGCTAGAGTCTGTGCAGATCTTGAATGCCTCATTGCAACAGGCTGCGGCAATGATAGCGTTGGTACTGGCGATCGCCGGAATGATGTTCTTGGCGACACCCTGTGTCAACTTGTAGGTGACACCGTTGATGTTGTGGTCTTCGGCACGCTTCTTGGCGGTCTCGTAGAGCCAGGTCATGTGGACGGGATTGTCATTGTCGAAAACCTTTGGATCGAATGGCTTTGGAATGGCTGCGTCTGGCAGACCAAAGATCAATGCCCACTGGATGCAATGCTCTGGCACACGTGGAGTGTTGGCAATGGTACAGATGGCATAGGTGGTCTGTGGTGGGAAAGACTCTAATGAGCATTCAAAGCAAGATGAGATTCTTGGAAGAATGACTCTTGCCTGTCCCTTGAAACCTTCGGTTCCACCGTCGATCAATGGAATGATAGTCAATGGATCGATGTTTCCGTCGGTGTCAGTCACAACCAAGTTGACCAACAATCCATTGATCCATCTTCTGGCTTCGATCGAATCGAGACCAGCAATAATCAACTTGAATTGTCTATAATAATCCTCATCCTTATCTTGAATCTTACATTTATATCTAAAATTTAAAAAGCAATGTGTTATTAGCAATAGAGTGTTCATTTGAAAAAGTAATGCTACTTCAATTAAATACATACGGTGTAACTTTACATCCAGCTACTCTTTGATTGATGAAAGCAGCGGCAACCTCAGCCTTTGATTTACCAACATCTTTTCTTCTGTAAAATGTTCAATATCAATAAAGATAGAAGTGAGAGTTGTTAGTTTGTTTGTTTGATTGATTGATTGATTGAAGGTTGTTTTATAGTAGTAGTAGTAGTATTTAGTTACCTGAATAAGAATTGTCTGTTGAGATTAGAGACATCAATTGTATCCATATCGATGACATCGATGTTTCTGAAACCAGAGAGTGCAAGATTCTTGAGGAGTTCACAACCAAGACCACCGGCACCAATGACCAAGATCTTAAAGTCGTTTTGCAAGGCAGTCTTTATCGATGGAGAATCGTTGGTGTCTGGCTGGAAGTCAGGTGCTACGAATGGACCTGTTCTCTTGATGACCTTGTCGATGTCTGACCATCTACCTTCGATATCTGTATAGCTAGTTTCCATTATCATGGGTGACTCCATTAACAACTAAAAACAATCAATATATATATAAAAATAACTTTCTTTTATAAATATAATATAAAAATACAAAATAAAATAAAACTAAATAACTATACTACAAATATATAATATCTATTTAATTCTATTTTTTGTTTCTTCAACTAAATCAAACAAATGTTCTATTAAATTAAATTGGGGAAAACAAAAAAACAAAAATCAATTAATGAAATTAATCAGAAAAAAAAAAAAATAAAATTAAATTTTAAATAGATCAAAGAAAACTAATTGTAATGATAATATCACAAGAAGTTTGTTTCGACACTACATTATATTATTTACTAGCTGAACTAGTTGATCAACATCATTTAATATCTTAGACATCACATCGTTCATATATGACAGACATCTTTTACTAAAAAGTTGTTGCTATTCATTAGCGTTAAAAATTAAAAAAGAAAAAGATAATAAAGACAATTAAAAATGACAATTGCGATTTATCAATTAATAGCCATTCTTTAAACAAACAATTATTGTTAGAACTTTGATCAGTTTGGGTGTAAAGCCTGGTCCTTTTTCTATCAAAGATAATTTTTCTATCAAAGATAATATTTTCTTCTTTGACCACATTGAGATCAAAATGTTCTGTTGTTGAACGGCACCAATACTTTCTTTTTGTTGCAGAGTATATTATTAAAATAGATATTTAAATGATAAAAATGACATGATTCACCATCTTATCTTTTTCTGGTGAGTTACTCATTAAAATTGTCATAAGACAATTCAATTCACAAAAAATTTTTTTTTTATTCGATCATTTTTTTGAATTAGATTAGTTTTATATATATATTTATAGTTATTATTATACAATGGATAGACAATTAGCTGATGCTCTAAATCAATGGTAATCAATCATATCTTATTGAATTTTATACTGGGATGGTTCAATAATCAATATATATTAATCAAATTCTTTATATAATATGTATATTTTTTTAGTTCATCAACAAACGGTGTTGTTGGTATGGTTTGCACTGATAAATCAGGTTTATGTTTAAAAGGTAGATAAATACTTTATCGATATCGGTGTAGTAGAACGATAACAACGATATTCAAGATAACAGAAAGTTAAAACTATATAAAAATAGATAATTAATACTGTATTTGATAAATTATATAGCTACTGGTGGAGTAAATGCATCAACTGCTGGTTATTATAGATCGATTATCGAGAAGGCTACCACTCTTCTCTCAAAGAATGAAGCACCAAAGATTACTATAGAGACTGATACTTCGTATGTTACTCTAATCTACTAATCGAATCAAATCGAATCGAATCGAATCATTAACATTAGAAACAACACTTAATCTATATAGAAATATCTTTATTCAAGAAACAGAGCAACTTACTTTTGCAATTCACAAACTCCCTTAAACAACAGCAGCAGCAGCAACAACAATAATAATATTTTAAATAGTTTAACCAATTTACATAGTATCATAGTAGTTCGTAGTTATAGACAACAACAAAACAAACCAAAAGTTTTAATTTATCATTAAAAATATATATATTTTATTAAAAATACAAAAAGTAGTACTTATTGTGTGTCATTATATTTTGTTGAATCAAATCAGTTCAGTCATGACTCCTCAAGAGGTACAGCATTTTGTTTTAAGCATTTTTAATTAATACAAGTTTATTATAAATATATTTATTATCCAACACCATACTATTTGATCTAAATATCTTTTTTGTTAAATCGGTGATTTCATTAGATGATATGTGTGTTGTTTGAGATGTTATTACTTGGTCATTTTAAGTAAATTAATGAGAAGGGGAGAAAGAAAAAAGAGGAAAAGAAAAATAAAATTATTATCTATTATCTATTATTATTATTATTATTATTTTAAGGTAAGTATTATTATTATTATGAAGATGTAGATCCACCGGTTGTTGAGGTACTAGTTCCAATTGTTGATCCAGTGGTGGAAGTTGATGTTGATGTTGTAGAGGTGGAGGTGGATGTAGAGTCAGAGGTTGTGGGTCCACCGGTGGTTGAGGTGGTGGTGGTGGTGGTGTCAGTGGTTCCACCAGAGTCACCACCTCTAAATTTCAACCATATGATCAAACCGATGGCACCTATCAGCACCAAGATAATGACGGCCAAGATGATCTTGTTGGCGATGGCACGTCGCGACATGGTGGCTATCGTTTTTCTCGCCGATCCAATGTAGTAGTCGATCGAGTCGAATTTCTTTTCGAATCCCAACAGACGCTCACGCTGCTGTGCCATATTGTTGAGGGTGGCCTCGGCAACACGTTGATCCTCACGCACCTGAGTGTTTGCCATCTTTATCATCTGAATGCCTGACTCTAGTGTTTTGTTGGCCTTGACGACCTTCTCACGTTGACCGAGCGCAGCCTGGTTGTTAAAGTTGTCACGATAGCTCGGACCTACCAAGTCAGAGTAGTTCTTTTCATTCTGGTATTTATCCTTGAACTGTTGATATGTCTTCTTTGCTGTGTAGAATTGTGTAAAGTATTGTTGTGTCGATTTGCCTGTTCTATTTGACTCTAGATTCAAACTCTCTAGATTACTCTCGATCGATGACAACAGTTTCTCCAACTTGTCTAATTCCGCTGGTTTCGCTTCTATACTCAGTCAATTTTATAAAGTAAACATAATGTAAACAATTGGCTTGTTAATATATATATATATAAAAACAAAGTGATAACACATTAACATTGAAATATCAAAACTATAGTACATACCAGTAGATAAATTTGAGAATTGTTGTACGATTTGATCGAATTGTCTAAAAGCATCTTTAATCTCACCTTCATATGATTCAAATATGCTTGCCTACACAATATAAATATTTTTTAAATTAAAAAAGTTGTTGTTAGTTTTTCATTTACCTATCGATTTATTTATAAGCAAATCTAATATCTATGATTCATACCATCTTTAAAATGCTTATGTTATTATTACTAATTATACAAATATCTACCAAAACAAACTATTTTATATGTATGTAATAATAAAAAAAATGATAGCAAAAATTCAAAAAAAAAATAATTAAGTCGTTATAATTTTCAATGGGGGGTCAAGCTGGCAGCACTATAATTCTTAACCCCTTGCACTCAATTTGGGGTGAAATAAAATTGTTTTTTTTTATACAAATAAAAAGATTTGATTTTTTCAAAAATTTTCAAACAGATAATCATAAATTCTTTGTTATTAATCTACTGGATTTTTCTTGGACAGGACTGAAAATCATTAAAATGAATTCATTGAACTAACTATTGATTCTGATCTGGTATAAGGCCAGCATTCCTTTAAAAACTATAACAAAAAATTTTAGTTTTAGTTTAATTCAAATGCCTCAAAACAAATCAAAGAAAGAATAAAAATGAAAAAAAAAAAAATGTTTTATTTAATAATCTAAAATATTTTAATTATTTTTTAAATTTAGTATCTCTAATAGTTATGTTCTTCATTTGATTGTTTTCCAACCATTTCAATTATAGTTTGGATACAGGTCTCGTAAGAAAATACAAAAAATGAACTTTTGTACTCTATTGGTTACTAGATTAGGTCAACATCGTTTCTTTTAGGGAATTTAGTATAGTGAGCACTCCATTGATCTGAAAGTTCTTTAGTTGGATCATACGGAAAGAATAATTAACAATTTAATAGATAATTTTTATTGTTAAATACCTAAACCAGAAAACAAGTTTTAAGACTATTTTATTAAAAAATAAATAAAATAGTTGAAATATTTTTAAATATAGTAAAATATTATAACAGATTATTTATTACTCGATATTCTTAGGATTTATTGTTATAAGAAAAATATATATTCAAAAATAATTTCAATCATCTATTATTATTGTGTTTAATAAAGATCTCAAAGAAATATTGATAATTAGGAGGGGAAGTAGAAATACTAAGAATATTTATTATAAATAAAATAATATTATATTATGTTAATCTGAATTATTATAATGATCGATGATCGATTGTTTTTGATCATCTTGATGATTGAAATCAGCGTTGGTGTTGGTAAGTGTTGAGCTTGGTCTTGGTAATACCTCTTCGTTGTTTGTTGTGTCGATGACGGTTGTTCTTGGTGATGATAAGTAAGATGATGATGTTGATGATGATGATGATTTGCTATCGCTGTTGGTTGTTCCGGATGTTGTGTTGGTGGTGTCTGTCGAGGTGTCAAGTGGAATGTCGTGTGACACCGAGTTGGCTACTACTGTTGAGTTGTTTGTATTTACATTGAGATTGATATCATCTTTCTCTGGTTTCTCTGTGTCGTAGTGAGTGAGTTCTTCGTCGTACTTGTCGTCAATATCGATCATCTCTGCTTCGCGCCCGACACGCGAATGTTTCTGGCCGTAGAACACGTAGATAAGCAATCCGATGACCAGCCAAACAACGAGACGAACCCAGGTCTCCCAGCTGAGTGACACCATCAGGTACATGTTGACCCAGATCGAGAGAATCGGGAGGAATGGAACCCATGGACATTTGAATCCAGGTGGAATATTGTCTGGCACCAAGAAGAAAACAATGGCACTGGGAATGAGTGCGAGCACTCCGAAAACGATGATCACCGAATAGTGGAGATCGTGTGAGTATCCGGCTGTGCAAATTCCAGAGAGAACGGCAATCATGATGCACAGGTACATTGGGCGTTGGAGGAACAGTGGGAAGTCACGAACTATCCATTTCGAGGTAGACTGAGACTTGTCTGTTATAACGGGATAACGCATAATCAAGACACAAGTAGAGACCAAAGTGAAAGACAGCAGTGTACCGATAGAAACCATGTCGGCGAGAACATCGATTTCAACAAACAATGCAATAACAGCTGCACAAACACCGGTGAAGATGGTCGAGTAGAATGGAGTCTTGAATCTTGGGTGAATGTAAGAGAACCACTTTGGAAGCAATCCGTCTCTGCTCAATGAAAAATATAGTCTCGGTTGACTCAGTAATCCAGAGAGTTGTGCAGTTGTCAAACCTGCAAAAGCACCAATACTCACAATGATTTCCGCCCATTTCAATCCATGATCTCCAAATGCTTGAGAAACAGGTGCATTTACATCCCTAAAACAACAAAATAATAAAATTACTTTAGTATGACAATTCAATTCAATTCAATTGTTGAATTATAAAAGTTGGATTCTTACATATTTGTATATGGAACCATAAGAGTTAAAACAATTGCTACTCCAACATATAAAACAGTTGAAATACCAAGTGATCCAAGAATACCGATTGGAAGATCACGTTGTGGATTCTTTACTTCTTCAGCTACGTTACAAACTCCGTCGAATCCCAGATAGGCAAAGAAGGTGATAGCTGCGGCGTTGAAGATACCCTTGGCACCAAATGGTGTAAAGTTGTCCCAGTTCTTGGTGTCGGTGTAGAATGATCCAACAATAATGACAAACAGGACAATGGCAACTTTAATGGCGACGAATATCTTGTTGAATCGTGCTGATTCTTTCATTCCGAAAGCAGTGACCAACGTCAGCAGCACTACCGATAGGAATGCAATTAGATCCAATGAGAAACCACTTGCCAGAGAGATGGGATTAAATGGATGCGGCAAGTATCCGCCACCCGCTGTGATAATCGATGAGAGATACCCGCTCCATCCACGCGCTACAGTCGCACTTGCTATCATGTACTCCAATGTTAAATCCCAACCGATGATCCAGGCGACCAATTCTCCGACTACAATATAGGAGTAGGAATAAGTGGAACCGGAACTCGGTACTCTAGTGGCAAACTCGGCATAACTGAGACCTGAGAGAGCACATGCAAATCCAGAAACTACATAGGAAAGGACAATGGCAGGTCCCGCTTTTTCTTTGGCGGCAACACCTGTCAACACGAAAATTCCGGATCCAATGATTGCACCAACTCCAAAAGCCAGTAGATCCAATACACTCAGACATCTCTTTAGCTTCTGACCGTTTCCATCGATGACGATGGGTTTGTCCATCTCCTCCTCTAACATACGGAGTGACTTCTTTCTTCGAGATAACCTTCCAAATGTTTCAACATTTGATCTAAATGTTGATACTGTCATCTTTTATTTTTATGGATAGTAGTTTTTTTTTTACAAAATTAATAATTTAAATTTACAATTATTTCTTTATACTAAAACATTAATATTACCAACTTTCAAATTGGTATACAAAAAAAGAGTTCAATAAAAAATGTTTAATGTTGCTCCTGTGTAATGTAATGGAGGAGAACAATTTGAAAAAACAAATAATACAACTGCCAAAATGTAACAGTAAATAAAGAGAATTATTTTTCGATGAAATAAATAAATATTTCTGGTTGGTTAATGATAGCTTTTAGTTGGAAATACTATTATTGTTGTTATTATTGTTATTTCTCTTTGAAGAAAATATTATAGTGATTATTATGATAATACTCTAAAATCAACCAAAATTGGTATAATAAATTTAAAAAATAAAAAAGGGTTCAATAAAAAAATTGTAGATTTACTTGTTTAATGATCTTAATTGCTATTTTTGTTGTATTTTAATGTTGGTATTGGAGTGTGTTAATTAATATTAAACAAAGAGAGAGAGAGTGCACTTCTATTAATTTATATTCTTAATCGAATCATATCAAAATTTAAATTTGGTGCACCAGTCAGTCTACCATTTTACATTAAAAATAGAAAACGTACAAAAAAATATCAATCGAACTCCTCACTGGCATTTAAACTCTGAAAATATTTTCAAATTAAATTGCATATGTAACATACACAATATTTAAAAATGTGGAAACAAAAATTTAAATTTCATTGATAAAATTAAACCATCGATATTAAATTCTGGTGCTATAACCAACTAGCTAACTCGTTGGTTGGTTGGATTGCTTGTTTTTTGCAATTTCACATAGATGGATACTCTCACCATAGAAGGGAATGAATTAATTTTAAACATATGTAAATATAATATTTCCAGTATACAGAGAGGTGGTAAAATAAAATATTTGTAAAATAGATATAAATTTGTGGGTTTGTTTTTGATTTTTAAACCGTCCCTAATTTCACAGGCACACACAATGAGAATAAAAACAATAAAAGTTGGTTTTGTAGTTGTGGTATTGGTGGGGTGTGGAAAGAGTGTTGTGGTATTCGAATTATTTCAATGTGATTGGTCGTTCAGAACATCAAATACTTTATATGGAAGTTTTTCAATTTAAAATCTAATGCTGAAAGAATGTGAATTTGGTATGTACAACCTCTATATTTATAAGGTGGTTAGCTGTTGTGTGTTTTGATGATGTATTCGATTTACATTGGTTTGATTGGTACAACTAAAACTTGAATGTCAATTATAGAAGGATAGGATAATATATATTTTATATATTAATCGTTATATAATCATTTTGAGATTGATTTTATCATATGATAGTTAATTGAGAATGCAGAGAAGAGAGTGAGAGTATAGTACTAATTCAATGTAGATGGTAAAATTGAATCTACATACACATCTTAATAAGTCAAATTGTCAGTAATGATACGACTGTAAATAACTAAACCAAAGTAAATTGATTTTAATCCGAAATATATAAATGCGATAGTAATTAAAAACCGACACCACAAATATATTTAGGTTTGATTGTGAGAGGTATTGAGGTGTGAATTCATAGATTTATATTGTATCTTTTATGATAATAGCAATTATTCATCCAATACTATAAATTATGTAATTTTTTTGATGGAATTAAAAAATTTTGGAAATAATAAAAATTCATATGGAAAACAAATTTTATTTGATTGTAAAGTGGATTCCGATGATGGAAATTGATCAAAATTCCCAAATATTTGATATAATTATAAATTTTTATTATCCAATTAAATTTTGCTATAGCTTAACTTACAATAAGAAATTTCCTTTTTGCTTTTCTTTAAAATAAATAATTCCGAAGAAATATTATAATTTTATAATAAAAATAATTGGAATGTATTTACCAATTATACAACTTAAATTTAATTATTTGATTTTGTTTGAAAACAATAATTATGAATATAATTACACTGTGATGTTAAAAATTATTAATTATGAGTTGTTCAGACATTTACAATATCATTAATATTTATAGTGAACGAGTTGTATGATTGAAATCATAACCAAAAAAAAAAAAGTATACTAATAAAAACATATATACAGTGTATCGATTTGAAATTTTAGATAGGATGTATTATTTTAGAAAAAGGTACCACCACACTTTGGTTAATTGGTGTTTGATTGATTATAATGTGTGAGTAGGTGGTTGTGTTATTATTTTCTTATTATTTATTATTATTATCATCGTTGTTAATGCACATTTTTAGTAATGTATTGAATAAAGTTACTGAATCTTAGATGAGATAAATAACATTTGTTAATATAATATACATACACTCTTTTTAGATTTTCCATAACCACTGCTGCTGTTGTTAATGTCATCATAATCCGATGACAAAGAATCACTTAGTACAAGAGAGGAGCTTAATTGGTCGTTTGATAGCAATCGATTATTCATTTTTAATATGATTTATTTATATTTTTATAAATATAAAAGAATTATGATAATATAACAATAACAACATCTACTCTGAATGATAGGTGATATCTTATGGTAAGCTGATGTTGTTTTAACTTTTAAATATCAACCAATTGTACTATTATTTAATTGATTGTTTCTACTACTACTGATATATTTTAAGAGTAAAATTTGAATTATCCTCTTCCTTCTCTATCTATCTATCTTGCTCTAAAGTAAGACTTCTCTTCTCTTTTCTCTAAATCTAACTAATATTACAATAAATACAAAAATTTGGTACAAAATTAATCTATAGGTATTTGATAGATTGCTATTCTCTATGATGAATAGCACAATAACAACATCTATCTTTTAATTTATTCTTATAAATTATTTAGTATTCTTATAAAGTTTTAAATATGAATTGAAAAAATGATAGTTATTAATAGAGAAGTGTGGGTGGGGTTATGAAAATTTTTAGCCGATAATTAAAAATATCAAACATGTTCCAAACGTTGGATCACTTTCAAACCTAATTTTTTAACTTTTAATATATTTTCATATTCAATTTTATCATTAAATTTATACAGTCAAATACTATATTATGACTATAGTTTGTTTAGAAAAAGTATTTCTTCCAACATTATCTGATATAATAGTAATAATTTTCCTCACACATTAAAATCGATTAACATTTAATTCACTGGAAGATCTTCAAAAAAATTTGGAAAAAATGAAAAAAAAAATGAAAAAAAAAATATTTATTTATTTTTAATTAAAACAAAAAAATTACATCTATGAAACATTCATTCATTCATTATATAAAACGACAACAATGAGTGATACAGATAAAACAAGATTAAAAGAATTATTAAATCAATCATTGACATTAAGAAATGCAATAAAACAAACAGCACCAACCGCTACCAATTATAAATCGATGATAGCCGAGCTCAAGTCAAAGGCGGTCGAAGCACGCGCACTCAGCGATAAGCTCAGTATGGAACATGGACAAGCTCTTACTACCGAGTTCTTTGGTTTTGCGCAATTCTGTGAGTTGGCATCGTCGCCAAACTCGGTGGAAGCCGACCTCTACGACTCGATCGTCGAGGATCTGCTCAAGGCGCGCTCCTCTGCGGTGGCACTGGGCGACAAGCATCTAGACTCGCGTATTCTCGAGCTTCTCACCAACATATTTTCGCGAACCAAGCAATTTGACCGCGAGATTGAAATCATCGAACGCGCAGTTAGCCGCGATAAATCGGTCGCCAAGATGATGGCGCTCGTCTCTGCCTATCTGAATAAACTGAACTACATCTACCAGGATCGCGACCGTATCTACTCGGTGCAGCAGGAGAAGCAACTCGATGGATCGGACGCAGACGGCGACCGCTACATGAAGCTGCACGTCCAGTGCTGGGAACACTATCTCTGGTTGAAAGAGCAGTCGGCGTTCCAACGCGACCAATTCATTCGTGTGCACAAAGCAGCGCTCTTCAAGCTGGCAATCTACCTTGGCTCGCTGGCGAATCCTCTCATCTCTGGCAAAGACCCAGAGGTGGTGAGCATCGCGATGGAGGCATTCGACGAGGCATTCTACATTGCGAAACTCACAGAGGACCAAGAGTACTTCTGCGCGGCAACCGCACACAAATCATCTGTAATATACCGAACAATGTCAGCTGATGACAGAGACAAACTACTGCAATCACTCAAAACCATTGAAGAACAAATCAAACCAAAGAACAGCGAAATCAGAGATTTAATCTACTCCATCGAGAACAAAATGCCCTCTATGCACCCCGAAATGAAAGAAAACGATCCAAAACCAACAGATACAACAACAAATACAACTGAAAATAATTAAATAAATCTAATAATAATTATTAATGTACTTGTTATTACCTGTTTTAATTAAATTTTCACCAAAATCTTGATATTATTTTTATGTGTTTGAATGCAGTGACAAGTAGAAATTATCTACTTGTAATAATATAAAATGAATTTAATCTTCAAAAATTATATTTTAAAAAAATATAATTAATAAATCTAAACAAATACACAAGAGAAGTTTAGTTACAACTATATATAAATGGAAATTGATTCAAATAATGAGAAAAAGATTGTTTCTAGAAAGATTTGTTGGAGATTAAGATAAAACCTGGAAAACACCTTAGGTCATGATTTTGACCAAATATATAAAGTTGTCAATATTTTTTATAAATATAGGACGACCGATACAAGATAATTTATCACACCAATAATAAAACAATAGAATATTAATACATGTTAGAGTATATTAGAATAGAACCTGAGTTTTACCAAAATGATTAAAATATAAAAATTAAAGGATTGACCAGTCATAAAGAAAATCATCAGTAGTGATATAACAAAAATCCGCTACAATTTTGCGCTGAATTTTCACTAAGATCAACCCACCTTTTTTTTTGTTTTTTTTCTAATGACTACCCACTTTTTTTTTTTTGCATAGTATTTTGCATCTCACATTTTTAAAAATATATTTTCTGTTATTAGCAAAGAAAAAGACTTAAGCTTTACTATTATTATTTTTAAAGTTTCTTAATATTCACTCTATAATTTTCAATATTATATACCCACCTTAATAATCATTTTAGTTAACCTTTTTCAGTTTGATCAGTTTTCTTTAAAAAAAATTACACAATTAAATATTTTATAAATATATATATATATATTATATCGCATATAAATAGATCAATCAATCAGGAAATAAAGAAAGAGAGAGAATGAGTGGTCTATCTCCACCATCGACACCAGTTTCGAAACTAAAAACACAAGCTGCTGCCACCACAGTGAAAAAGAAAAAGAATACAACATTCTCTGAAGATGTTATGTTTACACCGGTGGTACCATCGCACATGATGACACCGTTGTCGAGTGGCTCAAGACCAACACCGGAACAGTTTGTTTTCGAACAGCAGCTGTTCAGCGAGAAGAAGAAAGCCAACTACAACACACCTCGCTGTCCTTCACCACCACTAAAGTCAACGCCGGCATCGCGAAACATCTCGATCAACTCGAATCAAACCGTCGCTCACTACATGTCGAGCGAACGACCGTTGTTAGTACCGCAGCAGCCCAGCGAAGCGTCGGCATTCGATTTGAACTTTGAGATTGTTGCGCGTCTCGGAAGTGGATCGTTCTCCGACGTCTACAAGAGTCGCTCTAAGCAAGACAATCAACTGTATGCGATCAAACAGGCGCGTCATCCATTTCGTGGATATCAAGAGCGTGATCGCGCCATCCTCGAAGTCAAGAATGCAACCGTGTTATCACCGCACCCAAACATTGTGCAATACTACAACAGCTGGGAGCAGTCTGGCATTCTCTACATTCAGAGTGAGCTGTGCGAGCGTGGCACTCTCAAAGACATACTGGAGTACTCGACCTACCTCCACGAAGATTTGATATGGAATTTTCTGGTGGATTGTCTACTGGGTGTCCAACATATACATCAGGCATCCATGTTACATTTAGATATAAAACCAGATAACTTATTCATTTCGGCAACCGGCACATTAAAGATTGGTGATTTCGGAATGGCAATACAACTACAGCAGCAACAGCAACAGCAACAACAACAACTAAACGAAGAACAAGACTCAACCTCACAACAACAACAACAACTAAACAATAGCTACGATATGAACACCAGTAGAGATAGTAACAATTTGAGTATAGACGAAGACGATGTATATTTTGATTTTATAGAAGGCGATAGCAGGTATCTAGCGATCGAGTTTCTCAACGATAAAAAACTGATTGGAATGCCATCCGATATCTTTTCGATTGGTGTAACGTTTTTCGAGATGGTGACAGGCAAAGAGATGCCTTCGAACGGTCCTCTCTGGGAACAGCTACGAGATGACAGAGCAACCGAATTTCTAGAGCCAAACAAATACTCTAATACCCTCTACAACTGCATCTTGGCAATGATGAAGTCTAATATCTCTGAGCGTATAACATTAGATGATCTATTAAAGATTGATCAAATTAAAAATATAGTAAATGAAAGAAAATTAAATGTAAGTTGAATTGTATTAATATATATATATATAAATGAAAAAAACTCTAAATAGATAGATAATAAACTAACTAACTATTTAATCAATTCAATTCGATTCAATATTAATATAGCCAAATATAAATAGAGTAATACAATTAATACCACAATCACCTAAAAATCAATTCCCAATGTTGGATAAAGAGAATCATTATAATTCACCTATGGCATCACTTAGCCTTAAATCATCGGCACATTTTATCATTAACAATAATAATAATAACAACAATCTCAATAATAGTAGTAATAGTATTAGTTTTAGTAATGGTAGTTCAAATAATATAAATAATCTATTTAAAGAACAAATTCAACTTCAAAGTCAACAACTACAGGAACAACAACTACAACCACCAGCAGCACCAAAATCAACCATTAAAAGTATGAAAAGAGTACTACAAGATTCAATAGATGGTACTACATCTCAAAAAGTTTGTGCAATCAGAAGAAGTTTAGATAATTCACTACAAACTGAAGATTCAACAATGTCACCTAGGAATCTACTAAGTGTAAGTACTATACAAAAATATAGTCTTTATCATTGCTTTAATCTTTATATTAATCAATATTATTTTAATAATTTCTATTTAATTAGTTATTCCAAGATTCTAAAAAAGAATGATAGCATCAAAAAAAATAGATATATTAATATATAAAAGATATAATAATCTAATAAAAATCTATAGAGATAGATTATTGAGCTTATAATTATTTTAATTTAGCTCAAATTTATTTACACATGTATAAATAACAATAATCTTTAATATTAAATTTAAATATGACACCTAAAGTTTATTGAGTTTAAATTTGACTTTCTTCTTCTACGGCTGGTTGTACTTCATCTGATGGGTTGGATTGTTGTGAAAGCAATGAATCAGTCTCCGATGGGTTCTCTTCTCTCTCCTTCTTCTTCTCTTCAATCATTGATTTGGTTTCATCTGAAATCTGATTGAATTGTTTCTCAACGGTGTTTGAAATGTTGTCACCGGTCTGTTTGATGGAGGATCCAATCGATGACATGACTTCGACACCCTTGGCAATGGTTTCATTCTCCTTTGCCTTGGCGGCCAACGAGTTTACTTGTTGTGACAACAAATCGGTGGCACTCTTGAACATGCCAGAGATTTGGAATCTCTCGTCGACTGCCTTTGCTTGTGCTACAACTACATTCTTGACTACGGTTGCATTATCAGAGATATTCTGCTTGAGAGCAACAGCATTCTCTGTGATGTGTAACTTGTTATCGATTTCATTAGCAGTTGCCTTGATACTCTCTGCTCCAACCTTTAACTTCAAAGAAATCATATGCTCCTCATCGATCTGTCTTGCTTTGGTGGCAGCTTCTTGACTAAGATTATAACCTGAGGCCAACATTGTTGCAATTACAGATGTTTTTGTCTATAATGAAATGAATGAATGAGAGTATTAATATCGTTCAAGTGTTATAATTCCTTATTTGATAGTATTTGATCTAAATATAAACATACTCTTTCAGAATCTGGTACTGGGTGATCTCTGTTGGTAATTGTATTCTCTGGATTGTTGTTGATGTTATTGTTGTTCTCTACATTGTTTTGCTCTAAATTTGTGTTGTCTATGCTATTGTTGTTATTATCGTTGTTGACGATAGTTTGAGATGGTGATGGTGAAAAGTGTTGTGTTGGGTTGTATTGTAAGACTTGAATAACTTTATCAACAATCAATGCATTTGTTAATAATAAAGCTGTCTTGGCAGCAGATTCTGATTCAAAAACAACAACTGCTTCTTGAGCTGATCCTGTAGAATCCCTATTAATATCAATAATGAATAATTAGCCTTTTTTTTTTTTCTTTTTTGACATCTAAACCTATTATTATAAAACTTACTCTCTCAAAGATAACTCTGTAATCTTTCCACAGAACGAAAAGAAATCAGAAACAGTCTTTGGTGTTGCCTTTAAGGAAACGTTTGATACATATACAGATAATAAATCCTAAAATAAAAATAAATAATTAATTTTCTATTCTATTCTATTCTAGTCCGTTGTTATTGTTATTTGTTCTACAGCTAGTAATAAAACTATCATTATCTTTTTGTATATCATTCTTACCTTGTTCATTTTGAAATATATTTATATAGTTAATAAATATAATATTAAATTATAATTGGGTAATAAAAAAAAGTGTTTATCAAATAAATAAATTAAGTAAGTAAAATTTTTAGAATTCTAATTGTTAATTATTATCTATCCTATTAATGAGAATCTGTTGTTAAAAAAAATTAAAAATAAATAAAAAAATGATTTTTTTTCAAATAATTAATTAAAAAATAGGTTGTGTGGTGGTTGAAGGTGAAGGGGGTGTTAAAAAAAATTTAGATAAAACTTCTTAATTTTTGGAGAATTTTTTTAATAATAGTTAATAATAATAAATTAGATAATAAATTATAATAATATATATATTTTATTTGATTTTTTATTTATTTATTTTATTTTTTTTGGACATTTTATCAAATTTGAAGTAATATTAAATATTATATTGAATGATAGTTTTTAGTTTTACAATTTTTTAACAACAGGAGCAGCCTTTGAGACAACAGTTGCGAATGATGTGACTGTTCCGGCTGGCTTTGAGGATGGAATGGATGGAGATCCTTTGGACTCACGGAGTTCTTTTACTTCCTTTTCCAACTGAGCAATTCTTTGTTGAAGTGCTTGTGTTTCTTTTTGGTGAGCATCAACCAGTTGTTTGGTGAGTTCTTGAATGATTGGTTGAAGAAGTTTGTCGAATCCTGCTGTTGATACTGGTGTAGATGCTGATGAAAGTGTTGGTGAAGATGCGGTTGGTGTGCTTACTGCTGGTGACTTCTTGGTATCTGGTGTTGGTTGTTGTTGAACTACTGGTGTTGAAACAGCTGGTGTTGGTGTTGGAGTATGGTGAACTGGTGCAACTGTTGCTGGTGTTGGAGTGTGATGTACAACTGGAGTATGGTGAACTGGTGCGACTGGTGCTGGTGTTGGGGCTGATGTTGGAGCAGCTGGTGCTGGAGTATGATGTACAACTGCTGGCTTTTGAGCTGGTGCACTTGGGAGTTCTCTCTTTGGTAGTACTTTAGCGGGTGCTGGAGTTGGTGTTGGAGTTGGTGCCGGGGTTGGGGCGACGACAACTGGAGTTGGTGCAGGGGTTGGTGGAGCAACAACAACTGGAGTTGGTGCAGGTGTTTGGGTGTGTTCCTCTGGAACAGATTCACCTGTGGTTTCGTAGTATGAATAGGTTCCAGAGTGAATGGCTGTGTCGTCGTGCTCTGGCTCGATCCACTCTACGTTGTTGCATGGGAAGTAACCGGATTTGCTACCGATGAAACCTTCCCACCAGTAGTCGTCTTCCCATGCGTAGACTGCAATGGTGTCACCTACTTTGAGATTGAGTTCTCCTTCGTCTGCTGCGGTGTGGTCGAATATTACTCTTGCCTTTGGATAGAGGTCGGCAAAGTCTTGCTCGGTGGCGACACCACCAGCGGCATCCTGCTGTGCAGACTCGGCTGGCGCACCAAAAGCGGCGACTGGTTCGTCCTCGAGGAACTTGACAAAGGAACGTGGGAAGTATCCGGCCTGTCCATTCAACTGACCACCGAGCCACTCACCATTGTCGTCGTGGATCACCTCGATAATATCACCTGGCGAGATAGAGATCTCATCCTCACTCGACTTCTCGTATTGGTAGAGTGCCTCTACACGCTTCTTGGCTGGCAATACAACACCGGTGCCACCGATTCCCATTTGCTTCTTCAATTCGATAACTTTTTGTATCACCTTTTGCTCCTTCTTTCTGAGGGTGTCTGTTTCTTTCTTCTTGACTTCGATCTGCTTGTCGAGACCTTGAATCGAATTGACATCCTTTTGCTTCTCGTATACTTCACGCATGTGCTCCATAGCCTTACGATCTCTGACGGTCTTGTCGATGTTCTCACGCAGCTTGTTAAGATTCTGCTCCATGAACTTTGGATCAGATTCGAGTTGCTTGATCTTTGTAATCTCATTCTGAAGACTCTCACGCTTCAGTCTCAATTCCTCGAGAAGTTTGGTCTTCTCCTTGACGTTGTTCTCAACAAGAGTAGCCTGCTTCAAATCCTTCTGTGATTGATAAACCTGTTTCATCTTGTCCATTCCCTTGATAGCTCCATCTGTTTCATTGATAACAGTACTCAATGTCTTTATATCCTTTTCCAAGTCTTCAACCTCACGAAGGTATCCTAAAGAAATAATATTAAAAGAAATTAGTATATATTACAATTCAAAGATCTATATAATTCAGTTTTAAAATTTACCATTATCAATCTCTTTGATAGTGAATCTCAATGTAGCGTTATTCTGACCGAAATCCTTCAAGTCACATTCATAACCAATTGGAGGAAGACGACGGAATCCTCTCTTTCCAAAATAAGGATTATTCCAGAAAAACTCGAAAACTCCATCGTCATTACCTCCTTCGAAGCCATAGATCGAACCAGCTTCAGTACCACCCAAAATATTTGTAGATTCACTTCCAAATTCAATTGTACTATATTTTTTAATTAAATTATCATAATTGAATCAGTAAGTAATTTTCTTTTAAAAAACACTTGTTATTAGTGTTTAATTGTTGTTTGAGTCGTTCAAACTGCAAACATTGACAACTAACAACAACAACAACAATTATAATGCAATCAATGTATACATACCTCATTGGTACAATTACATCGGGTGGTTGTACTTTCCACTGACCAGAGATGAGTGGGTGTGATTTCAATACCAACTTCTTGGCTGTTGTATTATGAATCGACACACGTACACTACGTGCTGACTTGTTCATTTCATCTAGTGGGTCCATGTCTTTTTTCTAATTATTTGGTCTAATCAGTAATAATAAAATAATATACAAATATCTATATAATATATAGCAAAAATAGTAGTAATAACAAACAAACTAACAAACAAATATAAATAATCAAACAATTGACTGAAAAAAAAAACAATAAAGATCTTTTTTTTGAAAAAAATATATAAAAACTCTTTTATTTTTTTATTTTATTTTTATTTTTATTTTATTTTTTTAAAACCCTGAAATTGAAGCCCACCAACACAATTTAAAGTCAAACACTTATCAATGATATGATATCAAGTTTCAAGTTGTATAACGACAACACACTGGTTGCCGAACACATCGGACTGTCATATGAAAAAAAATTAAAATAAATAAAATAATATAAAATATAAAAATGTGTGATCAAGAGCATATTATTGCAATTGATATCTAATAATTTTTCTAATCTCGCATGACAATAACAATGATTGTAACAAAATTAAAATTATAAATTGATAAAACTTAACGTCTAATAAACAACAATAATTATACTAATAGAATTAAGTAATTTTAGTTTTAATTAGTTGTGGTTATCTTTTTTCTTTCTTTCATTTGATATACTAGAGTCAAGTTAACTGTGAGATGATATCACATGAAACCTTAATGATTTGATTCGTATTTAAAAATATTGTTTTGATTATGTTATGATTATTGTATTATGGTTTGGTTTGTTGTTTATTAAATTTATTATTGTTATTGATTTTTATCGATAAAAATACTATTTATAATTTAAATCTTGGCAAAGAACTTCTTTAATAGATCTTCACCTTCAGACAATTGCTTGGCTGGTGTGATTTGTTCTTCGAAATAGTTTACAACATGAGATCTAGTCTTTAATAATGATACTGCGTCAAAGAGTTCTGTTTCACCAATGAAAGCAACACGATCTAAAATAGTCTTGTCTGTAATATTTGAATATTGTTCAAAGTCAGCTGTATTATATATATAAATATAGGTAGGTGTGATCACATTTTGATTGATTATATTTTGATTTGATAAAAAATTATTAATATTAGTAAAAAGAAAAATCATATCTTTATATCAATCACACAATACAACCAATACAATAGTTGTTGTAATTATTGATTGTTTTGTTTTATGATTGATATCTTTCTTTACTCGATCGAGTGTCATAGAACATACCTCTGATTCTTTGTTTCATTTCAGAGACGTTGTATGAGAGATTGTAGTATTGAATGATGACAGGTACTGAACGAAGTGCATTTCTATATAATTTCAAACATCTTTTTTGTGCAACTGGCAATGATGCACTGACAATTGCTGGTCTGAGTGTCTTGATAGCCAATAAATTAGATGACATTCTATTGTATTCTACTCTATATTATATAACTTTGTTAATTTAGATTACTGATCTCACTGCTGAAACAATCAAAAAAAAAAAAAAAAAAAAAAAAAAGTAAAAAAAATTTTAAAAAAAATGAAAAAAATAATAATCGAAAATATTATTAATATGTAACATATAATTTTAATATCAATCAATTATTTACTTTAAAAGCAAACTCATCTACTTTTTTTTTCGATTTAATAAAAAATAAAAAGAAAGATATATTATTTAAAATTGACAAAACAATCTTTAATTTTACTATGATAGTTGTTACCAGACACACAACAAACAAAGTCTTTTATTTGAATAATATTTTTTTTTTTTCGAATTTTTTTTACAATGTTGGTTAAAGTTGTTAAGATTTTATTAATAAAAACCAACCCATTTTTTTTGCTTTTTATCAAAAGATAATAAATTTATTAATATATAACATATAAAGTCAACATCAACAATATAAATATCAATTTTTATATACATTGATTTATATTTTGTTATAATTATTATTGTATTTTAAAATTGAATTGTATAATTTTAGTTTTTTTTTTATTAAAACAACTATCTTATCATCAATTAATTGTATTTTTACTATTACTTTTGTATTTTATTTTTATTTGTATATTTAGATTAGTTAGATATATATTATTATATCAATCAGCAAATCAATCAATAAATCAATTCTATTTGAAATAAAGAAGGAAGGTTTCTTTTGATTGTCAGAGAATGGAGATTGATAGTGAAGTTGTACAACAAGAAGATCAACCTGTTGTTGTTGTTGATCAGATCGATCAATTGGAAGATAATGAAAATAGTGGTGACCAATTAGTGGAGCAAACTTCATCAACAGAATCTTCACCATTGGCGATTGATCAAGAGGAGGAAGTAGAGGAAGAAGAGAACCAAACAGATGTACAAAAGATAGATGATAATACCAATGTAAATGTTGTTGTTAGTTTATCTGTATATGCATCGGATGACACTGCTAACAATACAACTACCGATGGTGATGATGACCAATGTAATAATAGTCAAACTGATGTTGCTGCTTCTGACAATCAACAATCAAATCAAGAACAAGTAGAAGTAGAAGTAGAAGTCGAAGTCGAAGTAGAGGTAGAGGTAGAGGTAGAGGTAGAACAACAATCAGTTCCAGAAACAACACAGCTAGAAGAAGATCAACAACAACTAGATCAATCTGAACAAGTTGTACCAACAATTACAGATGATGTACCAGTACCAGTTACAACAGCAACAACAACTACAGAAGTAAAGGAGACAACAACTGAACAACAACAACAACAACAACAAGATCAACCAGTTGTGTCATCTATTAATATTCATCATGGTGCTAAATTGATTCAAGTTACCGGTAAGAAAGAGCCATATCATTATATTCCGGTGCCACTCTCACCAAAGTCATTGAACTTGAATGATGCATTCATCATGCAGAGTGATAGTTATATGTTTGTATGGTCAACCGACAAGATTCACTCACAAAAGAAAGCAAAAGCCATACAAATGGCTCAAAAGTTAAAAGTTGAAATTGGATGTCAAAGAGCTGTACAACCCTTAGGTAAGTTTAGATATATATGTTAAAAATATAAAACATCAGATACTAGTTAAGTTGATTATTAATTAATTAATTGTGATTGTTTTTTTTTTTTTTTTTTTCATAGAATTTGGTGAAGAACATCCAACATTTAATTGGTGTCTTGGTGTTCCAAAAGGATCGAAATTGGTGGTTACTAAGGAATCGAGTGATTTGCTACTGGATGAAGATGGTCTCGAGAGAGAACCAGAGTATTTCTTATATAGAGTTGGAAAGGTCGATGGCAAACTCAATGTCATCCCAATCGAGGAGGAGGTTATCACACAAGAGATGTTTGTCCCCACCAGTTGTTTTATTTTCGATTGTGAGCATGAGATCTATGTCTGGCAGGGTGAAAAGTCCACTACCGAGGAGAAGGAAGTCTCTATGACTCTGGCAAAGCGATTCCTCACCATGTTTGAGCGTCCTGCCAACACTGCGATCACCGCAGAGTATGATGGATCCGAGGGTTGTATATTCCGCTCAAAGTTTGCCACCTGGAAGGAGAAGGAAGGCAAACCGATCCAGTCGTACCTGAATCTCGGCAAGAAGAAAGAAGCACTCAGCTTCAATGTCAAGGAGATGCACCAAGATAAGGAGGTCGCCCAAATACACCTGGGTAGCAAGGACAGCAAGGGTAAGCTGCTAGTTTGGTCCTATGTGAAATCTCAGTGGCAAAAGGTGGAGGAAGACGACTTTGGAATCTTCTATTCGAACCGATCGTACGTGTGCAATTTCATCTACAAACCAGACGGAAAGAACTCGATCAAGTCTGCCATATTCTACTGGGAAGGATGCTACAGCAGTAACAGAGCGTACATCTCCTACAAATTCGGACTGTTCAAAGAGATTCAAAAGAAGATGCAATCACTTCAATCCGACGATCCAATCGAGTACAGAGTCGCACAGGGTAGAGAGCCATATGAATTTATTCAACTATTTGGAAATGAGACAATTGTATTAAATGTAAGAATAGAGTTAACTAGAAAAACAAACAAGTAATATATATTAATCAATTGAAATTGAACTTTTATTATTATTTATAGGAGGAATTATCTTTGGCAAAACCAATGATGTTCCAAATTAGAGGTGAAGAGGGTAATGTTAGAGGAACTCAGGTGTCAGAGATATCGGCATCGAGATTATGTTCGTTGGATTCCTTCACAATCATTCTGCCAAAGAAATGTATTTTAGTGTGGCATGGTAAAGCCAGTAACGATGCAGAGAGACAGTTGGCGTCGGATCTCTTCACTTTCTTACCACCAGAGTTTGAAGCCGGTGTCAGAGAGATTGAGGAGGGCGAAGAGCCAGAGTCGTTCTGGAAGATCATTGGTGGCAAACAAGACTATCCATCGCTGGACTCCGATGAGAAGCCAAAGAAGAACAAGCTGTTCCTCTGCACTGAGAACTCTGGTATCTTCAAGGCCGAAGAAGTAAAGCCATTTGCACAGGTCGATTTGAATCACGAGGAGAATTTGATTCTCGATCGTCACAACTCACTCTATGTATGGAGAGGAACCAAGACTACCGACGCCAAGTTTGAGATGACAATGAAGGTTGCCCAAGAGTACTTGGAGACTGCCGAAGACGAAAGACCAGATGGTGTCACTGTACAAGTAGAGAATGACGGTGAGGAGTCTGCCGCGTTTAGATCAGCTTTCATTTCCTGGAAGATTACGAAACCAAAGGTTTTCATTGATCCACGTGAAGTCAGAACACAAAAATTGGCATCCGAAGAGCAACAAAGAAAGTTGGAAGAACAACAAAAGAAATTGGAAGAGCAACAAGCTGCTGCCGCTGCCGACTTACTGGCTGAAAATACCAACAGTTCTACACCAGCAACAACCGATTCCAATCCACCAACTGAAGTTACTACACAAGTCAAAGAGGATGTTGACGAACAAGTAGTAGTAGTCGAAGAGATCAAAGAGGAGCAAGTCAATCAAGTTGAAGAAGTCAAGGAACAAGTTGATGAGCCAACAACCAAAGAGAATGTTGAGGAAGTAGAAGTAGTAGTTGAAGACAATCAAGTAGAAACTGTTGAACAAACAACAACAACAACAACAACAACAGACACTGAGGTAATTGAAGAAAAGGTGGAAGAGAAAAATGTAGATCCAGATCCATCTTCTTCTTCTTCCGAGTTAACAGAGGAAACACCTTCAATTATTACAACACCACCATTGGAATCTCAATCGTCTGAAGCAACTCCAGAGAGAGCAATCGGTAAATCAGGTAAACCGCCCATGCATCCAAAGAGCAATAACGCCGGTGACGCTGTTACCATGTCAGAGAGTGGTGATCTTTTGTTCTCATACGATGCCTTCAATATAATGAATAGTCCAAAATCGATGGCAAAGAAAGGAAAGAAAAAGAAGAATAGAGCAAGATCTCTCAGTCAGAATAGTACACCTACATCGTCACCGATCTCAAAGTCGTGCGAGTTGCCACCACCCGAATTCACACTCGACAACAACAGTGGATCGACGTCGAGCAGCAGTAACAGCAGTCCTCACCTCACTCGTAGAAAGGCAAAACACAGTCGTACTGGATCACATGGATCACCTCTACGTCTCGGTATCAATCACAATTCGAACAACAACTCTAGTTTCTCTCCAAAAATCAAAAGTGGATTGAATGATTCGACATCTTCATCAACCAATGATGATGATCAATCAATTTGAAAAAAAAAAAACAAAAACAACAATAACATCAGTTTAAATATATAGTTCTTACCAATAGGAACAATTTATATTTTATATATATATATATATTTATATTACATACATATAGCTAAAATTTTAAGTTTTATTTTTTTTTTATTATTATAATCATCTAAACACCATCATCAATCATTATCATCAACATCACCAATAATTGAAAAGCTAGATGTTAATTTCTAGTAAGAGAGAGTTGTAACATATTGGTATCTTATACCCCCTCACCCTTTCTTTTCATTTATCTTTTCGAACTAATGAATATTGCTTTATATAGTGCAATATTGTTAACAATCGAAATCAAATCAACATATATATCCTAATTTAAAACAAAACTAAACACAACACAATAACAAGTAACAACAACCAGTATCAACTAATTGTATATTTAAATATTAATATAAATAAAAATACAATCTCCAATGAAATGCTGATTTTATGAATTTATTAACAATATTATGTATCTCACCATTCATTATTTATAATACAACGAAACATATTAACACAAAAGTAAGTAACTATATATAAATAGATAGTGAAATGAACGTCGTCGTGATGATTATATCCATCAACCAACTTATTGTAATTAATGACAATTATAATTATAAATGATAATCAATCACAATGAACGAATTGTTACACTGATAATAGTAATATTTAAATATATTCATCAAATGCTTGTAGTTTACACTCACATTTCAATTAAATTTGTTTATTAATTCATGACACACTGAGACATTTAATTTAGATCTATTTCTTTGTAAAATAAAAGATAACCAAATAAGATAAGATTTTTTTTTATTTATCTCTTTGATTAAACAGGGAAAACGATGTCTCACTACACAAATAATGCTGATTGATGTGTGGTATCGTATTAAAGTGGTGGTCGAGATGTGTTGTTTAAGTGGTGTGTGTGTGTTTGTGATTGATTCGAGTGTGTATTCTCTATTTGGTGATAGATTGAATCACAAGATATATGTGTTTGATTAGGTCAACAATGAAGATATTATTTATATAATAAACGTATTATTTATTTGTGTGTGTGTGATTTGTTTTATTTTCAATGATATCATGCGTTCATGTTGTGGTTGAATCAAAAAGGTCAATTATTAAACACATTATCAATACAACTAACCAGTCAGTGAAACTAAGATAGGAATGAATATGATCATTCAAAATTGTTTTTGACAATACAATTTGGAATTTTAATATATTTTTTCATTAATGTAATAAGAGCTTTGGAATTTTAGTCTATATTTAAATTGTTTGGGATGTTGGTTGTTGTTGTTGTTAATGTTTGTTGGTATTTGTTGTTATTGGGAGTTGAAAAGTATTTAAATTTGTGGGATGTTTTTATTGCTCTACCTGTATATAGTATATTTTTTGAAAAAAGAAACAAAAATGGAGGTGGTGTTTGGATTTGAAACTGGCTGGTTGGTTCTTGGCAATATATGAAATGGTTTGGAGTGTGTGTGGATCATACATTATTAATTAACCAAGCCAAATAAAAATGAAAAAAAAACAGAAAAAAAGAGTTAATATGTTCTTCATTTACAAATAATAGTCATGATAAAAAGAAATGAGAGGAAATAACAGTGAGAAAGGACGACGAGTATGAAGAGATCAAACCATACTTTTTAATATTACATCACATTTTTATTTGAGCGATTCCACGACTTGGCAAAATAAACACCAAGCATGAAATTCTAGTGGACAAACTTAATTGGAACTTATTTAAATTTATATATAAATCTGAGAGTGTGTAGGTAGGGTGGTTTCGTTGAGATTCTCGCGTTTCTGGTGTTGCTTCTGGTATTTTTGGGTGGTGTGACAGAGTATTGTTGATATTTAATATTCAAATATTGTACAATAAAAATCTATGATATCAAGATTCAGAAAAGAATTAGTGTGTGTGTGTTTTACTATAGATTCTATTTTATTATATGCTTAGTAGCTATTAATAATTTATATAATAATAAATTCTAGTATTTTTTTTTTTTTCCATCTGGTTGTTAATAACAACAATACTACTTATCTATTTTAAATAGAAATACTATAGAAGATTAGATTTATACAAATTTGTGCTTCCATTTTTAAAAACACAAATAACAACAACAACAATAACAAAAATAACAACTACAGTAGCAGAAACAACAACAATATTAAAACTTAAAATACAAATAATAATACATTTTTTTAAAAATAGATATAAAAACTTTTAATAATTGATAGAGTTGAACTGCAATCCATTATAAATAAAGCGTGGACAATAACCATTCATAATCAGTTTTCATCTTTTCAAATTCTAACAAAAGTCCGATTGGTTCACCTGTTTGGAGTTTATCTAAATACACACTCTATACTTTTTTTTTTATTCTCTCTTCTGAATGAAAATATTTACTATCTCAGTTTGGAACTGACCATTTTTATCTTTTAAATATTTACTGATAAAAATAATCACACCATTTGGTATGTACATATTTTCATTTATTTTTGTAGATTTCCTTTTATAAATATTTTATACAAATAGGATTCCGGTTGAACACTAAAAAATATTAAATTTTTAATCTTTATTGCTTCTTTTAATTAAATTTATATTAATTTATAAATAGAATAATTAATTTTATTAATTAATAAATTTGTTTGTTTATTGATAAAATATTTTTAGAATATTTAGTTATTTATATCTTCTGAAAAAAAAATGGATCGTATGCCATCACTCAATGAACTTAGAATATTCCATAACAATGTCCAAATACCTCTATCACAGATTCAAGAGATAAAGAATCCCCATGACATTCATTCAATTCGACAATTGGATCAGAGTTTAAATGAATTACCCCATATAGGTGTAAACAGAAGTAATTCAATTAATAGGATAATGCCAGATTACCAACAGATAATAATTGAAAAATATAAAGGTATTTACTTTATTTCTATTTAATTATTATTTGTTAAAGTATAAATAAATATCTAAAATAGATTAATTTTATCAAAAAATTATTTTTAATAACACATTAAAATTGGAGATAAATTAGAAAATAATAACAAACCCAAATTTGGAAATATTTGACTAATCACACTTTTTTATTTTTATACAAAAATAATTACCAAATTTAGAGAATGAACACATTATTAGGGAATTTATTAAATGTAAAAATAACGAAAGCACTACCAACGATGGAAATTGCAATCACGACAATCGATTCATTCTGATTGATCGTAATGAATTTACAGCACTCTTCAAAATAGAAGATGTTATGCTCATCGATTTGATATTCCATCACTTCCAGTACAACGATAAAAGTAGAGCAACTGATAGATTCACCTCAACTAATAATAATAACAGCAACAACAACAACAATCATCATAGTAATAACATTAATAATAGTAATAGCAATAACAAACATAATATTAGTAAAAATAATTTAAAAGATATAATTACAACAAACAATGTAATAACAACTAATAATAATAATAGTAATAATATTGATAACAATAACAATAATGGTAATATTGTTAGTTGTCAAGATGATAAACCAAGCCAGAGCTTTATCAATAACTATATGAGTAGCAGTGTTGAGAGTCATAATAGTGCTTTGTCGAGTGACACCAGTAGTTTCAGTGACAGCAACAACAACAATAGCAAGATCAATATATTGAAAAGACCGATTGCTGGATCATTTCCAATTGAAACACCATCATTCTACAACATACCATTGCAAAACACTGACAGTAGTCAACCAACAAGTCTTACCAACAGTCCACTAGAAGAACAATGTAACTTTACATCAACTGCTGACAATACTCCAACCATTGAGAATAACCTTAATAATATCATCGAAAATAATAACAATAATAACAATGATAATGATAATATTGATGATAATAATAATGATGATAATGATAATGATGAGGATGATGACATTGAAAATAGCTCAGGAAGTAGTAGTAATAACATTAGCAGTAATATTAGTAGTAGTGACAGTTCAAATGATGATCATAATAAAAGTATAACTACCGAACAAGATAATAATAATAATAACAATAATAACAGTACCATTAATAATGATGATGTAGATATCAATAAAAATAATAAAAACAACAAACAAAGTAGTACAAAGAAAGATAATAAACTATTTAAAAAGAAAGCAAAGAAAGAGAAGGAGAAGGAGAAAGACAAAGAGAAAATAACATCTTATGTCAATCTATTCGATATAATCAATCAAATTTACTTGATTATGTCAAATAGAGGTACAAAAGAAGATAGAATTAAAAGTATTTATTAAATAGAATAACAAATATCGCATGCAATTGAATAGTTAACTAATAGAATTTAATGATGATTGATTATTTTCATATAGGTGCTTTCAATTTGTATGATATCTATAATAGAGGATTTATCAATAGAGTTGATTTAAAGAATGTACTGGCATTCAGAATCAAACAGAATGGACTATCGATATCCGATATGACTTTGGAGAATTTGGTTGACAATGTATTCGAACAGTTTGACAAAAACAAAGATGGTATCATTGACTTTCAGGAATTCCAACAGGAAATGCTATCGATCAAAGATAATGAACCAACAACAAAACCAATTGAACAAAAGGTAAGTTAAAATGATATATAATTAATTAAAAACAAACAAACAAACAAACTAACAATAATTATTAAACTTAATAACAATAGAAAACAACACAGGGTGTTAAAACCTATTTCAATATTGAAGGTATTAAGTTAATTTATATATTGATGATCATTTTGATGAATGTTGGAATCACTGTTTGGACATACTTTGTTGTTTCCAACTCATTCTTGGCACTACACCTGTTTGGCAATGGTCTATATGTCACTAGAATTGCAGCGGGTACCATCAGGTTCAATGCATCATTCATACTGCTGACCATGTGCAAGCAAATATTCACATGGATCAGAAATACAAGAATACGATCTCTGGTTCCGGTCGATAAATATCTTACATTTCACAAGATATTTGCATTGTTTTTAGTTTTAGCATCATTAGTTCACACGTATGTATATATGAAAAACTGCAAACATAAACCAACAAAACATTTAACTAACTAACTTTGATTGATTGATCGATCGATCGATATCAAGTGTCGGCTGGTTCTTTGGTATGGGAATTGCATCGACCAAACCAGACTATGTATTCTTTAGTTGTATGTTTCCACATTTCACAGCCAGACCTACTGTTTGGGCAATGATATTTCTCAGTGTTCCTGGAATCACTGGATTTCTCATGCTGGCAATACTCATCGTTATGCTAGCTTGTTCGTTCAAGAGTTTCAGAAAGAGATTCTTTGAGGGGTTCTACTACACACATCACATTTTCATTTTGTTTTATATTTTGTTGATTGTCCACGGATCACAGGGTTGGATCTCACCGCCATCGTTTTGGAAGTGGTTCATCGGGCCTGCTGCACTCTATATGTTGGACAGAGGATTCCGTCTATGCCGAAAAACACACAGAGTATCGATAGTCAACTTCAGTCTAAAGAATTCCAAGGTGATCAATCTCACTTTCAGTAGACCTAGCTCGTTCAACTACAAACCTGGACAATACCTGTTGGTCAACGTACCGCAGATCTCGAAACTTCAGTGGCACCCGTTCACAATGACATCGTCGCCACTCCAAGATCATATTAGTGTGCACATTCGAGTGACTGGCGGTTGGACTAAATCGCTGTTTGACTATCTCTCGAGGAAACAAACAAACGATGCTCTCGACTTGGAAGTCGGTGCCAAAGACATTGAGATCAACATCGATGGACCTTTTGGCTCTTCTTCGCAATACGCACTCAAAGAGAAGCAGATCATTCTCGTTGGCGCTGGCATTGGTGTTGCCCCGATGGCATCGCTTTTGCAGGATATCAAGCTGAAAAAGGATTCTCTGAAGAACCGTGCCTCTGGCAACTACGGTGCGTCAAACGAAAAGGCGATGGACATTGGCAATCTCGAGAAAGTACACTTCTTCTGGCTAAACAGAGATCCCAATTGCTTCCAGTGGTTCGAAGAGTTGCTGATGGAAATCGCGAGAACCGGAAACGATACACCGAAAATATCGGTGCACACATTCACCACCCAGTGTATTCCAAAGAACGATGCACGTACCTTTATGCTCTGGAATGGATTGGAAAAGATGTTCAAACATCAGGGATTGGATCCAACCACCAACCTACCATTCAAAACACATTGGGGACGTCCGAATTGGGACGCGATATTCGATTACTATTCAAATAAATACCCAGGTGAAAGTATGTAATATGAAATGAATTTAATTGAAACGAAACAAAACAAAACATCTAACTAACAAACCTCATTAATTTTCACGATAACCAACTAACTTTAGCAATAGGATTGTTTTGTTGTGGACCGCCAGCACTATCCAAAGAACTCTATGGAAAATGTAAACACTTTACAAGCTTAAAAGGAACGAAATTTAAATTCCACAAAGAGAATTTCTAAACAATTTTTATTCAAAATTAATTATAATAAAGTAAAATTGATGAAATGTATCTAATCCATTTTATTCATATGTAATCTCATGAGATTATCAAGTTCACATTTTCCTTAATTTATATAATTATTTTTATTTTGAGATTAAAAACAATCTTTTAAATATTTTTTTTTTCTTTTTTTTTTTTTAGTATTAGTATATAATCATTACCTTTAATTGATAATAGATATAATATATCTAAATTCTAAAGTTTTAACGAATGATTATTATTATTATCAATATTGTAACACTAACCCGAGGGGTTACATATGTTAAATTACTAAAAAGAGAGATATTAGACAGTGCAAACTTTCATTCATAGTAATTGTTAATGTTTTTTTGAACCATTGATATTCAAAAATAAAAAAAAGTTAAATTTTACAATAAATTTAGAAATCTGTTTTTTTTTTTTCTATTATTCATAGGAATTAAAGCTCAAAAAAAAATGATATCAATCCATATCTTTATTTAATTAATAATTCAAAAAATTAAGAAAAACTGAAACATTTTTAATTTTCATTGGACAAATAACAAATCCATATTTTTTTTTGTTTTGCAAAAAAGAAAGTTTGTATGAAAAAAAACAATTTTCTATTTTTGGTCTTTTTTTAGATTTTTTTTTTTTAGATTTTTTTTGTATTTTTGATTTAATTAATTAATTTATTAAATTCGGTTTTTAATTTTTTTAATTTAAATATTTGTTTTTTTTTAAGTTACTTTTTGGGTGATGGTTTTTTTCACAATTAAAAAATTAGAATATTTTAAAAAAAAAAAAATTAAACTCACCAATAACAATTAAAATTTTTATTATAATTAATTAATTTATTAAAACAAACAAAATTATCACTTTTTTTCTTTTTTTATTTTAAACACAGCGTTTATATCATTTTTATAATATATATATTATAATATTACTATCAGCTTACTATACTATCATTATTATAGAAGGTAAATAACACACACTACACTAAACTACACTACAGCGCTGAGTAACAGTAGTAGTGACCGGTGTATGATATTGAACACCTAGCATCTTATTTATTATTTTTTTGTGCTGCTTTTTTTTCTTTTTCAACACAAACACTTTTTGCTGCTCATGATTAGTTCTTCCCTAAAAACAACAACACCATAACAACAACATATAAATCTACTTCAATTAATTAGTTTTGCAACAACAACTAAATTACCATTTCGACACCCCCCAAATATATATTATTGATAGTTAAATTTACAACTAAATAGTTAATCACAATAAAATCCATATAAAATTCACAATTAAACAGTAACACACCACAGTATAACATAATAGTGAAAACACTCCATTAATTAATAAAAAAAAACAACCATTATTACAAACAATAAATAACATCATCAAACATTAATGAAAACCAAACCACATCAAAAACAATATAGTAATAAAAAACATCTAGATTACTCTTTTACCTATAAAAATAGTAAATTAATTCTATTATTTGGTATTGTTTCAACCTACCTACCTACTTGTTAAGAATATAGTATACTATTACATAAAAGAAACACTTGTACAGCAATAAAAAAAAAATAAAAAAAAAACATCACCAACACCATACAACAACAGGAGAATATCAATATACTAATCATCACATTAGTAATTATAATAGAATAATAAATATAAATAATATTAATAACAACAACAACAAATATTAATTTATAAATAATAACACAGATCTATTTTAATTAAACTACTATAAGATCTTACAGACAAAGTAAAGTATAAATATCTACAATATTTAACTACCCCTACCAGCACTAAAACTCCCTCATCACCCATGACAATTAATAAGAATGCACTAACAAATACATTTATCTAAAACTAAAAACAAATCCAATAACCTAGAGTGGATTTTACCCTTTTTCTCTCATCAAATAGATACGCACACCTTCACAAACACACTCTTCCTTCATACTCACACTTATATGGCGATTCTTGTGATATGAAGCATCATTATTGGTTTGTTTGTTTGTTTTTTTTGTTTTATTTGTTTGTATATAAATGTTGACATAATATATATATGTTGTTGTTGATACACCAATGTATCAACGTATTCAACAAATTCGTCAGGTTATGGTATAATTCTCCACAAAATCACTGTAGAATTAATTAAAACGTTCATTAATTTTGAATTAATTAATTGTGTAGAAATTGAATCAACCCTATAACATCATACCCCTAATTAATCTATTCAATGTGTGGGGTGGTCACATTTTTTAATTATTACAATAACCTTCACATCATATAACAAACATTGTTTCAAAACAAAACAAAAATAAAAACACTACATAACATTGTATATTATTTCTTTTTCTTTTTTTTTCTTTTTTTTTTTTCTTTTTTTTTTTTTTTTCAACTCATAAAATAATTAAGAAATTTGAAGAAGGTTAGATTTAAATAAATAATATTTTTTACATATGATACACATTTTTCACAATTAAATAATAAAATATCTTGAAAAGATTCAGAAAAAAAAAAACAAAGTTCTCCCCAATTTCATTGTTCATCTTTTTTTATCATACAATGTTATAATAGTTTTTTATTAATTTTTATTTTTTTTTTTTTACCATATTTGGAGGTTGTTGTCTTCTCTTTGTTCACTTCATTATATTAATAATCTCACTATCTTATTGTTTGCTTTACATCACCAACGCCTCTTTTTAAATTATTTTTGGTTCGAGCAAACCACAAAAAAGCTTGTTTTATTGGTCCAAAACCAACCACCTCCCCAACACCATCCTGAAACACCATCATCCACACACAAAAAAGAACAACCTGCGATCATCAAAGTCTCAGACAACTAATCGTTATTTAATAAAATAAATAAATTTTGATTGATTTTTTTTGTTTTTCACAATTTCAAAAAGTACTGTTAACCAGTGGTTTATGTCATATTCACACGTTTTTTTTGATTTTATTTAATTATTTTTCAATCAATTCATCAATTTTATTAATAACACCAACTTTGACTAACTTTTTTTTTTCAAACAATTTGCCAAAAATAAAAAAATAAAAATAACAACAATAGTAAGACAATATATTAATAATCAAAATGTCACATAGAGTAGCAATGAATCCACCAGTAGGTGGACACTACTCCATGCCCACCAATATCTATGGTTATCCATCAGCAGCAGCACCACCAGCAGCAGCAGCAGCACATCATCATCCAACTCCACATCAATACCAACAAGCACCTCCACAATATCATTATATCGATGGCAGAGCACCGCCTCCCGATCGATCTTATCAATTCTCATCGGCACCATACCCATCACAATACAACCAAAATATAAAGCAACAAGCACCTGGCTTCAGTTTGTATGGTTCATCGTCTGGCAACGATTATTACCAACAGAAGCATAAATCACCACCACCACAATCGATTTCACAGAGTCTATCACCATCACTTTCACTTTCAACCAGCAACTTATTGGATCTTGAGGATGATCCATTGAAAAAGAAGAGAAAGAGAACATCTCCGGATCAACTAAAGATTTTAGAGAGAATATTCCTTGCACATCAACATCCTAGTCTAAACTTGAGAAATCAATTGGCCATTGAGCTCGGAATGACACCGCGTTCTGTTCAAATATGGTTCCAAAATAGACGTGCCAAAGCCAGAAACATGGAGTTTAGACCACCTTTGACCGGATCATCGGAGCATCTCTACGATTCACTCACTGGTCTTTCCTCGATAAAGGGTGATGTATATTCAAATATAAATGATAAGCAATCGGGATCAAGTTCGCCAGGTGACAAATCCCCATCGGTAGCATCAATATGGAATCGTATTTTGCTACACCCAGGAAATGCCGAAAGCCTCCTTCGCTACAATCCAGAGGATCCAAACTCTATCGATGTCAACACTAGAGACAGTCGCGGTCTCTCACTTTTGTTTACAGCCGCTGTTCTTGGATACGAGTTCCAAGTTCGAAGACTTATTGAAAGTGGTGCCGATCCAAACATTCGTGATAACCAGGGAAACACCCCGATACTTGCCGCATCCCTTTTGGGAAATATTCACAATGTGGAGTACTTACTCCAATATGGTGCCGATCCTAACCTAGTTAACGATGAGGGTGTTTCTCCTTTGTACGCAGCTGCCAAGAGTGGACATACCAACATTGTGCGATGTCTCCTCGAAAATCATGCCGAAGTTTCCACACGTCACCAGACCACTGGTGAAACACCTCTACATATCGCTTCTCTTAAGGGCTCTGAACGTATTTGCCAATTGCTTTTGGAGAACGAAGCGAAACCCACTGTACTCGATGTAAATAACTACACACCACTTCATCATGCCTCAATCATGGGACACATTGGTATTGTCAAACTTTTAGTCAAGTATGGTGCCGATTTAGAATCTCTTGATCGCGAAGGTCACACTCCATTACATACCGCCTCACTCATGGGTAACGATTTGATTGTCTCTTATCTTTTGGAAAAAGGAACCAACCCCAACATTCAAGACAATGAAGGATTCTCTCCAATTCATTATGCCATCAGAGAAGGCAGAATTGAAACTGTAAAAATATTAATTAAAAATAGATCCAATTTAGATTTAAGTGTAAGTTAAAGGATATGATAATAACAACAAAAAAAAAACCAACATTTTATATTAACATAATATTTTTATATATATAGACTTGTAATAAACAAAACGCCCTACATCTTTCTGTACAGTATGGAACTGTCATGATGGGACAACTAATTTTTGATAATTATCAAGGAAAAATCGATGTCTTGGATGACCAAGGACACACACCACTATATTTGGCTGCCAAGACAGGAAAGTTTAATTTTGTAAAATATTTAATCGGTAAGGGCTCATCTGTAAAGTTGGCTCTAGAGATCATGCAGAGAGAAGGAGAAGACAAGGAGATTATGGAAATACTTTTAAAGAATTCAAATCATTCCAGTGGAAGCAGCCAGGAAGAAGATGAGAAGTCTAAAGATAACAAAAAGAGAGATAGACACAGCTATGATTCAAACAACTACAACAACCAACATTCACATTCAATCAACGAAATCTTAGATAACGACGATAATGAAGACTATTACAACTCGTACTCTGGTAGAATCATAAGCAACTCTCACAGTTACCAAAGTCAAAACCAATCTTAAACCAAATAAAGTGAATTTTTTTTATCATCCTATTATAATTTCATTCCACATTATTTATGCTTATCCATTAGATCAGTTACACGGCAACAACCTATAAAAAAAAAAACAAATTTAAACAAAGATTGTAGTTAACAGCATATAAATACTTTGTGTTTTAAAGTAATTATAATACTCTTGGCGGTTTGAATTTTTTGTGTATTTATATTTGTTTTATATTTTTTAATTTATTTTATCTATCTTCTGCTGACTCTTGTTATTGAGAGATCATCTTCCAAGTTTTGAATTTCACTGAGAGACTCTTGTAATATCATTGATCCTTTGTCTAACCACTGCAGTGCATTTAAATGATCATTTAATATCTTTACAATTTGTTGTTTCTATATTAAAAAGATTAAAAATAATTAATAAGTTTTTGCAAAAGTAAAAAAATAAATATAAAAACTTACTTGATCTACTGGTTCGTTTGGTTGTGATTGATTGATATTTGATACAATTGATTGGAGCTTAGATTCAATACTTAAAATATCTTCATCTATCTTCTTTGTTGAATAGTAACTATTGATAAAGTAGAGATTAAAGTTTAGAATGAGAAATAAATAAAAATAAATAAAAAGTTTGATACATACATTCTTTCTCTTTCAATATCAGAAGAAGATTCATTTTCTCTTGGATTTGATTTAATTTTTTGGTCAAGTGCATTTAATGATTTCTCTAGTAATGATTGTTGATCGGTTATGATATTGATAACTTGTTCTAATGATTGTTGTTGTGAGTTTATATGTTGAACTGTTTCCATGAGTTTATTTAACTAAAAGAAAAATAAAAAATGAAAATAATTTAGTTATTAATATTATAATATATAATCATCTCTCGTTTAAATGATCATTAATTCTTTAAACTTACTTTTTGAGAGTTTTCCATGATAGCAGTATCCCATTGATAGATTTGTTTAGCTTGATGATAGAATTCTCTTGTTTGTTTCTCAATCTCTGTGCTCCACTCTCCAAATAGTTGCTCTAGAATCTTGCTTTCATTAATTTCGATGACATCTTCTGTTACTGGCTTTGCGGATGCCAACATTGATGTTGTGAGTGGTGATGTAGAAGAGGTGGCAGTTAAGCTAGATGATGCCGGTGTTGTCGAAGTGCCAGTTGCAGTTGGAGTTATAGTTGAGGTAGATGTTTGGCCAGCTCCTGAAAATAGACCTGAAGTAGTTGTTGGGCTTGAGGTTGTGCCGAGAGACAGTGATGGTGTAGCCGAGGAGGTGGAGGTGGCTGAGGATGTTCCACTAAGTAAACCACTTGACAACGAAGATCCAGTTGCTGCAGACGATCCACCAAACAAGCCACCCGATAACAATGATGAGCCTGTAGTTGAAGTTGGTGTAATAGTTGAGGTGGAAGTCTGTCCACCTGTTGTTGCTGATGATAATGCCGGTGTGCTACTTCCAAAGAGACCACCAGAAGACAATGAAGAGGTTCCACCTGTTAAATTGGTGATCGATGGTGTTGTCAAAGTTGGAGTTGCTGTTGTTGTTGTTGGAGTTGTTGTTGTTGCTGCTGTAGTTGTGCCAAACAATCCACCCGATCCGAGTGTTGTTGAACTAGTTGTGCTAGGTGTTGAAGATGTAGTGGAAGGTGTGCTCAATAAGCTAGTACCGCTACCACCAAACAATGTACTACCGGTGGCAGGTGTGCTGGTGGTCGATGGAGCCAATGTTAAGCTAGAGCCACCAGTTGTAGTTGAAGATCCACCAAATAAACCACCACCAATACCACTGGATGTAGATGGTGTGGTTGTTGCACCACCGAGAGAGAGTGAAGTACCAGTTGTCGATGGTGTATTAGATGTTAAACTACTACCAAATAAACCACCACCAATACCACTGGATGTAGATGGTGTGGTTGTTGTACCACCTAGAGAGAGTGAAGTGCCAGTTGTCGATGGTGTATTAGATGTTAAACTACTACCAAATAAACCACCGCCAAGACCACCACTAGGTGCTGCGGAAGTTGTTGATGGTGTTGTCAAACTCGAACCACCACCGAACAATGTGCTTCCAGTAGTAGTGGATGTCGATGGTGTTGTCAAACTCGAACCACCACCGAACAATGTACTTCCAGTAGCAGTGGATGTCGATGGTGTTGTTAAGCCTGATCCACCAAATAATGTACTTCCAGTTGTTGTCGATGTCGATGGTGTTGCTAAACCTGAACCACCACCGAACAATGTCGATGAAGTAGTCGGTGCACTAGAAGCACCACCGAATAGCGAACTTCCAGTTGTTGTCGATGTCGATGGTGCAGTCAAACCTAGACCTGAACCACCAAACAAATTGTTACCACCACCGGTGGAAGTTGTTGACGGTGCAGTCAAACCTAGACCGGAACCACCAAATAGATTAGAACTACCGGTGGCAGGTGTAGATGGTGTAGTCAAAGATAAACCAGTACCGGCACCACCAGCACCACCAAACAAATTAGTACCACTACCACCGGTGGCAGGTGTAGATGGTGTAATCAGACCGCCGCCAAACAATGAACTTCCACCAGTAGATGGAGTTGTAGTGGACGATCCAAACAACGAGCTACCAAAAGGTGTGCTACTACCTGTTGTACTGCTACCTGATGTGCCTGAAGTAAACATATCTATCTAACAATATATTATTTAAATAATTATATATTACAACAACAGATCAATCAAGTAAAATAGCTTTTTTTGTTAAAATAAATTTATTTTCGATTTTAAATTTTTTTTTTTTTTCATTCTTCAAAAAAAACCCTCCAAAATTTAAGTTCAGCATTTTCATTTTTTATTTTTTCCAAGTTTGTTTATTATCTGTATCTTAAGAGTATAGGTTCATATATATATCATTTCTATTTGTAATATATTATTAAAAAAATTACTTATCTTTGATTTTTAATAAAGATTATAAATAGCAATTAAAAAAACATTCAACAGCAGTTTATTGTTTTTACAAATTCGAAAATGGGTTATATTTATTCATATGAATATGGAAATTAGTTTACAAAATTTCTATTTATGTATAAAAACTCGAATTTATGTTTTATTTAAATATTTAAAATTATTTAAAATGTTGTAGTTTTTAAATCCATTCAATTAAATTACAGATTTAATTTAAACTAAAATAATTAAAATAAAATAATGTCAGCTAAAGGAGTTATTTTTCATGAGTATGGAGATTCTTCGAAATTAAAAATTGAAGATGTTCCCATCGAAGAACCAACTAAAGGTCATGTCAGAGTTAAAATGATGGCTGTAGGTTTGAACCGTGCTGAAGTTGTTTTTGTAGAAGGAAAATTCACTGAACAACCGAAAGATCTTAGAAAGGGTAGTTCTTTAGGTTATGAAGGTAATTATTTGAATTAAAATAAATATCTAAAATATTAATATAAAAAATAAATCAAAAAAAAATAGGTGCTGGAATTGTTGATAAAGTAGGAGAAGGTGTCAAGAAATTCAAGGTTGGTGATAGAGTTGCCGTTTTGTGTAATGTTTTGATGTCTGAGTACCCAACGAATATGGAGGAATGTATCTTCCCAGAGTATGCTTTGGTCAAGATGTTGGATGGCCAGAGTTTCCAAGATGCCGCCTCAACATGGCTAGCCTACTTGACAGCCTACTTTGCTTTGGTAACCAACGCCAAGTTGAAAAAGGGTGACTGGGCTGTGATTACTGCTGCCGGTTCCAGTGCTGGTTTGGCAGCTGTCCAAATGGCAAAGTATCTCGGTGCCAATGTCATTGCTACCAGTCGTACCTCTTCGAAGCGCGACTTGCTCATGAAGTTTGGAGCGGACCGTTTCATCGCGACCAACGAGGAGGACATCAAGGAGAAGATCCTCGAGTATACCGGCGGCAAAGGTGCACATCTTATCTACGACTCGGTCGGTGGTGATTGGCTTGAGAAGTTGGCCGACGCTACAGCCGTGCGTGGTATCATCATTGAGTATGGAAAGCCTGGTCCGAAACCAATGATTCTACCATACTACCAGTGCTTCTCCAAGTTCTTGACTTTCAAAGTTTACTTTATGGCAGAGTATACAACACTGCCAGATTGTCTTGAGGAAGCAGTTCAATTTATCAACAAGCTACTGCCAAAGACTCAGTCGATTGTCGGTAAGACATTCAAGGGAATCGAACAACTACCGGAAGGACACAAATTTTTGGAGGGTAACAACGTCTTTGGAAAGGCAGTTGTTGAGTTTTCAGACTGCGGTAAAACATCCATGCCATCTCAATAGTCAATTGGAATAAATAAAATAAATCTTCAATATAAACATTATAGTTATTTATTTACTTTAACTTTATTTAATCTTTCTTTTAATGATTCAAAAATGGTTTTCTAGTTAAAATATATTCGTCAAATGCCTTCCAAAATTCAATTTGTCCTGTTAAATCTAAATGACGTTTTTGTCTGCTTATCTATTGATTTGTTTGTTTTTGATTAAATTAAGATCGTTTGTCAATATATTATAAAAATATAATAATAAAATAATGATAGTTATAGATATTTACATGTAATATTTTCACATCCCATGATTTAACTGATTCTGGTACAGTTGTATCGTCGAGTTTCAGATAAAATCCTTTAACTATAAAAAAAAAAAAGTAATGTAAGTATGATTAGTGTTCTTATAATATACTGTCTTAATGAAAAGGATTATTTACTATTTGAAAGAATATCGACTGGAGTTGGCCATTTCCAATCTTTAAATTGCCAGGCTTCACCTTGTACAAATACAGCAGCCACTCTTGGCCAGTCTTCAGCTTTCAATAGTTTTATATTGTCGTATACTTCGTAGGTGATCTTTGGTGTAGAGATTCTGTCGAATGCGATCACCGTAGGCTTTGATATGTTCTGAGAGGAAAGTTCATTCTTTTTCTCCAAAGACGGTGTCCACTTGGCGTTCTGAAGAAAGTCTTGTGCATTAAATATAGATAATGTTGCAGTCAATGATGAAGGTACAATAATAATAGGTGTTCCTAAAATAGTTTGATTGATAGATAGATAGAGATAGTGTTAAATTTGATGATCTTAACTAACAAACTTGATTGTCTGATGATAACTTACGGTTTGAACCAATGCTTGCAGAATCGTGTAATGTTGATGTCATCGATGATTTGTTATTAGCACCACCACTTGTTGGGTGTGGTTTGCTCGAACTACCTGGTATAGATGAAGAAGACGATGGTCTCTTTTCTTCTTTTTTAAATTGATTGTATTTATCCAATATATCTAAATATGCCTATATAGTTATCATTTCATATATATATATATATTTCGAGTTAGTTATCTACACTAAACTATCTAATCTATGTTTAACATCTTCTATATTGATTATATTACATACAGTTGGACCATTCAAAATAGATGTTCTATCATTTGTTGTTTTCTCTCTTTGTAATATCATCTTTGTGATTGGTTCGTCTGCCATCATAAAATTTGACTTTTCCATGCTCAATGCTTTTCTCTTATTTCCAATATCCTCCATAAATTGATTCTCACTATCTTTAAGTGAACTGTTATGATAGATAAGATAAGATAAGTTAAGATATATATGTTAATATTATATTATTATTTTCTTTAGATTTTAGTTTGATTACTTACTATGATTCATTTGGTTTGCTTGGTACAGCAAGAAGATGTGAAGTGAATGCAGATTTCTCGCTGATCATTTCGTCGGTGAGATCAATCTCTGGAATATGCGATGATCGATACGATGCATCGTATTGGTAGTCGTGATCACCTCCAATCTTGTATTGGTCACCAAGCGAAGCACCGGAAGCATCGTACATACTCTGCTGCTGAGTACCTGTTGAATACTGATTGTTGGAATCATCTACCTGCATAGCATCGCTCTGACTGGTAAGCGATGAATCCATCGATTGTTGCGTACCGGTAGACACTGCACTACTACTACTTCCACTCATCAAAGAACTATCATAGACAATCGATGACGAAGTATCGACTTCACCATCGAGATATGCTAACAATTCCTTTCTATCATTACTACAATAACAAATATTTGTTTAATAATAATAATAATAATAATAAGATTATGTTAGTTCTAATACTACTACTACTATCACACTTTAAAGTGATAACTAATAGCTATTGGTGGTTAACTTAAACTTACAGTGAAACAGCGGTTGTACCGGCACGAGCAACTTGAAGTACATAGACACCACGAGATACATCACGATTGAGATGACAAAGATGTACAGCTTGTAAGGTGTAGTATGTGTTGTTTGCAGAGCTTTTGAATGCGGTCGGTACATTCTTATTGAATCTTGTCTTACCAAACACATATTCGTCACCCTCTATCACTGGTTGTTGTTGTTTCGACAACACATCTCTGAGCATAGTCAATGGATCAGCCATTCTTTATCAAAATATCTAAATATACTAAAATATAAAGTATAAATATTATATATTCTTATAAATTTAGATTAGATATAGAGATTAGATTTGTTTTATTTAAAAATAAAACAGTTATATTCAAAAAAAAAAAAAAAAAAACTTTTTCAAAAATTTGAATTTCAATAAAAGTTGTTGTATGGTCAGAATTTAATATACAAACAGAAACATTTTTATATTATATGTTAAGATTAAATGGAATACTATTTTTTAAAGTTTATTATTTTCAATAGTACCTTCAAGTTCATTATGTTATTTAAATATCTGAAATCATAGTAAATTTAAATATAACATAACCTTCAAAATGATTATATTTTAATTTCAAAAAATAAATAAGTTATAAAAATAAAAGATCATTACAATCTAAATCAGATTTCAAACTTGAATGATTTATTTAATTGGTTGGTTGAACAAAAAAATTAAAAAACTAAGTTCAATTTTTTTGTTTACTCTTGTTTGTTAAATTATTTTAGTTGTGAATAATTTTTTTTTCTTATCTCTATCTATTAAGTAAACAGATTTATAAGAATTGGAAATGAATGATGATATCAAAGATTTGTTCAAGTTACCATATTTTTTGTTTAGGAAAATTTTATCATATTTAGATCATAATATTGATAAGATTGTTTTTTCGTTGGTATCTAAAAAGTTATATGACAATAGAAATAGATATCTCAATATTCCTTTAAACATCACCAATCAGACATCGAGATCTATGATAAAGAATCTAAAGTTACGTTCTTTTGTAAATCAAATAGAATCATATGATCATTTAGATGATAGTTATCATACAATAAAAACAATAATAACAGTTGGCCATGATCATTTCGGTGAATTTCCAAAGGTATTCTCAAGTTATTTTAATAATGGTAAATAGTTATAATCATATTAATACAACAACAACAACAACAACAATAGTCTATAGATATAATATAGTAGCAAAATTATAACTAACTTTATGTACATCTTTCAAAAAATAATAGAAAGTTTACAACAATTAAACGAAACAGATATTAGTGATGATATCGAAGAGTTATTTTTTACGAGGGAGATCGATTCATTACTTTCGATTCCTGCTCTCAAAAGGATCAAGTCAATAAATGTGCCACTGATTTCACCGATAGATTACGCCATCCCTAACAATATCAGATCGCTACGTCTTGTTTTTGATAGTATTTCAGGAGAATCTTTTGGAAAGAATGCATCGTTACCATCACAGCTGGAATCACTTACACTCTATTCATGCCACACACAGTTTGAAAAAGGATTCTTTCCATTGTCTCTCAAGAATTTGCGACTGGTCGATGCAGCACCAAAGTTTGATTATGGCGTGTTACCGGAATATCTAGAATCACTAGAGATTCAGTATTCATCATATGACCAGCCTATCGCCAAAAGAGTACTACCAACTTCATTGAGATCAATAGGTCTGGCATCGTACACTGGAAAATTGGTTTTCTACAACCCATATGATGATGATGATGTTGATGATGATAGAGATAATAGTGAGCAGCAGCAGCTGCTAAACACCTACATTCCAAATACCGTTAAAATGATAATGATTGGTACACCACCAAGCATAGACAACAAACCACTTGTTTTAAAATTGCCATATGGTCTGAAGAAGCTACGACTTGATAAGTCGTTCAATCAAAAGCTTAGCAGGTTCGTTGTTCCCGATACTCTCACTAGACTAAAGTTAATAAGTTCGGATCAGTTCGATCGTATACCAGGGACTATCAATTATCTATACCTAAGGTATATAGACCTGGAGATTACCAATATGGAAAACATTTCACAGAGGTCAGGTCTTGCAAGTTTGGCTCTAGGTTTTTTTAATAATATACTTAACCAAAAAAAATATGGATTCAACTGGATCGGACCATCGATAACCACCTTAAAGATTCCATTGAGAGGTATGACAAGTAGGCTTTTGGAATCAATTCCTCTCACGGTCACTACAATAATCCTGTTGGATAGTTTTACATTATTTGATCACACAAAAACTATACTAAGAAGATTGAATGGTCAGAGCTATCTATTATTCTCTGATACCAATCAAGGTGGTATCATAAAATCAAAGGATTTCGACCATTTCTCAACTTTTGAATACCTAATCAAAACATCACCAAAAAATTACAATCCTTTATTTTTTACAATTTAAATGTATTAATAAATTTTTAATCCTTATTTAATAATCTTAAGTTTATTAAAAAGAATTGGTAGATTTGCTAATGACAATTTGTTATTTACTTAATAAAGAGCTATAGCTAATTATTTAGTTGTCATTTGTAAAGTGATGATAGTTATTCAATTGTTGCTTCTCACAATTCTATGTAAAAATAACAGTACAGTTGGAGTAACGACCACCATTTGTTTTCTTTTTGGTTTGTGAATTAATGAATCTGTAATTGTTATTTATATTGTTAAACTTTTAATATTTGTAATCCTTGACCAAATGCAATTGCAATCCAATCGGGTTGACTTGATGACCAATTCAATTGATTAATCTCTGCATCTGCACCATATGTCAAAAGTGGATCTATAAAAATAAAATAAAATAAAGATATTAATATATTGGAGTGATTTACAACACATTGTATACAATTTATAAATGTATTCAATTAATTTACCTTCAATTGGTTTTGGCAGTGATGATAAATCCCAAATTAAAGCTTGTTTGTCGTCACCGACCGTACATATATGACAACTGGAGTGAGGTGCCCATGCGATTCCGTTGACCGCTGACTTGTGGAAGACCAGCTCTGCGGCGGGTACCGACGGTACTCTAATATCGAGAATGATAATCTTTGGTGAATCTTGTTGAATAGTTGCGAGATAGTTGGGATCTTGTTTGTTCCAACACAGTCGAAGCAGTGGTGTAAATTGCGGTGTCTCATAGATGATAGTGGAGTGTTCCAAGTTCCTCAGATCAAACATTCTCAGTGAACCATCTGCACCCACCGAAGCAAACAGATCGGTTCCTCTTGCAAATGCCACATCAAACACCTCTTTATCATGTGCAATCAATTGTGTTTTTGGTTGTTGTGTCTTTAATTAATACGACGATAATATTAGTTAGTTAATTAGTAACATTCATCATCAAATTAGAGACATAGTTAACTAATATATATACATACTTCTATATTCCATATTGTACAAGTTGTATCTATACTAGATGTTGCTAATAATGTAGGATCGGATTCATTCCAATCAAAAGATGATAATGGTGCACAAAATTCTGTACTTTTACTCTTGATATATATAAATATTTGTTAGTTTGATCAAATGATGATGTATATATAAAGTGTATGTTGATAGATAGTTACACTTGATAATAAACTCTTTAATTTAATTGTTTTCTGACTTGTTAGCTCCCATAGTCTGAGATAGTCACCAGTGGTTGCAAGCAGATCTAATCTAGACCCTGATTTGTCAGGTATCCACATACATTTGGTGGGTGGATAAGGATGGTCGAACCCACACAATACTTCAAATGAATCTGTTTCTTCGTTTAGCTGTATAACCTCTACTCTATTTGTATAGTTCTCCAGGAACGATCCGATTGCCAATCGGAATGGTTGATTCAATCTACTACTCCAACTCAGACCATAAATAGTCCAAGGTGAATTATATGTATATATTCTTTTCTTCTCCATTCTATATTTATATTCTATATCTATATATCCTTCTACCTATTAATCTATCTCTAATTTATTTGTTTTGGGTATTATTAAATCAAACAACAACTTTGATTAACTAAAGAAAGTGTATATATTTTCTTTTTTATAAATAAAAGTAATAAAAATAGATAAAAATTAAGAGAGATTTCTATATTTGGTAGTGATCAAATTGTACAATCTAATAAGGTAAATGTTTGATGAAATAAATTTAATTAAAGTTTTAATTGATGTGTTGTTTTCTGAAAACCAAAAAAAAAAAATGTTTGTTTTTATTTTATTTTTTTTGGGATTTTGTTTAATAAATTTATAAAATTAGGAATATGTATATTTAGTTATTATAATACAATAGATCCATTCATTCATTCATCTAGTGGTGGATGATCATTTCTTTAATGACAATGTAATTTATAGAGGATTACTAGGTCGACTACCAAGCTGAACGATGGAAGAATACTGGACACTTGTGTTTTGAAGGTAAATAGTGACTTGGTTGCTAAGAATGAAGAGACATGATGATGATGTGACAAGATCCAAATCAAATGAATAATGTAACCTAACTTTAGATTTTGACTATATTATATATATAGTTAATGGATATATTGTTTGAAAATAAATCAATAATGATAGAATAAGATTGTAGATAGTTACGCAGAGTTATGGTAGGCCAAATATAAAATGATTAGACCGAATGCAACCTCTATGGAATCAACAAAGTCCAATAGTCTGGTGGGATGCAATGAGTATCCGAGAACCATACCACCAAACACTGTCAAGAGGAATGTATATTTGTGGTAGGAAATTCCATCTGAAAGTGTATACAAAAGAGCAACGAAAAGTATTCCTACTACCAGTCCTTTGACGTCACTGTTCACCAAATGTAAAATAATCAGATTGGCCTCTGTCAATATATTTAATAGCACAACTACAAATATCAAAAACAATCCAAACGATACCATATTATTAGTATTAACTTTGACTTTCATTTTCTATAACTATTTCTATTATTAATTAATTATTAATTAATTGTATATTTAAATTAATTCATAAGATTTGGAAACAAAATAAATTTATGTTTTCCTTTTGGAACAAAAAAAAATAAAAATAAAAATAAAAAATCTAATCAAATTTTAGATTTTATTAGAAACAATTTGAAGAACTATTAAATAAAATAGATTAATTGATGTTGTCACAAGTGTAATTAAGAGTTTTGATCTGTTATTTATTATACTAATTATAATGAAAATTACTTTGACTTGTTAACTTTGACTTACAAATAGAAAATCAAGTAAATTTATCTTGAATATAATATAAATATTTATTATAAAGATATTAATACTAATCATAGAAATTGTAGTAATATCAATTATCAATCGATCTAATTAGTTTTTCGTAGTTTGTTAGTTGTAAAAACAAACAAATAAATATTATTTTTAAATAATTGCTTCTGATCATTTTCAAACAATTTAATGATAAAAATAATTTCAAATTTTCAGTGAAATAACCACTAATTTATTTACCCCCATCCATCACTCTTGAACCCAAATTTTCGGTTTGTTGGGTCTATAAATTCAAACCAAATTTCAATGATCAATCCAAACAAGTCATTTTTTTTTTGTAATTTTTTTTCATTCATCTTCTTAAAATAAAAAAATCTTTATTTTTTTTTTTTTTAAAAAGTTCATTTTTTTTACACAAAGTATACCCCCACTGTACATATACACAAAACATACACAACAATCCCACATATATACCATATATATATATATATATTTAAAATTTGTAAAATTATATTTATTTAATTAAAACAAAACAACATTATAACAATAAGAGAGAATGTCAAATACAAATCAACCAAAAACTAAAGCAGAGGCTGAAGTGTTAGCCGATCAAATCGCTACAGTTGCCGATGTAAACAACTCGCTGCCACAACCAAAGGGTCAAGAAGCTACCTCTATCAAGACTGACATTGAAGACAAGAAAGCCGACGCTCAATTGGGTTCCGGTGCCAAAGATCAAGAGGTCTTCTTTGTCAAAGACGAGAATAAAGTAACCAAAGAATTAGATAAATCAGTCAGTCCAAAGGCAACCGTATACTTCAAGGGTTGCAAAGACGGTAACTACACAATTTCAGCAAGAGTCGTTAAGATCCTCATTGAAGCATGCCAGAGATGTACATTCACATTCAAAGGTAGAATTTTCACAAATACAATCGAAGCATGGAAGACTGTTGATTTGAATCTTCACGTATGTATATTTACTTTTTTTAGAAAGGAATAACAAAGAGTTGTGTTTGTGTTTATAAACTAATTAATATGTTTGTTTTTTTGGTTTTGTTTTATTATAATATAGATTTTAAATGATCAAGTAAAGACATTACAAGTCGATATGACATCGAGAATGAATGTTCACTTTGATACTAGAGCATCGTTGCATTCGTTGGTATGGAGTGGTGTCAACGATATGAAACTTAGATTCGTCGACGAGAAGGATTTCATCTACCAGACTGGTTTCGAACAGATGAAGCAACAATACCCAGGAACAGAGTTGAGTTTCACAGTCGATCAGTTCACAACTAGAATTGTCAAGGGTGATTTGATCACAGAGCAGATCGTTCGTTTGTCCAACGGTTATCCAACCACCGAAAGAGAGGCACGTGAATTCGATAGCAACTCTGAAGCCAACGCAAAGAAAGCCGAAGAATACGTAAGATCTAGATTAAAGGAAAGCGGTATCACATTGGGTACTTTGGGTATGGCCAAGAAGGAAACCGGTAGAAACGATGCCTGTCCATGTAATTCCGGTAAAAAATACAAAAAGTGTTGTGGAAACAAACCATAAAACTTTTTTAAAAAAAACAAATAAAAAATAAAATAAATAATATAATATAGAATAATAATATAATATAATTTTTAAGAAACTTTTAATATTTATTTAAAAATCTTTATTTTTTTACTCCAACCTAATTTAATTGATTACAATTTCTTGGATTATTAAAGTTTGAGTTTGGAGAATTGATTGAAAAGAAAGGGTTTCAATAACTTTGCTTTTTGATATCCATAAGTATAATACTTATGAATTATATCAGAATAGTAATGTTTTTATGATGATAACAACTAAGTTGTTGTTCGGAAACTAGAGGAAATCATCTACTACAATGATTTTTTGATAAAAGTGTTGTAATTCAAAACACTTTAAAACAGGAATGTATTGTGGGATTGAATTTTAATAAATATTATGGTAGTATTGTATTTTTATATGTTTGTAGTCTTATATTAGTTGTATTAAGCTAATGATCGAAAATAGAGTTATGAAAGTCGGACATTGGAATGGAAAAAAAATGGTGTCTACTCCTGCGTTGATTTGAAATGTGGCGGAAGCTGCTGACGACGTTGGGGGATCGCTGTCGAATCCATTGGGATCGTTGGTAGTGTTGTTTGTTTCGGCTGGGTCAACATAGGTTATGTTGGTGATGGTATTGTCGTCCAAGTCAAGCTTTGAGAAATAACGGTTGTTTCCAGAGCATCGTACATCTGGGAAGACACACATTGATGATGCAGTTCTCTCTGTATCTTTCTTGGGCAAACAGATACCACCTTTTCTCTCACACTGGTCTCTCTTACAATCGGATTTAATAAATTGACGTAGGAATGCATTCCCGAGTAACCTGGCATTCTTTAAATCCCAAGAGTCTTCTTGTGTTTCTCCGTACCAGTTTGCGCAATGACTTTCACCGGCAATATTTAAGATATTAGAGATGGGAGCATCACATGAAGTTGAAACCGACAATGTACTCCATGGATCCAAATCTCCATTAGTATATAAAACACTTGATAATTGTTTAATATTATCAGGTCTAAAGATTATAACAATTTTTTTATAATTAGAATCAATGTTATTTGTTTTTTTAAAATAATAATAATAATTACATACCCATATAGTAAATTAATTTTTTCTACAAATGGTTTCATTGGTCTACCAAATAAAATTCTACAAACTTCATTTTGCCACCAGGTTTCATTGAGAAGTGATGACTTCAATGTTACATTCTTTTCAGAGGCAACCAAGAACCAACCATATTCACTACACATCTGCCATGTCCATTGTCTAGTTCCAGAGTAATCTATTTCAGTATTTGCATATGTGAAAATATTATAATCATCACAGGTTGTCTAGATTTAAAAATTAATACAAATTAGAAAATGATTTTGATTTCTTTTTTTAGGAGATAAATTTTAACTTACACCTTGAAACAAAAACATATTTTTAATATATCCAATAAACATATCTAACAATGCACTCATATTGTTTGAATGTTTAATAAATAGTGGACATATCTTAGTTATTTAAAAAAAATATTAGAAATATTATTGGATTGAAGAGTTTGTTTTTTTTTTAAACATACATTTGCTAATAATTTAAATTTTGAATTATATTGTACTGAATAACTAAGTGATTCAGATAACATAAATAAGAACATTCTATCATCAATTGAACGGTTGCAACTAAATACATCCTTAATGGATTGATTCTTAAGTTCCATTAATTCATATTCAATATGATCAAACAATGATTTGAAAGCGGAAGAACATTTTGGACCAAGAGCAGCCCTAACTTTTTTATCGTAGGCATCGAATCTAGTGACAGCCTTCAATGGTGCCGACGATGAAATTGCAGCACCTACCATATGTGGATATTTCATACGATACCAAGCAGCCAAAGTACCTGCATAAGAACAACCCATGACAATCCATTTTGCCTCAGTCAAACCAAATTGTCTTGAAAATTCAATTTGAAATTCAGCAATATCTTCAAGACTAAAAAATAAATATATATATATTAATATCAAGAAGTGAGATGATAATAAATATATATTGAGATAATTACATTTGATCAGTTGAAAGATACATTAAATTATCAGTTGATAAATCAGGAACTGGAATACTTTTTCCATAATATCTTAATTCAAGAGCTATCACCAATGCTTTTGATTCATTTGCCACACTAATGAAAGGCATTCTTCTTGTCATTTCAGGAACAATTGGTCCCTCTCCACCCAAAATCACTAATTAAAAAATTAATTAAAACAAATTTTTTCAAATATTAATTTTTTTTCTACTTACAAAATACATTTGTTGGATAAGTATTGTATGGAACATTTTGTCTATTTAAACAATATCTTTGTTGAAATTTCAGTGTTTGACCAATGCTAAAATGGTCAACAGTCTGACTGAAACTATAAAAACTCGATGGTTGCAGATAATCGAGTGGTGTCATACCACCAACCATCAATATATTATCATTATTATATAAAAATGAAATAATAAAAAATATAAATATATTTAAATACAGTTTCATTATTTATATATATAGTTATTATTATATTTAGTATGGTACAATTTTAATTTATTATTTTTTTTTTGGTATTCTTTGTCGATCCAATATAACTATGTTTTATTATTTTTAAATTATTTAAACAACTAAGAATTTTTATTATTTAGAATCAGAGTAGAAGGTGTATTATATTAGCAAAAATATACAACTTACATACAGACAAAGATTATTTACTGATTATTATTGTTTAGATGATTCTAGAATAGTCAAAACTGGTATTCATCCAAATCCAGTACTAATTTAAAAAAACACAATAGCAATTCTAGTATTAAAAATAGAATAATTGATTATACTGGACCATAAATAGTTTAAAAACAAAAAAAAAAGAGTAGTAGTAAAAGAAATAAAGTTTAAAAATGGTTGGTTATAATTAATAGTGATTGGTTTGATTGATTGATTGTTTGATTGATTAAATTGTAATGGTTATTTTCTTTTATTTTAATTAGTATTTGTTTGTGGTTGTTTTACAATTCATTAAAAAAAATAGCAGAAGCACAAAGTAGTCATTTAGAAAGATTTATAAATCACTAATTGTTGATTGTTGTCTTTCTCTTTAATAAGATAGTAGTTGTGGCTGTCAATCACTTTTTAAATGTTTCAGTAAATTTTACTGTCAGTCTGGAAAACATCATTCATTCTGACACTAATTCAGTCAGTCAGTCTGCTATCAGTCAACTAATTTTCCAGGCAGCAACACTACACTGTAGCTGCTGTAGAAACAGAATAAACAGTAGTAGTAGTAGGTACTACAAACAATATAAAACAAAATTAATAAGTTTTAGATAATTATTTTTGATTTGTCAAAACCACACACACCACAAACCAAGCCATCCATCAATCCATCAATAACTCAATTAAAAAAACCTTCACATCAATCAATCCATCGTGATATAATGGATAAAGATAATAAAATTTAAATTTACATCATATATATGTATATGTATGTATGATATGATAATATCTATCGATCTATTTGATTTTCTAAAATTGATGTGTGTTAAAAAACCACATCAGCGTCACCGATTGATCCAAAACACAACAACACACACACACACATAACACTATTGATATCATCGACAATAAAATCCCAAACTTTAATTCTTGATTTTGTTACCCCAAAAAATATTCCAACTAAAATTAGTTATGATATGAATAACCACAAAAACACAAACACTTGATTCTTTTGTTTCTCTCCTTCTATCGTTTATTCTTTTATTTTTATATTTAATCTTTATTTTTATATGTAGTGGGGTGTTTTTGAATGATTCGTTTGGTTTTTGATCAGAAACTATCATTAGATTGAAATAAATATATCTAAATTTTGATACTTAAATAATTTATAGTATATTGATATAACAAGCCACTAGTGGCAAGTTGTATTTTGATTAATAGATGAGAAGAAAACATATTTAATCAATATGGTTCAATCTTTTGGCTTTTGGAATGACATTTTTAGCAGGTCGGGCAGACAATAGTACTTGTTGTTAGAAAGTTGATTCAACTCCTTGAGTTTTTGTGTCATTTTACCCTTTTAAACCATCGAATGTTGTGTGTGTTTTAACTATAATATTAACATTATATAAAAATGTGTGAATGATTCATATGAGGTGTTATTGTTGTTTTTTTTTTTTATTCTGTCGTTGTTGACCGTCTGTCATTTAAATGGTGAACAATAAGAAAATATCTGAAACTATTAACATTTTGCATATCATAATAATTGATTGTTATTAATTTTGTTTTATATTTTAATAAACTAATCTTTTTGAAATATTTTTAAATTTTACGTAATCTATATTACCATCAATCAACATTATATCAACTAAAATAAAATCACACAAACTTGTTTTCATATGAATGATATCTTAATATTTCTACAGTCGTTACCCCCAATCACCACATCCGATGGTTATTGATATTAGTTTCAATAGATAATTATCGATACGCATGAATTAATACCCAATGTGGTATGTTATGATTGATTACCTCATTATTTAAAAGATTTAAATTTGATTACTACGCTTTAATTTCATCGAGATATAAAAGTATATTACATTGCAAAAAATAACTAGTTTTATCTTTAGACACACACATTTACTATTTATTTGAATGATTTAAAAAATAACAATTTAGAATCATTTAATTTCAAATTCTGATTGTCAAATTTAATTAGTAGTTATTGTTGATGTCAACATGTTTAGTTTTATTAATATAAATGAAACAATCTTGAACCAAAATAGTGAATATCTTGTATAGTGTTAAAATTGCTTTAAAAACAACAACAACATATAAATAGTATGGAATGAAACATCTTGTTACATATCAATGTTTAAAGATTTTGATTTAAGATACATACATTATCATTTGTATATTATTTATGTTTTTTCTTGTCTATCAGTTTTGTTTTTTGTAAGTTTTTTGATATGATAATATAATCTATCGATTAGTTATTACAACCACTATTTTATTCATTGTTATAACTACAGTTATAAATAAATTTAATAGATGAAACAAAAATTAAAATTTGTTTTTTTAAAAACCAACTTTTTTTTGATCATTTATTATTTAAAAAACTATTTGTTTCGATTAGATTATATCATTAAGGTCATCTTCATCATATTGATCTAAACCATAATCAAATTTGTTTGAAATCTTTTTTTGATTAAGTAGATATCGATATACCTCCAAATCGACTTCATTATTGCATTGTTCTTTTAACATTCTAAAGTTACCATACATAATGAATGAGTAATTATATTGTTTCATTGTCGAAAGCGTTTCTTTTAGAATCTCCAATAGTGTAATTACATCACCGTATTTGCAACTATCATCATAGCTGATCACGACAGATTTCAATGTTTTCGAGTGAAGTGATAACAGTGGTAACAAAAAGTTCAAGTTACTGTAGTCTGGACAATCGTTCCAATCCTTATCGATATTGATATAGAATGATTCGATTCCATGACCATCTCCATTGGGTGTGCTCTCGAGGATCTTTTTCAAAAATGAACTGTAATTACCAGTATATCCATGGTAGTCAGTGATAGAGATGTGCTTGAGTTGAGGCATCGGAGGAAGTTGTGTCAAGTATCGATTCTTTGAAATAGACACTCGATAATAGTGTTCATCATCTTGAGTGAAGAAGCTATTATTATCTCGGAAATAGTGTCTCCGTACACCATCATTAGTATTACTATCGTATTCATCAGATTTAATGTGAAATACTTGAACTCTTGAAAACATTTGATTTGTTCGCTCGGTACTTTCACCGTATTTGAAGAAATTGATCGATTCATAATCAAAAAACAATGGCGGTGATTTGATCAATGAATATTTACTTTCGAGATTGATGTGTCTTGTAATATTATAATAGCTATTAGAGATACTTCTTTGATGAAAGCTTAAAGAATTGTTTGGAAACCATTGCAATATTCAAAATATACTCACTATCATTGTAATATATCCTTCAACCTCTTTTGTTTCAAAATTTCCTCCTTGTAGCAAAAATGAAATGATTCTTTCCAACAATATTTCTGGTAGAATGAATGATTTGACAAGAGCAGTGTAATTTTCTTCGTTGCTGTTGTCGTAGTTATTGTTGCTATTGTTGTTGTTGTTGTTGTCGTCGTCGTCGTTCTTCTCTAATTCATTTTGATTAACGATAGTATTTTGATTTTCATTGATATTGGTGTCATCATTTGTTAATAACCTGTTGTAGAAATCATAAAAATTGAAATCCAAGTATTGTTCTGGAATACATTTGAAATTACAACATTCTTGATAGACTTCTATTCTATTCTTTATTTGATCACTATTTATTTTCTTTGATTTGATTGTTAAAAAAAATTAGTATTAATAATTTTTTTTTATCATTGAATTTAAGAAATAGTTACTCTTTTATCATTAATAATTCTTTTGTAAATATCTTGTATTAGTGAAATATTATCACCACAATTATATAATGACATGTTGTTGAATACATTAATTGAAGGATCAAAGAATACGTCAACAATGAATTTGGTAAAACCTTCTTCATCGATATAGTGTAGAAACTTGTATTCATAATACTTTATAAAGTACCTTACACATTGTGATCTCGTTTGGTCATCACTATTCTCCAAACACTTATAATAGAGATTAAAAATCCTATTAAAGTTTATCAATGAAAATTGATTATTGGAATCGATACCTTCAATGTTGATAATTATTTCATTGTCTGGTTCTTCTTCTTGAAAATTGGAGTATAGATATGATCTGTTTCTAGTTCTAATTTTCATAGTTTGTTGTATCTTTATTAAATATTAAAATTAAAAAAGGAATTATAAATTTATTTAAATAATAAATTTTAAAAGTGGCTCGAAATAAAGAGTCTTTTCGGAGCTCCCCCTCCGAATAAAATCTTTTTTTTTTTTCAAATAATACATTTTTGGGTTGTAATAATACAAAAAGTGATTTTATTATGGAACTATAATTTTAGTCTTTATATATTATATGATTTACAGATTGGTTATATCAGGATCGATCTCTTTGTCTATTGTGGAGGGTGTGTTGACTGCGGTTGCTGTTGTGGTGGTGGAAGTGGCATTTGCCACTGCTTGGGCGGTTGTGGCAGGCGCTTTGGTTGTGTTGTCATAGGCATTTTGTATCTCTTGACTTGGAACTATCGTAGTGGTAGTTGTTGTTGTTATGCTGTTTGCCGGCATTGCTGTTGTTGGCATGCTTGTCAGTGGATCGGGAATCGGTATGCTCGTTAGCGGATTCGGCTTGAACAGACTTAGTTTCGTGGTTTCCAAAAACAAAGAAACAGGAACATCAGCGCCGCTATCATTGTCAGCACCAACCTCACTGCTACCAGCTATAATGCTATCACCGGTGCTTCCACTAACAACTTCGACATCGACATCAACATTTTGGTCGACAACAATTGTTGAATTTGTAACCAATGTTGTTTCTTCCTCATCATCATCGTCGTCAGCCATTACAATGTCACTATTCAACACCTCTTCATTACCATCATCCTCTTCTTCTTTAAGTATTTGATCGATCGTTGATGAAGAGGAAGAGGACACCGATGAAACTGGATGAACAACCTCATCATCATCTACAAAAACATCATCACCTTCAGTTTCCACATCTAACTTGTTGATTTCCGCTGTTGTCTTCTTTGACTCGTGTAGTGGATTCAACGTCCATGTCAAACCATCTTCACTAACTGATTTAAATGTTTTATCGTTATTATTATTATTACTATTTACAATGTTATTAATATTATTATTATTGATTGATATACTATTATTGTTACTGTTATTATTATTATTATTATTATTGTTATTATTTACAAAGTTAATCTCTCTATTATGTTGAAGTGCGGAATGATTAAGTTTGATTTCAGGAAGTGGTGTCTTTGTGTCAAGCTTCGAATTTACTAGTTGTGATGTCTTAATGGAGAATAACTTGGCCATTGGTGGAGGTGTGCTGGTGCTATTGATCATCTTTTGGTGTTGTTGGATGTGCTGCAGTAGGGGCAGTGTCAGAGGCGACGACGACATATTCTGAGAGATAATCTTGACGAGCGACGATATCTTTTCTTGGGTGCGCTCCGATCTCTGTGAATTAACAATCTCGTTGATACGCAAGAGATTCAGCTCATCTCTAAAAATATCGTCGTACTGCGGCCATATGAAAAAGCTTGGTTTCGCTTGGTGCTGATGCTGCAACAACGGAAACTTGAAATAGAATATTCTATCCTGTGTGACTGTCGATGGTACTTTTAAATATTTAACCTCTCTAAAATTAAAGAATATAGTCTAAATGATATTTATAAAACAAAACAAATATAACAAATTAGTTAACATATTCAATATATTATTATTATTATTATTATTATTATTATTATTATTATTATTATTATTATAATTATAATTACATTTTCAACTTTCATTGTTGTTGTATTTCTCCAAATGATTTGATAGTTTGTAATACCAATTTTCACCAGTGATAGTTGACCTCTTGCTGGCAAAGGTAATACAATACCGTTTTGATATAAACATTTACCTGCTGGGAATTCTAACAATATTCTCTATTGATACAAAATAATAATTAGAATATATATAATCTAACAATAATAAATTCTATAAACATACACTATTCTTATATAAAAACAATAGATCACCATAAATAGTATGCTTTTTATGTTGTTTTTGTTGTTTTTGTGTTTGTTGTTGATTATCTACATTATTGTTGTTATCTTTTGTTGTTGTTGTTGTTGCTGCTGCTGCTGCTGCTGCTGCTGTTGCTGTTGTCATTGTCGTAGTGGTGGTTGTAGTTGTGGTTGTCGTTGTGGTGGTTGTCGTTGTTGTTGTTGTTGTTGTAGTGTCATCGGGTTGTACATTATTGATTTCTATTTGACTTTGAGAGCTTCCATCTACATTATTATTTTGCTCATCAGCTTCTATCTCTTCCTCTGTATTTTCTAAAAGTTTACTCAGTGTAAAGTTAACCACTAAATGATACTTTGACTTTGGAAGTGATAGTCTAGATAGATCAACAACTACTTTTCTACAAGAACCTCCAGTAGATCCTGCAACCATTGGTAGATATGATTTTTTACTATTTTGAATCTGTTGTTGTTGATGTTGATGTTGATTATAATTATGATTATGATTATTATGATGTTGTTGTTGTTGTTGTTGTTGTTGTTGATAATAATGTTGATAATATTGTTGGAAATGTTGTTGTTGTTGCTGTCGTGGTTGTAACTGTGACGAAGGTGAAGAAAACGATTGTTGTTGCTGTTCTCGTTGTTGTTGTAGCTGCTGTTCTCGTTGCTGTTCTCGAAGTTGTTGATTTTGTGGTAAAAAAGCTGAAATCTTAATTCTCTTTATTGGTAATTTTGGGCGACTACTATTTACAGATTGTTCATTACCATTTCCACTTGTTGATGCTACATCCTCTTCATTCACACTTAAATTACTCACTATATTATTGCTATTATTATTATTATTGTTGTTATTAGTGTTAATATTGTTATTGTTACTAGTGTTAATGTTGTTATTGTCATTATTATTATTATTGGTGTTGTTGTTGTTATTGTTCATTTTTGTTTTATAGGAATCCAACCAACTCATACTAGTAAGATTAGGTACCAATAGATTCTTTCCTTGAATCAACTTATTATAATAACTATAGATAAATAGGATAGTTAGTTAACATCATATATGATATATAATAGTATAGTATAATATAGTATTGGATTGAATTGAATTGAATGTTTGATATGATAGATACCTTTTGTTGGTTGTAGATGATGTAAATGAATGTTGATAAAGATGATTCTCTAAGATGTCATGTGAACTATCACCAAAGGTTATTAGTTCCAGTGAAACGTTGTTGTTGTGCAGTAGATTTGCTTGTTCGGCGAGATGCTCTGTACTTCCTTGGAATGGACTGCCACTGTAGAGTATCAGTCGTTTGATGTAACGTGGATACTCTTTGTTCTTAAAGAGCAGTTGACAGAGTTGCAGTGAGCCGACAATGTCCGATTGACCGGCGAGCTTGATTCCCTTGACGTTGAAAGGCGATGAGTATTTGTTGTTGGAGATGATCGAGTATACCAACGGTCGCTTACTCGCATTGAGACCTGCCATCAACACGACATACATAGTGTAAGGTACCTGTTGATTATGCAAGTAGTTGGCGTGGTGTATCACCGCCAGATGTTGTGCTGCCCATCGATTCGGACTGTAATCGCCATTGATCATCCAATCTGAATTATCAATACTAAACATAGTTTATAAACAACAAACAACATTGTTAATAATAATAATTTCCAATTAACTTTCATAGATTGTTATTAGGCATACATACCAAATAACTATTAATAATTCATTATTCTTTGATAGATATGTCCTCATTTATCTATAGACACAAACCAACTAATAACTTAATATTGAGTTGAGCTTTGAGGTTTGAAGTTTGAAGTTTTATGTTTTGAGTTTGATTGAACTTTCAAATGGTGTTTTTGATTTTGAACTTCTTGATATTATTATGTGGTGATGTAATCTAAATATTGGTATGGTGGAATTGTTGTTGTGTTGTTGTTTTGTTTATTGGGATCAAACTTTTTGAACTTTGTTTATATTAAAATACCAAATGATAAAACAATAGAATTTTTAAGTACAAATATTATAAAATAAATAATTAAATTATAGTAAAGTAAAGTTAAATTATTTACTGACTGAATAATTGATGATTGATGATTGATTCAATTCAATTCAACTGTTGGTTTGGTTGATTGGGATTGAGCGATTGTGAAATTTGTGTGTGTGTTTGTGATTGTCTGCTTTTATTAATAATGTGGTTATTGTTTTGTTATTTTGGTTTCTTTTTGGGGTAAGGAGGTAGACCAGTACTAGCTTGTGCTGATGCAACAACAATAATAATAATAATAATAATTATAATACAACAACTAAAATAATAAAATGAAACAAAAATACTATTACAAATAAAAATACAATTAAATAAATAATAATAACAACAACTATTGATAATATAATACAGTTACAATAATAAATACATAAGTAAAAACAAAATAGTGTTGTTGTTGTGTGTTTGTGTTGTGTGTAATGGTAGTGTTGTTAGTTTATATATTTATGATAGCTGATTTGATTTGATATATAATATAAATTTATTTTATTTTATCACTATTTATTTTAGTATTAGTGATTTATTAATGATTTAAAAAAAACATTAATAAATCAAATCCCAGCAAACACCACTTTGTTGGTAAAAAAAAAACAAAAAAAAAACAAAATTTCAAATTCTCACACCCAAATTTGAGCAATCATTTTTTTTTTAAGATCTTGCATTCGATTTCAAGTCAAACCTTGTTAGAAACATTACGAACGACACATTGATAACAACTCTAATATCATCACAACACAATTTAAAAATAATATATTCAATAATAATAAGTTGTAATTGCTGTGTGGTTGAAGATCAGCGCAGATCATATATTTAATAACAAAACATGTCAAAAGCAAATATAGATTCTTATATAAATATAAATAACAATGATCAAACGAAACAAACTTCTTTAAATATATTATTATTGGGTATGAATAAATATAAATAAAATATTATTGGTGGTGGTTGAACTTACTTAATTTTTGACTAACTTTACTTGTTTTAAACAACAACAACAACAACATGATATTATATTATAGAGATAAATGCAAATAAATTAAGTATTCATCAATTAGTAGAATATTTAGGTGATTATTTACAGAATACAGATTCAATATTGAGAGCTAGAGGAACGTTATTGTTGTCAGAGGTGTTGTGCAGATTGCCAGATTTAAAGTTGAATGAAGCACAAGTCGAGTTTCTAGCGGCTTTCTATCATGATCGTCTGCAAGACTATGCATGTGCATCGGAGGTAGTTAAAGGTGTCTACGGTCTCTGTGTAAATCACAAAGTACCATACCCACACAACCAAAAGATGATTAGAGCGATCTTTCAAGAGGTACATCCATCAACACTAGTCCAAACTCATCGTAAAATGGTATTACAATTGATTGAGCATCTATTAGAACATAATTTAACTGGTATGTTTTGTGCATCAATGTCATGTCATATCATGTTTATTAGATTTAGAAGTTCTATTTATCTATAGGATTATTTATTTATTATTATTTCATATTAAATATATATATATATATTATATCTAAAAAAACAGAGATTCAAGAGTTAAAAGGTGATTTCATGGCAGGATTCCTTCAATTTATCGACGGTGAAAAGGATCCAAGAAATATCATTTATACATTCAGATTGATACCAAGAGTGATATTATATATTCCAGAGTACAAGAATTTCGCAGATTCACTTTTCGAAATACTTTCATGTTACTTCCCGATTTCATTCAACCCGAAACCAGGTGATCCAAATTCAATTACCAAAGATGATCTTGTTAGTTCTTTATTGTATGTATCTTCAATTCAGTTAGTTAGTTAGTTATTAGTTAGCATCTATTTATCAATATATGTTACAAACAATTATTAATCATAACGATATTATTATAATATAGGAATTGTTTTGGTGCATCTACATATTTTGCTGAACATTGTATTCCATTTTTAATTGATAAGATATGTTCAAATGTTGTTGATACAAAGGTAACAATTCAAATGATGATGATCATCCTATAGATTCAAGTGAAAATAACTAATCTTTCTTTATACTCTTTGTTATCTACTATAGATTGAATCATTGAAAACATTATTGTTTTGTTGTTCAAAGTATGGACCGGTTGCACTGAGACCACATCTCGATGATATTTGGGGAACTTTGAGAACACAGATTCTCACACAAAAGAGTGCGACCGTCATTGACGAATCTAAAAAGACAATGTTCTACTTGACAAGAGTGTTGGCTGCAGATCAGGAAACACTTCAGTCATTCTTGTCGATGGTTGACAAGGAGTGTCTCCACCACATCAAAACATCACAGGATTCAAAGTTGGCGGTCAGTTGTGCCTCTATTCTCTTCCAGACGGTCAGTGCATCTGTCAAATCCTCCAGAATCGTTCTCTCTCACATTCTACCGACGATCATCGATTTCTTCAAAGAACTATCATTGCACCTCTCTGACGATCCCATCCACAAGGCAAACGAACAACTTTCAATCATCGGATTATTCAACGATCTATTGAAAGCCAATAATATTTCGTTCCAATATAATAATGAAAATATAGATAAAGGTATGATTTATAAATTTATCGATAACTTTTATTAAATTAACAAACATATATTTACCTATTATTATTATAGAAATCAATCCTTTAGAAGAATATAAAGATAAGCTATATGATTTATTCATTGGATTACTTTCGAATTCATCTGCATTGGTTAGAACACTGGCAGTGGATTGTCTTGCCAATCTATATGTAACCAGGCATATAAAGACATCGGTACCGATCACTTTTGTTTTAGATCAAGAAAAGAGACAATCTATTATTAAGGATCTAGTTGGATTGTTGAATGATTCCGATGAAAGTCAGAGGTATTGTATTCAGATGGTTGTTTAATGAAGTTTATTTTAGTTTAGTTTAGGGAGTTTGGTTATTAATACAGATATTTAGAAATAAGAGTTTAGAAGCACTCATGTCAATCACTAAATTGGAACAGGTTGAACAGATGAATTTGTTTGCTATACCAACACTCTTACAGATGATCAATGCCAATCAATCAAAGAACGTATCAGAGAGTAAACATTACTTGGAGGCATTCTCACAGTTGTGTACACACCAACCTTTATTACAAAGTGTAATACCTCAAATTAAGACATTACTTGAACATAGTATTAAAAAGAAATATATTAACAATGGTAAAGTTATATTAATATTCATTATACAAATACAAACAACAATATACACTGATACTTACACTTTTACACTTAATTACTAATACTTTTTAGATGAATTTGAAAACAGTCTATTGGTATTACAGAGTTTGGAGAACACTTTTAGCAATTCTATCGATGAACAAACAATGACCATTTGTTATAGAGAGATACTACTTCCATTGGTCAAGGAATTGTTTGAACAAGTATTCTCATTGGACGTTAATAGTCAAGAACAAAAAGATCAAGTTCTTGGTATAATGAAACCTGCTATCTCAATGATACATTCTGTTATTCAAAATACATCAAAAGAGTAAGTAACCTATTCAAATACTAAAATATTATCACAACCTAACTAGTTATGACTAACTTATTATTATTATTATTATTATTATTATTATTATTATTATTATTATTTAGAACAACAAAAAAGAAGCAATAGAATTATTTATTAATATTTATTTGAATGGTGATCTTTCAGCGCTGCAAATCAACAAGGAGTTCAAACCATTCTCAAGCGATGCAACAGAACAAGCGAAGCTTTTGATTCCAATCTTTACTAGTGTTATTTCACAGAGCAAATTTGAACTGTCGACCAACAAGTTACTCAAAGAGATGCTAATGAGCAGAGCATTGGATTCCAATGTTGAAGAGTCGATTTCAAATGCCTGTGCTATATGCTATGGTTCTATTATCAACAAACAAACCGATCAGACCGACCTACCTTTGGATCACTTAGAGCAATTGATTTCAAGTTCATCAACAAACAAAACCCAAGCCTTAAACTTATTGATTTGGGTATGTTATTTATATATATATATCTAATTCTATACTTTTATATATTAAATACAAACTAACAAATATTTCAATAGATTGAAAAGGGTTTAGTTACCAATGGAAATCCTCAAAGCATTAAGGTTGGTGAACTATTAGCACAACTTATCACCAGTGAAAATACAGAGATTTCTCAAAAAGCAGCTAAATCATTCTATATTCTTTTGAGTGATCATGATACATTCGATCATAAATCAGGTGCAATTGTAAAGGTAATTAACAAACAAAAAAAAATAAATTTAATTTGATTAGAAAAAAAATACTTATTAATAATATTTATCAAAAAAAAAAACAACAATATAGATTCTATATAAACAAAAATTCTTTACTATTCTATTCCCATCTTTATTAGAATCATTCAAAACATACCAGAGACAAAAGAATGAAACAGTATCATCACAGTTTTTGGTTGCAATCACCAATCTATTGAGAAATGTACCAAAGGAGGTTCTTTTGGGAGAACTACAAGAGGTTCTTCCAATAGTTTTGCACTCACTACACTCGAATCAAAGAGATCTATTAAACTCTAGTCTTCAAACCCTAATGATGTTGGTCGATGAAGCATCAACCTCAATCAGTTCACATTTGGATTCACTCATCCCAACATTAATTAAGATATCTGTCAATGGTGAATCATTGGTATGTTAAATGATAAATAACTCAATCTCATATTCTCTTTAACAAATACTAATTGGTTTGATTTATTTACAATTACCTTTTTGTTGAATATACAGACATTTAGACAATCGAGTTTAGAAATATTAACAAGAATTTCAAGAGCTATTCCATATCCAAAGATCTATCCATTTAGAAATCAAGTTATCAACGGTATAGTTCCAGCTTTAGATGATAAGAAGAGATTGGTTAGAAGAGAAGCCACCAAATGTAGAAACAGTTGGTTTATCTTGCAATAAACTATATCTTTCATTCTTTATTTATAAACTGATAGCAAAACTATCGATGTTGATCTATTTATTAACAGAAATAAACAAAATAATCATGATTGCTTGAGATCTTAAAAAGTAAAACAAACATAATTGATTCAAAACAAAAGATAATATACAGATTATTTATTTTATTTATTTATTTATTCTTCTAAAATATCATCTTCTTCTTCTTCTTCTTCATCATCACTATCATCATCCTCTTCTTCTTCATCCTCATCATCATCATCATCACCATCACCATCATCATCCTCTTCTTCTTCATTCTCATCATCTTCGTGGTCATCATCTGAAAAGTCATCAATTGAACCATCATCTTCACTCTCCTCAAGAGGTTCTGCGTCGAATCTCGAGGATGCAGAGGAGTAGGTAGACATGGTATCCTCAGGGATATGTGGTTTAGGTTTTGGTGGTCTTATCTTGTTACCCTTGGAGAGGTGCTGTCTTCTGATGGTTCTAAAGTCACCGTCTCGAATGAGGTTGAGTACATCATCCATCATTCCTTCGCCATCGGTCGAATCACTGTGTGTACCTGGACTGGCAGTTTCCAACGAGTTTATGTACTCTCTGATGGCATCTTCATCTTCGTTGGAGCTGCTACTTTCACTCTCAGAGCCAACCGATCTCTTAAGTCCTTTCTTTAGCATACCAAGTCGACTGGACTTTGACTTGGCAAGATTAGGAGTGGTCTTTGATGGTGAGGCTTTGTTGGCGGCAGCAGTGAGTTTCTGATTCTTTCTGTTGTTTGCCTTTTCAGTCAATTCCTTCTCTCTGTCCAAATCCTTCTTGGCATTCTGGAAGGTATCAGAGAATCGCTTAAAGATAGCACAGAACTCCTCCATCGGTCTTGAAGTATCTTCACCGAAGAACTTGGTAACCTTTGTATAAAGAATTTCAGTTTCTCCTAATAATGATTCTGCATCTGACAATTCAGTTTTAGCTGATAATATGAATTCCTATTTATAATTATAATATAACATTAATTATTTGAATTATATAAATTAATTGAAAAATAACTTACTGATAATTGTAATCTAAATGGATCATTATCATCAAGTGGAGATACTTGTGATACTTTGACTGGCTTTTCTTTTGGTGGTTCCTTAGCTTCGCCATCTCCTTCACCTTCGGCTTCATCACCTTCTTTCTTTTCTGATTCCTCTTCTTCCTCTTCTTTCTTTCCTTCAAATAACTCCTTTTCCAATTTAATCAAGCCAGCCTTTAACAATCTAATTTCAGAGGTTGATGTTGAAAATGATACTAATAGAGTATAAAAGTTTAAGTATGTTTTGAATTGTTTAAAAATTATAAATAAAATAACTTACGTGTTGCGGCATCAGCGACCTTTGGAATTTCTTCAGAGAAATTAAGTATATTTGGATTGATAGACATGATTAATTCAACTAAAAAGTGAACCAAATTGTATTTGTCCTTGACATTTGACTTAGTATCAGCCATCTTGTTAATACTGTCAATCTTGAAACCAGAAGCATTTCCTCTATTTGTACCATAGTTTATGAAATTACCAATTGAAAGAATTAACTATTTTAATAATAATATTAGTAATCAAATATATATACCAATAATAAAATATACATACCTCCATAACAGAAAATAATTTCTCATTTTGTAAATCCATCATTGCTTCATTGAATGTTCTAATGTCTGGCTTGGCATGGTACAACTTCTCTGGGAAGTTTAATTTGAAATGGAGTGCCTGTATACGTTGTGTCAATCTTGGAATATCCGATATCTTATCGATAAACAACTCTGCTTTGCCGAGTTTAAGACGCTCTTCAACGGGTTTGGCTTCGTTGGCGGAATTGAATGCTTTGATAGCATCTATCTCCTCCTTGGTAGGTACATACTTTATCATCTGATTGATCGTTTCAAGATCTAGTACCTTGTCGTCAAGATTGTAGATGGCATCGTAGAGAGTGTCATAGGAGATACCCTTGAAACGCGAGAGCAGAATTCCGATGTTTTGTGCACGTTTCGGATCGATCACAGTAACATCACCTTTCTTTTGCTCCGATTGCTTCTTCTCAAAGATTGCCGCAGCAAACAGTGTTTCAATCTGTTCGTAGGGAAGGGAATCATCGTACTTGGAGTAGTTGACCTTGGTCCAGAAAGTGTTTGGTATGTTTCTTGTACGATACTTGTTCCATTGGTAACTCTTTAGTTTGACATTGGGAGGACGTGAGCATCGCTCAGGTGTGGCTGGCGCTTTCAGTCCGGGTGGTGGTGGAGGTGGAGGCACTCCTGGAGGCAAAGGAATACCACCGGAAGCAGCGGCGGGATCAGCAGAAGCGTCGGTATCTTCACCGGATAGTCCAGAGAGGAAGTTGGTCACTTCACCAGTAGGAGCTTTCGCCCTGATCAATTGATTGGTATCGAGACCGGATTTCACTGTCTGCAAGCCTGCCTTTGCTCCTACGCCAGTGGAAGTCGATGCCACTTTGACTAGATCGCTTTCCAACTCCTCCTCTTCTTTGAGTGCCTCTTCAGCGGTTCCATTCTTAATGGCATCGGTCAATCTCTTCAATCGCTTTGCCAACTTTGTCAGTAGTATGTCCTTCTCATGCAATTTCTCAGCGGATTTCTTCTTCTCCTTTCTCAGATCCTCTATTTCCTTCTGAATGAGAACGGCCTTCTCCGACGACACATTGGCAATGTCGATGGTACCGCCAACACCACCGCCACCAGTCATATCACCAAAGAATCCATTGAGATCATCGCTACTAATATCACCTCCATTCATCTTATTCAGTATCTTCTCGACAAAGATGAAATTCGAAAGACACTCTTCATCGCTGGTATCATCTTCCGTTGCATTCTTTAGCATCAGTTTCATGATGGAGATGAATGCCGGATACAAAGGACCGCCAGTAGTACGTTCGGTCAACTGTCTCAACAGCGAGTTTGGATTGTCATCGGATTGGTCACCACGAATATTCTCGGCTTGTTCTTGCTCGTCCCAACGCGCCTCTTGCTCAAAGAGATCGAGTTGAGTCTGCAAGTCTGGATTGGCATTCTTTCGTAGCTCTGTAGCGATCTGATGCACAATGTTTTGAATTCCAATTCGCTTGAATTGATTCCTAATCTTGATACGATCGTCGACGTTCTGTGCCGTGCTAATCAGAGTGTTGATAAGCGCAAAAGTCACAGGTTGCAACGGGCCCGGCTGTGACAAACCGTTGATCAAGTTGATGAATGGCTTCTTCTCACGCTTCACCTCCCTGTAGTGTTCCATTCCCGAGAGTACAAGTCCATGTCCTTTCTGGTGCAGAACACACAAACCGGCCAACAACTCTGACACCATCAACACTGACTTTACATGCGGTGTATCCAACAGCAATGAAATCGATCCAATACTGTTGGGAATCTTTATGACTGCATCCAAACCGATTCTATTATTCATAATCAACTTTAAAGAATGTAAACATTGTGCAATAATTAATATATCATCCGGTGTTTTACTAGTAAGATTAATTAAGATTAATATTGATTAGTTAATTAATTTGATTCAATTCGATTTGATTTCGTTTCGTTGTTTTATATTTACTTTGGTTTGATTTCAAATGTAGATAAAACTTTAATTAATAAAGCAACACCATCAATTGCAATGAATTCCTTTAGCCATTTCAAAGGTTGATTTCCAAGTCTGACACGTAGTGAAGTGAGTACCTCTTTTGATGGGTTACTCTTCAGACCCTCCACGAAATACTGAGGCGAATGGCTGACTGGTTTACTTGTAGATTTCTTATGACTAGATCCATAATCTTTTTTTGAAATTGCTTTATTCTTAAATGATGTAATAAGTTGTTGTTTTCTTTCTACATCTCTATAAAATACAATTGTATATAAAATAAATTAATATATGTTATTTTTTAAAAAATAAATCTGAAAATTGATGTTCATCAAATTATATTGTTTTTTGATATTTACAAATCCATCAACGCTTTTCTTTCAGTTTCTGGTACACCAACTTCATCTAATACCACTTGAAAGGCATTATTTATTGCATTTGGATCATCTTGTTTCTTTGATTTACTTGAAAATAATCTAACCATATTTTGATCAACATATCATATTAAAAGTAATAGATAATCTAAAAATAAATATCTTTGAATTTCTGGAAATAAAATATAATAAAATAAATTATTAAAACAATAATAATAAAATCAAATAGATAAGAGATAACCAAATAAATTAATTCTATAAATTAATATTAATAATATTATTTTTAATTCAAATATTAATGTTTATAAACATACATCAAAAAAAAAAAAAAAAAAACAAAAATAAATGAATATGATATTATTCTTTCAAAATTGTATATATTTGCTTATCTTGACTTAGTGGTTGATAAGATATATAGGGTGTGATGTGAAAAAGGTTGATGAAAGTGTTTAGTGTTCATTGTTTTTATGTGTAAAATAAACACTCTACAAATATAACTATTTTTTGAATCAATAGTATGTAAGATGATATCATCGTCAATTGACATATGATTGTATTTCATTTTTATTTTAATTCTAAACTTCATATCTCATGACTTTTAATAAAGACAAATAATTTATGTTTTTATTTTTTGTTCTATCTATACATATAATTTATTATTTTTTTATTTAGTTATTTTTTTATTTGTTTAAAATATAAAGTTTGAGGTTGTTGTGTTTAATAATGGAATGATTGTTGAATTTGTTTTACAGAAATCTGGAATTGAACTAGAGATGATTTGATTGCATGTACATATGTCGTCGGCAGAACACAGACCGGCACGAGGTACACGTGCGCATGTCCAAAGCATTCCAAACAGACCCATCGTTATAGATCCGTAGACAAGCCATGCCAAGAACCACTTGTGAGACTTCATCCATTTCCAAGTGGGCTCGAGTGGCAGCTTGAAATACTTGGTTTCAATAAAAGTACATACGAATTCCGCTATGAGATCGAGACCGATCGAGAGCACACTCTGATAGAAGAGTGTAACCGGATTGATTGCACCGGTATCGAAAAAGTGGAACAACATCTTCCACTTTTGGAAGAGGTAGATAAAGATGGGCGCCGAGATGAGACCGCTGAACTCGAGGGCGACCTGGATGTTGAGAATGGCTGCACGCAGCTGGAGCGACTGTTGAGAATATACAATTTGACGAGCACGCTCCTTTCCATAGTAGAACGATAGGACAATCTCGTCACGCTTCAAAGCGAGTGCACGCAAGATGATGTCTTCCAGCGCGGAAACAATCATACCGACCTCAGTGAGATAGGGAGCGTCGCTACTGAATGTATATACAAAGATTTTACCGAGGGTTTGGTGGTGGAAGAAGGTGTGGAGCACGATGTTGGTGTTGAGCATGATGTCGTCGGTCGAGATGTCACGTGTCAAGAACTGACGCGCCACAACAATGATGGCGGTCCAGTAGATCGGATGGATAACGAGACGCCATCCCAAACGCAGAATATCACTTTCTATGGAGAAGTAGATTGGCAGCAGAAAGAACATATAGATAACGGTGAATACGGTTACAAAGATATCGGGGGCACAATAGTTGTAGGCGACGCCATACGCTTTCTTTTTGTCCGGTTGCTTTCCAGTTTCACTTTGTAGGAGCATGGACATACTATAGGCGAAAATGACCTCTCCACAAGTATACATTACAACGACACCAAAGGCATCGATGAAATAGAACCAATAACTGATACCCTTCAAATACAATATCATATAGAACAATACCAAGAACAGACAGATTCCAATGGAATAATACAATATTTTGGATTCTCTTATTCTTTTTAAACCATATGATACTGAGAATCCAAGAGTAATATAAATTGGACCAAATAATAACTGATTATGATTATTTAATGAATGTTAATATTATAATGTTTTTCTATATTAATGTTTTTTGTAAAACATTTACTTACAATAGCGAATTGAAAGAAAATATGATATGATTTTCTATTTAAATATACATTGGCGTTGGAATCACCACTCCAATCGACTTGGGACATTATAAAAACGACTAATGATACAAATATTGCTACAATTAATCCCAAAAAATATCTTTGGAACATGAGTTTTATGGTTTGTTTGCCTTTCCAGCCAACATCTTCGATGGTGTACAATTTCTCGTGGTATGGATCGAATGGATCGTAGTTGTTTTCTTCGATATCACCTTTGAACGACTTTGGCTCATCGTCAATCTTGGCACCGTCCATCTCACAGGAATTCCGACTGATCGATTCCATCTCTATTTCATTGGTCTGACTGAGTCTGCGAGGTGAAACACTTTCACTGAGTGATTGGTCTGTCATACTGAAATCAAAGGAATCCACCACTCTGTTGGTATTGGTAGTGGCAGTGGCAGTCGATTTGGAGATGTCATTTTCACTTGCTGTCAGTGGATTGTTGTTGCTGTTGTTGGAAGTGATTGTATTATGTCTGATTAGATTGGTACTACTGTTACTGTTGTCAAAAGATTGGTCGAGTGGTGGTGGTATTTCCAATGGTGCCAAGTATGATGGGTATGAACCAACCAATGTCGGTGTATTATTGTTCATTTGAAAATTGGTGGTGTTTTGATGGTTAAAGTTTGGGGTATTATGTTCAGGCTGTTGGCTGCCCACCGATGTGCTTCTTAATATATTAATTTTATTATGATAACTCATTGAATTATGAGATATTATATGATATTATATACAAAAAAATAGAATGGATTTAAATAAATAGAAGATATATAGATATATATATGGGGTTTAAAATTAATGGTCGAAAAGTTTGTTTATTAAACTAGAATTCGAACCTTTTCTATATATATTTAAAGGAATTAATATGTTAGTTTAAAATAACAAATAAACAGGACCATTTAAATAGGTGAATTTTTTAAGTGAACGATTGATTGATTGGTAATATTAATTAACAAATCTAATTAATTTCAAATATTAATTTGATTCTTTAAAAGTGTATGATCAACATAGATACAGTCTAATGTCAACTTGGCACCAGTTGATTTATATATTCCAATTTGGATGTAGTTATTGGTGTTTGATGATGGTGTTGGTTTATTTATAATGTGATACAGAAAATGATAAACTATCTTTGATTTAAAGAAATATTTAAACACATGCTATTATTGTTTGACGGGTCAAACCAAAAAATTGTTATTTTAATTAGAAGAAGTAGAAGGACTACCACCTATCTATCTAATAAATAAAATAGATATTGAAGAGTAAGTGTTTGAAATGAGCTCGGTGTTTGTGTTTATGTGGTTAGTAGTAGTATTAACCATCACTCTGAGATTGTTGTTAATAAAGCGTTTCATTTCCTTTTTAAAAACAATTGTTTGAAAAAGAAAAAACTTGGGACGGGGAGAAAAAAAGAATAGAGTGATCATGCACTAAATGATAGAGATCCACATCACTCAAGTGTTGATTATATTGACAGGTCAAAAGAAAGAACTTGGTTGTGGTTATTGGGATAACTAAGCATATTTATGGTCTATATTTAATATTGTTTTCAAGAGTTCCAAGCAGAACGATAGTAGATCAAGATTTAACAGTCTCTCTTTAATTTTTTCGATGTGTTCCAAAATCGATTTTGTCATACAATCTGATCACTTAAATTAAAGGTTGAAACATTTATTCTAGTTGTTGTTTTGTTGTTTTTGTTGAAAAAAAAGAATTATATTATGAATGGGGTGATAAATCCAGTTTTAAAGTTTCAATCAAAAACAAACCAAACACACATTTATGAACCTGACTTTTTGTAAAATCAAAAGACTTGAGATTTGAAGTGGTGTGTGTGGTTTGATGAGGATAATTCCAACATCGATAGAAATTAATTGGCTACTTTACTTTTTGCAAAACAACAGAGAGGGAGCAAGTGTGAAAAGTAATAGATAGTGTTGTTCTGATGTCAGTATATCAGCCACAAACTTTTGATTTGATCGTTTTGTTTTTTTATTTGTTTTTGAGTAAAACAAGAAGAACTTTTGACTTGAAAGTTAAGTTAGAACTTTCCTTCAAAACAAAAAATGTCTCCAAGATTATGATTGGTTTTTTAATATTATTGTTACTGATATAGTTGATTTTATTTTATTTTGTTAGAGAGAAAGTGGTATAGCGAGTTGTTGGTCTAGTAATAGTAAAAAATGATTATTATTATTATTATTATTTAGAAATAATTGAATTTTATTATTGTTTTTCTAATATCCAAGCTATGATATTGAAAAATCTATTATAGCAAATAGATATATCACAGCAAGTCGACTATTGTAGTGTAATGTGTAAACCACAGCGATCTTACACTCAAACAAACACATTGTTATTCTTGTATTTGCAAATCAGCAATATAAAAGCCTATGTTCTGATCATCACTGAAAGTTGTAACATCAAATTACTAACACACCACCTCTAAACACAAACACACACTGCTCAACTACAAGATAACAATAAAATTTAATTCGTCGAGCTATAAACAAACTTGTTGGTAAATCAGGACTGCTGTGGGTTGTGTTGGATGATTTGAGACAATCAATAAGAAAGAGGTGTCATATTGAGTGATTGTTTGGTTTGGTTGGTTTCTATACAATAAATTAAAGATAATAAAATAAAATAAAAATAGATTGAATTTATTGGTATGATTGATAGCATTTAAGATATGTAATGAAATGAATGTATATCATTGATGATCAATCATTTTATTTAATTTAATTTATTTTTTTCATAAAAAAAGGGTTTTTGTTTTTATTTTTTTTGATGATAGTTTGGGTGTTTTGATGAGATAAACAATTTCATATGGAGACACAGTGTGAGGTCATGTGGTTTGAATGATATATTTTTAATGATGGTTTGTAACAAAAAATTATAGATATTGAATTGTTTGAAATATGATAAGATAGGGGTTTTATGAAAAGGGAGGAGGTATGAAGATGAAAAAAAAAATAACATTCTATATTTAATTTAACTGATCATTTTTAACAACTAATCTTTAATATCTATCTGAAATAAAAGGAAAGGAAAAGAAAGGAAATTAAACAAAATTAAAACTATTTGAAGTTTATTATTAAAAAAATTTAATTTTTTTGAAAGTAAATATTTGACAATGAAGTATTATTATATTTATTTATTTGAAAGATGATGTAAACTTTATATCTAACTTACCAGAGATAAATATTTACAAATTGATTTAATGATAGTTAATTATTTTTAATTCCAAATGGTTTAAATTTGTTGATAAGTTTTAATAGTTAAAAATCTCTTCAATTTTTTTTTGTTTAAAGAAATTATTTAAATTTATAAAATTACAAGTTGCAATATCAATCTTGTAGAATTAATATCATTCAGATCATCGTTACTACAACACCAGAGAAAAAAGCTTATCATTTCAAATTCTCAGCGATTTATATAGCTATTCCTCATAATAACCTTATATGATCTAATATTCCATCGACTTACTCCACTTGGCATGAAAGTTTGTTTCTATTGGTTGACGACAACAACAAGATTTTTAAGGAAGAACTACAAATTTCTTTATACTCAAAATTTCTATAACACAATGATATAAGAACTCCATCCCTAGGTAGTTTTTGTCAAATCCAGTTTTAGATCGAGAGAGATCACAACGGTATATCAAGCAAATTTAGAATCAAATCAACAAAGATTTATCCTCTCAGCATTAAGTCAATGAAAAAATTGTAATTTTGAGCCTCAAAAAATAGAATCCTTGAATTTGAAAAACAAAAAAAAAACAAAAAACAAAATTAATTTTGTCATTAAATTTGATGAAACACCTTGAAATTTGCAGATTTTTTGCAAAAACAAAAAACGAAATTAATTAATTTTGTTTTTTTTTAAATTAATTAAATCAAGATCATGATTGCAACCAGCTTAAAATTGAAGTTGTTCATTCATCTTTTTCAAATGATATTTTTGATTTTTATCTCATGTTTGCATTTTATTTGTAGTGTATGCAAATGTGAACTTTTGTTTTTGCCTGATGTTTTTATTTTGTTATTGCAAACGATTCGTTTTCTTTTCAAATATCTATTCCAACATTACATCTTCACCTCATTGCTTTTGCTTTAAAGAAAATAAATAATATCTAGAGTTACTCAATATTAAAAAGGAATTTGTTTATTTATTTAGTAATGTTTTACATACAAACAAGGAACAGATATCTAGGTTAATATTTTCCTTTTTGCAAAAGGTTACACAAAATTAGAAAAAAAAATTAGATCAAGGATCAGTTTCGATCAAGAAAATATCAATTTTCGATTAACAAGATCTACGGTTTTTTTTTAAATCTCAAACATTTAGAAAATAACTTTCAAATACATAGAGACATAAAAGTAGAAACAAATAAAATTGTTCAATGTCTTAAATTCTATAAACCATTGGGAATGGTTCTGTAGGTGGAAAAAAAAAAAAAAATAGAATCATTTATAAGATATTTAACCCCTTTAAACAATCTATCAAGATCTAAATTCCAGATTCTAAACAAGTTCATAAAAAAAAAGATATTTATTTGGAATATTTATTAATTTATTTATTAATTTATTTATTAATTTTTTTTTGGTGATTTAAATAAATAACTATAGAAACCATATAAATAATTTAATGTGTTTATAATTTTTGGCATAAAGGATCTAAAATAATAAAAAGGACCGGGAAGTATCTCTCTAAGGAAATTATCCAAACCATTTTGATTGTGTAATTTCTCAGCCACAATATCTGTTTCCAATAAAGTCTGTTTTGATCTCTTTATCATTTTTTTTTCATATCTTTCGAATGCCTCACCTACTGAATTATTATTTGGATCAGTTAATTCATTGACAAGGTCAAGACTATCTAACATTGCAATATTAGCTCCTTCTCCTGTGAATGGTAGAATGGTATGTGCGCTGTCACCTATCAGAGTGACTCTTGGGTTGGTCTCCCATTTCTCACAAATATTTCCATATAATAATCTAGCTGTAATAGGAACTGATGTTGTGGCTTCAATAATTAAATCAATAAACACTTGATTCCAACCGTTGAATTCTTTAAATAGAAATTCTCTAATTAGATCGTTGTTGTTAGATAGAAGATTGGATTGATTTACAAAATCTTCATTCTTTTTCGTCGAGAAAAAGACAACCAGATTCCCAGATGACTTTTGTTGGGCACCCAATAGCTTTCCATCACCCAAAGCAAACATACTGCCATTGGCCACCCATGAATCTATTTGTGGACACCTTTCAGATGGATTCTCAATTTCTGATTGAATCAAAAGGATACCTTTGTAAACACCTTGAACTTTGTCTGGTGGTAATAGAAGGTTTCTAACTTTACTATTGTAACCGTCACCGCCAATCAGTATATCAACATGATCCACTGTTCCATCTTGAAACTTCAAAGTAACCGAATTATTATTTAAAAAGTTGTTGTCGATTTCTACGCCTATTAAATGATGATTCCATAGTACTGTATCCTCTTCCAAAGCATCTAGAAACAGATCTCTTAAATCTCCTCTATCAATTTCAGGTCTACTATTCAATAATTTAAACTCGGGTACCATATAATGGAGCTTGGCATCCTTGTCCAAGATTGAATGAGAACTACCACCTGTACGAATCTTCTTGTTTTGAAACTGATCTAGCAAGCCCGATGCCTTAATGATCAACTGACCAGAGTCCTGGTGAATATCCAAACTACCGCCTTGAATTCTAGTAAATCTATTTATATCTCTTTCATAAACCTTTACATCAGTAGCACCTCTCTTTTGTAATAAACAAGCCAACGAAAGACCTGATGGCCCTGCACCAATCACAGCAATTCGTTTATTTTTAATTAATTTATCACTAAACATTCTTGATAAATTTAAGTTAACAACACTGGTAAATCGCAAACATTTATAAACTTTTTCTCTCGAGAAAGAAAAAAATTATAAAACAGATTGAGACCAAATTGGTGTACTAGAAAGATCAAAAATTAATAATAAACCAAAAATAAAACGTAGCTATTTTAAATGTGTGTTAAGTTTGACCTTGCTTTTTTGGTGACTCAAAATAGAAAAAAAATTAAACCGTTCTCTTTTGTTTTGTTTTTTTTTTGCAAAGGTCTTAGAAACTTTTGTTCGAAAAAGTTTGTAATTATTATAATAGTATTACAGTTTAATTATTTTTTTTTACTTTTTAAAAATGTTCAATATTATTATTATTATTATTGATTCTTCTTTTTAGATGTATAATCGTAGGTATCCATATTGCCTTCTGGATATATTTTGTTTTGAATGAATGTCCATCCATCTCTGAGATTTGGTGATACTTTGAAGAGACTTGAAAGATATAGAACGGCGTTATTGTCGCATGAAAATGCTTTGTTGCTGCTTATGTCTCTCATGAAAATCTTGACACTTTCATCGGTGGTCTTTTCGAATGGTTTGTTGGCAATTGGCACCGCCTCTGACATTGGCGTCCTCACGAATGCAGGCACCAAAACAGTGACACCGATGCCATACGGCAAGAGTTCCTGGCGCAGTGAAGTACACCAGCATTGAACCCAACTCTTGGTGGCACAATAGATGGGGCACGCCAAAGGAACCTGGTAGGATATACTGCCAGTCACCACAATCTGGCCGGTGGAACGCTCCCTGAATGCCGGTATCAGAGGCATCACAGTATTCAAAACACCATTGACATTGACATCGTTGACTCTGTGGAGTTTCTCTTCGTACGTCATTGTTTCGGGAAGTACGAGTTCGGTTACTCCGGCGTTGGCAATGACCAAGTCGATCGGTGACTTCCGGTCGGAATCGACGATCCACTCGGAAATCTCGCGATCCGTCACATCGATAGTGGTATATTCGACTCTGGCACCTTTCCTCTGACACAATGAGACAACCTCCTCGAGACGCTCTTTATTTCTTCCAGTTAGAAACAATACTTTTCCTTTAGCCGCGTAGTTTATAGCCAAGGTTTTACCGATGCCACTGGACGCACCGGTAATTAAGATACTCCTTGGATCCGGAAACTTCTTTGCATTGAATAAACCAATGAAATAGAGTATCGGTGTTATCAAAAGGAAGAAGATATATCCCAAAATCGAAAAAGTCGTCTGTATAATAATATCTGCCAATGTAATAATAAAAGATATAGTTATCTCTTTTATTATTTCCATTTTTATTATTATTCTCTTTAAAAACAAAAAAAAAAAAGTTACTTTAAATATTATTGATTTAGTGAATAAACATTTATCATATTTATGTAAACAAACAAAGCAATTGCAATGTTTCGTTTTAGAAATTACCAATTTATTAATCTTAAAAAAAAAAAAAAAACACCACACTTCTCAAAAAAAATAGTAAAAAATATGATGTGATCTAAAAGTGTGTTAAATTATTTGTTGACGTCAATCTGTATTTGTTATATTTATTTCTTTGTTGGTGTATGACGTGATACTAATAATCGTTTTCAATTATGTATTTAGTGATTATAATTTTATTTATTTCAGTTTTACCCTTATAAAAAAATAATAAAGGTTAAAAGGTAGGATTTGAGGTTGGCTGGTTGGTTGGTTGGTTGATTGATTGATTGGTGATACCATTATTTAGAATGATTAGTTTGGGTGAGAATCTATATGGTGTTAAAGATTGTTTTATTATTATTATTATTATTATTATTATTATGTTATGTTTTATTTGATAACATCATTGTAATGTTATGTTTTTTTTTTCTTTTTGTTTTTATTCGTTATCCCAATTATCCCAATCTGATTGTGGTTGTTGTTTTTTGGTTGATGATGATTTGGTTGATGCTTTGGTGTGTGTTGTTGATTCCGATGATGATGTTTTCTTTGACGATGACTTGGTGGCAGATGAAGTAGATTCCTCCTCACCCCATACCCATGAATCCTTGGTGTCTTCGTTGTCACTGTTTGGCTTGCTGTTGTGATTGGAGTTGTTGGCACTGCTATTATTGCTATTGCTGCTTCTAATGCTATTGCTTTCGTCTTCGTTATCCTCATCACCTTCGTCATCACTCTTTACATCCCAACCTACAAACTCTTCGTCGTCGGCAGCAACCGTAGTTGGTTTACTTGACTTCTTTTGTGATTTAGATGATGATGATGATGATTTACCACTGTTACTATTACTCTTTGTTGAGTTTGAACCAGATGATGATCTCATACTGTTATTACTATTATTATTACCCATTCCGCCGCTCGCTCTACTACTATTACTATTACTATTGTTACTGCTATATCCGTCGTTGCTACTTCTCATGCTATTACCATTATTGTTATAACTATTGTATCCACTGTTATCATAGGAATTATATGAATTGTAGCCGTTTCCGCCACCGCCACCATACGACGATCTTGGATCATCATAGTTATTGACCATTTCCTTTGCTTTTTGAATATATGTAGATACCATCGTTGAGGTATCACTTAGCAATGTACCATCTTGTATTTTATTTGAAACAGTCTGATTTACAAAATCCGAAAATAATATGATTAGTATGTTTACTCATCTAGATGATTGATAGAGTTGTTTATAAATAACTTACATTGGCAACAACAGATAGTTTACTAATGCCTTCACCCAACAATGATAAACCATAGTCGAGTGTTGAGTTGTTTGTTGAGTAGTTGTTGTATCCACCACCACCACCGCCACCTCTCGACGAGTTGTATCCACCGTCGGACTCACCGTAGTAGTCGGAACTAGATATCGATCTAGCATTGCTAAACTGTTTGAGACGTTGATCATTTGTATTACTGCCGCTATTGTTATTGCTGTTGTAAGAGTATGACTTGGCAGAGCTTGAATAGGATTGCGATGAATTCGACGATTGTTGCGACTGTGAAGAATACGACGATTCACTTGAGAATGATTTACTACCGGTATTATATCCACCACTGCTATTGGTAAGTGATGACTTTGAGGTTGTAGATGAATAAGTTTCTCTATCTCTATCTCTTTCTCTCTCCCTCTCTCTTTCTCTTTCTCTCTCTTTATCTTTTTTAACAACAGAAGAAGAGGAAGAGGATGATGATGTTGATTTAGAAGATGACTTTGGTGAACTGTTGTTGTTCGAATCCCAATCGTCCCAATCGTCAAAACCTTTACTGATAAGTGTTGGTTTCTTTGTGGTTGGTGTTGAGCTGCTTGACGATGGTGCAGAGGAGGAGGTGGATGTCGATCTGCTCGATGAGGAGGAAGACGATGGTTCCGGTTCCTTCCAAACCTTTGATTCGACCAACGCGAGAATCTTCTCCTTGTACATCTGAACGTTCTTGTTGTTGTACTTGTTCTTTATATCCAATCCCTCTGGCACACCATGCTTCTTAAAGAACTCTCTTGCCCTTGCATTACCACCGACCGACATCATTTCCAATTGTTTATCCGACCATTGATCCATTGTTAAACTTCTAACAAAACTATAATAATAATAATAATAATAATAATAACAAGAACAACAATAATAGATATTAATAAAAATGATCTGTTTTTAAATTATTTTTATTATTTTTCTCTGAATTCAAAATATACATTACCTAAGATGTACACCTAAACTTCTATGAACACCACTACACTCCAAACAAATGAAAATACCGTATGATACAGATGCCCATTGTGGATTTGCCGATCTACACTCGAAACACTGTTTGTTTGATGGATCTTCTTCCTTGAGCTTCTTGAACAACTCTTTAGCTCTATTGATATTATTGGTAGCACTGGCAGACAATGACATCTTTTTAATATTTTCTATTATGTTTCTGTTGTTATAATCTCTTTCAATCAATCAAAAAAAAACAAAAACAGCTAACTAAAAAAAAAAACTGAAAAACAAAATAATAATTATTGTGATATAACAATTATATATAAAAAAATAGATAGATTGCAATATCTAAAATTAATAAAAAATAAAATAATTAATAATAATAATGATACAAAAATAAAAAACTATAATGAATAATAAAAAAAACAGTAGTAGTTAAATTCTTACACACTTACTTTTTCAAAAAAAGCAGAAGAAGTTATTGAAAACAATTAAAAAAAAAATTGGAAAAATCAAAAAAAAAAAAAAATACATTAAAAAAACGACGTCACCTCCTCCTTCTTCTTTAACCACACAGCTTTACCAGCAATTTATAAATAGAATGGTGCAATTTTTGTTGACCCGATTTAAAGAAATTACAATTGTTAATTGTGATCATACACACACACACAATTCGATTGATTAATTAATTACATTACAATGATTAGGTTTTAATAAGACAATAATTAATTTATTTTAAAAGTTTTTTATTTTATTTATTTTTTATTTTTTTTTAATATTATTATAAATCTTGTTGTTATTGATTGATTGCTTGTTTGTTTGTTTGTTTGTTTGTTTGTTTGTTTGTTTGTTTGTTGGTTATTTTGGTTTGAAGAGATATAGAGGGAGTGGAGTAATCATCTCGCCTTTTTAAAGCATCTTCTATCATACACATTTTCGTCAAACCATGTGTTTGAGATAAGGGAAATTTAGAGAAGGTTGATTGTTGACTTTTTTTTTTTTTTTGTTTTTTTTCTTTTTCTTTCTTTTTTAATAATAATAATAATAATAAATAGTATAGTTTAGTTTGTAATTGTTGTTGAGTTGATGTTGATGTTGTTGATGTTATAGATAATTAAAATTGATCTTTCTTTGTATTGTTGATATTTAGTAGGTAGTGTTACTGATTTTGAAGTTGTTGATAGTTTGGAAGTGAGATTGAAAGTGAAAGGTGATGGGTGTTGGAGTTTGGAGTTTGTTTTTCAGTAAAGGTAAAGTTTAAAAACAATTTTATGTTGGTTGGTTGTTTAGATTGATGTTGAATGTTGAAAGTTGAAAAAGAAAAATAAATAGTAATTTTAATATTATTGATGATGATGATGATGATGATGATGACGATGATTAATTTGTTGTTATTATTATTGTTGTTTTGTTATTTGTTATTTGTTACTAATTGATTGATCATCATCTATCTATCTATCTATCTATCTGAACTATTACTCATAATATTAACAAAAGGCTTCAGAAACATCTTTTAACAATGCTTTTCTTGTACGTGAAAGTTTCATTTCCAAGATTGGTGCAGAGTAACTTGCTTTCTCTGCATTTAACACTATAGAAATGAATTGAAATGAATTGAATTGAACGAATCATTGAATAAGTAAGATACAATAATATAATAATAGGTAGTGGTTAATTAAATCTTACACTTTGCATAAAAGAAATCTTTGAATGCTTGATCCTTTTTGAATAAACCGTTCTGTGGCATTGGTGGACCAAACTCTGGTACAGAGTCTTTCGAGACCACTGCCAATCGATAGTAACGCTGTCCTGGGTCAGACTCAACCTTGACTGCCTTGACTACCAGGACGACGTGAACTTGACGCGAACTGATGGTGGTAGGTCTGTAAACGGTGTCGCCATCCTGGAAGACAACGACCACAATATCATTACCAATGTGTCTTTTTCTCTCGAGTTGCTGCTTGTCCTTCTGATTGAATGGCAGCATACTCGATACATGATACATCACTTCATTGTTATTCCAACGTTGATAGATAGAGTGACTTCCAGTTGTTCCAGCTAAAAATGAATATCAAAATAGTTAGCATGCTATCTAGATCCACAAAAAAAAAAAAAACAAAAAGAGAGGTTATCACACATACTTCTAACATCGAGACCTGCTCTAAAGTTTGGCCATCCAGTTAATGGGACACGCTCACCAATAAAGTCTAAAAACTCTTCGAATTCAGCGCTTGAATCAACGTTTGCAAACATTTCATCCTCTTTAGTTTGACCTTCCTGTCCATATAATATACCAAATTTAAATCCTTTAATAGTCTATTAATAATAATAATAATAATAATAATAATAATAATAATAGATATGTTAGAATATTGTGTGGATCTCTATTAAATTAATTTTTAGGTGATAATAGGATATATAGTTTACTTGTTTCTCTTCCAAGTTCATAAGTGCAGGTGGCAATGCAGGATCAACAATCAATTTCATTCCGTTGTAGTGTTGTGGTGCGATCGATCTTAACATGTCATAGGGTGAGGGTCCTGCTTTAAATAATCTTCTCCACCATGATGCTTTTACATTGTCCGCCGGTACACTCAATCTTTGATTACCCTAAATGATTTTGAACAACAATAAAAATGGTTAAACAAACAAACAAACATACAAAATCGTTTCCAACACCAATTTAAATTTGACAATGACATTCACAATAAAGCAAAGAGAAGAAAGAACAAAGGACTACGATCAAACCTAAAATACTAACGTAATCTGTCATTCATTCTTTCTTTCTTTCTTTTAATGAGTTGTTGACATTATTATTATTGTTTTTGTCATTGTCATTGTGGTGTGATGATGATTATTATGATGATGATGATAACATACAGCAGAGGTTCTAAGTAAACTACTATAGTTCTTTCCATCTTTATCTAAAACTATTGATATACAGACTGGATTCTCTGGTGTTGTTGTATTAATGAAATTATAGTGATCTAAAAAAAGGTAAGATTAAAATGATGATTAGTCAATCTATTTTAATAATAATAAAATAATAATAATTGATCAATAAATAACTAAACTATTATTAAGGTGTGGTAATTTAAATCCGATATTCTCCGATTCTTTAAAAGATCTAAAAAATCTAAAAATTTTTGTAAAAACTCTATCATTCTCTATTTTTTTTATTTTTTTTTTCACCTCACTTCTTTATTATTATCCAACCAATATAAAAATATATATTGAGTTTTGAGTTCTTTCTTAACGTTTAAGTTTAAACTCTAGTCTCTCTTTCTTTTCTCTTTGAATAATATGAATATGGACTGATTTGATTAAGTATTATTATGTATGATTTTTAAAAAAAGTTATTGATCGATCGATTGAGTGATGCTGTTGTTGTTGTTGATTTATTGATGTAATTTGTTTTGTTTATGTTTAACATATATGATATTATACCTCTATTTAAAAAAGTTTCACGAAAATAGAGGGAATCGTTATCAGACAGATCGAATACACCCTCTAAAAGATTAGGTACCGTTGAACAATCAAATACTTTAGGTTCTGTATCATTAGAACCTTCGATTCTGTATCCAACTGATGGTGTAATCATTGTATTCATCTCTATCCTATTTTCTTTATAATCTATAATATATCACTAACAATCAAATCTATCTATCTTTCTTCCACAATAAATCTATCTTTTCTTTTCTTTTCTTTCTTTCTTTAAAAATAATGTACTAATTAATCTATCTTTAATCCTTTTCTTTTTATTATATTTTATTTTTAGCTTTTACTAAAATTGTTGTTACAACTACTATTTTTGTATTGTTTTACTATTATAATGATTATTATTATTATTAATAAATTATGTTATCCTTATTTATTTTATTTTATTTTATTATTTTTGATATAATTATAATATATCTATCTATCTTTGTCTACTGATTTGATTTGATTGATTTGATTGATTTATCTATTATTAAAATTGTTTATTTAAAAAAAAAATTTTTTGATTTGCTTTTTTTTTTTTTTTGCAAAATATTTTTATTTCTTTTTTTTTTTCCTATTTATCTTATTTTTTATTTAATCAAATATTATTTAAATAGGTCATAGTTTTGATTGATTCTTTTATTATTATTATTCTTTTATTTTTTTGTCGTAATAATCTTTAACTAAGTTTAAAGTTTTTTTTAAAATAAAAAAATAAAGTATGAGACAAGCCAATTTTTGATCAATAAAAAGGGGGTATTTTGTTCTTCAGTTTTTTTTTTTCATCATTTTTTGTTCTAATTATCATAAAAATACAAATAATTTTTTTGCAAGAAACAATCAATATTTATTTTAATGAAAAACCCATCATCATCTTTAGAATTTTATTATTCTAGTGTATAATCGAATTGTTTCTAAAATAATGGTTTTTTTTTTTTTGTTAGAAACTAAATGTGTATAGTTATAGTGACAACAATATAATATTAATAATGACAATTGAAGTTCTATTTGCTATGATTTTCTCCAATAATTAAGTAAAACAAACCTAAACATGTGAAGTGTTAATAATTTTACAATAAAATAAATAAGATCGAATGAAAATCGAGCTCTTGCAAGAACTGCATCATTTTACATATTTAGTTAGAACAAAATTCATTTTCATGTTTGTTAAATTTTGATTTATTAATAACTATCATCAAATAACCAAATATAACTGTTTTCGATTAATGACTCATCCGTTCACTTCAAACAGAGCTATTCTAAATGATGTCACACTGTTCACGAATTTTTGACTTTTTTGCAAAAGCTTCTCGGAAGCTATGACATATTTTTTCAACTGCAACTTCGCCAATAGAAATTTTAAAACAATGATTCATCAATCTCTAAATATACTATTCAAGTCTGGAATTGACGTTACAAAAATCAATATAGCTTAATCTATACTTTATTTTTTTTTTGCAAAAGCTTCTCGGAAGCTCTGACATATTTTGTTCAACAACTTCATCAACCAAATTTTATAACAATAAGCTCATTATCATCTCTAAAAATACTTTTCAAGTCCGGAAGTAGAGACGTTCCGAGAACAAATTCATCACTATTGCTTTGATCTTTACTTTTTGTTTTTTTAATAAAATCCGGAAACAAGCAAAAAATAAAATAAAATATCTTTTCAATGGGTTGGTTAAGGAGGAAAAAGGAATTGGACATAACTTTAATTTAAATTTAATTTTTGATATTTTAATAAACTTGAACCATTTAAATTAAATTCTCTATATAAAGCAAATGGAATAAGGTTTAATATATACAAAAATCATATATTAATATTTATCGATTTATCAGTTGTTTTATTCTTGTATGTATATATTTTACACTTTATTATTATCTTTTTTTTTTTTTTTTTTTTTTTTTCAAAGCATTTTTCAATTGTGTTTAGTGCTATTACAATAAATTATACTATCTACTCTCAATACCACACCTCATTATATCATTGTTATTTTAATTAGGGTTTTTTTTGAACAAACATTCATTCAACTTCAATTTTAATTTAACCACACCCAACAAAAAAAAACAATTAATTTCCAAAATAATTTTTTTGATAAACATAATAGTTCAACTTCACCATAAATAACTGCGACCCAATTTCATCATTATTTCAATTTAATTAAATTTAGTTTTTCTTATATTAATTTATTATTATTTTACAAACAATCTTATTAGAATTAAATAAAAATGTTGACTTTTGCCCAATTACCATCACACAAGCCAGACTTTAAGGTCGATAACAAGTATCGTAAGATGCCATCGAAGGATGTGGTCGAAAACACCGCCAAAAAACTCCGTGAGAACCAATTCAAGGTTGACATTGTCAACACTGAAAAAGAAGCTTTGGACTTGGTCATCAAATCGATTCCAAAGGAATCATCAGTTATGAACTGTGGTTCTGTTACACTTTCTGGTAAATATATTAAAGCATTTCAATATACTTGAAATTAATTATGATTCATAAAAAAACTATAGAAATTGGTTTGTTGGATTATCTTAAGGATGATAAACATGGATGGAGAAACTTGCATGTTGCCATCTTAAATGAAAAGGATCCAGCCAAGCAAACTGAACTTCGTCGTTTCTCGATGGCTTCTGATTATTTCCTCTGCTCTTTACCAGCTGTAACCAAAGAAGGTGTTATTTATTGTATGTAATCTTTTTTTGATATTAAGAATTTAATTATCTTTTGTTTTTTTTTTACTCATTTATTTTATTTTTATTTATTTAGCATGTGATGCTAGTGGTAGTAGAACTGGCGCCATGCCATTTGCTGCCAAGAATGTAGTTTGCATTGTTGGTACTCAAAAGATTGTCGAAAATGATCAAGAGGCAGAGAGAAGAATCTGGGATTTCTGTTTACCGTAAGTGTTTTTAAAATATAATAATTTAAAAGTTAACTTATTAATTTTTAAATATATATTAGATGCGAGTCTGTTAGATCCAACTATGCTTACAAAGTACCAGGAAGTCAAGTCCAAAATCTTATTAGAATTGCCAATAGCAATATGGCCAAGGAGAGAATCCATATTATCTTTGTGAATAAGGAACTCGGATATTAAGCTGTCTGATTGCAACAGAACAATATGATAATTCAATATTAAATAATGAAAAATATCATCATATCAAAAAAAATGGAATAAAATAAACTATTTGTTTTTTGAATAAATATAATAATCTATTTTTTTTACCAATTTCCAATTCCTATCGATAAATCACTCTAGTAAGATAGAATTGATTGATTTATTTAAATGACTTTTTGATTCCTAATAGAACTTAGCATTCGGTCCTTTCAGATCACTGTGCAGTTCATATTTGATTTCTTCACTATTCTTTTGATATGTTTTTCCACTTAACGATGATATTCCAAAGGGGCTACTTCTATTGGAATTTTCTTGAAACATATATTCCATTTCAAATCTATTGTTATCTTCACAATTGTCAAAGAAATAAGATTCTTCTATTTGATAATTGCTATCATTTTCAGACCAATCGATATTATTTAAATTTGATCCGTTTTGATATTCGATTGTTGCGATGCCAGTATGATTTGATTGATTTTGATCTTCTACAGGAGTAACTCTTACATTACTATCATCTATATATTTATCAAAATGATTGATACCTAAGTATAAATGTCTATTACTCTTTGGCATAGATTTAAAATGGATCATCTTTTGGTGTCAATGAATATCTTTAAAAAGAAAGATAAATTTCAAAAAATTAAATAAATAATTGAATTGATAATATTCATTACTCATTATTTATATCAAGAAAAGTGAAAATTTAATTTATTTATTTGTGGGGTGTTCAACTGACTTTCAACTTAAATCATCAAGTTTTTTGATTGAAAACAAACAATTTTTAGTATTTATTTTAAATCCAAAAAACAACATGCCACGTGACAATCTGGACAGATAACAACGATTAATAACCTAATACTTTTTTAATTATTAAAATGTGTGTACGATTCATTCCACCCACTGCAACTTTGACTATTTATAATACAAATAAATAGTATAAAATTAGTATTAATTTTGTCTAAAATGTAATCTTATAATACTTACCAAAGTTTTGAATTTGGGAACCGGGTATTTTGTATGCAAATCTAGATCTAACACTTTCACATGGCAAACAAAAATTTAGTTAACACCTCTCGATGGCATCTTGCTCCGATTCTACCAGCTTATTGCTACCAGTAACAACAATACATTTCTTGGCTGCTGTTAGGAAACCACCACATCTGGTTCCAGAAGCATCTACAACACTTAAATATATAATCATAAAAATATTAAAATGATTGATATATTTAAAAAAAATAATAATAATATTTACAATAACTTTCCATCTTTGGAAATGGCAGATACACTCGATAAGAAATAATCAGCTGACAAAGCTTTTCTTCTCAAATAGTCTGCTTTTAAAGGATCTTTCTCTTTTAGAATATCAGCATGAAGATTCTTAAATTTATCAGTTGTAAACTGATAGTTTTTGAAACCAATTTCATCCTAAAAATAATTTATGTAAATTTAGTATCATTATTTTAAATACTATTAAAAATAGATAGATACCAGAGTAACAGAACCACCTGACATTAATGTAACATTTTCAGGGATGTTCTTTTCTAGGAATTCCAATGCTGCCTGAGCATCATCGACAACGGTCACATCGAACTTGTTTTGTTTGAGATTCTTTACTGTTTCATCAATTAAGTTGGTAGGAGCTAAATTTCTAAATCGCTTTGTATCAACTTTGAAATCTTTTTCTTGTTCAAATAACTGATCAAATCTTAACATTATTAAAATAGTAAAATATAAACAAACAAAACAAAAATCTATATTTTAAATTTATAATCCAAATTAAATATGAAATATAGTACGCAATGATGTTCATTTTTATTTATTTTATTTTGTGATTAATCAGCTGATAAATAATAATGGTGTTTCTGAGATGTGGGGTAAATATATTAAAATAAAACAAATAAAAATTATTCGGTACTAAAAATTTCTATATGTCACTTGATGAGCTGATTTGCAAAAAACAACTTTCTCTTTAATAAAGACTGTACACTATCTTAAACAAAATAATAACTGGTAAATAATCTTTTGAGTTTAATAAAAAAATCATCTAACTATTCTTATAAAAGGGCTGATGAGTTCAGAACCTAAAAAAGGAACATTATGGGGTTTTTTTTGCAAAAGCTAAAAAAAAACTACACAAAAATCACAATTATCAAAAAAAAAAACTATGTTGATGGAATAATCGAAAAAATAATCATTAAATGGGAAATTTAGGTGTACTTGAAGTGTGAAACAACACCTTACTGCACAGAAATTTACTTTTGTCAGTAAACTAGTTTTTTAAGTTTGTTTAAATATCAATCTGGTGTTATTTTAATCAATCAAAAAAAAACAATTACTTTTGTTTGTTTGTTTGTTAGTATTAAGTATGTGGATAAGCAACTTTTGTATTAGACCATCACGTGGTTTGTTTCTGTTTTGGAAACCAATCAAACAAAATAGATACTTTGTTTTAGAGAAAAACTCGGAGAACTACATCGCAAAGAACAATCCCACCGTACCACTGTTGACATACTATGAAGCTCAAAAGACAGAGATTAAACATCCTTTTGAACAACAACAACAGAAACAACAAAAAGATAAACAACAACCTACACAGCAACAACAACAACAAACTACACCACAACAATCAATATATTTATTAACAAAGATGGAAGAAGAACAGAAAACAGAGATGACAAGTGGATTCTTTGGTAATATGTTCTCAAAGTTCTGTCAATTCAGTTGGACTATGGTGCTGGCCAAAGTCGTTCCAACAAGCTGGACACTCGACCCAAACGAATCATTTAGAATCAACACTGTCATACAGCCATTCAACTCCTATCAAATAGCAACATCAAACAGTCCACAAGAGATACTTGATCATTGGAATCAACTGGAGAATGAACTGTATCCAAAACTAAAGAAACTAAACAACACCAACGAAAAGATTGATTTACTTCAAACATTCTTAACAAAGAAACAAGAAAGAGAAGAAAGAGATAAGAAAAAATAATAATAATAATAATAACAGATCAATAGATGTAATAATAATAATCATAGAAAAACAATTCACTAATAACCTAACCTCACATATAGTTCAAAAAGTCTGAACTATTTTAAATTAATAAACCCATAACTAACAACAAAAACATAATAATAGTAATAATAAGTAATAATTAATATATATATATACAAATTATTTTTATTTAAAATAAACGACTTGCTATGGTTCTCAGTGAAAAACCTTCAAGTTTACCCCAACGTCTTTTTGCTTCTTCGATGTCCGGTTGATGATACCATGCTGGATATGGATTGGCGGGGTTGAATCGATAATTTAAAAATAGTTCTTCGTCTTTGATCGGTTGATATGCTACTATGATGAATGATTTCTGGTAGATTGATGGATTTCGTAAAAAGTTGTTCTCTGTCACCTCTTGATTGGGAATGTACGGTTTGAGATGCTCCGGAAACTGGTTGGAAAAGTCGTACTTGATACCGATGACATTCGGTGTCTGTGTTGCCGATGGATGATTGATAAACTGTCCGATGGCGTAGGGATTGCGGAATCGTGCGAGATCGAGACTGCTCACCGTTGCGCCACTCTCTTTGAAATACTGCGGACGGTACACGGCGAGATCGGTCTTTCTCAGCCAACTGCGACCGTCTATAACGGTGCCGTCGAACCGCGCCATCATGTAGTCGTTCTCCTTGATGACCGACGGCAGTATGCTGTTGGCGCTGTAGGTGTCACCAGGGTAGATAGCGAGGACCGTTCCCGGCATCACTTCGCCCCGCACGAATACACCGTAGCCCGCTTCTTCGTGGTCAACCGACGACCTACAAATCTGTAGAGTAAAACCGTCGGGATGCTCAATCTCTGCGCCCTGAATGCTCTGCTCACGAATAATGAGTGAACGTCGCAGTTTTGCCTCCATGCTATTGAGCGGCAGTTTCTGGATCGGTGGCGGATAAGAGTTTTTTCCGCCGATCGATTGCACCTGCTCAAACATCGAGAGCAGCTGTTTGCCAATGACTTCGTCGATTCTCTCCTTCTGTCGCACATAGGATGTCGATTTCAGAGACTGCACATACTTGTCATAGTAATCTTCGTCCGACTCGCCTTCCTCCTTTGCAACACCTCCAACTCCATTGTTTTGTCTGTGATAGATCTGTGTTGCCAAGAATGCTTTGAAAGTATCTACTTTCTCTTGTTCATTCTGAAAATACTCTACACCACCAGCACCCTCTACTTCAGATGGTGTCAATCTATTTCCCCATCTTGTTTTACCAACTACTGATCTAACGAATCTATGTAACATAACTATTTAAAGTAAGGTCCAGTCATTAAATCAATCAATCAATCAGATCAATCGACATAAATCTAAACTTAATGATTAATCATTTTGTAAAAAAAAACACACAACTCAACACACAATTTTTCATATGAAAATAATCAATTGACAGCAGCAAATTTGTTTTATTACAATATTTTAATAATCAAAGTTATAAATATATTAAAAATGTATTTATTTAAATTTTAATATTATCAAAAGTATATCATTATTATCTACCAATAAAAAAAAAGAAATTAAAAAAAAAGAATTGTAAAAAAAAATTGATAAAATCGAAAATTAATGCTCGTGCATTTATTTTAACCGATTCAACAGAATGGTCCTCATAGAAAAATGATAGGCACTGTTATTTTTTTCAATACGAATTTTTTCAATTTTTTTAAATTTTTTATTTTTTAATTTTGTGTGTAAAAAATTTGGCACAAAAACAACGCACTTTGAATCAAGTTAATTCCTTTTTTTCGTCACTTACTTGTCCCCCTTTTAAGAGTTAGAGATATTATAAAATGGCTGATGTCCAAGTAGGTTTTAATAATTTGATTTAATTAATTTTATTATCAGTATTTAGTTTATTCTACGATATATCATATCATTATATACTACTTTGTATTTAGTTAGAAAATAAAATATTATTTTAGGTTATTTTAGAAAATATTATCATAATCATCATCGTCATCAATGTAGTTAAAGTTTCAATCTATCTCTCTCGTTCATGTATCACAAGTTTTTAAGATGAAAATGACAGCAAATAATTAAACAACAAAACAGATTTAGAAAAAAGAATGTTAGAAAGTCATAGAATAACAGATAAAATAATATAGTTTTCAGAATAGAGATAATCATTCATTCATCTAGATTTTAGATAAACAAACAAAACTAGTAGCAAAACAATTTTACGAAAAATAATAGTTTGAATGATTAAACTACAAAAATAATAAAATCAAAATAATAATATATAAAAATAGTCATGTCAGTAAAATAATTGGTCAAAAGAGAGAGATAGGATAATCACTGAAACTTTAATGGTAATGATGATGGTGATGATATGTATAAATTTCTTTAAAAATGCCCAAAAAAAAACTATTTGACAAAAAAATACGAAATCCAAAAAAAAAAAAACTAAAAAAAAATACTGAATAATAATATGCTAAAAGAATAAATAAAACTAATAATAATTCATTACCCTACCACCACTACTACTATAAACAATAGGCAGAAAAAGCTTTCCAAAAGCAATTGTGTGTTTTCACCAGAAGCGTCCAATCCAAGACCATCAAGGGTAAGGAAGGTATCAGATACTACAAATCGATCGGTCTCGGTTACCGTGTACCAAAGGATGCCATCGATGGTACCTACGTCGACAAGAAGTGCCCATTCACCTCTAACGTTTCCATCCGTGGAACCATCTTGAAGGGTGTTGTCGTCTCAACCAAGATGAGAAGAACCATCATCATGCGTAGAGATTACCTCCATTACATCAAGAAGTACAACCGTTTCGAGAAGAGACACTCTAACATCTCTGCCCACGCTTCACCAGCTTTCAACATCAAGGATGGTGACTCTGTTACCATCGGTCAATGTCGTCCACTCGCCAAGACCGTCAAGTTCAACGTCATCAAGCACGACCCATCCGCTGCCTCCAAGAAGCAATTCAAGGCTTTCTAAAAGAAGTGAACTAAACACTTACATCTTATGATAGTTTGAATAAAAGTTTTAAAATATAAAATAATCTCTACTCAACAATTACTTTCATTTTTCCATTTCTTTCCATTTCACATCATGTCAATTCATATCATTTTGTTTTTATTTTTTTTTCCTCCTCTATTTGTTGTCAAGTATTGATTGTATTATACAAATAGAAGTTGATAATTAATTAACAATTATTATTTGTTTAATTCGTTCGTGTTTTAAAAAATTTATTCCAGTATGTGTTTTTAAGAATCTGCATTCTTTCACCTTCCTGAAGAAGATTCAGTGTGATTTTCTGTGTGTAATTCAAAATTTTTTTGCTTCTATGCTTCAAAAAAATTATAAAAATCTCTGATGTGTGTGTTTTTGATGATCAACAAACAACAACAATAATATTTTTAACATTCATTTTTAATTAATTAAACTAAAACTTATTACTGTTACTTAGTATTAGTATTTCTCTATTTATTTTAATTTTTATTTGTTATAAACAAACATGTCAAAGAATGTATTAGTTTTCGGAGGTAGCGGATCATTGGGTTCTGCTATCGTCAATCTTTTCAAGACCAAGGGATGGAATACCATCTCTGTAGATTTCCGTGACAACACCAATGCCACTCAATCAGTTTCTATCACCAGCTCCAACGAGAGTGAAGTCAAGAGAGTTTTAAGTGTTTTGGGTTCAACCAGTAAGTCTACCTATATATATTTGAATGTTTAACGGTCATATATATTAATATTAGTTTTATTGTAGAGGTCGACAGTATCATTTGTGCTGCCGGTGGTTGGGTCGGAGGTAGTATCGTCGCCGACGACTACTTCCAAAGTGTACAAAAGATGTTGGATTTCAATTTGAGTTCAGCAGTTGCTACAGCCTTCTTGGCTGGAAAGTTGCTCAACACCGGTGGTGTCGTTGTTTTGACTGGTGCCAAATCTGCTACCGTCCCAACCGCCGGTATGATCGGTTACGGTATCTCAAAGGCTGCCACTCACCACCTCATTAAATCGCTCGCCGAAACACCAGAACTCAGTGGATCATCTTCATTGGGTATTCTACCGGTTACACTCGACACCCCAAGCAACAGACAGTACATGCCAGGTCCATACGACGACTGGACTCCACTCGAGGAAGTCGCCGACAAACTCTTCCAATGGTCGAACGACTCTGCCACCAGACCAACCAACGGTTCATTGGTCGTCGTCGAAACAAAGAAGAATGTTACTACCTACTCAACCATTTAAAAAAAAAAAACAAAACAAAACAAACAGAATAGATAAATCAATAAACCACAAACTAAATTATATATATTGTATTTAAATTATATATCATATGAGCACTTTCAGACAATTAATTATCACCCAAATTATTTCTAAAAACTCTATTTTTTTTCCACTCACTTAATCATGATCGATTGATTAAAATTACCATTTATATTATTGTAAATATAAATAGTTATAGTTATAAAAGAAAGAATGAGTAATAATAACAATAATATTTGTAAGAGATTGAAAAAGGAAGAATTATATAAAGCTAAATGGATTGCTTTGAATCAGTTGACATTCTCTGACCCTAATGGAAAAGAAAGATTGTGGGAAACTGTCGATAGAACCACTAGAGTTGGAGAGGTTGATGGTGTAGATATCATTGCATTGGTTACGAAAGAAGATCAGAAAAAGTATATTGTTTTGACCGTTCAGTATAGACCACCTGTAGATGCAATGGTTATTGAGTTCCCTGCAGGTCTCATTGACCAAGATGAAACCGCGGAGCAAGCTGCAATCAGAGAGTTGAAAGAGGAAACAGGTTATACAGGTGAACGAGTTGATAGTATATCTTCTATATTGGCATTAGAACCGGGTTTATCTTCAGCAAACGCACAAATCTGTACTATAAATGTAATGTACACATTTCCACATCCATCTATAGCTAGTAAAGTTAAGTTGTTTGTTTATTAACAATAAGATAATAGATTGAAAACAAATCAAATATAGAACCAAAGCAACATTTGGAGGATGGTGAATTCATTGAGGTCATTGTAGTTCCTCTCAACAATTTATTAGATACATTACAAAGTATATAAATCAAAGTTGTTTCAATTATTATAATTTATTAATGGTTATTATTCAAAACTCTATAGATTTAACAAAGAAATATCACAAGTGTATCATTGATGCAAAAGTCTATACATTTGCATTGGGTATGAGTATTAAGGTATAAAGAATGTATAATTAGGTATTGGAGAAATCATTATTTATTATTGTATTGTATTGTACTTTAATCGATGATGTACAATAGTTTTTTTTATGAATAAAGAAGATGATTGCTTGTTGTTGTTGTTGATTGGTCAATGTAGTTAATTGATTGGACAATAATTATCATTATTATTATTATTATTATTGATTAGAATATAATAGTTGCAATAGAATTGTATACATTGATTTGGAAATATATATATATGTTGATAATCGAAGATAATAGATGTACAGTAATAGTATATTAGTTGATTTGGTTTGGAGTGTATATCTACTTCTTCTTCTTTTTCATTTCCTTGTAGATTGTATTGACCATCTTTTTAAAGTCGTCAGCACAGTTTGGCTCAAAGAATACGTTGGATCCAATCTTCTTGGCAAACTCTCTTCCTTCCTCTTCGGTGATGTCCGACGGTCTTGGTGGATTGTTTCTCTTGTCGACTTGCATACCGGCAACGAATATTGGCATCTTACCCATGAAGTTGATTTCTGGCAGCCATTGGAACGAAAGATCCTCGAACGATACACGATCGAACGCACTGTAGACCACGATGGCACCGTCTGCGTGTTCATATTGGAGTGCTCTCAATCTAGAGTAACGATCGTGACCACTGGTATTGACGAATGTAAAGTTCACAGATTTGCCACCGTCCAACAAGATATTACCGTTGATAGTCTTTTCAAAATCACTATCAGAAACAACTTTACATTCACTGACAACGTTCATACCATAGCCAATGAGCAACTCTTTATCCAAATCCTTATCACCAGCAACAACAATAGTAATATGATCATCTATATTATAGATTTATGAGTGAATGAAAGAAAGATAAAATTAAAAGAAAAGTAAGTAACTTGTTTAAAATCAAAATACAATTATATCTTTAAATTTAGAATATAGTTACCTGTTTTCTTCTTTTTTATTGACTTTGGCGAGGTTGATTCCTTTTGTTCTTTTTCTTTCTTTACTTTTGCTTTTTCTCTTGTTTCTAAAAGTAATTATTGTAAGTTAAATATATTATAATAGTTATTTATAAAATAATAGATTTTAGTTAATTACCTTTTTTCTTTTCAAATTCTTTAAGTTTGGCACTTAGCTCAGATTGGCCTCTTGTTAGTATCTTCTCTTTCGATTGTATCTCTTGTTCCTTCTTGCCTAGATCTTTCAATTTACTCTCCAACTCCTTCTGTGCCTTCTCATTGACATCCTTTAGTTTGATCTTGATCATTCGCTCTGCTTCCTCTGTGATCAAATCTTGTGCCTCAGCTTTCAGCTTTCTCTTTCTCTCTTTCTCTTTCTTCAGATTGAGTTGTTCGGTGATCTTGTCGGTGGTGTCTCTGCTGATCTTGTTACACTTTAGATTGAGGTTGACAATGGAGAACTTGGTCTTTTCGAGGTACGCCAGCAGCTTGATACCACCCTCCTCGGTGATACCACACTGAAAACAACTGAGATTGCGAAGTGTCTGGTTGGACGGTAGCGAGCTGACGAGAGCACTGGCACCAGAGTCACCGATTCTATTGCTGTTGATGTGGAGTGTGAGTAGCGAGTTGTTGGATTCCAGTGCGTTGGCGAGCGCACTTATTCCTCTGTCCGTGATCTTGCAGTCCGAGAGATAGAGCGACTTGAGCGAACAGCTGTGCTTGGAGGTGAGCGACTGACTCAGAATCTGTAGACCTTCGTCGCCGATCGGATTGTTGTCGAGTTTCAAGTGAAGTAGAGAATTGTTAGTAGCGATAGCCGAAGCTAGCTCACGAATACCTTGTGAGGTGATGTTGTTCGACGACAGATCGAGTGACTCGACTATTGCATGCTGCTTCAGTGACTTGGCGATGGGAATTACCCCATCGTTGCCTAGCTCTTTTCCGTCGAGCCTAATCAATGGATGTCTCTTTCCATTGAGTAACACCTTAGCAATGACTGCAGTGTCATTCTTGGTCATCTTTTTGAAGAGATGACTAGCTGCTTCAATAGACATTTTATCATCGTCCATCATTTTTGTGTTTTTCTTTTTTTTTTATTTATAAATATATCTTATGAAATAATAAGATAAGTAAATAAAAAAAATATATATATATTATTATGAAAAATATATATGTAGTAAAATGAACTGGAATGAATAAACTGACTTTTGGTTAATGAAAAAAAAGATAATGATTATGATGAAGATGTTGTTGGAACTTTTGGAATTCCTTTTGGAAAATAACTGGTTGGTTGGTTGTTTCCGATGATGTGGAGGAAAGATGAGCAAGTATGGTAAAAGAGGAAAATCCAAAAAAGAACTGAAACAATATACTGTTATAGCAATTGAATTTGGAGTGTAAAGGTTGCAATAGGAGCAGCAAAGTAAGTAGTGGTGATAGTTCAGCGGTGATGTGAAAAGCTGTGAAAAATTATTTACAATACCAAAATTATTAATTATTGATCAATTGTCAATAAGTAAATAATATCGATAATATTGAATTGTAAATTTTAATTCACTTTCTTGCTTTTAAATAAATTCGAAAACTGTGTGAATTAATCAATCTTCTATGATTTAATGAGTGAATTGCTATGAAGGAAAGAAAGATATTTTTTTATGCGTGTGTGAGTGTGTGTTTGAATAGATTGTGTGTTTTTATGTGTATGTTGTGAAAATAGTTTGTGAATATGTGGATGAGTTTGTTGTCAATGATGTAAATACTATTATATGGTGTTAGATGGATAATAAATAAATAAATAAATAGAAAACAAACGTCTGATTAAAATAATAAAAAATTAATATTTTTGTAAAGAAATGACAAAACTAGATCTTCTTTATCTTGAATTGTTTGTTGTTCCACTAATCTATTTAATATTAATATTAGTGAATTAATTAAATAAAATAGAGAATATATAATTTAGTTAGATTACTATTTTTATAAAATATATTAGAAAGTTAATATTTCTGTTACCTGTTTGTACAATTATTATTTTGTTTAAAAAAAACTAACTATTAAACTATATTGATGAAATTTATCTATTTCATATTTAAGTGTTTTATGTTATGTTAACTAAATTAAACAAATATAAAAATGCTAATAAATAATTGTTTTAAAAAATATATATTATTTATTTTATTCATTTGTATATAAAAAGAAATATATACATATTTATTCTTACAAAAAGAGTAATATTTATTTAAATAGTTTTACGACTTGATGTTGCTGCTTGTTTTTTACTCGGCTGTTGTTTCGCAAAATAGTGTGAAAATGAACTTTCATTGTGGAAACTAAAAATATCTGTTTGTTTTTTATGTGTTTGAATGAAAATATATATATTTCTTTTTATTTTCTTCATTGTATTGAGTGGTTTGTTTTAAAAAGGAAAAAGAGTACTAATTGTTTTTACACAAATTTATCAAATTCAAAAATATACTTTGATTAACAAATGTATTAAATTTAATACATATACATAATTTTAAAAACATATAAAAAAATTTTATGTTTTAAATCTTTTATAACCATTTTTATATCTTTCATATAAATATAATAATATAATAATAAAAATAATATTTTTTACCATTTATAATTTAATAAATAAATTAAATTAATTTGAAAAATTAAAAAAAAAAAGAAAAAAACGAAACGAAAGTATGATTAATTAAGTTGTTTTTTTTAAAGATAATATATATCTATACTATACTGATATAATTTTAAAGAATGAGTCATAAAAATAAGTTTAAAAGAGAATATAAAGATAATAACGATGATAATGATAGTCGTGATAATGCTGCTGGTAGATTTAAAAAGCAAAGAGTAGATAATAGTAAAAATAATGATAAACAACAAGATAAATCATGGTATTTACCACGTGAAAGTATGTTGATATAATTATTGAATGGTTTATTGATTGATTGATTGATCATCTTATTAAACAAATTAAAACAACAAAACATCAAAAATAGAGAGTAAATTATTAAGACAAGAGAAACAAGTAAAGAAAGTTTATGATAAGAAATCACAAAAGAGAAAAGAATATCAAGCAACACAAAAACCAGTCTCTAATTTTTATGATTCTTTTAAAAATGATGATCCAATGTCAAGAGTAATTACTTTTATTAATATCAAATAATAACATGTAATTAAAGTAACTAATCAATCTTTATCTCTTTTTTTTTTTAAAAGTTTGCATTGGGTGGACATCAAACACAGTCTGATGATTTCATGAGTAGAAAGAATAGAGGTCAAAAGAGATCGAATAGACATAAGAAAGAAGATAGTGATAATGAGAAAGAAGATGGTGAGGATGTCGAACAAGAAAATGAAATTAATAATAATGTTAAAGTGGAAAATGATATAGACGGTGATGAAGATAGAGATAATGAAAATGAAGATGTCGTTGATGATGATGAGGATGAAGGTGGTGATGAAATTGTACAAGAAAAGAATAGTAATCCATATTATAAAGCAACAACAACTACAACTACATCATCATCATCAAGTAGCAGCAGTGATTCAAAGAAGAAGAATCCCAAATCATATAAAGCGCAGTTGGATCAAGCTAGAAAAGAATATCAAGAGAGAAGACAAGAGATGGAGCAAAAGAGAAAGGAGATCGAAGAGAAGAAAGCAGAGAATCTAAAGAAACAGCAACAAAGAAAAGAGAAATCACTTCAGATGCTAAAGAAAACAAAGAGAGGTCAACCCATCATGAAGAATCAACTTAATAGATTACTTGCTCAAATAGAATCATCTACTTCTTCCAAATAAATATTCTACATTAATATATATATATATATATATATATATATATATATACATATTTCATATATATACATTGTTTAAATATATCTTTGTTTTATTTTGTTTATCAATTTTTTTATTATTTTTTTAATTTTTTGTAAAGGTTTTTTAACAATTTGGTACCAAAATGATGTTGATTGGTTTTATGATAAAAGTTGATATTTTTTTGGTTCGATCGAGATCAAAAAAAATGTTAAAGATATTTTTTTTAATTAATTAAAGTAAAATAAAATTATAAAAACAAACTTAAAAATCATTTCAAGTTAAATTTTATTTTATTTTTTTTAGTTTATTTTTTACTAAATAAAGATAGTGAATTTATTATTAGATATTAGTCTTAAAATTAATGTTTAGTTTAAGAATTCCAAACAACCACTTCCTCATTCAATAAAACACCCCAACACATTTTCACCCCAAACCATTTTAATAATAAATATTTTTAAATGTCACATCCAAATAATTAAAGCCAATTAAATCAATCAAACAATCAGCCAGCCAACCACAAAATAAATATTAGATTATCTATTTTATATTTATATATATTTTAATTTTTTTGTTGCATTTCAAATTAAAAAAGAATCAACAAATCAATCTTATTTCCTTATTTATTCATATAATCTGTATTTTTATTATTATTATTAGAATCAATTAAAAAATATCAACCAACCAATCAATCAATCAATCAATCAATCAAATTCAATCTAAATCTATTTAGAAATATTAATTAGATTTTCATTTTTCATTCATTTCCAACCAAGTTGAATTATATTTATGTAGATTATCTATTAAATTAGATACGAAGATTAGGAAAGAGAAAAGAACTGAACACAACAGGAAGAGAAGAGAAGAGAAGAGAGATGGATAATGAAGATAGATTGATTACAGATCTGATCAACAGATACAGTGTACAAATAAAGTTTAAAAAGAACCAAGGATATCAGACATCCGATCAACTCCAACAGAATGTCCTAAGAAAACATAACGAACAGACTCTCATTGATTTAAGTTCAAATAAACTAAATTTAATAGCCAATGGTTTATCAGATATATTAGATTCTTTAACAAAAGTAAATAATAAGACATATTTTTTAAAAAAACAATCAACCCTGCTCAACCAAAAAAAGATTATTTGATTTTTTTTAAAAAAAATCAAATGAAATCGGTTGATCAATCAATCAATCACATCTGAACTTTTTAATTAATTTTCACTTTTCATTTCATTTAATGTTTCTATTTTTATTTTTATTTTTTTATAGAAAAAAGATAAAGAAGAACCAAACGAACATAATCTATGGGCACAATCATATACACTTGGATTATTAGCAAAATGTATGGAACATCAATGGTTTCATATAGTATGTATATATATATTAATCGAGAAACTCGCAAACAAAAAACATGATATATTGTTATAAATATTAACATATCGTTTGTTTATGAAGAAATCACAATATAGAACAATGTCCAATAATGTTTCCGATGAAAAAGAAGCATTGAAATTGAGGGAGAAAGAAGAACAGTTGTTACCACCACCCCTACAGGATTCAATGGCATCGAGAATCATTGGAATTGCCAGTGGCTGTTTGATTCGATGTCCTTCAGAGTCTGACACCTACATCAATAGCGGCAAGTTGATCTACCAGCTATCGGCTACCAACTACGACCAGGTCTATGCAAAGATCGTCGATACGCTCTCGGCCATCGTGAATGCCTCTAGTGGCAATGTGGCAGCCGACGAATCGATCACCAGTCAGTTGATGTTGATCGAGCACATCAACCTGAATTCACATCTGTTGTGCGAGCTGCTCGAGCGTCTCTTGAAGTCGGCCGGTTCCTTCCGCAAGGAGAAACATCAGTTCACGCTGGCGATGGTGCTGCGTCGCGCCATTTGGAACTGGATCGAGAATCATCCGATGGAGTTTGTACAGCTGACGCGTAGTGGCGGACGTCTTTCGAGCGCGCCAGACCTCCTGTTTGACATACTGGACGGCTGGGCAAAGAAGACGATTCACCGAAATTGCATATGGCCATTGATGACGATGCTACTTCTCCTGTGTCCGGAGCTGATGATCAAGATTCAGCGAAACGAGAAGCACTCGAACAACGCACAGGGATCCGGTGACCTCTCCATCAAAAAGAAGTTCCTGGAAACACTGAAAAAGTCAATCAAAGTATCGAAACTCGCTGACGTTGTAACCATCTGTTATCTCGACATCTTCAAAGCATCGGCATACGTAACCGACACCGATGTTACAATATTAAAACCGATTGCATATTCAATAGGTAAGTAAGATGATTACTAGCTAACTAACTAACTATCTAACTATTATTGGTTATTAATGATATCATTGTTGTTTGTTTAGAGGGTGAATTAAAGGATAGATTTATTGTACAACAAAAGGGTGTAGAGTTGGAATCTATTAATTTGGAGACAGAGTTTCTGGTGGCGTTGTTCAAGACATCGTCGAAAAAGTTGAGTGTAATGCTACCGGATTTGATGCATGCCGATTCACCTAGTTTTAAAATCGTTCTTTTGAAATCTATTATCAAGATTGTTATGGATGATTCTCATCCTAATAAACTGCCTTGGTGTCCGTCACTCTCTGAAGCATATCCCATTGTTTCTTCACAACTCAAACAGCTGTTCATAGATTGTCTTCAATCCGTCAGATCCATAAACAACACACCAAGACAACTAACAGATAAAAGCAGCAGTAAAAAACATCAAGATAAACATTCAGACATACAAATCATAACACTTTTAGTACAACTCTATCATTTAGATCCTAAATTTGCATTATATCCAATGGTATGTAAAATATATTATAGTTGAAAAGTGTCTCTTACTTACTTACTTACATATACATTTTGTTTATTGAATAGAAAACACCAGTACAAGATTTAGATGATTTCAAATCGATAATGGTTGGATTATGCTTAATTGCATCGTCACAAACGCTATCGAGTGATTTGGTTGAGATGGCTGGTGCAACGTTGATAAAGATGCATCAGATATCGAGTATTGAATGCTGGTACGATAAGAAGTTGACCAATGGATTCTGGGAGATAAGTTCCACCGTAAATACGACACTGGCCAACTCGCTCGTCGACCAACGTGATCTTCCACTCGAGCACACCCAACGATTGTTTATATTGCTACACGATGTCATTGCCTACCGGAACAAGTTTCTCTATCAATCGCGTGATTCGCTGCTACCGCATGCATCGATACGTGATCTCCGCTCACAGGGATCGTCCAAGTTGGAGTATGCACTGCTGGTTCATCTCTGCTCGTCCGAGCCTGACATCTGTCTGCGGAGTGCAATCGTATTTGGCTTGTTGGCCGAGGAGATCGACATCATCGGAGAGACCGCCGAGGAGAGCAACGGAATGATCAACAACCATTCGATCTACAAGAAGTTGGCAACCTCCTGCCAAGCTCTGCACACCGGTAAGAAACATCAACAAAAGGTGATTCGCAGTCTGCTCCGTCGCATTGCATCACCCACAACAGGAAACACCACCGCTTGGGAAGAGTTATTCTCAAGATGGACTGCAACAACTCCACTACTTGTTAGCATAACAGATGATATAAACAATGATGTAAAGTATTACGAATAACTATAGTATACATTCACAGATTCTAACCTACTACTTTTCATTCTGTCTACAATTTGTAGAAGTTAAATGGTGTAAAGAAACCTTTGAATGTTATTAAACAAGAATGGTATAATATGATTGGATTGCTATGTAGTTTGAGTGGTGTAATATTGAATAAGGATACCGTTTTGGCTGCGAATGCAGGTGCAACAGGTAGTTCGACAACAACAACAACAACTGGTGGTAGTGGTGGCAGTGGCGCAGCTGCCAGTTCGGCAGGTGGACAACTCAGTCAAGGAAGAACTAGAAGTAGAAAGCTTACGAATACACCTACCTCGACTGTTGAGAAAGCCAAGTTGATAACTGTGTTCATGGACGAACTGGTGGAGTTGATGGTCAGTGAGAACAGCTTTATTCGAGACTCTACCATCTCGTTGATGGGAACGGCGTTGTGTCCTGCTTCGTTCGAGTGGATGTTGAAACACCTGCACATTGAGATGTCCGGTTGTTTTGTAGATGTAAATGCAGCCTCAAGCGAACAGACACTGGAACGATCGAATATCTTTGTCGACCAGACAATCAACGTCTTGAAAAACATAGTCGATCCGACATGTTCCAATACCGACGATCTTGATTTCGCGAATATCGGTGCGTTGGAACGTCTGCTACTGATTATCATTAAATATATTAATCATCTACAACCGATTGCACCACATTCCACCATCGTAAAGATGAAGCGTAACGTTTGTACTCTGTTGGATTTCATCGTGGGAAAGAAGTCTACTATTCAGATCTCCATCGACTTTAAGAGGTCGCTGTTGGATCTCCTTATCGATTGGACAACCATATTCAATCCCAACACTATAGCCAGCAGCGGCAGCAACAACAATAGCGCAGGTAATCTCAGCAATAGTCTGACAAGTAGTAGTGCATCGATCAATGGCAATACACTATCACAGTCACCTTCCGAACCATCTTTCCTCTCTGACTCTTTTGATTCGAAATCAAACAACAACGATCTATCTTGTATTTCATTACTCTCCAACATCCTCTCGGGTCTTATATTCAACACAAATGATCATGCAGGTTTAATGTTATTCAAAAAGTATTTCAATATATTCTTTAATCAATTAACAAAGAAACAACCAGAAGTAAGTAACTTACTTATATTAAGTTAGCTATAATGTTTAATCAATCTTTATCATTGTTACTAATTCAAACACTTCACTTCTTATTCAAATCAAGTTGCTTCATGATAATAAACAAATGAATGATGGTATTATACAATGTATTTGTAATATGATTTATTCAAATTCAAACTATGATTACTTTGTTCAGATTGGATATCACGAGGAAGCAGAGACTAGAGCTGCATTCCTGCAAGTGTCTGCCAATGTTATAAAACAATCGAATCTCCATCAACGACAACAGATTGCAGCTAGCAGTGGTGCATCCGCTGCCGATCTACTCTTGGATGGCGCAGGCAGACCCTCCTCCCACTGGAAACCGGCAGGTGCATCGATAACTGTGTCACCCTCCACTTCGTCACTGTCGTTGGAGGACACCAAGTACCAGCAGTTCTACGAGTTACTCCTACAGGCACCGGACTATCATGCACTCATCTCGATGTCGCAGATCAACGATAGCGATGAACTGGCACGTGCTTTGATCTACTTTTACGATCAATACGACCGAACTCTTCCCGCCTTGAAAAAGATCATACAATACGAGGTGTCGACGACAAAGTCGAGTTCCACCTCAACTCTGCTACGAGGAAATAGCTTGGGATCAAAGATGTTGGCATCCTATATCAAGATGATAGGTACTCCCTACTTGAAACAAGCGTTGGGTACGCCCATCGGTAAGATCTTGGCAAACAATACATCGATGGAGATTGACACCACCAAGTTGGGTCCAAATGATGATATTCACGCCAATATCTCCAGATTATCTTTGCTGGCAAAGATATTCATCCGATCGATTCAAGAGACCATTTGCAGTGTTCCCGCTCCGATTCGTGAGTTGTCCTCCTACATTGTCAAGGAGCTGTCACAACACCATCCCGGAACAGAAAAGTTGACGGTTGTCGGTATTATGTTTCTAAAGTATATTTGTCCGGCGATTATCACTCCCGAGAATTTCGGTATCGTTCAAAGTACACAGCCAATCACCAAGGAGAATCGAAGAGCGTTGGTGCTGATCACCAAGATTCTCCAAAAGCTGGGAGCAGCCGGACAACAGTCGGTAAGAGAGCCATTCATGAATAACTTTAATAGCTTTGTCAATGACAATAGCAAGTTGGTTGACGATGTCTTTGACACGCTGACATCGGTGTCACCCGATAAGTCGGCAATCGGATCGTCGTCGAGAGGCAGACCTACCAAGCTGGTCTGGGAGACAAAGCAAGAGGATCTCTCGCTGCTACACAGTTACTTTATCAACTCGTTGGAGCGTCTCGGTAAGGTGTTGGTAACGATGGGACAACCGAAGCTTTCCGACCAAATTCAATCGGTGCTTCGTACACTCTCTGTCACTCTGAACTCCATTCAACCAACGGCTGAAGGCGCTAGCACCAATAGCATCGTTGAGTTACTCCAGCGATTCGAACACACCAATATCGATTATCTCAAACAAAAGAAGTTGTTCTACCAACAGGGATACACTCTAAAGGACAGACAGCCTGTTTTCTACTATATCGCGAGAAGGTTCGATGCATCGATGGATCAAGATCATCTCTTTTACCTCATGTTGAAGACAGTGGTCGATAGCACTGATACCAATCTCTCTAAAGATTTTACCATTGTCATTGACTGCACTCTGTCAACCGCTAGTCACAATATTCCGTTGGCTTGGTGTGCGACATGGCTGCGTCATCTTCCACCAAAGTTATTTGCCAATTGTTCGATCTACATTGTTAATCCATCGCGCTACATCAAATCTCACTTCAAGTCCATCTATAAACTTGTTGGCGGACAACAGTATCGTGTTAAAATGTTGTTGTTCCTCTCAAATTCCGTGCGTTTATTCGAGCATATTGAGACGGCTAATCATGGACTGCCAGAGTCAACTCTTGCCATTGAAACTGATGTGATGGCACTCTACACTCCCGTTGTCAAAGTCAACCAATTCCTCGAGAAGAATGTCACCATTCGTATCACCAACGATCATCTACAGCTGATTTCAATTAAGTTGTATTCACTTCTTGGTCGTTCAACTCAGTTGATCGATACCTATCCAATCTCCAATATCAAAGTCCTGGTGAGTAGCAATGACACCGAGGAGTTTGAGTTGAGATTCAAGAGTGGTGGACAATCGATGCAATTGAAAAGTCCACAACGATTCCAAATCGTACAATCCATAAATCAATCGATTGCCACTTCCACCGCTAGTAGCGGCGCGGCACCCAGCGAATCAACTACCTCTTCTATCAACCCTATTCCTCATGATATTCCAGGAACTCTATTGAATATGGCATTGCTCAATATGGGCAGTAGTAACTACTCACTCAGAACTGCGGCATACAATGTAATTGCGGCGATTGCAGTTCATCCTTCGTTCTCTACACAATGCCGACTGTTGGATACTCCAGGACTATCGATACCAAAAAATTCTACACAAAAGATTGTACAGATTTCCTCGCGTCTCTCAAAGTGTCAGCCAGAGTTGACACTTGATTTCATGTTGGAGGCAATGCACGGTATCAACAAGGCTGCACTTTCCTCAAAGTATTTGGTTCTCGAGTTTATGGAACCTTGGATTTCGAATCTGTCAAACTACACCCGAAAGGGACAAACACCAGAACAGATAGCTCGCTATAAAAAGACAACCGATATCATTGATCTACTGATAGAGTTGACCATTAGGGAATCCGGATTGAAATCGATCATCCACGAGAGAGTTTGGATATGCATTGGCAAACAGAGTGAAGATCTCATTGGTTTGGTACTGCAGAGGTGTTCATTGAAATCACGTGAAACCAAAAACAGCGAAATCATTGGAGAGATGGTATCCTCGATGGGTTATACATCTCCACAGCCCGTAGGTCGTAAGTTGATTGGTAGAATCCTAAAGCTATTGGATAAGACTGGTCAACTTCAACAATCGACACTACAACACTCTAGCAGCGATCTATCGATGCATATACTATGGACCCAGATCACTATCAATCTAAGATTGTTAATGTATCTTATGTTTGACAATCCGATTTGCGCTCAGCTGTACCTTCCTGAGATATTCCATATTATTGTCACAATGTTTTGTATAGGCAGTGTCAATGTTGGAATTACCGTACATACTCTACTGTTGAATACACTTCATTCACTCTACAATTCGATGGTATCGAACGACGGTAGACTCTCGGCTGTGCCCTACCTTATCTCACAGTTGGGAGAGCAGAAGTTCCTTCTTCTCTTTGGAATAAACAGTGCCAATTCGCTGTTGGCCAACAACGACTTTAATCTCTCGACCGAATCGAAAGAGTTGGAGAAAATGTCGATTACCAATGTCGATCCAGTTGCCAAATCTATATTCGCAATCCTAAAGGTTTTCATTGACAGTCGTTTCGAACAAGCTAAGCAATGGCACATGCGATGGATTCAACTAACGATAAAGGCTGCATTTACTAGTAATCCACCCATTCAAAGTCGTGCTCTCATCACTCTTGGCAACATCGTAAAGAATAACTCAATGTGTGAATTGCTGATTAGAGATATATTAAAGGTGTTGGGATCCACACTAAAGACTGCCAACTCCCTTACCAATTACTCGGATATTATCTACAGTGCGATCCACTGTCTTACTCGGCTACAAGAGTATCTCTCACCGAAATCCATTGATACATTCACCTCGCTCTTTTGGATTGGCATGAGTTTTATGGAGATCTACGACAGCAAGATATTCTCGGTAGCACTGGCTCAGATTGAATCACTCATAAAAATAATGGATAATCATCAATTGTTCGCCGAAGGATTCCACCCAACTCTGCTTCTCGCTAGAAATCCATATCTTAAATCACTACAAGCTATCGACCAAGTGGTTGGAGTCAACTTTGAGAATAACTTTGCCTTTGCAGTGTCGACTCATCTCCTCAAAGGTCTGAAGAATGCATCGACCAAGAGTTCAACAACTTCTTTGCTATCGACGATCCTCAAAATAGTGTCAAAGAAACCAATTGAAACCAGTTCAATGCTCGGATACCTCGCGCTCCTCGCAAGCGAGGGTGAGTTTTCATTCATCGAAAATCAATCGGAACCAGGCCAACTTCTTTTCAATCCTCAGATGGTAGCCGATGAAACTCATGCTGCACTGTTATTGAATTTGTTACAAACGATCTTGTCGCATACTGACCGTGAGCCAGAGCAACTTATTCTCTTTGAGATTCTAAAAGAAGGTATTAAATTCTCGCCCAAATCGTTTAGTACCATAAACAATAGTTTGACACTGAAGATCTCATCGGCCATCACCAACTCTGAGAATCCAAAGATTGTGGCTCCCGCTCTCTTTATAATGGATCGACTCTATAGCTTTATGATGGCAGCCCCCACCAACTCAATCAATAACAACAAACAATTTGATCTCAAACAAATTGGATTCCAAGGTATGAGCGATGCCGGTGCTGGTTTCCAAAGGCAAACAACCTTGACCATAAATCAATCAATTCTTAAATCTACATCTGAACTCCTTGACAGTGTCACCAACACCGTTTTCCAATCAATCTCTGGACAAACATACCCATTCAATGATTCGGACTTGAAAATCGATGATATTTCTGATGATGAAGAACATAAAAAATAAATTAGACCACAATAATAAAAGATCTTTACTGGCAATATAATTTATTATTTTTATTTGTTTGTTGATTCCAAATTAACCATATTTATACCTTTTTTGAAGTGGAATGAATATCGTTTCTTCAAAACTATAACAATAGCAATGGTAATACAAACGAGGAAGAGAGCTGAACCAATTGCAATTCCAATGATTTGAGAGGTGGTCAGACCACTCGATTTACATTTGTCTTGATTCTGATCGACCAGCAAACTAAAATCAGGATCCAACCATGCTAATGAATCGAAATTTGGAATGTTCATTGCAATCAATGATGATTTCACTCCATTATTCGAATCTCCAGAGCTTTCTAAAACGATATTGTTGACACTTTGAACTTTATAATCAATCACTCCATAATTGATGAATCTTGCACTCAATACTTTGTCACCCAATCTGAGATTCAAGTATTGAACTCCATTTCCAGTAATCTCTGAACTCGAACATAAATTATTGGTATCTGATGTTGAAATTGATGTGTTCATCACCAATTGAAGTGTGTTCAATTTATCTTTGAATGAATATCTGTCAATAACAACTGAATATTTCATTGATGATTTATAAATTGTGTATTCTTGATTGCCAAAAGTATAATTTGAATCTGATTCGAAATATTCCAAAGTGACATTGATTATTGTTGTTCGATTGTTTGAAATCTGCCGACTGAAAATATATTTCGATGAAATTGGTGTTGTGAAATTGTCAACACTCCAATGATCTTTGATATCAAAACGTTCGATAACATTTCCAGATGAATCCAATTCTCTGATTGAATCGATCGAAACAAGTGATAAGAAATCACTGTTTTTATCATTTTGAATGGTTGTTGGTGTTGTTGAATTGACATGAGTAACCACATCAATCAATGAAAATGAACATCCGGTTCCAACCCATCCACTTTTACATTTACATCCATTGGATGTGCATTCTCCATTTGGAAGGCAAGAGTTTGGACATGATGGTGGAATTGTATTTGTTGGTGTTGGTGTAGATGTTGGTGTTGGTGTTGGTTTTAATGTTGGAATAATGCGATAAGGCATGGAATTTTCGACAATAATATCAATATATTGATTGCTATCAAATGCTGGAATTGTTGTGATCAATCTTGTGAATGTTGTTAATGAACTGGTTAGTGCATGTAAACTTCCACCTGGTGGAATATAGTTGACTCTAGTATTGCTTGTATCATTTCCGAAACCATTTCCATATAGTGTTATGACTCCACCATCTGTTGAAATATCACTGGCTGATTCGATAATAATATTACCGAGATTGAATGGGAATGAATTGGCAGCATTGAAACCATCATATGATGCATGATTGTAACTGTTATCTACAACTCCAAATATTGTTATTTGAATCGAATATCCAGGGAGAGCAAATCTACGAGGTATATTGGCTGATATCGAATAGGTGGCATGGGTTTTGTTGATTGGAATCACTTCAAAAGGAACTATCATGTTTTGGTCATATGTCGAAATACACAGAACTGGGATGTGTCTGTATGATATTCCAGATTCCAGATCGAAAGATGTGAAATTACAATTAAACTGTGGAATTTCCAAATTTGAATTCAAACCCCAAGAATCGATTATAATTGTTGGACTAATGGAGTCACTTCTGGAATTTATAATCGATGCATTTAAGGAAATATTGTTTGATATTAAACTTGAATATTGATATCCAAATGGATCGAAAATAGAATTTGGATTTGAATAAATTGATTCGGCAATATTTCCTCCTTCATCAATCAACTTGATTCCATTTGCAAAACTGTATGTCTCACTGACACTTTCTGAATTAAATGGTATCGAAATTTGATAGGTACCACTGAATTTCGATCCACTTGTCAAGTTTGCAGGTGTAAATTTGAATTGTCTTGGAAGTAAATCAAGATCTGATGTAACATTGATATATGCTTCTGATAGACCATTGATTGAATCTTCGATTGTAATCAACCATCCAATAAAGTTAATTCCTCCGTATACAATTGATTTCGTTATCTTTGGTGGAATCATATCGATTTCTAAATGTATTTGAAATTAAAATATTGTCAAATTAGAATAATGTTAAGAAATTAATAAATAAATAAATTAATAATATTTACGATTTGAAATAATATTTAAATCAACATTATTTTGACCAAATTTGAATAAAAGAACATCTTTTGTGATAAAAGTTTTACTTTCCAAATAGAAATCGAATGGTCCAGAATTGAAATTCTTTTGGATTGTGAAATCGATTTGATATGATTGAATCATTGAATTCCAATAACCGGTGAATGTTTTCTTGATAAAATTACCTCCATATCTACCAATAATCATTGTGAGAGTTGGTTGATAATCGATATTATTGTTATCCAAAACAAAGAAGAGTGAACTGCTCATTGATGTTCCTGTTACATTCAAAATGTTGTCTTTGAATTTGAATGCAACAATATTGTCAATCGTATATGAAATTGGGAATGGTATTCTTGGTATTCTTTGGAAGTTTCCAATCATCTCATCACTTCCAACGATAATGAAATTCCCAGCGATATCGTATATTGTAAATGAGAAGATATCATTATCTATTCCATATGGTATTGTCACTTCTTTTTCATAAATTCCATTTGTTGAATTTCCTAAAACAATATCTCTTTGTGTGATTCTAAAAGGAAATGGGTTGATTTGTTCTAAACTATAGAATCCTGATAAATCATCTGTGACATTGACCTGAATGATAAATGATTTCACACCAATAAAAGGAAATATTGTAAAACTATTCAATGATGGTGGAATCGTATCCATGGTTGGAGCAACTATAATTTGTAAAGTAAACCAATATTGTTAGTTAAATAGTAGAAGTTAAATAGTAAAATCACTTACCAGGCAATAGAAGTACAGAACTTGAAGAGTTTTCATATCTGGAATTGATAGCTATTCTTTCTCCTGGAGAATATAAAGTTATAGCAATTGGGTATTTCAAGGCAAAGTTCTTGATGGTACCAGTGGCGATTCCAACTGGATAGTTTAAGTCGATATCAGGACGAAGATTCCTTGAAATATACAATGAATCTTTGGTAATTGATTGAACTGGAATTGATACATGACCTAATGGGTAGGTCACCCATTTAAAGGAAAATGCTATAAAGGTTGTAGGTATATATTCTATATTTATACAAATAAGTTAGTAAAGATTATTATAAAATACTTTATAGAATTTACCTGTCATAAAGAAATTAGAATCAAAAATTGAATATTTGTTTCCAATTATCTCAACTTTAATTGGAGAGGAAGGGGTAGGTATTACTTGAGCGAGACCAAAGTAATCTAAATTTCCTACTCGAGTAGTAATATTTCCATTGAAATAAATCAATGAATTTACTTTATTGGTCTGAGAAAAAGAACCTATTTTTGTAAATAAAGCAGTCTGAGGATCTATGGATTTAGATATATTGTAAGATCTGATCGATACAATGGAATCCTGATTAAATGGGGGAGGCATCTCAACTTCTAATAGTGTTGCATTAAAATAGTTGATGGAAATATTGAAAGGTATTGTGTAGTTGCATAACTGAGAAGGATAGATATCGATTGTTAACTTTCCAATTGATCCATCATGTCCACTGAGAACACCTGATGAATAACAATTGTTATCTGCTGGAACAACATTATAAACAAGACCATTTAAATTCTTAAATGTCATAATATACTGTCCGTATTGAGTGACAGTGCTTTTCAAAATCTCTGGTTTTATATTAAAATTTGGTCCTATATTTCATTACATAGTTATTAGTGGTCTTATTTTAATAAAGTTTGAATTGAAATTGACTTACTGATGCATGGAACTATTAAAAATGATTCAATGGTAGCTTGCTGAGTTACCAACTGCAATGACATGTTGATATTTCCTTCATTGAAATAAGTATTTATCCAATAGTAATAACGGTCATTCTTTAAAGTCACCAGTCTATTCTTTTCCTGAGTGTAGCTAACTGAAAACGAAAATAGTCCATATGAAACATTCATGTTAAAACCAACATAAAATTCTACATCACAATATCCAAATGTATCTAGAGTTGTCTGGGGTTTCCACACATTCTTTGCTATATAAACATTTTCGAAAGAAATGCTTTTTTGACATGATATTGAACTTATATTAAAAATAAATAAAATTATTATAAATAATGATATTCGCATATTTATTAACATTATTTTGATCACTTTTAATATTTTTTAGAATGATCTTTGTTTTTATATTTTTTTAACAACAAAATTAAACGGTAGTCAAAAAATCATAAAATAAAATATCTAAATCTCTTCTATTAGAATTCGAGTTTTTATGGGTTCATTTTTGACCATTAGTTTTTCAGTGAAAAAGTGGTGCGAAATCATCTTTAAAATTTTTTTTTTTTTTTGTTTTTGATAAACGATTTATTTCAGATTTTTACAAAATTCGTTTGGTTGAGTATCACAAATATCCGTATCAAAAATATAATTGAAAAATCAATATTTATCTTAAAATCATAATCTTGAGTGAAATTTTTAAAAATATTAATAGTATTGTTAATTCTAAATTATATTATAATTTTTTTTATTTGTTTGTTGATTCCAAATTAACCATATTTATACCTTTTTTGAAGTGGAATGAATATCGTTTCTTCAAAACTATAACAATAGCAATGGCAATACAAACGAGGAAGAGAGCTGAACCAATTGCAATTCCAATGATTTGAGAGGTGGTCAGACCACTCGATTTACATTTGTCTTGATTCTGATCGACCAGCAAACTAAAATCAGGATCCAACCATGCTAATGAATCGAAATTTGGAATGTTCATTGCAATCAATGATGATTTCACTCCATTATTCGAATCTCCAGAGCTTTCTAAAACGATATTGTTGACACTTTGAACTTTATAATCAATCACTCCATAATTGATGAATCTTGCACTCAATACTTTGTCACCCAATCTGAGATTCAAGTATTGAACTCCATTTCCAGTAATCTCTGAACTCGAACATAAATTATTGGTATCTGATGTTGAAATTGATGTGTTCATCACCAATTGAAGTGTGTTCAATTTATCTTTGAATGAATACCTGTCGATAACAACTGAATATTTCATTGATGATTTATAAATGGTGTATTCTTGATTGCCAAAAGTATAATTTGAATCTGATTCGAAATATTCCAAAGTGACATTGATTATTGTTGTTCGATTGTTTGAAATCTGCCGACTGAAAATATATTTCGATGAAACTGGTGTTGTGAAATTATCAACACTCCAATGATCTTTGATATCAAAACGTTCGATAACATTTCCAGATGAATCCAATTCTCTGATTGAATCGATCGAAACAAGTGATAAGAAATCACTGTTTTTATCATTTTGAATGGTTGTTGGTGTTGTTGAATTGACATGAGTAACCACATCAATCAATGAAAATGAACATCCGGTTCCAACCCATCCACTTTTACATTTACATCCATTGGATGTACATTCTCCATTTGGAAGGCAAGAGTTTGGACATGATGGTGCGATTGTATTTGTTGGTGTTGGTGTAGATGTTGGTGTTGGTGTTGGTGTTGGTTTTAATTTTGGAATAATGCGATAAGGCATGGAATTTTTGACAATAATATCAATATATTGATTGCTATCAAATGCTGGAATTGTTGTGATCAATCTTGTGAATGTTGTTAATGAACTGGTTAGTGCATGTAAACTTCCACCTGGTGGAATATAGTTGACTTTAGTATTGCTTGTATCATTTCCGAAACCATTTCCATATAATGTTATGACTCCACCATCTGTTGAAATATCACTGGCTGATTCGATAATAATATTACCGAGATTGAATGGGAATGAACTGACAGCAGCGAAGCCATTATATGATGCATGATTGTAACTGTTATCTACAACTCCAAATATTATTGTTTGAATCGAATATCCAGGGAGAGCAAATCTACGAGGAATCTCAATAGATATCGAATAGTTGGCATGTGTTTTGTTGATTGGAATCACTTCAAAAGGAACTATCATGTTTTGGTCATATGTCGAAATACACAGAACTGGGATGTGTCTGTATGATATTCCAGATTCCAGATCGAAAGATGTGAAACTACAATTAAACTGTGGTTTGTCTATAAGTGTACCCCAATAGAAATTATTGATAGAAATTGATGGAGTAACAGTGTCATTGTTTTTATCATTTAACAAAGTTGCATTTAAGGAAATATTGTTTGATATTAAACTTGAATATTGATATCCAAATGGATCGAAAATAGAATTTGGATTTAAATAAATTGATTCGGCAATATTTCCTCCTTCATCAATCAACTTGATTCCATTTGCAAAACTGTATGTCTCACTGACACTTTCTGAATTAAATGGTATCGAAATTTGATAGGTACCACTGAATTTCGATCCACTTGTCAAGTTTGCAGGTGTAAATTTGAATTGTCTTGGAAGTAAATCAAGATCTGATGTAACATTGATATATGCTTCTGATAGACCATTGATTGAATCTTCGATTGTAATCAACCATCCAATAAAGTTTGTTCCTCCGTATACAATTGATTTCGTTATCTTTGGTGGAATCATATCGATTTCTAAATGTATTTGAAATTAAAATATTGTCAAATTAGAATAATGTTAAGAAATTAATAAATAAATAAATTAATAATATTTACGATTTGAAATAATATTTAAATCAACATTATTTTGACCAAATTTGAATAAAAGAACATCTTTTGTGATAAAAGTTTTACTTTCCAAATAGAAATCGAATGGTCCAGAATTGAAATTCTTTTGGATTGTGAAATCGATTTGATATGATTGAATCATTGAATTCCAATAACCAGTGAATGTTTTCTTGATGAAATTACCTCCATATCTACCAATAATCATTGTGAAAGTTGGTTGATAATCGATATTATTGTTATCCAAAACAAAGAAGAGTGAACTGCTCATTGATGTTCCTGTTACATTCAAAATGTTGTCTTTGAATTTGAATGCAACAATATTGTCAATCGTATATGAAATTGGGAATGGTATTCTTGGTATTCTTTGGAAGTTTCCAATCATCTCATCACTTCCAACAATAATGAGATTACCTGCGAGATCAGAGACTGTAAATGAGAAGATATCATTATCTATTCCAGTTGGTATTGTAACTTCTTTTTCATAAATTCCATTCTTTGAGTTTCCTAAAACAATATCTCTTTGTGTCACTCTAAAAGGGAATGGGCTGATTTGCTCTAAACTATAGAATCCTGATAAATCATCTGTGACATTCACTTGAATGATAAATGATTTCACACCAATAAAAGGAATTATAGTAAAACTATTCAATGATGGTGGAACCGTATCCTTTGGTGAAGCAACTATAATTTGTAAAGTAAACCGTTAGTTAAATAGTATATGTTAAATAGTAAAATCACTTACCAGATGGAATAGAAAGAGAACTTTTAGAGTTTTCATATCTGGAATTGATAGCTACGATTTCCCCAGGAGAATTTAGAGATACACCAATTGGGTATTTCAAATCAAAGTTCTTGATTGTACCAGTGGCGATTCCAACTGGATAGTTTAAGTTGATATCAGGACGAAGATCCTTTGTAAGATACAATGAATCTTTGGTAATTGATTGACCTGGTATTGATACATAGCCCAATGGATAGGCAGATAAAGTAAAAGAAATGGGTTTAAATATTGTTGGTCTATAATCTATATTTATATAAATAAGTTAGAAAAGATAATTATAAAGATATATATAAAAATATTTACCTGTCATATAAAAAGTGGAATTAAAACTTGAATATTCTTTTCCAATAACCTCAACTATAATCAGAGAGGAAATTGTAGGCAATACTTGAACGAAACCAAAGTAATCTAAATTTCCTACTCTACTTAAAATATTTCCATTGAAATAAATCAATGAATTTACTTTAGTGGCCTTAACAAAAGAACCCATTTTAGCAAATAAAGCAGTCTGAGGATCTATATTTATAGTAGCAGAGAACGAACTGATCGCTATACTAGAATCTAGAGTATAAGGAGGCGGAATCACGCTCTGCAATAACGTAGCATTAAAATAGTTGATGGAAATATTGAAAGGTATCGTGTAGTTGCATAACTGAGAAGGATAGATATCGATTGTTAACTTTCCAATTGATCCATCATGTCCACTGAGAACACCTGATGAATAACAATTGTTATCTGCTGGAACAACATTATAAACAAGACCATTTAAATTCTTAAATGTCATAATATACTGTCCGTATTGAGTGACAGTGCTTTTCAAAATCTCTGGTTTTATATTAAAATTTGGTCCTATATTTCATTACATAGTAATTAGTGGTCTTATTTTAATAAAGTTTGAATTTGGAATTGACTTACTGATGCATGGAACTATTAAAAATGATTCAATGGTAGCCTGCTGAGTTATCAACTTCAATGAAATATTGAAATTTCCTTCATTGAAATGAGCTTTTGTATAATAGTAATAACCGTCCGTCTTTAAATACATCTTTTTCAATATAATTGGGGCTCCGACCGAAAATGAAAACGAGTCTCCACTTGTAACATTCATGTTAAAACCAACATAAAATTCTACATCACAATATCCAAATGTATCTAGAGTTGTCTGGGGTTTCCACACATTATTTGCTATATAAACATTTTCGAAAGTAATGCTTTTTTGACATGATATTAAACTTATATTAAAAATAAATAAAATTATTATAAATAATGATTTTCGCATATTTATTAGGATTTTATTTCGAATGATCACTTTTGATATTTTTTGCAGCATGATAACATCTTTTCAACAAACAAAATATCTTTATAATTTCGTCTTTTGATTTTATTTTTAGAAAAACAATTTTCTGCTTTTTTTTTTATTTTTTTTTATATTTTTTTGGGCAAAAGATTTTGAAGAAAATTTCAAAAAAAAAAAAGGTCTACCATATGGCCCTATCATCGAAAAAAATTTAATACGTCTTAAAAAGTTTGTTTCTTCATTTATTTTTCATTATCTTCTTAATTTCCACAATAAGATTTAATTTCTTTTTCCATTTCTAAATCATATTTGATAATATTAGTGATGTTAATATAAAATCATAATAGTCACCCTACAAAATATCATTGTTTTTAACATACCAAAAAAAGCAAAAAAAATGAAAAATTTAATTAAATTTTATTTATTTCGATTTTTCATTGGTCAACTCACTTTCAACTTAGATATATTAGGAATGTAAATGCAAATGATATTTTAGAGGGGTATTACATATCTTTATATCAACAATCAATTAAGTTAATCTACAATTTAACAAGAAACATTCAAATGAAGATTTAAAAGATATTAAAAAATAGAATTGAACTATATCTAATAATATTTATTATATTATTATTTTTATTTGTTTGTTGATTCCAAATTAACCATATTTATACCTTTTTTGAAGTGGAATGAATATCGTTTCTTCAAAACTATAACAATAGCAATGGCAATACAAACGAGGAAGAGAGCTGAACCAATTGCAATTCCAATGATTTGAGAGGTGGTCAGACCACTCGATTTACATTTGTCTTGGTTCTGATCGACCAGCAAACTAAAATCAGGATCCAACCATGCTAATGAATCGAAATTTGGAATGTTCATTGCAATCAATGATGATTTCACTCCATTATTCGAATCTCCAGAGCTTTCTAAAACGATATTGTTGACACTTTGAACTTTATAATCAATCACTCCATAATTGATGAATCTTGCACTCAATACTTTGTCACCCAATCTGAGATTCAAGTATTGAACTCCATTTCCAGTAATCTCTGAACTCGAACATAAATTATTGGTATCTGATGTTGAAATTGATGTGTTCATCACCAATTGAAGTGTGTTCAATTTATCTTTGAATGAATACCTGTCAATAACAACTGAATATTTCATTGATGATTTATAAATTGTGTATTCTTGATTGCCAAAAGTATAATTTGAATCTGATTCGAAATATTCCAAAGTGACATTGATTATTGTTGTTCGATTGTTTGAAATCTGCCGACTGAAAATATATTTCGATGAAATTGGTGTTGTGAAATTGTCAACACTCCAACGATCTTTGATATCAAAACGTTCGATAACATTTCCAGATGAATCCAATTCTCTGATTGAATCGATCGAAACAAGTGATAAGAAATCACTGTTTTTATCATTTTGAATGGTTGTTGGTGTTGTTGAATTGACATGAGTAACCACATCAATCAATGAAAATGAACATCCGGTTCCAACCCATCCACTTTTACATTTACATCCACTGGATGTGCATTCTCCATTTGGAAGGCAAGAGTTTGGACATGATGGTGGGATTGTATTTGTTGGTGTTGGTGTAGATGTTGGTGTTGGTTTTAATGTTGGTATGATACGGTATGGACTTGAATTATCGACAATAATATCAATATATTGATTGTTACCAAATGCTGGAATTGTTGTGATCAATCTTGTGAATGTTGTTAATGAGCTGGTTAGTGAGTTTAAACTTCCACCTCGTGAAATATAGCTGACTTTAGTATTGTTTGTATCATTTCCGAAACCATTCCCATATAATGTTATGACTCCACCATCTGTTGAAATATCACTGGCTGATTCAATTACTACGGTTTTAAGATCATATGGATTTGGATCTGTTAGCGCTGAAACCATATAAAGACTTGAGTGAATATATACGTTATCTACAACCCCATAAATTGATGATCTAACAAAGTATCCTTGATTAACAAATCTACGAGGTATTTCCACTGATATTGTATAGTTGGCATGTGTTTTGTTGATTGGGATCACTTCAAAAGGAGCTGTAATGTCAGAATCATAAGTTGATAAATAGAGTACCGGGATGTGTCTGTATGATATTCCAGATTCCAGGTCGATCGATGTGAAATTACAAGAATATAATATATTTCGATTTCCAAGGACCCACTTGTCACGGACGTTAACTATTGAAGGAGCAACAGTGTCATTTTTAGTATTGGAAATCGATGCATTTAAGGCAATAAGGTTTGGGATAAAACTTGAATATTGATATCCAAATGGATCGAAAATAGAATTTGGATTTAAATAAATTGATTCGGCAATATTTCCTCCTTCATCAATCAACTTGATTCCATTTGCAAAACTGTATGTCTCACTGACACTTTCTGAATTAAATGGTATCGAAATTTGATAGGTACCACTGAATTTCGATCCACTTGTCAAGTTTGCAGGTGTAAATTTGAATTGTCTTGGAAGTAAATCAAGATCTGATGTAACATTGATATATGCTTCTGATAGACCATTGATTGAATCTTCGATTGTAATCAACCATCCAATAAAGTTAATTCCTCCGTATACAATTGATTTCGTTATCTTTGGTGGAATCATATCGATTTCTAAATGTATTTGAAATTAAAATATTGTCAAATTAGAATAATGTTAAGAAATTAATAAATAAATAAATTAATAATATTTACGATTTGAAATAATATTTAAATCAACATTATTTTGACCAAATTTGAATAAAAGAACATCTTTTGTGATAAAAGTTTTACTTTCCAAATAGAAATCGAATGGTCCAGAATTGAAATTCTTTTGGATTGTGAAATCGATTTGATATGATTGAATCATTGAATTCCAATAACCGGTGAATGTTTTCTTGATAAAATTACCTCCATATCTACCAATAATCATTGTGAGAGTTGGTTGATAATCGATATTATTGTTATCCAAAACAAAGAAGAGTGAACTGCTCATTGATGTTCCTGTTACATTCAAAATGTTGTCTTTGAATTTGAATGCAACAATATTGTCAATCGTATATGAAATTGGGAATGGTATTCTTGGTATTCTTTGGAAGTTTCCAATCATCTCATCACTTCCAATTTTAATGAAATTCCCTGCGAAATCTGAGACTGTAAATGAGAAGATATCATTATCTATTCCATTTGGTATTGTTACTTCTTTTTCATAAATTCCATTTGTTGAATCTCTTAAAACAATATCTCTTTGTGTGACTCTAAAAGGGAATGGGATTGTTTGCTCTAAACTATAGAATCCTGATAAATCATCTGTGACATTGACCTGAATTATAAATGATTTCACACCAAAAGGAATTATTGTAAAACTATTCAAAGATGGTGGAATTATATCTTTATTAGGCGCTGAAATTATAATTAGTAAATTAGAAATTTTTAAATTTTTTAATAGCTACTACTTACATTGTTGCAATAACAAATCTCGGCTTACGGTTTCATATCTAGGTGATAAAGTAATGTTTTCTTGAGGTGAATTGTGTGAAATTTCAAAGGGTAAGTTAAATTTACACTTTTTGATTGTACCATAGCCAATTCCAACAGGATAATTTAGATTGATATCAGGACGAAGTGATCTAGAAAGAATCAATGAACCTTTGTATTGTGACAGGTCACTCAGGAGCAAATATCCAATGGTGTTGTTACCCGCATAAACAAATGAAAAGAGATTTGTCAATTCAGTAGGCATATAATCTATAATATAAGAATTATTAATCCCAATTAGATCTTTTTTTTTTGAAAAAACAATATCAAATACTTGCCTGTAATGTTCAATCTGAATTCAAAATTTTCATTTTTATTTCCAATTGTGGACACATTATATTTGAGAAAAGGAATTGGTGATAGTTGTATTAAACCAAAGTAATCTATATTTCCAACTCTGCTTGCGACATATCCATTGACATAAATCAATGAGTATACGCCGCGTTCGGCACTTATTAAAACTCCTGACTTGGCTACAACGGCAGTTTGAGGTTCCATTATTGATTTATAGTAAATAACCAATAAGGTATCCGGGCTTGCAGAAAAGATTGGTGGGAGTGTAATATTTTTTATATTTGCATTGTTGTGGTAGATCGCAACATTGAAAGGTATTGTATAGTTACATAAAGCTGAAGGTATGATATCCATAGTTAACTTTACAATCGATCCACTATTTCCACTTAGAACACCTGATGAATAGCAATCGGATCTAACAGGAACCACATTATAAACGAGACCATTCATGTTCTTAAATGTCGCGATATATTGGCCATTTGGAGACAGAATAGCTGATACAAACTCTGGCTTTACTCTAAAATCTGGTTCTTTATTTTTTTTTTTCAAAACAAATAGAATATACAGTTGGAAAATCATTCTCTATTTAATGGTTTGACAAACAAAAATAAAATACATACTTTTACATGGGATATTTAAGAAAGTTGTAGTATTATCTCTTCCTATTCCAATCGTTATTGTTACATTTGTATTTCCCTCTAGGAAGTTACTATTTAGTTGATAAACAAAACTATCATTCACTCCCAAAATAACTGTTCTTCTGGTAATATTTACTGCATTTCCCAATACCAACTGGAGATTTGCCAATGAAGCATTAGATTTAACACCAACGTAATAATTAACATTGCAAAGCCCTAAAGAATCGAAATCGGAACCATTGTTAGCACTCCATATAACATCTGTTGAATAAACACTAGTAAAATTAAAATAATATGGTTGACATGATATTAAAGTGATGTTTAATATTAATATACATAAAATAGATATTATATATTTCATCGTAAGTCGAAGGTCAAAAAAAAAATAAAATCTTGTCCATAGCCATAGGATGACAAGTAAAAAAAAACATGTTTGTGATATTTTTTGTGATATCCAAAAGGTTGGAAAAAATAGATTCTAAAAAAAAAAAAAAAGTTGTGACGAATGATCAAAAAACAAAAAATCCAGAGTTTTTTTTTATTTGTTTTAAATTAAAGATTGCACTGGTGAGGTGTGGGTTTCTGTGGTTTGTTGTAAAAGCTTTTCTTGTCTTCGTCTTTCGAGAGCCCATTGAACAGACCATATCGCGAGTGGTCTCATATAGGTACCTGCTCTGTATAATCCGTTTTGATCCCAGGCCTCTGGTGTCTATAATTATAGAAAAAAATTAATTTGAAATTAAAGAATTAGTTTGTTAGTTGAACTTTCTTTTTCTTTTTCTATTTTGTTTAACATATATTAAAAATATATTACTTACTTGATATTGGAATCCCCATTTATTATATGTTGAATCAACTAAACCTTTGATTAACTCCCATGCTTCGTTATCCATGAAATGAAGTAACATTGTTGATGCCAATCCATAGGATGTTCCAATCCAAACTTCACACGATTGCAGAGAGGTGGTATCAGGTCCACCTTCAGGTCTCATACCGTTGACAGCTCCACAACTACCGTTAGAGTAACTCTTTACATTGTACTCATTGATGATACTTAAAGAAGAGAGTGCTTGATCCAATGTTATATAGGAAGGTAAACCACATGCCAACAAATACCAATGACCTGCTAATTGATCAGACATAATACTATCGAAATGAGGACTAAAAAAGAAAGAATAAAAACAAGTTGTTAATAAATATCAAACATTATTACTACTAATTCATAATTAAACTTACTTTTTACTTGAATCATAATTAAAATAATGACCATTCCAAAGCTTTGTTGAATATGACTTCTTTCCCTTTTCAAAGATTTTTTTATATACAGTTTCATCTTCTTTGAGTCCGAGAATTCTAGCCATTTCCGAAGCTACTTTGACCGCTGCCAACCATAGTCCACCAGAGTATGCAGAGCATCCAAGAGCAGACCAGGCATCGTAGGTTTGATCTGGAACACCTTCGTTGTCAATGACACCGTCAATGTCAATGTCGTATTCGAATGCGCGACGTATCACCTCCTCTACGACACCCCACATCTGTAGGAGGAACGTTCGGTCATTTCCATTGATCAGATAGTCACGATAGATCTGCAGGACAAACTTGGACGGTAGATCTTTCCAACGCGAAACATCTTGAATGTGATAGGCGTTGACTCGTTTCCATGGATCCTCGCCAGGATTGCCAAGATCATGTGGAACCGCTCCTCTTACTTTTCTAGGCATATTCTTTCCGGTCTGTATGCATTCCACTTGTGTATCGCTATAGTCCAAAAGTGTAGCGTCGGCAAAATCGGTTTGTAAACTGAGTTCCAAGCGTGGCCACAACATCGCCAGTGCAAACGATGCATAGAAATGAACGTCATATGTATTGTACATTAGATAATCGACGCTCTCCAAATAGGCGAATCTACCGATGTAGTTGGGATCGTTGAGATCCTCCTGTTGGAATTTGGAAACGATTTTCTTTTGGTTGGGTTGGTCGTCTGGCGCGCCATGTGTCCAAACCGTTCCACCATCTACGAAATAGTAGAGTTCATTGAAGATTGCTTGCTTGTAGAATGTTGGAAGCGATGGATCACTCAGGATCGGGTGTTGCCAACGCACAATCTCCTCTTCCCATTTGCGGTAGTTGTAGACGGCGTCGCATGCAATGCGCTGACTGTTGTTGCCAGCGGTTCCAAAGAACTTGGTGTAGCGACGGTAATAACCGGATCCACTATTGAATCTGCAGACAGGTGTATCCCATGCCACTGAGAAGGCAACCTCTCTGGTGGTTCCAGCTTTGACCAGCACCTTGGCGGCAATGGCTGCGCCAATCGGCTTCTTGGGTGCCGACGGTCGGCTGTCCTCTGAGTTGTCCAAAACACCGGACTTGTTGAAGCTATACCAAAGGTTGGCAGCTTCCAGTCGATTCGTTGTTTCAAATCTTGAAACGAATGAAAATTGTACATCGGCGTCATCCCTAACGCCAATCGAGAGTTCCAGTGGATCTTGATAGACTTTCTTTGGGTCCACCGATGATTTCAAATCACGATTAGTTGTGAGAGTTACACCGTTGATAGAACGTCCTTGTTCATCGGTGTATTTAAAGCGTTTGTTATGATGTCCACCGGCTTGATCGACGGCAGTTCCGTCGCTGTTTTGCCAGGTGAACATCAAGCTGACTTCAGCGTCGGTACTGGCAGTGTTTTCGATCTTCCAAACGAATACACCGCATGGATACGACGACTCCTTATAGTTATTCGGGATTACAGGCGAAACTTGTTTGCAGACCAGTCGGACGTCTTGATGTGGCTCCTCATAGACAGTCCAGGCACGTGGAAACTGACCAAAGTACGACGAACGATCGCCTTTCAACGACCAATTCCAAACGTCGAGTGCAAAGTTGGATTTCGGCTTGCCCGGACAGAGCACGGTGGCGCGCTTCGTGCTGAGTGGCTGCGATTGTTGTTCCTCCATTTTGATGTAGACCGAGAATTTGTTGGCGTCGACAACCTCGCTGTTCACCATGCCGTTCTTGAGATTCCAGCGGACAAAGTCACCGCGCCAACCACGCGTAATCGATCCACTACCGATTCCACCGATCGGAACACCCATTACCGGACCGGGCTTAGGGATGTTGAACGGATCCATGATGGGAACGCGACCAGCGCTATTCTCACGCTTCACGTACTTCCACATACGATAGCCAAGTCCCATCAGCTTGAAACCCTGGCCTATCGATACTTGGAATGCTTTGTGCTCTGGGAACTGGTGGTCGAGACGCTTTGTCCAGCAGTGTAGCGAGATGTCCTCACCGAGTTTCAGCCACTTTTCAAACTCGCCTGTATCCTCTTGTGTTCCTGGTGCTTCATCGCCAATATCATTCCAAAACATATCGGTACTCATATGTAGAATACTCTGTGTTGTATTCAATGCTTTCTTTATTGCATTTCCACCGATATTTATTAAATTAGCTGCACTACTATTTAATTGTTGTCTTAAAATATTTGACTTATTATTATTATGATTGTTATTGTTATTATCATCATTTTGATAATTTAAAGAAGATGAAGAAGTAGTATCATCTTTAGATTCATCAATTAAACTACTATTACTACTACTAGATATTTCATTATTATGATTATCTTTATCTTTATCTTTGTTATTATTACCAAAGAATGAAGTAGATGTAAAACTTGAAATGAAACTGTTTAGTGGTGAAACACTGTTTGTTGATGATTGATTTGGTGATTTGCTATTTGATTGATTTGGTGATTTGTTATTTGATTGTTGTTGTTGTTGTTGAGATGTTTGATTTGGAGATAACGAAGGTATTAGTGGTTCATCTATTAATATTGTCTCTGTTGTAGTTGGTAGTGAATCAATGATGTCATTTCTAAATTCATCATTATCATCATCGTCATAATCATCATGATTATTCTGGTTGGCGATTCTTGTTGGTGATTTTATAAAAGAAGAGTTGTTATTTGAATGTTGTTGTTGTTGTTGTTGCTGCTGTTGTTGTGGTGTAACGATTGGTTCAAAGTCAGAGTCATCGAATTGAAAATTCAATTTAATAGAATCCGATGATATTGGTGATGGACGATAGCCACTTAGGTTGTTAGCTGTGTTATTATTATTCATACCACTACCGGACTGACTTAAAAAGTTGATTTCCTCATAGTCGTCGAAACTTGTATCCAACAAATTATCTGACAAATGTTGATTTTGATGTTGCTGCTGTTGTTGTTGTTGATTCTGTTGGTGTTTATTATCTTCTAAACTATCACTAAATAAATCATCCATTTTCTATATTATATCTTTATTTTAATTATCTATTTCATTAAAAATAATAATAATAATAATGTTAATGTTAATTAATATTCAATGACTAAAATAAATTATATATACACAACAACATATAAATAATAATAATATATGAATATATGAGAAATATATATTTGTATTATAATACTGAATCAATCAACTCCCGCCAATCCATCCATCACACACACACCATTCCCCCACCTACACTTTGCTTGCGTTGTTATTTGATTTTTTTTGTTTTTAAAATGAGTGATTGTTTCTTTTCGAATACAGCAATGCTATTAGTTTGTTAATGATCAAATTATAATTTTTTGTTTTTTTTTTTTTAATTAAATAAAATCTTTAAATGTCACCTCTCAACATGTCCAGGCTTCAATTTAAATAAAGATTATTAATTTTAAAAATCTTTTTTAGAAAATCAAAAAAAAAATAATATCAAATCAACAACGGTTTTTTTTAAACATGTTGTGAGGAACTTGCAGACTCAAAGAGTTGGAATACAAAGAAAGTAACAACAGTATTTAAGATCCGAAAAATGTTTGTCTTAAACTCTATTTATTACGTCTAAACCAAATATGATAAATTTTTTGTACATTCAAAAGAGTTGAATACCCAATAGTTCAAAAAAAAAAAAAAAAGATAAAAAAAAAATTTTTATTAAAAAATTCAATGAATCTTTGAATAAATAATGATAAAAAATTAAAGAAATGACTGACTGAAATCAATCATTTATTTATATTTAAAAAAAGAAAAGCTAAGAAATGATTACATTACTCTTTAATATAGTTAATTTATATACTTTTATATAAAACTTATTTATTTATTATTTATTAAATTGTAAAAATAAAGTAGAATTAATCAATCCTGATGGATATTTATAATGATTTTATAGATGATACAGTACCTTTAGTCATTGATAATGGATCAGGAATTGTAAAAGCTGGATTTGCAGGTGAAGAGTAAGTAAATAAAGTTTTAGTTAAAAGTAAAAAAAAAATATTAAAATAAATTAGAAAATTAATAATATTTCTTTTTTATTATGATGATTATTATTGTTGTTGTTCATTCCTAAAGAATTCCAAGAGCTGTATTTCCATCTATTGTAGCTAGACCAAGATATAAAGCATCGATGGTTGGAATCGGTCAGAAAGATACGTATGTCGGTGATGAAGCACAGGGTCAACGTGGAATCCTGACAATAAAGTATCCAATTGAACATGGCTTCGTTGTCAATTGGGAGGATATGGAGAAGCTTTGGCAACATACATTCTACAATGAGCTGAGAGTGTCACCCGAAGATCACCCAGTGCTACTGACGGAACCACCACTGAATCCGAAATCGAATCGTGAGAATATGGCACAGATCATGTTTGAGTCGTTCAACGTGCCGGCACTCTACGTTGCAGTGCAGGCGGTGCTGGCACTCTATGCATCGGGTCGAACGAATGGCATCGTTCTCGACAGTGGCGACGGCGTGACACACACCGTTCCGGTGTACGAAGGATTTCCGATGGCACACGCAATCATGCGGATGGACTTCGCAGGACGCGATCTCACTGCCTATCTACAGAAACTGCTGATGGAGCGTGGATACACCTTTTACACTGCAGCCGAGATGGAGATCATCAGAGATATGAAAGAAAAGATGTGTTATGTGGCGTTGGATTTCGAAAAACAGATGCAACTATCGACCTCTTCTATAATAATGGACAGGCAATATCAACTGCCCGATGGCCAGAGTATATTGTTGGGAAGTGAGCTGTTTCGGTGTCCAGAGGCATTGTTCCGACCTTCTCTAGTTGGCACAGATTCTTGTGGTGTTCATGAACTCGTTTACAATTCAATAATGAAATGTGATATGGATATACGTAAAACTCTTTTTGGAAATATTATTTTAAGTGGTGGAACTACAACTGTAAGAAGATTGATCGAATTGATATTGTTTTCATTTTTTCGATTGTTAATTAATGATAATAATATTTATTTTTTTTTTTCATTTAAATATTTAAATAGTTACCAGGATTTGCCAATAGATTACAAATGGAACTTGAATCACTGACGTCTGAAATCTATAGTGCTACAGTCAAAGTGATAACACCATTGGAAAGAAAATATGCTGTTTGGATTGGTGGTTCGATTTTAGCATCACTTTCATGCTTTAGTATGTGCTGGATTTCAAAAGAAGATTATGATATTAACGGTGCTGCTGTTGTACACAATAATAAATTAAAAGTTTGGAAAAAAAAACTATAATCGTAATATATTATACAAATTGCTTCTATTTTTATATAAATATTGCAATCATTCTTATTTCTCTACTTTTTTAGCAAAAACAAAAAAATTCAAAAATTTAAATTTTGGCGCTTTCATATTCGTTGTTCAGAGGATGAGGGGGTTTGGAGAATTTTGTCAATGAGCCAAATTGGGAAGTTTGTGTTAATATTAAATGATATTTATTATTAGTATGTAAATAACTTATTATATTGGTTAAAACAAAAAAAAAAAAACAATAAAGATAGAATAAAATTAGTTTTAATATTTTATAAATATTTATATATTAGTAGTAGTGGAAGGGTACTTGGAAGATGGTCAATAAATTATCGAATCAAACAAAAGATATAACATTTGAGATTGTAGATGACAATCTTAATATCTTTACTTTGGAGTGTTTGAAAAAGTATAGTAGATTGAACCATTTGGAGTTACCTGCTGGTGCATCTATCAACAAACAATCATTCATTACTCTTATCTCTAACTATCACAATACAAAGACATCTTCAATTTTAAAATCTAAAGAAATTGTAGATGACGTTGATGATGACGTTGATGACTCTAATAAAGAAAATAATAGTTCAATTGTAAATAATAATAATAGTAAAAACATTAGTAAAGGAAAAAGTGTTAGAAAAGTAAAGACAGTAACAACAACTACGACAAAATCAAATGCAGGTTCGACACCAAAGAAGATTAATAACAAGTCAAATAAAGTAGTCAACAAAAAGAAAGTTGAACCTGAAGTAGAGGAAGAGGAAGAGGAGCAAGAGGAAGAGGATAATAAGGAAAAAGATGAAGTAGAAGAAGGTGAAGGTGAAGGAATGACAACAGAGGAGAAAGAGAAAGAAAATGAAAGTGAAATTATCATAAAGGGTATCCTTAAAGATGTTTCAAAGAACAAGAAAAAAAGAAGAGCAGTAAGAGTAATAGTAGTAACCAAGAAGAGAAGAAGAAAGTAACATTCAATCAAACTGTCAAGATAAAGTTGATAACCATCATCAAAGGAGAGCGCACTCGTTTCTTGCCTTGTACCAACTTGAAGGAGAAAGACATTATCGAACGCTACGAGAGAGAGCTATACATGAAGGAGCGAGAGCGAGACAAGAAAGGATACAATGCACCTGGTTCACCACCTTCGCCTTCATTCAAGCCGAAGCAATGGCAGATTTCTCATCTCGAAGAGATTCAGGGTGGCGAACAAGAAAGATTTGACACTGACACCATGTCCAAAGAAGATCTCATCGAATTGCTCGAAATGAACGACCTCTCAACAACTGGTACCAAAACACAGTTGAAGAAGCGATTAGAGAGTTATATTTTATCTGTAAATGCTCAGGAGGAAGAAGATGATGAGGATGATTCTGATTCTGAAGAAGACAATAGTAATAGTGAAGAGAAAGAAGGAGAAGAAGATGATGAAGAGGGAGAAGAAAGTTCATCAGAGGAAGAAGTTGCAACACCAATTATGAAACCAACTTCAAGGAAATCAATTGTAGATTCAGTTAAAAAGACAATGTTAAAGAAAAATAATGATAATAACAGTAGTAGTACCAAAAGTGATAGTAATAGCAGCAGTAGAAAGAAAAATAAAAAACTTCCAAGTAGTCCATCGTCAGATGAAGATGAGATCGAAAAGAACTGGAAGATCTGGAGAGATACGAACAACAACAACAACAAAGGTGACAACTCGAAAAAAAAGTCAAACGATGCAGCCAACCTATACGATGCATTCACAAGTACACTTTATGTAGAGAAGAAAAAGAGAAAAGTAAACTAAACTATTTTTCCTCTTTCTTCTTTTGTACATTCTCAACAAACAACAATTCTTTCAAATTATTAATTTAATTTGATAAATTTTCAATCAAATAAATAAAACAGAAAAACAAACATTCAATTATTTATAAATAATTTTAGAGGTAATTATAACCTTTTAATTTCTAAAATACATATACCTGACATAAAAAGATATATTTGTTTGTGGATTATTATTTTTCTATTTTTTTTTTCTATTTTTTTTTATATTGTTATTATGTTGTTTGTTATTATTTATTATATTATTGTTGTTGTTGTTTAGATTCACTACTTGGAGTGTTCGAGGAGGTAGTGTTGGAAGTGGTGGAGGTGGTAGATGTAGGAGTGGAAGTGGAAGTGGGTGTTGGTGTAGTTTGTGGATTCTTTGCAACATATTGTTGGTTCTTCTTTTTGTTATCGCCTGATTGTCCTGTCTTTTTCTTGTATCCACCAGAGTTGTTATCTCCATTTTGTTGTTGCTGCTGTTGTTGTGGAGAATCATATTTCTGTTTGTATTGTCGTTGCGGGGATGGAGATGAAGACGAACCTTTGTGATCCTTGGGTGATTTTCCTTGTGAGTGTTGTTGCTTTGGAGTATTGTTGTTCGATGGCTGTGCATTGGTATTGGCAGCACCTGGTGGTGAAGTTTGAGTCGATGGATTGGCTTGTGGTTGTTGAACTGGTGCAGAAACAGGTGCCGGTAGTGGAGCAGGTGCCGGAGCAGGTGCAGTCACTTGTTCCCAAGCAGGCTTGACAACCCATGCGTTAATTGGTGGACTTGGAGCAACAGGTACTACTGGAGCCGCTGCGACTGGGGCCGCTGTAACTACTTCTCCGGTTGGTGCACTGCTAACTGGCTTATTTTGCTTGGAACCATCTTGGCTGGATTTCCATGAAGCATCTTTGTCACCTGGCTGTTGCTCTTTCTTCTGATAGGTACCACCGCTGTTCTTGAATGAACCGGAACGTTTCAGATCTCTGTCACCACCACGTTGCTGTTGATCTCTATCGGAACGTTCACGTTGGCCACCACTGTTTTCTCTAGAGTATTTTCTCTCACCCTTGTAGTCACCACCCTTTGATGGATCTCTTTCTTTATTATCTCTCTCTCTGTCTCTGTCTCTATCACCTCTCTGATCATTTCTCTTGTCTTTCTTTGGTGGTTTATCATCGGATTCACTCTTGTTGCTGTCTTGGCTCGATGATAGCTCCTTCTTTGTCCACTCTTTCGACTTGGTTCTACGAATTTGAGTTGGATGCGATGAAGATTGTTGTTGAGAAGTATTCTCAATTAGTGAATTTGAAGGAGCTGCACCATCTTTTTGTTGTTGTTGTTGCTTGAATTCCTGTGATTGATTCAACGAACTATCTTTTCTAGTAAACTCCTCTTTACTTTTCTCTCTTTTTAAAATTTGATGTTGTTGTTGTTGTTGAGGTTGTTGATATTTTCTATTATTATTATCACTATTCATTCTATTAAAATTACCATGTTTGCTATTATTATTATTGTTGTTATTATTGTTATTATTGTTATATCTTTTATTCGTTGATTGTTGTTGAATGTGTGGTGATGGATTCGATTTATCTACATTTTCCTGTTTGTGTTGTTGTGACGATGGTTCAACATTACCTTCCAAAGGATTATTGTTGGTGGATGATTCGGTGGTTACCTCTGGCTGTGCAGTTTGGGTAGTGTTGGCAACGGGAAGTGTTGATTGATTATCTACAGAGTTATCTACAGTCTTTGTTGAGGGTTCAGCAGTTTGTGGGTCTTGAATTGTTTCAGACGATTTCGAGGGGTGTTGAGAAGTAGATTTTGATTCATGTGGAGCACTAAAATCATTTTTAAGATCGGTTTGTGATTTGTCTTTAGTTAATATGGTCTTTGGATAATTTTGATATTGTTGTTGTTGGTAGTTTGGGTTGTGTTGATGTTGTTGTTGGTTGTGATATGGTTGTCTATTATATGGTTGATGTTGTTGTTGTTGATGTTGTTGGTATGGCTGTTGTTGTTGGTTGTGATGTTGTTGTTGTTGTTGATAGTTTGAATTATGTTGTAATGGTTGTTGGTGTGGCGGATAACGATCTCCACCTCTTGGTCTATTATCAAAATTATCATTGTTGTAACTACCTCTGTTATCCATCTTTCTCATTTGATGTTGATCGTCTCCTCTACCTCTTGGATTATTGTGACCCTGTTGGTTGTTGTATCCATGTGGTGGGGGTGGCAACTGACCGTGAGCGTTAAGAGGTGCAGGATGGTTGTGCTCTCTATCTCTAAAATCACCGCCACCGCGATTATCAAAGTTTTCCTGATAGTTTCTATTATCTCTTTGTTGTGGATATCCTCTATCTCTGGGATCTCTGTATTCATGTGGCTGGTGATGGTCACCTCTTTCTCTGTTGTCTCTGCTATCTCTATCGTGATGATATTGATGGTGATGGTGGTCAGCTCTTTCTCTGTTGTCTCTGCTATCTCTGTTGTCTCTTTCACCTCCTCTGCTATCTCTGTTGTCTCTTACACGCATATTATCATCTCTATCTCTTGGATCGTTGTGTTGGTCTCTGTCGCCCCTATCAACGTGGTGATGTGGGTTTGGTGGATGTGGATAATCTCTTTCTCTTTCTCTTTCTCTATCACCTCCTCTGTCTCTGCTGTCGTAATGATGTGGGTGGTGATGATGTGGATTTGGTGGATGTGGATAGTCTCTATCTCTTTCTCTGCTGTCTCTGCTATCTCTATTGTCGTGATCTCTGTCGTGATGAGGGACTGGCTGACGGTTAAAGTCATCTCTTCTGTTGTCATAATGATGGAATCTACCACCTCTATCAGGTCTATCTCTCTCGTAATGATCTCTTGGCGAACGATCATTATATTCCATTGGCAAAGGTCTCTCGAGGGAGGCTGGACGTTCATTCGATCGTCTTCCCTCGCTCGGTATTCTCATTGACATTGGTCTTTGATTGATATTCAATTCACGCTCGTGTGATCTTCTGTTGTCTACTCTTTCACGACTATCTCTATCGGAGCTTGGTGGACGATTCATCATATCTCTATCATTATTATTATTATTATTATAACGTCGGTCGTCTCTTCTATTATATGGTTGTTGTTGTTGTGGTGGAGGTGGCATCATTTGATTTGGACGTCTATTATCTCTATTATTATATCTATCATCATACTGCTGTTGTTGCTGTTGATTCTGTTGTTGATATTGGCCATATTGTTGTCTTCTTTGTTGTTGTTGTGGTGGTGGTGGTCCGACATGTTGTTGATGCTTGTTGAATCTATCTCTATCCTCACGATCTCTTTCTCTATCTCTACTTTCACGTTCTCTCTCACGTTCTCTTTCTCTTTCACGTTCTTTCTCACGTTCCTTTTCTTTTTCCTCTCGTTCACGGGCGAGCTCCAGCTGACGAACTCTTTCGCGTTCCTCTCTTTCATTTGCTTCGAGCTCCTCCAGTTTCTTCTTGGCACGTTCCAGTCTGATACGCTCGGTTTCGTTTGCCTGCTCAACACGCTTCTTTATCTCTTCGTTCATGTGCTCCTTTCGTTCTTTCTCTTGTCGCAACCACTCGGCTTCGAGTCGCGCCGACTCTTCTTTCTCACGCTTGATTCTGAGTTGCTCCTGTCGTTTGCGCTCTTCCTCATCGCGCTGTCTCTGTAACAACTCTTCCTCGGCGCGAGCTCTCTCTTCTTCCTCCCTGATTCTCTCTTGTTCCTCCTCGTAGATACGTTGACGCTCACGCTCCTCTTCCTGTCGCTTCAGCTCTGCTTCACGCTCCTTGGCTTGCGCGATATTCTCATCGATGAAAACCAATGGCTTTGAATAGTCCATATCCTCATCGTTGGCCCAGTCAGTGTTTGCCCATGAATTACCAAAAATATCAGCGACACCAGAGGACTTTGTTGGCGAAATAGTCGAGCTTGGCGAACTGATATTGGCGACGACCGACAACGACGAACTACTTGATCCCGAACCAGTACTAGTAGTAGTTGTAGTCGGTGACATACTACTATTATGATAGCTATTACTATTACTGTTAGAGGCAGAAGGTGATTGAATCGACGACGATCTCTGTGAAGTTGGTGTTGTAGGTAATGTATTTTCCTGATATGATTTCTTATTACTATTACTACTACTGTTGCTATTATATTGTTCTTCTCTTTCATCTAATTGTAATTAATGATAATAAAAAAAGGTTAATAAATATGATGTTATTCTTAATTCTATTCTTAAAAGGGATTACAAACATATGCTTGATGGTCTTGAGAATGAATCTGTGCTACCCTTCATATTGTGAGAAGAATGGTCGTCATGTCCAATATATGCAGGTGTGTTGGATCCGGTTGGAGTTGCTACCGAAGGTGATGGTAAGAGTGAAGATTGAGTTGCAAGATTTGGACTGTTCAGAGCAATGTTTGAATGAGAGATCGGTGCATATGGAGTTGAACTTCCACTTGTTCCGCTGCTGCTACTATAGTCTCTGTTGTCTCTATTATCTCTGTTGTCTCTTTCTCTATCTTTATTCAAATTCGATGAACTACTTTCTCTGCTTATACTGTTGGTTGGTGTTGAGATTGAAGTGGTGAGAGGAGTCAAACTACTTTGTTGTTGCTGTGATGTATTTGTACTGTTGTTGTTGTTGTTGTTGTTGTTACTGCTGTTGGTAGTGGTAGTGGTGAGGTTGGGAGTGGAGATTGGTGTGAGTGTAGAGGTTGGTGTTGGGGTGGAGATCGGTGCTATATTGGCGAGTGGAGTGGTCGGGGTGGACACAGTGGTTTTGCCACCGAGGATAGCTGCAGCCGCACCGCCACCACTACCCCAGACAGATGTAGTCGAGGGCAATTGCTTCTCCTCGGGTCCACTCTCACTCTTTTCACTCGGTAAATTGATGGGTTGAAACTTTGATTTCGAACTAGGCGTCGATCCAGTTGATTGCAATGATGGAATCTGTGTTGGTTTATGTGTAGTTCTTCCTATTGTTTTTTTGTATTTAATAATAATAATAATAATAATAATAATTTGATTTGATTATTTCCAATGTTAATAATTCCTTCATTCATTAATTCTTTCAATCTATTATGTTGTCCAACACATTTTCTTTCCCATTTTAAATCATACCTATCATATTTAAAGGCGGTGTTGCATTCTTACTGATTTTATATGTATTTGAAGGTGATGATGATGATGATGTTGACGATGGTGAAGATGATGATTTCATTATAAGATATACTAAAAATAAAGTGTTGGTAATAATAATGTTTTTTTTTGATTAGTTATATTTTATATTAATTTTCATCTTTGATTTCATTTGCTTTATTATTATCAAAAATTAAAAAACAAAATAAGAAAAGACATGATGATGAAGTTGATGATGAATATATCATAATATCATTTTAATTTTGTTTTTTTTTATTTTTGAATTAATAAGGTAAAGTAACTTTAATTAAACAAACTTACCATAACGTTGTTTTTGTTTGTGTTTTTGTTTTTGCTATACTGTTCTGTTTTAATTACTGATAATATAAAACTAAATGTGGAATGTACAATGGTGATTATTATTATAAATATTATTGTTACTCTAAAAATTGATATCAATTTTTAAAAAAAAATTTAGAAAAAAAAAAAAATATATTTTTTGAAAAATTAAAATAAAATTAAAAATTTGTTCTTCATGTTTTTTTTATTTTTATTTTTGGTTTACATGTAATGTGATATGATGATGGTTTATTAATAGTTTGTTTGACTTGATTTTATAATTATATTTGTATAATATTAAAAAATTAAAAAAAAGAAATAATATATCTTAACTTTTTGTTTATTTTATATTTTTATTTATTATTGTTAATGGTTATTGTTGTTGTTGTTGTTGTTGTTGTTATTGTTATCCTTCATTGATACAATATCTAATTTACGTTGATATTTGTTGTTGTTGTTGTTGTTTGATTCGACACTTCTTTCTTTTGGTGTTCTATAGATTGATTCCGGTGAGTTGTTTACGAATGAGGCGTATCTTGCTAGTGTGAAGAAGTAGTCGCTCAGTCTGTTGATGTATTTATTGGCAGCGGCATCGATGTACTCTCCGATGAGCAGTGGTACAAGGTGTCTCTCACACCGACGACAGACACTGCGACAAACGTGTAGTTGTGAAGATACAACGTTGCCACCTGGCAGGATGAAATTGCGTAGTGGCGGTAGCGATTGATCGATCTGATCGATCTGTGCTTCCAGTCTGGTGATATTATCCTCTGAGAACTCTGTTCTTCTGAGGTGGGCATCCGGTGAACTTTCACGTGGTGTCGCAACATGTGAACCTAAATCCAACAACAAACATTGTATTTCCTCCAACTCTTTGATCTTTTCAACCAATTGATTGGAATCAACTTCTTTACTACTAAGAGTATTCATTTTTATAAAATCAATAGATAATCTAAAAAGTACAAAACAAATAAAAAATGTCAAATTAATAAATTATATTAATTAGCAAAGATATTATATATATTTCCATTTACCCAATATGAGCAGATAATTCATCGAGATCACCTAAAACATTGAATATTTGATCATCTTTTGGTCTTCTTTCACCATTGAACAAACTAGATGTTCCTTTATCACCTGTTTTAGTATAAATCTTTATTTTCTTTGGTTCAGGCTTTGTTGATGTAGTGCTACTAGAATATAATCTATTTTTAACATATCCATTATTATTTATCAAACATGATGTTGAAGATAATGTTAAATATCTATTTAAATAATTAACTAATTTATTTGATTTAATTAGAATTCTAGACATTTTTATTTTTTTGGATCAACCAATCTTTTTTTTTTTTTGAACACCTCAAAATGGATTCCTTGTGACCACAATGCACGCATTCCTTTTTTGATACTACATATTTATTGAAATGTTACAGCTGAAATATATTTAAATAATATTCAAATGATTAAAAAATAATAAATTAATAATATGAATAATATTATTCTAAAAAATTTATAGAAATGTTTATTTTTTTGAGATAATAACATAAATTTGAAATGAGATATTAAATTAGTTTGATAAAACTGTTAAAAATATATAATATATAATAATCTTTTTTCGATTTTTTCCAGTATTTTATTTTTTTAATTATTATAAATCTTTAGTTTTGTATCAGCACCACCAGAGATAATGTATGGGTTCGATGAATCGGTTGGGTTGCTGAGCCAATCGCAAGAGAGTACTTTATCGGTGTGTTTTTCAATGGTGAACAATGGTACCTTGGAACGGGTGTCCCAGAGTTTGACGGTGCCGTCGTGCGAAGCCGAGAGAAGTTGTGTGGATGAGCCTGGCTTCCAGCTGATGGAAGTAACCCAATTCTTGTGTGATAAAAGCGATCCAATGTTGAATTTACCGTCGCGAATACGTGGATCCCACAAACGAATGGTGTGATCGGCATGACCCGACGCTATCAGTCCAGAGTCGATAGAATATGAAACAACATGAAGTGCTGTCGATGCCATCATCGTCTGTGTATCCGACATCGTCTCCAAATCCCACAATCTAATACTCTTATCCATACCACCCGAAATCAATTGGAACTGTGTTGGCCAATCAATAGTTGTAATTGGTTGTGAATGTTTTTCCAATGTACTTAAACTTTCCTATAAACAACAACAACAACAACAACAACAACAACAACAACAACAACAACAACAACAACAACAACAACAACAACAACAACAACAACAACAACCGAAAAATGTTAATACAATAACAAATACTACACATTGATAGGTTAGCTATAGCTACTTACTGTAATGATAGATGGTTCTAAAATATTGGTTGATGATGCTATTGCTCCATTCTTTCTGCTCTTTTTGTTTGGTTGTTGTTGTGGCTGTGGTTGTGGAAGGTTCTGTAGATCCCAGAGTCTGAGTTTGTTGTCGTATCCACCGGATGCGAATCTGGTTCCGTCTGGGTTGGAAGCGACCGATTCGACCGATCCTTGGTGTGCTTTGAATATGCACATTGGCTGGACGGTCTTGGCGTCGGCGTCGGCATGCCAGTATCGGATGGTCTGGTCGAGTGACGCTGTGAGGAATGCCAAGTGACTACGCTTGGCTGCCTTTGTCCAGGCGACCGATTTAATCGCTGCTTGATGACCGACCGCTGTGATCAGTGTGTTGGCGGAGCAATCGACGATTCTCGCACCGAAATCGTAGCCACCGGTCAGCGCCAGACCCACGAGTGAACCACCGTCGACACTTGCAATCCAGTCGTCGTGTTGATTCTCCTGTTCACGCTTTGGTTCGGTGACGGCTTCGACGTACTCGATGGTGATGGTGTCCTCTTCCTTGAGACCGGCTTTCTTGATGTGCTTGTCGAGTGTCGTTCTAATGAATTGTCCGTTGATGAGGAAATCGAATGGTTTGTGCTGGGTGGTGTCTTCTTCGGAGCGCAAGTGATTCACCAACTCTGAGAGTCCGAGACGACCGATACGCTCTGGCACACCAAACGCAATCTCTGTGACTCTGATATTTGGATCGTTGGTAACAAATCGCACCTTGACCTTACCCTCCTCTTTTACTACTACTTGATTATTATCCATTATCAACACTAACAACTATAATAATAATAAATATCGACCACTATTTACAATTGACAAAAAAGAATAATAATAATAATTAAACTCATCACAATCAAACAAAATTAAACTTTTTTTTTTATTATTTTTTATTAATTTTTTTTCAAAATAATCGAATCGTTCGTTTTTATTTTGTCTTTAAAATTCATAATAACAATATAATATTCATTTTTCTTAAGAATTGAATGAGATAATTTAAAACATTAATTTTATTTAATTGAAAATTGTTTTAAAATTCATAAATACAAAAAACAATTTTTAGATTTTCATAAAAAAACATAAAAATTGAATTTTAGAAATATCTTTCATCAACGCCCGGTTAGCTCAGTCGGTAGAGCGCACGGCTCTTAACCGTGTGGTCGTGGGTTCGAGCCCCACATTGGGCGTTCTCTTTTTCTTAGAAATAGACCACAAAGCGCGCATTGTTACCTATAATATTGTAAGAAAGTTCATCTGTTTGTGGAGCTATAATAATGATAATTAGTTAACTTCCCTTTTGGAATAACGGGAAAACCCATTGGTTACAAATATGATCATCAATAGCATGTACAAACTACAAACCATGATTGATTTAAGTTTAAAACGTTAGTTAAAATATTTAGATATTTAATGTCAATGTATTAGTTTAACTTACAATAAGAATCTTTGTGATGACTGTTTGATTGTCTCACTAGTTTAATATTATATTGATCGAATCTGGTCATCCATCTTCACCTTTACCAAACATAGAAGTAAACTCAGGAGCGATTTACTTAGATTGGCTTCTAGAACTCTTATTTAACGTTTCTACTAACCTAAATTGTAACCAATGACTGTCATTTTTGTATAGATCAAATGTTAATTAAAGGTTATTTAACTCTAATAGTTATATAATTGGTGAACTCTTGTCAATATAATCGATTTTTAAATAGTTTCTTTAATCACTAATAGTTTCATTAACATTTCTACTCATTGATAATAGAAGTATACATACTTTACACTTTAAATTAAAAATAACTGATTCTATTAAAATATTTTCATTTTTTAAAAGATTATCATTACATTTATCGTTTGATGATACCATATCATTCTAGTGTATTTATAAAAACCTTTTAATTTATTAAATATATATTTTTATATTATTAAACAATTTCAACTATATATCTGTTCAATCAATCTTTTGATCATATATATAAATATATTTGAAAATGAAAATGAATAAACCAAATGAATTGAAAATAAAAAAGATAATAAACCATTTAATTTGATAAATTTTTTTATTAAATGGATAAATTGTCACTATAGTTAATCAAAGTGTGGTAACCACAGGTGTTCAATTCTAATTATATTGTTTTACTGGGTGTTTGATATATTACGTATGTCTATTTACTATTTATTATTTTTATTATTTCAAATTTAGATTTCTATAGGTTCATTACAATAATTTTTTTGTTACAAACCTCCTAGTTTATACAAAACAATGTTCATGATTATTTTACTTTCGAACTAATTTTATTCAATTGGAATTCAGCTTGAATAAATTTAGAATACTTGATTTTTTATTATTTCCTGTTCAACCATCATCAATATTCAATCTATTAAATTATGTATTTAAATTAAAAACTAAAAAATAAAAATGATTTTATTTCTATTTTTTTAATTTTTTAATTTTATTTATATCATTTGTAAATATTTTTTTAAATTAACAATAAAAATAAAAATAAATATTAACTATTAATTAAAAACAAATTATAGATTCAAAAGAATACAAAATTTCATCCGCTTGATCCACCAAGGAAAATGGCTTTACCATTGTTTGGAAATCTATTGGAATTTCTTTATGATTTTCCTTTTGTGGTGTTTCAAAAGATGAATCAAAAGTATGGTGAAGTCATTGGATTTTGGTTTGGATCAAAATATGTTATTGTGGTTTCAGATCCAAAGTTGGGAAGAGAAATGATATGTAATTACAATGATAATTTTCTAAATAAACCAGAATCTCCAACATGGAAACAGATATCTGGTGGATATAGAAACTTGTTTTTCGCCAGAGATCAAGATTGGTATTGTATAAAGAAACTTACATGCAATGCTTTCACCAAAACCAAATTGAAGTCTCAAGTACCTTTGATAGAACAACAATCCACTAAACTAATCAACTCCTTTAAATCAAATTCGAAAAATTATGAAATTGTAAGATAAAATAATTTAATTAAAATATATAAAACAAAACTTATTAATTATTTTTAAATTTTTATTAATAGTTTGATCCAATGGAAATATGTTATAAATATTCAACAAATATTATTCTTCAAATTTTAGTTTCCAAAGAATTGTCATATGAAGAAGATGATAATGAAAATGAAATGAAGAATATATCCTATTATTGTGATAAAGAAATATATTTAAATGATTCTTTAATATTAAAGAAATATATTTAAATGATTCTTTAATATTTTGTTCTTTAAAATTAATAAATATGAAAATGTTCTAAAATATACTTTTAGAATAACAAATTAAATTATATCAATACCAATCATCATATTTATCCAATAAGCAATCAAATAGACAATCATCATAACATCATTCTCATCTGAAATATTAACTCATCACAGTGTACTTTTCAGAATATTACTCTGAAGTATCAACACCTTCAAATAATTAATAATTATATGCCAATCATCTAACTTAAGTGATTAAAATTAATAAAAATGTAAATTGTTAAAGGGGCTTTAACTAATATGCGCTTCTGATGACTCTTCAGATTTAAAAAGCTTTGACCAAGGAGTCAACAATATTTTTGTTAATTTCTTGAGAATTATAATGAAATTGATTTTATTTTTTTTTTGTGATTTGTTTCGGGAAATTTGGACTTACAAAAAACCAAATCCCTCATCAAAAAAAATAATCACTAAACATTTTATACATAATTGTTATAAATGAAATCAAATAATAATATTTATATTATTGTTTTAGTTATAGTATTGTTTATTATAACAAACGATGCTTTACAATTAGAGAAAAAAAAAACATACAAAATAGGAGATCCTCTGCCGATCTATGTGAACAAGTTGATTTCGCAAGACAAAATCTTCTCTTATTCATACTATGATTTACCATTTTGTAAACCTGAAAACGGTAGTTTATCGTCTCATGAAACTATCGGTCAAGTTTTAAATGGTGAAAGAAAACAACTCACTCCTTATAATGTATGTTTTATTTAGAAATTATTTGTTATAAGTGTTAATTTATAATTAACTTATTATTTTATTTTTAGGTAACATTTTTGCAACCAACATCAGGTTATCAAGAGATCAATAAATACTCTGGTTGTGATATCTTTAGTTATCGAGATACCAACGATAAGCTGTCAGAGTTTATCAAAGAGAGATACTATATGGAGATGGAAATCGATGATCTTGTTGCCTACACTTGGAGTGGAGTTGCAAACTACAATGCAATCAATATCGGAAATTACTGGTTCGATCGAGCAAATAATCAGGAAATATTGACAATCAACAACTATTTATATTTCACAATTCAGTATAACAAGGTTAGCGAAGATGAGTATACAATCGTTGGACTCCGTGTTTTACCACAGAGCAGACAATTCAACTTGCAAAACTATCTTGATAACGGTATTATCAGCTCTAATGGCAGCAACCAATATCTAGATAGTGACAAAGAGTTTCTGTTGTACACCTACGCGGTCGCCTTTGAGGAGAGCAATGTCACATGGGAACATCGATGGGATCAGCTGATTGACCATGAACATACCAGTGTGTTAGTTGGTGCTAGTACAATCAAGATTATTTTGTTTATCTATATCTTTATCTAGACAGGTATTGCAATATATATGCAAATAAAGCGAATTCTAAGTGCACAGACGTTGGAAGAACTATCGAACGATGTTGTCTACAAGAAAGTGCCGCTTTGTTTGAGAAAAAGAATGACCTCCAGAATGTTTGACTATCAAAAGATTGCAATTTCATTACAAGCTGTAAGACATGATGTTTTCAGAACACCAAAGAATCCGATGATCTTGTCAAGTTTGGTTGGTGGTGGATTCCAATTGTTCATCACAGTATTAATCACTTTGATATTATCGAATATCATACCACCATATTCAAACAGTGGATCTCTTCATTCCAATCTTTTGTATTGTTATTTATTCACTGGGTATATATACCAATCATAATTATCAATTTACATACTTTTCAACTAACATTTTTATTCAAAAACTTAATTATACCAAAATAGTATTATTTCAGGATATGCATCGAAAAGAGTTTATCAATCAATGAATGCAAAGAATAATGGATTAAAATTTGATATTCAATTCTCATTTTTAGTAAGTATTAATATTTTTAATGAATCATTTTTAGTGTTTGATTTATTAAAAAGTCACTTATTAACATGAGATTTTATAGATATCATTTTTAATTCCAGGTATTCTATTTTCATACTATATCTTGTTTATGTTGTCTGTTTCAAATTCAGTTGGAGCAACAAACACACCATCCTTTAAAAACATGGTTGTTTGTTTTGTAATATGGATATTTGTTCATACACCAATGGTATTCATTGGATTGTTTATTGCCAACAAACAATCACATCCAGAAATACCAATTCAACCTTCAGCATCACCACATATATATCCTTCAAGTAAATTAGGAATTACATTCTTAGTAATCGTGTTATTCGGACTCACCAATACCGTAGAATTTAACGCTCAGTTTATTACCTACGACTATGCCAACTACTCAAGATTTACCTATTTCGATATTTACAGCTATGTATCAACTGAATATATATTTTCAGCTCTCTTTGTTGGTGCCGTTGCTCTCAATTACACTTTACTATTCCTTTCATATGAGGTAATGTATTGAATTGTTGGATTTACTTTTTGAAAAAGATCTTTTACTCTTACTGTTATCATCTTTTTATTTTAAACTTAGATTCACAATTGGAATTGGAGAGTATATGAAATGAACACTGGAACAATAGTATTCTTTATCCTATATCAGTACTTCTTCTCTAGTTTATATCATATTTCTTTTGATGATTCCACATCAAAATTCTATTATTTCGCAGTAACAGGATTCAGATCATTAATCATTTATTTCCTCAATAGTTCCATCTCTTATCTTTCATCTTATCTATTTGTAAGAGTTTTATACAGTAAAAAATATCTTGGTGGTAAACCTCTTTTCAGAGAAGAGAGTATGTCTTTAATTATTGCTTAACCAAACCTACAAAATATCATTGTTTTTAACATATACAAAAAAAGAAATTGGTCAACTTACTTTCAACCTCGATATATTAGGAATGTATATTCAAATGATATTTTAGAGGGAAGAATTTTTAAATAAAACTTTGAATATTTCGAAATATTGTTTTAAATTCAAGTCGTTATAAATACTTAAACTGGTTGAGTGTTGATGAACAGTGAAGTGGTGGTTGGTTTGATAAAATGTAACCTATGGGTTTTCCCGCTATGTAGTAAGGGAAGTTAACCAATTATGATCAGTTCCACAAGCATAAAACTTTTTTTTTTGCAAAAAAAAGATTAGCTGACTCATGATCAGTCAACAAATTGCAGGTATTGATATTAACCTGCTAGTTCGTGTTTTATATTATATATACATTCTCACACAGGCCGTGAGAAATAGCTAATAAAATATTATTATTATTATTGTTTATAGTTATTATTAATTAATAAGTTTAGTAGTATTAGGATAGAATAGATCTAACAGTAGTTAAGTGTTGGTGAACAACAGTATAAAGTGGTGGCACGTAGTTGGAAGGATTTAGATTCCAATCAGATTTAAATTTACGTGTCATTGCAGAGCAATCGACAGTGATTCCTTGGGAGATAGAATTAGCGATTGTGAAGTTAAGCTTGTGGTAATTGGCATCGATTAATTTGGTGTAATGGGTGACTGCTCTTTTGACGGTATTTTCCAGCTTGTAATGGGTACCATCACCAAACAGTTCACAGGACAGCGCCTGCCATAACGAATGTACGATAGCAGCAGTAAGGTGGGTGAAGTGGACAGTAGTACGAATAGGACCGTCGAACTAGATGCACGAGTGCTTCCAATTGCGAAATCTATAGTTACAGTACTTGTGGTATATGTTTGATAAAGGAAAGGAACTGCTGTGAAACTACATTCCTGAATTTGAAGAAGAAACGCTCATGTGGGTTGCAGAGTTCAGTTAAGGTGTTACCACAGAACTCACAGACATGACCAGTGCGCTTGTGGTTCATGGGGAAGGTGTGAGAGTACAGCCGGAATATGCTGTTACGTAGCATAGGCACTTTGACCTTGGATATATGCAGGAACTGAGATTGGAGAACCAAAGAGTTGTGTAGAACAGTCCAGTAACGCCATCGGGACCAGGCGATTTGGAAGGTTTGGTAGAGCTTATTGCAAAATATATATACCAAAAGTAAGTTATAAATTAATATAAAACTTATCTCTTAAATAATTAATTCTTTCATATAAACAGGGATTATTAGTTTTTTGTTACTTTTTTTGTAAAGTAGTATTACTAAGAGAGTAGTACAGCTTTAACAAAAGGTTGGAAAGATATGTAGAAAAGAAATAATAAACTTAACTCGATATTAATATATGTTATAAATGAATATGAATATGAATATTTTTATTTAATACAAACCTTAACTCGATATTAATATATGTTATAAATGAATATGAATATGAATATCGACTTAGGGATTTGTTTGGTATATTTATAGTTTCCCGTAATCCATAATGACTGGATGGATTTCGGTTGGAACCTAAAATGGAATCGTCATGGTTTTCCAGACTTAGAATGTCAGTTTGGAAGATTCGAAATTTCCGCCAAATTTCATTGAGATTTTATCGGAATTTCGGCTACTTTTCTACACTTTTCTACAAGTTGAATCTTTTTTAAAAGTATGCTTACCGCATGCAGTAAGGTTTTTTATAAATATAAATTGGGCTCCACCGGGAATCGAACCCAGACCACTACCACCCAAAGGTAGTATTGTACCATTCAACTATGGAGCCTCTGGTGAAGTTCATTTCTTATTTTTAACTATCTATTTCTCCACCATAACATAGACCGATTCCCTCCACAAAACAACACCACGCTCCAATCACTCACAAACTGGTTCATCTTCTCCACAAACAGCAATCTAGACACAGACACCAAATACAAAAGCCGGATGCGAATCGAAAGAGCTTCTCTCAGCTGGGAAGAAGGAGGCATTGGCCTCTGGAACATGCCAGTAAGAGAACTCGCTCAAAAAGCATGGGTCTATAACCACTTCCTCTCAATCAAAGACAATTCCAACCACGACAAGCTCATCCTCTGGCGAAACTACCTCATTGGGCACATGTCACCATCTCCCTTGTTCACCAAATGCCAAAACGCTTGGAAAAAGCTTGCCAACGAGCATGGACACAACCCCCACCTCAACCAACCAATCACAGAAACACCCAACACAATAATCCCACTCAAAATTATTTACAGAACATTCATACGAATGAACTCTGACAAAAAACCAACCCCAACCACAAAAGGAGAGGAAATCCTCATAAGCAAAGGATTCTCCCTCCCGGAAACCTTCACCACCATAGCCAAGATCAAAGACCAAAAAGGGCGAGACACACTCTTCAAACTCTTCGCTAGATGTCTACCGCTCTCTAAGATCGACCTCACCTTCTGTATACACTGCTTACCATTCGTATTCACAGGTCTCCCACCGATCAAGATCACCGAGCACCACCTCTTCAAATGCAAAATACTTAACACCTACAAACCTATCATAAAACGGATCATACACAAATTTACAGGGGACACCTCGACTGGGAGCTGGACATCCTCAAGATGACAAGCAAAAACGAGCTACATCAAAACGTAATTGCTATCGTACTACACCAGGTCTGGATTCTTCACTGCAAACTTGCTCACAACTCCCCCATCACACCCACCACCTTCTATCACGCAACAACCAACAACATTAACAGACTAGCTAAACTAGAATACCACAAACTAATCAGAAATTAAAACAAGACTTCGGTCGTAACAACTGAAACATTCAAGCATATCAATCAAAATGGCTGAAGAAGCTAGACGACTTCAAACTCATCTGGTATCACCTGGAACATCCCAACGCCATCCCACCTCAGCAAATAAACAATTAAAAATAAAATCCATTTGAGTATTCTTCAAGATATGAGAATACTTCAAAAAAAAAAAAAAAAAATCTATTTCATACTCTGTTCCCCAAAGTATTAAATAGATAAAACTCAAAACAAAACTGGCTCTTGCTTGTAACCATAAATCGAATAAAATAAAAAAAAACCTCTAAGATCACATTAACCCATCATTGATCATTTAGATTTTGGCACACAATAAATATACAACTCTACAGGTGTTTAAAGATTCCCAGATTTCTTCTTTAGAATTAAATCAAACTCTCAAATCTCATATATCATCTTGATCTTCCTAAATCTTAATGATTTGTAACTTTACAATTAAACAGATTAATTTTATTGATATTATTTGATTTTATATAAATCCAATAGTTATTCGTTTGACTTTAGCTGTCTCTTGACAAGATTATAATAGATTCCATTTTCATTTTGGATCAACTCTTCGTGAGTACCTCTTTCTTCGATGATACCTTGGTTGACCACCATGACAGAGTTGGCGTTGACAACGGTCGATAGACGATGGGCAATAACCAAGACGGTTCTGTTGTGCATCAATCTATCGATTGCCTCCTTAACAAGATACTCACTTTCGGCATCGAGAGCACTGGTGGCCTCATCCAACAGCAATACCTTTGGATTCAAAAGCAAAGCACGAGCGATAGCAATACGTTGTTTCTGTCCACCGGACAAACGGACTCCACGCTCACCCACCACAGTATCATAGGTACTCTCGAATGCGCCAATAAACTGATGAGCATTCGCCTTCTCGGCAGCAGCTCTAATGTCGTCCATACTGGCATTCTCCACACCAAAACTAATATTCTCCTTGATGGTACCAGCAAACAAGAGTGGCTCCTGACTGACGAAACCAATAATACTACGATACCAACGTGGATCGAGTCTTTTAATATCGACACCGTCCAGTGTAATCACACCGGAATTTGGATCGTAGAATCGTTCTATCAACGAAACAATAGTTGACTTTCCACCACCGGACGGTCCGACCAGCGCAGTAACCGTTCCAGTCTGGATCTTCAAGTTGATCGTTGTCAACACTTGTGTTCCTCTGGTTGGATAGGTAAAGTTTACATCTTTAAGCTCGATTTCACCGACTGGGTTCGGTAGAATATCACCACCGGTGATTGGAATCGATGGAACCTTGTCCATCAACTCAAAGATACGATCGGATGCACCGACGGCCTGCATGAAATCACCAAACAAACTACTGACGAAAGCAAGTGCCATCGCCACCGACAATGTATACAAAAGGAATGAAGTGAGGTTACCAGTGGTTGTGTCGCCATTCAACACTTGTTTGGCACCAACATAAACAATCAGCACAATTGCGAGTTGTGCCACTAAAAATACACCACCCGAGAAAATTCCACCTGCCAACGCCAACTTTTTACCAATTAAATAACTTTGATGTACATCTTTTCCATACTAAATAGATAGATAGATAGATAGATAAATAAAGGATTAATAAAATATTATATATCTTGATAAATGGTAACTTACGATTGCAACGAATTTCTCTTCTTTGGCAAATGCTTTTACAGTTCTAATGTTACTAATTACTTCTTCACCGGTTGTAGATGATTTAGCCAGTTCCTCTTGTACTTGTTTACCGAGCATCTTTACTTTCTTTCCGTAAAAGACAGCAGAGACAGCGAGAATAGGGATGATTGCCAGCATGACAAGTGTAAGTCGCCAGTTGGTGATGAAGAGTAAGATGATTGCACCGATGATTTGAATGGTGTATCTCACTGCCATTGAGATGTTGACGGTCACTGTGTTTTGGAGTACTTGTGTATCCGATGCCAAACGATTGACCAACTCACCGGTTCTGCTCTGATCAAAGAATGCCACATCCTGCTTGATGATCGCTGCAAACAACTCTTTTCTCATTCTCGCAACGAAACGCTGACCGGCCAGCGTGAAGAGATACGCACGTATCGAAGTACTTAAACTACCGATCAGGAAGATAATGACCAATGCCAGCGTCGAGTTGTTGAGTGTATTGATGTCACGCGATGCCGAAAGCACCTGCACGATCTGACCAAAGAAAGCGGGAATGGCAAGCGAGGAGAACGACGAGAAGATCAGCGCAATCATACCGCAGAGAATCAGTGGTAGCTCGGGCTTTGAGAGCTTTGCTAGACGCTTGGCGTTGGAGTTGTTTATACGGGTTGGACGCTTCGCTGCTTTGTTGATGGAGGAATCCATTGCTTCGGCATCCTCCAGTTTCTTCTTCTCCTTGGCCATCTCTATCTTGTGCTCGACACGAGCAACCAACAGTGGATAAGCATTGAGCGCAAGATACAAGACGATGAGACCGATCGAGTTGGCAATGCACGCCAGCGTCATCTCACGAGCGTCGTCACGTGTCAAAATCGGGGAATTCACTGGGAGTATTGACGGGTCAATAGATCCCGGTGTTTTAGTTAGCATCGGTATGGCGAAAGCAGACTTTATGATGATGTAGATCAAACCGAGTACCGACATGGCAATCGTTGACAACTGGTAGAGATAGCCAGTGAGGAAGAGACATACCGTCCAGAAAATAGCGAGTACATAGCTGAGTAGCAGCACATCGAACGTCGAGAAATAAAAGAAATACTTTATATTGAATTGGTCGAGTACGCTCGTGTTGTTTGGTGACGCGGTGGGTGTTGGCGAGGTAGTCGGTGTCGGACTGATCGGATTCGGGTAGAACACAACACGATTGCCAATAAAGAACAACAGGTTGGTGGAGAGTACGTAACCAACGAGTAAAACTACACTGGCAAGCCGCAGCATATAGAGAGTTGACTTTTGTCGCTGTTTTTCTACCACGGACAGACCGTCCTCATAGATTCCACCATTATCATCATTACTACCACCAGCAACTCTACGCAGTGGTTCTTTACTATTAACAGGATGTAACAACACCTGACTCTCTACATCTCTATCACCGCCAGCAGCATCTTCATTATTATCATCCAACAATCTTTTCCTTTCACTTCTATTTGACATTTTTTTAGTTTTTATTTTGGACGAACACTAACTATTTTTGGTTATTTATCTGCAAATATATATAAATACAAACAACACTTAAGTGTAGTGTTTTGTCAAAAGCAAAGATAAATAATATAGTGATTTATGATATGATTATATTAATGAACTGAAACTAAACAAAACAAAACAAAACAAAAACTAAAACTACAATAACTATAATAAATATTTTAAAGTAATATGTATTTGTATATAAATAATATATTTGATTTTGGTATAATAATAAAAATGATTTAAATTTATAATAAATAATTTGTATTTTTGGATCTTTGTTATTTTTTGTTTTGTTTTTTAGTAAAGAACTCAAACCTAATTAGTTGCTAGGTTTGATGTGTCAGTGAATCATTAAGAATTAATAAGGTAATAATGATTTCCTAGCATTGAGCTTTGCAAATTTAATTAATTATGATTAAAATGTTTGCGACAATAGGTTCATCGAAAACTTGAAAGGTCACACCTGATGTAACCTCATTACCCAAAAACATCTAATACATAACATAAATAGAAATTTTTTTTGAAATTAATTAAAATTAAAAAAAATGTGTGACATAATTAATCGTCGGATCACTTTTTTTAGATTTTTTCTTTTTTCGTCATATTCCTTAATAATGTTGTTGTTCATCTACTTTTTTTTATTCCTCCTACTTAATATTAACAAAAAGAAAGATTTCATTTAAATTTCTATTAAATCTATTGATAATAAATAAATAGATAATTTTATTATTGTTTTGTTTTAACATTTTATTTTTAGAAAAAAATAATCATTTAAAATATAAAATATTGTGTTATTTTAAACATTTTTTAAAAGTAAATTGTAAATTATAACAACATATATAAACAGTTTCGCATTTTTTGAAACTGTATTATCGGAGCTGAAATTTCCAAAAAAAAAGTGCACAAATGAAGTTCCCTTGTGCTTGTGTTTTGCAAAAAAAAAAAAAAAAAAAATGATCACTGATCGTCCACTGATTTTTTAAATTTACTCTATTTAATTTTAATACATCATTTTTCTAATTATATATTAAATTGTGTAATTCATTTATACAATGTTATCATCATTCTCTAGAAAGTTGGTGACTCCAACTTCCTCATTATTGAGATTCAACAATGGTATTCGTATGTCTACTTCATTGGCAAACATTGGAACTGTATGTTTTAAAAATCATTCATCAACAAACCAACAAACAATAACAACAACAACAATAATAATAACAATCATCAAATATTTGATAAGAGGAGAATGAATAGATGGATTGTTATAAGCTTGAAAATAATATTGACTATTTTTTTATTTATAGAGATCATATCATACAGATAAATTGATGCATATTATCGATGGATCAGTCGATAAGAACTCAGTAGAGTTCAAAGAAAACATGACTAGAATGAATGAGAGCATCGAACAACTCAATAAGAACATCGATAAAATCAAGTTGGGTGGTGGTCCAAAACTGAATGAACGTCATGTCTCAAGAGGAAAGATGTTGGCTCGTCAACGTATCGATTCACTCATTGATCCAGGGTAAATCATTTAAATTTGTATAAGCATTTCAAAATAACACTCAAATTAATCAAATCATCATTATCATCATCATCATCAATATTATAATTATAGTTCACCATTTTTGGAATTTTCACAATTAGCAGGATTCAATATGTATGGAGAAGATGTACCAGCCGGTGGTATCATTACAGGTATCGGTAGAGTGGAAGGACAGGAATGTATTATCGTTGCGAACGACTCGACTGTCAAGGGAGGTACCTACTTCCCAATCACTGTAAAGAAGCATTTGCGTGCACAAGAGATTGCCCAAGAGAACAATTTGCCATGCATCTACTTGGTCGACTCTGGAGGTGCCAATCTACCGCGTCAGGCCGACGTATTCCCCGATCGTGATCACTTTGGAAGAATCTTTTTCAATCAGGCAAACATGTCTGCCAAGCGTATCCCCCAGATCGCCGTCGTCATGGGTTCTTGCACAGCCGGTGGTGCCTACGTGCCAGCGATGGCCGACGAATCCGTAATCGTCAAATCGACTGGAACCATCTTTTTGGGTGGTCCACCACTGGTCAAAGCGGCCACCGGTGAAGTCGTCACCGCCGAGGAACTCGGAGGAGCCGATCTCCACTGTCGTACCTCCGGTGTAACCGACCACTACGCGCGTAACGACCAAGAAGCGCTCGCTATCACTCGTCGTATCGTCTCGAATCTCAACCGTAAGAAACAACCGTCGGTCGTCATCAAGCCCGTCGAGGAGCCATTGTTCCCGGCTTCCGAACTCTCGGGTATCGTTCCATCCGACTTGAGAAAGACATTCGATGTTCGTAAGGTGATTTCGCGTATTGTCGACGGAAGTCGTTTCGACGAATTCAAAGAGCTCTACGGTACGACGCTGGTGACCGGTTTCGCACACATCCACGGTATGCCCGTTGGTATTATCGCGAACAACGGTATCTTGTTCAGTGAGTCCGCAGTGAAAGGTGCACATTTCATCGAGTTGTGCAATCAGCGTGGTATCCCATTGTTGTTCCTCCAGAACATCACCGGTTTCATGGTAGGAAAGTCGTATGAGGCTCGTGGTATCGCCAAGGACGGTGCCAAGATGGTTATGGCAGTGGCAACCGCACGTGTACCAAAGATCACCGTTATCATCGGAGGTAGTTTCGGTGCCGGTAACTATGGTATGTGCGGTCGTTCGTACAGTCCACGTTTCATGTACATGTGGCCAAACGCCAGAATCTCTGTGATGGGTGGTGAGCAAGCTGCCTCTGTTTTGGCACAGATCCAGAAGGACAACATGGCAAAGGAAGGTAAGCAATGGGCACCCGAGGAGGAAGCAGCCTTCAAGAAGCCAATCTCTGACAAGTACGAAGTCGAAGGATCGCCATACTACTCGTCGGCACGTTGCTGGGACGACGGTGTCATCAACCCAGTCGATACACGTCAAGTCGTAGCACTCAGTTTGAGCGCATGTTTGAATCAACCAATAAATCCACCATCTGATGGTTTCGGTGTATTCCGTATGTAATTTCAATAATAAAATAGATAACTACCTACCTATAATAATAATATAGTAATAATAATAATAATAAAACTATAACAATTTCAAAATAACAATAATATTTATAAATATAATGTTTGATGATTGTTGTTTAATAACCATATTTATTTGATTGTTGATTCATTTGATTTTCACGTTCGATTAAATCAACGAATTCCTCTTCTTGTTTTTGTTTTAAATCATCTCTTATTCTTTTTGATCTTTCTGCTGCTGTTTCATTAGGTGTAGAGTCAACCACTCTCTTTTTACTAGTAACAACAGGTGATTTCGATAGATACTCTTGTGGAATATCATCACTTAATGTTATTAATTCTCTTGGTTTATCTTCTTTTTCTTCAAGACCATTATTAAATATATCTAATTTTGTTGTTGTTGTTGATTGTGTTGCTTCTGTTGATATTGTACTTGAAGATGTTATTGAAGTTGATATTTGATTACTATTATTATTATTATTATTATCTTGTTGTTGCTGTTTTTGTTTTTGTTGTTGTTGTTGTTGTAATTTCTCTTGTTGTAATTTCTTTCTATACTCTGGTATCTTTCTTAAAATCTGTTCAATGTATGCTAGTTTTTTGTCGGTTTCTATCATCTTACTGGTTAGCTCTTGTTGCGTTGTCTTCTTTAATGATTCATCGTTTTGTTGCATGAACTTATCCAATTCATCTTCATCATCTTGTTGTTTATCGTTGTCTTTCTTTTGTTGTGTAGTAACCTCTTTAAATCTCTGTACAATATCATCTTTCTCCTTTAACAGCAAATCCTTTCTCTCCAATATACTCTGATAACTTTCATTCTTTATATCTTTCATCCATTTATCTTTTAATTGATCTGTTCTATTATAGAATTCATCATTCTCTATGTCTGAATCATCATCATCTTGTTGTTGTTGTTCACCATTCACAACCTTAGCATTATTTACATTATTATCTAATTCATCTTTACTACTATTATTATTATTATCATCGTCATCATACTCTTCTTTAGCATCATATCTATCATCTTGTCCCCAGCCATGATTTCTCAACTCTCTAATCTCTTTTTGTTGATCTGTATTTCTCTTTGATGATGATGTAAACAGCTGAATGAATGCCTTTGATTTATCAGTGGTAGTTGAATCTTGTTGTTGTTGTTGTTTCTGTTTTTGTTTCTCTAATTCTAATCTATCGTCACTCTCCATTACTTGACCACCAACTATGACATACAATCTTGTTGATTCACCAAATCTAAGGACATCACCACTCCTCAGAGGATTATGAGTGTTAGGAGGACATCTCTTCTTATTGATAAACGATCCATGTGTACTATTCAAATCATATAAAAACAATTGACCTTCTTCGCCATGTTGTATAACAGCATGTTGTCTACTAATACTCTTTTGTTGTTTTTGATGATTAATCATCATCAGTTAGTAACTAGTTATATGTTATTGTTGTTGTTGTTTATAAACAACTAATGTTATAGACACATACAGGATGATCCATCATTATATCACAAATAGGTAGTCTTCCAACCAAGTAATGTTGCTTCGTAAAGATATCTAAAACCTCGAGTATCGTTCCACTCTTGATGACTTCCAATTGATAGTTCACCGTAGGATCACAACTCCATTCAGGTGCTTTATAGATCAAGTCTGGCATCGGTGGTAATGGTTGTTGTTCTTTCTCTTTCTGTTGTTGTTGTTGTTGTTGTTGTTTGGTTGGTATTGATGGTGGTGGTGGCATAAGATTACTATCACCAATCTTCTGATTAGAGAATCCAGGTGGTGGCGGTGGAGGTGGCATCAATTTGCTACTATCATTCCCATTCGTTGCCTTCACAGGTAGCGAAGGAGGTGGCATTAACTTTTCATCTTCTTCTGACATCTATATCTAATCTATTAAATTATTCTGGTGTTGTATTTTTTATTTTTTTAAAAATGGTGAAAAAAAATAGAATGCAATCAATCTTTACTCGTGTTTTTTGCACTTCTGCCATGATTATTATTTTAAAGTTTACTTAATCAAACATATGTAAATTATTTTGTTAATTTTTATAGGATAATAACGACGACGACAGTAACAATAGAAATAACAACTAATGCTGTTACTAATGGACACATCAATCGAGTGAAAGTGAATATTCATTGATCAAATCACCATTGTTTTTTAATTATGAATCGATCATGTTCATCAGATACGGTGAAAGTACCGAGCGAACAACTCAAATGTTTATCAGTTCAAATATTTCACATTAAATCTGATGAATAAGATAGTAAGATCACATGTCTTTAGAAAGAACGACGATATTTATACGTATGATTTCTTCACTCAAGATGATGAATTCTACTACTCGATATCCATTTCAAAGAATCGATACTTGACAACTTCCTCCAATGCCTCAATTCAAGCACATCTCATCTATTTGTATAATAAAATAAAAATGTTTTTTTTGAGACTACAAATAAAGATTGTTGAAATAACATTATTTAAATGATGGAACAAAGTCCTAAACTATGTATGTAATATTTGATCAATGCCTAAATATTTGAAACCAGGTTTTGGATTTGTTGTCTCTAAGTTGATTGGTGAACCAATGATTGAATACTTGGAGTTGAAAAGGTCCAGATTGAAGCGTAACCAAATCATTGACTCCAAACCCAAGAGTTCAGGTTGGCCTTCAGAAACCAAATTGGCACCGCCTATATTCTAAGTTTTTTTGCAAAGATAATCGTCCTATATATCCATTTGTTATTTTCGAAGTACCTAATAATCTTTCTTGAGATTGTAACTCCCTAGCTGGATAGTTGGTTGTGAAAGTTAAAGATTTAGAATTAATTTTTTTTGTATTTATGTTGTACAAACCTGGTAAATTCCTTTGTTCCATCATTTAAATAAATAATATTTTATTTTATTAGTAAAAGATCCAGTATATTATGTTTGATATAGTTTATTTTATTGTAAGTTATTTTGAAACTTATTTCCAAGATATTGACATTTTTTTCCATTTTTATGAGTAGCAGAAACGGATGTATCTAGATATGTTTAGATAAGATAGTCTCTGATGACCATGATTTATTATTAAAATAAATAAATAATTGTTTATTATATAAACTTTAGAATATTACATTGATGAAATGATGATGATAAAATAATGAAATGATTGGTTGCAAAGTGATTAATTAATGTCGATGGTTGGATCTATCAATCTAACGATCTCCACGGTGATATAACCAGAGAATGCACCAATTACACCGAGAATTACAGTGATTAAACCTTTTTTGATCCAGTTGGAGTCGGTTGTCTTTGCTTGGAAGACACCCATGAGGAAGAGTGTTACAACGGTGAGTGCAATGACAGTGTAGAATGTTGGGTTGTTTCCGTGCTCCAAGTTGAGTCCGTCGGTCTTGGCGACGATCAACAACACAAAGTATGGCAACATCGGGATGATTCCAAAGATGAGGAACGACACAAAGTTGACGAGACCATTCTTCCAGGCGACTTCGTTCTCGGTGTCCGGCATGATACCGAGCTCCTCGACCATCATGATATCGACGAATCCCTTTTGATTCTTGGCGAGAATATCCACTACCTCAGTAGCAATCTCCAGTGGTATTCCCTTGGATACATAGATTTCGACCATCTCCTTCTTCTCGCCCTCTGGATAGTACTCTACCTCCCACGACTCACGCTGGCGTTCACCCTTGGCAAAGTCGACATCCGCCTGAGTTCCAAGGTAGTCTCCCATACCCATAGAAATGGCACCGGCCACCAACTTGGCGAATGCGATTGACAGTAGCAAACCAATCGATGCCTGTCCAGTGGCAACCACAGCCACACTCACAAAAATACTTACCAAACCATCCATTCCACCATATACAATACTTTTAATATATTTTCCAGTGCTATTAATTGATTGATTTATCGTTATAGTTAGTTAGCTAGTTAGTTTTTTGTTGTTATAGCAACTTACTCTAATTTCAAATCTTCTTTGTTGATTGATTTTATCTTTGTTAATGTTTCGTTGATGTCTGATTTTATTTGTTTTCTTCTCGAGGTTGTGGCGGTTGTGAGTGGAGTCTGTGAGTTTGGTGATCCGATACTGTCAGAGTCGCTCATCAGTTGGATCTTGTTGTCTACCTCTGGCAAGTTGGTTGTTACCGACATTAACTCTGCAGAAGTAGGACATGATGAATCTGTTGAAAGATACAATCTCTCTTGTTCTTCATCGTCATCGTTTATATCTTCCAATCTACTGCTATCATTGTTGATAATGGCACCATCGTTCGCACCACTATTAATGGCTTGGTAATCTGGTGATGACATTCTATCTATACTAACTATATTATACTATGTATCGATTCTATATATATATATCTTTCTTATCTAAATGTTTTACACTCTTTTGACTCCCACCTTTCTATCTAGATAGCAGCTATTACACTCTCTTCTTGTAAAAGTATGAAGAAAAAAAAAAATGAAAATTAATATTTATTTTTAAAATCTTAGTGTTTGATTTTTTTTAAAAATTTTGGTTCAAGGTTGACAAAAAGATAAAAAGAATTTTCAACACTAAGTTTGTGACAACAGAATTCATCACCGTGTTCTACCCGATGAATGTGAAAATATCTTATATATGGTGACAATGGTAACAAGTAGAATTTAATTGAAAGTAAATGAAGTTACAAATTTGTTCTTTTATTATTAAAATAAATATAAAATAGAAATTAATAATAAATCTGAGATTGAATAGTAGTATTTGTATGAAATTTACAATTATTTAATATTATATTTTATTTCTATTTTTTTAATATTTACCAAGATACTTTTCAATTAATTAAATGATCTATATTCAATTGATTTCATTTTGATCGAGATTATGAAAAAACTAAATGTTCTAAAAGTTTTTTTTTTTTTTTAATTAAAGTATAGAGATAAAAGTAAATTTTGACTATACACATAACAAGCTTATAATATGTCAAGTTCTGATGATTCATCTGATTATGATGGTATAATATTATATTGATAAATAACAATCAGTAGTTGGGAAAGAATATAGGTTTTAGAGTATTAATTAGAGATGATCTTTTTTTTTTTGATGTAAATATTTATCATTTATAGATTATACAGATTCAGAGGAAGATACAGAACCAATATCGTGGAATAAACTAAAGGATGGTTGGCAAGAGTTCTTAGTCGATGAGAATGCATTCTTTATAGTACCGACCAATGATACACCCGTTGTAAATGCATCGGGTGGTGCACTACCCTCGACCACTGCATCAACACCAACCTCACCAACCACAACCATTCAAATCGATGAAAATGCATTCAAAGATCCTCTAGGAATTTTAAAGTATGTTTGTTATATTATATCAATCTAATCTATTCAATAATATTTGATAATAACTTATGATGATGATACAATTCATGAATCATTAGAATACCACCAAGAAAATCATTCAATGTAAAGAGTCATTTGATATCATTGGAGTCTGAACAGTTTGATCCAGTGGTTTTCCTATCAGAGATACATTCACAGACAAAGTTTACAGAGCTATCGGTTGGATTGAGCAAGTTGAAAGAGGAATCGACATCGAAGGATCTAGAGATTAAACTGTTGGTAAAGGATAACTTTGAACACTTTGTAAAGTGTAAAGATACCGTAGATGAAGTATACACTCTGATATCATCTAGTTCTATGTTACAAGATATGACTGGTTCATTTACAAGTATATATATATATATATTTATAGATTTGTATAATAATTATAGCACATTTATACTAATGATATGATCTCTCTTTATTCTTCTATTATTAAGAAATCATTGATAAATCATCACTCGTATATAATCCATTGTTACATGGAAAACAAGAAGCAGATAGAATTCGTAAGGTATTGGCACTGCTAAACAAGTTTAAACTCATTTTTAAACTACCAGGAAAGATTGTTGAGAATATTAAACAGGTAATTAGTTTAACTAACAAATTGATTGTCAAGTGGAGAAAAAGAATTAAGATAACTAATGTAATTGTATTGTAATTGTATTTGTTTTTAGGGTGAATTTGATAAGATCATTCATAATTATAAGACAGCAAAGAATATGATTACAACCAACAATAAGAAGGTATTTCAAAAGGTTTTGTTGGATATCGAGAGAATCATGGAGGATTTTAGAGGTCAGTTGTATTCTTCGTTGAGAGATCCACATGCAAAGCCAGATCATCTCAAGAAGGCAATCAGAGTCTTAATGGAGATTGGCAATGGCAAAGGTGAATGGGCAATGATAGGTGATCCATGTTGGTATTGTCTATCAAACAAACATAAAGCAATCATTACATTGATAAAACAATGTCATGAAGATAGTAAGTTTTAATAAGCAACAACAACAACAACAACAACAACATTGATTGATACACATTGTATTTTGTTTACTAATGTTTTTGTTTTATGTTTAGAATCATTACCACATCATAAAAGAATACAAAGATTATCTATATTGTTGCTATCGAATATTCCTAATCTTTATAAGATGGGAAAGGCATATGTAGAGGGTCGTTTCGATATTAAGGATCCCGATGTCAGTTTGAAGAGTAACAAGCAGAATCAGTTGTTGCCCACTGCCAAGGTGAAGGAAGCCAAGAGTATTACGGTGGTAGTACACTACCTCGATGAATCGTTCTCTTCGTACAGTGTCACCGACGACAAGAAGATCAAAGATCTCATTGCAATGTGTATGAAGAGATTCCCAGACTCTGCGTCAGAGTATCGTATGTACAAACTCTCAGAGAAGAAAGGAAAAGGTGACTCTATCACTCGTATCAAGCTAGTGGAATTGGAACCGGATGCATCTCCCTACAAACTCTACAAAAAGATAACAGATAAGAAACATAAATTCTTATTTAAAAAGATAACTGAAGAGTATTCCGTATGTATTATTATTGTTGTTATTGTTATTGTGTTGTTACATATTAACTAACTTAACTTGTTAATGTTGTTTAGAAAAACTCTGATGGTATACATGTTATTCAAAAGGATGTTAATAGCTCGTTCAAGTCACACAAGAAACAATATTCAGCAGCAACATCGGCGATGAACGAAGAGAATTTCAGAAAGTTGGTAATTGACTTGCTACAGTTGTACTCGGGCAAAGTGGAGGATCTGTTCTTCAACGACGACTTGTCGGCTGAGGATTTGTCGAGCGATATGACATCCAATATGGTGGAGAATGTCAATGAGGTTATCAAGTGTTTGGAGATGTTGGTTGGTCTTGGCATGCCTGACAGCTACCTCGATGCTATACGTCAACTGGTAGAGTCACTCACCCTCCACTTTGTTAGCAGAATCTGCTCGGAGATGATCGGTGAGGTGTCGTTCCTTTATCTCCTCGAAGACTGGGCGATCAACGACGATGCACAAAACATGATCATCTCTGCCAACCAAGTAGATGGCATGGTTACCACCAGACTACTCGATGAATTCTTCAATACCATCAAGTCGTCACTTACTCAACTATCTGTATTAGCAACCAATCCTGTAAGTTTATATCACAATATCAATATCAATCATCATAATACTATTTATTAATATCTTAATCTACAACAATTATATCTATATATTTAGGCATTACTTAAACATGTTGAGAAAGCATTATGTGAAGCAATAGAATCATTCGGTGATTGTCTACATCATCTTGTTTTCGAATCGAATAACGGTGCAATCGATAAATCAAAGACTGATGAAGATGAAGAACCAGTTGAACAGATTAGCGAAACAAAGAAGGTATTGCTCTCACTTTCAAATTGTTCAACGGTTGTATCAAAGACTGCCATTCAACTACGTGACTACTATGTATTATTATTCCATCAACCAATGTCACAAAGAATAAAGGTAAGTTAATAAAGATAACAACAAATAAGTGAATCATCATGATGATTACTAATAATATTATAATTATAAACACTCGCCTTCTTTAGAAAGTAATTGAGAAACTAGGTGTGTTGGAAAAGATGATCTTTGAAAAGTATGTGCAAGAGAAGAATTTAGAGTTTAGTGATTTGGTGTCAAAGGGAATATTGTATTCTGGAATCAATTGGTGTAGCAAGAATGCACCGACCAAGGTCAGTTCGTTCACTATGATCATCTTGACAAAGATTGTGTTCATTCACAACGAAGTGATGAAGACCATCAACTCTATAGATGTAACCAGTGGTATTATCATGAGAATATTCGAATATCTCTTGGTTGCACTACAGTACAACTTTGAAAAGCTAGATCCACTCTACGTATCGCAATGCGGACAAGCTCAACTGCTCTTGGATGTAGCGTTCATCGAAAGAGTACTCTCTCCTTACTCCAACGAGAAGACCACCAAGCTATCCACTTCAATTAGAAGATATATTACGTCTATGAAGAAGATACCTGATGGTAAGATTATTATAAACCATTAACATTTAAAGTTAATTATTACTAACTAACCACACTTTATATCCAGATAAACCTGTTAATACTAATTTAGATTTAATTGTAAGAAATACTTGTGAGAAATCTTCTTTGATTTTCTTATGTTTGAATGATAGTTTAAAGCAAAAATAATATAAAATAAAGTATAGTATTTTTTAAAAGTAAAGTAAATATGTACAAAAGTTTATTATATTATATTATTATATTATTATATATTGTTTTTTTATGCTTGAGCTTGACCAATATAATCTAAAGCAGGATTACCAAATTCCATTGATTTCTTGGCTAGCAATTGAATTTGTGCCCATTGTTCTGGTTTGTATCCGAGCATGTAGGTTACCTTGAGTACGTTCAATGGGAATAATCTTGGTGAAGCAATGATCTCGTCCATGGTACCAAAGAGGAAGGCTGCAACTAATGTACCGATGGTCTGGAATCCACGGTGTTGTTTGAATCCCCTCTCGATAAAGTCGTGGAGACCAACCCAACGATCTTGAGTATGGTTTACTCTTGGTGGAAGTTTTGGTTCGAATGAGTGGCTACCACTCTGCAACATACCACAAAAAATTACCCAGAGAAGTGGGTTGGTGTAGATAACGGTGGAGTCGTAGAAGGCTTGGCTCTGACCATCGTCATGACGGAAGAAGTTGTAGAAAAGATTGGCAGACAAACATAACAGGGAGAGTGCAGGAGCCATGAACAGACCGAGAAAAGTTGCATTCTGAGTGAGTCCCCAAACCAGGTACCAGAGCATTAGGTAAACGGTCATAGCTGTTCCAGCATTGATCCACAGGTATTGTTCTGAGAAATTGAATTGACAGAGGAATACCATCAAGAAGAAATTGATAAGTGGCATCAGAACGAAATGAGCTAATCTGGTCATGAAATGAGTGTGGAAGATTTCATTCAAGTATAGCTGATAGTAAAGTGATAGACCTGTCAGGTTGGTCAGTGGTGTGACAAAAATGAATCCAATGGCACGTCCAATCACGTTGTTACCAAACAAGAACCATCCGAAATATCGATTCCAGAAATTCATCTCCCATGAATCTGGATACAGTCTCTTTCCTGGCTCATGTGTTTCTACTTGGGTTGGAGCGACAACTCCAAAGGTACCTTTGGCATTTGTAATTTCATTCCATTCTTGTTCATCCATAGGATTAACATAAGATCTGTTATCCCTTTTTTGTTCGGATGTATTGGGTGTTGTTACTTGTTTTTTCATTATTTTAATTATATATATATTTATGTGTATGTACAAAAAAAAAAAAAAAAAAAGAAATATTTATATAGTAAAGTTATTTAAAAAATATATTTTTATATATTTATATATTTACAAAAAATTATATGTAATATTACAGAAAATTAAATAAAAAAGAGTAGAGGACAAAAATAATTAATCCCTCATCATCAACAGTTATAAATAGTTTGGTAATTAAGAAAAAGAGAAATAAGAAAAAGAGAAATCAAGGTAGTATATCAATTAGATGCTCATATCCAACCAACAAATGTCCATAAATTAGAACTCTAATTTTTAATTGGTAAATTATTAAATTTCACTCTGTTTGGTGTGGTGTTTAAAGGGTGGTGTATCAACACAAAAAGATTTGTGAGAGGTTTGGTCATTGCATTAATAATTGCAACTCCTAATACATCGTGAATAACTTTTTTTTATTTCGATTACTTAAGACCAATCGGAATCAATCTCATTGTGTGGGGGGGGATCGTGTTGGCCCAACAAATATTTTAAGTTACTTAAAAAATATTAAATGCATTGTTTGCACTCCAAACAAAGAAACTCTTTGATATGGCACCTCTATGAAGGAGTCCATGGACTTTGATAAAAAAATCAATCACATCACTTCAACACAACACAGATGCCAAAAAAAAACTTTTTTAACACCCAGTGTTAGTAATTTAGCTCCACACAGTCAAAAAAAAAATCAAAAAAAAAACAACACATAAAGGAATGATCTTCAATCATTACTGCGTTGTGTACGAATAAAAATGTACAGCTCCGATGAAAATTTCCCCCATCATTATTATAATTATTTTTGCATATTAATACTTTAAAAATCTTTATACCTTTTGTCGTAATGATAGTGTAACTGAATGCCTCATTCAATCAAAAAAAAAAAAAAAAAAAACCACCTCTAAACTTTTTAGAAATACAATAGTAATTAATTGATTTATTTATATCTATCTATTTTAGAATTGTTCTTTAAATTTTGTTTTAATTAAAGTTGAAATCAAACACAGATATATTAAGATTACTGCGATTCACACAATTTTAATATAGTAGTGTAAATACGATTAGTTTTTGATCGCACCACATCTATCACCACAATTTTCATTTTCTCATAAGCAACACTTATATTGGGTCATTTTGTGTAACTTCAGCAATGTATCTCTTCTTATTTACTGTGTTACTATTTCAACACTTTTATCTATTTCATTTTAAACTCTACAAAAATCTATTAATACAATGAGTTAAAATAGTATATCTATATCAGTACTATGATAGATATAGTATGATTAAATAAAAAGTCTAATAGTATATCATAGTGCTAGTTCTTTTGTTTGTTTGTTATCCTTCAAAAGAAAAAAAAAAGAACTATATTACTATTTTTACACTTTTGATTAAGTTTCTTAATAAAGATTACCATGACATCATAACAAAGATACTTTGAAATAAAATAAAAGAAAAGATAAAGAAAAGTAAATAGTATTAGTCTATAGACTTTTACTAGTATTATTCAAACCGTTTAGAACATTGGATTTAGATTGCGGAATCAATTGTTTGGAGATCAACAGAATTGTATAAGCACAATCAAAAACCATGGGTATATTCGATCGAATAAAAGATTAACTAGTTGTTTTGTCGGTGGAATTGAATTCCGCGTGGAAGTCTTACCATCACCAAATTCCATTATCAAAAAATTGAGAAATTTCATTAAAAATTAATAACAGCTTGGATATTTTATGATTTTAAAAATATTTCCACCCTTTTTTTTACAAATATCTAAAAACTATTTTTAAATTGAATATTTTCATTTTTTAAAGTTATTTCTTACATCATCAAGAACATTAATACCAATGACATCACATGACAGAACCAATCACCCCCACACCTTAAAATTAAAAAAAAAAATAGGTGATTTTTTCACTTCAAAGAACCTCATTCACGCCAAACTAGTGTAATTTTTATTTTTTTTATTTTTAAAGAGTAGCGACCAGGGAATTCAATCATATAATTGAACATAAATTTCAGCATCATTTTTTGTTTTCATTAATTAAAAAAAAAAAAAGTAATTATTATTTTTAATTTTTAATTAATTTTATTTAATTGTGTGTTGTATGAATTGAGTCATTCAAGTTGTTTTGCACAGTCATAATATTTACTATATATATAAGGCAACCCACCCACATACCCAAAACCTAAACTTTCAAAATCAACATTTGCTTCCTATACTCCTCAAAAATAGCATCGATTAATTGAAAATCCAATTCACTTAGATTAAATTACTGGTATTAAATAGTTTGAAATTTTTTGTAAAAAAATATATAAATAAAGTTAAAAATAAATATTTAAATAATAAATAACCACCCAATTATTATTAATCAATCAGAAAAAATATCAGTATCTAAAAGGTAAGTTAATTTCAAATACATAAGCATCAAACACAGATAAAAATAGATTTTCAAATTTGAATTCTTGTTTTTAAGGAAATTAACAACTATCGATTGTTGGAAATTCCAACTCTCCATTCATTATAATCAACAACAACAACAGCAATATGCGTGTTATTGTTATTGCCAACCCTCTGCTTGCTTATTGCAATTATTTTCTATATATATAAGCACTATTGCAACATTTAAATCAGACTATAGTCAAAATAAATATATATATATATTAATATCAATAACAAGATAAAATCAATAATATCAGCATACCGCTACTACCACCACGCTAATATAATTACACCTTAATATTGGTAAACATTAAACAATAACAAAACGTTGTAACCACACACTCACACTCTCACACACAAAACAAAAATAACTTTTATAACAACATACATTCCTATATTATTATCTCATTTCCAATTTCCATTTTGGTATACCGGACAACCAACACACAAATCATCGCCATCATTAGGGTTGTGAAATTATTTTAAAATAATAAGTTGTAATAAACCAACTCTTTAACATCTATCCTATCTATTTAATTTTAATTTAATATTTTTTTTTATAGCTTTATCCTTTGAATTTTCTCTCTCTTCTCTCTCACTTTGACACACATTCACCAAAGTCAGTTGTGTGTGTTCAATTTCAAACTACTAGTTTACAATTTTACTTTTTTTGGTTATAGTTGATAGACAGTTGTATTTTTACACACAAAAGCATCTATGACTAATACTATTGTGTTTGGTGCCACTCTTAAGTGTGTGTTGTTTCCACTACTATATATTTTTTTGAATTATCACTTGTAAAAATCTTTACCATATATAGTAAAAAAAAGAAACAACAATAAAGACAGACATAACAATGATCTAAAATTATAATCAGTGCTATCTAATAATAAACAAACAAAAAATAACAGCCATTATAGATCAATCAACCAATAATATGTAATGCTTATGGTAATAAACCTCTTTTATTTTAAAAGCAAAAGAAAGATAGATGTAATGTTTGTTTAAGTGTGTGTTCTATTGGTATTGTTCTTTTTTTTTTTGTCTTTTGTATGCTTTATACAATCAAAATCGACATTGTAGTTGGTTAGTTATTTTAATCTCTCTATTTTCTCAACTCTGTTATTCGAATACACTATAAGCAACCAGAAAAAAAAAAAATTGTGTTTGTTGGCTTTGCAAGCAATGTGTGAGTGTGTCAGAGGTTGATGAATCATTGACATACTTCAGAGAGTGTTTTGTCTACTCACAGACAATCATAATTAAAAAACCAACCTTGTCAGATTAAAGATTAAAAAAAAAAAAGCAAATTTTTGATTTCAAACATGATCATCAACTCTTTTCACTGATGTGTTATTTTTTTTTCACACATAAAAGTGTGTGGTTTTGTTGGTGTGGTTCATCAGAGTGTGGTCTTGTTTTGGTGTTAATTATTTACATTATGTATAATTATAGGTGTGTGATGATTGTCGTGATATAAATAAATAATACATATATTGTGTCAGTGCTGATGTTGCTGTTTGATGAAATTAAACTAATAATAATAAATTTGTTTTTTTTTTAATATTTTTTTCTTCCTACTCTCTTTTCTTCACCACCCTTTTATATAAAATCAATTTTTTATTATTAAAAATAAATTACTAACTTAAGTTAACTTTGCTTTTAATCAACCTACCTATTTACTTTCAATCAAAACAACAACAAAACAATTTATTTATTTTATTTATTTTATTTATTTTCAAAAGTCAACAATAACAATAGCAATACTGTCAACTTTCAAGCACACAATATTAGAGTTCCTATTATACTATTTTACTACTTGCAACAACAACAGCAGCAACAATAACAATAACAACACAACCAATTACACAGGAATCTTCAACTGTAAATTGTTGGTTCATCTAATCTAAAAGTGACTGTTTCCAGGCAAACAGGTATGTATTCATGAATGAATCACACATTCCTTCCAAATTTATACTTTCAATCAATATCAAATCAAACAACATTGAAATTATTAAAATATCAAAGTCATTTATTTGGCTTGTTTAAGTTTGTGTTTGGTATAAAAAATAGGTGTGAAAGTTACCACCCTTTTATTTTTTAATTTTTTGATCTGTGTGTGTTATTGTTATAATTATTATTGTATGTGTTTTGCGGGTTATCAAACTTTAACTCAAACACACACACACACACACACATAGAGAGTGTGAGATAGATAGATTCACTACCTCCTGACTAATCTCAATACATTCTCACTCCATTTCCATATAGTTTATTTGGTTGTATTGAAATCTCTCAATTCTATTTGTTGTTTTATTTAAACTTGTGATTTTATAAATTTGATATTCCAAAAAAGCAAAAACACATACATATAAAAGTAACTTAACTACAACGGTGGTAACACTGTCAACAACAGCAATAAATATATCCATTTTATTAATCATCACTCGTCTTACACTTTTTAATTCTTTTCTATTGTCAAACACCAACCAACCACACAGTACCACAGCCACACCATATACAATCCACCACGACACTATCACCCTCCAGAATCAACATATATATATATATATATATATATATTTCATTAATTATATCTTTAACAACAACGACTTTTCCCCCATATGCAATAACAAAGAAAAAAAAACATAAAAGTGAGTGTGTGAAACAACAGTTTACTTATTTTCTTTATACACTATCTTTTTTTTTTTTTGTCATTAACACCTGTTCCACCACGTTCCCATATCACTATTACGATCTATATGTGAGTGTGAGTGTTAAAGTAGAAAGAGTGTGTTTTGTGATAAAGAGAAAAAGTAGAACAAAGAAAAGAGTGAATTATCTATCAGCTGAACTCACACACTATAGTGAAAAACAAAGCAACAGCAACAAACAAACAACCAAATACTTGTAAACTTCTAAATTTTGTTTTCTTTAAAACGAACCACCTCTATACGATAACAATTCATTAGCACCAAACAAGTTCTATAAAATATATAAATACATATATTTATTGGTGATTTCGATATCAAGTTTATATAATTCCAAACACCAAAGTAAATTTACTTTACTGTCAAACAAAAAGAAAAAAAAAAACATTGTACCCCGTACTGTTTCCACCCGTGTTCTTGTCTAAATTATTGCTTGTTGTCAACAATATTAAATAATCACTAATCAAGCAAAATAAAGCAACAACAGAATATTTAAAATATTTATTTTTTGTTATTTATTTATTTTAATAATAATAATAATAACGCCAGAAAAAGATTAGTTATAAATAGAGTGAACAGACAAAACATATTTAACACCAAAAAACCAACCATCCAAAATATTTACTATTTGTAGTTGTTTGTCACTTGTTACTTCAACTTGCAACAACAACAGCAACAACAACAACCGTAGTTACTTATTTAATTTATTATATTTCTCTATTTATTAATAATTATATAATTATAAACTAATTTAAAAACACTTTAATCACAACAAAAACAATAATATCATTATTTATTCTTATTTTCGACTATTCACAAATAAACAAACAAAAACACCACTTTTCTAATTCCACTTTGTTTGTCAAAATCCAACTCTTTAATCACTTGCAACAACAACCAAATTAGTTGTAGTTATACTATAGTCTTTATCTATCTTATCTATCACTTTTATAAAATCACATTTTCATATCAATCACATAAACCTAAAAACTAAATTTGTATAAAAATCTTTCTATAAAATTATTATTATTATTATTATTATTATTATATTTAATTATTTATTTATTTATTTATTTTTTTAAAAAAAAATTAAAACTTATTTATTTAATATTTTATTATTATTACTTATATAAACAAAACAAACAAACATATAATTATAAGTTATAAATTTATCTCTGATATATTAATAATCATCATTTACTATAAGCCACAACATTTCACAAAATCTTGCATTGTGCCACTTTGTTTGTTCAAGAATAAAATAAAAACAAAAATCAACAAAAATTAATTTTATTCAATATTTCACCTAATTTTCACACAATTGTCTGTCTAAACTCAAAAACCTAAAAAAAAACCTAAAAAAAAAAATATTGTCGAAAAAAACTAACAAATTTATTCTTGGTTGTTTATTCCACTAAAAGCAAAGTTGTTTTGTTCTGCACATTTCTTGAAGTGTTTTTTTCATTCTTGTTTCTATCCGACCAAAAATTCCCAACTTTTTACAAAAACATTAATTGAGTCATTGTGTTCATCCTCCAAAACCAAAAAAATCACCAAAAATTATACCCCCACACCACACATTTTTTTTTTCAACTTGAATTCTCACATTTGTTCCAATAATTTTAATTTTTAAAAATTTTATTTTTTTATAAAGTTTTTACTTTTCGACAATCACAAATATATTAAGCAACTTCAATTTAAAATTTATTTATACTCAGATCTTCTGACCGACAACTAATCATAATTAATTATTTATTTCTATAAACAAATTATATAAATATAGTAATAATATTTATATAGTAATTTTTTTTACATATATATACATACATACAGAGAAAAATGCATTTATCATTTATTTTGAATCCAACTTCTACATCCAACATCGGTTGTAGTAATAATAGTAGTATATCTAATTGCAAAACAGATATAGTAGTAACTAGCACGTGTAACCAGCAGCAACAGCAATCATCATGTCAATCATCTTCAACAACACCAACCAAATCTTTTTTAAACGATCTTTCAAATAATAATAATAATAATAATAATTTTAATAATAATAATGAGTTTAATAATAATAATAATGATAAGTTTAATATAGTAAATAATTTAAGTAATAGCAACAAGTTAAATCCAAATTATAATCATTTCAACAACTCATATAATCATCATTTCACAAACTTTGACACTGCACTATCACCACTCGACTCTCTTTCCGAAATTTCCTGTTCATTCGAATCCTCACCATACTTCCCACACTCACCAGTCACCTTTTCACCGATTTCACCGATCTCACCAAGGTCACCGAGAGCCGCTGCTTTTTCACCAAGAACACCAATCTCTTCACCACCACTTTCACCAATGTTCTCGCCTTCGTCACCATCGAGCTCAAAGGCCAACGAGTCAAGCCAAGTAGTTCCAAAGAAGGAAAACAGCATCAAGAAGGCTCGTAAGTCCTACGAAGTCTCAAAGAAGCTCGAGATCCTCGCCGAGAAGGACAAGTTTGGTATGGCATTCGTCGTCGACAAGTACGAGATCTCAAGATCAATCATCTCCAGATGGCACTCGAATGCCGACAAGTACCGTGCCTTCCAAAAGAAGAACCTCAAGAAACTTCACAAGGGTCCAAAGGCTTCGTTCTCTGAGGAACAAGAGCGAGTCATCATCAGCAGAATCGAAGAGTACAAGCAAAAGAACCCAGGTGAAGTGGTCAACGGTGAAACCATCAAGAACATTGCACTCCAATTCTCAAATCAACTTGGAAACAACAGTTTCAAGGCATCTTCTGGTTGGTTAGAAAATTTCAAGAATCGTTGGAATCTTCGTAGTATTTAAAAGTAATACCAAGTATCAACAACTTCAACAACAATATCAAACATCATCATAAACAACACAAAATAATTAGCAAAGAAGCTTTCACATATATTATTCTCTCTTCAGCAACTTGACCGATGAGGGAGATCTGTTTTCAAACCTCTTAATATCAATTTTTTAAAATCAAAAAGAAAAAAAACAACAGAAAATCACCAAAATCCATTTTAATAGGGTATTAGATCATTATCCTAATTTTCAATTAATTGTACAAAAAATAATCATTTAAATTTAAATAAAAAAAATCAATCTTTATATGTTTATATTGTTAATTCGGTAAAACAAATCAAAAAAAAAATATGCTAATTTACAATCTTATTTATTTTTATTTTTTTTCTATTTTTAAAATTCTTAAAATCGAAAAGAAAATAATTCATGAGTGAAAAGCAAAAACAAAAAAATGACTCAAACTAAAAATAGATGTGATGATGAAGTTTAACATCATCATGAATTCTGATCATTTTAAAAAAATTTTCTTTTTTATTTTTTTGAATTTTTCTTGAATTTTATTGTAAAAATAACAAGTAAAATGTAAAATTTTAGATGGTGATAATGTTTGATTTTATTGATTTATTTATTATTACGGTGATTACTATTGTTATTGTTATATATATAGGTGGTATATATTGGTTTATACATGTTCCAGACAAAATGATAGGTTTGTTTGTGGATGGTTGGTAGGTGGGTATTTGAGGGATGATGATATTTGTTTCTAAAGTAAATTACAATTCTTCTTCTTTTTCTTGGATTTATCCAATTTATTGTCACCTTTCAAATCCTTTCTAATCTCTCTGACCAATTCATAGAATGCTTCTTCGACGTTCACTCTGCTCTTTGCTGAAGTTTCCATGAAAGGACAAGAGTAGGATTTAGCCATTTCTTGACCTTCGGTAGTCGATACTTGTCTTTCATTATCTAAATCACATTTATTTCCAACTAAAATCTAAACAACAAAAATAATAATAATAATAATATTATTATATATTAGAATTTTAATGTTCAATGTTATACACTATTTTTATACATGAATACTACTTACCATTGGTACTCTATCTTTATCTTTAACTCTTAGAATCTGTTCACGGAATGCAGCGATTTCGTCAAATGACGATCTAGAGATGATCGAGTAGACACATAGAAAACCTTGACCGGTTCTCATGTATTGATCACGCATTGCTGAATATTCCTCTTGACCCGCAGTATCCAAGATATCTAATAGACAGGTTTCATCATCGATTGTCACTTGTTTTCTATAGCTATCTTCAATGGTTGGATCATATTCATCAATGAAATGATTTTGAATCAATTGAATCGTAAGTGCTGATTTACTAAAATTATTAATAATTATATATTTAAACAAATTAAATTAATTTTTGAATTAATTCCCAAAAATAATAAAATTTATTATTATTTTTTATATTATAGTTTTAAAATACAAAGACTTACCCAACACCTCCACCTCCAACACAGACCAATTTGTACTCAGTCATAGTTTTATTATTATTTAATTTTTATGTGAAAAAAAAGAAAAACAAAAAACTAATATACTTTAATTTTATTTATATTATTATTATTGGTTATAATTATTTTATCTATCTATCTATCTACTTTTTGAAGTTGAAAGTAATAAGAAATCCAAATAATCAAAAAAAAAAAAACACTAATAATTTAATTATATGATGCTTTTAAAAATATTGGCTAAAAAGTTATATTTATAATTAATTTATTGATATATATAGTATTTATTTATTTATATATATATGTTGATGTTATTGGTAGTATTTTGAAGTTATTATTTAAAATAGTAAAAAAACAAAAAAAAAAAAAACAACAGAATACTTATTCTATTTAAATCATAATCCAGCAAATAAACAAACATTAAAAAAAAAACAAATAACAACAATAACATTAAGTGTTTCTTTTTATTGATACATTGTTATTTTATTGTTTTCTCATCATAACTGTATGATTGATCTGTGTGTGTGTGTGTGTCTGTGTGTTAATTTTGTTATTGTTTTTGTTACTCAAATGTGTGTTAAAACCTTAATCAACCCTACTTATTTCTTTCCTTCAAAGTTTGACAACAAACAAAATCAATCACACTTGGCATTTGTCATTTAAAAAAAAAAAAAAAAAAAAAAAATAAAAACGAAAGTTTTCTCATTGTCCTGTTTTCGTTTTATTTTGTAAAAAAACACCATTTTATATCTATAAATACATATCTTTGAATCTTGTTAAGCTTTTGAGATATATTTAAAAAACACAACACAGCACAATACTCAAAAACAACACTACTCAACAATACAAATTTAAAAACAACTACAACAACTATAACAATAACAAACAAAATATTATTATTAACACAACTCACACACATAACACACCACACGAGTTGATGATTTGAATTTGAATTTGTTGGATACTAGTTTAGTTTAGTTTAGATAGATCGATAGATAGATATAGTTTTTATTTTTATTTTTTGAAAAAGAGAGAAAAGAGAATAATCAATTAATAAAACGATGGATGTTAGATTTTCAATTCCAGGTGTGGTCGTTAGAAGATATATCAATGACATAAAGGGTAACGGTTTGTTTGCAGAGAAATCATTCAAGAAGGATGAGATTATATTTTCAGAGAGTCCAATGTTTGCGGTGCAACACGTCTACAATAGACCGATTGCATGGACCTGTGGAAACTGCTATAGATTCTTGGGTTCGCTCAACCGTCAGATCCAACACTACCGCACCGTTTTCGGAGTCAAAGAAAAGACAGAGTTGGTAGCATTCCCAGAGGGCACCAACCAATACGAGTTCAAGACCGGTCTCTACAGCTGCTTTGCCAAGTGTGGTGAGAAGTACTGCTCGGAGGAATGTCGGAAGACCGCCTTTGACAATCATCACCAGATTCTCTGTGTCGGTGAACACACCCCAGAGACATCGGCACTCTACCAATTCAAGAAGCACGCCATCGACAACAACGAACTCTTTTTCTTGGCGGCACAGGTAATCTCTTTCCTGGTGTGTCGTGTCCAGCAGTTGCACAACGACCAGAACGGCGTGCGTGACATTATCTGCGCAGAACTCTTCAAACAATATACACATCGTGCATGGTGGGACGTCCGTATCGACGGAAACTTCACAATGGAGGAGGCCAAGCGTTGGTCTGCCGACTCACTCGCACTACTCCAAAAGGCAATGATGCCCATTCTCACATCACATCCAAAGACCAACGACCAAAAGTTCATTTCCACCATTTTGAGTATGGATTTCTACTCTCATCTGTTGGGTATGCTCGAGATGAACGACAACTCGATCGGATTCAAATCGCCACTCGAACAATTTAGAAAGAATTTAAGCGCGATCAACTCACCGGAGCAATACAAACAGCATTCCAATAACGTTATGAAATCAGTTATCGAATCATTTAGACAGTATCACGCCGAACAAGAAGATGAATGCGACGACGACGATTGTGATCACGATCATGCAATGGAGCAAGACGGACACGACCACAAAAGCGGACACGGACACAGCAGTCACGACGAAGAAGATATGATGGAAGACGACGATCACATGCACGACGAAAAAGCTGAGGGAGAAGAGGAAGACGATGAAGAAGTATTCCCAGGTTTCGATGGATTCGGTGTTTTTGGACTACAGGCTATGATCAATCATAGTTGCGTACCAAATTGTTTAGTAGTTTTTGAGCAAGGTAGCAGTTTGGCTTATATCAAAGCACTTCGCGACATTGTTCCAGGCGAAGAACTGTTCCACTCTTACATTGAAGAGTCAGCACCATTCGAAGAGAGATCTCAAGAGTTGGTTACCTATGGATTCAATTGTGATTGTCCTAAATGTACTTCTGAACGACCAAACACAACAAGTAGCAGCACCAGCAGCACTACCACCTCCACAACAAGAAAATAATAATAGCATATAAATTAAATATTTAATTTTAACTTAATTAAAGTGTTTATTTATTTGAAATCATATGTTGTTCAAACAGTATTAATATTCAACACGCCACTTTTTTGAAATGATATTTTTTATAAATTCAACAAAAAAAATTTTAATTTTTAATATGCCTAGTTTAGAAACCACACACTTTTAAACACACACACACAATTTAAAAATGATTAATATGTTATACGTATATATAACAATTGCAATCATAATCGGAGAGTGTTTGTTTGTCATTCATCAATAAATCAATCAATCAATCAGTCATCCATCACCACTAAAGCAGAACAGTTCTTTTACATGACACCAAAAAACATTACAAAACCAAACCACACACATACAGTTAAATGAAACACATACATTCAAATATATTTAATTTTTGTGTGTGTGTGTTTGTGTTTTTGTGTGTTGTATGTATTTACACAAAAAAGTCATACTATATTATTGTATGTTTGATAACAATAGTTGATTGCATGCCAAATATGAGAATTCGGTAGACAGTTTAAGCATGGTGATTCAGAAAAGTTTCTTATATTCTTTATGGTAATCAAAATTTGAATAATCACAACAGATGTTGCAATATAATTAATATATTAGTTATTCGGTGCAACAATAGGCAAATAAGACTATCTATTTAGGTGATCACCTTTATCTTTATTTTTTATTAATTTTTATTTTATAACCTATACAAAAAACCAATTGATAAACTTTAAAAATTTAATATAAATAACCAAAATCATCATCATCATCACCATCAATCAATCAATTCATAATTATAAATAATAAATACAAATATATAATCAATACTTCCAATTTATTTATTAAAACAAATAAAATCAATAATTTAATTTATCTATCTATTATTTTAAATTTTTAAATTCTCTTCTATCTATTAAATTATTTATTGTAAAACTATCTATCTATAATAAATTCATAATTTAATCAAATCAAATTTATAAATATACTTCTCATAATATATATAAATATTTAAAATAAATAGAGAAATAGTAAAATGAGAATATTCTATTCACTTTTATTATTTACAACTTTATTGGTAATTGTAAAATCACAAAATGGATTATCACCATGTGGTGTATGTATTAAAATAAAATAAAATATAAATATAAATATTTAATTATCAATTATTAATTTAACTTTTAAATATAAAAATTATAATAATCATAATTTTTTAGGAAGGATCTGCAATTTGGAATTCCGATTATTCAGGTTGGACAGATGGTAGAGGTTTGTGTGGTTTGCCAACTCCACCGAGTGGTGTTGTAGTTGCAGGTGTCAATAGAAACTATTTTACAATGACTTCGGGTTCGGGATTGTGTGGAACCTGTTTCAAGTTGACCGGTCCAGCTGGTTCTGTCATTGCCCAGGCTGTCGATGTCTGTGATGCCACTGCACTCTGCACTCAGACCGACCACGCACATTTCATCTTGTCGCCAGCCGACTACAACGTCATCTCTGGAAACAGCACTGCCACCCTCTACAACGTCGGCTACCAAATGATTACCTGTCCAAATGAAGGTGATATCACTGTCACTCCGAAACCAGACGGTAGTGGAAGTTACTCATACTACTTCAGTTTGACACTCTCGGGATTCTCCGTGCCAATCAAGAGCGTAGAGGTCACCGTCGGTGGAACTTCCGGTGCCTATCAACAGCTGAAATACCAAAGCTCTCTCTGGGTATTCAATAAGAACTCGATCGCTTTCACATTCCCAGGAAAGGTTAGAGTCACTTCACAGACTGGCCAACAAATTGTATACTCCATGACAAATGGTGCAGCCAAGATGATTCCAAACTTTGATCAAGCTCCGCTCTACGCTGACTGCGGTACTCCAGTCGCCCCACAGTACATCTACCAGGATTCGTTGGCTCAAGGATGGACTGACGCCAGCTGGGACTTTGTCGAGAAAAACTACAACGACAACTCTGCTGCTTCCGGTTCAAACATTGCCATTGGTCTCTCTGCTTATGGTGGTCTCAAGATCCAATCGTTAACTTCGTTCTCCACCGCCAATTTGGCAACTCTGGAATTCTCTGCCAAAGCCAATGTTAGCAATTCACAAATTCTTATTTTCCTTCACAAGGGTGCCAATTTCAATGTCACCGTTGGAACGGAGTGGGCAAACTACAACGTTACACTCGCCAGCTTGTCTGCCGCAGCCACCGAAACTGCAATCGCCTTCCAAAACTTCCAAGGATCCTCGCTCCTGCTGATGGTTGACAATATCAAGTGGGGATACTCATCGAATGTATCAACATCTACCAGCACCAGTGGTACCGGTCTCGTCACCATGCCACCAGTCACCAAGCCACCCTCGACCACAGCATCCGGCTCCGCTACAACCACCTCTGTCGTCACCACCGCTTCGACCACCGCACAGGTCACCACCACTCGTGGACCATCTGGAACCACAGCAGGTGGAGACGGATCATCGGTATCCGACAGTGAGAACACTGGAGGTGACAAACATGTCGACAGTTCATCATCAACCAAACTTACAATTTCGACAATCACCTTATTATTAATTTCAATAATTTTATTCTAAAATAATTAATTTAATTAATTAACTCATTTCCTTTTTACACAATAATACTACATAATCTATCGATATATATATTTAAATAGATTAATAAAATTAATATATAAACTTTAGTGTGATCAATAAAAAAAAAAAATAGGGTGAAAGTGTTTGATCATTATTATTTTACACTCCCAAAAATATTATTATATCACATGAATATTATTTATTAGTTTATTATTTATTTATTTATTTGTTTATTTATTTGTTTGTTAAGTTATTTCCAAGGGATTTACAACCCGATCTACAATTTCCATCAATAAATAAAATTAAGATACGAAATACTGACTTCTAACACTCAAACAATAAAACAGATATACAAATTCACTTTATTATGGTGTTTATAATTACATCACCACAAATATAGTAAAAAATACATCACCACCACACCACTATATATCAAACATAACAGACAGATACATCATCATCATCATCAACAACATCAATAAAGTTGATTGTTCCAACCCATATGACATCTGTTTAATTCTAACGATTGGGTAATCAAATTCAGCTTGATGAATTTAATTTAATGAATATTTATAAAATGGAATGCAACAAATAATAATCTACACATTTCATATTTACCTTATATATATATATATATATATATATATATATATATATTTATAAGTTTGTGGGATGTGTTTTGTTAAGAGTAGTTGGTGTCAAACTCATGAGGTCAACAGACAGTCAGACAGACAAACAGACAATCATATCAATATATTATATATCTGAAAATAAATATTATTTGTGCAACTACTCAAGAAAGAGGTGTCTGTAGGAATTAAATATACAACTAAAATCTGTATTTATGATGTTAAAAAAAATATGATTAAAATGATCCTCAAATCAATTGTTCTACTCTCTTATACTCGCCAATCAGTATATCAACAACAGACAAAGTAAATAATCACTCTTACATTATTTTTATTTGATTTAATAATGATTTCTCTACCTCTTTCTATACAATATATTTAAATTCTAAATTCTATAAAAAATAAAATAAGACAATAATAAAATAAAATAAAAAGTACAATTTAGAAAAAATCAGATAATAATGTATTTATTAAAATTTAATATTTGTATATTATTGTTATTATTCTTAAAATTGGTTGAATCTGATCCAATTGCATTAGGTCCATGTGGAGTATGTAAAGATTAAATAAACTGGAAATTGCAAAAAAAAATAAATAGATGGAAAAAAAAAAAACTAAATCTAATTATTTATTATATCTATATCTATAGACTGGATCAGCAGGACCAACAGAACAATTACCTAGAGGACAATGTAATTTACCAGTACCAACTGGAATTAGTTTGGCATCGGTTAGTTTTGGATTCTATTCTAATGGTGCGAGATGTGGTGAATGCTATCGTTTGATTGGTCCGAGAGCGTCGATTGTCGTTATGATCATCGATGTTTGTAACATGGGCGAATCGTGTCACCAAAACGATCGAGCACACTTTGTTGTGACAAACAGTGATTTCTACAAGATTGCACCTTCCAATCAGACAGCGATGATCTATTCGCTCGGCTACCAGGCGGTCAGTTGCGAGCATCCCGGAAACATCAATGCCTCTTTTGCCGGTGGTGGCGAGGGTTACAACGACTATGCCTACTACTTTCGTGTATCGCTCTGGGGAAACACAGTCGGTATCAAATCGGTACAGGTTATGGGTTCAGGAATGCAAGGTTTCCAGAAACTCCGATATGAAAACGGTGGTTGGACCTGGAACAAGTTGGACGACGCCATCAAATTCATTTTCCCAGGAACCCTACTTATCACTGCCAATGACATGGAAACGGTCATCTATGACTTTAACAAAGCAGTGCCATTCAAGGCGTACGATACTCACAAACAGTTCACACCTGCTCCCACCGTGGAGAACACAACAATCTGCTCAATGGGACTGGTGCAACAGTACGTCTACGACGACCACGTTCTCTACGGCTGGGAATCTTACAACAGTTTCAATATCACGGAATATACAGTTGACGACACTGACGATCCGTATTCCGGTCAATCGAATATCAGAATCACATTGAATCCAGGCGGTGGACTGGCATTCTCGAGAGACGGTGGTTTCGCAACGAAATACCTGAAATCATTTAAATTCGCTGCGAGAGCCTCCGAGCAATGCGCAATGAAAGTGTTCTTTAGTAACACGGGAATTCACAACCAGGTGGTGTATCTCAGTACCGATTGGAACGCCTTTGAAATACAGGTGAGCGACTTGGCACCAGAGGATATCGAGTACTCGATCTCGCTGTTCAACAACCAGAACAAGCTGATAACATTCTACATCGACGACGTTCAGTGGTCACTGACTTCCGACGCACCGGAATCGCCGCCAGTCAACAAGTTCACGACATCGTTCAATCCGACCACCATGGGAACCACACATTTCTCAAAGCCGTCGAGCGAAGGAGGAACAGGCCAGATCGTACTCACCGGTATTAGTGGCGCACCAAGTGGAACCGGCACATTAGCTGACCTTCTTACACTCTCACCAACCACTAAAGGCAGTAAAACCAATATCAAAGGAGACGACAGTAGTAACAACAATAACAACCATTCAAACAACCATTCAAATTCTACATTTAAATCAATATCATATTTATCAATATTTATTACTATTATTTTAAATTTATTATTATTATTATTATTTTAAATAATTAAATTATAATTAAAAATAAACCTTTTTGTAAAATAATAAGAAAATATTCTTTTAATTTCGTATCATCATTCTGAATCAAACCGACAAAGATCATTAATTTTTATAAAAAATTCAAAGATTAGATTGATTTGCATTGTTTTTGGGTGGTTTTGAAAAAAAAACAAAAAAATAGTTTGAAAAGTTTTTTAATGGCTAAACAGGGCTTTACCCCCAGGAGTGTCATCATTAGAATTTCAAGAAAATTCAAAAGAAAAAGGGTTTTATTAAACAGTTTCCTCAATATAAATTAATTAAATATCCTATTGGATTTTTTAAAATAAATGGGAAAAAGAATAAACCTACCGAGGATAAGTAGGTTCTGTATAATTTTTAAAAACTTTACAAAATTCATAGATTGTTTTTTATTTTTATTTTTATTTTTTAATAGATATTACAGATATACAATTACATATATATATATATATATAAATATATTATTACTACTATAATATTAAGTCAATTACATTACATTTTTTATCATTTACAAAACAAAAGTTTATAACATTGTATAATTATCATAAAACATAAATAAATTTATAAGAAATGGATTCAAATATTGATACTACACCTGGTTATTTTGGTGAATTTGGAGGTGCTTTTGTACCAGATGCTTTGAAGTTAAAGGTCTTGGATAGATTAGAAGCAGAGTTTCTAAAGTATAAGGATGACCCAGAGTTCAATAAGGAATTAGAGTTCTACCAAAGAGAGTATGTCGGAAGAGAGAGTCCACTTACATTGGCAAACAATCTTACAAAGCAAATCGGTGGTGCCAAAATTTATCTTAAACGTGAAGGTAAAGTACAAAATAGATATTGAAAATTGATTAAATAAATTATTATTATTATTATTGTTATTAACAAGATATCTTAAAGATTTAAATCATACCGGTTCACATAAGATTAATAATGCAATTGGTCAAATCTTACTTGCCAAGAGAATGGGTGCAAAGAGAGTTATCGCTGAAACTGGAGGTAATATTACAAGATTCTTATTTTTCTAATTTTCAATATGTTTTAGATTAACTCATTTCTCTTTATTTTCTTTGAATTATTATTATAGCTGGTCAACATGGTGTAGCTACTGCAACTGCATGCGCTGTTTTCGGTATGGAATGTATTATTTATATGGGTAAGCTTGACACTGAAAGACAAGCTTTGAATGTTTTCAGAATGGAATTGTTGGGAGCAAAGGTTATCTCTGTTGATAAGGGTCAAGGTCGTTTGAAGGATGCTGTCGATGCAGCCTTGGGTGATCTCCTAGAGAACTTTGATCACACATTCTACTTGCTTGGTTCCGCTGTAGGTCCACATCCATACCCAACCATCGTGCAATACTTCCAATCGGTTATCTCCAAGGAGTCCAAGAAGCAGGTTCTCGAGAAGGAAGGAAAGTTGCCAACTGCTGTCGTAGCTTGTTGTGGTGGTGGATCGAATGCAATCGGTGCATTCCAAAACTACATCGATGAGCCATCGGTTCGTTTGGTTGGTGTTGAGCCAACTGAAGCTGCCTCCATCTCTCAAGGTGTTCCATTTGTTATCCATGGTTTCAGATCGATGACTTTGATCGACGATAACGGTGTACCCAAGCCAACCTACTCGATTGCATCCGGTTTAGATTACCCGTCGGTATCTCCAATTCATGCTTATCTCAATCAAACTAAACGTGCCGAGTATGCAACCGTCTCTGGTGAAGAAGCACTCGAGGCATTCCAAACCTTATCTAAATGCGAAGGTATCATCCCAGCATTGGAATCATCCCACGCTGTTGCACACGCTATTAAATTAGCCAAACAATTGAAACCAGATGACATCGTTGTCATTAATATTTCTGGTCGTGGTGATAAGGATGTCGAGCAAGTTTCAAAAATGTTGTCTGCCAAACAATAAATATATATAATATGTACAAATATACATTGGAATAAATAAATGTTAATTATTTTTTTAACTTTGTTTTTACTTTTATTTTTAAAAAAAAACAATGATATTCTATTTTGAAAGACAGGAATTGGAATTTAAATCTTTGAAGTAGTTATAGATTTCAAATTTCTTCCTATTTGTATTTTTTAATAAATAATCTAATTATAATCTTTCTTCTCAAAAAAGGAATGATCTATCTTTATTGATTATTTAAAAATATCAAAAAAACAATTAGTTTAGTTTTTAAATTTTGACACGAATAAAAATTACTTTTTTTTTAAATCAAGTTATGCAAACACAGTTGTTTAATAAATTATTTAATAATGTAGTTTTAAGATCTCTTGTCTTTAGTTATGTCAAGATTATACATAAACAGAGATCATTGTGTGGATATAGTTGGTCAAAACTAGTGGGTCATCCTCATTTGCTAGTACAATACAACTATTTAGATCAGTTATTGACTCATTGGTTCGACATTAGCTATTCAGATCCACACTATCATTATAAACGTTATCTAGTGGATTTCGATATCTTTTGGTTGGTCGAAACCGCCGTTATATTCCGCCGTTTGGAGATTATCAAATACATTGTAGAGGTTAAACAAAATGATCTATCTAAACATTCTATTGCATTGGTAGAGACTGCTGCCAAACATGGAAACATGGAGATCATCCAATACATTCAATCAAAAGTAGATCCTAAAGTACCAACACCCTATAGATTGTTGCTGTGTAATGCATGCACTACTGATAATCTCGAGCTGATACAGTCACTCTCTGAGAAGGTGTCGCCAAGCGAAGACTATTCCTTCGGTTCTACCCTACCGATAACCAATGCAGTCAAACACGGTAACCTAGAGATCATTCAGTGGTTATTGCCGCGACGATTGAATGACAAGAAGTCACATCCCTATAATCTACTGGCGGCAGCACTGATCAACAAACACTACCACGTTGCCGATTGGTTGCATGACAACGGATATCTATTCAATACTGTACCGCTAGGTCTGGCATTCAACGGTCTTACACCAAGCCAACATCTCTTTGAATGGCTGAGAAAATCAAAGATTAAATTTGAGTACTCTGGAAATGATCTGGATTTTGCTGCTGGCGGACCGTCTCTTGATCTCGTCCGGTGGATTCATTCAAATACCACATGCAGCTGCTCAAAGAATGCAATGTACAACGCATTCTATAACTACCGGTTCGATGTATTTAAGTGGTTGCATGAGAATCGCACTGAAGGATGTAAGCAAATCAGTGGATTCTCTCGAAATGTTCCCGTCGATCAATCGACACCACTCGAAATGGTGAGTTGGTTTCATCATAATAGGAGTGAAGGTTTCACCGCACTGGCGATGGACAGCGCTGCCAGATTCTCACACGACATCGTGAAGTTCCTACATTCCAATAGAACAGAAGGATTCACAGGAGATGCACTGCTATACTCGATTGTAAATAATAATCTAGAGACATTCAAATTCCTCAGGGAGAATTCAAATTCGGTTGAAATTCCTGTGTATCTATGTGATGATGCTTGTGGACTTGCGAGTTTGGAGATGATCAAGTATCTACACGAAAATTGTACACAGCCAAATCTCTGGAGTTTCAGAGCGATGGACAAGGCAGTACAAGAAAACAGAATGGAAGTAGTCCGGTTTCTCCATGAAAACAGAACGGAAGGCTGCTCCTACAGAGCATTGAAATATTCAATTCACTTTCAGAGTTTAGAGATGGTTCAATACCTGTTAGACAACAAACTAGTTGAATTCAATGAGGATATCATATTGAATGAATTTCAAAAAGGAAATCCACCGTTTAGAAACATTGAAATGCTTAATTGGCTGATAATGCACCCCAATTTCAATAGACAAAAGTTGATCGATAAAGCAGTATTTCATTTTAGCCAAGGTCTAAATTGTTTCTTAAAAGATTACGACATAGATATAATTGATTATTTTGATATATTTAATATGTATAAAGAATAAAGAAATGATAACATTTTCAAAAAAAAAAAAGGTAAAAGAAATAGACAATAAAATATTATTATTATTATTATTATTATTATTATTATTATTATTATTATTATTATTATTATTATTATTATTATTATTGTTTATAGTTATTATTAAATAATAAGTTGAGTAGAATTAGGATAGAATAGATCAATACTCAGAAAGATTCAATTAACTTTATCTTAATTGTTAAAGTATTCTACATTTAAAATCATATAAAGATAAATGTTATTATCTATATACATTAAAGATCAAATAAAGTTAAAACGTAAATCTTTAAAATATTTATTAACTTTGTTTTTAATGTATTTAAAGTATTTAATTATACTTATTGTTTGAATATTATTCGTATATGAAAATATAAATGGATATTCAAAATAATTATTTTCTTTTTTTGGACAATATATTAGATTAATGTATTTTCCAATTTTATTCCTACAATGAAATATACACCATTATCTAGATATTCATCCGGATATATTCATCCAGATATAGATAAATTGAGAACTACAAGAGAATAGAAAAAATATGAAATCAAATTCTGAAAATCACAAAACATGTAAATTGATCTACTACTAAAAATATATATATCTTTAAAATTTATAATAAACACAGTAAATTACATCCAAAGCCAAAAAGTGTGGTGAATTGAAGATTTAAATAAAATTCTAATATTGTTAATTATTAATTTCCCGATTAGAAAGAATGGTTGCAAACAATAGATTAATATTTTTCTATATTAATTTTCAACAAGCTGAATACTCTATTACTATAAGGAGTTATCTTATACTTAATTAGGTTTTAATATGTATAATTAATTTCAATGGATATGTCATATGTTGTCTCACTGTGATAATGTAATAAAGTTAAATAAAGAATAAAGAATGAATTATAATATTTAATATCTTTTTGTACTTTACAAAATTTAAGTTTAAAAATGAGTATATAATAAGTTATAATATTTATCTTTATTTAAAGTTGAAATAAAGTAAAATTTGAATAACTTTTAAAGTATTGGAATAGATCTAACAGTAGCTGCGTGTTGATGATCAACAGTATAAAGTGGTGGCACGTAGTTGGAAGGATTAAGATTCCAATCAGATTTAAATTTACGCGTTAATGCAGAGCAATCTACAGTGAATCCTTGGGAGATTGAATTAGCGATCGTGAAGTTAAGCTTGTAGTAATTGGCATTTTTAAGATGTGAATTCAAAGTTTATCAAATTTTCCAAACTTTAAGTCTAACCGCATGCGGACAAAATTTTTTAAAATATAAAAAATATCAAGTGTGAGGATTGAACTCACGACCTTAGGATTATGAGACCTACGCTCTGCCAGCTGAGCTAACCTGATTGGATGATAAAAACAATTTCTTTGAATTATATATATTTCTTTTTTTTTTTATTATTAAAAAAAAAAAGATAATTTTTTTTTCTAAAATTTTCTGGGGAGAATGATAAATATTCTTCTATTTATTTGAGAAATAAATGATAATGTTGAAATTATTTGTATATCCATCAAAAGATCTTAATATTTATTAAATGTAAAAAAATGGTGCAAAGTTTTATTTATCCAAAGCAAAAATAGTTTTAATAAGTTAATATGTTCAAGTTTGTATTAGATAAACTTGGTGTAAATCAACAACAGCAGCAACAGCAACCATCAACGCAGCAGCTGAAACATAATAACAATCAACAACAACAACTACAACCACAAAACAAACAAAAAGAAAACAATGATATAGTTGATGATCTTTCACAATTCCTTCATTCAATGGTAAGTATGATGAATCAAACGTTTTGATTTATTTGATTGATGTGCTAATTAGCTTGAAATACAACTATATATAAATAACAAATAGAATGTAAATAAATCACAGAGTGATTTAGATTTAATGTTGACAATCATTAGTGATAGAGTTAATAAATCAGAGTATTTAGATGCATACAACAGGTTGAAACAATTGGTGTTTATCACGATCGATCAGTTGGTCGGTGGTGCTGTCAATGCTAGCACTGACAGCGCTACCTATAATCAATTACAGAACAGCTATCAACTGCCATCCATAAACAAACTAGAAGATCTCTACCAATTGGTCAGAATGAAATCACAAGAAATACTGAGAGGCAATCAAGATTCAAAAGTAATCTTAGAGCTATCATCCATTCTATCTATATTACAACAAGTTAGATATTTATTATTAAATAGAAAATATATACAACAACAACAACAACAAATTCAGCAACAATCATCAACTAATGATAATGATAATAATAAGAAAATAGTTAATCAACAAATTGAAATGCATGAAGAGGATGAAGGATTACAAATCTATTGTCAATATCAATCAAAGATGATACAGATGGAGATTCAACCGGTTGTAAAGGATCTGATTCGGACCAACCAGATGATGTTGACCAACAATCTTACAAACACTATTAAATCGGTAGACGGCTGTTGGCAAGCTCTACACAAGATACTGATGGCGATAGTACAGCGTATATCCAACTCTAACCAGGAGTTCGATCGTTATTGGCAGTGGAACAGTATCATCCTCGAAAAGAATAGAAAATACAGATTGAAACAATGGGATATCTCTAAACTTGCAATACTACTACATAATCAGTCTTCAATGTATTTGGATCAAATCTACACAATATTATTAGATAGAATTAAAGATCAAAGTTTAGTATGTATAAATTATTAAAATATGAAAATAATATTTATATACTAACAATCTGTTTATTATTAGTTAAATAGCTTTACAGAGGCAAATAGTAAATTAGAAGATTTAATTATTGCATTTGAATTCAATCAACCGATGGTGGATTCCTATCAATATCTCTTGGCTGTTGACGAACTTTTGAATGGATTATCAGCAATCTCTGAGATTTCATTTAAATATTCAAGCTTTATATTGGATCATTCTTCTGTATGTATTATAATACAGATATACATTAGATTGAAATTTTAGTGTTTTCATATAACTAACAAATACGCTTGTTAAATTTTAGACTTCTAAAATAATTGAATTGAATTCATTAAAGAGTAGAGTACAAGAGATTATGAATCATTATATATCTTTGGAGACACAGTATTTCCAATTATCATTCTCTGTTGCCATCTATTTGGATGATGTTGGACATCTCTTGAAGCTGTTAAAGTATCCGGGTATTGCTGGTACACCACAGAGCAACCTACTGCCACCGCCTATCAACAAAACCATCAAGGATATCGAAACCTCCTCAAAAATTGACGATATCTTTTTTGTATTTAGAAAGGTTGTCAGTAGATCTCTAGCATCGCTTAGTTCACCAAGTGTTTGTGCAACCATCAATGTAACATCATCAAATTTCGATTCAATATTTATACCTGTAAGTACTGCATCAGTAGAGTAGAAACATGTAAATCATGTTTAGCATTCCGTTTACATACATCATCTAACATTTATTTATTGTTTAATATTTAAAAAAAACATGATGATAGTATATGGATTTATTATTAAAACAAACATACTCTGGTGATTTCGATAAGAAAAGAGATTACTTTTTGGTGATTCTCAACGATTTGTCACTGACAACCACCTACATAGATCAAATGCAGAGAGAATTGATTGGTATGACTAATCACAAGTTTGAAGATCAAGATGAAATCAATATGATTATCATGTGTATCAATGGTGATAGTTTTAAATATTTAAAAAATAGAATGGATACTTTATTAAAAGTAAGAGAATTATTAGATTGATTTAATTATAGATAGTACAAAAACTAATATTATTTTTATTTTTATTTGCTAGGATAATATAGATAAAATTGTACAGATATTATCAATTCCTATCAATCAACTTATATGGCCAATTAATAATATAATTTATGAGATTAGCAATCAAGACTATGAAAAATATGAAATCAATGATCCATTCGCTCAAGATTTCATCGAAGGTCTAACCAATCTATTGCTACCATACAAATCTATTATGTTGGAGAATATTTTCGATATATTGATTCACAAGTTATCCACTCATGTTGCCTTAACATTGGAAGATCATATTAAACAGAAAAAGTAAGTAGTCCGAATGAAAAGAAGAATTAAAAAAGTTTATTTTAATTAATCATCATAATATTTTAATACAAAACAAAAAAAAAAAACAGATTCAACTTTTTAGGATCAATTCAATTATCTAAAGATATTAGAAAGATTATTGATCATTTGACACAGATTACAGCACAACAGAATGTTAGACACAAGTTTGTTAGACTTCAACAGATTGTGCATATTTTAACTATGGACAAAGTTACAGATATCCTTGAGTACTGGGGACAGGAAGGTTATCAATGGAAACTCTCTGCTTTGGAAATTAAACTTATACTTGCAAGAAGATCTGATTTCCCAATTCGTGAGGTTCATAATTTAAAACTATAAATAATAAATTTAAATTTAAATTTGTGTCTAAAGTAAATGGTGATTAAGTTTTTTATGTACATTAACTTGTGTATATAAATTTACCCGTGATTAATTTTATAATATATTATTTATCATGGTGTATAGTAATTTTATTTGAACTTCAAAAAGACAATATTTTAGTATCTCTTCCATAGATACGATGCACCTTCTCTATCTCGGTGTAGGAAAGAAACACATAGAGGAATTAGAGCAGATTATGGCCCAGAAGGGTTTGATTCTTCAAATGTCTAAATTCATATTTGGTAGTTTGAGAATCGATAAATGCACAGTTATTTTTAAAGAGTTCAACAACTTTCGAGCAGTTGAGTTTCTCTTGGAGCTGTCCAATTCCTCCCAACTACATATTTATTTAGATAATAGATTATCAGATGAGAGAAAGGAACTATATAGAAAACAACTAGGAAAAAAGACAAGTCCACTAGCCAAGAAACTGTAGTGACTTAACCACCGTTTTTCGTAGAAGATTTAGATTATTCAAGAAACCCAAACACGGCTTTCTCAGGTTTAGAAGGTATGTCACCTGAGATTGAATTGATAATGAAAAGTAAATTCATAACCAAGGTTGTCTCTTTAATCAATTCTCTCTATCAACCTCGCTACAGTAAGTATCATATTGATGTTGAATCAATTAAATCTATGACTAACCTTTTTGATTCACTTTTTTCTAATAGATATTAATGAAACATTTGAAGCAAGCAAAACGATATTGCACAATGCTATTTTCTTGGCATTTTAATTATTTATTATCTTTGGTAATGGTATCATAATCATGTTACTGGCATGTTACTATCATGGCATGTTAGCATCCTACAATACTACCAATGAATTACTGTAACCAATGGTCTTCCCGCTATCCCAAAAGGGAAGTTATTGATTATGATGAATATTCTGACCTGACCGCATCCGGGGATTTAAACTTTAAAAAATCCGACTTGCCAGACTCGAACTAGCAACCTTTTGATATCTCTTGTGATTCTTACTACAGTCAAACACTCTACCACTTGAGTTAAAGTCGGATGATGATACCTAAAACTTAAATTAAAGAATTTATATTTTGTTTTAAACTATGAATATTATTCAATTGTCACATCAAAAAAAGATATAAAACTAGTAAGATTTGTCAATAATTTTATTTAATATTTATAAAAGATCTAGAAATTATTTTTAGAATCCTCCAAAACCACCACAACCACAACCACCACATCTGAATCCACCACAACAACTACCTTCAAAGACATTTTTATTACCAAAGATAATGTTGGTTGTTCTTCTTCTTCCAAAATATTGTTCTTGATTGTAGGAATCAGTTGATAATTTACCATTGGATCCATCTATCAAATTGTTGGAAACATTCTCCAATGAATTGCCACCAATCATCGAAATAGATTCTATTTTTTTTCAAGTACAAAAAGAATTAGTTATTAACAAACAAAATATGATAAATATACTTACTGATAAGAGTCATTTTTATAGGTATAATAAATAATTACTAAGAAATATTTTTTAAATGATTTGAAAATATTCAGTTGATTGTCAATATTTATACTCATACTGGAGACTATAAAACAAACATTTGACATCTAGAGAAATTTGAATTGTTTTTCTAATGATAGATGACGACTAATTTAAAAAAGTCATTTGTTTCTTTATTCATTTACACTAGATTTCAAAATCAAATTTTGAATAATGATACAATGGTATTATAGTTTTATTCTTAAAAAAATATATCCTATCCTAACTAATTTATAATTTATATGTTAAAAGAAAATATAGGACCAACCAAAAACAATTATTTAGATTATTAAAACATCAGTATTTAAAAAAAACACATTTAGAGAAATAAAAAAAAAGATATTTTATATTTAAATATTGGGTTTTGACACTAAATGATGGTTGTTAGTTAATTGAAACACATGATAGAAATCTATGTAAGAATATATTCACTTATTTTTATATTCTTGGAACATTTTAAAATATCTTTATATTTTATATTACTGATATCAATTCCACATAACCTTCTAACTGAGAAGAACACGATTATTTATGTCATTAGCTATCGTATCTATATTGGTTTTGATTTTAACTGAGTCATCTTTTACTATTTATCACTACATATTATATTATTCTTAGAATGTTAAAAACAAATAAAAGTTAAATTCATTAAATATATTATTAATCACAAACATCTTTATAATTGTAACCACTTAATATAAATTTTGAATTCAAAAACAAAATTAAAATCTATTATTTAAACACACTAGATGGATTTAATGTTCACTAATAATTAATTTTAAAAATATTTCAAATATATGTATAATGATGTATACTGATATTTGATGCATTATTTACTAAGTGAACTTGTCACACTGTTGAATTATTATTTTTAAGTGGTAGATTTATGGGGGTGATAATAGATATAGATGTAACCATTAGTTGATTTTTATTTGGTTCTCTGTACGATATCGGAATATAAAGTAGTTTGTCCAACTAAAAACAATACATTATTAATATAATCCTATTTTTATAAATTTTTTTATTTAAAAAACTATTTATATTCTTTTTTTTTTTTTTTTTTTAATTAATTAAAAATTGTAAACAACTCTAATCATATAAACAAAACATTGTTTTAAAATCATATCTTTTTTATTTGTACAAATAAAAAAACAAAAAAAATGAAAAATATTTTTATCTTTTTACTTTTTTGTTGTTTAATATGTTCATTTGTTTTTGGAGAATTGGAAGCAGATGATAACAACAAGAAGCCAACACCTAAATACTACTTTTTGAAATCAACTGGAATAGTTTGTGTAAAAGGTATTAGAATTATAAAAGAATAAACAATATCAATACTTTTTTACTAATTGTTTCTTATTTTATAATTCTTTATTAATTAGCTCCATGTCCATCATGGGAAGTTACTCCAACTGAGGGTGGTGCATCTATAACTGTTCACGAATTAAAGTTTGCCAAGAATATCAATGAATCCGTTGTTTTCGAAGGTAAGTTTGCTGTGGATGTTATTCATCGTGGTATTCTTGTTAATGGTATTGTCGACAAGGAAAAGAGTGTAAGATTTGAAGTCGATAACTCCTATCGTGTCTTGCCACTCAATCCACAAGATCAATCGACAAGATCTGGTCGTTACTATCACGTCGATAGAATCATGGCCAAGTGCAAGAAGGAACCATGTCCAAATTTCTCTGCCACGGAGCTCAACACCGGAAAGCAACAGCTTGCCAACAAACTGATGGAACCATATTCTAACTATCTCGGTGTCGACCAAGCTTGGTTGAACAGCAAGATCCTCACTCAGGAACCGGTGAAAGCAATCGTTCAGGCAAACATCTTTGAAGGTACCATCATTGGAAAAGCTATCTATGTTAACATTGTCGATCCAAGTATCAGTTGCCCACCACTTCCAATCGTCGACTGCATTCAAAACTATGTACCTGTATTTAAAAGAGATTCCGATCGTTGCTTACACACTGACGGTTGTGTTAAACCAGGCTTCTGTACTCTCTCTATACCAGTTTGCCAAGATGGTTACAGGCTAACTCAATTTAGATCTAAACCAAATGCATGTCCATCATACCACTGTGACGCATGGTTCTTATCAACACCAAAACAATTCTAAGAGAAAAACAAATCCTTTCTATCTTCATCCTTCTCCTTAACATATGTAAATAAAATAGTTATTGTGAATAATTATTTATAGTTTTATTTGTTATTTCAATATATGAATTTTATAAAAAAGATTGTGACTATGTTTAAATCCGATAAATGAGGTATTGATGAATGTGATAACAACTAATGAAATAAAATTAAATTTGTTTTATTGAGCCGAGAAATTGTTTTTTTACATTTCCAACTACAGTTTCTATTCGATTGAAGGCCTTGTTAATACAGTACTTCCTATAAATACACTGGTTTAGGAATGACTGTGAAGTTGTCAATCTTTACAAGTGGTAGATTTGATTTCAAGGATCCTAACTATAGTCAGTATACACTGTTGTTTAAGAAGCAGTTATTACTAGATACTTGGTATGTTTAGAAAGATTTAAAGTTTCTATCAACCAGGATAGAACCAAAGATTTGGTAAAGTACATTTTTTAACTGTATCCCAGTTATAATAGTTAAAACAAACAGAGGAACTGAGATAGTCAATGAATCGTAGACCACCTGATAGCTGTTAGGATTCAAGAATTGTGTTAAGATTTGATCTAGGCATGATTACCGACACTTAGGTGAAGATGTTGTCGTAAGATGTAGTCGAATTTGGTTAGTGGTGGAATTCCATACTTGATCATCAGTAGGTGGTCATAAATATTCTTCAGAGTAGGTGGTAAACCAACAGAATAGGTTTTTCAGATCTGATTTTATTGTCGAAATACTATAGATGAACTGCCAATCTGTGCCACAGAGTGTAACATATTGCAAAAATCTGAGAAACAGGACAGAGGTATCAATAGTATCAGAAAGATATACTTTTATTTGTTATAGAAAGTAAGAAATATATTCTAAGATAGATCTTTGTAAATGATTTAAAATTAAAAATTATAGAATCATTTATTATTATAAAAAAATAACAAAAATAAAAGATATTTCTGAAGTAATAAAATATTTTTTATTATAGTACTTTTAAATTTATTTTGAAATATTTAATTATATCATATTATAGAATTATACCAAGTAAAATGTTCACATTCTTGATTTGGATTACTGAATGGCACAAGAAGTTATTGGTTTAAAATACAATTCTAATTTTCAACAGTTTCAAGACTAAAGAAAAACTAAGCAAAAACAAACTCAGCACAGAACACAAATACTATTTGTATAAAAAGAGTATATTTAAAAGATTACAATTATTTAAAATAAAATTTTAAAATGTTTTTTATAAAAACAAATTAAATAATTGAACAAAAAGGATATCAATACATATTTAAAATCATAAATCAATAACATTATTAGAAGAATAATAAAGGATTAAGGAATTACTTTCAGAAATAATACAAAAAAAAAACTTTTTAGACTCTTCTTCATATTCAAAGGTTTTTAACTGATTTTACAAAAACAAAGATATTGATTTTTTAGAAAAGTAATTTAACAGATGAAACGAAAATAAAATAAAATAGGAGAGTATAGTATAAATAAAGGTTATTCTTTAAAGAAGTTCCCTAATATAGAACAACTAATATTCTATCATTAAGTTGAAAGTGGTAGATTCAAATTCAATCTTTACATGATTTTATTTAATATGGAACTGGATACTTAGACAAACTATCTTAAGCTCTAGATTCCCAGATTTTTTAGAAATTTTAGAGTATGATATAGATCGACTAATAAATAATTTGGTTTAACTTATTTTAGTATATTCCACAACTGTACAAGACATCTCACTTGTCATCATTGATGACTCATCAATATACTAAATCATATAATATTTTTTACTTAAAATGTATTTTTAACTAAATTTGATATACAAACAAACCAGTCAGGACCTGAAATGTAAAAATCTTGGGGAATTCATGAGATAAAAATATACTAGATGCCATTCATTCTACACTCAATAGAACTCTTAAATAATGTTATTAGTGGTGATATTGCCAAAAACCCTATGAATCTTTATGAAACAATTTGAATCAAATAATCATCAACTAGTTATATCTTAATCCTATTTATTGATTTTTAAGAAAATAAATTTAAATCTATAAAAACAAAAAGTATTTTATTACTTCAGAAATATTGCACAAATAATTTTTGTTTGTTATTTTTTTTTTAAAAGTTCTCAATTTTTTTATAAATACTTATCATTTTCAAAGATCTATACTCCAATATATTTGTTACTTTATAAAACAAATAAATGAATATATGTCTGATGATTTGATACATCTGTCCTAGGACATGTTTCTCAGATTTTTGCTGTAACTTTGGAAGGAATCTGTTGAATATTACGAAGCTAGATTTCCCAAAGCGAGATACCACAATAACTATGGTTATACAGATCTGGTCTTTTTAATTTGAGCTGAGTCTAGTGTAAATTTGGACACGTGTTACCATGCTTTGATTGTCCAAATTTGTACTGGTTAAGGGTTATCCGCATGCGGCCAAGATTCGATTAAAGGTTTTGAGACATGCAGGGCTTGAACCTGCGACCTATTGGTTCGTAGCCAATCGCTCTTCCAACTGAGCTAAAGTCCCTTTGATGTGAACATTTTTTATTTTATATTTTAAATTTTTTTTTTTTATTTTTCAATTAATTTTACACATAACTGTCTAACTTCCCTTTGGTTCTTTATTTTCTGATCACAGAATTCTTATTATGTGTATCTAATATTTTGACATTGTTGTGAATGTAAAATACAATTTTATTAAATCAATTGTCTTTTCTTTGAAAATGATATCTTTGATAATCTTTTACTTGACGAATATTTAATAGAATAAACTGGTTGGATACCGACTGTGTTTCTTGCTCCACTCTGTTAAACAGTTCTCTGAGAATATGTTTATTTGTCGCTGGTTGACTATAGTCATATATAAAGATATTCCTGACCGTACTGTTTTTAGATAATGCTTGTTGGAATGTTGGCGCAAAGAAAGGATTGTTTTGTTCGAGTGATTTGAAAACAACTGTATCTATCGATGTATTGTTTGCGAAAGCACCTACTATTCGTTCGGTATATTGTGTCTTTAATAGTCTACATGTGTTGTTTGTCTCGATAAAGGTTGCCAGTGAACCTTCGTTCAGTGAGATTGCTTCCTCTTGATTCAAATCGATATGGAGCGTACGAATATTGTTGATTCCACTGAGATTCAACTCTATTGTTTGAGCCAGTAGTTTACTGCTCAGCTTTAAGCAATCCAACGAAGTGAAACAAAGATCTGCATATTTCTGTGTTAGCTTGACGTTGGGTGACATCACAATGCTTCTGAGTCGCTGTCGACTGTTCACTGCTGCAGTGAGCTGGCTGTCAAACAAAAAGGTAACTTTCAATGCTCTCAGTGCATCGTGATGATTTAGAAAGCTTGCCAGTTGTTTCCTCGCTACGGCCTCTGCCTTGTAGGTGCACATCAACGCGAGTGACTCCAATTGCTGCAACGCCAGTAACAAAGTGAAAAAGTTGAGAGTATCTGAAACACCACATTGCAAAGTGAGCGACCTCAGTTGTGTAAAACTCTGGTGTTGTGATATAATTTCATTATAAATGATCCTCTCATTCTCGTAGCTGATCATGAGCGATCGATGTCCATATTCCAGTCTCTGGAGTGACGGTGCACGCTTTCGAATAAGCGAGACTAGAGCAGTGGAATCGGCGGGCATCGGTGCCAAGTATTGAAAGTCAACAATTTTCGCATCCGTCGACTCGAGAATCGAGAAGGTGTTTGGTGTAATCGTATTGAAATTAGATTCCAAATGGAAGCGAACCAAATTTGGCAGTTGTGCTACAAAGTTTGAAATGTCAATGATTGATACCATTGAGAAGAGTGAATTCTCAACGATAACCAACTGCTCTACGTTGGTGGTGAATGGCGATGGTGTAGTCAAGAAGCCAGCAGACAGCGGATCTCGCAGCAATCGGTTGAGATTACTGAGCGATGTATAAATAGTTCGTGGCTCACGCATCAAACAATATGGGGAGGTAACATGAGAAACAACGGTTCTATCAAAGAGATTGAACGTATCAACCGACTTTGATAAATGATTGAAATAACGCCATGACAGAGTGGCCAACGATAATCTCCAATCAAATCTTGTCCATCTATTTTGAAAAGCAATCTCTATAATCTTTACAACTACATATTCTGGAATTAATGGTAAACAACTCATTACTCTGCAATTTAAATAATAATAATAAAAAATAAAAAATTATTTATTTTAAATTACAATTCTGAACATCAAAAAACATAATTATGTAAAAAAAAAAAAAAAAAAAATTTTGAGCAAAAAAAAATGATCAAAACATGTATTAAAATCGATTTTGATTGTTAATCATTTTTTTTATTGTAAACAAAGAAAGAGAATTAGAATATATATTTATCAACATTGTTGAGATATAAAGAAGAAAAATAGTTTGTTATCTTTTTTTTTTTTTTTTTTTGTAAAACAAAGAATAATAGTTTTTTGTTTCATCTTCAAAACAAGCCAACTCAACCCATAAAAATGAAAAGAAATGAAAAATCTGTGATTGAAAAGTTCAACGATTTCCAAAAAATATGGGGATGCAAGTCGATTCAATAACGGTTATGATCAGCAGAAACTTGTATTAGATTAAACGAATGGATGTATTGCAATACATAACATTAAAATAGAAAGAATGCCACTCGATGGCTTAAATTTGGGAAGGTCTGAGATACTGAATTATCCCTTGGTGGGAAATCCTCGAGAGAGGGTGCGCTGGTACCAGAAATAGTCCTCGAACGTGCAAATAAACCAAAGACATCCATCCTCAGAAAATGGAAGAGGTTGACGGTTGCCGTTCATAGGTTGGAATTCTGGCGTGGTAAAGAAATCAATGAAGTTCGATATACGAGGTGGATCAAAGATCCATAACTTAATTCATGACTACTCTCTGCTGAACAAAAACCAAAGATTGACACTACCCTTTTTTTTTTAACAAGATAAGAGAAGTCGAAGGACGTAGTTAGTAAAATTTCATTCGTGGGCTTAATTACTTCGACACGGGTTCGAGGCTCTGTTTTACCGTGGTAGGCATCGTGTTGAGTGACATCAAGCTTTCATGATATCAAACTAAATAGAGTAATTGCAAATCAAGATGTCTATTCCGCATACTACCAAAGCTGGCGGAATCAGATCAGACATAACAAGATAACCCCACCGCACTCAAACATTCCATCCAACTGTGGCAACAATTCAGACCAATTATGAAATTACTTACACATCAAATGAAACCAATATTGCATAATGACAAACCACTACCACTTAAACTTAAAAACCACAACCTTATCAACCATCACCACAAACCAGAACTTACATCACCTTCTACTACATTAACTCCATCAAACACCACAGAGGTAGAAACACAGTATTCAGATTCTATTTATAAAAAAAAAAAAAAAAAAACAAGATAAGAGAGTAAAAAAAAAAAGTAACAAAACTAATAAGTTGTTATTTAAAATATTATATTATTTTTTATTAATAAAAAATTTAATTCATATAAGATTTACTCTTTCTTGATCTCTTTTTATATTTTGAAAGTGAATCGGTTGCCATTAACATGAATATATGTTGTTGTGCTGTGTTGTAAATGGTTTGAATTTTGTGGAAATCATAGACTGGGTTGGTGATTGGTGATGATGGTGCTGATGATGAAGATGGTTGATTACTTGTAGAGGTTGTTGTGTTGGTTGACGATGATGTGGCGGAAGATGATGATGATTCGTTTGTTGTGCTGCTAGATTCGATCGATAGGTGTGGAAGTGGTGAAGTTGATGTTGATGATGCTGAACTCTGTGGTGTTGTTGAAGTCGGTGAAGTTGTAGTCGAGCTTGTGCTTGAGCTTGAGCTTGTTGTTGTTGTTGGTGTTGTTGTAGATAAAACTACTTGTGAAAGTGAGGTTGTTGACAAAGTGGAAGTTGGTGTAGTCGATGCAGACGATGGATTGGCAAGCGGTGGTGAAGATGAGCCAATGAGAAGCGGTGAGTTTGTAGGTGGCAGATTGCCCAACAGATTGTTGCTGCTTCCACTACCGCTGCCAAGCGAGTTACTACTGCCGTTGGCACTGTTACACTCTGACAGGAGGTCGGCGAGAGGCGGCAACGATTTTAACAAATTATTGATATCTTTTTTGATGGAGAAAGGCACATTGATTTCGGATGTTGAATTATCGGCAATATATTTATCGTGAATTCTGTATAGTTCCTTGAACAATCTCTGTGCAGAGTCAATCTTCATATTCTTGTAAGATTCGATATCCAACCAAAATGAAATATTCTCCTCGCAAATCAATTCATCCCTCAAGAATGCTCTGAAATCTTCTCGCAACGCTGGGTTCTGTAATAATGTAATTAATTCTGTTGCAGCACCATTACCTAAAGTTTTTAATTTAAAAAAAAAAAAAAAAAAAGTTAGTTATTGTCGCTGCTTTGTTGTTGAATGATTGATAATTACTTTGAACAGTATTAATATCAACACCATCTTTTAATAGATCAGCTAATTTAGTGAAATTCTCTTGTATGGCAATGTCGTATAGTGATTGGTTGTCTTTGGTGATGGTTCTGTCGGCACCGAATTTGAGGAGAATGGTGACGAGATCGGTACGTCCCATTCGCACGCAATAGTGTAGACACGATTCGCCATTCTTGTTGGTTACGTTGACGAGTGCGTGATTCTCGAGTAGCAATGTCACCATTGTCTGTGCCAGTGTGTTGTTGAATATCGCTTTGTGGAGAGGTGCCTCACCGTTCTTGTTGGTGGCATTGACGTTGGCGCCCTTGGCAACCATGCGGTCAAATACCTCTTTGACCGAGGAGTTTGATCGGAACTTCTGGCAAAAGTAGTGGAACGGTGTGTTGAGATCACGGTTGGTGCTGTTGACGTGGACGTCCTCCTGGTCTAGCAGGATCAGCAGCATCTTTGGTTCCAAATCGGGCATCGAGAAGAAGTGGTGTAGACAAGTGTAGCCATTCTTGTCAGGCATGTTTATATCGATCTTACAACTCTTGTAGAACGACAGGATAATCTCAAACATCTCTATATTGTTGGCACGTGCAGCTATCATCAGTGCATTCTGGTCGAGTTCGTCGGTGGCTGTCAGCAAATGTTTGCCCTTCTTTGAGGAAAACATCTTTTTGACCTTCTTTACATTGCTCTCCTTGATGTATTTATGTAGATTCCTTAGATCGTTCTTCAACTCCTCCTTGTCCGTATAATCACCTTTTCCAAACAACTGTGTAATATTATTCATCTTTTTTTTTTTGTTGCTTTTTTTTCAAGAAATCCTTCCTCTATCTATCTCTCTTTTTTTTTTTAGTTATTATTTTTTTTTTGTTTTGTTTGGAAAACCCAAAACAAACTCTAAAGTGAAGTGAGTGTGTTGGTCTGTTTGTTTGTTGTTATTGATAAAATATATTGATATAAATATTAAGAGTGTTTGTTTGTTATTGATTTTAAATACTATTATAATATATTATGTTATTACAAATTAAAGAAGGTTGTTTTTAGCTATTGTTGGTTGAGTTGTGTGTTGTTAATACCAAGTGATTATTGTTATTGGATATTAGATTGGTTTTCGAGTGAAATGTTGACTACTGAACTTGTGATACTGATTGATGATGATGTTGAATTACTGGTAGCCTGATTGATTTTTAAAAAATAAAAATAATGATAATGTCTCTATCTTTGTCTCTTTCTCTGCAATGTAATTGACAAAATCTAAATTATGCTATGTTTGGTTATCTGTTTGATGATTTATATAATTATGATGATAAATATATTTATATGTTAGTTTAGTATTCTTAATAAAGTTAAAATGGTTCCAACATCAATTTATTTATGTTTTTGATTGGTTGAATTTAATGTTAGAATAAAATCTGATGATAATATTGATAATTTAATTTAATTGATTTGATTTTAGTTTTGCTTGAAGGCGATGACATTGAGTGCGTGATGATGAATTGCTTTTGATTCTTACAAAATACAATAATAACCAAATATGGCCGATTTTGTAATATTAACTATTTTTAAATAATAATCAAACAAAACAACTAAACAAACAATCACAAATTAATATTAATAATTAAAAACGAACTGATTGATTGATTGATTAGATGGCCAACAACAATAATAAAACTTTTATTGCAATGCAAAAAAATGAACATATGATTGAGTTTGATCAATTTCATTTATTTAACTAATAATCAACAGCAGCAGTATATACCCGCCTTTGATTTTCTGTTAAGCTAATTGTTGATTTCGTTGGCAATAGTAATATGTCGATGTAGAGCTTATCTACTCTCACCCATTCTATGTTAATAAAGAGGAAAGAAAGAGAGGTAGGAGTGTGGATAAGTGTGACAAATAACTGCAACTTATTCTACTTGATCGTTGACATTAGATTAGAATTAATTTTCAGTGATTGTGTGGGTGTGTGGGTGTGTATGAGAAAAAGTGTGTGTCTTTGAGTGTGGGCGTGTGAAGTGAATGAAATTGTGTGTGTTTTTGGTGTGTCTTGACTTTGTTTATATTAATCTATATTATTATGTGATTCATTTATTTATTTAATTTTTATTGTTCTATTAATTCTATTAGTGAAATACTATAATGTTAAAGTGAATTGAAAATTGTAATAGTAGTGATAGTAATAAAATGAACATGTGATACATTGTTATGATTCACATAACTCATTGAACACCAACATTCGCATTTCATCTCATTTTCCATTTCATTTCATAAGTAGTAAAAGGGTCATCTTAAATCATGATGTTATAATTATTGTTGTTCATGTGTAATATGGACAAGTCTTAAGGTGCGTGTTATTTATATTTAGTTGTTGTTTTATTAGCTGTATGATTTTTAAATGAATAACTAACCTATAAATCATTTATTAAACTATTTATATATATATATATATATATAAATAATTTAGTTGTTTACTCACTACTGGTGATGATGACGATGATGGATGATGATGATGATGATAGTGAATGATTGCTATTTTACTTATTAATTTATATTTGTATTTGTATTATATTATACACTTTACTTTATTGTTTAATTAAAAAAAAAAAAAAAAAGTGTAAAATAAAAGTTGTTTATTTTTAAAACAGGTTTCACTTTGTATAAAAATAATTTTGTTGTTTGTTTTAGCTTTGCAATGTTTTTTGTAATTGTTTATGTGAATGATTAGATTCTCAGATGAGAAGCGATTTTTTTTGTTTTGTTGTGAAATATATTTTTGTTTTTCTTTTTCTATTTTTCGTGTTTTGCTTTTTTTTGTGTTTTTTAGATTGCGTGCCTCTCATTAATTAATTGCTAATAATTTAATGAAAAAAAAAGCAAAAAAAATAAAAATAAAAAAAAAACTTTAAATCTTGTTGTTAAAATTTTTCAGTTTCGAAATGACATAGACGCGGCGCCGAAAAACTTCACAATAAAACAAAACAAATCAAAAAACAACACCAATGGAGTGAAATTTTGTTGCTGATTGAGAGTCTGACGACACAGTGTGGTGTGCAATAATAACAAACAAACAATCATCTATCTGTTTGACTACTGTTGTTTTATAACTGATTTTAAAGTTTAATCAATAGCAACATTGACATAATAAACAATTATTTATTATCAACACTTAAAAAAAAAACTCTAACTTTTACTTACTTATAATTCGATCGAATACACACACAAATAAAAATTTAGAGTTTTTTTTTTCGTTGTGTGTGGTTATTATGTGTTTTGTTTTGTGGGTGTGTGTTTCTGGTTGATTAAGCGTTTGGCAACCAACTTTATTTGTTTGATTCGATTGATTGATTGTAGTGGTAGCAGTAATGTTATTTATTGCTCTAAAGAAATGTGTTTATATTCGAGATTTGAAAAAATAGTCAAGATTGTTATCATGTAAAAATAGTTGATTGTTTGTTATTGCTAACTACTACTATGCTTTTTCATTTTCGATCAATTTTCAAGTTTTGACAAAGATTATTATTATTATTGTTGTTGTTGTTGTTTAACATGAAGATATATTTGTTAAAGAAATGTAGTTAACTCTTTGTTCTTCCAATTTGTAATTTGCCAATTGTTGTTGATTTAAATGTAATTAATTCATTTCATCATACCTTAAAAAATCAAATTGATATTATAATAAATAAAATAGATTAAATATGATCGATTCTTTCTTTTATTCTTAAAACTTTTGATAGATATATATTAATAAATAATAATAATAATAATAATAAATAATTAATTAATTTAATACAATTGAAATTTAATGTATTTTTTTCTATTTTTTTCTTTTCTTTTTTATTATGAATTATAAATATATTCGCAATAGGAGGAATAGCGGGCATTTGGTGGCTTTTCGCAAATAATTTGGGTGTAAATTTACAATCAATCACATTGTGATAATCCCAATGACAGTCTCTTTTTTATTTCAAAATTTGATAAAAACAAAAACAGAAAAATCTATCAACTTTTTTTTCACGAATATCAATTTTATTTTTAAATAAATCTATTTTTTTAATTGGTGAGTTAATCGATAGTTTTAGTTTCATTTATAAATTTTTTTTAGCTAATTCCTATTAGTTACTCTTTCCAAAAAAGTAAAATTTAATAATTACCAAATTAAAACAAAAAAACAAAAAAATTTAATAATGTGTGTGTGTTAACATTTATAAAACCATTGGCTATATAATCTATTAAAACAATGCTGTGTATATATGTGAAACTAACATTAATATCATGTTCACCATGTCATGCGACTGACTTACATTTATATATCAAATGAGAATGTTATTTTTATTTTTAATATGATAAATTAATTATTTTATATATATATTATTAATTCAGTAATAATTTTATAATATTCAATTATTTATTATTTATTTTTTATATAATTTATAACAAACATTTTTGTTATATCTAATAACTAAAAAGATGGCATCTATACATAAGAATGAAAAAAACATAAAAAAGAGTCAGAGTAAACCTAGTATCTCTACAGAGGTTGGTATTGAGAGATTTATGTGTTTTTATTTTCCTCATGGCTGACAATTTTTCTATTCTGTATAGGAGAAAGGAAATTATCCAGTAAAAGATGGAATTGTAATCCATGATGCCGATCAGAGAAAAAAAATACATTCAATGCTTATGGATCTAGGCAATATTATGTCTACAAGCGATTGGACAAAACTAGATGAATATTTAGAACCCAAAGCAGTTTTAAATAGAATTAATGAAGAGATCATTGGAAGAATTTCAATTCAAGTATGTTTTTGAATGAACATAATGTTTAAAGTTAATCATTAATCATTACTCATTATTTAATATTCTATTAATTAGGAATTTCTAAGTAAAAAGAATAAAGGAATATTAAAATATTTCTTCAATAGATTCTATTATGACAGTGAAAAGATGCTGGTTTGTTCAGAGTGGATCACAAGAAGAAAGAAAGAGAAGGATCAGTACTATCATGAGAAAATGGTTGTATGGTTTATGAAGCTATCGAAAGAGAATACAATTAAAACTTGGTATATCTGGAGAGATCCATTCTATTCAAGATTTATAGAGTATTGTATTATTTATTAATATTTATTAGTTGTTTAAAGTGTTTATTCTAATTTATTTATTATTTCACGTTCATTAGAAATATAGATGAACCAATATCAGAAAAGTGTTGGATGAGAAATAGGAAACCACCAAAGAAACACACTGCCAGTGAAATGTGTGATTTCGTACGAAAGAAGTTCTCTTACTTGGAGAATGCCGATATTGGCGGTTGGAGTGGTACTCTTCATAAGGACGTTGAGATAAGACCACCTTGGAGAGTTCACGTTGGAAAGGATGATTGTGTCCTTGGTCTAAAGAAATTCCTTAATGATTTCGAGGATATCGGTGCAAGTATTCTAGAGATACTATATGATTATACACAACCAAATGTTGCAATTTACATTCAAGTAAGTAAAGAATTAATTTAATAACTCTTAATTATAATTGATATTAATATTTTACGAATATTTTATATTAGTTATTTGGTGCAACTAAAAGAGATAACAAAGAAAGATGTGAAGATATCGATCTTTCAATGATTATGTTGGAGGATGAACAAATCAAATACTGGCGTTGTTACTTCTATGAAAAGGATATTCCAGAGAATCATTTTTCATTCATCATTTTCATTAAGGATGTACTTGAAGAATCTCTAAAGAGTCATGACATTCAGGAATCACATAAATAGTCAAACATGTTTCAACTCTATTTTACAATTTTGTTTTTTTAAAGTAAAAACAAACCAAATATATATTAAATAGTCTTAATTAAATTAAAGAAAGAATAAAAAAAAAAAGTATTTTTTATTGGAAAAGTAAGATAATAATAATAATAGTTTTTATGATATATATATACAGATACAAACAATCTTGATGATAATAGCATTATTGTGTTATAGATATTTACAACAATTTTGATTGAGTTTTGAAAGTGATGAGAGTTGTTAATTGTGATAATAGTAATTAGAGGGTAGTTGATACAAGTTAAGCTGGGAATGATGTGTTTGTAAATTAATGTACTTTTTCAGATGAACTTCCATGTAGTGATACGAATTCCTGTTCATAGGATCTGCAGTTTGAAACAATCATGCTGTGGTTGACGAATCCAACAGTGTCGCAGCAAGCATTCCACTCTTCGCTCAAGTTTGGCTGATGAAGTGTCTGTGTCTCTTCGGTGGTTCCATCTTCGAAGCGCAACCATGTCTTGAATGAGAATGGCGACGCGATAAATTCGATCACTCTGGCACCGTGTTTCCATCCTGGTGGTGGACCGTATGCTCCATACCCGGTTTTTCTTCCATAGCCCAGTTGGATACCGTTGTACATTCCAATAAAGTCATTGTTATGGTCGTGTCCACAGAGGACACCGACAACGTCACCCATCTCTCTGAAAGCGGCAAACAATCCGGTGTTCACAGAGAAACAGCACACACCGGTATCTTCAAGCGATCCGTTCACAGGATAGAAATTCCACATGTCCAAATACTCTGGAATAGGAATGTGCATGAAAGCCATTGCCGGAATGGTCTTACCATATTTTTGTTTCAGTGCTTGTGAAGTTTGAGTGTACCACCTAATTGTTTGTTAGAGAAGATGTTAGGATTATTTAATAAGAATAAAAGATTAGCAAATTAGTATATATATATATATATATATATATAGATATTTACTGAACTTGATCTGGATAAACGCATCCCCAACCAGTGATATTCTGACAGTTGTCATCGTTCGAGTCGAAAAAGTAGAGAATCAGCGCTGGTTCATCACCATTCAGTACGGGAATGTAGTAGTTGGAAGCACCGGTGATACCTTCGGGACCTTGGATGGTCAGACTCTGCTGAAAGCTCATGTCGAAATCTATGATTTGACGACGGTTTAAGTCGGCTTGGTCATCGTGATTGCCTAGTGCCAGTGCCCATTGAACATCGGCAGCGATCAGCGGCTGCAAAAGATGAGTATACTTCTCAACAAACCAGCCTTTAGAACCGTTCCAAGCATAGCCACTTACACAATCGCCAGTCATCACTGCCAAATCGATATCGGGTTCCGTCTTTAAAATCACTGTTTGAGCTGCCTGTGAATTATTATCTTTCTCATCGGTTTCACCATAATGTAAATCTGTAAATTGTAACTAATCAAACGAAATAAATAAACAATCATTAAATTAGATAAAGAAAATGACCAACCAAAAAATAAAAACAAAACTTTTAAGTATATTATTTACAATTTTAAAGGTTCCATCATTTTTAAAATTTAACTTTGTATTTCTATTTTGGACATATAAAATAAAAGTATGTTAGTTTTTTTCTATTATTGACAGTTAAATCTTCTACTACAACAACAATTCAAATACATACATCTTTTTTGCATCTATATTATATATTATATATAGTGTTAGTATTAGTAGAATTGTTAATTTCATATTTTTATATTAATGTATGTTATATAAATAGATATTATATAATATAATTATATTTAACAAAATAAAAATAGATGTCTATGATAAAAGATTGCTTAATGTTATTGAAAATAAACTAAATCAAACAAGATAATAAGAATTTGTAGAGTGTAGTTGTGTGTTGCATTGTTTTCATATATACAACCCCCCCTTATAATATGATTTAATTTATTTTTTTATATTAAAAAATTAATATTTTTTTTTATTTTTATTTTTTTTGAGAATTAAATTTGATGGATTTCCACACAGTTGATTCGGAATCCGAATTAAATTTATCTATTAAATTAAATCTTTTTTTTTTTTTGTTTTTTTTTTAACCAAAAATAGGAATGATGAATATCTTCTTTTGAAAGATATACATTTAATGAAATTGAATTGAAATTTCGAACAACGCACATTGTGCTCTCCAATTAAACCATTGCCCATCTTCATTTCGAAAACAAAGTATCTTGGAATTTATGTTTCTTTCAAACTGTTTAAAAATACAAACAATTCAAATAATTGGAAATGAAATGATGTTGCTCTGGAGATTCCATCTATTTTTAAATATTTTTTCATATATAATATCTTTATTACATTACTTTGTCAAGTAATTTTATTACAACTTCGTAGACTGAAAACATTGCAGCGTTAGCTGGGAATGCTCTCAGTACTGTTGGAACATATCCTCTATATAATCCTTTGACACCATCTTTTTGGTAAATCTTTTTCAATGTCGCTGTCAATGAGGGTGCTGGTCCACCATCACTCACCTGAATACTAGATTTCGCTACATCTGCTGGATAGAAAATACTCCCTAAAAAAAATACATAATATTATTAATTTATAGATAATTAACAAACAAACAAACATATTTATATATAACTTACAATATGCAATTCCACCAATTCCACCAGAGAAAATTAAATATTGTAATGGTAAATCTTCTTTTCCAGTTGTTTTTCTAAAATGACGTTTCAAACCTTCGTAGACACCAAAGAATGCCATGTTACCGGGAATCTCTCTGGCCAGTGTCGGTATGATTCCTCTGTAGAGACCGGCGACACCGTCCTCTTTGATGATCTTCTTGAAACAATCGAATGATCCGTTGTATTTCTGTGGTCCTGTTGTTTGGATTTGAAGACGACACTTGATCAACTCGACCGGTGTCAACACGAAAGTGGCAGTGAAACCGGCACCGGCACCACAAACACTGTATTGCCAGAGTTCTAGTGGCTTTGTCGGGTCTTTCTGAATCAGCTTTTTCATCTGACCGTAACCGGCAAACAACACCGCCGTCTCAAACATCATTCCAAACAGTGGACTCGTCACACCCTTGTAGAGTGCCATCGCACCCTCCTTTTGCACTGTATTCTTCAAACATTCTATGATTCCGACCGGTGTACTCGAAGTCTGTAATCTAACTCTAATGGTATCGAATGGATGTCTATAAATAATAATTACATTGTTTTTATAAACAAATAAAATAAAAAGTGTTAGTAAAAGTAACACTTTTTGAAAATTCTTCATGAAGTTATGAATTTCATTTTTTATCATGTGAATAATTAATTTCTCATTATTAGTTGATGTCCTGATAAACAACAACCTTGATGTTTTTGACTATATAGTGTAATATTAAACAAAGATTCTAGAACAATAACAAACAACAACAACAATAATGACTAATCAAAACTCACCCTGTAAATAAGCAAGCAGCACCTGCAACAGTGCCAGCAATACTATCCTTAGCTCCTTGAGCAGCAGCTGATGATCCTGTCATTATACAATATTAAACTTATAAAATTAAATATTTATAATAAAGATTAGATTAATGAAACTATTTTTTAAGAAATTATTTTAATGAAGTCATTGCTTCGTTTTTTTGATAAAAACTTTCATAAAAAAAAAACAGGGTACCCTTGTGCAAAAAATAATGAATTTTTTAATTTAATTTATTTAATTTTGGTTTAAAGAGAAAACTCTTTTTGGTAAAGACTGATCCTATTGATTCCTTTTATAGAACTTGGATATCGATCCTTCAAGTCGGAAGATTGATTAAAGACTAATCTTTTATTTATTTATTTTTTTTATATTGTTTTTATATTTTTCTTAAAAAACAAGTGATTTTTGCCAATTTTCCAGTTTCCTCATCAATGTAGTTAAAAATAAATATTTTTTGGAAAGAGTTAAAAAATAGTCTTTTTTAGAAATATTTTTTTGGGAATGTATAATATTTAAATAGTGTTACATTCGTTACAAGAATCAACCATCATCCACTTCAATTTAATTTTACCGTTAAAAATCAAATAAAAAAAAAACAATATAAATTCATCGCCAACCACACAAAAACATAACACAAACACAAATAACACCATTTTATACACATAAATATCAATGAACAATAAATAAGAGAAGTTATTGAATAAAATACATATTATGGATGATCATACTATTACTTTTTATGATTTTGTATTTTTTTTTATTTATTTTTTTTTTTGATCATTGGTTGTTTGAGTTGAAATTGAATATTATTGATTTTTAATTATTTTTATTTTTAAAAAATATCAAATTAAATAATCTTTACCAATATAAAACAAATAAAATCATTTTCTTTAATTTAATTACAATCAAACAAAGAAACAAACACCAATAATTATTTAATTTATTTTTTTACAAAAAAGTTTGTTTAAAAAAAAATTACGTAAAAAACAAATTTTTGATCATTTTGTTTTTATTCCAAAATAATCCAAATCATTAGATATAATTTTTAAAAGCAAATCAATTCATTTAAAACACAAAGGATTTCCTTACAGGCAACAAAAAATTTGAAATCAATTAAATTTTCAAATAAATTATAAAATAAAATTTAGATAGATAGAAAGTTTATAGATATATAGCATAATATTATATTATTTAAAATTAAGATTAGATACAAAAAAGACATCAAAACAACAATAATTTAATCAATCAATCAATCAATCTTTTCTTTGTTTTAATATATTTATAAATCTAATTTTATTTTATTTTTTTGTAATATTAAAAAACAATATCTATATAAAAAGTACTATTATCATTGTTTCTTTGTTTTGTAATATTAGTAGTTATTATTATTATTATTATTAATAATAAATAAATAAAAAAAAAGGGGAGAATGTCGTCGCCAGTTGTTTCATCTACGCCAGTGACAGCTTCTTCACCTGTTCAACAGTCACCAAGTTCACCGACAACACCACCACAACAAACAACCACACTCATCACATCGCCACCAATCGTTTCGACCTATACCACATCACAACTCACCACAATCTATATAGAGGAGATCCTTGGAAAGAATCTCAACGAGAAAGACATGTTTATAAAATTTAAAGTCGATGGCAAGAAATTCAAGACAAGAACTCAAAAGAAAACAATGAATCCATTATGGAATGATAAGTTTACAATGTATGTAATAATAATAATAGTTATAGTAAAATTAAAAACAAAAAGGAAAGATTAGATTATTGACAAACCACTTTATTATTATTATTATTATTATTAGATCAACAACATCAAGTATAGATGAAATAATATTTACAATTCACAGTCAGAATATATTGGGAAATAACGTTAGAATTGGAACTGTTAAACAATCTTTACATCCATCTAATTCGACTAGTGGCAGTGGTAATAGTGGTAATAACAATGGGGTTGGAAATTTTAGACATAGTGTTAATGTTTCTGCAGATTCACCAAATTTGCAGTCTGTATCATTGAATTCATCGTCTGGTAATAATAATTCATCAATGAATAATGTTGGTGCAAATGGTGGTGGTGGTGGTGGACATACTTCAGCTACAGAGTCATCGTCATCTTCAACTGCTACAACGGTGTTGGTCGATAGTTGGGTAGTTGACCAATGGTCGCCAGTTGAGAAGCGTGCCACCACATTCTCGTCGACCAACTTGGTCGGTGGATCGTCGCACCACTCAAACAACAACGGACAGAACAGTGTGGAGTTGAAGATCAGAATGTTGGTAAAGGTGCGTGACATCACTTTGTTGAACAACGACGACACTTCCTCAACGAAATCCGATGATTCATCATCGACTGGAATGACATCGAGTAGTAGCAGTCAGAATATACATCAATTAACACAACAACAACAACAACCATCAGCAACAACAAATCAACAACAACAACAATCGAATCAACAACAGCAGCAGCAACAACAACAACAGATACAAAATCAACAACAAGTTCCAAATGGTAGACAACAAAGAGGAGATTCTAGTATGAGAGACGGCGGTAGTGTGAGTGGAGCGAAAGAGATGTCTATCATTGGCAAGGGTGGTAGTCAGATCCGTAAGTTTACAAAGAAAATAACATCAAAGATCGATAGCAATAAGACTGAGAACAGTGGAAAGAAGGTAAAGGATGAGCGTGTTGCTGCTATCGAGGAGCAGCTGGCGCGTGAGCGTGCAAAGGAGCTGGAGCGAGAGGCGATTGAGCGCGAGAAGGAAAGAGCTCGTGAAAAGCTGAGACAGCGCGAAGAGGAGGAACAACAGAAACAGCTGGAGAAAGAGAGACAGGAAGAGCGTCGAAAAGCAAAGGAAGCAAAGCAAAAGAAAGACAAGGAGAAGCGATATCAGCCGACGCGACCAATTGACTATTTCTACGTGGTCGGTTGTTCGTCAAAGTTGGAGCCGCTCGACCAACGCTATGAATCGTCGGTCAAGTCGATCGATCCACTCGATCTAACGTACAAAGGTGAACTGCTAGATTGCTATCCGCAGAAAGACGACGAAGTACTGCCGAATCACATTTGGATGTATTGCTTTCCAAAGGGTGTTCAGCTGGTCACCGAAGAGCAAGCACCTTCATTCTTCCCTTTCGTTCTCACCAATGAAACCGGTGTGCGTTTCTATGCGTCTTGTCTTATGTTTTACGAACCAATGTCTGACGATATGGCGTCGGAGATAAAGAAGCGACGAAACTCTATGAGTAGCATGTCGTTGCCACTACCAAACTTCAATGTTAACAACAACGGTGGTGTTAGTAGTAGTAGTAATAGTAATAATGGTGCTGACAATGAATCGAATGCAGTTGTAGGTGACGATAACAAAGATATCAATGGTGTTGTACAACATTCAGGTATCATTGATTCAAAGATATTGTTACATCATACAACCAGTGTACATAATCTACCTATTGTAACACCTATCAATAGCAATAATAATAGTAATAGTAATAGCGGTGCTGGTGGTGCTAACGGTGTTAACAACAGTAATAGCAACAGTAGTAATAGTGACAACAACATAAACAATAGCAATAGTAATTCATCGAATCAATTAGTATCATCAACAATCTATGTACCAAAGTGTATATGTTTTATCTCTCATTATCCTTTTTACAGTTTCTTTAGAATATGTCTGAATGAAATCTATCAAAAGGTATTCTTCTCAACCACGCCACAACCCATTGAACGATGTATATATAATATGATTCAAGAGGTACCACTACCAACTCTAGGAGTAAACAATGTAAACTACACAATTAACAACAACACAATAACACTTAAAAGATTACCTGAATGTCTTTTACCAGTATCAGATGTAAGTAAACACTACTATTATTATTATTATTATCATTATTAATAATTATATTAATCAAACCTTTTTTTTAGTTACCATATTCATTGCTATTTAAATGTTTAGATATAAAGAATGTACTACTACTATTCAAATGTATTTTAATGGAAGAAAAGATTGTTATTATCTCTTCACAGTATTCACTTTTAACATCGATATCAGAGATATTATCATCTTTATTACATCCATTTACATGGGTATGTTGTTATTTTTACATATAATATTAATTAATAGAATAACTATTTTCATTTACTTACTTAATCTTAATAATTATTGTTATATCTATCTATAGCCACATGTATATGTACCTATTCTACCAGAATTGTTGTTGGAGTATGTCTATTCACCATTCCCATTTATTATGGGTATTCACAAGTCTTATAGTCATAACATATTGAATGAAGAGAATCTGATGAGTGAGATTGTAGTTGCCGACCTCGATAACAATATTGTGATGTTGCCTGATGGTCAAGATCCAAGTCGTGCTGCCACTCTACCCGAGCGAGAAGCAGCACAACTCGTTCACCAACTACGCAAGGTAGTTCATTACGAGCTACTCTCTTCAGATCTACCAAACTTTAGTTTAAATACAATGTCACCGATTGATCCATCATTTAGCGGTGATCACCCATATAACTATACAAATGGTATCAACCACAACAACAGTAATAGTAATAATTTAACAAGTTCAACATTGAATACAAATAGTGGCAGTAGTAGTAGTAGTAATAGTAATAGCTCTAACAACAAAAGAATACTTAGTAATCATTATCATCCTGTTTATCATTCAGTTTCTGCACCACCTTCACAAACAACCATTAACGAACACATTCGTCTTGCGTTCATTCAATTCTTTTGTTCGGTGCTCTCTGACTATCGCAGACATCTCAAGTATCTACGTGTATTCCCCAAGCCGATTACTCTATTCAACAAGCAAGAGTTCATTAGATGCCGATCGAATGGCAGTGCCAGTGACAAGTTCTATTCTACTCTTGTGGAGACACAGGCATTCTCTTACTTCCTCGACCAACACAACTGGCCAAAGAAGAACCTCTTTGACTATCTCGTTGAGACTCAAAAGTACAAAAAGTCGATTGAGGAACTCGCTCAACTCTGCCAGTCTTCCATTCCACAGGCGTTGGGTGTTCTCGAGTTGAACAAGTACTCGACCGTTCACGCTACACCTCTCTCCACCATCAGGAATACTATTACCACCTCGATCAAAGAGCACAGTAGATTCCCAGCGTTGAAACAAGAGTTGATGGTAACACCTCCTACACCTTCGCATCATCGTACACCATCCTCTGTCGTCACCTCACCCACTCTCGTATCGACAGCAACACCTGTATCGCTAGACATCTATTGCAGTTCCATTGCATTCGGTGACTTGAATAGTCATCAGCGTGTCGACGACAAAGAGAACAATCTCTTGAAGATGGCAGAGGAACAACACAAGTCATTCGTAACCATCATCGAGTTGTTTATCAACAAGATGTCAAGCGATGTCCTACCCGAGCAATCTGACATCCAACAGGTACTGGAGTTACTCAAGTTTGATACAGGCAGACAGATTCTCGGTAAACTCTTACTCAAACCCTACAAGAATCAAGAAAAGTTGGAGAATTCAATGCATAAAGCTAGATTGTCAGATAATATGTTCTATTGTCTTGGTGATATTCTTCGCGCTGCTCTCAGAGAAGCCAATATGCATTCGGATTTCGCATCGACCCGACTCTATTTGGAAGCATCGTTTATCTATCATCGACTTCAAAAAGGTACGAACGAACATATCAGTGAACTACTTAGAAACCAAGATATCTGGCAGAACTACAAGTTCTGGGAGCAGTTCTTCTTTGATCTCATTGAGCAGCGCTGTAAAGCACTCTATGGAAACATAGTGAGGGAGATGCTCAAGTGGAGTGGCTATCCAGAGGATCAGCAGGAGAAGATGAAGCTGGAGGAACGTGAGATGGCATTCTCTCTGCTCTCCAAACAGGTCTACTACATGATCAATTTGGGTTCGCAACCGGATTTGGTACGTCGTTTCGTCAACAAGATGTGTACCGTTATCAACTTTGACTCGGACCGAACCGAGACTATGATGCAAGTCGTCTCCAATATCACACGTGCTCGTGACATGTCGGATATGGACGACTTGGAATCATCGCATGCCAATGTTGCCGTCGAGGGCAACAAGCATGCCGACAAAGAGTTGAAACTCTACCTGACGAAAGAGACATACCTGCCCATCGGTGTTAAATCTAGCAATGCTCACGAAGGACGTGAACTGCTGAATCATCTCATCGATGAGAAGTCCAACAGTGTTGTGGCACTGCGTAGTCTGAGTCGTATAATGAATCTCAAGAGTGCATGGAGTGAGACACGCTCAAAGACGAGCTCAAAGATTGACTATCGCGACATCTCTGAGAATCGTGGTGACTATGTCGTGAAGACGTTCGCCGGTCATCAAGAGGGTGTTCTCTGTCTCACACTGGCGACGAATCATCATAGAGAAAGCAATACCCTCGTAACCGGTAGTGCAGACTCCACTCTCAAAGTATGGGATATCGTTTCCACCAAATGTCTTGGTACGCTCGACGGTCATGGTGGTTGGGTCAACTCTGTCGAAATGGGATCGGACTCAAAGATTATCAGTGGATCGTACGATAAGACATTGAAACTATGGGATCTAAACAAATGTACAAAGATCAAATCTTTTAGAGGACACAAAGGTTCAATTAGTTGTATCAAGAATATTGATAGTCATCAAATACTTTCTGGTTCCTATGATAATACATTGTAAGTTATAACGATATGATGGTTAACAAAACAAAATATTAACAAAAGTAATTTGATATTATAGATGTGTTTGGGATGATAGAACAACTAAACCATCTTCAACTCTGGTTGGTCATCAACAACCGATTATGAGTATCATTTGTGATGGTTACAAGATAATCTCTGGTAGCAGAGATACAAATATAAGGATTTGGGACTTGAGAACGATGAGCACCACAAAGATATTGTCTGGACATACCGATTGGGTGAAATGTCTACAGTATGATTCCGATACTTTGTTGAGTGGATCATGCGACGGTAAAGTCAAAGTTTGGTCGGTGGAGAGTGGTGAATGTATTCGTACACTCCAGGGACACAGTGGAAGTGTAAATTCATTGCTACTGCATCACAAGAAGGAAGATGGACACAAAAAGTTCATTACAGCATCTGCTGACAGCACGATTCAGGTTTGGGATTCAAACTATGCTGAATCCTATCACACACTCTCTGGACACTCGGATGAAGTGGTTCTCGTCGATCACTTTATCAATAACATTGTGGTGTCTGGCTCTTTCGATGGTACCATCAAACTTTGGGATGTAGATACAGGCAAATCGCATCGAACCATTCACAATCATGGTCATCGTATCTCATCGTTGAAGACTTACGAATCAACAATCATCTCTGGCAGCTGGGACAAAACTGCCAAAGCTTGTCTATTCAATTTGGATTTCAGAAGTTAAATTAAATATAAAGCTTTATATTTTATCGACAATGAACTTCAATTTCAGTTATTTTTTCTTTAATTAATTCTATTAATCAAAGATTTTAATTTGTTGTAATCTTATTCTTATATCTAATCATTTTTTAATTGTTTATTAGTATTAAATTTTCATAGAAATTCACAGAAAGAAAGAGATTGGTTGGATATTCTCTCATCAACTGATGAATACTATACTACAATCGGTGCCATCCTAAATATATTTGGTGAGATATCCCAATAGTCTCAGGTATCTGTTTTGACTAGCATTCCTCCAGGGTAAACAGCAGTATCAGCTCCAAATACTTTGTAAATTGTTTATTTTAAGAGAGTTACATGAATTACTCTTTGTTGAAATAGAAAACATTTTTTCCTCTTTTCCTTTGTCTCTAAATTTTCTACTTTTGATATATTCCGTTTGTTGATTAAATATTTACTTTTTGGAAAGGATTATATAGTTTTGGGTTAATTCTTGATCTGATTCCACTATTTGATCAATCTTGAAATCGGTTCTTGAAATTAATTTATCCCATTCGGACTTACTACGAACTTTTCCATTCAGCAGGTTCATAATATCTTTAAAAGTAAAATAAAATTCTAGGTGTTAATAATTTTATAATTAAAAATTAAATATTTCTTACGCAAATCAGTCCAAGCAATATATTTTTTCTTTATAGTAAAGTCACCGACAGAGTCTTCCATGATATGTTCCGCTAGATAAACTTTTCCATTTTCTCTCATAGCTTTTGAGACATTGTCCAATATTTGAACGCATTGATCATCATTCCAGTTATGTAATACTAACTTGAATACATAACAATCAGCTTGAGGAACAGATTCGAAAAAGTTTCCTCCTACATCTGAGAATCTTGGATCAAGATCCCTTTTTCCTAATTTGTTTAGGTTTTCAAATACAATAGGTTGGTCAAAGTTCAAACCTTGTTTAATAGTTGGATAATTCTTTAAAATTTCATTAAGCAATCTATATAATTCATATGTTATTAATTAAAAATTATAGTACCATTTATAAATTTTTTTATTCAACATACAATCCATGAGATCCACCAACATCACAAACAATTTCGAATCTACTAAAGTCAACCATTTTAACTAAATTTTGGTGATATGGAGTTGACATTGAAGCCATACCCTTGGTAAATTCAATGTCTGCTTCTGGATTCTTCTTGAGGAAGTCCCACAAAGATGAGGAGTCAAGGCTTTTGAATCCAGAGGTCTTTCCAGTCATTACTGTCTCATAGAGTGATTCCCAAGACAAAAAGAAAGCTGTACCACAATGAACAAGAGCCTCATCACGAGTGACTTCATTCAACAATTGGATTGAAAGATTGGTGTGTTGGAAGATTCCTTTCTCAAAACCTTCTCCAAGACACTCTGAAAAGAAACCTTCTACCGTCATTGCACGCATCATACGGTAGAGGGACTCTCCATGAGCGCCAACCTCTTTAGCAATATCATAGCATGATTTCTTTGATTCTAGAGAGTTTCCAAGATTTTCACAGATTCGTAACTTTGCGCAGATATAAATACACTTTACCATTAGCTGATTGCCATAAAACTTTTTTATTGGCATATGCTGAACAGCTCTACTCATTAAATTCATAATGGAATCACTATCCATAGATTGAAAGATTAAATTTTGTTCCATTTTTATTTAAGATAAAATATAATTTTATGAAATGATATTATTTATTTATTAAATGAAATGAAATTTTATAAAGTGTAGTCCGTCTAAGGACAATAGAGTAGCCGCCAAAGCAATGTTAGTACCTATTAAACAATATTAGTAATATTCACCAGCCAACATATGACAACAGTATAATAGTAATGGTCAATTAATTAATTTATTAAATCAAGTCAATTAAATAAGTATCTTATTATTAATTAATTTTTATTAATAGTATGATAAAATTACAGATCCAACCGAACATCCAACAGATACAAACACAACAATCACAACCACAACAATTAATGAGATTCAAGATTTAAATATAATATTTTTATCTTTGTTTTTTAGAAAATATTTAGTAAAAGTATGTGTTTGTTTATTGGTGGACCACTCTTTTCTAACCACAATCCACAACTTATATTTTTGTTTTTCAATATTCTCTATCTTATAAAAATTGATAAATTATGATTGATTTTAAATTTAATTATATATATTATCAATAATGGTACAATGTGAATTTAATTGTCTTTTTTTATTTGTTCAAATAATTAATTAAAAATTAATTATAAATAGAAATCAATCAATATTAATAAATAGAGATAACTTTATTTTGATATTTATAATTTAATAAAGTGCAATTGATAGTTTGAACAAATCTGAATACTCTAATTTGAGAGTTGAGAATACATAAATAATAATCTTTATTAATTTATTTATTCATATTTAATATTAAATTTTCATAAAAATTTACAAAATTTAAAAGATTGGTTGTTGATAATTTCTCATCAGACTTATGAATACCATAATCATTATCATTTACGATGATTGGTGTTATCCTAAATATATTTGGAGAGATATGCCAATAGTGAATGGTATCTGTGTTGGCTAGCATTCCTCCAGAGTACACTTCAGTATTATCTCCAAATACCCTGAGAATTGTTTGTTTAACAGCGTTGTAAGAAGTACTATTGGGGGAAGAGTAGGGTGATAGTGGACGAGTACTTAAAACCTTTAAAGTTATTCTTGTATCATTAATTAGCTTTATATTTCTTTCGACTAAAGATGGAATATCGATACCAGGTGCAACTCTATGACTGACCCATGCAGTTGCAGAAACAGGTAATACATTTGGTTTGATTCCAGAATTGAACATTGTAACTGTTGTTGTTGTCCTCTTTATATAGTAAAGTGAAGGATTAGTTGAGATCTGTTCTGGACTAAACAGATCCAAGTATGGATTTTGATATTGTTTATCTTCGAAATATGGAACAGGATTAGATTCTAATTTAATGATTGCTTTTGCCAAGATTCCTATTGGTGATTTCAATGAAGGTGGCATTGAAGAATGACCGGTTGTTCCATTAGCTGAAATGGTGTAGAACAGAGAACCTTTTTCATAAACACCAATTACTGATGTTTTATTTTTAACTCCCATATACCCAGCTTCTCTCAAAGGATTTCCTTCATCAATTATCATTTCTGCTTTGATTTTATTGTTCATCAAATATTCTGCTATCTTTTTGTGACCTTGGGCACCCTGTAACTCTTCATCATGTCCTATTGCAAGATAGATTGATCTCTTTAGTGTCAATGATTGACTTAAGAGATATTCAACAGCTTCCATTGATGCTATAACACTTGATTTATCATCGATTGCACCACGACCCCATATATAACCATCTTTTATGACACCACCAAAAGGATCAACCGTCCAGCTTGATTTATCAACAGGAACAACATCATAATGACTGTTTATCAAGATTGGAAGTAAATCTTTGTTTTTACCTTCCCATTGATATAATAAAGAGTGATTGTTGATAATATTCACCTTCAATTTATTATGTATCAATGGAAATGTCACTCTTAGATATTTGATAAACTCATCGAATTGTTGATTATCCTTTTTTGAATTTACATCATAACTTCCATATGATATTGTTTGTATTTTGATTGCCTAGATATGATATATTCAATTAAATCTGTATTAAAAAATAATATAATAAAGAATTAAAATAAAAATTATTACATTTGCAAGCTTTAAAGAAATGACATTTTCTTTACTTTGAGGATAACCTTTTATTTCTAAAATACTATTAATATTTATAATATATAGAATTAAAAAAATATAAATATTTAATTTCATTATTATTTTTTAATGAAGAGAAGAGGAAATAAATAACATAAAGAATGCACGCAATGCATTTATTTAATATCTGAACTGTGTTATTAAATTTTTAATAAACACACTATTACAATAATGATCATGAATCAAAATAAATCTACTTGTATAAATCATGTAGTATATCATTCTTTTTTTTTTATAATAACTAAAGTGGTATTGTAGTAGATCATCTAAAAAAAAACAAATAATAATAATAATTGTGGTTTCTATTGAACTTTTTCGCATGATAATCTCTGATTTTATTTTTCGGCTCAGAGTTGTTGGTATTAACAAAAATTGAATGACAAAATATTTCATATTATGTTACAGATATTTTTTAAAAAACAATTTCAAATTAGTCAAAATTTTGACTCAAAAATGAATTTAAAAGAAAGTTCTTTTGAACATGTTGTAGTGTGCTCTTTTTTTATGTGGTTCAATTTTGATCAGATTTATTTTTGTTTTTTTTAAAAAATATCATTTTTATTTTATAAAATATCACATTTATATAGATATATATATATTTTTTTAGGAGGCATACTATACATACAACACAATTCAAACTATATAATTAGCCAACTTATCTAAGTTTGATAGTTCTATCAAACGAACATATATATTTTTATATATATATATATATATATATATATAACAATGGAGACATTACCATTGTTAATCAGATCTATACCAGTCTCAAAGTGGCCAACAGGATGTAAACCTATCGATCAGAAACTGACTTTGTTATCCGATGGTTCTGTTGGTACTTTCATAGCTACACTTACTTCACCAACAACATCAACAACATCAACAACATCTATATCAAAGTTAAATCAACAACAACAACAAAAACAATTACAAATATTGAATATCAGTGGTATTCAATCATTGTCAACCAATCATAGAAGAGGAAGTACTTCGTCTTCAAATGATTTAGATCTATTTAAATCATCAATTGTATTAGATAGTCATAGTCATAGTCATAGTCATAATCATTTAGATCAACACCATCAACAACAACAACAACAACAACAACAACAACAAGATGTAATAGAGATTAGTTTATTGGGTGACGTTGTTAATCAGATTATTAGTAATCAATTGGCAACGGTTGGAGAGACACTTCAATGGTGTAGACCGGTTCCTATGTACTCGACGATTGCTCTCTACTCAAGTGAATCGGAATCACTCCAAAATATACCGGCAATCTTGGCATTCTCATCGTCAACAACAGCATCACAGACATCTCTACATATTCTATCAATATTTAAAGACAATAGTAGTAGTATCAATGTTAACAACAATGCTGGTAATAATACAAATAATAACAAATATAAAGTAAAGAAACAACTTACTATTATATCAACTGATTCTAATGATTTACATGGTACTACAAAGTTATTTAATAATCATTCAACACAACAACAGCAACAACTACAACAACAACAACAACCATTATTTCAATTTCATTCATTTACAATTACCTATAACCAATTATTAACATTAATACAAGTTGAACCAGATGGTATGTATATTTAGTATCTTTAATATAACATAATGATATGATCTTTATTAACAACTATCTATTTATTGTTGTGTTATTTAATGTTAGTTAATGAAAAAGTTAATTTACAGATTATTCCAAGTGAAAAGGTTGGACAACTTGTAGTTCTGATCAATTATATTAGAATTGTTATTATAAAAATTAAACAAGTAGATCATTCTAGATTTGTTGTATATATAGATAGATACTTTAGTTTAAAGTCAACTGTAGATTCTGATGATGAAGAAGAAGAAGAAGAGGAAGAGGAGGAAGAAGAAGAAGAAGAAACAGAAGGAAAAGAAGATAGAAATGACAATAATAATAGACAAATATTCAAAATAGTTGATAAATGGTTATTCGTATTCAATAGGAATTCATTGTATTCTCAACGTTTAGATATATGGAGTTTGAACGGTAAACAACGTGGTTCATTAGATATCATAAACTATTTAAAGAAATACAATTTAAATGATAACAATAATAACTATAATAATAATAATAATGGTAATGTTATATAACTAATCAATTGATAATGATGTTGTTATGTAAACTAACTAAAAATGTTGTTATTATTATTATTATTATTGGTTTAGATAATTTCGTAAAAGATAAATCTATTGCTATGATAAAAGATATCTCTGTGTCATCGGATAAAGAGTTACTGTCGGTTCTCGATGAGAAGGAACGTATCTATTTGATCAACTTGGATCACTACTTCCAGAGTGTCGAACAACCTGCCTATCACACGAACGAGTTGGTTTGCTTCGACAGTCAATTCAATAGAGATAGTAGTGGTAGTACCGCCACCGATCTGTTGTTTGCCGACCAGACAACTAGTAACACCGCCGCAACTGCTCTATCGTCATCTACATCGAATGCCAATCATATCGATTTGAATGGTAGTAGTGGTAGTACAAAGTTTGGTGGTAGTAGTCATGGAAGTCATGGTAGTTTCAGTAAATACAATACCACTGATATGAATGCTACTGGTGGTGGTGGTGGTGGTGGAAGTAATCATAACAGTATCAACGATCTCTCTTCGATGTCACTTAAAGGTGATCATAGTCAACACGATACCGATACGGAGCACACTGAGAACGATGGTGCTGAATCGGACTTGGATTCCGACGAGTATGACGACTGTCTCGAAGACGACTTGTTCCTGTTGCATTGGTACGAGAGTGAAGATAGCAAGTGTATGCCACTTGATTCCATCAAAGAGTATGATAACATGGTTGGGTGGTTACCTAATCATCCAATTAACTACCCTTCCAACGGTTATAAAATAAGTAACATCAATAACCTAAACAACAATAATAACAATGATAGTAATAATAGCAGTAGTACTAGTTATCAACAGCAACAACAACAACAACAATCTAAAAGACAAATATCAAGAGAGAGTTCATTTAATAATGCATCGTTATTAAGTAGATCGATTTCAAATCAAGATATATCATCATTTAATAACAATGATCATCATCATAATCAACAAAATCATTCAGAAGTTAATTTATTATCAGAAACTCAGTTAGTTAGTAATAATGCAAAAGATCAACAACCAGATGATATCAATTGTTATAATCTAAACTTAAAGAATAGTAATAGTTTGTCAGTGAATAACGGTGGATTGGAGTTGGTTGATTCGAGTGTATGGATAACTCCTCTTGTAATTGTATATCAAAGAAACTACCATGACAGTGTCACTGGTTCGTTTAGCTGTGAGCTTCACTTTGTGAGTAGATCCGATCCATTCACAAAGCAGTCGTTCCACGCCTACTCTGAGCGATTACAAGTTGTAATGCTAGCGGACCAGTCGTTCTTTTACATCAGTAGTGTTGGTCTGCACGTTGTCCTGATCGACCAGAATCAACAGCAGATTCTAAACAACATGATTATGTTTGAGGGAAGTGCCAGTGCCAATCACCTGTGTGAGATCAACAATTGGAACAAACGTGACCTAAAGATTCACGCGCTGCAACTCGGTCTCAAGTATCGCCAGTTGGACGTCGTTGAGCCGGCTTTGAAATCACTGGATTTGGATCAACAGTTGATCGGTAGTCGTCTGCTCGTCAACACGATCTTGGAGTACACTGCCAATGCTTCGAATGCCAACGTTCACAATGAATCGTTCACCTCAGAGCTACTACACATTGGAATGAACTTTATTGGTTTGATTATAAAGGATCGTGCTTCACTGGTTCACGCAGCCATCCCGCATCTCGGTGACAACTGTATCAATTTCAACTGGACGGAAACACTTACCACTCCACTCAACCAATCAAACTTGACGCTGTCTTCACTCAATGTAATTCTATCGCCGTCCAGAACAGACAACAACAACAACAACAGCAACAACAATAGTAGCAGTGTCTCACCATCTGGCGTTTGTGACTCCAATTCCACTTCGCACGATATAAGCTCGCCAATTCAAGATCTTTTGAATTTCACTACTATTCTCGAAGCATTTAGAATGTTCCAGAAACAACAGCAACCTTCTTCCAAAGCGAAATCCAATGTTAGCTATGCCAATCGCAATCCAATGAGTATTCCAGGATCATCGGTGCAAATGCAACACCATCAGATGAATAGCGGATCGGCCGTGTTGTTGTCATCCGATGAGATTGATATGGGACCGTGGTTCGGTGGATTGTGTGAGCGTTGGGAGCGTATGGAAGAGTTGGAGCTTGTTAAAGAGTCGCTTTCTAACAACACTGTTTCCTCGGCCATAGCTTTTATCAATTGGAAACGTGAACGCAATGGTCTGCTACTCTCGAGCTCACAGTTCCTAGAGATGGACGGCGGTGGAAGTGTTGTCGCCACCTCGAGCAATCCAATGACTCGCTCGCAAGACAGCCAACTTCCAAAGATCATTCCATCGAGCGGAACATTCACACTGGCTCACTTCCAACAGATTGCAGCGTGTCTTGTGTTCCAAGCGATAAGCCAAGCTCAGCTCGAACCAGCACTCGAATATCTTGCGCACATGGGACAGCCTATTGTTCCGCATCTTCGCCAGATTGCCTTATCGACTTCGCGTCGTTCCATTCGATCGCTGCTACTGGATGCGCTTGCCAACCATCCACTGGCAACCGACAGGTCGATCTTCTCCACTGAATTCCTCGCACTAATGTCGTTTGCCAAGCAAATCGAGACACTCTATCCCAATCCAAGTTACTACCGCGAGTTCTCACGTCTTTCTTTTAGATACCGTCCATTCCACGAGTCGCGTCCACCACCCTTGTTGCAACAGTCACAGTCGCCAACCATCGGTCTGCCAAGACACGCTTCCTTTGAGAGCCAAACAATCGACGATGATCTCAAACCACTCTGTCAAGAAGTGGACGACATCCTGCCCGACACTGAGAACAACTATGGATTCCACATTGTCACTCACAACATTGGTGGCAGCAGTGGAAACATCTACCAACAGATGCCAAACAATAATTTCCTACAGGCACAACTCAGACAAGACACTGGAAGAAGAATCACTCTGTATCCGCCAATCAAGAATGATACTCCTTTCCAATCGGTCGATAACAACGACATAGGTTACAGTCATTTCACTCTCAACTGGGCATCGAAATGGTCGTCGCTCACCAAAGAGCGTATCTTGATCGATAGAAACTTTGAGATGGAGAAGCGTGATCGTATCGCTCGTCTCTTCTTTGCCGTTTCTCACTCTCGTTCACAAGATGTTATTACATGGGTTGATAATGAGTTGACAACCACTGAGATTCAATACTTTAGATCGTTGGTATTGACCGACTTTTCACCGGCATCATCCAACGCTCAACAATACCAACAACCTCAACCTGAACCTTTGGTTTTAGAATTACATAAATCCATCTACCAAGCAATGTCAATCGCTCTGCCATTCATAAAAGATATCTTTTTGAATCAACTGGCAAGACATAGAATATTCTTGTTGGATTTGGAGACTGCACCGTTGTTCTATATCGACAGTAGATACCGTCGTTCCACCAAGGAAATAATTCTACTCAAACGTCTATCCAATACATTCCAACTGTTCCCAGTGATTAACAATGGTGTTGTCCAACCACATTCCTATCCACTGAGCATGATCCTTCCCATTGGAGAAACCTCTCCATTCCACAGATTCTTTATCAACTTTTGTATTGAAAACAAAAACATGATGTTGTTGTCAAGTTACATCCAATCATATCAACTTGCCAATTGTGTGAGTGTACGTGCTCAACATATCGGAGTTGACCAACTAGATTCACTTAGCTCAGAGTCACAGCTACTCTTCTTGCTTCGTACGCGTTCGCCTGCAGATTTGCTTCGTGCAAACATTGTCAACATGGCAATGACTCTCCACTCGAATCCACCATTGGAATCAAGCGGAATCGATGGTTTCCTCTCGACTTTGAACAGTGCGATCTCTGCCAACAGACCACTGCTTGCATTGTCGGCAATGATCTATGCTCCTACCTCTATTGCTTCGCTGCTCACCGAGGTGACTGACCACGGCACCAAGTTGGATACCACCCCACTGCTCCAAGCGTTCAAAGCCAACCCAACTTTGCACTCAACACTCTCCACCATCCTCCACAAGCAACAATCCAGCTTCAAACCAAACAAACGATCGATGTCCAAACCAAGAGATATCATAAGTTCCAAGTCGGACATCACTCTCTCTGAGATCATTGAAGCCAACTCAACATTCTCGCTCTCCTCGTTGTTTGGCGCGGTTGGAGCCGACCCACTCTCGGTGCGTGTTGCCGACATTGCAACTCAACAATTCAAAGAGGCATACATCGATAGAATCGATGTGTTTTACTATCTTGAAAAAGGTAGACCGATGCTTGCCTATCAGTTCCTTGTTGATAGACACCGTCGCAACACCAAACAATCTTTTGATCAACTGTCAAACGAACATATCAGTCTCATTGGTTGGTTGATTCGTTCATTCGTTTTGAACAGGGTTAGTGATGAAACCTCTGTTTGTTCAGCGATAACCTTGTTGGAGTTGATGAATTTGAAATTCCTGGCGACCATGGTCAAAGTCGACTATTTGGTTGCCAAACGCATCATAGAACACCAACAATCAAACAAAGAGGAATTCGAAGCGAATCCATTCGATCTTATCGATTTAATCAATGTTTTCCACTCGATATATCCAGCTCCTTCGACTCTCCCGCTGAAACAAAGTGAAGTGTCACACAGACAAGTGGCAGCCGGCACACCCATCTCTAAGATTATCAGTGCTTTCGAAGCTACCTTACCACTTGATGAACAACTAAGTGAATCCAGCTCAAACTGGGCTATTCTCTCACGATTCTGTCAGGTTCACTCGGTATCTCTGGTTACTCGTCGTCTAGAGTATCTGGCGCGACAAGACAACTGGTTGGCATTCCTCTACGAATCACAACAACACCAATTCCCAATGTCACAAATAGCGAAAATCATCAAGATGTTCTCCAACCAAGGAATTCGCAATCATCTTACTCTTGTTCTCGAGCAGATATCCACTCAACGTCTGCGCATCCATGACACTCCACCACCCACTACCGACTCTGAGTTGTTGTCACTCTCGATTGAATTCAACCCGATAGAACCAACAAAGATGTCACATGATATCATGGACTATCTACTATCATCATACCGTACAACCGATCCAGCAAACTATTTACTCTACTATGCAGTCACACACGAAAGAGCATTGCTCGCTGTTTTGGCGTGTATTGCTGCAGCTGAACAAAACAAACAATCATCATTTGCATCGATCAATACAACCGTTTGTTTAGTTACATGGCTATCTGTTTCTATTCCATCGTTGGCTACTCATTTATCCAATGTTTCTCAAACCAAACAACAACAGCAACAACTCCAACAACAGGTTGACGAAGACGATGACTCTGACACTGACCAAATTCCACTACAAACTAAATGGACACTGGACGATCTACATCTATCGATTCACTATATCGTTCAAAACAGAAAGACATTCATTCTTCTTCAAGGTCTAAAGATATTCATGCCTCAAAGTCCGTTGATGACATTCCTCAGATTCATCAGTCAGTTCCATCAATATCGTTTCGAAGACTCTGAAAACAGCTTGGCTCTTTTCATTGAGGAACTAGGTCGTCTTCAACAAGACCAATTATCAACAATCAAACGATTGGCTATTGACGTATGTGAAGGTCTATTGGATCTCTACAGTTCCTACGAGAGAGAACACTTCTTGGGAATCTTGCATCGTTCCAACCTATCGAATAACTTCTCAACACTCTACTCCACTCTTCACTTGATGAAGCGTACCATGCTCGAAGATAAGAATATCCGTTTGGATCCAAAGGTTATTATCGATCGTCTCTTGGAAAAGAATCTGTTTGCCGAGGCGCGTACCTACTCCAATGAAAATCACCTCGATAAGGACATCATTACTCTCGCCGAAGTCGAGTCACTCGTTGCTCACTACAAGCATGGATGCCTTTGGGAGTTGGAGCAAGAGCGTATCAACCTCTGGAAGAAGTGTCAACACTATTTCGTCATTCACCAATGTCGTCCTGAAGTTGCGGGTGACTTCTTCCACCAGATCTCACAAAAGTTGGCACCCTCCAACGAGAAGGTGTTCCTTCTTCAGACCACTGCAGATTGGTTCGAAAAACGAGCATCATCCAACAATGTACAACAACAGCAGGTTGAAGACCTCAAGAAACAGATACTGCTCATCTCTGTAGGATTGTCTTTGGAGAGCGAACAACAAGACGATCGTGATTCCTCATCGACATCGGTGTCACCCTCCACCTCACCGTATCGTCCATCCCACATGCCTCATTCCTCCTTTACATCGCCACTTCAATCGCCATCGACTTCACTCTCATCTTCCCCAGACAACTTTGATCCCAATCCATTCCGTGAACACATAAAGAAACAACAGAATACCAATAATAACAACAACAGTAATCGTTATTCAACTTCACCTCCATCGAGTGGTGGCAGTGGATTTGGTGTTGGTGCAATACCAATGTCATCGATGACTCCAATGACAATGTCTACACCCTCTGCCTATTTGTCACCGTCGAAACCAACACCAAGATTGGATCCAATGTCAATCGATCCCAAGGGATTGGACAATGTCATTGCGAAACTTCTCAACTCTGGCAACTATGCACAAGCCGAACAAATCTCAAAGCAATTCTCATTCAAGAGTTTAGACTATGAGATTGTCTTGACAATGATTTCCGTTGCCAACAAAACCATTAGTCCAAGTCCACATTCATTCTCACCGACAATCTTGTCTATGCTTGAAAACAGCTATCACGGATTGAAATGGATCAAGCAACAAAATGAACAACAACAGATGAACAGCAGTACATCGTTGATTGGCTCTTCGTTGACATCCAATGGAACCAATAACAATCCAATTTCGTTGGCTCTCGAAGCGCTATCGTCGTGTTGTCACCTTGCCAAAGAGGCAGCCAAGTCCATTCTCACCAAGTACAACGTCAGTCAGAAACTATCGATGAACTACTCTGACCTACAGTTGGAAAATCACTATGACATAGTCAACCTTCTCCTACTTCAAGGCAAAGAGTGTTTCCGTTTGATCAAATCATACCTTTCGACCAATCATCTCGATCTTGCCAAGATCAACATCCAACTTGCCGATACCTTTGCAAAGGCTGTCAAAGTTCAATTCCCTGTGAAATCATCACTATCGAAATCTATTTCGAATTCCAATATCTCTGGTGACTACTACAATGGTAATCGTAGTGCTCCTTCGACACCTCAGAAATCCTATCCAAACAGCAGTGGCAGTTCGCTGCACGACAGTGGAGGAAGCTCCTCTTCAGCGGGAATCGATCCGGCTTGGACATCGGAGGAATTCAACGAATACATTAGACTTGGTCGTGATCCATTCACTTTTGGTATGAGACTGTTGGAAGCAACCGGAATTGATTTCGACAAGGCAGCCGTCACTAGTTCACCAGTGTTTGCCAAAGCAAACTCATTGTCGCCATCGGGAATGGAAGCAGAGGTAGAGCTATTTGTTCGTGCACACTTTTGTTTTGTTGTAGCTTGTAGTGTCGACGGAAGCATCCTCGTTCAAAACATTGTAAAGTCACGTATCAACTATTATGCAGATGCCGGACAATTCAAACTGCTTGTTCGTCTCATCACTGGAATGCAATGCTACAATGAACTACAAGGAATTCTCGATATTCTCTTACAACACGATAGCTTTGAACTGCTGCTTCGAAAGAAGATTCATCAACACGAAGATCACAACGGTTTGAAACTTGCACTTCACAGCTACCTCTTGAAGAAACAGCCACTCTATCAAGATAAACTTGAGATGTTGTTCTATCGTTTCAATATGTATCGTGAAATCGCAGCACTGCACGAACACCGTGCCAAACAAAAGTTGGAATCCATTGTCAAAGATCCAAAACAACCTGGAAATTACATCAAGGATCTACTGATAGTGATGGAGTCATTCTTGAATGCCGCCGACAACTATGCAAAGGAGAGATCGAATCGCACCTCTCAGTATTGTGTGGCTATGGGTACACTCGTTGCTCTACAAATTAAACTACCCGATATCAAACTCATCAATCTAAAGCAATCGGAAGCAAGACAAACAATGATATCTCGTCAAACATTTAGAGAGTCACTCATCATTGCAAATGCTTATAATCTGAATATTTATTCCGACTGGATAAAGTAATAGATCAATTTTTAAATTTTACAGATATATCTAGTAACCAACTAACTGACTAATTAAATTATCAACTATAGTGTATTATTCCAACAGGTTCTTTGTCTTGGAAATTTCACATACCTTCAAGATTATATTGCCAACTTTTCCGTTCCACAAAATCTATTCCATGACTTGATTAAAAGAGTATGTAACCTTATAAATATGAATAGGTTTAAACTTTTATTAATATATATTAAACATAACTATAGTTTAAGGGTGATACAACCAAACAAGTTAAAGTTCAACATGTTAAGTATCTTTTAAACAACTTTTTAAATGATAAGCATCTACGCTATGATCTTGCAAAAGAATCAGGATTTGAAGATATTGTAGCACAAACTGTCAGTTCATCTTTAGGTATCGGATACTTTAAATCAAGTCAGGGCATGACTCCAAAGAAATAATAATCATTTGTTGTGGAATCAATTACTTATCAATTGGTAATGAACAAAATACAACACTACAGTTTGAAAGTTTATAAATATAATAAAGATAACAGTATAGATTTAGTATAGTACAACTAGTTTACTATTTTGTTTTTTTTTTTTCAGTTTTCTGATGACACTTCTTAAAGATATAAAATTGGGTTGTCATCAGTTATTTTTAAAAATACAATAAATTGTATCTGATCATTCAAAAAAACTGTAAGATGGAATATTCCCACGATAGTACCAGCCACTAAGATAGTACAGATCAACAAAAGAGAGATGGAGGTAGTAAAAAAGGAATTTAAACAAAAATTCCGCATTATGGCCGCATTATGGGCTATTTTAAAATATTTAAGTTGCTCTGCTGAGATTCGAACTCAGATGACTGGATTCAAAGTCCAGGATACTAACCCTTATATGACAGAGCATTTTTCTTGATGATCCAGAAAATACTTATGTTTTTATTTTCTAATTTGGAGTCGAAAATTGAATTCACCTCTTTCTGGTACCTGATAATGTGAAGATCTTCTCAAACTTTTTCCTTTGGTAAAGGTGGTAACTTCAAGTGTTACATGTATTGTTAAACATAAATATCAAAACACATCTTCATTTAATGCCGTGTGGTTCATATCGCCAACGCTGGGTTCACAGGGAAGTCTTGCAACAATACGACAAGTCAATGAAATATAAAAAAAAAAAAAAAAATTGAACAATTTATGATATATCCACCAAAATACAGAAAATTTCTAAAAAAATTCTGATTAGTTTTCATGTTTAAATTTTTTTGAGGATAGTCCAACTAATCTTATCTGTTTGCCATTATGGTTTACTAGTAAAATTTTTATATTTAACAACCACAAATGAAAGAAACAATTGTTTTATGGATCCCAATAGATACAAATGTCAATGCTAAAGACTATCAAATTCCAACTATTGAAAATCAAAAGGATACATTGATGAGATTAATTGCACCAGCAGCAGAGGATGATGAAGAATTAGCCAATATTAATGACTATGATCATGGCAACAACTATGGAGGAAGAGGAAGACAACAAGAAACGCCCGATCCAATGGAAAAACTCATTTCAAAAAGATTCAAAGAGTTTGTATCACCATGGATTGACGTAATGAGCTTTTCACACAATGTGTCTTCTGGGTCAATCAAGAAAAGAAAACGTGTTGGTAAATTGATGTGTTCCAAATATACTTGTGATCGATCACCAAACTTTAATTACATGGCAATGCGTGATGAAATCATTCCACATGTCATCTTTCGTGTCATTGGAAAGATATCAAATCGCGTCCTACCAATCATTGAATATGAAATGCATGATGTACAGATCACCGATGTATCAACTAATGGTGGTTCAGGTAGAAAACATATCGAAACAATATCATTAAATGCAAAGATTATCATCAACAAGAATATTAGATTGAATTTGGAAACTGGTGAATTTGAAACGTATCAAGTTTCCAAGTGGGATCAATTGAAGGGAACTGGATCAAAGACACTCTATTCGAACAAATCTGGTGCCAAAGGAACTAGTAAGACACTATTGGAAATTGCAAAGAAGAGATTGATGTTGGATTTGGCTTCACATGACCCTTCAACTGTTGCACTCCTCAAAGAGATGGGAATTGTCACTGAATATGAATTACCACAAGTCATTAAAGTTAGTGAAGATGAATTTGCCGACTACTGCAAAGTTTTAACGAATAGAGAACCAGAACTCTATCAAACTTTCAAGATTCCAAAGCCACAGACCATTGAAAACTATAAGAAAACTATTGCAGAGACTCTATCAATTCCAGTGGATACGATCAAGACCTTATATTGCGTAACAAGTGGTGTTCCGATAACCGAAGAAAAGTTTTTAAAACCAGCAAATTCCTTTGTTGTACAAAAACCAGATGGAAAGTTCATAGGATACAAGTAAATAATAGATTTATTACAATAATTATAATTTGTAAATCTTATTGAACCATAAATTAATTAAAAATTAGATAAAAAAGAAATTGAATACCTGTTATACAGCCAAAATCTGAGAAACAGGACAGAGGTTTCAAAATATCAAACAGTTATACATTTATTAGTTTCTATAACAAATAAATATATTCTAAGATAGATCTTTGTTAAAGATTAATTATTAGAAAAAAATTAAAACATTTACCATTTTAAAAAAAATAAAAAAATAAAAAACAAAAATTAACTGTGCATATTTTTGCTGTAGTTATTGAACCTTCATGTCTAGTAAAACAGGATTAATTGTTTTAAGTTGATTTTGTTTTGTTGAAGGGATATATAATAATCCAATTATAATTAATTAAAGAAAATGAAGTAAATTTTAAACATTGAGTTTGCAAACTTCAAATGTTTTAAATTACAGTACTGTAATTTCAACCAGATTTTTTTAGTTGATTCTTTCAAAAGGCTAGCAATTTAATCAAATTTTTAGAATTTTTGGTACCAACAAAAGATAAATATAGAAAAATTAGAATCTTAGTGGCAAAATTTCTAAAAAAAGACGTCTAGAAAAAGAATTCCAGACATTTGTTTTTTTTTTTTTTGGAACAATGCGCGCATCAAGGGTTAACATTTTTAAAAACTTAACGCCCAATGTGGGGCTCGAACCCACGACCACACGGTTAAGAGCCGTGCGCTCTACCGACTGAGCTAACCGGGCGCTTGTTGATGAAGATCTAAAATTAAATTTTTTAATTTGTAGTTCTAAAATGAACTGCTGAATTTTCAAATATCTAGGAAATAGTTTTTTTTTTAACATCTATCTTAAATCACTGTTGGTTAGCACTGTTTATTAATATTGATGAATGTAAATTAATTAAAAAAAAAAACGAGCGACGATTCTTGATTTTTTTTAATTATTAAATTGTGTACAACATTCCTCAGTTTGTTTCACAGATTGATTACGAATAGAAATGGTTAAATCAACATCACAATCAAATAAGCAAAAGAAAGTTACAACAAGTAAACATAAAGAAAGATCATTCGAAGACAATGGCAAAACACATGAAGTTGACGTTTCCATCAGTAAAGGTGAAGAGAAACATCGTATTCTTGCACAAAGCTATCCTATAAAATTGGCAATGTGGGATTTCGGTCAGTGTGACAGCAAGAAGTGTACAGGTAGAAAACTAGAGAGACTCGGTTATGTCAAAGCAATCAGTCTTGGAAATAAATTTAGAGGTATTGTTCTAACGTATGTATGTTTAATAATGAGATTGAGGAACAATGTTATTAAAGTTTTATTTACTTTACTACTTACTACTAGACCTGATGGTAAGCAATCTATTTCACCAATAGATAGAGAAATAGTTGAACAACTTGGTATATCAGTAGTCGATTGTTCATGGGCTAAATTGGAATCGATTCCATTTGCAAAGATGAGAGGTGGTCATGATAGATTGTGTAAGTTATAACCGTCTATCAACAATCAATATACATATGCAGTAGTTTGTGTTTATCTAATTTGTTTTTTATTTTTAATTATTTCCAGTACCATTCCTTATTGCTGCGAATCCAGTTAATTATGGTAAACCATTCAAGTTGTCCTGTGTAGAAGCAGTTGCAGCTTGTCTGTTCATCACTGGTTTCGATAAGGAAGCACATCAGATATTGAGTGGATTCAAATGGGGACCATCGTTCTACACTGTGAACAAAGATCTATTTGAAAGATACTCATTGTGTAAAGATAGTACTGATGTTGTCAATGTACAGAATGAATTCCTAAAGAAGTGTCAAGAGGAGCAGTTGGAGAAGATCAACGCATTGAGCATAACAGACGACGATGGTTTAATTTCAAATCCAAATAGATTAGTACAACAAGATATAGAATATGGTGAAGAAGAAGATGATGATGATGACGATGATGATGATGACGGGGATGAAGAGGAGGAAGATGAAGAAGAAGAAGAAGAAGAAGAGGAAGAGGAAGAGGAAGAAGAGGAAGAAGGAAAAGTAGAAGAAAATAAAGGTGAAACTAATCAAGACGATGATGACGAAGATGAAGATGATGAAGAAGAGGAGGAAGAAGAGGATGAAGAAGAGATAAAGAAGAAATATAGAGAAAAGAAAGAACAACAACTACAAAAGAGAGAAGAAAGAAATCAAAGAAAAGAACAAGAAAAATCATCTGGAAACAATAAGAAGAACAGGCATAGACGTTAAATCAACATCTTTACAAATTTGTAATAAAAAAATAATAAATTAAGATATATCTATTTTTATATTTTAAATCAATTGGCAATGATTTTAATATAACATTTATAAATGTTTAAATTAATTTAATTTGAATTTTATATATTTTATTTATTTCTAAATCGATATCCAACAAAGGATTTGATTTGATTACTGTACAATTATATATTTAAAAAGTTGTGTTTTTTTTTGATCATTTTAGTAATGATACTTTGCTCTTGATTTCTTCTTTGGTTTCTCTTCTTCGATTGGAGCAGAGGTAGTTGATCTCTTTCCTTTCTTTGTTGATTTCTCCTCTTCCTCTTGTTCTACTTCTTCTACTTCCTCTTGTTGTTTCTTTGACTTTGATGATGACTTTGATCTTGAAGATGATTTACTGGCTGGCTTGGTTTGAACTTCCTCTTGTTCCATTTCTTCATCCTCGACGACTGGTTCCTTCTTGGACTTTGATGATGTCTTTGATTTTGAAGACTTGGTCGACTTGACTTCCTCAACGACCTCTTCAACTACTGGCTCAGCAACAACAGCTTTCTTTGATTTAGAAGACTTGGTTCTGGAAGACTTGGCTGCAACTTCCTCAACTTGTGCTTGTTCTTGCTCAGCTTCATCAACGACTGGTTGTTCCTTCTTTGATGATTTCGAAGACTTTGATCTCTTGGATGGTTTCTCCTCTTGCTCAACAACTTCCGGTTGTTCTTTCTTTGATGACTTGGTTCTTGAAGATTTGGTTGGCTTGACTTCCTCCACTACTTCTTCTTCGGCTTCGACGACAACTGGTTCCTCAACGGCAGCTCTCTTCTTTGATGACTTTTTGGTTGGCTTGACTTCCTCAACTTTCGCTACTTCCTCTTCGACGACTGGTTCAACAGTTTTCTTTGATCTTCTCGACTTCTTTGTTGTTGGCTCTTGAACTACCTCTTCGACGACTGGCTCAGGCTCCTCTTCGACGACTTGTTCAACTGTCTTCTTTGATCTTCTCGACTTCTTTGTTGTTGGCTCTTGAACTACCTCTTCGACGACTGGCTCGGGTTCTTCTTCAACAACCGGCTCAACAGTCTTCTTTGATCTTCTGGACTTCTTTGTTGTTGGTTCTGGGACTGCTTCCTCTACAACTGGTTGTGGTTCCTCCTCTTCAACTGGAGTCTCGACAACTTTCTCTTTCTTTGATCTTCTCGACTTCTTTGTTGTTGGCTCTGGAACTACCTCTTCGACGACTGGCTCTGGTTTTTCTTCAACGACTGGCTCTGGTTCTTGATTACGCTTTGCCTTGGTCTTGGATCTCTTGGACTTCTTTGGTGTTGGCTCTGGAACAACCTCTTCTTGTACTTCTTCCTCAACAACATCTGCTGAAGTCTCCTCAATCATTGGTTCATCAACATGCTCCTCAGTGAATTGTGGTTCTTCTTCGACTACAGATTTCTTGGCACGCTTTGATCTCTTTGATTTTGATGGAGTTGGTTGCTCGACTTCGGCTGGTTGCTCCTCGATGGTCAATTCAGATTCGAATTCCTTCTCGAGATTGGAGTCATCTTGTTGTGGAATCTGTGGTCTGGATGAGACAGAGTGGACTAAATCTGGATCGAAACTGTCAATGGTAGAAACAAAGCTTCTTCTCAAAGAACGCATGGCAGAAGGAGTTTCAGTGCTGGGTGTTGTGGCCAATGATTTTCTTGGTTTGACAGCAGAGTCAGTGAACAAATCACTCATTGAAATACTCTTACGCTTCTTTGGATCGGAAATTGGTGTGGAACTTTGTGAAGTGACAACTGGACTTTCAACTTTAACTGGTGTCTGAGTCTTGGCTGGTGTTTGAGTCTTGACTGGTGTCTGAGTCTTGGCTGGTGTTTGAACCTTAATTGGTGTTTGAGTCTTAATTGGTGTTTGTTCGACCTTGGCTGGGGTTTGGGCAGTCTTGGCTGGTGTTTGAGACTTGGCTGGTGTTTGAGACTTGAGTGGTGTTTGCTCAACCTTGATTGGTGTCTGAGCAACCTTGGCTGGTGTTTGAGTCTTGACTGGTGTCTGAGTCTTGACTGGTGTTTGAGTCTTGAGTGGAGTTTGCTCAACCTTGGCTGGGGTTTGAGACTTGACTGGCGTTTGAGTCTTGAGTGGTGTCTGAATCTTAGCTGGTGTTTGAGACTTGACTGGAGTGGAGGATTTTACAGGGGTTTGAACAACATTTTGAATGTTTGCCTCCTCCTCTTCTTCCTCTTCCGCCACTTCATCTTCAAATGGAACTTCATCAAACTCTTGAATGTAATGCTCGTCATCCATCTGAATATCATCAACATTCTCCTCCTCCTCCTCCTCTTCCTCTTCCTCTTCTTCTTCTTCAGAGTCATCTTCCTTCAACTCCTCTTCGTATTCAACACCATCCATGATGTCCTCTTGATTGTCGGCATCCAATTCGTCAGCGTCGTCTTGAACCAACTCTTCATCGGCATTGAACTCGTCTTCAAGTTCAAGCGCATCAGAGTCTGCCTCTTCCTCTGGGTATTGGTCGGCTTCTTCGAATTCTTCGAGTTCTCCTATATCTTCTTCTTCTTCTTCTTCGTAGTCCTCTGCATACTCGAGTGCATCAAAGTCTGGCTCCTCTTGGTCTTCGTCGGTCTCGTCATCGTCTTGCTCGACCAAGTTCGAAGCATCTTGTTCTTCGTCAACCTCTTCCTCAGCCAACTCTGTTTCTTCGAGTTCTTCTTCCAACTCGTCTTCGGCCAGTTCAGCCTCGGCATTCTCAGCGTCCAATGCATGAGCCAACTCCAATTCGTCTTGGTGGAATTCAATAGGATCAGCAGTTTCAAGGTTCTCTTCGAGATCTTCCTCTACTTCTTCCTCTTCTTCCTCAGCTTCCTCTTCGGCCAATTCAAGTTCCTCATCTTCTTGAAGTTCCAACTCCTCTTCCAAATACTCTGCTGCTTCTTCAGCCAAATCAGCAATTTCAGAAATGATCTCTTCTTCGGCAAGCTGAGAAATTTCGGCATTGACTTGTTCACCTTCGAGTTGATCGGTTTCAGTTTCTTCATCAGCTTCTTCTACGTACAACTCATCGTCGTCTTCTTCTTCCTCTTCTACTTCCTCTTGATCTTGCTCATCGGAAGCACTTGAAGCAAAATGATTATCGGTGTCAAACTCTACATCAGCATAGTTATTCTCTTGAGCATCTTCAAACTCTTCGTCGACTTCCTCTTCTTCATCGGCTTCTTCGACTCCTTCGTAAGACACACCGTCAACTTCCTCCTCCTCTTCAATTTCTTCTTCTTCTTCCAACTCCTCCAACTCTTCTTGCTCTTCTAACTCTTCTTGCTCCTCTACTTCTTCTTGATTCTCAGTATAGATACTGTCATTAGCAGAGTAATATTCGTCTTCTTCTTCTTCTTCCAACTCATCTTCCATCATAACATCTTCTTCCTCTTCGACTTCTTCTTCTTCTTCGACTTGTTGTCTTTTGTTTGGTGTTGAAGAATTGGAGAGAGAAGAAATGGCAGATGAGATCGATTCGAACAGAGATTTACGAGCAGAGTTTGGTGTGGATTGTCTGGACAGTGGGGTACCAGCGGATGTGGGCAAGGACAAGCGTTGTGGTGTGAAAATGGGTGAGTTCTTGTTGGACAGTGTGGAGGCACGACGACTTGCGGCTGGTGTAAAGATACTGTAGTCACTGGCAAAAGAGTCATCGAATGTGACAATATCAGCATCGGTGGATCTGATTTGCTCACGAACGGTACGCTTCACCAATGGATCTGAAGTTCTAGTGGCGACGACTGGAGTGGCAGCTGGAGAAATCAAAGATCCATCAATACGATTGAATGTATTTGGCTTGTTTTGATTCTTCTCGTCTGGAGTATGTCTTGGAACAATAACAAGTGGCTGAGCTTTCTTGTTGTTCTTCTTCTTCTTGTTCTTCTTATTCTTTGTTGAAGTGGTAGTCTCTTCCTCTTGTTCTTCCTCCATCTCCTCAAGTTGTTGTTGTTCTTGTTCTTCACTAGCAACAACAACTGGTTCTTCTTCCATTTCAAGATCATCAGTGGACATTGGAGAGTTGTTGGTACTGAGACGTTTGGCTGGAGTGGACAAGATTACTTCATTCTTTTTGAACTCCAATGTGTGATTGTTGGCTGCAATCTTGATTCCCTTCTTGTTTGGAGTGGTAGTGTTTGGTTGTTGTTGTTGATCTACTTTGGCAATCGATGACTTGAGGATGGAAATCGGTGTCTTTGCAGTAGTAACTTGTTGTCTGGCTGGTGTTTGTTGTGGTTGTTGGTATTGGAGAACACTTTGAGTGAGGTGGAATGGGATGGTACCGTCAACGTTGGAAGTCGAGTTCATAAAGGTGGACATGGCGAGTGTACCTTCCGGTGTCATTTCGTATGGCTTTGGACGTGGGGTCTTGAGGATGCCACGAATTGGCTTGGTTGTGGAAGGTGCCGGTGTGGCGACGTCAAACTGAACGACGCCGGGTGTCGACTTGCTACCAGACTTGGTGGTCTTGGAGTTGGCAGAGAGTGCCGAGTTATTCGAGTACACAGAGTACGGAGTGTTTGGTGGCGACATACTCGACGAGGCATTGAACATGCTGGTCGGTGTGGAATACTGTGAGCCTGGTGTAGACATTACATCGTTGTTGTCATAATTGTAATTCTCAGAGTTGTCATCTTCATCACTACTGAATTGACTGTTGTTGCTATTATTTTCATTGTTGTCCATATGCTCATCCTCTTCATCGGATGAACAATCTTCCAATTGAACTCTCTTGTAGGGAGTGGCGGCACGCTTTGTTTGCTTCTGAGGAGTTGGCTCAGCAAACAATTTAATTGGCTGTTGTTTCTTTATCAATTGTGTTCCTTTGGAGACGTTGATCTTTGCGACGGTGCTTGGTGCGACCAACGGCTTCTTGGTGGCAGCAGGCGAAGCAGCATTGCTATTGTTATCTGCCATAATATTATCGAGTGGTTGAAGTGGAATCTTTTTCTATTTTTATGTTAACATATAAAAACAAGAAGAATAAATAAAAGTAAGTAATCTGACTATGAATTAACTATTGTTAGTTGTTGGTTTGTTATCATCTATAACATACTCTTTCACTTATTGGAACTTTGGAGAGTTTCGGTGTCTTTGGAGTGCTGATGAGTTGCGAGGTATTGAATTGGAATTTTCTACCAAGAATCGAAACGATATCACCGTCTTTCAATTGAGTTGGTTTCTGTACTTTTTTCTCATTTAAAAAAGTTGGATTGGTCTTGCTTGCATTGGATAAGATTGCCTAAAAATAATATTAAATTTAAATTAATAAATATGTTCATTTTTAGTTTATTATTAAAAAAAAAAAAGAATATACATTACATTTCCATTTTCCAATTCGATTACAGTATGAAGTGTAGATACACCAGGTAAATGAATTCTAAGACTGTTTTCCAAACCACTAATATTTATTCAAAAATAAAATTAATATCATTATTGTCTTTTTTTTTATTTTTAATTAATTTATAAATTATAAAGACTTACCTTCCAATAGTGAATTTATTTGATTTTAATGTGAATTTCTTTGAGGGCTTGTTATTTTCCTCAAACAAAGTTAAATAGGCAGATTGTGGTAATGGTGATGCTGTTGCCATTTTTGATTATATGTATGATGATGATGATGTTAAAGTGATAAAAAAAGAAAATAAATAAATAAAACTAACTAACTAACTACAAAAAATAAGATAGATTGTGATTATAAAGGTTTGTAGAATTTAAAAAAAAGAAAGAAAGATAAATAAATTTAGAAAAATAAAATAAAAAGCAATTATACTTAAATAAGTGTTCTTTTTGTTTTAGTTTAGTTTTTTTCTAATTAAAGAGTAGGTAGAGTGATTTGTGATTGTTTTTTTTATTATTGATTATGAATAAGTTAAAAAAAAGTTAACAACAATCAATTGATATATACATAAGTTAAGTTTTATTATATTTTCTTATATTTAAAAATTAAAAATAATAAAAATAAAGAAAAAGTAAATAATTGAAAGCAAATTAGTCCTTGAGTTAAATGATAAACTAAACATTTTTTTTCATAATCATTAAAAAGTAATAAATTAAAACTTATTTTTTTTTTTTAACGAAAAAGGCGGCAAAACCCTGTGAATTTGAAATTCTTTTATTTTTTTAAATTTTGGCGCACTTTCTCTCAGGTTTAACAGTTTTGTTCAAATAAATAACATTGATTCTTATAAGATTAGATAGTTTATCAATAAAAAGAATTATAATATTGTAAAATGACAATTATTTAGATTGATTATTAAATTAAAAAAAAAAATGAAAAAGTATCAAATATGAACAATCCAAACAATGATAATGAAATTTCAATATTTTAAAATATTGTGAATAGATAATTGATTATTATTATTATATAAAAGAGAGATAAGATAATATCTAAAAATGCTAATCAATAATAAAATAAAATAAAAAGTTTTGTTATTATTATCTGATTTTTTTTTATTTATTTTATTTTGTTAATTCGATAAACCAGACAGTTGCTTCAAATAGTTTGGTAATTCATTTTCAACTAAATTTAAATATACTTTTTTTTTCGCAAAAATAAATGAATAGTCAGTAGATGAATAGTAGATGTTAGTAAAATGCTTTTTTTTTTTTTTTTTTTGTTATTATAATTAATATTAATTAAGATTGATATGTTGTTCTTACCATTTTTACTGGTGGCAGTGGAATACAGTTTCTCCTCGATGGATTTCGATGCATCGATTGCAGTATGACTATTTGATACAATACCTATACATTTCTCTAAAATATAAAATAATATTCTTTTTTTTTTTTTTTTTTGATAGATTAGATGAGATGTTTGACGCATTTTATTATTATCATTGTCATTATTGTACTTACGATTGCCTCACAGATCTTGGTACTTTAGCTCTTGTTTCAGCTGGTATGGTAGGTAGTAGTGCAATGTCAATGCCAAGTTCTTTCCACTTTGTGACGTCGTAGTTGTCGTTCGATACGATATTTTGCATCTCCTGTGACGGTGTCTTAGAGAGGATGTTCTTGAGCGATGGATTCCATATCGATGTCTTTAGTTTCTGTACGTCAAGTACGGGTGGTGCTGCTGCAGCTGCCGTTGTAGTCGTTGTTGATTTCTCTTCTTCTTGTTTGACAGGTGTTGATGACAATGCTTGTGCTGTTGTATTATTATTATTGTTGTTGTTAATATTAGAGTTACTTGTATTGAGTGAGTGTGAGTGTGAGTGTAAGTGTGAGTGTGAGTTATTTGAAGAACCGAGTGTAGGTGATGTTGCAGTGGTCATCATTATCGGTACGTTCGTTATCGACGTCGAAGAGTTCATCTGTTTCAGCGGGACGGGATAGGTGTTGGCAACTACTGTTTCACCAGTACTGGCGAATTTATATTGTTTCTTGGGTGGTAGTGTTTTGCTGACGTTACTACCACCACTGCTGCTGGTGTTGTTTAAAGAGTCGGTAGATGAGTGTAAAGAGGTCTCTTGTCCGTTGTCGTCGTTGTTGAATTTGAGCACTTTCTTTGGTGGCTGAGATGTAGCGGTGTCTTTAACTTTTGCCTTGACTTTTCGGGCGGTGGCAGGTGGTGGATTCAAATGTGACTCTGAAGAGGATGCTTCACTATCGCTACTATCTTCGGGTTGTTGTTTAACGTAAGGAATAGGTAGTTGTGCTGCTTTCTTTCTTGGATCTTGAATTGATGGTACCTGTGGTTGTTGTGATTGTTGTTGTTGTTGTGAACGTTGTGGTGATGGACTAGAATATTGTCGATTATATGAACTTTGTTGTTGTTGTGATTGTGATTGTTGATGTTGTGTATGATGGTGATGTTGTTGTGATTGTTGTTGTTGATGATGATGATGATGATTACCATAGTCTTGTTGTGAATAAGGTTGTTGATGTTGCTGTTGATAATGATGTTGTTGTTGCTGTGGTTGTTGTTGTTGTTGCTGTTGTGAATAAGGTTGTTGATGTTGATGTTGATATGATTGTTGATGCTGTTGTTGGTATGGTTGTTGTTGTTGTTGCTGGTGTTGTTGTTGGTATGGTTGTTGCTGATATTGTTGATTGTATACATTATATTGTTGATTGTTTGATTGTTGTTGGTATGGTTGCTGGTGCTGCTGTTGTGGGTAGTGCTGTTGTTGGTTATATGGCTGCTGATGTTGCTGACTGTGTGTCTGGTGTTGATAGTGCTGCTGATTGTATCCCGATTGTTGTTGGTTATATGGTTGTTGTTGTTGCTGATTGTAGTTTTGCTGTTGATTATATCCCGATTGCTGTTGATTATATGGTTGTTGTTGTTGCTGCTGGTATCCTTGTTGTTGTTGATTGTAACCTGGTTGCTGACTATACGACTGTTGTTGCTGATTATATCCATGTTGCTGCTGCGACTGTTGATTATATCCCTGTGGTTGCTGTTGTTGTTGCTGTTGGTTATATGGCTGTTGATAACCTTGTTTATTTTGTTGTTGTTGTTGCTGCTGATTAACTCTATCGATATCCATTCCATTATGTTGTTGTGGGTTGTTATTATTATATGCTTGTTGACTATGTTGTGGTTGTTGCTGTTGCTGTTGCTGTGGTAGGGGAGGTGTAGTTTGTTGTTGTTGTGGCGACTGTTGCACAGGTTTAGGATTAAACAAGAATCCTATATCATCTAGTGGTTGTTGTTGTTGCTGTTGCTGTGGTTGTACTTGTGGATGTACTTGTACCTGTGGAATTTGTTGCTGGTGTTGGTGTTGTAAAGGTGAAGATAAAGTTGTCTGTACTTGTTGTGGCTGTATTTGTTGTTGCTGGTGTTGGTGTTGTAAAGGTGAAGATAGGGTTGTCTGTGCTTGTTGTGTCTGTGCTTGTTGTTGTTGTGGTTGTTTATCTTGTATACCAAAGAGAAAAGACAGATCATCTGCAACTTGAAAGATCTGCTGTCTTGTGTCTTTGTGTCGAAAAGGACATATCTCAACGCCAAGATGACACCGATCTTGGAATGGACAATCTATAGATTTGAATGTTTGTGTTTTAAACATGTTGTAATGTATGTAATGTAAGATTGTGTATTGTATTTGATATTAGAGTCAACCAACCAACCAATCACTACAATCAAAACAAAACAAAACAAAACGAAACGAACAAACAGAAACTATAAATCAACCAAACTTGAACCGAACCTAACCGAACCGAACTGAACTGAACCGAACTAAATGTAACCAATTACAAAACAGTATTGTAATTATAATAGAGATTTGTTATCAATTCAAAAATTTACAATCAAAAAAAAAAGAAATCTTGATTGTCGTTTAATAAATTTGGCTTCTTATAAATAACTCTTGATTTTTCTTTTCTTTTCTTTTTGTTTTTTTTTTTCTCGGCTCTCGATTTCGATAGATAGATATATCTTTTGTTTATGGTTAGAGTTATAACTAGCTCTTTTTTTATACTTGTTTGAAAAAAAATAATGAAAAAAATTTAACCAAAAGATTCTTTATTTTCATTTTTTTTCGAAGTGAAGATAAAGAAGCTGTCAAAAAAAAAAAAAGAAATAGCTAAAATGTGTCACATGACTTGATATCAAGTCACATCGTTGTTATAGATAATAATAACAATAGTTGTATATTTAATCAAAAATCAATATAATCTTTCATTACCCAAGAACAGTGGTGGAATTATCATAAAAAAATAAAAGATATAACTATAAATGTATAAATAAAGAAAAGAACAACTGCAAGAGTTCAAGTGTAAAATATTATGTGAAACAAATTATATAAAAAGAAAGATGTTGTTTATTTTCTTGAGTTCTTTAAAAGATTTGATAAAAAGATGGCTTTATCTTTGATCTCTGGGGAATCTTCTTTGGCTGATAATTGTTGTAGCATCGCTTGAACCTCAGACTCATCGAGTCTTGGAATTGCCAATTTCTCGTCACTGAAATATCTGATAGATCTACCCTCGTTAATTCTCGGTACAAAGAATTTGGTATCATACTCCTTTTGTAACTTTATTCTGTTGATATTGGAATTGTGGTACTTGTAGACCTTTGGTTCTTGGAATTGCTCGGACATCACCACCCAGAATGGTCGTTCCACTGAATTGGCTGGCAGTTCAACATATCCGGTTACCATCTCCTTCACAGTTGGGAATGCTCTTTGACAATATTGTTTAAGTTTTAAATTCATCTTTAAATATTTATAGCTATAAGGATATAACTTTTAAATATATATATTATTTATGTATAAAAGAAAGTAGTACTTTTAAACTTGCTTTATAATGATTTGATACTTAAACATCCATTTTATAGTTAACTTTTTTCAACTAGCAATCTTTCTCAGTCATTAAACTTTCCGCACTAAAATTGAGTTATTTAGTTTGTCAATCATCAAAATCAGGATGATTGACAAAATAGACAAACATTTTTTGATTGACAAAAAGAGTGGTGGAGTAAAAGCATTGCAAATCTAGTTTAGTTGTTTGTCAATCAGAAAAAGAATAATAAATTTTATTAGATTTTATTATTTATAATTAAGATTCTATTGTTTGTGGTCTAGAATATATTAAATTTAAGCTTGCAAAGACGACATTGTTGAAACAAAACTTTGGAAAAGTGGAAAAGCTTGACTGCTCAATAAATAATCATCTAACCTCAGATAGGAGAATCCTGAAATTAAAAAGTTGTATCTTGTAGATTCATATTCAATCTCAGAGTAAGCTGCTTGATCATATCTTTGAAGTGCATTCTCACCTGAATAACCTATAAATATAAAACAAAAGTTAATTTATTTGATTGATTGATTGATTGTTTTGATTTTGTTAATAAAACTTACTTATTTGTGCTTGCATAGCAGCTTGTTTTGTTTGTCCAACTAGCTCCTCTGGTCTACATAGACAACTGGCCGGTTGTTCACTGTCACGCATTTCAAGACAGGTGAAATCAAAGGCGACACCGTGCTTGGCAAACATCGTTGCAATGTCAATGTATGCTTGGCCCTGGTCGTTCTTGTAGCCAGCGGTGAGCTCGGCGGCATGTGAGGGGTCGCCATACCACCAGTGGATTCCAGACACCTTCGCAGTGAGATTGACGTTGGTATGCGCGAAAATGCTGCTGGCTTGCGACAAGATTCTATCGCCGTGTGCAATCAGTGTGTCGGAGTACCAAGTCAGGAAGAACTGACCGTACGTAGACTGGTAGTTTTGGAATCCATTGTAGAAGAATCCGGTTTGCGACGGCACGCTATTGTAGGTGCCTGCGTTGTTAGGACCGGCGTGACCCCACAGTGGATTGCCCGAGGTGTTGGCGGCGGCTGCCAACTGCGCCAGCAAGTACTTGTCGTAGCATTGGAACTCACCGACTCCTGGGAACGTCCAGTATGCCAGTTGATACGAAGGATAACGCATCTCACCCGCTGGACCAAGACCAACTTGAATCTCACGCAGTGTCTCGGGCATCAAGTAAGCAAAGGTCTGCTTGAAACTCGCCATGAAATCTGCGTAGATATCAACAGGAGTTCTTCCACCAAACAACGGTTCCAAATCGATTCCACAAGAGAGATACTCTTCGTCTCTATTCAATGATTGATCAGTATAGAATATATCGGCTATATAAACATATATATATATAAATATAGATAGATTAGTAAATGATTCAAATAAACACACATTCATGTATCTCATATTGAATATCTACTTACGATTTGATTTACCAACGGATAAGACCCATGGAGGTAATGGTATATTACAAGTATCACCAACATTACCTCCACATTGATGAAAAGAAAGTGTAACTTTTATATTTAAATTTGCTTTTGTAACCAAGTTAAAAAGTTGTTCATATCTGTTTTTTGACAATAAATAAAAAAAAATGTTTAGTTTAAACTTTATGTTTTTACAAATTTCACTTTCGCAAAGTGTAACATAATCAATTTACATACCCAGACCAATTATATTGATTTGGCTGCTGTTCTACCAGTCCCCACCAAACATCAGTCATAACACTATTGTTTAAAAATTGATTATTTATATATATATGATATTATAAGTTTATGTATTTATGTTAGTTTGCTAGTTATTCAGAAGACAGATCAGATCTGATCTGATCAGATCATCATATTCATTACATACCCTGATATCTGAGAGTTCTCTTTTAGATAAACTAATTGTTGATATAGAGTCGATGCATTATTCAATTGATTATCATTTGAAAGTGTATCCAATGGTAGCATAACTATAAAAAATAGATAATTAATTGTGTAAATTAAATGAAAATTCTATTCTATTTTATCTAGATTCATATATATATATTTACCATAAACAGGTACACCACTTGGTTCATCAAATGCAAACAATGTTCTTATCGACAATGAAAACAAAAGAGCTATTATAAATTTTATATATACATTTTTAAACATTTTTTGTTTTTCTTTTTTTTCAATAAATAAATAACTAATCTAAATATAAATATATATATATATCTATTTATAACCTATAAACTAAACTATAATATCTAATAGATATTTAATATAATATAAATATAGTAAGTATTTAACTAAATAAAGTAATTAAATGTTAAGTTCAAAGTTATGAAAGATATTTTGTTTTGTGATGAAAAAAATAAATAAAAAATAAAAACGTTAAATAGAGGTTGTGGATATGTGCCCAACAATTTGTAACACCTCTAATTGAATTGATTGTTTGACTGAAATTTCAGATCACTCGTGATTGAATCCTTTTTTTTTTAAACTTTTTGGATATTTTTTTTGGTTTTACATCCACCAGTGGAATTCAAGGTTGAACAAAAAAATTAGGCAATTGCAACTATTTCAAAAAAAATAAAAAATAAAAACAAATAAAAATAATATTGTAAATGTTTAATTGATTATTTTTATCTAAATAATTGTTAAAACATAATTATGTTTTTGTTTATTTATTTTCAAAAAAAAAAAGTTTTAAAATAGATTATACTTTACACACACAAAATTGTGTTCAATTATAAATTGTTTGTGAATATAAAAATAAACTTTACAACTCTTCCAATAATAAAATAGAGTTAATAATTAAACTTGAAATACTATTTAATCATCATATTCTTATTTAAAGACGTTACTTGTAAGTAATAAATAAAGTGTTTTTAAAAAGTTTACAAACCTAAATATTTCTATTTCATTCCTCACCATCTGATACTTGCTTTGTTGGTAATGCTCAAATGAAAATTCTTTAAAGATTTCACTTGAAAATTTAATGATAATAATGTTGGTATTTAAGTTATAACCTTTTTTTTGATTGAATAGTGCTGATCATCATCACAAAAATAAACAAATTAAAAAATAAAATAATTGAACAACATCCTCTCTTTAATCATTTAAGATATTTGTTGATTTTCGAAATAAGGATGGGTTTGAAGAGTTTAATCATCGGAACCCAATTATATTGTCTCTCAAAATCATATCTTGGTTCTCAAAAAAAAAAAAAAAAACATTTAAAAAAAATCTGAATGAATTTTATTTTTTTTTAATTTGTTAATAATTTCTGTTTGCAAACATTTGTTCTTCTGAACATGTTGTTTTGGGAATTGATTGTCAGTCAATCCAATTAATTTACTTACTAATATATAATTACTGAAAAATTAATATGTTAAAGATCTTATTTGTTGTTGTATTTTTATGTTTTGTCAATTTGATATCAGTTGCTGCTGCTACTGGTAACAATTGCCCTTGCTCCGATGTTTCATTGTGTCAACCATTGAATATCGGTCCAAGACAAGAGTTCCTCGGATTCTCGACGGACAACAATACCTACCAGACCTACGACTGGAGCATCTTGACAACGATCGCTCTTTTCTACTCGAATCCCGATCCACAACTGCTCTGCACCGCGCACAGTCATGGCGTGCGTCTCGTCTATGGAACGGGCTTCCCCATCGACCAGCTCACCAACCAATCGTACCAACAACAGTGGATCGCCGAACAGCTGGCGCTCGTGCAAAACTCGCACTTTGACGGTATCAATTTCGATGTTGAGGATCCAATCTATCCCGAGCAATCGGTACTGTCCGCACTCTACACCGGTCTGGTGGCACAGACCAGCGTCGCTTTCAAGTCGGCCAATCCCAACTACCAAGTGACAGTGGATGTCGCCTGGTCGCCAAATGGAATCGACGGTCGCTACTACGACTATGTCGGGCTGGCACAGGCGTCGGACTTCCTCGTCGTGATGGACTACGATCTGCGCTCGCAGGTCTTCAGCTCGTTGTGCACAGCCAGCGCCAACTCACCACCAACCAGCGTCGAGCAAGGAATGTACAATTTCACAGCACTCGGAATCTCGCCCGACAAACTTGTCATGGGATTGCCATGGTATGGCTACGTCTACAACTGTGTCAACTCGAACAGCTTGGAGACACTGCAATGCAACATTGCACTCGTGCCATTCAGAAACGTCAGTTGCTCAGATGCAGCCGGCGAGCAATACAACTACTCGGACTTGCTTGACATCCTAGACAATCCGGCCATCCAAAGCACAGGCGAACTCTGGTCAGAGGAATTGGCATCGCCATTCTTCAACTACATCGATCCAGCCACTCAAACACTCCGTCAAGTCTGGTACGACAATCCCGAGTCACTGACAATCAAAGTTTCGCTCGCCAAGAAAATGAATCTTCGTGGACTCTCCGTTTGGAACATTGATATGCTCTCACCACAACAAGCCATTCAATCACAACTTATGTGGGATTCCATCGGTTATTTCTTTCAAGACAATTAACTAATTTATCTTTTTTTTGTTTATTAATACTTTAACAACTTAACTTTGAAAAAAAAAAAAAAAAAATCAAAAAAAAATATATTTATTATTTTAAAAAAATGTAAAAAATCTTATTTTTTTATTTATTACTATATTTATATCTTATCTTAATCAATCAAAACTTATAATTAGATATCAATTAAAGATCAAACCAATTATTATTATTAAGTGAAAAATGATTCATTTTTATCTGAATCTAAACACAACAAAACAAACTTTGAAAAAAAAAAAAAAAAATTGAATTTTTTTAAAAATTTTTTTTTTTTTTAATAGTCTATTTTCACTACTTCTAAGCAGCTTTATATAGATATAAAATCAAAAAACACTCCGAATATAGATAGGATATTAGATATATTGATTCTAATATAAATAAAATATAGATATCAATAAACAAATTTTGTATTTTTAAATAATATTCTCATTATTTTTATTATTTTTTTTTTGTATAGTATAGATAGTATAGTAAAGTATAGTTAGTATAAAGTAATATTATATAGCAAGATGTTAAAGATTGGTGTTTGTTCGAATATAAAGATATCGAATACACAATCAGCTGCGTATCATTCGATTGTATCTTCAACGGTGATCAAGATTACAGAGAATGATCATCATCACCATCATCATCATCAGAATGGATCAGTGGCCAATCCATCGATCACTTTGAATGGTGGTGCTCAGCAGCTATCGTCATCGAGCTCATCGGATCAGACATCGTTCTCACCGCAACTCTCAAACAGCGGTGTATACCACCATGTATCAACACATCAGTCATCGCCATCGAGTGGCGGTATCATAGTTGTGCCAAGCGGTAGTGGATCGGACTCAACTGGTGGTAGTGGTAGTGGCAGTGGCAGTGGTACTGGCGGTAGTGGATCTTCAGCCACTTCCAACTCGAATCAAGATGCCAACCAAATATCGATAGGATCAGGTTCCGGACAATCGTCTATCCAATTCCAAACACACAACGGCGTCATCAACGGAAGTGCAATCTCCACCAACTCTATCGATTCACCGCTCTTCACAACACCGATATTCACCAGCGTTTGCTTCCACCCGACCGCTCCAATCGTTTATGTATCCGTAAGAAATGAAATATATAGTAAGTAAACAAAACAAAACAAAACAAAACATCTTATTCTTTCAAAATTATTATTATTATACTTACTATTTTTTTAAAAAACTAATTTAGTGTATGATTTATTGACACAGAGTATTATTGGAAAGATAACAATTGATCAGAGAGAATCGATTAGATTCTTGTCGATTCTAAATTATATAAGTGGACCAAACGCATCACCTTCCAATACCTCAAAGATATTGGTGGGATTCTCTGATGAAGGATTGATCTACCAATGGGATACAGAGTCACACAAACTACTGACAATCGTTCATCCACTGAAGCAGTTTGACAACAGAGCAGTCACATGCAGAACCAATTCACAAAAGATGTTATTCTACTCAAAAGCAAACTCTAAAGATATCAATGGTAAACAAATCACTCATGAAAAAGAACTGAAAAATAATAACATATATTAATATCATATCAATCTACTTTACTTATTATTATTAATATTATTATTGTTATTAGTTGTGGATTGTCAAATTAAAGGATCACTACCATATAAATTGAAAGGACATAAGAGACCACTGTCATCGTTGGCTCATCATCCAACCAAGTCGATCTTGGCATCGGTTAGTGTAGATGGATCACTCAAGATATGGGAGACACGTTCTCAAATGGCGAACCACAATCTCGAGGACTTTGTATCATATGAAAACTCGCGAAACATCGAACACTCTAACAACTTCTTCCTCGCTTTCGAAGCGACACAAGGTAAATACATGGTAATGACTGGATCATCTGGATTAACATTGGTATATGGTGATATAACTGCTGGTGGTTCACCAGAGATTATTGCAAAGTAAGATGATGAAGAAAAAGAAGAAAATGAAGAAAATGAAGCATTGAAAAACAAGAAGAAAATACTTATTCATTTTTTTAAACAATTATTATAAAATAATAGTGGATTTATATGTAGAGGAAATACAATATTATCGGTTACACATCATCCTCAGTTACCGATATTCTTTGTGTTGTCGGTGAATATCAATGGTGTCGAGGAGCTGTCGGCATGGGAAGTCAATCAACAGATGAAATCGGTGGTACAATCGAATCAAGTGCCAACCTATATACCATCGCCACACAACGATACGCTTCACTACCTTTCAAAGTATGCCAAGCCATTGTCGACACCCAAGTTGAATCCTATTCAAGTGATTTTCCATCCCACGCGTAACTACCTCACCTTCCAATGGGATCTGGCGCAACTCGGTGGCTCGCTCCTAGGCATCAGACACATCAACCAATTCATCTATTCAATCAACTCGTTCGATCATCTTCAATCGTCGTTCCCGCTAGTCTCAACCGTTCCGCTGCCACTCGGATTCTTCCTCACTCCCGAACACACCTTCAACTATCCACCGGAATTAATATTCTTTGATGGAACCTATCTCAAATCCTATATTCCATTGAATGGAGTACAAAAACGTTTAATAACCAACCCATTAATTCCAATTGTAAGTTGTGTAAATCCAAAGATGATTCGTAATATGCTAATATTTGTTTTTATTTCCATATAGGGACAAGATGAATTATGTAAACCAAAGAGTTTTAATTATAATACAGAATTTCAATTGGTTAGTTTAATATATGATAGCTATTCAACTACTACTCAGACAATGTTGAGTAAGTATTTGATTTGTGATGTTTCCGGTGGTATCAATCAACAGGGCGATGGAATCGATTCAGTTATATTGTCGACGAAACCAGTGCAGATTTTGGTGCTCGGTTTGGATGGAAAGCTGGCAAAGATCGCTAGTGTCACTGCACAGGGATTGTCGTCGTTCAAATCGACTCAGCTGGCACCACGTGTCACCTCGGTCTACAAAACACCGTTGAACGAGGGTCGTGTCGTACAATACTTTAGTCACGACACTTCGTCACTCTATTTCTCAAAGAATATCAACAGTTCGGTGGGCATCGATAACTATGCGGTCGATACATCGCGTGCTCTCAATCTCTACAAAAACGAAAATGTTTTGCGTATCGAATGGCAATCCGACCAGCACAACAATAGCGTTTGCGCAATCATGACCGATATGCGTATTGTAATAACCAACTCGCGACTCTCCATTATCACACAAACCCGAATTCCACCTGGACACCGCTCGGATTCACGCTACTTTGGATCGATCTACTGGTTGGAATGGACACTGATCTACACGACACCGACCAACATTATGTACATGACAATGCAAAACAACTTGGCACCACGTCCCATCTTTTCGATTAGTCTTTCACCTGTCTACTTGGCCACTGTTTTACCGGATCGTATACTCTATGGATATGCAGGTGTCGGTGTGCCCGGCCGTTTCGACACCACCATCCATTGTTTGTCTACAGGATTGCTGGAGCCGCTGATTGCTGGACTCTTGGCGTTGCCAAGCTGGCTGTCTCCCGATAAGCGAACCATAGGACTGTATCTACAGAATGTAGTTTCACGTTTCGACCATAGTCGTTGCTCACGTTACATCTTGGATCGTTTGCGTGAGCGTGGATTTGCCGACTTGGCTTACTCACTGGCTAACCAGATGCGTCCATGTCAGAACAAGTTGAGTTCCGTTGAGAAGTTCAGACTAGCATGGCAATCGAAGCAGTATGTGGACGCACACCGCTATCTTACCGAAGAGTACAACAAAGCTTCAAAGGAGAGCGATCGTCGCCAACTCACCAAGCTGAAAGAATATATCCGTGATTTCGGACGTGAATGTATGAACGCCGGTTACTATCAACTGGCAAAAGAATGTTTTGTAATCCTAGGTGAATCGATCTATTTGCTACAGATCTCCATTCTACTGAATGACCGTGACGCCATCCAACAGCTAAAGAAAGACGCAGAGCTCTCCAATGACCAGGTTATGGTTGCTGCATGTGAGCGATTCCTCAACAAGAAGGTCAGCACTCCTCCCAAGATCAATCCGCCAGTAATCAAGATTCTACCATGGGAACCGACAGCGTCCATCAACGTCGGTGTCAAGATTGGAGCCGACTACCTCTCGCCAATGAATTTGAATTCCATCAACCGATACTTCCCTATCACCGTATCGTTCAGCAACACTGCATCTTCGCATGGCACCACCCGACATAAGCTGAGAGCACCCGACGAAAGATGGCCACCCGAAGATTTCAAACACTCAGTTGCACTATCGCCACCAAGAACACTCATGTCGCTGGTCGCCAACAAACTCTCCACCAAGACTCACATGTCGTCGACACAAACCCTGAGAAGATCGCCATCAGCGGAAAACATTACGAAAATTAAGGAATTCAGTAAGACCACCGGTGCCAACACCGATTCCGACGTGGAGTTTGAAGATTTCGATTCCGGATCGGACTCTGCTTCCGGTGCAGACGCCGACGTCGACAGCGAGACCGAAGAAGATTTGAAATTGGTTCAAAAGACTATAGAGGATCAAATGAAAGCAGCATTAGAATCGGTACAAAGTCACGACGATGTCGATTCTATCACTACCGACCACGAAGACGAACAATCGACATCCTCTTCACCACCTCAACCAAACCCACTTACTCCATCATCTTTGACACCAGTAACATCATTATTAAACGATACTCATTTGACACCATAAACTAAAAAAAAAAAACACAACAAATCAAAAACCAACCATGTATTACATATCCAAAAATATAACGAATTAAATAACAAATAAAAATAACAATAAATCAATAAAAAAGTGATAACTCATACTTTATGTATTAAATAAAACCGATATTTAGAATCAATAATCCTATGTATGTACTTATTAATCTTTTAACCAGAGTGTTCGACCACTATCATTCGAAGTGAAGAGCAAAGTGTTTATCCCATTAGGCTTCAAATTTGATGACAAAGTAATAGATTGATCTTATTACAACAGATTCATCTTGTAAAGAAATATGTAAACCAATGAAACTATTCTAATAAGTTATAAATAAAATCGATTTAATTATGTTTGTTTCTCATCGAAACTCTTTGGTGAGATATCTTCGAATGATTCTGGTGGTGTTTGAATTTGTTGATATCCAGGCTTGTTATGTGCATTTCTATATAAAACATAGTGTTGAATCATAAAAAGAATATCGAATGCTATACTGAAGAGAGCCAAACCAAATTTAACTGGATCACCAATAAATACTTTCCAATTATCTATAGAATATAAAAAGTAAGTTAAAACTGATCTATCAACAAACAACATGCGAATTTGAATGTTTAACATACCTGCATTGACTGCGTCCAATAACATTTGAAGTAATGATAGAATACCACCACTGAAATCCAATAGTACATTACCAATACTCCAACCGGTGGTACTCTTACGTTTGTAATTGATCCATGCCTGTGGTACGTACTTAATGAATGTAATGAACAATTTGACATAACTGAGATAGTTGATCATCCATAGCCAAGTTACAACATGACCTGCACCCAAACCAACGACAATGATAATCGACACCCAAATTCCAATACCAATTACGATGGAGTAGATTGAATTCTTCTGACCTGCTCGGTCATAGATAAAGCATTGAATAATAGTTAAAATAGTAATAACCAGTGCATGTAAAGCAAATGCACTAAATAATATTATTTAAAAAGATTAAAGTTTTTAATTAGATTTGTTTGTTCATATTTCAAGCTCCACTCGAAATTATAACTTACACATCATTTGGTTGAACTGGAATGGGTGGACCATACTTGTGTAGATATTCATCCTTTACAAAAGGTACCCAAAACAATACACAATTATAAACGGAGTAACATATATAACCTGTAATATTAAACAATAAGAAATCAAAAGATAATCCTATTACACTAATAACAATAACATTAATTATACAATAATATTAGTAAGTTTAGATCAACTTTCGATGTGAAATAAAGAGATTTACTATAACTCTGTGTTTCTATACATACGATTTTCTCTTAAAATTTAAATATAATTGTGGATAGAATGAGAGTGACCATGCAAAAAAGTAAGCCCATCCAATGATAGCCGAAATAATAGTGATAGCGTGACTACTCATATCTGATAAATTTATTTACTTTCTTCACTCTTGTTGTTTTTCGTTCTTTCCCTTACTTCTGTCTGGTTAATATTTTTTTTTTAAAAGATAGATTCTAATATCTAATATTTATTTATTTATATATATAAATAGTAATGTATTTATTTTATTATTACAAATTTCCCTTTTTCAAAGATTGAAAAATTATAATGTAATGTAATTGTTTAAAAAAAAAGTAAATGCTTATTGCTGCTACTACTACTATTATTACAACTAAGTTTTATTTATTTCTTAATTAAACACAAATTTATCTTCCATATCACCACTATTCTATATAATTACTACATACATATATATTTATATAAATAAATAAAACAATAGATATTTTCAATTAAAATTTTAAGCATTAACAATTGTTTGTTTTGACACTCACCCAGGCTTTTACCACACACACAGACCAATGACTTTTTTGTTTTTGCAAATTGTTTTTTTTTTTTTTTGATTTTTTATTTGTATGTTTTATTTTATTTATTTTATTTGTTTAACCAATTTAAAGTTAACAAATCGAATAATTATTTAAAGGTTGATTGGCTGGTTAGTTGGTTGGTAATACAATTTATAACAGAAAATATAGTTGTAGTTTGTTAGTTGTAGTTGTAGTTGTTGTGTTTTTGTTTTATTAAAGTGAGTATTGAAACATTTCATCATAGTTGTTTGAGTTTTGAGTGTTGTAGAATGATTCAGGTGCGATTGGAATGTAGCTGTTGTTCAAAGCATCGGAGTAGGTATAGCCATAGCCAGAATCAATGTTGTTTCCAATGAAATAGAATGGATCATAATACATATTGTTGTTGATATTCATATGATTGTAGTGTTCATCCATTAGATTGTTATTGGTAGTATCTACAAGTACTTGTGATGTCATTGGTAACGGTTGTATTTGTGTTGGTGATGGTGGTGGTAGATTAGCAGATGTTGTTGTTGTGGTAGTGGTAGTTGTTGTTGTTGTTGAATCCGACGATGTTTCAAAATCCTCAAATTCTTCATCTTTCTCTACTTTTACAAATTGTTGTTGTTGTTGTGATTGTGGTTGTACTTCTACTTTTAGCTCTTGAGCTTCAACTTCAATTTCTTCATCGCTCTCATAATCACTATCGCTTTGATAGCTATGACTATCGCTATCGCTTTGATGGCTATCATTATCGCTTTGACTGTCACTGTCAAAGTCACTGGTGATGTCACTCTCTACATTTTCTTCTTCTTCTTCTTCTTCTACTTCTTCCTCCTCCTCCTCCTCCTCCTCCTCTATCTTGGCTCTCTTGTTGGGATGTTCGTTGGATGACGAAGAGAGTAACATCGGCGAGGAATCCAATGAAGATGTAGAGAGTACCAGGTGTGGATACATCTGAGGGACGGCATTACCACATTGCTCATAGTAAAACGGGAATGGATAGTAAAGACCGTATTGTTGAGTTGGTGGAACAGTCTCGATGGCTGTATGCTTAGCTACGGGCACCGATTGTAAAGTGTTTGATTGAACGGATGTCGACAAGCTATCCGTTTGTGCTTGTGTTCTCTTTCTCGATGGTGTCTTTGCAACTGCAGTGGCAGTAACAGGAGCAATAACTGTAGCAGTAGCAGTAACACTATTGGCAACAGGTAAAAGAGTAGGTGTTACAATGGGACTTGAAGGTGGCGCAACAACAACCTTCTTGCTTGCTTTTCTACCTCTACCATTGCTATTTCTGGTTGGTGGCTGTATGGCTTGCGCAACAGAATCGTTTGTTGCCTTTGACTTTCTTGTGGTGTTGGTGGTTGTCGTCTTTAGTTGCTCGATCTCTTTTTGTTGTTGCTCCATCTCTTTCTGTTGTCGCAACTCCTCTTTCTTCTTCTTGGAGGAATTAGTCTTTCTAATGGTACTGGATTTCCAATTGCCTTTATTCTTTGGTCCTCTTTCCTCTGGAACTCGATCAATTGCATCAAGTGGATATTTATTCTGCAAATATCAATAGTAGAGTAAGAAGCAAAATGATATTGATTAGTTCAAAGTGTCTTTAGATTTATCATTGCAAATTGAAAACACTTACAGCTTGATTTGATCTAATAGTCGTTTGAAATATTGCCCAGAGAATGAGTATTTGTCTGATGTACAAAGTTGGGAAGGAGCCAATTGTAGCCAAGATAGCATCGATGTCCAAACCAGAACTTTCAAGCACCGAGATAAACTCTTTATGACACTGTAGTTGTTTGATCAAACCATCCGACTCCTCTTTGTCAAGATTTGTACCCAGCTTCCAAATTCTCAACTATAATAATTTAATAAAATCAATAGAAATAGAAATAGAAATCAAACCAACCGCAAAAGAAACGAAACAAAAAGAATAAATAAATAAATATTAATTTTCTGATATAGTGTTATCAAATTAAACCAAGTGGTTGATTAATAACACTTACAATCTGTAGTTTCTTTAACGCATCAGTTGACATTGTTGTTGTTGTGTTTGAAATTTATAAAAATGATTGTAGTTTATTGTTTTAGTTATAATGTTTGTTACATAAATGTATTTGTTTGTTGTTTGTTAGTAGAAATGATTTGTGAGACATTTATAATGAATGATAGACTTTAAATACTGCATGTTTATCAATTTTAAAAACCCAATTATCATTAAAATCAACAACAACAACAACAAATTTGATACAGATCAGTTTGCATAAATCTTTTTTAGTTTAGTTTTTGTTGAAACTATAGTTTGGTGACATGACCGGAAGGGGAGAGAGGGGATGGTGTTAGCTTTTATTCAATAGAGGTTGATGTTGACATTGTAAAGTGAAGGTGTGTTGTGTTCATCATGATTTGTCAATCAACAAAATCATAAATAAATTCTCTAACAATATTATATTATAACTAGGTGATGAAAGAAGTATAGAAATGAAATGACTGATTTTTTTGATTGACAAATTGTGAATAGTGTTGTTTTTTTGAGGCTCAAAAAAAATTTTATTAAAATAAAAGTTTTAAAAAAACATCGTTGCAATACAATGATGTTGATTGAGTTGAGTGTTAATTTTGGAGATATCTCCAAAACAACTTTAAAAATATTAAATTGTTTATCGTTTGTTTAGTTGGTTTTGGACGATTGAAAACACAAACTCCATACCCAAATCAATATCAACAACAATTTGTCATTTTTTTGTTTATTTATCTTAGGGTAATATCTTCATGTTAATAAAGAGTCACCAACCAAACTCAAATTTTTCAGTAAATATTCAAGAAACAAGATCGAAATCAAATAAACCCTTTTTTTTAATTAATTAGAAAATTCAGATTTCTCTGGATATCTAAATGATTATTTTTGAAAATTAATTCTCCCCATCTCATATCGAATAAAACTGTGATCAATTATGATAAACAAAAATTTTCAAATCAATTATTCTTGATTTTTATTTTTTTCATCATTCTTGAACTTCATAAAAAGAAATGGCTTGCACTTCTGCCATTTTGCAGAAGGATTTCCTGGAAATGAAAATGGCAGAAGTGAAAAACAATCAAAATTTTTATTTTATACAACTTTAATAATCAAGTTTAACAAAAATAATTGTCGCACATCTTTTTAAAATTATTGTGTAATAAATATTTAAATAATGATATTTTGTGATAGTGTTAAAGATAACAAGTGTTTAGATCATAATAGATCATTGGAATTAATATGTTTCGACTGTAACACACTACTTTGTAAACAATGTATTTCCAATCACAGTGACCACACCTCCACACATGTCGATGATATCAAAGAAAGTGTAACATCAGATTCATATTTCAGCTATATAAATAGGAAACTTTCTGATTCATCAAGTCAAAATAGTAATAGTAGTAGTTTTAGTAGTGGTGGTAGTAACAGTAACAATAATAGTCAAACTAATCTTCATAGTATTTGTGATAATAGTAGTCAAACGAAAAACATTGGAAAAAGAAACAGATCGAAATTCAACAACGTCAATATCAGCATCAATGAAATGTTTGATAATTTGAAAAATATGTCTTTTATCTTTCACCAACTACAGAAAACAGAGGATGAAATTTCCAATCACTTCCGAGAAATTCATGAATATCTCGTAATTGAAGAACATCGTTTGAAAAAACCAATAATCAAAGATAAAGATAAATTAATCATTGAAATAGATATACTCGTTAAGCAATTGGTTTCCATGAATAAAATTATTGAAACAATAAACAATAGTAATAATAAAATTAATAGTAGTCAAAGTAATAGTAGTAGTCAGAATAGTAGTCGCAGTACTCAGAACTCTTATAATAGTCAACAAAATGATGATAGCAACTACACAGATACAACCAATCAATATCAAATAGAAACAATTATTCAAACGATTCAACAATCTTTGGATTTGAATGATTTCATTACAAGAAATATCAATTCAATCTTTTATGTTGATCTTCGTCACAACAATAAGATTGATAAGAGTACTTTGGATATATCGATTCTACATTCAATAATAAAGTTTAATAATACTTTTAAGTCTATGGAGTCATCTCATCAACAACTTCAAACCAAATCTTTGAAACGGTTAAAATTGGATTCAAAGAAACTCCAAACTTGGAAAACCTCTATTAATAAGTTGTTTCAGCTGGTGAATGTTAGTCCGGATCTTTATGTATTCGATGGCAACTATATATTTTCTGTTGATAGGAGCAATAGGCTGTCATTAATATCGATTCCAACGGGGAATAACCAAGTTCACAAGATCCATTCAATCAGAGGAGATATCAATGACGCCTGGTCATACAACTCAACTGTTTGTGTTGGAAAATACATCTATTCTTTTGGCGGTGCCGGACTTTTATCGTCTAACAAATACCAAAGATTCTCACTGGAATCAATGTCTATTGATATCAGTGGAACGATGACATCGATTAAACCGACAACTTTTATTTCGGCGTGTTACGATGGCAACAAGTATATTTACCTTCTCGATGGTTTTGGAAAGGAGAACACTGAAGTATATCGATACGACATTGAAACAATGAAATTCGAATGTTATTCAACTCTCTTTCTCTATGGTGGATGTCATGAACTCTCATTCTTTTACCAGAATCAAATGTACACCGTTCAAACAACAGGAATAAGAAAGATCGATCCTTTTACAAAATCTTGTATAGAGTTACCGAGACTGGACAACACTCAATTCACTAAATATATATCGATGGAATCTACTGCTGTCTGTGAAGATGGCAAAGGAAATATCTACACTCATTCAGGATCGAAATTTATTGTTTTAAATCTGAATACCAATGAAATCAGAGAACTGACACCAGCCAAAGATCTTCTAATGGTTGACCACAGGATGATTTACACCAGCAACAACTATATCTATGTTCTCCAAGGACTGTTCTTCAACTACCGATATTCAATTGACAATGATAAATGGGAATCAATACTTCAAGATGATAAATCCGAGAGATATTGTCGTGGACTTGCATTGATTACAATTTAAAAAAAAAAAATAAAGAAAATTATGTATTATTATGATAATTATTAGTTGTTGTTTGGATACAGTTTAATAATTTATTTCTAATTAAATATTATTTTTATATTATACATATTATATTATATTCTTAAAGTCCTTTTCTCTTGATTGATTTATAAAACTCGGAAAGATATGTAATGTTACTCAATCTCTCTGGATATGGCAAATCCATTAAATCATTTGCATCCATCTATAGACAAATTAAGATAAAGTTTGAAATATTAATATTTGTTTGTTAATTATAATAGTTGTTATAAATATAAATAGCAAACATACCAATGCCGGAACATCTAAATGCTTTTCAGCCAATTCAAAAGCTCTTTTCATATTTTCAAGACGGTTGGCACTTGACAAACTTTGGAAATCGATTGCCTTTGGTGCATAACGGTGGAGCAGTGCGCAATATGCCAATCCATCGGTAAACGATGTTGTAAAGTTGACAACGTTGACACCTGCATAGCCTTGAGTGTTTTGTTTGACCCATTGGAGAAGAACGTCCAGTGCTTTCATACCGTCGTTGGCAGCTGGCTTGCTTACAGCGGATGGCGATGGTGCGCCACCAAACGATTGCGTACGATTGAATTGGTTGGCTCTTGGTGCTGGAGGTGGTGTTTGTGATCCACCAACTGGCGGTCTAACAACTGGCTTCAACTGGTGTTGCAATACAGGTGAACTGCTTCCACCACTGGAAGTGCTGTTGTTGCTGCTTGTTGGTGGTGGTGGAGTGGTGACTGTTGTCTTTTTCAATCCGAGTTTGGCAGCGGATGGATCGAATTTCGGCATCATCATACCTGGCAAAGCAACGGCACCCTTTGGAAGTACTTTTCCAGTGGCTGTGGAGCTTGGTGTGGTTGTTGTTGTGGTGGTGGTGTTGGTTTCTTGTTCGTTGGGTGGCGATGTAATCTCATTGGAGGAATCTCCAGAGCTGTTGGATGTAGATGGTTCAAGTTCTTTGAGGTTGGGAAGTACTTGTTTCTCACGCTTACCATCTTTGTCCAATTGTCTTCTGGTTGGCTTTTTACGACCTTGGACTTTGGTTCTTCCAATGGTAAGGTGAACGAGTTTAGAGTGATCAGAATCTGGCAATGAAATATCTGTTTGGTTTGATTGATTTTTCTTTGATTCTTCAGCCAATCTCTTTTGCTCAGCTTCTTCAGCCACTCTCTTCACCTCAGCCAATCTCTTTTGCTCAGCTTCTTCAGCCAAATGTTTCTCTTCAACCAGTCTCTTCTCTTCTGCTACTCTCTTTTCTTCAGCTAAACGCTTCTCTTCGGCTACTCTCTTTTCTTCAGCTAATCTCTTCTCTTCAGCAACTCTCTTTTGCTCAGCTTCTTCTGCCAAACGTTTCTCCTCAGCTACTCTTTTTTCTTCCGCCAATCTCTTCTCTTCAGCCAATCTCTTTTGTTCAGCTTCCTCTGCCAAACGTTTCTCCTCAGCTACTCTCTTTTCTTCAGCTAAACGTTTCTCCTCAGCTACTCTTTTTTCTTCCGCCAATCTCTTCTCTTCAGCCAATCTCTTTTGTTCGGCTTCTTCTGCCAAACGTTTCTCTTCTGCCAATCTCTTTTGTTCAGCTTCCTCAGCCAAACGCTTCTCTTCGGCGAGTCTCTTCTCTTCTGCCAAACGTTTTTCTTCAGCCAATCTCTTTTGTTCGGCTTCTTCTGCCAAACGTTTCTCTTCTGCGACTCTCTTTTCTTCTGCCAAACGTTTTTCTTCAGCTAATCTCTTTTCCTCAGCTAATCTCTTTTGTTCAGCTTCTTCTGCTACTCTCTTCTCTTCAGCTAATCTCTTTTGCTCAGCTTCTTCTGCTACTCTCTTCTCTTCTGCCAATCTCTTTTGTTCGGCTTCTTCGGCAAGTCTTTTCTCTTCAGCTACTCTCTTTTCTTCAGCCAAACGTTTCTCTTCAGCCAATCTCTTTTGTTCGGCTTCTTCAGCAAGTCTCTTCTCCTCTGCCAATCTCTTCTGTTCAGCCTCTTCAGCAAGTCTCTTTTCTTCTGCCAAACGCTTCTCTTCAGCCAATCTCTTTTGCTCAGCTTCTTCAGCTACTCTCTTTTCTTCGGCAACTCTCTTCTCTTCGGCTAATCTCTTTTGTTCAGCTTCTTGGGAAAGTCTCATCTCTTCAGCCAATCTCTTTTGTTCAGCCTCATCAGCTAGTCTCTTCTCTTCGGAGGCTCTCTTTTCGTCTGCCAAACGCTTCTCCTCGGCCAATCTCTTTTGTTCGACTTCTTCAGCTACTCTCTTTTCTTCTGCCAAACGCTTCTCTTCTGCCAACTTTTGCTCAGCTTCTTCTGTCAAACGCTTCTCCTCAGCAACTCTCTTCTCTTCGGCTACTCTCTTTTCCTCAGCTACACGTTTCTCCTCGGCTATTCTCTTTTGTTCAGCCTCATCAGCTACTCTCTTCTCTTCGGCAACTCTCTTCTCTTCAGCCACTCTCTTCTCCTCAGCCAAACGTTTCTCCTCGGCTATTCTCTTTTGCTCTGCCTCATCAGCTACTCTCTTCTCTTCGGCTACTCTCTTCTCCTCTGCCAATCTCTTTTGTTCAGCTTCTTCGGCTAATCTCTTCTCCTCAGCTACTCTCTTCTCTTCGGCTACACGTTTCTCTTCAGCCAATCTCTTTTGCTCTGCCTCATAGGCTACTCTCTTCTCTTCGGTCACTCTCTTTTGCTCAGCTTCTTCAGCCAAACGTTTCTCCTCTGCCAATCTCTTTTGTTCAGCTTGTTCAGCCGCAAGCTTCTCCTCAGCTACTCTCTTCTCTTCAGCCAATCTTCTTTGCTCGGCGGCTTCCTCTGCCAGTCTCTCATCCTCTAATCTCTTTAACTCTGCTTCTTCAGCTGCACGTTTCTCATCGAGTATTCTCTTCTCCTCTGCTAATTTCTTTTCCTCTTCCAACCGCTTCTTCTCTGCTTCGTCAGCGAGTCTCTTTCTTTCAGCTTCTTGAATGAGTCTGTTTTGTTCATCCTCCTCTGCCAAACGCTTCTTCTCTGCTTCCTCTGCCAAACGCTTCTTTCTCTCAAGATCTCTGGTAGTCTGTGATTTGGTGGTGATCTCCTGTTCCCAAGAAGCAAAGATATCTTCCTCGACGACCTTGGCCGGTTTCTTTGTGAATTTCTTCTCGAGATCGTTGATATCAACGGATTTCTTGGTAGCTGGTGAACCACTGCCAACTGGCTCTGACTTGTCAAACTTGAAGAGATCATCGATTTCACTCTGTTTCTTCTTGTTCTCCAATGCCTTTTGTGCCATCTTTTCTTCCAATTCCTTCTTCTCTGCCAACTCTTTGTTGATAATGCTGTTCAACTGTGAATTAACTTCATCGTCCTCTTCAAACAATGATGTTGATGTTGGCTTACTTGGTGTAGAAACAGTTGGTGCAGTTTCAACAGTTGGTGTGGTAGTTGTGGCTGCTGCTGCTGCTACTGGAACAGTTGGTGTTACCTCGGCAACAACAGTTGGAGCGGTAGTGGTTGGAGCGGTAGTGGTGACAGCTGGTTTTGATGGTTTTTCAGCCACAACACTAGCAAACAAATCATCTCCACCAAATAGCGAATCGACAGATTGTTTTGCCTTTGGTTTTACTGGTGTTCTTTCTAATCCAATGGTTATTTCATCTGTAAACATTGATTCAATTTCATTGACTTTCTTCTTTGGAGCAGTTGTAGTTGTTGTTGCTGCTGGTGCTTGTTCTGTTACATTTGTTGTTGTAGCTGCTGTCTTTGGTACTGTTACATTTGTAGCTGCTGTTGTTGCTGCTGCTGCTGCTGCTGATTGTTTCAATATAGTTGGTTTGGATGAAGCAGGATTAACCTTTGGGAATGTAAAATCGGTCTTTAACAATGATAGACCTGATTCAAGTCCGGTGGTAATACCGAGTTTCTCAATCAAGCTAGCATTGTTGGATGTGGAATCCGATGCCAATAGAGATGAACCACTGGCGCTGCTGCTGGTTGTTGAGAAGAGATCATCGTTATCCAAACCGAAAATCGATGATTTCTCCTTGGTTAGCTTTGCTGGCAGTTTATGTTGACCCATCTTTGCGGTTGTAACTGTTGTGGCGCCTGCCAACGGTTCTTTGGGTACTGGCTTACCAGTTTCCAAATCCATAAACGACGATTCTTCACCGGTGGCCAAATCTACAGGTGCCTCAAAGTCAAGAATTTGCTTTGGTTTCTTTGATTGTTCAATCTCAGCATCTAGAGGGAAAAACAAAAGAATAGAAAACAAACTTATTAATATGGAAATCCAATTTTATAAAAATGAAAATATTAATGTTTATCGACTGTCAATACTCACATGTATTATATTGAATTTCAGTTTGTTTTCTGTGGTCGATTGGTTTGTTGGAGTTGAATTGTTTGACAAACGTTTCGAAATCTTCATGGTTGCTACCGCTAGAATCGACTTCCCATGACAACAACTCAGAGTCTGTCGGTTGGTGAATGAGTATTGGAGATCGCTCGACTGGTGAAGATTGTGAATCTGCTAGAGGATTACTATCATTGTTGTTGTTGCTTTTGTTTTTGCTAGGTTTGTCAGTGAGTGATTTGTCAGAGAGTTCCTTCTCCTCGATGACAGAGACTTCGTCTGGCTTAACAACTACATTTCCAAATACATTACGATTGCTCGGTACATTTGTATAGTGAATAGGTTCATTACTAGTTTCCAAATCATCGTCGTTCTGTTGCTGTTTTTGTTGTTGTTGCTGTGGAGGTGGTTGTTGTGGTTCAGCAGGTGTTTCAAGCCATTTTAAAAATCTACTAAACATGATTACAATATATGTTTTTGTTTAAAACAGTAACCGTAACTGTTTGTCTTGACTTTTTTTAATAAAATGTGTTTGAACTATAGCTTTTCCTTATTTATTTATTGGTGATAGAGTGGCTTGGTTCTAGTGATCAATCACACACTTTCAATAAATAATAATAATAATAATTGATCAATCAATTACTAAGTATCTGAAATGATTAATTTTTGTTGTTTTTAGTTAGTAAGAGTTTGTTAGTTTTTATCAATGTATTTGTGTTTTGTACAGCTACTGTGATTGGTTGATTTATGATTTACTTTATTTACATTATCAATGTAATAAAACATAACAAAAACAAAAGTGAAAAGCAAATATTTAAATTTATGTTTTAAATAACAATATCATATCACTTCCACTTATTTTCTTTCCATATTTGGAATTTCATTTTCAATAATCAACCCAAAGTTAAATTTAAATCTAAATTGATAAAATAACCATGGATTGATTGATGGATGAAAGAGCAGTGGTGAACAAGTTTATATTTTTTTTCCTTTTTGTTTTTCAATGTTGGATGTGTGTGATAAAATGATAAAGTGTCAAGTTTAATATGATGATATTTATTTGATTTGACTGGGATGAGATGTGAGTTGAATATAAATTTCAATACATACTTAAATACACCTACACATAAAACAACACCCTTTTTTTTTTTTTATGAACTTGATTTACTCCTTATGTTTTACTCTTTACTCTGAATACTAACTAAACTATGACTAATATTATCTGTTTGTGTTTGCTTTTTAAAGTAAGTTTAATAATTGATTATAAAATAATAGTAGCTATGTGGTAGAACGCAAAGCTATCCCTGAAAATTAAAATAATGATTTTGAAATATTTTTTTTCAAATTTTTTTTTTAGATATTGGCAACACAAAAAAGCGACCTTTTGGACTTTGATTTTTAATTTAGGTTATGTGAATTAAGTTGATAAATTTGTATTGGTCATCAATATAAAGGTAAATATATAAAATGAAGAAATTATTTGAAATTATTTATTTATTTAACAAAGATAATAATTGTTAAACAACATTGCATGGAAAGATCAAAATAATTAAGAAAAAAAAAAAAAAAAGTAATAATTAACTTTGTGATATTGTCGGGGTTATCTTTGGAACCAAACAATGAAGCACCTCCATGCATGTCCTTTGCAGAATTTGAGTATTCAGAAAAAAAAAAAAAATTTGTTTTTTGTGATCATTGATTGAAAGTTCTTTTGAAAAATCATTGATCCCCATTTCAATTTTTTTATGAGTGGTCCTTTAAAAAAGGAGGTTCTTTAGCGACTGAATTCTTGTGTGATTCAAAATAGAATCATATTATCAGATATTGGCTAAACATCATCATCATTAATTTCTTTTCTTTCTCTTCGCACTTTAACACGATTTTCCATTGATTATTATTATTAATTAATGATTTTTGTTTTGTTTTTTGTTTTTTGATCAGTTTAAAAGAGAATTACATTTTTTACAACTCTCAATTGTTTAATAATAGTAATAATAATAATAATAAATAATAACCAGGTTTTTTGTATTTTTTTTTTTTTTTAGATTTGAAACTAAAATAATATCGAGATTATCATAATCGTCCATACTATCGACCAGAGCACACACAAATTCCCTCCCCTCAGTTTGCAAACAAAAAAAAATCAAGAAGAAAATCAAAAAAAAAAAGACAAAAAAAAAAAAAACTTTAAACAACTTTAAAGTTTTCACTGTGTGTCTGTTTTAAACAACAGTCGACTTGTTGACGACTGACACTCTGGTCACTGTGCTTGTTATCTTTACAATAAAGGAATTGTTTTTGTTTTGTTTTTTATTAAACAATATCAATGTAGTAGTCAGTAATATCATTCAGTAGACTCTCACTCTTAACAATACCAATACCAACACCAAGACCAATACCAGTTCAAACAATATTTAATATAACAAACAACAACACAACAGGTTGTAAAATATCAATAACAATAACACCACAAAATAACAATAACACAATAGCAATAACAACTTACACAGTGTTAGTTTAGTGGTTGTTAATTCAAAATAGAAAAAACAAAAACAAAAACAAAAACAAATAATTTGTTTTTAAAAATTACATTTATATTTATCTATCTATTTATTTTATTTTTTATAAAAAATATATTTATAATATAATCTATCTATCTAATATTAAAGATGACAACATTTACACCTAGAATGACATCTGCTTTGGTAGATACACTTCCACCACTTCCACCTTCAACTTCTCAAAATATACCTCTACAAGTCAGTTCTAATGAAATGTATGTTTTTAAACTTATTCTTCAAAGATTATTAGTTAAAATATTAATTTATTGTTTCTTTTTTTTCTTTTTTCGCATTAAATTTCTTTTATTTCTTTATTATATTCAAGGTGTTCTGTTCATGTGGAATTGGAGAAATCATATTTTGTCAATGGTGAAACAATCAATGGTACCGTTCATTTGACTCTTTATCAGAGACAGTTTTTGCATACCATACAGATACATCTGGGTGGTTTCGAAAAGATCTATATTCAATCGATGCTCAACAGTGACCAACACAACCATCTGAATCTACATAACAACAATCATATTATACCGTTTTACTCAGAGTCACGTCTTATATTCCCATCATCACCACAACAACAACAAGCCAACACTTCTCATGCCGACGTCGGCATACCGGCAACCTCATCAACAACATCCACCTCCTATTCACCAACTGGATCTGCTTCCAAGTTATCTGCACCTCTAGGTTCATCATCTTCATCGATTCCATCATCATCTTCATCTTCATCATCTTCGTCAAATAACAATTTACCAAATGGTAGTAATAATAGTAATAGTAATAATCCACATACTGCATATAGATATACTGCTCCAACAACTACAACCAGTACGAATGGCGGTGGAGGAAGTGGAGGCGGTGGCGGCGGTGGTGGAGGTAGTGGCGGTCTAAGTAGTAGCCAGACTATTATGAGTCCAGTGCTGCTGCGTTCTAATGACGCCAAGGAGCTGGAGCCGGGAACCTATCACTATTCTTTCAGTATCCAACTGCCGCGCTATTTGGCACCCTCGCTAAACTACATCGACTTCCTCTCGATCTTTTACATTGCAAAGTGTGTGATTGAATACTCAAAGGGTCGCGAATGGCAAGAGACCTCGATTGCGCGTTCCACAGAGTTCTTTGTGCACGGTGTTGGCAACTCACAGCTGACGCGTCTCATGATGCAGCGACGATTTGTAGACGCGCGTGTTTCTCGCTTCCTCTGGACCAACAAGTCACGTCCCATCGAAATGGCGGTATGTCTGGGCGACATCGACTGCTTCATCGGCGAGAAGGTACACTTCTTTGTCAAGATTCGCAATCTCTCGTTGTTTGGCATCGAGTCGTTGCAGCTCGACTTTTTCCAACAGATCTTCCTCATGCTGCCTGGTTCTGCCAACAAGCAGCCGTTGGCATCGACCAAGATGTTGACCGCCAACTTTGACATTCGAAACAGTCGCGTCAAAGACAACGATGTCTCATCCGCTCAATTCCAAGTGACCATTCCGCAGATGGTTGGCGACGACGTTGTCTATCCGTCGACGCGCGGATGCATCTCACGTATCAAACACTACTTTAAGGTATCGATTCCATCGGTAAAGGTTGAAACCATTATCAAATTCAATTTGCACGGTCGACTGGTCGGCGAAGAGCAGATGTTGTCGCCGCGCGCATCGCAACCCATCGACTGGCAAGTCAGCTGGATGCCAACCTGGGTCAAGCAAGAAGACAAGTCTGTCAAGTGCACACTGTGTGCCGAGCAATTCAACATCATCATTCGTAAGCACCATTGTCGCTCCTGTGGCAATGTATTCTGTGGCAAGTGCGCATCCAGCAAACTCTACCTGAAAAAGTTTGGTGTCAACGAGCGTGTTCGTGTCTGTGCACTCTGCCACGACGATATTGTCGCAGCCGAAGAGCGTGACGAACTCAACACACCAAAGAAGCGATATCAACCACATCTCGTCGAGTACAACAAGAGCAGCAACGGTAGTAACTCGAGTAGCAGCAACAGCAGTCAGAGCAACAGTTTAAATAATAGTACAGATTAACAAAGTACAAATCAATCATCATTATCAATAATCTATAGTTTTAATAATAACAATAACAATAATAATAGTAATTACTATTTATTAAATGTAAATTCGATCAAAAACAATCAAAACAATCATACAAACAACAACCAAACATCATAAGATTTAATAATGTGAAAAGTCACATTTAGATAATCATCAACACACAGCACATGATGATTTGGATTAAACTACCAACATATTTATTCATATCGAATGAAAGGTATACTTTTCGACTTTATTTTGATGCATTCATAAAGTTTAATCAGTAATATGATTCAACATCTTCCCTAATAAATTTTTATAATCAAATACTATTTAATTATAAATACATCACTCTTTTTGGTTTATTTATTAATTCTTTGAAACTTTTTTTGTATATATATGTAATCAATATGTTAAAAGTTATTAATATTCCATTTTGAGTAAAAAAAAAGAAATGAAAATAAAAAACAATTTACTTGAAGATAGTTGTTTAGACATCTATCATTAGTCATCTCATTTCAAATCGTTACCCTTAACATTCTCAATTCATTCCAATACAAACAGTTAACTATAAATACCGTAAGAATGGGAAATATGTTTTCTTGAATTTATTATCAACATATAATAGAATTAAAGAAAACCAAATTTATCTTCTTTTCCACTTGAAGTTGTGGACAAAGAGAAAATCAGATCAAGTTTATCTCTTGATTCTCTCTTCAATTTCTGGGTGTTGTTCTTCTTCAACTGGTCACTTTGTAATCGTGGTTTTGTTGTAGTTTCAGCTGTTTTCTTTTCTTTTGTCCATCTACCATCAATATGTGAACTTCGAACAATTTGGTCAATCAATGTCTGTATTATTGACTCATGTGTTTGGTTTGGTTTTCGCCAAAGTCTCAGCATCTGCCACCCCCAAACCGCCTCTTATTAGAAATTGTACTGTATCTTGTTCAGTTAAATTCTCCATTTTAACTAATTATTATTAGAATTAGAATATGCCTAATGTCACAATTCCAACAGACTATATCTAATGGGTGATAACAACTTTGGACTTTAAAATCTCTTAGTGATTGAGGTTCAAACAAAACTAATTTTTTGATTGATCACTGGATAACTATTCAAAGATGCCCAGTGTTTCAAGAGATTATCTATCAACAGAGAGCGAACCTGTTAATAAAGTTACGGATGCTGATCTTATATTTATAAGAAAGATATCTTTAATGAATGATTAAAAAAAATTTTTATCATTAAAATAAATAAATAATAGAATAGTCAATATTAATTTTTTAAAAAAGATATTATAATTTTTATTTAAATTTAATTTTCTTCATTGGAAAAGGGATGAATTTGTTTTATTTTATTTATTTTGCTTCACTGTACACAACATGTAGTCATCAACTAACTCTTTTCATTTCACTTTCACTTCATTCATCCTGTACATATAGCAACAATGTTATCTCGAGCAATAGTACAGCGTATCATCTCTTCAAGGTCTTTGAGGGGATGTACCTCTGTTCTCTCTCGTAGCCTCGTATGCAATCAGCATCAATCCATCAACAACCTGCTTCGTCACCGACCAGCCCATATCCAATATCGCTCCTTTTGTTCCACTTCAGGAGACAACAAACTCCCTGACATCAACTCTTTGTCGTTGTCATCATCCTTGCCAGAGCTGAAGTCAGACACGAGGCCGCTGCCAACAATAGAGGATATCCAGAAGTGGTCTGTCGATGAAGTCGCCAAATGGGCGTCAGGCATCTCACCCGCTATCTTCACAAGTGACGACGTGCAGACTCTCAAACAGCAGAGAGTCAACGGCCCAACTCTCCTGACTTTGACCGAGCAGAAGCTCCTTGATCGTCCATACCGACTCACTGGTGGTGCAGCAACGGAACTTCTCTTGGCCATCAACAACCTCAAGATCTTTGCAAAGAGTATGTATAAGCAATGTCAACAAATTCATTCACTCATTCCAATCAGCCCAAGATGCCACCAAACTGCAGGACCCTAATCTCCCCGATCGTCATGATCCAAAGTGGGACTATCTTCGCAATCTTGAGCAACTGAAGAGGAAGGTTGGACAATTCATCGAGTTGCCGAACATTGGTGGAACAGACGAGAAGCTTCCAATGAAGTTGCTCGGAGACAAGATCAAGTCATACCTTTTGACCCGAGAGAGATATGATTTGGTCGAGAAATTCTACAATATGGTCAACGTTGGCAAGGTCAATGTCAAGAATGCTAACCAACAGAGTGGCATCATCCTCTCCGGTTCCAATGGTGTTGGCAAGACATTTGAATCCTACCTCCTCACCTGTGTTGCATATATGAACAATGCCATCCTCTTCTATATCGTATGTATATGTTCTTAAATTAAGTGATCATCAACTAACAATTCTCTCAGCCACTGACTCAGCAGATGTCGAGATTACAAGACAATAATCAGATGGCAGCCTATTTCCTCAAAAGATTTATTGCGTTCAATGCACTCAAAGTATCAACCATTCGATGTGCTGACAATAGATGGAAAGCTCCAACTCTTCTCGACCTTGCTGTAGTAGGAATAGATGATGTATCTCAAGCATTCTTGGTGTCAGATGAACTGATGAATCAGCTCCAATCATATGTCGAGCACCCTGTCATGTACTGCTTGGACGAACATCAACACCTTTGGAAAGATGGAGTCGAGAACTCTTCGTTTGGCAAGGCATTCACCATTGAAGCTGGACCATGCTCTGGTGCTCGCACCATTCTCGTTGTTTCTGGATCTGCTCATTCAAAGTTCGAACACAACCTCCCCTCTGGAATGTCAAGCTGGATTCACAGAGTTCTTCCTTTCAGTGAAGCCTCATTCAAACAAGTCATCGAGGATGAGAAGAGTGGCCTTCACATTCGAGAGGATTGGAGAGATGATCAAGATGCAATAGATAGGCTTGCGGAAATCACTGGACGTATTCCACGAGAGATACAGGAAATGCATGATCAGATGTACATATTCTCCACACCAGAGAGTTTCCTTGATTCTCGCAAGAAGTTGTACACAGACGAAATCAACAAGTATATAACAGACTCAGATCACGACAGAAGAGAAGATTATTATCGATTCTTGGATGTCTTCTTCTCTCGAGTTGACAAAATGGACATTCTAACTGCCCCTTCAACTCTCTGTGACACTGGCCTTGTCTTCTTTGACAGCAGAGACAATGTCTACCACTCAATCTGTAGAGGAGCATTTCTTGCGCTCCACAACAGCTATTGGATGTTCCGTGGATTCCCTACAATGGCTTCATTGGGTGACACCGCTCTTGGTTCTCAATTCCAAACATTGGTCGAGAGAGCATTCAAGATTCGATCGTTCTCAGAGCCTATTCGTGGATTCCATCTTGTCAGCTCTCCACAGAAGCCAAAGAAAGGGAGATCAAAGAAGACAGAACAACCAAAGTTCGCACCCATTGACATTCCTTTACCTTTGATTGGAAGAACAGTGTATATCAAAAAGAGAGATCACAAACTCGAGGTCCCTCGTCACTATGGTATGAACACTCTCTACATCCCATCTGCTGGCAACTTTCCTTCTTGGGACTTCATCATCTACAATCCCACAACCAACTCGATCTTCTTCATTCAAACCTCCCTCTCTACAATCCAAGCTTACGAAACCTCAAGTCCAATGGCTCAATCATTCAACACAACCGATGTCAAAAACATTGCCTCCATCACTGAATCGATCACTGGAAAGACTTGTGTTGCTCAAATCGATGGAAGTGAAATGCGTCTCGTCAGCGAGGGATTGAAATCCTATTTCATATACATCACGTGGTCTTCTTTGGAACAACAACGACCAGAGTTCAACAACCTCATTATATTTGACAAGAGTGTTTGTCACACATTGAACATCCAGTAGATTTGAACCACCTCTCCCGGTTCTCATTCTTGACAGTCTCGATCAGTTATCGAATGTATATATCAACTTTATTTCATCCAAACCTTCGCTGATGAGTTGCCTCAACGTCATCTCTCACAGGCCACCCTCAGCCAACCAATGTGTACAGAATAAATTCGTTGTTCAATCAGCATCTCCTCATATCATGATCTTCAACCCTCTAAAATATCATTTGCATTCACATTCCTAATATATCGTGGGTGAAAGTGGGTGAAAGTCATGTAAAAACAAATTATTCTATATTTGGAAGTTAGTTTGTCAGTGAAAAATCGAAATAAATAAAATTTAATTAATTTTGTAATATATTTTTATTTTTTTTTATTTTTAATGAAAATCAAGGAAAAAATGCTTTGACTTGATGATTTTCGATAAAGAACTCATAACAAGCATCAGGATTAACATTTTCAATTATTTCATTAGTTTTTAATAGTCTAATTGTTAGAGTTTTTTTGTTTTTCTTAGTTATTATAGAGTTTATAACAGCACAGAAAACATGGGTTTTATCAGCTTTGTAAGTATACAATACATATCTACCTTCTACCATTCTATCATTCGAAATACTTTCTGTTGCACTTTGTCTTGTAATATAATCAACACTGTAATAACTTAGTGTTGTAATTGCTAACTGTAGTTATTAGTGTTGTAACTGTAGTTAGCAATTACTTCACTAAATTTATTAAACATTAGATTAGTTATAAAACATATTTTGTTGTTTGTATTTTTACTTACTCTTTGAATGCAACTCTATATGTATTATCTTTCTTATTATAATCTATAATGTGACCATCCCACCAAGAATAATAATAAGCACAATCTATATCTTCGTCAACACCATACAATACAGATACTCTTTGATTTAAAAGAAACTTTGGTTTACAGTTGAAATCTGTTGGAGCAACTTCAATTGACTCTATTCCAAATAAACTATTTAAATCAAAATTGGACATATTGAAATGTTGATTTCGCTGTCTATCTTTCTCTATCTTTCTCAACTCTTCCCATTGACGTCTCAGTGCAGTATGATCACTTTCATTAACGTTACCACTATCTTCCTCGTTGTTGATGAAAAACATGTTGATAGATCGTTCAATTAGTTGATATGTTAGATCTTTTGTTATTTTTTTTTGCTTCTGATAGTTGTTGTTGTTTTTCTTGTTCTTCAAGCACTCTTTGTAAAGCATCTACATTTTGTTGCATTAATGTTGATGATTGTTGCTGTATCATTTGTCTTAGTTCTTCTATTCTATCATCAAACATCTTTCTTCTTTTGGATTCTCTGACATCTCTTACTATTGGTGGTGGAAATGAGGTTGATAGATGCTGTTTTTGTTGTTCTTGTTGCTCTTGTAGTTGTTCTTGTTGCTCTTGTTGTTGTTCATGTTGTTGTTGTTCTTGTTGTTGTGGCTTGTTTATTTTAATCTTGTAACTATTTGTTGTAAATTGCTTTGATTAATTACATTAGTTTTAATTGTTTTTTTTTTTTTAATAAACTAAACATCTTACCAATTCTAACTTATCATTATTATATACAGAATGATTCGACAAGGTCTTAATAAGAATATCAATCAAGATATTTATATATTCCATATAGTTAACAGCTGACTGTTTGAATCGGTCATAGAATGTATAAGGCTGTCCATGCAAGAGTGTACCTGGTGAGACCGTTATCAATGTCAGTTTAGCCGTACACTTGAGGAAGTCTTCGATGTCTTTTCGTAAGGTTTCATTGGTGTCACATAGCAGTAGTATCGGTTTAAAAACAGTCTTAACAATGGACATGATCATGTGTAACGTGTCTGGTGGAACTTTAGTTGGATCAATGTCAAGACTCCACTACAGCCATACCAGAGAAGCTCCTCATTTCGACCTTTGGGTTTTTAGCTTTTGACTTTTCTAGCTTATTATTGACTCTCTGTCCTTCCTTCCTCATAAGCTCTCTAGTACGTGGCTCAAAGAATCCAGCAACATTCCCAATTGTAGAATGGTCGATCTTCTCTTGAGTGTCAGGATCCACTTTTCCAGATGAACCAGTACCTAAGCAAGTAGGACACCTGAATGTCGAGTTCCAATGAAATAGATCGCCAAGACCCATTACCGTGAGCCAACATTTCAAATCGAATGTGTAGAGTAAGTCTATTTGGTAATATCTATCTTTATAAATGAATATATTATTATTTGATTCTAATTCTTTAATTTCCTGATTTAATTTAGATAACTGTTGCTTCAGTTCAGAGAAGGTTTCGTCCAAGATAAATAAGAAACATTAGACCATCGTTGGGAGAGACTGTAATTGGTGTAGTGGATTTTGGATCAAATTGGTTGGTGTAATTTGCATATTATTAGCAGGCAACCTATTAATAACTATTGGTTGTGTTCCACTATTTCTCATCTCATTATTGTTATTTGAGATCAGATCATCAGCAGCCAACATTGTGTCTGCTAGAGATATTAAGTTATTCATTGTGTAAAATTTAGACTTTTGAATATGTTATTATCTATTTTAAAAAATATATCATTAACGATTTCAATTAAATAAAATTTTAATTTAAAATTTAATTTTTTAACCAAATATGTCAAGTTAAATAAAATGAGAGTCATTCTTAAAGGATAGCCATTATTTGAATTTTTTTTTCCTTTTTTGTACTCGAACTTTTTCAAATTTAATTATTTTTAAAAATTAATTTTAAATTATTAAATTAATAATTTTTTAATCTACAAATAAGAAATCTTGTTTCAATATATAAAAAGATCAATATATATATCATTTATTTAATCTTTGGAATTAAATGTTAAAATCAATGATATTTTGTAGGGCGCGATCGACCTCCAACCTTAGTTTCTACTCATTCTTGGTCTTAGTCTTTGAGGAAAATGAATAGATATAGCATGTATTTGATCGTTACTGCATAGGTATACAGTAGAATCTTGTTTATTGTATCCTTTATGGGTGGGCGGCGACAAGAGAGTTGTCTAGAGAATCCATTTCTCCGCTTACGGTCTACAGGAGCATAGATTCCAAGAACATTGAATGAGTAGTGAGTAGTTGATTGTAACAAAGAGAATACGATCTCCTGGATTTGAATAGATTACTTTGTAATCTAGGTCGCCGCCTTTGAGTTTGACGATTGCTACACCTGTACCCATACCGCTGGAGCAGAGAACGATTTTGTTTGGGTAAAGTGAGGAAACGGAATCGCTTTCACTGATGTTGAGTTCAGTAATAACTACATAGTCATCAGCGAAACGATCTAGGTGAGACTTGAGATCAGCTGCAGAGGTGGAAAGCGCAGCACCTTTAACATTCCACATGCAGATTTTTAAACAGTCGTCGACCAGTGTTATGGTTGAGCAGATCTGATCATGTTGTCCAGATGTTTGAGATGAACTGCCAATTGGTACCACAGAGTGTAGCATAGATTGAGATATGGCGAGGTGATAGATCTGCATAGAATTCCCAACGCTCTCTCAGATCATGTTTGAGATTGCCAACTGGTAAAATAACAAACTGCGCGCATCTAGGATTAGTAATTTTAAATATTTTATGGACTAGAAGGGTATCGATCCCTTTACCTCTCGCATGCTAAGCGAGCGCTCTACCATCTGAGCTACAAGCCCTGTGTTGTGTACGATTCTTGTTTGTAAATTTTTAATTATAAACTAAATTAAATTTTGTATTTTTTATTTTAATAAGTTCCATTCTTCTTTTGTAGAAGAGACACCTACAAACACTTCACATAATGTGAAACGAACAATAAATATTATAAAGTCTTTTCAAAATTAATTAACTGGAAATACACAAAGAGTTTTGAAGTTGAATTAATTAATAGTGACTATATGTACTTTCAACGATAATTGATTTAAAAAACCTATTTACTATCAATCTTGTATTTGTATGCCACTTACTCATCATAATTGAATTCAGAACAAGCACCAAATTTGATATTTAATGCATTTATTATTTATAAATGTATCTTTAACAAGAGATTGATCTAAACTATTTCATTAAGATCCCAATTCTTTGTCAATATTAGAATTCATTTTATGATATTTGTCAATACAATCACCAAATAACTAGCTAACCAGAAGAATCTCCAAAAAATCCCAAGTATTTTATTATTGTTTTAGTCTTTAAAGAGCTAAAGATCTTCAAGATGACACCAAAAAAAAAAAGAAATGTAAATAATTTGATTGGCATTCGATAGAAAGTATTCTGAAGCTTTTGCCCATGATTCCACTACACAATACTAAAAAAAAAAAAAAAAATTCTTTTTTTTTGCTCATCTGCGAACAAACCAAGTAAAGTTCTTTTGCTTTTTCGATAATTTCGACAAAAAAAAATAAAAAAAACTTCTCTTTTGAATTTTATTACAGATCATCAATTATATCATCAAAAGTTAGAAAATAGCAAAAAGGTTGCAACTTTTTATTGTATTAGTAGTTTGAAGAGTTCACACACACACATTGAAATGTCAGCGGCATCATTTGTTTATTTCCTTCGCATCAAAACGGCATCACTGTTTTTCATGTTGGCAGTGATTTCCTTGTCGATCTCCCTCACCTTTTCACAACCAATACAAGTTCAACATAGACTTCAACCACACTACGATAGATTAAATAATAAACTTTATTATTCGAAAATTGACAATGATAATAATAACAACGACAACGAAAACAATAATAATAGAGATCATAATGATAACAGTGGTAGCAATAATTTAAATCCATGTGGATATTGCAAGAATGGATACTTTTGTTTATCAATTGAAGAATCTTCTTCTTGTATACCAACAGGTAAGTAAATTATACATATATATATTAATAAATTATTTGATTGATTGATTGTTATTAACATAATTTGTGTATTCATTTTTCACAGGTTATATTAATGGAAAGGTAGACTTTTATTATTCAGCAAACGACGGTATCTTTGATGGAACTATTGTAAACAATCTTAAAAACACAATCAAAGCAGTGGTATTCAGTTTATCGACTGATGATTCAAGACCGATTGAATTAACCAATGTTTATAATGCTACTTTTGTTGAGGAGTCGAACCAATTGGTGATCCCCGACTATGACGTCATCTACTATGGCGAAAACTTTATTTATGGGTATGATCTTAAGCCAACAATCAATCTTAATCTTAATCTAAGATCAAGAAAGTTACTAACAATCTCTTGAAATTAATATATTTTTAGATTTGATTATAGTGAAAATATAACATTGACATTAGAATCGATATTGTTATATTGATGATGATTGATGATGACGATGATGCGATGATTCCTTACAGATAATCAATCAGTCAATTAGTCAATCAAAATAATCAATTAAACAACCAAACAACACCCTCAAACTAACTTACCAAACAACCAACGAAAAACTAAAATCAATTATAATTATAATATTAATCATAGCGATCGATCATTTTACGAATAATAATAATAGTCAATTAGTAATCACTACTGATTATTAATTAGTGTTTAAATAATAGTAATAATAAATCTTTCATGTAGAAAGAATGTTAACATTAACTTTAATGAAGTTGACCATCTTCTGCAACTTCCATATCTACTGCATCTGACGTCGATGATGAAGATGTTTGTTGTTGATATTGATTATTATTTTGATGATAGGCACCATTGTATTGGTCCATTCCACTTGCATACGGATATATATTATGATATTGAGGGAGTTGTTGCTGTTGCGGCTGTTGATGATACATTGGTGGCGGATAATAATATGGTGATTTTTGATAATACTGTTGCTGTTGTTGTTGCTGTTGTATCTGAGCATAATAATTAGCATATTGCTGATAATATTGCTGTTGTTGATGTTGCTGCTGATGTTGTTGATATTGATTGTTTCTCTGTTGATGTGCATTAATGAATGTCTGTATGGATTGTGCTACTTTCTGTTGATGTTGTTGATTCAATAGGATATTCTCTTGTTGACCACCACCACCACCACCTCCATTATACATTGAATCATAGTTGTTAATATCATACGGTTCATCATCATCGGCATCCGGTAACTTTATGAAATCGTTGTTCTCCTCTATTCGTTTGTCTTGAGTTGTACCATCTGAAACATTGCTCTTTGAAGATGTATTCTTTTTAATTATATCAAATGTAGATACACTCTTTTCTTTACTTCCACTACTACTACTATTACTCTCATTATTATCATTGTTATCATTATTATTATTATCACTATCATCCATATCTATTACACCTTCTTCATCTTCAACTGTATCTGTTGCGACATTTGTTTGTTTTGTTATTGTTGCTGTTGTTGTTGTTGCTGTTGAACTTGGATCATAGTCTTCATTTTTATCTTGTTTATTATCATTTTTACTATTTACACTATTGTTACTGCTATTATTAAGTTGTTGTTCTGTATCACCTTTCTCTGATACATAATAACGATTCCTATATAATATTATAATTAATTGAGTATTAATAACAATAAAGATTATAAAGATATCTGCAATTGATTAATACATACATAACAGGTTTACTATCAAAAAATTCTCTACGATTACGATTAATTCTTCTAAAATCTTTATACTAAATGATTTATAAATAATCAGTATATTAATATCAATCTGGTCTTATTCTAGTTAACTAACTCTAGTTAATTACTACTTACAAATGGACAGTCTGCTAAGGAATGACCTCCTTGTGAACAATTAAAGCATGTACCTTCAAATTTCTTTTTATCACTCCTACAAAGTAAGAAGAAAGTTGTTAGATTCTAATAACTTTTTGATATGATAATCTAATATGATATGATAGTATGGTAAGATCTTTGCATACTTTTCATTTTCTAAATTCTCTTGTAGATTTTGTTTATCACAGGTATAAGATGGTATCTTCTCAAAGTTGTATGGTATCGATGTTTTCATTGTCGCCAACTCTGGAATGCCATCACGTTGTACAAAGAAATTCTGACTGTAATGATAAACCATGTTTCTATTATGATATTTATGGTTGTTGGTGACAGCACCATACATCTTATAATATTGAAATATATATTTCTCTAGTTCATCTCTCTTTTTACTTTGTAATATATTAAAAAGAAATAGGTTAGTTTCGTCTATTAAATCTATTAGGTAGTAGTTATCAAACATTGATAAATATATATATCTTTATTACAAAAACTTACTCATCTAATAATGATGCATTCAAAGCAAACAAAGGTAATTGTTGATAGTCCGATAGTTTATTACGTTTTAACGATTGCTCGAGTTGTTGTAATCGTATTTTCAACTCTAATATCTCATTGTTTAGTAATCTGATTTTCTTATGATCGTCAACATGTATCTCTTTATCGAATATAGAACCATCTATATAGTCTAAACTATTATTTGAATAAACAATACTACTATTGCTATTATTATTGTCTTCATCTAACATATCATTATTATTATATTCTTCATCTCTTATTCTTTCTCTTTCAAGTTCTTTTTCCTTTTCTATATCATTTATTGATATTTCACCTTCTTCATCGTCATCATAATTCATATCTTCTTTAAATATAATATATTTGCAGATTATCTAAAATAGAATAAATAAATAAAATAATTATAAATCTGTCAAATTTAGAACAAACAACTTAGTGGTGTGTGGTATTTCATATCCAAATCTGGTGAAATTGATCAAAAAAAAAAAAAAAAAAAACAAAACAAAACAAAAAAATTAAGGCTTGTATTAATGAAAAAAAAAAAAAGTTATTTTAATTTATTTATTTCTTCATATCTTTGTACCAACGAGAGGATCGAATCATAGTCGTGAGATCTGTTCGAGGAATCGCTCAGTATTAATGATTGGTTTGCCATCGATATCATTGGCGTTTCGGAAAAACATGAAAATACCTCTCAATGAGATTTCACTACTCTCCAAGAGTGTTTCAATGAGTGGCCGAATCGGTAGTTGGAATCGAGTCGACAGTAACATAGTGGTGCCGAATGCATCGCATTTGATCGAGTGATTCATGAGATGAGTGTGATCCAATGTAATGTCGTCACGCTGCTCCAGGTCGGCGAGCAGAATTTCGAATATCACCGGATTGTCAACGGTATCTCTTAGCATCGATTCATCATTGAACTCCCGGTGATTCTTAAGCATCCATCTCACCATTTCCACTCTGCCATGGCTAATGACATTGATAAAGGAATCTCGTGTTGTGCCTTGATTGAATTCTATGGAATCGAGATATTCCAGAACCTCCAGTGATGGTTTCTTGCAGAGCGCGTCGATGTATGGGTGATCCGGCGACAGCGTGTAAGATTCATAGAGGAATCGGATTACCGGCATGTAGCCAACGAGACAAGCATTCTCAAAGGTGTACTCATTGACCGTTGCACTCTCAAAGTGATTGTAATAGAGATATTCAACTACCTTTTCGTTGGAGTGGCGAATGGCGCAGTCCATTGTTTCTTTGTAGAGCATATAGTCGCCGGTTTCCGCAAGAAACAGGAAAGTCTCGTAGTTGCCACTTGCAATGGCTGCTTCGATGTGGCTGTCAGGACTGCACTCCACTTCAGTATTCTCACGCAAATACTTTACAATTTCTGTGTGACCCAACGATATGGCACGCAAAACCGCATCGGGATACGAGTAGAGTTGGTTCTGTTTCTCCAGTAGGTATTTCACCAACTCGAGATTTCCACTGCCAGCGGCGACATCGAAGCAAATCCGACTTGGCAATCCCCATTTGATAGAGGGTTCTACCGGTGGCGTTGGCATTGTTTTCTGTTGATCCATTTGCTCTTGAATGTATTTGATGACCTCCAGTGAGCCAGAGACAGAGCAACAATCCATCAAACTGATTCGATTAGTTGCGAATGTTTCCGGTGAAAGTTCGATCAGTTGGAGGAGATTCGAGAGCTTCTTATTCTTGAAGCAGAACGACTGCAAGGAATTCCTATTGAATTTAACAATGCCCTGGTTTCTCAGCATCGAAATCATCAACTCAATGTAACCATTATCACAGAGCCACCTGTCAGTCAATTCACAATACTTTTTCGCTCGCTTACCCAGTAGTCTGTGCACTTCGGATATCAAGCCAATGATTGTACTCCTAACATAGCTATTCCTTATACACTGAAAGAATAGTGTTGTAGTTGTTATTTCGTTTGACATTATATGTACTAAATGGATAGAAAAAAATTAAAACAATGATTTTGTGTTCATCTTTTTTTTAGAAAAAGATTATTTATTAAAAATTTCTGTTTTTTCCAAATACAATTTCAAAGAAAAACTAAGTTGTTGTGAGTTTTAATATCAAAAAAAAAAAAAAAAAAAGAAGTAAACACTTTATTTAAAAAATTTAATGATATCTTTATAAATTAATATAATCCCAATCTTTTGTCTACTTTTCTAAATGCTTTTTTCAAATCTAATGCAGAGAATAATTGATTTTGATGATCTATCATAAAATTAAGAATATCTTCGCAACGATCTTTACTCGCGCACTTGTAACAGATGTCTTCTAACTTTTGTTGATTAATATCAAATTTTACGTATAGATTTTGATCGTAAAGATATTGTAAGATCTCATAGGATGATCGATTTGAATTGACGATAATTTGGTTGAGTATTCTGCAGTTATAGGAATCTGACCTGTTCTCACGTAACCATTTAACTGTTTCTAAATCATGGTTGAATGAGGCATTTATCATCGATTGAATAGTACATCCTTCAGTTCGATTCGAGTGAAACCATTTCACAAATGAGATACCCATCTTTGCCGATAGATCCATTGCCAAAGTTGTAAATAATTCACCATGATTGCGATGTAACCACTCAACCAGTTGCAAATTATTTGATCTCACTGCATTTTCAATCGTTTTACTTGTAAAGTGACTGATATTGTTACTCTCGAAATACTGAACCAAGTTAAGATGTCCATATTTAGCTGAAAACTCTATATAGTTTATGAAGACCAACGGTCTATAACAGACACCATGTGCTAAAATCCATTCAACCATTTCAATGCTACCACTCATTATACCATTTTCTAGAATAAAAGGTCGAATCTTATCTGGTATAGTGGTGAAGTTACATTTAGCCATGAGATATTCTATCATGTCGATACGACCAACGATAACTGCATTTGCTATTGCATCCAATATCATCGTTTTAGGATATATAGTTGTATTATCTTCAATATTGTGTTTCGATATCTTTTCAGTCAACCATTGTAACAATTCTATGTTTTTACCTAGAGGTGCACTAACCATGTTCGACACGTACGAATGAATCCTGCCAATCGATATTAAAAGTTGATCTAAATAATGAAATATCTTTGATTTTCCATTGATAACAGATTCGTTCATCAATTTCTCTATGAAATCATACAATTTGTATTGATCCATGAAATACTTTATTATCTCTAATCTATCATATCGAACTGCTGTTTTCAATGTATGATAGATTGTTCTATCTGATTCCAAAGGGTAAGCAATCAATTTATGATACCACTTTTTATTATTCTCTTTTGTTCGTTTATAATATTCTTTTAACAATTGGAAATAGTTGTAACCAGCCAATAGATATGGTTTACATTCAACTTCATTCCATTTCAAACTCCTTTCTCTTAAAAAATCGATATGTATTGATCTAACTTGTTGGAATATATAAACTCTCAATACTGAATTATTAAAAACATGATTAAATATCTTATTATTCATTATTAATTAAATTATATCTTAAAAATAAGCCAATGGTTAGTTTTCACAATGATCATATATCAAATTTTCTTTAAAAAACTTTCGTTGGGTAAGATTGGTTCAATTTTTTTTAGAAATCAAAGATATTCTTATTTTGAACAAAGAATCGATTGGAAAGATTACAAAGAAACCACAGTAAAGAACAAATCAAAAAATTAAAAAACAAATCAACAAAAAAAAAAAAAAACCATCTTCCCTTTGTTCGAATATGAATTGTACATCACATTGGATATCTGTCTTTGGTAATCTAAAATTACTCATTGATTACAATAACATAAGATAATAAATTTAGACACCTTTTACAAAAAATGCGCATTTTTTTCAATTTTTTTTTTTAAAAATTAATATACCCAAATATTACTATTTTTAATTTATATATTATTTCAACCTTTAAAGATAGTTTAAACTAAGAGCATAACAATATGTCAAAGAAAGTATGCCCTGATTGTGGCGGTACTTCTTTTGATTCATCAAATGATGGATCTACTGTTTGTGTAGCATGTGGTAAAGTATGTTAAAACAAAATGAACAGATTATTGTACATCTATTATTCATTGTCACTTTTCTATCACTAGACTAGTTAGAAGAGGAATAGATCAAAAAACATATAGAATAGAATGATTATTATAATACTCACTAACAAACTTTACTTGCTTTTCGAAAGGTAATTGATTCAGCAAATATTGTCTCTGAAATTCAATTCAGTGATAGCTCTGGTGTTATGGGTACGTTCGTTAGTAAGAGTGGTGGAGGATCTCGATCGTATCGTAATCTAGGTAGAGACTCTAGAGAGCTTTCCATTGAGAATGCTCGTCGTCGTCTTCATATGATTGCATCACAGGTCAATCTAAAACAACATCATATAGATATGGCATTGAGAATGTATCAACTTGCTATCGAACACAACTTTACAAAAGGTCGTAGAACTCAGAATGTTGCTGCTACCTGTCTATACATTGTTTGTCGTAGAGAATCAACTCCACGTATGTATTGTTACTACTACAATAACAAAACAATAACAACATTAATATTAACATACACTTACCTACTTACATTCTAATTGAACATAATATTATCACAAATTTATAGATATGTTAATTGATTTCTCAGAAGCTATTCAAGTTAATGTATTTGTTTTGGCACAGACTTTTATTGCTTTTTCAAAGATGTTGTGTTTGCAACTACCTTTGGTGGATCCCAGTTTGTTCATTCACAGATTTGCAAATAGTTTGGAATTTGAAGAGAAGACACAAGAGGTTGCTGCGACTGCACTCAAGTTGGTGGCGAGAATGAAGCGTGATTGGATGGCAACAGGTAGACGTCCCTCTGGTATTTGTGGTGCGAGTCTCTTTATTGCAGCAAAGATGCATGGATTCACTAGAACAGTTCGCGAAATCATACAGATCGTCAAGATTGGTGAGACTACACTCACTAAAAGACTTGATGAATTCAAGCAGACTCCGGCTTCGATGATGCGTATCTCTGAATTTGAAGCGGTAGAGATCGAAGGTGAATGCGATCCACCTTCATTCACAAGGAACAGAGAAAAAGATGCTAAACAAGCGAGAAAAGAGGAACTATTGAAACTCAAGAGAGAAAAACTAGTGAAGGAATTGAAAGAGATTGGAGGTAAATCAGAAGAAAAGGATGAAGAAGAGGAAGAGGAGAAATCAGAAGAAAGTGAAAAGAAAGCAGAAGATGGTGAAAAGAAAATAGAAGATGGCGAAAAGAAAACAGAGGAAGGTGAAAGTAAAGTGAAAACAGAAGCAGCAAGTGAAACACCAGCGAAAAAGAAGAGAAAAACAAAAGCAGAAAAAGCTAAACAAGAACAAATCGATAAAGAAAAAGAAGAAGATCAAAAAACAGAGGATGAAATCAATGAGATTTTGATGGATCAAAAGTGTCGGACAAAAGATGAGTTAGAGCTTTGTAAGTAAATCTTTTTAAAACAGAGTGAGTCTGGTGGACTTCAAAATCATTTATTAATTACTTATTAATTATATAATATATAGTACCATCGACATTGGCTTTTTCTTTGAAATCAAGATTGGATTTTAGTGCACCATTACCACCACTTACAACCAAAATCGTTGAATATCCAAGAATCAACGATGAAGTTGATCCAAGTGTTTTCGAGCCAACTGCCACCTTGGATGATCTCTCTGATGAAGAACTTGACACTTATATTGAAGATGATAAAGAAACTGTATGTGTATTCAAAAGAACCAATTAACTAAAAACAAACCTGATTAGCTAACCGACCAACTATTTTAATAAAAAAAAAAAACCAATAATAATAGATTTATGCAAAAGATGTAATTTGGTCGGAAATGAATAAAGAATGGATTGTTAAACAAGCACAAAGAGAAAAGGAAATAGCAGAGGCAGAAGCAGCCGGTGTGCCAGTTAGAAGAAAGAAAACAAAGAAGAGTGCCACTTCTTCGGAGGAAGCATTACAGGAATCGATTAGAAACAAAGCAAAGCAAGAGCGTATTATGAATCTATTCAAGAATTTGATTCATACAGGAGAAAATGTCAAGCAGGAGATTCTTTCACCAAGCGGTGTTGGCTCTACACCAGGAGCCGGCAAGAGATCGAGACTTTCAACAGCAGCAGCAGAAGACGAACCCGATGAAGAAGAGGAAGAAGAAGAAAGACCAGCTACCTCTCTTTCTCATAGTTTACTTAGTCAACAACAATATGATAATGATTATGATGACGATGAATATTAATTAATTAATAACATAACAATTAATCATTCAAATTAATAAACAACATTTGTATATATTATTCATTTTTAACTAAATGTTTGCTATAATAGTTTGTTTGTCTTTAAATAATAAGCTATTGTTATTTCTTTATTTCATTAAAGTTACCAATCTTGACTCTAACCAAACCGAATGAACCACCAAAAGCTAAAACCTTTGTATTGTTTCTATTCTTATTCCACGATAGTTTGTTGATTGACAGCCTGCTGTCTGGGAACTCCAATGAATCGAACTTCTTTACCTGTGACAAGGAAATTATATGCCCTGTCGATAAAAACTGAATAGGTTTAACTGCGACATTTAAATCATTGGGTAATATATACAAAACTTTGTTCTCTTTATCAAACTCCATTCTTTCAATTTCTTTATGAAATTCTCTCTATTTTAAATAAATTAATTAATAAATAAAAAGATGTTTAGTAAATCTCGTCTTCAACAAATGAAAACTATTGTTTTTCACTTACTCTTTCAACCTTTCTTCTTGCACCATATATATGAAATAGCTTAACTGATCCATTTGAACTCGATGCTGCAAATGTCATATTGGTTGATAAATCTTGTGCCTAGAAATAAAATAGTAAAATAAGAATTCTTGTTTAGACAAAAAAAAACAATGTTATTTGATTTTGGTTGATATTGTTTGTTTTTCCTCTTACCATTATAAAACCTTGATGAATTCTTGTTGTACTTGCATTTTCACTGATAGGATCGAAAACTCTAAAATCATCATCGTGTGTACAAGTAAAGACTGGGAATATGGTATTTGGCCATGAAATGGTATTTTTCCAGCAATAGTCGAATGTGTGTTTCTGTACAGGTTGGAACGGATCTCTCCGATCCCACAAACAAAAGTATGTATTGTGCATCACCAAAAAATAACCACTATCGAAGGGACAAAAAGCTAGACTCTGAACTGGTTCTTTTTCTTTTCTTACAAATATTGGTAATGAAACCTTTGTCGAGTGTCTCTTTATATCATACATTATAATTTGACCTAATAACATAAAGTTAATTAATAATTTGAATATTAATATTATTCATTAAATTATATTTACCATTGAAATAGCCAATTAAAAGAAATATTTGGTTATCTACAATTGACCAATCTAGACAAGTTGATCGAACACCTCTTGGTATGTCTGCCTCATTGGTAAGAATCTTCTCTTTAGTTTCAAATAATGGCTTTATATTGATCAGTGTGAAGTGATTGTCCTTTGGCTTTGCTAGACTCTGTGGATTTGGTACACTCCATACTCTTACAGTACCATCTCCAAGTGCAGCTGCCAGAATTCCAAGTCTGTCGTCTTTGAGTGATCCATTTGGTAACCATTTTAAATCTACTACAAAACAACCATTATGTGCAATACCCATAACTAACTTTGGTTTATTTGGTGATGTAGAAGATGCTGTTGTAGTTGTTGTCGTTGTCGTCGTGGAAACTGGACTTTTCTCTTTAGTTTTTGACTCCTCCATTTCTGCATCTTCCTTTGTTTCTGTTGCTTCTGTTGTTGCTGTTGTTGTTATGTTTTCTTTTGAAATAGATGTTGATACTGATGATGCAACTTGACCACCTTTATTTTGTACACTATCAAATTGCCAAATCTGTATCATATTACATCCAGAATATACTCCATCTCTATAATGCTCAGACAATACATCACTGTTGGTTCCAATTGCTAAATATTGCTTATCTATAATATAATAATATCAAATCATATTTAGTTTGAGCTTGTTAAATTACTATTGATGAAGAAAGAAAGAAAGAATAGAATAGTACATACTATTAAATGATTCGATTGGTAATGGACACCAATCCATAGCTCTTACATTTCCACCGGCATACAACATGTAATCGATTGCCAACGAAGGTGAAGCATCAACCCTAACACTCTCCGATTCCAATCGATCCAGAGTTTTGAATGTATCTTTCTTATCCTTGAATCCAAACATCACAGACACTTGATCCTTTGGTAAATATTTATCGATTTCACTATTATAATGTTGATTAATAGATTTGTACTAACGTGGTGATAATAATTAGCTTCAATATATACCTTTTACTATTGATAATGGTAAATGTTTTCCTCTCAATGGATGGTAGTTGATTCGGTAGCAATTCAACTTCGGACGATGGATAGCTCGGAACTGAATAGCGTTGTAATATACCGAGCCTGTTTGAACTTCTGACCTTTTCACGGAATGACTTTTGTGGAGTGCTAGGATCGAGCGCCGCTTCAATAGCCATAAGATTCTTAAGGTTTCTTTTACGCTTGACCGGTGTGCTTATTACTTTGGTCGGTGAAGCATCAACATCATCGTCAACGTAATCATCATCATCATCGTCATCAACGTAATCATCATCCTTATCCTTGTTGTTATTATTATTAATGTTCATTCTCTTTTGTTTTTTGGTTGGAACAACAGCTTCTTCTTTATCATCATTTTCATTAACATCAGCATCACCACCATCTCCATCATCGTTGCTTTTCTCTTTTTTCGGTGTTTTAGTTGACGACTTTCTCTTTTTATATGCACCTTTTCCACCACGACTTCCTTTACCAATCCTTCTGCCACGACGAGGTTTATCTGTTTCTGTACCATCAGTACTGCTATTCTTATTCCTTGATTTGGTTGTTGATTGTATCCTCTCCTCGTAATCCGACATACCATCCTCTGTCTCCATTAATGCATCTTGATCCGACAGTATCTCTACCTCTCTATCACCACCTCCCATTTCAAAATCAATTTTAACATCAGCTTCCGCTTCAACATCAGACGGTGGTTCATAGTCATCGTCTGAATCTTTCTTTTTCTTTTTGGTTGGTGGTTGTTCATCATCTTGATCATCTTCATCATAAACATCGATGTCCTCAGGTTGAGGGTTAGCTTTTTGTTTCTCTTTCTGTTGTTGTTTGAATCTCGCTAGCAAATTACCAGGAACTCTCTTATTATCTGTTGATTTAGTCGATGTTGTATCATCAACCTTTGGCATTACTAATGTTGGTGTTGAAGTTGATGTAGTTGTTGTTGTCGTTGTCGTTGTTGCCGATGAAGATGACGCTGCTGGTGGAGTGGATGTCTTAAAGAACTTACTAAATAAAGAAAATGATTCTGATGTTGGTGTTAATGTTAATGATGGTTGTGAATGTGATTTTGTCGGTGTAGTTGTTGATGGTGGTGGTGGTGTACTAGTAGTAACTCTCTTTGACTTTAACTTTGATTTAGGTGTTGTCGTTAGATCTATTGTAAGTTGGGAAGAAGATGATTGTGATGAAGCAGGTGATGATTTAGTTGTGCTTCTTCTACCTCTTTCCAGAACAACAGATGATCCTACTGTTTTTGTTGTTGTTGTTGAGGGTGTAGATGGTTCAGTTTCGCCATCACCACTAATTTGCTTTCTATTCTCCTTTTCCTTCTCCTCTCTTTCTTTCTCTTTTCTAACTGCTCTCTTCAAAAACTCATCAAGCAATCTTTGAACTTCTCCCTCTTCTTCTTCCTCCTCTTTCTCTTTCTCTTTCTCTTTCTCTTTCTCTTTCTCTTTCTCTTTCTCTTTCTCTTTCTCTTTCTCTTTCTCTTTAACCACTCTTTCTCTTTCTCTTTCTCTTTCTCTTCTTCCTTATTTTGATTCGCTCTAATCTGTGGCTTTCTCTTCTTGGCTGAAGGAACTATTACCACAGCGACATCGTCTTTATTATTATTATTATTATTATTATTATCATTGTTATCTTTTGGTGTAGATGATGATGATGATTTTGGTGACTTTGTTGTTGATGTTGTCGTTGTTGTTGTTGATGACGATTTAGTAGTATGTTGTTGAGAGAGTTTCTCTTCTATATCTTCGATGCCAACTGTGAACTTATCGAATGGAGTATCATTGATATGCTTCTCTTCATCACTTTCATCATTTGCAGCAACCAATATATTACTAAAGAACTTTCTGAGATCACTGCTATTACTAGTATCAGACTCGGTGATCTTTGATTTCTTACTGCCAGCAACACTCTTTCTGATCGTTGTTTTTGGTTGAGCTGGTTTTTTTCCACCCATTTATTAATTATTTATTTCAACATAAAAAAACCAAACAAGGTTAAGGGAAACAAAATAATAATAATAAATAAGCTATCTAATTAATTTAGTGTTTCTAATTATTTTTAATTAACTAACTAGCTATCAGATGATATATATATATATTGTTAAATAACTAAACTAAACTAAACTCTAATAGAATTAATAAACAACCATTAATTAATTTTTGTTTAGCGCATGTGAGAATCGAACCAGCACCACTCTTATTAAAAAAAAAAAAAATTTTAGAAATAAAATTAACGGTCACAAATTTGAATTAATTTTGAACATGAAACTAGTAATATCAATAATTAATCAATTAATGTATCCTATTTCAGTATATTACTACTAGATAGACTATATACAATATATATTATATTAAACAATATACATTGTTTGATTAATGATTTATTATTTGAAGTTTTATTTTTTTTTTTAAAAATTATTATTATTTGCAAAATTGCAACAATTCTAACTTAATTGTATTATATATATTAATTTATATGTTTTTAAAGATAAAAATAGAAAAAGAAATAAAAAACATGTAAATTGTAATATTAAATTTTTTAATGTTTTTGTTTTTTTTTTCGTTTTTTTTTTAAAGTGCTTATTTTTTTTTTGTGATTTTTGATAAGTTAAGCGGAACGGATTGGATTGGATTGGAGTTGTTATTATTATTATTTGATTGATGAAAGAGTGATAATTGTGGTAATGTTATTGTTGTTGTTGTTATTGTTGTTTTAGTAAATTGTAAAAAGTGAGGTGACTGTTGTTGTTGCTTGTTGTTTTTTTTGTTGTTGATTTATAAAATGATACATCCTGATTTCTTTTCTTTCTTTTTTGGTTTGTCTTTTCCTTTCTCTGTTGAAGCAGCACCTGGTTGCTCACTCTTCTTCTCCATACCTCGTGACTCCAAGACTAAATCGATAGCAGTGTTAAAAATCTCGTTGAGACCCTGATGGCTCTTGGCCGATACCTCTAAATATTGCTTGGCACCGATCTGCTTGGCCATCGACAGACCCATATCGGCTGTGACCGGCTCGAACTTGCCCGAGTTGGGATCGGGGTGTTGTGCCTCTCTCAGATCGATCTTTGTACCCACCAGAATACGTGGTACGTCCTCTATATAGTGTTTGACTTCCGGTGCCCATCTGTCTCTGATCGATTCGTACGAAGCCTGGCTGATGGTTGAGAAGCACAGCAGCACGACGTCGGCACCCGGGTACGACAGTGGACGAAGACGGTCGTACTCCTCCTGACCGGCAGTATCCCACAAGTGAATCTTAATATCTTCGTTGCCACGTTTGGTGGTCGCTGTATAGTTTTCAAATACTGTTGGTACATATTCCACTGGGAATTCGTTACGAGCGTATGAAATGAGCAAACAGGTCTTACCGACCGCACCATCTCCTACAACAACCAACTTTACACGAGTAGCTCCTGATTCCTAAATAAATAATAATAATAATAATTTTCGTTTTTTTTTTGTTATGTTAATTATTATTGTTGTTGTTGTTGTTTTTTGTTAATCTAATTCCCAAATCTAAATCTAAACAAAACATCACAACTCATCTCAAACTCTTTCACTCTCTTTCGCACCACTCTCTCTCTCTCTCTCTTTCTTTAGATTGTTTGTATTCATGCTTACTTCTGCCATTATGTTGTGTTTATTTCTTTATAATCTTTCCTCCAAGCAAATATTTACAAGTTTGAGTTTTTTATTTTATGTTGTTTTTTGATAAATGACTAAAAATGAAAAAAAAAAAAAGTTAAGTTTTTGTTAAGTTCACTTTATTTTTTGTTGTGATTTGTATTGAATGAATATTGATGTGATGATGGTAGTGTTATAATATTAATGTTATTTTGATCATTATTTATTGTCTGTCATACCAAATTCTAAATCTCCAATTTTTCTGTTTTCTTTTTTTTTTGTTTTGTTTTTTTTTTATTTTCAATTGCAAAAATTTAAAATAGAAAGTAACTAATAACAAAAAAGTATGGTTTATTTGATTGATTTGATTAATATTATTATTATTATTCTATTTTATTATTGTTATTAAATTATTTATTTATTTTTTTAATTTAAAAAAAAAAAAAAAGGTAAAAGGGGGTGGTTGTGAAAATGATTGAATTTATTATGAAGGTTTTTTTTTTTTTTTAAAATTGTTGTTTTTGATAAGGTGGTGATGAGATTAGAAAAACAAAAAAAACCCAAAAAAAAAAAAAAACAAAAAAAAAAAAAATTATAAGTAGAATTGGCGAATATTTGTTGAATTAAAATGTTCTTTGAAATCAACTCTATGATTATTTTAAAATTAAAACACTTTTGCGCATTGCATGGTAAAATCCAATTATAGCTCTTGACCAATTTTTTATTATAAGTAATAAATATGTAGTCATTCATTCATATTTGTCTTATTTTCATTTCTATGTCTGAGACTCCACATTATTTCATTTTGATATTGTTATTCTTATTTTGTAAGTATTTAAATTTATAACAGTTGTGTGATTTAAATTGATTATTTGGTTGATGATTGTTTGAATGATTGATTGATTGAATGATTGTTGGTTTGTTTTGTTTTGATTATTTACTTTTTATACAAAATTTAGAATGGTTGATAAAAACTCGATTTCAACTACGATTCTAATCTATTATTTATTAAATTACTACTAAATAAATATATTTTTACTGATATTTAAATAAAAATAAATAAAAGATTATAAATATAACTAAAAAAAGAATAAAATTAAAAAAAATTTTAAGCGTTATTACAAAAAAAAAAAAAAAAAAAAACTACAAAATACAAAAAAAATAATAAAAATGTAAAAAAAATGGGTGAATCAAATTATCTTCTTTATTTGAATCAGATGAGTATTCAATGAAAAACAATAATTTTATTTTTTTTAATAAAATTGACATTTACTATTTTTTTGTGCCAAAAAATGCATTAAGGTTTTGTTTTTTTTTTTTTAAAACGAAGAATGAGAACATCTGATCACAAAAATGTTGCCTTGAAATGAACTATTCGATTCAAACAAAAGCTCTCTCTGCACTTTATAAAGTTAGCTTCTAATATTTATTATCATCTATCCAAAAACATTCAATCCATCATCGATCGATCGATACCATTGTTCAATACTATAATGGGTTATATTTTGTTTTGGTTTTATGATAATCTAACCATTATATATTCTTCACATAATTACTTAATTACTTACATTGCCACTACCTCTACTTTGCTTGAAGTACTAATCAAGCTTTCTAGAAGTAAGGACTGGTCTAAACTTTGAATTTATTAACTGACTTTATGAAATATTTTTACTTATTTTGTCTAATATTACCATTTATTTGTTATTATGATGTTTTTGTGTTATAATATATTGCTAAATAAGTAGTTTTTATAAAAGTATACCAAATGAAAAGAACCAGTACTATCCGGACAACTAACATATAAAAAAATGTTATTGTTAACTCAAATTGTACCAATAAAAGACCAATATTTTAAATATATCTTTGTTCCTCTTTTTTTTTTTAATTAACATTGGTTATTTCAATAAAAACAAAAACTAAAGTAGTTATTGTTAACATTTGATAATGTTTAACAACAATTATCTGATTAGTTGATAATATAGGATATGAGGTTGATCTATTTCTTGATCAATATAGTTAAACGATGTTTGTTTATTCAATAACTTGAATATGAACAAACATGTGAGTGAGAAAGAAAGAGATAAATCATATCACAAAAAAGTTATAACAATGTTTGTTTTGTTGTGAGTGAGGGAACGAGTGTGCGTGATTTTAAAAAAATGATGAAATCAGAGATGTATACAATCGAATGAGGTGATCAATAGTGTCAGATCCGAATAAATGTAGGGGATTGGAATTTAATTAATTCAAAACTTACACCCCACCCAACCAAACCTAAAACAATACCCCTCTTCACAAAACCTCCACTACTTACTTTAATCAACATCTCTAAATAAAAAAAAAAAAAAGAAAATAATTAATTAAAACAACAAAATATCTCACAGTTTGAAGTAAGAATGTTTACCCCTCGTTTTCACTCATTCACACCCTCATATTTATTTTTAACATTTTGTTCGGTTTTTTATTTATTATTTTTATTTTTTAATAGTGCTTTGTTGATGCTTACACAAATATGTGAACTTTGTGAAAAGTGGGGTAAACAAAACAAAAATAACAATAGATATGGAAAGTGGGGTACATTTTATCGTTTTATATAGTTGAAACCACTGAGAACAAGATTCCCATCATTTTCTCTCCCCAATTCTTTGTTGTTTTGGTTACAACTGGTATTTTAAAATAAAAGCCTGATAGTGTTTCAAATTCCGACTAAAAAAATAAACAAACAAAATAAAATAATAAAAAAAAAATAAAAAAAAAAGTAAAAAAAAAAAAAACAACTAGTAAATAAATTCAAAGTGTAAAAACATCATCATCATTTTTTAAAATAACTTATAATTTTATAAAAACAACAAAAAAACAAAGTTATATATAATTTATATATATAATTTTTACATAGAGATAGATAATATATTATTTATTATCTCTTTTATTATCTCTCTAGATATTTTCTGTTTTTATCTCTCTTTTTTTATTATCTCTCTCTTTTATTTATTTTTTTTTTGCAATTTAATTTTCTAAAAAATTAAATTTCTACTACTATTCAATACCTACTACCCCTCTGCGCCACGCACTGAGTTTAAAAGAAAGAAGCTATGGACTCCGAAATTAGTATTCCAATGAAACAACAAAGCCATTTTGCCGACGGCAACAACACAGCATCTATTCCCGATCCAAATATTACTGCAGAGTACCGAGCTCTACAGAGCTCAAAGCAGTCGGCCTCTTCGACCGGTTCCGACCGTGAGGGCTACAATTTTGATTTCCACACTCTCGCCGAGTCAGAGTTGTGTGATCGTTTTAAAACTAATCTACAAGATGGTCTATCGCCAAACGAAGCCACTATCCGTATCAAAACCAATGGACTCAATGAATTTGATCATCACAGTCCAAATTATTTTAAAAAGGCCATGGTGTATCTCTTTGGAGGTGTATGTTATAAAGATATTAATATTAACAATTCAACATTGTTTATTATCTTATCTTTGAAAAAATCTATATCAATGTTCCCGTTAATTTATATACTAATCATTCTATATAATTTGAATATGTTATCCTTATAATCCCAATTTAATCTCAACTCTACTTTACTTTACATTTTAATTTTAATTCTATGTTTTGTTTTTTTTTTTTAATATCCTTTCTTTTTTTGCAACTTTAAATTCACATCCCTCAACAGTTTTGTTCTGTTTTGTGGGTTGGTGTAATTGTGTTCTTTGTCTGTTGGAAACTTTCGAACTGGCTTTCCACAAATCTTGCTTTGGCAATTTTAGTTGTAGGTTTTCTCATTCCATAATGTGTTATCAATAACAAATTGAACCACTGGAAAGAACAATTGATTTGATTAAAACAAAAACACACTTTTTGTTGAAAGCTTTATAAAAATTAGTTTACTAACCCTTATATCTCTTAAATGTATTGCCTATATTCCCATTCCTCTTTACTTTACATTAATATCTATTTTACTACTTCTATCTTATCTTATCTTATCTTTCTTTCCTTTCCTTTATGTTATGATATTATTTATTTACTACTTACAATTCATTTAAATCTTTGTTAATTAAAGATGATTGTCATCTTTTTACAAGCACTATTCTCTGCCTTCCAAGATTGGTCAACTTCAAGAGTTATGAAGTCCATCTTGAGTATGTTGCCATCTGAAAGTTTGGTTGTACGTGGTGGTCAGATCACTAGATTACCAACCAGCCAATTGGTAGTTGGTGATATCGTTCACCTAAAGATGGGTAACAAAGTGCCAGCTGACATGGTAGTCTTCCAGTCTTCAGGAGATTTGAAAGTAGACAACTCCATCTTGACCGGTGAGAACAAACCAATCAATGTCGTCACCAACTGTACCGATTCCTCTTTTATCGAGTCCAAGAATGTCGTATTCATGGGTACTCACGTCCTCAATGGATCCGGTATTGGTGTCGTCGTACTCACCGGTAACAACTCTATCATGGGTAAAATCAACCAGTTGACCAATGCCCGTCCCGAAAAGATTCCAATCATCCAACAGGAAATCAATCGTTTCGTTTACATCATTGTTGGATTGACTATTCTACTTGCCGGTATGTTTGCTCTTGAATGGGGTGTCTTCCTCCACAGAAAACACCCACAATTCCAAGATACCGTTGCCATGTTGATGAATGTAATGTCGTGTGTTGTCGCTTTCATCCCAGAGGGTATGCCAATTTGTGTTGCTCTAACTCTCCTCTTGGTTGCCAAGCGTATGAAACAAAACAACATCCTCCCCAAGTCGTTGACCACCGTTGAAACTCTTGGTTGTGTCAATGTGATCTGTTCGGACAAGACCGGTACTCTTACCCAAAACAAAATGTTTGTCACCAACGTTGTATTCTCTGACACTCAAGTCAATCCAGAGGACATGTTGATCTCGTTGAAGAGTGATAGCTGTGCAGGTGGACAAGCGATTCTCTATCAACAAATGCAGTTGTCTGCCGTTCTCTGTTGTAATGCCACTTTCGACGCTTCAACACTTGCACTTCCACTCGATCAACGTAAGATCAATGGTGATGCTACCGATGCTGCCATTCTCAGATTCGGTGAGAAACTCTCCGGTTCACTCTCAAACAACACCAGATCCGAGTTCACTCGTATCTATGATATTCCATTCAACTCCAAGAGCAAATTCATGGTGACACTACACAAGCCAACCTACCTAGACAGCTCCAACAGTCAATCGATCTTCAGAATCAATTCATCATCGAATGAACATCTCATGCTTGTCAAAGGTGCACCAGATGTTTTGTTACACCGTTGTATTTCACTTTCATCTTCCACTCAAACCACCGTTCCACTCAATGTTGATCAAATGGAAAGAATTTGTTCACTCCAAGAGAAACTTTCAAGTATGTATCAAATAATTATTAACTTTTTAAATATCTCTTCAAATTATTTATTGACAATTTATTTTTTTAGGAAATGGTCAACGTGTACTTTTATTATGTTATCGTTCATATACACCAGTTAATCCAGTTGGACATGTATCTTTTGGTCAGGAGCTTGAAGATGCTGTTAGAGACTTGACTATAATTGGTATGGTCGGTATTTGTGATCCACCAAGACCAGAGATCAAGGAAACAGTCGCCACCTGTCGTAAAGCTGGTTCCAGATTCTTTATGATTACCGGTGATTTTGGTTTGACTGCTAGTGCCATCGCTCGTCAAGTCGGTATCTTCACTCAAATGGACCGTGATCCAGAGACCTATGAAGATATTCTCCTCGACCAATCATCCTACCAGTTGGCTCATCAACCAAGTCCGGACAACATGGATGCCGAGAACTCGGTAATCACCAGTTTGGTCTTGAACGGTAATGAAATTGCCAAGTTGAATGATGAACAATGGGATCGTGTCAACAAATACTCAGAGGTAGTGTTTGCTCGTACCACACCAGAGCAAAAGTTACAAATCGTAACTGAGCTCCAGAAACGTGGAGGTGTCGTTGCTGTCACCGGTGACGGTGTTAACGATGCTCCTGCTTTGAAAGCTGCCGATGTTGGTATTGCCGTCGTCACAGGTAGTGACGTTGCAATTGAAGCTGCCGACTTGGTTCTCCTCGGAAACTTTGACTCGATTAGCCATGCTATTCGTCTCGGTCGTCTTGTCTTCCAAAATCTTCAAAAGGTCATTGGATTCTTGTTGCCAGCCGGTTCCTACTCTGAAATCATGCCCGTCGTTGTCAATTCATTCTTTGGTACACCAGCACCACTCAGTTCCTTCCTCATGATTATTATCTGTTGTTTCACTGATGTCTTCCCATGTCTTGCTTTGATTATGGAAAGGGAGGAGTTCAACTTGATGTCACTCCCACCAAGAAACGCCAAGAAAGATCATTTAATTACTCTCAGAATCTACATTCAATCCTATTTGTTCATGGGAACAATGCAGTCGGTTATCTCGATGTTCTTGTTCTTCCTCTACATCGAAGAGTACACTGGATTGTCATGGGGTGATATGGCTTTCACCTATGGTGACATCGATTTCACTGCTCCACATGTTAAGGTCTCTGCCGATGACTTTAACAACATCTACGTTCCAACCGGTACCTGTGTTACTTTCCTCGCTTTGATGATCCTCCAATGGGGTAACATTCTTTCGATCCGTAACCGTCGTCTCTCTATTGTTACCGCTGATCCATTGCGTCCAAAGCGTAGAAATCTTTGGATCTTCGTTGGAATGTCTTGTTCATTTATTGTCGCAATCATCGTCACCAAAGTACCATGGATTCAAACACTTTTCCAAACCGGTGATGTCCCAATCAAATATTGGTTGTTACCAATTCCATTCGCAGTCGCTATTTTGGCCATGGATGAAATTAGAAAGCTTTTTGTAAGACTGTTCCCTAACGGTCCAATTGCTTGGATCGCTTGGTAACAAACTATTCAATTATTATATAATAAAAAAAAACATTTTGTTTTTTATCGAAAGATAAATTATTCATTTTATTTTCCTTTGGAATGATTATAATCCTTAGTTTTAATACACAAAAAAAATTATTTTTTTAAACAGTTAGCAATTATTTATTATTATTTTTTTTATAAATTGTTAGTCCGAGAATTTCCAGCATTTCTAATCTTTTCAGCAACTCTATCGTTGTAACGTTGTGCTTTAGTTCTCTTTTTAATTAAAAGGATTGTAGCTGCGACCAAAGCAACACCAGCAGCACCACCGACAACAGATCCTACAATAACTTTCCAATTGCTATTCTCTTCTTGAGTATTTCCACATTTTCCTGACTTGGCGTCGGATTTTGGCGAAAGAATCAAACCTATATCGGGATCGACGACAGCAGATCTTTCAAAATATGGAATGAGTGAGTTGATCACCATGAAACCATCCTTTTTGGCATAGTTGTGAGAGGCTAATCTTGGAATGCTATCGACAACAAGGATGTTTAGGAGATTACCAACAACGTAGTTTCCACTGCCATCACCAATATTGAATGTTGTGATACCATTGGATGACGATACCTCTGTATCATTGGATGATGGTGACTTGAGTTTACCGCACTCATCGACTGCACCAACCGGATTGGTAATCTTTGTCGAGAGAACCAGAGAGTTGAGTTTGGATTCGAATGGCCACTTGTTGATAACCATAGTGAATTTAAGCGATCCAATGTTGATTTGATATTCTTTTCCGGCAAATGCAATTGGGTATTTCTTTGCAGCCAAAGAAGACGAGTCCTTTGGAGCTTGATATTGAATGAATGAAATCGAAAGTGAATCGATACCATCAATTGTTGTCTTGTTTGATGAATATGTAAATGTCTTTTCAGTGAGTGTTTCTCCGGTGGTTGGATGTGTGACTGATTCATTTCTTGTGAAATCCAATGACCATGAGACCTTTGAAAGATCGAGTGTTTTAATTGGAGTAGATAATTGGTCAACTTCTTCCACTGAAAGAAGTTCAAATCTATAGTTTACTCCATTGTTATCAACGATGATTACTGGTTTGTCTGGATCTGGTGTGATTGTTTCATTCTTGTTGTTATTGTTAGTATTATCGATATGACAGTAAATACCGGTCCAACCTTCTGAACATTGACATTCACCCTTGTCACAAACACCATGACTTGAACAAATTGGTGCTGTTTCATTCTTCTTGCAGGAACTATCATCCAAGTTGTTCAACAATGTTGTGGCATCAGTGGTGGATTCTACAGGATCGTAGAAGGAATTTGAAACAGTGACTCTGATTGTATATTTGGTTGCATATGCCAGTCCATGAATATTACATGAAAGTTCGGTTGATTTCAAACAGATTGTTTTCCATTCCACAGAGTTAAAGGTAATTTCAGTGGTGTAGATAGTTGATTGTGGCAAACCGTTCTCACTGGCATTCCATGAAACTTGAATTGTTGAGGCAGTTGGGAATGTGTTCAATACCACTGGTGTTGGGTTGGAATAGGTCTGGTGATAAACATCATTGCTCTTTGACACTTCATCATTATAAACAATAACTTTAATGTTGTAATTTGATCCAAGAACCAATTGATCATAGATACATGTCAATTCAGTGGTATTTGAACAAACCAATGTTTCATTGACAATCACATCGTAAGTTGTTCCTTGTGGAATGCCATGTTCTGTAGAGTATTTGATTTCAAATGATTCGATTGATGTCTGTGAAACTGTGATTATTGGTTCAGAAACTTCCATGTAGGTGGTGTAGAAATGTTGAGATTCCAAAGTCAATTGGTCGTTTGTTGCTTTGACAGTGATAGAATAATCGACACCGTCATCCAATCCAGTGAATAAACATGTAGTTGCTTGAGTTTGGGTGCATCCAACCACAGGTTGATTATTCAATAGAACATCATAGGTAGTATTATCTGGTAGACCATTCTTGCTAGAGTAACTAATTGCTATCTCTCTGGTGTTGATATGGTCAAGTTGAACTTGAAGATCGGATAACAAAGGATAGGTGGTTACATCCAATGTAGAAGTAAGACTGGCTGTACCATTGGAAGCTGTCACAGAGAATGTATAAGTAGTGTTACCATTAAGATCTGTAAGTAGACATGTACCGCTGGCATCTGGTTTCGATTCAACACAATTAGTTAGAACTACATCATTCATCTTGACGATAAACGATGTCTTGAGAGGATCTCCACCCGGTGCTTCGTAGACAAGCGAGATAGTTTTGGTTAGAGCTGTAGCAGTGACGATTGGCTCGCCCATCAAATCCCAAAGAGTAATCTCTTGAACTGCAGACTGGGTGACTGTTTCATCGTTGGTTGCGACAGCTTGTACAGTGTAGTTATCGAGAGTTGTCAAACCGGAAATGGTACATGTAATGGCAGTACCAGAACATCCAGGATAAACAACACCATTCAAAAGAATTTGATAGGTTGTGCTTGGTGTTGGAACACCGCCAGTGGCAAAGAAACGTGCAAAGATCGATGTTGGTTTACCAATGATAGTTAGAGTTGGAGTATTGATCTTGGTGTAGGTGAGGAAGGAGTTGGAGAATGGCAATGTCTTTTGGTCGTTTGTGGCAGTGACTTGGATGGCGTAGGTAGTGGCAGATGTCAAATCCTTGATTGTGCAGCTAGTGGCTGAGATATCGATACAGTCTGGTGCATTGACTCCATTGTAGGTGATTGAATACTTTGTCAAACCAGGTACACCTCCAGTGACACCAAAGTTGACTGTAATCAACTTGGTAGTGATTGAAGATGCAGTGATAGAACCACCACTGATTTCAGAGTAAGTTGAAGCTGTCAATCCTTTTTGTTGAGATTTACCATCATTGATAGCAATCACTACAAAGGTATAGGTAGTACCTGGATTCAACGAGGGAAGAGAACATGTAGTTTCCTTGATCAATTGGCAATCTTTGAATGGAGTATTATTTATGCTAATGTTGTATCTGGTTAGATCGGGGTTACCTCCAACGCTACCGAATGAAAGTACACCAGATTTAGTTAGCATTGAAGCAGTGAGTGTTGGATTTGAAATTAGATCCCACAATTTAACAGAGACAACTTGTGATTGAGTGGTAGTACCGTCATTGGTTGCGCTGACTTGAACAGTGTAGGTTTGGAGTGTTGTTAAACCAGATAAAGTACATGGTGATGTAGTGCAAGATTGAGCAACTCCATTCAATAAAACTTGGTAGGTAGTTGCAGGCGATGGAATACCACCGATTGCTGAGAAAGTAGCTGTTATTGTGGTTGGTGTGTTGGTAACGGTGAGAGTTGGAGCTGCAACTACATCATAGAGCTTCTGTGTGATTGTCATTGTTGGTGATGCATTTTCATAGTTGATTGATTTACCAACGATGGTAAGTGTGGAACCTGGTGAAATTGGTGTGAATCCTGAAACAGTGCATTGAGTAAATGAAGGGCATGTGACTGGTGAACCATTGATCGTAAACTCAAAGGTAGTAACTCCTTGAACACCGCTATTTGATGAATAACTGAATGTAACTGATTTGGTAGTGTATGAATCTACTTTCAATGTCTTCATGGTATCTGCAATAGTTTGATAGGATAAAGTACCAGTTTTAGAAGCACCGTCATTGGTTACTTTAACTTGAACGTCATATTTGGTTCCGAGAACGACATTGTTGAAAACACATTGGAGAGCGGAAGTGGCCGAACAGACAGCAACATTATTCACAAGAACATCATAACTTGATGCACCATAACCGTATTGTGTTGTGTATTTAATGGTGAGTGACAATCCCGTTTGTGAGATAGTGATAGCGGGAGTTGTTACAGCGGTCACTGTTGTTAATGTTTGAGTAGTTGGAACAGAGAGACCGTCGTTGGTAACAGTTACTTTGATAGTGTATGCAGTACCAGCATTCAATCCAGTGATAGTGCATGACTTGGTAGCAGTATTGATACATCCTGGTACATCAACACCAGCACTGTTGACAGTAAACAAAGAACCGCTTGGAAGACCGTTAACAGCATCGTAGGTTATTGCAATATGTTTAGTGGTGATAGATGTAGTTGAGATTGTAGGAGCGGAGACATCCAAATAGGTTACTTGATTAAGAGTCTTGGAGAGAACAGTAGCACCATTAGTAGCAGTGACAACGAAAGTATACGACGCTCCTGGATTCAATGAAGAGACAGTACAAGTCTTGGTCTGGAGAGATTGACAACCTGCAACTGCAGCACCATTATTGGTAATACTGAAACGAGTCAAAGCAGGATCACCTCCAGTTGCATCGAAGGAAAGAACAACTCTTCTTGTATAGGCAACTGCAGTCAATGTTGGTGCAGTCATCAAGTCCCATAGCTTAACAGATTTTGAAGTAGATGGTGATGTTATACCGTCGTTGGTTGCACTTACTTGTACAGTATAGGTTTGGAGTGTTGTTAAACCAGACATTGTGCATGGCGATGCAGTGCAAGATTGAACTACTCCACCCAATAATACTTGGTAGGTGGTTGCAGGCGATGGAATACCACCGACTGCAGAATATGTTGCAGTGATAGAGTTGATTGTGTTGGTAAGAGTTAGAGATGGAGTTGCAACATCTTGATAGGTTGCTTGATTAAGAGTCTTGGAGAGAACAGTAGCACCGTTAGTAGCGGTGACAACAAAAGCATACGATATTCCAGGATTCAAAGAAGAAACAGTACAAGTCTTGGTTTGGAGAGATTGACAACCTGCAACTGCAGCACCATTATTGGTAATACTGAAACGAGTCAAAGCAGGATCACCTCCAGTTGCATCAAAGGAAAGAACAACTCTTCTTGTATAAGCAACTGCAGTCAATGTTGGTGTGGTCATCAAATTCCATAGCTTAACACTTTGAACAGCAGATGAAAGAGTGGTGCCGTCATTGGTTGCTCTAACCTGTACACTGTAGGTTTGTAGTGTTGCCAAGTTAGACATTGTGCATGGTGAAGCGGAACACGATTGAGCTACATTATTCAATAGCACTTGGAAAGTTGTTGCTGGCGATGGAACACCACCGGTCGCAGAGTATGTTGCGGTGATCGAGTTAATTGTGTTTTTAATTGACAGAGATGGTGTGGTTAAAGCTGTGTAGGTAGTAGCAGTGGCGGTCATCGTATTTGAATTGGTACCGTGGTTTACTGCATTAACGGTTGCAGTGATGCTTTGACCTGGATTCAATCCTGAAATAACACATTGTGTAAATGAACATGTACCAACAGTACCAGCAGTTGACTTTACAACAAAAGTAGTAGTTCCACTCACACCAGAATTCGAAGTATAAGCAACAGTTACAGTCTTGGTTGTTCTAGCTGCAATGGTAACTGTCTTCATAGTATCGACTATTAAGAACAAAAGAAGAATGTTAATACTAATTTATGAAATATTTTTGAAAATAGTTTGCTAACTTACGTATTGGCATCTTGTAAGCTGCTGATTGAGCACTGCTTGTACCACCGAAAGGTTGTTCACCATTGATAAGAGCTCTAACAATGACAGTACTCTGTGGTAAGATGCCGGTGATAGTGCATGACTGACCGGTAGACAATGTTGCACAAGCGGGGACATCCTTCCATGCACCACCGTTTTCATTGTAGTCGACATTGACAGTGATTGGCGATGGCCAAGTCAGACTCACTGGGATAGTAATGGAGTTGTAAGAGTTTAGCTTCACTGCACCAAAAGATATAGTGAGAGCGGGTGCTGTGAAAGCATTCATAATGTATCTAGCGTTATTCGCACATGTTAAACTGTATGCCTGGCTCGAAGACAATGTCTTACAGGTTTTTTCATTGGAAGTTGCAATCGTTGCAGTAGTAGCAGTACCGGCGGTACCAATCATAAAACCACTTTGACCATCTGAGTAAGCACAAATACCTGGCTTAAATACACCTCTATTGTTATTTACACCCTGAGTACAAGCAGAATTACTGAGAAATAAAAAGTTAATATTTTTTGTGGAAAGAAAAAAACAAACAAGACAAAAAACACATTGTTGTTTTTGTTTTTTTTTTTTTTGTTTTTTCGACGTGATTGCATAGTTTGGAAAATATTTGATAATTGATACCTACGTTGGCCATCTTTCAAAATAAATGTATCCTGGTGATGGTGAAACATAGGTATTTTTCAATTGAAATTTATATGCTTCAGCAAAACAATAGTTGTCTGGGAAATTTGTATTTTGAACTGGGTTTTGTGTACAAACCGCATCGGTATAGGCCATAATATAGAAAGCAGTGCTGGAAACCAAAACATATTTAATACTGTTTGTGTCACTTCTTTTATAGCATTGACCAATTCTAAAAGAATTTACCAAAATAGGTGTACCGGCGCACCCTTTGGTTCCCATCGTATAAATACTTTGATGTACATATGTTTGAGCATTCGAAAGTCCCAATATATGTAATAATAATATTACAAATATAAATAATAAATAATTTTTATTATTCATAGTTGATTATTTTTACAAATAATTATATATATAAGTATTTTTTAAAAAAAATAAAATAAAAAGATATGATTAAAAATGATGATCTTTCGATTGACAATCAAGATTTCCTCGATACTGTGTTGGTCCATCAATTGAGAGTTTCTATTCTAAATTTAAAAAAAAATAAAAGCTTTATAAAAAATTTTATCAAGATTATCTACGATTTATTATTTATCATGTTTTAATTTTTTTCAGAAAAAATCAACACTGGAGAGTTGAGGAATATCCTGGTTGGTTTCAGAAAAAACCAACACATGACATGATTACGATTTTTTACACCAGCTCGTAAATTTTTTGAATATCTTGTCGATTGGCCAAAAAAAGATAATTATCGCATAAAAAAACAATAATTTACAAATTTTTTTAATTTTGAAAGAATCTCATTACATTGAGTTTTTTGTAGAATGAAGAGCAACACCTGTCAGATTTCAGGGTTTTTATTTTCAAATATGTGAAGATTTATTAACGAAGCAGTTTTGATGTAACCACCAATTGAATAATAATGAAGTCAGTATTCATGAATAGAATAATAAAACAAAAACATAATTTAAAGTTTTTTAAAGTGTATTAATATGTATCTACCAGATCAAACTTTAAGATGGATTTTAATTAGTATTTTTGGATTCTATTCAGATTAATAGAATAAAAAAATCATTATTGGATTAATGAAGTTGATTGAATCCAAACAAAATTCCTACTAAATAGGCAAAGGAAAAATAGAAGAATCAAATTTTTTTATCCTAAAATATTATTTAACTACTTCTTTGCTATAAATTGTAAAATAGTAATTCAAATTCAAACCAAAAGAAATAAAAAAAAAAAAGGAATTCTAATTTTATTGAAAACAACAGAATATAAATAAATTATCTTAAAAGCATTCCATTCTCAATTTTAAAATAAACCATTCTGAAAGAAATTATCATTTTTAATATTTAAAATTTAGATAGATTTATAAATAAATTAACAAAAAAATATTATGATTTAATTTGTATTCTATATATAGATAATTTCTTTTCGTTTGATGTCCAAGTTATCTGTTCTGTATTCTTAACTCATAGTTGAAGTTGAGGTTGAGTGTTGATTTGAACCAAGTTAATAAAAATTTGTGGTATTATTTTTTTTAAAAAAAAACCTATAATCTCTATTCTAAAACTATTATAATTATCATTTAAACCTATTACTATGTATGAGATATTAAATTCAAAGGAATCAAAAAAAAAAAATTTTTGGGGCAAAAAAAGGGGCGGTTAATAAACATTATAATATTGGCCACCAATCATTCACATAAGATATAGAGTTCAAATAAATAGAAAAATAACATAATGTTGGATTGAATGTACATAATTTAATTTATCTCGTCAATTTGATCTTGTGGTTGGTTGTATCTTATCGTTGTGCAATATATATCAACAACACAGACTCTATAAACAAGATATTGCTTGCTTTAGTAATAGATGGATATACGCTATTATATATTTGAATAGTATATATCATCATAATACCACATGCATAGATGCTATTTGTATATGGACCAAAGTGCAATTTTCAAGTCCTTAGAAGCCGATGCCAATATGTTTTGCCTGCTGAAATCGATAGAGTATATACTCTCAGTATGATACTTTAGAATGGCGAGTGGTGTATGCTTTCTAAAGTTATAGATTCTCACTCTTCTATCCCATCCAGCAGTTGCATAGATCTTACCATCACCTCTAATCTTTACATCCGATATTCCATTATTATTTAGAGTATGTTCTGTTATTTTTTCAAATATTCCCTAAATAAAATAAAATAAAATAATTATTTGAAAGTTAATTTAAATATTGTTTGTTTTGTTTTGTTTTGTTTTGTTTTGTTTTGTTAAATTTATACTTACGGAATCATAATTTATTTTGAAATCCACTATTTTGTTGTCACCTGATCCCGATACACCGTTACCGTCTTTCAGAGCGAATGATAGTAGCGGTTCGGTGTGAAGTTTCGACTTTACCGCTGTTTGTTGAGCGTTTCTTAGATCCCACAGACAGAGACCACCGTTTTCGAAACCAGAGCAAAGGTTCAGTTGTCCAACTGGCTGTTCTCGCCAGAGTTTGATGCTCATAGCCATTCCGTGGCGATCTGAATTGCCCAGTTGATCTGCCTTGACTCTCATTACTATCTCACGTTGTGTCAAATCCCATATTTCAATCTGCGAAGGCACCTCATCCGATGAAATAGCAACTAGATTCTCGAATCCATTGATTGTAGTATTGATATTTATCATTGAACTTGAATTGTTTAGCACATTTTGATCTGTTGCAGCTGATTGTGCTGTAGTTGTAGTTGTAGATGAAGAGGTTGGTGTTGTTGTTGTTGTTGTTGCTATTGATGGTGCATTCTTTAAGGTCTGTAGATTACCTACAATAGGTGAACACTTTCCGAGTGAAATGGAATTAGTCTCTATCTTATCGATAAGACTCAGACCTGTTTGATCTAGGTTCCAAACTTTGATAGTTCCATCACGACCCTGTGATATTACAGTGTTGTGATTAGGTACGGTGTGTAAAGAGAGCACACCTCCCTCTGGATGTGCATGTTGTATCACCTTTAAACATCTCTTTTCCTCCACATTCCAAAGTCTAATCTCACCATCCCCAGAACTTGTTTGTTTTGAACGATTTTTAAAAAAGAATAAAATAAAAAAGAGAAAGGAAGATATAATTAATATTAAAATGATCGATCGATATGAATTATATAATATACAAACCCTGAATATAAGAAACTATCATTCAACTGATCAAAACATACAGAGTTGATAAAAGTACGATGACCTCTCAATACAAAATAAGGATCTGGTGCATCATCAGCTCTTGATTCATTCATTATTTTTATGATATATATTATAGATTATTTATTATATTAATATATTCTTTTTCTTTATCTCTCTTTTCTTCTTTCTACTTTTACTTTTTTAATTAATGAAAAATCACAACAATTCCAAATGAAATGATAAATAAAAAGGATAATATTATTTTGAGTGTTCAATAATTATTATTTTTAACAACACCAAGATTTATATTACATTATTGTAAGTCAGTCTTGTGAATTGATTTTTAATTGAATTTCATTTTAAACACAAGCTTGCAAGCTTTTAATTTTCATTTTTTGGGGTTTTGTTGGGCAATGATGATTGATTTTTTTACTTACAATTTTTGAATTTTTTAAATTAATATTAATTTTTAATTAAGTAAAAATATATTTAAATATAATTATATTTTATTTTATTGTGTTGTTTTGTTTATAGATAAACTTCGTTGAATTCTTCCTCTTCTTTATCTTTATCTAATCTAAGATGAGGTAGTTCAGCACCGTCTCTATTCAAGTTTTGATACAACATGTCAGAGTTTGGATGTGGCAGGTAGAGAATGGTCAGTGCGAATATATAGAGATTGACCAATCCAGAGTATGAGAAGAATTGAATGGCATTGCGACCGGTTGAATCGATCCAACTGAATAGAATGCCAAGTCCGAGTGCCGCAATGACAAAGACACTGAGCAACAGCAATAACCTCAGCTTAATATTGATGAAAGGTAGTGTCTTTGTAGTTATCCATCCTTTGGCAATTAAATAAACTATATAAAATAAGAATACTATCATAATAATTGCTGAAATAACACCGAATATCTAGAATAATAATAATTGATTGTTATTAGTTTTTAAACAGGGAACCAATACTATTAAATTTCAATTAACTACTACTACTTACAATCATTGTATATGAAGGATTGATTGATAGTGGATCATGTTTTTGTTTATATTCGAAAATACTCATCGTTACTAAACTCGACAAGAAAAATGAAACTGCTAAAACTATCTTTGGAACATAGAACTTTATATAACTATACTCTGTTCCATTCTATTATCAAAAATGATTAGTAATTATTTATAAACCTCTATATATATATATATATATATATATATATTATGAATGATTATTATATTACCTTTCTAATTCCATCGAATATAACAAACCAAAAGTAAAACAATACTGAAATAAAAATAGTTTTGAAAAAGTCGTCAATCATCAATGCTCCAACACCTGATGTTACTAAAACTAAAAGAAATATAGGATCTAAATGTGTAGCAATAAAATTGTTTTAAAATGATTAATACATTGTTTAAGAACAATTGCAATAATAACAAATCTTACTGTTGAAAAAGAATAATGCGGGCAATATAAGAACCATAAATCTTTGTTCTGTTGTCCATTGTCTCCAATTGAATTTCCTGAGGCTAAAGAGAAATCCTGCAAATGCACAGACTGTGATGATTACGAATATCAAACGAACGAGCATCTCAAAGAGTGCATACGATGAATTGACATACTGGAATGTAAAGTCTATCTGTTCGACCGATGTGATGTTATCGAAACCAAACAGATCGATAGTCACTGTATACGCTGGATAATCAACACCAATCTCGTTGACCACCAAAAACGACTGACACTGTCTGGAACTACATTGTGTTGGAAACGTCTGATTCGTCGTACTGACATCATATTGTCTTTCAGAATCTACTCCAACCAATTTTATTCTCATTGGTATTTTTAAACTCGATACTTTTTTTGGAAAAGGAAAAATGTTGTTGATTGGTTTGATTAGAAAAACAAATGACATTTGTAATTATATCAATCTAATTAAATATTGTTTCATACTTGAAGAATTTGTATCAAATAAATTGATTTGTGTATATAATGCTAGATTTCTGTTGGATTTGGAGAGTGCTCCGATTGAGTCGGTCCAAGTGAGGACAGGTGTGGCTGGTGTGATTGTTAGGGTGCAGTTGTTGGGAGAACCGGAACAAACTGTCATTGGTTGATTTGCATCTCTCACTATTGAGTATTGTGGTCCTACACCACCGATTATAAGCAACACCAAATAGACAGAGAGAAACGAAACCGACATTATAATGAAATGTTTCTTTTTGAAATGATGTAACATCATTTTTGTCGCTCGTCTAAATTTGTTTTACCAATTAGTTAGTTTTTCATTCTTTCTTTCTTTAGCATCCAACCTAAAATCTAAATGGTCTTATTATCTACTCAGTTGAAACATACTCATCTATATCTATTGGCTCTATATGTATCATTTTTTGTTTTATATATATTAATCGGATCGAAAAAAAAAGCTAAGGTTCGGAGGATAATTTATCAGCTGATTATTATTTTTGGAAATATAAAAATAAAAAGGTAGTACAAAAAAAAAAGAGAGAAAAGAGAAAAGAGAGAAATGTATTAAAAAAAAAAAAGTAGAATTAGAAGTAGTAGAAGAAAGATATTTATGATATAATCAATTAATATTAATACTATATAATAAATAAACTATTCAAACATTTTATTATATGATTTTTATTTTAATTATTAATGAAAAAATAAGTGAAAAAGTGATTAGTGGGTGGTGTTGATGGTGAGGTTTTGGGTGGTGATGAGTAGTAAGGGTGTGATAATCAAACAGAGAGAGAGAACTAAATTTACAACGAATTAAGTGGACAAACAAACAAACAAATGTTTTGTTTATTCAAGATCTATTTATCTATCTACTCTGAGTTTCTATATTATATATAATATTCTATTTATTTAATATTTGTAAAAATAAAAATAATAAAAAATTTACACCACTTATAACTTATGAGGTCCTCAACTCCCAATTTATTTATAAACTCTATTAAAAAAGTTATTTTTGTGTTTTTGGTTTTTTTAATCGTTTTAATCATTTATTTTTCAAAACAAAAATAAAAATCTCTTGAAAAGTCTGAGTTGATTTTCGGACCCCTTTTCAATGATTGATCGATTTTTAAAATCAAGTTGGTTGGTAAGATCAAGAAAAACAAAGACCAAAAGATTTATATTCCAAAATCAATAAATAAATAAATACCTTATCTTTATCACATTCAATAAGTAAGCGGTTGGTTTAATTTAATTTAATTTTATTTTATATATATTTGGGAATTTTTTTTTCTTTCTTTTTCTTTTTTTTTTTTTTGTTTTTTTTTAAATTGTTCTGATTCTATTCTATCTATCTTGTTTTGTTTCTATTCTTTTCTTTTCTTTTCTTCTATTCTTTTTCGTCTTTTGATGTTTAGTCCCAAGTCCAGACCTTCAAGTTAGAAGCAAGAGAACCGGTGAACAATTGATTTTGTTTTCTCCAGAGACAGAGTATACTGGAACGTGTGTTGGTCGATGAAAGATTTTCGTGGGATGCAGTGTCGAACACCTGGAGATAGTCACCGGCACCTGCGAAAATACCTTGGTTGGTGACGTACACGGTCTCTACACGATCCTTACACTTGAGTGTTGCCGTGCATTTCGTTGTCTTCAAATCCCAGACCTTGACGGTTTCGTCGTGCGAACCCGAGTAGAGTGTGTTGTTGTGTGCGTAGAGTGACTTGACCCAACCCTCGTGACCCTGAAAGTTGGTGAGTACACGATTGGTCTGGAGTGACCAAACGAAAATCTGTTGGTCGTTCGATCCCGAGAACAAGAGGTTGCCAAATGCGCACACCGACTTGATGGCACGCGTGTGTCCTTGCAGTGTTTGTACACACTCGTAGGAACGCATATCCCAGATCTTGACGGTCTTGTCGTTGCAACCGGTGAATAGCAGGTTGTCCTGAATAAATAGCGAGTTTACTTCGTTGGCTTCTTTGACCTCTTTGACACAGGTCATTGTGTTTAGGTCCCATTCCTTGAGGTACGAGTCGGCACCACCGGTTATCATGTTGCCAGTCTTGGTGAGTCCGATAGCACGGATTGATTTGCCGTGCGCTCTGACGTTGGAAACGTGTTTGAGTTGGTCGGCGTCCCAGACACCGATTGATCCATCATTGGATCCGGTGAACAGACGCGATTCCACACCGATGATACACTCGGATTGAAGTCCACGTACAGTGTCGACGTTGCGAATCGATTTCAAGTCCCACTTCTCAAAGGCTGACTTGTCGGGGACGATCTCTGGATTGGTGGTAGCTGCGCCGGTGGTTGCTGCTTGTGGAGGTGGACTTGCTCTTACTGCTGGTTGTTGTACAGGTGATGGTTGTTGTTGTGGTTGTGCTGGTTGTTGTACAGGGGTGGATTGTGCTGATGTTGGTGTAGATTGTACAGGTTGTAATGTTGCTGAAACTGGTCGAGCTGCTGGCGGTTGTTGTATTGGTTGTTGTGCTGGTTGTTGTTGTTGTACAGGTGAAGCTGAAGATGCTACTGCTACAGCTGGTTTGTTCGCAGCTGGAACAGCAACGGCAGCTGGTTTCGGTGATGCCAAAGGTGAAACTGGTTGTGGAGATGCAACATTCGGTGAGGTTTGTGTTGGTGTCGCTGATGCTGACGTTGTTTGATTGCTGTTTGGATGAAGCTGTTGTTGAGGTTGATGCTGTTGAGGTTGTGGTTTTCCAGGTGGAATTGATTGTGGCATTGGTTTGCCAGCTGCCAACTTGAGGTTGGACATCGATGGCTCCTTCTTTGGAGCGGCTTGTTTAGCCTTTTGTTGTGCACGAATTCGCTCTAGCTGCTCCTGTAGCTGACGTTCTTCGTCCTCTAAATTGGCAGGCACATTTGAATTGCCCGATTGGAAGTAGGCCATGTCGTAGCTCTTGTTTGGCTGCTGTCCGCCAGCGTTGGCAGCGCCAGCAGGCTGTCCTTGCTGATTGATTCCAATAGCCTCGTGAAACTCCATCAGCTGCACCACTGGGAGTGTTCCTCTGAGCAGTGTCTTCTTGCTCTGATTGATCTGCTTGAGTTTGAGGAATTCACAGACGGCATTGCACTTGTGCGATTGCAAAAACTTGTGAATTCCCGTTTCTCCGAGGTTACCCTCACCGAAACCCTGTCCATTCTTTGTGTGAATCTGCGGATCAGTATAGAAATCATTGACACCCTGAATATCGATAATCAACAACTCATGATTTGAATTCTCAAATGAGAAATGACTGAATGCCTGTGGTGTATTTCTTGCCTCAGAATTTACATATCCACTGTTATTATTATGTTTCCTAAAAGATACAAAAAAAAAAAAAGAGATAATTAATTATTGTTCTCCAGGTTTTTTTTTTGAAAAAATAGATATTAATTTTTGTTACTTACTTGTATTCACCTTCGATGAATGGTTCACCACCACAAACTGGGTAAGGAGGTGGATGATCGATTAACTCGTATACATAGGTTGGAAGAAAAGTGATTGGTTTGGGTGGTCGTAGCTCGTTGAATTTCTCTGCCCATTTCGCGCAGAACGCTTGCATCAACACATCGGTAAAATAGGAATCTCTGGTCGTCTTTTTGTTGGTGGAGAACTTACCGACCAAATCTAAATTTGGTTTTGACCAATCCTTCAGTTTGTGTGCTGTACGACAGCTACCCTTAGCAAACGGTACCTTTTCGATTGAAACACAAACAATCGAGTGATTCCAGTGTGGTGTAAGATCATCTCCAATTGTTAATTCCCACCTAAATGTAGTAGTAAAGAGAGAGATTTGAAAAATAAATTCTATATAAGAAACCACTGATTCACACACAAACTAGTAGGATGAAAAATTCCATTTCAATTTCCAAATACAAACTTTATAGCTCTTTCACATTTTGTTCCAGCAATTACATCGGCAACTGGAAACTTTTGATTTAAAAGAGCCAAAGCAGACTCTGCATCGCCCATACCCATTCTTTTTCTACTTTTTTTGTTATATTACAAATTTGTGTATTGTTTTTTATAAATATATTCTCTGTTCTGTTTGTTTTGCTGTTGGTTGATTGTTTTGTTTGTTTTTACTAAATAATACAATTTTCAAAATTACAATAAATACTATTACTGTTTCTTCTCCTTATTTATCTGTTGATGGGTAAGAACTCGATGTTAGTATAAATGATGATAATAAAAATTAATGAATATGATGATGTTTATTTAATGATTGATTTTAAAAATTTGAAATTGTTTAAAAAATTGTTATTGAAAATAAGAAACCTGTCTAATTGTACTTGACTTTAAATTAAAAACACAAACACAAACAAGACAATAAACAACTATAATTGTGAAGCTTATAATTTAATTTCCAACCTATAAATTTATTTGACTTAATTAACTGACTGATTGACTAATTGTATTATAATTAAGTATATTAAAAAGATATAGATGAATATTTATATTATGTCTGTCTTATGACTGATTTATTGATTGATTGAATAATTGATTGATTTGTGATATTTTTGGTCTTTTTTTGTTTTGCTTTTTTTAATTTTGTGTTTATTTTTGGTTTACTTTGTTTTTTTTTTTTTTTTTTTTTGATTGTTTGATTCAATTATTAAATATTTTCGTTTTATTTGGTCAAATATTATTTATTTTAATTATTGCAACAGTCATTCAATCATTTATTATTATAATAATGATTGGTCACAAGGTATTGCCACTCCACTCCAGCTCCAACTCTACTCTACACTAACTAACTACAACACCTACAACTCTTAATTTTTTTTTCTCTATTGTATTATATAACGTATGCTGTATACAAATTAAACTATCTCTCTCCAAATCCAATTTTTATTTCAGTCAAGTGTGTGGTAATAGAGTAATATTATTAAAGTAGTTGAATATGTGTAGGTGTGTTAGCATGTGAGAGAGAGAGAGTGTGTGTGTGTGGTCAACTAAAAATAAACACATTTAATAAATCTACATATTATTGATTGATTGATGATGATAATAATAATGATGATGATAATGATGATTATTACTTTCTTTGATCAACGAACTCAAACACAACACAACACACTAAACAGAACAAACATAACACACCAAAAACACTCTATTAATATTTCTATATATATATTTTTTTTTGTTGTCAAATATATATTTTTACTACTATTAATTTATTATATGCTATTATTTCCACATAATAATATGTTGTTGTTGGTGTAGGTCCTACTTTTTCTCTCTTTTTTTTTTTTTTGTCTCACTTTATAACTTTGTTATTGCTTATACTACTTTTGATATTACTTTGTTTTGTTTTTGTTTTTTAAGAAAGAAAAAAAAGTTTCTTTTTTTTTTTGTTATGTTATAGTACAATGAATGATATTGATAACAACAAACAAGAGATATGAGATAAAAAAAGAAAGAGTGTGCCAATAATGATAGCTCAGTGTTTGTTGCCCACTCGCCATTAATTTTCTTGAAAAAAAAAACCATCAACAGAAAATAATAATTAATAATGAAAATTTATTTTTTGGCAACCCAATTTTTCAAACCCAATTGACATCGATGAAAAAAATTATTTTTTTTTTCTTTGCATATTATATTTTTGTGTTTTTTTTTATTTACATTTTTTGTGATTTTGTATTATTTTAGGTGACTTTGATGATTCCTTTTGTTTTGTATTCAGTTATTATTAGTACCCAATAATTATTTGTGATAAGTAGTATTCGAGTATTCATTATCGATTTCATATCACTTTTTTATGTTACACTCCAAAAATTTTTTTGTCCAAAAAAAAAAAAAAATCATTTTCAAATAATTTGATTTGGTAACCGTTTTTTTTTTCAAACTATTTCATGAGAGCTGTGTTTTTTCATTCTCACGAGGTTCAAATCACAGCTCTCATGAAATAGGTGATTATTTTAATTTTTATTTATTAAAAGTTTTATAATATGATACTTTGGATTTTTATTAATAGTTTGAAACAATTATCATATCTTTAGAAAAAAAAAAAAACACAAGATAAAATCTTCACTTTAAAGTACAATATTTGATTTGTGACTAATGACATTGGTGTGATTTTTTTTGTGTTTTCGACGCAACTCTAAAAATGAAATGAGTAAGTTAAATATAAACAATATATTAATTAGATCATTTGTTATCAATGGCACTTAGTAAATAATAAACTTTAGTTCCTCAAAATTATTTATAAATAATGTATATAACACTTTTAAACTAGGGTTTTTTATCAAGTTTAAAAGTTTAAAATCAACTTTGATATTGCTCATCAACAAAGAGAAAAACTATGAAGTAACTGTCGATACCAAAGGCAAACCCCTAAAATGATCATAACAATAACTTACATTACCAGTTACTTTTGCTTTTAGCAACACCCAATTAATTGTTTTTTTTTTTTTTTCGTAAAATTTTTTTCAACGGTCAAAAAAACTAAAAAGAAAGATATTTTAACCGGTTTTTTTTCATTTTATTTCTCATTAAATTAAATAAAAATAAATATTGATAAATATTAAATAGTTGTTTAAATATTAATTGTTTGTTTTAAAGAACTATTGCTAAATCATATTGTGTAAATATATTAGGTAATAATTATTAATAACAACCTCATATTCAAATCATTCATTAGTTTTTAAGACCTTTGAAACTCACACACAACACAACCTTAAATCTGAGATTTTTTATAATTTTTTAATTTTTTTTTTTCATTTTTTTGTTTATTTTTGTGTGTGGACATGATAAGTTATCAAAGTTTTTTGAGCTTGACACCGCACTGTTCGAACCGACTCTATTATTATTCATACTTCATTCAATTACATTCATATTAATATTTTATGTGTTTTTTAACATAATATTATTTTCATTTAATTATTATTATAATATCAATTAAATTAAAAGTTATTTATTATTATTAATTAGTCAAAAGTAAAATAAAAAACAAAAAAGTTAGATAAAAAGTAATGATATTCATCGATGATTATCCTATGAATTATAAACCTTTACTGCAGCAACAGCAACACCACAATCAAAACCAATATCAACAAGGTCAACAAAGTCAACAAAATCAACAAAATCAACATTTTCAAAACACTCAAATAACACCACTGTCCATTTTCAGTAGTGGAAATTCAAATTTATATAATCAACACCAACACCAAAACCAATATAGCAGTAGTAATCAACAACATTCATCATCATCACAATCATCCATTTTCAGTAATAGTAATATAAATAGTAGTAACAGTTTAAGTAATAGTGGTAACAGTTATTATAATACAGCAACCAATATATATACACGTGGAAGACGTCCGTCCATTCAGACTGGTGGAAAGTCGGGTGTCGACGAAGAACGATTCGATAGTAACAACAACAATAACAACAATAACGACGCCTACAAAGACGACGATGACAAGAAAATGAATATATATTATAGCGGCGGTAGTGGTTACAGTTGGTGGTCAATCCTCCTCATGGGAGTGCTGGCGCTCGCCATCGGATTCCTCCTAATAGTTTACTTCCAACCGAATTTCGTGGTGCGTGCACTCTCCAATCATTTCAATGGCGAAGTAGTGTTTTTCTCAGAGAATCGCAATGAGATTCGCACGCGAAAACTGGTTGCGCTCACCATTGACGACGCGCCATCGCGTGACACCGAAGCGATTCTCGACATCTTTGAGCAGTACAATGTGAAAGCGACGTTCTTCCTCATAGGAAAGCATGCAATGCGATCCGCCTACCACCAGAGAGTACTGGATCGCGTACTCGACCAAGGTCACGAAATTGGCAATCACATGTGGCGTGACGAACCCTCGATCAACTTGGAACTTGACGAATTCGAACGTCAACTCATTCAGGTTGATCAAATCATAAACCAAACCTACCAAAAATACTATGAAAGACTATCACTTCGTCAACAACTACAAGATTTAAAACAAAGAGAAGAAGAAGAAGTTCATCAACAAGAAAAACAAGAACAACAACCACAACAACAAAATAATCAAGAAGATTCAACTGATTCTTCAACCACATCAACAACAAATTTAAATACAATCAACAATAGTAATGATAATGATAATAGTAATGATAATAATAATAATGTTGATTGTAATAATAATAATAATAATATTTGTAATTTAAGAAGAAAGAAACTATTTAGACCTGGAAGTGGATGGTTCAATAGAAAGATGCTGGATATCGTAACGAGATATGGATATACTATGTGTCTTGGTAATGTATATCCACACGATCCTTTCATTAAGCTGACATCACTCAACTCATGGTATGTGACGACCACAGTGTCACCCGGTTCCGTTATCATTCTACACGATCGTGAATACACTGCAGATACACTCAAATCGATTTTACCAAAGCTCATATCCGAAGGCTATACATTCATAACACTTTCAAATCTATTAGATATCGATGAAAAATTAAAACAAACTGAATTACTTAATAGCAATAATAATAATAATAACAATAACAATAATAATATTGATAGCGATGAAGATAATTTAAATAAAAAAGCATTGTAATAACATAAACTCTTTACCTTTCCCTAGCAATAACTTCATCTGATTAAATTGGATGTAATGGAAGCAGCTTGATTCATATTGGTATTGCATTATCAATGATATGTGAGTTTGTTTATCATTGGCATAGCACAATGATAATTTAATCTGTTTTAAAATCTACATAGTTTTAGTATCTTCATAGATTGACACTTTAAAGTTTTAGATATTTAATTTAAAAATATTGATTATCATTAAAATAGTTTATTTTTATTTTGTTTCCAACAGATAAATAAATGATCACAAAATTTCATTGTTTGCTTGAATAACATTTTTCTTTTGAACTTCACCACTGATCAACTAAACAAAGATAATTAATTATGAAAAATCAATGATTTAATTAACACACAAAATTTTTACATAATAATAAAATATAAATGCATGTATCTGTAATCTATATTTGTAAAAGTTAATAATCATTCAATAGAATTCTAAAATAAAGGAAATTTAAATGGATGAATGGTAAAGTATTTTATATTTTTTTTAAAAGTTAAAAAACAAATTACTATAAGTTTATTTAATTATTATTATTATTATTATTATTTATTATTATATTATATAAAGTTGTTGTTGTTAGTGTTGAAAATATTATTTAATCATCTTTAAGAGCATTGCTTCAATTGATGCACCAGGACTGAATGCCATTACCATACCGTAGTTCAATCCTTTACCGTTTTCATTCTTGAGATTCATGATTCTCTCGATGATACGCTTCAGTACGTACATTGCGGAACAAGATACCATGTTACCGTACCACTTCATGACGTCGTACGACTCTGCCATTTCCTCGGGTCCGAGATTCAAACCTTGGTGAACGGCTTCAAGGATACGACGACCACCCGGATGAATTGCCCAGAAATCCATGTCTGGCACTTCCATTCCGTGGCTGGCAAGGAACGATTCGATAGTCGATCTAATGTGTTTCTCGATACAGGCCGATAGTTCCGGTCGTAGTGCCAAATCGATACCTCTGTCACCCATGAACATCTCCAATGCATGTTTGGAGTCGGGCATCAGGTAGGAGAGATCGTCGATGCACTCGAGCTTGCCGACGAGGTTGGCGCGTGGCTGACAGGTAATCAGCGAAGCGGCACATCCGTCACTGAAGATACATCCGGATACAATGTCACCACGATCGTTTGGATCGAGATCCATGTTGGTGCAGGACGATTCTACACACATCATTAGCACGTAGGTTCCCGGACGTTTGTTGGCGTAGGCGACGGCCGTTCTCAGAGCAATGACGGCGGCACCACAACCCATAAAGTTAATCATGGTTCTTCCTACCTTTTCATCGAGGCCGAGTGCACGACAAAGCATGGCATCGATCGACGGTGCGAATATACCAGTCGAGGTGACACCGATCACATGTGAGATCTGTGAGCGATCGACATTGTTGTTCTTGAGGATACGTTCACCTGCCTTCACAACGGTGTCGTGCACGATATCGGCAAACATTGTGTTCTTCTTGGACGATGGCATGGCGTTCAATGCCATGTGGTCATGACTGTCAACAAACATATAACGTTCTTTGATCTTGCAATTCTTGTAGACATTTCTCATAAAGGTTGACTCTGTGGTATGATCTTTGTAGTGGTTGTAGACTGTCTGTTGGTCTGTACAGAATGGAGCTGCAAGTGGTTCGATGGCATAGATAGCAGTGGCATAGTCATCGGCAGTTGTCAAGCCAGTGGGTTGTTTAATCAATGGTGCTGCCACTGGCAATGTATGGCTCAAGTATGGCGAGTTGGTGACCGATACATAGGAGTTGGAGCTTGGCGATGGTGATACAACGATTGGCGATTGTGAGTTATTGTTATTGTTATTGGAATGGTTGTTCTTGTATAAATTAAGTGGTGATGGAATCAAATCAATTGGACGCTTCTCTGGAATTGGAGCGATGTTGGCTGTTGCAGCTTTGATTGGTTGTGCTTTGAGAGTGGATGGTTGTGCTTTGATAGGACCGTTTCCATTCAAGTTAACCATTGGGATTGGTTGTTTCTTCTGGAGAGTTGATGAAGATGATGACGATTGCTTATTGACAATCTTCTCGATGGTCTTGCGTACTACTTCATCTTCGGTTCTAATCGAGAGTGGTTGCATAGTATCTGCGGCGGCGTCTGGACTGATCTTATCGACTAGACTTCTAATGGTTGATTTACGATCGAGTAGCGAAAGTGATGGCACAAACACACTGAACTTCTTGTGGATCGAGTTGGTAAGTTCCGATGCCAATAGAGAGTCCAATCCAAGATCCTTGAAGTTGGAGGATGCATCGATCTTTTCGAGCTTGATTTCCATAATGTCAGAGACGATCTTCTTGAGTGAATTCTCAATGCTGTCGTTACCCTTGAGAGCAGCTGGCGAAACTGGTGGAGTGTAGTTTGGATCCAATGACTTGATGATCGATTTCTTGAGACGGAATCCTGGGAATGCAACCATCCATTTATTGACATCAATGTCACAGTAGACAACAACCTTGTCTTGAGCACGTGCACTGATACTCTCAGCAATGCCATCGCACATAGCGTCCAAAGAGTCATAGGGAGTATGACCAACATTTCTCAGACCTTGAGCAATCTTTTCTTCGGCGGACATACCAATCTCTGGGATTGGTGCCAAATGGATACAGCTTCCAACTAGACCTTGACGTTGACGATCCAATGTTAAACCTTCAACGAAACGATTGGCAGTGGCATAGTTAGACTGTCCTGGCTTACCGAAGGGGGTGATAATCGATCCACAAGTTACAAAGTAATCCAACTTCAAATTCAATTCCATCGAACAGTTGTGAAGGTGAAGAGCACTGTTTGCTTTCGAGTGGAATGGAATGTTGAAGGTTGACAATGTTTGATTCTGTAGCGATTGATCAGAGAGCATACCGGCAGTGTGGAAAATACCTTTGAGTGATGAAGAATACTCGCTGAGTAAGTCATTGACTTGTTGGCGATCGGCGAGATCACATTTCTTAACCTCAACCTTGACACCGACTTCCTCTAACATATCCAAGTATCTCTTTTTCAAATCGGAATCTGCACCGTTCTTGGAAGCGAATACCAAATGATGAGCGTTGAGATTTGCCAACTTCTGAGCAAATACCAATGCCAAACCACCGGTACCAGTAATGAGGTAAGTTGACTCACTGTCCAAGTGAATTGGTAAGTCGTTTGTTGTTGCCTTTTCGAGGTCACTCCAACTAACCAAGTTCTTTCCAATATGATTTCCAGTGGACATATGACGGACCGATTGAACAACATGGCTAATGGTGAAGGTGTTGGTTGGCAATGGAGCAAGATCCTTGCTCTCAAACAATGGGATCAAAGTATTGTTCATCATCTCTGCCAAGTAAGCAACTCTATTCACTGTCATCTGAGCGACATCAACAGCCAAATAGCTGAGATTGTTTCTGAATGGGAGCAATCCAATCTTGGAGTCGGCATAGATGTCCTTCTTACCGATTTCAACGAAACGACCGTAGTTGGCAAGCGAGAGAATCGACTTGTCAATGAGCTCGCCAGAGAGTGAGTTGAGAACAACGTCGACTCCACGTTGGTTGGTCTTGCTCATGATGTCCTTGTAGAAGCTGGAGTTACGAGAGTTCATAATGTTTGAGCTTGGAATACCGACTGTCTTTTCCATGTATTCACGCTTGTCTTCGGTACCAACGGTGACAAAGATTTCAGCACCAATGTAACGAGCAATTTGGACAGCGGAAAGTCCGACACCACCTGCAGCAGAGTGGATAAGGATAGACTCACCTTTTCTGAGGTTGGCTTGGACAACAATTGAATACCATGCAGTCAAGAAAGTAATTGGAATGGTACAGGCTTGTTCTGGTGTCAATCCCTTTGGAATCTTGAATACCAAATCGATTGGACAAGTGATGTAGGAACACATGGAGCGAGCCATAAAGACACCGAAAACTTGGTCACCAACAGCGAATTGAGTGACACCCTCACCGACAGCAGTAATTGTTCCAGCAAACTCGTCACCGATTGTTGTTAGATGGTTTGGATCATAGTCACGACCGAGTGTCTTTAGAATATCACGGAAGTTGAGCGATGTGATATCTACTTTGACTTCGACCTGTCCAGCTTTAGGTTGGTGACGTTTGGTTTCATTGATTTTCATATCTGCAATGACACCGTTATCACTGATATCCACTTGGAAACGACGGTCTGCCTTTGCATTGGAATTGACAATGGCATCGCCAAGTGATTGGTTATTGACCAAGTCGTAGGTGAAACGCTTTCCATTTCTAAAGGCAACTTCACCCTTGGTGTCGAAACAGGACAACTCACTCATCCAATCGAGTGGTGCAGTAGAGTTGTCGATATCGATCATCGAACAGTAGAAATTATAGTTTTCATTGGAGAAGGTTCTCAAGAGACCGACTAACGAGTAGTGGGTGTAGTCAACGAGGTCCGACGACTCTACAACCTGTCCACTCTTTGAAATCATGGTGATTCTTCCAGAGAAGTCATTGGAGCTTGCTTGTTGGAGAATATACATTAGACGAGCGTATGATTCTTCAACGGATTCACAGGTTGGCTGGTTGACATTGGCTTTGAAGAAATCCGGGAGGATAACAGTCGACCAGAATTTACCTGGGTTGAGCATCTTTAGTTTGTTAAACAATGGGGAGTAGTTGGCATCCTTGTTGAGTGGCGAAGTGATAACTTGACCAAGCTCCGATTGACGTTGTGTTAGACTTTCACCGTTGGTGACAATGACAATATTGTTGGCACTGGAATTGTAATTCTCCTTAATGTATTCAACCAAGTTCTTAGTGAGAGGCGATCCTTCGTCACCAGTGAAGATCAAGGTATGATTGAAATGACCATCCAATTTCATTTGGTTGATATCCACACGTCCTTCGTGAGAACCTTCTTTCCATTGGTATCTCCATAGTTGTTCACCGAGTGTTATATCCTTCTGAGTTGGTCTGGCAATACACTTCATTGTCATATTGCTAAACTTGCAGATGACTTCACCATTGTCTTTAGTAACAGCGATGTCACAGACAAAGGTGTTCTTGTCTTTGAAATTGGTGATCTTTGTAATCGAGTAGATTGGAGTACGAATATCGATTGGTGCGGTTAGATTGGCTGACATCTTTTCGAATGTCTGTGGGATCCAGAGACCTTCTCTCTTATGATCGATTGGTGTGAAACAAGATTGGAATACACCGTCCATCACAGAAGGATGAATAAAAGCAAAGTCAGAAGTAACATGCTTCTCCAGGTCCGAGGTGGATGGAAGTTGGAGTTCTGAAACTTGTGAGGTGCTGTCCAAAATGGCGGAACGAACAAGTGCTTGGAAAGATGGTCCGTAGTTGTAACCAAGTGCGGTGATACTACGGTAGAAATCCTTGGCTTTGACAATTCTGTTGGCAGAGTTGATTGCGTTCATTAGAGGATTTCCATTGTTGGTCGATTTCACCTTGAAAGAGTTGACGTGAGCAACTTTTCCCGATGCATGGATTGTCCACTTGATTGGAACAGTGGTGTCAACGATGCTACCGATTTCAAACTTGGTCAAGTCGGAACTGAAGTTGATTTGGACGACATTGGTGAATTTGGCGTCGATCTCGAGTGCTGTCTTGATCTCAAAGTCGTACAATTCAAAGTGTGATGCTGGCATTTGATCTTTGAGTTCGCTCATGGCAGCATAGAACACCTCGAGGTAGAGGGCATATGGGAAGATTGCTTGGTTTTGGATACGATGGTCAGCGAGGTAGTAGAATCTTGGGTTGTCCAAACGAATCTCAAACGATGGGGTGAGAGAAACAAGCTTACGAGTGAGTGAAGCGCTCTTAGGGAGATCGATACGATCGACTTTGGCTTGTGTGGATTCTACCCAGTAGGAATCCATGTTCCAACGACGACCTGGCAACTTGATAGCCATGTGGCGACGTGGGAGGTAGATAGCATCCCATGAAATTTCATAGCCATTGACACTGAGTTTTGAGAACAGGGTCATCAAGGTGTCAAAGTTGGAGGAATCACGTGACATTGTTGGAACAATGAAATGGTTGGTGGATCTCTCACGGATCATATGATTGACAAAGAATGAGATGATTGGGTGCGATGAAATCTCAACGAATCCATCGAATTGCTCATTTGATACCAACTCTCCCAATGCCTCCTTGAACATTACGGTCTCACGGATGTTTGACCACCAGTAGTCAACTCCCAACAAATTGTAGTTGGATGCATCGATCAACTTTCCATTGGTGGTTGAGTAGAATGGAATTTGAGGAGCACGATGCTCGATCTTTGGGAACAGTGAATAGAACTCATCCTTGATAGAGTCCATAAGATAGCTGTGGAATCCAGCGTTGATACGAATTGGTTTGTAGGCAATGTGCTCGTTCTTCATGATATTCATGAATGCATCCATGGATGCACTGCTTCCTGAGATACCGACACACTTGGTCGAGTTGTTTCCGGCAATGGAGATCTTGTTGGTGTAAGAGTATCTCTCGGCAACAGCAAGAATGTCTTCCTTTGAGACGACGGCAATACACATCTTTCCGGTACCAGTTGTTTTGTTTTGGAGATGACTACGTACCCACATCAACTTGGTGGCATCTTCGATGGAGAGGATTCCAGCGAGGTAAGCGGCAACGACTTCACCAAGTGAATGTCCAATGACCGATGCAGGGACAACACCAGCCGATTTCAAAACAGCGCAAATACCAACTTGAGTGGCAAAGATAGCTGGTTGAGCCAACCATGTGTCGTGAATGGCTTCGGTGTTTCGCGAGTCGAATACCTTGTCAATGATCGACCAGCCAGAGAGTGCTTGGAACAAGCTGGAACACTTCATAAATTCAGCACGGAAAATTGGTGAACTGTCAAACAACTCCTTTCCCATGGAGATCCATTGTTGACCTTGACCCGAGCAGACAAATGCCAACTTCTTGGTTCCAAATGTCTCAGCACTGCTGCTGTCCTTCATGAAGACAGTCGATGGAAGATCATCCTCTTCAACACTGAGGAACTGTTGAAGTTTATCTTTGAGATCTTCGACCGATTCAATCATGAACGATACACGATTGGACAATTGATTGGTACGGACATTGGAGGTGTAACAGATATCCTTGAGAACGGTCTGTTCACCATTGGCATTGAGATAGTCAATCATGTCTTGAACACGTTGCTTCAAGTGTTCCTTATCGTTGGAGTTAACGGATACACTGAATACTTCCATGTGTGAAATTCCAGATTCCTCTTGTGAACCGTTGGATTCGACAGAGTCACTGGAGTTCTTTAGACAATGACGGTAGTTTGCCAAGAGAATACTGGCATTGGAACCACCTACACCAAATGAATTTACGACTGCCAAACGTTGTTCGTCGTTCCATTCGGTAAGAGCAGTTGGTACATTGAGATTCAACTGTTCAAATTCAAGCTTTGGATTCAACTTTTCGAATCCTGCTGGACAGATTGGTGCAATCATTTTGTTTTTGATACAAGCGATGGTCTTGATCAATCCACACACTCCAGAGGCACCCTCCAAATGACCGATGTTACTCTTTACACTTCCAACTGGGAGTGGCGATTCACGCTTCATACCAATACTCTTACCGATGGCTTCTGTTTCATTGGCATCACCCATTTGAGTTCCTGTACCATGACACTCAAAATAACCGATTTCACTTGGAACAACATTTGCTCCTTCCATCAAATTATTCAAAAGTGATTCTTGTAATGCTGCGTATGGTGAAGTTATACCTTGTGGTGTTTGTCCATTCTATAGAATTATTTAAAAAAAACAAATTTGAGTATTAATATTATGTAATAATATTAATAATTTATATTTCTTTTAACTTACTTGATTGGTTCCAGTATTTAGGATAATGGAATGAATTTCATCACGATCTTTGATGGCATCCGAAAGATTTTTCAAGATTAAAATTCCAGCACCCTCTGCTCTGACGTAACCACTGGCACGATCGTCGAAACTGTAGCAACGACCATTTACTTCGGTGTTGAGAAGACCAGCTTCACCATAGTCCAATGATTGGATTTGATTGGCAATGATATTGACACCACCAACAATAGCAACTCTGCATTCATCTCTCCAAATACTTTGTGCACCGAGATGGATTGCAACCAACGATGAAGAGCATGCAGTGTTTACAGTTAAACTTGGACCTGAAATATCCAAAAAGTAGGATAGACGATTGGATAAAAACGATGAATTGGTACCTTGGGTGGTGAATTGGTTGATTTCACCCATGCTCATTGTTCTCTGATAATCATTCGAACTCGATCCAATGAAAACACCAGCATTTGTTCCTTTGATTTGTTTGAATGACATATTGGCATCTTCTAATGCCTCCATTGCAACCTATATTATTGAATTCATTAGTAAGAGAAGTATTGACAAAAATTATTAAATTGTTTTTTTTTACTTACTTGTAATACAAGTCTTTGTTGTGGATCTATTTGGGCTGCCTCCTTTGGTGACATTCCAAAGAATTGTGGATCAAATTGGTCAATGTTGTCTAAAAATCCTCCAATTCTGTTGTTTAATTTAAATTCCTTTGAGGCAATGGTATCTGCATCCCAACGGTCAGCTGGGATCTTTGTAAGGCAATCGGTACCATTGGCAACTACGCTCCAGAATTGATCGATGTTTGAAATGCTTCCTGGTAATTTACAACCAACTCCAACAATAGCGATAGCTTCTTTTCTTGACATTTTTTTAATGTGTTTTTTTTGTTTTAAAGAATGAATTCTTTGTTGAAAAAAAAAAAATCAAGTTAATAAATATAGGTAAGCTGTAATAAGAGTGTTCTATTAATTCTAAAGTTATATTTATATGGAAACACAACAACAATGAGAAAACGAAAAATTATTTGTTAAATAAACAAGAAAATATTTATGTATTAAATAATCTATTTATAAAGATAACTTTAATTAATAATAGAGAGATTCTAAAGTTAAACAATGAACAGATCAGAGATTATATGACTAGTATAGAAATCCATATTTATATAGTAACTTTTAACTTGTTATTTTATTGTATTTATAAATAACTCACACACACAGACACATGTACAATTATATCAGATTTATAGAGACAGATAGAAACCACTTTTCCAAATTCCAACTCAAATCCTCTCACACATTACTTTGGATGTAACGAGGTAAATAAGTGAAAACTGGAAAAAGTATAACTTCCTTGAAATGGTAGAAAGCATAAATAAATATATATGGGAATAATTGTGGGGTGTCTTGTGGATCTAATTAGGGTTATCTTTCTTTTGGTGGTAATGGGTCGATTTAAGAGTTGATATTTAAAATATTACAGTGGAATCCAAAGAAAATATGTTATCGTCAAAAATCGTTCACTTTTAAAATAATAATCATATATTGAGAACATGTGGTTGGTTGATAAATAAATAAAATTTATACGTATACATTGTGATAAAAAAATGATCTTTAGATTTTTTTAGGTTTATACATACATGGGTTTTTATTGATTTATTATATTGTGGTATGATTCAACACTTTTGTATTTAAAAACGAATAGTTATTTTTATTTGTTTTTTATTATATATATTTTTTAATAATAAAGATCTAGGAAGATACAAATAGAATTTATTCTTTGACAATAAGATTATCGAACAAATTTCAAGATATGATGTTATATTTTGAAGGTATGGTATAGAATAAGTAATTTTATATTGGGTATTGATAATATAATTAGAGTATTTATCTATAGATTGTGATAAATAGAGAATACTTGAAAGATTGTTGATTAGGATATAATTTAGAAATACGACAGACAAACTAATTAAAGAGAGTAGGTGGCAATAATTATATCTACAAAGAATAATAATAAGAATATACAAGTATAGTAATTTTAATAAGTTAATAATATTTGAATAATATTCAACTTCAAACCTTCTATATAAATAGAGTTTAGCAAACACTATAGAATTTCAAAACAAATAAAATCATTTGTTGTTAAGTCCAGTAGTGGTTGTAAACCAATAGAATGATCCATTTCTAAAAAGTAGGGTCTATGGTAAAGTAGGTTTTCTCATAATGATACATCAATTAATAGACCGGATAGTCCATTTAGGATATTCTGTAATTGATGAAACACTCTGGAATATAAAAATCTTTGAAAATCAAATTCAAAGTCTGTAAGGTTGAATCGATTCCAAGACCGTGAAATTTATCGATTTAAAAATAGTTGGTGTTTTCTACATCTGAAAATCATTTAGACCCTCCTCACATCGTTCTACAAGTCTAAAAAGTTGTTGTTTTTCCAATAAAGTTGAGGTGAATAATTTTAAGAAAAGTAGTAGTAGTTTGGATTAGAAAAGGTTGATAAAGATCACCCACATTTTTAATTTTTTTTTTAAATCACTACAACTTAACTTCCCTCATTATTAATTATAGTCCACATTAATTAATTGAGAATTAATTAACATTGTTTTTTTTTATTTTTTTTTATATAACCTCTTTTTTTTATTTTTTTTTATTGTATCACACTGCACATTGCCTTGCATAAAATACTTTAATAAAATGACTTTTCATATGTTAAAGTATACATTGATAGTTCAAGACCCCATTTGCACCTACACAGAACCAAATAAGTTCTTTTTTCCTATTTAAATAAATAAATGAATGAATGTATTCCCAGACTAGTGATTTTTATTTTTCAACGATTTAATTTTTATTTATAAATTTATAAATAAAGGTAATGAAATATCATTCTGCATAGTACAAAAAAGATTTTAATACAGAATCACCACTCAGATTTCAAATTAAATCGAAAAATGATTGGGTGCAGCAAAAAAAACACCTATTCAAATTTTCAAAAACAATTTTTTTTATTTATTAATTAATATGTGTTTTTTTACACTCTAAAAATCAACCACTTCATATTATCTGTTAAAAATATTTTTAGAATTTGGACTGATGATTGTCGATTCATTTCAATCGACTGTTGTTATTAAAAATAATAAAAAGATGGAGGTTTTTCTATTTTAATTTTGAACATTTGTATAATTCTTCCAATTTTAAACAAACTTGTTAAATTATCAGTTTCCTTGATGTACTACATTAACAAATAAAAATAAAAACAACAAGAAAGGTGGTTTTCCAAAAGTACAATTTATCTTCAAAACTCAAAACATTGGAAGCATCAGTGAAATGGATAGTCATTGAATCAGCCACAACAAAACAAATCAATTTAAAAATGTTTATGCAGCTGCTCCTTAATATGAAATTCATAATCTCATTGGTGCAACTTTTAAATAAAATTATATAAGTAATAAGAAATAGATCCATCCAACCAATAGAGCATCAATGAATTTTTGTTGAACTTGTTTATAAGATCTGTCTCTAAATCTATTTTTGATAATAAAAAACCATCAACCACTCTGAAAAGTGGTCGTTTAAATTAACACTTTACGTTTTCAAATAAAAATTCAAAGATAATTATTTGAGCTGGAAGACACAGAAGAACATTATAAATAGGATCATTTCGTATTGGACTACAGCAAACAAACATTACAACTTGTATTATTTTAAACAAATAAAGTTACAAACTTTAAATAAAATTTTATTTATATATATAATTATATTTATTATTGTAAAAACGTATTTTCTATTGTCTCTTTATAATTAAAAGGATACTTCGATCAATTACATAAATTTTATTTATAAATTACTCATCATTGTAAGTGGAATATATATTTTTTTTTAAGCCCAATACCCTCAACACACCCCCCACTTTAATTACATAAAAAGTAATTTATCACATTAATGATGTAACTAAAAACAAAAATAACAAACATATTTTGATATTCATAACCACCCCATTGTATCTTTATAATTTTATCAAATTTTTTTAAAATTCTCATCGGATACAATGGATAATTTGGGAAATATATAAAAATATCTTTAAACTTATTCATATCTTTTAAATTAATTGATCTTGAAGATATAAGTTTCAATTATTATATTTTTTTAAATTTCCTTGTTGTAATTAGTTATTTGTATAAATTTGATTTTATATTAATATTATTTTTTCATTTTATTTTTCCTCCAATATTCTTTACCTATCTCAAAAGAACTGGTTTTTGAAAGAATTAGTTTTAATATTTAGATATTGGAATTCTTCAGAAAATGGAAGCATTAGATGATTTTTCCATTGGAATGAATGGTTCCTCATTCAGGGCAACCAACAAAAACATGTCGGCAACAGCAGCACCACCAAATAAACATTACGATGTGGTAGTTATTGGAGGTGGTATAGCTGGTCTGTCGGCAGCACGTCATTTACTCTTGAAAATTCCAGAACTTCGTGATAAGCGTGTTGCCATCATCGATCCAAGAAGTACTTTGAGAAATAACTTGGCCGAAGATTACAAGGTGGGTGAATCTACTGTGGAAATCAGTGGAATGTTCTTTGCCAAAGAGTTGGAACTACAAGACTATCTGATCGAGAATCAACCACCGAAATTTTCTTTGCAATTCCATTGGCCAAAGGACAATAAGAAAACCGACTCCATGTCTGACTACTACTCGACATGGGCCATCAAGAATCCAGATATTCAGGCATTCCAATTGAATCGATCAAAGATCGAGAAGGACTTGATTCAGATGGTTCAGAAGCAAGGTGTGGTCTACTATCATGGACGTGTCAAGGAGGTGGACATTGGTAAAGGTGACTCTATCAAAACAATCGATATCCAGATGCTCTCTGAGGAGGATCGATTCGAAGACCAGAAGCCACTTGAGCGTATCACCATCACCACCGACTACATTGCCGATGCCAGTGGTCGTAACTTTATCATTGGTACCAGAACTGACAATGTTCTCAAGGATCCAAAGTATCTATTTGGTCTTCAGAATGCTTCGACCTGGCTGCGTGTTAAAAACACTGACAAATCGCTGTTTGAATTCAACGATCCTAGTGTCACTGCAAGTTGGTACTATGCAACCAACCATTTCTTCGGTCCAGGATATTGGATTTGGATGATCCCCATTGAAAGAGGTTCCCATGATTTTTCCATTGGTGTATCATATCATCGTGATAAATATGAACCAAGTGAATTTAATTCGTAAGTAAAATTATAATTATTTTAAAACAATATATATTTATAATAATATTAATATTAAAATTGCTTAATTTGAAGAATGGAGAAATTTATGTCATTTTTGGAAAACAATCAAAAGATTCTCTATAATATTATAAAGAGTGGTGAGGTTGTTGATTTCCATAGATGGCCAAGATTAGCTCACACTTCGAAAACATTCTTTTCCGAGGATAATTGGGCTGTCTTGGGTGATGCCGCTGCCATCTTTGATCCGTTCTACTCGACCGGTATGGTTATGATTGCAATGGAGTGTGAGTGTCTCACCGAACTGACCAAGCATCGTTTGGCAGGCAATTCCGAAGCCACCAAAGTTCGTCAGGTTGCATTCGACAAATTCATCAGAGCCATCACACAAACCAACAATCACTTGATCAAGAGCCACTCCGACCACTTGGGTAACGCATCGATCATGTCGTGGCGAGTGTACGTCGAATCGCTTGGATACTTTGGAATCCTACTGCCTGCCTACCTCGGAAAGTACCATTTGTGTCCGGTGTTCGCCACAGAGTTTGCTGAGAACAACTACCGACTGATTGAATTCCGCGATCGTATGCTTGGCGTCATGGACTACATCAACGAGCAAGGACTGAATGTAGGATTCATGGATAATCATCGTGGAGGACAGCTACTCGGTCGTTGGTGTCCAACTTCGTCGTGGGACTACGACAAGGCAATCACCGTCTGTATGTTTGGACACAAACGTCTGAACCTCCCAAAGTACTTGTGCTGGTCGCACTTCTACCAGATGCTCTGCATGATCAAGCTGATGACACGTACCTTTGGCTGGGCAAAGATGATGCTCAACAAAGACTTCCAATGGATGATGGGTCACACTCTCAAGACCATCACATACCACGGTATGAAGTCTTGGTACCACGATTTCATGCACATGGGTGTGTCGACTTCCGACGACTACTTTGACAGAACAATGAAAGAATTTGAAAACTATTCATATAACAATGAAGTAGTACCATGGAAATCAATGTAGAATCACATCATCCTATATATATGTTTATAATAATAATGTAACTCCCCCTTTCTTTTTTTAATTACTATATATATTTAAAACAAAAAAAAAAAAAATAATATTAATAACTATTTCCAATAACAAAAAAAAAAAACAAATAAAATATTTAAACTTACTTATTTAAAAACTGTTGTTGTAATGATGATACTGATGTCTCTAAATAAGATAATCGATTATTTATCAAATTGATAGATGCTCTTGTTTCCTCCATGAATAGATTCATTGAACTCATCAAATGATTCAAAAGCTTAACTGTAGTGTCGTCTTTTGTAATTGTAGTGGTTGTAGTTGTGATAGTTTCTTTTGATGGTGAAGGTGGTGGTGTAGAACTTAACAAAGCTGTTGACTTTATAGGTTGTTGTGAATATGAATTACTATGATTACTATTATTCATCTTATTATTCTTTAAAAATATTTGGTGTCAATGTTGTTGATGTTGTTGAAGAAGAAGAAGAAGATGATGATGATGATATCTTTGGTGTAGATATCGATGTTGTTGATGTTGGTGTCGATGCTGTTGTTGTTTGTTTGTTTAAATTCGGTGTAGTTGGTAATGAACTAGCTTTCTTTAATGGTGAAGGTATATATTGATTTTGATGCAATGCTATTTTGTTTGGTGTTGTTGGAGTTGGTGTCGTTGAAGATAAAGTTGGTGCTGAAGATGGTGTTGAAGATGAAGATGTTAAAATTGGTGATAAATTAGTTGGTGATGATGAATTTGTTGTTATTACTATCGATTTATAAAGTGAAATATTGGTAATTGCTAAATCTCTAACACTCTTAATCTTATCGTATTTACATTGTTCGAGCGCGTTGAGACATTGTTGTTGGTAGGCGATCACCTTCTCCTTGGAGATGCGTGTTGCCAGTGCCGAGAGTAGTTCACACGATGCCTTTCTCAGTAGCCAGTCGGGCGATGCTAAGTAGCGACAGCCAATATCGGCAAGTGAAGATAGTACGTCGTCGAAACTACTAGATGACGCTGCTGCTGCTCCACCAGTGTTGTGATAGACAATCATAGCTGCCAATGCCTGTACAACCTGTGCATGACACTGACACCTCTGACACTCGAGAAATCTCATTAGATGGCCGGTTACAGTAAAACTATGTGCTCTAAACACACTGCCATTGACATTCTCAATGATGGCAACAATTATATTAGCTACTATCGTTTGTTGAGATCGCTGTGTTTGACTATCAAACAATGTTTTTAAACACGGTAATATATATAAGTCCAATATCAAATTGCTATTATTATTATTATTATTATTATTTGTTTTTGTTTTTGTTATTGTTATTACTACTATTTAAAGTTGGTGAAGAATAAGAGGATGATGATGATGATGATGACGATGTTATTAGATATTTAACCATTATACCAATAGATTCATAAGAGACATCAGAAGTACCAGCAAGATTATCAAACACCACTTTAAAGATGACAGTTACCATGTCACGTTGATAATCTATTACATTTAGTTTATGTAAACTCACTAGGAATCCTATCAATCTGACGACTTCCTTTCTGGCCAACAAATTCAATGAGTCAATACGAATATTATCTAGAAAATATTTCTATGTTTTATTCGATTAGTTTAGTTTAGTTTTTTTTTTTTTTGGGAATAGTAGCAACAATTTTATGCTAATAATTCATTCTTCAACATACCATGAAATTAGGTATTGTCTCACTATCCAATATCTGAATAACATTCAATATCGATTGACATGCCTGATGACAATGTTGATCATCACCAAGCACATCGAAATGTTCTATTAAATCATCCCAATCTATATCATTTCTTTTACTACTATTATGATTGTTATTGTTGCTGTTGCTGTTGTTATTATATTTATATTTACTACCAATGTCTTTATTATTATTATTATTTATCATTATATTTATATTTTGTCAAAAAAAATATGTTATATATAAATAAACTTAATAAAAGTTAAGTTAATTTTTATTTATTTTATAAAATATAAATATCTTCATCAAAATTAAGAATGAATGATTGAACGATAATTAATAATTGAATTGGTAGAATCATTGATTAACTGTCACTCATTCTAAAAACAAAACAAGAATTACTCAACCTAATTTTTCAAATAAATTAAAACGTTAGAGCGCTTTTTATTTTTAACGGACGAACTATGTTTTTTGGGTTTCGGCGCGAATGAGTATAAACTGCATGCATTAATTAAAAAAATATTTTGTTTTTATATTATTTTCATTTAAAATTAAATGATCAAACTAATTATCATTAATATCTTAAACTTAATTTTTATCTATCATAAATTATTATTATTATTATTTGTTTCTATTGACCTAAAACAAAAAATTTGATTAAAAAAAAACAAACTACAAAAAAATACAATTGAGATTTCATGAAAATTTCTTAATTTTTTAACAGATGTGAGGGAAGCAATTTTTGGTGAATTAATTATTTTTTTGAGAATTTAATTAAATTAAATTTTTAATTTCTTTATATAGTGAGAAAATTTTTGTTTTTTTTTTCATTTCATTCAATACAAATTATTCTTACATATATAAAATTACTATTTCTATTATAAAATTATCTCTATTTCTATATACATAAATATTTATTACTATTACAATTTTAAATTAAAATAATATTATAATGCAAATTTTTGTTAAAACTCTTACTGGTAAGACCATCACCTTAGAGGTTGAGGGTTCTGACACCATTGAAAACGTAAAGACCAAGATTCAAGACAAGGAAGGTATCCCACCCGATCAACAACGTTTGATCTTTGCCGGAAAGCAATTAGAAGATGGTCGTACTCTCTCAGATTACAACATCCAGAAGGAGTCAACACTCCATTTGGTTCTCCGTCTCCGTGGTGGTATGCAAATTTTCGTCAAGACTTTGACTGGTAAGACCATCACCTTAGAGGTCGAAGGTTCTGACACCATTGAAAACGTAAAGACCAAGATTCAAGATAAGGAAGGTATCCCACCCGATCAACAACGTCTTATTTTCGCTGGTAAACAATTAGAAGATGGAAGAACTCTTTCAGATTACAATATCCAGAAGGAGTCAACTCTTCATTTGGTTCTCAGACTCCGTGGTGGTATGCAAATCTTCGTTAAAACTTTGACTGGTAAGACTATTACCCTCGAAGTCGAAGGTTCCGATACTATCGAGAATGTCAAGACCAAGATCCAAGACAAGGAAGGTATCCCACCCGACCAACAACGTCTCATCTTTGCCGGAAAGCAATTGGAAGATGGTCGTACCCTCTCCGATTACAACATCCAAAAGGAATCAACACTCCATTTGGTTCTCCGTCTCCGTGGTGGTATGCAAATTTTCGCTCAAGACTTTGACTGGTAAGACCATCACCCTCGAAGTCGAAGGTTCTGATACCATTGAAAATGTCAAGACCAAGATTCAAGATAAGGAAGGTATCCCACCCGATCAACAACGTCTCATTTTCGCTGGTAAACAATTAGAAGACGGTCGTACCCTCTCAGACTACAATATCCAAAAGGAGTCAACCCTCCATTTAGTACTTAGACTCCGTGGTGGTATGCAAATCTTCGTCAAGACCTTGACCGGAAAGACCATCACCCTCGAAGTCGAAGGTTCTGATACCATCGAGAATGTCAAGACCAAGATCCAAGACAAGGAAGGTATCTCCACCCGATCAACAACGTCTCATCTTTGCCGGTAAGCAATTGGAAGACGGTCGTACTCTTTCTGATTACAATATCCAGAAGGAGTCAACTCTTCATTTGGTACTTAGACTCCGTGGGTGGTTCCCAATAAACAAACCAATAAAACTCTCTTTTACATTACAATAATATGTAATTTGTAATAAATATAAATATTCTTTAAATTATTATTTATTTTGAGTCAATTGTGTGAATTATCTTGATTTGGTGCAGAATCAGAAAGAAACGAAAAATAAAAATAAATTATGATTCATTTTTTTTTTTAAATCTTTGTTTTAATAAGTTAATTATTTGTAACATTTTATTTATTCATATTGCAATATACACACAATTATTAGTATGGCATCTTTTAATTTAGAAGGTTTATTCTTTAAAAAGAAACCAAATTCACCAACAACAACAACAACAACAGAAGCTTCACCAACAACAACAATAAATTCACCAAAACAACAACAGCAACAAGAACAACAATCAAATAACCTTTTTCAATCTTTAAATTTCAAACCAAAGAGTAACGATAAAAGTAATAGTAATAGTAATAGTGATAATGTTGATAATCAACAAACAAGTTCACAAGTAGATAATGTCGTTGAAAATGATGATGGTATTTATTATTGTTCTTTCTATTTATTATAAAGTCACTTCAATATGTTAACAAATTAATTAATTTTATATAGTAAAGAAAAAGAGATCAATTAAAAAGATAAAGAATAACTTTAATAGACCTGGTAGATTGTTATTAGATGATAATGATAATGATAGAAATGATAGTAGTAGCAATATAGAACAACAATCGACATTGGAATATGAACAGTCACCAACATCTTCATTATCATCGTCTATCAATGAATATACTTCAGATAGTTTAGTAGTAACATCAACACCAACAACACAAACTAATACAGATGTATCAGTAAGAAATCAAGAGCAAGAACAAGAAGAACAAGAGGAAAAACAAAAAGAACAAAGACAAGAAGAACATGAACAAGAACAAGTAACAATCGATGTAAATAATGTAAATAATAGTAGTAGTATTAGTAGTATTAGTAATCAAGATGAAGATAATAATGTAATAGATGTGGATAATGATATAAAAGAACAACAACAAATTGAATCTGATAATAATAATAATAATAATAATATAGATAGTAATAATAATATAATCAATGAATATAATAACAAAAAAAGTATGTTTAAATATTCAATTGAATCAATTAAGGATAGTTGTAAGAAGATGTTTGTGGAGAGAAGTAGAATCAATGATATCTTGATGAGTAATACTGGAGAGTTGAAGGAATTGAATGAACAACTCGATAATGCTATGGAGAATGATGACTTTGATCGTGCACAATCCATTGACCAGAGAATACTAGAGATCAAGGAGAGTGTACAGCAATTGAAGAAACAACAGGTAGACATGCTCAAGACACTGCAGTTGCTAGAGGTCGGTGCTGGCGAGTCACTCGATGAGATGGCATCGCGCTACCGCCAAGACTTGTCGTTGGCCACCGACAACATTGCCAGTCTACAAACGATGCATCGTCAGCTTGTCGATGATTACCAACAGGCTGTCGAGTCGGAACTCGTCAATCTTCAAGACGATATAGCGGTGCGTGAGGAGCTGCTAAGTCGCGAACACAGTCATATCCAACTGGATCGTGAGCTGCTGGACAAGAGTATTCAGTCACTTGGTGAACTTGTTGCCCGCGCAACACTTCCTCTCACCACCGAGAAAGAGCAGTTGATTGTGTTGCGGCAGGAGAAACAGGTGGAAATCGATGAACTACTCCGTCAGCTCGAAGCAAAGAAAGCGGAGCAACTCGCTATTGACCAGCAGGTGGAGCAAGTCGATGAGAAGATTCAATTGGCACGACAACGGTTCCACAAGGAAGACAGTAGAATCCAACAGAAGAAAGAGGATCTCGAAGCACAGGATCAAGCAGTCGCCAAGCTCGAGAGTGAATTACTCTCGGTGAAGCAACAGTACGAGACAAAGAAGAATCCTGTGGATCATCAATCGTTCAAGATCATCAAGGAACTAGATGAACTACTGAAACAGGATAAGCAATTCAACAATGAAGTGAACATCACCATTGATATCATAAAGGAACAACAACAAAGGATTGATATCATTTCTAAAGATTTAATTAATCATTATAATTCTATTGAAAAGTAAATATATTCAATCATCAAACATTCTTACTTACTTTCTTTCTTAACTAACTAACTAACTATTTTATTATAGTATTAATAAAAAGACATCATCTATAAAGTTAAATATCGAAAGTTTACAAACAACAGTACTCTCAAGACAAAAAGATATAGTGCTATTAAAGAATTCGATCAATGTAATGTTAGAGACAATTCCACAACTCGAACAATCAAAACAAATTGCAAAAGATGGTATGTTTAGACAACAATTGTTTTGTTATACTATCTATAGATGGCTACTAATAAAAGCCAACACTTTCAATCAATAGCAAAGAAATTCTCAGAAGCAGGCAGTATATTAAATGATATAAAACAACAACAACAACAATTGGTTGAAAAGAAACAGAGACTATCGGAACTACAAGAGGAAATGGATATAGATAACAAAATGATTGCAACTCTATCTGCTGAACTCCTAGACTTTGAAAATCAACTGGCACAACACGAGACCGATTCCAATCAATGTTTGTTAAGTCACCTACAAGATAGAATTAAACAATTAAAATCAAAAGAAGAGGGTGAAGAGGAAGAAGAAGAAGAAGAAGGACCAACTACGTTGAAAGATTTCCATAAATCGGAATTACAATGGATAGAGAACGAGATATCTTATATAAACTTTTGTAATAAATGAGCTTATCTCTCATTTATAAACATATAAAATAAATAGTGTAGTATTTTATTATTATTTATTATAGATAATAAGAAAAGATTAGGAATATTAATACTATTAATATATTCAATGTATTATTAATAAAGAATAATTTTGATAAACTATTGTTGGGTTCTGAAGTGGATGTAGATGAAGTAACACCATCAGTTGTAATACTATCAGTTGTTGTTGTTGTAGACGATGTAGTTGTTGTAGATGTAGTTGCTGATGTTGTTGTTGTAGATGTTTCATTCGTTCTTTTATAAATTCTAACAAAATCAACTAAACCATAGTTATTCTCAAAGACAGTTGTATTGTCTGGTGTTCCAGGCCATTTTCCACCAACAGCAACATTACTAAGTTCATCATATTAGTACAAGTACCATAATTTTAAATTAAATCTTATGACTACTACTTACAGTATTATAATAAATGGTGTATCATTTGGAAATATTTGATTTGGTGAATTTGTTTTGTTCACTGTTAAATAAGGAATATTATCAACCATACTTTAAATAAAATAAAAAAGATAGGTAATAAAAATAATAGTGTAAATATTAAATTGTATCTGCTACTTTCAATTTTTTATCTCTACTTACAATACTAAATAATCTACATCCCAAATAACAGAGTACAAGTGGAAATCAGAGGCAAAAGATGGAATCCAAGTACCGTTGTTCGAATGGTTCTGAGGATCACACGATGTTCCAGAATGATAGGTTGCAAAGATATTTGGATCTTCATCGTCACCTGCCTCACCAATATTCTCCATGATATCGATTTCCTCTTGAAAAAAAAAAACAAACAAAGATTAATTATTTGTAACTATAGATAGGACATTATTAGATTCCAATCTTACTATAGGTTTTACAAGTATAACTCTCTGGGAGCATCCAAAAAGCCGGCCAAAATCCTTTTCCAATTGGCAGTTTCATTCTCGCTTCAAAACGACCATAGGTCTCGCCAACCTTTGAAATAATCGAACATGATGTGTAGTTGTAACCTTGATAGGGTTCTCTCGCTGATTTCATAACGAGATTACCATTCTCAAACAAACAGTTTCTTGGCAAATAGAATTCTAGTTCACCGTTGTCGTTGTCACCATCGGAAGGTGCGAAATTCTGTGCTCTCCAATAGCTATTTAGAGTGGTACCGTTGAACTCATCACTCCAATACAAAGTCCATCCTTTATAGTCAACTACATTTGAACATGTTATAACTCCACAAAATGAAACCAAAACAATAGCTAAATATATTGAATTGATCATTTTTAATATATTTTAAATAGAAAAATCTTTATTTATATATTTAAAATAAAAAATTGAAAAAATTTCATTTGTACAAACATTCTATTAATTTGTTTTATTTCATTTATTTTAATAATATAAACTTAAATGTGGTATGAAAGTTAAAACCGATCTCTAAAGGTGGTTGCGTCTTTTGGTTTTTTGTTCAAAAAAAAATCATGACCATGAATTTTACTATAATAAAACAGTTGAAAATGGACACCAGATAATATTTTCGGGTTCGAACTTCTTTTTGATTGAATTTCAAATTCGAATGGTAAAATTAAATAACTGTTCTCATTTTCTATTTATAATAATTAAATTATATAAATTTAAATATCTTGGGAAATAATTGTTTCAAAAAAAACCAAAAAGAATAAATTTATAAAAATTGATTAGATAATTTAAAGTAAATAAAATGAATACTCTTATTTTTATCTTATTTGCAACTTTATCTTTTCAATTTTGTCATTCTCAATGGCCTGACCAAACGAATACAGGATATATTCATGCGCCAGGATATCCAGGATCGTTGACTACATGTACTACTCCAATACCTAGCAATAGTATGGTTAAATATTGTAACTTTCCAGATGGCTACTATGTTGGAAGTGGCTCAAACTATCCCAGGAATATAACTTTTATTGGCTGTAGATTTGCATCCAATGCTTTAGATGTAAATAATTAAATTATTTAAATTGCTAAACATTACTTTTAATTAATGCATTACACTTCGGCGAGAGGAGGGGTATACCCAAAATACTAATTGCCAAAGTGAATATAGGATGCAAATGTTGCAGTTTTTGGTTACAATATAACTTTTAATTATTGTACTTTTGAACCAATTTTTAATATTACAAATCCATCCTACACTCAAGGATATCAATATGGAATTGACCAAAGAAAGTTTGCTGGAGGTTTATTTATAAATTACTGTAATATCTGGGGGTAACTATATTAATAATAGAAAATAATAAAGAATTTTTATATTTACTTGAAATTTTTTTTATAGATTTGGAAATGGATTACAATTAGGTTTTTCAAATAAAACAAATCCAATTATAGTTACCAATAGTTGGATTCATAACCCACGTGCAGATGGAGGAATAGATCATACAGATGGTATTCTTGAGAATTATGGTGGTGTAAGTTATATGACCTTTGACCATAATACAATTGTTGGAGTTGGTAATACTCAAGCTTTAGGACTTCAAGGAGCAGATGATCCATATGACCATATCACTGTAACTAACAACCTATTTAGTGGATATGGATATGTGGTGAGCTTTGGTCATAAAATGAGTACCAATATTATTTTTACTGGTAATGTATGGTCGAGCCAATTTGAACCAATTCACGGACCAATGTATGATTCTACATTGTTTGAAACTGCTGGTCTAAACAACCTTTGGAAAAACAATACTCTCAAAGTGTATCCAGGAACAACTTGGATGAATTTTGGAAACAATGGAAAATATTGGTGGGCTACAGATGGCATGGTTTCAAATCCCAATCAGATCATTGGCCATAATATAGATTATATCAATCCTTAAATAAATATTAAAAGTCGAAGGATTTAAATTCATGTGTACAAAATTATTATCAAATCAAATAAATTAATAAAAAAAAGACTTTACAATATATTATTATTATTTCATAATAATTTAATAGAAAATATTTTAGTTTATATATACAATGTTTAGTTGATAATTAATAGAATTCTATTGCTCGATATACTAACTATTATTTTCAGAGAAGTTGACTTTTACAATTTTGGGAGTTTTTGAATTTGGTGAATACTACTTGTAGAGATGTGTTTGGTTGTTTGGTTGATAAATAAGAAAATGAAAATAAACACAAAATATGTTATTTTTGTTTGATTGTTGGGATTTTTTGATTAATTTGTTTTTTGTTTGATTTGATTGATTCAATTAATTGTTTGATTAATCTGTGCTTACTCCTAAAGATGATGAAGAAGAATTATTAAGATTGGTATTCGAAAGAGCGGATATTGTGTGATTCATACTCCAATTGGCACCGTTTGGTGCTTCGAGATGGTAAGGTGATTGCCAGGAGCCATGACCATTGGAATTAGCACCGTTGGGGTTGTCGTCACCTGGAACATGGTGTTCCATCATCATTGGATGTGGACCCATAAAGTATCCGGGTGCACCTGGTGGTGTCATGAGTGCCGATGGAGGTGGTGGTTCCAAGCGTCTCATGTCGTAGGGACGTGGCCACAACGAAGGTGTCGATGGCGACGAGGGATGTAAATGAGAGAGTGGGTGAATCATGCCCATGGGAGGTGAGCCATTTGGTCCACCTAAATAGGTCATGCCACCGCCATACATCGATGATGGAGATGGTGCTGGACCGGGTGGCATTTGTCCGATTGGATACTCGGGACGACTTACATTTACAGGTGGTGGAACTCTACGCTTTCCAAGCGAAGGTGAACGTGAAAAGTGTGTTGGTGAAGTTGGCTCTGGTGTATTGTTGGTTGAATTATTTGTACTATTACTATTGTTATTACCATTCATGTTATTATTACTGTTGTTACTGTTGTTGTTACCATTATTATTGGGTAACACCAATTGTAGATTGGGTGTTGATAAATTTGGTGAAAGTGAGGATTGTGGTGAATTTGGAATGTTTGAATTGCTGTTGTTTGGTGTAATGGAGTTATTTCCACCTGGTGAATTGGGATTGGCTTCTTTTGGTTTTTGATTGACTGCTTTATGGAATGCCTTGTATGCCAATTCTATAGTTTCAATTGAATGGTGAACTAAAAATTGTTCTTTAATCATTTTAAATAGTGTGTGTGTCTGAGATTGAGATTGTAAGAATTAGTAAATTGATTGTATTATTATTAACTAATTATTAGTAAAAATACTTACATCATCTTGATCAATAAATGAAATAAGTCCTCTTGAAAAATATTCATAGTCCATTGCTGTCCAACCGGATGGCATTGCAGATAAAACAGCATCTTTATACATTTGTGCATTCTTGGCTTGCGATGCTGTGATGAGTACAGTTTCTCTCTTTCTTTTGATGTTTGGTGAGTTCTGACCAGAGAATGGATTGTTGGGTGTCAGGACACCCGGTGAACAATTTGCATAGAGTGTAGGACTGTCGACATCTTCACCGTAATCCTCTTTTAGCCATTCATCGTTATTTCTGTCGTCTTTGTCGGAGGATTCTTTGCTCTCCAGCTTACGCTGACGCTCACGATCGATTCTCAAAAAATATTTCTGTGCATGTGTTCTGACTTGTGTGGGATTTCTGGTGCCGACGTGCGATGCAATCGACTTGACATCACGATGACCGTACTTGCTGAGTGCCTCGAGGAATCGGTGGTGTTCGTCGGGTGTCCAGTAACGAGATTGCTTCTTCTTTTCGGCTTGACGCTCTTGCTCATACTTTGAGAGTTGGTGTTGTAGTCCATCGATTGTGTCTTTCTTGCGATTGATTTCGTCCTCTAGAAATTGAATGCGTCCAAGAAAACGTTGAGTTTGCTCGTAGTATGGCATCATCTTGGATTCTAATTGCTCTTCGTCGGCTGGCTGGTCCATATAACGATTGGATGAATAATGAAAAGGATACATCGGTCTGAAAATCGGTGAATAAATATTGGGTGGTGATGGTGAAGATCCACAATATTCATAAGGGTCTGGATATCCTTTGATGTGTGGGTTCATTTTAGCGCTTTTTTATTGATCTTTCAAAAAGATTTGATTTATTACAAATAAATACTGGCTGCAACAATAAATTATTAGAAATTAATTTGTTTTTTAATTAAAGTGAGTGATATAAGAAAATACTTACAAATTAAATTAAAATATATTTTACAGGGAAAAGGAAAGTTGTAGTTGTTGTTGATAGCTTTTGATAAACCCAATGATTGAGATTATATTGCGTTATGACTAAATATACAGTTCTTGTTGATTTTTTCAATTGAAATGTTATGTATAAGTTATGATAATTTTTAGGAAGGAGACTTTCTAAAAAGCGATTGCGGGATTGTAAAAGTACAAGTTTGAAAGTGGTGGTTTGATAGATCAATAACCGGTTTGTTTTGATCTTACTTTAGTAATCTATCGATTTGGAAAAAAAAAAATAAGAAAAAAAAAAGAAGGGGAATGTTAATATTTTTAATTTTGGGCTATGAATTCAAATTCAAATTTAAACAATGAAAATATTACTGGAAAGTGAGTGGAAAGTAAAGTAATATTCAAAAAGAATTGATGTGATATGTGATTGGAAATATAAATTAAATTTAAATGTAAAGTAAAGTAATAAGTTAATTATTATTAATTATAAAGTTTGAATAGTTTTTTTTTGTTTTAACAATTAATTAATTATAGAAATAAGATAAGATTAATTGTAAATTGATAGGAGTTGGAGGATTTGATTTTGATTTGATGATATGAAGTTGATGATGATGATTATCTGTGATCTTAATCTACAAATATATTATTTTAAATTTAAAATAATGAGTGTAGAGAGTGAGATATATTTTTAATTGATTCGAGTTGGTTGGCTAGCAGTAGCCTTATTGTAGAAATTCAAAAAAAATAATAAATAAAATAAATAATTGTTTCAAAAAATAAATATGAACAAAAAGATAGTTAGAGTGTTTTTTGCAAACAAACAAACACTAGTTTTTGGTGGTGAAAGGAAGGAACAGAAGCAGTAACAGTAAGTACTGTAGGAACAAAGGTGGGTTGGTACTGGCTAGAATGATGTTGTCAATTACATATTCACACAAAGTGATTGATTGAAGAAAGCTGTTGGATGGATTGCGTTATTTGTTTATTTTCTGTTTGTTTTAAAATCAAAAAAAAAAACAAAAAATTTTAAAAAAATAGAAAACACAAACTCCTAAGTTTCTCTTAGTGTGTATGTCAATGTGTGATGAAAGAGTGCGTGGTTTTTCTTTATGTGTGTGTGAGTGTGTGTGTGTGCTAAAACTGTGTTTAACTTAAAATTTGTTTAAAATTCACATTTTAAAATTGAATTTGTGTTTTGTGTGTGTTTGTGTTGTGTGTGATGTGTGTTTGTGTTTTGATTGATTGCTGTCTGACTGACACTTTCATTAACTCTTTTAAAAAAAAACAAAATAATGTTTCAATAGTCAAAAGTGCAAGGAAGGAATGAATGAACAACAGATAAAGGTGTTTGGAAAGAAACGATTAAACAATAGAGAGATAATTCCAGTCTGTAAGTCAAGTCATCACACAACTACTACACTACCATCATGTGTTTGTGTGTGGGATCATTCACCAAAACAACTACACTAAAAGGCATACCATAAGTCAATTTAAATAGACATCAACCCTTTTTGTTGTAATTGTTGTGTTTGGTGTGTTGTTGAAGAGAAGAGGTATTTTTTTTTGAATTGGAATGGAATTATAAAGTGCTTGTTTAGTTTTTTATCTGTTTTGATTTTGTGATTTGTTGTTATGATAAAAAAAAAAAAAGCACACACATGGTAATAAGAGTTAATGGTAATAGTAATAGTATGTAGTCAGAGTGTGTATAGATCGATCAATCAGTGAAACACATGTGTGTTGTTGTTTTGTGTGGATTGCTGATATTCTTCCAATGTCTGATTATTGGTATCCTTAGAGATAAAAATTGTGTCAATCAAGCAACCAACCATTGATTGGATGTTCGATCGAATTATCTTTTATACTCGATTTAAGGGGTTTTTCACAGTTGAGGTGGAGTGTTAATAAAAAAAGAAACGGACGCGTCAATCTTAAACTTTTTTTTTTAAAAAACCATGGATAAAAAAAAGTGTTTCACAGTAATTAATGAGTTGGTTTAAAGGTGAAGCTTTTGCTATTTGTTTTTGATTCAATGTGTACTGATCTGTGATAGCAAATAAATTAACATTGTTGTTGGTTGTGGAATGAATTGAAATAAAATGGTCTAATATTTGACTGGGATCTTAATTGTTGTTTGGTGTCAAGATTATAATTGTTTGAATATATTCCAGGAATAGAGAAATTTGTTTGTGAACCAATTATGATTTAAAGATTTGGTATTTCCAAATATTTCAAAATTTTGTATTGTATTGTTGGAACATATTGAAATTTTATGAAATTAATTTGGTGATGGTTGGTGATTTATTTTATTGTTTAGTGTACCTCCTATTCTTGTTTGTGGTTGTTGTTATTTATTTTTTTAATAAATATATGTTTACAAATAATTAATTAATTGGACAAATTGATAATTGGTATTTCAACTGATCAGATTGAATAATCCACAATAATTAATTGTGTAATTAAAAGGAATTAATGCTTTTTGTGTTTTTTTTGTGAGTTGCTAACCTTTCATTAATTTAATGTCTTTATGTTTTTTGTTCTGATTATTGTTGTTGGACCAATATGGTGATTGTTGTTATTATATTTTGTTTGTTGAAATACTGGTTGGTGGTTATAATAAACACACTTAATTTGATGACCAGAAGAATAAATGATGAACAACAATTTATTTTTAATATTAATTTAAATTAAATTGTAAGATGTTTAAAGGTTCTTTAAAAAAAAGTTGATTGTTTTGAAAATCAGTGAGAATGAATGAAATTAATAGTAATTTGATTTTTTTAAATCAAAAAAAAAAAGGAATGAATTGTTGCAAGCAGTGTGTGTAAAAAAATACAAAATGGGCTTAATTTTGATGTGTCTTCTTCTTTTGGAATAAAGGGTGATCCGAATTGAATGGTGAAAAAAAAACACAGTTTTGCAACCATCAGAGGCAGTGCGCAAAAAATGTATGGAGCTGTCAAAAAAATAAAAAAATAAAAAAATGCTGCAAAAAAAAAAAACACTTTTCCATTAATGTGTGGTAAATGCGTGTTTTATGGGCGCCATTTACAAGTAGTTAAGTGTGTGGGGTGACACAGCACACACAGTTAAAAGCTTGAAAACAACACTCTTCAAAGTCCTTAATTTTTGCAAAAATTGTTTTGATTTGTGGTGCAAATGAAAAAATGAATGAAACATTGTTTTTTGATGGTTTTTTTCGATTAAGGTGTTTTACCATTAAAGGGGTACCAACAATCAAAAAACCTTTTTTCTTCATACCTTTTTCTTTTTCAAGCAAAACACACTTATTAACACACAAACACACTGATTGATTGCTTGATTGATTTGAAGATGAGGAATTGGTAATGGAATAGGTTTGTTTGTAGAGAAAGAGCTTTACAGGATACAAAACAAATACATTATTATCAAATTTTGGAAGATGAGGTTGGTGATTATTTGGTTTATTCAACGTAAATTGAGTCTTTGTGGGGAGATGTTTTGGTTGACAGTAGATTTGAGTGGATTGACAAACAAAGATCTAATGAAAAGAAAAAAAAAAAACAAAAAAAGGGGTTTGAGCTAAATTTCCTTTTAAGTCTTGTATCTGGTAAACAATCCGTAAGTGTAATAAGTATTGATCAATGGTGTTTTGAATTAAATGATCACATGCAAATATTTGAAAGTGACTACAACGAAAACTTTAATAGACAACACTAACTATACTATTGACATATTCAAATGAAAACTGGATTACTTTTTGTTATTTTTGTCAGTTGACTTTATGAGATGAAGGTTTTTTTTTTTGTTATTTATAATTACAATATTCTACTAAATATGCGAGAATGCTTTTTTGTTGAAAGAATTATGAGTTTATCTGTTAGGTGATTGATTTATTTATTTGTTTGTTTGTTTTATTGGCTTTTGTTGGTTGTGTTTCAAAGATGGACTTGTATATCTGTGCTGTTTATCTAATAGTGGAATGTTTCTTAAAGGTGTTTCATTTAAATCATTGAATAGAAATGGTAAATCCAAAAAAGGAATAGATCAAAATAAAGGCAAATATTGTTATTGATTAAATGAAAAACAAAAAAGAGATAAAGTTGGCAAAAGTAGAGATGGAGAAAAGTTTTTTTAGTTTACGAGATAAGTAGATACAAAGATTGTGGTACAAGAGAGATAATACTGACCAGAATCAATAGTAATGATTTTGATTTTGATTTTGTTGAAATTATGAGATAACAGTGGGAGTAAGTCTTTGTGCTGACATCCACCAAACACTTTTGAAAGAGATAGGCTAGCAAGAGAGCAAGATACAGATTGGTGAGGTTGGCGGTGGTTATTGAGATATATACTAACCGGAGGAAAGAAGAGTTACTAAACTCTTTTGACACTGATATAAAGTTGGGTACAGTAGCTACTCTGTGTTGTTGACTTGTTACTTTTTTAGATGTTTTTACTTTTTTGTTGTTGCTGTTGTTGTTTTTTTTTTTGTTTTTTTTTTTTTCTAATAAGTTGGTGATAGTAGGTAGTAGTACAATAGAGTATTACACACAGCTCAAATGTATTTGTTTGTTTGATTTTGAGAACAACAGGAACAAGAGAGATAAGTGGTGGTTGCAAGTCGTTTCAACTCAACTCCATCACATCAGTGGTTGATTCGATTTTATGATTTATACATCACTTTTTTATATAAAAAAAGAAATGTTTGAGATAAAAAAAAACACAATTTATTAATTAATCCGCTTTGGTTCAGCAAACTGTTTGTGAATTAAATTGAAAAAGTGTTACTTTTTTTTCTTGAAAAGTGCTGATAAATCAAAAAAGAACCACCGATTGACTGATAATGTACTTTTTTGTTGAAACTCTGAACCAATCACGTGATTTGTGGTACACTGTTTTTTTGCAGGGGTGAGATTTGATATTGATTGGATGACGATCTTGATTCTTCACTATTCAGTGGTTGTGTGCAAAAACATAAAAAAATTATTTTTAAAGTTAACTAAAATGTAAGAAAAAAGTTTTTTAGATTTTTTTATAAACAAAAACTTCTTTTTTTTTCACCCTAGAATAAACACTAAAAAATGATATATCTTGTAGTTAAAAAAATAATTATTTAATAAAACTTTTTTCAGCAACAACAACACTAATATTCTAAACAATATGATCATCCTTTAACGAATGATAAAGTTTAACTTGTGTGTATCAACTACATCATTTGAGTTAAATCTTTCTATCAAAATTTATTTTATTTTTCAGAAAACAAAAAAAAAGATAACAATATTATATTTCATCAACATAGATTTTTATTACTTCACCAACCATTATATATTACTTATTTTATTATGAATAAAGTATACTTAACAAAAACTTAGAATATTAATCAAATATTAATGTTTGAAATAATGTCATGTCATCATGGACCAAATGGAACGTTACGTTACTCTAACAAAAAAATATCATTTTTTTTCCTTTTTTTTTTCTATTTTTTTTTTTGGTCCATCACCGGTTTTTTTTTTTGAAAAAAAGGGCGTGTGAACTTTGAATGAAACAAATTTGAAAAAGTGTGAAGTGGAGGGTGTATCATCACAACCCAAAGTCATTTTATCAAATTGTTCATATGACCTGACGATATTTTTCTCACTCTGGTTTTTTATATATGAATTTGCTTATTTTTTTTTTTTGATTTCTTTTGATGATTTGATGTTTTTTTTGAATTATTTTTTTATTTTTTATTTTTTATTTTTTTGTTAGAAATCAATCACACCTTTAGTCTGCACTCGAGTGTCGTTCACCTTAATACCATTACTAATAGTCGAGTATTTTGTTTAGTTAGTAGTTTGTTTAATTAAACACCAGCACACATACAACATACAACAAATATGGATTATAAAACCATTCAATCTACTATTTCCTTGATTCAAGAGAACATTACCAAAGTACCAGTTGTCCAAAAGGTCCTCGACAACAAGTACGTCCGTGAACACCCAGTTGTTGCTGGTGTTACCGCCGTCGGTGCTGGTTTATTAGCCGCCAAGACTATCGCCAAGGTCGTCAAGGGTACTGAGAAGAGATACAACTTTGCTTCCATCCCAGTAAGTAGTTTAAACAACAAAACAAAAACAATAATTGTATTTATTTCTTTTCTTTTCAAATTTATTAATTATTTTTATTATTATTATTTTTTATTATTTTTTTCTTCTGTTCATTTTTATTTATTTATTTTTTTCCAGGGTATTACTTATGAAGATGAAATCTATGATGTTGCCGTTATTGGTGCTGGTCCATCTGGTTCAACTTTGTCATACTATTTGGCTCGTGAGGGTAGAAAGGTTGCCGTTTTGGAAAAGAAGAAGTTCCCACGTGACAAGTTCTGTGGTGATGCTGTTGCAACTATGGCTCAAGATATTTTGCGTGAGATGGGTGTCATGAAGGAACTCGTCGATGAGGATCTCGGACATTTCGCTCAAAACGGTGGTTTCGTTTCACCAAACGGAAACTCGTTCATCGGTAACTCTGCTAAGGAGATGGCTCGTGACGCCAAATACAATCGTGGTGCCGTCATTGCCGTCAAGCGTATCTACTTGGACGAGAAGATCGCCAAGGCTGCCAAGCGTATGGGTGCTGAACTCTATGAGAACACCACCGTCCAAACCTGCAAATTCGACCGTAACACTGGTTTGTGGACTGTCGAGTGTGTCGGTTCCGAAGACAACCAACCAATCGTCTACCGTGCCCGTTGTTTGGTCTGTGCTGACGGTTCACCATCGTCCACCGCCCGTGCTCTCGGTTACGTCAACACCGAACCAAACGGTATTTGCTCGCGTGCCTACGTAAAGAACAACAAGACCTTCAAGTACGACGGTGTTGTTTTCTATCCAAAGTCATTGCTCCCAGGTTACTGTGCCATCATCCGTGAGGCACGTGACGAACTCAACTATTTGGCTTACATTATCCCAGGTGGTAAAGTCCAAAACGAAGACTTGCACCACTACCATCACGATTACATCCAAAACGACCCATTCATCAGCAAGGCTCTCGGTCCAAATCCAGAGATCGAGCGTATGAAGGCTGCTCCACTCCGTTTGGGTGGTATCGAAAAGTCATACGACGATCACATGATCATCATTGGTGACGCCGCCGGTTTCATCGATCCACTCACCGGTGAGGGTATCCAATACGCCATGGAAGGTGGTAAGATTGGTGCTGAAGTCTTGATCAAGGCTTTCAACGAGAAGGATCTCTCACACCAATCTCTCAAGAGATACCAAGACCGTTGGATGTCCAGATTCGGACACGAATTCGCCACCTCCATGACCATGTCTTTGTTCTTGTACCGTTTCCCAATCGTTTTGGATGCCGCTGCTAACTTGATCGGTAAGCGTGGTGCTCGTTTCTTGGCTGAGTGGGCTGCCGTCATGACTGGAGTTGAACCAAAGACCTGGTTCCTCAGACCATCCGTAGGTCCATTCATTGTTTTGGAGATTTTCGCCGAGTGTTTCAGACGTTTATTCAAGTCAAAATCGATCAAGAACACTGAAAACAACTCACTTGATCAATATTAAATAGATTTACAATAATTAGAAGATTATCACTTTAATAGTCTTTCAAATTTATTTAATCTATCAAATATTTCAAAAAAAACACAAACATTTATATGTATAATTTTTAAAACTTATATTTTTTTTCCTTCACATCCTTTAATAAAAAGTAACGAAAGTGTCTTCATCCTCCTTTTGTCGAGGCACTTTTCTAAACATAATAATTATTATATTTAGTACTATCCTCTTTAATTGAGTATCATATGGAAACGCACAACCAACTTTTTTTTTAACAAAATATTGTTTAATATTTTCTTTGAGTCTTATATACATTAAAAAACATGGAAAATCTCCAAAACAATGAATGGACCTACGGATAGTCTGAGGAACCACAATTGTTCAAAGTGGAACTTGTACAAAAGAGCATATAGTTGACCTGAAGATGGCACCTAGCATCAAATCTTTTACGCCTCTCCATCTCAAAGGAATGATGTGTAGAGAAAACGGTGGTGAAAATAATTTGTTATTTTCTTTGGATTTCAACAGAAAGGACATGAAAATATATGAATTGGATAACAACTGGATTGGTACAGATATAGATTTGGATCTAGCCGGCTATGTCAGTGATATCATAACCACTAGATTAACCGATATTCAAGTATACATTTCTCCATTACGTTTACCAATATCGCATCAGTTTTTACTCCAAGCCAAGTTCAAACTAAAGGAAACAAGAAGATTTCTTACTTGTTAGAAAATTTCAAATATTGATATTCTATCTAAAATACCTTATTACATTGTTATGCTCACATATATGCACTCTTATCAAACGATATGTAATAAACAATATATCATTTTTCTTTTTAGATGTCATATAAACAAAACATTGCTAAACAAGTTATCAATTGTATCTTGACAAAGGTTTTAATGCTTCTACACCTACGACTCAAACTGATGATGTAGAAATAAAACAAAGAGGAACGATAATTCAGATATCAATGAATATTAAAAATTATAAACGTTACACACTTTTTTTTTTTTTTTTTTTTTGTTTCGTTTATTTTTTTACTGATTTTCAAAAGTTTTCCATCGAAATTTTGGGGTATATCATAGGTTTTAACAAGGACCTGGTTTTTCATTCGTCAAACAAACTTTGGTATGTACAACAACAATATTATTATTATATATTTAAATGATGATAAACTTTAATCTTTGAGATCCTAAGTGACTAGCAATCACCTTCAAACCATGTGGACATTTTAAGATAACGTCTGACTATATATTATATATATTATTTATAAACAATCATCAAATCAATGTTTAAAACATTCAAACTTTTACTAACCATTCTTTTTTTATTTCCTAAATAGACTTAGACTTGGATTTAATACAAATATTTGGTTGATTTATGCGAAACAAAGAAAATTTAAATAAACATTTTGAAAAAAAAAAAAACAAAAAACATTCGTTTTAAAATATTATTAGTTTTTATTCTTTAGAAGATTGTTTTACGACCTAAATCTTGTGTCACAGTGTTGCTGAAGTTATCATCTTCGTTATAATTAATTTTAATTTTTTAATTTATTTAAATAGTTTAATGATTTATTTTGATTAGTACATATCTTAATAAGAAATGAAATTTGACATTATTTTTTAAATTAATCGATTAAGAACATATCAATAATGTTAAACATTGGTTCAATAGCAAATAAACAACTAAATAAATCAAATCTATCATTACTTAGTAGTTGTTTAAGAAAAACGTATTGTAGTGGTACAAACAAAAACACTAACAGTAATAATAATAATACCAACAACAATGCATCAGCTTCAACAAATTTAAAGGCATCTGCAGAGAAGATCAAAGTATATAAATCAACAACTGATGATGCACTATTTAACATTGCAACTGAAGATTGGTTATTTAAAACATTTGATTTAACAACACAAACTTTATTCCTTTGGAGAAATGGTCCAACTGTATGTTATCATCATTATATATTTACACAACAATAAATTACTAATATTATTATTATTATTATTGTTATTGTTATTATTAGTGTATTATTGGTAGACATCAAAATCCATTTAAAGAATGTCATTTACAACAGATGGAAAAAGATGGTGTAACATTGGCTAGACGTTATTCAGGTGGTGGTGCTGTCTATCAAGATCATGGAAATTCGATTTACACACTCCTCTCACCCACTACACAATATGACAAACACAGAAACACCGCAATTGTTATAGATTCACTTAGGCAATTCGGAATAAATGCAGAGTCATCGGGAAGAAACGATGTGATCGTCGACGGTAATCGCAAGGTGAGTGGATCGGCATTCAAGCAGTCGGGTCCACGTTCATTCCACCACGGCACGATGCTGCTGGATCTCGACCTCAACGCACTGCAACGCTACCTGAATCCCAACAAAGAGAAGCTCAAATCCAAGGGAATATCATCGGTGGTCAGTCGTGTCTGTAACCTCAAGACTATCGTGCCGGATATCACTCACGAGCGTTGGTGTGAATCGATGATCGAGTCGTTCTTCCGCTGCTACGGAAAGCGTTGTGATATCGAGGAGCTCAGTCGTGACGACCTCTATGCTATCCCGTCGCTCAAGGAAGTCTACGATGGACTCTCGAATTGGGAGTGGCGTTTCGGAGCGACACCAGAGTTTGACCATCAATTTGAAACACGGTTCCAATGGGGAATCATCGATATGAATATCAATAGTAACCGTGGTGTCATCAACGATTGTAAGGTCTACTCGGATTCACTGAACCCAGTGATGATTGAGAATATAGCATCGGCAATGATTGGCGAAACCTACAGTCCACAGGGCATAAGCAATGCCATCGAAAAGACAAAACTTCAACACACATTCAATCAAGATACAATCAACGAATTGGAAGAATTGAAACAATGGTTATTAACTAAAATATAAATAATAATATGAACTGAATTGAATTGAATTCATTGTTTAGATATTTCTATCTTTATCTTTTTTTTTAGTTGACACAATTTTACCAGGTTTTATTTGGTGGATGTCAAGCGAATTCAAGAAAAAAGATTCACATCATTTTAGATCGGAGATTCCAAAAAAAATTCAGAATCAGATCGCCAAAGGTTTGCAAATCAAAATTGCAATTGAGTAAATATTTAGTTTTTATAAAAATTACTTTTTTAGATATAAATAACTCAAAGATTTAGTTTTCTTTTTCTTTTTTTTTTTCTCTATTTTTTTAGAATTTACAACTTTGTAAACGTTCTGAAAAATATTATATAGTTTAATTAATTAATTTATTATTTATTTATTAAGTGTGTGTATATATCTATCTATAGTTATAAAAAAAAGAAAGAAAAGAAATAGAATGACAGAATTATTATTATCTGCTGGTGTGTCAGCATTAATTCATTCCAAAGTCCACAGTAAAAAGGTTGGAAACTCAATACCTTTGAGTGCCAGCAAATTGCACAAGAGTATGCATTCTAGTGGACCAGTCTCAAGTCCAGATAAATCTTCGAGTAGTAATTCAGTGATCTATATCTCTGATGTAAGCTCTGGAGCTAGTACTGCATTGGATTTCATTGAAAATGGAAGCTTATCAGCTTTAAAATCTCTTTATTGTTCGACGATGAAACGAAACATAGATGAAGTTGCTTTTGTTTGTAATGGAGCAAAGTTAAACTGTGCACTGTCAATCTCCGACTACAAAATCAATAGATCCTCTAACGTCATTGCCGTTCCATCTGCAGGAAACAGTGCTGCTCCGCCAATTGATTTCCATCTAGACGATGCCACACTTGCACCAAGTTATAACTATGACTTTAGAGGTATTAAAGTTGATAGTGATGTCTACAAGCGTGGAGGACAAATCTATGAACGACCAGTTGGTTATATGCGTTACGCTATGACTGTACTTGGTCAATATTCAGATGGTGATCAATGGCTTGGCGTGAAAGGCCGTCCAAGTTCAACAGAGTCGGCACCGGGCGAGTGGATTGTCTCCTATCATGGAACTGACACCGATGAATTCGGTAGCATGTCCAACAGTGGATATAAGATATCAGAGTCTGAGCAAAAGACATTCAGTCGTGGGATCTACTCCACTCCAAGCATCAAGTTGGCAGAGAGATTTGCACAGAGGTTCGAATTCGAAGGTGCTCAATACCTGGTAATCCTACAGAATCGTGTCAATCCAAATACAGTCGAAAAACTTGGTAATGGAACATACTATCTTTCACCAAACGAATCTGATGTTAGACCATATGGAATCTGTATCAAGAAAATATAAATCGTGTAAATACCAAAGTTGATTTCTCGTGTATGTCTTATGTGATGATAATTACCGATATTTTCAACACCATACTACCATCTAAACTTAATTTTAATTTTTTTTAAGTTCAATAGTTGTTTAATTTAACAAATAATTAAACACATACATAAACATAAATGTGTTTTTACAGATTAGAATATATTTTGTAATATAAATTTAAAAGCAAATATATATAGAAGCAAAAATACAAAATAACATCAATATTAATTGTAATAAAATATATATTTAAATTATCTACAAAATTCACAAATAAAAGTAAACACATTGATTGCTCTATGCTAATTATTATAATCGTAATAGGTAAAGAATTATAATACTATTTTTTATTGATTGGTTACATTTCTGTCAATCAATCATTTTAACAAATTATTATTAACCTGAACAACTGTAAAATATTAAAGTTGTTAAAATGATTGATTGACAGAAATGTAATGCATCTATTGATCTGATTTGGATGAGTGTGGTGTCCAATAATCATTAAAAACTTAAATTTTCACTTTTACAATTTATTTTTTTAATCTTATCAAAATACTTAATGTACAACAACTATGATAAGGTTTATTTTGAAAATAAAAGTATATATATATAGTGATAAGAATAATTAAAAGGATGACAGATAGATTATTAATTGCTGGTGTGTCAGCTTTAGTTCATAGTAATGTTCACAATCAAAAGTTTGGAACCTCTACACCTTTAAGTCTTTCGAAATTGCATAAGAGCATGTTCTCAAGTGGCCCAGTCTCAAAGGTGAAGACACCAGCTTCGGTAAAGGTGAAAAGTGAACCGAATGACGACGACGATCAAGAAGGTGAAAAAACAGTGATTTATATGTCTGATTTCACTGGAATGAAGGTCCCACTCGAAATCAGTATCGACAGTACAATCTCACAGATAAAATCCTGTTTTTGTTCAAAGGTGAATCGTAGCATCGATGAAGTTGCATTGGTTTACAGTGGAATAAGACTTGCCGATCCCGAAAAAAGATTATCCGATTACAACATCCAGAAGCATTCGACTGTCCATGTCTTACCGGTAAAGAAGAGTGTCCAACAACCAAATGATTTTCATCTGGACGTAGCTACACTTGCATCAAACTATAACTATGACTTTAGAGGTATTGTAGCTGATGGCCAAGTATACTACCGCGGAGGACAACGCTATGAACGACCAGTTGGCTATATGCGTTATGCTATTAATGTTCTTGATCAATACCTTGGTGGTAATCAATGGCTTGGTGTGAAGGGACGTCCTAGTGAAACACAGTCGGCACCGGGTGAATGGATTGTTTCTTATCACGGAACTACCACCGATGAATTCGGTAGCATGTCTAACGATGGTTATAGAATTTCAAAATCCGAGAAAAAGGATTTCAATCAGGGAATCTATTCGACACCAAGCATCAAGTTGGCAGAGAGATTCGCACAAAAGTTTCAGTTCGATGGTGCTCAGTATTTGGTAATCTTACAGAATCGAGTCAATCCGAATACAGTCGAAAAACTTGGTAATGGTACTTATTATCTTTCACCAAATGAAAATGATGTCATACCGTATGGAATTTGTATCAAGAAAATATAAACTAAGTATAATTCAAACTTAATAGAAAAAAAAAAATACAAAATTTCATTTTAAATTGTGAATTCTTATGATTGGTCAACAATATTTTAATTCACTTTCCTGTTTGTTTTTTAACTATTTAAAATGAGAGAGATAAGTGGTTTTTAGAAAAAAAAAAAGTTTTAAACAAAATTAAAAAATTAGTTTTAAAAATTTGAAGAAATAAGTTTGAGGGGTATGATTAAATAGATAATATCAAATGATCCAGAGATTCAAATCTGATGTTGTTAAATTTTATTTTTGGGGAAAAAAATAAAATAACATTTTTTTCTCAAGTTTAAAAATTGTTGATTTATTAACTATGAATTCTTTCTCTCTGTTATTCCAAATAGAATTAATTCTATAAAGAAAATTATTTACGATTTCAATATATATAAATATTTTTAAATAGTTTTATACACCAACCAAATGTTCAAATTCTCAACAATATTTTTAGTTTTGACCTTTATTGTTTCTGCTTTCTCAGAATTTGGCCCAAAGGTTTATTTGTGTGCTCCGTGTGCTAATAATACATTACAAGAATGTGGAGCAGCCGGTGCTCTCACTTGTGTTGACATACCATTGAACAGATGTTAGTATGAATCATAACAATAATTGGGTATTCTGAAGTTAAAAATATAATAATTTATTATTTTTCTATTTAAAATAGCGCCTCTAATGATGTATGCTCTGGTTTCCTCGGAAAAACTCATTATATATCTCCCAAAGGAAGTGGTGTTTTCATAAGTGATTTCTATACTTCAGTGGATTCGTGTAATCAACATCTTAATCCAATATCAATAACTCAGAACTGTGGTGATTGTTTAGATGGATACACTTTAGTTTGTCCAACTGACAGTTCTTCAAATAATATGAAAGCCTTTGAAATAGTGGCCCTATCATTCGTTTTAGTTCCAATATTCTTTCTATATATATAATTTGTAAGATTTCAAATTGAAAATAAAAGGTATCCCAATTATTTTTGATAAAAAATAAGTTCAATGAACAAAAAATAAAAATGGTTCTATAAAAAGTTAAAGAAAAGATTTCTCACTCTCAAAATTTCAATTGGGACATCCATTGAGGATGAGGTTAGATTAACAAAATTTTCTAATGGTATTAAATAATTCTATATTTGAAAATAGAAAAATATTAATTAAATCTTTAAACTTCCCAAGAAATTAATATTTTAATTTTATTGCTAAAAATAAATCTTGAAGAAACTGATTGTTATTTCTATTAAAAGTGAATTTTAGCAATTTTTTGGGCGTTAGCTTTGTTTTCTATAATGGGGTGTGCTAACTTAAGTTAACAATTTACTTGTGCAACAGAGGTTTGATTACTGAGATTTTCCTAATCACGGTATTCATTTCAGAAACTGATATTAATTTAATTTTTTTTTTGTTATGAATAAAACATTTGTATCTAAAAAAAGTTTGTTTAATTTTAAAATATTATTAATCTAAAAAATTTATAGTTATTGTTTATATAACTACCTCGAATTATTTTCATGTACAAAATCTCAAACATTCTTTTAGTTTTTACTATTATAGCTTGTGCTTCTGCAGGTTCAGTTAGCTTGTGTTATTCATGTCTAAATAATACAAAACAAGAATGTGGTGCCTCCGGTACCATCAAATGTGTAGCAATCCCGTTTGATAAATGTTTGTAAGAATCAAAGACAAAACCAATTTCGGTTTAAATATATTAATCTATTGATATTCTTTAACAATAGCAATTTCAATGATGTTTGTTCTGGTGCCCCAACTATAGAAGCTTATTATGTATTTCCAGTAAATAGTGGTGAAGCTTCTCTTAATATCTATACTTCTATTGATACATGTAATCAGAAGTTTCATCCAAATTCATCATCTCTGGACTGTACTTATTGTGTAGATGGAGTCACTATCCTTTGTGACTCCGATAATGCAGCTTCGAACAACTTCCAGTCCTTTAGAATAGTTGCAATCTCTTTACTTTTGGTTTCTCTATTAATAATATAATTTTATTTATTGAACAAAATCAAAAATATCACAGATCAGAATGTCAAAGACGGAAGTCTCGAATTTTAATAGAGGTAATAGACATTTATTAAATAAAGAAATATTAATTATTAATTTCTACTTTATAAATACTGAACTATAAAAAAGGTTTGAATTAAAGAGTGGACAATTCAAATAAGATAAAGATTAAAAAAATTGTTTAGATTCAATTGAATATTATAATTATTTTTTGACTTATCAAGAATTTTAATACTAAATGATAGTGATTCAAAGAAACTATTATAAAAAAAGTTATAAAATAAATATGTTTTAACAAATACATTTAATGTTCATTGAATGAAAACTTTTGGATTTTAAAAAATTATGGAATTTATTGATATATCTTCTTTACACGTTGGGAATGGCTTTGTCTTTGTATTTCCCTTATTGATTTAATTTTATTGAAAGTTTTTAATGGTAATCCTGGTTAAATAAATTTTTACATTATTAATTTGATATTTAAAGGCATCATACATATTAATAAAATCAAATTTAACTTTTCAAAACCTTTTGAATAATAAAACCTTGAATATGTTTAAAGTTAAAATATCTTTGAGAATTATCGTGTTGCTTTGGCCAAAAAAGTATATATTGACTTCTTCGCGAAGATAAACCACCAATAATTCGCGAACACAAACAATTTTCATTTTTTTCAATTTTTTTTAATTTTCAACTTGTTCTTTAAATTAGTTAAAGTTTAAAGAATAAAAGAGTAGTGTGGTTGTTTATCGCACAACAAAGATTACATTATCTAATACTTGAGAACCATATAAAAGAATAAAGAGCTTGTTTCTCTAAGCATCGCCGACCATGTTTAACATCGTTACTCTTTATTTTTAGTTCATTGTGGTTGACGCTTCTTTCAGATATTCGGCAAACTATTTAAACAACAATAGGATCGATGGACACAACAACATACATCCATTCAATCAATCAACTTGAATAACTAAATCAAAATCAAATAGTTAATAATAATAATAATATTTTTACTCTTTGAAATTTCTCTATATTTATTTTCTTTTGTAATTAATTAAAAACAATAACTAAATATAAAAAACGAAAACGATGCAACCATTTAAATATCCATTTGCAATGCCTTTGAATTATCAATATCCAGGTGCACCTGCTATTCATCCTCAAGCGACAACACCTCAGAATATCACACAAGACTTGATTGTAAAGCAAAAGGCAAGAACCGTTCCAACACTTTTCAAACCGATCACCATTAGAAATCAGACATTGAAGAACAGAGTCGTTGCTTCACCGATGTGCCAGTACTGTAGTGTCGATGGATTCATGAGTGATTGGCACCTGGTACACTACGGTACATTTGCCAAAGGTGGAGTATCGATGATTGTGTTCGAAGCAACCGCCGTTCTACCAGAGGGTAGAATCACACCACAAGATTCAGGTCTATGGAAAGACGAACAAATCGAACCATTAAAAAGAATAGTTGATTTCGTACATCAATTTAATACTGTAAGTAATTTAGTAACTAACAAACTATATTGATCAATCCACCCACCAATTATTAATCTATATTTTTTGTAACTATATATAGTTGGCATCAATACAAATTGGACATGCCGGTAGAAGAGCATCGACTATTCCATTGTATTTGGACAATGCCAAACATTATATTGGCGAGGAACAAGGCGGTTGGAGTCAAATCGATGCTCCTTCACCGTTGTTGTACGGACCAGAGATGATAGTGCCACACGAACTTTCGGTGTTTGAAATCGAGTCGATCGTTCAATCGTTCAAAGACACTGCGATCAGAGTTGAAAAGGCTGGATTCGATGCACTCGAGATTCACGGTGCTCACGGATACTTGATCAATTCATTCCTCTCACCACTCTCCAATCGTAGAACCGACGAGTACGGTGTCGATTTCGAAGGAAGAATCAAAATACTCACTGATATCGTCAAGGCAATCCGTACGGTATGGAGCAAGATCCTAATGGTGAGAATCAGTGCCGAGGAGTGGATCGAAGGTGGATGGACACTGGACGACTCGATTCAACTCACCAAGATTCTCAAGGAGTTGGATGTAGACATACTGGATGCATCGTCCGGTGGAAACAGTGCCGATGCTAAAATACCGTTCGGTCCGTTGTTCCAGGTTCCTCTGGCAGAGGGAATCAAAAGAGAGGTACCCGATATAATCACATCCACCGTTGGATCGATCAAAACCGTTGAACAAGCAATGTCAATCATCGACGATGATCGTGCCGACCTCGTAATGCTGGGAAGACCACTCCTAAGGGATCCATTCTGGGTATTACATTCAGCGGCATCTATTAAATTGGATCTCGATCAAGCACTCCAATATAATTTAGGTAAAGATTATCGTTAAAATAATCAATAAAAAAATTATATTTTAAATTCACCTACACAATACAATGTTCAATGTTTATCAAAAAAAAAAAAAAAAAAAAGTATTTAATTATACCACAAATGCAAAAAATCAACACACAAATGCACACAATTTTTACATGAGTTAATAAATAAAATTTTATTGAGAGATTTATATAGATAAATAGCACTGAGGTATGAGTGTGTGAATATTCAACCTTTAGTAGTATTTATAGACAGAATCGAGGCTGGAATCTTTAATTTTATGTTTGGCCTTAGAATACCATATGGTTTGATTTCTGAACTTCTTTGTTCTGGTGGAAAAAAAACCGATTTGAATATAAATTCCAATCGTTTTTCATAAATTACAAGATCTGTAATATTGTTTGTACTGGACCCTATGATAAAAATATCAAAATATATAGTATTTATAGTTAGTAAGATAAACAAAATTTGATAATCTTGTAAAAAAAGATATTACCATTGACTGAATTAAAAAATTTAGTTTGAATGGAGTATGAAATGATGGACCTAATATTATGTCCGTTTATTTCCATATAATTTGAATCAAAAAAGTCAATAAATGAGAATTAATAGATGTATTTTTTATTATTGGATATTGTTGATGTTGTGATTGATTTACCAACAACACATTTTTATTTATTTTGTTAATATTGGTTGATTTTGATATATGTGTTTGTGTGAGGATAATACATTGATGGGAGGAAAAAAAAAACCTCAAAAAAAATTCCTTTCCACTACTATATACTGCAATCAATTGCTGTATAGTGGTCCAGATACAATCTGGATAATGGTGACTGTGTTTTTTTTGGGGATGAATCTGGTAACTTCATTTACTTGGAATCTTGCACTTGAACCATACCATATTTCAAATATTGCCAAGGAACCTTTGTACTTGCCAGACTCCAACCTAACTGTGGAGCCTCGTTTAAGGATATTTCTTAGTGAGCTAATAGTCTGCACCTCAACATTTGGTCTTTGCTCAACTGGCTCTGTGGTGGCTGGTCTCCTTAGACCGATGATGGCTGGTTCAGAGAAAAGAGAGGAAAATCTTCTGCTGACCTCAATTAGTGATATAAGATTGAATTTAAAACTAATGTTTTTAAAACAATCCTTCTTGTAATTGAAGGTCATTGTAGCTTTCAGTGGGGTATGGAAACCATAGCTCTCCACCTCCTTAATATAATCGTAGTCCCCCAATCTGGTATGATAGTCTCCAGATGGCGGAGAATAGACAATAATGTTGTCTATTTTTGGCAAGAGCTCATAAGCTATATATGGAAATTTAAGGAGACTTCTAATTTCAATATTAAAATCGCCCCCAACGATTATTGGAACTCCTAGATCTCTATTGAAAAGTTGAACCAAGCCAATAAGCTCCTTGAAGTGGGCCTTTTTTTTAGGTATTGTCATACCATTGTTGCGGCCATGGAATGAGCTAACCATAAATGAGAACCCATTATATGTGAAGAGCCCCATTGTAAAGCGACCGCCATCTGGTGTGAAATCTCTGACTAATGTATACCTTTGGTGGTATAGAATGGCTGTGTCTAAATTCTTGTTCCTGAGTACATGATAATCTTCTACGTTAAACCAATGTTTTAGGGATTCCGATGTCCAAATAGGCTCTTGGATAGTTATAAAGTCAGGTTGACTCAAAGTGACAGATATTTTAATCCGTTCTTTGGTGACTGTCATGGGGGATTTATAGTATTTACATTTGTTGCTTGCACATTTTGGGTTGATTGATAAAATCTTGATATTGATTTCCTGTTGTACAAATAAAATAGATAGTTAGAAAACAAATATTATTAAATTTAAATATAAATTTTCCTGCATACCTCGCGAGGATCCATTATCAATATTTTATATATATATTTATATATTAGATTAAATATAGATTATTTTATGAAATATTAATTTATTATTAAAAAAAAGAATATTAAGTTATAAAAAAAAGAATAAAGAATGTTGAGTGATAAAAAAGAATAAACAATATTTTGTGCTGATCAGTAAATAATTAGTGTTTGGTCCATCCAAAAATAAAAATTTAATTTAACTAAAAATTCACAAAAATTAATTAATTTCAGAAATTCTGTGAATCATTGTGGCTCTTCAGTTAGAAAGGGGGAAGTAAGAAGCAAATCAGAAATTCATAAGAATCAAGAATATTTTTAATTAAATTTATTTGTTTTATGATGAACTTCATTCGAACTTTATTTTTTAATTCAGATATCTGATCAAATTTTGAAGTTTAAATAAAAAATGTTTTTTTAAAAAATTTTTAGCCACCCCAACAAAAATAAAAATTTACTTTTTTATACATTTTTTTCAATTAATATCACTATTAGTAAAAGTAGTAATAAATAACAAATATGTTTTATGTTGACAAAGTATGTATGATTTAAAAAAGAAAAAAAATAAAACCTATTTTTAATTTATTAATTTTGTTTAAAAAGATATTACTCTCAATATTTTCTCCAGATGGTTTACATTATCAAATGGCATCACTTGGGTTCTCAGAGTTACTCTCTGGTATTGGAGTTAAAGGAGTGAACTCTAGAGACCTGTCTACTGCAATGAAAAAGTGCGATAATACGGTCAGGGATTCGTTTGCACCCAAAGACATATCTGAACAATTCGCCAAAATGCGAGTTATTCGTAATCATGTTATGCATGCCAAATGCAATCCTCAAGAACACAACTCACGTGCATTTCTATTGTGTCTGAAGAAAATCATAGACTGGGCAGTAAACTCTGGTAACTCTGTCAGTTTGTTGAATAACTTGTACATTTCATTAGATCTGATTATCAAAGCTGACGATATTGCCAATGAGACTTGGCAAAAAGGAACATACAATCAATCTCACCAATCAAACTTGGACAACACTGGTTCGTCCACAAAATCAAATGTAGATTTAAAAAACAAACTCAAATCTACTACTAAAGCTGAAACATCTGATGCTCAACAACAACAACAATTCGACCATCAACAAAGACAACAACAACAACAACAACAACAACAACAACAACAATTCCGCCATCAACAACAACAATTCGATAATGTCAACTCATCTGTGTCACCATCACCACCCATAACAACTCAATCAAAAGCAGATAACTCACACTTTGTAACTTCTTCATTTTCTTACCCCCAAACTTTGCAGTCACAAACCTATGCATCGACGTCACAACAAACTAGTTTAAGTGATCAACATCAATTAAAATCAATTGGATCCCTCAGAAATACTCTCAGAAAAGGTATGGTAGTTAAATTAGAATCTGGTAAATATAATGGAATCTCAGCAATATTTCAGAAATGGAATGGTACCAATGCTGTATTCCTAGTGAATGGAGAGAATAGATTTATATCTTTAATGAACAATGTGACCCTACAAGACCCAAATTAGTCTACGATAATATCTTCACCTTTTCAGCAGCATGGTGTAGTCCAAATCCTGCTTTATATATTTTAGTTTATTTTTGGTCATATTAAATTTTAAAATAATTATTAAATCTTATTCTTTCAAACAGCAACTTTGGGCAAGAAAATAAATAAAAAAATCACTTTTATATAAGTTTTACCAATACTTACCAAATGTTTGATTATTTGTAAATGGCTAAAGTACAGTGGAAAGAGTATAATTATATCTATTGCTATTAGGGTTGCTATTGGGAGGGTTTGAATAAAATTCATGGATAGTAAATAATTATAAATAAATTAAACATCAGTGTACTACTTTTGATTCAAAATTTTAAGATTTAAATAAATATTAAAATATTTATTAATAATAAATTTTATACTTTAAGTGACAAACTTGTTTTTTCATTAGTAATATTAGTATTGTTTTGATCAAAAAAAATGAGTAAAGGTAATAAACTATTAGATTTTATTGAAAATGATATAAATAACTATAGTAGTAATCATAGTAATAATAATCATGATAATAATAATAATGACAGTAATAATAACAGGAAATGGAATTTAATGAATGCAATTAGTATTGGAAAGATATTAAGCAGTTCACTTGGTGTCAATGGTGGTGATAAGATGATCATCGATCAAAATGGATCGATACAGGTGACTAACGATGGTTGGACAATAATGAAGAGTCTATCTAGACAATCAAATAACTATGGTCAATCAAATAGAGATTCATTATTATCAAATGATCAACAACAAGATAACAATGATAATAATAATAATCAACAAGATGATTACGATGACAATGAAAATAATGATAGATTCAATTCTAAATCAAGCTATAATAGATTAAGAATGCAATCTGTTATTGAGATGATAATCAATTGTTGTAGTGATCATAATAGTGCATTTGGTGATGGAACTACCACCATTGTCGTATTGATAGGTGCAATGTGTCAGTCTGTATTACAACTCATGGAAGAACGTTCTATTCATAGATCAATCATTATCAAAGCATTTAAAGATACACTTAGAAAAGCATTATCACTTTTAGATAGTTGGTCTGTTTCATTACAGATTCCATTCATACAACAAGAACAAGAACAACAACTTGAACAAGAGAGATCAACAACAACAACAACAACAACAACAACAACAACAACTAAAAATATAACATTACAAGATATAGGAGAATGTTGTTTAAATTCAAAATCAATATCATATTGGAAGAAAGAATTAACAACTTTATGTATAGATGCAGCTCATTGGTTATATAAACAAGAAAAAGAAGATAATAAGATAAAACAACATGAAGAAGAAGAAGATGGTAATATATTTAGTAATAACAATAATAGTAATAATAGTAGTAGTAGAAGTTATGGTTTAGAGTTGGATTTAAATTTAATTAGATTGTTAAAAATTGAAAATGGAAGTATAGAAGATACAAAGTTGATTAGAGGCATTGTTATGAAAAGATATCTGGCGAGTGAATCGATGCCAAAGACTTTGACCGATGTGAAAGTAGCGGTATTGTCTTTCCCACTGGAGATACCAACACCTGTGAATAGATACACTTTGAATCTAACTGCCGATGATATGACAGAGATGGTGGAGTCGATCAACCGCCAACATCAAGCGTTCGTACAAAAGATAAAGTCGATAGGTGTTGGTCTCATCGTTTGTCAATGGGGAATAGATCCTGCAGTCCTACAGTTGCTCTCCAATGAGCGGATTGCAGCGCTGACTTGGGTTGGTGGCGATGAAATCGAGCGAATTGCAATGGCAACCGGTGCAACTATATCGTGGTCATTCGAGAGTCTGTCACCGGAGCAACTGGGTCATGTGCAATCGGTGTCCGAGCAAGTAATGGATAATGACAATACCCGGTATCTATTCTTGGAGGGAGGCAAACATAATCGATCGCCAATACAAACGATGTTGATAAGGGGTGGCAGTGAACAGATGTGTCGGGAACTAGAGGAGTGTACCAAAGACTGTTTGAACGTGTTGGCTAATACCATTCGTAATCCAAAGTTGTTGGTGGGTGGTGGTGTCACAGAGTTACAATTGTATTCCGCTTTGTCTATGTCAATCGATAACAATAACAATAACAGCAATGATTGTAAAGATAATATTAATAATAATGATATTGAATATGAGATGTCCATGAAAGCTTGGTGTTCTTCGCTGCTCTCTATACCTAGTTCACTCATTGAAAACACTGGAATGCTAGATGGAACCGATGTACTGTGGAAGTTGATACAGGCGCACGAGAAACAAGGAGTTGGATGCACACTTGGTGCTAATCTATATTATGGAACATCATTGGATTCAAAACAACAAGATCAGATAATAGATTTGTCCGCCTCTAAAGTCTATGAATTACTTGATCAAAAGAAATCGATTTTAACACTTGCAACTGAAACCATTTGTCTAATAACAAGGATAGATTCATTTATTATAACAAAATAAATTATATAAATAAGTTTAGCTATATATATTTTTTTAAATGATCATTGGAGTTGAAAAAACTTGCAATATTATAAGATTCCACTTTAAATAAATAAAAATGAAAACTTAAATGTAAATTTTGATTTATGTTTATAAAACAATAATTTAATATTATTATATGATAATCATGAAATCAAAAAGAGAATAGAATGGAGACAGCACCAATGTTTGCTAGAAAAGAAATCAAAAAAAACTCAAATTGGAGAACCAAAGATGAGATACTTCAAGTTCAGATTATTCTAACTTCTCAATTCAAATATCAAAATAAATAAACAACAACCAATGGAAAATCATTGTATTCAACACTATTTAAACTTGTATTATTTTGTGTATTATTCTCTGTATTATTTTGTGAATTAGTCTGTTTTGTTTTTAATAAATTAATAAAAGAATAACAGAAATCCTAAAATTTAAAAATAAAAAAAAATAAATTTTTGCAACAAAAAAAAAAAAAAAAAAACAAGTGAAATTATTTTTAAGATCATTATTAATTGGGAATAAACTAAACAAAACTAAACACTTATATTTTAGTTAGTTATTTTATATTAATTTAAATAGAAATCTATAAATATACATATGTTATTTTAGAGAAATTTGAACGCGATGGGTATCACATCGTCAACGGAACAGAAAACAAATGCTGAACCACAGCAACAGCAACAAAGAGGTAGATCATCGAGTACATCCAATACAACTTCACCAACAACTACTTCACAGAGTGTAAATATCAATAAACAACAACAGCAGCATCAACAATCACAAAACTATAAACATTCGCAGTCCTATACACCGGTGTCTACAGTTTCGTCTGCGTCATCGTCCAACTCACAGGCATACAAACAACAACAGCAACAGCAACAACAACAACAACGACCACAATCTTCATATCAATCGCAATCACCATATCAACACTCACAGTCATACAACAGCGGCAGCAACAGACAATCACCACTCGATCTCTCACCACAACAACAATCACAATCGTCATCTTCCAAACAACACTATGGTCAATCCGTACCTAATCACACCGGTCGATACATACCAGGAAGTACACCTGCAACCTCTGAATTCAATGTATTAAGTAAGTTATAAGATACTATTAACAATCATTGTTATATTATTATTATATTAACACATTTACATATATCTATGTATTTTAAGTGTCACCACCATCTTCCCCGCTTTCAGGATCATTGGGTATACCTAATGCACAAGAAGCAGTACCGACTGTGTTTACATGGGCAGGCGGTGGTAGAGAAGTGTTCATTGCAGGTTCATTCAATAATTGGAAAGAAAAGATACCACTGTCACACAGCGAGAAGGACTTTACATTAATATATAATCTACCACCTGGTGTACATCAATATAAATTCATTGTCGACGGTAAATGGGTACATTCTTCCGACCAACCGGTTGCCGCCGACACCAAAGGAAATCTCATTAACTTTGTAGAGGTTAAATCAAAAGATATATCAAGTGATTTAAGTAATTTTAAAAGTAAGTAAATGATTATTAATATTGTTATTGCTTTGATATCCAAGTTGATACTTATAATTATTTTTTGTTGTTGTTGTTGTTGTTTAGTATCATCAACACCACCCGGTTCTTATAGTAAAACAATACCTACAGAAGATTTTCAAAAGTTTCCTCCACCTTCACTGCCACCACATCTGCGAAGAGCTCTGCTCAATACACAACCATCGACTGAGGATCCAACACTGCTGCCACTTCCTCATCATGTAATGCTGAATCATCTTTATTCATTGCCTCGAAAGGATAAGGTAACGATTCTGGGTGTCACCAATCGTTATAAAACTAAATTTGTTACAACAGTGCTCTATAAGCCAGTGCATGAATCTTCAAACGATAAAGAGGAACCCGACGATCTTAATTGATTCAAAACTTCTTACAACTCCAATCATTCACCAACAGTATTATATATTAATCAAACAAATAACCATATCAAATAATAATAATAATAATAATAATAATAATAATAATAATAATAATAATAATAATAATAATCTTTAGAAAAACAAAACAAAACAAAAAAAAGTTAAGAAAACAATCAAAATAGAAAAAGAAAAAGAAAGAAATGAATAATAATAATAATCCTCAAAAATTGTAAATATAAACATTATAATACTTGTTAATACCCTCTTTTTATTTATAACCAATTTAATTAAAGATGATCATCTTCTTTCTTTTATTTTTATTTTATCAGCCATCATGATAATAATTGGCTGTACCCAAAAAGTTTTATGTTTGATCATAAATGCCATTCAACTATTTTTCATTCATTGTTCAATATATATTTATATATGTTATTCTGTTATTATTATTTATTATAATTTTACAGCCATGAATGATCAATTGGTCTGTTCATTATTCATTAGTTTGTTTAGCTTTGTGGTAATAACATCAACAAACACTACTGGTGTAAGCTCATTGAAAACTTAAAAGACTTTTATCAAAAATAACAGATTGTGGATGGAGATTTAGTCAGTTATAAATAAATATATCTTGATATAAAAATATCATAGAATAGACCAATACTCAAAGTAACTACCAATCATATGTGAGTTTTATTATTGAATTCAACAAACTTTCAAATGTGGAAGCTTCATACTCAAAGATTGAGATTTAATTCTTTTTAAGCTTTCTTATTGTACAATCAAAAAAGTCATATCTATTGGTATGTATATCCGCTACTTTTATTTTCAACAACAACAACAACAACAACAATAACAACAATAACCACAACATACATAAACACAAACACATCTTCTTTTCTATCTGTCGTCGTCTAATCTTATCAGCCAATATAAAAACAAACCTATCTTAACTTATGTCCTTCTCTTCAAGTTCACACATACATATTCTTTTCTTTACTTTTCTTTCTTAAAACAAACCTATATCAACCACCCTACTACTACTCTACACACCCATTAAATAATTATATATATAACTTAAACTTTTACTTTTAAACAATAAGATTAAACATTTTCATCGTTCTAAACAAGATGTTCCTTATTTGATCTTTTTTTGTTTATTACAATAACATCAAAGGCAATACAATAAAAGTTAACATCAATAAATCAAAAATAGTGGTGGTATTGCTTGTGTTTCATTAATTTGATCATATTTTTTCATCCTCCACACTCATTCAGCATTCTGATTGTCAACACAACTAACACACTTTCTATTTATATTTATAATTCAGTCGAAAAATACAAATTGTCATACCCCAATTACCACCATTGATTTGAAATCACCTGTTCCACCACTCACTACAACTACTTCTAATACTAACCATTACTTTTACTACTATTAATACATCACAATCAAATTATGTATTTACTAGCTTGTTGCTGTTATTGCACAGCTATTGTTACTTAATGACTACTACATTTGTTTGTTTGTTCTTATTGATGTTATAAATACAAACATTCATTCACTCACTCACCTTTTAAACAAAAAATTAAAAAAAAACGTAATAATAACTTTGTTTTAAAAGTAGTAACAACCATTTTGGTGGGTGATTTTTTGAGCAAAAAATATATATCTGTATCTGTATTTGGAGTGTAGTAGCTATACATCATCATCATCAGTATCAAATATTTGATTTTTGAATAGATTTATTGAATTCACCTTTCCTTATTAAAGATAAAACAATCTATTGATTTTTGTATTAAATCTCTTTAACCTAACCAGACGTTTAATAATTAAATGGCTCGAACACTCTCCCCTAATATATTATATGCATATCTATGGTGGGTAGTTTTTGACAACATATTGAATATTATGATAAATCAACTTCCAATTCCAATCATAATATGTCTAATATTTAATATTGATGTTTTTCAAAGAAATTCTTTCCAATCCGATAGGTAAATCCATCAACTAAATATTGCTTTTAAATCATTCAATAAATATAGTGGAAATGCAAACTATATAAAGTAGATTGTTTTATTATTTTAAAAAATATTCAGAACAACAAATAATTGTAAACCTAACCAATCAATTGAAAAAAAAAAAACAAAAGAAACAATATACAACATTTCTTATAATATAGAATAAAAAATTTTGTACAAATAGGAAATGAATTTCCATTATAATAAAAATAATAATATTTTATATTTATTTGTAATTGTATTTTATATATTTAATTTATTCGAATATTCAAATGCACAATATCCAAGTTATTTGGGTCCACCCTATAATTTCTTTGCTTCCAATGTAGCAACTGGAACTTTCTATACCGCCGTCGACAATGGAAACTGTGGATATGGTCCACTTTTCGGATCGAAAGGTCCACAAACCAGCTATATTGCTGCGATCAATACATTCTTTTTCAATCACACCAATCAGTGTGGTCAGTGCTATGAGCTATCGATCAATGGAAATACACTGACTGTGCAAGTCGTTGATCAATGTCCAGACCCAGGTTGGTGCGACCAAGCTCACAGCCATTTCGATCTCTCGCCACAGGCATTCGCAGCACTCCAAAACCAACAGGCACTTGGTGGCACCATGCAAGGTCTCAACTTTAGAAAGGTGGCATGCAACGTCAATGGAAACATCAAAGTCAGCATCAAAGATGGTTCCAATGAGAATTGGACTGCATTCCTACTGTTCAACCATGTTGTTGGCATCGAATCCGTTTCGATCCTTAGAGAAGGATGTCAACCGGAGCCACTCTATCGAACAACCTACAACTATTGGACACAAGACCGTGGAACCACCCCAAACTACCGATTAGTTATCACCTCGATTCTCGGCGAAACCATCGTCACCGAACCATTAGCAAACTGTATTTCGAACGGCCTATTCGACACTGGCGTTCAATTTAAAAACTTCCCACAAAATGGAGGAACTATTATCCCGACACAACCTCCAACTCAACCTCCAACTCAAAGACCGACCCAACAACCAACACAGCAACCTCCAACTCAAAGACCGACCCAACAGCCAACACAACAACCGACTCAGAGACCAACCCAACCAACTCAACCACCAACTCAGCCACCAACCTATCGACCAAATCAACCAACCTATAGACCAACTCCGCCACCAGGTCGCAGAATTAAACCAAGAGCCGAAGGATATATTTCCTATTCTTAAAAATAGAAGAAAACCAAAACAACAAACTCTGTATTTAACAAAAAACCTATCAAAATTCTCTGTAATATTATTATATTATCCAATATTTTAGTTTATTAATTTTTTATTACAATAATAATGTTTAAATAAATAAAAAAAGCTAAAATACGAACACATTTAATTATAATCCCATAAAAATTAATAAAACAATCGAGTTATCATCGTAATATATAACAACCTATTATAATCGCAAAAACAAAACAAGTTTTGAAAATTGAGAGCGTGTCAAAACCATAAAATTCAGGTGATAAAAAATAGATAAATAGAACTATTTTCAATTGATTAGAGCATAAAAGGGTTGATTCTCAATGCGAGACGTAGGATCATGATAGCATAAAAAGCGGTGATCCTATGCTGAATGGTGATCAAGACATTTGGACAACATAATTTATTGGGGTGTTGGAAGGATGTCTACTTGAGTTCTGTCCTTCCAGATTCATCATAACAAAAAAAAAGATAAAAAATATTCAAACAAAAATAACCGATCTTTTACTATAACTCTAAATACTTTGATTAGATGTAATTACATGATCTACATTCTATTTACATTAACAAAATATAGTACTTTTTTTTAAAAAACAAAAATAGTTCACTTTAAAAGTAATAAGCAAATGTAATCTGTAAATAAGCAGAACGACAATGAAACTATTATATAATAATTTATGTATAAAAATACTTTGCTAAACTAAATAAAATATTAATAAATGAATCAAATAAACTGTAAAGAAAAGATTTAAAGTTATAATAACTACTAAACAATATATTATATTTATTATTAAGAGATCAATTAATCCCTTCGACTTTCTTCTTTTTCTTTTTTGAATTTTGTGATAAGGTAATTTTTAGAAGTTCGGTTGAAAAAACAATTTTCAATTTTTAAAAATATTTTTCATTTTTTGCCAGTGGTGTGTGTAGGTGTGGTGGATCGTGCGGCATCCCTCTGAGTCTCGCTTAGCTTAGTGATATCGAAAGTCGACTCAATAATAATACTATAGAGATTGTCCCTGTCCTTTGAGAGGTAGATATAGAGAATTTTATATATTATATTAGAAACAGGTCTATCATACATCATCTACATCACATCACAACAAACAGGAAAAGAAAAGAATGAATGATAGGATAGAAGATACAGGTTTAGATAGATAGAAGATACAGAATACAGATAGACGAAAAAGATGTTTTGTTTTAGACCTGTTTTGAAGATTGTTATTAGTATTTAGGTATTAATCAATATGAATCATTGTTAACTTTAGTTCAAAATGCCCATCCACAACAAAGTCCTTTCAAACACTCACCTCCGTAAGCACTGGCAAATGCGTGTCAGAACTTGGTTCAACCAAGCTGGTCGTAAGGAGAGAAGAAGAAACACCAGAGCTGAGAAGGCTGCTGCTATCTTCCCACGTCCACTCCGTTCTTTGAAGCCAATCGTTCGTCCACCAACCCAAAAGTACAACATCAAGACCCGTGAAGGTCGTGGTTTCACCTTGGAAGAACTCAAGGCTGCCAAATTGAGCGTCCGTTATGCCCGTTCAATCGGTATTGCTGTCGACCCACGTCGTACCAATATCTCTCAACAATCACTCTCATTGAATGCTCAACGTTTGAAGGAGTATCAATCCAAGTTGGTCTTGTTCCCACGTAAGGCTACCGCTCCAAAGAAGGGAGATGCCACCAAGGCTGAGATTGACAACGCCGTTCAAAACTTGAACGTTTTGCCATTCGCTTCCTCCAAGGTCTCTGTTTTCACCCCACGTAAGGTCACTGAGGATGAGAAGAAATTCCAAGCTTACACCACCCTCCGTGCTGCCTCTGCTAAGGTTAAGAACTCTGGTAATTATCAAACAACCAAAACTACCAACAAACTAGCATTGAAAGAATCATTAGAAACTAATATTATTTACTTTTTTACTAAACTATTAAAGGTCTCAGAAAGCTCGCCAAGGAAAAGAAGGCTGCCGAAGCTAAAGACAAGTAAAATAAACGATCCAGTTTGTAGAAAGTTGACTCATATAAGGACATTTAAAATAAAACAAATTATAAAAAAAAAAAAAACAATAAGCAATATGATCTTATTTTATTTGATTTGAGAAACAAACTTATTTTTATTTTTTATTTTTTTTTACAAAACTATCTTCAAAATAGAATCAATCATTTTATTTGTTTTATATCTATCTATAGAAATATATAGATAGATAGATTGATAGATAGATTATAGATAAATAATAGGTAGTCTTTATAAACAAATAAAATAGTTGAAATGATGACTTTATTATTTACATTTGATAAGATGCAAACATGAGGTGTAATTTTTATGTTGTTTGATTCAGTTTGGTACCGTTGTTGGGTATTAAAGTCCAAAAGAGATAAATTGCCTTTTTTGAGGTGGCTGAAAACCAATTGTTTACCAGGTTTTTGAAATTTACAACAAATTGAATTGATTTTTTTTTGATTTTTTTTTGATCATTTTATTAAATTTTTAATAAATTTAACACACAGTTTAAAAGAAAAACAAATTTAATTTTTATATCATTTCTCTTGTTTTTTTATTAATAACTACCCAATTATATTACAATTTAATATAATAATTATGAATTCTAAATTAGTTTTATTATTTTCATCAAAAATACTTTTAATCAAAAACTGTATCAAAATTTATACATAATATTTATAAATATCTATATTTCTTTATTTTTCATAATCACTTTTATATAAATCTTTTATTTATTTACTATCGTCAATCATCAGTCATTAGCCATCTTATCTTATTTTTTCTTTTCAACCAAATTTAACACACACAAACTAAATCAATTAAGATCAATATAAAAATAACACAAAACGTAAATCACACATTAAAAAATAATAATATTGTAGTAACACACACACATACACAACACGAGCACACTCAAGTACACAACACACAACACACACACACACACACACATAAACACAAATAGTTTAAATTAAAGTATTGTTTTGTTTTAGTTTTTTTTTTTTTTTTGTTTTTTATTTATTTATATAACTCTAAATGTACATTCAAAAATAAAAATAAAATAACAACAAGTTTCACACCCATCCATTCAATTCAACAACAACATTAATACATAATTTATTTATTTAATACGATATCACAACATTCTTAATCTTGTATTCCATATCTCTCCTTTTTATCTCTCACTCCCTCCACTTCAATATCCACTCACTCCACCTCTACACTTAAATAATCCACTTCACCACTTTTGTTCAAAGTTTTTGTAAATATTTTTAGTCTCTTCAACATTATTATTATCATCATCTACATACATACCCTTCTAAAACAACATTATTTATTTATATATATTTATTTTTAAATTTAACACTCTTACAAATTCACTTACTCTCGCTCACTGTAACTCATTGTAAATAACATAACAAAAACAAAAATAAATAAATAATAATATTGTTTTTTAAAAAAACAAAGTAAATACAGTAACAAAAATCAGCATTGTATAATAGGTTGTAGTTGGTTTTATTTTTAATTTTATTTTCAATTGTACATATATTTTACTTGACTTTTCATTATTTGTTTTATATCATCAAATAATAATAATAAACAAAAAAAATAGATCACCAATAAAGTTTCAATTTATTTGTATATATTTATATATATTTTAAATTTTAGTATGTTTTTTAAATTCAACCAATAAAGTGGAAATTGTAAAACTATTTTAGTAAAAAAAAATAAAAAATGAAACCACTTTCTGTAAATATTTTAGGTAATATTCAGAAAAAAAACAAAGAGAGATACAATAATAAGAGAAACTAATAAAAAAAAATTGATTGAAAATTTAGTTGTCGAGGCAAAAGGTTTAAAGAAAAAAGAGATTGGAAAATATGATCCATTTGTAGAGTTGAGATATCTAAATAAATCACAACATACTAAAGTTATAAAGAATAATCCATCACCAAGTTGGAATGAATCTTTTGACTAGTAAGTAAAATAATAATAGTTTTTTTTTTTTTGATAATATGAAAGTTTTTATTTATTTCCATTATCTAATTATTAAATAGTCAATTGGATGCGATGAAACCAGTAATGAATTTATTGGTTTGGGATAAAGAGATATTCTTTCTTAGTAATAATCTGATTGGTGCAGTTGTGTTGGATTGGACTACAGTTTCAGTGGAATTGGAGCGTGGTAGAATAGTTGATAAGTGGTATCCAGTTGAGAGAACTGGTAAACCAGAACCAATAAGAGGATGGTTACATTTAATTTTGAAGGGACATCCTACCACCTCTACTTCTTCCTCCTCTTCCTCCACATCGACTTCATTAACACCATCACCTTCATCCAAACTAAATGATTCACTTGGTTCATCAATCTCCTCTTCCTCCTCCTCTTCCTCGTCATCATCATCATCAGTTATAAATGGATGGTGTCTATTAGGTAGAAATAAAGAAGTGAATATATCGATATCAAACAAACCTATTGCTATAGATTCTAGTATGAGTAGTAGCAGTAATAGTAGTAGTAGTCGGATGGATAGTTGTATCAGCGAGATATCTATTGATTCGGGTTGTTCCAGTACTGGTTTAAAAAGTCATGTAAAGGATTCCAGTGAGGTATTGGATGAAGAGATGCTATCAAGATGTCTTCAGTGTAGCCGAAAGGAGAAGCCAGACAATCTCTTTCTCATGGAAGAGTGTCTTCACAATTTCTGTCGCGATTGTTTAAAGTCTGATTTACAGAAACAGTTGGAAACCGATCCAACTAATTTACATTGTCTGCATAATTCTTGTTTTTATAAAATTCAACCTTCATTATTAAAAGTAAGTAGATATTAATAGTAACAATTATTATTTTCAACAATAACTTACTAATTAATTAAATTGTTAATATAGGAAATTTTAGATAAAGTAGAGTTTGAAAAATATTTAAATATTACATTGGAATCATTTGTTCAATCATCTTCAAACTTTTTCAAGTGTCCAAATTGTTTGGTTGCCTATGAGAAATTGGAATCAAAGAAAGATCAAAAGAGTAATAAAAAGTTGCATTTATTGTCCCCGAGTGGAGTAAAGATGACCGAAGAAGCTGCAAGACATAGAGATGAAAATAGATTTAGATGTGGAAACTGTAGCTCAGAGTTTTGTTCGTGTTGTCAATCGATGCCCTACCACTATAGCTTCAATTGCGATGAGTACAAATGTTATTTGGAGTCGAGAAAGTGTAGATTCTGTAAGAGTTCGTTGATGGGTGTTTCAGTGTCCGACGACTTTGATCAGACATTGCCCGGTCACCAGAATATCTGTGGTCAACAGGAGTGCCAGGAGAAGAAGCTACTCTGTTGTGGAAAGAGCTTGGCATGCGGACACAATTGTCTGGGTATAGCGGGTGAGGAGCAATGTCCACCTTGTTTCAAGGCAAAGTGTCAACCGAAGAAATCAAAGTCGATCACATTGAATTCACATGATCTCTGTAATATCTGCTACTACGAGGAGCTGTCGACGGCACCCTGTGTACAACTGGAGTGTGGACACGCATTCCACTTTTCGTGTATCAAGAGCAGGATTCAACAACGACCGAGTAGTCCGCGTATCTCTTTCAAGCATCTGGAGTGTCCGCTTTGCAACAAGATGATGAAGCATCCGGCACTCGCCGACCTACTCGGTGAGCAGCTGAAACTGCGCGAACTCGTTCAGTCAAAGGCAAGCCAACGATTGGTGTTTGAAGGTCTGCATAAATCAAAGGAGATCATCGATGATAAATACTCGAAATGGTACAAGAACCCCGATGCTTTTGCAATGGATCACTATAGCTATTATCTTTGTTTCAAGTGCAAGATTCCCTATTTCGCAGGACAGGTGCGATGTGATCAGGGTAACGAGAACGATGAGTTCAACTCTCAAGATTTGATATGTCCATCCTGTAGAGGTGAATGCTATCAAAAGTGTAATATACACGGTTGGGATTTCATGGAGTTCAAATGTCATTTCTGTTGTTCTATAGCATCATTCTTTTGTTGGGGAAAGATTCATTTCTGTGACACCTGTCATACTAAACAACAGAAAGGTGACTACCTTACAAAGAAGCCGAAATCAATGATACCTATGTGTCCTGGCATTGAATCATGTCCACTTAAAATTGCACATCCACATTGCGAAGAATTTAGTTTAGGTTGTTCTATTTGTAAAATGATTAAAGAGTTTTAAAAAAAAAATACAAGTTAATATAATATATATATATATAAATAGATAATATAAATAATATAATATAAATATAGTACTGTAAATAAATAATAATATAAATAATGAATAATAAACTCCGAAAAATTAATTATTCTAATTTATATATTAAAAAAAAAAGTAGGCGATCGCAATTTTATTTACTTTTTCTTATTAATACATTAATATAATATTATAATTTAATATATACTGGTAATTTTTTTTTAAAATCGTAACAATATAAAGTTGATTAAAAACTAATCTATTAAATTTAACCAATGATAACTCTTCCTTTTTGTTGTTTCTTTTTCAATTCTTTCTTGTATTCCTTTTCGTCTCTCTTTCTTTGTTCTTCTGGAGTGAGTTTGGCAATCTTTTCTTTCTCTTTTTGCTCCTTTTCGTATTTCTTCTTTTGAGCGGCTTCTTGTCTTTCAAGATGAGTTTGCTTAAAGACTGCTTCACGTTGTTTCTCTCTAAGTTTTTCAGCTTTAATCTTATACTATAAATACAATCGATTAGTTAGTAAAAAATAGATCATCTCATTATTGTTTATGATAAACTTACATTCTTTGGAAGTGAAGCAGATGCAATATAATCAATGAAATACATTGACATTAAAGTCAATTGATGAATATTATCGATATCCTTAATCTTTGGTAATTTGTATGAGAACGATAATGTCTTTGGACTATTGTTATAAATAAACATTCATTTTTTGATTAATTGATAAAGAAATATTAATGATTAATATATAATTAGATTTCTTACTATTTTGGATTGATCAAAGAGTGATCAGTAAAGTGCATAGATTCGAAATAGCTTTCATATTTGTTGAGAACTGAAACAACCTCTGGTTTCAAAAGGAGTGATGGTAAACATTCGGTATCACCCAAAACAGTGTATGAATCATTGAGATGAAGTGGTGGTGTTTGTTTTGATGCAAATAATTCCTAAATTATAAAAATAATAAAAATAATAATAATAATCATATTAGGTTAGTTAACTATTCCTTGAACTATCTATCCAATCTATCTATCTTTCTTAATATTACAATATCATTATTATTCTCTCTGAATGATTTAAGTGCCTTATTCTTGATTACAGCGAAAATCATTGGTTCCATTACTTCATTATTCATTGCTACTTCGATAGTCTAGTTTTAAAATAAATAGAGAATATTATATTAATAACATATTGAATTGTTTGTTTGCCTGTTGTTTGTTAATTCTGTATCTGAACTTACAACACGATCGGGATCTGCGTAACCAACGAGATCAAAGATTACTGAAAAGAGATCTTGACGTTTCTTCAAGGTGATGGTGACGAGTGCACCTTGGCAATTGATACGTCCGGTGCAGGTGAAGGTGTAGGTGTTTGGATCGACCTTTACGATGACATACGATTCCTTGTCACCAAGGAACGAGAAGTTACTCTCAAAGGTCTTACGGAAACGTCTACCCCAAACGGTGACCAACTCTTGGTTGGTTCTCTTTCCAATGAAATAGTTTACGATGTAACAAGCAATGAAAATGATAAATCCAATCTCCATATAGTAGTTTGTTTGTTTCTTTACTGCAGCTGCAGCAGCTGGTTTCTCGGTTTCTGTTGGTTTGTTGGTTGTTGATTCACCGGATCCTTCCTCATCCTCTGTAGTTCCGGTAGCTTCACCATCTTCCTCTGCACCATTCAAATTTGCATAACCACTCTGGTCGTAATGATCGACACCTTCGAATTCATCTTCATCATATTCAACCATATGTTTATTTCCAATATTCTGATATGAAAAAAGAAATCATTTTAATATTAAATCGATCGATCGATCGCTATTTTCAACTTCAAAAGTAGCATGTTACTTACAACTTGGGAATATGATAGACTTATTAAAAGTGTTGAAATCAACACTACTAAAAGTAATATTGATGTTTTTGAAAACAATTTCATTTTTTCTTTATTTAAAATCTTTCAATTATATATATATATAGGATTTTAAATACAAATAAAATGAAAAATCGATATAAAATTAAACCTAAAAAAGTAATTGATTTTTTATTTTTTATTTTCCTTTATTTTTTTTGGATTTTGACAGTTCTGAACATCAAAAAAAAAAAAAAAAAGAAATTAATGAATATTTATATATGTTGATGATCATGTTGTGTGTTAAGCAAAATAAAATTGGTGACTGGATTTAAATGAAAGTTTAATTTATATTTTCTTTTTTTTTTATTATTTTTATTTCTTTTTTTTTAATAATAGTTTTATATAAATGAGTTTAATTAGAACTATTTCAGGTGTTAGAGGTGTCATTGGTGATACTCTTTCACCAGAGGTCATTGTTGCACATATTGCAGCTTTCACAATGATGTTGGAAGGACCATTGTATCACCAGAAACAACATAAAATAGTGGTTGGTCGTGACTCTCGTGTATCTGGTCCCTGGGTAGAAAGATTGGTAGTTGGTACTCTCTCTGCATGTGGATATCATGTCTATCAAATCGGTATTGCAACTACTCCAACTGTATGGAATTTATAAATTATATTACTTTCCATTATTATTATTATTATTATTATTGTTGTTATGTTTATGTTAATCAATTCAATTCTCTTGTTATTAGGTACAATTTATGACAACGGAATTAAAATGTTCCGGTGGAATTGTTATTACAAGTAGTCATAATCCAGTGGAGTGGAACGGTTTGAAATTCATAGGATCGGATGGATTGTTTATTTCACCAGAGGCATGTGAATCGTTGTTCAAGTTGGCCGATGAGAAGATTCCAATGTCTCGTTATGTTACTTATGATAAGGTGGGTGCGATCGAAGTGGTCGACCACGCCAACCGAAAGCATTTGGATGCTATCTACGCATTGCCATTCATCGATGTCGAGAAGATTCGTTCACAACACTTTAGATGCTGTTTGGATACTGTCAATGGTGCAGGTGGACCGATCATGCGTGAACTATGTCATCGACTGGATATTGAGATTGTCGATGGACTCAACATGGAGCCAACAGGACTGTTTGCTCATACACCCGAACCAATCCCCGCGAATCTCTCACAACTCTGTGAGTCGGTGCGTAAACACAACGTTGATTTCGGAATTGCAGTGGATCCCGATGTCGATCGTTGTGTGTTTATCGACGAGCACGGTAAGCCGCTTGGTGAAGAATATACACTTGCAATGGCGGTGGAGTTTATGCTTGGCGATGTCGGACGTCGTGGTGTAGTTGCCAAGAATCTCTCTTCGTCGAGAGCACTCGATGACATTGCTAAAAAGTATGAGTCGCGAGTGGTGTGTGCTCCGGTCGGTGAGATCCAGGTGGCGCAATGCATGTTGCGCGAGAATGCTGTGATTGGAGGTGAGGGTAATGGTGGTGTGATGCTGCCCGATATTCATATTGGACGTGACGCGCCAGTTGCTGCGGCACTTGCATTCCAATTGATGGCCAATCGTGGTATCCGTAAGATTTCCGAAGTCAAAAAGACACTGCCACAATACGAGATTGTAAAGCTAAAGGCTGGTATCGAGGGATTGAACCCAGATGCCATTCTAAACGACTACAAAGCAGAGTATCGTGGAAAGCAAGGTGTATTGATCAACGAGGACGATGGTTTGAAGATCGACGCACCAGAGTGGTGGGTTCATCTCAGAAAATCAAATACCGAGCATATCATTCGTGTTATTGCAGAGGCAAAGGATTTAGAGTTGGCAACATCGATTGCCGCTAAATTCATTCAAGAGATTGAATCAAAGAGAAAATAAATTGTAAATTTAGTTAATATATTAGGGTTGACGATTCACACAAGTTGTGATAATAATATTATTGTTTAACATATATGAGAGAAAGTATTATAAGAACAGATACTTAATTTTAATTTTATTAATATCCAATTGAGTTCATTAATTTTTAGAAACATCATCAGCATTTCATTTGAATTGTAAATATTCCATTAATCTTAATACCTATTATATATTAGTTTTTATAGGTTTGAAAACAGTTGGAAATAATTAAATACAACTCAACATCACTTGAAATTTTATAAAAAAAAAATACAATTACAAACTCCTTTCTATGTTAGAGTTTAAACAAATAAAAAGTGAGTTTTACTAAACACGATTGAGTTCAATTTTTTTCACTTATCATCATCAAAAATGACATCTTGGCCGAGTGGTTTTAAGGCGTTTCCCTGCTAAGGAAATCCCTTCGGGGGCGCAGGTTCGAATCCTGCAGATGTCGATAAAAACATTTAATAAATTCTTTACCGCATGCGGACGAACATGATGCCTTGGCAAAGTTCACCTTTAATAAATAGGTAGATGATCAGTCTATTTATTTATTAATTATCAACTCAAATAATTCAAAGTCTATTCAAAGTTAGTGTAAGAACTTGTTTTTATGTTTATTAAATATAAATTGATCATACCTATTCAAAGTTAGTGTAAGAACTTGAATAGTAAAGTTGATCGTTCGTTTTTTGAATAGTCGTTGAGTTTTTTAAAAATGAAAAATAATTTGAATTTTGAAAAAGTGGTATTGTCGTTACACACCCCTTTGATATTTTTGGACAGGTCTTGCTTTAGCTGGAATAATGGCATTTGGTCTCCTTTCTCTGAAGAAAATCTTTCTGTTCTTCAACTTTTCGAGAATTTTTAATAAAACATAAAGTTTAAGGTTAATATTAAATAAATTCTCCTATAGGTTTTGATCAATTTGTTTTTGCAAAAAAAACAAGAATAGGTTAAAGATATAAAAAAGATCCCTAACTCAATTTAACATACCAAGTAAATTTAATAAAGGTTTCGTACTGGGAATATATTATATTGTATTCGGTGTTATGATTGTATTTTTGGAGATTTCATTCCCAACTCGTATTCTTTCACTTCGGTTTATATGCTTATTGGTTTTGAAAAGGATTGTTTCATTTTGTAAGTTTATGGCTAGATCAAAAAAATGGATAAAGAATTTTAGAATTTGAGATTTCCAAGTATCAGAACCGATTAAAAAGAAATAAGAATTTTTGGTAAAGTTTGTTACATTTAAATTGAACAACCAAATGTATTCACCAAGATTGGGATAGAAGAATAACTATAAAATTTTAATTTGAAAATTAGACTTTTAATTTAAAGTAAGGAGAAAAATGATCAATTTGGATTTCTTAATTTAAACACTTCAATCCAATACTATAATTAATATTAAATTATCCTTCTAATTATAATTCTTAAATAGGGTAACTTATCTAATTATAACCACAAAATTTTTGAATACTAAAAGTTTAACACATTTATCCACTTTTTGAAATGTTGACTTTATTGAATGCCATATATAATATTATCTCTAAAATAAATTAAATTCAATTTAAGAAAATAATCTCTTTCCTTTCTTTCTATAAATAACACCGCATTTGAATTATTTTAAGAAGTAAAAATCAAAAAAATATTTGTTTTTTAGAAAAGAAACTTTAGAAATTAATAAACTATAATAAACATCTAAAATGAATAAAACATTTCTAGTCTTATTTTTAGTAATGTTAACAATTTCAGTTGTTGTGTCTAATGAAAATAATATCAATTGGGGTAAATATAATAAAGAAAGGTTATTTTTTCAATTTTAATTAATTTATTTATTTTATTTTCTAGATGGTGCAGGTCAGGAAGCAGCTAGAAGACAAGCTGAAAATAATAGAGCCAACGCTCAAGCAGCAAATGCTGCTGCCGCTAGAGAGGCTCAAAGGAGAGCAGCCGCAGGAAGTAAATATAATGATGCCAATCACATTTGAAAAAAAAACTTTAACATATTAAAACAAAATAAAACCGTTTGAGATTTGTTTAAATCAAAGTCTTTTTAAAAATTATTTTCATTAGCACAAATGTAATCTTATCTTGTCAATTTATGAATTGAATTTGTTTATTTTATTTTTTCAAATCAATCTTTACTGAAAAAGTATGGAAATAATCCAATCCAATATAATTGTCAGAGTAAACCTTTACATGATAGACTGCGGTAGTTGCCTCTGGTGGGATAACAGTGAATGCAGAGACAACGGATGTTGAATTCTTTGACATTTGGGAAATTCTCTTTAATCCCAAGAATTGTTCTTTTTCGTCAGTCAAAATGATGATCCAACCTTCGTCTTTGTTCTTTGGATATTGTGGAGCATAGGCAAATCCGTTGGGGAACAACTTGTTCATTCTCTGAATCTTCACCTTGAGGGTTGTTTCTCTACCAGCTAAAATCTTTTCAGGTAGGATCTGAGTGACCTTGATACGTGGAAGATGATTGACCACATGAATGATATCCTTTACCTCTTGGGGTTGGAGAGGTGAGTTGTCGAGTACCAATTTGAGTTTATCTTGTGGAGCAGCAGTCAATTCCTTGAGACTGTTTATATTCAAATTCTTTGAGATGAGTTCTACAATGTCTTTGGTCATGTATGGAAGTGTCAATAGGTTGCTATCGGTATCCCAACGACCTTGGACAAACATTTGCAAGAGACGGATGATTTGAATAACAGTGGCAAAGTATTCAAATTCACCGGCAACGTCAATCATTGCTTGAAGAATACGGATACCTTGGTCTAGCGCAGATTTAGTATCGGTCACATAATCAGAGATTGGTAGCATCGCTCTCTCAAAGTGAGCTTGGAGCAAGAGATGAACCTTGGTATGTGGATCGTCGTGACGAATCAACTTGATTGGAAGCTTCTCGTTCAATTCCTTGTTCATTAGATCTTCATTGTGACGAACTGGGAATTCGTGGTACTCATAGGCATCGCAGAGTGTCTTGAGCAACGATTTTATCTCACTATTGTGTTTGATCTCCTTGGTAAAGTTCTCAATAGTACGATAGTTGAGATAGTAGAACGATGCGATTCTTCCAAGTGTCGATGGTTCAATTTGATCGTTTTCATCGACAATGATACAGTTGGACTTGGCAAGATCATCCAAGGTTCTATCGAGTAGCTCTGAGAGGAATCGATTGATTGTATCCACTGAATTGTCTTGAAGACCATAGTAGGTTGGACTGATCAATAGACGTCTGAAAAAGAATGTATTGGTCAAGTATTCTATTCCACCTTGTTTCGATTGAATGGTACCAGCAACAATCTCGGCGTTAAGATGGTCGTGTAAGAACTCCTTGAGATGAGATTCCACTGGGAATGGGTCGTAGAGGAACTTCTTGTAAAAGTTCTTCTTTGGTTCGTGAACCATGATGACAGCTTTACCTTCTTTGTCAAACTGCGGTCTACCGGCACGACCCATCATCTGAAGAACATCGGTTAGTGGATAGTCGACATAACGCTTGGTACGTCCATCGAAATATTCGGTTCCCTTGACAATAACAAGATGAGCAGGCAAATTGACACCCCAAGCCAAAGTGGATGTGGAAATGAGAATCTGAATCTTGTTCTCTGCAAACAGAGTCTCACAGATCGAACGATCGTTGTCATTGAGACCGGCATGATGCATACCGATACCAAAGGAGAGTGTGTGTTTGAGATGACCATCTCTTACACGATCGAGGATTGGCTCAATGTCGGTGTGTAACCATTGTGTTGGATCGTCGGCAACCAAATGTGAGATGAGATCGAGTGCAGTCAAACGAGTTTGACGACGCGAAGAAACAAAGATGAGAACCGACTTGTTTGGTGAATAGGTCTTGATCGCTGCAAACGCTGGCTTGTTCATGGTTTGCATACGTGGACAGTAGTGCTTTCCGGCAAAACCTTGGATATGTACTTCAATTGGTACGGGACGACACGATGGTCTAAAGTTGAATAGACCGACCTTCTCAATACCCATCCACTCTGCCAGATCGACTGCATTGGCCATGGCAGTCGAGAGACCAATGATACGAATCTTGTGACCAGTCTCCTTTGAGATTTGCTTCATACGCGATACAATCACCTCAAGAGTTGGACCACGAAGTTCACCGAGCAAATGAATCTCATCGATAATCAAGAGTGATACCGATGTTACATAGCTTCTGTTCTTCCAATTTCTACTGATACCGTCCCACTTTTCTGGTGTGGTAGTAACGACGTCGGCATTTTGCAGTGCAATCATGTTGGGAGTGTAGTCACCAGTCAACTCAACCAACTTCTTTCCAAGCTTTTCAGAGAGTTTGACATTCCAATCATTCATACGCTCACGAACCAATGCCTTCAATGGAGCGATATAAACAACCTTCATCGATGGTTCATCACGGAACACTTTGAACATGGCAAGCTCTGCGCAAATGGTTTTACCGGAACCAGTTGGCGAACCTAGCAGCACATTGTTGTTGGTATGATAGAGAGTATGGAATACTTGAGTTTGAATCGGATTGAAATGACTGAATTTGAATAGTTTTTCAAACTCTGGATTCTTGAGTGCCTGCACTGGAAGTGGTTGGAGATCGAGCAACTCTGTATTGATGACACGATTCTGATGCGGAATAATCAAATGTTTGAATGAAATTGGTATTCTTTCATCGCAATTCAACCAACGGTCACTAATATAATGGATAAAGAATTGACTTGGCAATGGATTTGGCATTGGAATGATATAACTTAGTTTGATTGGTTCATTCTCGTGATTCATAAATGCACGCTTGGTAAGAATAAAGTAATCGCTGTTATAGATATATTCATTCTCACTGTCTTCAATCCAGAACCAAAACGGTTGAGAGTCGCCGTGGACACGGTCATTCCACTCAAAGTAAGGGAGCACCTGGAGGTTGATCTTGATGATACTAGAGGTGATCGGTTGAATCTCAATGTCAAACTCTAGCTTTGGGAATTGACGTGCAACTCTAATGGTGGATTTGGCAATGGCTGGATTTCCAACGATCGGTGCCAATTCGGATGCCTCCATATCAGCGACATCTTCAACGCCCAACTCTTGCTCTTCGAGCTTCTTGAGAGTCTCTTGGTGGAGAATACCAAGTTGGCGAAGTGGTGATTCGAAATGCCATTGTTGGTGATCAATCATTTTACATAGATCGAGAACCTGCTTCGATACACTGCACCAACCACGCTTCATAGTGATCTCAAAGAGACCACGCAAGATACGACTCGAGTTTTGAATGATGTAGTTAGAGTCAGAGACAAGCGAGAATCCATCGACACGAGCACGTGACAAAAAGGATTGCAAGATAACCTTGACCTTTGAGTATTTATCATTGACCTCCGACTGGTAGAAACAGTTGTTGGCAGAGAGATCGGTGAGCTCCTTAACTTCCTCTTCACGGAGATTGACATTTTCAAACTCTGAAGAGTTGGCGAGCAGTGTCAAGATCTGTTCTTGGCTCATGTCTGGTTTGAGAATCTCATGGAATGTCTCGATCGATGGATACTTGATGTAATAATGCGAAGCAATACGACCAAGATCGGTTGGGAAGAAGTTTCCTGTGACTGCATCGTAACGAATCATCTTTGACTTGTCTAAATGAATGGCTGCACGCTCAATAATCTTGTTTCTATGAAGTGAGAGGTCTGGATCGAAACGAAGATCACCAACATTGATACCATAGGCATGAGGATTGGTTATCATACGGATATAGAGATATGTGTAACTAAGCCAACGACTTGCTTCCGATACATTAGAGACTGTTCCAAGTACAATCTCTGCGTTGAGATTGTCCGAGAGGTTATTGATGAATCGCGATTCAATCGGCAAGCAACTGGACATCAACATGAGGTAGTGGTCGAGTTTGTCGTTAGAGGTGATGAGGAACGACTCACCAAAAGTATCAAACTGAGGACGACCGGCACGACCAAAGATCTGCATGACATCAGATATTCCGAGGTCGATGAATCCACCATTCTTTGAATCATAGAGTTGTGTTCCTTTGATAATGACAGTGTGTGCCGGAAGATTGACACCCCACGCCAGAGTGGCAGTACATACCAACACCTTGATGGCACCCTCGGCAAAGTACTTCTCTACCAAGTTACGATCTTGACGCAGCAAACCAGCATGATGAATCGATACATTATGTTGGAAGAGGTCTCTGATCTCCTTGGATTTGGCACGCTCCATATCACGAACGGCATGCGACTTGACTTCTTCCTCCTTGGCGAATCGGAAGTGTTTGGAACGCGCAATGTTAACCAATGCCTCGGCAGTCTTGGCAGTATCCTTACGCGAGTGTACAAACACCATCACTTGATAACCCTCGCGAATGGATTTCTCCAGCTTGTCATAGCAGAGTTGGTTCATAATGTTATTACGTGCCAAGACCGACTCCTCTTTGACACCGAGGAAGCTGGAAGTCATCGGGACAGGACGGTACGACGAGTCGAAACAATAGGTGGCGGAAGCCGGTGAATTGATGAATCGTGCAACATCTTTATAGTTGGGAAGAGTAGCACTCAGACCAACGATACGGATCATCTCCTGAGTGGTTTCCACCTGACGTAGAGTACGCGCGACAATACTCTCCAAGACAGGTCCACGCTCCTCGTGCAACAAGTGAATCTCATCAATAATCAACAGACGAACCAACTGAGTCAATGCGACATCGGTACTCTTTCTGGTGATGACATCCCACTTCTCCGGAGTGGTAACGATGATCTGTGTCTCCTTCAACTCCTTCTGAGTGAGTTGCATATCACCAGTGAGTTCCTTTGCCACGATACCAAGATACTTTAGGCAACTGGCAAACTTCTCTGTCATCTCGGCAGCCAGCGCTTTCAACGGAGCGATATAGATGATCTTGAATTGCTCGAGATTCAACACACCATACGAAGTATAGTTATTCTCAATCTCATGGAGAATAGTGAGCAACGCAATGTTTGTCTTACCGGCACCGGTTGGAGCACAAATCAACAGATTCTCATTCGTCTTGTAGGCAGTCTCAAACACTCTCGATTGTATTCTATTCAACGACTTTATACTACCGAATGCCTTTTGTGATTCCTGAGCAATCTCTGTAATCGGTACGAAACGTTCATCATCTGAAAATGGTTTAGGTTGAGCATGTGGAATTGTTACTTCAATATGAGTCTAGATAAAAAGTTGAAGAAAAAGAGTTGTTTAGTTTAAAAACTAATAATAGTTAAATATATATGTTGTGTTAACACAACAACACTTACATTATGTTCTTTTCTAATTGTATTGGCAGGAAGTGCAGCTTTGCCAATGAGTGGACCATCTTGAATTTGAAGTCCAGCCGCTTTAAATTCGTTTTGTGTGTAGATGGCAGGTACTGCCGCTTCCTTTGGTTGATAGACTTCGTATTGCTCGCCACCGATCTGTACAGTGCTAGTTGTGCCACCGTTACCACTACTACCACTAGCATTCTTCTTCTTCTTTTCATCCTTTTTCTTGAGTTTACCAACGAGCTTGTCATCGGTGGTATTCATAGAGAAACTCTGAACAGGTCCATGCTTTCCTGTGCCTTGTTTTACATTCAAAGTAGATGCCAATATATCAGTACGATTTGTAATCAACTGTTCAATGAAATCCAAATATTCAAAACCAAGAATACCAATTAAATCATCTTGAATATCTAGTTAAATTAAAAGTTAAAGTAACAGTTAGTTAATAACAACACTTTGTTATTTTGATATTAGCTAAACTTACTCTTTGGTGCTTTCAAAACATTGATAATATTTTGTAGTAAATGATCAGCTGGTAAACCAGATGATTTAGAAATAGTAATACAATTTTCAATTAACCATGATTCATTATATGATGATTGTGACGACGACGATGATTGTTGTTGTTGTTGTTTATCTTTTTTACTTGATTTCTTTACAATGATAGTTTCACCACTATTAATATTCTTAAAATTAGCATTATTATTGTTGTTCTTGTTGTTGTTGTTGTTGTTCTTGTTCGAGGTTGTTGAAATATTAGCATCATCATCATCTTGTTTGAATGAATCCAATTCAAAGAATAATTCATCGACAGAATTCAATTTGATCGAACCCCATTCGAGTTGTTCGTTCTCATCGATCTTGGCGAGTGTGTCACGTGAGAGTGCGATATCCTCCTCGAATGGATCCTTTACTTTCTGGAGAATCGAAACTAATGTAACCAACTCATTATAGAGCTTCAACTTGAAAGAACTACCAAAGAGATCACGCAACAACTGTTGTTTCGAAACATCGTCTTTATTCGGATTGGCAACCGCCATGAATGCCTGATACGAAGCGCTGTGTAGCTCTTCACTCGGCACCTCATCGTTGTCCACCAACTTTATGACGACCTGTAAAAACTGATTATAATAATTTCTATTTTGTTTCTCCGTTACCTCTGAATCTAATAATAATAATAAATAACCAATAAGATAAGTAAATAATCTCTATAAATTATTATTATTATTATTATTATTATTATTATTATTATTATAACTTACTAGTTGCATTTGCAAAGTAATTCCATGAGAGTTGACCATTTATAATACTATTTGATGAAGCTTTCTTCTTTTCATTCTTCTTTCTTGCTAAATCATTGTTTCTCTTTGCAGTGAGTGTATCTAAACTCTTTACATTGTTACCACCGTTAACAAGTCTCAAAACAGATGAAACTGTAAGTGGTGCTGATATCTTCATATTTTATTATATATTATTCTTGTTTATGTTATCTTTTCTATTCTATTCTATCTTACTGAATAACTATTACTTTAACGAACAATATAAATTCAACTAGTTTGAACGATGTTGATTAATGAATAATTCAACTGAGAATAACATTAGAAAAAAATAAGTCACATAAATTTCTCATTTTTCAAAAATGCATTTTCATCATTTTTTATTGTACTACTTTTACAGGTTCCGATGTTTAGATCAGTTATTTTCAAATCTTTAAATATTTTTTAATTAATAAATAAATTATTTTTGGTTATTTATTAGTTATAAAAAAAAGACACTTTAGAGGGAAGGGAAGGGAATGGTTGTTATTTTGTTTATCCAATCAATTATTATATTCGGTATATGGTTGTTTTGATTGAGTTGTTTCTTTCTGTTTTTAGGCAGATGCACTGTATTTGAGGAAGTTGGTGTGGTGTGGGTTGACAGCGTGTGGGATATTCTTGGTAACACTGGATTGAGTGCACTCGGCTGGCAAATCGAACCATGATTCAATAAAGTAGTTCTCGTAGTTGAAGAAGTTCATGACGGCGAAACCTGGGTTGGCTGCATCGGCGTTACGAAGAGTTGATGATACGACGGAACAGCTCTTTGGATCAAAGAGGAAGGTTTGGTTGGTTAAAACAGATGGTGAGACACCGGTGGCAGTGTAGACCTCAACTGGGAAATTTCCGATTCTTGTGACACCAACAAAGTTTTGGAGTGGGAATCCAGCTGGAATTGGATAGTTCAAGGACATCTTGACACAGATTCCATTTTGGTAAACGTAACCCTCACCGGTTTGCCCGAACTCCCAGATCGATCCAACCATTGGTGGTTGTCCCTCCATAATGATAATCCAATCACTACGAGTTCTTTGTCCATCGAAATCAGTTGTTGTGTTACCAGCTAAGAATTGGAAATTAGTTAGTTGAATTGTTAACAATTCAATATTGACAAAATTGAACTTTGGACTTACCTTCATAGAATGAAAGAGCAACGTTGGAAGAGCCAGTCGGGAAGAAAGTGTTGAATGCTGACAATTCGAATTGGGTGGTGTATCCCTTTGATTGTTGACATGGTTGTCTTGCAGCAACACAAGCAACCAATACTAATAATGTAAAGATTAACTTCATCTTTTTTAGGTGTTATTTATAATAATAATAATATTACAAATAAATATAAATGTAAAATGTATAATGTAATTTTTGTACAAAAATAAAACCCGAATCAATGAATGCTATTTAAGTAGTTGGGAGTGGTTATTTTTATTTTTGCAAACCAAAAAAAAAGATTGTGATGATTGTTGATGAAAAGAGCCAAACCAGGATAGGAACTCACCCTTGATTCCATGAAACTCCAAATTTTTCAATTTTTACCCAGGTTCGGCAAGTTTTTTTTCTTTCAAATTGGTCCCAAAATTTAGAAAAAAATTACAAAAGATAGATATTTGTATGATCAAATAATTAATGATAACAATTGCATGCTAATTCTAGCCTGGTCAAGTAACTTGATGTGCTCACCGAACATCATCGAAGTGAAGTAGGAGATTAAGAATTATAATCCTAATTTCGTACACATCATTTTCAAAAGTTGTAGTGCAATCAAAACTAAAGCAAAAAGAAGCAAATAATAATAGCTTTGAAAAAAGTTTTTTTTTTTTTTTTTGATGATTACATATAAATTTTACAAACTACATATTATTGTAATGTAAAAGTGAGTTTTATTTGGTTGTTTATTGGGAACCACGGAGTCTGAGTATTAAATGGAGTGTTGATTCCTTTTGGATGTTGTAATCGGAGAGGGTACCATCTTCCAATTGCGTTCCAGCGAAAAGAAGACGTTGTTGATCGGGTGGGATACCTTCCTTGTCTTGAATCTTGATCTTTACACTTTCAATGGTCTCAGATCCATCGACCTCTAAGGTGATGGTCGTACCAGAAAGAGTTTTAACGAAGATTTGCATACCACCACGGAGACGGAGAACCAAATGGAGTGTTGACTCCTTCTGGGATATTGTAATCAGAAAGAGTACGACCGTCTTCCAATTGTTTACCGGCAAAGATCAAACGTTGCTGATCGGGTGGGATACCTTCCTTGTCTTGAATCTTGGTCTTTACGTTTTCAATGGTGTCAGAACCCTCAACCTCTAAGGTGATGGTCTTACCAGTCAATGTCTTAACGAAGATTTGCATTATAATAATATTTTAAATTAAAATTGTAATAGTAATAAATTATTTATATAGATAGAAGAAATAGAGATAATTTTATAGAAGAGAATATAATATATATATTTTGAGTTATTTAATGAATTGAATGTAAGCACAAATTTATTTATTTATTTAAAAATTTTAGTAAATATTAGTGTTATCAAATTAATACTATTTTTATCACATTTTACCACCTTTAGTATTGGGTGAGGGCTGTAGAGTATTTTTTTGAATGTAACATCATACTAATATTCTCTCTATTCAACATATTTGTTAAATAAAAAAAAGTAACTGTAAAATCATATGATTCGTTTATTAAAAATAGTTAGATAATTATATTATATTATATCGAGTAGTTTGGTTTTTAAGCGTCGGCAACATCGATATGAGCAGCAGAAGTATATGTATTTGAAATTAAAAGATCAATCATTTTACCAGCAGAGAAGTTTGGATCTACTAATTTGTTGTTCTTGATCATATCCTCCCAGAATTGTTTGGAACCTTCATCCTTAGTTTTAACTAAAATCTCTTTATTCATATCAGTGCCCATTGCACCTGGTGACCAATTGAGTGTCTTTATATTTGGTGTATCCTTCTATTGGTATTAATACAATCAATGTTATTTGTTATGTTATTGTTGTTGTTGTTGTTGTTGTTGTTGTTGTTGTTGTTGAAATATAAAATGTTAATATTAATAATGATAACCTTGTTTTGTTAGTTACAAGTTTAAACTTACACATTCTGCTGTGATAACTGATAATAACATTTCACGACTATATATATTATTATTATTAGATTAATTAGTTATTGAATCAATCAGTTGATTGTATGTACTTACGCAGCTTTACCAACACAATAAATACCCCAGGTATCGAATGGTTGAATTGCAGCCAACGATGATGTGTTGATCACCGATGTCTCGATGGGTGTTGAAACTGATTTGATCTCTTTCAAAAACAACGATGATGTTACAAATACAGATGTTACATTCAATGTTATCTCTGATTCAATCTCTTTGAAATTAGACAAACTAAAAGAATATGAATATTATAGGCTATTAATATTACTGATCTTGATCCATATCTATAAATATCAAGAATGAATTGAAAACATACTCTGATACATTGGTAATTGGACCTAATGATCCATGATTATTAAATAACCATACTCTTTGATATTCACTAAAGTTAACCTATATTTAATGTTAATGTTAATGATATTATTTATTGATTGATTGATTGATTGATTGGTGCATCTCAATCTAACTATCTATATATCTATTTATTCATTCAAACTATCATAAACAAACAATAATTAATTAAAAATCATGGATTGATTATCTACTTTTTTAAGAGATTGTGACCAGACAGATTGTAATGAAGCAATATCACCAAAATCAGCAACAAATAGATTAACATTTGCGCTTGGTTTGATCTGCTTGATGAGTTTCTCAGTTGACTCTAAACCTTGTTGTGATCTTGCATACAATGAGAAATCAATATTTTCAACCTTCTTGGCTAGTTGCTCACAAATGGCAACACCAAATCCTCTTGAACCACCAGTAACCAATGCTAATGTTTTAACTTGTGACATATCTTATCTTATCTTATATTATATTATTGTACTATAAATATATCTAATTAAATATTAATGATAAAAATATACAAAACTAATTAAATTAATTAATTTAAATTTTAAAATGGAAATGGAAGGCTCTTCCAGAATGATGAACATCGTCATTTTTGTGTTTTTTTTATTTTTATTTTTATTTAAATGTTTGATTATATATTAATGATCATTAAAAAATAGAATAGAGTTCTATCCTACTAAACACTATATACAGTGTAATGCTCTCCAGAGGTATAAGTGTTCTTAACTAGAAGGTCGATCATCTTACCGGCAGAGACGTTGACATCGACCAATTGTTTATTCTCATAGAGATCGGTAAAGATTTTCTTAACACCGGCATCAACTGCGTTTGCTCTGACTTCTTGTTGCATTTGAGTATCCATTGGACCTGGTGACCAACTGAATGTCTTTATTTTTTCATTATTTTTCTAGAACATACATACAAACAAATTATTAATATCAATTATAATTACTACTACTATATATAAATAGTTTAATATTTATACATACATTTTCTTCAGCAATAGTTCTTGTTAGCATATGACGAGCTGCTTTTCCAGTACAATAGACTCCCCAGGTGCTGATTGGTTTGACAGCTGCTCCCGACGATACATTGATCAAACCAAGCTCTGCACCACTCGATTTGAATCTATTCAAGAACAAAGATGATGTTAGAACGACAGAGGTGACATTCATTGTTAAATCTGTTTCGATTTGTTGGAATTCTTTTAATCTACAATTATAATAAGGAATGAATTATATATTTGTTAATATTAATAATTTAAAATAAATAAAAAAAAGCTAATTAATGTGATCTTTACTCTGAAACATAATTACAAACACCTAATGAACCATGATTATTGATTAACCAAATTCTTTGATAGTTGTTGAAATCGATTTGAGCAAGTGATTGACCCCAGACATTCTCTAGTGTTTTAAGATCGCTGAAATCAACTGAGAAAAGCTTGACTTCCGATTGTGGCTTGGCAAGCTTAATGATCTTCTCTGTTGACTCTAAACCTTGTTGTGATCTGGCAAACAAGTGAAAATCAATATTCTCAACTCTGCTGCATAGCTCTTGACAAACAGCAACACCAAATCCTTTACTTGCACCTGTAACCAAAGCAATTGTTTTAATCATATTATAATCTTTTACAAGTACTTATAAGTATATATATATTTTAAAAAAAATTAATAATCTAAAAATGTTTATTTTTTTTTAATATCTAAAATAGTGTGTGAACAAACACAATGGATCTATGAAACTTCAAACGAAAATCTCGTTGATTCTCGAAAAGGAAATGATTTGATCGATGGGGGTAAATATTGATATTTACATAAATATCTTTAATTCTTTTCTGTTTTGATAACTGTATGGTGGATCTTCTCTAATAAAATTATAATCCGTATCTGTTGGAGATTCTGACGCAATGCAAATTGAACAACAGCATAATCGACCAAAATAGAATAGAATTAAAGATAAATAAAATTTTATTGTTTTTTTTTCATCGTGTATCTCTTTTGAATGAATATAATATATTTCACCAATCTTTATCTTTTTAAATTTACCAATTCAATAAGATGTTACCCATCCAAACAATTGAAGTTGCTATTTGAAAGAAATAAAAACAAGTTAGTTTTAATTGGATAATTAATGATGATTGAATTCAATTTTGAATAGATTGCATTGCTATATAAACTTACTGGCTACGATGAATGGTGGAATAGCATCTTTAAACGATGAACTCTTAAAGATAAGAGTCTCTGTGAGGAAGTGAAGTAAAGCATAAACAAAAGAGGTCCATGTTACAGTGAACAATGTTTGATTGTATGGGTTGTAAGCTGTTGCTACACACAAAGTAAAACTCATCAATGTCCAAGCTGCAAACAATCTAGCTGTCAATCCTGTAACTAAAATATTACAAACAACATATAACTATTAGTAAATAATAGTAATATTTAATATATAACTTTTGATCATTCATAATTTAATGATCACCAGCCAAACATACCTTGAGTTGGATTTCCTGAATAAACATTGGTTCTCAATCTACCAATGTTGAATAAAGCTTGTGAGAAACCCAAAGCACGAAGACCAGCAACTACCAATAACCAAATTTGAATATACTCCATCTTTAATTAAATAAATAATAATATATTGTTGATTTTAAAAAGAAAAAAAAAAAGAAAAAAAAACGACTAAAGCCCAAATTTTTTGATTAAAATCAATGAAATGATATTTTTTTCTCTTTGTTTTTTATAATTAAAACTTTTATTTAAATTTAGATGGAAAAACTATTATATTATATTCCATATGTGAAATCTGTATAGTTGTTGAACTATAATTACTGTACATAATGATAATTTTACTGATTTAATGCTAGATAAATTTGATTCGAAATGCTGGAGGTAGATTTGACTGGAGTTGTTTGATGAAAACTTGATGATCAGTCGAAAAAGAGTCGCATATATATTGGAGAAATGTTGGCAATGCAATGTATTGGCTGTTTATACTGAGCCAATGCTATTATTATTGCTACAAGTTGTCTGATGATTGAAGGTTTGACTAGATATAACAAATGATTTTTGGTGATGATTTTTGTTGGTTGTTGCTATTAAGGTTGAAAAAAAACATATTTGATTACTACTACTACATTGTAAGTGTGAATGTTGGATGTTGATGTTGTTTGTTTTTTTTTTTTAATTAATATATCGTTACTAGTTGTTCCTATAATAACTCTAGACAACCTGTACCTTCGAAAGTTGTAATACTAAAAGTTCCTTTGAAACTGGCGGGTACCGATTGAAATTCGACTTTACCTTGTACTTTGACTGAATCCGATGTCCATTCATATGTACAATTGTCTTTAGGTGTTGCTTTGACGAGTGAAACACCAATCTCCATACCACCAAACATCTTTGGGAATTTAATTAAAAAGTAACCTCTTGTCAATGCTTCTTTGAACTCGGCAGTTCTTGGTTCGCCATCTTGTGTTCTGAATCGAGAAACAACTACTTCCTGTGGTACTAATAATTTCTTCATCAAATCACTGATTTGTGGTTGAGGAGGTGCTGCAAAAATTAAAAAAAATAAACGATCGTATGAATAAATATTTCCTAAAATATTATAAAAACTAATAATAAACTATACATACTCTTTGTTTTTGCCATTTATATAAATATTTTAATTTGATTTGATAATTATTAATATATTAATAAGTTATTTGTAAATAATGGTTGAACTAAAAAATAGTTGTATATTACTATTATAAATTTGGGGAATATAAAAGTTGTAGTGAATAAAATAGTAAATCAAAGATTCTCTATAGAGGTAGCAGGGAGAGTGGAAATTTAATGGAGTTGAGAAATATAATTAATGATTACGGGTAGGCAAAGTAGATTAATAAAAAAAAAAAAAAAAAAAACAAGTTATAAAAGTTTTATTTAAAATTGATTAAAAATCGAAGACATTAATAATGTGCACGATCAGCAGTCTGTCCAATAATATTAAAACTGTCAACAGAAAAAGAAAGTAGTGTGTGTTGATTGTAGTGCTAAGTGTATCGATTGTATCGTATTGTATTGCTGTGTGTTTTGATAATAAAGGTGAGCACTATCTATTGAAAACACCCACAATCACTCCCTCCAACATTGTTTTATATTTTTTAATTTTTTTAGTTAAGTTTGACACAAGGTTACTGTTGCGCTGTGTGGTCGTTGTAGTGAGAGATAAACATTTTAGGTGGGATTAATATTGGTGGGTATATAAACAAACGAACAATTTTGGTATTTCTGTGGTTCAGATTCTAAAATCTTAGAGTTTTTGATCAAAATTTTCTATTTTTTAACAATTTGTGCAAATTTCACCAACCAATCAGTTCCAATCCTTTATTTTTATGATTTAAAAAATTCACACGAGATTTGATTCACAAACGGTAGTTTTCTTGTCCAGAATTTGCAAAAAAAAACACAAAAAATATCGTGCGATCTGCCCATACAATATACTATAAATATAGTTGAAAAGTTGTTGAAGCCACCAAAATATATATGACCTTTTGCTTTTTTTTTTTGTTTTTGTTTTTTGTGATCGGTCACCATCATCATATCCTTTTTTCCAACCCTCAATAAATGTAAAAAGTGATCACTTTTTATCCAATGCGATATTTTTGTTTAATTTATCTATCTTTCGGCAGCCTGTGCAACTTGGTATGAAAGAAAGCAATGACAATCTATAAAATCAAAGCAAATCTTTGCTTGATAAAGTCGAATTGATTTCAAGGTGTTCATAAAACATGCAACCATGATTTAAAGAATACTGTTTAAAATGATCATTAATGTTTCTTTATAGATCTGCACCAACTAACATTAGCATGATTGCATTAAAGTCAAATGGAAATATTAATAGACAAAAAAACCTTTTACAGCGAGGTTAAAAATCAAAAACACTAGATAAAAAAAAAACTATTTTTAATTAATTAAACACCCTTTTTTAAACTCGGGTTGAACAAACTTTCATTTTAATTATTATAATCTCTATTATCATTAAAAACATTTATGTTTTCAAAGAGTCAAAGTAACATCAAACAACAATGATTTTCTTTAAACAACTAAACATCACTTCACTAGCACTAGATTGTAAAATACCACTTCAACCAACCATCACACAAATAAATTTACACCCTTTTTGATTCATTGTTGTTGTTTTGTTTTTGTTTTTTTCTATAAATCACAATTATATTTATTTTATTGTAATAGTTTTTGTTTGTTTGAATTTGTAGTGTTACTTATGGTATTATTATTGGTGTGTTTAATAGTGTTGCTGTTGTTGTTACTGATGAAGAATCTCGATGCCCCACCAATACCAAATCCAATCATTGCACTGGTGAGTAGTAATTCTGGTTTTTTGTGTTTAAAGTATAATACAGTGCTACATAGAGCAGCACCAAGTGCACCTGATACAACTGTATCTTTTATGAGTGACTCTGGTGGTTCATCTTGAAGAAGTAGAGGAATTTCAGTGGATTCTTCCGATTCGAGATCACCTGGTGTCGGTGTGTCGGTGATGCTCGGAATTGGGGTGACTGTTTTTGTTGTTGGTTTCATCAACAATTGTTTAACACCAATCCAACTGGTTCTTATGATTCCAGTCAATGCCATTGCACCAATGCCATACTTCAGACTTGCCTCTGAGATGTCTGACATATTGGTTGCACTGTTTCGCATCAACTGGAAGAAGAATGACGAGCAATAGGAGCTCAATCCAAATGCCATCGATTCTTTTAGTACACATACAATCGAATCACCGTGATAAACATTGCTATTGTTTGAATGTTCTCTTCTTTTAACTTGATTATTACTAGTTGTTTGTTGCTTGTTTGTTACTATTGGTATTGGTGTTACAGTAGAGGTTGGGTGATTATCACTTTCATCGACAACAAATTTCAAAGTTGGGTTTGTTGAGCTTGAGTTGTCTGGTGTGGTTGGATCAATTGTAATCGATTCAATAGTGGTAGTATCGAATTTGGGTGAATGTATCTCTCTGACACCGGTGGTGATCGTTGTTGTGATTGGTGATGTTTGAGTGGGTGTAGTGGCGGCGGCGGTGGTGGTTGGTGGCGATGATATCAATGAACTATCAATGAATTGTGTAGTGGTAGTAGTGGTAATAGTGGTCGATTGTACTGGAATCTGGCTGTTTCTTGGAGTGTAGTCGACGGACGTCAGTCCCGAGATGCCGGCTTCCATCTTTCTTATCTTGTTCTCCATTCGCATGAGCTGCATGACTTGGTCGCCAACATAGGCGTTATTCTCTGCGGTGATCTCAATGATCTGACCTTCCAGTCTGACAATCTTGTTTTGCATTTCATTCAACTTGTTCTTCTGGTAGCTAACCTCGTCATAGAGATACTTGTTGGGACTGCCATTATCAGTGGAAATAAGTTGTTGATCTTGCTGGCTGTCAATCGATGTCGTTGTCGTTGTGATTTGGTTGAGTTTCGAAGCGATTCCAGCTTTGGTTGTTTCCGCTTCTCTGAGGATGTAGTCACGTAGCGTCGATATGGTCTGATTGGAATTCTTCTTGCCAAGCTGCACGACCAATTCCAAACATTCGCCAAGTTGACGAATCTCTTGCTTCTCTTTTGCCAACATGTCTTTCATGGACATAACCTTGTTTTTCACACCTTCCAACACTGTTCTAATCTTGAGGTTACTCTCATTCCATGTGACGGGCTGCTCACCCGACGTGGACAGCGACGACGCATTCACCAGTCGGTTCATCTCCTTGGTGAGTCGCTCAATCTCTTTATCGGCCCAGCTAAGCCTGTTATTGGCAATGTTCAACTGATTCTGCAGATGATTACACTCCAATTCACTGGCTGCCAACTTCTTGATGGTCTCTTCCGTTTGTTGCAGAAGATTGCTGTTGGTGTCATTGGTCTGTTTGAATCTAATGACCAAATCAACATTGTCGAATTGAAGTCTATCGATTTGAGTGGTGAGCAGCTCCAACTTCTTGATGAGTGCATTCCGCTCGGATTCGGCATTCTTTATCTTGTCTTGCAGTTCCTCACGCTCGAATGTCATGACTTCGATGATCTCTTGCAACTGTGACACAGCAGACTCGCTCATCTCACGCATCTCCAAAACCAACTGGTTGAATCTGCTCATCAAGTCGTCACGGTCACGCTCCATATCCTCCAGTGTCTGAGACAACGTCTCCTTGTCGATAGTCAAATTATTGACCATGCTCGACAACATCGATTCTTTGCCTTCCATGGCACCCAAATCGGCAACCAACTGATCGATTCTCAAACACAACTTATCTCTTTCCTGTTCTACTTTTTCAATCTTTGAAGATAGATTTAAAAGTTCTTCTGAATTATTTTGTTTATCCTTCTAAAATGATGTTTATCATTTAATATTAATATTATTAAGTGTTTTAAATATTTAATTACAACAACTTACTAATAATTCAATATGTAACATTTCATTATGATATTTCCATTGACCCAATCTTGATTCCAAAGCAATGATTTGATTCTTATAGAATTCAACTTCTTTCTCAAGTTGCCTTGAATGTTGAGAGCTGTCCTCGGATGACAATGACGACGATGTTGACGACGATGATTTCGAATTTAAAAAGACAGTACTCGATACTTGTAACGCCATATCCAACAGATGTTTAGTTATATCTTCCAACTCTCTATCTCTCAATAGCATTTCTTTTCTTTCGTTTTCTAAATGTTGTTTCTACAATTATGAAATATATGTATGTATAAATATGTTGTTAGCATTTATCAAACCAACTCGATTATATTGTTTTGTTTTGTTTTGTTTGTTTGGCTTTGAACAACTTACCAAATGGATGAATTCATCTGAGAGCGAACTGTTACTATCGTTACGATATATCTTTGGACTGGATGGATATCGATCGTTTGAATCCAAACTTAGCTCCATATCATTAATCTTTTGTTGTAGTGATGCCAAAGAGTAGAGGATATCTTCCAACTCTTCCTTCATCGATTGATTCTCAATGAATATTCTATCGGCATTGTCTGAGCTTGATTTAGTTGATTGTTGTTGTGTTGTTGGTTGATGATTACTATGATTATTACTATTATGTTGTTTAAGTTGTTGCAGTGCTAATATGGCAGTTGCTGAGGTAGGTTGAACAACGAGTTCCTTTGACGCCAACTCGATCTTCTCCTTGAGATTCTGCTTGGCGTGAATGAAACAATCACGAAGTCTACGACGTTCCACTTCGGTCTTATCACGATACTCTTTCAACTCGCGTTCAATATCGGCGCGTTTCTCTATCATCTCATTGAGACGATCGCTATCAACTTCCTCGGCAGTGTCAACCTCCTCCTGAGTATCAACATCTTCCTCACTATCATCCTCCTCCTCCTCTTCATCATCCTCCTCTTCTTCTTCTTCTTCTTCTTCCTCTTCATCTTTTTGTGGAGTAGGTGGTGCAAATTTAGGTTGATATCTTATTATTTGTGGTTTGTTCATTGCCCATCTTCTAGGAGATGCTGTTGGATCCAGTTGTTGTTGTTGTTGTTGTGCAGGTGACGATGGTGCTACCTCTGAAGTGTTGACATGCATTCTATGACTGTTCAACTGTCTAAGATACTCTGTCGATTTATCTTGTCCAAAAGGATTATAGCTTGACATATCAAAGAATTTACTCTCGCCATTGTTTCCAGTTTCCTCCACACTATTCATGCTATTCACACTGTTGACTTCGTCATCTTCATCTTCTTCTTCCTCGTCATTTCTTTCAATATCCCTATCGTAGTATTCATCTTCATCTTGTTGTTGTCTAACCTTTGCAAGTTCAGCTTTACTCTTTCTTACAATTCCAACTTCTTCATCATCCTCCTCTTCTTCCTCTTCCTCCTCTCCCTCTTCACGTTCATCGTCACTCTGACTACTATCAGTATTATAACCACCATTATTACTATTACTATTATTATATCCCAAGATTGAATTACCACCTTTGTTATTTCCATGGTTGTAATAAACGAATAGCTCTCTGTCAGAATCATCGGAATCGTCGTCGGAATCGTCATCTTCTTCATCTCTCTCGTCGTCACTATCACTGCTACTACTCTCCGATTGATTGTCGTAAGAGTCAACAAAGTACGACGAACTATCTTTCTCGACTGGATGCTTTACAAAGTGAAATATCTGCTTTTTCGATTCAAAGCTTACTCTCGGTGTTCTTACACGTTCGCCGTGTGGTACGACACCATCTTCGTCGTCTTCATTGTCCTGACCGTCCAAACCACTGGGATCATGCTGTCCGTACTCCTTGTGGAAGTCTCTCACTGAGTAAGAGGGTCTGGCAGGTATTGCTGGATAGAACTCTTCCCTCTCCACCATATCCTCTTCTTCAGTCCAGTATTGTGATATATCCATATTCTCATCTGCAGCATTTACTTCTTCTTCTTCTTCTTCCTCTTCTTCCTCCTCTTCTTCATGGTCATAATCTTCATTATATTCTCTACCTTCCATCATATCATCGTCTTCGAATCCATGTTCCATATTCTCATCATTATTTTCATGATCATTATCATTATTTAAAGATTGTTCTTGTTCATCATGTACATCTTCATTATATTCATACATTGAACTATTCTTAATATTACTATTTTTATTTTTACTACTACTACTATTACTATTATTGTTATTACTATTACTATTTAAATACATTTTTTTAAATAATATATATTTAGAATATATATATCTTAAAGTATACTTTTATATAAAAGTAAAATATATATATTTATATCTTGAGATTTATTGTTTTTTATTTTTCGATAGAAATCGTACAAATACAGTTTGTGTGTGTGGTTTTGAATAAATAAATAAAATTATTTTATGAATTTAAAAAAATATATATATGAATATACAGAAATATCTATTTTTATAGATAAATAGTCGTCATACATATAGAATTAAATCTCAATTTTTTTTTTCAAAATGAGGATTTGCATGTTTTAAAAAAAATCAAAAAAAAAAAATCAAAAAATTCAATCAGAAAAAATATTGTTTTATTTATTTCAACCATCAACAACACCCAAAAATAAAATAAATCGTTCGAAACTTTTCAATGAAAATTAATGAAATAGTAATTCATTATTTTGTAAACTAACCAACTGCTATAAAGTAAAGTAATAGTTTAGAAATTTATTTGATTGATTATGATTTATATAATTTTGAAAAATAAATTCAAACTAAATTAATTTCCTTGACAAGTTATTCAGATCTGAGAAATAGATAGAAACTTATTAATATTCCTATTTACTTTATCATTTGAGATATAAACAAAAAAAAAAAAAAAGAATCAATAATTTTGATAGACATATATATTTGTTTAATTTATGATATGATATTTGTTTTTTTTTTTTTTTTGTTTAATTTATGTTTATTCTTGATCAGAGACTGAAGAATCAGAAGATTGGTCGTTGTTGACCTCTGGAGCAGATTCACTCTTCTCTTGAACAGCTTCCTCTGATGATGGTGTTTCTTCGACAGCAGCTGCTGGTTTCTCTTCTTCTTGTTGTTCTTCCTTTTCTTCATGTTGATCTACTTTTGGTTGTTCATCTTCTACTTTTTCTTGTTCTTGTTGTTCTGGCTCTGATGCTGCTGGTTCTTCATCGACAGCGGCTTGTTGATGCTCGTAGGAAGCCTCTGGGTTGAAAACTGGCTTGGGATCGTCGTCGACATACTTTTGCTCGGACAATCTCTTGAATTTCTCATACTCGGTCTCGGCTTGAGCTTGGCTGTCTTGTTCGATCTTGTCGACCGACGGCACGTAGTCCTCCTTCTTCTCGAGGTATGGGAATGGATTGTCGGTACGCTTGGTACGTCCGAATCCCTCGTCCAAATTACCCTTGAGAGCGAACAACTGTTTGAAATGTGGCTTGCAGTAGATGACACCGTCCAATTGGGCGAGTGTTCCCAAGTTGAGGATCACCTGACAGTGAGAGCACTTCAAGCAGGTCTTGTGGAAGATTCTACGGGCGTCGGTCTCCTCGAGTACGACCTTCTCAGTCAAATAGACAGTCTTGACACAGAGATGGCATTTCTCAGAGGAGGTGGCGCTGAATTTCTTGGCGACGTCTGGGTTCGACGATTGTTGAGTGTTCTTCTCTTGGGCGACTTTCTCGACTGGCACAAAAGTTGCTGGTGCAGAGACGGCTTGTGGAGTCCACTTGTCGCTCTTGGCGGCGTTTCCGGCCATGTCGTCAAAGTTACCCTTGGCGGCAAACAATTGCTTGAAATGTGGCTTACAGTAAAAGACACCGTTCATTGAGGCGTAGGTACCGAGATTCAATGTGACACTGCAGTGAGCGCACTTCAAACAGGCCTTGTGGAGAACCTTCTTGTCATCCTTATCCTCAACAACAGTCTTCTCAGTCAAATATACAGTCTTTGAACAGACAGCACACTTCTCCAAACTACCTGAAAACTTGGAAGAGATACCGGTTGGTGTATCTTTTTTTTCAGTTGTCTTTACTTCTTCTAATTTAATAAATGATGCTGGAAAAACAAAAAAAAAAGTGGAAGAAATGGAAAAATATTAATATTTTTTTATACAAAAAAAATGAATGGGTTTAAATAATAAATACCTGGAGTGGATGCAGCTGGATTTGCTTGTGGAGTCCATTTTTCGGAATGCTTTGACTTTCCGAAACCTTCGTCGTAATTACCCTTGGTGGCAAACAATTGCTTGAAATGTGGCTTGCAATACATGACACCGTTCATTGAGGCGTAGCTACCAAGAGACAATGTAATCTTACAGTGAGAACATTTCAAACACAACTTGTGGAATGTCTTTTTCTCTTCTTTGTCTTCGACGACGATCTTTTCAGTCAAATAGACAGTCTTTTGGCAAGCAGTGCATTTTTCAGATCCTCCTCCTAAATTAACCATTTTTAACTACTTATTTATTTATTTATTATTTATTACAAAAAAAAAATCTATACTTAAAATTTATATTAATAATTTATTATAAAAGAAAAAAAAAAGTAAGAATTTGAAGTTGATTAAATAAATGTATTGTTATATGATTTTGAATAATTATTGATTGAATTTGATTGATTGATTAATTATATTTATATTACAATGTAAAGAAAAAAAACTGATGAATAGAGTACAGAGATATTTATAGTTTTTTTTAATAATTTAAATTATAATTGGGTTTTGAAGATATAGCAGATATGAATGGCAGGCATACACCATATTATTTGATTTATTATAAAACAAATGTTTATGGTTATTATAGCCACTACTGTCACATCTTACTCATTACTCTTTTCACTACTCTAACATCTTTCACCACATTTTTTTTCTCTTCAAACACACTGATTATAATCAATTAACTTCATCAAACAAAATCACCACAACCACCTTTTTCAAATTGATTGCAATACAAAGTTAAACATTTAAACAAAAAAAAAAAATGAATTTTTATAATAATTAATGTGTTTGTTTAATCAATCCATCTACCACATTTAATTTTTCGTTAAAGAATTGATTAATGTTTGTGATTTTGATCTAATAATTTTTAAACCAAAAAAATTAAATAACAATAACATTGATTGAATGATTGTCGAGTTGATTGATTGATTGTTTATGTTATTGTTTCCATTCAATATTTCCATTTTTCCAATCGGAAATCCTGGATTTGTATTTTTTTTTTTCTATTCCGCCCTTTGCTTCACCTTCACTCCCTCTCTCATCCCGCTTCCATCTTTATCAAACATGAAATTCACCTTTCATCTTCAGTTCTCTCTCACTCCCTCTTATTTTTTTCTCTTCCTTCTAGATTTGTTAAAAATGCTAAAAAATACTCACTTGTTTTATATTTTAAAGATAATATTAATCTTCTTGATGTGAATACTGATACAGGTTGAAATGAATCGATACAAAAAAAATAGATAACAGTCAAATATAATCAACTATTATTGAATGTGTTTAAATGTACAACAAAAAGGTATTGAATTGAAATGAAATGAATGATTTTTATTTTATTAATAATAATAATGATAATGACTTTTTCAAAAAAAATTGAACAAAAAAAAAAAATTAAACCCAAAATAATTAAAAGAAAAAAAAAAACAAACCAAAAATAAAATTAATAACGATAGTATGTTTTTTTTTTTTGCAAATTTTTACATTATAAATAAATTGTGGACCCATCAAAACGAAATTGGGTCACCTATTGTAAAACGAAAAATAAATTTTCTAATCGCCCAATTATAAAATCATCTCTTTTTTATGATAAATTGGATTGTGAATGGGTTCGAATGAAAAATGAAAAAATGAATAAAAAACATATCTAATAATTTTTTGGTAAAGCAATAAAAAAAAGGGTGAAAAGTTGAAAAGTTGCAAGTTGAAACAAGGAACAGAAGTACTAGGTCCATGAACCTCTTTTTTCAACGTTGTCACAAGGAAAACGAATAAGTGTGTGCATTTCATTAAATTGTGAAAGTTTCTATTGTAATAAATATTGTTGTTGGGATGAGGGTACTTTATAGTATTTATATATTGTATTGCATTGTTTTTTTCATTTTTACTTTTACTTTGCAAGCATGAGGGAAAGGAAATCAACTACTTGAGCTCTTGCGGCAATAAGCGATGGTGGATCGATCGATGTCGATTGGATAAGGGTTCCACAGTGACCGGCTTCGTAGGTGGCGGCTTGAACAGTTCCTTCCAAGTTTGGTTCATTAACACTCAATAAATGCCATGGCTTAAAAAAATAAATTAATTAGTTTTGGTTGATTGATTGATCAAAGTACAATGTTATTGTTGTTACTTACATCCAAAAGACCATTGGTAAACATAATATTGCTACCTTGAATTTGTTGACCACCATAGTATGAGTTGGTCCAAGCGATATTTGGTGTCATTCCCTTGATGTCAAAGATCTCTTCACACCACTTGACTTGTTCTTCAACATTCAAAGTTGGTGGGAATACAGATGTACCTGGATAGGTAGTAGAGAACTGTATATATATAGATAAATTAATGTAATTGTAATTAGTTAGTTAGTTATTTTTTAAGAAATGAAACAATTTAGTTTTTTTTTTTTTTTTTTGATATTTACATAACCAAATTCGACACAAGTTTGCCATAACCAACTTCTGCTACCATCTTGATCCTTGCTGTTTGTCTTTCTCATTGAGTCGATGAATGACTTTAGGGAGTAGTCTTGACATCCAGTTTGACCACCGGCGACAATTTGTGCCCAGTTGTCGAGGAGGCTAGATGTTTGGGTGAGAGTTTGACAGGTGGTGTTCAATCCCCAGGTTGGTGGATTGTTCATTTGGTCGGCCGATCCCAATGCTTCGGTGAGAGTGTAGAGGAAGTAGTAGAGATCACGTGGATTCTCCAAGTTGGAGCACGAATTGAATGTCTTGGCGAGTTGGTCACGTCCAGACTTGGAGGTTGTCAATGCCATGATTTGGTTGGTGGCAGTCTGTGCGGCGGCAACACAGTCTGGTGCGGCAGAGTTGGAGAACTGCGAGTAGTAACCGGTGTAGTTGAGTTGAGCCAAAACCGGGCCGGATGGAGCGACCGATGCAACTACGAGTTGTGGATACTTCAAACGGAACCAGGCTGAGAGAGCACCAGAGTATGAGCAACCAAAAACGACGACTGGTGCCGACTCAAGTCCACGTTCGGCCTTGAACGAGGTGAGGAAGTTGGCGGCGTCGGCCAATGCTTGCTGACTGGTGAGATATCTGAGATTCGGAGTGGAAAAGTCGTTGGTTGGATTCGAGGCACCGTAGAATCTGTGCTCCAAAACAACATATAAAGCATTGAACTTGTCTGCCCAATTCCAGATTTGAACCTCTTGGAAGTTGAAGAATCCCATTGGAGCTTCACCAGCCAAGAAGAAAAAGATTGGACCTGTACCATCAAAGTAGTCGTCGATTACTTGATATTGTTGTTGGAATGTTTCATCGTTATTTGGATCAAAGTGATCTACCAACTAAAATAAAAATATAATAATATACACAATTTGATCAATCTATAGATTAGAAATCTTTATCATATAATTGATGATTGATTTAATGATTATAGATTCTTACTTGAGTGAACCAAAAAGTTTCATTTGACATTAATGGTGGTTGTGGTAAAAGTTGACGTTCCTTGGCAAATCTTCTTTTGTAGAGTGGTGTGTTGATGACAGCACTCACAGCTGCCAAATATACAATAAACAGTACTAATACACTGTTTCTAAACATTTCTAAATACCTATGTATATAATATATATAAAGATATATGAAATAAATTAATTTTTAAAAACTAAAAACACAATTGATCGTGTAATAGAACCAAAAAGAACACACAATCATTCTCCGCTTTTTTTCTTTTCTTCAAACTTTTCAAATGATCAAGATTTTTTAATGAAAAAATTAAAAAAATGAAAAATATCCTATACATTTGGTTTTTGGATGAATACATTATTCATACTGTTAACACATTAAAAAAATAATGATAATAATATTTAGCATACATAATAATTTTTATTTTCGTTAAAAAAGTATATCTACTTTTTTTAGAGTATCTTTCAAATGTTAACAACTAATTTAATATTTTTGATCAGGCACCAGTTTGGTTTTGGGGATAATCAAAAAAGAGGAAAAAAGAAACCAGTTCGTTGAAGATGTGAAAGTTCACTTTTTCTTTTTTTCTTTTTTCTTTTTTTTTTATTCGTTTTTGGTAAACAAAACATGATTGGGTTTTAATGTCTTAAAGTCGATTCTCTTTGAAATTCAATCTTGATTGAATATATCACCTAATTCTTCTAATTCCAGTTTACAAAGGCTATGGATTTTATAGAGATTGTGATCTTCAAGGTACTCTACTAATCTCTGATGAACCAAACTCAAAGTCTATAGAAATAATTATTTGAATTAATTAAATTGAAATTAAATATATTATATTTTATAAGGACCTAAAAAACTATATAAACTCTTTGAATTCAAACTAATTATATAAATCAAAAACATTAAATATTTCCTAAATAAAAATATATTATTATATTTAATCAAATAATTTTAACAAAATGAATAATTACATTCAAGGTTTATTAGTTACACTCCTCTTTGTTGCCGTTGCCAGTGCCGATTGTGGTTACTATTGCTGTTGTGATTCCTTGGTATCAAGTATCACTGCCTTGCAAACCAGAGTTACCGCTTTGGAAAATGCTAAAGTCCAAACCATTACTGTTACCACCCCAAACCAAAACAATATCATCTCCAGTCAATCATGGACTGTTATTCCAGGTACCACCACTAATGTCCAAATCACCGTTCCAAGTAACTTGATCGTCCATGTCACCTCAACATCACATGCCGACTCCTTAGGAAATGGAAGTGAGTCCCTCGATATCACTGGATTCATCAACGGTTACATGATGACCCTTGGAAACCCTGCAACCGGTGCTCCAACAGGATTAGGTGTCACCAATACTTTGCAATGGACTACAACAGCTGCTCTCAACCAACAGTTCTTGAACCCTGGAAACTTTACATTTGATATCAGATCCAGATTAAGATATCCAACTGCCAACCCAGGAGAAGTAAACAATCCAGGTGCCGTCCTCATTATTGTTCCAGTTTAAAGAGTAGTAATTTAAAAAGGAGATAATTCCCATTAAAAATAAAATACTTTTATTTAGTAAATTAATATTATAATTTTTTATTTTTGTAAAGTTTTAAAAGTTGGATTCATCTTCCAAATAAAAAAAATATAGGAAAAAGATGGAATGTTTTGTTTTTTTTTTTTCTTTAATGATCTTCTTAATTATCTTTAATATTGTTGTCCTGCATCAAGGATTGGAGATCCTAATTGAATACCACCAACTCCATTAAATGTACGTGTGCCAGTACCTCCAATTGGGGAGGCAGTTGGTGCAGCAGTTCGAGAGTCGATACCATTGATGGTTCCTGGGTTAGTTGGTGCGAAAATCGTGGCCACTTGGGTTGGGTTCAAAGTTGGTCGAATGGTATACACACCGGTCAATGTTGCAATGGTGGCAATGGTTTGTGGAGTGGTAATGGCAGTGTAGGCAGCCAACTGCGATGTAGATTGAGCATATGGATTGGAAGCACCCCAGATACCAGAGAGAAGACCACCACCATGTCCAGGAGCTCGGAAACCACCAGAGAAACCATTTTCATCAAATGTTGTTTCACCACCTTAAAAATGTTGTTTTTTCAAAAACAATAAAATAATATTAAAAAATTATCTATATTTTTGTATTTCTATTGTATTATACTTACGACCACCTCCGAAAAGCCATTCCCAAATACCAAGACCGAAAATGGAATCAATTGCAATACCTGCCTCTGGTTCACCAGTCAAGGCAAGCTTTGAAACTGATTTTGGTAGCAAATTTTTAGATTTCATTATACTTAGCATTATTCTAAAGGTTTTAATCTTTTCTTGCATGATTTTGGCTTTCAAATCCCATCTCTCCTCTCTTAATTCTTCTGTTGAAAGTCGTTGTACGATTTGCTATTATAATTGTTAATTGATTCTATAAAATTTTAATTTTTTCTTTTTTTCTTGACATACCTCTTCATTCTGAATCCATTCTCCTTCTTCTGCTTCAGCATATACCACACTGCTTACAAATAATACTAGTGCAGAAACTACTAATATCTTAAATAGTAATTTCATTTTATTTTATATATTATCTAGCTATGTACTTTGTTATTATTAAAGAATAAATAAGTATTTTTAATGATCACAAAAAGGAATAGATAATAATGGTATTAAAAAATATTGAAGAGTGAATTTCATTATTAAAATAATGAATAATCATATTAATTATTTGATAGGGTCAATTATATTGTAAAGTAGATAGTAAGGTAAAGGTATTTTGTATTTTTTTTATGAGTATAGATAATAATAGTTATTTTTCATTGTATGATTGAATGATATCATTGTATTGTTGAGTAATAATTCATAGTTAAAACAACAACATTACTGTCAAAATGATCAAATATGAAAAAGCAGTTCAGTTGTTTTTGGGTTATTGAACACACACAACAGATTTTATTTGTTTTTTTTAGTTTTAATTTATAGTGTACAATGCAGTGGGGTGTGAATGATCAATATGAATTTATAATGAATGTGTGTTTGGTGGTTTGTGTTGTTCACAATGATAATTGTGTTTGTTTTTAATATTATACTAACTAGGTTTGTTGTTGTTGTTGTTTTTGGATTTAGATTCGTTATGGTATTGAAGTAGTAGTTTTATATATGTGTTGTTATTACTTAAGATTAACTAAATATTGATAGACTTGTTCATCTTTTTCATTCCAACTTATCTTTTTGATACCGTTTAGAATATTATCGATTGGTGTCAATTTGAATCTACAGTTGGTTAGTTGTTTCACTTTGGGAATTAGCTCTTTCAGTGTTGATAAAAGTAAATCGAAATCACTGGTTTGGGGGCATGAGTAGTGGATATTGATTTGCTTCAATGTGGTAGGGTGTATCCTTACGAGTGAATTGAGGAACTCAAGGTTGTCAAACGCCTGGTACTGGGTATCACTCTGAATGAAAATGGTGAACACTTCAATGCCGTGTCCGTTTCGATTCGGTGTCTCTCTGATGATGCTTCTAATAAAGTCGGTATAGTTGTAGCCGAATCCATAGAACTCTGTGACAATGATATTCTTGAGATTCGGCATCACCGGTGGGTAAATCAGATAGGCAAGACTCGAAACTGAGATACTATAGTCAAGATAGTTGAATCTCGAGATTTTTCGGTATTGCATACCGTTTGCTTCGGCGTAGTCGTACAGATATGCCTTGGAACCGTTGCTCTCTAGCGTAGAGTCTTTCTCATCCGATTGGATAAAGAATGTTTCGACTCTTGAGAGGAGATTGTCAACATATTTAATACCACGATCATATCTTAAATATTTGATTGAATCGTAGTCAAAGAATAATGGTGATTGCTTAATTAGACAAAATTCATTGCCTGCATTGAAATAGTTACTCCAAAGATAGTAGTTTTTATCAAGATGTTTCGATATGATCTTAAAGAATCGTTTGGATACCAAAGACAATGTTACTATTTCACTGCCATATAGTGGTGTTTGTAAAGTTTCATTGAAGTGGTATCTATCAGTACAATGAGTGTGTTTAACATTTAGTGTGAATGAAATTATCATTTCTAAAATTATATCTGAGAGTTGATGTTGTTGGTCTGTCAATGATATTGTTAAAGATGATAGTTGATTGTTATCATTAATGATATTACTATTACTATTGTTAACTTCATTATCGTTCTCATTTGCTAATTTATAAAGATATTCATAATTAAAATTAGATATCGATTCTATTTCTCCAAAATAACAAATTCTAAAATATGTATCTATTCTATGTTTTAGTTGATCGATATCAGATTGATTTAATTTATTAAACCATTCTTTAAACTATATATAAATTTGAATAATTTAGTTGTTAATTAAAATGTAAACTATAATATAAAATTATAATTATATTAATTACTCTTTTATCATTAATAATTCTATTGTAGATATCTTTTATTACAGGTCTATAGGTTGCACATTTAAATTTCATCATGTGATTGAACACATTTAGTGATCGTTCGTAGAATACCTCGACGATGAACTTGGTGTAGCCATTGTTATCTGTATAATGAATATATTTATCTACATAGAAATCTACAAAGAATTTAACACATTTCGATCTCATATAGTCATTATCAACATCTTCATCATCAACCCAATTGATAAATCTACGATAAAGTGTGTAGATTCTTATGAAATTTGATAATGAATTACGATCATCGAAAACCAAAGATTTTGAAACTAACTGTGATTCTTCATCAAAATTCTCTTTGTTATCTTCATACATTTTCTTTTATCACTATATTATTTGAATAGAATTATTAAAAATAGATCTTTTGACTTGAAATTGAATTAAATTTTGTAAATTTGTCTTGAAGTTCCGATTTGAAATGGTTAATTTAAATGGTTTTTATAAAACAACAATCAAAACTCCCTTATTTTGTTCCCAAAAGATTTAAAGATAAATTTATTCAATGTATTTAAATATTTATTAGATTGGTTTGTCAGTTAAAAATTTAGTTTGATTATAATATGTAGAACAATTAATAAGATTCTCTTACACATAAAAGTGTAAATTATCCACTAATTTCATTGTTTTTAGACTTTTTGGATTAGTTAAAAAGTATCAACTAATTATCAAATATCAATATATCGTCAATTAACAGATATAAATAAAGAGCAATTGTGAATTTGTAATATCAACGAATAGATTAAGACTAGTTTAGAAATTAAATAGTGAGCTTAAGCTAGTTATAAGATGTGTGATTCTAATAGAATTACAATCAATTTCCCTGGAGATGTTAAAGTTGGTCTTCAGATTTCCAATCAATAGATGTTTCTGCCTAGTACAAGAATCAATTCATACAATAACAGACAAACCAATCTAGTAAATTTTAATATATTAAATAAAAAATAACTTTAATTAAAAAAATTATAATCTTTTATTTAATATTGTATAGTTTAAATAATTTAATTTATTATATATTTCCTTGTAAAACCAAATACTGATAAACTTGTTCATCATTCTCATCTAGACATAGTTTTTTAATTCTTTGAAGAATGTCATGATATGAAGTCAAATCTAAATTATGATTTTTTGAATTAAGATAAATATCTGGGTTTTGTCTAATTTTGAATTTAATATTATGTTGTTTGATTTCTGTAATCAATTCTTTCAATGTTATTAGAAGAATTTGGTAGTCCTCATCATTGAAAAATGCATAGTGAAACTGTATCGATCTCAATGTCTTAGAGTGAAGCCTAACCAAAACAGGGAGAAAGTCAATGTTTTTAGCGGTTGTCTCCGTGAATATAAAGGTGAGATGTTCGATTCCATGTCCTTTCCTATTCGGTGTGTAATTGATCACATCAATTAGCAGCTTGCTTTGAATGTCTGAGTGTCTGTAGCGATCGGTTGCTATTATATTCTTGAGACTTGGCATTGAGGGTAGAGAAGCAAGGTAATATTTTATACTCTCTTTGATTACTCTACTCTCAAAGATAAAGTCATCCTCTAACGATTGGAAAAAGAATGTTTCAACTCTTGATAACAATCGATTGGCAGCGTCAATTCCATTGTCATATCTGATATGCTTGATCATTTGGTAGTCGAAAAAGAGAGGTGGTGATCTTATTAAACTGTATCCACTTTCCAGATTGATATTATCACCCCATTGAGTGTAGCTGTTATTGATTAGTTTAGAAATGATTTTAAAGAACTGTTTTGATACCAAAGACATTTCTATCGTAGATTGACCAATATTGTATGGTCTAATTCCTGTAATTTTGAATTGATATCGTTGTTCATGAGAATTATAATCATAGTAGAGAGTAAATGATATGATTTGATCGTACACTGTATCTGAGAATCTAGAATGACTAGAGTTGGGTATGATTAGAAGAGTAGGATCTTTTACTACTAGTTTGTGACTATCTATATTAGTTACAACAATTGGTGTACTATTCTTCTTTTTGTTGATGTTTTCATGTAATGCTTGATAATAGAAATCATCAGTTTGATGCACCACACCGAAATAACAAATTTGACGGTAAGTTGATATTCTGTAACGCAACTCATTTAGATCTGATTTTTCTACCTCGTTAAACCATGCATCGAACTATAGTTTTAATATGGTTAGAAAAATATGTTCTAATAGACATAGGTAAGTAACTTACTCTTTTATGATTAATAATATTTTCGTAGATATCTATTATCATAGGTTCATGATATTTACACTTTAAAAGCTTCATTTGCTCGAATACCTCGGTAGAGGGGTCAAACAATACGTCTACTATGAACTTTGAATAACTCTTTACATCGATGTAATGTAAAAGCTTATCACGATGAAAGTTGTTGAAAAAGACCACACACTTGTATCGAGTATTGATTTTAACTTTATCATCACCATCATTATAGACATCATCGATTATTCTATAATAGATATTATAAACTTTTATCATGGTCGATAATGAATAATAATTATTTAAGTCTAAACATTCTATAGATGAATTTGATAGTTTGATTGATTTACACGGCTGGCCTTGATTAACTTCTTGGTAATATATTCTCTTATTGGCTTTATCACCACTATCTATATTCATTATTTCTCTAACATAATATTTCTGGAATCTATCGCTATTATCAAAAAAAAAATCAACATGGAACTATCGATTTTTTTCGTTACTTTTGATGTCGAGGGAATTTGAAATAATTATTATTATTAAGATATTTTTTTAAATATCTTAAAAATTTGGAACAATAGTTCATATAAGTATAAATCTTTATTTCTTGTTGCTAGTCATTATTATTGTATTAAACATGATACAGTATCTTTTCCTTGTGTTTGGTTAATGTAATCTTGTTGTACTTGTTGTAACTTATAGAGATAGGCATGTTTCGATAGTTTATAGAAACCTTGTACTATGTTTATATTTTCACTAGGTGAAACCATGAAATGATTCTGTTCAAAGATGTTTTTCGATTGACACCACATTGAAACTTGTTTGAAATTGGTTGCACAGATATCGTGAGTATCCTTTTGTAGTCTGCTATTAAAAAGGGCACCCACTACAATCGGTGGAGTAGTTTTATAATGTAGACTGATTCTTTCGTAATTTGCAAACATCCTACTTATACTGGTTGGCTGAAATATATTATAGACCAAAAAGAAACCGTGGTAACCTGATAAAACTGGATCATTTGACTGTTGTGCACCTCCATCCACCATATTCAATAAAACTTCAACATCTTGCTCTGTACTAACTATATCACCATTATTATTTACAATTTTTTTACTGCTGTTCTCCACATCATTTTGAATCGTATCCAATGATATTGTTAAATTATATATATTACGAGGCGTATTGTATGGTAATATTCCAGGCATCATTTTACTATGAATAAAACTATTTATAATAAATGTTGTTTCAGGTGCTTGTCCAAGTACTACCAAAAATAACTCTTTTCGTACCATCTTATAATATATAAATTTTAATGCTATTACTATTAAGACAAAATTATGTTCAAATCATATTCCCAAAATGCAAATTTTCTTTTTCTTCAACGGAAAAAAAATTGGAAACATTAAAGAAACAATGATAAAAGTTTAACATTTATATAAACTAAATAAATAAATAAATATAGTAAACTGATTAAAATCATTTTATTTACATTAATTTTGGGTTGTTGTTGTTGGTTATGATATCAATGATGTATCATTTGTATTGTTGTTATTTTTATCAATATTATTGTTGTTGTTGTTATTTAAATTTATAATACAATTGTTGTTGTTGTTATTATTATTGTCGTTGTTGTTGTTGTTGTTGTTGCTATTGTTAAAGATTCTGTTGTAATCGGCAACACAATAAGGTTGACCGTCGACCTCAAAGAAACTCTTACCAACCAATGCTTGGCTACATTCTTTGCAAGTGAAATGATCGGTGTGCCACTTTTTACCAAGGGCATTCACACATCTGTACATAACATTGGCATTACATGACGGGCAAACAGGACAAACGTCATTGAAACATGTTTCACAAAGATATTTAGGTAGCAGTTGTTTAGTAGTTGGATTGGGCGATGTTGAACCTAGCAATGGTGAACTAATGGAACTCGATGACAATGGTGAATATGGTTCATTCGATACAGATAATAAATCTAATAACAATGGTGTCATATTATTATTGCTATTAGAAGTTGTTGTTGTTGTAGTTGTTGTAGTTATGTTGTTTGATGATGATGAATATAAATTAGGTGTATTATTATTGATTATTGATTCATTATTATTATTACTATCAGTTGAACTTATTAAACCTTGTCGATAGAATGTTTTTGTACCTAGTTCTTGTCGACATTTGTGGCATTTGAAACAGTCACGGTGATAGCTGCTACCGAGTGCGATAATCATATGACCAAAGATAGGCTGGTTGCAAGCGAGACAGAATGTTTGACGAATCTGCTTCGATGACGATGCAATGTTGTCGACTATAGAAACTACGTGATCGCTTGACGATGATTTCACCAGTGGCATACGCTTTGATTTGTAGGAGCCTTGCTCGCTTGGTGTCGGTCCGATAACGGAGCCGAGTGGCGTACTTGGGAAGTTCGATGTTCGCGGTGACAGCAGAATGTTGGGTGACGACGTCAACGACGAAAGGTTGTTGTTATACAGTGTAAAACTATCAACTAATATATCCTTAGTTGGTGTAAGTGAGTTACGAAGTTCACTGAATGAGATGGTGGTCGGTGATGCTGAGCTCTGACGATGTGGAGTATTACTACTACTCAGCGGTGTTGAAACTCTCAACTCTGAGAAATCGGTAGCCGTAGATTCAGATGTTGTTGATACCGTTGATGTTTCAGAGAGTTCATCGACTTCGACATCTTGTAGTTGATGTTGATCTTGAACTATGATAATATCATTATCCTCTACTTCGACAATGTCTTCATCTTCATCTTCTCCAATATCACTTGTTGAGTCAAGAGTCGATGGATCTACAGGTCTGTTATCTTGATCTACTTTTATCAGTTCATCTTCCAACTTGATGATTGTTGTAGGTTGTTGTTGTTGATCTTCTACTACATTCAAGTTGTTAACTGTGATAATCTCTGGTTCAACATGGGCAGCTGTCTTTGGAGTATTGAATAACTTTTCAATTTCAAGCAATGAAGATCTACTTTGTATCTTCTTTGATTCAAATATGGTGTCGTTCAATAGCTTTAGTGTATCTCTTCTACTCTTTGAATATTCATTCTCCAAACTACTATTATATACTTCATCGTCTTTAGTTATCTCCTCATCTTCATCTGCAACTACATCATCAACGGTTTGATTCATATTGTTCGATGTAGCCAAATTGATACTGATGTATTGACCTTCAAACTCCAGTGTAGTTGTCATCTTCTCAATCGATGATTCAATGTCGTTCGATTGTTGCTGACTTGCATTGAGTGAACTATCAACAACAACGATAGCTGCTGCTGTAGCTTTTGGTGTGACACCAACTTGAACATTCTCTTCCTCCGAGCTGTTGGAATCAAGTGAGCTACTCAACGATGGGGAGTTGTCGTCGTCTGTGTTATCATTGGGTGATGAAACAGAGGCTGGAACGTGTAGTTGCTGTGAATCTGAACTGGATTGAGGATATTGCTGTCCGAACAAGACACGCGATACATTGAGGAATCCCTCACCCTTGATATATTGTGGGAGATTGAGTGTGCCTGCGACTGTTTCATTCACAGGAATGGACAATCTCACATTGTTTCCTTCTTTGGAACTCAGTTGTTTGGCAATCACCAACTCCTCAGCGTTGATATTCATAGCGATGTCGACGTTGTTTATATCGTTGTTGCATGGGAATGGATTGATTTCACCACCCTTTCTCTTGTATTTGATCAGCTGGAGGAACATTACCACTGGCTGTGGTACGTGTCCCTCAACAATCCACTCGCCAGTACCATATTTCGATGCCAGGAAATGACGTGTCCATTTGAATGTGAACTCTTTGCGTTCAGAGATGTACTCCTTCTCTTTCTCGTCCCAGAAGTAAGTGATGTCCGGTCGCACCGTGGTGGTGTTTGGCGACTTGATGTCGACGCCGTTCAAGTACCACGCGAGATAGACACCGTTGAAACGACCGGTTCCAATCGATGCAAAGTGATTGGAACTACGAAGCCATTCACCATCCCAGTGATAATCGATCTTCTCACCGCTAGCACTTGTTCCAACGATTGTTGACAACGATCCAATCGAATTGTAATCCCACTCTTCGTCGTCCGACGACTTTATAATGCCACCCTTGATGTTGTTCTTAAAGAGAATCTTGAGGAGCAGCTTGCGGTCTGGCTGTGCCAAGAACGAACGGAAATCGGGATGAGTAATACCGTCGATCTTAATAACCCAGTCGGCCAAAGCAGAGATCGGTGAAACTTGGAGAACCAATCTAGATGGAGTCGGTGAAGAAGATGTATATTCAATTATGAAACCATAGGTAGATTGGATAACTTCTGGTTCCTTTTGTAACAATATTATATTCTTTATATCACTTAATAAAATTGATTCTACTGGTGTTGTTTTCTGTTGAATAGTAAACAATGATTAATAACATAGTTAATTAATATTTTTAATTTCATTAACAACTTACTTTTTCAGATGAAGCATAATATAAAATATGAGTACGAGTTAGAACGAACCAGTATTTTCTTCGGTATTTGAAAATTCCAACACCACCCAACTTGTATATATGCCCACTTTTGTATTCAGCCATGTTTTGTGGGTTTGTAAAGCTACGTCGTCTTTTAAAAATCGTCAATTTTGAAATGAGAGGTCTCAATTTGAGACTTAGATAATTATTGGATAATTTCTTGTTTTTGTTGAATTGATTGTCCTTTTTGATTTTATTCTTGTTGTTGGTTATACTATTATTATTATTACTATTACTATCACTATTATATTCTAATTCTTCTTTTAATTTATTAAAACTATTATTATAATCTAAATTAAATTTACTAGATTGATAATTATTATCACTGTTGATGCTGCTGTTTGTTGATGGTGATCTACTATTATTATTAATACAATTTAAAAATCTTTTTCTTCTACTGCTTTGGTATCTCTGATAGTAGTGATATTGATTTCTCTCTTGGTTGAAACGAACTGTTTTTTGGACCAACATATTGATTTAATTAGTAAAGTTTATTTTTCTTTTTGGAAACAAAAAAAAATTGAGGGAAATTGGAAATGACTGGAACAGAATTGATTGAATTCAACAAAACACAAAACTTTAGTATTTTTTTTTTTTATTTTAACAACTAACTATGATTATTATATTATAATATTGTTTTAAAATTGCTTTTGATGATTAAGAGTTGAGTGTTTTTTTGTTTGTTTTGGTGCTGATTATTTTAACAACTTGGCAATTGTTGTAATTATATAAACTATAAATCTATTATTATCTTTTTTTGATATGGTAATATGTTATTGGTGTCACACTACTATTGTTGATATTACTCAATACGTTGTTATTTTTCTGTATGTTTGGATGATATCAAACAGCCACAGAGCCAATTGACATTGCTCGTGAAACTGCAATTATTATTTTTTGTTCGATTGTTTTTGTGAATGCCTAGGCATTAGATACACTGAAACAAACAGGCAACACTACACACTCAATACTTGATGTAAGAGACAAGCGTGGTAGAGTGATATCGAAAATAAAATATTGGTGGAAACTAGTTTTTGAAAGATAAATCAATTTGGTGTGTTGGTGGTGTTGTTACTGTTGTTATTTTTGTAATAAGAGATGTGTTTGTTGGAAGTTTGATCACTGTGGTGATGGTTTGTGTGACAAATTTGTTTTTTTTATTTATTTTTGTTTCAAAGGAATGAGACGAGTGATGATTGTTCAACTATATATATTTATATTTATTTTTGTTTTGTGGTTATTGGCAGTTGATGATGATGATGATGATGATAAAAATATTGATGATGTTGTTGCTGTATTGTTGATGTATTATATGTATAATATGGTATTGATGGATATTATTATTTTTATCTTTATATAATTAATATTGTTGTTGCGATGTTTGCTATATTAAAATGATTCTCCACGCTAAAAGCATATGAAAATGCAAATTTAGATCTACTTTTAACAAAGTAAAAATTTGTGCTGAAATTATTGTGAACTAATATTATTATGATAATTATTATATTGCTTGATTTATATTGTTATTTAATTATTAGTGTTACTGAGTAAATATAGATATGATAGATAGAGTTTGTTTTGCTATTGGTCAAAATTTGAAATCTTGAAAACTAAAGGAATTATTATTATTACTAATATAAATTATTTGTTGTTGGTACGATGGATAATTAATTTTTAAAAAAACAATAAATATTATTATTATTATTATTATTATGTTTTTAAATAAATGATTGAGTGTTAAAAGATGTCTTTCTAATGAGACATATTGAAAATCAATGAGCAAACAATCCAATAGAAATTATGAATAAATATAATAGATATAGATATTTATAAACTACAAAATCACTAGTTTTAATTAATATTGTAAATTGGAAATTATGATTGTTTGATTGATTGTCAATTGCACTAATAATAAAATTTAGAATATATTTATTATTAAAACAACAAAAATAACAACGGCGACGATAACAGTAACACTAACAACCTTTATTTATGTGGTAAACAAACTTTTGATTCAAATATCGATCTTTTTGAGATATAAATAATATATATACCTAATGTAGTAATATATATATACAAATATTCATTACTGTTATTAAAGTATATCATATTATATTGTTTTGTTTTCTTTGGTGGTGATGGCAATCAAAACCACCTGGAAATAAATCCTTTTAGATCTTTGAGGTGGTTGTGAATTAATTTTAAAAGTGATATCACATATGTCAAAAACAACTTATATAATATGATGACTTAAGAAAATCACAACTTTTTTAAAAAGTTTAATTTTGAGAAATAAATCTTACTTGTGGTTTTGCATTGTGTGTTTCTTTTGATTGATTGAATGTGGGTTGTTTTTGATTGTTGTGTGTGATTCGATTTGATTTTTTGATATATACTATTATGAGTGTATACTATATATATAATAACGATTTAATTACTTATAAACTTGCAACATATGGTCAAATAACAAACTGATTCATTATTTTTTTAGAATACAAACTAAATGCTAATATACTGTTGTCAACAAATCAAATCTGTTTAACTAACTAACTAAACTATACTATACTAAACAAAACTATACTAAACTAAACTACTAGTAAACTATTCTGTATTATTATTACTATTAGGTGTTTCACTTACATAGACTTAACTTCTAAGAGTTATTGTTTGTCGCAGTGAGTTGATCATATGATTGTTAAGACTTTTTGAAATTTGGTCGATCTGAGAAACCCAAAAAAAAAAAAACAAAAACCTCCTAAATTTGAATTTTTATGCTGCAAATATAGTTGTTTGGAAAAATATGTTAATTTTTTTTTTCGTATTATTTTTTACATCATAAAATCTAAAAATAAATAAGTTGTATAAAAATAAAAAAAACAATAATTATTGACCAAATAAATATTAAACTGATTAATTGAAGGATTATAATTAAGTAAAGTAAAAGTGAATTGTTGTGGGATGTTGATGATGATGATGGATGTTGTTATTGTTGATTATGATGATGATTTTGTAAAGATGTTGGAAAAATAAAGTAAAACCAGTAAATTAAGTTAAAAGATGTGGAGAATAAAATAAGCAACGCACAAAAAGATGTGGAAGGAAAAAAAAAACAAATCAAAAAAGGTTTGGACTTGATGTTCTTCTGATTTGCCAACTTTTTTAATTTATCTACAACACAACTTCTTATCTGTATGTCTGTCTGACTACTACACGTCGTCCGATGTTTGTATTCAATTTCAATCATTCTGTTCAGTATGATTTCTGAAAGCACACACATTTTTGTGATTTTAATGATGGTTAAAAAAAAATATATAAAAAAATAGTGATTACAACAAACAAAACACACACGCACAACTAACTCTTTGGGGAACAACAGTACAAACTAAAACAAAACACTAAACACAAAATGATAAATCACTCTGATTATTAATGAATGATGATGTTAAGTGCTTATTATTGTTTTAAAAAACAGAGTTGTAGTATCAATCCAATATATAAGATTTCTTATTTACCCAATAAAACCAATTCTAAGGTAATAGCTTGGTTTGTTTTTCTTTTTTTTTTTTTTTAATTGGAATTGAAGTTAATTGAAACTGATTTTATTTGACTTGATTTTATTGTTGTTGATGACTTTGTTGGTTGGTAAGTTTATTTAATGGAGAAATGTGGAAGGAAATCTTTTTATTTTTGATTGTATTTAATTTAACTACTTTCAGTAGGAAGTGATTTACTATTAAGTTTTATTTTATTTTATTGGTTGGTGGATTATTTAATTTAATTGGTAGTTGAAATTAAGTCGAGCAAATTATTATAAAATCAATCTCTACTTTAAGTTAAAGTTTAACTTTTAATATAACAACCTACGAGTATGATTTTTTTTAATTTAAACTTTTAAAATGATAAAGAAAATACTACTATTTTAAATATGTTACAAAATATAAAATACAAAACATACCAGAGGAGTGCAATTTTATATTGTTAATATTTAATTGAAAGAGGTGGATGGATATATGAAAAGGTGGATAGATGGATGGATGATTATTTTGTTGTTGGTTAAATATTTGGTTGTTTGGTGTCTCTCTCTATATTTATATTACTTTATTATATCACATCAGGATTTAGTATTTGTGCTGTGTGCTACTTAATGTTTGCAATTGAGATTGTTGAAATCCAATTGAGAATATTGTGTTTATATTTATATTTATGTTTTGTTTTATTTGCAACTATTTTTTATTTATTTTCTCAATACCAAATATCGAGATGAACTAGTGATTTAAAACATCAGAGATGAATCTCTTAAGAGAAATGATGATAGTTGTTTGCTTATAAATCTAAAATAAGTTGATTGTATTATAGTGAAGTGTATTCGCGGCTTGCCGTTTCAAAGAAGAACGATTGTTCTTGTCAATCCATCAGCAAAGTTAAGTTCACACCAAATTTCGAAAAGTAATAAACAACAAACACACTCTGTGAAATTAAAAACAACAATGAGTAACCAATTAACTAACTAACTTAACACCATCCACTAAGAACATGTTTGCACCACCTCTCAAAACTATTTTTCAAATCAACAACACTGTTTTAAAAAAGTTTTGTGGTATGTGGAAATTTTAACAAACATCCATGTTAAAGTTTAGTTTGTTTTATATTGTTGTTGGACACTTTCAAAGATTTAGTTGTTTTGTTTTAATTGTTGGACCCAATATCCACAAAGTCGAAACAAAACGAAATGCTATTTAATAATATTTTCATCGATGTAGTGAAATTAAGAAGTCTGTACTCTGTTGTTGATTGTGTGGTGAAGGTTGTATTGGGTAGGTGTAAAAATACTAACTACTACTACTACTATATCCTCATTATACAATTATATGAAATTATTTTAAAAGAAAATATACCTTTTACAAATGAATTTAGTTTATATAAACTTGGTAATTTCAAACTTTTTGTGCTACTACTTCTTCTTTTGTTGTCTTGCTGAAATGTACTTTACTTTTTGGTCGTAAGAAAAAAAAATTCTTATAATATTTGATTATTTGTAGTTGTCTTTTTTTTTGTTGAAAAAGCTTTTAATGTTCGGAATGGTGTTCAAACAACCATTGAGGTCTCTGCTGTAATGTTGTTGTGTTATTAATGGGGTGGTGTGTTTCTATTGATTTTACAATGATGTTGTTATTGTTAACACCACTTATTCACCTGATTTTTTTTTTTTAATCAAGTCCAATAAATAAATAAATAAATAAATAAAATATTAATCAAAAGCAAAAAAAAAATGAATCTAAAAAAAGTAAGGAGAACTTTTTTGGTTCTGCTCTACCTCGGTGTTATTTTTTGATTGTTTATATTATTTTTTTTTTTTTCGAAACCACAAATTGGTCTCTGGGGACACTGTTTTCAAAAAAAATGGTACCAACCCTTTGACCAAATTTTTATGGGTGGTGCAAATTAACTTAAAATAAAACAAAAACCCAAAAAAAAAAAAAAAATGAATCAAAAATTTGTTGTTTTTACTTTTTTCAATGAGATCTATTGTACTCAATATCTTTTATGATTAATTGATTTATTTTTGTGTTTGATCATTCATTTACAGAAAAAAAAAAAACATATGTTTTTTGTTTATATTCGAACACAATATCGTGAATGTATGTTTGGAATTTAAATTGTGTTTTGTTATGTTGACAACATCTTATTATCTTATTTCTTGTTGTTGCTGTTGTTGTTGTTGTTGTTTGTTTTGGGTTGTGATTGATTTGGTTGTTGTTGTTGTGAAGACTTATTCTTTTCTGATTCTAAACGTTGTTCTTGACGCTCCTCTGCTTCTTCAACGATTCTCTTGTAGGAATCCTTCAGTCTTGCCATGATTTCAGCAACTTTCTTGTCGGCTATCTCACGGACTACACCGACCATTTCGATACGCGCCGGTTTCCACTCGATCTCAGTGTCAAAGTTGATGTCTTCGAGTTCACGTTGGTCGTTCTCGGTCATCTCTGGGAACTTTGAAAGCCATACGATCGGTGTGTAGTAACTGATGTGCATTGGTTTGTCACCGAGAATCGATGGCAGACGGAACTCACCGTCGATAAAGTAGAGTGCATTCGCCTGGAAGAATGGCAGTGCCGGTTCGATGTGGTCGATCACCACACGGATGTCACGAATCGAGAATTTATAATCGATCTTCTCTGCTCTCAGCGTGTGGAATACATCTCTAAACGATTCGATTGCCATCTGAGTACCATCTAATTTCATACTATTCAATACTTCAACTTCATTGTTCTCGATTGCAGAAATCAGTTTCTGGAAATTTAAAAGTAATCCTTTTGTTTTGTTTTGTTTTGTTTTTAGAATATATATTTATATTAATATATGTTGTTGTTGTTGTTGTTGTTTAAAGGTTTGATTTTGATTAATAAACTAATTACACTTACTCTTTTCAAGTTTCTCTCTTTTGAATGGTACCATAGATTTAAACATACTTCTTACTTTGAGTGGGAAATATGCGGCGTCGAGAGCGAATGTACGTGTTGGGAAGAGGTAGGTGTATGGGTTGAGATATCTGTAGTCTTTATCTTGTATGGCTTTGTGTATTCTCTCAGAGACAGCTTCCAATGGCTTTGGAACGTCAATTACAAACTTTACACCAAGATCAGACTCTGTAATGAATTGAACTGGGTCCAACGGTACCAATGACTCTGGATCATCGACTTCATTCTCCTTTGCTGCTTCCTCTTGTTTCTGTCTCATTAATTCATCAGGATGCATTACCTGTTGATATTTATCTTTATTCTTTATATCATCCTTTTGTTGTTGTTGTTTTTGTTTACTTGAATAGTATCTAATATTATTATTATTATTGAATGATGATTGTGTATTGATTTGATTATGGTATCTCTGATTGAATAATAAAGATGATGATGATGATGATGATGCAACTCTATTAATGTTTAAAGATGAACAGCATTGCTGTTGTTGCTTTTGTAGTTGTAATAATCTTCTTGCTAGCATTGTTTAATAATGTAAAATAAAAAAAATTGCATAATTTAAACATCATTTCATTTTTTTTTTGTTGAATTTTCGCAGCTTCATTTTATGATCTGCATTTTTAAATTAAATTTACACCTCACGTATACCAATTAAAATATTGTTTTGTTCTTATAATAAAATAATTAAATATTTTAATATTTCATCAATAACAAAAGTTTGATAATCTATTCATAATTATAGATTTTCATCTCTGAGACAAGCGCAACAAAGTAAGAGAAAGAGAAACTAGAGCAAGAGAAACATCTAAATTAATAAATTGTGAATCTTTAAAAAAAAAAAGTCATTGCAACTGTCTATCTAATTTTCCTAAACTGTCTTTTTAAAAAAGATATAAATATATTTATATATTTTTAATAAAATTTGATAATAATAATGTTTTTATTAAATAAATTAATTGGTAAAAGTAATGATAATATCGATAAATCAGAAATAAAAAGAATACTTCGGTATGCATCTGATCTACATCTAGAGAGATTACCATCGTTGTCGAGTGTGAATGGACTTTATGATTTCAAAAAGCAGAAGGATACAAGATATTTCTTAGCTATTCCAGGAGATATTGGGAATTTCGAAATGTTGGAGATTTTTTTGAAAGCAGTATCGCCAGTATACGAGAGAGTGTTTTTCGTTCCTGGAAATCATGAGTTCTTCTACCATTACAATGGCAAGGTTTTCATGACAATGGATGAAATCAATGATCGGCTTCAAAAGATATGTTCAAAGTTTGACAATGTATCTTTTCTAAACAATGGCTATTATCAATTGGATGAATACAGAATTATTGGTAGTACTTTCTGGACAAAGATAGGTAAAGAAGAGTCACAGAGAATCGCTAGTTCATGGCCTGACTATGGATGTATTTTCATTCGTGATGACAACAATCCCGCTGGCAAAAGACTGGTACTACCCAAAGACATCACAATGATTCACGAGCAATCCGTTCATTATATATATGAGTTGCTTCATTCTACGCCAGAGGGAGGAAAGAATGTTGTTCTCACACATCATGCACCACTGTATAGCGATAAGTCAAAAGAAATCTACACTTCCAATCCAGATCACATTGGATCTCCCATTACCAATGTATTTCAAAGCGATCAATCGGCATGGATGACAGAAGACAACAAAATCAAAATATGGATCTTTGGACATACTCACTATTGCACAAAATTCACTTTTAACAATGTTTTGGTTGCCTCTAATCAACTTGGATATCAAAGTAAAGATATTGGATTCCAAATAAATGAACATATTATTTTAGATCAAATTAATTAATTAATAAAATTATAAAAATAATAAAAATATTTATTTAATTTTCAATAATAACTTTTTTTTTTTTTTTTTAATAAACATATTTTATTTTTCAATTCCAAAAATATTCTTTGAACAGAATTCTTTTTAGGTTTTTCAGAATCTGAAAAGTGTGACATTTGGGTTTGATGGTGGTAATCTTTTCCTCTTTATATATCTTTTTAAACTATTTTAATAAATGTATACTTTTAAACAATAAAGAGCATTTGTTATTTTAAATTATATTAAATAAAAATGAAAAGAATACTTAGATATGTTTCAGATATACATTTGGAGATGTTTAGAGAGAGTACAGGAGGCGATCAACTTCAAAAGATAGAGGGCCTGTTCAAATTCGAGAGAGAAGCTGATACTAGATATTTCTTGGCAATACCTGGTGATATTGGTACTGTTGAAACACTTGGCAAGTTGTTTGAAAAGGTGTCACCTGTCTATGAAAGAATATTCTACGTACCTGGCAACCACGAATATTACAACAAATCCAGTAAAAAAGACTACATTCAGACAATGGATGAGATTGCCAACAAACTTCAACAACTCTGTCAATCCTACACAAACATCGTCTATCTCGACAACAACATCTTTGAACTCGATGAATATCGTATCATTGGAAGTACCTTCTGGACAAAAGTAGGTAAAGCCGAATCGCATCTAGTATTAACAGGAATGAATGATTATCGTAGAATCTATATAAAGAGTGATGATGATGAAGAAGAAGAAACAACAGCAACAAAGACAACAACAACTACTACTACTAATAAAGTAGAAGATGAAACAACAAAAGAGAAAGAGAAAAACAATGTCAGATTATTAAATTTTGATGATACCAACAGATTACATGAGGCAGCCGTTAGATTTGTTTCGGGTGCATTGAAATTTACACCGCCTGGCTTTAAGAATATTGTTCTGACGCATCACGCACCACTTCCAAGCAATCCGGCAAAGAATCAGTTCACTTCACACCCTAGATTCATCGGTCAACCTCAAAACACAGCTTTTCACAGTGACCAATCAACACTGATATCTAAAGAGAGTTCCGCTTTGAAAGCATGGATATTCGGACATACTCATCACTCTTGTAAATTCCATTATAACCAAGTATTGATTACATCTAATCAACACGGTTACCTTTTCGAACAAACTGGTTTCGATATTAATGATTTTATTCTATTAGATTAAAACTGCAACTAAATAAAAACATTTTTGTAAATATAAATCAAAAATCTATATATATACATTAATGACTTATATATATATACTATTTCATATGTCGATGATCAAAATAGATCGATCATTTCAGATATGATCATTTTTTTTATTGTTATTGTCATGTGTTTTTTTAGTCGATAACTTTTCACTTATTTCTTGATTCAAGTTGATAAATTAATAATAATAATATATATATTAAGACAATGACTTATTATGATCTTTCAGTACCATATACAGATTATTCTAGAGATGTTGTTTTATATTTAAATAAATGTAAGTTAAAAATAAGATAGATAGAATCTACGTTTGATATTTATATCTGAATATACATTTAATAACATCTTTCATTTCATTTATATTTTAGTGGGATATGATGCGGTTGCATTGGTGCATACTGTAGAAGGAAAATTAACACCTAAAGATGTATTTATTATTTTATATAAAGTTACTTTTTGATTTTAATATTAAATCTCTATTTTTTATTGTTGTTGTTGTTGTTTTAATTGGTTTTAGGTTTGTAAAATAAAGAAAGTAGATGTTGGGAATAGAGGTACTACATCTGGTTGGATGAGAATAGGAACATGCTCACGTGAGATCAAACAATACAGTAGATTACAAGTGAATTGTAGAACGATGAATGATTTCAAGTTGGTCAATCAGAACAATCCCGTTGTGAAATCATACGATCTCGTTGGCATCGTTGCACACGACCAATCGATATTCAACAGCGCCTGCACATCGAATGACATCGACATCATCACATTCAATCAGTTCTGTCGGTATCACATCAAGCCGGAGCGTGTTCGTCAGGCAATTGCCAACGGTATATTCATCGAGTTGACGTACCAGCCACTCTTCTCCAAGGAGGAAGATCGCGATGTCTTCTTCACCAACGCCAACAATCTGATTCGCTCGAGCTACGGAAAGAACATCATTATCAGCTCGAACAGCAGTGAACTCAACAAGTGTAGATCACCCTACGACATTTCGAATCTCGGTCATCTGTTTGGCATGACATTCGATCAGGCAAAGGCTGCCGTCAGTACACACCCGCACTCGGCAGTGTTGCACGGTGCCTCACGTAAATCACAACTCGGTCTGATGGCGCTGAGCGCCAACAACATCAACACGCCATCCACCATCAAATCACTTCAGGAGGAAGCAGAACACTGGGAACAACAACAACAGGCATCCGGTAACACCACCCCACATCCAAAACATACAAATCAATATAACAATTCAACAGATTCAACAACAACAACATCAACAACTTCATCAACTTCATCAGCAAGTATATCTAAAAAATCAAGTAATAACGATGATAAAATGGATATTTAACTAAAATAAATGAAAAAAAAAAATTATAATTATAAATTTTAATATTTTCAAAAAAAAAAAAAACAAAAACTAACTAATTAACTATACTTTTATCATTGTAGTGTATCATTATCTTCATTTCCCCCTTTTTCTCAAACACACATAACAAATTATATTAAAAACAAAAAAATAGATATAAATAAATTTGTTTTATTTTTGGGATTACATAAAATCGAGCAAATCAGTTGAGTCGATTTGTTTGAGAAATGGGCAAAAAAACCAAAAAATCACTAAAATTTAGTTGTTGTTTTAAAACCACAGAAACAACAAAAACTTGCAAACATTTTTAGAAACAAAAATAGTTTACTCATTGTTTTGTTAAAAAGTAATAATAATTTAATAGCAAGCATTATATAATATAAGCAAAGTAATAATAATTTAAATAATGAATCTATAGAGTCTTAAAAAACAATTGCAAAAAAAAAGAATTAATATTTAGTAACAATATAAAACTTTTCTATTGGTATGTAACTTAACTGACAGATCGATCGAACGATGATCATTCAATCAATACCATTATTGTGTACATACATTTGGGTGATTTGTTTGTTGTCATTTCCCCATTCCCGTATTCAATCACAAACTCACCTGATCATTGTAGAATGTGATGTTATAAAACTGATTAGACTAGATCGCGAAAAAAACAAACAACAATAAATATTCATTCGTTCTGTTTAGTACTTCTCATGGATGACAATAGTAGTTTATTATTAAGAGATGGATAATGATAATATCCATCATATGATATCACAATCGTACATTCGTACAAAAGACACTTTTATTTTTGAGTTTGTAGTTGTAGTTGTAGTTGGTTCGTTTAGTTTGATGTGTTTTTACAAGATACATCACACCACTCTACTACTTGTCACTCGATGTCATTTCTTTTACTTTCCATCACAAATCCAACCCAATTCCAAATCAACTCAATTCAGATTACCATATCAATTGTGATGATATTTAAATTACAAATACTACATTAATTAATGGAACTAAATAAATAAGTAAAAATAAAAACCTATAACTAACTAAAGTTAGGTGATATTAGTCAGCAGAGAAAAACCAAGTCAATAAACAAACAAAACATCCATACACCTAATTAGTCCATCGATACCAAACAAACCATACATAACACAATATATATCTTATATACAACAATAATAATAATAATAATAATTGCAATACAAACAAACAAACAATATCAAGTTCATCTCTTTAAACCTTTGATGATTGTCTGTAGATGGTAATGTGTGGTTTGTTTTGCATGTTATTGGTTAATCCACTTCTTCTTCTTTTGTTTTTCACCACACACAATAACCATGACAACTATAAATACATGTGATATGGGTGAGGTTGCAGTTTGTATATTTTTTTTGTTTTATTTCATTTTTTTTTTAATGTGTAGAGTGTTAAAAATAATAATAATAATTTTTTGACAATAACATAACAAAATCATAACAACAGCAAATATTCATTATTTATTTATGATAATTAAAATTGTTGTTGTTGTTGTTGTATTGTTTGTACTGATAATATAACTCATTAAAAACACAATTGTTGGTTGCTGTTGTTTTTGTTAGTTGTATTAATGCAAAATTAAATAGTAATAATAATAATAATATTGTTAACAGTACAATACAATACAATACAATATAGAATTATTTTGATTTTAATTTGAATTTGAATGTTAAATATTTAATCAATCAAATCAAAGTACTAAATCTAATTATATATTATATGCATAGATAGATAGATAGATAATAATAATATTAATAAATTTAAAATAATAATCATTATAATGTTATTTTGACAAGATCATCTTTGAATCAATCAATCAATCAACCCCTCACAAATAATTCAATTCATTCAGAATTTATTCATTAATACTGACTGACTGACTGATAGACAACAATAATAATTATATAACAGATACATTATAGATTGACAAATAAATAGACAAACAAACAAACAAACAGGATTTTATAGATAGACGAAAACCAATAGTAAGAGTTATCATTCATTCATTAATTCATTCAATTCACTCTCACTTACATAAGATTGTTTTGGAAAATATTGTAATGAAATTATTCATTTTTCAAGTACATAAGAATCAAATCAACTACATAGACAAACTCATTGATCATATAAATCATATTCTATTATCAAGTTTAATAGTTAACTAACATATAGCATATAGTATACAAATTTAACAGATACAGATATTGAAACTTAAAATATAATCAGATTATTGTATCATAGCATAGATATTTAAATAACTTTTGAACATCAATTCAATTCATATATAAAACACAAAACAAACTAAAACATGAGTAATTCAAATTTAACAAGCGATACAAACAGTCCTATGAAAGAGAGTTTTTGGAGATTTTCATCTAGAAAGGTACATTGTTTATACATATTTTTAAAAGATTACATAAAGAATACTGAATGTGTATGATTTGATATTAATAATAATCAACTATTATCAATTGATAAAACAGAGTCCAGGAACTGCCAAACCGATTAATAACCACCTTCCACATAAATTTGAAAAGTTTAATGGGTATGTTTATAATTATATATATATTTTTTTATATATATATATATTTAGTTTATATCATTAATTTATCTATATTTATAAACAACAATATAGTTTTATACCGAAATCAAAAAGAGAAAATGATCAATCAGCAATATTTAATCATAATCAATATGTTTCACCTAAAATAGTACAATCAGATAGTACAAGTGTAGTTGTAGATTTTAATAGTAATAATAGTAATAGTAATAATAATAGCAATAATAATATAAATTCAACACCAGATTCAAATTCACCAAAATCATTTTCATCATCATCACTCACACCCAACAATAGTAATTCACCATCCACCACATCATTATCATCAGAGAATCATCTATCACTTTCATCTTCATCCATTAATTCACTAGGTTCAAGTGGTGGTGGAATAGATAACAATAACAATAATAATAATAATAATAGATCAAATGTTTACGATGAAAAGAGTACGAAATTGAAACGATTCGAAAAATTGCTTTGTGCTGGAAACGTCGATTTGGAAGCACTAAAGAAACTGGCGTGGCGTGGAATCAGCAAGTCGAAACGACCGATGTCCTGGAAGATACTGCTGGGCTATCTGCCGACGAATGGCGAGCGTCGCGATGAAACACTGGAGCGCAAGCGCAAGGAGTATCGCGACTGTCTACCACAGTATCACATCTCCGAGGAGAAGCGAACCGAACCCGACAAGAAGACACTCAAGCAGATCCAGATGGACGTGCCGCGCACCAATCCGTCGGTTCCGCTCTTCCAGCAGCCGTTGATCCAAGAGATACTGGAGCGCATTTTATATATTTGGGGAATACGTCATCCCTCGACTGGCTACGTGCAGGGAATCAACGATTTGGCGACGCCATTCATCTATGTTTTTCTTTCAGAGTTTGTGGAGGACATTGAGAGTTGCCAGGTCGACACACTCGACCCGGCCGTCTTGTTCATGGTCGAGGCCGACAGCTACTGGTGTCTCACGAAGCTGCTCGACGGCATCCAAGATCACTACACATTCGCACAGCCTGGCATTCAGAGGATGATCGTCCAGCTCAAGGGACTGCTGGAGACGATCAACTCGTCGCTGTGCAGTCATCTCGCCGAGCAAGACGCTCAGTTCATTGAGTTTGCATTCCGTTGGATGAATTGTTTGTTGATGCGTGAGATTCCATTCTCACTGGTCATAAGAATGTGGGATACCTACCTGTGTGAACGCGAGGGATTCAGTGTGTTCCACATCTACGTGTGTGCCGCATTTTTGGTGTTGTGGTCGGACGAACTGAAACAAAAAGATTTCCCAGACATTATGATTTTCCTGCAGAAACCTCCAACTCAAAACTGGGAGGAAAGAGACATCGAAGATCTATTCTCAACCGCACATCTTTATAGAGAACTATATCACAATGCACAATCTCATTTGAAATCATTAAAACCAATAAGATAACAAAAAACATAACATAAAACTAAAAAGAAATAGAAAAAAGTAAAATAAAATAAAAAAAACCACACACAATAAATTATAATATATAAATGTTATAGTTTAGATTTTTGTTTAGACAATACATATATAAATATAAAGTTATGTTTTATTTATTTTTAATTAATTTCAAAAAACTACAATAATTATTCCATTGAATTTTCTGATTTGAAAAAATCTGTCACATTTGCCTGCCAAATGGTATTCATTTATTCATTTGTTTAGTTTCATTTTGATTATTTATATATTTATTGTACTTATGCATATGTTATGTTATAATATTAAATTAGATAGTATATTATAAAGATAGTTTTTGTTTAGTTTTTAGTTAACTTTAAAGTTTAACTTGTTAGACTTTGATTAAGACTTTTTAAAAAATGGGAAATGAAAATGGTAGAATGTTATCTCCTGAGGAGATGAGAAATAGAGAGATTGGGTTAATGGATGGTGAAATGAGAAGAAAATTAAATACAAGAGCTTCAAAATATAATTGTAAATATAATAATAATATTAAAAAGAGACTTTACATTTCAATCGATCTTTTTTTTTATTAACATACCGATAATACAAAATAATAATATTGGTTTATAGTAAAATTAGTTATAAAAGGTGAAAGAAATACAGGTAAAACATGTTTCTTTCATAGGTTACAAGGTAAACCATTCTCACATGAATATAGTCCTACTCCAGAGATCCAAATATCACATATAAATTGGAATTATAAAAGTAAGTACTTATTCAATCAGATAAGAAATGATAAACTAGCTATATATATATATATATTATAAGTGGCTACTTACTTAATTATTTAAACTATTTTTAGATACAGATGATATTGTTGATGTTGAAGTTTGGGATGTTGTTGACGTCGCAACTACAAAGAAAAAGACAAATCAACTTGTTACACAACATAATCAACAACAACAACAACATCAAGAGTTGTCGGATATTGGTAGTACAACGAATGAGTTCAATCCACCTACAAAAGACGATATCTCACAGCAGATTAAACGTGGACAGAGCGGAAGTTTCAAGATACACTCTCTCGATGCTCAGACCATCGATGTTATGAAGAATGCCAACGCCGTTATCTTTATGGTGAATCCACAGAAACGTTGGACATTCCAGTACGTCGAGAAGGAACTAGTAAAGATCCCTGAGGAACTCTATGTGCTGCTCATCACCAACTACCGCGATCTCGGCGACTACTCCAAGACGGTGACGCGCGCCGAAATCGAAGAGCTGTGTGAGCGTCGCACTCATATGTATCATATCGACGCATCGATGTTGAACGCCTTTGGACTGAAAACTATTATCAGCTTCTTCAACATTCCGTTCTTGCATATGCAGCGAAACGCCATACTCCAGCAACTCGACCGAAACAAAATAGAGTTTGACTCGGCACAGGAAGAGGTCGATCTACTGATAGCCGACCAGAACTACAATGAACATGTAAAGAGATTAGATCAAACTAGAATACAACAGCAACAACAACAGCAACAGCAACAAGTTCAACAAGCTCAGCAACAAGCTCTGCAACAACAAACTTCACCGAATCAAAGCAAGTCACCGACAACAGCAGCAACTCCACAAATACAAACACAAACCTCTCAACAATCTTTATCTACTTCGCTACCAAGCCAAAAGTCAGCTCCAATGGCTAATCCAATTCCGACAACTGTAGCTTCACCATCAGTACAATCGAGTGGAAGTGGTGGATTCTTTAGTAGAATATTTGGTATGAATAAAGATGCAAATCAACAGCAACAACAGCAACAGCAACAACAAGCAGCACAGCAGAAACAACAGCAACAAGTACAGCAACAGCAACAACAGCAACAACAACAGAAACCAGTTGTTCCAAAGAAAATTGAAAATGTAGATGAATTTAATCCTGGTGAGAGTGGAGAAGATAGTTTCTATAGTGATGATGAGAGTAAACCTAAACAATCAGCTGCCACTTCATTCTTGAAGAGTGTGATCAGTGGTGGCAGTGCAAAGAAGGAACCAGTTAAACCACAAGCAGATTCCTTTGGCGACGATGATGACGATGACGGATTCAATCCACTCGTCACTAAGAATGAAGGTGATGACAGCAGCGATGAAGATGCACAAGTATTCTCAACACCTGTCAAACCAGTAGTCAACAAAACACCAGTTCAAAAACAATCAACACCAATACAAACACAAACAACTAAATCACCAACTACTAATAATAATAATAGCAATTTATCAAAGTCACCTGTATCCACTACCACAACCAAGGTGGCTACATCAACTTCAACACCAACACCAACCTCCACCTCAAAGAAAACTACAGCATCACCAGTAGCTGCCAATTCATTCGGTGGTGATTCCGATGATGATGACAAAGGTAATCCATTTGTAACAAAGAATGATGATAAAGGATTTTACAGTGACGATTCCGATGATGATGACAAAGCACAACAACAACAAGTTGTACCACCCAAAAAGACAACAGTAACTCCAGCCAAATCACAATCAGTTACCATTACTCCATCAAAATCATCATCTCCCACTCAAAAAGTATCGAGCTCACCAATGTCAACTTCACCTAAGACACCAACTCCAACTCCAAAACCAAGCAATGTAACATCACCATCTTCTACACCAAAACCAAATGTACAACAAACTACATCCAAATCAACAACACCAGCACCAGCAGCAACAACACCTAAAATACCTACACCTTCATCAAAATCAAAGAAACCTGTTGTCATTAAATTCAATGATGACGACGACGATGACGAAGAGAATGGACTAGTCGCCAAGAACGAAGGAGTCGACAGTAGCGATGAAGATGCTCAGGTATTCTCAACTCCAGTCAAACCAACTACAACAACAAAATCAAAATCAGTAACAACACCAAAATCAAATAGTAAAGCTTCGAATACTCCAACCTCTAAATCCACAGTAACACCAGCACCTGCTCCAACACCAACACCTACCACATCAGCAGATGACTTTGTTCCGCCACCTGCCGACTTGGATGATTGGCTCGACGACTAATCAACTCTAATAAAACATAATTACTAATTCAATGAACAAACGCTACCTAATAAAAAAAAAAACATTTTATTTATTACTTACTACAATTTAAATTGCAAAGTTTTTCTATTATTAAAATACAAAGCTAACTCTGTTTTATACACTTTATCAATCTTGTGATGATCATTTTCAATTAAAACAAAGGATAATCCCCCCCCATCTTGATCACACATTCACTGCACTTATCTTTTATTTATAAATTTATCACTTTCAATTTTTTTATTATTATTTCTTAATGAGGCAAAAGAAATCTATTTGTTTTGATTTATGTTATTGTTTGGCTCATCAGATTACACTTATTTGGATTGAGTACACTCACACTACACAAATAGTTATATTTAAGATGTATATACCACTATTTAACTTAATATATCGGAATGAACCATTTTAATGTTCATGCTGAATATTACTTTCTCTAAACAATGTAAGGTTGATCATTACAACATTATAATTTTGATAAAGTATAAAAAGAGGATTTCTATAATGAAATATATCATTATTTAACATCGACAAAGATAAAAATCATTAAAATGACTTTAATAAGTATGTACTAGTTTAAAAGATAGACTTATATATCTAAAGAAAAAACTTTTTTTAATTGGCTTTTTCTATTTAGAAAAAATAACTAAACTAGGAGGTATGAATATTTCTTTGAATTCTAATCCCTACCAAGAGATAAATAGTGAATTTTGCAATCTTAAAGAAGACAGTAAACATACAAAGAAACTTTTAATACGTTGGGTATTTGATTTCCCATTACTTTACTGGGAGTACTTTCAAACAATGTCTACAACAACCATTTAAATGACATTTAATACAATATTATTTATTATCACCGATTCTTTTGTAATTTCTTATTTGTAATTATTTATTAAAAAAATAATAAACATGCTCTAAAGCTTTTTTTTTTTTTTTTTTGATCATCATTAATTAATAAATGCAAAGTTAAAAAAAGATATATATATATATAATGAATACAATACAAAAATCAATTGGTAGAATAATAGGGGTTTGTGGTTTGAATGCATCAGGTAAATCGAGTGTTTGTTCATATTTTAAAGATCAAGGTTATGGTATACTCTCACTCTCTGATGCTCTTCGTCGTGAACTAAAGCAAAGAAGTATACCAGAGACAAGAGATAATCTAATATCCATGGGCAATGAATTAAGAAATAGTAATTATCTAGATAAACATTTATTAAGATCAGATGATGATGATGATTATATTGACTGATATAATCTTAAGAATATGGAGCAGGTATACTAGCGTCAATGATCTTAAAGAATTTAGATTTAAATAGCAACTATGTAATAGATTCAATTAGACATCCCGATGAAGTAAAAGAGCTGAGAGCTGGTCAGCATCAGTTTTGTTTGGTTGGTGTAGATTGTCTACCATCGGTGAGATATCAACGTTTGGTATCGAGAGCAAGAGTCGGAGAGACAGGTCCGTTGGAATACGAGGAGTTTCTAAAGATCGATCAACGTGAGTCCAATAACCCCGATCCCAAAGGACAACAAGTTGCATCGGTATTGAAATCATCAGATATTCTCATTGACAACAATCAGGATCTAGATCATTTCAAATCACAATTAAACTCACTAAATCAACAAATCGATCAATATTTTCAAAATAATAATAATAATAAATCATTGTAAATAGATAAGTATATAAAGTAAAGTATGTTTGCATAACACAATGAGAATCAAATAATTTTAGAGTGAATGTCAACGCAAAGAAAAAGAATGAATCCGTATTTGATATTCTTTACTTGGAAAGAAATAGGTGCTTTATACTAAAAAATTTGTCAAAGTCGATTGTAAATTTAAATATTTAATGTGTTACGATTTTTGGATTAGGTCAATATCAGATGATATAATAATATGTTATTCCTAAAAGTGTTTAAAAACAATACTAAAATATATCTTTAAATAACAAACTTATAAGAAGCTTTTTAAAAAAAAAAGTGTATTTTAAATGAAATAAAACTAATTGTACTGTTAACGAATAACTATGAAATCGGTCAGTCGGTCGGTTGAAATAAAAAAAAAAAAACAAAAAGTGTAGGGTGTTTAGATTTTCTTTAAAAGTCAGAATATCATTGATTATTAAAAAAAGGGAACCAAGCTTATTCCACTCATCATGATACCAATCAAATCTAAAAAATCATAGAATCATAGGATAACGTTATTACTATGATTCTTTTTTGAGATTGATTTGACACCGTCCTAATTTAGAATCAATCAAAGTGACAGAAGAAAAAAATCTTTGAGATACATAGCACCCACACAGTTCCTCATCATCAATTATGATAATTTAAAAATGATAAATTTGCTTTTTTTGGGCTGACACAAAAAATGAATTAATAAAAAAAAAAAAAAAATTTTTACCCATTCACTTCAAACTTTCAATATTAAAAAAAAAAAAATTAATAATAAAAAAAAAAAAAACCCAAACAAAACACCTTTTTATTTATTTTTTTTTTATAAAAAACTATTCAAACAACATATATATATACACACACACATAATAGGTAAGATTTAATTATTTATTATTGTTTATTATCTTTTACTTAAACACACATATTCATAATTATTCAAAAAAAAAACAACAACAACAACAACAAACAAAAGTGTACACTACCATTTTAATAATACTAGTATACCACCAAGTATTATTAATATTAAGGAGTTTTTAGTTATATCCGTAGTCAACTTGTTGTTGTTGTTATTTTTTTTTATTATTTTTTTTGATTGTCAATGTTTATTTCTTTTGCCATTTAATTTAAATAAACACACTTACACTTACTCCTCAGCACCAAATTAATATCATTTATATTTCTATTATTTTTTTTGATCAAAATTGATTGATTTGGAGGTTGTTGATTTTTGGATTTAATAAAATAAATATTGAAATATTTTATTAAATCCAATCTTTTCATTTATTTATTTATATTATCATAAACAAAAAAGCAATCAAATCAGTCATTCAACTTTAATTTTTTCAACCAAAACAAACCAAACCAAATCATATCTTAATTTATTCAAAGTATTTATTATTTTTGAAGTAAGACCAAAAACATAGAATATTTAGTCGACCGAAATCAAATCATTTATATTTCATTGCAAAAGAAGAAAAATTATTATCTTGACATAAATTATAATACTAATCAATCTATCAACGAATCAATTAATCTAAAATCGATCAAATCAAATCATAATCATTATTAATTAATCAATCAAAGCAAACTACGATCACAAACAACTTTACTCTTTAATAATTATTTTAACTAAATCTTAAGATCATTGTTGTTGATGCTTGAAGAACATTTTTTTGCAATTTTTTTTTTTTTTTGAATTTTTTGAATTTTTTTTTTTCTATTTTTTTATTTGAATTTTTTAAATTAATTTTTTTTGTTCACACAACAACATCCAACAACACACCAAAAAAATTAATTAAAATATCCATCATTATAATTTCTAACTTTAAATATTTATTTTATTTTTTGATATCTCTAATTTAATTTTATATACATACACACAGAATGGCAACCAAAGAGAGAGAAGATAGCGTCTACATGGCCAAGCTCGCTGAACAAGCTGAGAGATACGAAGGTAAGTTTAATTTATTATTTGATTGATGATCATCATCATAAACATAATAATTTTATTTATTAATATTTTTATTTTTATTTCTTTTTTTTTTTTTTTTTGTTTTTATCATTTTTTTACAGAGATGGTCGAGTCAATGAAGAAGGTCGCTCAAATGGATGTTGAATTGTCTGTTGAGGAACGTAATTTATTGTCTGTCGCTTATAAGAATGTTATTGGTGCCCGTCGTGCCTCATGGAGAATCATCTCATCAATTGAACAAAAGGAAGAGAGCAAGGGTAACGAAAGCAACGTCACCAAGATCAAGGAATACAAAGGAAAGGTCGAGAAGGAACTCTCTGACATCTGTAACGACATCCTCAATGTCCTCGACAAGAACCTGATCGTATCTAGCAAGACTGGTGAGTCACGTGTTTTCTACTACAAGATGAAGGGTGACTACTTCCGTTATTTGGCCGAGTTTGCCAACGGTCAACCACGTAAGGCCTCCGCCGAGTCATCATTGCTCGCCTACAAATCCGCCAACGATATTGCCATCGTTGAATTGCCACCAACTCATCCAATCCGTTTGGGTCTCGCCCTCAACTTCTCTGTCTTTTACTATGAAATTTTGAACTCCCCGGAGAGAGCCTGTAATTTAGCCAAGAATGCCTTTGACGATGCCATCGCTGAATTGGACACCCTTTCTGAAGACTCATACAAAGATTCCACTTTGATCATGCAATTGTTGCGTGACAATTTGACCTTATGGACATCTGATATTCAAGGTAGTGGTAAGTTAAATAATTCAAATTCTTATTTATCTCTTTTTTAAAAAAATATTTTATTAACAAATTATTTATTTCATTTTTTTTTTCATTTTTTTTTTATCCTATCTTCAGATAACAAAGGTGAAGATGAAAACGAAAAGAAAGACGATTAAATATATATTTTTTAGTAACTAAATTTTTTTATAGCAATTGAGTAGAAAACACTTTATGCTTTAATTAAAAAAAAAAAAAACAACAATCCAAAAAAAAAAAAAAAAACAAAAAAAAAAGTATTATTTAAAATCGACAAAATAAATCTTGATACATGTACATTGAAAATTATCTTTTAATATTATAATACAAATATATTTAATAGTGTTATAACAATTTTTATTTATTTGATTAAAGACAAACAATTGCAAATTTATCTTTTTTTTTTTTGATTGTTTTTTTTATCATGATAAAAAAAACTTTTTTTGATTGGAAAAAAAAAAAAACGAAACGAAAGTCTGTTAATTTAAACATCTTTTAATTAAGATTAAGAAAGATATATTTATCTAGATAAAAGATATGGTTCCACCTACTCTTAATGTTAAAAAGATTGATAAGAATTCAAAGAAAAGACAAGCATTACAACAAAGACAAAGAGTAAACAATAATAACAATAATAACAATAGTAATAACAACAATAATAATAACAATAATAATAATAGTAGTAGTTTAAAGAATGAAACGGATTTAAAAAAACAACAAAAACAAAATGAAATTAAACAACAAAAAGTAAATTTACCTGTATTCTCTGGTAAGTCAAATCTAACATATGAAAGTATTACAAATTGTATTGATAATTAGAATATAATATAATATAATATATAGCAAGAGATGCATTATTAGAGAATATTAGAAAACATCCAACTGTTGTAATCATTTCAGAGACTGGTACCGGTAAAACAACACGTATGTTATTATAATTATTATGTGTTAAAGTTGTATTAAAATGTTAAAATGAAAAATAAATAATAGAGATTCCACAATTCTTGAGAGAAGATGGTTGGACAAAGAATGGTGTGATTGCTATTACACAACCGAGAAGAGTTGCTGCTATATCGATTGCAAAGAGAGTGGCAGAGGAGATTGACGTTGAGTTGGGCAAGGAAGTAGGTTATTGTGTGCGTTTCGACGACAAGACATCGGAGCAAACCAAGCTGAAATACATGACCGACGGTATGTTGGTGCGTGAAGCGATGATCGATCCAATGTTGAAGCGATACTCTGTTATAATACTCGACGAAGCACACGAAAGAACACTGAATACCGATGTGCTTTTTGCTCTGATCAAGGGCATCCAAGCGAAACGACCTTCTCTCCATATTGTTATTATGTCTGCGACGTTGGATGCCGAGATGTTCTCGCGCTACTTTAACGCGGCACCCATACTCTACATCGAAGGAAGACAGTTTCCCGTGCGTATCTACTACTGCGAGGAGTCACAGAAAGATTATTTGGACGCTGCTTTGGTAACGGTGCTACAGATACATCTCGATGTCAACAACGGCAACGAGAGCAACAGCAATGAAGACGATGGCAATGGCGGCGACATCCTGGTGTTTCTCACCGGTAGAGAAGAGATTGACACTCTTGAGAAGCTGCTCAACGAGAGAATACCGAGGTTGCCGTCGACCGCCAAGCAACTGCTGGTCTGTCCGATCTACTCTGCCATGCCACAGGAGCAGCAGATGAAAGTGTTTGAACGCGCACCCAAAGGCACGAGAAAGGTGATCATCGCCACCAACATTGCAGAGACATCGCTGACAATCAACGGTATCCGATACGTCGTCGATACCGGTGTCGTTAAATCGCGACTCTACAACGCCAAGATCGGAATCGATACACTCACGGTCATACCAATCTCAAAGGCGTCGGCACAACAACGTACGGGTAGAGCGGGTCGTGAGTTTCCGGGACAATGCTACCGTTTGTACACAGAGGATACCTTTGCAAAGTTGGATCATTCGTCGATACCAGAGATCAAACGATCAAACATTGCCAACGTCATACTACAACTGAAAACCATTGGAATCGACGATGTTCTCTCGTTTGACTTTCTCGAGAGACCGCCACTACCCACCGTTCAAAAGTCACTCGAACAACTCTACTGTCTCGATGCACTCGACAAACAAGGCAAACTAACGGATCTCGGTAAGAGAATGTCACAATTCCCATTGGAACCAATGTATAGTAAAACTTTAATACAATCTCAAGTAAATATGATGTTATATTTATTCAGCATTTGCTATATTAGATCTATTATTATTAACAAATAACATCAACAATTATAAATTAGGAATTTGGATGTGTTGAAGAGGTAATCATTATTATAAGTATGCTTTCAGTTGAATCTATATTCTATGCACCAAAAGACAAGCTAGCAGAGGTTGAAGCAATCAAAAAGATATTCTTTTCACCTGAAGGTGACCATCTAACTTTACTGAATGTATTTAGAGAGTATCAAAAAGTCAATGGTAATTTACAGTGGTGTTACGATCATTTTATAAATACAAAATCAATGGTTAAAGTTGTTGTAAGTAATTCAATATATTTAAAATACAACACAATGTAATGATAGTTTATTAATTCATTTGAACAAACACAATTACAATGTATAATAGAATGTTTTTGAACAACTAGTTGAATATTGTACAAATTCAAAGATAAAATTAACATCTTGTCAGAGTGAAACAGAACAAGTTAGACGATGTTTTATTACAGGATTCTTTTTGAATGTTGCAGTGTTGCAACCCGATAAGAAATACAAGACGATGGCAGACAATAGAGAGATTCACATTCACCCAACATCATTCCTCTTTGATGTAAAACCACAATATATATTATACAACGAACTCACCATCACCAGTAAACCATTTGCAAGAAATGTAATACCAATAGAACCTACCTGGTTACCTGAACTATGTCCGAAATACTATGGTTCAAAGCCAGTTGCAACTGCTGCTGCCGCCGAACCTCAAAAATAAATAAACAAACTGTTTTTAGTTTATCAAAAAAAAACTGTTTTCTAAATAATCATAATCTATAGAATGAAAAGTTAAATTTCTTTTTTTTATTTTCTAAACAATCTATGATTTGTTTAAATAGATTATCTGTATATATAAATAGTATTAAAGTAAAAGGTAGTAGTTGTAGATTATTTGAAAGATGTAGTTTAGAAAGTAGATCTATTTTATATTCATCATATTCAACTGGTGGTAAATCAAATGTCGTTGTAAATAAAGGTGTATTGTTAAAGTTGAGTAAAACAGATAGACAACATTTGTATTCTTCATCGCCATCTGTATCATCTCATAAAAGTAAAATACCAATTGAACATGCTAAGAGAAAGTTTGATAATGAAGAGAATGAACAAGATGAAGAAGAAGAAGAAGAAGAGGAAGATGATGCTCATAGTAGTAATAGCAATCAATATAAATCATATGATAAATCATGGTATGAATTGGATGGTTTCGAAAAGTTGGATGTCATTCCAAGTGGAATCATATCGTTAGACTACAGATTGGGCATCGGTGGTATTCCAAAGAATCATATTATCGAGTTGTGTGGCGAGTCATCCAGTGGTAAATCTACGTTCGCACTACATCTTATTGCTCAACTTCAAGCAGCAGATCCAACCGCTACATGTTTGTTCATAGATACTGAGAACTCGTTCAGTTCGGGCTGGGCATCGACGTTGGGTGTTGATCAATCGAGAGTATTCATATCGCAACCAAAGTATGCCGAGCAAGTCATTGACATTGTGAGTAAATCACTTAAACAACAGTTCTTTGGCGTTGTTGTGATCGACAGTCTCGCTGGACTGATACCTCGTGAGCAACTCGATAGTACCAACATTGAATCTGTCCAATACAAATGGTTAGATGAAGCGTTACAACAACTATCACACCTCGTTCGACAATCAAACTGTTCATTGGTGATTACAAATCAACTTAGAAATTCATTTAAAACACATCAGCCAAAGAACAACAATGAAAGTGGTAATAATAATAATAGTAATGATAAAGTAAAATTACAACTACAAATAAGTTCTCATGAGTTATTTGTATCATATTGTATGTATTATAGTTCTTTCATTTTAATTATTTTATTGTTTTGTAATTGTTTATTAATTAGTTGTAATAATAAAAAGTATCAAATAAAATAGAAAAGTATACCGATATTAAATTAGAATTGAAAAAAGATAGATATCTCTTTGACAAACAAGAGAGAATAGATGGATCGAAAACATTGGTGGAGATCAAAAAGAATAGTTTAGAGATTCATTCTAAACTTCAATCAAAGAGATTACTTGGTAGATTCACACCTTTCTTTGATATCAAATTTGATAATGGTATTTCAAAGTATGTAGATTTATTTATATTAAAGGTTGTATGAATGATGACCAACTAATATTAACTTATTTAAAATCAGTAATGATGAATTAGTAAAACTAGCTGAGTTGTTGAATATTATCACTACTAGCAATACTGTGAAGAATAAGAAAGATCTTGCTTTAGAGAATTCTATCAAGAAAAGTTTAGGGATGCATTAATTTTTTTAAATTTAAAAATAGATCATTGTTGCAAATCAACCATCAATTAATTGCTTTTATTTACTATTTTTATTTAAATACATAATCAAAATGAATACGAATATCGAGATGACAGATAGATTAATCAATGGAAAGAATGTCTTGAAATTTATTTAAAGATCAATTCTTTGATAAATTAATAGTTTTAGTTTAAAATCATTTGAGATATAAAGATAATGAACAACACCGTAATATCACATTACTTGTAAATATTAAGAGGAATAATAATAAGATTGTAATACCAGATACAGTAGATACGGAATATCTATTAATAATAATTAGTACCGAAATATCCTATTTTAATTCCATACCTTTTTACACAGAGCTATTAAACTAACATGACCCAACTATTTCAAAAAAATCACATATCATTAATGATTTTAAAATATTATAATCAATTGATATTAACCCTTTGTTTTTGATATTTAAATTGATAAGTCATCCAGATAATCTAAATAATTATGAATTATTCCAATCTAATAATGTAGTTAAGAATTCAAAATCCAGATATACAAAACAATTGATAGAATTTATTCATCGATTGTTGAACCCGAGTCCAAAGAATAGATAATCCAATCAAATATTAAACCAATATATCGAAAATTTCACCAATATTGGTGATACAATTAGATTCAAAATAAATACTACATTTGGTAATACTTCTGATAGTGTCACTGAAATGAATTTGGTGGAGAATTTAATGAACTATTACAATCTAATTCATTCCTCCAAACCTGACATTATTATCATTTGGACTTAATTTCAATCAACCGATTCATGTAGATGTACTTCCAAAATCACTCAAACATTTATAAATTAGTAGGGCTTTCAATCAAATTTTAGAATGAGGAATTTTGCCACCCTCTTAAATTATTAAATATCTCTGAATCATGTTTCAGTGAAGTTTGAAGAAGGATTCAATCAAATATTATCAAAAGGTGTATTTCCCGAATCATTAATATCATTGAAGTTTGGTAGTGAGTTCAATCAAATATTATCAAATGGAGTGTAACCTGATTCACTGAAATCTCAGAATTTTGGTGGATTCAATCAAATATTATAAGGGGGTGTATTATCAGAATCACTTAAATCATTGAAGTTTGGTAGTGAATTCAGTCAAATATTATAAGAAGGAATCTTACCTGAATCACTGAAATCATTGGTGTTTGGATATAGATTCAATCAAATATTAATAAAAGGAGTCTTACCTGAATCACTGAAATCATTAAGAATGAAAGACTACAAACATTCTAATTACGAATAAGTCAAATTTAAAATGGAGTTTTGTAAAGTAGTACCTGAGGTATTATACCTCTTAGGATAGTACTCTTTATGAGAGATAAGTAGAAAAGGTCTTCATTCGATATTAATAAATGAGATCTAAACTTATTTATTATCTTTTAATTAAACATACCTTGATTCAAAATTAATAATTGAGATATCGAAACAAGGAGTTCTCTCGGGTATTTATATTCTTGGTTTACCATCGGTTTGAAGGGATTCGTTGATGACTCATCATGGTAAACAATTCTAGAGCTTCTCTGGTTGGTGATTCATTAATGGACCGTTAATAAACGTCTTCTGGAATTTCTATAGAATTTCTATGAGTGTTCACTTTTTTTTTTTTTAAAGAAATATCCAAGACTTTTCACAGTTATAACTTTTTTTATCAAACAAAAAAAATGTTACCGCAAGCGGACAACTATTATTTTAATGTACTCTGTGGGATTTGAACCCACGCTTCCGAAGAAATCAGTGCCTTAAACTGACGCCTTAGACCAACTCGGCCAAGAGTACTTTGATGATTGACAAAAAAATTTACTAACATTTAAATTTATCTCCCAACAATCAACTACATTAACAGACTAACTAAACTAAAATAACAAAAACTAATCAGAAAATCAAAACAAGACTTCGGTCGAAACAACTCAAACATTAAAGCATATCAATCCAAATGGCTGAAGACGCTAGACAAACTCATCTGGAACCACCAAACCTGGAACTTCTCAACGCCATCCCACCTCACTAGCAATAAACAAATAAAAATAAAATCCATTTGAGTATTCTTCAAGATATGAAAATATTTTAAAAAAAAAAAAACAAAATTTTTTTAAAGCTGCAACCCCAATCACTCACAAACTGGTTCATCTTCTCCACAAACAGCAATCTCGACAGACACCAAATACAAAAATCGGGTGCGAATCAAAAGAGCGTTTCTCAGCTGGGTATGGCTGCTTGATTGAAATTCTGGGATTGTATGCTGTTTATAAAAACAATTCTAACTTTACAATAATATAGAAAAACACAACATGATGATGCATTGACGATCTTTTGCAATAGTAGATTGTATATCCAACACCATTACTGGTTTGATTTCGTAAGTGATTCAATCTTCTCATGACTTGCGAGATTAGATGACTCAAACTTATCTTGGTCACTCGTATTGCTCTTGTGGTTTGTTGAGTGGTTGTGGTGACGTGATAAATTAGATTTAACTTTGTAGCTATGAATGCAATTGGTATGTTTTTTGTCAGAGTTCACTCGTATGAATGTTCTGTATATAGTTTTGAGTGGGATTATTGTGTTGGGTGATTCTGTGATTGGTTGGTTGAGGTGGGGATTGTGTCCATGCTCGCTGGCAAGCTTTTTCCAAGCGTTTGATTGAGAGGAAGTGGTTATAGACCCATGCTTTTTGAGCGAGTTCTCTTACCGGCATGTTCCAGAGGCCAATGCCTCCTTCTTCCCAACACCGTTACTGGTTTGATTTCGTAAGTGATTCAATCTTCTCATGACTTGCGAGATTAGATGACTCAAACTTATCTTGGTCACTCCTACATGAGACATTTCTGCACTTTAAATATATAGTAACCTTTTTTTCTTTTTCTTTTTATTATTCTTTTTCTTTTCAGCTAAAACTTTACATTAGGAACATTCAAAAATACATTTGCTCTTGTGGTTAGTTGAGTGGTTGTGGTGACGTGATAAATTAGATTTATCTTTGTAACTATGAATGCAATTGGTATGTTTACATTTAAAAGCTTTATCTTCAGCAGAAGATACTTGAATAAATACTAATATAGTAATTATGATTAATAAAAAAATAAATATTCTCATTTCTAATATAGATTATCTATTTCTATTTATAATTTAAAATCGTTGAAAGTATTTCTTTTTAAAGTTATTCATCCATCAAACAGCCCGTTGTGACTCCCTTAGCCCTCCATCAGTAGTGGTATCCTGGTGGTCCAAACATAAGGAGTAGAACATAGAACAGATATTTCCCCCCCCGCCTGGTCTTTAGTTTAAGTTCATTTTAATTAATTAATTACTAGTTGCAATAAACCCACGGTACAATTGTTGTGTTGTTGAATATCTCAACTTCCACCTTGTATTGTCACTTCAAAAAAATATTGAATTTCATTCCTCCTAAGGGGTCAAGTTATTGTGATATAAAAAATTTGAATCCAAGCTCCGAAGAAATCAATGCTCTAAACTGACGCCTTGGTCTCGGTGACCAAATACTTTGATGAAGGCTTAGTCCTTCCTTCATTTTTAAAATTAGGGCATGAGACTAAACAAAATGGTGAAACTAATATATCTAAACACTTCCTCTTCGGTGCCACAAGATTCGCATCAATCTTGTCAAAAAAACTACCTAAGAAATCATTATTGACAAAAAAATAAAAAAAAATTGTTTAATTTGTAAGATTTAGACATTTAAATAGTTGATATTATATACAGCTGTCTTTTTATAAGTTCATGGTTGAGGTGATAACATATTGAAAATTTTTTTAATTATTGAAATATATATTTTGGTTGGGTGTTCTCTTTTATTTTTCGAAAACTTGTTGACCATTTTGAAAAAAGAAGAGAGTGGGCATCTCAATGACACCAACCCTTATATCAATCTGCTTTACCACGATTGCGCCCAGGGTTGAACAGATAAATTATCTTTTAAAATTTTTATTTGAAAATAATTAATTCATTCAGAAATGCATTCCCTCATTACATTTTTTTTTCAAAATTTATTAATAAATTTAATTATATTTAAAGTGTAGAATGAAAATAATAATTTAGATATATAGTAGATATATTTAAACAGATTTTATAACTGTTTTAACAAACAAACGAAAAATGGTTGATGACTACTTCTTTTTTATATTTGTTGGATGTATCTTTGGTATTTTCATTTTGGTTATCGTTGTACGAGCGATTATGCATTGCAGACTCAAAAGCTCAATCGTTAAAGATAAATACTATGAATCGATTGGTATGTTCCCTAGGAGTTCGATTCACGAGCCTATGCCTACACCACAACAGAACGCAATACCAACAGGCGCAGAATTTGTTGTAATAGACCCTGTGCTTCCTGTTCTACCTTATAAACCACCGACTTTCTTCAATTCACAACAGAACCAACCATCTACAGTCATAGATGTATATTCTCCTCCTAGTAGTCCCATTATTATTGGTGAACCTTCACAATTACAACAACAACAAAATAACCAAATATCCCCACAACAACAACACAACCATCATCACCAACAGCAACAACAACAACAATATAGAAACAATAATAATAATATGAATAGATCCAATGATTACACCTACAATAACCAAAAATCTTACTTTGACAAACATATGGATGATGATATAGACATGGACCCTTTCAATAAGAATACTCAACCTTATGGTAGAAACTTTAATAATAATAATAACAATAATAATATAAGAAACAATAATAATGTGAATAGATCAAATGTGAATAGCTACTTAACCCCACAACAAAGAATACTTAAAGGATATGATGATGATCCTTTTGATTTAAATACAACTGATGATAACAATAATAATAACAATAATAATAATAATAATAATAATAATAATATGAGAAACAATAATAACCAAAGCCATATTAATAATAATAGTATGAGAAATAATAATAATAACTATCATAATGGTCCTGTAAATAACAACTACCCTCAAAGAGACAATTCTGTTAGAACAACAACCAACAACAATAATAACAGCAATAATAATAATAATGTTGGTTCAAATAATCTCAGAGGAAATAACAATAATAATATAAACTATAGAGAAAGAAAATCGATGAATGAAGAAAGTAATGATAGCTCAACAGATGACAGTGAATTGATCAATAGACCATTGATAAACAGTAGTACTTTGAGAGCACAACGTCAAGCTCCAAGCCGAATTGGAATGCCAAACCAACCACCAAGTCCAGATGTAAATCAACCTTTAAACAACAGCAACAATAATAATAATAATATCTCTAATGTCAACCAACCTATTCAACAAACTACAGTCAGAATGACCAATTCACCCATACCAAACACAAATTCAAACTCTACTGGAAATACTTTAAATCCCACAACCACAACCACAACTACAAATAACAACAATAGGCAAAACAATACTAATAATAACAGTAATAACAACAATAATAATAATAATAATAATAATAATAATAATAATAACAATGCTAGCAGGAATAATATTATGTATATTGATAACTCAAAGTTTGATGATGACCCTAATTTCTAGAGATGAAACTTTAAAAAACTGTAATAATAAGAAATTTTAAGATTTCAAATATAGATGTTTTATTTAATATAATAAAAGGATTAAAAAATATTCTATTTTTTTCATTTTGTACAAAAGAATCTACAATTGATTACAAAGCATTGATTCATTTTATATTAATTTTTTTTATATATTTATTTTATTTATTAATTTATTTTAATCACATTCCATACTGGCATCTTGAGCTGGTGGTTGTTGAGTTTCAGTTGGTTTCTCTGGTTGTGGTTGATCTGGAGTCGAAGTCGAAGCTGGTTGTGGGGTTGGTGGAGTTTGTGGCTTTGGTGGGGCTGGCTTTGGTTTGTTCAAGATTTGTTTGGCCATTGTTTCAAATTGTTGACGTTTAGTGTTGACTTCGGCAATGTTGATGGTGCAGTTTTGAGTGACTGGAACGCTCTTTTCTTTGGCAACCAATGATTCGACCCATTGTGCCAAATGATCAGACTCGGCAATGATCTTGTCCTTGTCTTCTTGGGCGATGTGCTCATACTTTTCGGCATTGGATGAGGCTTCGTGTTTGTAGAACGAGGTGGATTGACGGAGTCCATCGACAGCCTCTGGGTAGTTCTCACGATCGGTACGACGCTTCTCGATTGGGTTTCCAATCTTTTGGAGTTCGTCGAGCTTGGCGACGTATACAGACTTGGTGGCATCCTCACCGTCTCCGTAGAGCCAGTCTTCGGCGGTGGTCAACAATGACATGAGATTGTTGGATTCTTGTTCGGTGGCGAATGGCTTGAGTGCACCAGAGAGCTTTGAACGCATGTCATAGATGTATGACTCCAAAGCATTCTTTTTGTCGGCGGTTTCACTTGCCAAACAATCGGCGGCGTGCATCTTTCCTTCCTCTTCGACCTCTCTCATGAGTTCAGCCTTGTCTTGGTATGGGATGACTACAGTGTATTCGAGTGGAGTCTCTTGTACCTTTACTTTCTTTACTTCTTCCTTCTTTTCTTCGTGTTGTTGGGTTTCGTCCATCTTGTCTTCCTTTGGTTGCTCTGGTTCCTCTGGGAGAGTTTCGACCATCTTGACCTCATCGAGATGGAAAATACCGTGGACATCCAACCAGACACGTGCCTTGACGGTAGTCTTGTTGGTGAATGCTGGTACGTTGTTAACAGTGATGGTTTGGAGGGTTCCGTATGGTGCGGTGACCAACAATTGGAATGGCTCGGCCTTGGTGATTGGGAAAGAGAAACGAATTGGCTTGGCCGATGGAACTGGGCTGACATTGTTGAATACCTGGAGGTTTTGGTCACCAGAGGCCGACTTGAATTGGACTTGGATTGGGTAGCTGGCAATTTCGTTGACAGCGAATTGACGTACCTTGAAGACTGGTGACATCATGGCGCACTGGAGAGCACAACCTCTGCAGACCGACTCTTCAGAGTTGATGGTCTTTGAGAGATCACGACCGAGGAATTCGACCAACTTCTTTTGGACAGAGGTGGAACGGGTTCCACCACCGGTGACTTCGATTGAGCTGAATTGATCTGGGGTCATTCCGGTGGCTTCCAAGACCTTCTTGACTGGTACCAAGAGTGCTTCGAGATCCGATTGGATCAAAGCCTCGAATTGGTCACGATTCATCATTCCCTTGACGTCCTTGTCGTCCATCAACGAATCAATAGAGATTGGTGCCTCGAAATTGGAGGACAACATCTTTTTCAGCTTCTCGCAAGCTTGTTGTGTACGAATCAAAGCCTTTTTGTTCTCGTAAATGTCGATCTTGTAGTTCTTTTTGAATTCATTGGCCCAATACTTGAGGAGGGTTGCGTCAAAGTTACGACCACCGACGTCCTTCTCGCATGCGGTTGCCTTGACTTGGAGTTGTCCCTTCTTAAAGTCGATGGCCGATACAGTGGTGGAGCTGTCACCGATATCGATAAACATGACCTTCAATGGGTTGTCCTCTGGCAAATCCTTGTAGATACCGTATGAGAGCGCGGTGGCAGTGGATTCGTTGATCAAACGAGTGATATTAAGACCGGCGATGGTACCGGCGTTCAAGAGAGCACGTCTTTGGTACTCGGTCCAGTACACTGGAACAGAGACTACGACCTCTCTCAATGGAGCTTTAGCAAAAGCCTCTGTGGTTCTCTTTAACTTTCCCAACAAACTACCCAAAGTTGCTACTGCACTGATCTGACGAGATTCACCACACAACTGTACATTGAATCCAATCTGTCCATTTGGTAACTCGAAAGCATTGAATGATTCCGATTTCAATTCATCTTGAACATCTGCAAATTTTACACCAATGAATCTCTTAATATTTGTAATTGTATTTCTAATATTTCTTAAATGCTATAAAAAAAAAAAATAAGATAAAAAAAAAAAAGTTAGTCAAGTTTTTTAAATATATTATTATTATTTAAATTATTTTTTACTTACATTGGTTGCAGCTGGTTCACCAATATATCTTTCTTTTTCACCGAATGAAACTAAAGATGGTGTAAGACGATTGGAAACTTCATTGGCGATAACATCGACACCACCCTTTTGAGCAACGGCAATAGTGCATTGCTTTGTACCGAAATCAAATCCTACTACAAACATTGTATATATTATTATATGTATATTATATTATTGAAAATTTTTTGAAAAAAAAACAAGTTTAATAATTTTAATTATATGAATAAAAAAATTATTATTAATGTTGATATGTGAAAAGTTTGTTTATTGTTTGTTGTTGATGATAAAAAATAATCAAACTACAAAGTGATAGAGATATATATGGATAAATAAATTATTAATTGAATTAACTATTAATATTAAAAGTATTTTATGTTTTTATAATTATATTTATAATATAATAATAACACGATATGAAATCAAAAAAAATAATGTTTTTTCTATCTTCACTAAAAAAAAAAAATTAAAAAACGAAAATTTCTTTTTCAAACCAGAGAGATAGTGTTGAAAATTGCAAAAGATTTTGATGATATTCACGCGAAAAACAAATGAAAAACGGATGAAAATTGTTAAAAAGGAAAGGTTTGCAATTTTTTTGCTTTAAAAATGACCAAAATTTAAATTATTTACTTTGATAGCAATAATGAGATTTAAAAAAGGTTTATTGGTTGTTATATTCAATAATAATGATAATTTATTTTTATTTTATTTTATTTTTTGATTTCTTTGAATAATGAATGAATGATTCATTTACATCTAAAAGTTCATTCCATTTACTTTGACAGATTTCCACTTTTGATGCCCATCCAGAGAGTTTACTATTGAATAACTCTGCGTCAGTACCACCATATACTGAATACAATGTTCTATTACTCACAGCTTGTCCAATTTCCATTCTATTTGGATCAATATAGGTAGAATTACATTCTTCACATGTCAAAATAATGTTATCATGATTTACAGTATTGAGTCTATAGAGAAAACGTGAACCTTCACCACAAACAGGACATCTATTAATATTCATTTAAACTTTAAATTATCAATTGAGAAAAAAAAAAAAAAAAAAGAAAATTTGATCGATAATGCATATTCTTTTTTAATTGTTGAAATTTCCTATATAAATAAGTTTATTTCTGTGTTAGTGGGTAAAAATTATTATTTTGAACAACACACCAAATCTATTATAATTTTTGAAAAACGAGAAATGAAATCTACTCGAAATTTTGATTTTTGAAAATAAGATTTTAAACACACTAAAGTCAGTATTAAAATCTTGTTTAAATTTTTTCATTATTCATTATTTACAGATTATTTTACAGATAACTTTAAAATATTTAACATATTTTAAATTAATAATAGTTTAGTTTTATTAGTTTTTTTTTTTTTTTTAATTTTTTTTTAAATATAATAGATATATATATAAACATGTATTTAGGAGCACCAATTACAGCAAAGAAAAATGCTGAACAACAACAACAACAACAATCAAATAATATACATAAAAATGAAACAAATAAACCAGTTGCAAGATCATCATATCAATTACCAAAGGATATAGGACCCGGTTTGTTAAAGTTTTGTCTAACACATTCGGATTCACCGAATCTCACAGACTCACCGATTGTAGAACGTGACCAGAAAGATTATGATTGGTTACGTGAGGCAATGGATAATCTAGAGGACGATGCCAAGCGAATGAAAAAGATCAACGAGACGTTGGTGGACCCAAGCTCTACTGTTGGTCAACGTATATCGTCGTTGGAGGCACTCGAATACTACATTGAAGATATCGATAACTCTGGAGACTATATTAAGATCGGTGGAATACCAATATTGATAGATTTGATAAAGTCTGAGGACAACCAGATTCGTGAAAAGGCAACCAACTGTCTCACTATCATCTCACAGAACGAAGAGACCATTCAAAACTACATGATACAGATTGGTGTAGACGATCTAGCTATTCATTTGCTAAGCACAGAAACCAATACCGTTTGTAGAGAAAAAGAACTTTCTTTAATTTCAAGTATGTATAATTCTATGGTGAATAATTGTTATCAATCCAATAACGATACTAATAATAGTCAATCGTCATCATCGACATCCTCTTCATCATCAGGTTTACTTGGAAGTAAAATTGATAAAGTAGATAGATCAAAATTGGAAACGATCGTTAAACTTTGTATATCGTTTTTATCACCGACCGTCGATATCTTTATACCGGTGAAGCAAGCCAACGGTCATACTATTACCACTACACATTCAATCGCCAATTCAGTGACTGGAATGAGCAAAGCAACTCATATTTTAAAGAAGATCATTCATGGTGTGCCATCGCTGAAATCAAAGGCAATAGAGTTTGGTGTACTCGAAGCACTGGTCACCCTGATTCATGGATTCAACAGTGCATCGGTAGTAGATCCACATCAAACGATTCTCTGTGAAAAGTGTGAAGCCACTCTTTTAATGTTGCTCAGAGGTGATCAAAAGAGTGTAAACGAATGTAAAAATCTTGGATTGGAACGTGAAATTCAAATACGTCAACAGAGAATGTCTAAAACCAAAGAAGAGAATCAAGATGAATATGCAACCATTGAAAATTTATCAAAGTTATTAAAATAATAAGAATTTAAATTAATTAATAAGTTGTTTTGTTTGTTAACTACTAACTAGTAAATGATAACTTTGGATATATACTCAATTTATTGAGTTTAATCAAAAGTTGATCATCTAATTTATTATTATCTAAAATGAATCCTCTCATTGTTTTTTCGTGTACTAATAGAATCGATCTTTGATTGAAACGTCTCGCTTTGAGAGGTTGTGATAAAAGTAGAGTAAATGTAGTAATCGATTGTTGTAAATTGATGAATTTGTTTTGTTGTAAAAGTGATACTCCGAATGCCAATTCTTTAAGTTGTATAGGGAGTAGTGGTTGTTGTGATGATATATTTGTAGGTGTTGTAAATGATGTAGAGCAGTTAGCAAGTAATTGATTTTCATTTAATAATAGCGATCTATGATTACCAATAATGATTGGATAGAGAAGTAACCTTTGTTTAAACGAAGATCCCAAAGATAGATACTCTACGTTGGCTGGTATTGAATTGAAATATAATCTCTGATTGAAAGAGTTTCCAATTGTCAGTGATCTTACTGTGGATGGAATGGAATCTCTTGGTATTGGATGATTGAAATTATAACCAAATTCTAATCTTTCTATTTGTCTAGGAATTGAACCGGCAGGTACGATTGGTTGATTAAAATTACAACCAAAAGTTAAAATCCGTAAGTTGGGTGGTAAGCATCCGATGGGAATTGGTTGATTGAAATGATATCCAAAGATTAATTGCTCCAAGCCTTCTGGTAAAGATTTCTCTTGAGCAATTGATTGATTAAAAGAACCACCTAACTTTAATCTTTTAAGACTCCAGGGTAGATATTCAAGTGGTTGATTGAAATCATTACCAAATTCAATTTCCTCTACACCATCTGGAATAATAGATTCTTTTAATGGATGATTATAAAAGAATCCAAATTCCAAGTGACGAACATTCGCTCCGATGACACCTGGTTTCAAAGGTATATTATATTGATATGGTAATATCAATTTCGTAACACTCTCTGGAATTAAACCTGGTTCTATTGAGGATTTGAAACGAATTCCACTCAGATCTAGGTATTGGAGATTTGAAGGTAGGAATCCAATCTTTATATCTTGGTTGATTAGACCTGCCAAATCTAATTTAGTAATATGATTGGGAATGACAAATGTTGATGGTAGTGGTTTTGCAAATGCCCATACAAACTTTAAACTGGATACACAATCTTTGATAGCGAAATCCGATCTCTCAATCAATTCCAAAGTAAGATCGAGATGATCTGAATTCCCAACCAGTGTACTCCAATTGGCAACTGAAACTGGTCTTGATTTGTTTGAAGAGTTTACCAAACTATGATCAGTCGGTAAAAGATAATTACTTTTTTCATTATAAATTTTTTTACAAGAAAAAGCAAAACAAATTTGGTCCAAAGGTGAATCATTTAATGATTCAAATATAATTTTTAAACTAATATTTGTTAATGTTAACATTTTATAAATAAATAATTATAGATTTATAAAATAAATATAATTTAAACAATATAATGTTTATAGTTTTAAATCAAAAAAAAAAAAGGTTTAATAATTCTGTTGGGGGATAAAAAAAAATCAGGAATGATTTAAAAACTGCTCCGATTCAAAAATCATCATTCAATGATTTTGCCTTTTCATTGGCATTCATTTGTTGTTTTTTTTTTTGTTTCTTTTAATTGATCCGATGTGGTTGTTTGATTTGAAAATGTGATTAACTCCAATTCCAAAATTAAAAATATCTATTGTTTGTTTTTTTTATTCTTATTGTTAAATAAAATTAAATAAACAAAAAAATTGTTTGTTTTTTTTTAATTTATTTATAAATTTATGATTGTTTTTTTCTTTTTAAATCTTTCTACGGAATAAAAGATTCTTGGTAACTTGAGTACCTACAGTGAAACAAGCGGTTAACCATGGAAGAATGTCAAGTGTGACAAAGATGGAAGAAAAGAGGAAGTATGGAAGTGCGAGTGGGATAACACCACGTCCGTACTCTAACATATAACTTTCTCTCTCGCAACAGTATCCCTTGGCAACGAAATGTGGGAGGAACGAGTATTCACCGGCCTTGAAAACTCTTGGTTTGAATTCACCTGGGAAGTAGGTCTTGGTTTCACCTTGGATCATGAAATCGTAGACGTCCATCAAGTAACGACCAGAGTGACCTTGCGAGTAGAGTGGTGAACCGTACAAGATGAGGTACTCTGAGAGTGAACCGTGGAGAACACACATCTGACCCATGGCACCACCACCGTTGAACAAGATCCAACGTGGCTTGGTGTTAATGAAACCTGGATACTTTTTGGCCAACTCTTCGGTGATGATGGTGAAGGCTTCGTCGATGGGCTTGCCTACACCCTTCTTGGTGCACTCGTGCAATCCTTTGACGTCGAGTACCAATCCACGCATCAAACGAATCTTGACCAACAGGTAGACTGATAGTACCAATCCAATGACGGCAGTGGCAATAACCAATGGATTCAAATCGATCAACAATTGTACAACATCATTGACATTGTTGATTTGAGGAATTTGAACATATTTTGAATAATCCATAAGTTGCGTTTTATAAATTTTATTCTATTCTATATAATAAATATAAAATGAAATAGAAATAAAAAAATAAGATGAAATAACTTTAAAGTTCAAAATTGAATAAAAAGAGTGATTGATGGATCATCAAAAAAAAAAAAAAAGAAAATCCAAAAAAAAACAAAAAAAAAAAAGGAACCCAAATGATATTTTTGTTTTTTGCACGTTCACCTGGGTGATGATCATGCTATCTAGTATCATCAATATTTTAAATTTACATCTTGTTTGTAACCTGCAAATATTGTACATTTCATTATAACCAAAATTTTTAATATTGAATTATTTGGTTTTTTGTTTATCGAAACAAATAGAAAATCAAATAAAATCAATAATATATTGATCTCTCTATTTAATTATCGACGAAAATAATTAATTTGTTTTCAATGAATTTTTTTTGTTTCTTTCTTTGAGTATCCAAGAAAATGATAAACAAATCAAAATAGTTTATAGACCTGAGATCAGATCAAAGAGAATGTTTTTGATAATAATAATTTTTTTATTTTTATTTTTATATCTAGATAAATAAAATATAGAATTACTTACCTTTTTGATGTTTATAAAAGTGTGCTACCATCAATAATCCAAACTCTACAGTTCCAATTTCTTTAATGCATTTTGGTCCAGGTGCTCCAAGTCTGTCATTGATTCTGTTCTCTGGCAAGAAGAGAAACTGGTCCAATAGTTTCTTTTGAAGTAGCACTAATTCCTCTATTCTAATACGAATTTCATTATTGACTTGAGCATCTTTGGCTATGCTTATCAATCAAAGGGTTCTGTACTTTGATTACATTAGACGGTGCTGCTACTGAGGTGATTGCCAGTCGATCTCATCTTGACACTATATATATGATTGGTTGTTATAGCCGAATTGACCAGAGCACGTGTTAGGAACGGTTGGACCGGATATTGCCGAGAATAATATCTGGGAAAGTATAATTCTATCTCTTGCAAGTGATGAACCTCGGTGTTTTAGATACTGGCACCAATGACTGCAACCTCTGGACTGAGTGACTTTAGGTGGCGGCGGCGGAACTTGTGCGACTAGAGACATAGCAATATCCGAGATTGGTTGTGGACAGCTGTTGGAGACGATTCAACCAGAGCGATGGAATACTATCCTGAGCAGCTACAACAGGGGTGGGTCTGCAATCATTAATTTGATTTTGATTTTTTTAGTTGTTTCATAACAATTCTGTGTTTAAGGGGAAGTTGGTTTTCTTTTCTCTGAATTCTTTATTTATATTGGTAATGATAATATTAAAATAGGATATGATATAAATAAAGAATTATAATTTTAGAAAATATTTAATTTTAATGTGCAACAATAATTTTTTTGTTGTTAATTTAATATTCTTATTTGGACAAGAGAAAACAAATAAAAAATCCCAATTTTTTTAAAAAAAACAAACCCCCATACTTTTTATTTTTTTTTATAAATCTCACGTTTTTTCGATGGAACCCAACAAATTATTTTTCGTCTCTTTTCGTTCGTTTTTTTTGTTTGTTCCCATAACAACCGAAACGACTAACGCCAGACTGGTTTATATGAGATTACCTGATATTGTTCTCTCAGACCATATTCTTAGGATCATTTCTTGAGTTTGTTCTAACTTACTAATCTCATCATTAGTAATCTCGTTCATGGCAGGGATGAAGAAGTATGACTACACTATCAGAGCGCGATGCAGGTAATATATCGGAGTTATCTCTGATATGCTACACATAGATGACCGTAGTGATACTAAGCATATCACAAGATAGTAGTAGTGCTCTAATCTGCTTTTATTAAATTTTTTTTTTTTTTTTTTTTTTTTTTTTTTTTTTAGTCGAAGGTAGTAAGTGACCTGTGGGTTGTGGTCGTATTTTATTGTGGGATATGAAACTACGAAATGAAGCTCAACACATTTGGATACTTAATAGAGTAATTGCAAATCAAGATGTGATCTTATATAAATCAGTCTGGCGATGATTCTAAACAACTAATAATTACAAGTCAAGCTTCTCCTTAAAGATTCTGGTCGAATCTAAGGAGTATAAGGCGACTTTGAATGATAATCAATCAGTTAATTATTAATCTTATTAAATTTATCATAAACAAAATAATTGTTAGTTGTATTAGTTGTTGTTGTTGTATCCAAAATATTATCATCTATATCTTCATTATTAACATCTTTAAAATTTCTTGCTGGTGGAGTCTCAAATAGGAGAGAATTTTGATATCTGTAGTAGGAATTAGATATTTTCATGCAAGTATTTATCGTCCTCTCTTTGGTATTGAGAACTAATATTGTTTATAGAGGTTGAATTTTTGTTTTGAATCATATCAGAATAAGTTATCTAATAAAAAATTTCCAACTACTTATCAATTTATTAAAAATATGAATAACATATTCATTAAATAAGAATTAAAATATCAATAAATGTGTAGGAATATTTAAAAACAAAAAAAAATAAAATTAAAATAAAATTAATGGGTTCTTTGTAGTTTGGTAAAAACAACTTGATCACCATTAAAAAATTTTTTTGTCAAAACAGATTTATTTATCACCTCTCCAATGTTAAAACAAAACAAAAAAATTAAACTTTAATCTATCTTTTGATTAATATTTTTTAAATATCATTCTTTATCTATATTTATTAATAATGGAGAATACACCAAGTATTACCGGAGGAGTAGCAAGAACATCAGTATTGATTGCTGGTGGTAGAACTTTGGTAACCAATTCATTTATAAATGAACAACTAAAGATCTCTGAGAAGCTTGAAGAGTCATTTATTCCATACTATGAGAATGTCTACAAGAAAGAACCATTTTACTCTGAGATCATCAATGATAAAGTTGCATCTTTCGATCCGTATGTAATATCAAATTAAAATAATTAAATAATTAAAACCATACGATACGATTCTAATAAAAAAGATAGGTATGCATATTTCTTTTGTTGTACAAAAGAATCAGTTCAAATTCTAATGGAACAGTCGGAACAATTCTTAAATATGATTCCAACTCAGTTTGCTAGAAATCAGTTGGCAAAGTATGTTTTTTCAAAAAAAGGTTTAGAATTCACAACCATTGAAGATGCAAAGAGATATTGTATTGAAAATTACACACCAGTTCAATGTTTTGGTCTCATGTATTTGGATTCATTTAATGTAAGATTTGCACTCAGAAATAAATTCATTGACCACATTTTTATGATGCATATTAAAGATCAAACCATACAACAATATGTGATTTTGGGTGCTGGTCTTGATACACGTGCTCTAAGAATGCCATTCGGTAAAGAATCGACGGTTTGGGAAATTGATTTCGCACAGACTTTCCAATATAAAGAAATGATTCTAAATGAAGCAATCAAAGTTATTCCACCAATTTCCAAAGCAAAACTTCATCGTGTCACAAGCAATGTATTGGAGAGCAAACAATGGATTTCCAGTCTTGAAGAAACTGGATTCGATAAAACTAAACCAACTGCCTGGCTTTTGGAAGGTCTTGTCATGTATTTAACTGAAAAAGATATAGAGATGTTGTGTCAAGAGGTATCATTAACCTCTGCCAGTGGATCATCGATGGTGATTCAAGCAACTGGTAAACGAGGATTCATGGGTAGAGTAATGTCATCGTTTTTGCCAACACCTTTGAGAAATGAATACAAATCAGCATCCGACAGACCTTGTGACTATATTACAAACTGTGGATTTACCAACAATGTTGAAAATAACACTGAAACAGATTTGTGCAAAAGATATGACTTTGACTATGTTCGTTCTTTCATGTCGATGGATACTGACTCTATCATTGCAATTGGATACAAACCATAGTAAAAATATCAATAAAACCATGATTGTAAATAACATTAATAATAAAAATTAAAAAATAATAAATTTAGTAAAAATAAAATCTCAGAGTTAATACTAATCTCATATCTGATAAATCATTGTCATTAGATTTAAAGATCATAAAATGATGATAATGCTAGTTAATTATGATTGAAAAACAACATTATCATCTAGGTAAAAAATGTATGATACAAAAAAAAAAAATCATTTTTTTATTTTGTATGTTCATAACGTTATTAAGTTACAACAAATACACTGAATTCAGCAACTAATAATAACTTTAAAGATGTTACTAAATTACTAAAAGAGATAAAATTAAAAAAATAACCAATTAAATTGGTAATAATAAGATCTTGTGGTAGGTTATAAATATTAAACAACCCCCAAAAATTATAATAATTTTTAAAGTAAAAAAGGATTCTTTGTTGTTCTAGAACAAATTAATAAAGTTCAATTATAAATATATAGAATAATGTAAAGCAACCATTTACACTCTCTTATAAAAAAACTTTCTTTTTTTTCTTTACTAATGAAAATAATATCAGTCATTTGTTTATTTGTTCTTTTTAGCATTGTATTGGTTTCTGCTGAAACCAATGATGATACTTGCTACAAAAACTATGAACTAACATTCATACCAAAAGATCATCAGTATCCAGTTGGATATCTAGTTGGTACGGCATGTCGTACCCAAGCATTGACTATTCAGCGTATTGATGTCTACAACTTCAAAGGTGTTCCTAATATCAGTCAAAATATGAATTACATCAACAAAAGAATAGAACTAGAGCGTATAGTCGTTGATTACCCAGGAGGATACTTCACAGACACCAACATTGAATTAAGAATTGTCCATAATCCACAAACAAATGCTTATGTAGCTAATGTCTTTTATCCAGTCAGTGCTTAACTTTATAATCAAATAAAAAAAAACAAACAATAAATAATATTGTCATTAATTAGAGTTTTTTAAACAAAACAAGTTTATTTATTATATTACTTTTATTTGAATAGTTGTTTGCAATCTAATTACAGATATCTTCGCATCTAGGTAATGGTGTTTTAAATTCTTTTTGTAAGGAATCGTTACTTATTTATGTAAAACTACTTTAAAAAATAATATAAATTAATATAATTTTTTTCAATTATTATTATTTTCAAATACAATATCTTTCAAAAGCATTTGATTTAGATTTTCTAATCACCAAATATGAGTTGCAATATTGTATTGCTCCTTGTTGAATATAAATTAAGAATTTTTTTAAATAATTAGAAAACAATTAATTTATAGGTATGATTAATAGATTGAAAAGAGTTTGTTGATTAAGATAAAATACTATTTAAAATAATAGATCAATTTATGAAATATAGAAAAAAAAAAGTAAAACCTTTAGAATCTCATTTGAATTTAAATAATAACTCGTTTATTTATTAGATATTGATTGTTTGGATGGTTATTTGAAATGTAATTACATATATCTTCAAATCCACTCAAAGGTACTTTCAATTGGTCTAAAATCGATTCCTTTGTAGTAGTCAAATTGATTTGAATACTATGTTGTCGCAATTTTGAAAGATTAGGTTGAAGTTTTATAAGAACTGATCTTATATCTTTGAATCCACTATTTTCAAAGTGTATATGGATTGATTTCAATGTTGTTGCATGGCAGTCGATCAGTGGAAAAAAAAAACATGATGTGAAGTCTTTTGTTATTAGTTTATTAGTTTATGTTTATTGATAATGAATAAGACGGTGTTTGTTGATAGTTAGTGGTTAAAACTAAAAGTGATATTTATTTATCGTATTTTAATAAAGCTGCGAAAGTGGTTGGGAGCCAGTTTTGTTTTGTTATTTTTTTTTTTTTTCTTTAGTTGAAAACCTTTTAATTATCTTGTACTAAACACATATGAATTCAGAATATAAAAATAATAATAGTGATCATTGTCCTAAGAGAACCTATTGTGACTCAAACAATGATAATAATAATCATTTATTTTTAGATAATATTCAAGAGAGAAAATCAATTAAAATAACAAATAATAATGATGATGATGATGAGTTAGAGATATTAGTAAAGGAACTTGAATCTACGGATTTCGAGGATGAAAACTCTATACTCAATATGATATTGATTTATCATTTCTATTTTCGGTTAATCGATTTTCAATGCGAAGTAGTTTGTAAATGGAGATCGAAATGTGTTCAATACTTTAATAGCTATCATCATAACAAACAGATTCATTATTACCATGAGATTAGCTATGTTCATTTCATTGTCAGTGTATTCTTTGATCGATCTAACGATGTATTCAATAAGATGACCGACTTATCAATAAGTGACTATCAACCAGTGGTAATCGATATTCATAATAGAATTATAAATCATAAAGATGTAACATATAAATAACATATAACGGATAATAAACTACAAACATTTTACTAACATTATTATTTTTAATAGTTTGATCTATGGTTTAAAACATTACATCAAGATGATATTGAACAATTAAAATACAGAATCAAGACATACAACGATGTTTGTTATTTTAATAAGATTGAAGTTACAGATAATTTCAATTATGATCATCTTTATAAATTGGTTTATGAAAATAATAATAATACTAATAATAATATAGATAATAATAATAATAATAATAATAATAATAATAATAATAAAGAAATAATTTTAGATTCATCAAAATCAAACTATTTACCTGACATCATTATATCCAAAATATTTTGGTTTTCATTGGATTTTCAATTATATCATAGTAGTAGATTTAAAGATAATATTAGCCAATCAATGGATATATACTCTGGAAAACAAATACTATTCTATGCAATGGTATCGAAACAATTTTTTAAAGTCATTTCAAAATATCTAAACAATATCTATTTTAAATGGAATCATCATTTCGTTATTGAAAATGAATATTGTTTAATCAAATCACCTCCATTATACTTTGACTATGAATATATTAAATTCATTAGATACTATCAGAGTGTTGACACTGCCACTCTCTTGATGTCAAGGGGGAGACATTCCTTTTGGAGTCGGACGAGTTGGATCAAGCCAATCAAGATGATCTCGTCTCGAGAAGATACATCTACAATGAATCGATCATGAAATGCGATCTAGAATACCGAGAGTTGGTAACCGATCATTGGTATTTAGTGTATCCTCCACCTATGCCAAGTCTCAAGCGTATCGATGTTCGTTGTTACATGGGTTATACAAAGAACTACAGTAGTTTACTCATTGATATCATCGAGAGTCTTGGCAGCAATGTCAATGGGTGTGGTCTCGAACACTTCACAATCCGCATTACCAAAGACTATGAAAGAAATCCAGAACAAAACAAGATTAAATTTCTCACACATCTAGTGAGAAAACATCGCAAGACATTGAAATCAGTCAGTCTTCACTATGAATCGATGTCAGAAGAAGACTTTGAAACTCTTTTCCTCACATTAAGAGAGATACTACCAAACCTTTTACGATTTAAAATTCAATTGGGTATAAAAGTAGAACAAAGAATTCCAAACAACTACAAATTCATCAGAGATTGTAAAGATGAGTTAGATACAATTGCTTCTCAATATCTATTGGATCTAACAGAGAAATTTAATCAAGACCGGAAAAGCAATAAGGATTCTAATTTATTATTTGCAAAGACAATTAGATTTAGAAGATACATTAGAAAGGACAATAATTAAAAAATAAAAAAAAATTATTTATTGTCCAAGCATCAAGTACTTTTAAAATTACATTATTTTTTTCATCATTATTTGATTTTTATTTACACATAATTATAAATAAATTTCCATGCATGAACTAAAAAAATAAAATATATTTTTGTTAAAATACTTTAATAGTAATATTGAAAACAATTTTTATCTTTGAATGGACAATTAGATTAATAAATAATTAAAAAGGAAATTCAATCAACTTATTATTTTGTGTGGTGAACTTCAAGCACCACTATTGAAAAATAATTTTTTAGAGATTTTTATTTTTATTTTTTACATTTAAATTTATTTTATTTTTTGTTATGGAACAGCTTCTTTTAAACAAAACAATTTGTTGTCTAAATTTTATTAAATTTCAGATTAAATAAATTTCTTTTAACGGTATGTTCCCTACCCCTAATAGTACTAATAGCTTCTATCTGTCAATAATAAAGCAGCTTACACCGAATTATCAACACAGACAACAATATCATATCACACAACTTGACACTATCTAAAATTAAAATATTTTAAAATAAAATAAAATAAAATATTATTATGCCACCCTCACAACAGCAACAACAACAACAATCAAGATATAAAATACTTGCATTCTTATTGATTTTCGCATTTGTATTTTTTGCATACAATATAATTAACACAAATAATAATAATAAAAATACTATAACAGATAGAAAAATGTCAAAAGCCGTCGCTGTATTAAAGGGAGAAAAAGTAAATGGTGTAATTAAGTTCACCCAAGAGTCTTCCAGCTCACCAGTATCCATTGATATTGAAATCCATGGTTTGGAAAAAGGTATAACAACTCAACAAACAATCAACTAAAAACAATACAATACAATAGCAATAGCAATATAGCAATATAAAGTGAGAATGAGAGGGAGGTGAGGTGAGAATGAGAGGGAGGTGAGGTGAGGTGAGAGAATGAAATTGGGTGAGAAAGTGTAGAGCAGAGAGCAGAGCGTACCAAGTAATTAGTAGAGTAGTAGCTTAATTATTAGAAAACAAACTAATGTTAATTTGATAATATAATCAAACAGGATTGCATGGATTCCATGTTCATCAATTTGGTGATACCACTAATGGTTGTATCTCTGCTGGTCCACATTTCAACCCACACGGTAAGCAACATGGTGGTCCACAAGACGAGAACCGTCATGTCGGTGATTTGGGTAACGTCGAAGTTACTGAAGCCGTCCTCAAGAGCACCATGACCGACAAGGTCATCTCACTCTTTGGTGAGCACTCTATCATCGGTAGAACCATGGTCATCCACGCTGACGAAGATGATTTAGGTAAGGGAACCTTCGAAGACAGCAAGACCACCGGTCACGCTGGTGCTCGTTTGGCCTGCGGTGTCATTGGTGTCTCACAATTGTAAATCATCCTGATACATTATATACCAATCAACCATTCACCATCAAAAAATAAATATTTTGTATATTTAAAAACAAATCATAATCATAAACAAACTATATATATTATTATTATTAAAATTATTATTCATTTTTTTAGGTTTTTTTTATTTAGATCTCTTTTTCTTTTTACGACTCTTTAGTTTCTTCTTCTTTTGATTATGACTTGATAGTGGTAAGGTTGCTGATAGATTAACTGGTTTTTGTTTCTCTGCATCATCTGAATTTGAATTGTCACTGTTGTTGTTGTTGTTGTTACCATTGTTATATCCTAAATTTGGAGTTGATAAATATCTTTTCTTTTCCTGTATGATCTTATCTGGATCTTCAAAAAAGGATGGATCACGATATTTGATTTCATTGAGTGTCAACGATGTTAGCAGAGTAGAAGGAACATTGAATGAATCACCATCGGGAGAAGATGATCCAAGTACACTGCTGTTATTGCTGCTTGTTGTGGTACTACTGGTGGTATTGGCTGAATCGGTGGTAGGTGGCTTAAAGAAACTAGAGTTGGTAATTCTATTCTTCTTTATCTGTTGTTGTTGCGCTTCTGCCAAGAATTGATTTACTCCTTCAACCTTTGATTCCTGTTCCAATACTATTGAACCAAATGCATTAATTGTATTATTATTATTGTTATTGTCATTATTATTATTATTATAGATAACTGATCCTTGGAATACAACACTATTATTTTCTTTTACACCTCCACTTCCACCGCTATTGTTGTTATCGTCATTATCACTGCTGTTTCCACTTCCACCTCCACTTCCATTGCTATTGTTGTTGTTGCTTCTTGGCGATACCATGGTGTGGAGAAGTGAAACTGGATTACCACCTTTCAGAGCCAACGTTTCGAATGGCTTTGAATTGAGATCGGACAGTCCCATACAGATGGTTTTGAAAGATGGACGTTGTCTTGGTTCGTAGCTAACACAGAGTCTGGCCAACTCACAGAAAACCTTTGGACAAGCGGGTGGCACATACTGATAGGCTTTATCGCAATCCAAATCGAATGCCTCCTGAGGTAGTCTTTTCAACTCATTCTTTACCACTCTAATTCCACAGATCATTTCATACAATAAAATACCAAAGGAATAAACATCACACTACATTAGTTACAGTTTGTTAGTTAATCTATAAAAAAATAATATTTCGATTTAACCCATAATACATACAGTTTCATCATAATTTGAACCAACAATAACTTCTGGTGCCATCGTTGTCTCTGATCCACAAATAGTAAGATAACCTTGTTTCTTCTCGATGGTATTGGAGACATCGAATATTCTTGCAAATCCGAAATCACATACTTTAGCTCTCACCGATGCACCATGCTCTTCAATCAAAATATTCTTTGCTTTTAAATCTCTGAAAATTACTTTCTTACTATGTAAATATGAAACTAGAATAGCATGACAACAACAACAACAACAACAACTGTATGATTAATATAAAAATGATCATAAACAAATTATAACTACAATTCATACATGCAGATGCAATATCCAATGCCAATTTAATTTTGAGTTGCCATGTTACACTTTGACCTTTACTCTTTAGATATTGATGTAGATCACCTCCATTGATAAATTCAGTGATGATCATATGTTTCTCTTCATTTTTCTCTTCATGTTTACATGATCCTATGTATTGTACTATATTTGGGTGTCTCATATCCCTACAATTGATTTAATATTAAATTAAATTAAAAAACATTAATATAAACTTCTCTAAATAATAATATTAATCATAAATTTGATATATAATTACATTAAAATTCTAATCTCTCGTTGCATGAATTTATAATAATCTGGATCGATCGATACCAATGAACTCAATGATTTTACGGCTACTTCGGTACCGAAATAAGATGCCTTTTGTACTTGTCCAAACGATCCTCTTCCAATGACATTCTCCAACACCAAGTCTGCATAATCTATACCAAAGATATCATCTCCTTTTGAAGGTGGTAATCCTTCAATTGGATTACCATCATTATTGTTCACCATTATCTTATCTTATCTTTTCTTTTTTATTTTAAATAATAAATGAGTATTTATCTTTTTTTTTTTTGTTTTTTTATGTTTTATAAATAAAGAATAACTTGATAATTGAGTTGATTTGACTTGATTATTATTATTATTGTTATTATTATTATTATTATTGTTTTGAGTTGAATTTGATTATCTATCTTATGTGTCTATCTAATCTAATCTATATATATTTAATCTGTTAATGAATAATATTTAAATATTAATAATTTTTGATTAATTTAAATGTTTATAAAAAAAAAATGATGTATGTTATATATAAACTAATTCATTATGTTAAAAACGTCAATCATTTAAATCACAATTGATACCCACAACCCAAATTTAAAAAACAAACATTCTATCTAACCACCTTAAAAAAACAATAATATATTTCTATAAATAGTGTTATAACATATGATACATACTTCTAATCTTAATAATAATAATACTACAAATAATTAATCAATCAACAAAAAATAAATATTAAAAATAGAAAATAAATTTGAAAAAAAAAGGGTGGTGTAAACAATACATGATTGATTAGTTTTTCAAATTATTATAATAAAAAAAATTCAAACTAAAAAATTATAAAACAAAAAATTTTATTTGAAAATGGTCGGTTGGAAAAATGTGTTAAAAATTGCAAATTGTTTTGATCTTTGGAAAGAGAGTGATCTCATTGTTTAAACAATGAACGTAATAGCAATTATAATAATAATAATTAAATGAATGATCATTGTGTGATCATTATTTCTATATTAATTAATTAATTAGTTAATTAATTAAAGTTTTTTTTTCTAAAAACAACAATAATTAATTGAAGGTCATCAAGATCGGAGGTGGTTGGTTCAAGTGCACTTCTTTGAATTTTAAAAAGTAAATAAAAATTAGCAACAATCTAAGGATTTTAACATAATTAGATATTGGGTGATAATATTTCAAAGTTCCAATTTCACCAATAAAATTAACAGATTGTTTTTGAATAACCTTTTAAGCAAATCTGTAGATGGGTAATTCATTTTCTCTGCCATTTGCAACAAATTGATCAAATGTTTAGACCTACAATACATTGGATCAGAGGTCTACTGTTCATTGATACCTAAATCCATCTATATCAAGACACCAGCAAACCTTTTAATAGTTTTCAATGACCATCAGAGTGTGGGCTGGATTTGTTGGACCAACTCCCAATGATACAGAAATAACCATTTCAATTCCAAGAATTGACATTGGTATAGATGTGGCAAACACTGAAACTCAAATAAGAGCATTGGCTTCAAACTCATCGAAATGAGCAATAGGAACAGGATGTAACTTAGCTTTAGGCACTTCTTCAGTTTTTAATTTAATTGTCATATCGTAATCTTTACCCCGAGATGGCGGTAAATCATCAAATGGTATGAACACATCGGAAGCATTTTCTGTAAAAAATCGACAGCTTTCTTTTCATTTTCAAGAGAGGTATCATCAACCTTATCTTTATCCTTATTGTCGCCAACTTCGACATCTTTAGATACATCATCTCGGGGCTAACTTTTCGATATTTTTACAAGTTCATGTAGATTTTTTAATTTATTTTGTTTTTCTTTCGAGAATTGTTTTTCAAACATGTGTTTACTAATAATATTAATGTTCTTGTCGACACTATGAGTACGACTTGACTTTAAATCAAATAACTTTTCATTTATTAAATCTTTATTTGAAACAATAGTGTTATTTTTGTTTTTATTTATAAAATTAAAAACTATCAGTTATCGACAGAAAGACCGCCGAACTCTGGAAAGTATGTATTGAAACTTGCACATTTTTTCCCATCAAGACAATAAGCGGTAGCTTAAATTGTCATTCATTCATCTAGAATTTACTAGTAAAACAACTGACAATATAAATATTAAATTTAAGAACAAGTTTTACGTATTAGATACTAACTTAGAGTTTTTAATTTTAGGTGTAGATTTTTTAAAAACAAATAATGTCATGGTTTAAGGTGACGCAGGTACTTTAAATGCCGAAAGTTGTACATGTTTAGAACACCTTCCAGTTTGTTAATGTACGCATTACTATCGGAACGGATTTGGTGGTCCAGTTCTTCCAGTTTATCTTTTGTCAACCCATCATCACTCAAGTTGCGGATGTGGTGTTGTAATCTGTTCAATAGTAATGCGAAACACAGCCGTTTATTATAAAAATAAATTTTCAAACTTATAAATAAAAACAAAAATAACAATATTGTTTCAAATAAAGATTTAATTAATGAAAAGTTATTTGATTAATTTAATTACATATAATTGATTATTACTATTAATTTGACAATCTAAATTTTTCATTTACAAAAGCAAAAAAAACTTTTTAATATTTATTATCTTCTTTTAACACAATTCATTTCTATTCATACTCAATAGGCAGTTTATTACACTGAAGTTTATATTCAAACATTGATAATCTACAGTGGTTTCATTCGAGATTCAATCTTTTATTGTGATAAATGGGGACTTCCACCTCAACTTGTCAAAGGTAGTGATGTTGATGAAATCATTTCATACAAAGAATCATTACACTTGAGAATAAGAGGTATGATTAGTATGTATATGCTTCAACGAAACAATATTAAGAATGAACAACACCAAAGAAACTATCTTGATTCTCTTGTCTCGTCTCTCTTTTATAGTGATTTGTTGCTCTATCCATTCTATCATGGTTGGATGCCACAGGAGGATGATGTATTTTTCTTTAAAATCCCAAGTACAAAGAAAGCAATTTACAACATTGACCCCACTGTTGTTGGAACCTCTGATCCAAATACAGTTAAAAGCGAGAGTCCTATTCTGGCAGACAATTTAAATATGACACAAACAAACCAAGAAGTTCATTAAAACGTCGCCCGATATAGTCTTCTGATTCTTGAGTGTCGAAACTGGTAATGAGACCTGATCGAAAAGGCTGCAATTGATTTTTTGCTTCAAATATCAGAACAAGATTTTGGAAAGTAAAAAAAATCACAATTGGATGTGACTTTCCAATGGTGATCAATATTATACTAGTTTCTGATTGTTTAATAATATATCAAACTTTGGATTTTGTTTTAGATAATGATGTGTTAATATATATATTGAATAAATTATTATTATCACTTATGTATTTTTTTTTACTTAATTATTTAATTTAATTTTATTATTTTTAATAAAAAAAAGAAAAAAAAGGAGGCAACAAAACATTTTAGATCTTTTTTTTTTTCTCTTAATTTAAAAAAGCTTATTGTTCCTCTGGTGATTGAGGCTTGTCAGTGACGAGAACCAAGTCCTTCTTGAGGATTCTCTTGTAGATTTTCATGATGTCCTCACAGGTAGTTTCAAAGTGGGAGGTAGCATCGTAGGACTCTGAGATGAATACCTTGTCTTGTTGACCGTCGGACAATGGTACGTAGTATGGTGAGACGCTGATGAACTTGTCGACGATTGGACCGAGCAAGGCGTAGGCTGGTGCCAACTCCTTCTCTGGGTCGGCAGTCTCGACGGTGGTGGAAACGATGGCGATGTACTTGCCCTTTGGACAGACGCAATGTGGGAACGAGATGCAACCGATGTAGATATCGCTCTTACGACCGACTTGCTTCTGTGGGATGATGATCTGGCAGGACTCGGCATTGTTGGTGTTTGGAATCGGTGCATTCAAGACGCAGATCGAACGGATGATCTTACCGGTGTTCTTGACCTTGTCTGGGAAGTACGATGGGTCGGCGATGATGACGTCGGCAGTGGCAGTCTCACCTTGTGACTCGACTCTGACCTTACCGTCCTCGAATGAGATCTTATCGATTGGCTTGTTCAACATGTAGGTACCACCGTAGATAGCAGACAATCTAGCGAATGCCTGTGGTAATTCACCAAGACCGTACATTGGGTAGATATATGGTGAAATCGAGTATCTTTGTAAGGAGTCAGCATATAACTTGACTCTTTGTACTGCTTCCAAAGCTGGTTTATCCAAATAACTAATAAATTAATCAAATACAGAGTTAGTTTTTGAACATCATCATCATCATCATTCCATCATAAACAGTAAATAACTACTTACTCATCATTGAGATAGAGAGCCAAAGCATGACCAATGAAATCAATAGTATCTTCCTTCAAAGTGAATTTAGCAAACAATTGTCTCATTGTCATTGTCTTCAAATCCAACTCTTTAAAAAGGAGAGAAAAAGATAAATAAATAAAAATAAAATAAAAAAGATAAAGAAAAAAGAAGAAAGTTAGTTATAATTAATTTTGTTTAGTTTAGTTTAGTTTGATTTACACTTACTGTCATGAGTAGCTGGGTTGTTCTCTTCATAGTTTTGTACATATACAAAGAATTTCTTACAGGCAAACTTCTCAAAGAAACCCATGAGTGGTGAGCTGAGTGCCTCCGCATCGGTGGCTGGCACCTTTTGAATCTTTGGGGTCTTGTAGACGAATGAACCGTCGACGACCTTGAAGTCAAGGTAACGGGTGACCTGGGTGTGGAGCAACATCTTGACCAAGAGACCCGAAGAGAGAATGAACTTTGGTACGAGATCGATGTTGTAGTCACGAGTGTTACCGAGTGACTCGGTTGGCTTGGCACCACCACGGTACTTCTCAAACAACTGAACCAAGTTGAGCGAGGCAGACTCACCACCGTAGTAACCGTTACGATCCATGTGCAACACCTTCTTACCCTCTACCGAGAGCAAACCAGAGAGTACGCACTCCTTGAATCCAGTACCCAAAACAATAGCATCATAGTGTTCATCCATCTTCTTTTTACTTTTCTTCTAACTTTAATTTACACACAAACAACAACAAAGATTATTTTTATTTTTTTTATATAATACAAATTAATTATGTTAATCTATATAGATTTTTAATATATAATAATATCTATCTTTTATATATATATATATTCTGTTAATAATTTTTAATATTATTTATATATTTGTGATTAGATTAAAATTTACACACCAAATATAGTAGATATCTATTATTATTATTTTTTTGTTTTTCTTTAAATAATTTTATTTTAATTTTTTTGTTTGGTGGATTGATTGTTGTTCATTATCCAATTTTTCAAAAAATTTTCAAAAAGAAAATTAAAAAAAAATCAATTTTTTTTTTGTTTTTTTTAATAGATTTAAAATGATAAAGAAATTTTGAAAAGAATAATCAAAGTTATCATTATCAAGGTCAATCAATGATAAATTTTCTATGAAAAGTTTCTATGATTAATATAATTTTAATATTAGAACTTTTAATATAATTTACTTTTTTGTTTATCTTTATTTTTCTGTTGAATAATAAATAAATAAATAAATAAATATCCAACAATAATTTCAAAATAAAAAAAAGAAAAATTAAATTCAAAAAGTAGATTTTTAATTTGAAATCAAATAAATTTTAAAAACTTTGAAGTTGCAAAACAATTATATTGTTGATGTTCAGATTTTATGTTTTAATTACATCATCGTCATCATCAATTACGCATTATATATTATTTCAAAGGAAATTGAGTAGACTCTTGTTGTTGTTGTTGTTGTTGTGTTTGAATAAGATATTATCGATCATTGGTATTGACACATTTCAGTCTATATTAAGTATAATACTAACGGAATGCCATATGATTTTAAAATCAATCAAAATAATAATAAAAACAACAACAACAACAGACTCTTGATCAATCTGAAAGCAAATAAACTGGTCTATTTGCTTTGACCAATATTGGATTTTGTTTGCACCATCCACCGTCCTCTAATTAATCAATTAAATAATAATTATTGTTTGTCACAGTACCAAAGAAAAAAAAAACCATTAAAAATAAAATAAATAAGATATTATAAAATGATGGGCTCATTGGATTCTACCACTTTTTTAAATTACGCAAAGAGATATCCTTTGTTGTGTGTGAAATATTGTCAATACAATTTAAATAATCACGATTGTCATTACCTATTTTGGGAATTAGCATTCAAATTCCAATTTAATGTACAAAAAAAAAAACAACCAGTTATTTTTTTTTATTTATTTTCATTTTTGTTTTAATTTTTTAGAAATTTCAAAATAAAGATGTTTATGGATGTCGCATAAAATAAACTATCTTCAACTCAAAAAAAACTCACTCCTAAAGTTATTTGTTTATATTATTTTTCATAAATAACAACACTACTAATTACACAATCACATATTCCAACATCATTTACACATTCAACACAACACATACACACACAAAGTATAAATTAATAATTTTTATTTTGTTGTTGGTTTGTTTTTTTTATTTTTTTGCTTTGCAACAAAACAAGCGCAACCTCGTTCATAAATTAATTTTTATATATTTTTATTTTTTTGAAACAAAAAAAGAGGAAGAATAGAAAGCAAAAACAAACACAAACTTCAAATCTAATCTTAACTTGCTTGTATTATATCATAAATTTATAAATAATTAGATAGATAGTATTTTCTTCTTCTTTTCTTTTGTATAGTTTTGACTTTTTTGTTTGTTTTTTTTTTTTTTTGGAAAAAGAAAGATAAATAGATGTCACATTTAGGTAGAATCAATAATTTGGTCAACCATTTGATGGTTGAAGATGTTGAAGAGGATCAAGATGAATTACACTTGAATAATGTTTCTGGAAAAGTAAAGTAAGTTGTTAGTTTAGTTGTCTTGTAGTTTTAATGAACTTCACACTTTTTTTTTTTTTTGGATATTAATTAATCATCTTCATAATTATCATCATTTTCAGGAAAGATTCAATTACAGTTACAGATAATCGTACAGGTAAAACATATAATGTTCCAATTAAGGATTTGACAATCAATGCTTTGGCATTCAGAGAGGTGTCAGAGACAGCTGGAGACAATGGATTGATGGTATACGATCCAGGTTTCCAGAATACAGCGGTCGTCACATCGACTATCACATACATCGATGGAGACAAGGGAATTTTGCGATACAGAGGCTACCCAATCGAGGAGCTGGCAGAGCGCTCCAGCTTCCTCGAGGTTGCCTACTTGTTGATCAACGGAAACTTGCCCAACAAGGTGCAACTCGACTCTTGGTCAAATCGTATCATGACCCATACATTCCTCCACGAGAATCTCGTCGGTATGATGAAAACATTCCGTTACGACGCTCACCCAATGGGTATGTTGATCAGCACCGTTGCGGCACTCGGAACTTTCTACCCCGAGGCAAACCCTGCCCTCGTCGGTCAGGACATTTTCAAGTCCGAGTCGGTGCGTAACAAGCAGATCTTGCGTATCGTAGGTAAGCTACCGACGATCGCTGCGTGCGCGTGGCGTCATCGTATCGGTCGTCCCTACAATACACCGGTCAACCACTTGGGATACACTGAGAACTTCCTTTACATGTTGGACAAGCTGTCCGAGCAAGACTACAAACCGAATCCAGTGCTGTGTCGTGCGCTCGAGATTCTCTTTATTCTGCACGCCGACCACGAGCTGAACTGCTCGACCGCAGCAATGAGACACATTGCATCGTCGGGAACAGACCCATACACTTCTGTGGCCGGTGCAGCGGGTGCGCTCTACGGTCCATCGCACGGTGGTGCCAACGAAGCCGTCCTCGACATGCTCCAACAGATCGGTGCCAAGGACAACGTACCACAATTCATAGCCGACGTCAAAGCCAAGAAGAAGAAGCTGATGGGATTCGGACATCGTATCTACAAGAACTACGATCCACGTGCCAAGATCATTCGTCGCGTTGCCTACGAGGTTTTCGACTCGCTCGGAAAGGAGCCACTGATCGAAGTTGCCACCGAGCTCGAGAAGCAGGCGCTGAACGACGAGTACTTTATCCAGAGAAAGCTGTACCCCAACGTCGATTTCTACTCGGGACTCATCTACAAGGCTATGGGATTCCCTACCGATATGTTCCCAGTGCTCTTTACCATCCCACGTGCAGTCGGTTGGTTGGCTCACTGGATCGAGCACTGCGAAGACCCAGAGACCAAGATCTACCGTCCACGTCAAGTATACAAAGGTGAATGGTTCAGAAACTACGTACCAATTGAAGGTCGTCCACCTGCTAAAGTTCGTTCACAAGATTTCTATTCCTCATCGACCACCAAGAGATATTCAAAAGTAACAAGTTCATCATAAAAAAATAATAATAATAATCAAATAATTACAACATTTAAAACAAGTGATATATATATTTAAATAAACAAATACCCTACCCTTTTTTTTAAAAATTAATTAATAATTTACCGCCAGATGGAAAAAAAGATTTAAATATACATTGAATAAATGTGAATGAATGAGTAATTAATATTGTAAGAGACAAATCAATTGAACAGAACATTTAGAAATAAAGTTAGTCTTTAATTCATTCAAAATAAAAAAAAAAAATCAAAGTAAAGATAAAGATGTTAAAAAAAATAAAAAAATCAAACAAATAAAAACTTGTTAAATGATTTTAAAATTTGAAAAAAAAAAAACAAAATTAATTAATATATCATTTATTTATTTATTTATTTATTAATATTATATATATATATATTTTTTTGTATTTTTCTTTAAATTCTACCAAATTTATATATTATTATTAATGTCTAATACCAATACCAATATTAATAATAATAACAACAACAACAACAACACCACTAACAACAACAACAATAATAGTAGTAACAAAAATAGTAATTCCAGTAACAGTAATTATAATAATAATATAGAGTCAGATAAAGATGGTATACAACAACCAATTTCAGATTGGGTATTGGTTAGAAACTCAATTTCCTCTACAGCAACAACAAACAACACAAACCTAAATGCAAATTCAAATACCAATAATACATTAACGAATACAACAACAACAACAACTACTTCATTTGTACCTTTAAATTCATCAACGCCGACCACATCTTTAACGTCATCATTTGCAAATATTCAAATTCAACAACAACAACAACAAATTAATAAAGATGATAATAATAATATATTAAATAATAATAGTTTTAAACCAATTAGTTCGAATCCAATTAATATACCAGGATTACCGGGGAGGAAGAATAGTTTTAAAAGTGGAATGGAGACGTTTTTGGTTGGTTCGCATACGGTAACTCCGACGGTATCTCCGACTCGATCACCGACACACAACCAATATCAATATACACACTCTCATTCAGTACCAAACTTTAATACTACGGGTGGTGGCTACGGCACCACTGCCAAGTCTACAACCGGTAGTTTGGGTGAATCTTCTACAGCTCTTTACAATCAACAGCAACTACAACAACAGCAGCTGCAGCAACAACAACAAACACTATCAACATCACCTACAACATCATCACTGAATACCAGTCACGATAAGAAATGTTACTACTGCGCAAAGGATCTCGATAGGAATCAACATCAATACGAGCACGAGATCGTTGACATCGCGCAGAACATCGAACGTCTGCAGCAGTACAAGATTCAACAGAATGTGATTCCGCTATCGCCGCCGATCCACGTCGACCAGGATATCATACATTTCTACAATCACTCGGAGAACTTCTCGTCGCAGTACTACAACATTCTGACGCAGCTCGACTTGGAGCATCACAACACCACTATGCATCTCACAGAGATTGTCAAGTTTCTCGATGAGCTCGAGGAATTCACCTACAGCTTGGACATTGCGATATTCAATCGACTGGGCGACAACCTCAAGATCATGTACGACCACCTTTCACTCATCAAGAACGACCTACTCGACACCCAAAACAAAAGCATATCGATTCAGTTCAAAGGCTATCTTGCCATCACCAATCACACACTGAACAACCTCGAGAAATCAACACAGCAATTCACCCTAAAGTTTCTCCACTCGATCACACCATTCCTCTCGCCGCCCACTGTACTATTCACCGATGTCCTCAAAAAGTATGCGAAAATATCAATCACCAAACAAAAGAATACACCACTCGGTTGTGAATGGAGAATAATATTGATTTTCACAAAGAGTTTATTAGGTAATAATAATTTATCAAAGCAGAGCAGTTTATTTATTTAAAAAAACAAACAACACACATATTAATATTTTAATACCTATCATTATTATTTTATAGAGATTATAAAGTTTTGTGATCCAATTAAAGCGATAACATTGTTAGTGTATCATTCATCATCACAGACACCACAGTATTTCCATGTAAAGAATAAACCAATCATTATCAACGAAGAGAAACAATTCATTGGATCGGTCAATCACTTTTGTTCCGATCTACAGCCACTACTCCAGAAAGAAGAGAAATTCTATTTGGTCTATCTTGTAAATAACATCAAACATCTACTATCAGTCATACCCAAACAAACAAGAGAACTTTCGAAATTGGAAATTGATAGATTACAAATTTTAATGAAAAGTAAGTTGTCAATTTTAAATAATAATAATGATAATAATGATTTTAATATTGTTTATTAGAATATCCAAATACATATTTAAAAGAAGTTATACCATTTTTTATAAAGAATCTATATGTTGATCCTTTGTTTTTCAATTTGTGGAATCAAAATTGTATACATTTTATCAATACAAAGGATGGAATCAGTGGCGTTGGTGGTGGCATTGGTATTGGGATTGGATCGAGTGGTATCGTTGGATCATCGGGCAACGATTTGAATCAGTTGATGAATAACAAGTACTCGTTTATTATTTCGTTCGACGAGAAGAACTTTGTACTCTATTTCACCAAGGCCAGTTCGAGAACACTACAATCAGAGTGGTTCCCCAATATCATCTCCTTACTACAGTACATTCAGAACAACCAATTCATATCGATAGTACTCTCGAATCGCGAGGTACAACCCATTCAGTATTTCAACAGTATATTGCCATCGACACTACCGACACAGCCGATAACAACACCTCATCATATCACCCTCTGTGGACCGTGTATATCGACACTCAAAGAGTATCTCGAGAGAATGAATCAAGAGTTACAACGTGACTATACAACCTATACACAATTCATACAGGATCATAATATTAATATAAAACAAGATAATAATAATAATGATAATAATAATAATAATAGTAACAATACAAATAATATTACAACTTTTAATTCAAACAATACAAACAAACAATCATTTACACCGAGTATACATAAATCAAAAGAATGGGAAGATTTATCAAATCTTTCAAATGAAGAATTAGATGCTCAAATTAAATTGGTATGTTAAATCATAGTGTGTGAATTAATATTATAATAACATAACTAACTAATCAAAATATATATATTTATAAAATGAATAGATTGAATTGGAAGAGATTGAATTGATGAATGAATATTTACAGTTGGAGAGAAATAATAATGATGTTATAGATATTAGAAATAAACTGGAAGATATTCGTGGAGAGATTAAATCAGAGGAGAAACAACATTACAACAATGTCAATCATTTCTATCAAGAGTATTTCAATCTACTTGGTCAAAAGAAGAGTTTGGAATCACAGATTGCCACGATGAAAGATGATCTCGACAGTCTCTCTGATTTGAATATCGTAAAGGAGGTATTCCAAATCACCTTTGAAAAGATCGATGAACACACCATCGTCAAAATCAACGATCTTCGTCTCGGTACACTGCCCAAAAATAAAGTGGAATGGGATGAAATCAATGGTGCAATGGGTCAAATAGTATTGTTAGTACATACAATTGCCAAACAATTAAATTATACTTTTACAAAGTAAGTTGTATATCTATTATCAATTATTATTATTATTATTATTATTAATCAATTATTAATCTATTATTTAATTTTAGACATAAATTAATACCGATGGGTAACAAACCGTTGATTCAATCAAAGAGTGATAAAGAAGCGTATCCTTTATATGGTGGTGATGATATTTACTTTAGATCGTTCATTTGGAGTAGAGAGCACAAGTTTGACATTGGAATGGAGGCGTTCTTGGGATGTATCAACGAGATGTGTTCGCTCTTTAAGAATGTTGTATTCCCATTCAAAATCGAAAAAGACAAGATCGGTGGTAACAATGGTTTTCAATCGATTAGGGTAACCGGTAATTCCGAAGTCAATTGGACCAAGGCTTTGAAGTATATGGTCACAAATATCAAATGTATATTGACCAATCTAAATTTATTTGGTCAACAGATAACCAATTCACCAACGACAACAACCACTACAACTACAACTACAACTACACCAACAAAATAGAATTATTTTCATTCTTTACAAATGAAATAATAAAAATATGGTTGTGCACTGCAAAAGTGATTGATCACAAAATAGATACTTTATTATTTTAAACATCATCAACTCTTCTGCATTCCCTACACAGATATGCATAGGGGATATGATATGTACGGTCCATTTTTAACCCTTTCACGAGGATGACCTCATTTACCAATATTTTTAGTATCTATGGGAGGTGTTTCCTTTGGTTTCGAATTACATCAGTTTATTTTAATTATTTAAAATTCAATTTTTTTTTGGTTTTTGTTAAACAAACGTTTTTTATATATAAAGAAAGATAGATAAAATATTACAATACTTATAAAGAACAATAGTAATGGAGAAGAATAGTTTCGATAAGTTTGATTCAAGATCCTATGCCAGGTGTTATTGGCATAAATGGGAACCCAAACAGTATATCATATTAATCGAAAAGGCAAATGACCTCCTTATAAAGTATTCAAAAGAACTATCGGATTTGGTATCTTCATCTTATAGTTGGTATGCTTGCTCTGCCATCTATTCATCAAATAAGATCGAGGATACTGGTCTTTCACTTGAGGAGACAAAAAACATTGTCATCGAATATCTAAATCCCAACTCTATGGATAGACTACTCAGTGATATCGAAAAGACTAATGATCAAAGTAGAAAAGAGGTTCTTCAACATCTGTCAGCATTCCAATACTTGTGTAGAGAGAATCTTCATAGTGATCTTTCAGAAGATATCATACTTGAGACACATCGCTTACTAATGAATGGTTTGGTTCGAGAAGACGGTATGGATGCTAGAGCAGGTAGTTATCGTGATACTGATATTACAGTTGGAAAAGATGGTCAACCATGTGTAAGTTCTGATGACATTGTACCAATAATGAAGAGGTTAGCAACATGGTTCAACCAGATAAAGTCAAAACCATTCGATCCATTTGTTACTGCAACCATTTTGAAGACAAGATTTCTCCATATTCATCCATTTATCGATGGAAATGGCAGATTGTCACGGCTCCTTATGAACTGGGTTCTTTTGTCTAAAGGATTACCTTTTCCAATTTCCTTACAAGCAGGGTTTAGTTATCAAGCAAAGAAGAACTACTTTCATTGCTTTAATGCTAATGATCCAACCAAACCTTTGTCATCACTTGTACTCGAGTCGGTACATACACACTTTTGTTCGTTCTTTGAAAGAGTTAAATTTACAAAACCAGAGATACCCCCATTTATTAGCTCGATCAATTCTCACACCTACTTTGATAGATTACCAACTTGGAGAGATGGAAACGGATATGATATTGATCAAATGCAAGATATGATAAATAAATACACCAGTGAAAATAATTATGATGTCATAAAGATGCAGAAAATCTTCAATTTGAGAGCATTACAATTTGCGATTCACTCCCGTATCGACCTACAAGGTAGCAACCTTACTCTTACTAAAGATCATCTGACTCCTATCATCATCAATGACTATAATACTGTAACAGATCTTTCAACTACCCCACATTTTAAAGGTGATTTCTCTCGTACATTAGAAGAAATGACTCGATTGACAAAAGCATTTAGATATCTTTGTGTGGATAAAGTCAAGTCAGATTTAAATGTTGAGTTGATATTATCAACACTTCATATTCTATTCAATTCATCCACTAGCTATAGAACAGATGATGTATACATTGGATCTCATTTGTTTCCATCACCCCACTGTCTTAAGTCTAATCTTGAGACAATAGTCAATAGTTACAAAGAAAAAGTGTCTAAAATTGAATCAACTAGCGGAATACAAGAAAAGATTGTTATTTCAACTTGGCTCATGTATGAAATTCTTGCACTCCATCCTTTCCAAGATGGAAATGGTAGAATATCTCGTCTCCTTCTTAATTGGTCATTATTACATTTGGGAAGTAATTTTCCAGTTATTTTTGGAAAAGAAAAGGGTGTCAAGCATGGTCACAGAGACTTAGTCGTTTCTATCCAATTAGCAAGATCAAATCTTGGTTCACCAACCATTCTCGCTACACGTGTTCTTCTGTCTCTTTATAACGCATGGGAATCACTCACCACTGATAAATAAAGATTAATAAATCTATAAAAAACTTCTAATGTGGTTCTCCAAGATTATGATAATGTGGTCCAAGTAATCTCATTGGATTATACAATGTCATCTTTAATGGGTGATCTGGGTGATATGCTTCGATATGATTGGTTAAGTAAGGAAGTATTGCTGGTGATGAACGATTCAAATGTGGAGTGAACTGTATCGCCTTTCGAACATCGTTGGTCACTATATTTAGAGCAGTCAATGCAGCCATCTTATTCAACAACAAAATGGAATGATCTGGATCAATTGCAAGTCCAGCGTTGTAGTATCTTAGAGTTCTTCCAAAATTACCATTTCCAAGTACTTATTACCTCTTAATCTCCATCCATCTTCACCATCGATATCCTTTGGTACTTGTGCTTGAAATCGAATCTCTCCATTTCTGATTTCTGATATATTTATGATCTAGTTGATCAACTATCTCAATACATGATGGATCTGCTACCATTATCTAACAAGCAGATTGCACCGCAGTGATTGTATGGCTCTCTAAAAGTCGATATTGCACCATTTGGTACAATTTGGTCTATATAGTCTACAATCTCTTTCTTAGATTTGTTCTCTACACTAAATACATTCTTTAGTTTTAATATCATAATTTGTCCTTCTTTATCTTCAAAGATAAACTGTACAGCATAAATTAGTTAGTTAAAGATGAAGAAACCAAAACGGTAAATTTATTCCTTTTAACTAAAACAAATTAATAAATAATGATCACATTATCAAATATAAAAATAGAACAATTTTTTTTTACATTTTTACAAACACATTTATGAATTTTCATTACCACCACAAGATCTGTAACAACATTGTCATCCAAACTTATATATTATTAGATAGAAATTAGTTAGTTAAAGATAAAGAAACCAAAACTGTAACAACAACCACAAACAGTCGTAAACAACTTATATATCTATTTTTTGATTTATTAATTGTTAATTGTTAAAAAAATAGATTAAAAAATATCTAATTGTATCAGATTAAAAAATAGAAAAACTTTTTTCATAGTATTTGAGAGTTTACATTTCTCAAGGTTTTGAAAATTGTAGCAATTCTACAAAAAAGTAAATGGTTGTTGTGGATCTTATTAGTTGGTGTTAACAACCAGAATTTCATTTTGTCTCATTCTGTAATATAAAAATTTATCAATAAAAAGTAACTTATTTTTTCTCAAGCTTAACCTGTACATTCATTTATTAACTAAATAATTTATTAATAATAAATATATGAATATTATGTAACGACTATAATTATTAATAATTAATATTCTGGTATTGTCAATATCTTTTTATCCATTGACACAATGAAATTTGTCTCTATTACTCATTATTGAACCTTAACAATATAACCTTATATCTGGATTAAAATTGTTTCTTATGACAATTATTTTTTATTTACTGAAGATCTAATGACTTGTAAATAATTAGAATAGCCCAAGTATTGCAATTTTAAAAATAGATAGCCATAATCATATATTATACTCATATTTAAAATATTTGTTTTTTTTTCAGTAAAAATGTTGATAGTATGAAATAATTTTGTATAAATCTATAATTCATTGGTATTTTGACTTTTGGATTAGTGTTTTTTTTTTTAAAGATTTATTTTAAATTAATAATCAAATTTATAAAAATAAAATAAAATAAAATAAATAAAATTTAACTATAAATAGAATCATGTAAAGAATTCTATATTTATAAAACAAACCAAATTAATAAAAAAACAACAAATACATAATTTTTTTGTAATTTCCAACAATGAAGATTTTTGTAACTCTTTTCGTTTTGATGGCTGTTGCCCTCTCAAGTGCACATTTCCAATGTGGAACCAATACCTGCAATCCAAACTACAGTTGTATCTTTGACGGTCACAACCATGGTTGTCTCTATGGTTGTGGTGATATGGTTATGATTCACCAACAAATTGTAAATCAATGGAATGTTGACTCACAACACTTTGTTCAAGTCCAAGTCTCTGTTGTCAACCATAGCGCCTACAATGTCAACAATGTCATTATTGGTGCTGCCGATGGTACTTTGAATTTAAGAGACAACACCAGTGGTTCCATCTGGAATATCCAATGTTTGCCATCCGGTGACTTCACTTTGCCATCTGCCACCCCAACCATCAATGCTGGTCAAACCTTCAACTTTGGTTACATCAACAGGGGTTACAATGTTGCCAATCTCTATGTCAAGAACATCCATATCCTCTAAATTTAATATCTTTTAGAAACAAATCTTTTATTTGATTTCTTTTTAATAAATAATAAATTTTATTTATTTTATTACAAACAATAAGTTTTTTTTTTCTTTTTTTTTCTTATCCTGGTTTCCTTACGTAAAGATGGATATCGATATCCAGGAAAAAAGATTTATTTCATGTATGTAAAAAAATTTTTTTTTTTTTTTATGACCATATTCTTTAAAGTTATGAATGTAAATAATGATAATAATGATAAATCATATAATAAACGACCACACGATGGTCAAAGTAAAGATAAATATATAGACAACAACAATCAATATACATTAAAATCAATTAAATATTCAAATGATAAAGATAAAGGTAATAGAGAAATCAAATTAAAAGTAATTAAAGAAGAGATAGATTCTCTCTTGGAGTTGGGATACATTGATAATTTATTATCTAGTTTATTATCTGTGCGTGATCTTTATTATAAACTATTAGAGTTTAGTGATGTTGATAATGATGATGTTGCTTCGGATGCTATTTACTTGAGATCAAAGTGCGTCAAATACTTTGGTGATTATCATCAAGATAAATTCGTTCACTACTTTGATGCCATTGGCTATACCAAGTTCATCATTGATGTATTCTTTGATCCGTCAAGCGATGTATTCGGACAAATGATCGATTCGTTCACAAGCAATCTATTCATACCATTAATATCATATATTTATGATACGACTATTAATGATAAAAGAGTAAGATTAATTTTTTATAAATAATAATTAGATACTAATTAATAAACTTAGTTTAATGAATGGTTTAAGAATTTAAATCAATCTGATAACAAACAACTTTTATACAGATTAAATAGCTTTAGTAAGAGTTGTAACTTTCAAGAACTGTCACTTGACTTCAAATATGATTATCTTTATCATCTAGTAAATAAAAGTAATAATAGTAATAATAATAATAATGAACCAAGTAAAGAAATAACAACAACAATAACATTCGATATACAATCAACAAATAATAGTCGATTCTCAGATCTAATTTTAGAAAAAATCATCACATATACACTAAAGAAAAACATTGATACACATAGTAAAATGATTTATAATGAAATTTATAATAGAATCAACAAGAGTGTTCCTTGTTTCGGATCAAATATACTATCAATGGCATTGGTATCAAAACAATTCTTTAGAGTGGTTTCTAGATATATCAACAACATTAATACATATTACCGTTGGGATCATCATTTCAACATTGACAATCAATATTGTTTAATCAAATCACAACCATTATATTTCGATTATAGATCTATCAGATGTATTCGATATTATTGTGATATTGAATTTGCCAAACGGTTTTTATCAAGAGTGGAGACATTCTATATCATTTCCGATGAGATCGATCATCAAATTGAACAATCAGATTTTCTCGATTATGTAAAAAATCATTATCTCGATAGAGATGAATCATATCGTCAATCAGTGGTTGATTATAACTACTTGGTACATCCACCAGCAATGCCAAATCTCAAGAACATAATTCTCACAGATTACTTTGGTTACACTGAAAACTACTCCAATCTCCTCAATCACATCACTACCAGTACACCCAGTGGCAATGGATATGGAATCGAATGTTTCATCATCAAAATGACTAAGGATGATATGACCTGTGAACCAAGTCGACACACACTAGAATTTCTATATATACTGTTGGATCACCATGCAACAACATTGAAATCAATATATATACACTATGATAATTGTGGATTCAAAGAAATTAAATCTCTACTTAAAAAACTTCAACCTTATCTATCAACGTTGCGTAAACATAGTATTCAATTCAACTTGACTAGTGCAAATTATTCGATCCAAGACGATTTTAAAGTAGCGCCAAGTGGATTGGAAGATATTTGTGATTACCTTTCAAATAACCATTCAAACGATAGAAATATAACAAATAAACTTGTTTTTGTTTAACTCTAATGACTATTGGCTAATTAGTTTTGTTACTAATTTTTTTTTTTTATAATAACTAAAGTGGTATACATGTTTTATTAAAAGTTGTATTAAAAGGATGGATTTACCATCAAGTTTTTTTTCGTAGTCTATTTTTTTTTTCTTTTTAGTTGTTGGTTGATTTAATTAATTAGTTGGCAGGTTGGGAAGAGAGTTAATTTCATTTACTTGATTAGTTGGCTGGTGTTGGAGTGTTGTTTATTAATTTTAGAATGTTTCTGTGGATATCGAAGTCGGATATAATAGATTGGTTGGAGAAATCGAGTATTTTGTCATCTTGACTGAATAGAATTGAACTGACATGTTTCCAAATGTTGTGGTAGATTATCGCTGTTAGGTCTGATGATTCATCGCAGAGGTAGAAGTGAGTAGTAGATTTTTCCAGTGACCATTCGTCTTCGTAGTTGGCAATTTGTAGATGTTGTGTGATGTGTTTGAGGTTGAATTTGTTTAGGATGACTCGACAATTAAAGAAATAATGTGTGTGTGGGTCAAAGTCATTTGCTGAACATAGTTTACAACTGTCTTGTTTGATGTATGCCATACCAGGAAGTGATCTTGAGAAGAATCTGAATACTGTGTTTCTACCTCTGTGGTGTTTGATGGAGTTAATGTAGTAGAAGATGTTTCGGGTTGATGTAAAGTCTATTTTGGTGGGGGGAAGAGATAGTTGGAATTGACCTGATGTAAGTACTGGTTTGTGGTGATGGTTGATAAGGTTGTGGTATATGAGTTTAAGTGGTAGTGGTTCGTCATTACGCAATATTGGTTTCATTTGATGTGGAGGTAATTTCAAGTTTTGTTACTAATTAAAAAAAAGGTGTTTAGTGATGGCGGAATCTGTGTTTAAATTCACACATATCCAAGTCTCTATTTCAGAGTCCAGGAATGTAATGAATTTATTTATACGCATTGAATCATTGATAACTATTATAGATTTCAAGTCTAAATGTTTACACAACATAATTGTTTTGTTTCGAAGTAGCAGAATTCACTGTTGCACCAAACTGCCCCAATTCTAAAATTGTTAATAATAGTATTCAAAGAGATTTATTATTTATTATTTTATTGTTATGGGAAATAAAAAGAAAAATGTAGTTGACTATTTAAAACACAAATAAATATCTTTTTTTAGATTTTTCTCATAATTTCGGAGGTCAATCACCAATTTCTTTTTGTTTTATTCTAATTTTTTTTGTTTATTAATTTATTTATTATATTTAAAATATGTTAATCTATGATTTATTAATTAATAATGAATTGATTTAATTTGAATTGAATATTGATTTAATTTAATCTTCCATTTGTTCATCATCATCTTCACCTTCTTCCTCTTCCTCTGGAAGCAATGAAACTTCGTGTTGAAGTTTAATTAAAATATCATTAACATCTTTTTGGAATTTCTCATCTTGGTCATTTGATATAGCCAATAACTATTTTTATGATAATACAGCATAATTAGTTTAAATGTTTTGTTTGCTTTTTTGATTTATATTTAATAAATTATTGCTATTACTTACTTGAGATGCAACTTCAATACACTCGAGAGCAGAACGTGGTTCGTTGAGACTCTGGTAGACTATAGACAATGTATGCCAGATCTCGGCAATGTTGTCCTGTTCGTAGACTAGTGTCTCTAGGATATCGACTGCAGTACGGTTTTGGTTCAATTCGATAAAGAGACGTGATACGTCGAAACGGTATTCCAACGAGGGTCTCTTATCGATGGTGAGCTCCGACCACAGTGAATAGGAGTGTTGCAAACAACGCAAGGCCTCCTCATTCTTCTGTTGACTGATTCTCATACTTGCCATCATACTGTATGGCTCTGGTGAAGTTGGAGCATATTCTATAGCTCTCAATATATGTTTCTCACATTCTATCTCTGCATTATCATCGAAACTAAAAATAACATAATGTAATTTTTTATTAGTTTAACTTTGTTTAACAAAAAACAATATATAATATATCTATATAGTTAATAATTTACCATTCATCAGTTAAATATAACTCTGATAATGAACATAGAGCAGAACAAATTTGATCTTTCAAGATCAAAATTGATTCTTCCTCTTCACTTAACTCTTCTTCTTGGTGTTCGTCGTCATCCTCCATATCCTCTTCGTCGTCGGAAATATCATACTTTTTATCTTCAACCAATCTACCATCTTTGGTTTTCTTATTCTTATTATTTTTATTATTATTTTGATTTGAAACTTTTATTGGTACTACATTATTATTATTTTTATTATTTTTATTTGAAACTTTACTAATATTGTTATTACTATTATTATTGTTATTGCTACTATTCTTCTTTATTTTATCATTTAATTCCGATTCCATTAGCTCAATACCTTTTGTGTAGGATTTGATTGCCTCTTGACCACCGGTGAGTTGACCGTAGTTCATATATTTAGCGGCGTTATCGTTGGGGTTGGCTTGAATCGATGCTACGATGTATTGTTTGGCAGTCTCGGTGTCACCCATCTCGAGGAGCACCTCACTGATACTGTCCATAATATTCGAGTTCTTTGGACTCTGATTCAATGCCTCTATATAATACTTTAATGCCAAATCCAATTTGAATTCCTGTGCATAATCATCTGCCTTGGCAATCAATTCCTCCAACGACAATTTCTTCTTTGGCTGTTGTTGCTGTTGTGCTGCTGCTTTCTTATTCCTGTTTTTCTGCATCATAGCAGCTTTAGATCTACCTAAAGATGACATCTTATTATATTATATCTATTATTATAAAATATTATAATATTTCTATTTTTATAAATAATAATAAAATAACAAAAATTTAATTAAACAAATAACAAAAAATGATCAAAAAAAAAAAATTTTCGTTCGTTTTTCTTTTTTTTATTTTTTTTTATTTTTAATTTATATTATAAAAATTATTCTTTTTTATATTAGACATAATCTCTTTACTAGTAAAATTGATATATAAGTAATATTATTTATTACTTCATTATTGAGGCTGTACAAATTTTTTTTATAAATTTACTATTTTTATTTTTATTTAATATAAATCTTTATTTTTACACCAATATATATATCAAAGATCAATCTTTAAGAATTATTATATAAATAAACATGTACATTGTTGAAAATCAAAAAAAAAAAAAAAAAAACAAAACCAGGTCATATGATTTTTCAAATTTTGCACCAAACAAATCAATCAATATATATTTTTGGTAATTTCACATAACATAAAAGTCATAGAACTTAAAAAATGTTTCAAAATAGAAATGGTAGAGGTGGATATGAGAGAAGAGATAACAATGCTGGGGGTGGCGGGGGTGGAGGTGGAGGTGGTGGCGGTGGATATAACCAACATCACCATCAACAACAACAACAACAACAACCACATAAAAGAACATATAAAGAAGAAACACTATCAAAGCTAAGATCAATAGAAAGAGAGAGACTAAAAGTCGAAAATACACTAGAGGCTCTCGAGAAGAAAGAGAAAGAACTGGCCTCTGGAGGATACAGCAGCAGCAGTACAAGCACTACCGGCAAAAGAAAAGATAGAGATAAACAAAACAGCAGCAACGATAATTACAACCACAGCAATAGAAGAGATGAGCATAACGAACAAAATAAACTTCTAAAAACAAGAGAGGAGTTAAAAAAAGAGACATCTCAACCAATGACCGAAGAAGGAAAGAAACGTGGTAGAATGGTATTCGGAATGTTAAATAGAACTCTTTTAGATTTCCAATCGAATATATCAAAGAAAACTGAAAGTGTATGTATCTATTATTATAATAGATAGATAGATAGAATGAACAAAGTTAAGTTATTAAAGATGTTAACATGATATTAATTTATTTTAACCTATAGGATATAAAAAGAACGGAAATGGAGAAAAAGATTGATGAAGTCGTGGTGAAGGCAGAGGAAAAGTTGATCGAAGTAGAGATGAAAAGTATTCAAGAGAAAAAGGATCAGAGTTTGAAGGAGTTGGAGGAGAAGAAGAAGGAACAAGAGGAACTCTACAGTAATCTATTAAATAGGAAGTGGGAGACTCACAAGAAACTACTGGATCGACACCCGTTAAAGACACTGGCAAAGCCGTCTATCTACTTTCAACTGGCACCGAGAGCACCTCATCACTTGAAGATGTCAGACCTCATCGATATTAAAGAGGGACGTGTTGAGTTTACCACTCATTTCAAATCGAGAAATACACTTCAAAGTTCTGGTACCACTTCATCGACATCGGCAACAACAAAAACAAACAACACAGCCGGTGCTGGTGACAATGTGGAGGAATCTGGTGGTGATAACAATAAGAGTAACAAATCAAGTAAACGTGAAAGGAGAAGAAGAGATGATCATCATTCCGATGAAGATGAAGATGAAGAAGATGATAATGACTATTACGATGATGATAGTAATGACAGTAATGATGATGATGATGATTATGTTGAAAGTAAATCAATGGAAAGAGAAAGAAAAAGAAGAAAAAGAAGAAAAAGAACAAGATGAAAACAAAAAAGATAAACAAGATACCGATATGAAGGAAGAAACAGCATTAGAAACAATAAAAAATGAACAATCAACAAAAGAAGATCAACAGAAATCAGCAGAATCAAATGTAAATGAACCTCACACCACCAATACAACATCGACAACAGATTCAGAGCAATCTAAATCCGATCAACAGCTACCGACATTGTAATAAATTCAAACAACACAAAAAGTAATAATTATTAAATTCTTTTTTTTTTTTTTTTTTTTTTTTTTTTTCAAACAAAACTTTAATACAATAGAAGAAGTTATTTTTATTAATTTAATAACTTTCTAAGATCTTGTTTATGAAAATCTTTTAATTAAAAAAAGATGTTGAACTTCTAGGGAGAAGGAGTTATTTGTTTTTGTTGTGCAATAAATATCAGTAAAGGTTAAAAGAAACCTGAAAATATAAATATTTTCTCCACTGTCTAAAAAAAATAAATAATAATCCTATCGGTTTACAACCTTATTTATTAAAAATGAAACATATTTAAAATAAACAGGTGAACTTGTAGGAGTTTTTGGCAGAAGTGGCTTTGAAGAAAGTAGTAGTCTAATGATCATTGTCGATCAATGCATTTGTTTTTGTTTGTTGTCGAAAAAGCGTGAATTTTATTGTTTTTATGCACATTTGATTTAACCTTCCTTTTGTTTGTTCTTTCCGACTTCCAAACCTTTCTTGATGACAACGACAGATCTCTTTGAGTTACATACATTACACGACAAAAAGTATAGACGATTGGTTCTCTCTAAAACAGTGTTGGCACTCTTGCAATTACGGCAAGCGACGTACTCACTAATATAATGACGAATGACAACTTCGATTTGTTGCGATGAAAATCTACCCTTAATGACCAAACGTTGGTTACCATCGACAGAACCATTCGAACCCAACTCAGTGAAAACATAAGATAGCAAATGTTCTGGTTTACGGTTAAGACTAGTAGCAAGCGTAAAGAAAGATAAGAAAAAAAAAAAAAACCAAGTTAGTTTCTATGCTAATCATTGTTATCCATTCAAATCATCTTTGTTATGATGCTTACGTTTGACAAATATCGGCAAAGTTTGCCCAGACAGTCTTTCTGGAACCGTCACGGAAAACGACTGGGGTCTTCATTTGACGTTTCTGGTCAGAGATCAACTCTGGGTTGTTGGTTTGAAGCAAGTGGTAGATACGGTAGGTCAACTCTGAGTATTTGTAGTCACGATCCGATCCAACCCATGGAGTTCCAGAGATCTCTCCGCTGTCCTCCTCTTCGGCGGCGGCATCTGCAGCGGCATCACCTTCGTCCTTCGATGACTTTGATGATGACTTCTTCTTTTTCTTTCCGAAATCCAAGACGTTCGAAGGTTCCTCAGTTTCACCTGTTGCTTCCTCTGTGGTTGATTTATCTTTTGATCTCGATGATTTCTTCTTCTTTCCGAAATCGATGACGGCTTCCTCATCCTCTGCAGCAGCTGGTTCAGCAGCAGCTTCCTTTGATTTCGATGATGATGATGATGATGAAGACGATGACGATGATGACTTCTTCTTCTTTCTCTCTTCCTTTACTACAATTTCACCATCATCTCCTTCTTCCTCTTGTTGATCGACACTAGCTAAAACTTGACTCTTAATCTTTTTCTTTTCTTCAGCTACAATTATAATAATAGTAAATCAAATTATATTAATATATATATATATATAACTAATATCTAATTCATATATATCATATTCTTATTCATTACCTGTTACTGTATCTTTAGTGCTCTTCTTCTTTTTCTTTTGACTCAAGTCAAAAGTTGGTAGTTCTTCAGTTGACATGTTTTTGTTGAAAATTATAAAAAAATACTATCTAAAGCTTTGAGTTTTAAAACTATTTATTAATATCAATAAATAATTAATGAGAATAGATTATTTTATAATAAATTTACCTTTAAATTTAATCCTTAAATAGTTTATCTTATTTTTTTATATATTATTTTTGAATTAGTTTTTTTTTTCTTATGTTTTGCTCAAAAAAACAAAAATTAACAAAAAAAAAAAAAAAAAAAATGAAGTGGACAATAATTGTTTCTTTTTTTTTTTTTACAATCACACTTTTTCGAACTTCTTATTTTTGAAAACAAAGTTAACGACAAAAATAAAATAAACGAAACAAAAAAAAAAAAATAGTTTTAAAATCGACAGTTTTTAATTATTTTTAATTAGATATTAAGAAAATGGTAGGAAAAAGAAAGAAATCAAATAATAACAATAAGAGAAACAATAATAGAGATAGAGATGCAGCTGCCGGTGGAAATAATGAAGATGGTCAAGCAGTAAAGAAAACACGCACCGATGGTACCACCTGGGATAAAGGAACCAATCCAAGAACATGGAGTGATATAGTTGCAAAGAATGAACAATTCGAAGATTATTATAAAGTAAGTAGACTACGATAGTGATAAAACAATGAACTGTCTTTCTAATGTCTGAGAATCGATTGGTGTTTTTTTCAGAAAATGAATATAATTACAAATGAAGATGAATGGAAACAATTTATGGAGGCATTGGGTAAACCGCTACCAACAACATTCAGAATCAACACTTCAATTGGAGAGACTATGACTCAGATCGTTAGAGATCAATTGGCTCAGGTCATTTCAAAGTTGCCAAAAGAGGTGGAAATCGACGGTCAGACTTTCACTACACTCTCGGAGATCGAGTGGTATCCCGATCACTTGGGATGGCATTCGTCACTGCCAAAGAAAGCATTCCGTAAGAACACCGTTCTCGAGGAGTTCCATCAGTTCTTGATGCATCATTCCGAGCAGGGTAATCTCACCCGTCAAGAGACAGTCTCTATGATTCCACCGGTGTTCATGGATGTCAAGCCGGAACACGTTGTTCTCGATATGTGTGCTGCACCCGGTTCAAAGACAACGCAACTCATCGAATCGATCCATCAGGGTCTCAGCGAGAAGTCGGTGCCAACCGGTGTGGTCATTGCCAACGACGTCGATACCAATCGTTGCTATATGTTGGTACACCAGACTGCACGTCTCGGTAGTCCAGCGATTGTAATCACCAATCACGAAGCACAACACTTCCCACTGTTGAATTTGGGTGCTGAGCTTGGCGGTCCACTGCTATTCGACCGTATTCTCGCTGATGTACCATGTTCCGGTGATGGAACCATGCGTAAAAATCCAGATTTGTGGGCACGTTGGAAGAATCACTTTGGATCGGCATTGCATCCACTCCAATTGCAAATCGCAGTTCGTGCAGCCAATCTCTTGAAGGTCGGTGGTAGAATGGTTTATTCCACATGTTCACTCAATCCCATTGAGAATGAGGCAGTTGTTGCCGCGTTGATCGCTCGTTCCGAAGGATCGATGCGTATTGTCGATGTGAGCGCAATGCACCCCGCTTTGAAGAGAGCACAGGGTCTCCACTCATGGCCAGTCGTCGACAAGGAGACAGGCGAGCTCTACTCTAGCTGGGAGTCGGTCGCACCCACCAAGAAAGCACGTATTCACCCAAGCTTCTTCCCACCAACCAAAGAATTTGCCGAGTCTATTGGACTCCAAAACTGTATGCGTGTATATCCACATCTCCAAGACACCGGTGGATTCTTTATCACCGTCTTGGAGAAAGTCTCTGAATTCCCCAACCAAATTGGAAAACGTTTAATTAATCAAGCAGCAGCAAACACATCATCAACTACCACAACAACCACCACCAATAATACTGAATCAACTTCAACTGAATCACCAGTTAGTGAAGAATCAACTGCAACTGAATCACCAGTTGCTGAAGAATCAACTACCACTACAACAACAGAGAAGAAAGAAAAGGAAAAGAAACCAGCTTATCAAAAGTTCTTTGAAGAACCATTCAATTTATTGTCAGAGCAAGATAGAAAAGATATTGGACAGGTTGCCGATTTCTATGGTTTGAACGAATTCCCAATCGACAATCTTTTGACACGTTCCGAGAAATCGGCAAAGTTGTACTTGGCATCGAAACCAATTATGAATATCATAAAGGGTGACACTCAACGTCGTTTGAAGATTATCAATGCCGGTTTGAAGTCACTGCAGAAACACGATGGTCTTGGCATGATGCAATGTCCATACCGTGTATCACAAGACGCCATCAACTGGGTCGAGCCATTCATGACTAAGCGTGTCGTTGAACTCTCACACGAAGAGCTACTACTGATCATCAGAGTGACCGAACCAATGTTTACCGACTTCCGTCCTGAGCTTACAAAGCTTTTCGAGTCATTGGATCCAGGTTGTTTCGTAATTAAAATCACTGGAGAAGATACACATACAAGAGGGTAAATATCATATATTTTCAAATTATTATTTATTTATATTATACTCATAGTATTATTTATTTTGTTTATTTATGAATAGAATGAAATTCTGTGTTTGGAGAGGAAAGAGATCCATTCATTTATTAGTACAGAAACAAGAGATTCAATCTTTAGCAAATATACTAAAAGTTAAAATTGAAAAACAAAAGGGTGTTAGAAATCATGATGATAGTAGTTCAACTGTGGTCACTGATGCTGTTACCACTGACAATGATCAAAAAACATTAACAACTACCACACTACAAACAACAGCTGAATAAATTATTTTATTCTAATATAAACCACCCATTATATCTACCTATTTTTGTTTTTTGTTTTTTGTTTCTTTTCTTTACTAGTATTGAAGTTTCATCGTCATATGATTATTCAGGATGGGTATGATATTTAAATTATTTATAAACTTGATAAAATAACTGTGCAAAAAAAAAAAAAAATTTTATTTATGATTTAATTGATAATAAACAAATAGAATAAATAATCTTTTTCAATCATTTCAAAATCTCAGACCTTATTGAAAAATGAGATTAATTTATTCAATATTTTTAGTTTTATTTTTAATTCATTTTTGTTTATCTACTGATCAAGTCAACAAGGTTGGCGAGGAAGTAGATGAAAATGATTTCTGTATTCCCATCTTTGGCCATAAATGTACTTCGCCACCCGCCCCAACTAAACCTCCACCACCAACTCCACCACCAACTCCACCACCAACTCCACCACCACCTCCACCTCCTGTTCACACCACCACAGGTATAATCAATTTTCCTTCACTCACTGGATTGTCTGGACAAGTTCAATTGATTCCAACTTTAACTGGTCCTATCTTAAGTCCACCAATATCACCACCAACAAATCCTGCCGTACTTCCTACTTCACCATCTATCCCAACTACCAAGCCAGTCACTCCAGTTCCAACTCCACCACCTCCTCCTCCAACTACTAAACCGGTCACTACACCAGTTCCAACTAATAAACCAGTCTCTGCACCAACCCCAACTAAACCAGGAGCCACACCAGAACCAACCAAGCCAAGTACTCTTTCCTTTATTATTAATGCTCTCAAGGGTGGAGATATTTCACAACCATTTTTAGAGGCAATCAACAAATTCTTTAAAGAACATTCTGCTTTGAAAGGATTCGTAAGTTATCAAAGAAAATATTCTTTTATTCAATTGATTTTCATTAGCTAAACTTTCACAATTATTATAGCTGGAATTCTTTTTCAAATTTAAATTCCCAACTAAAAACGTAGTAGAACTTCGTGATATGGAAGAGCTTGCAGTTTCTCTCAATATGGATTTGACAGATCCAGAAATCTATAATGATCTTGAATTTGCTCAAAAATTCATTAATGATGTATTACAATATCTTAATACTCCAACTGAAAGTTTACATTTACAAACATTAAATGAAGAGTAAATAAATAAATTTATTTACAATCCATTTTTTATTGATCACTGATCCATAGAACTCAAATAATATCAAATTTGTATAATTTCATAAATTATGCTAATGAGTGGTCCAACATTTTTTTTATAATAATAATAATTTCTTAATAACATTTAAATTTTTCTTTAAAAAATTTGATATCGTCCTTTCATATTATCATATTGTTAAATCTGATCTTTTTTTTAATTCATATCAAAATACAATTGTTTATTTGTTACAACTCTATTCATTAATTTATTTCATATTACCAACTCATAGTATTGTATCATGAACACTTGTAACAGAAAAGGATAATGTTTTTTTTATTTTTTTTAGTCTAAATATATGATAGTACAGATGTTCACAATCAGTCATATGATCATAAATCATTTTTTGTGACACAAAAAATGAACAAAAAATAAAACACCCCTATGTAAATATAATCATAATCACTTTTTAATCAAATGATACACACCAATTGTCGCTGTAAAGTATGAAAAACAAAAATCTTGGTGGTCATATCATTGACCCACCCAACAATGAATAATACTAATTTCATACTATACTTGAACTTTTATATAAGTATATATCATTTGTATAAAATTTATAATTTTTTTTATTTCTTGATCATATATAATGACAATGAGGTGGTGTAAATATTTATAATGATAACAATTACAATTTATTTTATTTAATATAATAATTTCAATCATGAATTACTTTTCATTATATAAAGGAACAGTTTCTTTCATTTCTCATTCATTCATCATTGTTTGTTTCTAATAAATATTCTATAAAATATATAAAATGAATACTAAATTATTTGCCGTTTTGGTATTGTTTATGATGGCCACAAGTGCTATGGTAAATATTGTCATTCTATTTATATATTTGGAGAAATACATATTTAATTAATTTTATTATTCTTATTTTTCTTTCTTTTTATTTTTTGATAGGCCACTTTCCAACAAGAACCAACTAATGCTGAAATTGCTGAATTAGTTAGACTTATCAGAAACTATCGTAATAAACAATTATATGAAATTGATGATGCCGAAGGTCTCCTCTCCAATCTCCCAGCCATCGGTGCAAACATTAAGGATCTCCTCGGAAATCTCTTAAACGGTGTCGTTTCCAGGGATCCAAAGGGAACTGTCCACATTGGTGTCGACCAATTGGTAGAAAACTTGATCAAGCCAGTTGCCGGTGCTCTCGGTAACCTCATCCACAACCCAGAGATTGCCAACCGTTTAGTTGCCCTCGTCAACTCCTTGAAGGGTAAACTCGTTGATTCCATCTCCAACCTCTTGAACTCTCTTCTCGGAAAGACCCCATTGGGTAACGTTGTCCACATCAACAAGGCCACCTTGGTTGAGCCATCTGTCATCGTTGCTCAAATGCAACAAATTATGGACGAAGAGGTCTCCAAATTCCTTCTTTCAGTTAACGAAATCTTGGAAAGAGACTCCACTCAAGCTCAATAGATCCAATCCGAAGTATCTAAATTCTATTACCAATTGAATTTTTTCAACAAGAACCACATCACCTATTAATTATTTTTAAATGTTAATAAATATTTTGAAATTCTAATTCAAAAAGAAGATTTCATATTTTAATTAATTTTTTATTTATTAATAAATATTTACTCATATTTATTCATTTTTTTAATTAAATAAATTAATTTATCTATTTTTCATATTATTTTCATTCTTTTTATTTATTTGTTCTATATGTTGTTCTCTACTTTTATATAATATTTATTCTCAGATAAAATGAAAAAAATTGTTTTTCTACTTTTACTTATAATTTTTACAAATTTGGTTTATGGAACAATCAAAGTATATATCTATATTTAAAAAAAAACAAACATATGAATTCTTAATTTTACTAGTAGAAATAATATTAATCAATAATAATTTGTTTTTAGATAAATGATAACCAAGAAAATGATGTAAAACAACCAACTGTAAGAGAATCAGCAAGCAAGACAAAACCAAATTTTTTGACAGATTTACTACATGGTCTTGGGGATGTTCTGGGACATCTGGTTAATTTCAAAGAGCACGCTTTAAATGTTAATTTGGGTCAAACAGTGGACGATCTACTGAAAGCTGTTGGTCGATTGCTAGGAAATCTCACACATAACGAAGGTGCAACTCTATTAACCAATGAGTTGGGTAATTTGCTGAACGGTCATATATTACCGTTGGTAGACGACCTACTCACTAGCCTTCTTAACTATAAGGTTAGAGTCAACAAAAATGAAATCAACATAGACGCTACATTGGATCAAATACAATCTATTGTTATAAAAGATACACTTGATCTACTATTGAACTTGGAAGAGAGAATCAAAGCTAAAGAGTTTGAAATTGAACTTAGAAAACAACTAAAATAAATAAATACCATTACTCTAAAAGTTAATCTTTAATGTTTTTTATCTTTATATAGTAGAATCAATACTGATTTATTAATAGATCTTCAATTTTCTCTATCTTTAATTATTAAAAAAGAATTATCAATTTAGATTTTTTTTTTTTTGTAATAATAACCGAGATTTATTCTTGTTTTTCAAATAATTAGGTGAGAAATACAACCTGATATTACAACCCTATTTTGACCTTCGATTGAGATTGATCAAAATAAAATGAAAAAAATAAATAAATTAATACAAATTATGAATGATCTTCTTTCTTTCTAATCACTTCAATTATTTAATTTATTTGTACTAAAAAAAAAAGTAAATATTAAAAAAAAAACTATAAAATTTTTAATCATTTTAATTAGTGTGGACCAATATTTCAACTCACTTAATAAAAAGAATTAGAATGATTTTGTTGTTGCGTGGTAATATCATTCATATAAAATTTCAATGTGGGGAGTGACAGAGAAAAATAAAATAAATGATTCTGTGTGTGTTGTGTGTATTTGATGAAAATGTTATATATTGATTATTGGTTTTCAACTTTTTTATTGTGGTTGGTTTGTTTGTTTTTTATTATTATTAAAATGGATTAAGATAGACTGTATTAATGAGAATTTCTAATTAGTATAGTTCAGACACACAGTACAAAAAACAACTAAAAACAAATACTCACTCAACTTTTTATATAAATACACACTAAACAATTGTATTGTGTTATCTATTGTCAATCAAATTTAACAACACTAGTTAGTGATTGAATTGACCTCTTTTTAACCTCAGATTTTCAAATAGTTCGATGAGTATAGTAATTGATTTAATTTCCATCAATTTATAATCGTAGAATTATAAAAATTACCATATTATTTTAATAATAATAAAATAACAATTACCCAAGAGTAAACTATTTATATCAATTAGTATTAATAACATTTTAAACCTAGTTTATTTAGTGGTTTAGTTATTTTTGTATAATTTAAATTTAAATTATTTAATAACAATATAAAATTGAAGAGAAGAGAAGAGAATATTTAATAGAAAACATAAGTACACTGTAAAAAGTAATAATAAAATATTAAGATATATAAAAAATTATATAGATAAAAGATAAATATAAGAAATGAATAAAATAAATACAACTTTAGTAGTTTTAATTTTAAGTTTATTTATTTTCAATTTTGTAGAATCTGTAAGTTTATATTTTTAAATAAATATTATTATAATAATTTGATCAAATTAACTAATTTTATTTTATTCAAGTATGTTCCACCAGAATGTAATTCATGTGTTGGTAGAGGATCACCTTGTGGTATGACATATACAGATACAGATAAAACAAATAAGACAGTTTGTTCTCAATATTGTTTGGAGCCAGGATACACATGCTGTGGTTGTTTGCTTCAAACCCAAAAAGATAATCCCAATGTCATTTCCACTTGCTTTGGATGCAGAAACAAAGATATCTGTATCAATGCACTGACAGGAGAGAATGCAGGAAAACAAACTGGTCTAAACTTTTTCTGTGTATCATCGACCAATCATCTCTTACCTTCACTTTCGATTATCTTATTAGCATTGACGACATTGTTTTTATTGTAAAAGAAACAAGAACAATAAAAAACAACCTACTTTAAAATTATTTCATACTTAATAAATTTATAATTTTAAAAACAACTTCATCGATTTATTGTTTTTTAGTTTTGGTGAAATATTACTATCTAAAACTATTGTTTCAATTTTTAAAAGTACAGACATGATCAACAATTTATTTCTCAGAAATAAACAAAATAGAAAAAAAAGTTATAAAGATAATATTATATTTTTAAACTTCTTTAAGAAACTATTTTTTAAATATCTTTTGGATCTACTTATTCTTTAATTAATAAATTGATTTAAACTATAAGTTATAAGACTAGCTTTTCTTGGAATTTCATAACTTTGATTTCTTTTGAAAAAAACAAAAGTCAGATTTTTTTTTTATACTTTATTTGTTATAGTTTTAACTGTAATATTCATATTTTATAGATATGGGAGTACCAAAACTTTGGGAATTGGTACAACCATCTGGTAGTTATGTTGAACTTAGAGATCTTGAAGGTCAAACACTTGCTATTGATGCATCGATTTGGATTCATTCTTTCATAAGGGCATTCAAAGACAGTCGAGGTGACCCCGCAGAGAATGCACATCTCTTGGGTTTCTTTTGGAGAATATGTAAACTACTACAACATAGAATAAAACCGATATTCGTATTCGATGGTAATATACCATATTTAAAACAAAGAACAATCGTATGTTATATATATATATTTTGATCAAAATTATTATTATTATTATTATTATTTAAACAAAAAGGTACGATATCGTAACAACTGTATTTATTAATATATATATTTATTAAATAATAAAGAATGAAAGAAGAAAGAGAAGAGAGAATTCATTGGCACAGTTGGAGAAAAATCAAAGAAAGATGGTATTGCTAAAGACAATAAAAGCACAGATCAACAAATCTAGAGGTATTATCGATGAGCAGCAATTCGATCATCTGTTCAACGACTTGGATCATCAGGAGGCAGGCGGTGACACCTATGACTTTGACAAAGAAGATGAAGTCGATAGTGATCTTGAGATAATTGATTACGACAGCATCGATCATACCAATATCTCTCAACAAACTTTACCATCAAAAGATATTATTGATAAACTATTCAACAACAACAACAAAAACAACAATAGTAACAATAATAAAAATAATAATAATAATAGTATAGATATAGATAGTTTTAACAATAATAATAATAATGTATTTCAAATTGAAGATGATTCAGACGATGATTATATAAATAATAATAATGATATTAGAAATGTGGAGAGAGTGTTTATGATTGAAGATGATAACTTTATTGGTGAATATGAGTCACAGTTTGTTCATAATTTCAACTCTGACGAGATCGATCAACAAGTATTCAGTCAACTACCGGAAGACATACAGATTGAAGTTCTCAGTCAAATGAAACAAGAGAAGAAGTTACAAGATAAACTATCATTATTAACTCCACCAAAAGTATGTTATATATAAAACTATAACAATAAGATATTAATTAACATTATTATCTATTATTAATAATAATAATAATAATAAAAAGACACCGATTGACTTTTCAAAACATCAAATCGGTAGTCTACTGGAGAAAGGTAAACTAACGAGAAAGATCAATGAAGTTAGAGAACATATGCAATCTGAAGTCAAGGGTGTCAGTACTGATGGTGACACTGTATTTATGTTACATAAAACACCTACACCTTCAAAGAGCATGGGTAATAACAACTCACAATCAAACACACCATTCTCAACACCTTTGAAACCAAATTCATTGAGTGGAAGAATATCAAGTGGAGCTACAAGTATATCACCTAAATCAAAGAAACAACCATCTCAATCAATACATTATGATTCAACATCACCATTTTCAAATGATAATGATAATAATAATAATAGTAATAGTAATAGTAATAAAAAACAACCAATAACAAGTATATTAAATCAAATAAGTGCAAATAATTTAAATAACAACAAGTCATCAGCACAATCATTAGTTGTTGACAAGTCAGATATGTATTCAAAGTTGGAGATGATGATTAATAGGAAGTCATTCTTGGAACCGAAATCAAAGGTGGTGACAACTACGTCTACTACACCACCTCCAACACCAACTACACCGCCAAAGACAACGACAACGACAACGACAACAACCACTAGAAGTTCATTATTATCATCATCATCTTCTTCTTCTTCACCAAGCAGTTCGTCAAGATTACAACTTACACCAACCAACAGTAAATCAATGTTTGGAAGTGGAAGTAGTGGTGTTTATTATGGTGATGAAGAAGTAGTAGATCATGTCGATAGCAGTTCAAAGAGAAATCTTTTGGATGAATTGTTTGGTTCCGTAAAGAAGAAGAATATAAGAGATAGTGATCAATCTGACTATTCAGGAAACAATAATAACAGCTATGACGATGTAGATATTGACCTTGGTAAAAATAATAATAATTATCAAACTATTGATGATAATGATAATAACAATAACAATAGCTATGACAATAATGATGACATACCAGATTTCAATCAGAGAATCATTGATAGTGATGATGATGACATTCCAGATTTCAATCAAAGAATCATTGACAATGATGAAAAAGATAGTTTTAAGAATAATAAAACAACAACTACTAAATCACCATCTAAACCAACAACCATATCAACTGCTCAATCATCATTCAAAATAATAAATAACAATAATAGTAATAATAATAGTCAAGATGATAAACCAATCAAGCAAAATAACAACAACAACAACACTATTAAGAAGGATAATTTAAGTAGTAGTGATGGTAACATTCAAGATGACAGTATTTTTAATGTCAATAGCCAAGATGATAGTAATAGTAGTACACAAAGCAATATTAATAATAATAATAACTCTAAAAATAACAATGATAATTGTAATATTGATAGTAACAAAAAAGTTTATCAACCAATATTAGATATAGATAAAGCGATCAATGAGATTAAGAGAAAACATAATCTTAATAATGAAAATGTAAATAATCATCTACATGAGGATGACATAGACGAATTTGTAAATAATAATAATAATAATACAACAACCACAACTACAACAACTTCTACAACAAAACAAAAATCAAAGTTTGATGATATAGATATATTTGATGTTAACGATGAAAATAATAATAACGATAACGATAACGATAATGATACAAGTGTAAATAATAATGATGATAATAATAATAATAACAATATTGACATAGATAATAATAATAATAATGGAGAGGTTTTTGTTAGAGATGATGGAGTTGTTATCAATGCACCAAAGTTTAATAGTTTAGAGTTGAGAAACTACAAGGAGGAAGAGAGGTTGAGAAAGTTGGAGGAAGACAATGCCGCTAGGAGTAAGACCAAACCTATCTTTGAGTATTTCACATCGAAGGAAGCAGAGACACTCGACAAGGAACTAGAGTTGGAGAAAATCAGTTCATCCCGACAGATACTACAGCAAATCAAGAGTATCAAGACGATAGACGACGATATTCTCAGAGAATGTCATGACCTGCTCTCGTTGTTTGGCATACCGTTCATAACGTCACCGACGGAAGCAGAGGCACAGTGTGCAGAGCTGTTTGCTCTCGGGCTGATCGATGGTGTCGTAACGGAGGATAGCGATACCCTGTTGTTTGGCAAATCGAGTGATATGGTGGTGTACCGTCATCTCTTTCAGCAGCCAGAGAAATACTGTATGTCCGACATCGAGAAAACGATCGGGGTGAATCGTGACGATCTTATCAACTTGGCGATGCTACTCGGCTGTGATTACACTGCCGGTGTCAAGGGTATTGGTATTGTCAATGCAATGGAGATCATCAGTGAGTTTGATACTCTCGAGGAGTTTGCCAAGTTCATTAGAAAAGATTATGGAAGTGGAAAGAAGAGTAGTCGAGATAAAGATAAAGATGGAGATAAAGATAAGGATGAAAACGATGAAGATTTAGATATCTTTAATGAAGAAAGATATAGATTCAAGACATTGTTGAAGAATATAAAGTTACCGGATTCTTTCCCGTCGGAACAAGTTAGGTTGGCATTCCAAAGTCCCGATGTCAATCTGTCTAGTGAGGAATTTACTTGGAGTTGTCCGGATTTAGATTCACTTAGGAAGCTGACTCGTGACAAGTTTGGTTGGGATAAGCTAAAGGTTGACAATATACTCTTGCCAATACTAAGGTTGAACAACTCTACGCAGCCATCTAACAATGCCGATGACAGAGCGATAACAAGTGGAAAGACGGCATCGGCCAATGCCATTCCAACAAAGTTCAAGAGTAAGAGGCTGACTGAAGCTATCGATCGATTGATCAGTCAAAAGGGTGGACAATCAATACCTAGAATTGCAAGTAGCAGTAGTATCAGCCGAAAAAGAATACCAACCAAAAGATCAACTCCAACTAAAAAGACAACAACTCCATCGAAAAAGACAACAACTCCAACCAAAAGAAAATCACAGAAATCAAATGATGATGATGATGAAGGTTTTGATGATTTCAATTTACTTTTCGACAATGATGACGGTATTAATAATGGTGTTAATCAAGATAGTTTAGATGGTCCAAAGGATATCGATATTGATATGGATGGCCCAAAAGATATTGACATGATCGATGGACCAAAGGATATTGATATGGATGGTCCAAAAGATATTGATTTGGGTGATATCAATGTAGACAAGAGTAATGATAATAATAATAATAAGACAGATAAAGAGAAGAAAAAAGAGAAAGAGAAAGAGAAAGAAAAGAGTAAAGAAAAAGAAAAGAAGAAAGAGAAAGAAAAGATTAAAGAAAAAGAAAAAGAAAAAGAGAAGGAAAAGAAGAAAGAAAACAATGAAAAGAGTAAAAAGAGATCAAACAAAAGAAAAGAGAATGTAAATGAAGATGAAGAAGAGGAAGAAGAAGATGAAGAGGAACTTGATAGTGATACTCAATCAAAGAAAAAGAAAACATCAAAATCTAAATCAACTAAAAATAGAACACCGCCAAAGAAACAAAGAAAATCTGTTACATCTAAAAAGAGTGAATAAAAGATTAAATCATTAACTGTGAAACCAACTAAATTATCATTTCTATTGTTATCTTGTTTTAAATTCTTTAATTTAACTTTTTTTTTTTTTAAAATGCAAAAAATCAAGATGACCAAAACAAATTGGACATTTATATTGGTTTAAAACAATATGTTCAAATATATATGTCGTACCAATAATATAGCGAGTCGTTCATTCAATATATTTAGATGTAATAGTAATAGTAGTAGTAGTAGTTTAAATTTTAGTTATTTTAACAACAATATTAGTTTGAATAATGGATTAACAATTAAAAATCAATATTTTGCGACAACCACGACAACAACAACAACAACAAAAACAACAGAAGTAAATAAACCAAAAAGAAGACCAAAGAAGAATATAGAAGAAATAGATGAAGAATTTATAGATCTTGGATTCGATGATGATAAATTCGAATCTATAGTTTCGAATGATGACAGTAACAACCCTCAACCAATCAACTCGGCAGTTAAAGACATTCTCGGTCACGAGATTGTCAATCCCATCAGTAGAGAGAGAAAGAAGCTGCAATCACTCATCAAAGAGACATCCAATCTAATCAAACAACTAAACAAACCAGTACCATCCGATCCCTCAAGATGGTCAAAAGAAGATCAAGTTGATTACTTGGAATATATATTCGAGTGAGTAGTAGTTGTAGTAGTCGTTAAAAAGAAGAAGAATAATAGGAATTAACAAAATCTAACTAAACTAAATTAACTTGATTATTATTATTCAGTAAATTAGATTTCTTTTCAATGGAAGATTGGTATAGATTGACTGTTAAGAAGATAAGTGATAATCAAGGCGATGGCTTGCTAAGACAGAATCATCAATCGGCAGCACTCTGTGTGATAAACAACTTTCCCGAATATAAATGGGATATAACAAAGTTTGCGAGATCTCAAGCGAATTTCTGGCAGCATAAAGCACACCAACGTCTGCTCCTGAACCAGGTGCTCGAGACTGCCGGTCTCGATCCGGCCGATCCCTACAACTGGTATCAAGTGACATTCAACCACATCAATGCATTCCCACAACTCGGTAAACTACTCAGACATTCATACAACAACGATCTTGCACTCTACTTGAACAACATCTATCGTTTCGATTCCTACGGTAACTACCAAGGTAACAACAACAACAACAACAATATTCCTATCTTCCAACACGATCGACTACATCATTCGTGGAGAGTACGTGTCAGTTCGGTTATGAGTAAATTCCGTGCACTATTAGATGATCTCTTGGCGGATGAGAGTTTCTCGTTGTACGACTTTGATCCGCATGCGGACAGTTCTCAGGCGCTCGTGCAGTGCCTCGCCGAGATGGAAAGTCATGCTTCCACCAGAGTCTGTATATTCCGAACGATCATTCAACAGCTACCGGAACTAGAGTTGAAACCATGGATGTTTACTCACTACGACCAATGGTTCAGAGTCGATCAATTCCTGGAGCACTACTTGGATTGGTTCGCTCAGGAGTTCTCCATCGGTTCACCCGACGACTGGTACGCACTGCCTGCAACCGTCATCGAACCGCGACTGTTTGCAGCACTCCGCTGTTTGCCAACGTTCATCTCGCACTACTATGCGAGCAAGCCAAACAACCGCTATGAATGGGATATCACACGATTCCAACACCTACCCATAAAGAACCCAAAGTACAAAAAGGAACTAAAGATTCATGAAATCGAGGTCTTTGGACAATCGATCGGTATAACAGAGTTGGATCAATGGTATGATATCACCAGTAATCAATTGAATCAGTTCTACGCAAACCACCCACAATATCATTCTTTAATCCGATCGTTAGTATTTATATATCCCGATCATCCATGGGATCCCACTCGTTTTAAATTTAGAACAGAAGCACAAAATGAAAGAAAAGCAAAACGTAAACTTAAATATCAACAACAAAAAACGAATCAAATAGAATAAAAGTAATACAATAACTCTTTTTTTTTTTTTTTCAACTAATAACTAATTATTTGGCAAAGTAAACTATACTATTATTATTTTGATTTTAACAACAACAACAACAACAACAACAACAACAACAACAACAACAACAACAACAACAACATTCATATCTTATAATCAATGACTAAATACAGTAATGACAATTTTACTTTCCTGAATTAACAAAACTTGGTGGTCAATAAAAAACAACAGTAAAGGTAAAAAAAAAGTAAAATTAAAAAAAAAAATTAAAAAATCAATTTAATTTAGATAGATTATAAAGTTATTTATTTATTGTAATACCCCCAATACACAACATTTTTAAGTTCAGTTTAATATTAATATCATATATATATATTTATAATATATTTATACTTTCAGATAATTAATGGGATTAGGTTCATCAAAGTTTGAAAAAGATTTGGTTAGTACTGAGATACCAGATACTGAGCGATTCTATGGTTTAAGAAAATGTATGTTATTTTTAAGATTAGTCTGGTCTGTCTGTCTGTCTGTCTGTTCGATTTGATCAATTGATTAATAGATGTCAATATTGTTTGCTTCTTACTATAGTTTGGTAATACATGTTATTGTAATTCAGTACTACAAGCATTATACTATTGTACACCATTTAGAAACAGTGTATTAAAGTATTACTATAGTAATAATCTTCATATAACTTCGACTCGTAGATCGATTGAAGATAACCTATTCTTGACACTTGCCGATCTATTTGTAAATATAACCACTCAGAAGAAACGTTCAGGTGTTATTCCTCCAAAGAGATTCGTAGAGAGATTAAGATATGAAAATGGTAAGTGCGAAACTATATATATAATTATAAAGACAGATCACATAGATCAATTAATACTTATGTATTACACTATAATAATGAATTATGACAGAGATATTCAGAGGACATATGCATCAAGATGCACATGAATTTTTGAATGTATTATTGAATAGCGTTGCAGAGTATCTTCAGAAACAAGAGAAAGAAAAACAGAAACATCAACAACAGCATCAACAACAACAACAAAATAGATTAATAAATTCAAATAGCAGTGGAAATTTAAATAATCAATACTATACACAACAACAACAACCATATAATAATGTTAATTTCAATGGTAATGCTAATGTAAATGGATATAATAATAATAGTAATAATAGAAATAATTTAAATAGTAGTAATAATAGTGTAAACAACAATAATAATAATAATAGTGGTATTAGTAATAATAACCAATCGAATATAAATAATAGCAATAATAATACATATACAAACAACAGTAGTAAACTATCATCGGCTTCCAACTCGACATCCAACACCAATACACACAATCGAACTGATAGCACTACCAGTGAGAGTGTAAGTGTTGCCGAGTCGGTAACAACCACCTCCAACATCAACAACACCGCCACAACCAATGTCAATAGTAGTAGCAACAATAGTTATAGTAATCATAATAATAATAATAATCAATCGACAGATCATAGTATGTATTTGACGATATCGTCGATATTGTTGTTTCAACTAAATATTAACTCTTTTTTTTTGTTTATTTATTATTCTTAAAGTTAAAACATTTATACATGATATATTCGAAGGTATCTTGACGAATGAAACCAAGTGTTTGACATGTGAATCCATTACGAATAAGGATGAATCATTTTTAGATCTGAGTATTGATATCGATCAGAATACTTCGATCACCAGTTGTCTCTCAAATTTCAGTTCGGTCGAGATCCTCTCAAAGAACGATAAGTTCTACTGTGACAAGTGTATCTCATTGCAAGAGGCACAGAAGCGTATGAAAATAAAGAAGCTACCGAACACCCTCATCATTCATCTCAAACGTTTCAAATTCATCGAACAGATACAGCAATACAAGAAATTAAACTATAGAGTTGTATTTCCATTTGAAATAATCATTCAAAACACTGTAAGTAAAATCAATCACACTATACAACTATGCGCCATACATATATATACTGATCCTATTCAATTGGTTCATTCAATAGGTAAGTGATATAGAAGAACCAGACAAGAAATACCATTTGTTTGCTGTTGTTATTCATGCTGGAAACGGACCGAATCACGGCCATTACACAAGTATGGTAAAGAGTAATGGTTATTGGATTGGTTTCGATGATGAAAATATGGGTGTATGTATACTTTAAAATTTAAACTAATTTGAAATTGATAAACTAATTTTATTTAATCTGTTTACAATTTATTTACCAATAGATTATACCAGAGAGTGATATATTTGATATATTCGGATCGTCAAGTGAGTACTTTGGTAGAAATGAATGTGGATATCTCTTGTTCTATCAATCGGAATCAGCGATGAACGAAACACAATTCAAACCACCACAACCAAACTCATCGTATATACCTACCACCTCTACCTTTACTAACTTTTTCTATGGTGGTACTGAAAGTCAAAGCTAGTCAATTCTATATAAATGTTTTATAATATATTTTCTTTTCAAATTTTGTAAAATAATAATAATAAATAATAGTATCGTTATATAATATCTTGTTTATTTTATTTATTTGTTTCTTTTCTTTTTCGACCCAAGTTTGATTCAATGTGAAGTAAAGGTAAAACAGAGATTAATATTATAGAAATAAAATAAAAAATATCAAACCTTTTTGGATTTTAATAAAAATTCTTACATCAGTTAATATTAAATCAACATTCAAATATTTGGTTATAAATTAGTTTAAAGTAATAATTATTTCTTACCTTGAGATTTTTTAAATCTTGGATCATCAAAAATTTTTAGTATGGCAAATAAAATAAAAAATAATATTATCGATTCACTAAATACTTTATCTTTATATAAATTCACAAGAAACTTCAAATTGTTAATTAATAGGTTTGAATTCATGTTTGATTTTATTACTCTTTTATTCAATTAAACTGATTGTTTTTATTTTGAATTGTATAAATTTTAAAATCTTTATATTTATTTTTTAAAAAATATTATTTAACAATTGAAACTTGAAACTAGGTTAATAATGATGATGTTAAACCATTCTATAATAGACATATTCAAATCAAAAATATTCTCATAATAAGATTTTTATTCTATAATTATCATTGTGTATATTCATTTGTTAAAAAAAAACATATATGTTTATTAAAAAAAATGTTATAATAAATAATTAATGTATTTTGAGTTGCCGCAGTCAATTTTATCTTGTAGAAATTGAAAGATTGAGATCTATATATAAGTATATATTAATGAAACAAATCCAATTTGTTGCATTATTTGTTGAAAAAATAATAATATATATATGTTGGTTTGTCTAGATAGTTGTTGTCGTTGTTATTGTCGTTGTTAATCTAATCATCCATGAGGAATATTGTATCGTTGCAAATAGATCTTGAATTTGAAATACAATCTTCGCACTTTACAAAACAACAGTAGGTATCATCGTCATATTCATCATCGTCATCGTCATCTTCGTCCTCCAAGTCGTCTGTTGAGTCATCACTGTTTAGGAGCTCTTCCTCCAGTGATTTCCAGCAGATCTTGTCACCTTTTACCAACTTTTTACATTGTCTACATTTGAAACAACACTTTTTACAATTTGGTTGACAACTAAAATAATTATTACTGCAGCTACTACTATTGTTATTGTTGTTATGATTTAAAGTATTACTATTTAATGACCATCTTCCACCACTACTATTCTTTAGCAAAGATCTTCCAATCGAACAATTATCACGATTTAAATATTGTGTATTGAATGACCATCTATTGTTATTACTATTGTTGTTGTTATTACTGTTGTTATTATTATTATTTGATTTACATGAAAAACCAAGATTTATTTTAAATCCACAATAATCTTGATCTGTACATGCAAGTTGTTTGGAAGAGGAGATTACACCTAGCGATTGGTTACAACACAGTGGACAAAGCGACCAGTCTTTTTGGTGAAGAACTCTTGGGATACCAAGGAAGACACGCTTCCAATTGAATGGAGCACGGATATACTCGATGGCGTTGCTGGTATTGAAAAAACGCGAACGGACAACTCTCTCCCAGAAATAGGGTTCGAATGACTCTGCGAATATCTTACTGACCAAACGGAACTGCATCAGCTGTTGAATGTTAAAGTTGGAGTGTTTCATCACTAGGAGAACCATACTATAGATCTGCTGTGAGTTGAAGTTCATAATGCAATGACCATCGATTCCATCACTCTTTAAACTCTTTGTAACTCCATTGTTGTTGTTATTATTGTTATTGTTATTTCCACTGTTCTTTCGGTTACCGTTGCTACTTAGTTGGTGGTGACCACTGGCATCTTGACTTGCGGAACCATTCGAAGGAGCACCTCCATTCTCACGTGAATTCGGACCAACATCTTGCTGCTGATATTTAAAGGAATTGGAGGATGAAGATGAATGTCCCTGATATTTCGGTGAGCCAACACTGCCTACCACCCATTTCGGACTACCAGCATCACCATTATAATGATGGTGAGCATTCTTATTCTTACTAGTAATAATCATTGATTCTAAAGTAAATTGATTTTTATCTGCAAGCATTTATTTTTATCTCTTTAAAATATATATCTATTTAAATAGATATATATAATATATAATATATTTATATCTTTATTTATATATTTATATTTATAAATATTTTTATCTTTTTTACATGTAGGTAATTTCAAGAAATTATATTTTCTATATATAAATATATTCTCTATCTATATATATAAATTAATTTATTTGTGTATATTTATTTATTTTAGGTTATATTTGTATTAGAAATTAAAAAAAGCACTCTGAAAACTAAATTCGTTCGAATATAAAATATATATTGGTGATTTTTTATAGAATCAAATTAAATCAAACACCCAATTGATTCTTATTTATAAAGGATAGCTTTGCACGCTTGGAGTATAAAGAAAAAAAAATGAAAAACCTAAAAAATTGATGAATCGAGTTCAATTCAGCCCACTGGTGCGCAGTGTAGACCGGTGTTTTCAAAGACTTTTAGTTGAAAAAAACACTAGTTTTTAGAATTTTTATTGAGTGGTTGTGTGTCATGGACTTGCAAGTTGAAGTGGTGCAATCATCGAAAGTGGGAAAACAATTTAAAAAAAAAAAAAAAAATTCGAAAAAATAAAAAAAAAACAATCGAAACGCTTTTTTGGAATGCAAGGAAAAGTCGGCAAACAACTTGTGTGGTGAAAAGTTTGAAGTAGTGTTTTAATCACTTTTTCTTCAACTTTGTTGTGTTTTGTTTGTTTTTGTTGAACTTTTCAACCACTAAATCATAATCAAATATAAATCATTTACCGAAAATTGGTACCAAAAATAGATTTTTACTACAATTAAATTAAATTAAAATCAAATCAAAATAAAATAAATAAATATATATCATTAATAAAGATTCTAGAAAAGATAATAGAATAGACAGGATAGAGGTAAAGTTAAATAAATAAAATGATCATGTAGAGCAAAAAAAATAAAATTTATAAAAAAAAATTAAAATTTGATATTTTTTTTTTGCATTTGTGTAAAATTTTCTTAGAAATAAAAGTTAAAAGATGAAGTGTGTATTTTTCCGATTGAATATGTTTGTTTGACAATGAACAAATAAACTAAACAAACATCATCATCTTTATCACCACCTTTTATATTATTTTCATCCAAATTTGATTAGATTGTGTTTAGACAAGCAATGAATTAGAAAATTATTATTATTATTATTATTATTAAAAATGTTTAAAATTGAAAATCAAAATAATACCAATAATAGTAGTAGTCATAATAATAGTAGTAAAAATAGTAGTAATAGTAATAATAATTATAGACCTGTTTATAGTAATAATAGATTGATGACCAATGATGAACTATTCGATGTTTTGGATTCAAATAAAAGACAATCTACAATGGATAAATTCGGTTCATTCTTTGGTGGTAACAGCGGTGGTAGCGGTGGATCATCATCTAGTGGCGGTGGTTCACGGAAACAATTGATGTTCTTCTCCAAAGAGGAGACAGAACAACAGAATAGAATTAAAAGACAGAAACAACTTTCAACTATGCCACCAACAACAACGACAACAACAAAATCATCAACAACAAAATCATCAACAACAACAGCGACAACAACAACAACAACAACAACAACAAAAACTACACCACCAATTCCAACAACAAATCCAAATAGTAATAGTAGTCACAATAGTGATAGCATCAAGAGTAAAAGAAAGAAGAACTCTCTTTTTGACTCCGATATGTTTTTAAATGATCTGAGTGATGACAATGAAGATGATATCGTAAGAGTGGCCACAGTGAATAACCATTCAAACTCGACAGTGAATATTTCACCAATAAAACAACAAACTGTTGTATATAAAACATATAAAGATCCAAATAGACCTATTCCACCAAATCAACAGAAACAATTTCAACAACAACAACAACAGAAACCACCACAACAATCAATGAAAGTATTACCGATATCACCTTCAAAACATTTATTACCATTGAAACCAATCGGTGCCAAACCTTTTCCAATTCTTAATTCCTCGACGTCAAAGCCACTACCACTATTTCCCTCGAAACCGACAATAATTCAACCACAGCCACAACAACAACAACAACAACAAGTACAAGCGCAACAACAACAAGTATATCAAAATGATAATACACTTTCATTCAATATTTCACCTTCTAAACAAAAACAAACCAATAGTTTAGTATTTTCAACAACAACAACAACAACAACATCAACATCAACATCCACCTCTTCTGCTTCATCCACAAAAACAGTGAATATTTCACCGACTAAATCAAATGCAGATAATCCTCTATCACCTACCATTGATTTCACTTTCAATTTTGTATGGCAACGATCAAGATACATCGACAACAACAGCAGCATCAACATCAGATAATAATTTAATAATAGAACCAAAAGTAATCAACTTGCCACCAATAACAAAGAATCAGATAAAGGATACAGTTTCAACAACATCATCAACAGCAACAACAACCACAACAACAGTGCTACCAACAATAACACCAACAACATATCACGATTATGATGACAACTTTGAATTCAGTTTCTTCACAATGACACCAAAATCTAATAATAACAACAACAATAATAATAATGATAATAATAACAATAGCAATAAGAGTAATATCAATAATAATCATACTGATAAACAACAAGCACAAGTTCAACAACCAATTAACCCACCAACAGCAATAAACAACAATAATAATGTGAAATCAACATATTTTAGTAGCTCTATATTGAAGCCACTTAATCCAACAACATCAACATTAACAATAGCAACAACAACAACAACAACAAATAATAATAATAATAATAACTATGTAAATAATAATGTATCACTTAATGATCAATTTGAAGCTTTTGTAAATGGTCAGAAAAGTAAAGGTGGTGTTGGTGGTAAAGGAAATATGGATTTGGCTGGAAGAACCAACGTTAGTGTTCAAAAGAGTACGTTCAGCAGTGAGGAAATTCGTGAGAGAATACCCGATGAACTATTTAAGAATGTTGCTTTGATGTTGAAGGATGTGATCGTTGATATCAGATACTCTGAGGCATACCTACCAGAGTTACAACCGCTACCGAACGATATGAACAAACAGCTGAGTGTCGCACTTCAGAAGATGGGCTACAACCAGTTGTATTCACACCAGTTGGAGTGTCGACAACATGTTCTTGGCGGGCGTGACACTATCATCACCACGCCAACCAGTAGCGGTAAGTCACTGTGTCTGTTCGTGCCGATCTTTGAGGAGATCATCAACCAGAAACTCCGAGGTCAAAAGTCGTCGACCGCTCTCTTTCTGTTCCCGCTGAACGCTCTGGCGAACAACCAGATCAAGTCGATCAACCACTTGAATACACACCTCGAACCACAGCATCGTCTGAAGATCAAGTGTATCAATGGCGACACCGATAAGAATACGATACCCGATCTCTTCCTGGAGGTGAATCCACCCGATATCGTAATGACCAACCCGGATTGGCTGCATTTCCAACTGCAGAGGGGCGGTCTACACGAGCGTTGGCGCGGTTGGCGACACTGGTTTGCCAAGCTAAAGTTTATTGTGCTCGATGAAGCGCATACTTATTCTGGGGTTATGGGTTGTCATTTTGTAAATCTATTGCGTCGTATTGCTAATTATCATTCTATACTGGCGGGGAATAACAATAGTAGCGCTGTTGCTGGTGGACAGTCAACTCTACAATACATATTGGCGTCAGCCACTATTGGCAACCCGAAGCACATGACCATGAAAATGGTGAGTCGTCAGGACGAGTCGAATATCCACCTGATCGACAGGAACGGCTCTGGATCGTTTGGAAAGATCTACTTGACCATCAAGTCATTCAAGAATCACTATCAGATGCCTGCCAATGTCATTCGCTACCTGGTTGAAGCAAACCTCAAAGCCATTGTTTTTTGCAATTCCATTCGTACGTTGAACGGTCTCATTCAGTATCTCGGAACGGATTCGCGATTCTCCAATCACGTAAAGTATGTCAAAGCTTACTACTCATCACTCTCGAACAAACACAAACAAGAGACGTTGAATCAGTTGAAGACCGGACAGGTCAAAGTGATAGTTGCTTCGAATGCTCTGGAAGCTGGTGTAGACATTCCAGAGTTGGATGCCTGTTTGATCATTGGATATCCTGGTTCCAAGATGAGTTGGAAACAGCGTGTCGGTAGAGTAGGTCGATCCAAGAAAGGGCTGGTCATATTCATTCCCACGACAAACAGTCCAACCGATCGATACTACGCGCAGAACATGTCGGCGCTTCTCGATGGCGAAACCGAGAGTTTGTCGTTCAACGGTGACTTTCCAACGATTCTTTCATCACACTTGATGTGTGCAGCCAATGAAATAGGAATACAAGTTGATTATCAGTTGTTGGAGCAACGGTTCGGTCCACAAGCCAAAGCTATCGTAGATCGGCTGTTGGCAGAGGGTAAGATCAAAGTGGATTCCTTTGGGAACAAGGTTCTCTGGCGGTCCAGTGACTACACTCACAATACTCTATCGATTCGTGGTGGTTCCGGTCTGAACGATGTCGTCAACGCCAAGATTGGAAGTGCCACCGGTATTCAGGTGGAGCAGATGACCAAGCTACAGGCAATCAGTCGGCTGTTTCCGGGTGCCATTTTCATCGCGCACAGCAGTGGCTCGGAGATGGTCGATAGCTATCAAGTGCAAGAGTTGAATCTCGCCAATCATGGAAGCAACGGTGTAGCGATACTCAAGAAGATAAGCATACCAAGAAATTCAAGAATAACAACGACACCATTCAAATCGAGCAGTGTCGAAATGCTCTCGGTTCTTCAGAGAAAGACCATTCCACTGGCATGTGGACCGGTGTTGCAACTGACATTCGGTGTCGCCAAGTACTCAACTATGGTTCGTGGCTATGAGAAGCGAACCTACAGTCAGCTCTCCAGCAATCTCGGGCATAGCAACAATCTCATCGACGATTCTCACCTCACTTCCTCCTACGAATCGGAAACATTCAATTTGAAAACCACCTACGAAGTTCACTATGAAGCACCATGTTTGGAATTTACATTATTAGATATAACAAATACAAAGTAAGTAAAAGTAATATTAAAAAAGTTGGATATAAGAATATAATATCAACTAATTCTCTCTTTTCATTTGGTTAGATCAATTTTGAAACCAATATTTCAAAAAAAGATTGAAGAACTCAGATTTAGATTGCAGAATAGCTTGACTTTGAATAGAAAGGAATATGAGCCAAAGATAAATGACTTGGTGGAGATGGGTGAGCTGATGGTAACTCTTCATACTATGGTACATCAGATGCTTGCTACCGTACCATCTTTATTACTCACTTCAAGAAACGACGTTGAAGAATCGATACCAGATGGTAAAACAACAACAACTCAACAGCAGCAACTACAACAATCTTCATTGGCAATGGGCCGTTCCAATAGGAATTTGGATTTGAATAACCTGTTGGAGCATCAGGGTGATAGGATCTACTTGGTAGATAGCACGGAGGGCGGTACCGGTTGCTGTCAGGACATCTTTGACAATCTGACAGAGATCATTCAAAAGTGTATTGAACTACCGCCATGTCCGAGCTGTGCCGACGAGTATGAGAATGAAAACACACTCTCGGAAGACCTCGGTTGTGTATTCTGTTTGCATTCTAATCACTGTCACAAAGCTCTATTGAAAAGTATGGGATTATCTTTATTTGTATCCAACAACGACAATGTCGATAACGAATCTGAAATCAATCAATAAATAAATCCACAAACTCTACTATTCTATTATCTTTTGATTTTCTTTTATAAGTTTTTTTTGTTTTGTTTTTGTTTATTACATATTTATATATATATTTATCTCTATGATTGTGATGGTTGGAATCTGATATTATATTTAGCAGCATATTCATTCAACTCTTTTGTTTTTGCTTGTAATTGTTCTTCTAATTTTTTAGTAAGTTCTTTAATCTGTAAATATATATATTTATATAGTGTTTTGTTTTTATATTAATATTATTGAATAGATCTATTGTTTGTTTTAAAATATAATAACATACAGCATCTCTATTCTGTTTAACGACTGGTAAGACATCACCGACGGTTCTCTCGACTAAAACACCACCAACCATTCTAAAACATTTTCTTGATGGTTCTAATTTTTCGATTTCACTTAATACCAAACTATCATCATATAAGAATAGATATATAAGTTAGTAAGTGAATTGAGTAGTTTATATATTACATTTTCGTATGTATATATATATCTAAAAATAAAGAATACATACTTGTGTTCACTTGCATCTGATTCGATCTCTGATAATTTATTCATAATAGCACTCTGTTGTGCTTTCATCTCTTTATAGTTAGCAACAATTTGCTCATTTGTAAGTTTCTGTTGTTGTTGCGACATATTTATATTATCTGTGCTGTATATATTTTTATTATTAATCAATACCTTCCACGGTAATAACAAAAAAACTAAAGTTCATTTTTTTATTTTTTATTTTTTTTTTAAAATCTTCACATATTTACTTGCTCGAGTATGATGAAGGTGAAAGATTATTTTTTCGAAATCTTTTAGTCTTTGATATCATTATTAATATTATAGATGTCTAATAAGATTATACTAGAAGATCAATTGAATTCTCAAATTAGCAGTTATTAAAACATATAATAAGAATCTTCACATTCATTATATACATCATACATTTTCACAAAGAACTAACAGCATGAGATTAAATCTCTATAGAGTTTCGTGTAAAGTAAAAAATAATAAAAACAGGTTGAAGGTTACATAAAATTTGTGCTGCTTTCAACCAAAGAGTGTAACGGTGAAAAAACACTACCGATTGCAAAGAGTTAAACGTGGATCATCATTACAGTGGTTTGTGGTTGGATCTGTTGCCAAGATCGATGGACTGGTTGTGGAGGATGTGTTGGAAAAGTCAGGGTCTATCAAACATTTCTGGCATTGGCTTAGATTGATTCCAATCGAAATATTGTTAGTATTACTCTGGTTCCCGATAATTGATTCAACGAATGAATATGTTGGATGGCCATCGGAAACGGAAACATCATAGAATCTACCATAAAATGATATTCCATTCTTGACAACCTTAAAATATTTGATTGAGCTATCGACTTGATTGCTACCAATAGTGCTCTTTTCGGTAATCTGATATTTGCTTTTCCTCTTCATATTCTGTAGAGAATACAACCCTCAAGGTACTGAGAAGTGATTCATATTTCCATCCTTCAATAGAAATTGAAAGCTTGATGGAATTATGAAGAATAAGAAAATCCTGCAAAATCTACATTGATCGGTTGTGTTGAGTATTGAATGGTTGATTCGATTAATTATAGGATTTCCCTTCTTCATTTGCCACCAATCAGGACTAGGATCTTTCTTCATTTTATCCTACGCTCTTTCTCTCACCCGGCAAAAATATCTATCAACAGTAGGGATATTTAGCTTATTATTTTGTTCTATCATCAATCATTACACAATTCCAAAGAACAAGACTTTTGTTTGGAGACAGTAATCTTACCAGATAACTGGATACCAAAAATGATGGTGCCAATAATTTTCCTAAAAGTAGAAAATAAAATTATGGTTTTGGAAAAGCAAATCTTGTTTAAACTTTATTTCAATTAAATATTGTCTTTTATTTATTTAGTTTTTCTTTAAAGCTGGGAGATCAGATTCTTTTACCATCATACACCAGTTGAGCTGTGGGACGATGGTTGACTTTTCATCGGCAAGCTTAACAGTGTAGTGACCACCAAAGAGCTGAGCATCGTACATGGTACCATTATCATCAATCTTAACGTCCAATACTACATATCCGTGTGCAATTTCTTCAGTGTCAATGAGTGGCCATTCTGAAACCAATTCACCCTTGGTTCTGAATCCATGTTTCTCCTTATCGTCACCACGCCATTCACCATCTTCAGCGAAACATGAGAAAACAGTGATCCAACCGCTCAACCAGGTTGGACCGGATCCACCACCAACATGATTAGCAATACGATTCCACCACTCAGTATCAGCCTTTCCTTCTACGGAAGCTATGAATTGATCGATGATTGGGTTGAGCATAGTTGTCCATTTACTCATCAATTTCTCTTGCAGGTCAAATTCGTTCAAACGTTGTACTTTGTCTTTTGAATTGACTTCCAGTCTTCAACTGAACCGACGCAAAGTAACTGATGGCAAACCACAACGCAAGGAGTATTTGAAATTGAAATACTTTTTCATTGTAGCCATTAAGCAGACAGCTCCAACGATTCTATCAGTGTAGGTGGTGGTTGTGAATGATGGCATTGCCCAATCCTTAAGTGTTGGATCGTTGATATTCTTGGCAATGAGTTCGGTCATTGTTAAAGTCATTTCATCGTATGGAGCGGAGAAGAGAGTAGCGTTGGCAACAACTTCAAGATCCTTCTAATCGTCGTGGCTGACAATCTTGGATCTGAGTTGCTCTGCATGGGCATTGAGGTAGAAAGAAAATTGGGTCATAATGGCAATCCAAATATCGTCTGGTCTGATGACGAGGTTGTGGTGTTGAGAGTATGCGAGGTAACATGCTTGGAGGAATGAATTGTTTCCGAGATAGTAGTTACCCAAGTCATTCAAACTGGTACCAACTGGAACCATAGCTGGCTTTGAAGTATCAAGTCTTGGCTCTTCATATTCATTCTTTTGGGTGTATTTATCAGCGGATTGTTTCAAGTTTGTGGAATGGTTGAATTCAGAATAATATCTTGAGCTGGTATCTGCTGGTGTCGCATTTGAACTTCCTGTGATTTGAATGTTGGTTGATTTAACATCCTTTGAAATATTGTAGTGATATTGTGACATGATTAATTTATATAAATATTGTTTTTATTTGTTGTTAATTAGTTTAAATGATAATGATGAAAAAAACAAAGGATGTTCACTCCTTTTATAGATTCGGTTCAATCAATTATTTCCCACCTACAATTTACTTTTTTTAATTTATACATCATCTTTGAAAACAAAAAACAAGGTCTGCTTTGAAAAGTTTTTAGTGAAATTTTGGTTCCCAAAGATTAATTTTAATACTGATATTTTCGGAAAAGGTCGAAAAAAAAATAAAAAAATCATAAAAAACGACCTAGACTGACACGAATGGTATTGAAATTCAAAAGGTTTCAGATAACTAATTTATTTTACTCTGGGTTTACACATGGAAACCTTGATTCTTACACTTCCTCTCTTTGTGAACTAAATGATGATACACATTTATATTGTTGATAATGCCTGATTGCCGAGGATTGAAACCTTCAGTCAACCGACAAGGATTATGTTTAGGTAATATGAGTTCCTTATTGGTCTTCCTAATAAAGTTTTTTAAAACCTGCTCAAAATGTATATTTTTTATTGAATCGGAATTAATTAATAGATTTAGATAAAACTATGGATTATTCAACCTTGATTCATTGTAAGTCTCGTTTTCCCTAAAAATTTTTAATCTTCCTTCAAACTAAACTTAATATTTCATTGATCAGTTGATTTCTACTACTAGAAACCTACACTTTTGATAGTATTGTTTTCCCAAAACTTGAATAAATGTAAAATTAATATTTATATCTATTTCCAATTTAAAAAATATTAATATCGAATTTTTAAGATTAATAGCATGAGTCCAATATGATTATGATTCTAAAATCCAACATATTAACTGCATAGTAAGAAAAAAAAAAAAGGTGTTTGATAGTAAAATTATATTTTTTTATTAACAATTTCAATAAAATGGAATAATGAGGGGAAATTGTATCTATTTTATTGAAATTGTTAATAAAAAAAGAAAAAAAACAAAAGAATATTTTTTGCTATTTGAATATCTGTTTTTATTCTTGTGGATTTATTCCTTTTGTTTGTGGATAAAACTTCACTTTGAACAAAACTTTGGGGTTTGGTACTAAAGAGTCATTCATTTCTTTCTGTTCATTTAGAAACTCTACTGACATTTGTGAGAATAATGAGATGATCGTTGTCTTTAAAATAACCTTGGCAAGACGTATTCCCAGACACTTTCTAGTTCCATATCCAAAGCTTAATTCACTAATCACTCTGGATTCAGTTGGTTCCTCAATGAATCTCTCTGGAATGAATTTGTTTGGCTCTTTAAAGTAATCTGGATTTCTTAATGGATCGTAAATAGGACATGTTACAAAAGTCTAAAGTTGAAATTGAATCATTGGATAGAGAACATTGTTAATACAATACAAACTTAATTGGTTTAATATAGAATATTCATTTTTATACTTACACCTTGGGGTATTCTATATCCTAATATTCTATCATTATCCATTGCAACCCTTGGAATTAACCATGGGTAAGGTGGAAACAATCGAATGACCTCTCTCAACACCAAATCAAGGTACACCATCTCTCGGACTTCAGTCAAGTTGAAATTATGAACGGTACGACCATTCTTTTTGAATACATAGTCAATCTCTTCCTTTAACTTCTTTTGTACCTCTGGATATTTCATCAAAATATACATTAGATTCTGTAGAACAGAGATTGGTGAAGTAACAGATGATGAATTAACTAAATAACTACTTGTTTGAATCTGTGATTTAGATTATCAATAAAAAATAATTAATTTCATTGTAATAATCAGTAGTTGTATTAAGTTACTTTACCTCTTCAATAGTTAAACCTTCCTTATCCTTTGAACTCTCCTCTGCAAGGAAATTAACAAGTGAATCTTCTATTGGACCATTTAATGCTTCGTTTTCTGGGTCTAATGTATTATAATATGATTTCATTGCCAGCATTTGAAAGAATCCTCTTCTTTGCTTCATAACCTAATTAATAATAGTGAAAGAGCTATTATTAGTACATAATTGTTATTTTAATTTACATATTAATTTATAAATAACTATATATAAAAATAAAGTTATATTATGAATTACTTTATATTTTTCAGAATATTCTGTTGGTAAATTTAATAAAAATGGAAATAGATAATGGATGAAACTGGTTCGTTTCTTATTAAAGAAGAAAAAGTTTGCTTCCAAACACTCCAAAGCTTCTGGTTCTGATCCTAAATATGTTCTTGCCAAACATGACAACATATCCTAAAAACAAACAATTTAGATATTAGCTATTATAAATGTAAATGTAATATAAACACTGATACTTACTTGTTTTACAAATTTACTTAATTTAAATACACAATCTCTATTCTCAAAGAGATACGATCCGAATTTAGCACCTTCATCTCTGATCACTGGAAGTATTCTCACGAGATACTCGTCGTCGTTGAGACAACCAGAGAAGATTCTAAAGACACGCTTCATCTGACCGCCACGCTCGTGAATGATTGGACACTTTCCATAGGTCCAGAAACGTCCGTACATCGAACTCTGATCTCTAAAGACGTGTTTGATCGCATCGAAATCGGTGATCTCCACCATTGGATTCAACGCAAACCATTTGTATCTGATGCCTGGCTTGCCAACGAATCGTTCTCTACTCTCTTTGGTGTCTTCGCTGCCATCGTCAGAGTATTGAGATTCACACGACGATACAGACAAGTGGCTTCTCTTGATATATCGATTCGCTGGAGGTAGATGTGTTGTTTTTCGCTGTGCTTGAAGACGGTCGTCGTATGGATCGTAATACATTCTCACTTTATGTGGTTTCAAAATCGATGACTTCTTAAAGACACGGGTGATATCCGTTGGTGATCGTGAGAGTGGTGATGACGAAGGTGATGGATACGGTGTCTTTGTACGTGTATGATGTTGTTGATTCTTCTTTGTTGTTTTCACTGGTGAAGTATTATTATTACTATGATTATTATTCTCCATCAATATTTGTCTAATTCTATCACTACTTTTACTTAATGATTGATTTTGATCTATTGTTGTTGTTGCTACTGTTGGTTTTGAACGACGTGATTCAACAGGACTACTATCACTACTATCACTACCATTATTATGCTTTGCAACCGATGCAATTCTTGCTCTTGCTAATCTTCTCCTTAGAATACCTGTAGGATCCATCGTAGACTTGAAATTGGATGTAGATTGTGTCTCGCTATCATCCTCCGATGAATCTGTCAATACAAACTTTGGTGCACCAAAGTTCATTCCCAAGTCAACAGGTGAACTTGCTATCTCTGGTGAAAGCAAATCTCTTTTCATCTTTGGACACAACGGTGATTTGTTATTATCTTGATGAACAATCTTTGGTACAGTTAGTATCTTTATAGGTTGTTGTTGCTGCTGTTGCTGCTGTTGTTGTTGTTCTAGTTGTTTCTCTTGTTGAAATACAAAAGGTTTTAACTTTGGTACAAATGGTTGTTGATGTTGCTGTTCTGTTGTTGTTGTTGTTTTTGATAATAATATTGGAGATGATGTTGTCGATGATTTAGCTGATGAATTTGTTGATTCTTCATTGCTACTACTGCTATTACTGCTATTACTACGACCAATACCACTTCCATCGTCAGAAGACTCTGGATTCAACTCTAACTTTGGAATATCAGAATTTGTAGTTATAGGTGAGTTATTTGAATGACGAATGGGATTGGAATTGACAAAACTACAGATATCTTTGATAGAACCAACTGTGTATGGCTTCCAAGAAGGTGAAATTGGTGTGGTATCTAAATACAATGGTTTTTCCCACAGTGATTCCAAATAATATGATATTGGGTTGGTGCCATTCATAACACCCTTTACCGGATTAACAAATCTCTTTACTTTTATGTAAACAAATAACTAAAAAATGATATCATTTTATAAAAATTACAATACAAAATAGTAGTAGTTTAACAAAAAAAATGTTAATATATAAAAAATTTAGACATTTTTTTACAAATTTTATGATAAGAATTTAATTAAATTTTAGTTCCAAACTTACTTTTACTCCCAAGTATACAACAAATCCAATTAATAAATACCAAACTAATCTTTCAAAAAACATTTTTATATAGTTTTTTTTTTAAGTAAATATTTAATAAATAGATAATGAATAAATATTATAAAATCTAAAATTAAACTATTGTTGTTTTGTTTTTTATTGATTTATTATTTATTTATTTATTATAAGTTTAATTTTTATTTTCATTTATAAATAAATTTTATATTATGAATATTCAATTCTCTTTCATTTAATAAAAGCTCATTGTATTTAGTTCAACTTATTATAGTAGAATGTTAATTGAATAGATCTATTGATTTTATTATGAAAAACTTGAAAAAAAAACTCAACTTTCTGGTTGTTGGGTGGAGGGATTTACTTTTTTTGGACAAGTGTTTGTCAATAGATTAAAAGTTAATGTCCATTTTATATTTTATTTAAATTCAACAGAATATCAAAAAGAAATTAAATATCATCAAAGTTTATTTATTTAATGATTCGTTTAATTAAATTAATTTGAATGCTAATTGATTCATCAATTTAAGATATATGAAATTTCATATGAAACAATTGAAAAATAATAACTAATTTATATTTGTATGTTATTATTGTTGTTTGAACGATAATTAATTTGGTTATCAATTAAATTAAAAACATAAAAAAATTTTCTTGGTTTTATAACAAAATTTTCTCAAAAAAAAAAAAAAAAATTTTTGACAACAACATTCCTATGTTGAAAACAAACAAAATCAATATTATTATTATTAATTTCATATTAAAGTTATTTTGTATATATATCTATAAATAAAAATAAATATTTATATATTTTTGATTAAATGTATTTTTGTTAACAAACATTTTATTTTAAAGATTTTAAAAAAAAACAAATTTAAAGTTTTCCAAAAATTTAAAACTTGATAAAAAACAAAAAAAGGTAAAATTTAATTTCATTTTATTTGCAGGGTATAGCAAAGAGTGTTTGTCACCAAAAACAGCTTAATTAAAAAAACAATTTAAAAACAAAAAAAAAAAAAAAAACAAACCTTAAAAAGAAAAAAGTAACATTTTTACACTTTACTTTGACAGTGTCATTTTGTAGGTGTTTTATAACAATATAATTATAACAATAACAACAAACAGTAACATTTTATTTTAAATCACGTAGTGTACTTCATTATCATCATCTTTATCAATCAACCTAACTAAAATAACAAATTTTTCTTTAAATCTTTAATTGTTGTTTTTTAGATTTATATGTTTGTTAAAACTGTACAATTTTAAATTAATTAATTGGATCTAATAAATTACATCGAACTTCTAAACTTTACTTTTGTTATTACATACATATCAATAGTAACAATAACCTAATTTAACATACACACACACACACGAACACCTGTTAAACTTTATTTTTTTTTACTTAAAAATAAATATTTATTTATTATTACTAGTCTAATTGTCATAATGAAATTCATTTATTAAAAAAAGATTACTTAATATTAACATTCAATTATTTATTTTTTAATTGGGAATAGGAATTAAAATAGTCTTAAAGTAGAGTATGATTATTCAAGTTGGAGATAAATTACATTTATTATTATTATTAGGTCATCGCAAATATATTATTATTTAGATTTTATTTTTTTATTTATATATTTTTAGTTATTATTTTTTAGTTTAATTAAGTGCACTTTATTATTAGTATATATAGATATTTTTGTTAATATATATATTTATTTTTGTTAGAAATCACTTTAGAAGGAATAAATATATATAATTTATTCTTTTTATAGGATTAACAAAAACAATCGTATTTTTTTTTTTACTTTATATATTATATTTTATTATTTATATAATTTATATAATTTATTTATAAAAATGGATTTTGTAGAGCCATCAGCAATGACTGTTACAACAACCGATTCATCATCATCATCAACATCATCATCAGTTACAACCACAAATCCGGTTGATTTCAAGTCAAGTGTTGGAAATGGACTGGAACACAGGCTGAATGTCGAAGACAACATTACTTTAAAGTGTTCGACATCATCATCAACTAACCCCACTACTACTACCACCACAACAACTACAAACAACTCTGAGACCGACTCTAATACACATGAGGATCAAACCAATGACAACAACAACAACAACACTACTGAAGAAGGTGACTCTGCACCTCCTCCTCCAATGAATAATTTACAACCAGAAGTAGAGTATGGAAATGTAGAATATAAATTAAAGTTGGTGAATCCAACCGAGGAACGACTGGAACACTTGGTATCGCAATTAAAGTGGCGTATGGGTGAGATGGGTGAAGCCATCTACGACATTGGTGTAGAGGACGATGGCACTGCAACTGGATTGTCCGACGAAGATATCACTGCATCCATGGAGACTCTCAAGAAAATGGCTTCACGACTAAACTCCGACCTCACCGTCATCCGAGAGAGAACAGGCTCCAAAGGAAAAGTATTGGAAGTATTAATTAGAAAGTACGCATCCGATGATTTCACTGAAGTAAGAGTAACTGTCGTTGGAAATGTTGATGCTGGAAAGGTAATTATTAATTATTATTATTATTATTGTTTATATTTCTTAATACTAATTATTCATTTCAATAAATAGTCAACATTGTTAGGTGTTTTGACTAGAGGACAACTTGATAATGGAAGAGGTTTAGCAAGAATGAATGTATTCCGTCATAAACACGAATTGGAGTCAGGAAGAACATCTAGCATCAGTCAGGAAGTGGTTGGATTCGACAGTAAAGGAAAGATTGTTAATTACACTCACAACAATATTCACAATGAAATAGGTGAGAGAATGTCCTCAAAGATTATTACTTTTATCGATTTAGCAGGTCATGAGAAATACTTGAAAACAACTCTATTTGGAATGACTGGACATCAACCTGATTATACAATGTAAAGATTAACTTTTTAGCAATCAATGAAAACAAAAAGAAATGAAACTCTAAACTAATATTATTATTGTATCACTCATTTATAGGTTAATGATTGGTGCAAATATGGGATGTGTTGGAATGACAAAAGAACATCTTGGAATTGCATTGGCTTTAAGAGTACCAGTCTACATTGTCATCACAAAGATTGATAAGTGCCCAGAGAATGTTTTGAATGATACAATGAATGACATCAAGAAGATTTTGAAATCACCGGGATCACGAAAATTGCCAGTGGTTATTAGAAACCACGATGATGTGGTCGTCGCAGCAAGAAACTTTGTCTCTGAGAGAATCGCTCCAATCTTTTGTGTTAGCAATGTGACTGGAGAGAATCTAGATCTCTTAAAGACATTCTTGAATCTGTTGCCAACCAAGAAGGAGTGGGACGCTGTCATTGACAAGCCATCGCAATTGGATATCGACTCGATTTGGCATGTCAGTGGTGTCGGTACCGTTGTCAGTGGTACCGTAATGAAGGGTTTGATTACAGCGGGTGAGAATCTGTTGTTGGGACCAGACGACCACGGTACCTTTCAGACGGTGCAGGTCAAGACTATTCACTCGAAGCGACTCCCTGTCAAGCAGGTTCGTGCTGGTCAGACAGCTTCGATTGCGCTAAAGAAGATCAAGCGATCTGCGATTAGAAAGGGTATGATCTTGGCACATCCCGCTGCCAAGCCGATTGCAGTGAGGGAGTTTGAAGCAGAGGTCGTCATTCTTTATCATTCGACGACTATCTCTGTCAACTACGAGGCTGTTGTGCACTGCGGTGCTAGTCAACAGTGTGCAAGAATCATTTGGATCGACAAGGGTATCATTAGAACGGGCGACAAGGCAAAAGTCCGATTCAGATACATTGCAAGACCAGAGTTTCTAACGGATGGCACCAGATTCATCTTTAGAGAGGGAAGAGCAAAGGGTATTGGTAAGATCACATCGCTCATTCCATATGTGCCCGAGAAGGATTCACACCAGCCACATCCAAAGTCAGTGTCAAGAGGTTCACACGCAAAAGAAACCGCCAACAAAGATGCAACAGCCACTCACCAAAGTGGATCGTCAACCACAACAACAACCTCTACCACAAGCAATGGCTCCTCTGCATCAAAGAAGAATCACAGACGCCACAAACAATAACATGAATAGCACAACCAAAACCATTTATAGTTGCTATTCAATTGAAAGATTATAAAAATATTCCTGTATAAACAAACAAAGAAAAGAAAAGAAAACAAACAACGAGAAAGTGAATAACACTGATGTAATTACAAATAGCAATACGAATAAAAGAGATAATCAAAGTATAATATTCATGTATAAACAATATACAGTAGATATTTATATCAATCAGATCATATCTAAACCTAAATCTTACCAGCTAGTTATCAAATAGTTATGTCTTTCTATGTATCTATCTAACTAAGAATGAATGAAATCTGATAACAGTTGATATCGTTTTAATATAAAATATTTAAAGTTGATGTAATATCTTACAACAATAACTTTAAATTTTACTATTGGTTTTTATTTTTATTTACAATGTGTGACTTTTGTTGGTGAAAAAGTACAAGATTGATTATATTGCTATACTATTATTATTATTATTATATACGTAGGGTTTAGATTGAGAGGAAATAGATTAATTACAATACGTCTTAATAATTTCTTTTGTTTTTTTTTTTTAAAGTTTTAAAGTTTTTTTTTTTAGTTTTTTAGTTTTTTCGTTTTTTTTTAAAAGTTTAATATTAAAATATATATATATTCTAATCCATTTCAAAGATTTCTACAATTGATTTAGTAAATGAATGGAATATATGTTAGTTAAATGATGTTCAATATGTTGAAGTTCAAAAAAAATAAAAAAATAATAATCAACAAAAACAAAACAACAAAAGTTGACAGATATCCGACTTTGAGTTTGTTGCTGTTGTTGATTCTCGATATACATACCCTCTTCGTTTGTTTTAGCGGTCGATGCGGTCTTTTGAGCAGTTGATTCGGGTTGTTGTTGTGGTGGTTGTACTGGTGCGGTTGGTGGCTTCTGTGACTTGACTTGTGGTGATTTTGGTTGTTGTTGTTGTTGATGTGCATGCTGTGGTTTATTGAGTACCTCTATGATACCAGCCAATTCAGGTGGTGGTGTTTTCGAGAGTGGTGAATTACGGATTTGCAACAGAGTAGAACGATCGTATTTAATCTTGGTACCACCTGGAGTGGTTCCATAGATTGACCCACCCAACGAAGTCGAAAAATTCATCAAGTCATGTCGTGGATCCTTGGCTGGGAATGGGATAGCTCTGGTGCTTGTTGTTGAAGGTGAAGCAGATGACATCTTTTTCCTATGTATTCTATGTGTAGTGTTGTGTGTTGTGCGTAACCTCTATATTATACTATATATGATGTGTCGTGGCGGCGGGAAAAAAAAATATATTACGTCTATTGAAAAAAAATAAAAAAATAATTCAAATTTTTCTTTTTTTTCCTTTAACTTTTTTATATTTTTATATCTATCTACAATGTCTATATATTATTATCATTGATAAGATTTTGTTAATTAGTTAATGTTTTTTTTTTTTTGGCAAAAATGATTATTTAAAAATATTAAATGATATCAAGAACACAAACAAAAATCAAACAAAAAAAAAAAACGAATGTTATATAAAGTTTTGCTGTTATTTATAATTTAAATAAATATAAATAAAAAAATGATTGAATTTGAACATAACATACAATGAAAGATCGTCTTGTTATTGTTTTTTGTTTTTGTTGTAATTTACTGATTACTACTACTAAAAAAAAACAATAAGTATCAAACAACTTGAATCCCTTATTGGTTATTGAAAAGTATGGCAGACAATTATAAAAAAGAGAATGAAAGGTAAAAAAAAAAAAAAAAAAACAACCGAAATATTAAAAATAAAAAAAAAACAAAACTTTTTTTGAAAATGAAATGCGTTGATGCTGAAAACAGTGCCACCACACTCATAAATTTCCTCTTGTTACCTATCTAATATTATGAAATAACAACCAACAAACATATCACAATAAAATTTTTTCAAGTCAAACATTAACTAAAAAAAAGACTTTAATTTCCTACCCAGATAATAAAAAAAAATAAATAATATTGTATTTTTAAAAAAAGTGTATATGTAATCTGTATGGGGGAGCAGTGGTAAATTTAAACCCACACACACATAAATAAAAACTGGGAGATGTGAAATGTGTTGTGGTTTTTTTTGTTTTTTTTTTTTAAATAATTTAAATGAATTTCTAAATAGTTGTGCAGTGGGTGTAATAACTTGATTGAAAAAAAAAAAGTTCATGATTGATTGTGTGATAGAAAAGGAAAGGTAATGATGATATAGTGAGAGTTTCGCAGTGATGTAGGTGAGATGGGAACACCCCATTTCTCTTGGAGATAAACAATTTAAACCCAAAACAACCTACATGTAGATAGACCAGCAGGATCAATAGCAGCAACACAACAACAAACAATCCTCTGATTAGATTATGATTAATTAATTGTTGTTGTTGTTGTTTGGATTTTAATCGCTGTGAATAGATTGAAGTCAACTACCTGATAATGAAATTGCCGTTGTTATGTTATTGTTAACTTCAAAAATATAAAAATAAAATAAAAATAAAATAAACTAAGATTTATATTTTTTGTTATTTTAATATGAAATGAAATTGAAATAAATTGGAATTTGGAATTTGACTTGACTACTACTTGGTAAATTAATTATAAATAATAAAAAGTCAAAGCACTGATTACAAAAACAAAATAAAACAACAATAAAATAAACTGATGATTAATATCTGCTGTTTTGTAAAACTGCTTACCACACACCTCTTATACATTTACATTTTACATTATCATTGATTTTCGATGTTAAAAAGATAAAAAGATACACACACACATTATATATTTGTATTAAAATAATAATCCAAGATATTATTGTTGATAGGTAGATGAATGATTATGATTTATTATCACGGCGGTGAAAAATAAATGGATTATTTATAATAGTTAAATATTATGATTTGATAGATACCTGAGTTATACTTAGATCTATAGGTGGTTTTTTTTTGGTTTACCTTTATAATTAGAGATACAATTATTATTATTAATCAAGTTATTTATTATCAATTTACAATGTAACTGTGTGATAATAATAATAATAATAGTATATACAAATTATAACAAAATATATTATATTATACAAATATATAAATCTAAATTTTTAACTGAAGAAAAAAATAAGTCTATGTTTCCTTTGACTTTTGCTACTGCAGCTGCTGTGAGAGAGTGGAGTGGAAGGAAAGGAGGTGACTGACTGGTGCTGGAGAGAGGAGAACCAGGTAGAGTGCAGGGAATTTTACAAGCAAAAAAATAAATAAATTAAAATTAATAAAATGAAATTTAAAAAATTGTTTGAAAAATTGTTTTATGAAATTAAAATCAAAATTTCCTGCACAAATATTGTTTAAAAATGGGTTATACTGTTGTTTTTAATAATAAAAAAATCAGTTCCTTAATCAAAAAAATTAACTGCAAAAAGCATTAATTTTACCGCTTTTGCATGATGGGTGGTGGGTCTCAACAACCCAATATCGAAAATTCCATTTATATTTTTTATTAAATATGTATGCAAGATTTTTTGTTTTTTTTTTGTGGGCACAAAAAATTGTCATCTTCTTTGAATCAAGAATAGAAATACAATTATATAATACTCTATTTAAATATTTATTTGGGAGGAAACCAAGTTGTGAGACGTATATTGAGAGATAATGAAATTAAATCAAAACTACCAACTATAGTTACAAAAAAATTTTCCAAAAAAAAAGTAGTATCAAAGTTCTTAGATATTATCTAGTTTGAATAGTTTGTGTTGTCATAGTTTATCATTAGTTTGGCAGAATCAGTCTAATCGATCGGTAGAATCCTTTAATGAAGTTTTTTTTTTCTTCAAAACTGAAATTTGATAATGACATTGAGTATTATTTGTTTAGTTTAGTTTTGTTATCATTTATATTGGATGAGATGAAAGAATAGAATTTTAATCACGAGTTATATTTCGAACTCTCATTTGTTGAAAATGACAGATAAACCACGAGTAATTATTATCTAGTATCTACTATATTGTTGGTGTTGATACCACCAATCCCAAAACAGTTTCCCATAGCAAGCATCAGTGATAAAGCACCAAAGATACTAGTATATAGTAAATATTTCCTGTATACTAATCATTATTGGCATCATTATTGGCATTATTATTATTTTCATGATTGCCATGGCTGAATCACTCGCTATTGAAGATCATAAACTATAGACTAATCATCATAATAGACCGGCTAAACTTTTAACATAATGATTATGATTAACATCAATAATAGATATTAAAGTGATGACAGTAATAACAATAGTAAATAGATGATTCACTTGAAATGTTCGGTTATTTCTTTGTACAATATTGATTGACGAAATTTTTAAAAATGAAAATTTTCATGAAGTTTTGAGACGACTAAAAATGATACTGAAATTAAGTAGTATTATTTATTTTTAATTTAGTTTGGTTTTTTTTTTGTTTTATATATTTTATTTTATTATTATTATTTTAATTATTTGATTAGATTAGATTAAATTATATTAGATGGATGAATTAGAAAGAATAGAATTAGAATCACAAGTATGTAATGAATTGGAGAATTTCATTGGTCAATCCGACAAGGTGTTGGCAGAGTTTATCATTAGTTTGGCAGAGTCCAACCGATCGGTAGAATCGTTCAATCATGCACTGATGGAGAACGGTGCAGAGTTTCCAGAGACGATGGTTGCACATCTCTATAGTTTAATCGAGAAGATGAACCCAAAGATTAAGAAACAATCGATCAACTCTATAGTGTCTGGCAAACCGACTTCCGCCAACGGCACAGACAACAACGGTAGTGAATGGGATCAACACGAGAACGATCTAAAACGTCTGACAAAGCAATTTCCTGGACTATCGAGACCGAACAATGCATCCTATGAGACTGGTAAAGTGTTTGACCTAATAGTAGAGTCAACCAACAAAACAACAACATCAACCTCTACGTCGTCAACTGACAATACAATTTCAACAACAACAACAACAACATCATCGACAACAACTAAAACTTTAAAAGATAAAGATAGAAATGAAAGAGATAAAGATAGAGATAGAGGTAGATATGACGATAAAGACAGAGATAGAGATAGGGATAGGGATAGAAATAGAGATAAATATGATGATAGAGATAGGGATAGAGATAGAGACAGAGACAGAGATAGAAGAGATAGTAGATATGATGATAGAGATAGAAGAGATAGAAACGATAGAGATAGAGATGTTAAGAAACCATTGGATAAAGAACCGGGTGTAAATTCAATATATAGTGGAAAGGTAACCGGTATCAATGATTATGGATTCTTTGTATCGTTGGATGGCATTGTTGGAAAGCGTGAGGGATTGGTACATGTCTCACAGATTAGAAGTACAAAGGTTCAACATCCTTCCGATGTTGTAAAGCGTAATCAAGTTGTAAAGGTAAAGGTGTTATCGGTGGTCGGTTCAAAGGTGTCACTCTCGATGAAGGATGTCGATCAACAAACAGGTGCAGACTTGAATCCAGCTAGACAACCAATGCGTTCAATCGATAGTGGTGAACAATCGACCGATAGAAATAGATCTAATCCATTGCGACCAGAGAGAAACAATAACAAGAGTGGCGGTAATATTTATGAAGAGGTGGATGTTAAGAGGACTTCAAAGAGGATGACTTCTCCTGAGCGTTGGGAGTATAAGCAGTTGATTGCTGCCGGTATTCTCAGTACGAAAGAGATGCCAAACTACGATGAGGAACAAGGTCTGCTGCCAGAGGTCGACGAGGAGGAGGAGATGGATATCGAGTTGAATGAAGACGAACCCGTTTTCTTGAAGGGCACGAGAAATACAATGTTGCAGCTGTCGCCAATCAAGATTGTCAAGAATCCCAATGGTTCGTTGCAGCGTGCCGCTCAGCAGGCGGGTACGCTGGCGCGTGAGAGAAAGGAGGAGAAGGACATTGCTCGTAACGACTTGATGGATGCAATCCCAAAGGATTTGAATCTGCCTTGGGAAGATCCAATGCCCGAGCCTGGTGAGCGTCATATCGCGCAGGAGCTGCGTGGTCTGGCGGCGTCGGGAATCGACCAGATGCCCGAGTGGAAAAAGACTACGCTCGGCCAGCACGTCACCTACGGTAAGGTAACCACCCGTTCAATCAAAGAGCAGAGGGAGTCGCTTCCTGTGTTTCCGCTGCGTGAGGTATTCCTCAAGGCGGTGGCGGACAATCAGCTGCTGGTGGTCATCGGAGAGACCGGTTCCGGTAAGACCACTCAGATGACACAGTACTTGGCGGAAGCAGGCTATGGCACCAGAGGAAGAATCGGTTGTACTCAACCACGTAGAGTTGCAGCAATGTCGGTGGCGAAGCGTGTCGCCGAGGAATTTGGTTGTCGTCTCGGTGAGGAAGTTGGTTATGCCATTCGTTTCGAGGATAGCACCAGTCCAGAGACAATCATTAAATACATGACCGACGGTATTCTCCTGAGAGAGTGTTTGATCGATCCAGATTTGACACAGTATTCCGTGATTATCCTGGATGAGGCGCACGAGAGAACGATCCATACCGACGTGCTTTTCGGACTGTTGAAACAAACGATCCGGAGAAGACCAGATTTGAAAGTGTTGATCACCTCTGCCACTTTGGAAGCCGACAAATTCTGTAAATACTTTATGAACAGTCAACTTTTTATTATTCCAGGTCGTACGCATCCCGTCGATATCAGATACACCAAAGAACCGGAAGCCGACTACTTGGACGCATCGCTCATCACCGTCATGCAAATACATCTAAGTGAACCAAGCGGTGATATCCTACTGTTTTTAACGGGTCAAGAGGAAATCGATACTGCCTGCCAAGTGCTATACGAGCGTATGAAACAACTTGGTCCATCCGTCCCCGAACTAATCATTCTACCAGTTTACTCTGCATTGCCATCTGAAATGCAAACTAAAATATTTGATCCTGCTCCAGTATGTATATATAAATTCATTCAATTCCTTATATATTCATTTTATTAACATTCAAATTTATAATTATTAGCCAGGAGCAAGAAAAGTTGTTATCGCTACAAATATTGCAGAGACATCTTTGACTATCGATGGTATTTTCTATGTTATTGACCCAGGTTTTTCAAAACAAAAATGTTTCAATCCAAAGAATGGTATGGATTCGTTGGTGGTTGCTCCCATTTCTCAGGCTGCCGCTAAGCAACGTGCAGGTCGTGCAGGTCGTACCGGTCCAGGTAAATGCTATCGTTTGTACACTGTCAATGCTTTCGAGAATGAAATGTTGCCTTCGACCATTCCAGAGATTCAGAGAACCAATCTTGGAAATACTGTGCTGACGTTGAAGGCAATGGGTATCAACGATCTGCTGGGATTCGACTTTATGGATCCACCACCTGTCCAGACACTGGTTTCCGCCATGGAGCAGCTCTACACGCTTGGTGCGCTCGATGAAGAAGGTATGTTGACGCGTCTCGGTCGTAAGATGGCAGAGTTTCCACTGGACCCGCCATTGGCCAAGATGCTCATTGCCTCTGTCGACATGGGTTGCTCCGACGAGATTATCACTATCGTTGCAATGCTGTCCGTTCAAAATGTATTCTATCGACCGAAAGAGAAACAATCGTTGGCCGACCAAAAGAAAGCCAAGTTCTTCTCGGCGGATGGCGACCACTTGACGCTGCTCGCCGTCTACGAAGGCTGGAAAAACAGTAAATTCAGCACACCCTGGTGTTTTGAGAATTTCGTTCAGGTTCGCTCACTCAAGCGTGCTCAAGACGTTCGTAAACAACTCATCACAATTATGGATCGTTATAAACTGGACTTGGTGACGTGTGGCCGTAATCTAAACAAGGTTAGAAAAGCTATTTGCTCGGGATTCTTTGCCAATGCCTCAAAGAAGGATCCAAACGAAGGATATAAAACAATGGTCGAGGGACAGCCTGTATATATTCATCCGTCGTCCAGTCTTTTCAATCGTAATCCCGATTGGGTTATCTATCACGAGTTGGTCATGACCACCAAAGAATACATGAGAGAGGTAATGGCAGTCGATCCCAAATGGCTAGTCGAACTGGCACCGAAATTCTTTAAACTCTCCGATCCAAACAAACTATCGAAACGTAAAAAGAAAGAGAAAATCGAACCACTCTGGGACAAATATCAAGATCCAAACGCGTGGAGACCATCAAAAAGAAGAGGTTAAAAAAATTATTATTTATTTTTAAATAAATAAAAATAAAAATAAAAATAAATTATTTAAAATAATTACCACCTGTTACATGTATACAAATAATAATAATTTTTATCTTTATAGACACACAATGAATATTTTTTTGATCATCATCAAATATAAATATTATAGTGTAATTTGTAAATTTCATTGAGTAGTGAATTAAAGTTTTAATATCTTTAGAAAATTATCTAAAAAAAAAAAAGGTAATTTATTTATTTATATATTTTAGATAAATATCTTTTTTTAATAAAAAATATTAATTTAGTTTTAAATTAGGAATAGAAATAATATGGTATCATTTAAAAGTATTTTAATTTTAGTTATAATAATTTCATTTCTTTATGTGGAAGCCGGTTTAATAACACTAAGTGGATCAGGTGATGAAAACAACAATCATAATCATGATGGAGGAAGTGGATTGCTGACAATTGGTAACGATGGATTGTTGACATTAGGCAATAATGGTGGTAGATCAGGACAATACAACTACCCAGGTCATGGAGGAAGAGGTGAGAACTATTACAACAGTCTAAATCAAATTCTAATATGTCGAGAAGATTGTAGACGTCAATATTCAAAATGTTTAAATGTATTTGTCAGTTCCATTTGTGCACAAACAATTGTAAAATGTATTCAAAATTGTGTAAATCCTTAAAAAAAGATTAAATTAAATTATTTAACAAAGAATAAATATAATTTATACAAAAGATTATATATGAATGGATTGTTGAAAATCCTACAATAATTAAAAAAAAAGTTAGTTCATACAAAAATTGGAATCTTTTTTTATTGTTGTAAAATTGTTTGTTTGTTTATTTATTATTTAAATATTTAATATATATATTATATTTATTATCTTTTAATAAAGTTATATAACTAATAATTAGTTAAGAGTGAGAAATGGGAGATGTATTTGAAGATTGGTATGCCATCTTGTCGGTGGCATACGATGCATCGGATAAGCAGATACAAAAGTCGTTCAGAGTGTTATCCGTTCTGTATCATCCTGATAAGAACAAGACGAAAGAGGCTGCCGTTATGTTTGAGAAGATATCGATTGCAAAGAAGGTGTTGCTCGATAAAGAGATGCGTGGAGAGTTTGACGCTCAACTCAAACAGAAACGAGAGAAGCAACGAAAAGATGAGGAGATGGATAAGAAACGAAAGGCAATGAAAGATAAACTACATTCGCAGGAGGAAGAGATTCGCAGAAAGAAACAAAAAGAACAAGACGACCGAAAGAAAGAATCGATGCGCTTTAGATCAGAGACACTCAAAGAGTTGAATCAGAAAACAAGCAATCTTTCAGAGTTTAGAGATAAATTTATGGTTAATACAAATATAACAACAACAGCAACAGCAACAACGTCATCATCATCATCATCATCAACAATCGAAAATAATAATATAATTTTAATTAAATGGAGATCGAAATTGAAATATGGTGAAGATGCACTTAATGATATATTCTCAACCTATGGTCAAATCGACTCGATTGTGATATTGGGTGATGATGATAACAGCACTGGAGATAACATGAGTTCAACCAACAAATCGAATGCAATCATCTATTTTAAAATGGCAGACACTGTAATATCGATATTGAAACATACAAAAGAGATTAAAAAGAAATATAAATTAAAAGTAGAAAGAGTACCTACACCTTACAGTAATAGTAGTTATTATAATAACTATACATTTGAAACAACAACATCACCATCGTCACCATCATCATCAGCAGCAACAGAATCATCAACAGAAACAACTAAATCACCTAATATTAATAGTACAAAACCAACAACAACAAATGATCTAAGTAATTTTGAAGAAAAAGAAAGTGCAATTTTAAAAAGACTAAGAGAAAGATCACAAAGAAACAAACAAAACAGCAATACTAATAATAATAATAATGAAACACCTAAAACAACAACAGCAGCAACAACAGAAACAGAATCATTAAATTCAACAACTTCACAAGTATAAGTCTTATAATACATATACACCACCAACATCCACTCAATTACAAATAAATATATATTATGTTACTATTGATTCTGAATTTTATTTAAAGATTCACCTTCATGTGTAACCTGTATCAATACACTCTTATATTTCTTTAAAATCTTATTTAAATCCTCTCTCGAGATATTCTCTCTCCACATGATTTCCTCTAAATGATGTTGTCCTCTAAAGTATGGTACCAATCTATTAATAATAGTGAAAAGTATTAAAAACAAATTTGTAAGTTAATGATTATGATTATGATTATGATTTAAAGAAGAACTAGACTAGACTAGACTACTTTACCTTTTAAATAAAAGATATGATTTTGTACTATCATCTATACGTTCGAAAAATGCAATCTCATGAGGCAGCAAGTGTGATGGTGTCATTGGGAAGTGAGGTGTCTGATAGAGCAGCGGTGTGTTTGGTGAGGTGGTTGGCTGCTGTCTGTAGGTGATCATCAAGTGAATATAGGTATGTAGCTGCATAATGAGATCGTGTTGAAGCAGCCAGCATACAATCTGAAGAAAAGTGACATGATAACTCTGATGAAACTTTGATATGTGTTCGGCCAGAGGTCGTGCCGAACTGAATCTCAAGAGAATATCTTGAAATTGAAACTCTGGAAATTGAATATTAAACTTATTTGATATATCAATATAACTACTATTATTATTATTACTACTACTATTGTTATTGTTATTGTTATCTGTTATTTTTGTTGGTGGAGTTAAAACGTATACATTGTTTTTCGTTAGCATGTTGATGATTTTAGCTTTACCCCAGTAGACGAGATGTGAAGACAGTCGGTAGAGATAGGAGAGTGGCAAGTCGGTTTCAAGTTGGAGATCGCGGAATGATTTCGTTGGTTTGGCGACATCGAGCAATCGCTGAAGCGCTGGCGAAGTGTCGGTGTTGGCCGGCAGCGTGGAGTGGTCGAGGTTGATGAGCAATGCGTGATAAGGTCGCATCGGGTAATCGCTGTAGTAATCTGGGTTATTGATATTCAAATGTAGATTGATCCAATTGTTGATTCTCAAGCTTGCCGGTCTGTCAGAGTTCAGTGCATCGTAGATCTTCTTAATCTCCATACCCAGCTGACTCTTCTTCAAGATGCGATCGGTCAACTCCTGGTGATTCGGCTTATCATCGCCAGTGTCCAGCGTGTGCTCCGTCAGCCAACCATCTCGTACCAACATAATCTCATGTACTTGTTTTGAGATATATCCACATCTTTTAAGCAACTATCAAGTTAGTTTAATGAATCGGTGGTAATTCTTTTAAAACATCATCTTACCTCTTTTGTTCATGTTTTAAAGCGGATGCAATCTTTAATGCACATCTCTTTAAACTGTTATCTCTATTTTCGTTTAACTCTCCAACATTCGTTGACATTACAAACAAGAGGTTGAACATTGTCAACTCATCAGATCCACTACTACTGTTACTACTTGTACTATTTGTAGATGATTCCAATCTCTTTTCTTTTTCTTTTGTTGTTGAACTACTACTACCACTATCTTTATCTTTATTACTATTATTACTACTATCTTTATCATTACTATTTACATTTTTACTATTACTACTACTACTACCATGTTGTTTACCATCTTTACATTTATGTTGACTTCCACTTCTCTTATGACTGCTACCAGTACTCTTATTACTACTGGTACTAAATCTTCTTGACATTGAAGAAGATGTTAACTTTTGATTATTAACATCTTCATTTACGACATCTTGATGATGATTGTGATGTTGGTGATGTTGATGATGTTGTTCATCACCTGAATCACCATCTGAATCAGATTCATCATCATTTGAAAGCAGTGTAGGATGACCAATGAATTTGGTGTTCTCTATCATCAACTCGAATGACATGTCACAGAGTGTCGGTTTCGGTGTTAGTATCGGTGTGAGAATCTCTGACGACAGGTTGTAGATGTACTGATTATCGTTGGTTGCATAGCTACCGGCACGACTGGGTGCACCGGCATCCGCACTCTTGGTATTGTCAGACTCTGTACTGCCACTGAGTGATCCACCACCACTACCACCGCCACCGCCACGACCACCGCCACCTCCACTGTTGTTAGCAGGCGTCATTATCGGGTGTTGCTGTCTGAATGCCATCATCGTTTCATCACTAACTTTGCCTCTGGTAACCGACGGGTATCTAAACACCAGCTTATCACCACCAATACTAGTATGCACAACAAATATAATACCCAACATATTTGTAGTGGCTAACACTAAACTAGTTTATAGAAATCAGCTAAGTAAATAAATAAAATAAATAAAACAATAATAATATCAAACTAATTTAAATCTTTTTTTTAATTATTTTTAATTTTTTTTTTTTTTTTTTTTGATCATATTTTTTTTTTTTTTTTTAATTTAAACTTGAACTTCTCATTAAAGATCATTGCACTGAATTCAAATTATGAATGATTGGTTTATTTCCACTCAAGAAATTAATGTTTCAAAAATAAGATATGTTTTTGTTTAAAATACTACAGGAGATATCAAATTTCTTGGAAATATTGTTTTAAAAGGTAATAATTTGAGAAATATTTGTTGTTTTAGATGTATGTTCTTTTATTCTTTGTTCAGTTGGTCAAATTTATTCACGAATAGGTTTACTTCCTGAATCTCAATTAATCTTTGCAAATCCTAAAAAAAAAAAAAAAAATTCCGGAGTGTGGGGTTACAATTTTTTGACCTGGTAAAAAGTAAGCATTTCATTTAAGAATTTTATTCTACAATCCAAAATAATTTTATCTTTATTTACATTTCTAAAATATATATTTATTTATATTTATTTGTATTTATTTTAAACTATTGTTTTTTTTTTTAATAATTAAATGGATAGATATTTATAATTGAAGAATGATTTGTGTCATCATCTGACGTTTCTTTTTCTATTATTATTTTATTTTATTTTTGAATACCCGTTATTCTTTAAAAATCAACAATACTTTGCAATTAGTCAATGAATCCAACACGTTGATCTTTTAAAAGGAAATTTTATTTTTGAGTAAGATTAATTGCATTTGCAAATGGAACACTTGTTGTTGCTGATGGTCATCATCAGATTTAATTCACTGTTGTTGTGGGGAATTAAAAGTAGTGATTAATTGATTAGTTGTTCAATGACTGCAGAGCACGCAACTTTGATTTGTTTATTTTAAAAAAAAAAACAATAATTATATATAGTGCATTCACTCATCATCAACATCATCAATGATTAATGTGTGTGTAGAATTACAGTGCAGTCAGTCAGTGACATTGCCATAAATCAAGTGATTGAAATTGATGATGGTGCGTGTTGGTTTGATTTTACTTAACATTCTCTCATAACAACAATAGCAGCAATAATAGATAATTAATTATCCGTAGTAGTGTTGATTCAAAAGTAAGAAAAAACCAGTAGCACAATAATAATACCATGGTGAACTTTCTGACCGGTTGCTTCGACATTGTTTGTTAAAAACTTGCCATTTAGAGGAAGCGGTGAATGATCCTTCAGTAAGATGATGTCGAACCAATTCGACAATTTTGAAAAAACAACTAATCAACACCACACACATTAATTAAATAACTGCAATTAATTGTTGTGGTTTGGTGAAAACCAAAAACAATCGCTTTTAAAAATTTGGGAATGGTAGTTGGTGGAGTGCGGGGGTGATTTTATTTTTTAAAAACTGAAATTTGATGATGGCGAACCAATAACGCACGATGTCTGCATTAAACACTATGCAATTGGTATTGTGAATGTTCTTCTGCCACCAGTATGCTGCTTCTATACCCCCACATACATTATTGTGAAGCAAAGACCACACTTTTTAAAGAACAAATATATTCTTTATATTGAATCATATGATTTCAATCGTATATTATTATTTTTTAATTTAATTTTCTTTTTTAAATTTCCTTTCAACAAACAAATTTGTGTGGTGGTGGCCTTGCAATAGTAACAGCAGCAGCATCATAACGATTCAAAAACAATCATACATCTATTTATCAACAAATAATAAATAATTGTTTTTTGATTTATAAAACAAAATAAAACAAAACTAAAAAAAACTTAATTGTTTTAAAAATAATAATTATTTATTTATATTTATTCTCTCACTAGCAAAAAGATAATTATATATCTTTAATCAACCTTTTTTTCCTTTTTTAAAAATTCAATATATAGTTAATCAATAATAATTTATTTTATTTATTTATAATACATATATATAACATTACAAACATATCTTATTTATTTTATTTATAAAGTTTTATGTATCTAAATCTGTTTCAAATAAGTAGTATCATTACTCTTTTAAATTATAATATTACATTAAAATAAATAACAATAATAATAATATCACAGTTAAAAGTTCATTTAATAATAGTTATTAACACAATTCATAAAGCTAAACTTAAAAATAAGCAATATAGTAGCATCATTATCTAATAATCTACAATAGAATCATTAATTAAAACAAATTATAGTAAAGATTTAAATTAAAAACAAACGACAATAGCAGTAGCATATTTAAAAAAAACAAAAAAGGTAAAGCATTCATTATTTTATTGATACCACTATAGTGTTGTGTTGTGTAATGTTGCTACAAGCATTACAATTGTGTTCACTTTAAGTCTACCACTTCATCTTTACAACAATAGTGCAACATTAGTGATAGAAACAACATAAAATAGATTCATAAAAGTGTTTAACAGATCTATTTGAATATGTTCTACTTTTTTAAATCTTTGTAAATTGAATTGGTGTGTGTGTCTTTTTATTATACTTTTTTTTTATTTTAAAAAAAACAAATAAATACACCCCCACCATTTCAATATAAATGTTCTCTTATTCTAAAAAAAAGAAACGATAATTTCATCTCTTGGTTACCATTGTCGGACTTTTTTTAAAAACAAAAATTTTAAAAAATTTCATTGTATTTTTGTGTGTTTTTTTCTAGATCCAACCATTTTTGTCAAACAATTTCAACCAATCGATTCAAAATATAACTGCTTCCCCTACCAATGTGTCGAAAGCATGGTACATTTTCGGAAGCACCTGCCCCAAAGAGTGAAGAGAAAAGAATATTTTGCGAATGCATTCGCTTTAATTATATTATTTTTCAGAGGGTGCAGTAGTCCATTGGAATAATTCATATCTAAAAAGGACTCAATTCTTAACTTTCTATCCACTTTTTTCACATTTCTAATATCTTTCTGTCACTCAGCTGTTCAATGATATCAAAATAGTAATAACAACAATAGTATTTATAACAACATCCATCCTCAAAATAAAAGAACAATTAAAACAAACAAATTAATTTATTATTTAATTATTATTTAATTTAATTAATTAATCACACACCCAAATAACTTTTTTGCATTTTATTTTATTTTCGAACAAATATATTCTTTTTAGAATAATAATTATTATTTCATCAATAACAACTTTTTTGAACTTTCGGGAATATTATTCTTTAACTCAAAATTTCATTGTATTTCGCAACCACACACAATTTATAAAATCCCTTCCACACAGTAACACACCACCACAAAATTTTTGATAATTCAAATTGTTTTTTTTTAATAAAAATAAAAATAGCAATTATTTTCACTCTTAACCACCTTAAAGATCTAAAAAAAAAAATAATAATAAAAAAAAAATAATCAACAGCCAACCACACGAACAACATTTATAATATTTATATATTATTATTATCATTATTTATTATAACTGTTTGAAAATATAACCAATTGTATTTATATCAAAATTGTATACAAAAAGAAAAACAAAGTCAGGAAAATTAAAACAAAACAAAAAACAACATATTCTAACAAAAAAACAAAAGTAAGAGCAAAACATAACATAGAAACATATTGACAAATAACACCAAATATCATAATAACAATATCAAACATAAAATCATTATATCGTATCGTTGAATATTCATGGTTACTGTCTCCATAGTTTTGTTACACACCACCACAACCACCATTATTCACTCACTTATACTAAATTATAAGGCATAGATTGCATCTTGTTATTCAATAGAATTCAAAACGACAGCAACATTTAATAGTATCCAATATTATATACCGATCTCCAATTTGTGAAGAATTGAACTTCTCAGTACACATTATTAATAGTCGGGTCTTTTCTTCTCTATTCTCAAATTAAAAAACAAACAGTAGAACAAATAATTTTTACATATACAACAAATCTTAATACAACCACACATTATTTATTTCACTGGGAAACTATTATTATTATTACTACTACTACTACTCAACAAAAAGGTAAATATTATCACATTGCCGACTACACATGGCTAGCACTATAAATGTTGGTTTAAAAAATAAAAGAATACAATATAATCATGAATAGCAACATTATTGCTTCTATAATTTAGAGATCTGCTAAAGATACAAAACAAACACAACAAACAAAAAACACTCTAAACATAAATATTCAGTTCATTTCCATTTCCTTTTCTCTCACTCACTTTACAAATATTACAATTTAATTAACAACAACAACAAGAACCAAAGGAACTAATATATTGTTATTTTATTTTTTTTCTATCTCCATTTTCTTATAATTATTTTAATTTCTATATATTATTACGTAAATATATTTATTTATACTATACATTACTTTTATATTTTTATTTATTATTATAATGTGCCTTTTCAAATTTTATAAAATATCAAAATATCATTAAAATTATATAGAATTATTGAATGTCTGAAGTTGCAACTAAATTTATAAATATCTTTTTAAAAGATAAGAAGCGTATGGACCCTGAGAGAGTAAAGGCCAAAGCTGCGCAGAAGCTAGAGAAACGTTCAGGTAAAAAGACAGTATATCAACATTCACAACCAACGGAAGCCAACGCTTCCACCATTATATACGAATTTTCAGAGGCCGAGAAAACATCACCACAAGGCGCAGACACTATCTCTGCCACACGTAGAAGTTGGTCAGAGCAAATGGATAGTGACAAAGAGAATTTCGTAGGAGAGAGAGAGTTTACCGACAATTCATTACTATCGCATCCATCGTTCTTGGAGCCATCGCGTGTCAAGCGCATACAAGTTCAAAGTGTAGCAATTATATATAATCCATTCTCTGGTTCCAAGATTGGTGAGAAGATCATGAATGAAGCCAGAAACTACTTTGAAGTACATGGTTTGACCGTTCAGATTATTCCAACCGAATACAAAGGACACGCAGAGGATCTGTGCAGAAACATCGACGTTACCAACGTCGACGCCATCTGTTTGGTCGGTGGTGACGGAACCATTCACGAAGCCGTCAACGGTATCATGAAGAGAGATCCAGAGACTCGTGAGAAGTTTGTTCTCGCCTGTCTGCCAGCCGGTACCGGTAACTCTTTCGTCATGGAGCTCCAAGGAACTCTGAGTATCAAGCACATCTGTGAGAGAATTCTCAACGGTCTCACCGTGCCAATCGATATAGCCAAGGTTACATGTGTCAAGAAAGACATGATTTCACAAGAGTGCAATAGAAGAAAGATGGAATTCCGTACACTCAAATCAACACTTGCCAACGTCGATCTCAATTCCAGTCAGCTTTCATCTTCGCTTGACGCCAAGAGAAAGTCATATCACGATCTCAAGACCGTTAGACCGGACATTCTGATGGAGTATGGTGCACATCTCGCAGAGGAGGAGCACTTGGAGACTCCACCCGAAGTTATTTATAGTTTCAATTCTCTTCATTGGGGACTCGGTTCAAAAGTTAATATCACTGCCGAGAAGATGCGTTGGATGGGCAAGGCTGTCAGATACACTACCGCTGCACTGCTAGAGCTGTTTAAGGGAGAGAAGATTTTGGCACGTATCGAGTACGAGGATGCAAATGGTGAGATTTCAGCGTTAGAGGACGAGTTTTGTTTGGCAATTGTAAATAATATTCAAGGAGCTGCCAAGGGTATGAAGATGGCACCAAAGGCCAAGCTGAATGACGGTCTCTTTGATCTCATCCTGATCAAATCGTCCAAGACATTCGATTTGATGAACATTTTCGCAAAGATTTACGATGGTACACACACAGAGCTTGATTTTGTCATATATAAGCAGGTCAAGCGTTTCAGTATTACACCATTCAAGAAGGACAAAGAGAGAAAGAAGCGTTTGCACAAAGAGAAGAAGAGAATCAAAGCCGCCAAGAAGACCGGTCAAGAGATTGACAAAACACCACTTGAAATTTTAAAGACCGAATGTAATACAATTTTATCAGAACTAGAGGATCAAATAGATGAAGAAATTATAGATATAGACGGAGAGTTGAAAGGTACCACTCCTTTTATTTGTGAAGTACTCCCTAGATCGATCAGGGTAGTTGTATAAATTAATAAATAACGATATTATTTAATATTTTTTTTAATCAACAACAACAAAAAAAACAAAAACAAAGTAATCTGTCTCATTTAGTTTTAAAGTTCTTTCTTATTTTATTTTCAAGCTTCTTTTTGTTTTGTTTTTTATTGTCTAGTTTTAAAAAAAAAACCCTATCTAATGATAAAATTTAATCTTATACATAATTATTGGCTTCCTTTCTAATTGTAGCTACAATTAACAATCTTATAAAATAATTTTAAATCTAGAATATCATCAACTTTTAATATTCTACAAAATAATAATTCAAAACAAGTAAGAATACTTTTAATTTAAACAGTTTTAGTATATATATCTTTTTTTTCATAAAATTACACAAAATAACCAATCGTTTTTGATTATTTTTCAAATTTTATTTCTTTTTTAATATTATAAATGAATGGACAGTGAGTGTGTTTTTTAAAGTGATGACATATTTATTTATTTTAAATAATAGTCTGTCGGAAAGATTTAAATTTATTTGTTTGAATTTTATATCTTACAAAAAGTTACAGGCAACACCAATAATAAAACATTAAAACTGTTTTTAAAAGAGTTAAAGTTTAAAGAGTCATCTTTAACAGAATATGTTTTGAATATTCATGATTTAGATTACAACGTGATAATAAACCTTTTAAGTATAAATAGGAGTAAAATCAAAAAAAATAAAGGTAATATTCAAATTAAATATTTATAAGTTGTTGTTGTTGTAAAAATATAAATATATTTTCTTTTTTACAATTATATAGTTTTGTTTTTAAAAGTTTGTATAGTTTTACAAAAATGGTACTTGAAAAAATGGTTGCTGAAAAGAAAATTATAGAAAAGATAGATGAATGGACAAGAATTCCTAGTTTCGATAGTTATATGCTGAATATGATGAAACTGGAATACGTTGATTTCGATAGACATATTTTAAGAATGTCAATCATAGTTCCGGAAAAGTTTTGTAATCAAATGTTAACTCTACATGGTGGTATTATGACAACTTTAATTGGTAAGAAAAAAAAATTGGAATGAATATCTTTGTTTCTTTTTAAAAAAAAACAATATTAATTTATTATTTTATTATTTTTAGATATTGTTAGTACTATTGTTGTTACTACATATGATATAGATAATTTAGTACCGGGATGGAGCGTTGATATGTCAATGAGTTTTTCTACACCAATTCTTAAAGGTGATAAGATCTTGATTGAATCACATCTCTATAAGATTGGAAAAAGTTTGGCATTCACCGAATCAACTATTTATGATTCAAACAGTCAAGTCTGTTGTAAATCACTTCACACCAAAAGAATCAATAAAAGATACAAAATGTAAAATTGTTTATTTCTTTTGAAAATAGAACAGATTTTGTTTCTATTTATAATTTAAATAAATTGTTTGTATTTTAAAAATATAATATTTAAAGTACTAGAATATTTCTTATTTGAATTTTCAACCTTTAAATTGGATGATAGTTAAAAAGTAAAATGAAATAATTGATAAGGATCAAGAATACCCTCGATTCCTTTATTTTACCTTGTTATATATTTTAATAAAAAATAAAATAAATTAAAATCCAAAAAAGGAAATCTAAGACGACAAAATGTTGTTGGATTTTTTGTAATGAATTTGAATTCATTAAACTTGTGAATGCGTTTATTTATTGTTTAGCATTAGTTTTTTGTAAAGGTTTAGTTTTAGTTTAGTTTAGTTAAGTTGTTTTAGTTGTAATATAATATATAAAGTAAAAATAAATAATGTCGAAACCACAGAATATCAAAGAGAAAGAGGAAGCGTTATTCAAGTTATTGGATCAATGGAAAGGTTTGACAGGTTTCGATTCTGTCATGTTCAAATATCTAAAGATGGAATCTATCGATCACGAAAAGAACTCCATTATAATGTCTATGACAGTACCACAGGAATTGTGTAATGTTTTATCGACTCTGCACGGTGGTGCGATGGCAACTCTAGTTGGTAAGTTACCTAAATGAAGTAATAGAACAAAACGGATCGAAACAACACAATATTAATAGATAGATATTATATTAGATATTGTCAGTTCGATTGCAATCATTAGTACAGACCCAAGTAATATGCCACCAAGCGTCAGTGTCGATCTATCTATAAGTTATGCAGCGACAGCACCTCTCGGCGAAACCATTACAATCGAATCACTAGTTTATAAAATAGGAAAGAACTTAGCATTCTCAGATACAACCATTTACAATTCAAAGAAGAAAGTATGCTGCAAAGGCAGTCACACCAAATTCATTCACAGAGCTAAATTCTAGAATTTCACAGGTTTAATATTATTATTATTATTATATTAGAAAATAACTCAAAAACATAAAGATAAGATATTCGCGAATACGTAAAGTTTAACATTTAATGTTTTGTTCGAACTTTACAATTAAAATAATAAAATATCAATATATATATATTAAAGTAATCACTTTAATTAATTAATTATAGTAAAACAAAACAAAACAAAATTAGATATTTTCATTTTTCTTTAATCAATAATGATTAATTTCCGAATCCATTTGATTGTTTTTTTTTTTTTTAATTAAAATAGATAGATAGATTGTTAGTTAGTTACCAGATAAGAAGAAGAAGAAGAAGAAGAAAGTAATATGACAGAAACCAATCAACAAAAAGAAGAGGTTTTGATAAAGACTTTGGATCATTGGAGAACTTTGAATGGTTTCGATTCGAATATGTTGCGATATTTAAAGTTAGAGTCAATCGATCACGAGAAACACCGTGTAATCATGACGATGACAGTACCAGATGAGCTTTGTAATCCTTTATCAACACTGCATGGTGGTGCTATGGCTACAATTGTTGGTAAGTTTATTTATTAATAAACAAGCAGATCCTCTTTAGTTTTAACTATATATTAACAGATCTGTTTTATTTATCATCATAATCATCATCATCATCATAATCATTATAATAATCATTTTCTAAAGATATTGTAAGTTCTATTGCAATTATAAGTACAGATCCATCACATCTACCACCGAATGTATCGATTGATATGTCTATTAGCTATGCAGCAACTGCACCGGTCGGAGAATCAATCACAATAGAATCGATACTCTATCAACGAGCAGAGAACAAAGCATATGTTTATACCGATACAACCATTTACAATGCTCAAAAGAAAGTATGTTGTAAAGGTAGTCATACTGTATTTATTAGTAGAGCCAACATGTAAAAAACAAAACAAAACAAAACAAAACAGAACAAAACAAAACAAAACTAACTTAACAATAGTATTGTCTACTACGAATAATTAATTAAATTATAATTAAAAGATGTATATCATTAATCATAACCTTTTAATTTAAAAAATTGTTAAATTCTTTTTTCTTTTTCTTTTTTTTTTTTTTTTTTCTTCTAATCAATAAATAGGAAATACAAGGAATATTCATATTTTAATGAATAAACAAAAAAAAACTAAGAAATGAAAGACACGTATTAAAAAAGATATTTCTTATTTAGGAATTAATGCAAAAACAGAAAATTTGTAAAAAATCTTTTACAAAACCCGAATTTTTCTGATTTTTTTCAGTTGCATCATCTTTTTTCAACATTATCTTGATTTTTAAATTTTGGTTATAGATTAAGTATTTAAAACGGGTGTTTTTTAAAAAACAAAATTTAATATCTATTTAAAATTAAAACAAAAATCAATCAATCAAACAAACAATCTTATCTTTTAATAATTTATTTGTAAATAATAATAACAACAAAACAAAATGAAAGAATCAATTGCCGTCTGGATCCCAATCGATACCAATGTCAACGCTGACGACTATCAAATTCCAACCATCGAGAATCAAAAGGATGCATTGATGGGATTGGTTGCACCAGCCGAGGATGACGAGGATTTGGCCAATAACAATGACGAGTCCGACGATGACAACTACTATGGAAGAAGAGGAGCAAAACAAGAGGTAGATCCAATGGAGAAACTCATCTCAAGAAGATTCAAAGAGTTTGTTGCACCATGGATTGACATTATGAGTTTTTCACACAATGTCGCCTCTGAGGCTGGAAAGAGAGGTGCTCCACACGTTGGTGAATTGACATGCACCAAATTCACTTGTGACCGTTCACCAACTTTCAACTATATGACAATGCGTGGTGAAATCATTCCACACGTTGTCTTCCGTGCCATTGGAAAGACATCGAATCGTGTCTTACCAATCATCGAGTATGAGATGCATCATGTTCAGATCACCAATGTATCGATCAGTGGTGGTTCAGGTGGAAAGCCAGTCGAAACCATGTCATTGAATGCAAAGATTATGATCATCAAGAATATTAGATTGAATTTGGAAACCGGTGAATTTGAAACCTACCAAGTTGCCAAGTGGGATCAATTGAAAGGAACCGGTTCAAAGACACTCTATTCCAACAAATCTGGTGCCAAAGGAACCAGCAAGACACTTTTGGAGATTGCCAAGAAGAGTTTGATGGTCGATTTGGATTCACACGATCCATCAACAGTTGCACTCCTCAAGGAAATGGGAATCGTCACCGAATATGAATTACCACAAGACAGTGCAGTCGAGTACGAAGATCGATCTTTCCAACTCATCTCTAAAGTTTTATCTCACAAAGAACCAGAACTCTATCAAATCTTCAAAACACCAAAACCACAAACCATTGAAAACTACAAGAAGACCATTGCCGAGACTCTCTCAATTCCAGTCGATACCATCAAAAATTTGTATAGTGCAGGTACTGGTATTTTAATCAACGAAGAAAAGTTTTTGAAACCAGTAACTTCCTTTATTGTACAGAAATCAGATGGAAAGTTTGTTGGATACAACTAAATTTAATAGAATCAATATTAATAATTATAATTATTAATATTTTAATTTGTTATATAATCAACTTACTTAAAAATATAAAATAAAGTATTTAAAATTATTAGATTTTTTAAAAAAAAATTTAATTTATATGTAGATAATTATTTATTTCATTCTGCACGTGCACAAAACCATCTCCTTTTTACAATAAAGATAGAAATAGAAAAAAGCTTGTAGATAATAGAAAGATGAACATTTGAAACATAAGATTCTTATACTTCCAATGTTGGAAATGGTTTTAGATTTAATAAATATTAATGTAAAGGATTATCAAAAAATAAATTGAAAAAAACAATAATATTTTACTTAATATCAAAATGAATGGTATCTTTATTTCTACTTATAAGTTATAAAAAAAATATTGAGTTAATAGAGAATATTTATATTTTTTTAACAAAATATATTTTTCTAAGGTTTGTTGAATCACTTGTAATTCTAGGATACAATTTCTGATGAGAATAATGTAATCCTATTTTTAAATTATTTTTCTCGTTGTCATAGTGATCGTATGTTTGAATGATGAATCGAGAATAATTTGGTGAGATGCTGTTTTTGAATTTTCGACATAAACTAGAAAGACCCTTCGAACCCAACGATTGAGTGTTGACTTCGAGTGTTTCGATACTGATGAGTTTCTCAATGATTGGAAGCCAATGATCGATATTTCCATTCAAAGGGAAGCATAAATAAGTGACATTAAAAGATGATTCTTTGAAATATTTGAAAATGTTGGGTCTAAGTTTGAGAAAAGAGATCTTCTTCAAGTTTGGGAGTTCTAAAAGTTGTTTTGGTGATACTGGTTTATAGAAAGAGACATTGAACAATGATATAACACTGTCTCTGAAGGAATTTGGAATATTTACAGGATCGCATATTGGTAATTTGATTTGGTCTAGTAATGGCATCTTGGTGAGTACCAGTTCCTCTAAAGATCCAAGACGAACTTTGTAGGTGTGTGTCAAATCTAATTTCCTGAGTGACTTGATTGTGGCGATTGCATTGATGAGTGAGTATCTAATATTGACGTTGTTACAAACGAGTGTCCTGAGATTCGGCATTTTGCTTGCTACACTCTTGAAGGTAAGATAATTGATGTCTCTATAAGATGATTTATTCACATAAATATGTAACTTCTCAATGGTTGTAAGTAGATTGTTGAGAAGGATATCTGTACTGTTAACAAATTGTTCAAACATTGTATTGTGAATATGTAGTTTTGTTATCTGTTTGATCGGACACCATGTTCTTGTTAATCTAAGTAATTCATTATTTATCAATGGTTCCAAATTTAAGTATCCACTAAAAGTGGGTATAATAATTAATAAAAGTTTATTCTGTTTTTTGTGTTTATGACATCAATACTTACGAATTTATATTCATCTGTTTTATAAAAACACTATTGAATAAAGTGGTAACAATACCATATAATTGTTTGTTGACAAGAGTGATTGTCAAAGCATCACGATATGAGAAGAATGGACTCGTGTGATTGGTACACAACATCCAATAATATTGAAATATCTTTGAAATGATCAAGAAAGGTAAACGATAGTCGACATGACCACGATGGAATCTTATTGCAGGATTGTCATCAAACAATGTATTTTGTAATCTGATCTGATCATCTCTATGTTTGATAATTGCATTGACCAAGCTATCTTTATTCAAAGATTTATTCACCTTTAACTTTTTATCAATCGATATTTGATAGAGTTGATCTTTTCTCAACTTTAATAACTCTTCTTTACTCTTATTATCAACATCTAATAATAAATTCGACATTATTATTTAATTAATATAAATAATACAATTCAATAACATTGAATTGATAATAATAAAAAAAATTAGATTCATTTATGCAATTCATTGTTTGATGCTCTATTTCTTGGAAAGTTTTTACTTTTGGGATATTTTGCGAAACGAAAACAAACAATAAAAATAATTGCCTGTAGTTTTTTTTTATTGTAAAAACTATCAAGCTTTGCAGAAATTAAATGAAACAAAAATTAAAACAATATCTTAAGGAAATTTTTTATTTGAGAGAATCCAAAGAAATTTAGTTTGTTTGTTTTAACAGTTCATACAAATAATGAAAATAAGTTAACTTATTTGCCATAGAACAGGACATATGGAGAAAATCCAATATCTCTTGTCTAAATATCCAGAGTTTGCCAATCAATTGACGAAACCAAGAAAACATAGTAGATATTATATTAAAATGGACGATGTTGAAATGATTGAAATCATTTTGGAAAAGATCAACTTCCCATTGAACAATCTAAACCAATATCAACGATCAATAAAACCTAGATTCAGATTTATCAAAAAGAAAAACGATCTCAAAGAACTATCAAATTCTAACTAAATTAAATTTTGTTCTCATTTAAAACAAGTGTGCTTTATTTCTATATTATATTATTTCAATTTATATTTGTTTAACAAAATATATTTTTCTAAGGTTGTTTGTACCACTTGTAATTCTAGGATACAATTTCTGATGAGAATAATGCAATTCTATTTCTAAATTACATTTGTAAATATCAAAGTGATCGAATGCTTTTATATAGAATCGAGAATAGTTTGGTGAGATGCTGTTTTTGAATTGTCGACACAAACTAAGAAGACCCTTTGAACCCAACGATTGAGTGTTGACTTCGAGTGTTTCGATACTGATGAGTTTCTCAATGATTGGAAGCCAATGATCGATATTTCCATTCAAAGGGAAGCATAAATAAGTGACATTAAAAGATGATTCTTTGAAATATTTGAAAATGTCGGGTCTAGTTTGGTAAAAAGAGATCTTCTTCAAGTTTGGGAGTTCTAAAAGTTGTTTTGGTGATACTGGTTTATAGAAAGAGACATTGAACAATGATTTTACACCATCTCTGAAGGAAACTGGAATGTTTACTGGATCGAATCTTGGTAATTTGAATTGGTCCATTAATGGAAATTTCATGAGTGCTAACACCTCTATATTTCCGAGACGATGTCTTAACGTGTCTGTTAAATCTAATTTTTTGAGTGACTTGATTGTTGCGATTGCATTGATATGCGATTGTCTAATCCTAATAGAATCACAAACGAGTGTCTTGAGATTCGTCATTATGTTTGCTACTTTCTTGAAGATCATATAATTGATGTTTCTATCACAATTGTATATGATTGTTGCTTTATCCAAAGTAATATGTAACTTTTCAACGGATATGAGTAGATTGGTGTGAAGGATATCTGTACTGTTTACCAATGATTCTAACAGTTTGTAGTCAATATGTAATTTAATTATGTGCTTGATCGGACACCATGTCCTTGTTAATCTATTCATTTCATTGTCTATAATTGGAGGATCTCTGAAACTTAATATTAATTAAAATAAACATCTTTGAAAAAAAGATATATCTTGGAAGATTTACTTACATATTTAATTGTATTGCTTTTGAAATATTCTTCTTTTTTATAAAAATACTATTGAATAAAGTGGTAACAATACCATATAATTGTTTGTTGACAAGAGTGATTGTCAAAGCATCACGATATGAGAAGAATGGACTCGTGTGATTGGTACACAACATCCAATAATATTGAAATATCTTTGAAATGATCAAGAAAGGTAAACGATAGTCGACATGACCACGATGGAATCTGATTGCAGGATTGTCGTCGAACAATGTCTTTTGTAATCTGATCTGATCATCTCTATGTTTGATGATTGCATTGACCAAGCTATCTTTATTCAAAGATTTATTCACCTTTAACTTTTTATCAATCGATATTTGATAGAGTTGATCTTTTCTCAACTTTAACAACTCTTCTTTACTCCTAATATCAACATCTAATAATAAATTCGACATTATTATTTATTTATTATAATATATAAAAATAAAAAATACAATTCAATAACATTAAATAATAAAAGTTTGACCAATGAATTCATTCATTCAATACATTTGTTTGATGTTCTATTTCTTGGAAAAGTTTTTACTCTATTTTAAAAAACAAATTATTACTTAAAATTTATTTACTATTTTTTTATTGTACTGAAGTATGTTTGTTTGTCAGCCAACACTAAAAATAAATACCTTTCCTTTAATAACTCATTTTTTATTTGGGGTAAGCAAATATGAAAAAATTATTGAAAAGAAACTACCTTTTTAACTATTATTTAAATGAACTTAAACTGTATTATACCGATCATTCTATCTGCCTTTATTTGTATCAAACGTTTGATGCAGCAATCAAAGCTGGAAGCTTCGAGACATTGAAATATCTGCTCGATATGATCAAACCGATATCAAGATCGAGTTTCTACAAATCAATAGATTTCAGTATTATCTTAAATTATGCAGCGGAGTATGGAAGTTTGGAGAAAGTCAAATACATTTGCGAAGAACTTCAAAGAAGAGTTTGAATTACTATAATGCATTAGTGGCACCTGGAGACATTGAAATTGTCAAGTACTTGGCTGATAAACTGGAGAATTGTGGTAAACAGAGGGTAGAAAAGAATGATTTCACTATAATGAGGTAAAAAGATAATGCAGCCAAGATGGGTCGAATTGATATGATTGAGTGGTTGGCAGAACATAGATCAGAAGATAGAGAGTTTAGTAATATGTACTACGGTGCGGTTACTGGCGGACATCTCGATGTTGTTCAATACCTACTCGATATCAATGAGCCAATAAGATCTGCCCACATGAGAGTTATGGTACATTGTTTGATTGTTCAATATATTGCAATCAATTAGAAATAGCAAAAATATTGTACCAATACAACATCAGAGAATCACTTGCCACTCCAATAGATTTTGCAGCATTTGATCAAATGTGTTTGAATACAATACCATATAATTGATAATTGCACTGGCCAAGCTATCTTTATTCAAAGACTTGGTCACCTTTAACTTTTTATCAATCGATATTTGATAGAGTTGATCTTTTTTCAACTTTATCAACCCATTCTTTACTCTTATTATCAATATCATTTAAATAACATTGAATTAATAATTATTCACGTGAATTAATAAACAAAAAATAAAAACAAAAATAAAATCTCAATGTATATGTGTGCTGTTTGAAACTAAATAATCTATAACAACAACACTTCATTGCACGAATAGAGAAAATAAAAGCCCGCTTTTATTTGTTTATTGTTTTTGGTTTGGGGGTATTAATAAGTGTCCCAAAAAAAGTTCGAATAGTGGGTGAATTTTTTTGTTTTTTCATGTTTTTTGTGTTTTTTTTTGTGGTTGTCGAATCAATCTGATTGAAACTCGCGCCTGATCATGGTTCGAATAAAAGACAAATTGTTTTAAGATCATCAACAAAGAATTCTTTCAAAAAATTCACCACTCTACACACACAAAAAAACTAAAGTTGTTTAGAAGATAAACTGAAATGAAAAAAAAAAAAGCACAAAACAAATACCACCAGGTAGGTAATTTGAAGTTCTTTTTTTGTGTGACCTTAGCCAACGATCATCGTGTCTATACCCCCTATCACTGAGTTCTTCTCTACCCTAAATCTAAACAATTTCTAAGATGTTTAAAATATTTTATTTTAAAGAATAAAATTTCAGCACTTCACCCACTCACACTTTGTTTACCCTTACATTGCCCCTTTCGTATTTTTTTAAATATATAACTTTAATTTATATCTCTCCTCTATTCAATTCAATTCAATTCTATTCTATCCTTTTTTTTTTTCTTAATATTTAATTTTGTTTGAGTAATTTTAACTTAAATTATTTCAATAAACAAATTATTTGTATTTTTTTTTTTTATTTAAAAGAAAGGAAGGAAAGAAAAAGAAGAAAGGAAAAAAAAAAAAATAGAAATATAAAAACAATAAAATTGTAGAACAATGGTACCTTCTCCGGATGTAAAACAACGTGGAAACGTTAGTTCAACAACAACTTCGGTTTCATCGACAACAACTTCAACAACCCCTGAAAAATATACACCCATTATTACAGATATAGAAACCTATAAATCTCAGAATGATGCGGCCAACAAGGAGAAATTCAAGAATATCGATTGGAAAAGCAAGATAGTAAAGAGAGTTCCGAATGAATTTGGCGGTCCCCTTGGTTGTTTGCTCATTATGACATTCTCACATTTCATTGTTTTCTACTTTTTCGCCTGTCTCAATGTGAATGGTGGAGCTTTGATTCTGCCAGAGAGTTGGTCGCTCACCGGTCTCCAGGAGTGGGGATACAAGCTGTTTTCGATTCTCTATGAAAAGGCGTTCCCAACTGCCTACGCCATCCAAGTCTACTGGATTTTCCAGATTGCAAATGCCATCTTCTACGTGACGCTCCCGGGCATCGGAATCGACGGTCTACCACTGCCAACCCTGAATGGCAAGCATCTTTCCTACCACTGCAATGCGCTCTGCACCTGGTACGTAACCATCCCGCTGATGTTTGTTTTGCACATCACCGGAGTCTTCCCGCTGACCGACATCTACGACAATCTAGGACCAATTACTACTGTCGCCGTTCTCTCGTCGGATCTCATTGCCATTGCCGTCTACTTGTATGCCATCGTGTCAGGTGAAGCCGAGCAAGACAACTCTGGCAATGTTATCTACGATTTCTTCATGGGAGCATGGTTGAATCCACGCATCGGAAAGTTGGACATCAAGATGTTTGCAGAGGTGCGTGTCTCGTGGATCATGCTTTTCTTGATCACTCTTTCCTGCGCCGTCAAACAGTATGAGCAACTCGGATACGTCACATTCTCAATGGGATTCATCCTGTTGGCTCACGGAATCTACTGCAACGCCATCATGAAGGGTGAGCAGTGTATTCCACCGACCTGGGACATCTACCACGAGAAATGGGGATGGATGCTCTGCTGGTGGAATCTGGCAGGTGTTCCACTTGTCTACTGCACCCAGCCAGTCTACATCCTTACTCACCCACCCGAGATGTTGCAAGGATCGCCCCTCGTCAACGGATTCATGTTGGTACTGCTCCTCGTTGGCTACTACATTTTCGATACCGTAAACTCACAGAAGAACACTTTCCGTATGCGTTTGGCCGGCATTTGGAAGCCACGTCCCTGGGCATTCCCACAGTTGCCATGGGCAGTCCTCAGCAATCCAAAGTTCATGATTACCAAAGCCGGTTCGCCACTCCTCATCGACGGATGGTACAGTCTCGCCAGAAAGCTCCATTACACAGCCGACATGATGATGGCACTCACCTGGACAATGTCATGCGGTTACCACCACTTTATCCCACATTTCTACGCATTCTTTTTCTCTGGTATGCTCTATCACCGTTGTCTTCGTGACGAACATAAATGTGCAGAAAAATACAAACAAGATTGGGTCGAGTATTGCAAACGTGTTCAATATCGTTTCATCCCATATATTTATTAACAAAACAAAACAAAGCAGCACAGAAAGCACTGCACCAAATAATAATATCAACAAAATCACAACCTAACAATCATTAGATTATTTTCTTTAATTTCATTCTAAACACCTAATATTACAATTTTTATTCTTATCTTCACGAGATATATATTTCTATAATAATCCAACATATATATATTAATATTAATTTTCAAATAAAAGATACTTATTTAATTTTTGTTGTTATGAGAAAGAAACATAAAAAGATTGTTGTACTATTCCCATTAATTATTCTATCATATATAAATACATTTGCTCTTAAAAATGGTTGATTCTTTTTTATGAATATTTGATAGAAATGACTTATATATTCGATCATTCAACAATGACACTGATAAATTTATACATGGTTTATTAAACAAGTAAAGAAATAAAAAAAAGAATATTCAAATTGATGATTTCTTCTGGAGAATATAACTATAATAGGGATTACAAAATTAAATATTGATTGACATATTGCTCAGTATAAATAGTTGTCAATTTAAAATATGTATTCATTCAAAATATTATCTCTTAGTATAAAAGAATAAAGATAAATAAAAATGACACTTATTGGTATGTAAAAAGAAATAAACAAATAAAATATCATTAATTTAAATAATTATTAATAATCTGAAAAAATAAATAATAATCTGTAGAAAACTTAACAAGTATTGGTAATGGTGCTTCAATGGTTGAATCCATTAGTCACAGTGTAACAATGTCCGGTGGAGGTGCCAAATCATCACAAACTGGTTCACAGCTTGCCGATGTCGCCGGAACTGATGATGCCAACAGATTCGGTCGTAGATATGAATGTTACTGGTCACGTCGTTTCCATGCTTGGATCTGTAGAAGAACTCATTGGTAATACAACAAACCAATCATTATTACTGCTATATTATATTATTATTTATATTCCAACTTCTTTCATCATATATTTATAAATAAATAAAATGATGAACCTATTCCAATCTTACATTTCATCATATAATAAAAGTTGATATAGTTTATTATATTTCACCTGTTATTGTTTCAATTGTTATTGTTATTATCGTTATCGTTATTAGATCTATGTTCTTAAAATCTCTTTATATTCTGTGCTGTTGGTCTCCATTCATTACTAATTGGATGAGTTGATTCATTCTAAAAAGTAAAGAAAATAAAATATATTAGTATTATTATTATTCAAAAAATATGATAGATATAAATTATAACATACGGCTTCTTCATCTTCTTTATAAACTTTAATGGATTTATCAGCTTCACATGTAATTAAACGAGTTCCAGTACGATCGAATGCCATTGCGAAAATACCGGCTTCACTATCGAGTGAACCGGGTTGAGCTATAGTCTGTGATTTCTGGAAGCAATAACCTGTCTTCCAATCCCAGAATTGCATACTACCATTGTCACCACCAGAAACCAACACATTATCTTGATTCAACGCCAGACAATTAATGATTGCATTATGTCCCGATAGATTCTTAATAAACTGTCCCTCCGGTAATTTCCATTGTTTAATATTATCTGCACTACCAGATGCAAATGAGAATCTGCCAATTGTTGATAATAATAAGTTTGTTTAGTTTAGATTTACTATAATTATCATATGAATAACCAAGTTACATACTCTTTCTCATGCATTACCAAACCTCTTACTGATTTCTTGTGGTTGGTGAGAGTCACTGCCGATTGACCGGTCTTTAGATCCCAGAGACGAATGGTGTTGTCCATGGAACCAGAGATTACTTGGGGGTCTGGCGATTGCGAGATGAGCGATCCGACCGTTCCTTTGTGGCCGGAGAGCGTGTAGATCTCGGCTTTGGTACGCATGTCCCAGACACGGACGGTCGAGTCTTTGCCACCGGTGAAGATGATGTCGAGTGACGGGTGTAGCGCCAGCGAGTAGACACCGTTCCTGTGACCGTGATAGTGTCGGATCGGTCGATTCGCTTCGAGATCCCAGCAGATCACCTTGTTGTCCTCGCCGGCCGAGAACATATAGGGATGGCGCGCCGACAGCTGAACGGCACGCACCGGTGCAATATGATAGACCAGCGTCACCTTGAGTTCACCCGATGCCATATCCCAGACTTTGATGGTGTTATCGGTGGCACCAGTCACGAAAAACTCATTGTTCACATCGACAGAGATCGTACGCACCCAACCAGTGTGTCCGGCAACGACTCTCATCAACTTCCAAGGTGGATGCCACATCGGTTTAGTATAGCTAAGTGCAGGACCTGTCGAACCTATATTCACCAATGCTTTCTGTTGTTCTGTCATATTCATCTTCTTCACACCATTATTATTATTCGATACAACAATACTCATATTTGCATTACTATCACCAACCTTTCTTCTCTTCTCACTAATATTGTTGTTTTATAAGATAGATATTGTTGTAAGTAAGTAAGTAAAAATGATAATAAACTAAAGTATATTATAATTGTAATAATACAAACTCTTGTATATTTGGTTGAGAACTTATTATATTATCTATAGTTGTATCTTTCATTGAAATATCTTTAGATTGTACATTTGTTGTAGTTGAAGTTGTAGTTGTTGATTTAGGCGGCAGTATATCTTTAACATGTATATATTCATCGTTTATCTTTGAAAATAGTTTTATACGTTTCGAATCTAATTCATCTGTTGCACTACTATTACTATGTGCTATAGTTGCATGTACATTATTATATAATTGATTTGTGTTCTTTAATGATAATTTACAAAATTCTTTAGTCTGTATATCTATATCCATTTGTTTCTATAACTCTAATGAAACTAATGTATCATATATATATACACTCTTTGACGGTCAAACAATATTAATAAAAAGCTTGTTCAAACAGTTAAGAAAAGAAACAGTTTTTTAAAATTTTCAAATTTATTTATTTTTTATTCGACAACAATCATAGTTAACAAATCGGTAAAGTCACTTCATGAATTTTCGATAATGATAATTGTTATTTATTTAATATACAATGTTATTGGATGGTGTAATAGAATAGATAGATTAATGTTGAATAGTAGTACTAGTTTTGTCTTCTTCTTGTTGCTGTTTGTTGTCTAATAAGGTGGATATATAATTGGTGTAAATAGGATGGATGTAATCTTGATAGTGGGACTGTATATATTGTTTGTAAAACGGTAGTAGGTAATTTGTGAAATATTGAACTTCTTCATTATTATTATTGTGATTGTTGTTGTTGTTGTTATCAGATGAAGGCTGTTGTGTGTTTAGTGATTTGAGAATTTTAAAATCAAAGTTGGTGTGATTTGGTGCAATATATTTAAAGGTGTGACCCTCAGGCGAATGAAGTGTAATTCCTTTACTTATTATTTCATCTGAACTCACTACTCTCTGGTGTAGGACATTCACGTCTTCTTTACATAGGTCATAATTATTGTTGAGGGTTTCGAACTGTAATGGATCAATTCTGTGTCCTTGCTTGATATATGATAGCTCTGCCGACTTTGCACAGAAATCGTTAAGTACCACCAAAAAGAAGAATAGAACGGTCGTTGCCAATAGGAGTTTGATAAGGAACAGCATCATTGTGATTGCAAGTGAGTTGTTGTTACCACCGCTGCTGCTGCTTCTGCTACTGTTGTTGGAAACCACTGGATAGAAGTTGTCTTTGGTTATGTGACCGCCTACACGACGTGGCATCACAATGTCGTAGTTCCAATGGAATGCATTCTCTCTCAGCATATTGTCGATACGGTTGTTCAACTCTCTCGCAGTGGAGGTACTCGATACGATGTCAAGACCACACAATCTCTTAATATTATAGAGGAATGGCATATTCACTTCAATGTTTGACTCTATGTAGTTTGTCATTCCAAAGCCATCCAAATCTTCATTCGTAATAAGAATAATACCCAACTTTGGTGTAACTATTATATAATTTAAATATATATATAATTAGTTTGTTTTCGATTTATGATGATACTCATACGATTGTATTGTAATAAATATACTTACTTATTCTTCTTGGTGTTGTATTGTAAAGATAATGATTTGAATTATTGTTTTTGTTGTTGTTGTTTATATATTTTCTTTGAATACCACCTCTTAGATAGTCCAAGAGTGTCTTTATAACATTGTTGTATTTGCCATCTTTGAAAGTAATCTCTTTATTGCCACCATTGAAAGTGTTGTTTAACTTGTTTTTGTTGTTGTTGTTGTTGTTGGCATTAATAATGTTGTTATTGTTATTGTTGAAATTGATATCACCATCGAATGATAATGCTGCACCATCATCGATATCATCACCATTCATCACACACAATACAATTGATTCACTTGTGAATATTAAAAAACAAAAAACAATACATTTGTTAATAACAATTTAAAGATAACTAATTATTTTATTATTTGTAAATTTAGTGCACTTACAATTCAAATTGATTCAAATGAGCTCTCAATCTTTTCACATCTAGATGCTCATCTAACACATAATATGGGTAGAGCTTTTCTTGATCCTTTGCTTTCTCCGATCGATAGAACAAGTTATATGATACATGATCATAGACAACAAATGTTTTAGAATCCATTATTATTCTATTTTTATTTACTAGATTACTATAATATCAATTATATCTAACTATCAATATCTATTCCAAAAATAAAATAAAAAAAAAAGAATGATTCATTGTGTGTTTTTGTAAATTGTAATTTCATTTTAAACCACTTAAATTTTCAAGTTACAGATTAATTTATTTTATTTTTTAAAAAACATAAGTTTTTTTCTCATCACAACTTATATAAATAAGTTCTTGATATATTTTCCAGTTCAATTCCATGAACAATATTTTGGAAAAGAACAAATCATATACCCAATTACATTTCTTAAAATTAATTTTTCTTTATTTTTATTTATTTGTTTAAAAAATGAAATATAATCATAATAAAATAAATGACAAGTAATATAAATTTTTTTTCAATTTTTAAAAAGGATAATAGAAAAATATATGAAATTTAAATAAATATTCATAATATTAAGAATAAATATATATAAATAAAGATATTTCTTATTTAGGAATTCATTTAAAAAACAGAAAATTTCGAAAAAATCTGTTTTTTGAGTTAAAGAATTTTTCTGATTTTTTTCAGTTGCATCATCATTTTTTTTCGATGTTATCTTGATATTATTTTTTGGTTTTGGACAAAGTGTTTAAAAGTGTCTGACAAAATTTAATATCATTTAAAATTAAAACAAAAATCAATCAAACAAAAAACAATCTTATCTTTTAATAATTTATTTGTAAATAATAATAATACCAAAAAAACAAAATGAAAGAATCAATTGCCGTCTGGATCCCAATCGATACCAATGTCAACGCTGACGACTACCAAATTCCAACCATCGAGAATCAAAAGGATGCATTGATGGGATTGGTTGCACCAGCCGAGGATGACGAGGATTTGGCCAATAACAATGACGAGTCCGACGATGACAACTACTATGGAAGAAGAGGAGCAAAACAAGAGGCAGATCCAATGGAGAAACTCATCTCAAGAAGATTCAAAGAGTTTGTTGCACCATGGATTGAAATCATGAGTTTTTCACACAATGTCGCCTCTCAGGCTGGAAAGAGAGGTGATCCACACGTTGGTGAATTGACATGCACCAAATTCACTTGTGACCGTTCACCAACCTTCAACTATATGACAATGCGTGGTGAAATCATTCCACACGTTGTCTTCCGTGCCATTGGAAAGACATCGAATCGTGTCTTACCAATCATCGAGTATGAGATGCATCATGTTCAGATCACCAATGTATCGATCAGTGGTGGAGCCGGTGGAAAGCCAGTCGAAACCATGTCATTGAATGCAAAGATTATGATCATCAAGAATATTAGATTGAATTTGGAAACCGGTGAATTTGAAACCTACCAAGTTGCCAAGTGGGATCAATTGAAAGGAACCGGTTCAAAGACACTCTATTCCAACAAATCTGGTGCCAAAGGAACCAGCAAGACACTTTTGGAGATTGCCAAGAAGAGTTTGATGGTCGATTTAGATTCACACGATCCATCAACAGTTGCACTCCTCAAGGAAATGGGAATCGTCACCGAATATGAATTACCACAAGACAGTGAAGTCAGTGAAGATGATCTTTCCAACTACTGTAAAGTTTTAACTCACAAAGACCCAATTCTCTACCAAATTTTCAATGTACCAAAGCCACAAACCATTGAAAACTACAAGAAGACCATTGCCGAGACTCTCTCAATTCCAGTCGATACCATCAAAAACTTGTATAGTGGAATTACTGGTATTTTACTCAATGATGAAAAGTTCTTGAAACCAACAACCGTTTTTATTGTACAGAAATCAGATGGAAAGTTCATTGGATACAATTAAATTTAATATGTTTAATAAATATTATAAATCCATTTTTTTTTTGTAAATTAAATAACAATTTTAAAATACTAAAATTTTCTGGATAATAAAAAATTTAAAGATAAATTTGGATTTGTACTGGTTCCGAAGATGAATTTAGATTCAGCATTGAAAATATCTTCTCATCTTTCTTAATAAGGTTTAATTAGTCATTAATTTCAAACTTTAAAGGCTAAACCTTATAATACCTTATTAAAAGTTTTTAGGTTCTATATCCCTCAAATTTAATTCCATTTGATATACAAGTTCAAAAAAAAGAAAAAAATAAAAGAAATAATGTATTAAAAAAAAAAAAAAAAAAAAAGAAATCAAGTATTGAAAATTTTTATTTATTTTTTCTTTTTATTTTTTTCAATTATTATAAAGATAAATAGAAAAATATATGAAATTTACATAGATATTCATAATATTAAGAATAAATATATAAATAAAGATATTTCTTATTTAGGAATTCATTTAAAAAACAGAAAATTTCGAAAAAAATCTTTTGCCAAAGCTCAAATTTTCTGATTTTTTTCAGTTTCATCATCACCTAGATATCTCGATATTAGGTTTTTTTTTGATATCAATTTAAGTATTTAACTCGGGTTTGTCAAAAAACAATATTTAATATCATTTAAAATAATCTATCTTATCTTTAATAATTTATCTATATATAATTTGTAAAAATTTTTATCTTTTAAACTAAATAACAACAACAACAAAAATGAAAGATTCAATTGCTTTGTGGGTTCCAATCGATATCAATGTTAATGCTGAAGACTACCAAATTCCAACCATTGAAAACCAGAAGGATGCATTGATGGGATTGGTCGCACCTGCTGAAGAGGGCGAGGATTTGAATGGTGACGGATCCGATGATGACAACAACCACTTTGGAAGAAGAGGAGCAAAACAAGAGACAGATCCAATGGAGAAACTGATTTCAAAGAGATTCAAAGAGTTTGTTGCACCATGGATTGACGTCATGAGTTATTCACACAATGTCTCCTCTGAGGCTGGAAAGAGAGGTAAACCACATGTTGGTGAATTGACATGCACCAAATTCACTTGTGACCGTTCGCCAGCATTCAACTACATGTCAATGCGTGGTGAAATCATTCCACACATCATCCTACGTTTCATTTTAAAGTCATCGAATCGTGTCTTACCAATCATCGAGTATGAGATGCATCATGTCCAGATCACCAATGTATCGGTCAGTGGTGGAACCGGTGGAAAGCCAGTCGAAACACTATCATTGAATGCAAAGATCATTATCATCAAGAATATCAAACTCAATTTGGAGACTGGTGAATTTGAAACCTACCAAGTTGCCAAGTGGGATCAGTTGAAAGGAACCGGTTCAAAAACACTCTATTCCAACAAATCCGGAGCCAAAGGAACCAGCAAGACACTTTTGGAGATTGCCAAGAAGAGTTTGATGGTCGATTTAGATTCACACGATCCATCAACAGTTGCACTCCTCAAGGAAATGGGAATCGTCACCGAATATGAATTACCACAAGACAGTGCAGTCAGTGAAGAAGAACTTACCAACTACTCTAAGGTTTTAACTCACAAAGACCCAATTCTCTACCAAATCTTCAAAACACCAAAGCCACAGACCATTGAAAACTACAAGAAGACCATTGCCGAGACTCTCTCAATTCCAGTCGATACCATCAAGAACTTGTATAATGAAACCACTGGTATTTTAATCAATGAAGAAAAGTTTTTGAAAATATCAACTTCTTTTATTGTACAGAAATCAGATGGAAAGTTTGTTGGATACAACTAAATTTAATAGAATAAAATCAATATTATTAAATGCAGTGCGCCATATTAAGTATTAATAATTGAAATAAAAATAAAAATAAAAATAAAAAAGAGATAAATTTAAATCTAATCTAATTTTTTATATCACTAAAACGATACAACTAAAAACAATCTTCTCTTTAATAACAAATTAAAAATGCTAACTCTAGATTGATGCTTTTGAAAGGATTTATGTTTATCTTTGAATCAACGATTGTTTTGACCTTTCGAGAGCAGCCCACTTCCCATTTTTTTTTTTTGTTTTTTTATTTTTTTTTTCGTTTTGCAAAAAAAAAATTTTTGATCAAAACGCGCTTCATAAAAAGTGTGCACTTATCAGATTAATAATATTTGTAAATAAAATTGTAATAATAATTAATAAAAACTAAACATATATATATATCATAGATATTAGTTGTAAATAGTAATAATAATTATCAACAAAGAAATTTATTAGTAATAAAAAATTGTTAATAAATCTTTGTAGAATATAGTAGTAGAAGAAGTAGCAGTAGTAGTCTAATAATAGCAATACATTATATATAAACTTTGATTTAAAAAGAGAAGAGAATACAAACAAATTAGTAAATATCAATCCCTGATTATCAATTTATGAAATCGTTAGACAGACTATTATATATCGCCACCACTCAATACAACTGACAAAAACACCAACACTCACACACACATACATCAAAAAGAAACAAGCAATGGATTTAATACCTTAGATTTAATTGTCGTCTTGTTTTCATTCATATTCTATTCTTCCCTCTCCCATCTTCAAAACAAACAAAAAACACCTCTCTCACTCTCTCAACTCGTTTTTTATTTTTTATTACCTGTCTATTCTTTGTGAGTTGAAAAGTTGTGTGATTTTTGTTGTTGTGTGGTCACTCACTGATCACAAAGTGTTGTGATTAATTAATGTGTGCTAATGTGTGTAAACAGTGTTTGTTTGTGGTCATATTCAATAATAAAAAACAATAACATTTACAACAATATAAAGAGTATGATTACAACACTTCTCTTATGATCGTGGTGGATGGATGGAGGATTGACCTGGATTAAGATTACTACTAAATATATAAGATAATAACTATTATTGTTATTATGAGTGTTTGTTTTTTTTTTTGAATTGATATTTGACTTGTATGAAACTATTTGTTATAACAATATCCAATTGATTAATCACAATATTGTGCTGCCTTTTGTATAAAAAGGTCATTTTTGTCACCAGTCCTACTAACACTAAACAACACAACAAACATTATACAAAATTTTAAAAATAAGGGAGGGAAGAGATAACAAGTAAAAACTGATTATTCTTAATTTATACAATATTTTTTTGTTTTTAATTATTCAAGAAAACAATTAATCTATTTTTAATAATATCAATTATTTGTTGTTTATTTATTTATTTATTTATTTAAATTTTTTCAAAAAGAACAATTGTTATTACAGTAGTATTTACAAAAATAGTATGTAAATGTAAATTTAAATTTGGATTGTTAAGTTCCTTTTTATTTTATTTTTCTAGTTGGATAATCATGAAATAACAATCCAATTCTGATTTATTATTATATTAAAAATAATCTTGAGAACATAACATAAATATTATATTATAGCTTAGATTCAGGTCAGATATAGTTTTAGTTTGTTTATATTTTTGATAATTAGAATCTGAACAAACAAACATTGGAATTTCAGCAAATATGGGATTGAATTATAGATATAGATTCTATTTAAAATAATAATAATGTTTTTTTGGAAGAATATGTGATTAGATAGGACAAGAAATCACCAATCATCATACATTTTTATTGTTATCAAAGTTTATTTTATTTTCTCCCAGAAAATATCTTCTGCTTTCACATCATAAAACTAAAATCACCAACCATCTATTTATTTATTCACTCTATCTATCCATCCATTATCCACTCACTATAATTTAAATCGTTTGTTGGAGTTGACAATAAGAATGCAATAAAAATTGTCAGGTGGTTTGTTTATTCTTTGTCCTTTTGCAAAAAAAAAAAAGAATTTACAACAACACCATTGATATTAATTCAACCACATTACTCACATCACACACCACACAAACTCAATTCTTTGTACTTACTTAATCCTATAAACTAAAATAAAATAAAAAGATAATAATAAATACACCATCTAATACCAATATGAGCAAGAATTGTTTTTATTTTTTGGTATAGATTAGATTTCTTACTACTACTACTACTACTTAAATGATAAATTAAATTGATAACTTAATGCAGATTAGCAAGTTGTTGTTGACGTATTTATATTCATTTCATCAGCAGAAAATGATAAATTCTAAATTAAAATTTCAAACCAGTCCTTAAAATCATGATATGATATACACTTTTCATCATAAACATTCAAAGATATTCATCTTACACCACCCCAAAATCAATCATATGATCTCAAAGATTTATAATTATAAAATAATACACCCCGAAAACATTATAAAAATATAATCTAACAGACATATCATATCCATCCAATTTTTTCTACTTACTCGACTATCAAATTCAATGGTGTTATTGGTTTATTATTTTTTGTAGTTATTTTTCAAGACATTGTCCAATAATAATAAAATATTTTAAATAGAATTACCTTTTTTCGAAAATAGAATAAACAACAATAATCAATAACAATTACTATATATATCATATATATAAATATAATCACAAATTCATATAAATTATTTTATTTATAAAAAAAACAACTTCACCTCACTTCTCCTAACTCCATTTCAAATAATCAAATTAATTCAATTATAATTAACTTTATTTTTATTTATTTTATTAGCTTAAGTTGAATTAAATAAATTCATTGTTCTTGACCTGTGATCACACAATATTCATTTTTATAAAATGAAAAATCTAATTAAAGGAAGTTTAAATACTGGTATACAGAAATCATATGATATTGGTGCACAACTTGGAACGTATGTAAAAAAATGAAGAAAACAAAGCAAAACTGGAAATCCATATATTAATATTAATATTATTATTTTTTTCTTAGTGGTAAATTTTCAGTTGTGAAATCAGCTACTGAAAAATCGAGTGGAAAACAATGGGCTATCAAGATTATGAGAAAATCAGTGGTTGAAGAACAAAATCTAATTAAAGAGGTGGAGATCATGTTGGATATTAAACACCAAAATATTATTGCGCTCAAGGAAATCTATGAGACCGACACTGACTTGGCATTGGTGTTGGAGTTGGTGACAGGCGGTGAACTGTTCGATAAGATCGTCGAGCGAAACAGCTACACAGAGGAGGATGCATCGAAACTCGTCAACACACTGATAAAAGTGATTAGCTACCTCCACTCGAAGGACATTGTTCACTGTGATCTGAAACCGGAGAACTTGCTCTACTCTGACAACTCGGAGAACGCCGTCATAAAGTTGTGTGACTTTGGACTGTCGCAACGCTGCGCTGCGGGCGAGCAGCTGCGCTCGATGATTGGAACCGCCACATACATGGCACCGGAGATCTCTGCATTCACCGGCTATGGAAAACCAGTGGATATGTGGGCACTCGGTGTTATCATCTATATTCTGCTCTGTGGATTTCCGCCATTCGATGAAACCACCGGGTGGAATCTAGAGTTTCCGTCGCCCGAGTGGGACAACATCTCCGACTCTGCCAAAGATCTGATTAAATCGTTGTTGGTAGTCGATCCGGCAAAGCGTCTCACCGCGCAACAGGCAATGAAGAACGTCTGGATCTCTGGTGTCAACACCGGCAAACAATCGATCATCGGTACACTCAAGACACTTCGCGAATTCAACACACTGCGTCGTACCGGAACAACGATGGGTCACAACAAAACACCATCTCGCAGCAGTGTATTCGAGCTATTCCCTTCACTTACACCATCAACACCAACAACCACCAATGTAACATCAACAGCAACATCAACAAACAATGTAGAACCAACACCAACAAAGATTGAAAAGTTGGATTTCACAAAGAACTTGGAAGAGGAATCTAGATTCAACAAAACATTTGAAAATGAAAACTATAGTGATGTTGAATCACCAATTTGTAATAATAATAATAATAATAGTAATAGTAATAACAACAATAGTAATAATAATAATATTAGTAGCAGTAATAATAGTGTAGAATTAAATATAGGTGAAATACAGAATCAAAGATTAAATAGTGTTAGAATATGTAATAGTAATAGTAGCAGTAGTAGTAGTCTGCTGAAGGAGTTGGATCAAGAGACAACGGTGTTCCAAGCGATCTTGAAGAAACAGTTGATGAGTTCACTCGAGAATACCACTGCGAGTGGCGGCGATTCCTCGATGGGCGATCTCTCGTCGGATACCTCTACACTCTCTGACAATGAACGAGTGGTGTCACCGGATATGCTATCGACAGCAAGCGGTGACGGCGGTATCTTTGTCGAGTCGAACGAACGTCAAACGCTACTGGAACAACTGCGTCAAGAGCGTGAGATGAGTGCACGTCTGCGGCTAGAACTCTCAGAGGCACGTAAATCCAGCTTTAAACAACAGCCAACCGAGTCGTTCACATCGATAAACATCAACAGCAGCAGCAACAGCAATAGCTATACAGCAAGTGGTCAATTGTCATTATCGATACCACTGAGTGCAGGAGGATCGAATAACAACAGTGACAACGAAGCAACCAACAAATCCGACAAGAAAGACAAGTCAAAGTATGGAGTCGATCGAATCATTCAGGATTTGCAATCGGACATCGAGAAACTTCACTTGCCAAAGGAGACCAACGATAAACTCAACAACCTGATGCTGACCTACAGACTAAAGAATCAAGAGAAATCCGTCAAACTCCAACTCGAAAGACAGAAAGAGAAATATAAGAAATTGAAATCACAACTTAAGAAAATACAGAAATAAAGTAATGTGTAGAAACATTAGTAGTAGTAATTTATTTTAAAAATTTAAATCTTTAAATTGGTTATTTTTGTCATTTTCACAATTTTATTGGTTGTTCCGTCTAAGGGTGAATCCAACAATGACAACAATTCAATAGAACCAATCTGTGATAAACTCTGTTGGCAGTCTTGTCAAGATCACTGTCCAAAAGATTGTATTGCCAAATGTATCAAAGAGAACACCTCCGGATAAAAGAGAACTAAAAGTAATCTCTAGTGAGAGAGGGAGTGGAAAGATGGTTTTGCAATATCACCCAACAAAACAACAAAAACAACAATAAAAAATATTTCTTAGAAAAAAAGAAAGATTTTCTTAAAAAAAAAAAATGAAAATAAAAGTTTATCAGATTTATCTGATCGATCTATTATTTTATTAAAATGAAATGAATCGATTGATTTATCATAATTTAAACAAATCTGTACTTACTCACGCCAACAGTTATCGGTATCACCATTTCATACGCGCATCATCAAGTTTATCATCATTCAATAAGATGTATGTAAGCAAGCAAGCAACTTATGAATCAATGATTGTTTTGAACTTTTTTAAACTAATATCTATTGATAACGATAACTGAGGTAGTGATGATGTATCTAGCACTAACTCTAGCTCTAATAATAATGGTGGTGGTGGTGGTGAATGGAAGAAGTTGATATTCACAGATCTACATGTCTCTACAAAGACATTGGACAGATGTCTAACCGTTTTAAGAAACGTTAGAGAGTGTTCCAAGGAGAGGTCTATTAGCGATGTGGTGTTCCTCGGTGATTTCTGGCATCATCGTAATATCCTACAGGTTCGTCACATCGATAAATTGCTATTTGAATTCGAGCAGTGGCAAAAACAACGAATCAACGCTATTTTCATTCCTGGAAATCACGATCAAGTCAGTGTCGATGGTTCGGTTCACGGCATCCAATTCCTCGGTCTCTTTGACAATATCACACTGGCGACAGATCCCATCATCGATCATCACAACAGAATTGCATATCTACCTTGGCGAGAACAAAAAGAACAACAATCTAAACTATTTTCAGATCTCTACAATGATAACATTGAAAGTGGAACTACTTCTACTGCTACTTCTACTTCTACTTTGCCATGGACTGTATTTGCACATGCTGAAATAAAAGGTGCTATCTCAAACAATAGCTATAGATCTACGGGTAAAGTAACAGATATGAAAGGAATGTCAAAGTTGCGTGCTTGCTATCTTGGACACTATCATCAACGACAACAACTTGGAGTGAACACTTGGTATATCGGTAGTCCGTATCAACAGAACTTTGGGGAGATGAATCATCCACATGGAATTGCAATTGTATCGAGTGGCGATCGTATTGAACCAGAGTTTATTGAACTCGGTGAACTACCGAAACATCATAAACTCTACTATCCAGTTGACTTTATCGGTAATAAAGTAAAGGAGAACGATATAGTTGAAGTCAAAGCAACAAAAGATCAAATGAAACAACAACATTTCATTGATTCTATCAATAGCTTACCGATACTATCAGAGTTGAGAAGAGTAATGGTATCGAATGACAATGTTAACAACAACAACAACAACAGTAGTAGTGAAATAACAACAATCAAGAAAAAGTCGATAAAATCAATGTCCAGTTATAAATTTGAAGATTTCCTCGTGGAGTATGTCGAGAAGATGATACCTGAAGACGGTGCAAAGAAAGAACATTACATCAATGTCGGAAAAGATATATTGTCACATATCAAGGATCATGTTATCACACCGATTGGAAGAAATGTCAAGATCACCAAAATGGAACTCTCAAATTTTAGTGGTGTCAAAGGTGATTTCTCTGTTGATTTCAATCCCGGAATGTTTATGATCAGAGGAAAGATGGGTGTTGGCAAGAGTAGCATCTTTGAGGCCTTGGTTTGGTCATTGTATGGATCGACGTCACCGAGAAAGTCAAATGCAACATCCTCTCTGAAAGGCGATGAGGTGATCAACGACAGTGCAAAACAGACGCTGGTAAAAGTACAGTTGGAAGTCGACGGTCGTCCAATCACCATAACTCGGTCGAAGAAGAGGAATCATGGTTCGAAGATCGTAATCGATGGACTTGGCCAGGAGTATCGTCAGGGTGTCACAGCTGACGACCAACAAGCTACCATTCACAACATTGTGGGATTGGACTACGATTTGTTTAGAATGTGTGTTTACCTTGGTCAAGGTTCGATTGCCAACTTTGCTACCGATACTGACAAACGGCGAAAGGAACTATTGATTCGAGCATTCTCACTTGGAATCTGTATTCCTGCATCTAAACTTGCGAAAGAACAACGAAAGAAACAAGAGCAGAAGGTTGACGATCTAATAAGACAGAAGGATCGACTGGCAGCTTCTCTTTCCACTTGGAACTCAATTGACTACCAAGAGGAATTGGCGAATTTCAACAAAAAGAGAATGGAGAAAATCGAATATCTAGAGGATACTATCACTCAAAAGAAGAATACATTGTCAAGTCTTGTTGCTGAAAATGATAATAGCAACAACAATATCGATGAAGCGAAACAACTATCTTTGGAAGATGAGAGAATTGACTTGCAGAATGAATTGAAACATTTGGAGTATGACGCAAGACAGTACTTGGAATCATATCAAATCAGTTTGGTATCGATCAATACAAAGTTCAATAGATGTCAATTCTCAATCGATAAGAATAGAGATGAGATACGTTCATTGGAGAGTCGATTGAAGAAACTGACCAAGTCGACATCGACACCGGTGTCGTCTCATTCACACAAACAGTCAGCTGACAATCCTATGACCTGTAGTGAATGTGGACAATCAATTGACCAAACCATTCAGGACAATCAAATCGAGCAATGTAAATCAAATATAAATAGTCTGCAGAGTGATGTTGAACAATTGGAACTTGAACTAGCGACAATAGACAAAGAGAAACAACTGCTTCAAACACAGCGATTAGATTACAATAGAAATCAGAATCAAGAGAAAGCTACTGTTGAAAGACAACTGAGAGAGATAGAAACAAAGCTAAACAACACAACAACTATAAAGATTGAATACTTGAGGAAGGAAATCAAGGAGCTAGAGTATCAGCTGTCACAGATGGTTAACGATCATTCAACCAATCCGTTCATCTCACAACAAAGAATCAGAGAAACCAATATCGAAAAGTTGGAATCTGAAATCGCGACAATTGGTAACAAGCTGACCGGTGTTGAACAACCACATTTAGATACGCTCAAGTTTTGGGAAGCTGGTTTTGGTACCAATGGACTTTCAACGATTGCTCTCAACCACGTAATTGCAGAGATTGAAGACTACGCCAATGAATACATCTCTATCATGTCGGGCGGTAAGCTGTTTGTAACACTCTCGCTATCGTCCTCTACCGACGATGATCTAACTATTGATGTTTTCGAGTTGAACGCCGCTACCAATCAACTTCAGAAACGATCTTTCTACCAGTTGTCGGGTGGTCAGCGACGTTGTGTTGAGCTGGCATTCAGTCCGTTTGCACTCTCACAGGTGATCTTCAATCAGGTTGGCTCCACAGTTTCACTGATGATCATCGATGAACTGACGAACCATTTGGATCAGCAAGTGAAACCAATCATTTGTGACCTTTTAAGGCAATTGCTGAAAGAACGTGAAACCGTGGTTGTGGTGGATCACGACCAATCTGTCCAGAGTGAATTCGACACTGTTTTTAGTCTCGAGCAAGATCCTCAATCCCAACAACATAAACTTTTAGAAATTTAAAATAAAATATCTGACCAGGATAATAAAAAAAAAATCTTTTCGTTTTTGGTTTTTTTTTTTTGGGTTTTTTGGTATAAAAAACCTCTTCCAATCAAAAGACACACCAACTGCACCCCATCACTCACCCTTTTAATCTAAAATTTTTAGATAGTGTTTTTTTTTTATCAATCATTACAATTCACCTTTATTTCTTTTTTTTTTTTATAAATCAAATCTTAATCAAATCATTATTATAAAATATCATAATATTCGTCTGTCTGACATAATAATTATTATTATTTGTTATTTGATCAAAAAATAATTAGTTGTTGTTATATTTTTGGAAAATAATTATAATAATAGTTTATAGAAATGAATATTCATAAGAAAGATATTATAATTATTGGTTGTGGTTGTATAGGTTTATCGGCAGGAGTCATACTTTTAAAGACCGGAGACTATAATGTGAAAATATGGGCAAAAGATTTACCACCAAATACCACTTCCAATAAGGCTGCTGCACTGTGGTATCCATTCTTGTCGGAACCTCTAGATAAAGTAGGAAGATGGTCACAGGAAACAATGGATTACTTCAAGAAAGAGATCATTCCACTCGGTGTCGAAAAGACTGGAACTCTCACTAAAAAGGTCTACGAATTGTATCGTACTCCTCGAGCCCAGCTGCCAGAGTGGAGTCCATTCGTACCGTCGTTCAGAAGAATGAAGAAAGAAGAGATGCTCGACGGTTACATCGATGGTTTCACAGTGGAAGATGGATTCGTAATGGATACCGATCAATATATGGATTGGCTCGTAGAGTCTTTCAAAGCACTCGGAGGATCGATCGACCAACGTGAAGTCGTAGATATTCGTGAACCGTTTATCTATGCCGATATCGTAATCAATTGTTCTGGACTTGGTGCACGTGAATTGATTGGAGATCGTCTTGTCTATCCATCTCGTGGACAGATCATCGTTGTTGATAACACACGTGATATTTCACTTATGGATGAAGAAGATGGTAAATATAAATATCAATATATCCACAATATTTAAATAACAAACTAACCAACCAACTAACTTACTCTCTTTTTGATAATTAGAATATCAACTTGGATATGTTATTCCAAGAGTACACAACTCAGTTTTGGGAGGAACCAATCAACAACATAACTATAACTTGGAACCATCCAAAAAGGATACAGAAGAGATTTTAGATAGAGTAGCAAAGATTTCACCACAATTTGAAAGAGTAAGTATCTTGATTATTAAATAGCTATATAATAATATATATTAACACTTTATAATTCTAGAAAAATCTAAAGATTCTAGGTGAAAAAGTTGGACTTCGTCCATCTAGATATTCAATTAGATTGGAGAATGAATTCATGCAAGACGGTAGAAAACTGTTGGTACACAACTATGGACATGGTGGAAGTGGATTTACCGTTAGTTGGGGTTGTGCTCTCGATACTTTGAAATTGGTTCGTAAAGGTGCTGATAAACTTAAAACCAGTAATAAAAGTGACGTACCTTGGTACAGTCTACTTAATAAAAGTAAACTATAGAATCAAATAAATCGATTAAAATAAAAGAATTATAATTATTTAAAACAAATAATTTCTTTTTTTTTTTTTTTTGTTTTTTTTTTATTATTTTATAAAGTTATATTCAAGTTATGTACAATGATAAATAATATAGTATTATTAATTAACTTAATACTATATTTTAAAAGGGAGAAGTAGTAGTAGTTGTAGTTTTGTCAATGATTAGATTAACATAATATATACAGAGTAAGAGTTGTTATTTGGTGAGTGAATGGAGAATGAATGGAAGAATGAATGATGGTTTTTATACATCTAAGCTTGTCCTGAACCAGTTTTTAATTTTTCTTGTTCTTGTAATCTAGATAGTGTTTAAGAAAATTGATAATAAATATTAATATTAAAGTTAACATTTTATATATATTAAAATTTTGTTTTATTTAACACTTACAATATCTCATCATCATATTTTGTTCTTTCATAGGTTGGACGTTTGTAATCTGGGATAATTGGATTTTGAACTACATGATTGACAGAATGGTAGTTACCTGATACCTTTCCTCCATTGACACCCAACTTTGTAGAGTCTTCGAATGACTTGGTTTTTTGGAGTGGTGCTTTGTTGGTAAATTGTTTTCTTTGCTCTACTCCCGATTGCTTTAGACTGTCATTTCCCAACATATTTCCCCACCAGATTTTCCAGTCTGCATTCCAAGCTCCCCAACCATAGTTTTGTTTTTGTTCTGAGGATTGCATTTTATTGATATTTTAAAATATTTTTTTAATAATTAATTAAATAAATAAATAAAAAGATAAAAGAATAAATTAAAAAAAGAGAAATCCAAATTAAATGAATAAATTATAATTTGAAATAATTAATTGAAGGTATTAATAATTGATTTTGATTTGTGACTTATTTGTGTTTAAAATGACAATTGCTAGCAGTAAGTTAGTGGTAATAAATAAAATTAAATGGTTATTATTATTTTTAATTAATAAATGTTTTTGCTTTAATTATTATTATTGTTGCTTGTTGTTGATTTTCAATAAAATAGGAATTTGAAGTTATTGTGTGGTACGACAGGATGTTAGTAATGGGTAAAATAATCCAAACAACAACAACTCAAGCAGTATAAATATAATTATCTTCTTCTTTTTTCCAAAGCTCTGGAAACAACCACAATTCATTCAATTTAAGATAAATGTGTGTGTGTGTTAATATAAATTCTTTTTTTTTTTTTTTTTCAATTTTTTTATTTTCCTTTTTAAGAGATCTTTACAAAAGTAAACAAATCTTTGGATTTAAACAAGGTTTTATTTTTATTTTTCTGGATTTATCATTTTTTGTTTCTAGAAATCTAGATTAATTAATTTCTAGAACTAAATATCTATCTCTCAAATTTATTGGTATTCTTAACTCATTTGTTGGTTTTTATTTATTTTTTAATTTAAACTTTTTTTGGTCACAACCTTTTTTTTGCAAACACTTACTTTTTTTTTTTTTTTTCACACCCAACAACAACATACACACACACATAAATATGATCATCTTTTTTTTTATTTGTTTTGTTTTTTGTGCCAAAGGTGATTGATTAATATCAGCTATTGATTTTAATTCAGTAGTGTATAAAAAATCATATGAATCATCGATAACTGTTATGTTTTGTTACATATGATATTACTGGTGGTGTAAGAATGCATAGCGACACATACAGATATGTTTTTAAAGTGAACAACACTGAGAAATCATATAAATAATCAATGCAATAATCTATCTGATACTCATTGTCATTGCTTGCTGATTATTATTATTAAAATACATTACGTAAATCAATCATTATTATTTTTTTTATATATAGTTTATTCATTCTTTAGTTTCTAAATAATAATATTAATAATAATTAAACAATAATAATAAATATAACCAAAAAAGTAATAATATATATAAATTAGAAACAAAATAAAAAAAAGAAAAGAAAAGAAAAAGAAAAAAAATAAAAAAAAAAGAAAAAAAAAGAATGAAAAGAAATAATATTATTTTCATTCTTATTCTTTTTATTTCTTTCTCTTTTATATCTTTTGGATATGAGGTAAATATAATGTATTTCATTCATTTGTTGAATAATGATTTTTAAATTGTTGTTAAAATTGTTGTTATTATTATTCAGACTGCTGTGGAGAAAGAAAATCAAGAATTGAAAAATCAATTGACCGAGGAAATTCTTGAACATCATGCACACTTGAATAATGTTGAGAGTACTCATTTGAAATCGAACAAAGAAGAGCTTCTCGATGAAATTAAAGCAGCTCATCACACTGAAAAGGATGAACGATCCATTTTGAATACGATTCAAGATTCCGTTCTCGAGTTTCTCAATAGCCACAAGAATCTGCATGCCAATGACTGTGATAAAGACAGCGATGACCAGAAGCATCAGAGTGTTGAAACACCGACGAAAAACCCATTGGAGCAGTTCCTCTCTGAGGTGAAATCTCGACCACCACCACTACCATTTTGGCCTAAACCACTACCCGTCGACAATACTCTCTCAGAGCCAGTGAAACCGCGACCCAATCCAACATTCTCTATCCCACCGTTTTGGAATATTGCTCAACCTCGTGCTATTCCACCACAGATCTCGCTGGACCTTCCAACATCGCCACCCTTTGTCAGCATTCCAAAACCTCAGCCTCAACAACCTCATTCCATTCCATCAGTTTGGGATATAAACAATCCAAATATTCCTCGCTACTCTCCACCACCACCATTTTGGAATATTCTGAATCCTCTGGATCTCATTTTGAATTCGCCACCACAGAATCCAAGCGCTAATCTACCGGTGATTCCAAAACCCACTGCTCCTGTTGCTTCTGAAGAACCCTGTGAAAAACCAAAAACCTCTCCAGTGGAACAACAACCACAACACCCACCACCTCCACTTCCAAGACCTCCCTACTTACCTCCACCGTTCTGGAACACTCCAAGACCAGTCCCCCCACAACAAGCATCACCAAAGTCCAGTCTGGAATTCCTCTTCCCCGGTCTTCAAAATGCGATGAGCCAAGCCGACAATCAAAACCCATCGTTTATCAATCCATACAAAGCATGGTTCGCTCAGGCCCCAGTACATATCACCGTCAAACCAATTACATTCCAAGGAATACCACCATATTTAGGAAGTCTCAAATCTGAGGTCATACAACAAGAAGAACTACCAAAAGTTGACAGCTTCTTGGCATTGGTTCTCGGTGTCGGCAAAAACAAGAACCCAGAACCAGTCGATTACCTTTTATCGTTCATTCAGTGTCTTCAGCAACCAATCAATCCAAATGACATCTATAATGTACTGAATACCTATCTAGACACATTACCAACTTCAAATCATACTTCAGCAGAGCCAACTGGACCAGAAAGCTACATTGATTTGATTTTACAGGGTATGATAACAGGAGAAGCACCAAAACAAGTGATTTTCAAGATTATCAATGCCTATTTGGTAAAGATGGCTGCGCCTCTAAAAGATAATCCAGTGTACAAGTTCTTTGTTGAATTCTATAATTTCCTACAAAGTATTCCAACAATTCCATTGCCACCTCCACTTCCAAAAGGTTTTGATCCTGATTGGTTGGTACCAACACCGATTCCAGAATATCTTAAACCTCCAACAACTCCAGGACCAACTCCCTCGCCAACTCCATCACCAACTCCATCGCCAACTCCATCACCAACTCCATTGCCAACTAAACAACCGCCTACTCCAACACCTACACAAACTCAAAAACCAAACACTGACCCATCGAAAATACCGCCATTCATTCCAGCTTTGATTATTTCACAATTTCTTAGACCACGTCCTCCAAAACCAAACATTCCACCATTCATTCCGGGCTTGATTCCACCACCCTACCATCCAATACCACCATTCGTTCCAGGTATTATTCCTCCTAAAAACCACGGAATACCATCATCATTGATTCCAGGTTTGATTATTTCACAATTTCTTAAATCACATGGCGGCCAGAGTCCACCACCTCCAAAACCTAGTCCAAAACCAATTATTGATCCATCAGACATTCCTTCATTCATTCCAAGATTAAATATTCCAGATGATCTTAAACCTCATGAGACCTCACCAATTAAACCACCAACACCAACACCAATACGACCAACCGACAAACCATCCATTCTTCCAGGTGAATTACCACACTACACACTACCACCATACGTTGGTCCAACCGACAAACCATCCATTCTTCCGGGTGTATTGCCACATGAAAACACACTACCACCAATCACTCCAGGTACAATCCCTCCAACTAATAACAGAATACCACCATTCACTCCAGGCATAATACCTCCAACTAACAACAGAATACCACCGTTCATTCCAGGTTTGATTCCACCAACTAACAACAACAGAATACCACCATTCATTCCAGGCATAATACCTCCAACAAACTACAGAATACCACCGTTCATTCCAGGTTTGATCCCACCAACCAACAACAGAATACCTGGCTTTAGACCACCATTCACTTCACCAGCTGACAACAGAATACCACCATTCATTCCAGGATTGATCCCACCACCAATCTACAACCATAATTTTGGATCACCATATCAACGTCCATCATTCACCTCACCCACCACATCATTCTCAAGATTAAACTTTTTTCGAGGAAACCTTAACTCACCACCTTTATTTCCACAAATCCCTCATTTTCAAACACTAAATCAACAACATTTCAATGGACCAAACAATTTTTTTTCGTGGAAATCCACAAAACCCAATAGGTAGCAGACCCACTTGGAATCCACCACCTTTTTTTCCACAAATCCCTCCATTTCTAGGCCAAACTCCAGCTGAAAGACCTCATAGTCAAATACCTTTGTCACAGTTAGCAAATGAAATCGCTAGTCAAATCGGACGATTACCACACAACCAAATACCTCTTTCTCAATTGGCCAATGACATTGGTAGTCATATCAATATAGATGGCATAGATATTATTGAAGATAAAGTGGATGACGTAAGAAATATATTGGTGAGCTGGATTGACCATGAACTACGTCAAGAAACAAGTCAGTCAACAACAACCAGTGCTTCTCATTCAACAACTACCACAGCAGCATCATCTTCTACTACCACTTCGTCTACCTCTTCATCCACCACCACCGGATCTGCAACCACTACAACAGGTTCTACAACAATGACAACACCGTGTCCTGAAACTCTACCCCCAATAACAAAACCACCTGAGGTCTTCACAACAATGACAATGGGTCCAACTATTCAACCACTACCACTACAAACATCTGCCCATGCGGGTCATGTGCAAAAAATAATAGATTGTTGAAAATTAATCATAATATTATTATTTAAATCAATAACATTTTTTTTTCAATCATGATTCAGATTTTTCACTGATTTTTGCCAAGAAAAATATATCAAAAAAATAAAAAATATAAAATTAATCAAAACCCACCTAAATCATTAAAACAAGTTTGTTTTTTTTTTTATGCTTTTGGACTATTTTTTAGCAGGTTGTTTGAAAAACAGTCTCAAACTCCAGATGAATCTTTGAAAACAACACTAACCCCCAGAATTAGAAAAACTAATCAAATATCTAATTTTTTCTCAGGTGGTGTGTGTGAAATCTTGTTAAACTGAAAAAAAAATAAATAAAAAAATAAGTGATTTTAATAAAAAATCAGGCTTTAAAAAGAGGAATTTACATCATCATCAAATCATTTTCATAATATTACAATTTATTAAATATACACACACATAAAGAATGACTACCGATAGACTCAACAATGATGTGACTATTTACTCAAATAGTCAAACCAACTTTATCCATAACAATGGTTTCTACTTGGTCATGCAAGCCGACGGTAACTTGGTTGTCTACAGAGGTAACATGCACAGCTCATCATGTGCTACCTGGTCATCTGCCACCAACGGTAAGGGTCACGGTCCATTCCGTTTAATCCAACAAGTAAGTAATTAAATCAAGTTTGTTAGTATCACATGACAAAATTTCTAACTTGATTTTCTTCTTTTTTCTATTCTTCTTTTTCCTTTTCCTTTTTCTTTTTTCATAATTATTATTATTATTTTAAAGGCTGATGGTAACTTGGTTGTCTATGATAGCCACAACCACCCAACCTGGAGTTCAGCCACCCACAACCGTGGTCACGGTCCATACGTCACCTATTTGTCACCAGCCGGTAACTTCCACGTTGTCGACTCACACAGCGAGTGTCTCTGGAGCTCCGGTGGTCACACCCCAACTTTGCACGTTCCAGGTCATGGTCGTCATCATCACCCACACCACGGACGTCAATTCCATAACGGTGACCACGTCCACTCTGAGTACTCCCTCTACTCATACAGCAACAACGCCTTGTACAACGGTGACTACTTCTTGGTCATGCAAGACGATGGTAACTTGGTTGTCTACCACACTTTGAACTGGATTCCACAAAACGCCGTCTGGAGCACCGCCACCCACAACAAGGGTCACGGTCCATACCGTTTCACCATGCAACACGATGGTAACCCAGTCGTCTACGACAGCCACAACCACCCATTGTGGGCCGCCGGTACAAATGGACAAGGACACGGTCCATACAAGTTCCACCTCCACTCCAACGGTAACCTCACCCTCAATGACTCACACCACCGTCAACTCTGGTCATCAAACTCTGGTCGTCATTAAATCATTCAAATAAAAATGTGTAATTGAAATGTTGTATTAAAAATTTAAAATGAGTTTTGAATACAAATCAAGTTAAAGTGAAAAAGAAAGAAAGTGAAAGAGAAAAAGAGACAGAGAGATAGTGAAAAAGGCACAACAACAAAGATGAAAAAATTAGGCAATAGAGTTTGGACACGTCACAGGATTGGGATGTGAAAAGAGAATAGTAAAATCAATAGATCTGACATTGTTTAAATTACAATAGTGGAAGTATAAAAATAGTCATTCAAGATGAAGTTGATGAAATTTTAATTTAGATCACAGTCTCATAATAATAAAATTATAACTATATTAATTAAGGTGATTTTATTTAAATATTCACATCTTGTACTTCTACCGGAAGAACTTGAAGTGTTTCTTTCCATAATCTTTCTAATAAAGCTTGACCTTCTTCGCCATCTAATAAAGAATTTACTTTTGCTGGTTTACAAGAAGAAAAATAGATACCATTTTCAATTCCACTCTCAACACCGTAATCGACACTGGTTGCAGCTAAAATAGTTGTTTTTGATCCTTCCTCTGGTGTTCTTGCAATAATATAACTTAAAACTGTATTGAGTGTCTTGAAAGCAAGTTTAGACAACCATGATTTATCATCTTTTAAACCGAGGTCTGAAGTTACCATTCCAGGGTTGATAGAGTAGACCGAAATCTTTTTATCCTCTGCTTGGTTTGAATCTTGAAGGTGTTTCGCCAGACTCTTTGTAAACATAACATTCATCAACTTTGATATCGAGTATCTATCGAATCCAACTATCAAATTTGGGTCATCCATTGCCTTGATAATATTGGGTTTATCTTTTACTGAAAAGTTGGTCCAAAGATGAACTTCCGATGCCAAATTAATGATTCTTGGATAAACATTATTCTCAAGTGCAGTCTTTCTTATCACTGGCAGCAGTAGCAATGTCAATAAAGTAGTTCCAAGATGATTGGTTGCATACATTGTTTCATGTCCATCCTTTGTCAATGAGAAAGGCATGTTTCCTCCGAGACCTGCATTGTTTATCAGTATGTGAAGTGGAAGTGAAGAATCTTGATATCTCTTTACAAATGATTTAATTGATTCAAACGAAGAAATATCTAATTGCCACGCCTCAATAGCTACACCATTATCATTTTGTAGTTTGGAGATAGCCTCTTTAGCTTTCTCCATATTTCTACAAGCCATAACTATTCTATCTGGGTTCATCTTCAGAAGATGTTGAACAGTTGCAAAGCCAATTCCAATATTGCTTCCAGTGACAATGATCACCTTGCCTTTTAGATCAACTGGATTAAAATGAAGTTTAGCGTATTGGTCAACGAAAAATTGTTTAATTGTTTCCATTATTATTATAATATTTAATTTATTTAAATTTAGAAATAAGAAAAAAAAAAATATAAATTAAGATTTTATTTAAAGTATAAGTGTTATTTGAATATTATTATTTTGATGGTTTAAATCATTTGAAATAACAATTATATATACTTTTTTGAATGACCTAAACCGTCGAATCAGATTCACCAGGATAAAAAAAAACCATCAAAATTAAACCTCTTCAAAGAATAAAGTGTGGGTTAAAAAAAATTAATTAACTATTTTAAAAATTAAATAATTATTACATCAGGCAGCCCACAAATTTATTCATACACAGGATTGTACAATGATAAATGAACATCACCCTTTTTTCATTTTTTAAACTATAAATCTTGAGTAGAGTTAATTAATTAGAGTTATTTATTATCTTTTTTCAATAGAATAAGAAGTAAAGATAATGATAAAGTTAGACCAAAATTCACTTCTGATTAAAAAGATCAAGTGTAGATGAGTCAATATCTTAAGAAATATACATATGATACAGGAATTTTCATTATACTTTTTTTAATTTAATATCATGTAAATATCATAATATTATATGATTAATTTTATTGAATCTGAAAGAAGATTAGCATTCTAAACAGTTTCACCAGCATCATGATCGCAAACCAGATGACTGATAAATCCTCTCTACGACAGTCACAACTAGCTTTTGTGGGATACTGGAACCAAATGTTAAGAGTCTATACAAATTCTACCTCTACTCGAACGGTAACCTCACCCTCAATGTCTCACACCCGTCAACTCTTTTCATCAAACTCTGGTCGTCAATAAAATATATTTTGTAATAAACTGGATATTTAATAATATTTTAATTATGTATGCAAATACATGTAATCTAAAAATAACAACAAGTCTATTATCTTTTTTTTATTGTTTGTTTTATTTTATTTGATTGTTTTATTTAATACATATTTCTTCTCTAATGAAAATGTTGATTTTCTTTGTAATACTCTGTGTGGTGTTCTCGATAGCCAATCGAAAGATTTATCTAAACCTTCGCCAGTCATTGCAACAGTCTTTTGTATATGCCAAGCTCTATTCTTACAGATGGAATGTAGATTTAATTGTTGAGTGAGTTCTGCAATACTCAGGGAGTTTGGTTCATCTTGTTTATTCGCCATGATCAACAAGGGTGTATTTGCAAGGTTCGGCTCATCTAAAATGATTTTCAATTCGATTGCCACGTCTGCCAATCTCTCGCGGTCCGACGAATCCAAAACAAAAATGATTGCATTCGAAGTCTTCATATATTTTTTCCAGAGTAGCTTTGTTGAATCCACACCACAAACATCGTAAATCGTAAAACTATCATTTTTCATCTCTATTGTTTCTATATTTATTCCGATTGTTGGAATTGTTTCTATAATACATCCTAATTTTAATTTATATAGTATAGTTGTTTTTCCTAAAATAAAAATATAAAGATTAATATACATAAAACAAATTTGTTTAATATCTATTTATTTACCTGAATAATCAAGTCCAACCATTACAACTTTTAAAGATTTTTTCGAGTGAAATAAATTACCGACTTTATTTAATGATTTAAGTATTGTCATTCTTTAAGTTTTAGTTTCTTTTCTTTAAGAAACATATAAACATATAAAATATTTATAAAACTAAAAAAGGGAATGATTATAATATTTATTGTAATTAATTTACAACAGTTTGTAACTTATAAACAATACAATTACCAATAACTAACTGATCAATTAATTGTTCTTTTTGTTTTATTCAGATTGTGAAACAAAAACTCGATAGGATAATTATTTATTTGGTAAAAGAAAAAAATTCCAATATAATTAGTATAATCATCAGATTACCAAAAGGTAAATAATTGAAATCTATACAAAACTTTATGAAATTTGAATAATGTTTGCGTTTCTTTGGTACCTGTATACCATATATATTAGTTATGGTTGATTGAAATCAAATCACCTATACACACACACTAATCACACACTAATCACACGCATAAAAACACACAGAACCTTCACTCACCAAATAATCAATAACCAACACACTTAAGGTTAAACTATCAAAACAAGCATGTTTGACAATAATACAATAACAACAACAACAAAAGTCAATTGTTTTTTACTATTGGCGCTCGGGGTTGTTCAAATTGAATGAAATAATTAAATATAATCAATCAATAAATTACTCTACATAATATTCTCAACTACAAACTCTGCTTACCATTATCAACAATCTATTCATACCATCAGTATTGATTCAGTTAAAAAAATAACTGAATGGTAAAAATAGGAATTTTAATATGAATGGAGAACAACTATAGAAATTCCCATATAAATGTAGCTCCAAAAATACCAGCGCTCAACTTTATTTATATGAGAGATATCATACAAGATTGTTATAATTGGTTTCATTTCAAACCAAACCATAATAAATACTGTTATGATAATCAACTTTTGATATTGTTGTTGTTGTTGTTGAGATTGATTGTTACCTGTGTGTTGTGAATGGATGTGGGTGAGTGAGTGTTTTTGTTCCAATGACATTAATATTTGTTATTTTATAAGAATACTATTGTTGACTTTGCATGCAATCTCATTTGAAATGGTTGCAACGTTAATAAAAATTAAATTATTCATAAAATAAATTAATGATAATAAAAAAATAAAATAATAAATAAAAATATAGTTAGAGTAACGTTCGTTCAAAGTATCTTTACCACCCTTTTCCAACTTTAGTCTTGCTCGTACACTGCAGTGATGGCATACTTGTAATAGCTCGGCTCTAAACAATTTTGTAAGACCTACAATTACTTAGAAACAGGTGACAAGCCTGTTCAGGAGTATATAATCATAATCATAGTTTGGACAATAATATTAACAGAGGTAACACAAACACAACAATAGATGTAGATACATTTGATGATGATAATTTAGTTGATGAAGATAGAGATGATTATTATTCAAATGAGATAATGGATCAAGATATTCAGACCATTGACACAGACATTTTAGATACAGCACAACAAAATAATGCAGCTAAGAAATCAATACTGTCTTGGCCACACGAAATTAGCATGAAATTAATGGTGGTGATTGAGTCAAATCAATCATTGTATATTTATTATTTTCCATTGATTTAATTATTTGAAATAATTAAAACTTAGCAACAATTAAATGATTTGAGAAGAAGTGATGGTGGTGATGAACATACCGCCAATAGAAGTATCAACCACGCAAAGGAAAAAGAAAAGTAGAGAGACAAGACAGGCTCAATGTCCTGGCTGATCTGGTCACCAAAGAGATCAGGTTTCGAGCCGAACTATTACAAGTATGACAGAGTTGAAACAAATAGTAATCGATTTTTAATTTCTTTTTAAAATAAAATAAATAAAATTTTTTTGAAATAAAACAAAATTGGTATTTGCTCTATTCTTTTTTACAATAGTTGTAAAAGGTAACGTTCAATATTATTCATTTTTTCTCAAAGGTTTTTTGTTCAATCAATCGATTGAAAAAAATTAATAAAAAATTAAAAAAAAATGAAATTTTTTTTTCAAAAAAAAAACTATTGTTTTATTTTATTTTATTTTTTTTTTTGAGTGATAATACAGCTGTTGTTTGTTCAAATCTATAGCTTCATCGCTTTAAAAAAGAATAACAAAAAAATGGAACACGATTTAACAAAGAAGATATGTAGCTTCTTGGATGCTCATTTAATGCTCCAATTAGTCGATTTCCTCAAGGTATAGATCAAAAAAAAACAACAACAACAACAATATCATCAAGATCAAGATCAACATCAACATCGACAAGAAATTGAAGAATAACAGTGCACAGACATTATAATAGCTTAGTTGTAGTTGTTGTTGATTGTTTTATTGTTGGTATATATAATAGTAGAGAATATAGAATTAATACAAAAAACAAAACAAATCATATTATTATAGGGTTATTCAGAGGAAGATATCAATCGTGCTAAAGCTGATATTCTTGCACAGACTGGATGTTGCGATTATGCTATCACTGTTTATCAATCGATCGGAAGAGATATTGCACCATTGCAAGAGAAGAAACAAAAGTTGGTCGAACAATTGGCACAATTGAAGGAGGCATGTCAAGTGGTAACTCAATATATCGAAGCAAAGAAGGAGCAACATCAACAAACTGTTGCTGCTGCTGCCGCTGCTGCCGCCGCCGCCGCTGCTTCTACCACTACCACCAGCACCACCGCTGCCAGCACCACCACTCCAGCAATCAAAGATGAGGAAGCTGAAGAATCAACTCCAGCCACAACCACAGCTGCTCCACAAAAATCCGAATTAACATTTGGTAGTTTGAGAGAGAAAGTAAGTGTTTTAAGTTTAGTATATATAGATATATATAGATATAGGTTAGATATAGTTAGATATTGTTAACTAACATCAACAATTATAAATGTTAATATAGGTAACACCAGAGATTGTTGAATCATTATATAGATACGCTAAATTGTTGTTTGAAACAGGACAATACAAGAACGCTAGAGAATATTTGGATATCTACGTAAAGTTGTCACATGATAGACAAAAGCAATTCAGTGCTTCATGGGGTATCTTGGAAGCTGATATCTTGAGTTCAAATTGGGCTGGTGCCGTTGCCGATATTCCACAAATCAAGGAAGAGATTGATTCCAACCATGTATGTATTCAAATTGAAGATTAGATAATATATATATATATATATATAGCAAAAGTAAAGGTCATTTTGATTTTAATCTTTGACGATATCCATTTTAGAATCTTACACCAGTTCAACAATTACACCAAAGAGCATGGTTAATTCACAGAAGTTTATTTGTTTATTTCAACCAACCAGATAGCAGAGCTTTATTAGTTGATTTATTATTAGATGACAAGTAAGTAGTTGTAGTAGTATTTAGTTAGTTGGTGGATTGGAGGAATGCAATAAATTAAAATGCTAACTTATCTTTTTATTATTATTATTATTATTATTTATTTAAATAAATTATTATTATAGATACTTGAATGCTATTCAAACCATTTGCCCACATGTATTAAGATATTTGGCAGTTGCAATCATCACAAACAGAAGAAAACCACAACAACTCTATCAATTGGTCAAGGTTATCGAACAAGAGGCCTACACCTATAAGGATCCAATCACCATCTTTGTTTCAAGCCTCTACGTCCGTTTCAACTTTGAAGAGTCACAACAATACCTTGCACAATGCGAACAGGTACTGAAGCAAGACTTCTTTTTGTCGTCGTGCTACGATGACTTTATGGAACATGCTCGTGCCTGCATCTTTGAGACCTATTGTAATATTCATGAAAATATTGATATTGAGTAAGTTATTATCATTTAAACTAAATCAACGATTAGATTATTAACCAGTTTAAACTATTATCATTATCATTATCATCTTATCATTATCATTATTAGTATGTTATGTAAGAATTTGGGTATTGCACCAGAAAACTCTGAGAAATGGATCGTCGAAGCAATTAGAAACGCTAGATTTGTTGCAAAGATCGACTCTGCCAACAATCAAATTAAAATGTTTTCACAACACACTAACGCCTACCGTCAAGTGATGGACAAGACTAAGGGATTGTTCAATCGTGGTATCGAAATTTTGGTGGGTATCAACGACTCTAGAACCCAAAACGCCAGAAGAAACGCAGGTGACAGAAACAAGGGACAAAGAAGACCAAATAACAAACAACAACAACAACAAGCCAATGCCACCGGTGCTGCCACCCCAGCACAATCAACAGAGGCTACTGCTACCGCTGCCGCTGCTGTCACTACTGCCTCCACCCCAGTATCTGTTTAAATAAACGTTGTTTTAGTGCTCCTGTTCCTTAAAACACCAAACCAAACAATACAAAACCCAACCCAAATCAAACCAAACCAAACCAAACCATATCACCTCACCAATCAATCATTCGACTCGAAAAAATAAACACAAAAAAAAAAATAATATATTTACAATAAAACTAATTATTTTGTAATAAGATAGTTAGATAGAAGAAACTAAATAACACGTGTTTTTTGCAAATTATTTATACATTGATTGACGTACATGACGGATCATAATTGCAATGATCGTTGCAATGGTGATTGACCTCCAAACAACAAATTTTATGAAAATTTTAATTTAATGTTTGATGATGTTCACACAAAACAAAACTATTTAAAATTAAACTCTACAATTTCTTAAATATATATATATAAGTAGATATGATAAAATCTACAATATCAACATTACCAAAACAATATTTTGGTTTATTAAATAATAATGTTGGTTATAGATCTATAGGATCAATTAATTTACCTATTAGATCTATACAACAACAACAACAACAACAACAATATAACAACCAATTGAATCAACATCACCGTTCTTCACCAATTCTAAATAATAATTTAAATCAAAGTCAAAGTTATAATAGTACATCTTTATTCATAAATAATAACAATAACAATAACAATAATTTAATAATTCAAAAAAGAAATGTATCAACATGGGGTATTAGGGTAAGTAGTAGTCTTTGCTTTACTATTTAAATAGGCTAGTTAACTAATTATTATTAACAAACAATCTTTTCGATCTTGTATATATATATAGTTTTTACTTGGATTCTCTGTTGTTGGATTTATGTTCTTTATGAGAAGATGGACACCAAGACAGATGAAACGTATTATAAAGACATTCAAAGAGAAACATGCATACGAACAGTATCTACCAGAGGTATATAAAATGTCATTCGATCGTATCAAAGAGGAACGCTATCTGTCGTCGTTCTTGGCGTCACCACCTATTGGACCGGTATGTATTGTCGGTCCAGATGGCTGTGGTAAATCACATATTATCAAACGTGTCATTTCGGCACGCTCCATGTCGGTACTGGTCGATATGAGACAGAACGCCGTTATGAGTGGTGATGAACTACTCTTACAATTCGTAAAGAAACTTGGATATCTTTTGCCATCCGATGATTTAATTTCATCTCTATTCTTAAAAGCTGATAAAAAACAATGTAAGTAAAGTTGTTGTTTGTTTGTTGTTATTATAGTGTATGATAAAACTTACACTTTTTGTTTAACTTAGTGATCAATGTTAAAGAAATTGTACAAGGATTGGAAACCATTTTTCTTTCACTTTTGAAAATGAAAGAACAATATAAAGAGATACCTTTAATAGTTATTACAAATATAGAGGCATTACCAACAGTAAGTTATATAATACCTTTTAAATCGGATCTAGTATTTTATATGGTAAATCAAATTATTAACTATAACCGATTTGATCGATCAATGATTGGCAGTCTGATAACTTTACTAGATTTTTAGATTGGTGTATATCAGTTACTGATAACAAGTTGGCCAATATTGTATTTTTAACATCATCCCAATTCGTTCATTTTCATTTAGATTCAAGTAAGCAATATATATATATATTTAATATATTTAAAGATGTAGATTTGATTTATTCTAACATTACTACTCCTTTTCTCTACAATTATAATATAAAGATTATAGTTTTAAGAAAAGAAGATTTTTATATAATATACCATATCCATCGGTAGAGGATGTAAAGAAATATTTAACAAGTATTTTGATAAAGAGCAATGATGAATCCTCTGCAAATGGTGATAATAATGGAAATGTTGGAAAATCAACAACATCTAGTGGTTCAATTTCATTCTACAGACCATCGAGTACCAGTATGGAATTAATTGAAAAAGAAGCAGATGATGAAACATCGGTTGCTCTCACCAGTTGTGATATTGAATCGATTATCAACAATTTCGGTGGTCAGATGCGTGATATCGATGCGCTCGTCGGTCTGATAAAGAAAGGTGAATCACTACACTATGTTATTGAGATGTTCAATGCGGAGACCGCTCAAAAAATTGGATCGTTGGTGGACTCTATGTTTCAGCGGGCGAACCTCGCCAACTCTGACTCTGAGAAGAAAGCAGTCTTTGAAAAGTACATGCGATTCTGGAGTCTCTTGGAGTATCTTTTGGCCAACCCAGCCATGCAAGCCAGTGAGTTGATCGAGAAGGTCTTTCACGAGCAACCCGAGGAATTCGATGAATACTTTAAGACCAATCTCATCTACTATTGGACGAAGCAACAACGGGAAATAGCCATGCCAGACGTAGAGGAAATTTCTACACCGACCCTAAAGAATGCATATGATACCTATGTGACATTCTCATCACCTCGTATTCACCGTGCCACAGAGCGAGTTATCAAAGAACACAGATTCGTTCTTCAACGTCAAACAATTGAAAAATTCTTCAAGAAAGCGGATCTCAAAGACGACAGAAAGGATTTGGAATCGGAAAAACACGAACTACTCACAGAGTATGAAAAGATCTATCAACGTTTGGATAACCTCATTGAAAACAATCAGGCATGGATAAAGTTCATGGGAGAACAAAAGTTTGATCAGCGAAAGAAATATTTTTTGGAAAAAGAAGATGAATGCTTGAAAAGAATATCAATAGTTTCGGATAAACTCGATCAGATTGAAATAGATTTGGATAATCTGTAAATAAATAAATGTAATTTTACGCACAATTATTGTTTTATTTTTGTTGTTCTTTTTATGCGAAAAGAGACTGGATTTTATACAAGTGAATTCACTCCAACTGTCAGACAAAGGATAGATGCTAGCAAACCTCTTAAAGAAGCCTACTATTTGACAAACATGTTAAATTTAAATCCATACCGAGAATACAACTACAACCACTCCATCTGGTAATCTTATTTGTTTAGTGTTCTGGATTTTACAATTATATTTTTTTTTGATGATTGTTTCAATATAGTTATATATATAAAGATACTTAATATACTAATAATTATATTGATATGATATTTAGAGGAAGAGTTAAGGTATATAGAATAGTTATTATACAACTCTATTAATATAAATCTTTACCTTTAAAACTATAACTAATAAATTAGATTTAAAGGTAAAGACTTCAGGGTCAAAGCTAAAGAATAAGTTTTTACAATATGGTCCAATTAAAAAGATAAGATTGGTCACCGATCAAGTCAATGGAAAACCAAAAGGTTATGCATTTATTTGAAAAAGAAAGAGATATGAAAAGTAATAAACTCATCTAAATCTTATAAATAAAATTAAATTTTACACAATAGTTTTTTGTTTTTGTTGTTTTTTTTTGGTTCATGTTTTATTTATATAAAAGAGACTGGGTACTAGATCAAAATCTTTGTACTTTTGGCAAATTGATAAAAAAAAATGATTACACCATTGAATCTCTCTTTGTTGTTTGCAAAACATCGTTAGTTTCCTATTGTTGTTCTGGGGTCTCGTTAGTGTTGTTGGTGAGGACGTCCAAAGCTTCCTTGATCTTGTCAGCAAGGAGTTCAGTTCTTTGGTAGAGGGTGAACAACTCTTCGACGGTGAGTGAGTCGAGGAGCATACCAGTGATCTTACCAGAGAGGTCTGGTTGGGAAGCGTGGATCAATGGGTACAACAATTCACCCAAGAATGAGTTTTGTTGTTCACGTGGCATCGATTGAACGGTGGCCAAGGTGACCTCTGGTTGGACAGCTTGTGGCTCAGCGATGAGTTGTTGGGCGATTGGTTGTTGGGCAGCTGGTTGTTGTCCGTCTGGTCTTGGTCTTGGTTGGTTACGGTGGTTACCGGTTGGTGGTACACCTCCACGTGGGTTTCTGATTGGGTATTGACCTTGCATTGGTGGGTATTGACCTTGTTGTGGGACTGGACCGTTCCATCCGGCACGTGGTGGACGTGGGATCATTTGTGGATAGACGACTGGCATACCGGCTGGTGGGTAGAAGATTGGACCGGTTGGTGGGTAGATCGATTGGACTGGCATACGTGAGCTCTTGAACTTGGTGTGTTGAGCTTCCAATTGAGCACGACGGACGTCCTTACGTTGGGCAAAGGCAACGTACAATGGCTTTGAACCGACCATACGACCATGCATCTCAGCGACAGCCTTGGAGGCTTCGTCTGGGGTGGAGTAACAGACGAAACCGAATCCCTTTGAGCTGCTTCCCTTGTCGTCTCTCATGACCTTGGAGGAGGTAATAGTACCGTAAGCAGAGAAGGTGGCACGCAACTTGTCGCTATCGATAGAGTCATCGAGATTCTTGATGTACAAGTTGACACCTTGGTATTTGGTCTCAAACTTGTGCTTGAGTTCGGCTTCACGCTCCAACTTCTTTTGGGCACGACCAACGTAGATGACCTTTCCAGAGAACATCTTTCCGTTTTCGTTTTCGACGGCACCCTTGGCGGCATCGGCATGCTCAAAGTTGGCGAAACCGAATCCCTTGCTCTTACCCTTCTCGTCGGTCATTATGCAGAGATTGGTGATCTTTCCGTGGGCTTGCAACAAATCGGTGAGTTGTTGTTCAGAGACATCCTCAGAGAGATTCTTGATAAAGACGTTGGTGTACTTAACTTCCTGGGTGGCTCCTCTCTCCTTTGACGATTTGAATGGACCAACAAAGACCTTTTGATTGTTGATCATCATACCGTTGACCTTGGCAATAGCCTTCTCAGCAGACTCTTGGCTCTCGTAGTGGACGAAACCGAATCCCTTTGAGGTGTTGGTCTCATCAGTGACGACCTTGCAGGACAAGATGTTACCGAAAGCAGAGAAGGTATCATACAAAGCCTTGTGATCGACAGTCTTGTCGAGGTTTTTGATAAAGATATTTCCAATACCTGACTTACGGAGACTTGGGTCACGTTGAGACCACATGATACGGCATGCCTTTCCTTTGATTGGAGTGTTGTTGAGGGTATCCAATGCACGTTCAGCTTTATAATTAATAAAAATAGTAATAATAAAATGATAGATAAATTAGTAATCAAACTTTTCAAAAATGTACAATCAATTCTTCATTTTGCAAAACTTACCATCGGTTGAGTTGTGGTAGTTGATGTAAGCATAACTCAAAGAACGACGAGTAGTGTTATCACGACAGATTCTAAGGTTAGCAACTGGACCAACTTGGTTGAAAACTTCGAACAAGTGGGATTCAGATACATCTCTATAAATTTGTAAATTTTTATTAGTATTATTGTTATTACTATAGCAAGTTGAAATTCAATAATAATATAAATCTCTAGTTTTTTTAATAAAAATAAATAAATAATCATGAAGATGTCATGTTGTGTACTGTAATATGCAAATCTGTATTATTAAACTATCAAAGTGTAATTTTTATAAAATTGGAATAGTTCGTTTTTTTTTTAGTTTTTTTTAGTTTTTTTTTTCAAAAATTTCGCAAAATCGATTAAACTAAAATCTAATGTGCGCAACTCTTGATATAAATACTAATACTATCATATTAATTATTTCCAATGTTAACTAAATTTGATATTCTGATTGTCTATATTCTAATTGTTTTGTTTTGTTTCGTTTATAATTTGAATTGTATTGAATCGAATCGAATTGAATTGAATCTAAAATATCCAAAAGCTGTAAATCGCGATTGTATACATATAAAATAAAAATAAAACCTAGAGATATTATATATATTGAATTGATAATAGAGTAGTGTTTGACTTACGGGTGGAGGTCACCGACGTAGAGAGAGGATGAGGAGAAAGTAGTAGTCATTTTGCGATTTGATTTGTTAAATATAAAGGATAGATGAAACTATTATTATGATTTAAACAAAAGATGAATTGAAAATGATTTGTTGTTGTGTTGTTTTTTTGTAGGTTTTTAGTTTTCCTGTTTTTTTTTGTAGGTTTTTTTAATTTTCCTGTTTTTTTTTACTCTTTATTTATTTAAAGAAAGGTGTGAATAGTGTGAGAGTGAAACTGAAGTGGAACGACGATTGTTGATAACGATAAAACAGCTAGCTACGATTGATTGATGATAGTAGTGTACTGTTGAGTATTATTGTTGTCTAAATCACTGTTGTTTGAGTTGTTCTCTCTATTGGCGCGATTCTTTAAATATAACAAGGATTTTTTTGTTTTTTAGAACCAAAAAAAAAAAGTTGTACTTTGAATTGAAGCTTAGACTTTGTTTTTTTTTTTTTTCTTTCTTTTTGACACGAGTGAAAAAAAATAAAAATAAAATTCAAAAATAAAATAAAAAATTGAAAATTATTTTTTGTGAAAAAAAAAAAAAAAAAAAATTGATAAAAAATTGAGTTGTGTGTGGTGTGTTTGTTGATGTGAAACTAGTTTCAACAAACTATCTAACAATAACGTTATTGTTGTTGTTTATTTTCATTACTAACATAATTATTATTAACTATCTCTATCTAATTAATTATGATTATCACTTTTGGTGTTATGATTAGCAACAACAACAATCTGTTTTTGGGAGGTTAATAATAATCATTATTATTGTTATTTGGTAATGAATTAATTATATAACTTATTTAAATAAAACTCTTATAAATATAAAGAGGCAAGTGACAATAAAGTTAGATGTTATAATATATATTTATCTTTATAAGAACACAATTGTGTATTGATATCAATGAGTAATTATTTATTCTATAAATGTCTTTTTTCTTTTTTTGAGTTCAAATAAAGTTATAATTGCAATATAATTTTTTTATTAATAAGATATATAATATTAATAATCTAAGCTAATACAAGATGCGTGCCAAACTAATTTGACATATAAACTTCAATTTTCAATGGTAACCGTTAACCTTAATCATTCTCCAAAATTTTGTGGAGATAATGTTAAAGATTAATTAGTTATCTTTTACAAATGAGTATAATTATTGAAAATATTTATCTTTAACACAAAAAGAATACATATACAATATTATAATGTTATTATTATTTTTTTTTTTTAAAAAAAGGGGATTTATTTATATATTTTATATTTTATTTAAATGTTTTTAAAATCGTTTAATCCAAATCTTCTTCTGGACGAGCGGATGGTTGAGCACCGGCAGCGGCAGATGGGTCGAAACCACCTGGCATATCAGCTGGGTTACCACCTGATTGTTGGTACATCTTGGTCATGATTGGGTTGACAACTTTTTCGAGTTCGGTCATCTTGTGTTCGAATTCCTCTCTTTCGGCGGTTTGGTTGGATTCGAGCCACTTGATGGTTTCTTCGGCGGCGGTCTCGATGGAGGACTTCTCCTCTTCGGACAACTTGGAGGCAACCTTGTCGTCCTTGATGGTTGATTTGATGGTGTAGGCGTAGTTCTCCAACTTGTTCTTGGCGTCGACCTTGTGACGTTGAGCTTCATCTTGAGCCTTGAATTGTTCGGCTTCCTTGACCATACGCTCGATTTGCTCTGGTGAGAGACGACCCTTGTCGTTGGTGATGGTGATCTTATGCTTGTTACCGGTGGACTTGTCTTCGGCAGAGACGTTCAAGATACCGTTGGCATCGATATCGAAGGTGACTTCGATTTGTGGAACACCACGTGGAGCTGGTGGAATACCAGACAACTCGAACTTACCGAGCAAGTTGTTGTCCTTGGTCATGGAACGCTCACCTTCGTAGACTTGGATCAAGACACCTGGTTGGTTGTCAGAGTAGGTGGAGAAGGTTTGTTGCTTCTTGCATGGGATGGTGGTGTTTCTTGGGATCAAAACAGTCATGACACCACCGGCAGTCTCGAGACCCATAGACAATGGGGCAACGTCGAGCAACAACAAATCGGCAACCTTAGCACCACCTTCGTTGGAGAGAATGGCGGCTTGGACGGCAGCACCGTAGGCAACGGCTTCGTCTGGATTGATGGACTTGTTCAACTCCTTACCGTTGAAGAAATCTTGGAGCAATTGTTGTACCTTTGGAATACGAGTGGAACCACCGACCAAAACGATTTCGTTGATGGCACCCTTGGCCAACTTGGAGTCACGGATGACCTTCTCGACTGGCTCGATACAACCACGGAACAAATCGGCGTTCAACTCTTCGAAACGAGCACGGGTGATTGAGGTGTAGAAGTCGATACCCTCAAAGAGTGAATCGATTTCGATGGAGGCTTGAGCGGATGAAGAGAGGGTACGCTTTGCACGCTCGCAGGCAGTTCTCAAACGACGGAGAGCACGTTGATTGGTCATCAAATCCTTCTTGTGTTTACGCTTGAATTCCTCGACAAAGTGGTTGACCATACGATTGTCGAAATCTTCACCACCCAAATGAGTGTCACCAGCGGTGGCCTTGACTTCAAAGACACCGTCTTCGATGGTGAGGAGTGAAACGTCGAAAGTTCCACCACCCAAATCGAAAATCAAAATGTGACGTTCTTGTTCGGACTTCTTCTCGAGACCGTAGGCAATGGCGGCGGCGGTTGGCTCGTTGATGATACGTTGGACGTTCAACTTGGCAATGATACCGGCATCCTTGGTGGCTTGACGCTGGGAGTCGTTGAAGTAGGCTGGAACGGTGATGACGGCGTTGTTGACGGTCTTACCGAGGTAGGCTTCGGCGGTTTCCTTCATCTTTAACAAAACCATCGATGAAACTTCCTCTGGTGAGAAAGTCTTGACTTCACCCTTGAATTCGACCTGGAGGTATGGCTTGTCACCCTCCTTTTGGACGACCTTGAATGGCCAGTGCTTCATATCGGATTGGACGATTGGATCAGAGAACTTACGACCGATCAAACGCTTGGCATCGAAAATGGTGTTGGATGGATTCATGGCAACTTGATTCTTGGCGGCATCACCAATCAAACGCTCAGTGTCGTTGAAGGCGACGTATGATGGAGTGGTACGGTTACCTTGATCGTTGGCGATAATCTCGACACGATCGTTTTGCCATACACCAACACAGGAGTAAGTTGTTCCTAAATCAATACCAATTGAAGACATTGTGTGAATCTATAAAATGTTATTAGTTTTAAAAAAAAATAATTAGTTTTTTTGTTTTGTTATTTATGAAAATTTTTTAATAATATATAAAGATATTTTATATAGTAAAATAGTAAAATTTATAATAATAATTACTATATATATATATATGTGGGTTTATAAATAAATAATATAAAAAAAGATTTTATAATGAGAAAGAGAGAAGTATATACAAATTATATAATAAAAACTTTGTTTTAAAGTTAAACTTACCTCAAAGTTGAATGATTAAATACAGACGATCATGAACATGTTAACGAATAGCAATCATCAAAAAAACTAAAATAATTAATTTTCAAATTTGATTAAATGGAAACTCATTGATATATCGTGTAGAACTTCTATGTTTTTGGCAGATATCTTATTGAAATTTAGTTGAAATTTTGGAAATTTTAAAGATTTTTATGTTTTTTTTAATTTTAAAAGATTAATTTGTTGCATCTCCTACCAGTCGATTATCTACAAACAAAAAAAGGGTGTGGTTAGTGTCAGAGTCAAAAATAATTACAAAACAGATCTAATTAAAAAGTTAAGTTTATTCATATATTTATTACTAGTACACCTACTATCAATGTTTTACATATTATTATTTAATAACTTATGAAAAACAAAAAAAAAAAAATGACAATTTTCAAGTTTTATAAAAAGTTGTTGTGTGACTGCTACACTTTTCTTGGTCTTATGTTTGTCGATCATTAATAATGATAATGCTTAAACCCAATTCCTTATATTTATTAAAAGAAATTAAATTCTTTTACTGTACAAAAGATATTAATTTTAATCTTGTGGTTTGAAGAAGATTAACAGATGGAAGAAGGAGAATAAGAAGAGGAATTCAAAAAAGAATAAAGGAGGAGGATTTATGTATTATATTATATTTGCTTAGATTTGATTGATTGATTTATATTATTGGTTTTTTGTTTTAATAAATTATTGTGTTGATATTCGATTCCATTTAGTAATATATAAACTATAGATTATTATTATTATTTCTTTTTGAGGTCAAAAGATATTTTACATCCACATGATTTTATGGTATTTGGGTTGTGTGATACACAGAAAGAACTTCTCATCAATTCTTTTTCATAGTCGATAATTGATCCTTGCATCATATCCAATGATATTTTATCTATAATAACTTCTGCTCCATTTTTTGTAAATATTCTATGATATATTTATATAATAAAAAAAGTTTGTTAAAACTTGATGAATGGAAGTAATATTGGTTAAATACATACACATCATCCTCTTGAACCTTTGTATCAATCTTTATAATATATTGGAATCCACTACATCCTCCAGTATCGACCATCACTCTCAACTTTGAATTTGCATTCTTAACATCTTTTGTTACTTTATTCAATTCCTATAGAGTTGTTTATTCTTTCAATTAGTAAAGTTGATTGATTTTCAAATCGAATAATAAGTTTACATACTTCAGCACAATGATCGGTTATTGTTATTTCGAATGGATTTGAACCACTTTCATATGATAGTTGAGCTGGTGCTGTTGCTGTTGAAAAACGACAAATACCACTTCTCGATGATGACAGTAATTGAGATCTAATTGAGTTTATCGATTGATATGATATGTTTCTATAAAGTACTGCACTGTTGTTGCAATTTATATATGATTTATGTGATTTATATAATGAGATACTACTACTACTATTTCTAATAATATTATTTGAAATTGGTAATATCTTTCTAATCATATTTAATATCTAAGTAATTAATAATTAATTAATTAATTGATTGATTTTGTTTTGGTTTATGAAATGTTAATGTCACTTCAAACATTCTACTTTGTTTAAAGTTATTCATAGTCGACAAAATTGTCAGTTTTTTAAAAAGAATTTTTTTAATTTTTTTTTAAATTTTTTGTATAAAAATCAGCTGACGAGTAAATTAGTGATTCAAACAGAATCAGAATTCTATGATTCCATTAATTTTAATACAACAACAACAACTTTTTAATTAATAATAAAACAAAGATATATATATATATATATATATATATATATATATTATCAACCCCAATATAAAATGAGTTTAAATAGTTGTAAATTGAATATTTCAAATTGGTACAGGATTAGACAACAACGGCCCAATCAACATACATCAAATTTTAATAGTTTTAGAAATAGCTATTGTACAACCAACAATAGTAGTAACAACAGTAACACTAATACTAACGCTAGTAACAGCAACAGCAGCAATAGTAGTAATGGAAGTCATAACCAACACAATGAGAAAGTAGTTGTAGACGATGTACATAATAAACACTTTATAAATAATGAGTGGATGGAGAAAAGAGTGAATCCCTTCATCTCAATTAGAACCGGTAGAATATTGACAGCGGTGACATGTACATTGGCATTTTATTTATCGATTGTATCTGAATATGATGATGAAGGTAAAGAAACTGTTGTAACGGGTGTAAGTATTTAGAAAATAGAGAAAATTAATACATATCTATCAATATAATAGTAGTAAATTAATAATTATTCTTTGGTTTATTTTATTTTTATAGATTAGAAATTATCATGATAAAATAGTTTCGGAATGGCTGGGATTCGATGTTAGAAAATCATTCAAGGATTTCGATAGTTCAATGAGAGATGTCATCACTGTTAAGCCGATGGAAGAGAAATTCTCACAGGAGGCAATCGATTTAGTTAATCAAATGAAACAACAAAGTGGATCCACTGCACCAATTACAACCACTAAAGAATCAACAACAGCAACAACTACAACTCTTGTAACACCAATAAATGCTATTGATAATGATAGCAAACAGAGCACAAAGAAACTATCGGAAGCAGATAGAATCGATCAACTGATGAGAAAATCAAGAAATGAAACTTCGAAATGGGAACAACAAATGGATATCGCTTTTGAAACACTAAATGCAGCTAGAGAGCTCAAACAAAGTGAAAAGAATAGTAGCAACAAAAACAACAACAATATAAATAATATCAATGTAAATCTAGAGAAATAAATTACAAAATTTAACAACAAAACAACAAGTAGGGAATATTTCCCAAATAAATAGAAAATAACGTTTAATTTTACTGGATATATGGTCGACTATAAGCTGTTAGTGTTTGCTGTGTTCATGAACAATGACAAATCTCCAGACCATTGGTGTCATGTCCTACGTCGTATGTTTTATATCCCCAGGTGCCATTCCATCTCTTCGTTCAATCGTGATTTTGCGCTCATCGTGGTTAAATCTGATAAGTATTGCACCCGACACTCTTTTGGACCATCCACAGTGTTCGATGTAGGAGTACCAGAGATCAAGATAGAAGACACCATAGTCTCCTACTCAGTGTGATCGTTACGAGATGTTCATGTAGAATTGGAATCTCCTCTATATTCTGTATTTCTTACCAATATATTCACAGAGATACCGCGCCTTTTCGAATAAGTCAAACTATGTCGGATCTGGAAAGTCAGCCGCATCAGTTAGCAATCACTCCTAAATCTTTGAATTCTATCGACCATATATCCAGTTAAATTAAATTTTAATAAACTATTTATTCTCTCATTGTTTTTACCCCATCAATCATTTTCATCCGCCACAAAAAAGGAAATTAAATTTGAGTGTAGTTCATTTTACTTTTTTTTTTTTTAACCAATCATTTTGATATATCTATATATATTTATAAATAAGGATAATGAAAATTAATTATTTATTATTATTATTGTTTTTTATAACTGTTTTGTTGGTTATTAATAGTAATGGTGGTGTTGCTGCACATTCGAATGTAGATGATAGCGATGACGAATCGGAATCACAGACCACACAACAAGATGTTAGAAAACGAAATTTGGTGCGTGAGAACATTCGTTATAAATCTATTGTTAGCAATGCCGATAAGTATTGGGTAAAGACAAACAAGAGAACATTCCCAGCGGATCGTATGACACTTGCCTATGTGACCCCATGGAATTCCGGTGGCTACGAAGCAGCAGAGTTGTTCAGCGGTAAGTTTACACACGTCTCACCGGTATGGCACCAGATTGCACTCAAAGATAAAGTGATCTCACTACAAGGCACACACGATGTCGATAAAAAGTGGATAGCAAGAGTCAAAGCCAATGGAAAAACAAAAATAGTACCACGTTTCATCTTGGAGGGATTCAATCCAAACACTCTGAACAGTGCATTCAGAGAAGCAAACTCACTCATTAAATCAATCATTCAATTCATTACGTAAGTAGCTTATTACTATCACATTAGATCGATAATAATAATAGTTTTACTAAACTTTAATAACACAGTGATTACAATTATGATGGTATGGTTTTAGAAGGTGTCATTCCATACTTTGATATCGATAGAAATATAAGAAATCACTTTGTTGAAAAGCTTTATAAAGAAATGAAATCTATCAACAAACAATTGATTTTAGTTTCACCAGTATGTTTAAGATTCAGATTATATAAAGATATTTTATCATTAATTCTTACTCTACTTTGTTTGTTATTTACAAAGCCTTTAGGAACAAAGTTGGTACATGTAGAAGACTTAATAGTGTTGGGTGGTAATTGTGATGGAATTTCAATGATGACATATGATTATGATCCAAACAGAGGTCAGTTGGCACCGTTGGAGATGTTCCAATACGCCGTACAGAGTTTGGAGCAGACTGGAAAGTTTACAATGTCAAAGCTTATGTTGGGTTTACCGTTCTATGGTTACACTGGAGTGTTTGGAAAGGAAGCGAGTCCAATACTCGGTAGACAGTATATCGAGTTGCTAAAGAGTCACAAGCCAAAGAAGATCAGCTGGGATACATCAACTCACGAACATACATTCACCTACAAAAACAATCAGGGTAATGAGCAATGGGTCAACTTCCCATCACTATTATTCTTGGAGGAGAGAATTCAATTAGCAAAACAATCTGGATGTTCTTTAGCAATCTGGGAAATTGGTCAAGTAATTATTAATTATAATACTAGTGTTTTAATATTTCTATTAACTAACATATTTGTTAAATTTATTATTAATATTTTATAAAATTTAAAGGGATTTAATTATTTCTATGATCTATTATAGATAATAAATGAATAATAATATATAAATATATAAATGTTTAAAGTTGATGTTATTGTTCTTGTTGTTGTCGTTATTATATAGATTGTGGTTTGAAAATCTAATCAAAATCTAATCATTCATTCAAATTGGAATAACAATAACAATAATAAATATTAACTTTTAAACAACCAAACCAACGATTCAAACCAACAACAACAACAACAACATGCAAGTTAAAGAGATTCAGAATCCAAAATAAGGAATAAACAAACAAACATTTCAGGTTGAACATTTACTTTGTTATTTTGGTTGCGATAGAGTTGGATTTTTTGCAAACAAACCAATAACTTATTTTAGATTTAGTTTAGATGGTGAAAGTGAATGGTGATTAATCAATTTGTCAATTGTGTGAATAATATTGGGTTGTGGAGTTGTGATTTTTGTATAGATAAAATAAGATCAGTCGATCATGATCACACACACATATGTTAATTGATCCAAAAAAATATATTTTGAAATTTAAACACCCAATGTTATTATTATTTTTGTTTTAATAATTTTTGTTTGTACAATAGTAAAACGTAGTCTATTTTACTTTGTTTTATGATATAACACTTTCAAACAAACTCCACATGCACATACTGACACACCATTTCAATTTGATTGGTAATATGTCACACTTTTCTATTTATATTCAAAAGTGTCTCACGAAATTGACAGAATGGACACTCGAAATTAATGGTTGTTTGTTGTTCAACAACCAAATCACAATAACAACATTAACAACAGAACAAACAAAACAAAACAAAACAAAACAATTTCAGTTGATACATTGATATCAATGTTGTTGTTTGTAAGTACCACTAAACAAATAAATTAACTATAGTAGTGGTTTGTGGTTTATGATTGATTGATTGATTGATTGATGATGATGATGCAGTGAATAGATGTAATATAAATATACTTTATTTCACAAATTTTAATATTGGAACACAACTTGAAAGAAGCGATATGAAAATGGTTGTGACCAACATGAAGTAAGTGGGTATTTGTTACTTGTAACAAGTTGACATTCATTTTCATTCTTTCATTTAGTTGTTTGTGGATATTGGACAAAGTAGTAGATTCCACCATCACTATATTTATACTTTGCAATACAATGCATATTGGTAGTTTATCATACTGATGATGATGATCGATTCGATCCTCTACCAGTTTTAAATACTAACATATGTTTTTCACCTTCTTTTTAGCTAAAAAGAACTGGTAAGCAGGCGGATTGTTCAAACAATCGGAAGTTGAATAGAAAACAAATTCTATTTAAACAATCAACAGCAAAGCAGTATGAACATTAAACATATAAATTAACAAAAAAAGCTCTAAAGAATATCTGAGATTCTACTTTCTAATCAAAACAAAACAATCAAATAAATTGTTTATATTCTCTCTCTTTCAAATCATTTCTTAATCAAGATAAAACAAAAAAAAAAAACAAAAATGAAGTGGATCAATAACATCATTAAGATCATATTAATTCTAAGCATTCTATTTTCATGTATAATTGTAATTACATCAGGCACGTTCAATGCAGAGGAATGTAGAAAAGGCTGTGCTAAAGATTACTCGGAGTGCCGATCTCATAAATTCATGAGATGCACTGAATCAAAGAATGGTTGTCTCAGTAGATGTGATGGACGAGTCAACAATTTTTAATAGAAAGAAGTACATTTAGAGCCGATCTTATACCAAAATAAAACAACCAATTTTAATAATATAGATAAAAAATAAATAAAAGAAATATAGATATGTTATATAGTAGTTATAATCTATTTATTATTAATGTTATTATGTTATTTTATTTTTTTAGAAATCATCATCTGCAAATCCCATTAAATCTTCTATTGTTATCTTCTTTGATTCTTCTTGTTTCTTTTCAATGACTGGTGGTTGTTGTTGTTGCTGTTGTTTCTTTTGTACTTTATCTTTTTGTTTGTTTTCTTGTTGTTGTTTCTTCTTGATTGCTTCATATTCCTTTACAAGATCATCGTCATCAGCATTGATTTTACCTTTAGCCACAGTTGTTGTTGTTGTACTCTCTTTTTGTTGTTTTTTATTCTGTTTCTTTGGTTGTTGTTGTTGTTTTTGTTGCTTTGGTTTATCGTCGTCATCGTCATCTTTATTGGATTTTGCAGGTGTCGAAGTAGATGATGCAAATTTATATTGATATTGTGGTTGTTGTGTACGTGGTGCACCTTCATCGTCACTATCGGCAAACGAAACCAAGTCATCCTTTGAATTCGATGGAAGTGCAACTGGTGTCTGTTGTAACTTGACAGGTTTCTTCTTCTTGTTGTTCTCTTTCTTCTTGAGATCATCGGTAGTACTATCATCACCAGTATCCATACTCTTAATTCTATCACCAAAGCTAACAAAGTCACTCTCTTTAACTTCCTCTTTCTTTTGTTTCTTCTTTGGTTTATCTGTATTATTATTATTATTATTATCAATTTTACTAATCTTCTTTTCTTTTGTATTATTATTATTACTATTATTGATCTTCTTTTCAAACTTCTTCTTTGGTGTCACTACTTCTTGATCTTCATTACTATCTTCTTCATCTCTATTCTTTCTCTTTAAATTAATGTTGTTTTTCTTTTCGAATTTACTGCTATTATTATTATCTCTTGTTCTTATTGGTTTCTTATTTATATTGTTATCTCTTTCTTCTCTATTCTTATGATTATTATTATCTCTTTTCATTGGCTGATCTCTTACAAATGTTTTCTTTTTATTATCAATTGGTTGTTGTTGCTGTTTCTTTTTGTTATTGATCATAGTTCTCTTCTTTTGTTCTCTGTCGCTGTCACTCTCGCTATCATTGTCACTGTCACCACTATTGTCATTACTATCACTATTATCACTATTATCACTATTATCAGATTCATCTTTCTTTTGTAATTTCTTTAGTTGACAGAGTTCTATTCTTTCTTTTCTCTTTGTGATAAACTCTCTCTTCTCGGTATTCTCCTTTCTCTTCTTGTGCTTGTTGATAAGACTCTCAGAGAATGGTTTACCGTCCAAGCTATCCAATTGTGGGAACATCTCCTTCATCTTCTCCTTGTAATCCTCTAACGTTGTGATCTTGTTTCCAATTAAACTGAGACTCTTTAAACTCTTTAGCTTTGACAATGGTTCAATATCCCTATATTATTAATATTATTAATAATAAGACATTAATATTAACATAGATATCGATGATCATTTATGTTTTTTTAATCTTACTTGTATGATTGAATCAAATTATGAGATAAATCAATGATTTGAAGATTGAACAACATCATAATCTTTGGATCAATAGTAAATATCTTGTTATTTGCAACTCTAAGTTCTTTAAGCTATATAATAAGTAAATCATTGAGAATGAATTAGTTTCGTTTCGTTTCATTTTGTTTTAGTGAATAATAAATTACCTTTAGATTTGTACTAATATCAGGTAGATGTTTGATTTCATTATTTGAAATGGACAGCTTTGTAAGTTCCTTTAGGAATTTGATTCCTTGAATATGCTCTATCTGGTTGTGTGACAATACCAATGTGTTTAGACTGGTTAGATACTCCATGTTCTCGATCATTCCAATCTTATTGTTATTCAAAATCAAAGCATTCAAATTCGATAGCTTCATAACACCTTCTATTCTCTTTATATTATTATTCGAACCATTGAATACTAAAATATAATAAATAATAAAGTACAGTTAGATTTGAAATGTTACACAACAATATTATTATTATAATAACTGATTATTATTCATTATTATTATTAATTTACCTTTAAGTTTTGTCATTGCTTTAACATCAAACATACGCTCTAGTTTGTTGTGTGATACGTTTAGATGCTCAAGAGAGAGAACGTCTTTCAAACCTTGGAATGCGGTCATCTCATTCTTTGAGAGATCGATCTTCTTTAGGTCCAAACAACTGCTAAGATCACCAATAGCATCGACACCCTTCTCTGTGTAAATGATAGTTTTGACAGTAGATAGATCTGGATATGACTCAATGAGTTTATCTGCCGTCAACTTCATTTCTATATATAAAAACTTCTATTAAAAATAACTAATATATAAATTGAATTAAATAAATAAATAAAACTTAGCTTAGTTTAAACTTTCGTTCGTTTTGAATTTAAATTTTTTTTATCCTTTTTTCTTTTTTTTTTTTTTTAATCTTCCTTTTGACACAACTTTGGAAAGTCAGATGAAATATAAACTAATCATTTTTGATTGCATAATTATAATACTATCTTTGTCTACAATACAAAAATAATTAATAATAGAGTTGCAACTACAATAAATATCGTTTTATATGATAAAATAAAAGGTTTTTAGTATCTATAGAAATCTCAGATATTGATACATAAGAATAAAAACGATCGTTTGTTTTGGTAAATTAAAACAAGAAGTGAAATAATGTAAATACTATTAAAGTCATTTTTTTTAGTTTGATATAATTTTATTAATATTATTGTGCACAGAATGTATTCTGGTTAAAGTTATTGAAAATAGTTAGGTCTTGTATTTCCATAGATTTGGAGGTCGATTGAAGAGTATCGAGATTGATTGTGTACAAATAGGGTGTGTCATTTTGATTAAGTAATGCCAATATATATCCGTTTTGATCAAACATGAACTGGGCGTCTGTATATATCTGATCCTTCTTGAATATGCTTTGCATTTTGTTTGTGCCAATGTCTATCGCTATAATTTCAAAAAAGTAAGGTTGGAGGACACAAAGATAGAGAGTGGATTGATAGATAAAAACTTGTTGGACATAACCATAGCCCTCCATCTTGTATGGGTACTGTCGTTGAGTTAAGCTATTGGTCACCAATGAGTACTCACCAAAAGTTAGCTGTGTTCTTGATTCATCACTGTAAATATAGTAGGTTTGTGTGCTGCTATCATATTGTCCGAGAGCTCTATTTAAACAACTCATCTCAGTGAGACGTATATCATAACTGGTTTATTATTATGAGAGTAAGTTAGTTCAGGTAGTTATGATATGTTATTTCATTAGTAGTTGATTATTCTTACGCAGATTGATTATTCAAATTAAAGATTGATATACGTGGGATCAGATCTTCGTCACATGTTGCGGTGAATGCTTGACCACTCGAAAGATCAATTGAGTTAAATTGATAGGAAACATAAAAATTATGAGGGACTGTGAATTGAGCTTTGGTTGTTAATGTCTTGGACTTAAAGTATATTTAAATAAATATTAGTTATTGATGTTTTTGAAAAGTGTCATATGACAAAGAAGGGTTAGATCATGATTTCAACTTACTTCAATATCCAAAATAGAAATATTATAAGAACCAAAATCACTAAGTTCAAAAGTTAATATTATATAATCATCACCAGAACATTGGAACAACGAAAACACACGAAGATTTTGTTGAATAGGAAAATTATAAAGTGTTTCACCTGTGATCAAGTCTACTTGTGTAACGTTACTTTGATAGAATGTTGTCAAAGTGGTTGGAGGTGTTTGTGATGAATCTACACTGCAACTTAAAAATGAAATCAATAGCAATAGAGATGATGTTAATGATAGAGGCTGTTTTATCATTGTTGTTGTTGTTGGTAGTTGGAAAAAAACAAATAGAAAAGAATTTGAAGAAAATTTGTTTTTAATTTATTGGTGAAAAAAGATATTTTTTATCAAAAATTGGAGTTGTTTGCACTATTTGTATATGATTGATGAGGGATGAAAAATTTAATGACTTTTTTTATTTGCAAACTTTGCATTTCGGATCATAAATTTGATTTGTTTTTTCACATTTTCTAGAAAGCACTTGTTTTCATTGGATGAAATTCACAATCAAGAAATCACCTACTATCAATTTACAAAAAAAAACAAAAATTATAGTTTTACAACACCAATTTTTCAAATTCAATATTCATATTCAGGTACTAATCTGCAACAATAAGTAGGTAATTTAGTTGTTTTATTGAGATTTTAATGAAAGATTCATATAGAGTACTAAATTAGATGATTACTGAGAGAGAAAATAGATTTCTTTCTTTTAAGTTTAGATATTGAATATTAAAGTAATTTGAAGTAAATTTAGAAGTTACAATATTGAAACAACTAAATCATGTGAATAGGCAAGTTATAAATTGTTTGACCTGTGATCATATCTATTAAAAAGATACTCTAATCAAAGTAGTTGGAGGTTCTTAAAAGAATCTAAAAATAAAAATGAAATCAAAAACAATATAGATGATCAAGTTAGAAGTTGTTTTAGCCTTGTTGTTTAGTGGTTGGAAAAGAAATAGAAAGACAAACAAAACTGGAAAAAGAGATATTTTTAATGGATGATTGTTTTTTTATTTAATTATTTTAAATTGATAATCATGTCCACGTCGAAAGGTATGATTTCATCCCTCAACTTTTTTTGATTTTTTGTTTGCAAACATTGGGATCAATTTGATTTTATCTCATTTTTTATGTTTGCAATTTTTTCTTATTCATTTATGATTTCATTGGAGGACGATATCAAACAATATATCACCCCATTAACTTCCTATCAACTTGACATGTTTACAATGTTTGGAAAAAAAAACATAAACAATGTCAACATTCAATATGCAATTTCATATCTCCTGGTACACTATTTTCTATGTGAGATAGACCTTCAAAAATATAATATTTTTTATGAGATATATTTATATTTGCTTCATAGGGATATACATTGTTAATTGTTTTATCAAAATTTTTGGTTTCATCCGAAAATCTTTGATTACTGAATAGACTAATATCTATCTCCCTGTACTACGTTGCAGTTCTAGTTTAATATCTTTCTAGAAAATAAAACTAGAGGTACAATTATAGTTATCCCTCATTTTGGAAAAACTATAAATCTGATTTGATCTCTTCACTTTCAAAAATATTTCATTGCATATAATATTAAATAACAATATTTGAATAATATAATGTTTAATTTAAAATCATCTTTAATTATTCTTTGTGCAATTGTAGCAATAGGACAATCACAACTCACACCCGCAGTTTGGAGCAATGCCTACAATACTCTCATTATGAGTTATACTGCCTATTGTCCACTAACAACTATCCAGAATTGGAATTGCAATAGTTATATTTGTAATCCAAATACGGGTAATTTCTTCCAAGGATTCCAAGTTCTCAATGCTCAAGTTAATAGTATTCAAGAGACCACTTCTACAGGTTGGGCTGATATTCTTCATTATGTCGCTGTTAAAGATAATAATTGTAAGTAAATTCTAAATACTTTTATTTTTATTTTTATAAGAAACTTATTTCAATTATTATAGATTACCTTACTTTCCGTGGTTCTAATAATACCTATAACTGGTATTATGATGCTCTATCCATTTTTATTGAGGCCGACTACTCTATAAATGTACCAAATTCTAAAGTATCTCTTGGATTCTTTGATGCTTGGAACGACCTTCAACCAGCTGTTATCAACTCTTTATATCTTCTTTTGAATACCGATTGCTCCAGTAATCCATGTAATCTTCAAATTTCTGGACACAGTCTTGGAGGTGCTATCGCTAGTAAGTATAAATCTTTTTAAAGATTTGAGAATCATCAATACTAAAAGTTCTCCACCCATTTAGCTCTTGCTGCCTTATATTTTGTAGATACTTACCCAGGTCTCCATGTTACTGTAAATACATATGGATCGCCACGTGTTGGAAATGCAGAGTTTGCCAATTACTACGACAGTAGAGTTCCAAATACTCTTCGTTTTGTCAACTTTGAGGATGTAATTCCACATGTGCCATTCGAAGGCGATTTTTTCACCCATTACCAACATGTAAACGAGGAAGTTTGGGTCGACGTAACTGTGGCTGAAGGTCAATTTACAGTTCCACCATCTAACAGTATTTACAAAGTCTGTCCGACAACTGAAGATCCGTCCTGTAGTGATTCATGTTCATTCTTTGAAGGCTCTTACTGTTATTTAGACACATGGCAGCCGTTCCTTTATCATCAAAGATATTTTGGATTCAACTTGGAAACCTTCTGTAACCATTGGGACTCTGTCATTGTCACACCAGAGCCAACTCAAACACCCAATCCATTGGCCTACCCAATCATCACTCAAACTATCACCTCTCAGTGGAACAACGGTCAAGGAGTCAACTACACAACCGTCGTTGGAAGATTGAACAACAACAGTACTCAAGATATTGTTGATCCAGTATTTGTCACCACACCCAATATTCTTCCAATTGGTATCTTTGGAATGAAAACAACCACTGTCAATGGAACTATCAATTGGAGAATCTCACCAGCTGGAAGTTACGCAACAACAATGCTCCATAATTCCTTCATTGATTTCTCATATACAATCAATTCCAATCAGATGTTGTCTTTTACTAGAATTAAATAAACATTATTATAATACTTGTGTTTGTGATATCACACCAGTAACATCTCGTATTTTTTATTAATTTTCTATTTTAAATCTTTACTTACTTGATGTTGTATTGTTTAAAAAAAACACAACAGTTTTGTCGTGTTGGTGTAGTTATTTATTCATCTACAGGCTGTATCTTTAGTCGTGTGGATGACGATGTACTATTGTTACTAAGCAGCTCGATCAACTCTGCAATGATATCGATTTCTCTAATCAGCAGAAACACTCTGAATTTATAGTACAATTAGAATCCTCATTAACCACACATTAATTTTTCAAATTTTAATTTTTACATGAAAAATACAAACCTTCCAATTTTGAAAATTGTGATATTGATCATTGTGCAAATTTGGTGCGCAACCTTTTTTTGCCAAAATAGATTTTTTTTTGTTGATCATTTCTTTTTATTACTACTATTAGAATATGCAATGAATTAATAGTTAATAAATTTATTTAAATAAGAAAAGTCAATAAACAATAATTTTATATTAGATAATTTATATAGATTTTATTATTGGGTAAATATCTTGTAAAAAATATTCAATTGTGAATGGTTCTACTCTTAAAAACTCATTTCTCTTTCTTTCTTTACTGATTTGTATACCTGTGGAATTAAGAATATTATTTAAATCATAATTATTTGTACCTTCACATGCTACTTCTATCGCAGTCACCTTTCTTTTTCTTGTATTAGATTGTTCAGTACCTTCTATTATTTCACCTTTATAGTATTTTTTTGTTGTTTTATCAAACACCAAAACATCCAATCTATCTTTTATGTTATTGACTGTGAACTCTTTATCCTCATCTATTGTTACTAAGTTGTGACCTATTAATGTTTCTAAACCTTCATTTCCTTTCTTAAACTTAATAGTATAACACCATTCGTTGTTTTCGTTGCTGTATTCAATGCTTTTGACAGTAGCAGGCCACCATGTCCCAAAGTCTCTTCCATTGACCGCTTTTCCATAAACACTCTCACCTACAGAGAAGGCAGGAATAGGCAAAAGATTTTCGTTAATTAATGGTTGTTGGTTCGCGAAAGTTGAAACTCTAGTTGTAGCAGTAGTAGTAGCAGTAGTAGTAGTAGTAGTAGCAGCAGCAGCAGTTGTAGTAACAGAGGCAGTGGTAGTGGTAGCAACCGCATTGGTAATGCTTGGATCATTCATTAGGTTTGGCTCATCAGAATATCCATTGTCATTTCCATTTTCATGGTCATCATCTTGGTCTTCAAATCCAAGAAAACCATCGCCAACAACCTCACCATCATCAGAGGCAACAGATCCGTTACGGATCCTAGCCATCATCATCATCAAATGATGAGCTACATCTTCGTCGTCATCTCCTTCACTTCTATACCGATCAGATGAATGGATTGACCCATCGTCATTCCCTAGATCTTCATTAACTTGCTGGGTATTGGTAGTGACCACTCTAGTGGTACTGGTAACCGCGGTTGAAATGTTTTGTGGCACTTGGCTGCCTACCGGAAACTCTCTGTTAAACGCCAACTTTAGTAGATCTTTAAGACTGGTGTACGAACGCTTTCCCTCTTCTCTCGATAGAAACTGAACATTCTCCAATGTTTCTGTATTATCATAAAGGTAATGAACATACTAAAGAGAATATTTGTTATTTAAATAATATTAACTTACCCTGTTGCACTTTCTTTACTTTTGCTAATGAATAATTCCTCGATAGTTTAAAGGTTTGGCGCAGATGAGACCACCAGCCATCTGGAATCAGTAACTCATCTTTCAATTGTGCCAGCTTTGCAATTGGAATATCATCTCTTGCGTTTCGCATTTTCTCTAACTCAATACATGGTAAGCATCCAGATGAAATACCACAATTAGAATGGTATTTTTTTCTTTTCTCATGTTTTGACAAATTTGATACACTATATTTCTTTCCACTGGTACAGCTGCGATGTCTACAAACTGATACTTTGGTTGTTGCCGTGTTGGAACAGTAATCACAAGATTGTTGGCAGGGTTGCTTGTGTTCTTTCTTATAATGTCTTGATCTACTGGAAGAGTGGTTATATTGGAGTCCACAATTAGCATGCACACACACTACTACACCTATCAATAATAAGTATATAAAAATTTTTATATATCTATAATATAATTTATAGAGAATCATTTTCTATTTATTATTTATAAATATTATTAAAATATATTAAAAAAATAGCTAAAAAAGCTAAAAGTACGAATTTCACTGTGGAGAGAGGTCACTATACGCTCTCTTTTGTGATTAGCTTTTATTTTTATTTTTTTTTTTTTTTTTTTTGGTGGGTTTAATGTGTGATTGTTATTTAATTTGAATTTTTTTTTATTTTTCCGGGATGCTAAAAGTACGAGTTAATCAGAGTGTAATTATCATTGTTGTGTAGGTCGATGGCAACTGTCCAAATCCGTTTCTCTCCACTGTACTTTCACTAAATTGTAAAACTTCAATCGATTTAACTCTAATATCTTAAAATATTTGATAAACTGTTCGACCCAAGAGAAAGGAAATATAAAAAATTAAAAATGAAAATAGTTTTTTGAACTTCATGATTTTATTAAAAAAAAATATATGTTTTTTTTTAAGTATTCTTATTGTTAATAATAAGATGACGAATCATTGTTCACAACACAATAAACCACATGAATTTATTTGTTATGATTGCAATAAGTTTATGTGTTCAAGATGTATAATCACTCACCAACAATAAAAACTCAGATCATGTTAAACAATGTGATCATATCGATGATATTAGAAAATCTTTAATTAATTTAGATTTGTCTGAATTAAATGTCAATAATAATAATAAAGTGGTTGATGATGATAATACAGAAGAGAGTAAATTTAACATAAATGCTAAAATCATACTCGATTCGTTGTGGAGTAAAATGAAATCATCAACATCAGAGTATGACTCAATACCAACAACAGAGAATGAGATAAAACAATTTTTCTCGCAATTACATCAATATCTAATCGTTGAAGAACATAAACTAAAGAAATCAATGAACAGAAAGATAGTAATAAAACAATTGGATAATAGTATTAAATTTTAATTAGAAAAAGATAACATAAATGACAATACTACTAGTACAAGTAACATTCAATCATCAGCATTACCAGATACAACAGACATGTAAGTTATATAGATTGATGTTCATAGTAATCTGTATAACTAGAGTTATAGATAAATAGATAAATATATATATAGATAGTTATAGATAATGATAATTTAGATAAAGATAGATGTATTAGATAAATAAAGTGTAGAATACAAGTTAGTTGGGAGTACTCTTAAAGAAATAGTTTGTTTTTTTTTTGCAATTTTGTTATTTTATTTATTTTATTTTATTTTTAATTTTTTTGTTTTTTAGTTCGTTCATGATAAAAGATAAATTATGTTGATTTAAATTTATAAAGATTATATTAAATGGATAATAATAATTCAAATTCAGATAATGAAGGTGAAGGTTCAAACAAAATATATTTTTTTGAAAATGATACATTAAAATATCATTATTTCAACAAAGATTCAATTGTGATACCTGATTTCACTGATCATGAATATGATAAAACATTTAACTCTAATAATCAAATTATTTATTATGAGAATAAATTAGTCTTTGATGGTAGTTATAAATTTAACTACAAACTATCAGAAAACAATATTTTATTATTTAATTCAACTTTTAACTATTACTATTTTACACCATATGTTAAAATTTGTGACAACCTTGATAATATTACAAGTAACAACAATAATAACAACAATAATAATAGTAGTAATAATGAAAATAATAACAATAATAACAATAGAAACAATAATAATAACACTCAAGTTAAATTAAAAACAATTCATATCCTAAATCGAGCACCAACAAATAATATTTGCTTAAATTTAGATCATATAATAAATCCTATCCCTCAAGACCATTTTTATTATTTCAATGCTGTTTATTCTAGATATTTTAAATGTAAATAATATAAAATCCGATAAAGATAATATATAATTAACACAAATTATTTAGATACATCAAAAACCACAATTGAGGATCAACTCAATCCTCAAATTTCATACCCGGATCATTTACCTTTTATGAAATATATTTCATTTTCACAAATAGAATCAATAACCGAATCTTATTTTAAAATAGTAGGTGTATTGTTTGTTTTTAAAATAATTATTATTAAAATAAAATTTTCAGAAAATTCCAGAGTCGTTGATAAAATCAACCAATTTTAATGGAAATTCATTGTTTTATATAGATATCCTGGAGTTGGTAACAATCATTCTCAACAGCAAGGAAGATTATAACACTTTGGGTCTTGATGAATATAACAACTTCTTAGTAATCGACCTATACCATGATGGATTTAAATTTGAAGAAACAAAATCTGCCTTGGGTGTATACATATGTTTGTATACACCTCAACTACAATATTCCAAAAAAAGTAGATATAGGTAAATCTCTTTGAAAAAACACTTTGTTTACAAGTTTGTTTTATTAAAAATATATTCATTTTTATTAATTTTTTTTAGGTTCCTCATTACAGTGATTGAAAAAAGAATGGATTCTTTAACGAACCAAAAGTTGGTACTACGCACTATAAATTATTTATTCAAAGATATAGTCGAAAAGATTATATCCAACACACCAATAGTTGCGTACAATCAAACCAAGATTTTTATTCAAATTGGGGTAAATACTGGTGATTCACTTGGTCTTCATGATAGTATTGGAATGCGTGCTCCCACGCAAAAAAATGCATGCCTGAAATGTGGATGTTTGTTTAATGAGAGACATGCCACATGCATCCCAAGGGTCATAACCAGTACAGTCAACACTTTCCCAGTTACATATGTTTCAATTGTAAGTAGTAGTGTTAAAACACCAGAGAGAGCCTTGACCTTAGTTCAGAATTCTCAACATGACCAATATGCTCTGTTCTGTGAGGATGACACTGATCAAATTGATAGTGTTCCCAAGTGGAGTAAGTATTTTTAGTTTATATTTTGTAATATTATTTATTTATCTGTTTTTAATTAATTTATATATATATTAGCTGTTTTCTTAAACCGAAAGATGAACATTTTCCTTCAATCTGCCACAGATCCGATTCATCTGTTATACCTAGGTATTATGAAAACATTGGTAAAAAAGTATGAAAGAATTAAAAAAGAGTGAAATATATTTATGTATATTAATTAAAACATTTTTTTAGTCTATTATCATTGTTTAATGTTGAACAAAGAGATCAACTTCATTTGATCTTTCAAACACACCCAACAGTTGAGGGTAAGAATTTGAAGAAGGCAATCTCCAAAAATAAATCATTAAAAGCATACGAACAAAAGATATTAGTTTTGACCTTGTCGAAGGGAATCATGCTATCTTTTCGCCCAATAGTTAAAGGATTTATATCAACAAAAAAATTGATTCTATTTATTGTATGTACTAGCTGTATTTAAAAATGTTTAATTATTTTAATTTACAATCATTTTACTTTAATATAATGTTTTAGGATTTGTTCGATATAATTATATCATTTCAGACTATCTGCATGTATATCAATTCGAAGATGTTGGATAATCAAAATGAAATATTAGAGTTGGCCAAACTAATCAAAGACCACCAAGATAGTTACTATCGATGGTTTGTTTCATACAAAGAACATTTGAAATCTAATTCGAACAACAATAATGCCAACACCAATACCAACGAAGTCAACAACAATACCAACGATGATAACAGTGGCGATGATAACAGTGGCGATGAAAACAATGGCGATGATAACAATACCATTATCAGCGAAGAAGAAAAAGAGAAGAAACGTCTAGAAAAACTTTATGGCAATGTTTTCCCCAATCATCATTTACTCTCACATTTAATTGAGGATATACAACTCTTTGGTCATCCTAACAAATCAAGTATAATCAATGTTAATCCAATGGAAGGCCTACACCAAGTTTTTACAAACAAAGAAGAGGTAATTATAAATACATAACTTAATTTTACGAAAATACTTATCATCACTGTCAATGTGTACAATTAAAATTATAGGGCATTTCTAATGGAGTTAGTAGAGAAAAAACTTTTTTGAGTTTTACAGTGAAAAAGAAGAATTTGGAATTAAATTCTAAAAGTCATAGCGATAAATACGATGGTTGTATAGTTGTTTTGGAATATATATCAAATCAAAAATTGTTTGAAAAGAAAGTTTTTGAATTTCCAACAGACTTCATTGCTTTGGTGATTGGGAATGGTGGTGGTGTGAGATCTATTAAGAATATTCGGGAAGCTAAATCTATTCACATTGACAATATGGTTTTTAAGGGTGTGACAGACTTTAATGAACATTTACAAAGTGCAGATAACAATTCAGAAGACGGAATAGACTGTAGCTACCACAACAACCCACACCGAGAAGCTAACAATGGTCCGATTGAATATGGTAATATTAAAAAGATTTATATCTTTGAATATGAAAATCACCCCACAGAGATATTTTTAGAGGTAATAAATGAAACAATATATTTAAATAATAAATATTATATTAACAAAAATAATCTTTAATTACAATAGATATTACCATACAAAGCTATTAATACAGACTCTGTAGAATTTCTATCCAAGTGTAATATTCAATTTGATCATCGAATAGATATAAATACAGATGAGTTGAAATATAGATTACAAATCAATATTTTAAAGTATTTGAAATTGTATTGTAAATCAAACACAACTAAATATGTTAATGCTCAAGACATTAGAAATAGAGTTTATATTTGGGAAACTGGAGATAAATACATGATTATTGACAATAAGAACGAAATAGAAACAAATTGAATTGGAGAAAACATGAACATCGTCACCCTCGATTCCACCCTTATCAACACAAAAGGTATCGCCAACCACCACAATAGCAGCATCAACCACCTTGCCAATCACCAAACAATCAACAACAACAACAGCAACCACACCGTAGCAGCAGTGCCACTTCCATGCTTATAGTGGTACCATTACCATTGTAGTCATAAATAAAAAAAAATATAATTATTCAAAAGCTTTTTATTTGTTAAACATTACAAGTAGCTTTATCCACAATACAATATAATAATTTATTAAATACTACAATTGTTGTGTGTTTTTAGCAAATATAATGAATTTTTATTGATTATAATAACTATAGCTATTATTAAATTGATTTGAGTATTTTGGGCATAGGGTGAGCATAATCATGATTTGACTTTTGTTATTTCTTTGTGACAGATATTATAAAATCTAAAATCTATCTATTTTAGATTCAAACAGAAAACTAATGTTTGAATATGGAACAGACAGACATGAATGTGGACAACGAATTGATCAACTATCGATGCATAAAGAAATACTAAAACGAATGAAGTACGAATTAGAACAAGCTGACTCTAAGATGTCATCTAGCGATTCGATATTGTTACTATGCTATTAAGGTTACTAATCTGTGGTTGTTGGTGATCGTTTTCCAAATGCTTTCTTTCTCTTGTAATAGAGCTATCACTACGATTGTTTCGTAGTTGTCATGGGCACCACACAAATCAGTGTGTGAAAAAAGTTTTTCACTTTTGAAACGTGCATTTTGATCATAGTAAAAATTTAAGGTGTGCTAGTGTGGTTATCATTTTTTTACAATGTTGTCGAGATTTTTACCACATTAATTTTAAAAATTTATTTTGATGACTCGAACCAAAAAAAAAAAAAAAAATGATCATTTCAAACAATAGTTATTTAATAATATTTAAGATTTAATTTAAGATAGTCAATTAATAGTTATTTATTATCGATTTGCAGATTTGATAGCAATATCAAACAATAGTTATTTAATTTGAGATAGTCAACAGTAACAATAACAATAACAGTAACAATAACTTCACTTATAGCAATAACAATATTAATTATAATAATAATAATAATAACAATAATAACAATAATCTATAACAATAGTTTTTTTAATTTAAATGAATCCATTTATTAGTTATTTGGAGAGTCAAGATATGGAGATCGAATATCTTTCTCAGCAGATATTGCTACTAAACCAACAAACACTACAAATGCGACCAACGAACCAACAACAACAATATCAACATCAACAGCAGCAACAACTCAAATTACAGCAACTACAACCACAGAACAACAACGATCGTTCGAACTTCTGAAATACAACAAAGACAAACAACACAAAGAGAGAGAAGAATAATCGATCATCTGATGTTCGCCCATCGTTATTCCAAAATGGACAAAAAAGTCTTTGCTAAATCAAATAGTATGTCATTCCAGTGTATATTTAATTGATGTTTAGAATGTGAACTAACAAAAAAAAAAAATAGATGGTGTCGATATAGCACTTGGTGGGAAGCTACAATAACAAACATTGTATAGTATAATCAATAATTCATTTGAAAACAGTATCAAATTCAAACAAGGTGGTGAAAAGATACAAAAGACAAATGAAACTGACATTGTAGAGATCGATGATGCATTGACGATCTTTTGCAATAGTAGATTCAACTATGAGACATGTCTATGAATGCAATATTGGTATGTTTACATTTAAAAGCTTTATCTTCTGAATAAATACTAATATAGTAATTATGATTAACAAAAAAATAAATATTCTCATTTATAATATAGATTATCTATAAAATCGTTGCAAGCTCGGTACCTCTTTTTAAAGTTATTTAACATTTTTTTTTCTCATTAAAAAATAAATTGTCGTAACAACTACGAATTTAATGTGTAAAAAAGGGCATAACGAATCCCATTCGTAGTATGCTTTTTCATACAAATTTTTTTTTTTTTGCATTTATTGAGTTGAATACTATGTAAAAACTTCGTAACAACTACGAAAAAATTGTAGTGTTGCTCGATCATGATTGTAAGTAAAGTTACACATTTTAAAGATGTTGATAGATATATAGAGTCAACTTGTTCTAACTCGTACTTTCTTTTTAGTATCTCTTTATGCATCGGTAGTTGCTCATTTCGTTGTCCACATTCATGTCTGTTCCATATTCAAACATTAGTTTGAATCTATCCAATTTAGCGACGTCAAGGATTTGCAGAGAGCGAGAGATAGAGATGCCAAAAGTAAAGATCGATCAATCAACGAATAAATAAACTTAATTCTCACAATTGTCTTAAATCGAAATGATATCTTTTTATTTACTATTCAATCTTTGTTATTTCTTTACAACATTGTTGTTTTAAACAAATCGGTGGATTGAAACAAACTAATATTCTTCAAATTAAATATACAACTTTTATTACAGTTTAGTATGATGTTTATGATGATGATATTACAATTTTATTTGATTAACTATTTCAAATTGGTGTTGGTGGTTGTTCATCAATAATTATCTTTTTGTTTTGTTCCTCTACCAGCTTTGCATATTCACCTTTGAGATTGAGCAGTTGGAAATGATCGCCACGCTCTATAATCGTACCGTTCTTCAATACCAATATCTCATCGCAGTGCATAATAGTCGAGAGTCGATGTGCGATGATCAGTGTGGTTCTACCCTTGGAGATGTCATTCAATGACTTTTGAATATTCTTTTCGGTTTTGGAATCGAGAGCACTCGTTGCTTCGTCGAGAATCAAAATCGGTGGATTCTTTAGTATGGTTCGCGCGATGGCAACACGCTGTTTCTCACCACCGGAAAGTCGGAGTCCACGCTCACCAACGATAGTTCCGAATCCCTCTGGTGAGTTGTTGATAAACTGAAGGATTTGAGCGCGTTCCGCAGCGTCGATGAGATCTTCATCGGAGCAGTCACGCTTACCGAATCCAATGTTGAAAGCGATCGTGTCGTTGAAGAGAACGGTGTCTTGTGGAACGACACCGATGGCGCCACGCAGCGACACCTGTGTCACCGAACGGATATCTTGTTGGCCAACCAAGATCTCACCTTCGTTGACATCGTAGAATCGACAGAGCAGACGGAATATAGTTGATTTACCACCGCCGGTCTCTCCGACGATCGCCACCGACTTGCCGGCTGGCACCTTGAAAGAAACGTTATCCAAGATCTTATTACCGTTTTTATAGGAGAATGAAACATTGTTGAATTCAATCGATGGCAGTTCATTGTCTGCCGTTGTGTAGGAGAGTGGCACGGCATTAGGTGCATCGTCTACCTCTGGTTTTGTATTCAATAAATCCATTAGATTCTCCATGTCTGTGAATGCTTGAATAATCATACGATAGCTTGTTCCCAGCCAAGACAGTGGTTGGAACATCTGAGCGATATAGGTGTTTATCGCAATGATATCTCCAACTGTGAAACCACCCAACGACGCCATATAAGTGGCATATAGCAGTCCCAATGTGGATCCAATGATAATGATAGTAGATTGACCGGTATTGAGCGCGACATACGTCGATTTCGCCTGTACGTTGATCTGGTGGAATTGCTTCAGTGCCTCCTCGTAACGCGAACGTTCGTACGCCTCGGAAGTAAAGTATTTTATCGTCTCAAAGTTCTGTAGAGTATCCATTCGGATGTCTGACGCCTCACGTTCCTTCTTGTTGGCGAGTCGACGGAATTGATTACGATACTCTGTGACCGACAGTGTAAAGAGAACGTAGGCAATACAACACGTTAGATTTATCATTGAAAAGTAGAAGCCATATGAGAACAAAAGGAAGAGTGTCACTGTGAACAGCTCTAATATCGTAGGGAATATATTGAAGAGTAGCAACGACAGCAGTGTAACTATACTATCGGTACCACGCTCCACAATCTTTATCAATCCGCCGCTCCGTTTACTCAAGTGGAAAGACAGCGACAACTTATGCATATGATCGAACGTCTCCAGTGAAACCACCCGAATCGCACCATTACTAACCTCTTGAAACACGAGATCTCGCATATCGAATATACTCTTTTGAATGACAGCTAACAAACCGAACCACAGTATCAACTTTACCGGTACTTGGTCGGGTAACGAATTTATAATTTTCTAAACAAATGAAAGGTGTTAGATATTGATTGATCAAATAAAACAACAGTTGTTTTTTTTTGTTTTGTTAATGAACAACTTACTGTAAATACTTGTGGTACATATAGATTGATTGCTTTCGAAATAAATATAATTGAAACTGATATTACAACTCTTACTTTTGCAGAGAATGTATTCTTTGTCCAATAGTAAGGGAATAGTGCTTTTATCATTACCCAAGCAGTGAGGAATGACGGTCTTTTAAGATTTAGTTCTTCTGCGGTCGGTGCAGCAAGTGACACACTCAACTTTGCAAGTGGTACCTTATATTTCTTCTTTCCATTGTCATTATCTCCTTCACCTTCAGCTTTCTCTAAAAGTAATCCTTTCTCTAGATCTATTTGATTCTCTGATTGTTTAACAGATCTCATAGACACACCACCACCAAACCTCGCCATATTTTTGCTTTTTTACTGTTTATTAATTTACTATCTATTTTTTGCAAAATAATTATATTTTAGACAAATTAACAAAAGCAAATTAAATTAAAAATAAATTAAATAATAAAAATGTAATGTAAATAAAAATCTTTTTCTTTTTTTATAGAAAAACAAAAAAAAAAATAAAACTTAATTCTTTTTTTTATAAAAAATATAAATGTAAATGTAAATGGTGGTCTGAACTTCTTTAATGTTCCAACACACTCACAAATCTTTGTTACTAATTTTTGTTTTTGTGTTTGTGACAATTAATTGATTTAAACAAAACTAAATAATTAGTGTTTGATCTGTTTCGAAAGTAAACAATTTAAATGTTCTTAAAATTGTGACATGTGCACCAAATAATTGGAAAACTTCTGTTCCAAAGAATGAAAAATTAATTAAATCCCAAAAAAGTAAAAATTTCATTTTCAAATTTTCAAAAATAGAATATTTTGCGAACAACAAATAATTATCTGTTACTGAAAATGAATTGATTAATTTCCGTCAATCTAAAACTCGTCTTCCATTTTAAGATTCCATTCTAAACATTAAACTTATATAAGTGCTGTTAAACTATCGATCATTTTAGAATTAGGTTTTTTATATTTATTTAATTATTATTTTTTTGTAAAAGTATGTTTAATTTGTCAGAAATCTACAAATTTCACCTTAAATTTCATATAAATTACAAAATAAACTAAAAATAAATTAAATATAAATAAATTGTAATTACAAAAATTAAAATAATAATAAACATTTTGAAAAAAAGAATATTAATAAATCTTAAAGTTATTATTAAAAAACAATTAAATGGGTTTTTTAAATATCCCATTTTAATTTTTTTTGATTATCATGATATTAATGAAATTAGAAATTTCTTTTTCTTTTCTCGAAATATCTTTAGGTAGTGGTATCGGAATTGTTGAGTACCATCTGACACTTATAAATCGTTTGGGGTTATAAAAAAAGAAGGGTCTTTTTGATTGAAAATAAAAAAAAAGAATCTAGTTTTGGGTTTGGATCAAAAATAAAAAAATCCGATTATCGGGGAAGAATGGGAATGAGTCTCAATGAAACTGTTGGGTTTTTTTGCATTCACACACTGTCCACCATTACCATCTTTCTTCTTATTTAAATCATTCATTTTTGAATACAATTGTCAAAATAATTTATATGTACATAATATTTAAATGAAATCAATTATATTATTACTATCTGTTTTAATAACAGTATCTTATAGCTTCAATTTGAATGCTCATTCAAATTTAGTTGCATACTTTGGTCAAGATAGTGCCAATGACGGTTCACAACAAATGTTGGTAAGTAACAAACTACTAACAATGAAATTGTTTTTCAACAAATTTAAAAAGTAGTAGTATTGGTATTAACTTGTATTAATTTTCAAAAGAGTTACTATTGTAATGATACAACTTATGATGTTTTCATTCTATCGTTTGTAGATATTTTCTTTAGTGGTGAAACTTTCAATGGTGCTCAGTTGCCAGAGGTCAATCTTGCCAATCTTTGTCAGAATACATTCCCACAATACCCATTGTTGATGGATTGTCCAGAGATGGGTGATGCCATCAAGTATTGCCAGAGCAAGGGTAAGATTGTTACTATTTCGTTGGGTGGTGCTGTCGGTGCCTACGGTCTTTCTTCGCCCTCGGAAGCACAAGAGTTTGCCTCTACCGTTTGGAACTTGTTCCTCGGTGGAAACAACTCATATCCACGTCCATTCGGTGATGCCATTCTCGATGGTATCGATCTAGATATCGAGGGTGGCGGTGGACAAAACTATAATGTCTTCCTCACCACTTTGAAATCCAAGTATTTCGCCGGTGCTTCAAAGAAATACTATGTCTCGGGTGCTCCACAATGCCCGTTCCCCGACGCCTATTTGGGTCCAGGACCAAACACCGCTCTCCAAACTGGATTGTTTGATTTCGTCAACGTTCAATTCTACAATAACTACTGTGATTTGTCCGGTGGACAATCTAATTATCCTACTTGGTCCGAGTGGGCAGGCAATTCATCGTCGACCACCAAAATCATGATTGGTTTGCCAGCCGGTGCACAAGCTGCCGGTAGCGGATACATCCCAGCTGGTCAAGTCACCAACGCACTACACCCATATCTCAACAGTCCAAATTTTGGTGGTGTCATGATCTGGGACGTCTCTGTCGCCGAGAAAAACAAAAACGGTGCACTCAACTACGCTCAACTCCTCTCGCAATACCTCAAGAAAAACGCACCAGCTCCATCCTCAGAAGATGACTACGAATTTTAAAAATCATGTTTTCTCAACCCAACCAATACCACAATTAATTAGTAGTATTTTACCTTACTAATAAATATTTATCTTTGTATATTTTTTTAATTATCTTTTCTTTTTCTTTCTCATTGATATATCCTAAACTAATTTTTTTTTGAAAGAGGAAACAAAACTAATAATAATCCAGTTATCTGTTTTGTTAATTCTCCATTTATTATGTCTTAGAAACACAAATATTTTAAAAAGAAAAAGGTGTCATTCGAACTGATGATTGACGGTAGTAAAATTAAATGAAATGTGTGTATTGGTCCCAGAGTCCATCTACAACCACACTCTAAATTTGTTATAGTTGTTTACAGGTTGTAGGACGGTGTGTGGGGATCCATAGGATTAATTTCGGCAATACCTCAATGAAAGACTCTGGCATCCACAAACCAGTGTTGATCGCCATCTGTAAATCGTAGTTCTTTGCCTATTTCAATGTTTGTCAATGTACAATTGTTTTTTTCTAGAATAATGGTCACTGGACTTAACAGGTTTTGCAAAATCAATTTTTTTTTATTGGAATTTGAAAACCATTTTGGGGTGGTGTGTAAAAAGAAAGATACAAAGAAAAGCACACATTTTAATTTAATAGTAGTTATTCAGTTAGTTTGTACAAAGAAAATCATGATAGTTAAAAGTTTTGTTTGGGAACTTATTATGCAATGAACAAAGATAATCAGTATCTGATAGAAGAGTTAACAAAGTTTAAAAGTTATACAAACTTTCACACTGCGAAAGCGATCGAGAAGTTTATAGGATCTCTACATAAATTTCCATTACCTGTAACAAAAGATAGTATGTGTTAAATGTATTCATGCAATAATAACAATAACAAAAGCAATAACAATAATAATGATCAAATGATCATCATCGAGAGAGAAAAAAGATAAGAACGCATTTGTTTTTTTTTTTTTTTTTTTTTTCATATCATAATATCTATTTTTTATTACAATATTGTGTTGATTAATCATTCGATTGATTATATAGTTAAAATTAAAGCTATAATATAAGAGAAACAAACTAACTATCAGTATTATTAATTTAGATTGTTTAAATCTAGTTGGTTGTGGTAAACATATTGCAACTTTAGTTTCTCAAATAGAGACAAGAAAGAGAGAGTTTTCTCAATCAACAAAATTCAATAGTAATAACAATAACAATAATAATACAATAGATAATAATGGAATGAATGAAATCGAAGATTTTTTATCAAATTGTATGTATTTTTTAAATCAAATTGAAATGAATTACATTTTACTAATTCATTTGTTCATATATTCATTTATTTATTTATTCATTTATTTATAGATAATCCACCATCTTCATTGGCGGAATGGCTTGAAAGTATAAAATGTTCGCAGTATCTTGACTTTTTTATGCAACAAGGATTTGAAGATGTAAAAGATATCAGAATGATCGATCAGAGTCTGTTTGACCAATTCCCTGATGCTATTAAGTTTGCACATCAGAAATATATATTGAAAGCAGTCAATGAATATACCAAGTTTCAAGATATCATTAAGAGAATCGAAAGTGGTGATACTTTATTAAACAATAATAATAATAATAACATTAGTAATAGTAGTAGTCAACAACATTATCATAATCATAGTCAAAACAATGAAAGTTATGATTTAGAAGTATTATCTGAATCATCTTCACCAATATCACCAATAGAAAACAATCATAAGAAGAATAAATATAATAACAATAATAATAATAATAATAATAATAACATGGAAGTGGTAGAACAATATCAAGATGTTTATATAGATTTCAATGAACCAAATGTGACAAATTTCAATAGTGATGGCAAATGGCCATATATAGCCGATAGTATTCTTAAGCAAAGAGTTGAACTTGATGGTATGTTGTGTATTTTTTTAATTTTGATCAATAATAATTTGCTGATTATCTTTTTTTTTTAAAGTTTATAATAGATCAATAAGAGAGACTTTGGAAACGAATAGAATCAAGACGATCGAGTTTGATAGAGCAAGTTTGAAAGGTGTGGTGTTTGGTCATGTCGAGATAGAGTTGATGCAACACCGACCAGAGTATAAAGTGGAAATCGAGTTTAGTGACTACAAGAGTGTCATCCTCGCGAATTGTACGTGTAAATATAGGTGTGGGATGAAATTTTGCAAGCATATCTGTGCCATTCTATTGTATATACGTAAATACAGTTCGGAAATAAACTTGGACGATGACAACAATAACGAAGGCAACAACATCGACAATGGTGATGATAATGATGTCAGTGTTACTGGTGGTAGTAGTAGTAGTAAGAAAAGTAGAGGTGGTCGTCGTAGTTATAACAAAAAGAGAGATGATGATTCCGATTTCATCGTTGACAATGATTATGATTATGATGACGACGACGACAACGACTTTGAAGAGGATTACCCAAAGAAACGAAAGAGAAAGTCGACAACAAAGAATGGCAGCGCTACACCGAAAACACCAGGAAGTGGTAAGAAACCATATTACCCAACGTTTAGAAGTGGTGCTTGGGCATTTATGATGGCACTCTATGTATCGACGATGAGAGACGATCAACCGGAATTGAAAAAACCAGATATCCTCTCGTTCTGTACTATCTATACGGACAACAAGAATATTGAAAACAGTTGGTCGTCCAGTATGAAGACGTTGGAGACAAATGAGTTGGTGATGCGTACTTCCAACTCTGCCTATAAGCTTACACCAAAGGGACTGCAACTTGGCAAGAAGATCTATAAATCCAATGAAGGTGAGGATTTGTCACCTACACAAGAGGGAAATGGCAGTCCGGTTGATATTCATGTGTTGGCGTTGGATTGTATCGATGGTGGTGGTGACAACGGCAACAACAATGATAGTTATTTATCGACAAACAACGATCTTCTTAACAATAGCTATGACAATCCAGAAGCGGATCTCTATCAACTAAAGGATTGGAGTGATAGCGATGACGATGTCATCAATTATATGCTTCACAATAGTCCACTTACCAAAGAGGAGATGCTCAAGATTCGTGCCAACAGTCTCGTTATAAATAGTGTACAGTTACTAGTGGATAACCGCGAGGTTAAAAAGGGAAGAGACAACTCCAATCTACTGCAAGGTCTGAGTCGTCGTAATATATCGTTTGATCTTCGAACGTTGCCACTTGGTGATTTCCTCTGGGTGGCCAAAGCGTACTGTGCGGACGACCCGCAAAAGTCAATGTTTGAAGTGGTTCTCAATCTGGTGATCGAGCGGAAGCGACTCACCGACTTGAAAGAGTCGAGTACCGACGGACGGTACGCCGACCAGAAATACCGATTGGCGCGGTGCGGCATCACCAAGGTATTCTACCTGGTGGAGGGCGACAACACCGAGATGATTATCAAAGACACCTTCTACGAGCAGTGTATCGCAGAGACGTCGATCTACGATCGATTCCAACCGATGCTGACCAGCGGCGAGGAAGGCACAGTGTTGATGTTGGACAATCTTCACAAGATGTTTGAGCGTGGTGCACATCAGTATCTGACCGATATGACATTCGCCGACTTTGAGGAGCGTTCGGAGCATGTACCGATATCGATCGGTGGTATATTCGCCCAGACACTGCTCTCGATCAATGGTATGACACAAACAAAAGCCACTGCAATTCTCAGACGCTATCCGACACAGAAATCATTGTACGATGCCTATTACAATCTCCGATTCGCTGAAGAAGCTCAGAGTGCGAATCTTCTTGCACTTTTATGCTCAACCGATTCACCCAATGTTTCAGTTGGATACCAACTCAGCCAATTCATATATAAATTATATAAAAATGTAGAATAACCTATTTAAACACTGCTGATAATTTTTTGAATTCGCACAAACTTTTTTGATTTCCATTTCCATTTTTAGACGACCATTTTTGGCACATTAAATTAAATCATGATAGTTCTTAGTAGTTTGTTTGAGAACTTATTATTATGCAATGAACGAAGATAATCAGTATCTGATAGAATCCCTATTATTTTTTACTATTAGATTATTCTTTGTATTAATAGTTGTAATCAAAACAAACTAACTTTATAAGTATTATTAAATTTAATTTAGATTGTCTAAGTCTAGTTGGATGTAGTAAACATATTGCAACTTTAGTTTCTCAAATAGAGACAAGAAAGAGAGTTTCTCAATCAACAAAAGTCAATAACAACAGTAATAATCTTATATATATTGGAAGCAGTCGATGAATATGCCAAGTTTCAAGATATCATGAAGAGAATCGAAAGTGGTGATACTTTATTAAACAATAATAATAATAACGACATGGAGGTGGTTGAACAATATCAATATGATTTCAGCGAACCAAATATGACAAATTTCAATAGTGATGGCAAATGGCCATATATAGCCGATAGTATTCTTAAGAAAAGATTTGAACTTGATGGTATGTTGTATTTTACTTTGATTTTTAAAGCATTTTAATTATTAATTAAATATTATTACTTTGCTTTACCTTTTTTTAGTTTTTAATAGAGCAATAAGATACACTTTCGAAGCGAATAGAATCAAGACGATCGAGTTTGATAGAGCAAGTTTGAAAGGTGTGGTGTTTGGTCATGTCGAGATAGAGTTGATGCAACACCGACCAGAGTATAAAGTGGAAATTGAGTTTAGTGACCACCATACCTGTAAATAGGTATAGGATGAAATTTTGCAAGCATATTTGTGCCATTCTCATAATAAAAATACACTCACTTTAAAAATTTTTTTATGACTCAGAACTTCAAAAAATTACGTAATTAAATTATTTTTTGATCCTTTGCTGAATAGTGATTGAACTTCTGTGAGTCATAAAAACCCCCTAATTTAATTAAATTAAATTTAATTTACAAAAAAAGAATTTACAATTTAATTAAATTTAGATAAATAATTAAATTCTGTTTATTTTTAATAGATTCTTTCAAAGTTACAAATATATATATAATTAACTTTTTGTTTTGTTTTTATCAGAATATATTTATATATATTCATTTAATAATATAATAATACTTACTTACTATTTATGAATTCAAATAGTAATTCACCAACAACCCCAACAAACGATGTTAAGGAATTAGATAATATTCTATTTAGATTCGCGCTGACAGATAATGGAGTGTCGTTCAATAAGTTTTTAGATAGCTATTTGGTGGATGTCATCGGTCGGTTGGCATCGAGCGATGCACTCGTCAAGAAAAAGGTGATGGAAGTGCTGAGTAACATCAATAAGCGAACGATGTTTGCCAATGACTTGATCTATCCCATCGATAAGCTATTGGCACTCTATCGTGACAGTGCCACCCCGCTAGTAGTCAGAAACTTTGCAATCGTCTACATCGAGAAAGCATTCAATTCACTACCGAAAGATCAAAGACAATCCTATCTAACTGCAATAGTCGATGGATTATCTTCACTGCCAATTCAACATCAAGATATATTCTGTCATATTATTTTATCTGTAAGCCAACAAACTATATAATAACATTGGCTATAACTAGCTAACTAACTTATTAATATATTCTTAGATCATTTTAACAATAACATCATTCCCAAAGATTGATAGTGAAAGAGATAAACTCTATCCATTCAAAAACAATGAAAAAGATTGTAATTTACTCTTGGATTTCTTTTTAGATTTCCTTATGATTCCAACTGCCAATCTACCCAAAACTAAAGAGGAATTAGTGTAAGTTAACTACCATCCTATTTGAGGGATGATGATGTTAAAACTATGAATTAGATATTAATATTCATATTTGTGTAGTATTCCACCAGGACATAGTATGATATCATTACAGAGAATCATGGGAAAGAATATCGATAAATATGATTTCAATTCAATCGTCGAGAGGAAGATGTCGATTCTAAACTTTTTGGCAAGTGGTTTGTTTGCCGATACCGATGTGATCGTACACTTTATCATTGCATCGACCGATATATTTCAGGAGGTGAATCGTAAGGGTGAAGATACGTTGAGACGTTTGCCAAAGATCAACTGGGAGAATCCTGCGTTGATCAAGAAGTTGTATTTCATATTCCAAGGAACGTCAGCAGAGGAGAATAAACCGGTGGATCAACAGCGTAAGCCTGGTTCCTCACAGACACGTGAGAAGATTCTCCACTATTTCTGCAAGTCGCTGCTCGCTGCCAATAGCTTCCCAGCGACGTTGCAAATCATTTTCGAATCGGTGTATGGCAGCAGTTCAACTATGCGTTTGAAACACTCTGCCATGACATTCGTGCAGTGGGTATTCCGACACGCCGAAGACCGTTACATTCAGACGTTTGGACCGATCATCCTGAGTGGTTTGCTCAAGTTGCTAGACTCAATGGATAACGACAGTGGCAAGGAAGTCAATGAACTAAAGTCATTCACCTATACTTCACTTGGTCTGCTGTGCAAGCGTAACAACTCATTGTTCAACAAGGACTTGACATTGGTGTTGAAACTAATGTCAAAGATTGGCAAGGAAGAATCATTGGTGAGCAGCGCCATTCAAGATTGTCTCGTAATGATAAGAGAAGCGTTCATCGATCTAAAAGATCAAACAATGAAAGATAATTTAATCAAAATATTAATGAAGTTTATTTATAATGTAAGTATCTGTTCATTGTTTGCCAAGTTATACACCAGTTTACTAATTGCACTTGTTTGTTGTGTAATTAGAATGAATATTTAATTAGATATATTGTTTTGCAATGGGCACAACATTGTTTTCCATTTGAAAACGTTGCATCTAGATATTTCAGTTTGGTAATGGTTGGTGATGTTAGACCTGATATTAGAGAGGAAGCAAGACGTGGATTGGAACCGTATGAACATAATGGTAATATGTTGATTCCAAGCGGTGACGCTGCCACAGCAAAATACCCAGATTTTAAGCAGCTTTTAAATTACATTGTTGAAAATCGCAAGGAAATCATTGAATCCAAACAAAAGATTGCTCAGGGTGTCATTCAGAATCTTGGTTTCACATCGGTGTCATTCGAATACATTCTCACTCTGTTGCGTACCTCTATGAGAAAGACTGCTCTCTCGCAAAAGAAGACGGTACAACAGTATTTGAATGAAAGTTTGGACCGATCTACAATGGAATCTTATATGGATTTGATAGAGTCTGCTCTTGTTTCAAAGGCTGGTGACGATCTCTATCTTGTGAGTTGTGTTTCTTTGTTGCAGCTTTTCAATATCTATCCTGCGTTCATCGAGAAATTCGTAGCAAAGATCGATCAACTCAATCAATTCCTCAAGAATGGCAAGTATTCAACGAGAGAACTCATTGCAAAGATGATTGGTTTGGTTGCTTCACAACTACCACAAGAGGTTCGCACCTCGCTTGTTGAACAGTACTTAAAGACCGTCACAACTGAGAAGGATCAACTTGAAATCTTTGGTCCGTTGTATACTCTCGCCTATATGATTGCAAAGAATCAACATGATAAGAAACCATTGGACGCACTTATCAGTGAACAACAGTTTAGATCGTTGATCGAGCACGTCAAGCAGTTCTTTAAGAATACCAATGTGACGCTGAAGGTTGCTTCGATTGCCTGTGTCGGAATCATTGGATTGTACGCACCGATTCCCTATCTATCAAAGGAGGAGAAGGAGTCGATCATCAAGGAGCTGGCGACAATGTTGGAAGTTGGAAGTGAAAGAGGTGTATCAGAGTCAGTGTTGATCTCTCTCGGATGGATCAGTCTTGGTGATCCCAATCTTGGTGCCACCAGAAAGTACATGGTTGATTGTCTATTCAAGCAGGTCAACAACAAGAATGAAGAGTTGCAATTTACCGTTGGTGATACACTGTCGCTGATTATCGGTGAGCACTTGATGCAGTCGAATATGATCCATCCATTCTCACCATTCACCACCGAGGAATTGAAATCTGAGATTCAAGAGGAGAACGAAGCGATCGGTCAAAAGACTGATCAAGATGTAACAATGACCGATAACAACACTGTCAATGACGAGAAGAACCAAGAGTTGGTGGCAACTTTGGAACGTATTCTCAGCTCCTACTTCTCAGATAGACAATCACCAGTGACTAGATGCTCTGCAGGTACTTGGATGCTTTGTATCCTCAAGAACTTTGGTTCTAGACCAGAGATACAATCGTTGCTTCCACAAATTCAAAATGGTTTCTGTTCACTACTTGCCGATAACAATGAATTGACACAGGATATCGCATCGAAAGGATTGACTTTGGTTTACGAATCCAGTAACGATCCTAAATTCAAAGAGTTCCTCGTATCGAATCTCTCCAAGACACTCGCTGGAAAACCAGCTCAGAAAGCACCGGGTTCCTCTGAACTCTTACCAGAGGGAGCAGTTGGAAAGACTGGGCAGGTTGCAACTTTCAAAGAGTTGAGTACACTCTCGACAGATCTAGGAAAACCAGATATGATTTACAAATTTATGAATCTATCTTCACATCATCAAATTTGGAATTCAAAGAAAGGTGCTTCTTTCGCCATTGTTTCGTTGGCATCGAAAGCCAAAGAAGAGTTTGCACCGTTATTACCATATTTGGTACCAAAGATCTATCGTTACATCTACGATCCCTCGCCAAAGATTGCTACATCGATGAAGAATATCATGAGTTCTATTATCGATGCAAAGGATATCTTCCCCAAGTATTTCGAACCGATCATCAAAGATCTTATTCAGGGTATGGGTCAGTCGGCTTGGCGTGTTCGTGAAGCAAGTTGTGCCGCAATTCCCGATACAATCTCACATGCCTCTTCCCAAGATCTACTGCCATACATTGAGGAGTTGTTTTACATGAACTTTAGAACGCTCGACGATATCAAGGAGTCTGTAAGAAAAGCTGCTGAATCATCGATTAAATCACTCGGTACTGTTACCTCTAGATTGGTGGATCCAACTTCAACATCGAAAGCTACAGCCGGTGATATTCTCAAAGTGGTACTTCCATTGCTACTGGAGAAGGGTATTTCCAATGAATCGAAAGAAGTCAAGATCTTTACAATTCAACAACTTCAAAAGATTACCAATACCTCAAAGGATTTGATTAGACCATATGTTCCACAGATGGTTCATGTCCTGCTAGAGTCGTTGTCATCGATGGAGTCTGCAGCTTTCAACTATGCAACTATGCATGCCGAATCCTATAACTTGACACAGGAACAACTTGAAAAGGTTAGAATTGAAGTGTCGAAATCATCGCCACTCAACGATATTTTGGAGACATTGATAAAGTATATCGATCAAACCAACATCTCCGATGTAATGTTGAACATCATTCAAATGATTCAATTCAGTGTTGGTGTGGTAACAAGAGTTGGTGTTGCCAAATTCATCTCGAACCTTTTCCAATCTCGTTATGTCTCGGTTGATGTACCGGAACCACTGATGCAAAAACTGATCAATGCTATCTTCCCATCGATTATGGATAAATCACCGGCCACCAGAAGACAATTCGTTGCAACACTCTGTATCACCGTGAAGAAATCCAACAACACCAAGCTCATGAAACAAACAATCTCACAAGTGATGGGATTGGTCATTCCAAACAAAGAGACTGGTGAGATTCCATCGCAAGGAGATGAGATCGTTGCTCTAGAGACCTCTGGAATATTCTTCCGTGAGCTATACAAGATCGCCTCCACCGAAATTCAACCATTCAACAAAGATCTCATTCCCTTCCTCTATTTCTTCCGTTCTCATCCTAAACCAGAGGTTGCCGAACTCTTCAAAACCATTTGGGACGACAACTCCATTGGAAATATTAAACTGTACACCGACGAGATTATCAAGATGATATCGATTAACTTGCTATCGAGTTCATGGACCGCCAAACAACAAGGAGCACTCTGTCTCTCGAATCTGACAAACGATATCAAGAATATGATGCATGGACACTTGCCAGTGGTTTTGGATCTGGTTGCAAAAGGTTTGCTTGGAAAAACCTATTCAGGAAAGGATACATTGTTAGAGTCAATGTCTGCCATTTGTATTATATGCTGTGATGAAATCAAGTCGGCACCAAACGATGGAAAGATGCCCTCTGCTGTAGATATTCTTACTGTTATGATTCAAGAGTGTAAGAAATCGGATTTGGAATACAAGAGAAAAGCACTGGCAAACCTTTCAAAGATTATTTCAGCATTCAAGGATATAGATGTCTATCAAAAGGTGAGCGAGATTTTGTATCCAATTCTATTCGAACAGGAAAAAGAAAAGAAGGACGATTCGGAAGAGGTCGACCCAAAGACAAAGCCAATGATGATTATGGTCAGAACTGCAGCCTACAACGTAATCGGTGAAGCTTATTCTGCCGCAAGCAAAGAAACACAAGTCAAGAATGCCAACATTGCCGATAAGCTTCTAGAGAATCTTATTCATAGTATCTGGAGTGAACAAGTATCGATACTGGCAGCAATGAAACTTGTTATTCATTCACTCTGGGAGAATGGTAATGAAGACTCCAAGATCCTCTCTGAACGTTGGGTACCTGCATTCATGGAAAACATCCTCGAATGTTTGAATACCACAAAATATACCGTCGTAAAGAAGAGTGTTTTGGATTTGATTGAACAGATCATCACAGATGGCAAGAAATATTCAGTTGTAAATAGACATTTCGAAACAATCAAGACAACCATTGATCAAGCAGCAAAAAAAGATTCATCAGTTGGAGTACAAGTTGATAAAATCAATTTAATGTTTAAATAAATAAATAAAATATACTATATTAAAGAAATTAATTATTTTATTATTTATCTCTTTCTCTTTTTATCTTGAGATTTCTTTCCTTTTGGTGCTTGTTTGTTGGCAGCACCCTTTTTCTTGCTATTTCTATTATCCCATTTACCAACATCTGATGGCTTGAATTCTTCGAGCATCTTTTCGAATTCGTCGGCATCCATAAAAGAGGAAGAAGATTTCTTCTTTTTCTTTCCATCCATCTCGTCGAAATCGGCATCCAACAAATCGTCTTCTCCCAAATCTGGTAGTTCACCATCATCTTCCTCATCTAAATCGTCTTCATCACCGAAATCTGGTTGAACAAGTTCATCATCCTCACCATCCAAAGCTTCATCATCTACTTCTTCATCTTCATCTTCCTCACCAAAGTCTGGTTGTATGAGTCCATCTTCACCAAAATCTTCATCGTCATCATCAACTACCTCTCCGTCATCTTCTCCGTCAATGGCATCTTCATCATCTTCAAACGATGATCCTGCCTTCTTTTGTTTCTTCTTGGTAGCACCTGCAAAAGTATCTTCATCTTCATTGAAATCATCTTCCTCCAAATCTGAATAACTATATTCTCCATCCTATAATATATTAATAACAATTGTTGTTAAACATCAATAACTTTTTTGTTAAAAAATAATAATAAACTTACCAAATCATCATCATCGTCATCATCATCTTGCATTCCTTCAAATTGAGCCATTTCATCTTTTTCACCTGGCATCATACCACCTGCCAAAGCAAGATCCAATTCATCATCATCAACAGCAAAACCAGATCTATGTGTATTTTGACCTGGCATCTTAACCTTTGATGTTTCACTGTAGTATTCTTCAAGATATTTATCAAGACTGTCTTGGAATTGATTAATGACATTCTTGCTTGCATCTGTAATTCTAAGTTCACCAGTTGATCTAATCTTATTTGATGGATTGGAAACGCTATAAAATATTATAAATTAATAATTCTTTTTTTTTTTTTTTTTTAGGAACTTTTTAACTTACACAAATTTCTCTAAGAAAGCAGGCAAAGTAAAGGTTAAAGATGGATTTCCTTTGAATTGAATTGGTTGCTTGTTCAACAAAGTATCAGCGAAAATTTGGACGGATGGATTGAAATGATCTTTGAAAACCATTAACTCCCATAAACATGTGGTATCTGCATGAGAAAACTGTGGATCACGTTTGATTGCATCATACTCTATTTTGTTTTCAACGTTTTCCTTTTCTTCGGTGGTAGCGGCGGTAGTAGTTTCAGATTCTTCAGTTGTTGTTGTCTTTTCTTCTTTCTTATTTTTCTTCTTTTCTGATTTCTTTGTGTTGTTGTTGTTGTTATTATCTTGTGATTTATTGACTTTAACAGTACTGTTCAACTCTGCCTCTGGAGTGGAGATAATATCACCAAGCTTTGGAACCTGTTGAATGAGAGTGGAAATCATCAACAAAACACCTACAATGAACGAGGTCTTTTGGATACTAGCATATTGCAGTGCTCTCTTAATCATTGCTTTGGATCTAGTGAGATTGGTATCGTTCTTGATCGATTTAAAAATCAAATTGATCAATGGAGTCTGATCGAATTGACCAATGAATTCTTTTCTTGCCAATAATTCATAAAGTGCTCTATAATATCTATCTGTAATATTCTTTATATAGAAAATATATTATTAATAAAATTGCAATTTGTTAATTGATTTGATTTTGATTGAACTAGTTACTTGATTTGTCTTTTTCATTTCATAGATGAGTGCAAGTGTCATGATTGCTTTGTTTAGTGAAGCGTGATGAGAAATCATAAAGATGGAATCCAATTGATCTTCAAAGTTGGAGATTGGAATCTTTGAGACCTCCATTGCTTTACGGATACCACGAAGAATCAGTGTGATAATGGTGGAATTCACTTGACGCTTGGTCACCAGAACATTGAAGAACGCCAGATAGATAGAGATCAACTTGGAGGAGACCTCTTTGTCTTTGATGTCATCGAGTGGTATGGCGAGGTAGAATCGCATCGCGTTGAACTGTGAGAGATGCGAGATGTTCGAACGATAGAGGAATTGCTCGACCTCACGAATCACCACCGGCTTCATTCCGGGGTGAACGTAGATGATCTCTTCCAGCAGCTCCGGCACAATCGAAGCGTTCTTACGGTCGTTGTCACCGAGCTTGTTAACCAACAGCGTAAGAAGAACGTCCTCCTGCTCCGGTTTCTTCATCAACAGACCATGAAGAATACGAATGGTTTTCTGACGTACCAGCGTAACAGAGTCACGCGACAACTTCTCAAGGATCTGAATGAACAGAGTGTAACGTGATTTCAAGAGATCCTCAAAGAACCATTGAACTAAATCGTCATCCTTTACATCCTTATCAAATGGTTGTCTATCAATGAATCTCCTACAAAAGATTAATAGTTTAACAACAAATAGTTTATTGTTAGTTCAATATTATGTTTTAACAAATTGTTTTGTTTTGTTTTGTTTTGTGTTTATTGATTGAACTTACTTTAATTTGTTATTTGGTAACAATGTACTTAAAAAGAGATCTTTCAATGTGGTCAATGATAACTCACGTTCACGTTGTGATTTCTTTTGAACCAATTGCAAGAGAATGTCGAGACTTGCCAATCTGAACATTGGTGCCTGTCTAACCAAAAGTGAAATAGAAGAGGTTCTATCAGTTGCTGTACCAGTATGTTGAAGTTTCTCTCTCCATTGATCATCTCTATTTGCTCTTTTTCTAAATTCTATGAAATTATTGATAATATTATAATAAATAATAAATTGATTAATGTGATATATAATTTTTAAATAGTAAAATCCAACAACTTACCATCCAAATAAGATTTACATCTTTCAGTATATAGGGTAGCCGCTCTTGTATAAATTTGTTTCAATTCATCGTTAGTGGTATTAATGATTGGTTGAATGACAGGTACATCTGGAATCTTTTCAATTTTAACGGTGCTATCGAGAGTAACATTTTCCTTCTTAACAACTTTTTCTTCTTGTTTTTCTTTTTTAACTACAATCTTTTCATTCTTATTATATTGATTCTTTTTATTAAAATTATTATTATTATCTCTCTTATTACTATTGTTATTATTCTTGTTATTATTATTGTTGTTGTTTGTTGTAGTTGTTGTTGTTGTTGTTGGTTTCTTATCACCACCGAACCAACCAATCTTTGAAGCTACACCAGTCTTTTGTTTCTGTTCTTGTCTTCTATCATAACCTTGTTTATCATTATTATTATTATTCTTTTGATTTCCTGCCATTATTATTTTATTTGAATTCTAAATTCTATAAAGATTAAATCTTTAATTAAATAAAAGCAAGTCGATGAGTATAATAAATAATATTAAAAAAAGATAGAAAAGAAAATAGATTTAAAATAAAAAAAAAAATGAAATTATAATTTGTCGTTCGGTTTTTTTTTAGTTTTTTCGCAATCAAAAAAAATAATTATTTTTAAATATTATTATTTTTTGTCATCATCAATATCAATTAATTATTAGTAATAAACTAAACAAACAAAACATTGGATTAAGGATTATTTGATTATGTTATGATTTGATTTTGATTATCGTTTTGTTTTGTTTTTATTTTTAAATTATATGTTAAATGTTTGTTGTTCGTGTTAGTTTCATTTAAAACTTGGCATGTAGATTGTCTTGTCGATTACGGTTATCGAGTGATCGTTGTCGGTATCTACTACAAGAGTGTGAATTTTCCAATCAAAGAACCACGATGATCTCTTTATGAATGTGGCGTATATGTATCCTTGTTGTGCACCACCGTCGAAACCTTTGAGTGCTTCCTCCTCGGGCAGCTCAACGAGTACTTCGCCCTCTTTGAGTGGCTGCGGTACGTATCTGTCGATCGGAATGGCGAGGTATGCCTCGCAGTCGGTGCCACCCTCCTTGATGGTGACGTATCCCTTGATCGGTCGTTCGAAACACTGTGTCCAAGACAACGGTTGAATCTTGCCACCGAACAACTTTAGAGTTTCATCGCTAGCGTTGACAGCTCTCATTGCCATACGATAGGGAAGCGATGATCGCAAGTGTGATTCGTAGAACAAGAATGTAATGGTACCGCCCAACACCGTGAAAAATGAACCCCACTTTAATTTGGAAATCAACTTTTCTTTGAATGTTCTTTCTTTTCTCTTTTCACCTTGTTGTTCTTGTTGTTGCTGTTCATCACCTTCTTTATTCTCATTGTTATTGTTGTTATCTTGTTCTTTTTGTTGTTGTTGTTCTCCTTCTTTAATTTCTTTATTCTCTGTTGTTTGTTGTGGTTGTTCTTGTTGTTTATTTAAATCTACTAATATTTCATTTGGTTGTTGTTGTGGTTGTTGTTCTTCTACTTTTTTAGAAATATCAATATTCTCTGTGGTAGTCTTTTTACAATATGATCTTTTATTGATAAAAGATAAACTATCGTAATTCTTTATAATAGTATTGTTGTTGTAGATAATATTATTATTTATTAAAACATTATTAAAATTTGAAAATCTAAATACGCTACTACTACTATGACTATTATTTAAACAACATCTTATTGTTGATTGTTTTGATATTAATGATCTTATCATTATTAAATAAATATATTTATTATTATTATATTAATACAAATGAATCAATGAATTATTATTATAATAATATAATGATCAGTCAAAAAACACTTTCGCTTTATTTTTTTTTATTTATGCCAACTGTCAATGACGAAATCGACCGAAACAAAAACTAACTAACCAAAATAGTTTTCACCCTCAAAAGATTATGATTAATATTTATATCTATAGTTATTATAACTTATTTCTACCTTTTTAACATGATAGACTACTATAATTTTAAAATACAATTCTATTTATTTATTTTATTTGATTTCTACAATTTATGTAGATTTCAATTTGTTGTTTGTCGGTTTTTTAGATTTATTAGATGATCCACCGAATAGTCCAACGATATAACCAATGAATTTACTGACAATACCAATTAGAATAAAGAATATACCGGAAACTAAACAATAGATAAATTAGTACTAAGATTAAACTTTGTGGTATTGATGAAACACAATACTTACAGAAAAATATATATTTAAAGAGGTCAGCCCATCCACTGATGAACAATAAATCATTCATATGACTTTGTAGTTTATGTCTCATTGGCATTCTAAATAATCATCAATTCATTCATTCATTAGTTAATTAATTAATTAAATTTATGTGATTGTTAATCAAATGATAACACTTACAATGTTAAAACTACATAGTGAATATAATTCTCTGATAGATCACAAACTAAATAGATAAGTGGTAGGAACATTACGAGTTTAAATACTTTCAAACCCATAATAGGATAGGTAAATGCCATTAGTCCTAGTTGTACACCTGTAATAACGAATGGCAGTACAATATCGTAACCATTGGTATAAAATGATTGGTATATACTCAGCTCATAAGAGCTCATCTTGTTTAGCACCTTCATTGCTTCTTCCGGTGTATATCCAAAAATAAAACTATCTAATAACTAATTAGTTTCAAATTTAAATCAATTAATTAATAATCAGCAAGCAAACATCAATCGCTTAACTTTGAACTAAACTTTTCGATACATACAGGAGCACTTGTAATTTTATCTTGAACATTAACACGCATATTATAGACAGTGAATACACCGATTGACGCTAAAATGAACATAAGTACATAGCTTCTAAAAGCATACGCCAAAGAATCTGTTACTCCAAATACCATGGTACTTTTATAACTTTACTAGTTTATTAATCGATTGAACTATATTTGAAAATCGACTTTGTATTGTACAATTTATAGAAAAAAAAAAGTCAACAACTTCACTAAACTTAGTTAATGTAATTTAAATTGTCTAATTTTGTGGTCTAAGATTCACCATGAATCATCCACACACCTTTTTTTAGAAAAATAAAAAACAGTGCTAATAATAAAACTGATGATGTATTTTTTATGTGTTTTTAATATGTTTCTGACTCTCGATGAATAAATAAGAAACATCAGCAGTTAAAAAAAGATATTTATTAATAGCTATTAGTTAATCGTTAATCTGAAATAGTTCTTAATACATTGTCATCGGTATTATAAATTAGCAATTGACAGCTTTCCAGTAGTACAAGTAATGATAGTTGATTCATGTTGTTGTTGTTGGCGGTGTTGTTTTTGTTGTTTGATTGGTTGTCTTGGTTGGTTTGGTTGGTTCCTGCCATTCCGATGCCATTGACCCACAGACAGAAATCGACGATGACATTGCTGTTGATGAACTCAGAGAGATTTCTGACATCAAAGATATGTACGATATCGAGATTCAGTAGGTCACGAACAACAATCTGATAGCCACCGGCAGTCAGTAGGTATCCAACACTACCATTGCTAAGTGCTCTTATTTCCACAATCTTTGTGATGACCGGTTGAATATCAGAGGAAATCGATTGAATTGGATAACCATTAATTGAATATCGATAGATTGTATGTTTTTCATTTGAAGACGATGATCCACTTGATTCGCCATCTTGTTGATCGTCATCATCATCATCATTTCCTTCTTCAACATTACCACTACCATTACCACTGCTGCTGCTATTTGAGTGGAATAGAATTGATCCATCTTCAGTGAGTAGTAGATTGTTAATCGGTAGTTTATGAGGATGTTTAATTGTTCTTATGTATTGTCCTTTCTTGATGGAGTGAACAATGATGGTTCCGTCTTTGCTTCCGGTGACACAGATGTCGTTGTCAATATCGAGTGCAATACTTGTGATTCCATAGTCGTGTCCACGTAGAACGTGTTGTGGTTTGAGTGAATAGTCATCTTCGTTGAACATCCAGATGATGGCAGTGGTATCGTCACTGCCAGTGACAACATAACGTTGCGGAAGTGAAACTCCACCGACTCCACAACGGTCACCACGATCCACCTCGTTGTAGACGATACAGGTGATCGGTGCCTTGTGACAGAGCGATCCAACAATCAGCTTACTGTCGTTGTAGATAGCATAGAGAGTGTACTCGTACTTACCACTGGCAAAGAGGATCTTGTGATTGTTTGGTACTCCACAGTACGGTTGTCCAATTCGGGTGCGTAGCGAGCTCGAGATGCTTATGGGGTGTTGATTGGCATTGAGTTGACTGATGATCGAGATGGGGATGATAGAGGAAATCGATGATACCGGAACGTTTGAGGTGTTGACAACACTGTTGTCGTAGCTAATCTTTAGGTATTGAATATCGTTGTTGGCACCAACGATCAGCACACGATCGCCTTGCTCCTTGGAGGCGTATCCACCGACGTTGGCATGCACCTGTCCGAATCCAATTCCACCGATTCCACTGCCGCCAATCGACTGGCTACTATACATAAACATTCGAATCGGCGAGAACGGAATCGATACCATTTGAAGTGGACGCAACATCTTTATCATGGATTGTCGGTTCATCATTGGCTTGGGAGGATCACGCGCCACATGCGGAGTCATGAATAGCTGCGAGGGTGTCACACCAAAGTTGTTGATCTGGACACGAGTTGCTTCACGCAATATTGTGTCTTGCATGGCACCGATGTCTACACTACCCTCATAGGTGAGATAGTAGAATACATTGTGGGCATCCAACGCTTCTTTACCGCGCTGTTTGTAACCAAAGATAAGATCGACCCAAAGATGTAGATTCTGTGAGACATACTCGGATTCCAGAGCCATACGATTCAACATGGTAAAGTGGAACGGTGTTTTCGCCCACGGCGGAAGAACTACATCGCCAAGCGATTTTCCATTTTGTTTGACACCAAAGTGGATCGAGTTGCTATTGATAAGCAGCTCGGGCATGTAGAAGAATTCCGGCGTCAACTCCTTGACATCCGACGAACTGTTGAGACAGTTACGCCAGCAGTCTACGATGGAATCAAACATACGATCGGCGTGGTCAAAGTGTCCCGATTGCAACTTGATGAAATGCGATGTAAAAGGTTCGGCACGCATCAAAAAGAACATAACCGAGCCACTCGAACTATAGTGAGTACCATACATGAAAGCGGGAATCTCTTTTGGGCACTGTTGGTAGCGCTCCATGAATAGCTCCAATCGCGTTGGATTCAGTGCTCCTATTGGTTTGGACAAGTCACGATAGCTAGCGGGATTGTTCAGGTCGAGTTGCTCAGAGCTATAGTCAGAGATAATCCACGGGAACACCGGGTATTGATTCAAATCGTTGTAGGATCGACCGGCAATCGTATTGAGCGTCATAAGATACTCGAAATTCGAGATCTCTCTGCGCTTCCAGCGTTGAGTGGGATTGAGGAATTTGAGGACGGTTTGTTGTGGCGATGTTCGCCCGTAGTCAAAGAGCGATTGTGAACTCTTGAAACATACATTCGGGTCGCAGATACTGGCAAAGTGTTTAAACAACAGGGCAACGACTTGTGCCGATGGGAAGTTGATGAATATCGATTGTCTGTCGCTAAAGAACAACTCAATGGCGGTTGGGAGCAATAGATAACGACGGTGTTGTACACCAATGAGTTTACGACAATCGTAGGCGCGATCTTTCAACTCCGATTGTGGCACTGGATCCTCTTGTACCGTTGAGCTGGCCGACAACAGCATTTGTTTGCTCTGGAAGAGAATGAGTTGAACACGAACATTCAGCATCGGACTAATAATCTCACCGACAGTACTGTAAATCTGTTTGTCTTGAGCAGGACTACTTTGAATCACTGGCAGTATCGAGGTGGAAGTCGAGGTGGAAGTTGTCATCATGTTGTTGTTTGGAATGGACATGGTTGAACCGAGTCCACCACCAGCCACTACAGACGCCGAAGAAACACCCCCGCCGCCAATATTATCGGTGAATCCATCTGCAACCATACACCACTCGCCATTCTCATGTGCTTCGTCCAGCACTATGTTACCGTCCTGCTCGTCGTCCATCTCAAATCCAACCAATCCTTCATTCTCAATGGAACTAACCATATTGTCATTGGCACGTCTAACTACTTTTCTTAATAGATCTACTTCCTCTTGTTGCTGTTGTTGTTTCTGTGAACTGCTAGCCGTCGGACTTGTCACCGCAGACGTCTGGGGGTTGCTCGGGCGTAGCGCTGCACCCTGATGATCGGAACCGTTGAAATTCCGCTTCTGAACTCTAAACTGTCGGTATGCATTCTCGTGGTTATGTATCTTCCAATAGTGTCTCCGGTTACTGCTGCTCTCGGCTGCACCCCAAGGAGTGCGTTCCCTGGTGATTCTCTTGGCGCTATGTTTCGACTGCTTCTCTTTCCACAACCGCTGACTCTCCAGATACAACTCGTATTGATTCCTACGCTGGAGCTCATTGATCTCCATCTTTTGCGAGACTAAAAACGATTTGTTCCAGAGTTTTTGAAGTTTGTAGTTGATTGTTTCCTGCTCCTTCTGGTAGCCAGACTTGATCTGTTCGACGACCTTGCTCTTCCTGGTCAGAGTGTAGGTCGATGAATGATTAGCATTCTCATGTGAATCTTTGATCTCGTGTAGCTTATCGAGCAGCGGTATCTTAAAGAGCAGCTTCTCCTTGAAGTATCGGAGGAATTCGCTGTGTTGATCGCCAGCTTCATTGAGAGAGGCAATCGAATGGACAGCAAAGATATTGCTGGTGTTCGTTGATTTCGAACCCTCCATATCGTAGCCAATCGTCTTACCGATGGAATCGGCCAAACTCATGACAGTGGTAGTCGGCGAAATGAAATTATCAATCAGATCACCATAGGTTTTCAGCAATGACTTTAGCAGTGATACCATGATGGATTGTGTCTTTTTCAGAATGGGATCGTTGTGATGATCACGATATCTACGAATGATATTGATGAGAATCGAAATGACCCACATGACATGCTTGACCTGCTCTCTCTGATCGCGCTCACTCGCCAGAATCGTTTGTATACGAATAGAGTTTTTCGAAATGATTTGATCCATCTCCTCAGAGATAGTTGGCAATCCCCAAACCCTAATAATAAAACTTCTTTCATCTTCTTCACTTGATAACAATTCATTAACACCATTATTGTTCTTGTTGTTGTTGTTGTTACCACTGTTATTATTGTTGCTACTTTGTTGTTGTTGTTGTTGCTGTTGTTCAAAACCTCTTTCACCGTAGAAACATGTCTCTGCTTCTTGGAATATACACATGATGAATCGAAGAATTGTATTGATTGAACTCTTTGCCTTTGAAGATCCACTACTGATATCAATGGTTGGTAAGTCGATATTGTTGTTAAGTGTGACAATGTATGGTGATGCCGATGGCGTTGTTCCAGAGGATGGAGTTGAAGAAGGTGTCACACTATTGTTGTTACTACCAACACCAACTCCAACATTAGAATTGCTACTGTTACTATTACCAATAGTACTGTTACTGCTACTGACACTGTTACCAACAACAGATGTAGGTATTTTCTGTGTTTGTATAGATTGTGTAAAATCAAAGATATCCAATAGTTTTGCGACCAATCCAAAGTCTTCCCATTGCGATTGAATGTTTCGATGTGCCAATATATTGATGGTATGTGAATATACGAAATCCTCGATGATCGATATCAGATTGACATAGTTCTTGAGAACTACCGATTGGTTTGAAGGACTCCTTATGTCCTGTTCCATCTTTACCAAACACTCATAGAATATTCTACGCTCCAGAGGCAAACCACTCGGAAGCAACGTTGAAATCCAAGCCTCTGTTTCCTCAATCGCTTTCCAACCATCCTTCTTTGCAGTGCATTCATTCAACAACAACTTCAAAATACCTGTGATAATCTCTTTGATTCCCGAGTAAAAAGCACGATTTGAATATGAACTACTACTAATCTGTAATTGTTGTTGTTGTTGTTGTTGTAGCTGTTGTGAACTACTATTAGTAGTTGTAAAAGTTGTAGTTTGTGAATTGTTATTGTTGTTACTATTATTGTTATTGCTGTTAGAATTAAGTAATATTGATGTTGGAATGTTATTATTGTTGATGTTTATGGTTGGTGAAAGTGAGGGAGATGACCAAGGTGGTGAGGAAGGTGTCGATGGTGGAGATGGCCACATTGCAAGTAACCAAGTCTGCCAGTTGCTACACTCCATTATGGTGATGCGAACGGTTGGTATATGTTTAATGCACAGTGAAATCTCATTGAGTATCTGCTGCTGTAGCGATGCCGACGCCCGAGAACCCAATATACAAATGGCTTGCAACGCATGTACGTTGACAAAGTCAGAGGTACGCTCGTGGTCACCGACCAGATCCAACAGCGGTGAATTCGGTGTGTCGGCGAGTGTCGGTGAGATCTTATCGACTACGATCTCGGCGAGTGCACGATACAACAGATCGGTCAGAGGATACTCCTTCAACGACTCTACAATCAGACCGACGGTATCCTCGCACAACACCTTTGATTTCGATTGTTTCGCCAGCTTCGATTGATACTTTCCAATAATCTTTATAATCAACACTTGAATATGTTCATTATCTCTCTTTAACAAACCATATAACGGTTTAATATCTCCTGCCTAAAATTAACATAACAAACAAACAAATATATATATGTTAGTAAAAATATTATTGATATTATTAATATCAGTAACAAAACAAACAACATAACATACAGCCTCAAAACTTGTTAAGAATCCTTTTGCACCATAATGCAATAACTTTAAGAATATTGAAAGTGTTTCAATTATTACTATATTATCACAAGTAGAATCCTGTACAAATTCTATTAAATCTTCGACTTCTGGTATCTATAGAATGTTAATGTTAATATGTTAATATGTTTGTTTTGTTTTGTTTTGTCTTATTTTGTAATAATACTTACTTCTTCTTTATCATTTGAATTTGAAGTTATAACCATCTCTATCAATGTAAATATATAAGAGATGATCTCTTTTGCTTCGGTTGATGTTAATTTGTATGCATTCGATTTCGATTCGAATTGATAGAGTTTACCAGATGAGGACTTTGGCGATGTGCTCGAAGGTGTTGTCTTACTCAATCTCTCTATATTACGATCGTTCTGAGCATAGTAGAACTTTACTGAATCCAATAGACTTCTAACTGTAATATATTTTCTTATATACTATAATTAATTGAAACAAACAAATATTATGTTAGTATCTTTATATCCTGTACAGTACAACTCTACTCAACAACCAAAACCAAACAACAATTAGACACATACATTTGTATAATTTATAGTTTTATCTAATGCTAACTTTAATAAAGATACTTGTACATCTTTACTTGTATATATCCAAATATTAAAGTTAAATATAATATTCTGGTAGATTGATAATAATAATACCTCTGTTTATAACAATAAATTGTTTGTTAGTTAATCATATTAACAGATATAATTAGGTATATATATTTAGTAGACATACCATTCTTTGAACATGATTGTAATAACTCGTTGATGGCAATGATAACCAAGTTGTTCAATTCGAACGATTGAGTCACTAGATTCGATTTCATGAACTTCTCAAGTAGCAATCCCAGTATCTGAAATCCATTGGTCTTTATCATCTCTTCTTGATGTATATGATCATTCGTCAATATATGTGCAATAAATGTTATAATCGAATCGATTGTTGGATAATTTAATGATGTTAAAATAATTGATTGTTGTTGTTGTTGTGATGAAGATGGTGGTGGTGTTGGTGAAGATTGTGATAATGTTTGTTGTTGTTGTTGTTGTTTTGAATTTACTTCAAATAATTGAGAGATAAGTGGAAATAGAATCTGTGGACCACCCAAACAATAGAGTGAATCTTTAATTGAAAACGTAGAGAGTATCTTTAAACTACCGGTGGAATGAGCGTTCAACACCGAATCCGATTCCTTCTGGTGACCTACATCATGACAGATTCCACCATGATACGATTTCGGTGAGAATGAAAATATAATCTTTGGAAACTGTTCAGACAATGCCATATTTCTAAACAACAATATTGTGCAATCAATTAATAAACAAATAAAACAACTACTATTACAATCTACACATAATCTACTTTACCCTTTTTGTTGTGGTGACAACACCATGTTTGAACCCATCCTATACAACTTCTCTATCTTCTTAACTGGCAATATACCAGCGATGAAACAAATAGGTCCCATTTGACATCTTATACAACTATATTATAATAATTCATCATCATCATAATCATTAATATCAATACCATTGCTATTGTTATTATTGTTGTTGTTATTGTTTATGATGATATTTACCATTGTGATATTTGACTGTTTATTGAGGAATGAACAGTACCTATTGAGCAGGTGGTTAGTGGTTTCGAAGTGGATGGATATTTGATTTCGACGGTGTGTACCAGTTTCGAATCGATGTAGACTGTCAGTGGAGATTGCTGTTTGAAGAGCGATGTCCATTTCGAAGGTGCCTGTTGTATTACTATGTGTCGCCATCGGTTGGTTTCGAACGGTGTCTCCACCTTGGTTTCAAACTTTGAATTGATCCTTATCACCAGTTGATTGCGAACAAAGTAAACCTCTATGCCCGAACCTTTTTCATCGAGAAAACTCAGTATCCTAGGTTCGTAATTCACCATCGATTTACTACGCGATACAAACGAGTCCATATTAATCCATATCGATATTGCATAGCCTACATTCGATAGCTTACCAATTGGATCTAATAGTAATCCCTATATATATATGTGGTAATTACAATACATTAATATCTGTTATATATTATCAAATATAAACATAGACATACAGAATTCATTCCGTCGAAATTGAAAACAGAAGTCGGTGCTTTCCTCATTGTCATGGAATCCAATGTTTTTAAAAGTTGTGCTAATCCCTATTATACAAATTATAATAGATAGAATATTAGTTAGTCAATTGATTAACTTAGTATATTCTAATATTAGCTTATCTTATTACTTACAAATGATTTAAGTGAATTACTGTTGGATATGTCAAAGTATGACAACAGCTGTTTCAGTTGGTAAACAGAGATATGATGACATGCCAACACCTCTATCAGTGACAATGCACAAGACAATATACGTTCGTTATTCAACTTTGGTAGCAATGCTATTATTTCATCTAATAATACAATGTTTCTATTTATACATAATGTTGTCGATTTCTTTAATCCACTTCCACCACCACTGTTTGATGATGATGATGATGATGATCTTGTTGTTGTTGTTATTGCTGTTGATTTACTATTACTATTACTATTCTTATTACTACCAATATTTGATATTATATTATAATTATTACTACTGTTTAGTTGATTGTTTGTACTACTGTTGATAAAGAGTAGTGTACAGTTTTGTGGTGCCAATGTAAATAGTTTTATGAGTTCATCGAGTATCTTCAGTCGTGTCGATGACGATGTACCGTCGTTACTGAGCATCTCGATCAGCTCTGCAATGATATCGATGTCTCTAATCAGTAGAACATTGCCATTGTTATGTGTGCAGGTCGATGGCAACTGTCCAACCAACTGCACAAACAAACTAATCACCAAATCCGTTTCTCTCTCCAACTTCTCTGCTATACTATCACTAAATTCTAAATGATCAAATTGTAAAACATCAATCGATTTAACTCTATTACTATTATTAATATTATTATTGTTACTCATTTTCTCTTTTCTTTGCTTTCTATCTATTTTATTTGTTTATTTATAATAAAAAAAAGGTTTGTTGATTTCTATTCAAAAACAACTTTTACAAGTTGAAATATATTATTTTAATAACTATTCTCTATCTGAATATTAATTTTCATTATAAATATATATTTTAAAAATCAGTCGACATACAACAAAGTTAACTTATCAATAAAAAAAAATTGTGCTATAAAAAAAACAACTTGTTCATTTTTTGCAAATAGTATATTTATTTTTAAACTATTTTATATTTCTTTTCTCCTGTTTGTATAAAAAAAGATTATTATTTATTTTGAAAGGATAATTAATATTTTTAATATTAATTAGAAATTTTGGAGAATTCATTATTTTAGATCTAAAATTCATTTTGTGATGACCATAAAGCTCAATACCAAAAATTCCCCAGCATGAAGTTCATTTTCCTAAAAATAAACTATAACATTTTAGTCGTAGATTTACTATCTATTTTAATAAATTTATTAATTTCAAAAAAAAGTAAAGATAATTTATATTAATTTATGTGTGTATGTTGTACTGTTATATTTAGATGAGTATAATTCAAAGAATCATCAACAAATCGTGGCGACATTAATTTCCAATCAAATAAACCTTTTTGAGCTAGACATGTTGAAATACAATCGGGATTATTTAACTTCAAAAAAAAAAATGTAAAGATTTAGATATTTTTCTTAAAATATCTTTTTTTTTTTGTCAAAGATCAAAAGATTTTTAAATAAATATAAATTTTTAAAGTAAAATCTGATCTCTGGTGCTTCAGATCAACCGGTGAGTTATGATGCTATAATTATTGAATTTATTTGAAACAAAATAAAAAATTAATTTTAATTTCGATTTAAAAAATAATAAATAAATAAATAGAAATTCTATTACCTTCGAGATGTTTGATTAATTTGATTTGTAGGGAATTGGATTTTTAAATTAAAGAATCAACAATAAAAATGAAAAAAGAAAAGTCAAAAATCTACTGGGTCCCCAATGCAAATACAGAGAATTTCACAGTGTATGTCAAAAGAAAAAGAAAAGAATCAAAAAAGAGGTTAAAGATTAAAGATTAAATTTGAAAGATACTTTATGATTTCATTTCAATACTTTGATATTAATTTTTATTCCCCATTAAAAATAAAAATTTTAAATATTTATTGATATTTTCCATAATATATATTATTTAATATTAATATCTTTTTTTTTGTGGATGGATACTTATCATCAAGAAAAAAAAGTCAATATTTTTAATCAAAATATAAAAAAAATTTAATAGGATGTGGGAATTGTTATTAATACATAAGTTTCAGAAATTTTTCAAAAGTTGTAAGTATTATATATTCAATCCGACCAACCTCCTAGAATCATTCTACACAAAAAACAAAGAATAATTTATTTCAAAAAAAAATAATTTTGTTTTTATCTTAAAAATTAAAAAAACAATCAAACAAACAAGATTTATCTAGATTTGGGATTTCATAAGGTAGATATCTTTTTAAAATCCAATAATATCCTAGATTTATTATAAATCTAAAAATCAGAATATATTTTTTGAATTTTAGAAACAAAATACAGATTTTTTATATAAATATTAGATTTTTTATATAAAAATATTAATTTGTAGAATCCAGATGAATCAATTGGATGTTCAAGATCATGTTTCCAATTGATTCATTGAATCATAATGATAATTAATCATGATAATTAATTCCTAGTTCTCTACAAAAAAATAAAAATAAAATTTGTAAAACAGAAAATTATCATTATTATTTTTGAAAAACTAAAAAAACAAAACTAAAAAGATAAGCTAATAATATTTTTTTGTAAATGGTAAGTTAAAAAATAGATACACACACCCTCTGACATCATCATACTACCATTTTTAAAGACCAGGATTAAAATACTAATTAATATTTTTATTTTATTTTTTTGTAAAAAGAAAAAATCCAGCAAAGAATAAAGGATTTATTGGATTATTTTAACAAGAATCTTGATTTAACAACTTAAAAAAGAAGTGGAAACTTTAATGAATGACTGAAAGTTTGATTTCGATGAGTCTCTTTTGATATATTTGGGTTCTATTGATGAATTTGCATTTGATCACCTTGTCTATTGGTCAATGTAAGTCACCACCAAAAACACTCTTTTGAATAAATTACAAAAGAGTGTCGTTTTGATTTGCAAAGATGAGTGCAAATGAATTGAATGATTTTTTGCAATTTTATTGTATTCTATTTATTTTTTTAAAAACGAAAATCTCTGACTCATTTGACTTTTTTAGTTTAAAATTGTTTTTTATTAATTTACAAATTTCGTCATCAAAAGAATGTCAAGAAAATATGATTTGACCAAAGAACTCGACTTTCACTTGGAAAAAAGGTCGGTGATCTTATGTAGGATGGTGGGTGTGACACTCAGAGAAATCTTGAGTCTTACTGAAACCATCTTATTAATTTGGTAAGGTGGTTCAGAAACAACACCCTTTCTTTAACTTTTGACAATGCGAAAAAAAAAAACTAAAGATTTCTGCAACTCGACATCTTGATTTTTTGATCTTGGTTTTACGCTTTTTGAAAAATGCAGAAACAATTTTTAAAAAACAAAAAAAAATCTAGATAACTTGATACCACTTAAGGTGGTTATATCAATGCAAAAGTTGAGCTTTTTTGATTTTTTGGGCAGCAGATAAGTGTGTGGTCGACTTGTCAACACTCATCTTTTAGACTATAAGCTACGATACCAACTTGTATCCTCGAAGTTTAAATATCACAAAATATCAACTAAACACATCAAGATATTATTTGATAAAATTGAAGAAAAATCATGCTGCGAAAAGATTTTTGAAAGATATTTTCCAACTTTAATTAATCTTTTTTAAAAACAGGTTGGAATCTTTCACAGCTTGAGCCGGATTACTACGATCATTATTACAAACACTGTTTTGTTTAAGGTCAACTTTTTTATTCGATCTATATTTCGCTCAGCACCAGTAATTGTAATTTATAGAACCCATTTTTAATTGCTTTTTTTTTCTTTTGGTCAATTTATAATAATACAATTTTTTTAAGTATTATATACAGATAAAGATAAAAATATAGACTTTAGAAATTATATCATAAAAATAGATTTCTATTATATCAAATCAATCAATTATTTAGTAAATCAAAATTTAGTATTAATATTAGTATATTATATTAAATTTAAAGATCAAATTATTTTAAAACATTTATTTTTAATTGTAAGTAATAACAATAAAACTATTTATTAAAATTCTATAAGAATCTACAAATTATTTTTTTAGAAATCATAATCATAATAATAGAACACATATTTATTTGTATCAAATATTTAATCATTGTTGACCAATTTTGGTCAACACACCAATTTTTTATTTTTCGCCTTTTTTTTTTTTTAAAAATAAAAAATCTAAAATATCTTGAATTATTAATCATAAATAAAATCAGAATGAATTTAAAGTTTTTGTTTTGGAAGCGATGAAAATTTTACTTACACTTTTCGAAAAATGAAAAGGTTTTATTAATAGCGATAGAATCATCAAAAGAATGTTCACAGCTATATTCTTTTAATATAGATCAAACCTTCAGAAGGATCATTCATCCCATCTCTTTTTTTTTTTTATTATTATTATTAATTAAATAATTTTGGATGCTTGGTTTGTTGTTCAACTTTATGACAACATTTAACAAAATATGTAAATGTCAACAAAAACAAATATCATCAACACCCACCACAACTACCACTACCATCAATCACCAATAATAAAACTGGAAATGAACCCAACAAACCAAACACCAACTTTAAGTTTTACAAAACCTATTGAAAATTACCAAAAAAGAATACAATAGTCAAAAAAGTATTCGACTTTTGGCATCTCACTACCAACACCAATAATCTATCAACATCATTCTTTCATTACACAAAGTTTATCAACATTTATATAACCTACTCAGGATCATGAATATCTATCTAAATTGTTATCATGATACTACCACCGACTTCGAAGCAATAAATATCTCATTAAATCGATGTTGTGTACTTTTTGTTTCCTTTAAAATAATAGTGATAACCAACAAAAAAATCATCATCATAAGCTTCTATTTCTTTTTTGTTTGTTCTAACGTATCTCCCCCAAACTACATCTTTTGAATCTCCTCGATCGCACACTACTGCTCCGAGCGGTCAATCGGATTAAAACAATAAAAGATCTTTATAAACAATTGTGTGTGAGTGTGTTTAAACAGTCGCCAACACCCACTTTTTACCATTAATGTCATTTGAATTCATGAAAAAATATGAAATCAAAGAATGTTTTTTGTCAGGGGGGCTAAAAGTGGACGAATCGGGCCGTCAAAAAACAAAATTTTATATTGCTGTTGGTGGTGGTCAAGCAAATCATGACACTTCCTATTTTTTTAATACTCCCACTCAAAAATGAAAAAAAAAAAAAAAAAAACTGTAAATTCAAAAAAAAAACAACTACCACACATACCAGTGCCCACCAACATGCAACGAAATTTAACTTTGCCCGAAGATATTTTTCATGAAATAAAATATCCATTGTTGATTAAAATGATAAAGTGTAGTTGTTAAAATCTTGTGATGCTACACTTTTTTTTTTGCCTTGTTAGTGTAATTATAACCTATACCACCAAAAATACTCGGTAATGGATGAAATAATAATTATCGCTGGCATCTAAGAATTTAGATAGTTATTGAATGGAATCGAGTTGTTTCCCCTATATTAATTTATTTTCTCATGATAATACAAAATATCATACTGTCTAAACCTACCAATTTAATGTTATCACCATTTTTTTCTTCTCACTTTCAAAAAACAAAAAAAACAACCATAAACCAAAAACCAACCAAATCAAACAAACAACAAAAAAAAACATCGCTTTTTTGTAAAGTTTGCAATTTTCAGAACAAGTGCTATTCCTTCTTTTTTATTTGCTTACCTCTTAATTTAATTCTTTTTATTTTATTTTGTTGAAATTTTAATTAATCTACCCAGAAAGAATAAATTGCTTTTAACTTTTTTTTGTTTTTTTAAAAAAAGGTGTCATTTTTGTTATTACTGATTTAATAAACAAATCCCAAGTTTTTTTTTATTTTCACCATCCGAAAATAACCTCATTTTATTTATTAGCCATTCAGTCAAAATAATAATTTCTGAATAAAATTAATAATCACTCTGTAAATGTGAACACCAATTAAACATCGTCATCACCAATAGCAATAATTCAAAGCATCATATCTATCTAATAATAATACATTTGTGTGGCTATCTTTACAACTGTCCGTTCCTTTTACTTTGTACTTTCGACCCAATATTTTATTTTCAAACCAACTACAATTGTTTAGCAATTCCACATATTTTTGCTTTTTTAAATATTTATTTAAATATCTTGTACAAAATTTATTTTACAATTATAATATTAATTTTATTTATTTATAACAAACCAACAGTATTTCCTTAAAAGATTCACCTCTAATTTTTCGATAATTGTAAGTACTTAATTATTAATTTTGTGAATTTACAGTTCAAACCAAAAGAAAAACACACATCCACAATCAGTTTTATCAGATTTTCTTTCATAACAAGTGGATCAAGTCAACTCAAAACTTGTGATTACACTTTTTATTTCTACTTCCTACACAACAAAAAAAAAATGTACTTGAACATTTCAGATATCTAACACTACACTTCCCAGTGATAGTTGTTAAATCGATTATGGATTGATATTTAATTATTATTGGCAATTTTCGAAAACTACTATTTCTAGTTATATTTTTATTTTTCTTTCGCCCACTTTATCACTGTAACCCTATCTATTTTCTATCTTCTTCTTCTTCCAATTCTTGTTGTGTCGGATTTGTTTTTGAATGCTCAAATGTAATTTCAACAATAAAAAATAAATCCCTGTCACCACTGCTATGTTTGTGCGTCAACACAATTTAAAAGAAAACTTTTCTATTTTTTGTTTGTTGATTTCATTTCATTGTTTTTAGATTCAACCCCGATAATCTCTATTTCTGGGTCAATATATTATCTCCTACAGTGGGAGCATCCCCCACAAATTCTATTTTCATCGGGATCAAAAAATCCTCAGTTGGATGATTTTTAACTTTTTTTTTTTTTTGAAAATTACTTTTTTTCTTTTTTATTTTATTACCAAACCGAACCATTTGCATATTTCAATACCACATTTTCATTCATCAAAAAAAATAAAATAAAATTAAACAAAAATCAAGAAAGATAATAATAATATCACATCACCAGTTCACTTCAGTTGTTCCAATAAATTTACAATTGTGTCATCAAATTTTTAATTCTGATATATTTTAAAAACTTTTCTTTTTTTCAATTCCACTATTCATATTCACAAAATCAATCAATTTTATTTGCAAATAATTATTTTAAAATATTAACTAACCAAACAAATTATAATCTTTTTATTTATTTATTTATTTTTACCAAAAACAGTAAATTTTTTTAATTAATTTCCGAAAAAAATCAAAATTAAAAAAAAATCAACTGAATAGTCAAAAATTAAAAACTACTCAAATATCTAAGAAATCCCATCGCCCAATATTAGCATTAGCCTGGTAATCTTTAGTTGAAACCTCACCCACACTTCTTCAAACCACCCCACCAACACACAATTTATTAAAACTCAGAAACTCAAAAATCTATCAGTCAAATCAAATCAAATCACAACCATCAGATATCTTTCATCACCACCCTACAACTACATTTTTAATTACCACACAACAACAAATTAACTAGACAAACAAACAAACAAACAGACAGTCAGCAAACTTAAGTTTATCTCTACTTGTTCTTTTTTTTATTTTATTTATTATTTATTTATTTTTTGGTTTAGAAGCAACTTCAATTTTTTTTTTTTATTTGCTTGCTTCCAATACCAAAACACTCAATTCAACACACACCATCAAATCAAACCAAATCAAATCAAATCAAATTCAAAAAGGTAAATATTATATATTTATTCGAATATGATTGGTGAATAACTTAACTTATTAACAATTTTTATAATTTCCAGATTTTTATATAAATGATAGAGAAAATGGAAGAACCAACTAGTGATTCAATGTTTTATAGTCCAACTTTCAAAAGGTATGAGTCAGTCACATTCTATGCCAATTTGTTGAGCATTCTGAAGCAGTACACACAAATCATCGACCAATGTCCATCGACCATCAGAAAGTTGGTGTGGTCTCATATATTTCAATTGCTTCGTCAACCACAACGTCCATGTGACAACATGTTCACACCAGTCATCAACTCGTGGCTCAACGAGAAATCGGTGGATCTCATGGATATCGAGACATACTTTGCTGCGTTCACTCAAGCTCAAGTAGAGAATCCATCGATCTTCCCAGCCCTCCCAAATGTCTCAGGTACATATTCAATTCCAGGCATCTCTGCACCAGCAACCAGTGTTCGTGTTCCAAATACTCATTTATCATCGATGTTGAGTACAACCTCATCATCAACCTCTTCATCATCTTCACAAACATCATCACCAATTACTCAATCCAATAACAACAATAATAATATTAATAATTTCAATAATTTTAATATTAATAATTCGAATACTTCAAAGTCAAATCAAACACCCAATCAAACACCAATTGGTTCACCAAAATCACCGTTGAGGCAACATCAACATCAACATCAACAACCACAATCACAACATCAAACACCACAACAATCACCACAATTACAATTACAACAAATTTTGACACCATTGCCTGCCAATCCACAACAGAACCATCCATCGGTTTGGAGCACCGAATTGTCTTCGGTATTCTCACAACTCGCTTTACTCCAGAGTTGGTCGACAGGACTCGATCGTCTCTCGTCAAACTCACGCGATTCCATTTGGCGTACCTGTAGATACATTCAACAATTTATAAACTATGACAAAACATCATTCGTAAAGACCATTCACAAATGGACGATCGACCCAATTCCAAATCTTTCACACATAACAGTGTTGTTCGCTGCCATCGGCTATCTCAAAGAGATGGGTGTAATTCGTGGTGAATTCAACTATACCAACAATTTAAACTCACCTGTTTTCGCAGCACCATCATCCTCAAGCAGCAATAACAACAATCACTCTGAAACAACACCACCAATGTCACCGTCTTCCTATGATCTTTCAAGTGATAACACTCCAGACTACTCTGTTTCTCCACCGTCGTCACCACGTCAGATTCGTTCCAACAGTGTACTCTCATCTCCAGGCACTCCATACTCCGACCATGTTTCTGCTGCTGCTTCTGCTACTCGTAAATCAACAACATCAAACAACAACAGCAACAACAATAATATTCATCAACTCCCAATATTATCGATGAGCAATTACTCATCACCTGTACATACACCATCGACAACACCACAATATTTATCACCACGTCCACTTTCAGATGTTCCAATCTCACCGAAAAGCAACGGACTTCAATTACCAAGTTTGAACATGGTAAACAACAACAATTCAACTACCAATACTGTCTCTGGTCTGAAGAAACGTAAATCAATTGAAGATCTCTTACAATCATCACCAAGTGAACACCAAAAGATGTTGAGCAATCTTATCAAGTTGGAACAAAATCAAAAGTTGATGCAACAGCAACAACAAGGATCGATTATCAATGACGACGATGATGAAGATGATATCGAAGATGAAACCGACCAAGAACTTCAAGAGCTGAAAAAGATGTCGGAAGAAACCATCATAAAAGTCAACTCCTATCACAACGTCTCAAGCTCACCCCTGAAAAAACAGAGAAACCTCTCTGGTAATGCTGTAGATCATCACGAACACAACCACTCTGCCACCACCTCTTCATCAGCATCATCACCAAACTCTGTAGAATCAAGGTCTTCCATTAGTTCAATTTTATGTTCTTGAAAGATCAAAAAACAACCTACCAACTATTTATTTATATTTAACTTCCGACGATCAAATAAATTAAAATTAACAAAAACAATAAAAAATATTATTTTAAAAATATCAAAATTTTAAACATCTCTTTCTTTACACACATACAAATATTGATATTCCAACTATTTTTAATTCTTTTTAGTGCAAAACAAGTGAATAAGATAACTTAATTAATTCAAGGAACTGAATACTTATGTTTCTATTAAAACCATATTATTAAAGCTAAGAGATAATCAGGAATTATAAAGGCATTATTAGTTTTGTTAGATTGATCAGGAATAGAAATTTCAAATATAAAATAAACCAAATAATATCAATAAAAATTATAATAACAAAACTAACAAACTGTAAACTTGATTCATTAAAAAAAAAAAGAAATATGTATGAGAAAAATGATCATTTTCTAAGAAAGTAATTTTTTTTTTTTTTTTTCAAACAAAATGAATAAATAATAAATAGTTTATTTGTTATATATTTTTTTATAACAAGTTATCTATTATTCTATATTGATAATGAATACACAATCACAAATTACTTCATCTATACCATCATCTTCCTCTTCCTCTTCTTCTTCTGGTTCTACATCATCACCTATTTCACATACATTGAATTCACAATTCGCAACAAACACTCAAGTCACCACGCCAACCAAACAAAACCCAGCAGCAGCAGCACAACCAACTCAACCACCTATCAATAGCAATCCAAACTATAGACAACCACAACTAAAGATTGCAGAAAAGAAAGATGTACCTGTAGCAAGAGCTGAAGTCATTAAATTTATGTCACCAACGGCTGCATCATCGCTCTTTATATCGAACCTACCCAATTCAGTTTCAATCTCTGATATGCTAACTCTTCTAAATCCATTTGGTTTAGTTTTCGATATAATATCAAAAGATGGTAATTGTAAGTTTAAATATATAATTATTATTAATAATAATAACAAAACAAAACAAAACATAACTAATTCAAATTGAATTATATATACAGTTTTAATAAAATATTATTCTGCAATTGCTGCACAAAATGCGTATAATTCATTGTATGGTCAATTGGTACATGGCTATCCAATGAGAATTGCATTCTCCAAGCAAGCAAAGACATTTGAACTTAGATACGAACAATCGGCTGAACTCATCAACTATTACGTTGGTTTCAATCAATGGTCGACAGAGATCATCGGTACACACTTTCAGCAATCGGTCGTCGTAGATCCAATGTCGATGTACGGTGAGGAAGTAGATGAAAGTATAAAGCAAGAGGAACAACAGCTACCATCATTAACTATACTTGAATGTGTTGCAACTATTCGAATGGTGTTGAAAGACGGTCGCTCTATCACCGTAGATGGCAGTAGTCAGATCGATTCGATGCTCAATAATCCCGACTATCACAATCATCCAAAGAAAGCGGCCATTACCAACGCAAGACGAGTTGCATTCTCGAAGCTGGCTATCGTTAGAATCGACGGTCAATCTGTACTTCACATATTAGATCAATCCATTGAAGAACAATGGAGTCAACATGATAAACAACAACAGCAACAACAACAACAACAAATAGATAATCAAGCATATCTTAATAGTTTTTAAAAACTATCTATATATATTTATATTACATATTTATTCATTATTCATTATTATTATTATTGTTGTTGTTGTTTTATACCTATATCATAACTTATAAATAACTTTCTAATCTCTTCATATGCCAATAAGGTAATCGATGAATTTGGTATTACTTTTAGTGTATTCGGAATGACACCACGATAGAAACCTGTAATACCTTCAGATCTAATATAATATAATAGCAATGTCTTGTAAATAAACTTTATCACTTTTAATATGTTAGCTTGTTATCAATCTAATTACCTATATATCTTCTTAGCAACATCCATTGTTCCATTATAAACAGCTGTCTTATCTTTTGTTGGAATGTTTCTTTCATCTTGAAGTCTTGTCTTTATCACTTGGAATGGATATAACATTGTACTTGCTAGAAACTTTGAAACACTACTAGCAATGAATATATCTGATGATGACTATATATAGTTTATTAGTTAGAATAGCAGTTAGAATAGCAGTCTATACTTTAATATAAAAATGATACATTACCAATTGATTAACAGACTTGTTGCTACGTTTGGCAAAGAATGATTTCATTTCGTCGTAGGTAGACATTTGTATACCACCGTGGAAGGTAAGCCAGAGTGCTGGCACAACACCTTTGTACAACCCAAAGAATCCTTCTTTGGCAACGGTCTTTCTGATGCCATCGATGAATCCCGTGTAGTAGCTCTCTGAGCCAGGCACCTGCAGTTGCATTCTCGTCTTTATCATGAAGATCGGGTTGGTGATGAACACCTGACTGGCACCGGCTGCAACACCCGCTACAAACCCTTGATACAACGGTACTGTCTCGGTGTTGCCGTTGTTGTTGAACCGTTTGAACGCAGTCTTATAGGATTCGTAGAAGTGCATGTAGACACCCCACGCCACACCACTCGCCAGAACCGTTGGACCTATTCCACGCCAGAACTGTGAGACACCCTCATTCTTCAGCACCGAGTAGAACGTACTGACTAGACCTGGTCGACTACTCTTAACACCAGTAGCAGATGCTCCACTCTCCACAGCAAATCCAGATCCTTGCAGTCTGATCTTCAGTAAATCGAATGGTTGTAAGATTCCAATGGCAACGGTAGATCCAATCGATGCTGAAATACCATCATAAACTTTTGATTTTTTATTGTTATTATTATTATTATTATCATTTTTTTTACAATTATTATCAATTAATAAAATTAATCAATCAAATCAATCAATATTGAAATTCATAATTATTATTATTTTAATACTATTTGATTAATAATATGATACATACAAGGATTTAACTTTTTACTACTATTAATATTTGTATTTGTTGACATCTTTTTCTTTTGGTTTTAAAAATGAATGATGCTATTAAAAATCTGATTTACTAAAACACACACATATTACTTTCGTCGGAATTAACAAATTAATAATATTGGTTAATATGATTGAAGTCGACTCTTCACTAAAAAAATAACACTTTTTTGAATTTTCATTGCCCAATTTATTTAACCATCACCTCTTTTTTTTTATTTTTGATTTTTTTGAATTTTTTTTTTTTTACACCTGACAAGTTGATTCGTTGTTTGTTTTTTATTTTTATTTGTTATTTTGTTTTCAAAGTTATTTTTTATTGTTGTTTTTGTTTTAAATATTTTAGTTTTAAAAGCAACTTATTTTTTAAATAAAAACAACAGAATTAAATTAATTAAATATATACAGACAGATAATATGGCTACACCATTCATTATTGGATTGGCAGTTGCAGGTGCTGCATATGCCACAAGAGGAGCAATTAGAGCAGCTTCAAAGTTGAAATCGAATCCAAACTTTTTCTTTAGCATGGGTCGTCAAGCATCAGAAGGTAACTTTGGTGAAGGTTTCCGTGCAAAGATGGATAAAGAGGAAGCTGCTGCTATTCTTGGTATTCCGTAAGTTGATGATGATGATGATGATATATAACGATAGATAATCGATTATCAACAAACTGTTGTTGCATTACATTGTTACTAATAATACAATAACAACAATAACAACAACAACAATAATAACAACAGTGAAAATGCAGATGAAAAATTAGTTAAAGAGACACATAAGAAACTTATGATTAAGAATCATCCAGATAGAGGTGGATCATCATATCTAGCCACTAAAGTCAATGAAGCAAGAAACATTATGGTTGGAAAGCAATAGAAACAACAACCAACAATAATAGCGATACATATAATACCATTTTTCCAAACAAAACAAACAACAAGCAGAAATCAACAAGCAGATTCGATTAGCTTAAACAAACTAAACAATAGATTATCACCAAATCATTTACTATGATTACTATCAACAAACAAGTCAACATCCAATCAACAATCAACCAATCATTTTAAACAAGTGTATATAATAAGAACGATAGTTTAAGATATATTACTAATAATATCTTTAAGGAAATTTATATAATTTGCTCTCAACTCTTTATTTAAACAATAAATAGAAAACAATAAACAATATAATAGAAAAGAAAAACAAAAGAATCAATTAAGATTATTCTTCAAAATAACTGACTGACTGATCGATCGATAGATTTAAAATATAATTTAATTATTTATAGTTTTATAGTTTGTTTGTTTGTTTAACCACCATGCAAAGTTGAAATAAAAGAAACAGTATCACCATCTTCAATAATTGCATCTATTCCACCTTCTAATTCCCAATCTGTATCGTTGATCAAAACTAATATACCTGGTCTCCTATTTTTATTATTATTAAAAAAAAAACCGTTAGAATTGAAAATATATTTTGTTGTGATTTATATATATTGTATAAACATTTAAAACAAAGATATATAATAACATACACAGTTCCATTCTCTACGAATAACTCTGGTCTCTCCTTTACATGATTATCACGCATCCAATAAACCAATTGCTTCAAAGGTATACTGTCCCCACTCAACTCAAATTGATGATTCTTTTTGTTACTAAACAGTATCTCTAAACCACCACTATTTAAATATCATAGAATTAATTAATTAATTAATATAATCATAAGAATCAAAGCGATTTATTATTACAGGAATAAAAAATATATAACAACAACAACAAACTATTTAAGATATGATCTTATAATAATATTTTTGTTTTGTTATTGTTATACTTTGTTTTTTTTTTTTTCCTGTAATCTAATCTATTTATATTTAATACCTTAATTCTATATTTACAATCATATTTTATTTATATTAAATAATATATTAAACAACAATATGAGATTATATGAGTTATATCACTCACTCTCTGTGTTGCACATAAAATTTCGTGCGCTAAAGTTAAAAAACCTAAACGTTACGAATGTCGAAATTCAAAAAAATTAAAAAAAATCAAAATTTCAATGAGTGGTGGGTGAGCACAATCCTCCCCGTTGGATTGAGCAGCCTAGAGAATATACCAAATTTGAATCCTGTGGTACGCGTTCTCATACAACCCTATACAGCCATGAAGAGAAATCCAAGTATGTTTATATAATATAATATCTATCTATTAGTATCATCCATCGTCACGCATACACACATCAACAATACAGGCTCTAGCTCTATACCTCGTCTATCTTAGATCTTTAAACTTGTTTCACTACTCTGTCTTTCTCTCACTCTCTCTCCTCCCCTCTCTCTCTCTTTCCCCACCCAATGCAGTGATTAGATGATATTGAAAAGAGAATGATTAAATGAATGAATCACTTACAAACAAATCTATAATCAATTTTTATAGCCGTCAGTTCATCACGTAGAAAGTCCAGAAAGGCCCATTTCACCGCCTCCTCTGGAGAAAGAAGAGTTCGTATGAGCTCTGCTTTGTCAAAGGAGCTCCGTGCCAAGTACAACGTTAGATCTGTCCCAATCCGTAAGGATGATGAGGTCAAGGTTGTCTCTGGAGATCACAAGGACGTCACTGCCAAGGTCATCGCCTGTTACAGAAAGAAGTACGTCATCCACCTCGACAAGCTCACTGTCACCAAGGCCAACGGTATGTAACAGCACAATAAATTACTATGTAGCAGCTAATAAGGTTATAGGAAGAAGAATGAAACTAACATAGTGTTATTATTCAAACAATAATTAGGTAACACCGCTCAAATCGGTATTCACCCATCAAAGGTTGTCATCACCAATTTGAAGTTGGACAAGGACCGTAAGAATTTATTGGATCGTAAATGCAGATCTAAGGAATCCGACAAGGGTAAGATCACCAAGTCTGAAGTTTCCGCTGATGTCAACTAAACTATTTAGGGATATTAAATAAAATTGGCTGTTTAAAACAAAAAAAAAAATATATAACAAAACAAAACAAAATAATATTACAAAAACAAATTATTGATTGATTGATTATCAAGAGCAAGATGAAAGATGTATAAGAATAATGATTGATCTAAACTGTCTTTATTGCTTTCCAAGTTTTAACTGTACAATCAGCAGAGAATGATGCAATGAGATTTCTATTGGGATGATGTGATAGTCCTATTACTTCTTTCGAGTGAATCTCAAACGATTGAACCAGTTCTGCTGTGTCGACACGGAAACAATACATAATGTTATCTTCTGCCACTGCGTAGAGGAAGTTCTGTTGAGGTGACAGTGTGCAACAAACGAAATTCTTGTTGTTGTCGAGTGTGAATTGTTTGGTTATGTTTTGCGTTCTGACCGACATGATCACGATGGTAGGCGATGAGTTACATATGACAATATTATCTGGATTCTTCATTGGCAGTACGAAACGGATGGAAATCTCTTTGATCTTTACCGATTGAGTTGGTCTAATTGTCTGTAGACACTCTGCATTCTTTGCATCCCAAATCCTCACAGTTGCATCGCTAGAACAAGATATAACACGTTCTTCATTCTCTGTAATAAAACAATCATTTACATATGAATTATGTCCTCTGAAAACTTTCAATGCTTTTCCAGATTTCAATCCTAAAATCCTGGATTGATTATCAATGTTAAAATTAGTTGTTATTTATATATAGGTTATAATACTTACTTTAATGTACCATCAAATGAACCAGTTAATATTTGAGTTGCATTCTTACTGAAACTGATACATGTGACACCTTGGCTGTGTGCAGGTTCGAATTTACGCAGACACTTTCCAGTTCGGATTTGCCATACTTTGACATGACCGTCGACCGATCCAGATGCCAGATACTCGCCGTCCTTCGAGAAGTTTAGACACATGATTGATTTGTCGTGCATCATGAATTCATCGTTTGCCTGATAGTCGAGATTGTTTGCAAGCTTGCCGGTTTGATAGTTCCAAACTTCGATGTAGCCGTCGACACTACCGGTAACGAGATACTGTGCATCCGGTGAGAATCTACAGCACTCGGGATGATTCTTCTCTTGATATTTGATGGTTCTATCGAGAGTGGTTGGTATTGCCTCTACTTCACTAGCACTACTTCCACTGATAGAGCTGTCGCCACGGAACAAATCGAACGATGAGCCCGGTGTAACGATTCCTTGATACTGTTGCCACTTCAGTGCCTGAGTGATAAGACTTAGCAGTCTCGATGGTTCGACTTGCTTGATCTCCTTTGACAATTCCACTGCTAATTGAGCTCTTCGTTTGTATGTATCAATGCCAGGCTCGTAGAAATCCACCAAATCTATATTTCCTCTCTGTAAGTAGTGTTCCAATCGCAGATATCGATTGACATTGTTCAACTTTAAATAGTTCATTGCATCGCTCTTTCTTAGTAGCGATTTCGCTAAATCTAATTCTCCCATATCTAATAGTTCTGCTATAATCTTGGATTATAAAGAAACAATAGTTTAGTTTTGTGTTTAATTAAACACTGTTTGAATGTGATTTCACTTCAACTTACTTGTTCATATAAGTCAACTGATAAAGAAGGTGTTAAATTCATATATGATAGATCCATTATTACTTTATCCCATTGTCCATGTTTGACATCCTCTAGAAAACGATCTACATTATCGATGGTATTCAAATTGACACCTGTCTCTTCTTGTAGTGCACTAACAGTACTATTCAATGCATTCTCTTTACAGAATTGTAATATCAATTTAATAACATCTCTTGATTGTACTTCTAATGCATTATCTATATTACTACTCATTTTCTTTGTTTTCTCTAACTATTAAAAACTATATTTATTTTGCATTAAAATAAAAATTCATATGAAATTGATTGGTTGATTGTGTAGATCAGATGATCATTTTCAGTGTTATTTTTCAAAAACGTTAAACAAACTTCTTTACAGAAATTTCTAAAATGGAAATGAACGAACAGCTCATTGTTCATCTTTTAATTTACCAAAATTCAATGAAATAGAGGAAAAAGGATAATTTTATTTATTTCTAGTGCCTAAATAAATCTTTGCCATTTAAGTTTTCCAAAACATTTAATAAATAGGTAAACTTTGTTTTAATCAACATGCTGATTTAATCAGACAACTTACTGATACAATCAATCAACATGTTGATTTAATCAGACAACATGCTGATGCAAAAAAACAAATGGGTGAGGAAATCAATGCACTCAACTCAAAGATAAGAGAGGTAAAATCTTTTATATATCGCAATTTGTTTTTGTTGTAGAGGTCGATAAGGTGTTGCTTGGTAATTTTCGTGGCTTCAAGTGTGACAGAGGTACGTCTATCATATGATCCCAATGCTTTTAAATCTTTTAATTAATTACGCGCAGCACTGTTCCATTTTATCTCTTTTAAATATTCATCTAACTGGCTCGATGATTGTTGAGCGAGTTCATCTCTTAATATTGATAAATGTCTAATTGTTGTAGTTTCGCCTAGTAAACAAGAAGTGAATTTTTGATATTCTCATTTTTTTTTTAATATCTTTCAAAAATCAATCACAGGCTACCATATTTATTAATTACTTATATAGTTAGATTGATTTGGGAGGAAGAAAAAGATGATAGATATCAATATAATAGATTTTTAGAGTTATCTCTTGTTAGTAAAGGTTTTTTAAAAGTTATTCAAAGTTTGATCATTATGAGTGAAGCAAATAACAATCTTGTTGAAGAAGGTATAATTTTTTAAGCTTCATCTTGAATGACAAAGTCATCGAGACTAACATTTCTGGCAAGACTTGTTGTGTAGATAAAATTCAGACAAGTAATAATGATAATATTTATTTTTACAAAAAAACGACAACAATTTTGTTTTTAGAAATCTCTAAAGGAAATGAATAAGCAGTTTAGATTGTTTTTAGATTGCACCATCTTCTTTTAATTTATCAAGATGTAATCTAATGTTCATCATTGCGAGTTGATGTAGTTTAGGATCGAGATCACGATAGACTGCCGAGAGTAGTTGTTGAAGTGTGGTTTGACCCGATTTATATGCTTCGAGTATAGACTTTTCTCTTGCCAATCGATGTTTGATGAAGGTTTGTAAAAGAAGGATGGGATCATAACAAGCCGGTCCGTGGGCGGGAAGTGCAATCTTTGGCTGCAATACGTCGATCATCGACTGAGTAGATTCCAAGTATTTCTTCATACTACCGTTGCGGTCATCCAATACGGTAGATCCCCAGCCAACAATATGATCACCGGCAATCAACGTCCTAGATTTCCTCTCGAACAAACACAGTGAGTTACTCGTATGTCCCGGTGTCGCAACGACATCGAATATCTTCTTGCCGACAACAATACTATTGGCATTGTCAATCGGTTGATATTCCGCCGATTCATTCTCCGAGGTGATCACCGCTGACAGTCTCCTTGAGAACTGTTGACCTGTGACTGCCACCTTCTTTAGCGTTGTATAGTCGTTGACGACATCGATGCACTCTTGATGCGACACCAGTCGAGCAGTTGGAAAGTGCTTCTCGACCACTGGCAGTCCCTCCCAATGATCCTTGTGTTCATGTGTAAGGAATACCGTCACATTCTCTGGCTTGACGTCGTTTAGTCTCGACGATTGCAGAATGTTCTCAAAGTGTTGTTTTCCTTTTTCACTTGCACCAGGATCCACAAGCAAAAGATCGGCTCCATCCCGACAGACAATGAGATTCGTACTGAAGAAAGGCACCACCGTATTAGACACTATTGGTACACTCTCTATTCCCGGTGCATATTCCAGCGGTGTGTAGATACCGACGTGATTATCATCCTCCCGTTTCAAAGCAGTAGTATCACCATCACTGGAAGTGTTGTTTGTATTCATTAAAAGATGTAGATTATCTCTTGTTAAACTACAAACTACATTTGAAACACGTCTAGTCTCTGGAGTGGTTAACCATTGGCCACCACTACCACTTGTTGTATCGTTGAATTTAGATTCCAGTAGATTGTTATCTTTACAATCAATCCATTGATATGAATGGTTGGGGAATAGTTGTTGCAGCTTTTCTAAATCGATTTGTTTGTCATCTTTGATCGCTACCAAGTAGTAGTTGATCAACTGACGTTTCAATTGGAATGCATAGAACGGTGCTAACAAATTACCAATAAAGAATATACAATCTTTCTTTTCATTGCCAACAACCTTTACAAATTGATTTAAGAAAGTAAGTTGTTCTTCTTGTTGTTTTTGATCTTTTTGTTGTTCTAATATATTCAATGAAGGAAATCCATAGAAATTCTGTGGAATAGCTTGATCTACCGATGTGTTTGTTTCTCCATTGTTGTTCTTTATCAACAAATATCTCTCTGTTGTTTGATCGAATAAAATAAATGATGACCAAATCGATTGATTAGATGTTGTACATTGCATCTTTGAATGACTATGACTATGACTATTACTGTTACTATTACAATGTACAGTTGTTTTTGATCTATCAGTTCCAATAATAAAACTATTATCTTTTATAAACTTATTATTACCACTACTGTTATTACTACTACTACTACTACTACTATAAGTTCTATCTTTATCAACAACAATATATGTATTGAATATACTATTTACAAAATATTTGTAGCTACCGAGTTGTTTGTAAATACTCTTGCTATTACTAATAACATTCAATAGCAATAACTTTCTGAACATTATGAATTACAACACTATTAAAAATTTTGCATACAGCAAATAGTGTGTGTTTTACAAGCCCATTAATTATTTTTCATAGTTTAAAATTGTGGAATTAATTAGATTTAGTATAATTTTAGATACTTATTTAATATTAATATTTATTTTATTTGATTTAAATAAATGATAATCATTTTGAGTCCAAGATATGAGTATTTTCGGATAATCTTCTTTCAAAGTACTATAGGACAGGTCTGGTTCTCCGAATGGAACAGATTGGTACCAATATCCAAACATCCAAGTTTAAGACCACGTATCTCTTTTTCATCTGATCGACACAGGATATTAATGATATATAGTTAAGCAGCCCGCAGAAATGATTGTAATTTAATTATACTCACGCCTGCATAGAATTGGTGTATCGAGCTAAATGGTTCGCTCTTTGCCAATCTGTCTGTTCGATTGTACAATTGAGTGGCGCCACAGTGATAGCGTAGGTATAGTCATCCAACAATGCTGGAAGAACTCCACCAACAGTAAGTTGAATCTTTTGTTATTTTTTTTGAGAGGCGGTATCAACCTAAAAAAATAAGTTTTAGAAAAAAATAGTAAAAAAACTCCTAGAAATTCCGTTCTTTGTTTGGTGATCTCGAGATCGATCTTTTCTAATAAGCCAAGTTAATTGATTGACTCACCCTAAGTTATCACTAAAAATCTAAAAAAAAAAAAATTCTAAAGAGAATTAATTATTCTTTTTACAAATTTCTCAAAGAAAATAATAAAGTAAACCTTTATGAATAAAAGTTAATTAACTGTTTTACTAAATCAGTCAGAGTCAGACTTAACTTAAAATAATAAATAATAATATTTGGTGGTGATATGAATACAAGTTAACACAAAAAAACAAGCAACAGTTGCAGGTGTGCAAGGTTGTTTGAGGACCATGAATTTTTTTCAAACTAATTTTGTTTTTTTCAAAAAACAACACAAAAAAAAAAAGTTGCAAAGATTTTTCTTTTTTTTTATTTTTATTTTTTATTATTACTGTGTAACTCTCTATTATAATAGAAAGAGAATAGATAATAAAGGTTTTATTTTTATTTGTTTGTTTTGCAATAGAAATGAACCAGATAGATTAGATAGAATACCAACAACAACAACAATAACAACAACATTTTGTACAATTTAATTTAAAGCAATCTTCAAAATTTTTTTGCAAAAAATATCAAAAAAAAAAATAAATTTATTTTTTTAAATCCTCATTTTATTAATAAAATTTGTGTAAATCTTTAAATTTTTAGACAAATAAGATAGAGTACAGATATAAGATTTAGATTTTAAAAATATCAAAACAATATAAGTTTTTATCTTTTCTTTTTCTTTTTCTTTTTTTTTTACAAATCAAATAATTTTCTTTTCTATTTATTTGTTTAAATCTATTTCTACTTTTTTTTTTTTTTTTTTTTTTTGTTAAAAATCAATCCAATTCCAATCAATCCATCAATCAAATTTGACAATCAAAACCAAACCAACCAATTCAGACCAATCAAAAAACAAAAACAAAAATAGTTAGGTTATTTTAGTTTAGTTTATATTTCTTTTTTTTGTTTATTAGTATTTTATTTTTATATTATTATTCATTTTTATATAAATAATAATGAAACCACGAAGTACAAATACAACAACAACAACAGCAAAGTCAGATGATCATTGGAGATCACTTAGATCATTCCAAGTTTTACAGTTGTCGAACGATGAGTATTTCAATCAGTTGATGCAACAGTGGAATGAGATAGGTCATCGTGTACAACATCTAACAAAACAAATCAACGAGCAAAAGAATGATGTAAATCTAATCAAACTAAGTCTTTATTATGTTAAAGAGAAACATTCTAATGCTTCAACAACAACAACAACATCATCAAATACATCATCTGCAAAGAAATCATCATCATCATCATCATCATCATCTTCTTCATCTTCATCATCTACACCAACAACTACAACGACAACAGTTGGCAATTTAACAACAGCAGAGAATATAAGTAAGAGTTTCGAAAGTATAAAACAAGCGATAATCAATAACGAGAGGGAATACCAGTCGTTGGTAGACGATGAATGTAAACTCAATGAAAAGATAAACATGTACATAGAATCAAAATTTGAAGAACGAAAGAATGAGAATAACAATCCTTATATACTGGAGGAACTACGCTATGCATTCCTATCGATCATAGATTGTAATAAACGTTCGCAGTATATAAGTAGTTCATTGGATTATCAAGATGATAACAATAGCAACAGTAATAACAACGATAGCCTTCATTTCAACACAACAACATCCAGTAGTAGTAGTACAACTGCTAATAATTATTGTAGTCATCATGCAAGTCATAACACATATAACAGCAATAGCAACAACAACAATAACAACAATAGCAGTAAATTCAATATAAACGATTCAAACAACAATTCAAATTCACCACTCTCTTTTTACTCACTTTTGAACATGCCATCTAAACAACAATATATTTTTACACAACCACTTGCAGCAAATAGTAAGTATTATATAATATATAGTTAGATGATGATTTACAATGATGATTAATATGATTATTAATTAATTAATTGTTTTGTTTTAGATAAACCAAATCAATGTACACAACCATCGGTAGAAAAGATAAATATTAAGGATAAATGTTTACAGCTTCAATTAAGATGGTCTTGTAGTTCGAATGTTCAGGAGTTTTGTTTGGAGATGAAAGGTCAAGAAAATTACGATGTCATATATCGTGGTCATAATAGCTATTTCACAACACAGCCATTGGGTATCGGTGATTACTACTTTCGTGTACGTGCTACCAACCGTTTTGGTGTTGGTGCTTACAGTACTGAATTCTTGTATACCATTAAAGAGCAACATCTAACAAATAACAGTAACAACAACAACATAGCAAATAGTAACAGTAGTACAGAGACAAACAACAACAATAACAATAGCAATAATAATGATTCAAAAGAAAAGAAAGATACTAGCAGTAATAATAACAACAACAATGGTAACAATGGTAATAATAACAATGGAAATAATAACCAAAATAATAGCAATAGTATTAGTAGTAAACAACAAAAGAAAGAGAAAGAATTGGCAAGACAACAGTTGGAAGAACAGAAAAAGATAAAGAAACGTGAGGAATTAATACAGGAAGTAAATAGTTATTTAAATCAATTTCAAAATATTAATAATAGTAATAATGGTAATAATAGTAATGGTAATGGTAATAATAATAGTAAATCAGTTGCGATTAATGAAGAGGTTGTTACGACATTACATGGATATCAACAGAGATTACAATCAACAGATTTCATTGCTATGAAAGAGAGTAAGAGTTATATTGTGTTGTTGGAGAGGTTGGAATCAACTAGTGGCGAGATAAAAGAGTTGTTGGCCGCTCAAAAGTTAGTTAGCGACTGGCGTTCGCTGGTGAAGAAATCGACCAGTGACTATTTGAATTCATCGAGACAGGATGCCGATAACGAGCAGTTGGAAACCTTGATTGGCGTTGTCGATTCGATACGCACTGATTTGCCTGAGCAGGTAAAGTTGGTCATCTATCAGAACGTTGTGCAATCGATGAAGAAAAAGATGAGTGGAAACGATCTGATAAAGACAAGATCCAGCGTCATCTTGGGATTGTTTGCAAAGAGGACCGATGTCTTTACGAGTGAATGTTGTTCCGAGATGGAATCACTTGCCAAACAACTAATGTCAAAGATTATCAAGAAGAAAACTAAAAAGGCAACGACATCAACATCAACGACAACAACAACAACAACAGCAGCTACAGCAACAGCAAGTGTTACACCAACTTTGGTAGCTACTACTACACCAACACCAGCAGTAAATAATAATATCAATAGTGGTAACAAGAAAACTCAACAACCGCAACAACAGCACCCACAACAACAACAGCAACAGCAACATCAACACCCAAAGAAAGAAATGTCAACAACCCCACAGAAACTACATATAAAGACAACTCCATTGATAAATGTAGAACAAAGACAACCGAATCCAACAACTTCTTCTTCTTCTTCTCCTCCATTGATGATGATGAATGGAAATAGTCATAGTAATCAAAATAACCAAAAGACAACAGTTATAGCAACAGTTACAAGTCAACAACCTACAACTAGTTCAACACCAATTACACTACAGACAGCACTACCACCACCATCGTTATTGCAACAAGAGAATTTACAACCGACAAACAACATTCCACAGTTACAATCACAACAAATCTATACAATACCTATACATCTTCAGCATCATCATCACCAACAGCAGTTACACCAACAACAACAACAACCACCACCACCATTTATCACACATTCATCATCTATACCAATCCAATCACAACCCATTATGGTCAATCATCATTTTCACATTCATCATCCACCCATCATGCCACTTCCAAGTGGTTTCACCAGTAGCAGTATGACAAATCACTATCCACATCAATCACAACAAGACTCCCTACTGAAACAGATCTATTTGTCAACAACTCCACCAAATTATGATGAGAAACATCTAGTCAAAGAGACTAGACAAAAGAATATGCCAACACCTGATCAACTCATTGTTTCACCACCCAAACATAATCTTCATCGTACAAATAACAATAACAATAACAACAGTATCAACAACAACAACAACAACACAAACAACAATACCTCAGATCCATTTAGCAATAACAACAATAACCTTTTTAACAGCAACACTACAACTATCAACAATAAACCAACATTCAACAGTAACAACAACAATAATAATTTAACACACAGTCCATTCCAATGGTCAGGATTTCCATCGATTTTGACCAATTTGACATCACCGTTTGCCTATCTCAATCAATCACCGACACCTTCAACCGATAACTATTTTAACAACAATAACCATAACACCGTCAATAACCTCAATCAACAACAATCATTATTCTTTGACCCACAGCCTTTTAATCAGGATCATCCACCAACGATCGCTCAAATGAATGGATCTTCATCTCAACAACTTCAGGATATTCTAGCATCACTCTCTCTTGACGACTATGATATTTAGTAAACTTCAAGCGAGAAACTCCCCCAAACCCATATTTTTGTAATTAATAAAACAGTTAATTCAACAATTTTATTTGTAAATCGTAATAATAATAATAATACCAAGTCTATCTCTCTCTCTCTAGTATTTGATTATAAACTTATTATATTTATATATCTATATGTTTATTATTAACTAACTAAACTAAACTAACTATATGTTTGTTTTGTTATTATTACCATTATTAATATGTTATTGTTATTGTTATTATTATTATTTTGATTCTAAAAGTTTATCAAATTTCTTTTGATCCAATACGATCGATGAGATCTCCTCAAAGAATTGGTCTTCTTGTATTTTTCGTTGTGGTAGTTGTGTGAATAGATCGATGCATTGATCGTAGTTTGCTGTTTCCAAATCCGAGAGGAACATTCGTAGGATTGCAAGTGATGTTCTAAATACAAATATCTCGCCTTCCAAGAACACTAAATCCCAAATACGTGTAGCGATATCGAGTGGTAACGCCTTTGAAAACAGAGTGGTGATCCAATCCATCAGATAATTTTTAGCTGAAATTCCAATCTCCTTGAAATGTCTATGTAATTTCGGTAGTAACGCTTCCACCGTATTATCCATTGCATTTAAATATTTCGTCATCTAAAATAACAACCATGAAGTTAATAAATATAAACATAAATATAAATATATGATTTGTCAAAAAAAATAACAATTATCTGTTACTTACACCTGATTGATCATGTCTGAAAAATGGAAGGAAACAATTCTTGTTGATATGATTGGATAGACATTGGAATGAATCGTATTTATCCATGTTTAGGAGGAACATTGCACCGAGGAATGTCATTCCTGGCACGAAGCCAATGTCCGGTCGGTTGCATATATAGGCACCGAGGACGTCGACCAGGTCCGTGTGTAGCGGTCCGCTCTTCTGGAAGATCAGCAGCGATGGGAATGTATCTTGAATGTCCTGCAGAATCAAACCGAGACTGGTCGATTCCAATCCGAGTACATCTTCGTTGTCGGTGCTATCGACCAGTGCCGACCTGATATCCTTACTTCCACTTCCGTTGATCGATGTCTTTCGCTTCTGAACGTCGGACGCGCCCCCGTTACTGGCGCCAAACACCGAGGGTGGCGAGGTCGTCAGTTGATGCGACTTTATCTTACTATCGTTATTCTTATTGTACACATGCAGAGCATTGTTGGCGTGACCCAACGAAATATTAAAGAGATCGTTCGTAATTCTCAGATCGTTGCCAATCGATAGCTTCCAAACTTTTCCACGCACAGCAGGTGGCAATCCTCTCCAAGAAATTTCCTTTATCTTTTTTACATCTTTCCTGTAATAATAATAATATTTAAAATTAGAATAAATTCTCTCTTTCTTGTTTAGTTTAGCAAGTCAAACTAAACTTACTTTTTCCAATTTGGAATGATATCGTCTTCCCATATCTTTCTTGCTTCAATCAATGCTTTCTCTTTTTCTTTTCTTAATATATCTAAACGTTCTTTATCTTTTGCTTCTTTTTCCACTATTTTAATATTATTTCAAGATAAAAATGTTAGGATTTGAGTTTGTTTAAAGTAAAATCTTAGATATATAATAATTACATTTCTTTTTAGCTTTCTTTTGTATCTCTTCATATTCTCTTTGATGTTTTAGTATTTCTTCTTGTGATTTAGGGGGTAGTTGGCTCGGTCGATCCAAGAGTGATGTCGGACTTAGAATCAACTTCTCAACGGTACCACAAGCGACCATTTCATTGTAATCATGTTTATTAAGTTGTCCTGGGTGTTGCTGTTGCAGTTGTTGTTGTTGATCTGATGACATTTACAAAAACTAATAATAACTTAACAACCAAAAAAAACAAGATTATTATTTTTACACAAATCTAATATTATTAATTTAACTAATAAAAATATATTACTTAATAAATAAATTTACAAAAAAAAACACACGAATAAAATAAATGTGATTATGTTGGTTTTGATTAATAACAAAAACACCCAAAACAACTCCAACAACACTGAAATGACTCTTCAAACAACCCCTTCTATATTTTTTTTTTTATCCTTTTTTTTTTTTTTTTTTTCAATTAATTTATTTGAATTCAGCATCAGTTAACAGTTATGAGGTCATAACTAATATGTAGAAAATACTCAAATATTGATTACTTTTAATTCTTTTTTACTTTTTAAGAAAATATAATGTTATAATCACTCTGAGAAAGTAAAAAGAATATTGATTGCAGTTAAACTTATACATTTGTTATAAAAAATATAAACATACATAAAACTCAGTCGTCTACAAGTTAGAGTGAAAGAATAGTTAGTGATGATGATTGTGTTTAATGAATGATAATCAGATAAACCAAGATTCTTTAAAAAAAATTTTTAAAAAAAAAAGTTTGTAATATTTAAGATTTTGTGTTAATTTAAAAGTGTAGCAATTCTTTATATTGTCTTAAGACTAAAGGTTTGTTCCTAATTTGAGAATCAAAAAAGATGCATCAAATAATTTAATATATATCACAGTTAGTTAACTCATTGTCCAAATACATATCATTGTTTTAATTATGTTTTCAAAAAAAAAAGTTCTAGACTTACTGCGTAAACGCAGAAACCAAATTTTGTCGAAGTCTTTCCAAGACCGGGTATAATAATATTGACTTTTGTTATCTCGGCTAGATACTTAAGTTGGCCTGGCTTCCCACGATCCAAGTATACAGCAGCAATTTCCAGCAAAAACTGTCTTACAGAAATATATAATAAATTATCTTTGCATACGAGATAGTTTGAGTTTGGGTGTATCTATTTATTTTATTGTTTTTTTTTAAAAATTAGAAATATAAAAAATATTAGATAAAAATTAAACAAATAAATAATAATAAATAAAAGTATTTTGGTATTACTTACAATGATGATACTTTGATCCATATCTATCTAGATGCCCTTTTATACTTTTTTTATTTTTAAAATATAAATTATTATTAAAATTAAATAAAAATTTGGGGAGTTTGAAGAATGATCCTATTCCTTTTATTATTGGGAAGATAATTTATAAATAAAGTTTATTTTTAGCAATAAACTCACTATCAGATAGATGTTTACTACTATTTTTATCACATTCTACTTTTAGAATTGGGTGAGGGGTTGTAGAGTATATTTTTGAAGGTAACATCATACTAATATTCTCTCTATTAAACTTATTTGTTAAATAAAAAAAAAATTCAGGTGAATTATTTAAAGTAAACCAACTAACTGTTTAAAACTTAAAAGTTTAATTTTTTAATTACGGGTGATTGGTCAACAAATACTTAAATAAATCAATGCTTCATTTAATTTGATTGTATTGGTTTTACTCTATTCCAACTAAAGATAATAATTATTATTCAATAATACAAAGTTTATAATATACAAATATCTCTATTTTAAAAGGAATGGGTAGTAGTAGCAGTAGTTGCAGTAGTTCTGGAGGTCGAAGCGTTGAAACTCATTACAGAGAGGATATCCGTCAAGAAGATTCCCAAAAGGATGTTCGTGTCGTTTACATTTATATCGCTTTTTGCAGACTAGGAGTGCGTTTCAACCATTGGAGCGTCATTCTCGAGTTGAGTAACGGTCAATTTGCATGCATACAGAAAATACGTCACTCATTCGGGAATGGTTGGATTCTCATTGAGGTTGACAGCGATCTAAGAACCTCTGTATTACGTACGTGTGGAGATACCAACGAAATTAGAACTCATAAGTTTAGTGCAGTCAATTTCTCGTGGAAGAAGCTACGTTCTTGGGTTCCTTTTGAGGAGGGCTACAACTGGACATATCTCAACTGCCAAAAGTTTGCTGACAAAGTGACATCCTACATCTGTGGAAAGGAAATTGATAGTCTTCCCTGTGAGGATGGACCAACATATTATAGATAAATACAAACAACTATTTTATTTTCTAATTTAATTTGGATTTGGACATTCTTTCTTTATAAATATTTAAAATAAAAGTTTTTGATTGTTATAAATAAAAATTCAATTAATAGTAATAGTGGGTTTCTTCTTTCAAATATTTAAATGCAATGTTTTTGAGATTGTATTTTTCATTTATTAATATTATCTATACAACAACAATTGTGTTCACCAATGATAATTGGAATCATCAGTTTAAAACAATAACCATTAGCAGCTTCAGATTTCTTTACTACTTTTGATTTTACTGGTCCGGTCTAAATGTAAATAACGTTTACATGTACACCACCCTGAGCAATTGTGACGTCTTTAAACAAACTATCCAATTCCATATCTGATCTGATTCCAGTGTTGATATGGCTAGCCATAATTCTCTAAAGATTAGTATGTGTTTGATTTGATTAGTAAATTATTGCTGTTCAACCGCAATCCGATTGATATAACAGTTATCACTCCAATAATATATCTAATTTATTAGCGATACATACATATTTTTTGAATTGTATGCAAGAGTTATAGGCAAGTTCCAAAACTTCGGAAATGATATACTCTATCACCGCAGCAAGATATTCCATAGCCATTTTCTCGACACGTTGGAACATGCCGGTTCTCTTGAGTGCCATTCTTATCTTTGAAGCCTTGATGATATATACTTCCTTGGACTTTTTTGAACCTCCACCATCTCCTTCTTCTTCATCATCATATGCTCCCACTCTTGTCATTCCCTTAACGATTGCATGTTTAGTGAGTTCACCGCAATCAATCATCGTCAAAGGTATTGCACAATGAATCGTTCTAGTGGTAAGAGTCTTTCTCTTTGACAAAGTGAGAAGCTCCTTTGCACTGTACAGCACTTTAAGAGTGAGATCTCTCATCATTGAAACGAGAACATTCATCGCCATATTAGAGATACTCATTTTTCTATCAGTTGGGATAGACTTGAGGAGCTTATGAATGGCTGCAGTCTCCCATGACGATGTCCTCGGAATATTACTTCTTCTACCTCTTCTATATCCCATTTTGACTATCTACTAAAAACAAATAAAATAACAATTAATTAATTAACTAAAAAAAAAAAAGATCTAAATCTAAGTGTTAATAATAACAAACAATTTTTTTCATTTTGTTCTTAGAATTAAACAAAAAAAAAAAAAAGCAAAGATCTAAGTATTAATATTACAAATTCTAAGAACAAAATGAAAAAAATTGTTTTTATTTGATTGCGCCAAAATAAAGAACATGATTTCCTCCCTCACCTTCTTGAGGGAAATGAAAGTTTATTTATGATTTTTAAAAACTGTTAGGATTCTAAATGAAATATCTCTCATCACTGAAACCAAAACATTCATTGACACATTAGATACCCATTCTTCGGATATCGGAATCATTGAAGATCTTACGAATGGTTGCAGTCTCCCACAACTATATATCCTAGAGTTATTACCTCTATTTCTTCTAAATTTATAAATTATTAATAAAAATTTGTTTTTTTTTTTTGAAATTAAACCGGTTCCCTCATCTCGTTTAGGAAATTGTCTGAAAAATTTCGTTAACTGTCTGATCATGATACTGCAAAACAAACATAATGATTTCAATTGTTATTCGAGTGTTAAAGAGAGAGAAATGATTATTTATCTACTACTATATACAACAGTTAGTTTTCTTCATGTTATTTTATTTTATTTTATTTTATTTTCTAATTTAATTCAATATATATTTATATTTAAAATAAAAGTTTTTGATTGTTATAAATAAAAATTCGATTAATAGTAATAGTGGGTTTCTTCTTTCAAATATTTAAATGCAATGTTTTTGAGATTGCATTTTTCGTTTATTGGTGTTTATCTATACAACAACAATTGTGTTCACCAATGATAGATAATTGGAATCAGTGTAAAAACAATAACCAGATTTCTTTACTACTTTTGATTTGACCGGTCCAGTCTGAATGTAAAGAACACCACCCTGAGCAATTGTGACGTCTTTAAACAAACTATCCAATTCCCTATCTAATCTGATTCCAGTGTTGATATGGCTAGCCATAATTCTCTAAAGATTAGTATGTGTTTGATTTGATTAGTAAATTATTGTTGTTCAACCGCAATCCGATTGATATAACAGTTATCACTCCAATAATATATCTAATTTATTAGCGATACATACATATTTTTTGAATTGTATGCAAGAGTTAAAGGCAAGTTCCAAAATTTCGGAAATGATATACTCTATCACCGCAGCAAGATATTCCATAGCCATTTTCTCGACACGTTGGAACATGCCGGTTCTCTTGAGTGCCATTCTTATCTTTGAGGCCTTGATGATATATACTTCCTTAGACTTTTTTGAACCTCCACCACCTCCTTCTTCATCATCATCATATTCTACAATAGAGGTATTGTTGCTCATTTTTTCTTCCACTCTTGCCTTTCCCATAACGATTGCATGTTTAGTGAGTTCACCACAATCACTCATCGTCAAATGGAGTGCACAATGAATCGTTCTAACGGTAAGAGTCTTTCTCTTTGACAAAGTGAGAATCTCCTTTGCTCTGTACAGCACTTTAAGAGTGAGATCTCTCATCATTGAAACGAGAACATTCATTGCCACACTAGAGATACTCATTCTTCTATCCGTTGGGATAGAATGGAGGAGCTTATGAATGGCTGCAGTCTCCCATGACAATGTCCTCGGAATATTACTTCTTCTACCTCTTCTATATCCCATTTTGACTATCTACTAAAAACAAATATAATAACAATTAAGTAATTAAACAAAAAAAAAAAAAAAGAATCTAAGTATTAATAATACAAATTCTAAGAATTGTTTTTATTTGATTGCACCAAAATAAAGAACATGATTTCCTCCTCACCTTCTTGAGGGAAATGAAAGTTTATTTATGATTATAATTATTAATATTCAAATAAATAATTTGTCATGAGGGAACGGTTTAATTTGTTTTTTTTTTTTGAAATTAAACCAGTTCCCTCATCTCGATGAGGAAATTGTCTGAAAAAATTTCATTAACTGTCTGATCATGATACTGCAAAACAAACATAATGATTTCAAGTGTTAAAGAGAGAGAAATGATTATTTATCTACTACAATATACAACAGTTAGTTTTCTTCACTTCTTTCTTTTGTTATTTTATTTTATTTTATTTTCTACAGTTCTCAATCATTGTTATAACACCCACCATCGGTATGCTATCTTTACATATATCAATAATATTTGACATAATGTTATTATTATTGCAATGTTGATATTTTAATAGGTATTTTGAGAGAAGATAACACCACCCTGAGCAATTGTAACATCTTTAAACAATGCATCCAATTCCTGATCTTGTCTAATGGACATGTTGATGTGTTGTGCCATGAGTCTCTAAACAGCGTGTTGATGATAGATAAATAAATAAATAAGAAGATGATAATTTTGGTTAAATAGATACTCGACATTGCTATGTTATTGTGGTTGTTTTGGTTGTTATTACTTACAGATTTTTTTGCATTAGTACAATTGTTATAGGAAAGTTCCAGTACCTCACTAGCTAAATATTCTATCACCGCAGCAAGATAGACATAAGCATCTTTACTGACACGCTGGAACATATCGGTTCTCTTGAGAGACAACTTTATCTTTGAAGGTTTGACGATTTTTCCTTGTTGTGGTGCACCACCAGCTGGTTTCTTTTCTCTTTCTTCATCATCACCACCACCAGTACCACGACTATATTTGTCATTGTTGCAAACTGCTTTAGTTCCCTCGGATACTGCATGTCTCATGAGTTCACCGCAATTGCTCAACTCCAACCTGAGTGCAAACTGCACATGTCTCGCGGTAAGAGTCTTTTTGTTCGAAACGTTCAGAATCTCTTTCGATCTGATCAAGATTCTAAGAGTGAGATCTCTCATCATTGAAACCATAATATTCATTGCGGTGTTAGAGATACTAGTTCTTCTATTGTTCACATTGACACACTTGTAGATCTTACGAATGACCGATGTCTCCCATGAAGATATCCTGTTATTATTACTTCTTCTACTTCTATATCTCATGATTATCTATTCTATTATAAGTGTGTTAAGATATAAAGAAAAATAAATATATTAAGCAATTCAATAATAATAGAAACCAACTGACTAATCCAATTAATTTTGAAAATTAAATAATTCTGGGAATTGGACCATTTATTTCTGATCAAAAAATTGTCCAAAAAAATATCACGATTCTTTTTTTTTTTTTTTTTTTTTGATAGTTTTGATTTTTAGTTATTTGTTGTTTCAAAAGAAATAATGGCTGACATAGATCCTGATATATATTCGATCAAATCGCGTGATTCTCTAGAGAAAATAGTAAACAAAGTAGATATAGAACATTTTAAATGTGACTATTGGGTCTCTCCTGCAACAGTTTTGAACATCTTTGATGATCTGTCACGTGCAACAGACGATATCAATTTAAACGATTTACTTGTGTTCTTACACAACATAAAAGTGTATCCTAAAAAACGTGTACAACAATCAATATTTAACAAATCACCTCAAACACTTTCAAAAAAATTAGATAAAGTGTTTGATGCATTTTGGTTAATCGTAGATCCTGAATCTCATAAATACGTAAGATATATACTAAACTATCACTTATTTTATTCTTGACAATATTGTATATATACAACTTGAGGCATAATGAGTAGCACATCATTGTTTTTCTTATTTCACAATCATTAAATTTTGCTTGTAGCTGCACTGTTGACATACTAATAATATATATTTTATTTTAATTAAGGATAACAATGTTAGGTATAATGAACCACCATTTCAATTGTATGGTGTCGATTTATTCATGGCTGTTGACTCGACTTTTTTTCCAATCCAAAAGCCCAAAGACAGAGAGCTCGAGATTCAATATTATAGCTTGAAACACAAAGAACATGGAGTTAAACTGGAGGTTTGTGTTTCTCTCACTTCTGGAAGAATTTGCTGGGTGTCACCAGGTATATTCATATTAAATGTTCTAGTGTGATTGATGTCTAACATTCTTTCCTAATTTAGAAATATACAGAGGTATTTGTCATGATCTAACAATATCGAATGCAAGTGGTTTAGTTAAAATACCATTGAGAGAAAATGAAAGAATATTAGGCGATGGAGCTTACATCTCACAACAATACGAGCACATCTTTCTTACACCAGTTAGGAACAATGCAAATCTGCCAGCCGTACAATTAATACTAAACAGCCTCAAAAGTTCACAAGGATCCATCGTTAAAAATTTATTTTCTCGTGTTACTACTGGTGGTTGTTTAGAACTTGTTGAATATTGGAGAGGAGACGATTTAGGAGAATATGTTAAATATATATACATTATTTTTTATATACTTGATAAATTTATTCTCGCAAAAGAACCTTTGAGGGATTGGAATTAATTAAAAAATAAAATTAATTAAAACTCTATGTCCAAAAAAGATAATTGTTTTTACATTTAATATCATGTTCAATGACTTATACACATTGATACTATTAACTAGTTAAAATTTAATTTTTTTTGTTTTATACAGATTTTATTTAATATTTATCTCTTTACATTAAAGAACACTTTATATAGTTAGATCAGATAAAAGTAACTTTATTAATAACAAATTAAAGAAATATAATCAATTTCTATCTACTTACTCCACAATTTCCTCCACATCCACAAATATCACATCCACATCCACAACCTCCAGCCATTGTATAAACTAGATTTATCTATAGGTAAAGTATAAGTTAATTTACAAAATCGTTAATTATTTTTTTAACACTTTTCAATTTCTATCAAGAAAAACATACACTTGAATTATTATCTAAATCAAAATATGATATTTTCTTTTTATCTTTTCTTTTTGATAAAGTCTTTTTTCCTTCAATTTTAATCTATTTATTTAAATTAATTAGTATTAAAAAATAAAATAAAAAATTCTAGTGTTTGTAAGAAACACTCACCAATTGATGTTCCGAAGGTGTACCAGTTTCATTGTGGATCTTCTCTTTTATATCGAAAATTCTATCATCTTGACTAACTATGATTTCAATTTCTTCTCCTGATGGACATTGAACTTTCATTTTTAAATATTTATTATTTGTTTGATTGAATAATTTATTAATGTTATTAAGTTAATTATTTTAATTTTAAGATTGAATTGAATGTTTGTAAGAAAAAATAATACTTCTTTTTTATATTTATTTGTTTTTTTTTGTCACCAACAAAAATAATTTTAAATCAATATTTATTTGAAAATGTCTTTTATTACCTTATTTGGAAATATTTTAATTTGTTTTTTTTTGATTCAATTAAATATAATATCTATAAAAGTTTCAAGTTCTTTATATTTTTATTTTATTAATTTTGGATATTATTTAATAAAACCAACAAGATCCAACATTTCAACACAGATGTCACTTGTTTCAAAATTTATGTGCATACGTAAATCCTTAAAAATGGATTGAAACCAGCCAATAATTACTATATTCACAATTCTTTTTAAAGTTCTTCGATCATCCTAGCGTATCTCGAAGTAAGACTCTAAAGCCATTGTGGAGTGCTCTTTCGAATTTCTTTAGAGGACTTGGCGGTGTGGAGTCATTAGTGTTATAATTTGGCGAACCTTGAATTCGTTCTTTACTAGTAGTGGTGAGATTTTTTATTAATACCAATTGAAAGTAATAGAGATAATGCTCACTGTTTAAACTCCTATTGATGTGTTCCCTCTAAAATATCATTTGCATTAACATTCCTAATATATCGAGGTTGAAAGGGAGTTGACCAATGAAAAATCGAATTTTATTTATTAAATTTTTCATTTTTTTTTGCTTTTTTTTTGTACATGTTAAAAACAATGATATTTTGTAGGGTACGGATTAGTTGTGAATTTGCTAACTGTGTATTAAATTCTAATCAACATCTGACATTGTTTGTTATTTTAAATACTCATAAAAAACCAGAGATTTCCTAGTTTCATTCGAGTAAGTATCATCAATTTAATATTATTTAATTAACTTTAATTCTAGAAAATAATCAATTTCAAATATTGTTTTAAAGAATACTCTAATGCCGAAATGAAAACGTTCTAAATGAGATCTATGAATATCAACAAGATCTTCGTTTGGTCTTGGTTAAACTAAAAAACAAATAGTCTAAATTTAAAAAAAATTTTTGAATTTTTTTTCCATGATTTGCATTATTAAACACAAATATCTAAAAGATCAATTTGGATGATCTCATCCAAAAATGGAAAGCAAAAATGCAAAGAGTAACTTATGAACTTATTGTTAGTAAAGAAAAGAAGAACTTTTAAAAAAAAAGTTTTTGAAGTATAGATTTACTAATAAATTCAATTATTTATAAACATTTCTTTATTGGCATTAATTTAAAATAGTTTAAAAAAAAAAATAATATTAAAAAAAAAATAGAATTTTCATCTATGAATTTGTATAAAAGAATTCTAACTTTATTATTTTATTCTTTCTCAATTGAAATACCAATAAATTCAAATTTATTTACAATTTTTTTTTTTTTTGTTATGCTGTTTCCAAAACTGGTAAATATGAACTATTTTTTGTAAATTTTTTTCAGATCCCTTGTTTTTTCATGGAAACTTTTAGGCCGAATATGAAAATAGCACTTCAATGATTTGGTTTTTATGATCTTTGATTTTGGTCGATCTATTTTGATTCATCATAACTAGTATGAAAGTGCCATCATCATGTCTGACAAGATTTCTTAATGATATATCATGTATTTTTATTTTAATTTTTCAAACCTTTTTCCTTTCTATAGAAAGACCGAGTGGTTTGTAATTTGGAATGGATTAAAAATTCAAAAAAAAAATAATAAATACCAAACCAAAACCCAGTTTTAAATCATTATTTACTATTCAATATTTTTATTAAATAAATAATAAAAATGTCTAAATTTATTTTTACAATAATTTATATTTTATATACTATATCAATTATTAATGGTCAAGTATTTGGACCATTATACACCAAGAATTTAATCGATGGCGATGGAGTTGCAGTGAAAGGAATTTTCAAAGCCGAGTTTTCTCCAGACTATGCACTTGACAAACCATTGAAGAATTTGGTAATTCTCTCCAGTGACACCAAGTCTTCGATTTTCAGATCCACGGATAATACCAGCCCATTGAGTAACCAAGCGATTACTACCAGTTTGTATACCATGCCACAGTACAATAATCAAAACCAAGCTATTGCCGTCTATCCAAACTCTACCACCTTTTCCTCTGCAGTTTCAATTACCGCTATTATTAATTTCCAAAATTGTAACAAAGGAAATTGTATTACTTCTATTGATAATACTGGAGGATCTGCCCCTAAAACAAATCCAATTCTAAGATGGATCTATACCAATAATGCCTGGACCACTGTTTTTACATTATTTGGAAGAGGTGCAACAACAGGTAGCTTGATGTTTTCTCCATACTACTACCAAGCCAGTAACACCCAATACTATCCAACCAATGATCCAGCCATCCTCCCAGTCTCCGTTCCACTTGGTGGTGAAGTAGATTTTCTTGTGTATGATACCATCACTGACCAATTGTACTTATCGGCCATTGGAACCGTAACTGTATATAAAGCTTCAACCAAAACTGCAGTACAAACTTTTACTTTCGCCAACACGGGATCCAAAACCGCTATTGCCTACAACTCAACTTTATATGCCTGTACCACCAATGGTGATGGAACAGCCTATATTGAAAAAATCAATTTTGCCAAAATTCAAAAAGATACTTACACTCTTTCAAATGATGTTAGCTATTGTTTGAATATGAATTTCGATAAGAATTTCGGTCAGTTGTTTGTATCTGTAGCCGATAGCAACGGAAATTTGGCACTCATTACTATGTCCGTCATTGGTATGAATCCAACTATCTTGAAGATAAGTCCGAGTGAAGCAGTAAATACCAACTCTCTCAGTTCCTATTCTTATGCTGTTGGTGTTGATAATGATACCAAGATTGTTAGTGTTGCCTCTGCTGCTGGAAAGTTATATTCTGTCCAATACACCAATCTCTGTCCAAATCAATGTTCCAATCATGGTGTCTGCATAGATGGTGTCTGCACTTGTCAAACAAACTGGTTCGGTTTAGATTGCGGTGCTGGTAAGCCAAGCGTCACTTCTGGACAATCCAACGCTGCTGGTTCAACTCAGATCACTTACTACGGTACAACCTCAATCACCTTGTCTGGTGAAAACTTTGCTAACACCACCAACTATCAAATCACAATTTGTAATCAAAATTGCACCTCTATGTCTTTCTCTAATTCCTCTTCTATCTCTTGTTCACTCTATTTGGACGGTACTCAAAATATGTCTCCCCTTGCTACATGTGATGTTCTTGTCACTTTTAATTCACTCTCTTCTGATCCTGTCACTCTTTTCACTTTCGCTTCTCCCCTTTTCACTGGTGAATATACTCAAACCAACAATATAATTACTTTGAAAGCCAGTCAAATGTATTCAGTTATGTATTTAGTTACTCTCTGGAAATTGGTTAGAATCCCTTTTTCTGTTACCCCCAACTCACTCTCCTTTACTCTTCCTCCTCTCTCAACAAACTCCAAAGTTCAAGTCACTTTCACTAATGGACAAGTCTATGCCGATATTAATATTGTTATTATGCCAAATATTGTTTCTGTTTCCCATACAGTTATCAATACAAATGCTGGACTTCTCTTGACAATGTTGGGTGATTTCTTTTTAGCCAACCCAGGTTATAAGATTAAAATGGGTGATGCTCTTATGACTCCAAACATTATTTCAATGTCTGAACTCACTTTTACTACTCCACAAGGTATCCAAACCAACAAAACAATTCGAGCAGTCGATACCACCAAAAATCTTTATTCCAATTTCATTACCTTCCAATATACTCCACCAAAATTCAGCGCTTTATCATTTAATAATACCGTTACCAATATAATTACTATTCAAGGAAATAACTTTGGTAATTCATCATCTCTCATTAATATCACCGACACCCAATCGAATCCCCTCAACGCCACAATTCTTTCTGTTAGTGACTATGTTATAACTGCCCAATTGTCATCAACAATCTCTAAAGGAGTATTCACTCTAGCAGTGGATTCTCAAATAGCCACCTCTCCAATCAAGTTGAATCTTCCACCTAGCATCATTTCTATTGAATCACCACCAGTCACCGGAGGTAACATAACTATTGTTGGAAACTATCTTCAATCATCTTCTGTTATCTTTTCCAGTGAAGAATATGATGAAGAATTTTTAGATTGTATAGATATAGGTTTAGAAAACTATCCAGCAACTCGTGTTTGTGAAGTATTTTCTGGAGTTGGTGAATTTGAAGTCTTTGCTCAATCAATTTTTCAAGGTACTTTTTTTTCCTCATCAAGTAAAAGCTCTATATACCAAGGTCCAACTATCGAAGATATCAATCCAAAATTCTATTTTGAAAACAAAACAGTTGAGTTCACTATTACTGGTGACAACTTTGTCAATTCTACTTTGGTAATCACCGTCAACGACGAGGAATGCGTTGCCACCGATGTTACAACAACAAGCATTACCTGTTCGATCACTCCATCCTCGGTTGCAAAGAATGCTATCAATCCAGTTCCAGTATTTGTTTCAGTTAAAGACCAAGGTGTATTCAACAATAATACATTGTCATACTATGAGAAAGAATGTCTCAACAATTGCTCTACTCATGGTACTTGTAATTACTCAACAGCCATTTGCAAATGTGATGATGGATACCAAGGTACTGATTGTTCTGAATTGATCCCAACCACATCAACAACATCAACAACTACCGCAACAACAACAGATACAACATCAACAACAACAACTGGACTTAACTCATCCAATCATCTAACAATCAATATTTTAATCTCTATATTATCATTGATTGCAATAGTTCTAATTCAATAAATTATTTATTTATTTAAATTTTATTAAATAAAATACTAAGAAATATTAATATGATTTTAAATATATTTGTTTTTACTTTAACTACACTACTATCGGTATGAAGTGAAATAGAAGTCTAAAGTATCTATTGAATAAAAAAACTTAAAAAAATCTATGAAATCTAAAATACTACAATTATATACATTTTTTATTTAAATATTGTTTCATTTACATAATAGAACACTGGAATAGAACTTGGTATTAATAAAAAAACTTAAAGAATCATTATAAATTTCTAACTACTTACTCTACAGTTTCCTCCACAACCGCAAATATCACATCCACATCCACAACAATCACAACCTCCTGCCATTGTATAAACTAGATTTATCTAGAGGTAAAGAGTTAGTACAATTTATCTTTTATTTGTTTTTGTTTTCAATTTAATAAACACATACACTTGAATTATTATCTAAATCAAAACATGATATTTTCTTTTTATCTTTTCTTTTTGATAAAGTCTTTTTTCCTCCTATTTTAATCTATTTATATTAAAATTAATTAGTATTAAAAAATGTATTTTTTAAAATAATAAATATTTATTTTCTAAAGTTGTTTAGTTGGGTATTTGTAAAAAATAATTACCAATTGATGTTCAGAAGGTGTACCAGTTTCATTGTGGATCTTTTCTTTTATATCTAGAATGCTATCATCTTGACTAACTATGATTTCAATAGTTTCTCCTGATGGACATTGAACTTTCATTTTTTAATATTTATTTTTCTTTGATTGAATAATTTATAAATGTTATAATTAATTGTTTTAATTTTAAGATTGAATTGAATGTTTGTAAGAAAAATAACTAGTTATTTATAAATTAATAATTAGTTAATATTCATCAATTTTTTATTTGAAAATAGGTTTTTATTCCCCAAAAAGGAAATAAAATAATTATTTTTCATTCATTGAACAAAAAATTATTTAATAATTTTAAACTAAAAAAGTATGAAAGTAATATTTTTAAAGATAAAAATATGTATTTTATATTTATTAAAGTATATCTATAGATTTTTTTTTATAATTTTTTAATAATTGTATTTGATTATTCTAATTTATACAAAATTATATGAACAATTTAAATTTGAAGAATAGATATCCTTCCTTCTGTGGCTAACTTGGCTTTTTGAGAATTTTTGTCTCAATAATAATTACAAACTTAAAAAGATAAAAAAAAACATATCCACCTATGCTTTACCTTTATCTAAATGGTTCAACTTTACCATATTGTGCTGTATATACAAACGAACTTATAGTAGATAAAGATATTATGATTATTGTACTCCTGTATCACAAGAAATCGAACTACAACTGGAACTATGTTTTTAAAAGATTAACTGTAAAATAATTTTAATACAATCTACTTAGATAGTAAAAAATATAATATTACTAGGTATTTGGAAGTTTTGTTTATGTTTTTTTTTTGTGATGTATGTTTCTTCTTTGTTTGTAAAATGGATTAAAATTCAACTCAAAGAGGACAGTAGAATCAAATAAAATCTCTTTCAACAATACTATCAACAAATAATAAACAACATCGCTATCAAGTAAAATATAACATATTCTAGTTTAATTTATAAATAATTCGGGAGGATTTGACTTCATTTATTAAAATGTCTCAAATTGACAGGTTGAGAATGTTTTTTTGTATTGTCGAAGCGATTTATGTCGTGTGAGGATATATCGATTGTTTTTTTTAAAAAAAGGGTGTACCAAAAGTTGATATGATTATTTACAACATTTAAATTAAATTTAATTTCTTCGTTTCTAAAATGGAATAATTGAGAGAAGTTAGTATTAGAATATATGTAATGTGATAATAATTAACTAGATAGGATATACATACCATATAGTTTCTTCTATTCCAGTCACCTTCTTCAGGGTCCATCGATCCATTGTAATGATTTTGTGGCGATGGAGGTTGTTGACCAGAGATTCCACCACGCACCAATCCACCGCTGGTGTACTTGCTCGGTGTTTCATTGTTGAGTGTCGGTGATTTCGGTGCAATGTTACTGCCGTTGCCACCAGACTTGTACGGACTTTCATAAGGTTCTTGGTCTGGGTATCCACCGTGGTGTGACAAGGGTGGCGAGAATCCATTGCGATGGGGATATCCACCTTGTGGTCTTCTGTCCCAGCCAGATCTCATTTCATTGCCGCCGCCACCACCGCCACCTCCACCACGCTCATAGCTGCCAGACTGACTACGGTATTGATTTCTCTCGTAGGGATGATCACCACGATGACGATTTCCTATGTCCCAGCCCGATGACTTTCTAAATGATTGGTTATCCCAGTGGTCGGGAGGCGATCTGTCACCGCCACGATAGCCACGAGGGAATCTTCGGTCGCCTCCTCTCATTGGTCCGCTTCCACCACCACCACTGCCTTCGTAGTTGTCGCGGTCGTGGTAGATGTTGGTCCAGCTGCTGCCGCCACCACTACCACCTCTGTTGAATTCACGTTCACGCTCCATACGATCACGAATAAACTCGGGTTTATCGCGTCGGTTGCTGTCACGGTCCCATTCACGATCACGGTCACGACTTTCACTACGCTCTCTGGAGAGACGATAGGGTTGATCGATAGGATCACGAAAGTTTCCTAGAGAAGAGGTCAGTCCACCTCGCATCAGCGGCGACTGACTCGGTGAAGAGGGTGTGTAGTTTACCGAACGTGACAGTCCTCCACTCTTGAATTGGTCGTCTCTATCTCTATCTCTATCTCTGTCTCTATCCCTATCGCCTCTGTCTCTATCGTAGTAGTCATTTCTCATATCATTATTTCTTCTTCCACTATGAGGATTATCATTGAGTTGATCAGGTAAAGAACCTTCTTCTTCTTCCAAATTATTATTATTATGAATATTATTGTTGTTATCTTTTTCTTTGGATGATAATGATGACGATGATGTTGATTTATCTCCTCCAACTCCATTCATTGATATATTGGTTGATGTTGTTGTTGTTGGTGAATGTTCAGCTTCACGTTGTTCTTTCTGTTTGAATTCAGCTAACCATGCTTTTTTACCTGCGAATTTCGATGGTGTTGAACTGACCGATCCGTCGATGTCTTCACGTGATTTGTGTGGCGATGATGATGATTTCATTGGTGAAATATCCATACCGTCGTCAGTGGCACCGAACTGCTCCTCTTTGACGAGTGGCGAGAGATCATCGAGTCTACGCTTTGATTTCTTTGTCTGGTCGGTCGAGTCATCGAGATGTCGCTTCTTTGTTGGAATGAAAAGGTTGGTTTCCGCCGCCAGAAGCTGTTCTTTGCGTGCAGCCTCACGTTTCTTGATCTTTTCATCGACGGGCATACCCAGAGATTCCAACAAAGCGATGGCCAATGAAGCTCTTTCATTGAACCAATTCTGAACTGGACAACAATAGGTACCGCATGCACATGAAACTGGTGTCTTTAGCGATTGGTAGGCATAGTCGAACGCGATGGTTATCTCTTGCTGCGACTCGAGCGATGCACGCGAGAACAGTGCCGCTCTGACTTCGCCACCATCGACCATTGTGTATTGAATGCGCGAGTTGGGAGCACACGAGCGGCGTATATATCTGAGGATCGAACCTTGCTGGCGCGCGTCTATACAGAAGCTGCTGGCGACACTCTTTGGTGTCTGGAAAAACAAGACAAACGGCGATGGCATACCGTTGAGAAGGTAGCTGTGGGCGTCGGCACAGTCTGCCAACACGTCAGTGGCGCTACAGACAACACCGGTGTACTCGTCAATGAGTTGATTCGCTTCGATATCGACGGTAGCGAGGATCTTGGGTGTTGGTGGTTGTTGTTGGTGCTGCAGCGGTGACTTTAGCGGAGAACTAATGATTTTCAATGAGGGCGACAAGAATGCTTTCGGTGGATGTGGCAACCTTATTTCAAAATGAGTGCTATAGAATGGCTGATCGATACTATCAACGGCAAAAGTAGACTTTGAACTATATTGATTGGAAGTAATTTGTTTAAATGAATTGTTGTTGGTATTGTTACTGTCGTTGTTACTGTTGCCATTATTGTTGTTGTTGTTGTTAACTTCGGATTTGGCGCATTCATTCAAAGTGTTCAACAACTCTTGTGCATATTGAATCATATAGGCTGTTACAGTATCTTCGGACAACTCCAACAACAACGAAATTGCTTTCTTTATACTATCTCTCTGACTTGAAGTTGTTGATTGCTTTGCGAATACCAAACAATACTTTTGAAACATCAAATTATCATTAACATCCAAATTGTTTATACACTTTTTACTATTATTACTACTATTATTAATATTTGATATCCTTGATTTCCTCAGATTATAATCATCCTAAATTAAATTAATAAAATTGATTAGATAAGAATTGAAAACTTGATGAATGTTTAAGAAATTATGCTTACTGAAAAACTTTCTCTTAAAACCAATGATTCTACAAATGCGAATAACTCGAGAGAACTAATGAATAGGTCGGATTCCTTTGGATATTGAATAGAGTTGAATGACTTTTTGATGATTTCAAGTGGGAGTACGTCTTCGATGAATGTGAAGTTCTTTTGTAGTGCTTTGATGTCGAGTGCTTTCAAGAGGGGCGATGACGATGCAGAGTCTGCGAGTACCGGTGTGTTGCTTCCAGACTGACCGTCGGCAGCGTCGTCCGTCATCAAAGTATCTTCGTCTTTGGCAACCTCAGAGGTGGCACCATTAGCAATACCACCGGTGGAATCCGATAGCTTTCCGTCTTTGTCGGTGGTTGCTGTCGCTTTGGGAGTGCCAGTAGTGGCTGTTTTCTTTGGTGGCTTCTTACGTTTGGTTCCGTAGCCGGTGGAACGACGCTTTGCTCTCTTGGTCGTGGTGGTGGTTCCACCGCTGCCACTTCCACTGTTGCTGCTGTTGTTGTTGTTGCTGTTACCGCTGCCACTGCCAGCTGTCTCTTTCTCTTCGTACTCAATGTTGGACTCCAAGTTATCGAGTTTCTCACAACTCGAACAAATGAATGGGTCGGCAATCGATTTCGGCAGACATGCGATATGTGACCAAGTCTTGCACATCAGACACTCTGTGATCTTACCGACGGCATCTTTCTTCTGGCAGATGCAGTTGATGGTGCGAGGCACACACAGCTCACAGTAGTAGTGTTTAGGGACGGACTGTGCAGCCTTGATACCAAAGCAAATCGAATGTTGCCAGACATCACACTTCTCGCACTGAATCATCAGACCCTGATCTATGTTGTTGGCGCATATACAACGAATGGTGGATTCGCTATTGTCATCGTCTTCGTCGTTGTCCTGGGAGTCCTTGTCGTCGTCGATTGCCGCTGCCGCTGCTGCTGCCGCCGCTTTCTCCTTCTCCCTCTGCTCCTTCTGTTGCTGCTGCTCTTTCTCCTTTTGTTCTTTCTGTTGTTGCTTTTTCGATTTTGGTGTGGCAGCGGTTGCTACTGCCTTTGATTTTCGTGTTGGTTTGATTCTTGGTGATTCAGCTGTTTCAATAACTGGCGTAGATTGTTTGGTTACTGTTGATTCTTTATTTAACTCGGTTGATGATTTCAAATTTGAAGATGTTGATGTTGTTGTAGTTGTTGTTGTTGTTGTTGTAGTTGAAGTTGATTCTTGACCAACGTATGTTGTCGATGGTTGATTACTCGATGAGCTACTACTACTGCTACTACTGGAATGTGTAGATACTTTTGAGGAAAGCATTAAATCTGATTCCAATAGTAGTTTCGGTAACTCTTTATTGTTATAACCTACGCCGTGATGGTTTGGAGTAGTTGAATTGGATGGTGGTTGTGAAGTTGATTGTGTTGTTTTTGATGACGATTCTTTTATATTTAAACTATTACTATTGTTGTTATTATTTGTTAAAATAGGTGAATGATTTGGTGATATATTATTGTTGTTATTCAGTAGATCACTACCATTCTCTACTACTACTGTTTTACTCTTTAGATTCTTGTTGTTCTTCTCTGATTTCGTCGTCGTTGTTGTGGTGGTGGTAGTTGAAGTGGTTGAAGGAGTGGCAGCTTTCTCTGAAACAATACCGGTATTGCTATTCGATTGGAATTGAGTCGGTGTTGATGCTGACGATGCCGTTTGTGAATTACTACTATTCGTTGAATTTACATCTTTTTCTGTCTTTATATCTATACCTCTATCTTTTTCTTTCTCTTTCTCTTTTTCCAACAGCAAATGCCTTTCCTTTTCTTTTTCTTTTTCTTCTCTCTCCCTTTCTTTTCCTTCTCTTTCTCTTTCTCCTTTCCTTTTCTTTCTCTTTTTCTCTTAGTAATTGTGCTTCTTTTTCTTTTTCTTTTTCCTTCTCTTTCTCTTTTTCTTTTTCTTTTTCCTTCTCTTTTTCTTTTTCTTTCAGGAGGAGTGTTTCTTTATCTTTGTCTTTACTACTACTGCTATGATTTGTTTCTTTTGTGTTGTTGCTGCTGTGAATTTGAGGAGAGGGTGGCACCACGGTGGTCGTACTAGTGGCATTGTGTGAAGTTAGTGATGTTGATGATGGTGTAAGAGGTAATATTGAGAGGGTGGTGGTGGGTATACTCGGTGAGGTGTCGAGCTTGATCGAACCAAAGAAACTACCAAAGTCTAACGATTTAAAAAGTACAGAGTTGGTCGTCGATTCAGAGTTGATCGGTGGTGATTGATCTAAAATACCCTTTGGTAGAGCTCTTCGTGCAATCGACTTTCTTCCTCTCTTGTTTTCTTCTGTAGTGCTCATCTATCTCTATCTATCTATATCTATATCTATATATCTATGTAGATTAACAAATATCTAATATTAATATTTTTATTTTTTTATATTTATTTTTTATATTTATTTATTGAGTCAACAAACAAACAATTGACTTTAGTATGTATGTTGATGTTGTTATTTGTGTTTTTTTTTTATTTTTTATTTTTATTTTTTGTTTTTATTTAATTTTTTATTTTTATTTATTTTGTTTTATTTATTTATTTATTTATTCGATATATTTATTTATTATTTATTTATTTATTTATTCAATATATTTATTTATTATAATCATAAATTGATAAACAACTTATATAAGTGTTTATAGTTATATAGTTGATTACAATTTGTATTGATTACACTGTCGCTGCTGTTTTTAGTTATATAGTTATTGCGATTGTATTATATGATACTGTTGTTGATAGTTATATTTATTGTATTATTGATTTTCTTAAGTTCAAACTTACCTGTGTATTTATGATTATATTGTTGTTATAATAAGTTATGCTATGTTGTGCTGTGTTGTATATTTGATTATTTAACTAGTTATGTTTCTTTAGTTTTAAAATATAAATTCATTCCCTTTTAGTTATAACAATTTGATATATTTTCGAAAATATATATAATTCTTTACAATAATGTTGTTGTTGTTGTTGATGATTAGCTAATATCTTTATACTATCAAACAAACTATACAGATGATGTTGTTGTTGTTGATGATGATGTTGATGTGAAGATGATGATGATGATGGTGAATTCAACTACTATTATAAATATCTAATTAATTATCTTTGCAAATATAATAGAGTTTATATATTAATGTTTGTTAATGTTATTGCTGCTTGATGTTATTGTTGTTATTGTTGTTGTTGTAAAAATAAATAAATATTAATAAAAGAGTAACTAAATTAACTAACTTTTTAGTTTCATTGACTACAAACAACAACCGACAACCAGAAAAAAAAAACACATGGATTGAGTGTCAATAGAAAAAAAAAAAAAACAAACCAAAAATTTTTTTGTTTGTAAAAAAAATTCAAAATTTTTTTGTTGCTTTTTTCAACAAACCAGCAACTTCAGTTGCAAGTAATAGCTTTTATTATTATCTCTAAAAAAAAAAAATTAAAAAAAATAAAAATAAAAAAATTTATAATAAATAATTCAATTTTAGTTTTTTTTATTTCAACTACTTTGTTTTTATTAGAAAAAATAATTGTTGTTGAAATGATCAAGTAACAACAGTGTATATATATTATTTATTAATGCAACTAAAAGCACAGAACTTTGATATAATGAATAAACTCTTAGCTGGGTTGTGACCCTGATAACTTTTTTTTTTTTTTTTTTGTCCAACTTTTTAAAATGCAATAAGATCTGCATAATGAATGTTCAATTTTTTTTTTGACAACAATTAATTATCAATTGTTTAACTTTAAGAATTATATATAATTTTCAATAAATTTAGAAATAGTCTTTATATACAAAAGAATAAAGAATGTTATCAAATTTTAGAAAGGTACAGTAACTATTTTTTTTAATAATATTTATTAATTTTTATAAATAATAATATTAATCATAAATAAATATTTATTTAGTTATATCGACCGACTACCAGGATTACATTGAATAGATTGGTATCTTATTCAACATCCAATTCAAAACCACCCAATGTCAATGTTGGTCCTACTTCCAATGTAAAGCTTTCAACTGGAAACAATACCAACAATACTGCAACTACTACGAAGATAAATAACAATAGTAATAATAATAGTAATAGTAGTAGTAATAACAGCAACAACAACAACAATAATAATAGTAATAATAATAAAACAGGACCAACAGGATTTCAAACATTTAAAAGATATTTAATTGCTGCTACGGTTGGTTCGACACTGGTGGGTGGTGCCTATTTCTACTATCAATACTTGGGCAATGAGAATTATATGTTTTCAAGCAAGTTGGGTGTTAGTAAAGATACTTTCGATAAATATAACCAGTTGGTTGAGAATTTGAAAGAGCAATCACCACAGACAGCTACAGCTACAGAGGCAGACTCAACTCAAATCAAACGATTACAAGATCAATTGGTACAACCAAATGAAACAGATACTTCGGTAGAGAGTGTAGCCGTCACATCACTACCAACTAAATCAGAGATTAAAAGTATTGTTCAACAGCAGAATGCTAACGAAGAGCTACCAGAGATTAGATTGACTGCAAGTGGTGCACCTATTAATCAAGAGGAAGACAATGACACAACATCGGTGGTAGTTTCATTGAATAACGATGTTGTTTCACAATCTAATACAGACAGTGATAGTGTTACAACCGAGCAAAGTAAACAGCAACAAGCCAGAGCTGATATTATCGAGAATCTGACAGAGTTGGCCGTTGGTATTGAAGATGAAATCTACAAGAAGATTGGAATCGTAGAGAATGCCATTGAGGAATCGATCTCACATCTGCATGAAAATAGCCCACAACATAACAAATTTGAAATAGTCCCAATCGGTGAAGATCTGACTGTCTTGGAGGTAGAGCCAGAAACATCATCTGAATCACAAACACCATTGGAATCAGCAATAGTGGCAGTAGAAGAAACACCAATCGATAAAGCATTGAAATTAATGGAAGAACAATATATCTCACAAATTAGATCACTTTTAGAAGAAAATGTATGTAATTACTATCCAAAGAATTTCTTTACATATATATATATATGTATATTAATGATTAATGTTTTTTTGTTATGTTTTTAGATTAAACTAAAAGATGAAATAGAAAAGATAAAGGAAATGGAGAAATCATATTTCGAATCGACAGAGGAGAAGTTCAAACAATTGTATAGTGAAAAGGTAGATGATAATCTAAAGTATATCAGTGGTGAGGCGCTGAAGAAGTTGGAGGATATGGAGAGTCACTTTAGAGAGAGTCTAGAGCAAAACTATCATACTTTGGCAGCGAGTGTACAGAAGCAGCGTGAGAATCTCACCGGTATCTTTAATTCTCAGCAGAAAGCCATTGAGAACAGCGAGTTTGAGAAGCGTTTGATTAGCACTATGACCATTGCTCTTGTGGAGTTGAAGAAGGCGATGAACAAAGCAGCCGGAAACACTCCATTCGCCCAGCAATATCAGACTCTCAAGGACATCGCTAACTACGACGAACTGCTCAAGGTGATGCTCTCAAAGATGCCCGCCGGACTACAGAGTCGCGGCGTTGCTAGCGTTCACCAGTTGAAGGAGCAATTCAACCGGTTGGCAGAGGAAGCACGTGAGGTGTCGCTGTTGCCCAACGATCAGTCACTGCTTGGTAAAGCTCTCTCCAAGGTGGCATCGAAGCTGATCGTACCAGAGAAAGGAATGGTCGAGGGTAGTGACACTGACTCTACTTTGGCGCGTGCAGAGGAGTTCTTGAAACAAGGAAACCTACCGAGTGCCATCAAAGAAGTCGAATCGATCTCAAAGAACAACGAGAAGATCAACGAGCTCACACAGCAATGGATTTCAACAGCCCGCGAGAGAGTAATGATGGACAATCTCGTTAAATTATTGGAATCTAAATTATCTCAAATTTCAAACGATATCAAAAGAGAAGATTAAATTATAAAATAAATAAATTAAAAAAATTGCTTTTTTCTTTTAAACTAAATGTTACTGTCGTATTATCATTATAACCACAATATGGTTATTTTTATGAAATCAATTTTATATTAAAGTAGAATTCAACGATATTATTATTAATCTTAAGTTAACTTATCTACACATTTTTCTTTTAATAAGAATGAATCATTATGATGAACTTGAATTAATTTATAACAATAACAACAACAATCTTTATTATCATTATTATCTATACTAAAAGATAATAAATAATTTAAAATATATTATTTTAGATTTATAAAATTTAAAAAATGGGGTGATGTTCATTAATCATTGTACAATACTTAATGGTTTGTACAATGTTGTGTATGATTAAATTTTCGTCTACCCGATGAAATTATGTCATTTTAATCATTATTTTTTGTTAATTTTTTTTAACCACACTTTATTCTTTGAAGAGGTTTAATTTTGATGGTTTTTTTTGACCTGGTGAATCTAAACCGTCGATTATTTAGGAAACCAAAAAAGTATATAAACTTGTTATTTCAAATGATTTAACCATCAAACTAATAATCATCAAATAAACAAAAACTTAAACTTTAAATAAAATCAAAATTTATATTTTTTTTCTTTTTCTAAATTTATATATTATAATAATGCAATCAGTTAAACAATTTCTCGTTGACCAATACACTAAACTTCATTTCAATCCAGTTGATCTCAAAGGAAAGGTGATCATTGTCACTGGAAGTAATATTGGAATTGGTTTTGCAACTGTTCAACATCTTCTAAAGATGAATCCAGAGAGAATTATTATGGCTTGTAGAAATATGGAGAAAGCTAAAGAAGCAATCTCCAAACTACAAAATGATAATGGTGTAGCTATTGAGGCGTGGCAATTAGATATTTCTTCGTTTGAATCAATTAAATCATTTGCAAAGAGATTTCAAGATTCTTCATTGCCACTTCACATACTGATAAACAATGCCGGACTCGGTGGAAACATGCCTTTCTCGTTGACAAAGGATGGACATGAAACAATGTATGGAACAAATCATCTTGGAACTACGCTGTTGACATTGCTACTGCTGCCAGTGATAAGAAAGACTGCACTTGAGAATAATGTTTATCCAAGAATCATTAATTTGGCATCGGAAGTTCATCTTTGGACCAACTTTTCAGTAAAAGATAAACCCAATATTATCAAGGCAATGGATGACCCAAATTTGATAGTTGGATTCGATAGATACTCGATATCAAAGTTGATGAATGTTATGTTTACAAAGAGTCTGGCGAAACACCTTCAAGAATCAAACCAAGCAGAAGATAAAAAGATTTCGGTCTACTCTATCAACCCTGGAATGGTTACATCAGACCTCGGTTTAAAAGATGATAAATCATGGTTGTCTAAACTTGCTTTCAAGACACTCAATACAGTTTTAAGTTATATTATTGCAAGAACACCAGAGGAAGGATCAAAAACAACTATTTTAGCAGCAACCAGTGTCGATTACGGTGTTGAAAGTGGAATTGAAAATGGTATCTATTTCTCTGCTTGTAAACCAGCAAAAGTAAATGCTTTGTTGGATGGTGAAGAAGGTCAAGCTTTATTAGAAAGATTATGGAAAGAAACACTTCAAGTTCTTCCGGTAGAAGTACAAGATGTGAATATTTAAATAAAATCACCTTAATTAAACAATAGTTTTTTATTTTCTACTTTACAAAAACAATCGGAGAGAGTAGGGGCGGCAGAAATGACTTTTACTATTGCATGGTGCTCTCATTTAAATTGATATTAATAATAATAGAAATTAAAAACTGAATTGTTTTTTATCTGTAATATGATGTTCTAGGTAAGCAGATGACTTAGAGGTGATAAGTTTGCTGTTATAAAAGTGTTTGTTATAGGGAGGATATAATCACAGCAACATTCCATTCATCCGTCTAACAGCCGGTTGTGACTTTCTTAGCCCTCCATCTGAAGTGGTATCCTGGTGGTCCCAACCTAAGGAGTAGAACATAGAACAGATATCATTTCCCTGCCTGGTCTTTAGTTGAAGTTAAATTACTAGTCACAATAAAAACCGTGGTACAATTGTTGTGTTGTTGAATATCTCAACCTGATTCTTCAAAAAAAAGTTAACTACAACTTCAAACTATTTAATTGGAACTTTTTCCAATATCATCCTACTAAACTCTTAAATATTTATATGTTCCAATGGTTATAGACCCATTCTTTTTGAGCGAGTTCTCTTTCCTCCATTTAGAAGAGGATGCAAAATTTTTTTGATAGGCATAAATTCCGACTTTAACTCAAGTGGTAGAGTGTTTGACTGTAGTAAGAATCACAAGAGATATCAAAAGGTTGCTAGTTCGAGTCTGGCAAGTCGGATCTTTTAAAATTTCAATCTCCGCATGCGATCGGATTTAAAAAATTGTAATGAAATTCTTTTTTAATTAAAATTGAAGTTTTTTTTTTCTTTTCGAAAACGATAACAACCTACTATCTAATGAATCTATCATAAATGAGTATTTACAGCACATATCAGTAATGAAATTATTTATAAATAACAGTATCTAAGTAGAGTATTTTTACGCATAAATTAGTGTGGGTGGAACAAAATACGAAGAAATCAAAGTGTTCCTCTTCTTAATCTTCATTTTCAATTAACCAATTCAATCATCAGTATTCTCATCAACTTAATAATCTATAAAATATCAATAACTAAAATAAATTATAATAATCAAAATAGCAATCAATTGCAGAATTATGAAAAAGTAAAAACTGTAAAAAAAAAAAATAAAATAAAATAAAATTGAAGTTAATTTTGAATTAAAGAATGGATGTGATTAATCAACATTTTATCAAACAAATATGAGGTATAACAACTAGATTAAATTTAATAATAAAGGATTTTTATTGATTTTTTTACATGTAAATATCATTAAACAATAGTGAGTAAATCTAATCTTTCTATTCATTTTGTTTATCCTTCTATTGCAATGCATTCTAAAATATGGAGTTGAATACAAACGGTATCATTATCCAAATAACCGAGAGTTGGGTCATAGAGTAGCTTCAATTCTATCAAACCATTGCCCCATACACTCTTTTCATAGTTGAACAAAACGTTGGGTGACGAAGGGTAGTGTTTGGAGAGTGTCTTGTTCTTGTGATTGACCAGCGCGAAAAAGAAGGTTGTATTTCTAAGGAAATCGTAGGATTCCTTCTCCTTGACTCTGACCGCCTCCAGGTAGACCGAGAACGAATCCGAGTGTTTCGCTTCACCCGCTGGATAGGCCCACATCTTCCATTTGAGTCCGATGATTTCAAAAGTATTGGAAACGTGCTTCTGTGTCTTGATCGAGCTAAAGTTGTTGATCGTCCACGAAACCGATGAGCAACACTGGTGGTCCGGACAAAGGAAATTGTAGACATCGACACCGGGAGTAGGCGGTGGATTCTGCTTGTTACGAGCTTGCAATCGATGGTTTCTCAATGAATTTATATCCTTTGGATACAACTCTGGTCTGGAAAGGAATCGAAAGGCTTCCAGCAACAATCGATCCGGTACAATTTGCATTGGCTCTACAAGAGTAATTAAATCCTCGTAATCCATCGTTGGGAATCGAATCAAATTGAAAATCTCTGCCAATTCTCTATTAACTTTGCTATTGTTAATGTTGTTACTGTTGTCGTAGTCAAAGTCAAATTCATTGTTATTATTGTTGTTATTATTACTGTTATTATTGTTGTCGTCGTTGCATATACCATTCTCTGATGAAGTTTCACCACTACCATCACCAATTCTTCCAATAAAAGCATCTTTGATATTGTAACGAATCCACTCTATTGCCGACTTGAATATATCAATCTCTTTCAAATATACATCGTTGCTCTTTAAAATACGGATAAGTAAATCTTTTGATAATTTACTGACTCTATTCAGCTGTAAAAAGTATGTTGAGTTACAAACTGCTTGGTCTATATAAAGATTATTTAATTCGCTACAAATAGATAAATTCTCCTAGAAAAAAAAAAAAAGAAATGTAAATATATATATTAGTTAAAGTTAACAAGCAATTAATTATAATTATATGTTACTTACATCAAATAAAAAACCTTCTAAAACTTCATTGTTCAACTTTTTGATAAAATCTCTACATATTTGTTTGCCGCCTTCCAAGAGGAACTGGTCGCAGACCATGAATACCTGATTGAGTGAGTCATTCTGAATTCTCAGGTGTGAAGTGTAGAGAAACATTAGAATCTCAAAAAAGACACCGACTGGCACATTGGGAATGTTGATCTCTTGTTGTGTTGTCTCTCGCATGCCGTTGGTAAGCAGCGTTCTAAAGTAATCCGAACCATGTTGTATCATTGATTTGTGTGCATATATCCTAACTTCTGCTTCACCATTATCATTTTCAACTATATAATTATTTATATTTATAATATTATCATTATTATTACTATTATTACTGCTATTCTTATTATGATAATTTAATACTATTACATTGTCGTTTGATGATGATGATGATGAAGAAGTAGATGGTGATGGTGGTGGTAAGAGAAATGTAAGATCATGTGTATTGTTCTTCTGGAATGATGGTTGTATAAAATGGAAGGATGACGAAGTTACTGCCGAGCTATCTGTTAAACTGCTATCATTATTACTGCTATATTGTTGATCACTGTTTGAAGGTGATGAAGATGACAGAGACAATGATGTTGGATTCTGAAGATGTTGTGATGCTGTTGCTGAAACTACTGGTGAAGATGAAGCTTGTTTATCAGAATTACCTATTTTTAGTTTTTAAGTTTTTTTTTTTTGTATTTTTTTTTTTTTGAAAATAACTAAAATTAATTTCTTTGAATAATGATTAAGAGAATCAATTTCTATTAATAATAAAAAGTAAAATTACCTAAATTAAGATTATCTAAATCAAGTGGAAATTTCATTATATCCATTATTTATATTTATATATTTAAGAATGTAGATTCTATATTTATATAAAAAATGATTTTCAACTAATGATTATAACAATATATAACACTAATAATATATTTGATTAATTTATTAACTACTTAATTTATATTGATTTGACGAAGTTGTTGTTTCTGTTTTTTTTTTGATGTTTAATATATAATTTTTATTTTTTATCTTAATTGGATAAAAAACACACACACAAAACTAAAAAAAAAAAATTAAATTTCTAAATGTACAAAGCTTGTTTAATTATAAATAAAAATTATACTATATATAATAATACAAAACAAAACTGATTGAATCAATAATTAATAATAAAATAAAGATACAATTAAATTTAGTTATTGTCTATTGATTATATTATATAGTAAGTGTTGTTTGATTAATTAAAAAATAAATAATATAAATATTGATGTTGTTTTTGTTATTGAATAATAAATTTATTTTAAAAAAATATAATATTACCTATCTATTTAATTATATATGATAGATAGAATTTGTATTATTTAATTTTTGATTGTTTATTTTTATTTAGTTATTTGTTTATTTTTTTTTTGATTATTTTTATCATTAAAATTGGGATGATGTTATATGTAAAATGATTACATTTTATAATTGTTGTTGGATTAATAATCAATTGTTTAAATTGTAGACTGACTTATGATTTGTTTATTTGTAGATTGTGATTTACAAATTAGACGAGAAAAAGGTTTAAAAGGAAAAAAAGAATCAAAAAAAAAAAACAATAATCAATCAATTGAATTGCAACAAAAACTTTATCTCTTAAATAGTTATTATTGTTTGATTGTTGTAGTTGTTTGGTGTTTATGTTTTTATCATGATAATATAATAAAGAAGTGGAAGTTGAGAAAGGATGAAAGTAATGGTTGGGTGGAGGGGAAAAAAAAGAAAAACCATAAATGTGAATCAAACATTGTTTCGAAATGAAAGTATATTTTATTCTTTTAATTTTTTATCTATTTGTTTCGTGAGTAAGGTTAATTGGTTTACCAAGAGAAACAAATAAATAAAGTGAGATAGAGGGGTAAGATGAGTTATCGAAAAATGTCTTAATAAAATGGTAACATTGATTAATATGTGTTAAACAATACTATTTTTTAATGTGTGATTATTTTTGTTTATAATTGTGTGTATCTATTTGTGTCAGTGTGTTTGTTTGAATGTGTTGTTTATGTTTTTGATTATTTATTTTTATTAATTGATTTTGGTACCAAAATCTTTTATCTTATCTGTTTAGAATTGGAAATTGTTAAAGTAATTTATTCTTTTATATGTAAAAGCAGAATAAAATTTTATTTATTTTTATTTTGAATAAAAAAAGTGTTTAAAGTGTGAAAGTATTTCAAAGATATTTGTACAAAAACAGGTCTGATCATCAATTTGTAAAATCTATTGTCAATAGATAATAGAAGTAATACAATAGTTATCTGTCACCTTTTTAAAATAATCTACACTTGCATTCTCAAGTTAATTTATTTTAATTAAATTATATTATTTATTGTTTATTGGTAGTATGTTTATTACCAAACATCCTAACAGGTTAATAAAGTAATGATAGCTAATAGTACAAAAATACTTGATGATTTTAATGTAAATCCACTGGCAATAGTAGGATCTTCAGATGGTTCTTCACCATTGGTTGTAAGACGTGAGGTAGTAGATGGAGTTGATATTGGTTTCGAGGAAGTTGATGGCGAAGTTGTAGTTTTGGTGTTAGTTGTTTGGTAGGTTGTTATAGTTGAGCTTAAAGTTGGCAAGGAGGTAGTAGAAGTAGATATTGTAGTGGGTTGTGAAGATGTCGATGTTTTTGAAGAAGTAGTCGATTGGGATGATGTCGATGTTGAAGTTGGTTGCAAAGTTGTCGATGTTGTTGAAGAAGTAGTCGATTGGAATGATGATGGATTTCCATTGTAACCTCCAGAGTGTTCGAAACTTACAAGAGCAGCTAAAGCACCAGTAAATGCAGCATTATAATCGATAGCAGGTTCGTTTTGTTGATAGTTTTTACGAGCATCTTCGTAGGTTGAGTTTTCAATTGATGGTCCACCAATTAGTGCTCCCAGTATTTTGTAGGTGGTTGCAACCGGATAATTTTCGGATAGAGATGGATTTGGCAATGGATTGTGAGCAGCTCGGTGATGCGGGAATTGCGCATAGTTATTTCCATATCCAATTACAAATGATTTCGAGTTTGCCGGACATTGGCCGAGCACACAATTGACTTGCTCGGTTGCCCATCGTTTAGAAGCCGGTGTGTTTATAACTGCAGCAAGAAATGCACCTCCCATTGCATAGCGGTTGTTGCCCCACTTTGCAATACCTGATACAATTCCATTGGAAAAATTGGGTTGATTTATCCAGCTTTGGGCAATATCATTGGATTTCGATTGGAAGTTGTTTAAGAATTGAGAGAAGTTGGGGTCGGATGACAATGATTTGAGTGACATCAACAAGGAAGCAGAGTATTTAGAATCCCAGCTTAACATGGAACCCCAAATATCATTTGCAAAGTTACGACCTTGTAGTTTCTTGAGATTGTTTGTCAAGTCGGAGAGGTAGGTGGTAGATCTACCAGTAGCCAAATACATGCATATCGAAGCCCAGATAAGTTCGTCTTCGTATCCATGGGATTCGTAACCCTGTCTGCCATGATCGGAATAGTCTGGAACAGCCATGGTTCCGAGTGGACACGCTTTACCTAGAGAATACAATGATTTGGCTTTGTTGAGTAGCTGAGTAGAGTAGGATGGGTTGGTGTCGGCAAATACAAGCGATGCTACTGCCAATGCAGAAGCGGATTGCATTGCTACGTCGGTACATGGTTGAGTGTTGTCCACAGTGAATATTTCTCGTGGGTATGTTACATCAGATGGACGGTTCCATTGGTAATGTGAACTCATTACATCGACTTGGGTTACCAAGTTGTTAGCTTTGTAATGAGCATTCATGATCCAGTCGGTTCCATATTTCAAAACTGAGAGATAGTCATCTTTTAGATGGCACTTGTTCGCGATGTTGTCTTGGAATAAGAGGTATGACCAACCCAGAGTTGTCATAGTGTAGGCGAGTGGGAAAGTGAATTTAATATAGTCACCGGCATCGAAATAACCACCAGATAAATCGATGTTGAGTTGTTGTCCATCATTCAAAACTGAATCTTCACGCCATGGAACATCGTTATCCGGAAGCTTACCAGCTCTCTGAGCCTTATAGAACATCAAAGATGCATGCAGTGGTATACAATAATCGATTTCATTTTGTGCAACATTTATTGATACAAATACAGATAATAATAATACAATTGATAATTTTATAAATTTCATTATTTTGTTTTTTTGTTCAAGTCTTCTTGACTCTTGGAAATTATTTTATAAAAATAATACAAATACTTATACAGAAAGTTGAATATCTATTGATACAAAATAAATATCTTTATTTTTAATTGTTTTATGTTTTGTTTTATTATACATTGCAAAAATGCAAACGCTTTTATAGTTGATTGTAAAATCCATTAAATTCCAATGTAAATTCGAGATCATAATCTTATTGGATACAATCTAGATTTTCAGTTTAAAGTAATCCAAATAAAGGGTATTCTTTTGTTTGAAATACAAGTTGCAATTAGAAATTTCTTTTTTTTAAAAAAAAACAAACTACAAGTATATCGAATAAATCCAAAAAAAAAGTGTCTATCACCAATAACAAATAAAAACCATATGATACCCATTAGTTTGTTTCGTTTGGATTTAGATTACCATTCATCTTGAAATTGTACAACTTTTTCAAACAAAACACAACAACTAAACAAGTAAATGATGCGGTAGACGATTTACAATTATATTTGGCTTTAGCCAAACAAAATTAAATATCTTTACTTTACAAAGAATTGTATTTGTTTATTGTTATCATGACATAAAGTTAAAGATAAGACTTGACAAGTTGACTTTTTAAAAAAGGGTGTGAGGTGTGGTTTGGATAGCGAAATTAACTTGTACCTTTGATTGCATTAAGTAAACCTATTGAAATCTTCCATACAAATATGTTTATTATCGTTTTGAAAATTCAAAGTTATTTTAATATTACTTTTATTAATAGTGGAGGTGAAGTCTCGCAAATATATAAATGTCAAGGTCTACCTTCCACTTTTGCTTTTGTAAATATAATAATAATAAAAGATTGCAGCAAAATAAAAATCACAATTAAACAGTTGTTTAACACCAATCACCACAAGTATTCTGTTTTCGCACTGAACATTCAACACTAGGTAAAAGATAACAAACAATTAAGCAAATAAGCTGCAAAGATGTGTGAGTATTTGTTTTAAAAGTATAAAGTGATCGAGACAGACCCAAAACTATTTAATTAATGGTTGTTTTTGATATAATATATTGTATTTTATAATAAAAAGAAAAAGAGAAAGTTATTTAAAACCAAATTAACATTATTTCAACACATGGTGAATATGTGTGCTTTGATAAAATTTCTAAATATAAGATTGTTGTTAAAAATAACTTTAAGAGCATTACAGAAATCTGGGTTTGTTTTATAAATAAATTATATCTTCTTTTTTAAACTATTAGGAGATGATTGTTTTAAAGATAATTTGCAAAAACTTAATAAAAAGAATTATTGTTGTACTATCTTTTTTTTTTGTTCCACCACTTTTTTTTTTTTTTTGTTTTTTTTTTTTTCAGAGGTAACGTTGTTCTTTCTTCATAGATACATGGCCTAATTTATATAATGTAATAAAAAACATTTTTTAATTAATTGTGATTTTTAAAAAATACAGAAACTTGAAAAGTTCAAAAAAGTTGTTAAAAATATTTTATTTAAAATTGTTGTGTTAATAGGAGAGCGGTGATATATTCTCCTTTGATTTTGTTGTTTTCAGAATCGACAAAGAAATCTCTGATCTTGGATAAATTGTGTGTTGAATAGTATTCTGGATAATATTCTTTGATAAATGCAAGTGAATCACTTGAATTTGTTATTATCAATGCTTCAAATTTTTTCTGACTACCTAAATAAATTTCCAGAGTTCAGAATTATTTTCGAAAATAGTATTTACATTGAATGTAATTGAATGATGATTGGTGATAATATCCATATACTGGTTTAATAGTTGATCCAATGATTCTCTATTCTTTGGACTCTGATCCAACAATCGATGAATAAATTCAATCAATAGTTAGAATATCTGGATTCCGAAATCTTAATTTCTTGTTTCGATTGGAACAATTGATGATTATTTCGATCATCCTGATGACTTTTAAATTTAAATATTAAATATATAGAGTTAATATCAATTTGAAAATAATAATCGAATGAATATTTACCAAGTTAATAACTTGAGAATGGTTGATCCAATTGAAAAGATATCACATGATTGAGCATATTGTCTATTCATTGCTTCCTAGTTGTATAGTATTATTAGAATTTTATTTAAAAAATATTCAATTAAATAGAGTTTCATTTACCGGTGAAATATAACCAATTGTCCCACGAGTTGCTTTTACAAGTGTATTTGTGTTTATTGGACAAATGGTGGGCTTTGATATTTCATCGTCGATAGATTTCACAATTAAATCACCTGCTTCCTGGAGGTCTTCTATTGTACCTTGTAACTGAAAGGCTGGCTCTTCATCAAGAAATTTACAACTGCCAAAATCACCAAGTCTCAAAGTCCAACTAAATTCACTTTTACCAATGAATATGTTTGATGGCTTGATATCACAATGAACAATTCCATGCTTATCAAGATCCAAAAGAATATTGAAAAGCTGCGAAATATATTTACTGATATCTGTCTCGCCAAAGATTCTATTTTTATAATCAATAAAAAAGTGGTTGGTTAGTTATACTCTATTTCTTTAATATCTCGATAATAGTAAAGTATTATTTTATACATACAGATTTTGATCAATTAAACGTTTATACTTTTGAGAAAGATCACCACCATAACTATATTTAGTGATGATATGAAAGGTTTGGTTATCTCTATCATCGTGATGGTCAAAAATTTGAATGAATCTTGGATTACCTTTGAGTAATTTCATTGCTTTGATTTCATTCAATGCTGCTTCATAACATTTTTGATTAGCTTTATAGTTTATCTTTTTATAAACATACTTTTGTAATTGATTTGTTTGTTAGTTTCTGGGGAATATGAATTGATTAGATATCGAAACGATCTTACCAGTCTTCTCTTATAACCTACTAGATAAACATCATTGATACCATTACAATTAGGAAATCTAGTTATTGAATGATACTGTTTGTTATTAACGATATGTAATTGTTTGAAATAGCTAAGGTTGTATTTGTATTGACATTCTTGAATATCGATTAAGTATGATTGAGATTTGTTTAATAACTCCAAGCACATCGGTATGGAAACTAACTTTGATTTGGAAGAACCCGATGCTAATATTATTAATTGGTATTCAGTATCGACTGTATCTGGTATTACAATCACATTATTATTAATATTGATATTTCCAACGATTGTGATATTATCTTTATCTTTCAAATGATTATAAACTAAAACCAAGAGTCTATCAATGAATAGTCCCACAAAATTAAATTCCAAGATATGATTTCCATTGATTAATCTATCTGTTTTTTTGATACTATTTGTATTCATTTTGAAGTATTCTTTTGAAATAACATAAACTTTTGAAAACAGTTTCTTTAAACACACAACCCACACTAATTATAAACTGAACCATTATTAAATGTGCAAGTTTATAAAGATCTTCACAATTAAAATTTTTTATTAACTGTTAAGTGCAACCATTTAATTTTTTTATTTTTGAATTTTTTTATTTGATATAATAAATACAAAATTTAGATAAATACAAAGAGCATGTGATTTTAAATCCTATTTAAAACAAAGCAATATTCGTTTTTTATATTTTTATAGATTTCTAATCATAAAGAAGTAGAGGTAAAATAGTAGCTACAGTAAGTAAATATTATTTGATAAACAAAGGGTTCTATACTGTTACTGAACACACAGATTATAATTTTACAAGTATTTAGCACCCTATACCCTTACATTATATTAACAGTTAATTTGTTGCAACAAACTAAAAATAACTAAAGACTTTTCAAAACTTTGCTGTGGTAGTAGGAGATATTATATCTTTTATTTGAATCTTTAAAAAATGTTATATTGTTGAAATTGAAAATAATGTTGGATAAATGGAGACATAATAACCATGGGACAAGCTTATTAAGTACTATGAATTACCTTTTGCTCTGTATTGATAACACAATGTGATGTAATTTGATTCAAGGAGAGAAAAACTCCCTCCAGAGAATAGCTATGACCAGCGATAGTCGACCATAACCAAACATCGTCATCAACATCACCTTTTTTTTTTCGATTTTTGCCACCAAAATCATTATTTTTCGTTCGTTTTGTTATGGGACCTATGTAAAAATCAATGAATCGTTTTTAAATTATAATAATTATTTTATTATTTATTTATTTATAATTATTATAAGTATTAGTTGTTTCTAGTTTATATAACTATATGTATTGGTTTCACTAGTTTTTCAATAAATCTGGATTCTCTTTCCAAAATGAATCTGAAATAATATCGATGTGCTCTGTGACCAAACGTTTCTTTTGTTTGGTTGTGGGTTGACCTGTCCGACTGTCGATACGTTCCTCTGCAACCATCTTTCGGTAGATAACACTTCCTTTTCGATACATTTGCGGTAGATTATTATAGTTGATGGCGAATCTCGAAAAGAGAATTTCATTCTTTTGCTCAGAGAGAGTTCCTCTCAGTTCCAACTCTGCTTCATTCGGTGTCTTGCCACCCTTCAGCACCAATGCCCAATATGCTGTATTATATAAATTATTGATATGTGTATCTGCTTGTCTCCAACTAAGATAATCTCTATAGAAATAATTAATAAATAATAAATAAAATAATGATAATAATAACAATTTTTATAAACCAACCTTAAATTCTGATCTGATGGATAACAAACGGCACGACTATCGAATGTTGGTGGATATTTCAATTCGAAATCACCGAAATACTCTTTCCATCTATAAACAAATTGACTTGAGAAGTAACTAACTATAGATGATGTAATTTTACTTTCTCTTCTTTCGAATAATGTACACTGTTTTTTCAATACAAAACTAAATAATAATTATAATTATTAATAAATAAATGTATTCATTATTTATTTAGGTAACTAGTTACTTACCTATATTCATCACTTTCACCGAATGCAATAACTATATCAGTGAATTCTTTGCATACCTCTAAAGCACAACGATTCATCAGATTGAGTCCACGATCATCGTTTGGTTTTGCATAATCGTGTTTCTGTGTGAATTTGTGAAAACCTCTACCATCTACTCTGACAACGATCCATACATTCGGCAGTAATGAATCAGGTTGCTCAAATAACTTTACATATTCATATTTACTATTTGCCATTATTAATTTAATTTAATTTAACTTGTTTATTAACTTATAAAAAAAATGAGAAAAACTATTTAAATAAAAATTTTTATTTTTTTTTTAAAACAAATCATATGATCATTGAGTGAGTGGTGCGTCTTCGTTTTTTTTCACTGATCAGTGTGGGTGTGTCATTATTATTAGTGATTATTGTTATCTTCTTTTTCAATCGATCAATTTTTATATTAATATAGTATATTAATCAATATATATAGAAATACAGCGAAAATGATCGGAAACAGATGTTTATATAATATTTATAGATCTTCATCAACTTCTACTTCAAGAGGTAAGTTAATCATGTGAATATTCGAATATGTGCTTTTTGCCAAGAATTTAAAGTTTTACTAATTTGAGTAAATCATCATATATAATATGTTATGTTACAGTTGCTCTGAATAATAACAATAATAATAATAATAATAATAATAATGGTAGTGGAATAAATAGTAGATTCAATAATAATCACAGTACAAATACAACATCGTTGGTTGGACAAGCATCATCATCATCTTTGATTTTAAACAATGACTATTCAACTCTCAGTCAAAAGCAATTCCAAAAGATCAAGGAGAAGCGTGATGCTCAAGCAAAGTTGTTAAAGGAGGAAGCAGAGAGAAAGTTCACAGAGGCCAACAAGGTCTCGATTGACCCACTCAGCTTCGAGGAGGCACTCCAAAACCTCAAGGACAAGCTGCAAAAGTACAAGGTTGTGCTCGCCGCTCACACTGCGACACTCTTCATGAAGGTAAAGACACTCGAGCAATTCGAAGAGGCACTGCTCTTCTACAAGTCGATTCGTAACCAGAAATCGACATACTTCAACAGTGCACACATCTCTCAGATCTACTACGCGGTCGACCGTGTCAATCAGTGGCAGGTCTGGTCGGACATCCTGATCAACTCGCGTACCTTCCAGATCTTCCCATCGCAGACGATAGTCGCCAAGACTATCTACCAGTTGTTGCGTGCCGACCAGTTGGATGCCGCCATCAAGCTGATGCGCACACATCTCAAGCGTCATGCCATGTCGAACCTGTTCATGCCGACTGTCGCCAAGGGTTTGAAGCGTTCCGGCAACGTTGCTGCCGTCGTGCCATTCCTCTCGGAGATGTCGAGCCAACCAGAGGAAGAGTCACAGTCGCCGCTCAACATCGGTGAGTATATGCTCAAGACGGTGTTGCGTGAAGCGATCATCAACAATACGGTCGGTGCCACTCTGGAGACACTCGACGGCTATGTATTCCTACCGGAAGACAAGGTCGGTGTATCGACCGTGCATGCCGCCATCATTGCATCGGGAGACAATCAACACCGTCTTCTCCCAAGAATCAACGAATCCAAGGTTGCTACACTCGAAGACGCCGCCAAACAATTCGGTGCACAATATCAACTTGCCACTCCAGAGAATCAACAACAACTTCAACAAAACATAGAGAAATACTTTAACCAATCGATACCAGAGACATTCAAACAAGCATTAACAACATCATCATCAACATCATCACAACAACAACAAACACAAGAAATGACTGAAGCTGCATAAAATAATAATTACCTAAATTTTTAATAAAACAAAAAACTATAATAAAACTATAATATAATATAAACAAACTAAACTTTGTTATATAACTGTTTCACAGATTAATTGAAATCTGTTTGTAAATTGTTTTATTAATATTCTTTGAATCTTCTTGGAAAGTCTTCAAATGTTTAGTTGCACCATCCATTGTTAACTTGTTACCTGTTAAATTGATATTACATTCAGTTTGATGTATAGTTGTTGTTGTAGTTGGAGTGTTTTCAGGTTGATTTAATGTTGATATATTCATTTCGGTTGGTTTTGTTGTAATGTTTATCGTGTTGTTTGTTGTTGTAGTTGTTGAAGTAACATTTTGATCTATATATTGTGTTGGTGGTTGTGGTTGTTGTTGTTGTTGTTGATGTTGTTGTTGTTGTTGAAAGTTTGAATAGATGGTTGTCTCACCTATGATTTGAATTCGGTTGTATTTCGAGAGTGAATGAAAGGTATCTTTGAATCCGGTGATACCAAATCGATTGGTAGCTAGATTGATGTTTGTCAATGGAACTGTTGTTGCTGCTGACCGCTCAACAAGCAACTGCAACAGCGTCTTGGCACATCGGTTATCGATCTGGTTCGATTGTAATACTAGCTGTTGTATTCGGTTCTTTCGTAGTGCAATTACCAAGTATTCGAATCCATCGTTACATATCCTGTTGAATGACAAATCCAGCTGCGCGAGTACTTGGTGACCAGCCAGTGACTTTGCCAGTTTCTTTGCACCGTCAACACCAAGCGTATTGTAACTTAAATCGAGTGATTCTAGTTGGTTTTGTTGTTGTTGAAGTTGTCCGGACGAACTGCCGGCAAGATAAGCACCGAGCGCTTTAACACCGTTCACGTTGATGTTGTTCTTTGAGAGGTCGAGATGGACGAGCGGACCAAAGTTAATAGTGTTTCCGGTGTTAAGAGTGATTCTATTCTCGCGGAGACTGAGTGATTGCAGTCCAGAGTATGGCAGGGTGGCTAGCATGTTTGACAGCTCATTGTCGCCGATGGCGTTATTAGGGAGGTCAAGATCCACCAGTGAAAACAGCTGTCTTGATTCACCGACGCATCGGAGTATCTTGCGTATTGATTGTCCCAGTTGATTCGAACGATTTCTCGAGAGACAAAGTCGCCGGAGTGAAAGGAGTTGTCGCGTCTCAAAGAGGTTGACGAGGATGTCCAGGTCGGTGTCGTCGATGTGCTCAGAGATTTGGAGAGTCTCCAGAGTGTGGCTGGTCGGCAGTGAGAATACAAAGAACGAGTGGAGTGACTGCGATGAGTACAGCCCTATGTTCTTTAGTTTGAGTGAGCGTATCTGCGGTGGAAGATACAGGCGGTTGTAGTCTTGGTCGCCACTGTCATCATCGCCATCCTGTTGCTTGTTGTTACTGGTAACATCGATCAATGAAAGTGGATAACCCTTGATAGTAACGGATTCGAGTGTTGTGCAACGCCGCAGTGTGTTTCTGATGAACGGGTAGATGTATGCGTTGAACAGATGACGACTTACGCCAATCACCGACTGGTAGGAGTCGGCATTGACAAAAGAGATCGATCGCAACGAGAGGTATTCGCTTATCAATTTACTTTGGAACGTCTCCGATGTATATGCCTGTGACGCGGTGATGTGAAGATCACTAAAATACACGGTGAGAGCACGCACAAACGCATCGGATGTCTTTCGCCAAACTCGATTGACAGCTCTCAGTGAACGGTGACAATCATCAACTATCAGCTCTATTATATATTTTTGAATGATAATTGGTAATGTCTTGTTTGGTTGTTGTTGTTGTTGTTGATCGATAATGTTTCCACTTTCATTTGAATTTGACGTAGTGGTTGTGGTTGTTGTCGAATAGTTTTTATTTTGTTTTATAATTATTTCTTCATTTTCTTTGAATTTAACACTTTTATTGTTTGTGTGTTTGTTGTTTGAAGATGATGATGATGATGATTTAGATTTTGAAGGTGAAGAGGTAGGTGAAGATACAATCGGTATAACAATCGTATTTTTTTTAACTTTTTTCAATGGAGGTGGAGTAACATTGTCCTGATCATCCTGAATCTTTTGTAGTTGTGATGATTGTGGTGGTGGTGGTGTCTGTCTAATTTGATAGTTTCGATTTTGCTTTGGTATAAACATCGAACTTGTTGATTGTTGTTGTATTTGTTTTTGAACTATATTATTATTTTCTGTTAAACTACTAACACTATTATTATTTGTTGTTATTTTCGAAGTAACACCACTACCACTAGTAGTATTTCTATTAATATTATAATTCTTATTCATTTTTTTATATTATTTTATTTATAAATAAATAAAAACAACTTATTTATTATTATTTATATATTTCTAAATAAGTTGTTTTAAAATGTTTAAATATAACTAGTTATAAATCATTTTAAATAGATAAATATATATTAATAAAGTTAATTAATTAATTTAAAACATTCATTAATGAATTGTCATATATATGGTAACGTTATAAAAGTGTTGGTTCAACAAATTTTTTTTTAGCAGCAAGACTTTGGTGTGATAAAAAACAATGACATTATCATTATTATGCAACTTTTTTTCTGTTTCGCTCCACACCAAAGTTCATAGATTTTTAGTTTTTTTTTTTTTTTTTTTTTATTAATCGCAATTCATTGTTCTCTTTCATATTTTTTTAATTTTTTTTTTTTTAAATTTTTTGAAAAGCAGCAGAGTGTGTGATCAATAAATACATTTGTATAAAGTCGAAATATTTACAGCTAGTTGTATAATTAACAAACAAAAGATTAGATTTTAGATATCAATATCAACAACCACAACAATATATAATAAAGATTTAAAAAGATGTTGTCACGTTCATTCAAATCATTGGTTCAAATTCAACGTCCAGTCTTGATGGCTGGTCAATCATCGATGATCCGTTCGTTCTCCTCGGATCACCGTCTCTCAGAGAAGGAGGTCACCGACCGTATTCTCGAGGTCATCTCAAAGTACGACAAGTGCGCTGGTAAGAGTGTTTCGCCATCGGACACCTTCAAGGAGCTCGAACTCGACAGTTTGGACAGTGCTGACATCTTGGTCGCTGTCGAAGAGGAATTTGGAATCGAAATCCCAGACGAAGAAGTTGATAGAATCACCTCTGTAAAAGACACCATCTCCTACATTAGAAAGACCCCAACTGCCAAATAAATATAAAAATACAAATAGAAACTACAAACTACCAAACTAAACTTTTTTTAAAACAAAAACCTTTAATCAAAGAATTAAATTAATATTATAAACAAAAAACAAAACATGACATAACATAATATAATTATTTAACTTCATTCATTCATTTTATTTATAATTATAATATTACAAATATATCTAATCTTCTTCTATTTTTCATACTCAACTATTCAAATTTGACATTACTTTACATATTCCATATAGATTAAGACATAGATATAAACGTTATACCAAAGATATCAAAGTCTGAATATCTATTAGATCGGAATCAGAAGTTCAATAATAGTATAAAACAACATATTACTTGTAATAATAATTTTTTATTTTTTTTATTTTTTTTTTCTTTTTTTTTTTTTTCTTTTTTTAAAAATTTTTTAATAAACAGATAGAGTGTGAACATCAAAGATCAATGAATCGATTGATTAGAATATGAATTGATAGTAAATGAGATTTTAATATTATAAATAAAATAAACATTCTTTTTTTTATTTAATGAAAAGTAAGTTTAGTTTTATGTTGGAGGAGCTCTCCATAACCATTTTCTACATTTTGAGGAACCACAATAACAAGGTATATCATTACGACTTGTATTTGATCTTAGTGTATTGTTTTCCGGTATCTGATAATTATAGTCAATCGTTAACTCCTCTCCTTTCTTTATCGGTCTTTTACTAAAGAAAATAAATCTTAAAAATCTTGGATCATCAGAATCATTAAACATCTATAAGTATTGTTTTTGTTTTTTTTTTTTTTAGATTAAAGAATGATAAGTAATTTGAAATTGAATTGATATAATTAACATACAATATTCTTAATATTTGGATCACATGAATGATTGATGAATCGCGACTCATTGCCATATTCCATTGCGTCGATGCAGAATTCACCGGATCGATCGCCTGGCACATCCATGTCATAGAGATAACTGAGTCGTTCTTTGTCGTATTTTTGTCCACGTTTCTCTGCCTCGTCGGACGTAATGATTTCACCGACGTACTCGGTGACAAACGTTCGCTCGGGAATGTCGGTGAGTGTGCGCACACCCCAGCCTTTCACCGCCGACTTGAACAGCTCCAGCGGGTACTGCTGACCGTTCTGTATGATACGATTGCTGCAGTTGTGTTTACAGCGGCACTTCTCGTTGCACTCGTCGATGATTACTCCCTCCTCCATGTTGTGCGGCAGCAGTTTGCCACTCTCGTAGTTCTGTCCGAGGTGTCCGAGACACTGACACGTCTTGATGTTCTCGGGCGCGTGACAGTCGCCAATACACGAACACCCAACCTGGAACTCTTTCAGCTCGACCTGCGCGTCGAGTTGACTGAAACTCTTGCTGATCCACTGGAATTCGTCGATCTGCAGAGTATCGACTTCATTCCTGGCCGGCAACGGAAATGGCAAGTTTCCTTTGGCGATGTTTGGATGCTCCCAGAACACCTGTTTGCCGCTGACACTACTATAGTATTTACTGCCAATCGATTTACTAGCGGATGTCGGTGAGAACGAAGAAGAAGAAACCGATGAAGAGGTAGAAGATGAAGAGTTGGACGATGACGGTGATGATGTAATCGTTATATATGTATCCAATGTTTCTCTTCTCTTCTTCCTTATCGATTCTATATTTGATTTTTCGAGTTGTATTTTGTTGCGTTCCGACAGCTCCGCTATTTGTTTCGGTGCCATATTCAACAGATTCGAAGACAATATATCCATTTGTACACCAATACTCTTTTGTAGTTCCATTAGCAACTTTTGGAATGCCTGTGGTGTATTTAAATCCGATATCTTTAAATCTTTTCGATTCATATAGTCTTTGATTATCTCTAAATCATTTGGTCTAACTACTTCATATGGTTCTGATTTCTATTATTATTGTACAATGATTATGAATATATTAATATGATGATAATAATAATAATTATACCAATGAAATAATCAATATATTAATTAACACCTACGAATATATCTAAAAACATTGATCTTATATAAATAATATCTCTCTTTAAAATGATTGAAATCGCTTGGATGAGGAATGTGTTGAACGGTGATTTCTCACTCTTTGACAGGTCATAGTATTTACGTATGAGATTATCTTCGAGTTTACTCTTTGGCTTTAAATCTGTAATCTCTCGCCATGCTTTCCAATGTGTATCGTTGTAGTCGTCTATCAACCGATCCGACAAGATCGGTGGAATAAACGATATAGTATTGTAAAAATTGGTTTTATCATCCATTGAATCATTATGTTGTTGTATAACTATCAGTGGTGATAGTAATTCATTATTATTATTATTATTATTGTTATTATTATTATTAACAGGTGAAGTTGAACTATTTAAAGATGTTGTAGATGTAGATGTTGTTGTTGTTGTAGATATCGTTGATGTTATTGCAGGTGTTGGTATTGTTGTTGGTATTATTGATGTAGCCGTTGATGTCGCAGTTGATGATGATGATGTTGTTGTTATAGATGCAGAAGATGGTTCATTAGAAGATGGCGATGATGAATCTATTTTCATTGCATCGGTATCGTCTCTGTTGTTGTAGTCGTTGTCATTATTATTATGTCCGGAACCATTCGCACCAGCAGCACCAACATCACTCGCACCAATCGAGTGCAACGATGACTTCAAACCAATGAGTATACTATCCAAATTATTGGTATGCAAAGGCAGATGACTTGGTAGATTCGATCGACCTGGACTAACACTTCTCCTAGGTGCACTTGCAACAACACCAACAACAAAACTCTCCTCCTCTTTCTCCTCCTTCTCCTTTTTCTCTTCTTTCACTTGTTCTTTCTCCTTCTCCTTCTCTTTTTCTTTCTCTCTCTCTTTTTCTTTCTCTTTCTTTCTCTCTTTTTCTTTCTCCCTTTCGGTTCCCTTTTCCCTATCTCTCCTTCTCTCTCTATCTCTATCTTTCTCTCTCTCTCTCTTTCTGTCTTTCTCTCTGTGTCTGCCTTTGTCTCTATCTTTGTCTTTTTTCTTTTCATTTACAGTTTCAACTTCATCCACATCACCCATAACTATATCAATATTACTATTACTACTACTATTTTGATTACTATTATTATTATTATTATTATATATTATTGTATTTATGAATGTATTTAGTTTAATATGATTCTTTGATTGAAGATAAAGTTGATTATATATATTCTCAAAGTTTGCAATGTAATCGTCTTTTGACTTTGAATTTGTGAAAGTTCCTTTCTCAACGAGATGACTGTACTCTTTGATGGTTGATTCTCCCCAGCCAAGTGAAAGGTAGTATTCACGCATAAATTGTTCCAGTTGCTCTCTGATCTCTTTACGCTTATCGGGATCGATTGTGAATCTCTGATGATGTTGATGATGATGATGATGATGATGATGATCACCAGACTTTTGAGCTGGGTCAGTCCGCAGATCTTCTGAGTTTGCTTTCTTTGCATTCTTCTTTCTAGCTGTTGTATTTGACTTTTTACCATTGCTATTACTACCACTACTGTTACTACTACTACTGCTACTGCTATTATTATTGTTGTTAGTTGAAACACTGCCATTGTTTATCTGATTTAAAGAATTATTCAACTCAAAGAATCTTTCCTTTTTCGTATCCATAAATTTTTCAAGACCCAGCAGTTTGTTCAGAATCTTGTTACGTCGCGAAACCAAATGTTTAAACTCCAATAAAATATTATCTGTTTCACTCTTTATATTATTTACAATTTCATCTTTACTATTATTATTACTGTTACTATTCGGTTTTGTTGATGTTGATGTTGTTTTTGATGATGACGATGATGATGATGATGATGATGACGGTGTTGTTGTGCTTGTTGTGCTTGTTGTCTTTATATAATTGCTATTGTTTTTATTATTATTGTTATTATTATTAACTCCATTTGTTGTTGTAGTTGTTGTTGTTGTTGTTGCAGTTGTTAAATTGATTTGCTCAGAATATTGTTGTGATTTCGCAACGATTCTCTTTAGTGAAACTAAAAATCCATCGTACTCTGGATTGATAAGAGTATCGGGATTGATACCGGCTTCAATTGCCATCACTTTGGCAAGTTCTATCTGTTCATCATTGACATCAATAGATGATCTTTTCTGTAAAAGTTGTTTTATATATTGTGTTGCACTATTATTATCCATTTATTTATATATATCTACTATTCTTCTTTTAATACTTTTTACTTTTGACTTTTCTAATCTAATCTAATCTGATATTTACAATAAATCTTCTTCTGTGCTACTCCTGATCTACTTTCCACTTTCTTTGAAATATATAAATAATAAATAATAATAGATAATAGATAATAATAATAATAAGTTCATATACATATATGATTCCTTATAAAATTATAATTAAAATGGTAACTCATCAATATTTAGCAATTACTCTCATAATAATTATAACATTAGTTATTATCAACAAATTCCCTCTTAAAAATTTCAAATTTTTAAATTTTTTTGTAAATTTTTTAATCATATCAATTTCTTATTAATAACATACATATATATATTAATATAAATTAAAAGTTAGAATAATGACAGATGTTATTAGTAATCAATCAAATGTATGTAATGTTGAATATTAATATTAGTTTAATAATACTTATTAATACGTATTATATTCATTTAAAAATATAGGTTGATACACAACAACAACAACAAGAGCAGGTAGATAATAAACAAACAAAACTAGATAACAATGAACCACAACCTGAATCAATAAAAAAGTTGATGGAATATATGGAGAGAGATGTGATTGTTGGTGTTGTTGGAAATAGAGTGATCAAAGGCAAACTAACATGTTTGGATAAACAAGAGAATATATTACTGTCGAATGCCCACGAGGAGTTGTTTACCGACGAAAAATATCAACAGTATCTCGAAAAGAAGAAGGCTGTCGATGAGACACTACCAGAGAGCGAACGAACAGAACCAATCAAACCAAAGAACAACGGTCGCAAAGAACTTGGTTTCATTATCGTACCGATGAAATACATCGTCTCTTGTAGAGTATCAAAGAAACCTGCAGAAAAACAAGCTGTAGTAATCAATAGTAATAATAGTAATAACAACAATAATAATAATAATAATAGCAACAACAACAATAATGATAATAAAAATAAACAAACTATCACCACTACATCCACTGTCACAGATACAGCCACTACAACTACAACACAATAGTAAATAGTATATATACAAGTGATATTATAAAAGGAAACAAACGATATGAAACACAACAAACGACAATAATATTTACGAACAAACTTTTCATAAAATTTCACAAATATCATAAAGATTTATGATAAAAATATTAAATAAATTGAAATAATTAAACCAAATAGATATAAAAAATATGTGTAACAGGAGTAAATAAATAAATAAATAAATAAATAGCTTTTTACTTACGTACGGAGTGATTCTTTTGTATAAAAGGCTAAAATTTCACAAGTTTGTTAAACTTAAGAGTCAAGCCGCATGCGGTAAATTAATTTACAATAATATTTGGGGCTCCACCGGGAATCGAACCCAGACCACTACCACCCAAAGGTAGTATTGTACCATTCAACTATGGAGCCTTTGATGTAGTTCATTTTTTAGAAAATAGTTTTTATTTTTAATTCTATTATTTTTTTTTTAAAAGAAATGTCTTAATTGAAAGAAATGATTTTGAAGATCACTTTCATTTTGATTGTGCCTCATTTATTAATCTTTATATTTTTCAAGTATCAGTCATTTATTAATTTGGAGGATTTTATTTTTATTTTATTTTTATTTTTATTTTTTCTGTTTGTTCTATATTTGTCATAACTTTGGTGTGATTAATACCAAAGTTAGGTCATGTGATCCATCCTATGAAGTTTCATCCATTTTGATTGAATTTTTATCTTACGAGAGAATCAATAATGCCTCATTTTCTGATCAATCAAATCTCAAAAAATATGACATTTTTTGGGTGCAAAAACAAATAATCATCAAAATTATGATTAATCCTTGGACGGTTATTTTTCGATATTAAGTTCCATCTTTTTTGCTTTTCAATCTCATTGGAGGATTATTTTCGTTTGTTTGATTTTTTCACATTTTTGGATTCCACTCATAGCACATCGATCAATTCAATCAAATTGAAAGAGAAATGAAATAATCAATTCATTTTAAAAGTTGCTCAACAATAAGGATGATGCCACATTAATAATTTTTTCTTCTTCTCTGTCTACGTTATAAATCATCATAGTTGAAACACAAGTAAAAAATCAAACACCCGATCACATTTTCAACAAATGAAATCAATCCATCAAAAGATAAAACCTAATAAACTAAATTTACAACTAAAACACACAATTTCTCGAAATTCATAGCCAATCAAACAGTTAATCCAATTTCGAAACCACACACACAACAATATTTCAACTGACTTCCACAGAGTTGAAACCCCCTACTTTCAATCTTAATACCACTAAAATATTTGACCTTTGATCCATGAGAGGAGTAAGTAACCCACTCACCACATCTTTCTAAAATGAGCACACCTCCTACTCTTTCGTATCTTTAAATATTTAGAATTTGTTTTCTTGCAAGATTACCTCTTTAGTTTTCTTGTATTCGTCTTTATAAATTATTATTCAATACTAGATTAACAATAACCACAAACACTTGGAATCATCGTTGATCAACAAATTATCAAGTTTCGTAAATCAGAAAAACAAAAAAAAAAGAAGAAAAAAAAAACAAAAAAACTTGAAACCTCCTTGTATATCTTGATTCACCCCTCTTGTGAGTGAGACCACTAGATCACCCAATTTCCAAAGTGGGAGGTAAAGGTTAATTATATCAATATATAGCATATTAGTATGTGATGAGATTTGAATCTGAGTATTCAACACAAAACCCCCACTTTATGTCCATACACACTTTGATGATCATAATAATTCCTCTTCTTTTCATAGCCTCTCTTTTTCAAACAAAATAATTACTGTAATGCGTTGTTGTCTTGTATTCTTAATTTCATTCTCAGTACTTTTTCCTATAAATTGATTATTTTTTTATGATAAATACCAAACCTGTACTTTTTCAAAACAATCTACTAATACTACTACTACAATCAAATAGATAATTAAATATTAATTAATTATCTTGTAATATTAATTCTATCTGTATCACTACCTATTTGTATCACAAAACAAATAAAAATATTATTTTTATAAATAATAATAATAATAATAATAATAACAACAATTCATTACAATTTATTTCAAAATCATATTTTTATTCTACAATACTTTTATTATAATCACCTTTAATTAAATCGATTAATTAAAATTCCAATAGTTAACAAAATGCAACGATCAATCATCTTTATTTGTGTTTTGATTGCCATTGCCAATGCCACAGAGGTTAGTTGGGTAAATAATGCCAATCAATACAATTTCTTCACACCAAATAATTGGAATGTCAATAGAACCCCTGTTCGTGACGATAATGTCAATATCTCACCAAACAATGCTTACGTTTATGTCAACGCTCCATCTGCCATCAATTCTCTCACCTTTGATTCCCCTGTTAATGGTACTTTGGTTATCACTGGTAGCGGTAAAATCACCACCAACAACGCTGTTCTCAATAACAGTGCCACCCTTTACATTGACTCTTCATTAAAGTCAGCTCCAGCTTTTCAATCAAACTCCTCCACCACTTTGCTATCTAAATTACAAATCAAGACTGGTTCCATCGATACTGGTTATTTCAATATGATGTCCGCTAAAGTTGATTTAAGTATGTTTTTAATATCGATTATTTAAAAGAACTATTTTACTAATATTATTTTTAAAGTAAATGGTAATCAGAAAATCAATTCAAATTATATTAATGTTGTGAACAGTAATATTCGTCAAGTATCTTCAAACAGTGAAATCAAATTTGCCACCAGATTCTTAGGATCCAATTTGGAATCTATTAGTTCAATTTTGAATTCAAATGTAAATATATATATTAAGATTTATAACTTTTAGTTTTTTATTTCTAATACATAATTTTTGTTTTTTTTTTCTTATCTATTTATAGAACAAAGGATTAGTTTCAACCGTCCACTCTTCAAATCTCTCATTTACCAGCTCAGCCTTCCAAACCGATAATTACATGATGTTTGAAAATTCCAAAATTAATTTGGTTGCTTCTTCCATGAGGTTCCGTAGTTTGAGTTTAATCGACAGTGGTATTTTCACAGCTGAAGCATCCTCTGTTAGCTTTGACAAGCTCTTCCATACTCAAAGTGACAACACCATCACCTTTAAGAAGTTCTCAACACTCCAAAGTTCAACCGGTGCCGATTTCGTTGCCACCTACAGATCATCGATCTACTTGGAGAATACCATTCTCATGATGAACGGTAGATTCGTTCTCAAAGACAGATCCGTTTTGAGTTTCGGTGGTCTTGTTCTCCCATTAACCCCAATCAGAATAGTACTCTCCGATTACGCCAAAGTCCAATACAAGGGATTCTTTAATAACCTCTTCCATTCCAACAATATTCTTGCCGACCAAGCTGCCTCTGAATCGTCAGAAGCCGTTCAAAATAGAGAACTTTCAACTTTAACATTCGAATTAAATGTAAGTAATATAAATTATAATATTTATTATTAAAACAATAACTAATTATAATTATTTTTTTAAATTACTCTAGGATAACGCACAATTCGAATCTGATCAAAACTTGAACAATATCAATATCATTGGTGGAGAAAAGAGTTCAATTACACTTGTAAGTAAAAAGTTAATATATCTTTTTATTATTTATAACAATTAATTAATAATCCCATTAATTTATCATAGTCAAATCTTGTTTTATCCAATTCATCAATTGTAAGTTCCAATGGACTGGTTATCAATTCCAATGTTGTTTTGAATGAATCTACCATTTCAAGTGATGTTACAAACACTGGTTCCATCTCTGGTAGTGGTGTTATCTCTGGTAACCTCGAGAATCAAGGTACTCTCGGTTCATTCGATACCGTCTCCAAGATTGTTATCGAAGGTTCAGTCAACTCTGCCGATCCAAACAGTAAGATTGCCATCCTCGTCAATTCCAACACTGACTACACTCAGATCCAAGTCAGCCAATCATTGACTCTTGCCCAAGGTGTCGTTGTCGTCAAGGTTAGCTCAGCTGCCTTGTTGGAGAACAACGAATTCCAATTGATCTCCTACGGTAGCGGTGAACAAGCAGTCACTGACAACATCGTCGTCGAGTTTGAGAACAACCAACAAGTCAACTACACATTGGTAACCGACGGTTCCTCTGTATCGTTAAAGGTCAACAAAGCACACGAAGAGCCAGTCACCAAGAGTGTATTGTTCATCTCATTGATGTCAGTAGGTGCCGGTGTAGCTGCCATCACTGCTTTGATCGTCGGTGCTCTCATCATCAGAAACAAGAGAATCAAGGCCAAGCAAGCCGATAAAGGTGTCAAGCTCGATGACAACAACAGTTCAATTGATATCTCTCAATAAATAATAATAGTAATAATAATAATAATAATTAAAGATAATATAATAAAATGACTATATCTTTTATTTTTCACAAAAACAAACTACAAATAATTTACAAATTTATTTATTATTTACCAACTTTAATTGTTGGTGAAGATGATAAATCAGACATTTCTTTACCTCTTATCTCTACATTTGATGATTTCGCTTGAATACATAAATATTTTAAATTCTAAAGAAATAAATAAACAAATAAAGTGTTAGCCAACACTACTAAATAGATTTTGATAAATATATTTATAGTTACAATTGAATATGGTTGTCTGTGCCAATTAATTTGTATTTCTTTAACGGTTGGATCAGTTATACCAATAAGATCACCTTTTTTAATTGCATTTGATGTTATGTTGTAGATGGACAGGACAATCAGCTGTGAGTTTCTATCTGAACAAATTGCAATTCTCGGTACTGATTCGCTTGGCGATATCACTCTTTTGATTTTACCAATGAAAAATGAATCCTTATTTAAACCTACTTGTAAAGCTTGAATTGAGAGTGATGCTTGATTCTTTGTAATATTTCTATTTCCACCATTATTAAACATCATCGGACTGTAATTCAACAATGTATTAATCTTATTACTATTATTATTTTTCTTTTTATTATTAATCTAAAATAAAATTTTATATTCAGATTATTAGTTTATGTTTAGTGTTAATCATCTATTGTTATTATTATTACCTTGTTTAATGAATCAGATATTAATTTAGTATTTGAGAGTATCTCTTGAATATTCTTTATTGGATCACTCCATGGTTTATTTTCAATTTCCAATGCTCTTGTGAAACCTTCTAATGCCAATTGGTAATCTTCCTGATATTTATAAATCTAAAATAACCAACATTAGTTTATATAAAATCTGTTGTTTTTTGATCTTTGACAAACATACGGTTGCTCTATTATAATATAAATCAGGATTATTCTTCAACTTTGAATGCTGTTCTGAATAGCTGTAAGCTTTCAGTGCACTATTTAAATCTGATTCGTTTTTTTGTACATCTATAAAGAATGAGCTTAGATATGAATTACCAAGAATATCTAGATTAAAATAGGATGTAATATAACTTGTTAGCTAAATTTAGAAGAGTAGAGTATTAAATTGATCAATTTTATATTATATTTACACCAAGATTCTGAATTCTTAAAGTCGATGGCCAAAGCTTCTTTTGCATATTTTACACTTCTCTCTACATTATCTCTCTTTTTCAATATATCTTCAAAAAGTTAACATGTTAATAAAAATAATTATCGTACCTAGGTATCGTTTGATTAAACACATACTATCTTCATTTAATTGTCTAAGTACAATTGAAATCTTTTGTAAAGATACAACATTTTTCTATTTTACAACATAATAGTGATATTAGTTTTATAATTGTGATCATAATCATATAGTTAGTTTAAATAGATGTTGGTATTTACATTGTTTCTTTGGAGTGATTGTTGAAAACATTTCATTGCCAATTGCAAACAGTTCTTTCGCCAGTAAAGCTCACCCAATTCATTCCATGCAACTTCAAGGGTATCATCTAATTTCACTGCTTTCGAGAGGTAGTTCTCAGCATTGGTGAAGTTGCTCGAACTACTATTATTATTGGTATTGTTATTGGTAATAGCAGTGTCATTGGATTTATCATTGCATGTCAATAAAAGATAATAAAGCTTGCCATATAGATAGGAAATATATGCTTTTGTTTTAATTGGATAGTATTCATCATCTGTTATGTTACATTATCGATATGGTGGTTGTTAATCATTTTTGTTGATCATTTTAAAATCTGATTTTCTCATTCTTACTATTTATAAATGTATTGTTAAGTGCGTTGATAAAAGTTTCTATGGTAGAAGATGATTTATTAAGTTCATCTTCATTTTGAGAAAGAAATGTTGTTATACTATCTATAACGGAATCTGTGTCTTTCATTTATTTGAATCACCAATGTTGAATAAAAAGATAAATGAAAAATTTATAAAAGACAATTTAAACTAAGAAAATTATTTTTAATTTTTAAAAATTACTCAATTTTTTTATTAATGATTCAAAATTGAAAAGAGATACAAGAAAAAATTTTATGAGAAAAAATTTTATAAAGATAAGTTTTTTTTTAAAAAAACATCAATTGCTCTGTCATATAAGGGTTAGTATCCTGGACTTTGAATCCAGTCATCTGAGTTCGAATCTCAGCAGAGCAAGCTTTTATATATAAGGTTAAAAATAAGGTCCGCATGCGGAATATGTCTATTTGTAAAAATACAGTTACTATGAGAAGAGATTCCAATTAAAAGTCTTTAAGTTATATGTTAGAAAGTTATTCTAAAATAATATAGCAAAGTGCTCACATGTTGAATTGTGTTTTTGTTAATAACCAAAATCACCTTATTCAATGTTGAAATAAATTTGATTTGAAATGTACTAGACCAGACTCCCATCCGAACATATACATAGCTTCATCAAACCCATAACAACAAATGAAAAAATAGGCGAATTGATTGCAAGATTCTTTACACACTACTGCATATACTATTTCAAAACAAGCAATCAAAAATTATTGAATAATTATGATCCACTAAAGATATGTCAAAGAAATAAAAATTAGTAATCTGTATTCATTAAAATAAAACAATTATTACTTACACTATCTTTTATGACTAAACCTCTCCACATACCAAAAAGATTATAATAAAATTTGAATTATAAAAATGATTTTAAAACATTTCCAATCATATTTTGAATTGGTCTTATTACCAGGTTTGATAATGGGTTCTTAATGAGTAGAGTGGAGAAGAGCTGTCCATAGTCCGCTATGGCTGTGAGGCATGGAATTCTTATAATAAGTTCTCGTAGAGATGGCCAATTGGATAAGAAGTCACCGGCATTGTTCATGTTTTCGTCTTCTTCTGCGGTATTCAACTGGTCCTTGATCTTTTCATATGGAATACAGAATCGATCGATCTCCATTGCATCGTCAGTTTCCTCAACTTGTTCCATGATAGGATCTTCATGTGATGTCATTTCTACATCATTTGATGCTGCTGCTTCTGACTGTAGTGGAGATTGTTGTTGCAGTGTTTGTGAAATTTGTTGTAAATAGTTGATTTGTTGTTGTTGTCTATAATCTTGAATCTGCGAGTTGTAATTGTTATCGATTTCAAAGATTACGACAATTTCTTTTGCTGGTTTTGATTGTTCCGTTGATTGCACTGTAGTGTTGTGTTGAATAGGAGTATGGAGTGGTGTTTGGGTTGGAGATTGGATTGGTGATTGAGATGGAGTTTGGATTGGAGTTTGGGATTGTGTTGGAATTGGTGTTTGGATTGGTGTTTGGGATGGTGTTTGAATTGGTGTTTGGGATGGGGATTGGATTGGTGTTTGACTATTTACATGAGTTGATTTGTGATGTTTTTGATTGTCCATTGATTCTTGATTATTATCTTCTTCTCTTATTCTTTTTTTTTGTTGGATTGTTATTATTATTATTGTTATTTATTTGGTTATTTATTTTTTTATGTTGACTATTATTGTCACAATCATCCTCTCTTTCTTTTCTTTTACCACTATAAATCAAGCTCGATTGAATATCGGATCCGATATCATGATCATCGTCACCAAAATCAATCGACTCGATATCAAACAATGGTTTACTTTGTGTATTATTATGTGTATTGTTCTGTGTATTATTCTGTGTATTATTTTGTTTATTATTTTGTGTACTATTTTGTGAATTATTTTGTTTATTAATCTGTGTATTATTTTGTGTATTATTCTCTGTATTATTTTGTGAATTAGTCTGTTTTGTTTTCTTTGTTCCTCTGTAGCCTCTTCTTCTTTTGTTTGTACCAGAGAGTGTTTGGTCTGGTGTAGTTGTGGTAGCTGGTTTTGGTGAAGATTGAGATGAAGTAGAAGCAGCTTGTGATTTTGAAAGTGTTGGTTGAGATGGTGACTGAGGTGATGAAACAATTTGTTGTGTTCTTGAAGGTGTGGGTTGTGGAGCTAATTTAGATGTTACTTTGGTATAAGTATTTATAATATCGCTCATCTCTTTTGCCTTATCCTTATTTGATTCGTTGTCGGCAATCGTATTCATTTCTATCATGGTGTTTAGATAGGTGGTATGTGCCTTATCTCGAGCTGGTTTCCAAGACTGTGCCTCCTCCTTGGTGGTCGATTCGTAGCCTCTGGAAATTGTAGTCTCTTTACCAACTTGACTTTTCATAGCAGAATATTTGTAGATAGTCATTTTGTCAACTTCATTTCCACCCATGAATTTAATGTAATGTTTATTGGCACGCATCTTTTTTTTATAAAAAAATATTGATTAATAATTGTTTTGAATACAAATTATATAATTGATTAACTTACTGATCTATTATCTAAAAACTGGAAACGATGATACTCTGTAAAACCAGGAAAGATCTTATTTCTTTCTGTTTCAATTCCTTTGGGTTATGAATTTCGACTGTTACTTTGATGGTAACAGCCTCCTTCTCTGATTCAGAAGTCAATTTGTATGTTCTTTGATAGTTGTTGTTGTCAGTGGTACTCTTGATTGCATTGATAACATCTTGATCTGTATAGATTGAATCTTTGAAACTCGACTTGTCTGCTATCGCTCTAGAAACCATTGAAAAATGTTGATCGCATTCACTCTTTCCGTGATAGGGTGCAAAAGTATTCAATTCGACGAGATACTTTCTTTTGGTTTTGTTTGGAGTGTTTGGATCAGCTACTTGCAACTTTGACAATGTATGCATATATGAAAGTATTTCATTTGACTTGAAGTGTCTAGCATTATCACACCAAAATGTAATTTTGTTGATATTTAGACTGGTGAATAATGGATCATTGATTAATTTGTCGAGACATGAAATTGCAAATGTCGAACAGTGATTAAGTACTTGTGAAAGACAGTCATAGTAGTGAATCTTCAGCTTGTCACCTTGCTTATAGAAGAGGACCATTCCAAAGAAGGTACGAGCAGGTTGTTGGTAAAATTCATGGCTTACTTGCACTTTGGATTTACCTAATGATATATTCTCTTTAAAATCACAGAGAATAATACACTCTCCTACCTTTAACTCATTTTTCTAAATAAAAAAAAAAAAAAAATTTCATTAATAAATCATTAGCTAAATGTATTAATAAAATTATAATTACACATGTCAAATAATCATTCTTTCTTTGCTGAACAAACATCTTGTGAATAGTCAAGATTTCAAACAGTTTATGATCTTGATCTGAAAGTTGCCCAAACTTAATTCGTTTTGACTCGAGAGCCTGATACTGAACACACATTGGACACATGTCGGTTCGATTCTTCATTTCTCTGACATACTCTGGTACGAAACTGTAAAATGCACTTCTACCCATGAGTGGATACTTGACTTGATCAACTTCACTCTTCTTGAGGTAATCTGTAAAGCAGGTATTTATGTTTCCTAAAGCAAGGTTCTTGATTGACACCAACTCGAATGCTCGTTTACCATCTGCGTCGAGTTCTTTGCTGTACAACCTCATGTTTTTACTTGATTCTTCAGTTATATCTTTCATATTGAAGTAACCTTCGACGGCTGTCCTTAGCATCGTGGTTCTTTGTCTTCTTGTCATTTGTCCATTGTGTGTAAATTTAGATCTCCAATTGCTGATCTCTTCTGCATTAATCAGTCTACCTGCACCATACTTGTGTACGTGTTGAATTGCATGATTCCACGCATTATTATCTATTGTGATTCCAAACTCTCTGATTTCCTTAGAAGTGTAAAAAGGAACTAAACTTGATAACAATCTAGATTGGGAATATTAGTATCAATGATATACAAAATCGCGAGCATTACAAAACACTTACCTTGTTTTTTCATATCCATCTCTATCTGTATATTGGCCACTCTGAAGTGATGAAATAACATATGACAACGCAACAGCATGTGTGGTTGCTCCAGGTATCTCTTCATATATCTCCTTATATCGCTTTCTGAATTCTTCTGTTGCAGCTATACTACCATCTTTCTTTAATTCTTCAAGAACCTGAATATATTTATAGTTAAAATATTAACAATAATCATTCAAAACAACAGTTTATGATATGTATAGTAGTCAATAGTGTACCTGCTTTCCAGTGGTATTCTTTGTTAACCAATCTTTCATTAAATGTGTCTGTTGATCAATCGTTACTTCGTTATGTTTTTTTGGTGATGCTATTACATTTACTGAAGTTGTTATTAAATTTAAAACTTTACTTTTATTACCAGACCTCTCTGATAATTTACTATAGTCCTTATAACGATTACTCTTGACTGGTTTAGTGTTTGGATCACTAACTGATTTTATTGAATTCAACACTCCTTGTGTATAATTATTGAAAGAGGGAGCCAATGATCGACTATTATTACTCTTATTTTGTTGTGTAGTTAATCTGCTTGCCATTTTAAAATAAAACTTAATTAAAATAACGAATCAAAAATCAAATATAAATAATTAAAAAGAATCACTAACTTTAAATTTTTTTTTTTTTTAAAAAAAGCAAAACACAAAAAAGCATAGCCACATGATAATAAGTATTAGTTTGATGCACCTCTTTAACAATATTTCTATTAATGATTAAATCTATAGATTGTTTTATTTTTTTCTTTATTATTAAATTTTAAATACATATATTGTGTTTTGTTTTTTAAATAACTCTCTTTTGATCCATGTATAACCACATGACCAACAGTCTACCTGTTTGTAGAATAATACCAAAGAGGTTACGAGGGGTCATAATGTTCACGAATTGATGAACATTATATTTCCTCGATATATTTTCTTTGACATTCGAAACAATGTTGAATTGCTCTAAGCATTATTAGTTAGCTAAAATAAAACCATTGGTTTTCACCAAATCTTGACAATAATTAAAAGGTTCACGTTTCTCAGCTGCTCTTCTCCTATAGAATTCTCTGAATGATGATGATGGTTTAACCAGTCAGTTAATTAAAGTTGTTTAAAAGTGAAAAAATAAAATAAATCTATATCTTTATAAATATTACATCCACTATCCTTTTTAGCCAATCTATGATTACATGTGCTTGTTTATATGTTTATTTTACTTTTTAGTTGAGCAATAGAACTAATTCTGTTATTAAACTCAAACTTTGTAATTGTTTCTGTTATTGAAATGCATGCTAATCGGTCATTGTCCAGTAATTAACCTTTATTTACTAATTTACTACATGTATATCTTGGTGATAAATATTCAAATAATAATTAAATTATAACTATATTTTAAAAGAATGAATTAAGATGTCTGTTTTCTTTTGTTTTTATTGCAAAAAAAAAAACCAAACCAAAATATAATTAAAAAAAATATTATTTTCAAATTCATCATTTTTTTTGCAAAACTTAGTTTTCATATGATCCAAACACAAAGTTTGGAAGAAAATTATAAAAATATCCCGATTTAGAATGTTTGCTAAATATATTGGTATGATCATACCAATCATATTAGATATTAGAAAAAGATTCTTTTTTTTTTCTTGATCCTCAATTCTTTGTAAAAAACTTTTGGAATTAAGTTTTCAACCTTTCTTTTTTAATACGGAGAGAATTTGCCTCAATACAACAAAACTATGCTTTTTTGTTTTGATCAAAACCAAATTTTTTCATTTTAATTTTTTTACTTTACAACCTTCAAATTAACAACAAATACAATCTTCAAATTTATATAATAGTTATTATTTCTTTTATTTTTAAAATATTATTTTTTATATATATATCTATTTTTATTATACTTATTAGATTTCTTTTTATTTGTTTACATTTTACTCTTACTTATTTTTTTGTTTAGTTTTATGAAAAACCTTTTTTTAATAATTTTTTATTATTTTTTATATAATATTTATTGTTTGTTTAAATATGAAATATGTATATTCCAATAATCAACATCTATCTGAAAATGAGATCAAAACGGAAACTATCGTTTATCCGTATAATCATTTATATAGAAATGTCAATAATAATAATAATCATCTCCAAAAAATTTTTATTCAATTATCGCAAATTAGTGGATTACTTTCCTATTGTTTTTCATTAATATATCACGACATTGTAAATAAAATCGATTTTGATATGAAAATGTTTAGTCAAACATTTAAAAAATCGGATATCCCAGAGGAATGGGTGGATATTAGGAAAGATGAAGCGAGCATTAGTAAATTTAGATTGCTTTTTGCAAAAAGTAAAATTTCACACAATACTGACCTTTGTGAGGTGATTCTTTTGCAGTTCCTCTCTGACAGTAAATTGTATGATTTGAAAGATAAGGAAAAAAAAGTAAGATTTAAAATTTTAAATTATTCTTATTTCTATAAACTAATCAATTTTTATTATTTACTCTAATTTAGATTATTAAAGAGTTAAAAGAAAGTGAAATTGCTAAAGATAAATTCATTTTGAAACCAGAAGTTCAAAAGTTAGTTGACAAGTAAGTTTGTTTTTGTTTTTCGTATTTTTTAAACAATTAAATTAATAAGAAATTTTTTTTTTTTTTTTAAAAAGATTTTTTAATTTTGTAGTTGTTCTACCATTACTGAGAGACGAGGAGAATGAGAATTACAAGTTTCTACGAAAACTTTATCAAGATGTTTATCTGGCATTTCTCAAGGAACATGGTTTGGGAAAGAACAGACTTGGAAGTTTGAATAGAGACTGGTTCAACGAGATGGTCAACCAAATTGTACGAGACCACATGAAGAATCAATCCAATTTGAATCTGTTGAATATCGAAAGGATAAGTAAACACATTATGGAGCTGAATGGTTTTGGTCCGATCGTAACATCCATCAAGAAGTACCTTCTTGCAAAGCCAGAGGAAACCGTAGACTCGGCCTTGAGAGAGCCTTCAATTTTAATATCGTTACGACAACATGACGCCACAATCACCAAAGAATCGTTCGACCGATACAAATCTTTCAAAAATGATTTTGAAACATACTTGGTGCCAGTGACAAAATCTAGTGAAACGAATTGTACGAGTGCATTGGAATTCATTCAATCTATTCTGAATCATCCAACTATTATTTGTATGTATACTTTAATTTTATTTAAAATTTTATTTATTATTTTTATTTTCTAATTTATATAATTTTATAAATCACTTTAGTGCACAATCAAAGAGTACATCAAAATATGGAGGAGAAGAAGAAGGAGAAAGAGAAAGAGAAAGAGAAAGAGAAAGAGAAAGAGAAAGAGAAAGAGAAAGAGGTAGAGGAGGAGAAGAAGAATCAACACAATAAAGTCAATTGGAATCAACACACAATTAATCAATTTCAAAATATTGAAAAAGAATTTGGAAAATATCACAATGAAGACAATTATAAAACTGAATCTCAAGCATGGATCAACTCAATCAAACAATCAACTTCACCAATTCCACTCAAAAATAATAATTCGCGATGGATAAAAGCCAATGACAACTACAACAAACTAATCATAATAAATGAATTTATACCAAAGTTTAAATTGGCACCTCGCAACTTTATTTTATCTACAAAGTTTCTCCAACAGTTTCTTCAACAATTCTATAACGGTTCCGATTTCAATCGAGAAGGAAGTTATCTGGATCATCTTTCATTATTAATCAACATACCGGAACAGTTCAAACAAAATTTTTATACGTTTAAACATCCTCTTACCGTTTGTCAATTCAATTTGGATCGTGAATCACATTGTGGACACGTGCCACCAGTAGATTCAGTCGACCACACCAATGCACACACAATATGTATGTTTGCAGCATCCAACAATTTAACTCTAACTGTCCCGAAGCAAAAGAAAGTTGGTGCTATGCTTTGCCCTGAGCACTCTACATTCTCGAAGAAGTGCAAGCTAAGTAAATGTGGGAGCCGCTGCATTTCTAAATTCAAGGAGTCGGAATGGCGTATCCAGAGTATACGATGTGGATCACTGGATTCCGAACCTCATATTGAAAAGAAGAACCAATGGATTAGAGACCTATCAAAGCCAAATTCAATCATAGAGGTTACGTCTCAAAAACAAACGTCTATCAATTGGACATCAACCAACGCTTCAACCGCCTCTGTGAAACCCAACCAAGAACATTTCAATTCACCATTTTTTGTTGGCTGTGATATAAACTATCAAGGAATGGAATCAATTCCACCGAATTGTGATATAGGTGTCATATTCAGCGATCCAACCAGTAAATGGCATGTTGGACTTACCGCAGATGACACTGATTTCAATCCATCTTTTAAAAAGCTCGGTAAAATTATTAATACGGTGTTTAAAGATAAAAAGGTGCTTCCAAAACTCTTTATAACCAATAGTTACTCCTCTACAAATTATTCACCTTTTGGAATTCCGGAGCAATCACTACCTCATATATTGGCATGGTTGGATCAGATAATTGAAGGGAACCACAAAGTGATTATATTGGCAGATTGGGAATCTCAGAGCTTCATCTTACATCTTTTCTCGGGCAAGCCAATTCAAAATTCACTCTATAACATCTCAAATCAGAACTCTGGTAATATCGAATCCTACATCCTTTACCACTCTGGACGACCAACAACATTGTTCATATTTGCCAACCATCCGACCCCAGGAGTTATGAAGCCTGAGTTGGAATTGGCAAGCAGACTATTGGCGAAGTATGATGGAGATTCCAAACATTTCATACTAGATCCAGCCAAGGAAAAGAAACTTAATTTTAAAACCAAACCATCGGATGCTACCAACACAGTCAGTTACGATTATGATGGTAATATTAATTAGAATCTATTGATTTTAGTATGATATTTTATTAATATTATTTTATCAAAACTATATATAGGACCGACTGTATCTTTGAATGGAATCACTTTCTCCATTACGTATAAGAAACCAAAGACACGAGAAGATGATGAAAGTATTCATCCCTCCAAACAGCCGTATCATTCATCGCTTAACGTGGATCTTAAAGAATTCCAATACATTCAAGATATGGTAAAGGAGTACAAATCTCCACCACCACCACCACCACCATCATCAACTAAAACAACAACCACCACCTCAACAACATCTTTATCACCACCAATAACTTCTCCAAGTGCAGTTTCACCTTTAATTCCAACCATTCCAACATTATCATCATCATCATCCAAGCCAATACAATTCAACTATAACAAATTGTCGGCTGATACATCAGCAACAAGTAATAATAATAATACATATGATAAAGATTTCAAAATGGATATTGATTCTCAATCTACTTTGGCACATGTGTTTCCTTCACCCAAGACATCAATGGCATCATCTTCACAATCTAGCACTACCATTCATTCAACAGCATCCACTACAAACAGTGACAGCAGTACTCATTATTACAATGATAGTGATGAAGAATTCAATTTATTGGATTACTACCAGTATTGTCTTGAGAATAAATTGGAAGATCAGGCTTTTACAACACCATCAAAGTCAACACTACAAAAGAATTGTGAGAGTTTTTTGCCAGATATATCCTTTGAACTGGAGAGGTCGTGTTTTTCCAATAGTGGCTCTCTCTATATTCCACCACCACCACCTATTCCCGAGAAAACTTCTAAATTTGCATTTGTAACTCCCAATTCATCATCATCATCAACAAAATCATTGATATTACCAACATCCTCATTATCAGCACCATCATCATCTAATCCCTCACCATCAACATCTAATCCCCCACCATCTACAACATCACCAACAACAACCATTTCATCTACAAAACCACAATCATCCAATACCTTACCAAAACTATTAAAACTCAAACCATCAGCAACAACAAAATCATTGATATTACCAACATCTTCTTTATCAGCACCATCACCATCCTCTAATTTTTTATCAGCACCATCATCATCTTCTAATTCTTTATCAGCACCATCATCATCTAATCCCTCACCATCAACATCTAATCCCCCACCATCTACAACATCACCAACAACAACCATTTCATCTACAAAACCACAATCATCCAATACCTTACCAAAACTATTAAAACTCAAACCATCAGCAACAACAAAATCATTGATATTACCAACATCTTCTTTATCAGCACCATCACCATCCTCTAATTTTTTATCAGCACCATCACCAACCTCTAATCCATCACCATCTACAACATCTACAACAACAACATCCACTACCGATAGTAGCCGTAGTAGAATTGAAACATACAATCATGTCGACAAGCGACCAAGAACGACGAATTATATTTTCCAGGGAGGTAGATTCGTCAATGAAAGAGACGAATATAGCCTTCAGTCCAATAACAACTCCACGGCTTTAGAAATGGAAATGGATATAGATTATCCTTCAACAACAACAACAACAACTACTACAACAACTCCTAATAATAATAATATTAATAATAAATATATATTTGGAATCGATTGCGGAAGATCATCACATGTATCCATCGATGAACACGGTAAAACTCACTCATTCTCTGTACAGGAACACTATCTTAACTTAAGAAGTCGTTTCAACTCGGAAGCTCAAAAGAAAATGTTGGGTCCAGCCATGTTAAAGTTTGAAAGTCTAATTCCACCTAGTAAGAGTAAGTATAAACTATCACCTTTTATTTTTAATATAGATTGATATTAATTTATTATATTATTTATTATTTTTTCTTTAGATATCAATGATATCTGTTTGGATAGATCACTGATTAGCAACAGGATTAGTTATCTTAGATTACACCCAACAACAACAAGAAACTATCTCAACATTAGATTAGATGAGTACAACCTAATAATGAAGAAGAATAACTACTACAAAAAGCGTAAATCCTACAATGCAATGGTAGACAAACTGGTTCCAATCAAAAATAGTATAGTCTTTATTGGTTCTGCAAAGTTCAGCCACAACAGTCGTGGTCATTCTTCTTTCATTTCTTCAGCCACTCTCTACAAGTGGGTGAAGAAAAAAAAACATAAAGCATTATGGATCAATGAATGCTACACCTCAAAAGTAAGTACAACTTAAATTTGTCACAAATTATAAATATATTTTTTAATAATTAAATAATTAATCTTTTTTTTTTATATTTATAATATAGGTTCATAATGCATGTTGGAACAAGACGGAAAAGGAAATTCTTGCTAAACTTAACAACAAAGTTAGCAATATGAAAGATCCTCCGCCATGTGCTCTTTCAAGTGGACCATACTCCAAATCAGTTAGCATCGATAGAAATCAAGTAGCTGAGTGTCACAAGCAACTATCAACACTACACCAGAGAGTCACAGGATACATAGATGGTACGAATAAAGTCAATAGTTCTACTAATAAAAGTAATGAACGATTTGACTATATGAAACACCACTCTTTGTATTCCAATCAAATGTCTGGAAACAATGTAAATGTTGATGGCTTGGCTAAGGATCATCCGATCCTGAAAGTATTCCAAGAGAAAAAATGGAAAAGGCCACTCTGTCGCGGCTGTGGTCACTTCTACCACCGGGATAAGAACGCTGCTAGAAACATCTTACTTCTTGGGTTACTCAGTGTTCGATATCAATTCCGACCAGTCGTGTTCCAATACATCAAATTTATTAACAAATAGAATTTTACATTCTAACAACAAGTAAGTTAATTATTTTTTTTTTAGAAAAAATTTTTGACACTAACCTTCAATTAAATTTTTTTTTCACATTTTTTTTTCATAATTTCTCTGTCATTCAAAAAATAGTTTCATATTAACTCTATTCTAAAATAAAATAAAGAATCAAAAATAATAATAAAAGTAAATACAGTAAATTTTATAAAAACACAAACAAACATTAATATCAAAAAATTGTTTATTTTTTTTGGTGATTTGATATGTGTTTGTTTAGTATTTCAAGTGACTGCTGTGAATTTTTATAAAGTTTCTCAATTATCGATCGGTATCGAATGAGATTTTCATAGGATGTAGGTCGTTCATTCAATATCCTTTCAACAATTTGATATTTGTCTTTGCTGAATAGCGTATGCATTGGAGGATCACTAATTTCAAAGTGATTATGATGGTATTCGAATCGGTTGAATAGTAGCCATTCGAATATTTCAAATTGTTCGGCGCATGCAGCAGTGCTCAATTCGTAGCTGTTGCATGCCATCATGTGGTTTTCGCATAGATACTGAACTACGGCAAAATGACCATTGGTTAATGCTTCTCTGATTCCAAGACCGGTACAACCTTCTGTCCTATTTTCATTAAGCCATCTAACAACGTCGGTGTGGCCTTTGGTTGCTGCAAGATCCATAGCATCGGTGGTACACACCAAAATACCCTTGCCATGAAGATACTCTAGAAAATCGAGTCTATTGTATTGTGCGGCCATATCCATGTCTTTGACATCGCATACAAACGGTGTATTTTCAAGTATCCATTTGAAAATTTCAAGATTTCCACATTTAATCGTGTAGAAAATAATGTTGATTGGATATTCTGCTGGTACTTGTGCCAGCCATTGAACCATTTCCAAGTTATTTTTGTTAATTGCATAGAAATAGGTGGAACTGTTGAATTCAAAGCCATTCTGATGAAGTAGTTTCAATAGATCAAGGTTATTCTTATCGGCCGCTAAGCAAACGGCCGTGCTCGATCTACCATCAGCTCTTCCTCGATCTTCCTCGTCGCCCAATCCCAACAGGTATTTGACAACCTCCATTTGGTTGGCAATGATTGCCTCGCGATACATTAGATTATTTGGTCGGTGTTGTGGTTTGTTCTCTGCAAGCCATTCGATCATTTCTATCGAGCCAACCGATGCTGCATTATCGAATACCTTTGGAATCGATTTGCTGACGATGTTGTACGAGTCGAATTGCTCAGAGACATACTCTAGCATTGCCAAACTCTTTGATTTCGGTGATTCTTCGAACGCTCTTTTATAGTGCCAATTGAAGCCACTGCTCTGCAGTGAAGACGCCGATTCAAAGAGTAATGAAACTACGTCCATTCGATTATATATGATCGCTTCGACTAGAACATCGTTTGTGTTCTGTTGATCATAGCATGTTCTACTATTGAAATCGAATTCCGACCATAGATACTCGAATAGATCGAATCGATCAACTTTGATTGCTATTATTAAAAGCTTTATGAAATCGATTTCTATCTCATTTGAAATGAGATCTTCTCTATTCTCCTCAAAGTAATTCATTAGCAAATCGAAATAACCATTGCCAACCATAAAATAAGGTGATTCTAATAATTGTTTCCAATTACAACGTTCATAGCTAGATCTAACTTTATTTATAAAAGATACATTATTAAAAATATGTTTATTTAATATATTATTGTTAAATATCTTTAAATATATATCTTTTTTCATTTCTATTAACAATTTTCAGAACAAGTAAAAGACAAGATAAAGCAAAAAATTTTTAAAAAAAACAAGATTTCTAGAAATAATTTAGAAAGAATTTATTTTGATAAGATATTAATAATAATACTAATTCTGCATATTTTTGATATTTATATCTCAAAATTTAACCACTATTCTATATAGAAGATAGGTTAATATTTTTATAAATATTGTTTTTTATATTTTTAAATCTAGAATGAACTTCAGAAAATAGTTTTACAAATCTTTTCATCGCTAAAAAACAAATGGTTAAAATCAATGAAACTAAATTCTTAATTTAAAGATCTTTAAATTAAAATATTCTATTATATGAAAATACAGTTGATATTGTAGATGATCTCTAATCCATTACAATAAATTTTCCCTTTCACTTCACCTGAAAGTAATTATTGTAAAAGTATCAAATCATCTCTAGATCTACTGATAATAGTAGATCTAATAGATATGATCGATCAATCTATCATAAAAAGGTAGTTTTTGTTTTAAACCATAAAAATACAAAATTTTATTAGAAATTATTTGTTTTCTTATCTCTATGATTCACACAAGACTTATTATCTATTTTTAGAACTAGTTCAAATTTTGATCCTTATCATCAAAGTTTTAAATTAAACACTAAAACTGTGGTTAACAGTTTTTTTTGCTTATATGTTAAAATTTAAGTACTGTGATTAATTTATAAGTTGAATAAAAAAAATTGTAAATTCGACCAAATTAAGATCTGATTATAGGTTACTATATCTATTTTGAATGTTCATGATCAGTCCTCCTTTTTTTTAGATACCGGTATTCTAAAATTCAAAAATCTTTGAAAATTCATATTATACAACAAAATATTAGTTGTAGATGAAAACTATAAATATTGAATCTTTAATTGTTAAATCAATATAATATAAACATATCTTTAACTTGTAAAATTAAATTGTATAACTACTTGTAATATTATTTGTAATAAATCAAAATGTTAATAGGTATATATTTAAGGATTTAAAATAAACAAAACAAATTCTAACTATTAAATTATAAGATCATATTCAAAATCTCTTTGGTCCAAACAATCTTGTAATCAAATTAAACAATTATACTTCTATGGAATTTTCCCCTTCTTCCCTTGGCCAAACTAATATTTCCCAAATCGGAAATACTCTTCAGTCACATGACAGTCCCTATTACAATAAAGGAAAACCAATAACAATTTTTAAATAATCAATTGGTCTTTTTAAAAAACATTGTTTTAAAGTCTAAAATATAGAATCTATCTTTCCAAGTAAAAATAAAAACAAAAAGCAATAGGAAATTAATTATTAACATATTTATGTAATATAACGGACTTATCTTTGATATTACAAATTTCTATAAATATTTTTAGAACATTTGATAGTTCAAAAGTTTGGTTTTTTAAAACAAATAAGAAATCCATTGATTTTCTTTTGTGTAGTTTACGAATCATCATGATATAAATATTATTTTATTGATTTATATAAACTTTATATTGATAACAAAACTACTAGACAAGCAAACTTGTTGATGCACCTGCTTGTTGAACTACAATGGTTGCTCTTGCTGCACGAATTCTCAACATGTCCTGTAGTGCATCTTTCTCTGTGGCCGGTACAATCTTTTCTGCATAGACACGGAAGTTGTCAAGGAATGTGCAACCATCGACTTGTCTCTTGATGGTAATGGCACCACCTTCGCAAATCCAGAGATCCTTGCAAACCTCCAAGAGAAAAGCACAGTTGTGACTTATAGCCAATACTGCACCGGTGAATGTCTTGAGTGCCGCTGTCAGAGCAGCGATGGTTTCACCGTCCAAATGATTGGTGGGCTCGTCCAGCAATAAACAATCGGGTGGAACACTATCGGCAAACAGATCCGCCAGTACCAAACGAACACGCAAACCTCCACTCAGAGCCAATATCGGCAGAAGTGGAGTGTCTCCCATCAATCCGAATTGACCGAGATGCTTACGTATTCCAGTCTCGTCGCCAGTCTCAAAGTATCCAGGATGTCTGTCTCGCAGAAAAGTAACCGACGACTTGTCGAGATGTCCGTCGAGCAAAGCCAATTGATTTTGATCTACAACTGCAATCTTTCCGGGTTTTCTAATTTCACCGACGGTCACATTGGCTGGCAGTGGATTCCCAGAGAGAGCACGCAGCAGTGTTGATTTACCAGCTCCATTCTTTCCGACGAGGGCAATACGATCGCCAGCACTAATCGATAGATCTACCTTGGCCAGCAAGTCTTTGGTTGCATTGGGATAGCGCAGTGTGACAGTCCGCAGTTCCACTATAGTTCCACGTGCTCCACCCGATAGTTTATGTGATTGTGGTAGTGTTATCTTGGTTACTGGTTGTCTCTTTAGTGGCGCTGCTTTCGATGGCAATCTAATAGCTTCCTCCGACAATGTCTTTACTGAATTCAGCTTGAATTTCTTTCCATCCTCACGGTAGAGACCTACACGTTTACTTGTCTTTCTCTCCCTGGAAGCGGCAGCCTTCATCGCCTTGTCATTACCGGATTTCTTTGCGCTCACTTTTTGTTGTGCCGTACTGGCATTCTGTCTTGCTTCCTCTCTCACTCTGTTCTCATAGATATGCTCGTGGAATCGCTTGTACTCGGCAGCCTTCTCCTCGAATGCCGAATAATTTCCAGCCATTTGCTGTAACATACATCCATTGATCGAGAGAATATCAGTGGAAACCAAATCCAGGAATGAAGCATCATGCGAAACTACGATCACTGTCATATTCTGATGGTTGTTCCTAAGGATCGATGCCAATTGGAATACGGCATGCAAGTCCAAATGATTGGTTGGCTCGTCCAGAAAGAGAATCTCTGGCTCGGCAAACAGCGCCAATGCCATCTCGAGTCTTGCACGCCAACCTCCTGACAGCGCAGATACCGATCCGTCTCTCATCGACTTTAGGAAACCTAGTTTCTTGAGCAACGCTTCCGCACGCTCCTTGGAATCGTCGGGCTCCTCCAACTCCAACATGATCTCACCGATTCTCTCGCAGATCGCTTCCATGTCGCTGCTCGATGCGTCCTGTGACTCCAGTTCATCCATCTCTCTGCGGAGTGCCGATCGCTTTGCATCGGACTGTGCACAGTAATCCAGTACACTCTCCTTGATATCGGCACTACCTTCGGCATCGGTTTGACCAACGTATCGTACAACGAAACTAGAATCTTCCTGCTCGATTTGTGCGCGTATCGCCTGTAGCAACGTTGTTTTACCGGTACCGTTTTCACCGATCAGGCCATAGCGATGACCACGCATCAGTGTGAACGATGCATTCTCGAGCAGCAAACGATCATCGACAGCAAGTCCAACGAATTTAGCACTCAGAACCTTGGTGTCACTCTCACTAATATAAAACTCTCCTACCAATACGACTTCTCCTCTTTCTTCCTCCGACATTACTTTAAATTTTGAAATCTGCAAATTGCAATTAATTGGTTGTTTAAAAATGAAATTGAAAAATCGGATTTTTTTGTTTTTTTACTTGTTGTTTTTTTTTTTTTTTGAAATTTTGAATTATATAAGTGATTTGTATACAGCGAAACTCTTTTACCAAAATTAATAATTCTGATTCTGAATTGTTCAATTTCAATTTTGAATAATGCATTATTTTAAGCTTAAACAAAAACTAGAGAACAAAACAAGAAAACTTTGTTTATACTTTTTTCTCTTGAGAAAAATATTATAAAAGGTTAGGTGTGGAGATTTCCCGTGGTGGGTTCTAAAAATCAATAGAACTATTATTTTATTTTATTTTTGTATGCAAAGTAATATTATTTATAATTTTTCAAGTGTTGATGTTAAAAAAGAAAAACATTAAAATGTTAGTTAAATAAATTCAAAAATTTAAATTCTAAAAAAATGTTAATAATAAAAAAAAAAATTTATTACTTGACTTACTAATTTATTTAAGAACATAACTTTGGTGGAAAGTTCAACTTTTGTAATTAAGATAATCGAATAAGGGTAATGGAGGTTCATTTTTGATGATAAATTAAATTAATTAATCATGGGTGGTGATTTTACTTTTATTAACTTTATTGTGTTGTGCAAAAACTTTGGAATGAACCACCACTGAATGTGGAGCATTTTGGTGTTAATGATCTTGATGAGGTTGAAGCGATAACACCAGTGCAATCGAGATTCTCGTACTTGGTGATGATTATAGTCTTTTCATTACAAGTATTGATGACACCTTTGTTGCAAACACCAGTTGATATATAGACTGCGTAGTAGGGTGCGGCGGAACAGTCGGCGGTAGTCGAGTTGTAATAGAGCATGTCGATCGAATCTGAACTTGTATAGACCTCTGGAGAGCACATGACTAGCAAGTTTCCAGTGCGGCCCAGTGGGTATTTAGCGACGTTGGTAACCTCGCCTTGGCAATCGTAATCGGAATAGGTGGTGACCGCTCCCATAGCCACGCTCGAGTCACACGAATATACTTTTCCACCGTCACAATGATCTACTCTTTGGTAAACAGTTGAAATAATACAATCTAAACTGAGACATGTGCTATTGATCGATGTTTGCACCACAAAATAAGTATCTTGAGAGTAACATAATGTCACAAACATTGAGGATACAATTAAAACTAATAATATATTTTTCATTTCTACCTATCTATTAATCCTTTTTACAAATTGTAGTGCACTCACTATTTATAGTTAAGATGGTAACAAGAGTGGTTTTACAAAAAAAAAAATCATTGATTTTTTTGTAAATATCTAACTTCTTCTAAAATCATATTAAAATTTTTAAATATTTATAATTATCTAAGATTTTTTGGTAAAAGTCATATTTGGTTTTCAGTATCTCAAATCCCAAAGACTAGACGAAACAGAGAGATCTGTTGTTATGATTACACTTGTGAAATTCGTTAGTTTGAACAAATCGAAAAGTTAATTGAAGATTTCTATTGTGTAATAATCAAAAATATTCATTATTCGTACTCTCGAAAAGAAATGTATATTTTTGATCATTAACTTTTTAGAATTCCTTCTTTATTTATATATTTTGTCTTTGTCTGGGCAACATGAAAAGATGTAATTTTCGTAATTTTTTCAAGTGGGATCTAAATCTTAATTTTTTCTTGGAATTTCATGTTATAATTAAAACTTAATTGTTAAATAATGGCGTTAATATTAAAACTAAAAGAATATTATTGTTTAAACAGTATCATTATTACATATTATATATATAACAAGATAAATAATGTCAAATATCAAAGATGTTGATGGTTTAAGATTGATTGAAAACTTTATCACCGAGCAAGAAGAGAACTCATTGATAGAGAATATCGATAGGTACGATTGGTCGAGTGAGATTGCAAGACGAACACAACAATATGGCTATCATTATTGTTACAGGTTGAGGGGTGTCGATGAATTGAATGATGAAGGTGCACCTACAACACCTCCAATTCCCGAGTTTCTAAACTTTTTAATTGACAGACTTGCCAAACTCAGCGATCCAGTCATTCCGTTCACCTTTGACCAAGTGATAATCAACGAATACAATAAAAACCAAAAGATTCAACCTCATATCGATTCTGTTACCGACTGGGAGTCGACCGTTGTAAGTCTAAGTATATTATCAGAATGGAAAATGGTATTTATAAAGGTAAAGATATAATATGTGCTCGACTTTGTTTTTTTAGAAAGATTAGTACTAATTTAATCTATTTTATGTATGAATATCCTTAGGATGAAGTTGAAATTGAAACACCATTACCAAGAAGATCATTGTTAGTACTTCAAGATGATGCTAGATATGTTTGGAAGCATGGTATCAAGTCACAGAACAATGGTAGACGTGTTTCTTTAACTTTTAGAAAGTATAAAAGTTAAAGAAAACATCATTATTAGTTTAGTTTAGTTTATAATAAATAAATGTGTAAAGATACTTCTTATTTTGTTTGCATTTAAATATATATTTATATATTGAACATGTTTTATTTTGAAAATTTTTGGTATTTGTATTTGTTGTTTGTTTGTTTTTTTTTGCTGTTTTAATTTATTTTGGGTGAACTTTGACGGCATCGGCGATGGCGTCAGCAAAATATGGTACAGATTTGCTATTCAGACCGGCAATTGAAACTCTACCAGAGGCCAATAAATAGATGTGATATTTCTTTACAATGTATTCGACTTGAGCTGGTGAGAGACCAGTGTAGGTGAACATTCCGATTTGTTTGACGATGTGTGACCAGTCACCCGGTACGTTACGGGCGACCAAAGCGTCGTAGAGCTCCTTACGAACACGCAAGATTCTACCGGACATTTGCTTGAGTTCGTCGATCCAGAGTGCACGCAAAGCTGGGTCACCGAGGACGGTGGCCACAAGACGAGCACCGTGAGTGGGTGGCGATGAGTACATGGCACGAATGTCCATCTTGAGTTGTGAGAGCATCTTTGGGATGGCGGCTTCAGAGTGACTGACAATTGTCAAGGCACCGGCACGCTCACCGTACAAACCGAAATTCTTACTGTAGGATTGTGCGGAGAACATCTCGAATCCACGCTCAAAGAAGAGACGGGCAGAGTAGGCGTCGTTGTCCAAATCACCACTGGCATAACCTTGGTAGGCGCAATCTACGAATGGAATGTGCTTCTTCTCGGCCATGACGTCGGCAATGATTCCCCATTGCTCCTTGGATGGATCGCAACCGGTTGGGTTGTGAGCGCAGAGATGCAAGATGAAAACCGATCCGTTGGGGGCAGCACGCATATCGGCGATCATACCCTCGAAATTGAGACAGTTGTTCTTGTTGTCGTAGTATGTGTATTCAGCGGATGGCACACCGGACTCCTTGCAGATGTTGTGGTGATTGACCCAGGTTGGACGCGAGGCGTACACGGTGGTTCCGGCTGGCAAGTATTTACGAATGAAGATGACACCGAGACGCACGGCACCGGTACCAGAGAGTGTCTGGACGGTGACCATACGCTTCTCTTGTCCGTTCATTGCCTTTCCGTAGAGGAGTTGAGCCGATGCCAAGTTGAACTCTGGAATACCGTCGATTGGCAAGTACTCTTTGGTGGCACCGAGCAAACGCTCCTCGGCGGCACGCACGCACTTCAAGACGTATGGTTTGGCTTGCTCGTCACGGTAGGCACCGACAGAGACATCGACCTTGTTTGGTGATGGATCGGCTTTGTAGGCTTGGCTGACACCGATAATTGGGTCGACCGGTGCCAATGGTACATTGGTAAAGAGCGAAGTAGTGGTATCTACTTGAGCGGCAGTCTTGTTTGGTTCCATATCTAAAGGTACAAATAATGAGTTTTGAATTCTCGATGTTACTTTCTCAATGGAAGTTGATGATGATGATGAAGACATGTCTGGGTTATTTTGTTGTTGCAGATGTTTGTGATTGGTTGGAGAGTGTGGTAGCAAAAATTAAAAAAATTAATTATTTTTAAAAAAAAAATAGAAAAATTGTTTTTCTCAACTAAAAATAAAACAACTGACTAAAAAGTACTATACTTTAATGAATAAACAATGTAGTAGTGTAATATATGGTTGTTGATTTGCAGTGAAACAAGTTGTTGTGTCGTCGGAAAGAAATTGGGAAAAAAGGATGTTACAAAAACTAAAATTTATAATAAAAAAAAAAAACAAAAAAAATTCCAAAACAAAAAAACGTTAAGCTAACCTATTATGCGGGTATCTGAAATATAAACGATTTTTGTTGATGTAATCTAATTAATGAATCACTGAACAAAGTAAAAAAGACAAGATAAAAAAAAAACAATTGTTTACAATTTATTTCGATTAAGATTATTTTTTGTATTAAAAAATAAAACTATCTATGAAATAAACTAAATGCAGATCTTGATAAAAATATAAACTAATTGATGATAAAATTATCTATCTAAATGGATGAAAATGCAGAGTGAAATGAATAAATGGCAACAATTGTGTATGTTGTCTTAATTTTGTTTGTTGTTGTGGTTTTGTTTGTATTTTGTGTGTTTTTAGGGTTAAAACAAAAAAAAAAGATTTTTTTATTTCAAAAACAGAAAATAATTATTATTGTTTCACAAGTAAATATATATGAATGATGATTATATATATTATATATTACTATAAATATTATTAACTTATATTTATTAAATAAATGATAAACTTGAGTTTTAATAAAGGTTCTTTTGTTGTGTGGGTAGGTAGTGGATGTGGAGGTTTCTTTCTAAATTGAATGATGTTTGGTGATAATAATGATGATGATGATATTTTTTTTTTTTTTGTAAATTTACCTTTGATTTAAATTCTATGCTATTATATAATGTTACTGTTAATGTAATGTTTGGTAGTTTATTAAAAAAATGAGATATTAAAAAAATTTCGCAAACTAATACCGATTAAGGATTTTTTGTTTGTTGTTTAATCATTTCAATTCAATTTGGAAATGTATTGTGTTTTTTTAATGAAATTATAAAAAAATCAAAAATTTTTTTTTGAAATTGAATTAAATTTTAATAATTAAAAAAATTTACCCAGTAATTTTACCAATTTTCATATTTTCTGTTTGTTGTTTAATCACAATAAAACACGTGTATCATATGATTCATAATTATTATGTTTATACAGATTTTATTGTTGTTTGAATACATACTTTTATTCTATAATTAATATGTAAATAATATAAATCTTAAATGCTATGACAATGAATGGAAAGACGAAACGAAATTGAAATTGAACAAGTAAAGTTCAATTCAGCAGTAACAGTAGCAGCAATAAAAGTCGAAAGTAATAGTAGTTAAAATATTTACTAATTTTGTTCTAGAATAAAATAATATGTTCGATCATTCTATTATTTACTCCACAGGATATTGATTTGCATCAATGAAAGTTGTTAGATGATGATCTATTTGATCTGCATTTATGTCACATAAAATGAGGATGTTTAACAACACCACAAAATTTTAAAAAAAATCAAAAAGAAAAAACTGATTTTTATGTTTTTTTAAAAAAATTCATAAGAAAAATACATTGAAATGTCGACCATCAAATAAAGCCCTTCGAAAAGAATCATAAAAGTAGGAAAAGGAATGAAGAAAGATATTTTTTAGATCATAAATAGTTTTATAATCTATAAATATTAGGATTTATAATCTATATATTTAGATTATATAAGTATAATCTGTATAAATTAAGCTTAATCCACTTTTTATAATAACAACGAAATATTTATTTGATCTATTTTTATTGTAAAGTACCGTTATTATTACTTAATCTGTTTTGCAATATGTATATCCGAAGACATTGTTGTTTTCTATACTATTGTGACTGTATCATATACCTCAGAAGATAAGATATTTAATTGAAAAAGTATATGCCTAGGTATTGAGTCGTGGAGGGTGTTGAAACCAATATTTTCTATTAAATAATAATATTGTTTTTTTTTTTTTCTTCAAGTAGGACTTGTACTATGATAGATTATAAGTCTTTAAATTTCTTTTAATTTGAAACCATAAAAAAAAGATATTTTTAATTTTTTTTTTTTGATTGGGCTGGTTTTGTAAACCACAATTGGTGTGGGGTAACCATCAAAAAGTTAAATTAATTTTTTAATTAACTTTTTTTTTTTCTATAAAAGTTGAAATTTATGGGGAATTTAATTAATTCAATTCAATTTAAAAATATCAATAAAAAGAACAGTTCTAATGATAATTGTAATGGATTGATCCAAAATCAAGCAAGACACCCCTCCTTTAACAATGAGAAATAAATTAATTAGGAAAAAAACCAAAAAAAAAGTTTATCAGTTTAAAAGTTACAACTTATACGAATTGGATATTATCTAAAGTAAATTATTGTTTGTTTGTTTGGTTCAAGATTCAATTGATATTCATTATTGAAAGTAAAAAAAAATGGTGGTAAAAATGTGGTTGTGGTGGTATGTTGTTGATTTACTAATAATACAAATAAAATAAAACATCAACAACACATTGAATTTGAATAACTCAACTCATTAATGTTAACACCTCCAATCAATTTCCAAAATCATTTTCAATTTATTTAAATTTAATTTAAAATAATATTAATTAATAGTATTAGAATATAAATTCAAAACTCAATCTGTTCTGTTAAACAATTTCACATTCACATTCACATATATTTCATTCAAATAAATATATCCATATATAAATACTATTTTCTTTTTATCAAATTATAAACAATTTTAAACAAATAATAAAATGGCTCCACGTTTTGATGCTTCTGTAAGTCTTTATAAATTAGGAAAGCATTTGAAGTTATTATGTAAATATTAATTAATCCATTGCACTTGGACAATCTAAATAAAAATAGTTGGTTCCACTCTATGTTATCCTTGGTACTGCCGCTGCTTTCACCGTTGGTTTTGGTGTAAGAACAATGTCTACTCATAATGATCTTAGGTAAATAGATTCAATATAAAGTTTAAAGTTGTCAAAAGATATTAATACTTTTATTTTCTTTTTCTTTTTTATTTAAATATTTAGTTTAACAAGAAAGACTCAAATGTTATTTATGAATAATGATGCACCAAAACTTATTGCTCCAAATACCTCTGCTGGTTTCTATCACAAGATTCACAGTGGATCATACCTCAAGGAGTAAATCAATGATTTAGGAACAAATCAGATTTAAAATGTATAGTGTTGTAAATGTGTGTAAGAGTAGAATTAAACTAAATATAATATAAATAAAATAAAACTATTTAATATAATAGTAATATATATTTTTATTTTTTTTTAAAAAAAAAAGATATCTTCTTTTATTTATTTTTTGTTTAATTATATATTGTTATCATTTTTAGAACATTGTTTTTTTAACAGTTTAGTAATGAAAAGAATATGATTGGTAGTATTATATTATCGATTTGTGTAGTGGATGCTTCTAGTATTCCACTTAGGAATGAAGCGATCAGTAGTTTGATTACATCACTGAACAATGTAGCAGATGTTGGTTGTATTGCGATGAGTAGTATTACACCAGCTGTGAATGTAGATATGATACCACCGAGTGTACCTTCAATAGATTTAGAGGTACCGAACCATTTGGTTCTGCCAAACTTGGTTCCGACAAGTGATGCCAAACTGTCACCGACACCGATGGTTAGTAAACCAGAGAGTGCAGACAGAGGATGTAGATGACTTGTATTGATAGCAGTGCTGCTTTCAAAGAAGAAACAAGTGATTGCCGGTATTGAACAGCCTAAAAGTAGGTAGATATGGGTGAGTGTGATCACACCAGAGTCACGAGAATCCAAGAATGAATCCATATAGGTAGATAGTTGAGTGGCGAGTGGTGGTACTCTACCGTATTTCAATAGTTCCACCAACACCAATGCACTAATTGCAATGGCAAAGCTAAGCACCATGAAATGTAGTTGCAATACAATGCCAGGAACAAACATGACAATCGCCAACAAATGAAAGTACTTTCGAATGATAATGTTTGGTATATTCTTATTGTTAGCAATTGCATTAGGATCGAAATAGAATATCGTAAATGATAATAGTACAACCCAATAACCAATTAATAGTATTCTTGAGCCAGAACTTGACAATAGATAGTTTAGCAGCCAGAGGAATATGTTTGATCCATTGTTTAACAATGTAAGTGTTGGCATTAGAATGAAAAAAATGATCGATACTGTTACAACATAGAATGCAATCACCGATTTCGATGTTAAAGATTGTCCGTGATAAGGTTGACGTATCGTTTCAACCAGTGGGGATGTCAGTGTAGTAATCAAGAGAGTTCCCAACGCTAAAATGAATACTGTATTCAAAATAACTTGTTGATCGGTTACTTCAAAGTAATTATTACTGAATTCAAACAATCCATTACTGTTGATCAAGTACCAAAACGATTCAACCAAGAATGCACCTACCAGTTGTGCAACAATCGATGCTTCTCCAACCGTAAAACTACCACTAAACATTGTCAACAAACTTTTTGTACCAACAAACTGTATCAATAGATACAAAAATATATAACAAACTAGTTGATATCCTATATATGAAATTAATTATATAGTTATGTTTAGTATTAAGAATCTTAAATAATATCGAGATTATTAAGTAATATTATTCATACCAAAGAAATGATGATAAACAAATAATTGTAAGAGAGTAATTAGTATTGGATAGACTAATCTTCTACTCTTTAGAATGTTAAAGAAAATTGTAGATGACGATATGAGAGATGCAAAGAGAAGTCGTTCAATAGCTACAACTGTAGAAGTAGAGTTGGCAATTGCCATCGGTAGAGAGTGGTGAATCGATGAATAGAGTAGTGGGAGTAGTACTAGTGCAATTGGTAATCCTAGGTCGACATAGCTGCTACTGTTGCCGAGCAGCTGACGTGAGTGTTTAAGCAGGTCAGTAGAAAGGGTGGAATCGGACTGCTTGCTATATTGTAGCACGGTTGCAACTAGAACTGTGAGGAGTAGTTCGACGTGTAGGAACGATTCAAACAGCGAGGGATAGCGTGCGAGTGACGAACGTCTACCTCTCTGGACGTCGGAGCCGATCGACATCCATACTCTGGCAAACACACACAGACAACACGTGATCAGAATAGTTGATTCCACCCATCCTCTTCTCTTATTTCTATCACTACCAATATTTATCTCATCAATAATATTCTTTTTAAGATTACTACTAGTAGTTGGTTGTTGTTTGTTTGAATTATTTTCTTTATCATTTGAGTTTTTTGATTGTTGTTTAGGTCTTAACATTGTTCTTCTAAATTTAATTAAATTAAAGATAGTGTACACTTCATAATTAGGTATTCTAAAATAAACTCAATCCAGAAATTAATGTCACATAAAAAAATAATCTATTTTAAATTTTTTTCTCCCCGAATGCACATAACAATTAGGTTTCCTAAACTCCTTTAAAATTTTTCAACCAATTTATAAAATAAGATTTATATTCTCTAAGAAATGATTATATATCTTTGTTGTATGAAATACTTTGATTCATTATGTCGTTTTAAAATCATAATTTGAACTATAATTCTTTAGAATAACATCAAATGACAATTGTTATAAACAATTAATAAAAGTGGATGTGACCATGTTCATTGATAAAGTTTGAATTTGATTGGTTTTCATATATTGATTTTAGAATCAACTTTATAATATATAACCAAATAAAGATTTTGTTGTTTAATGATGTTATTATATATTATATATTTGTTTATTATTTAACTATTTATTAATTCTTAGTGGTGTTTTAATCAATCCTCTTTCCAATAGATGTGGCTCGGCAAACCAGTAGAGTCCAAACGATAATGTAGTGGCACCCACCACTGATAGCCACACTCTATTCTCTGGATGTCTGTTTCTGAGTAGTAACGAGTAGATTCCTGCACCACTAATGATAGATCCACTCAGCGCATGACATACTTTACATTCTTCTAAATCTTTTGTTATCGTTGTTGTTGTCGTTGTTGTATTTTCATTTTGCTTATTCATTTTTTATTTTTTTTTAATCTAATTTTAAATTAATATATACGTATATCAATTAGTATCTATTCTATACGTAAATATCAACAATTTTAATATTATAAGTAAATAATTGATGATGATGAGGTTATAATTATGATATACGTAAGCAATTAAATTAAATGAAATTCAAAATAAATTTTTTTTTTTTTTGTTAAATCAAATCGAGTAAAAAAATAATTTAGAGATAAATTAAACAATGAAATTATTTGTTGGTGTGGAAATAGTAAATAAAAACAACACACACACATATATTATTATTGAATTTTTTAATATTTAAATCTAAATTATAATTATTACTTAAAAAAGATATGCAATTGTTATTCATAGAGTAGTAATAGTGGTGTTCTTTTACTAAAAATAATAATAATTATTTAGTAATATTTGCAATGTTAACAAAAAAAAAAACACAACAGGTGTTGTTTGGAAATGAACAAGTTACACATTATCAAAACGACAATAATTAAGATATACAATTGAATTTCATTCTTTTCTTATAACTAAATTATAAAGATATATATCTTTACAAACAAATAATTAATAGAAAATAAAATAAAATAAATAAAAGATAAATGAATAAATAATAATAATATTTAGAATCATTTATTATTTTGTTAATAGTTGATAAAAATGATAATTCACAGATATCCAATATCGATTAGTATTATGATAAAGTTGTTGTTGGTGTTGGTTCTTTTCAGTACGGTATCGGTTCGTGCTGATGCTTCATCTCAAGATGCTATCGCCGATGATGAATTTGTCAGTCGCGCTATCCAATTGCAAAAAGAAAAGGTCAAAATCAATCCGTATTCACACGACATTGTTTCGCCATTCAACGTTGGCAACAGTCAAAAGTCATCGATTGACCACGTCAATCTCTGGGTGTACTTTACAGACAAGAAGAAAACTACAGCCAACTCGACCACCACAATAAATCTGAACCAACAATCGCTGTCGAGAAGAAGCTCACGTTCCGAGCATGCCGTCGGCGCACTGAAGAACATCTACCAGAACAGCAATTCAAAGTCGTCAGCCGACTATGTGATCGATAGTTTCGATGTGCCAATCAACCAGATTTATATAGATAGAGTAGTCGCCGTCGATTCATCGTTGATCAGTGTTAGACATCGCTCCAATTGGTTGAATGCAGTATCTATAACCGTGCGACTTGACAACAATCTCTCGACTCTCGATGAAAAGGAAGCGGAACTCTCAAAGCTGGTTAAACGAATCAAAACGCTACCAAACGTATTGAAAGTAATTGAAGTCAGTCAAATCAAATCAACCTCCTCCGAGCAGAAGCCATTGACTGCCTCAAAGTCACTGATCAATGAAGATCTTGTCAACCTTGTAAACGGAGTTGACTATGCACAATCCTTCAAACAACTATCACAAATCAATATTATTGACGTAAGTAACAATCATTTGTTATTTTGTATTGTTAAATATATTTATTTTATATTAATTCTTAACTTTTAATTAACCAACTAATATATTAAATAGGCACACACAAATGGATATACAGGAAAAGGTGTTACCATTTTAATTTTGGATACAGGATTCTACAAAGATCATGAATCTTTGAAAAACTGTAAGATCGTTGGTGAACATAATTTCATTGATAATACAAGTGAAACACAAGGTCCATTAGGAGGTAAGCATAAAAAAAAAATAATCATTCAATATAAATCTAATCTTAACTTATCATTTTATTATTTTCAAACTTACAGATCCACAAAACTCACATGGAACTTATATTCTATCGAATCTTGCTGCTTATCAACCTGGTAAAATGATTGGTGCTGCCTACAATGCTAACTATCTATTAGCTAAAACTGTAAATCATAAACTATATAGAAACTATCCATCCATATCCATCAAAAATGATTGACTATTATGAAACAACTAATTAGTGAAGAACCTTTTACATGTTTTTGTTATTTTTATTTATTAACAATTTTTTCTTTTATTAATAATTCCAATCTAAAATAGGAAATAGTTTCAAAAGAGATACCTGTTGAAGAGGATTACTTTATTTCGGCATTGGAATGGGGAGAGAGTCAGGGCGTTGATGTGGTAACTGCTTCGCTTGGCTACAATGAATGGTACAAGTATTGGGATTTGACAGGTGACTCTGCCATTTCAAAGGCAGTCGATATTGCAACTGGCAAGGGTGTCGTTGTTGTAATCTCGAGTGGAAACAATGGTGTCTATGGATTGTCACCACCCGCCGATAGCAAGCGTTGCATCACAGTTGGTGCGGTCGACAAGTTTGGACAGGTGGCATCGTTCAGTGCTGTCGGTCCAACGGCAGACGGTCGTGTCAAGCCAGAGGTTGTGGCGAATGGACTGCTCAGTTTCGCCGCTGACTCCAAGTCGCCGTCGTCCTACGCCTATCAGAGCGGAACAAGTCTGTCGGCGCCACTGATTGCCGGTGCCGTCGCACTCATCTTGGAGGCTCATCCCAACTGGACACCGGCCATGGTGAAAGAAGCGATTCTAACATCAACGCAAACAAGCGAGCCAGACAACTACCAAGGCTACGGTCTTATCAACACAATGACCGCCATCCAATATAGCCACGGTGCATGTAGCAACTGCACCGGACCGTGTTTCAACAACACATGCCAATCAAAAACCGTGGAATGTGGATTTGTCTGTCGTCAGAATGGAGGTGTCTGTAATCCTTATAGTTGTAACAATTGTGTCAATCCAAAACTAAAATTAGTTAAAGAAGCAGTTACCATTCCATGCAGTAAGTTATTATCATATTTTATTATTATTAATAATATTCTAATTTTTTTAATTATTATTATCTTTCCGTCAATCCACATCAATTAGAGAGTAATCAAAATGATGATATTCAACTGAATTTAGCTAAAATCAAACGAAGTAATCCTTTACTTATGATGATATGTATAGTCTTATTTATCTTATTCCATTAATAATAATAATAAGTCTGTATAAAACATTTCAATCACAAACAACAAGCCATCCTTCAAACTTTATCAAACTAACCATCCACCAAAACTTCTCTTTTAAATATTAAAATAAAAATAAAATAAAAAATTATTAAAATAAAATAAATAATCCCGTTCTTTCAACTTTTGACGTGTGACCACTCAGAGTCTGATCTTTTTTTCATCAAACAACAAATCAAATCAAATTGATCTACGAGATGCACATCCATTTTTAGACAAAATTTATCCGTTACAAAAATGATATTCATTTAACTTTTTTGGTTAATCAATTTAGATTAATGATATGTTCATTCTATAAATAAACTTAATTATCATTATTCTACAAATAATTAATATGATAATGAGGGGGTTATTTTTTTTAATTTTTAATTTTTTTTAATTTTTTAATTTTTTTTTTTAATTTTTTCTCAATGTGTGTTAAAAAAATTTTATTCCATATAAAAAAAACCAGTGCGCTAGTTTATTGATAGAAAAAAACAAAAAAAAAAAAAAAGAACATAAAAAATTTAAAACAACAAACAACAACAACAGTTAGACAACCAAAATTCAAAATTAATTTAAATTTTTTAATCAATTAAATATCCAATAACCAAGCTTAGTCATATTATCATAAATTATTAGAAAAACACAGGGATATACATTAATGATAATAATAACTTTAACTTACTATTATTGTGTAGGTGCAACTCTCCTCTCTTTAAATTTTTTATTTTTATAATTGTGTTTTTTTTTTTTTTTTCTGAACATCTTTTTTGTTTGGTTGTGTATCATGTTAATATAATTGATTAAATAAAACAAGCAAAACAAACAAAACAACACAAGTTTTTTATTTAATTAAAAAAACAACCTCTTTATCGATTTAAAAATCGATTTAAAATATATCCCCGTATAGTATATCATTAATTTGTATTTTTGTTTGTTTTTTTTCAAACTTACAATAACAATATAATTGAACCAAACCCTCTTTTCACTTGTAGATTTGCTGATAACCTAACCTTCACCACTATAGACTCCACATAGTGGTGAAGTTCGTCATCTTGTCTATACTATTACCTATTTTTAAAAATAACTTTAAAAACACAAAACAGCATAACAAACATCATCTATTTTAAAAACACATCCAAGTTTTAACATTTTTTATTTTATCATCTATATATCTTATCTATCTTTAACTTTATTCATACTCATCTTATTTATATATAATTGTTTTTACATAATTTATTTTAATTTTAAAAAAGTAGACACATAACACAATATTTACTAATCTTTAAATTATATTATATTATTTATATGTATTATTAATATTTTATATGTAGTATTAAATTTAATATATATTTATAGATTGATTGTTGATTGATTGATTGTTGATATTGATATACTATGATGAATAGCAATCAAATGCAACAACCGAATCAAACATCGATTCCCTCTGGTTTGGTGGCTGCAAATGGCAATCCTGCTGTGAATGGAAATACAGAGCAATACAATCAGTATCAACATTATCTACAAATGCAGATGTTACAGCAACAGCAACAGCAGAAACAGATGCAGCAACAGCAAGCTAATCAACTACAGCAACAACAACAACCTCAATCCGCAGACAATCAGATGAATGTTAATGTTGCTCAACAACAAAATAATAATATACAGTTACTTCAGATGTTGCAACAACAACAACAGCAACAGCAGCAAGCTAATCAGCTACAACAACAACAGCAAGTTAATCAACTACAACAGCAACAGCAACAGCAACAGCAACAGCAACAGCAACAGCAACAGCAACAGCAACAGCAACAGCAACAGCAACAGCAACAGCAACAGCAACAGCTACAACAGCAAGCTCAACAGCAGCAACAAGCTCAGCAGCAGCAACAGGCTCAACAACAAGCTCAGCATCAGCAACAACAACAACAGAATCCACAACAAAATTACATGATGACTGGAATTGAATCACAAATTACCAATCAATTCCAGCAGGCACAACAACAAGTTGCATCTCAACAAACAACAACACAACAACAACAAACAAATAATCAACAGCAACAGCAGCAACAACAACAACAACAAGTGGCGGCACAACAACAGGCAGCGGCAGCTCAACAACAACAGCAGCAACATCATCTTATGCTACAACAGCAAAAGCAGCAACAGCAACAATTAATTCAACAACAGATGATGATGGGCAAGATGAATACAAATTCACCTACAAACGTTGGTCTTCCACCACAACAACAGCAACCACTACCAAACCAACCCCCACAAGCCTCACAACAACAGACTTCGCCACAAACTCAAACCTCACAGACTCCACCTATATCATCACCCATTTTGACACAAATGATGAAGAATCCACAACAATACAACGCATATCTGGCTGCAGCTGCCAATCAACAGCAAGCACAACAACAGCAAGCGCAACAACAACAACTATCCGCACAACAACAGCCACAACAGGTACCACAACAACAGCAACAACCGACACCACAACAAATTCAACAAATGCAACAAGCTCAACAGCAACAACAACAAGCTCAACAACAACAAAAGGGTGCACCAATCACAGTTTTACAATTAACAAAAGAACAAATAATGGATTTATATCAAGTAAGTTTATTTATTACTACCAACCACAACCATTTGTTAACTTTTTTTTTTTTTCAATTACATCTATAATAGAGTTTAGATAATCATCAAAGAACAGTGGCGGATATCACCGATAAAAAGTATCAACAGTTATTATTTGTATTAAAGGGTCAAAAGTCAGTACATCAATACACATCTGAACAAAATGAAATTGTAAACAGAGTCTCCAAGCAACATGCAAATTTAGTTAAAGCCTATCAGGCAAACGTAAAGTCACCAACTCTTGCCTCGCAACCATCGAATCAAATGCCATTGGCATCAGCAGCATCACCTCAAATTCAACAAACACATATGCAAACACCTCCACAATCACAATTAGTTCAACAACAAGTACAACAACAACCACAACAAGTAGCACAACAACAGCCACAGCCATATCCACAACAACAACAATCAACTAGCGGTACTTCCACAGCATTGCCACAGACTTCCGGTGTAAATAACAATATATTCCAGCAACAAGTACAACAACAACAAATTCCAACACAACAGCAACCTCAACAACCACAACAATTAATGAATCCTCAACAACAGCTCTTGCAGCAGCAACGACAACAACAACAGCAGCAACAGCAACAGCAACAACAACAACAGATGAGAGCAAAACAAGATCCATCTACAATATTAATTACACCAGAGCAAATGGAGTTGTTAAAACTACAGGTAAAGGCATACAGATGTATATCAACTTCGATAGGTCAGTTTCAAAAGGGTATGCCTCCTGATCCGTTCCCGCAGGATCTAGCAAATTCTTTGAATCTACCAAAAAAGACAATTCCATCTCAGACACCTCAGAGGACAATGCAATCTCCCATTGTTAGCGCTCCCATTCAAACGGCTGGTGCACCCAATGCTAATGTTACTCAGATTGGCCAACAACTACAACAACAGCAACAACCCACTCAGGTAATGAAACCACAGCAGCTAGCACCACAAGTTATAGGTCAGCAGCAGCAACCACAGCAGCAGCAGCAACAACAATTGCCTCAACAAGTTGTAGGTCAATTATCTGGTATACCGACAACTGGAATGGCTGGTGCTGCCACACCAACAATGACCTCACCAATTTCCACTGGCACGCAGATCGTTGCCAACGGTACCATTAACGCCAATTCAGCAGGACCGGCGTCTATACCAATGATCTATTCACCACCACCTCCATCTATCAACTCCATACCAATCCCGGCTTTTTTACAGGTTAGCTTCAATCCTCCACAAGTCCAGCAGGCATCAACTGCTTCCTCTGCTGGCGCAGTGGTCCAAGTCACACAACCACCTCCACAATATGTACTGTCTTCCATTGACACATTGAAACCTCTACCACTAGAGTATCAATTTCTCAAAGAAAACGAAGAAGTCTACATAAAGTCGAGAATGACTCAAAGAATTGAAGAGCTAAAAGATCTGTTGCAACAGCCGATGGTCGATGACAACCAAAGAATGCAACTGACCATAGAGTTGAAGCAGCTCAATATGTTGGATCTACAAAAGAAGATGAGAATGGAGTTGTTAGAGCTATCGTTGGAGAATAGTGTGTCCAGCTCCGGAGGTAGACTGGGTGCCGGTTCGTCGGCTCATCCCAGTGGCAAGATGAAGCGATCTTCCACGTCGCGATCCGAAGTCATCAAGTCGAAGCAAGAAGAGTCGGACAATCGTTTCAAAGAGTTTCTCGCAGGAATTCTCCAGCATGGCCGTGACTTTAAGGAGTTCCACGTCAACAAGATGGTCAAGGTCAAGAAGATAGCCAAGCGTGTCACAAACTACTTTGTCATGGTTGAGAAGCGTGAGCAACAGCAGCGTGAGCGTGAAGAGCGTGAACGTCTGCGTGCTCTCAAGACCGACGATGAAAGTAAATATCTCAAGCTGCTAGAGACCACAAAGAATCAGCGTCTTCGTGAGTTGTTTGACCAGACCAATGAGTTCTTGGACAAGATCTCGCATTTGATTCAAAAGGAAAAGATGAATACCGAAGTCGAGCCAGACAGCACCGAGCCACTCTCGCCAAAGCCTGGCGCTGCGCCACCAACAACTACCACGCTAGTAAGTAAAGCACACTCTTACTACTCCAAAGCACATTCCATTCAAGAGGAGATTCCAGAGCAGCCGACTCTTCTCGAGGGTGGACAGTTGAAGCCATACCAGATGCAAGGTCTCCAATGGATGGTGTCACTCTACAACAACAAGTTGAATGGTATCCTAGCCGACGAGATGGGTCTTGGTAAGACTATTCAAACCATTGCACTGGTAACCTATCTCATTGAGAAGAAGCAAAACAAAGGACCATATCTAGTGATTGTTCCACTGTCAACTCTTGCCAATTGGGGACAGGAGTTTAGCAAGTGGGCACCAAAAGTTCAAAAGATTCTCTACACTGGAAACAAAGAAACACGTAAAGCGATTATCGATCAACATGTATCGTCGTTGAAATTCAATGTTCTCATTACCACCTACGAGTATATCATCAAGGACAAGAATCATCTTGCCAAGATCAAGTGGGCCTATATGATTGTCGATGAAGGTCATCGTATGAAGAACTACAGTTCCAAGCTCTCTGTGACACTAGGCAGTTTCTACCAGAGTCGTTACCGTCTGTTGCTAACTGGTACACCGCTACAGAACTCGTTGCCAGAGCTTTGGGCACTTCTCAACTTTTTGCTTCCAAATATTTTCGACAGTGTCGAAGACTTTGAGCAGTGGTTCAACGCACCGTTTGCCGCCACCGGTGAGAAACTAGAGATGAACGAAGAAGAACAGCTTCTCATCATTCAGCGTTTACACAAAGTCTTGCGTCCATTCTTGTTGCGTCGTCTAAAGACCGAGGTGGAAACTCAACTACCGGATAAAGTTGAAAAGATCATGAAATGTCCAATGTCTGCATTCCAATCTAAAATGTATAATTTAATTAGAACTAAAGGTGTTTCAAAGGTATTGTTATTATTATTATTTTATAAAAAGATTGAGAATCAAATAGAAACATTTATTAATATATATTTTTAACTTTTATTCATGTATGTAGTTTACTGCTGGTTCAGGTGAAGATGGTAATCCAAAGTTGGCCAAAGGATTAAAGAATACATTGGTACAATTAAGAAAGATTTGTAATCATCCTTATCTATTTTACGATGATGAGTATGCAATCGATGACTATATGATAAGATGTGCTGGTAAATTCGATTTACTCGACAAGATCCTACCGAAACTCAAGGCATCCGGTCACAGAGTATTGATTTTCAGTCAAATGACCCATTTGATAGATATTCTCGAACAGTTCTTCTACTACAAGGGTTACAAGTATCTACGTCTCGATGGTTCAACCAAATCCGATGAGAGAGGTCCATTGTTGAATCTGTTCAACGCAGAGAACAGCGAGTACTTTATCTTTGTACTCTCTACAAGAGCTGGTGGTCTCGGTCTCAACTTGCAAACAGCCGACACTGTAATCATCTTTGACAGCGATTGGAATCCACAGATGGATCTTCAGGCTCAAGACAGAGCACATCGTATCGGTCAGAAGCAGACTGTCAAGGTGCTACGTCTGGTCACTGCCAACTCTGTCGAGGAGAGAATCATTGCTCGTGCCAATTTCAAGAAGGAGTTGGATCGTAAGATTATTCAAGCCGGTCAGTTCAACAACAAGTCGAATCGTTCGGAGCGTCGACAGATGCTAGAGTATCTGATGACTCAGGACGAGACTGCAGAGATGGAGCGACAGGGTGTTCCAAACGACCAACAGATCAATCAGATGATTTCGAGAACTCCAGAGGAATTGGAACTATTTGAAAAGATGGATCGTGAACGTGAGATAGTCGATATTCAGAAATGGAAGGATGCCAACAAGAAAGGTGAATTCCACCGTTTGTGTACAGAGGAAGAGTTACCGGATTGGATCACCAAGGAAGTGGAGATTACTGATGATCTTGGATTTGTGCTGGGTGCAACACGTACCAAGGGTAGAGACTACGATGCTGAGAAACAGTTGATCAAGATGATGGAGAATGGTGAACTGAAACGTCGTAGAATCCAGACTACCTTTATCAATCCGGATTTCTATGAGGATGATATCGATATCTCTGATTCCGATGACGATGAAGACGACGAGGAATATCAACAACAGGCACCGCCACCTAAAGCAACTCCTGCCAAGCGCAAAGACTATAGCTCCGATGAAGAGAAGAGTGCCAAGACACCAAAGAAGAAGGCTAGAACCTCTGTCGCCGCATCAAAGAGACAGTCGACAAGTGGAAAGCAATCTTCATCTTCTTCGCCATCCACTCCAACACCGCCTACTCCAGCCGTCAAGAAACACACTGGCAGAGGAAGACCAGCAGGTACCATGAAGAAGAAGCCGACCTCAGAGACCGAACTCAAATTCCTTGACATTTTCGATAGAGTTCGTTTAGACACTGACGAAGAAGGTAGAAAGAGATGTGATATCTTCCTAAAGTTGCCAAGCAAGAGAGACTATCCAGATTACTACAATATCATCAAGGAACCAATGGATATGAAGACAATCAAAGAGAGAATCGTTGGAAACAAATATGCTACTCCAGCCGAGTTTGCAGCAAATGTAAACACTATGTTTTATAACGCTCAAATCTACAATTGTTCTGGTTCTGAAGTATTCGAAGATGCTGTTTATCTACAGGTAAAATATCAAAATCAAAAATAACAATCATTTTTATTAATACTAATACTTTCTTTTTATTTTAGAATTTCTTTACAAAGATATTTAATGAGCATTTCCCCAACTTTGAATTGCCACCACCACATCCACCACTATCACCAACACAAGGAATTCAAGTTCCATCAACCGACCTAAAGGAGATCGTTCCAATTTCAGAATTGTTAAATTCCAACAGTCCAAACAATAGTGACACTGAGAAGGATCCAAAGCCAACTATTCAACAAAGTGTAAATAACAATAATAGCAGTAGCAATAATAATAATAATAATAATAATAATAATAATAATAATAATAACAATAGCGCTGCATTTAATAACTTTTATAATAACAATAATAATAATAATAATAATAACAACAATCACAACAAAAACAATGTATTCACTTTCAACAGTAACAATAATAGCAATAGCAATAGCAATAATAACCATGGTAGCTATAGTAATAATAATAATAGTAACAAAAAGTTTGATCCTATGTCACTATCAAGTATGGTTAGTGACCAATCACCACTTTCATCCCCCATCACCAACAATCAGAAATCAAAGAACAATGGTAGAAGTTCTTCATCAAACTCTAAATATTCGGATTCAGAACCAGAGTCAAGTTATGACGATGACTATTAGAATAAATATTTGTTTGTTTTTAAAATTGCAAATTATAAATATACAATTTATTATCTAGTGAAATTGAAAGATGACTAGTCAACTAACCAAAAGAGTTATCATGCATTGTTACATCTGATTTATGGTTGTATGGGCTTGTGTATACTTCTATTGAGTGTATTCAGCTTTGGTGTTACAAATAACAATTGACTTGGGCTTGTTTCATTTGGGAAGCAGAGGGATTTGTTTTTATTCATTTCCAATTGCCCAATTGATTAAGATTTTTCTACTTCTTTGTAGTTTGTTTTACCTCCAGATGAAGAGTTTGATTCATTAGTTTAAGATAAAAAAAACTTTGAATCAGTTCTATTATTATTTCATCAGAGTTTCATCCTCAAAGGACAAATTGATTGATATTTTTAGAGTATCAGTGGATACTCCTCAAAAGAAGTGAGTTGTAGAAGACTTAGGATCTGATGTATCTAACCTCCATCTCTTATCAACTTTGTAACCAACTCAATCTCAACTTATTCTAAAAAATAAATAAATTTGTGTATAAACGGTCATAACTTTGATTTAGTTTAGTCTATTTTAGTTTGATTTAAACTTTATTTTCTTGTTCTGTTTGATTTAACTCTGTAGCAGTATTTTCTTTTTCTAATTCTTCTTTAGTTTTGTGAGAGTATCTACAATTTCCACCCTTTGTGCATTCACCCTTGTTTACCATTGAAGGACATTGAACATGACTGAAATCCTTTCTTGACTTTTTATCTTTGGTATATTTTCCTTGATTCATCTTTCTCTTTTGAGCAATTGTTACCATTTCATGGCTTTCAGCCGACTTTTTACCAGCTCTTGATCCAGGTCCCCAATTCTCCTTTGGATTAGGCAAGTATTTAGGTACCGATGGTGTCTCTCCATGTGCTTGTGGATGCATTGTAAAATCAATTTTATGACTATACGATCGTATTATTAATATTGTTAATAAAATGATATATATATTAAATTGATAAAACATACGTTGGTTCTTTTGAAAGAATGAAATGAGCTGGTGAAGTTGGTGATGTATTCTTTGGTGGGTTGGTTTTGGCATAGGTTCTCCAGATGTCCCACATGAAATCGAATGGTGCATTGGTTTTGATAACTGCCTGAACGTGACTAGATGAAACCTTGTAACCTGCATTCAAAAGTGCAGAACGAATGGTTGCTACTGGTGGTGTACTGGTGTGGAGTACAGAGGTGAAGTGATCGCTTCTAAAGTAGAATGGAACATCCGCTAACTCTTCGTAGGCCGATGTCAAAACACCAAACATTCTCTTGCAGGTGTTGAATGCATTTGGATGATCTTCAATATGTTTTAATCCTGCTTTACAAACTTCCTTATCATGAATCGGTCTATTCCAAAATGGTCCAGCAACCTAATTTAGTTTTAAAATTATTTGTTGTTAGAAATCTAATTATGCTCGTATCGATAACACTATTATTATTATTAAGATGATTGTACTGTGCTTCAACTTACTTGTAACAGTTTTGTACAATATTTACAATTGGTACTGTCAACAAACTTTGAGAGAATTGGTAGTTTATATTTGATGCTTCTACCTTCCTCTTCGATGATACCCAATGGTGCAATATTGTAACTTCCACAACCAACACAACTGTAGATATTAGCCAACTTTGAGAAACTTCTCTTGCACTCCAATGCAGAGGTATAGACTCTAACAAACACACGAATATAAAAGTCGATACTCAACGATAAAACTGGAACAATATGTCTCTTATATCTATTAGCATGTGTTTCGATTGTATGTAACAAAATTCTAATACCCTATATTAGATTAGCAAAGATTAGTTAGTTAGAATATTTATAGAATACTAGTAGTATTGATTGCTATTGATAACAATTACCATTTCATGACAGAAATCACCTTTCAATGGAACAGAAGAATATTTATGATAACATGCTTCTGGATGATTACCACAGAGCACAGCAGAGTCAGTAGCGGTGACACAGAGCAGTCCACCTTCGGCAACTGCTTGAACAGCTCCGTCGAGGAAGTTGGAGGGTGCTCCATAGGGATCGACATCGATCACATCGAATTGCTTGAGTGGATCACGATGTTGATACATGACCATGGTGGCATCACCGAGGTTTGGCACCAAGAGGTTGGCATCGACTCCATTGAGGTCACGGTTTTTCTCGATCGATTTGACAGCGGCCTCTTCAATGTCGTTCGAGAGAATCTGTTCGACACCTTCGATCTCCTTGGCGTAACGAATCGAACGCAATCCAGTGGCAGACAAAGCCTCGAGGATTCTAATCTTCTTGGGCGGTTTCTTCTTGTCTGCCAACTCTTTATTACGTTGTTCAATGAACAGTTTGATCATCATAATCGATAGATCTCTATTGAATTCCTGTACTGGATTGTAGAATACTTCATTCTTACTGTTATATTGAATGGTTGTAGTATTCTCTTTAATTGAAACAATAGTTGATTCAGTACCATTATTATTGTTATTTTCATTTTCAACTTTCATTGCATCTACTTCTGGAGTTGAGGTTGTTGCTGTTGTAGTTGTTGTTGTATCCATTTCTTGATCACCAATAATATTTTTATATAAATTCTTTAAACTTTTAAAATAGCTACTATTATTATTATTATTATTATCTGTTTTAATAGATTTATTACTTGTTGAATAGGAATGATATAAAGAATGGTTACCTTGACTACCTCTAATTATAAAGTTATTGATATTATTATTATTATTATTTCTAATAATATTTTGATTAACTTTTTGTTGTTGAAGTTGACGACAATTGTAATTTATTAAATTGATTGTATTTGATGTATTAGTAGGTGTTATCTGTATCTGTATCTTTCTTATAAGATGTATCATTCGTCGTTTTTTTTTGAACAACGACCAATTTTTTTTTTAAACTTGTTTGCCGATTCAAAAAAATTTGAATTCAAATTTATTTTTGTTAAATTTATAAAAAAGGATTATGAAATGATTGATTAAAAAAGAAAGACAGTAATTAATTAAAGATACATATGTATATATATTCTCTATAAAAATGAGTAATTTAGAAGAACATTTAAATAAAGGAAAACATTTATATGAAGAACTTAATGATATATTTAGAAAATATCCAAATATGTAATATTTTTTTTATTTTTTTTTTAACAACAATGATATTTAATCAATTTTATTAATGATAATATAATCTTAAAAAAAGTAATGAATTAGGATTAATTGTATCAACAAAAGAATATGAACAGAACAAAGAAGATGTAAAATCAAATTCAAAATCATTTGTTGTTGTAGATACCAATTTGGGTGTAACCTATCAATCGGTGACACCTTTATATCACTACTGTTTCAAAACACTCAATCAACTGATGGAACAACACTCTCTAAAGATAATCGATGACATTTTCTTTAGAAATCTAGATCCAATCATTGTACAATCTGTTCTTAACCTAACAAGAACATTATTAATGATAAATGCAGAGAATTTAACATCATTAAATTTAAGGTATATAAATCAAACTACTTACTTTATTATTATTATATTTTTATTAATAATATATACTTTTTAACAAACAAAAAAAGAAAGAGATTCATACAAAATGGAATGTTAAGTCATGAAATGGAAATTAAATTTTTGAATTTGGTGTTTACAAAACATCCAAAGAGTGGGGAAGCTTGGTGTCACAGACGTTGGGTGTTGACAGATTCACCCTGTTGGAGTGCATTGAATTTAGAGTCAGAGATTGCGGTGTGTAGACGCGTTGCTGAGATCTATCCAAAGAATTACTATGCGTGGTGTCACAGAATGTGGTGTTTGAATACACAGTTGTCGATGGCCAACCTGCTCGCTGACTTGAAGAGAATGGATCAGTGGGCACTACGCAACGTCTCTGACTACTGCGGATTCCATCATCGCTTCGAACTACTGAGACAAGTCTATCGATTGGCAGCGGAAGGTAGATGCGATTGGCAGTCGGTCATTGACTTGTGGTCACGTGAATTCTACATGATCGATTCGCTCATCAAGAAGTATCCTGGACACGAAACACTTTGGTCACACAAGCGAATGTGTACTACCTCTTGGTTGGTCGATATCATCGGTAACGATAGTTCACGTAACCATCTACAACAATGTCAACTGGTCAACGCTCAACTCCAATTGCCAACGATGGAACAGCAACTGTTTTACTGTAAATCGATACACGACGATAAGGAATCATCGTACTACACTGAACAATCTACTTTTGCCATTCGTTATTCTTATTGGATCATTCAAGTAAGTAATAATAGATAAATATTTAATTGATTGGTACTCTTACTAACTAATTTTACTAAAACACAGTTAAAACTCAAACAGTTTTCAGATAGAAAAGGTAAAGAATATTATATATCGAATGAGCTGATGGAGGAGTGTTTGAGTTTGATAAAGAAAGACAATTCATTCCCTCCTTTGAAGTATTTGAAATCAAAAGCTGGACAAATACAGAGTTGACCGATAAGTAATTTTTAAATAAATCAACTTTAACGGGTGTTACACATCAAATTCTTTTATTTCATGAGATATATAATGGAATTGGGTGATGAGGAGTCTTGACCAATTATATCAGACATTGAAGTAAGAATAACAAATAACTGGTTGCTACAGTTATTTAAACTGATCAGTTTAATAAAAGAAAGAAAGATTTTAGTTAAAAATAAGAAGAAAAGAAAATTAATTTGATTTTTCATAGGTTTTTAAAAATATTTTTTGTCAATTGGGACTTCTGTGTGATAAAATTTTTTTTGGATATTATTAATTTGGAGATAACCAACTTCATAATACAATCAATCGAATTGCAATACCGGCATTAAACCAACAATCATAATATAATGAATGGTTGTTTGTTTCAAATTGTTGTTGTTTGTTGATCTACTTTATTATTATAGAGAGATATATTTATAGAACATCATACAAAATAGATATAGAAAATAAACTTAAATTAGATATCATCCCAAAATATAATATTATATAATAATCATAATAATAATAATAATGGATTTCTTTCGAATATTTTCAAAGGATAGTAATAGTACAACTTCAACAAGTTCAATACCTAATAAAATAAATAGTAGTGATCTCAATGATCATATAAGATTGGTTGTATGTATAGATGAGAATAATGTTTGTTGTTCAAAAGTTTATAGACTTATTTTATTTTCTATCGATTTTTCAAAATAAAAGGCATATCAGAATTCATGTAGTATATTGTTTGATACTTTACAGATCGATGCAATCAAGTTGAATCAAGGAAAGACTACAGCCAGTGGTGGTACTACTCCTACTACCACACCGCATTCCAATGGTACTGCACACAAATCACCTGCCAAACCAAGGGTAATCTATATATTATATCTATATTTAAAAAAAAAAAATAGACAATTTCAGAAACTATTTATAGATATATTAATAATAATAATAATAATGATTATAGGGTAAAGTAGAGATGTTGAAAGAAATGATGTTTGGTACAGTGCCTTTGAATATACAGGGAACAACAACAAAGATTCATTATCTTCCTGATAGTAACCAGATGCTTTTGACAAAGTTATTCACTTTGAACCTTACAAAAGATGAACCGACAACTACTTCAAACAGTGCACCACAATCACCTGTAGTTAATAATGCTACATCGCAACAAAAGCAAACAACAACACCAACAACAACTACTACTACATCATCAACAACAAGCTCAACAACGACTTCAGCGAAAGAAGAACAACAACAAAGTGGAATGACACTTTCATCATCAGATTTACCAAGTTACAGCAATGGCAGTGGCAGTAGCAATAATGTCACCGGTGAGAATAAGAGTAATTCAACTACTCTACTACCTTCATCACCTTCAAAGACAACAGATCACATACCATCATCAACAAAGTCAGCGACACTCACCACCTCAATGCCATCTACATCGAATATCGGAGGTGGTGGTGGTGGTGGTAGTGGTGGAATAACTGGTAGTAATACGTTGAATAACAGTACAGGTAGCAGTAATAATATCAACAACAACAACAACAACAACAATATTAATAATAATAGAGCTAGATCATCATCGACATTGGGACGTACGAACAGACCGATGATGATGATGTCGAGTGCACCCAAAGTCAAAAAAGTGACACTGGCACTCTGTGTCATATTCGGACCAAAGAATCTAGACGATCTAACAAACACACCACTGCAAAACCAGCAGAGTGCACAGATGCAACAGATATCGAAATTCCATCAGTTCATCATCACCCACTTTGTACTGATCGACATGCGACTACAACCGATGATCAAACTTTTAAAGAATCAATTATATTCGAAATTTACAACACAAACACATGGATCTGTAAGTTTAATCATTCATTTCATTAATTAATTAGTTTTTACAATTACTAATAATAATAATAATAATAATAATCAATTCTTATCTATATTATGATAGATGTCAGCCTATGGAATGTCAGAAGTTAATCAAATTTATAAAGAGATTGAAAAGTTTAGAAATTATATTAATGATTTATATAGTGTACCCAGATTAGAAGTAAATATAAATATCTGTTAACAGATATATATTATAGGTTTGATTAATATTGTTTTTATTTTTCTATTTAGAAACCACTTTGGATAGATACAATAGTTTTTCCAAGTACTAAAAGACAGACCTATAAGATATTGTTAGAGTTACTTAGAGAGTTGATACCATCTTTTAATACACCCAAATCAAGATAGTAAGTTCAAATTGATTATTCAATTTCATTGTTGCAAAAAGGAGGTTGTAACCTAACATATTTATTCATTTACTTTTATTTTATTTTTTTTTAGTTTCCTTTCAAATTTGATAACAACAGTATTATCTTATAATTTGACGTGGATGAGTAATATGCTATCGACAGACAGCTCTACGAGTTATAGATGTTCCTCTGAAAAGTGTAATAGTTTTATCAGTTTTGAGAATCAGTTTCTAAATCAAATCTCAGAGATCTATGGATACACAGGTTGTCTGAATCCCAGATGTTGTGAGAGCAGTAAAAACAACCGATCTCACTACCGTATGGTGAAATCAATCGTAATAGGTGCACCCGATATCTCAAAGAAACTACTACAGATCATCAGTTACTTTTGGCGGTCTTTCGAGCTGATATTGAATCGTCACATGCTTGACTATCGTTCTAATCTCTACGATCAAGATGAACTACACCGTAGTTTCACTCTCCCAACTGAGGCCAGTAGTAGTAGTAGTGGAAACCTGTCTACATCACCTGCATCTCCAACCAGAACTCCACACAATAATCAACATCAATATCCAACAACACCAAACAGTCATCATCATCAAAATGGAAATGGAGTACAACAACACCATCGTCCCACTGTTATGTCAACACCAAATAAACAAACAACTTCAACAACCACAACCACCAGTATTACTACACCTAGTAAGTCGATGTCACCTCCATCATCAACATCGACAGCAGACACCAATCATTTCCAATTTGGTTCCGATGATCCTAGTTTACCGAGTTACTATCATGACCTTTCAAGATCACTCTTGGGATCACACACCAACAAGTACGTCAGTGACATGGCGTTGTTGGCCGTTCCAAAGTATGACTTTTTCACCAAGATGATCGACGACCTCAGACTGTGGAACGATAACAATCCATTCCCATCGCATCTAAAAGAATCTATTTGTATCGTTGCCGATGTTTCAAAGAATACATGTGATGCCATTTTAGTTAGTAGAGATCATATTATGAGTGATACAAATCCTATTGTTGTGTAAATATTACAAAAAAATTAACTTTTTTAGCCCATGATAATCCAATTAACTTTTTTTTTTTTTTTTTTTTTATCTAGAAATGGAGTTGCATATCCAGATGTAAAGATTTTGAAAGGAGTACACTCTGAATATATTAATCATGTATTAACTACATTGGTTTCATTTTGGCAGATTGGAATGCATCCAGAAACTGTATGTTCATTTTTTTTTAGATTAATTCTATGATATATATATATTGATTGTTTGCTAATTATTACTTTCATTCTATTTATAATTATAATAATAGTGTATAATTTATTTAGAGGATAAACTTAGAGAATTATTTATGAAATCTTTGACCTATTATGAAACCATTAGACTCTATTCATCTGCAGGTCGACCCATACCACCAACTATCAGCCAACTTTCAACGGGAGTATCGACACCTTCAACTTCGACCTTTACCACACCGTTGGCCACTCCATCTACTTCACCTCATTCTTCTGTGCCAAGTTATAATGCATTAAGATTACAGTATGTTTTATTTATTATATTGTTATTTAAAGTAAAATTATTAACCTATTAATTATTATATATATAGGATGACAGGTGATCAAATATTAATTGAAGGAATCTATACTTATTTGATGAGTTGCCATCCAAAGACTTTACCTAATGAGAAATCAGCAAATAATACATTAAATGATTAGAACGATTAGCTAAATCATATCATCTTTCGATACTAATCAACAAAAAAACAATACATTCATCTTGCTCAAATAAAAAAAACATATAAACTTCGTAGATCTTTTCAATCAAAAGAGATATGAAACTATTATATTAAATTATATTATAAAATAAACAAACTGTAAAATTAGTTTGTTTTAAAAGTATTTTATTAAGTAAATTGTAAAAATAGAAACATAATATTAATTATTTCTTATTCTTTGGTTTTTATAATTGGTTGATTGATTTGATTGATTTATTTTGTTGATTTTAAAAATGAATTGTAAATGATTCTAAATTTAAGTTGAAGTTCTAATATAATTATAGCTATACTAGTTTAAACAATTGTTTTAAAAATTAAAGTAACATCATTTGATAATAATCCTGTGAGTATTACAAAAGTTGTTTGATGTAAAAGTGAAATTGTATTGTTGTTTGACTATCTATGAATAAGTAAGTTAACTAGTTGATTTTAAAATTGAACTATATCGGTAGAGTTTTGATTGTTATTGTTGGCCACAGACTTTTCAAACTTGACAGAGTTTGAAGATCCTAATGTTGCACTGCTACATTGAAGTGTTTTTCTTTTAAAAGAAAATTTATTGAATAAATTATATGCATATTCTAGAGATGGTATTAGATCAGGTAAAGCATGATCGAAATAATCTGGTGCACAAGACATTGTTACCAATATAAAAAAATAATATATAAATTATTTTATGTGAAATTAATATTTATTTATCTATTGTTTGTTGTTAAATATAAATATTATATAAATGTATTTGATTGATTGTTTATTTTGTTATTAAAAAGTATTCTAGTATTATTATGTTGAAGAAGTTTATTAAATAAAATTTATTTTTTTATTGCAATTTTTTCTTAGAAGTATTATTTTGATTTTGTTTGTTGTTATAAAAATTCTTGAGAAATAAAAAATATAACAACCATAAAAGTTAAATAGTTGTACAATGTAAAGAAAATAATTCTAAATTTGGAGATTTCACACGAGATTCAACTTAAAACAGCTTCACAAATTGATTCAATGTTGAAATCCGTTGTAAACAAAAACATTTAAAATTTTTAATAAAAAAAAATAAAAAATAATTCAAATTATCACTTTTTTTGGGCGGTTAATTAAATCTTTTGTTAATACCTCGACATATTCAACGTTTATGTGTATTAATTTAATTTAATTTTTTAATTTTAACCTTTAGCATTTTATTCTTAAATTAAAAAATTAAATATGTGGATCCGCACAATGATCTTCAAATTCATTTCTTTAATAGTCAATAGGTTATTTCGATTAAAAGTCAAATGAATATTATGTTTTTGTATTTTCAAATTTGAATCGAGAATATCAGATGATAAAAAGATCAATTAAAATTATTGGATCTATTCTTGTTTGATCATTCAACGATCGTTGTTAACCAACATAGATTGATATCATTTTATTGTTTATGATTTCCGACGATCGTTCTAATTGGTTAGGAAATCTATATATGAATGATCTGGCTCTTCGAAATCTTCAAACAGAATTATATTATCATTAATGTTATTATTGATTGTTGCGTTCGTTTGTGATAATGACAATGTAAAAATACCCTCCAATTTAAATAGTTTAAGATTCAAATTATCGATAATAGATTTCCTCTTATGTAAATTCAATTTCTTAAATTCCAACGTTGATATTCCTATAAGTTTGGTTTTTAACTATAAATAATTTAACAAATATACATATATATATTATTAGTTGATTTATAAACACGCTATAAAATGATTATTAAAGTCAGAACCTACTTGATTCGATAATAAAACAGACAGACTTCCAGTACCATCAGATATTTTTAGAATGATTTCCTTTTCTATTCCATCATTTGTGTCGCTTGTCGCTGCAGTAACAATAGCTCTAGTCTTAAATGGTCCAACCTTTGATGAGTCATTCGATTCTATTCGTTTCTTAAAGTCTACTATATACATAAATATTGGTTTCTCTTCTGTTTGTTTTTCTTCTTGTTGTTGTCTCTGTTCTTCTTCTTTCTTTATTATTGATTGTTGTTGTGATAATGCAGGTAGTTTATGTCTAATAGGTGATAGTAGTGGTGATATTGGTTTAATAAATAGGTTGTTGTTGTTGTTTACTTTTGATTTGGATGTATTACTATCTATATCTAAATCCATAGAATGATGATCATCATGTATACTATCTATATCTAAATCCATTTTAACAGACGATGTATCTCCACTTTCATCCAGAAATATATCTGATTCATATCCCAAATCTATATGTTGTTTCTTTCTATCAACCTGTTCAAAGTCAACATCATCATCGTCATCAAATACACTGTGTTCATCTTTAGGTGTATCATTTCTATTATTATTATTATTGCTATTGCTATTGTTATTGTTATTCATATTATTATTTTTACTATTTATATTTAAAGGTAACATTTTCTTTGGTGCAGCATTTGGTATATTTTTGGTTGAAGTATTTGAAATAGTTTGTGAAGTTAATGGTGTAGATAAAGTTGTTGGTGTTGTAGTTGGTGATAATATATTGTTTCTATTGTTGGACGAGTTTGAAGTTGTATGTAGTGTGTTTGTTGTTGTTGTCGGTGTCGTTGCTGATGTTGTTGTTGTTGTTATTGTTGATGATTTTGATGATTTTGTTGCATCTGCAGATGTAACTAGTTCTTTAACACTACCTCCAAGTAGTTTAACATTGTTCTCATTGAATAAAAGGATACCTCTGCGTATAGGAACATCTTTAAGTAGCAGTTTGCAACCTGGAGAGAGTTGTGGTGACATTGTTGGTATGAAGTGATGTTCAATGGCATGAAGAGTGTGCACACCATCGGTCAGCACAAATTTGAGAGTTCTCCATTCTGAGCGATCGACTCCATCACGTGTTTCGAACGGTTCCGATATATTCTTGACCTGTTGCATCTGTAGCAAATAGATACCTCGCAGTATCATAAGATTCGATGACTGTTGCTTTTGATTACGAGTTGCCATCACATCGTTGTAAAGTTGATCACTGAGTGCCGCCACACCAACTCTACATAAATCCATATACAACAATTGTTTGTATACTTCATCCAATAGATAGTCTTTACTATTGGCTATGTTGGTAGTATGATTTTTTGTTGACCTGTTAAATCGTTCACTACAGTCGACTATGAATTGTAGACACCTTTTGAACCAATCCGATCTGATGTGAATACCAAAGTTATCTTGCAGATGCTTTCTCCATTCTTCTGACAGATCGAAAGGTATCATCAGAGAATGATCCATAATAAACAAAAAATTTATGAAAACTAATTAAAAGATATTGCTGATGAATTCATTTGTTGAAGGTTAATTTTCACAGAATTCATTTTTTACATTTCTTAGTATTTTGATCCAGGAAGTGTTATAAGTAAGTAAGATAAAACTAAAAAATGAAAAGATTTTTCGATTTAAATTAAATCATTAAATCAGAAATAATAAAAATTGAATTAAAATATTTTAACGAATAAAAATCGAAAATAAAAAATCCATATTATATTAAAGCTTCTGTGGCTCAGTAGGCAGAGCATTCGGCTGTTAACCGAATGGTCGTTGGTTCGATCCCAACCAGGAGCGAAATAATTTAAATACATAAGTCCGGATGCGGGTAAATTTCAAATATTGTGTAACAAGATAGATTTATCTAGAATAAATCAGAGTATTGTATATAATACAATCAAAGAAAGGACACTGAGAGTTCAGATTAATAATTGTCTTTATTTAATGTATTGAATATTAGTTATACATACCTTGAGAGTTCAGATTAATAATTGTGACTCTCAAGGTTTCGTGTGAATTGTTTATATAGTTCGCTATTCTGATTTAGACCAATAAAGGAGTGTCTAAATCTACTAGGGAAGTAAAATAACCAACTATGCTATGGAGCCTTTGATTACTATAAGCAACGTGGTACTAAAGGTTTGATCACTTTCAGATAATAATTTATGTGTTAAAACAAAACTTTTTCTAATGTATAACTAATATAAAACGATGAAATCAATCAAATTCACTCCACTAACTGATGGTAAGTTCCAACTATCTCTACCACCAACCAAATTTGACTACATATCTTAATTTGTCGAGCAGTTATGCACAGATTCAATCTGAACTCTATTCTTGAATCCTTAGAGCTTTCATGTGGTCAACGATTCGATTGGACTATGGAAGATGCTTATTGGTTGGTAAGAAGAAAGGACAACATCACTACTCTCGCTTCACTTGTCTTTGATCAAATCTGGAAATTCTATTGTAAATCCTATTTTGGTGTACTCCTCTCCACGAAAACAACCTACTATCTAACGAATCTATTATAAATTAATATATACTGCACCTATAAGTAATGAAATTTATTACAGTACCAAACTTAAAGATCAGTTTATATCTTTTATATTTTTAATTTATTAAAGTTAAATAATATATTTACAATAAGAACCTTTATTAAAACTCAAGTTTATCATTTATTTAATAATAAATAAATATAAGTTAATAATATTTATAGTAAAATTATTATAATAATAATCAAAATAGCAATCAATACTAACTTTTTATTTATTTTAGTAATTAAAAACCTCTTAAAAAAGTACAAAACAAACTCTCATTAACCTCTTGGTTTTTGGATCCAACTATGCCATTCTAAGTTGGAATCGACTTACTCAATCTCTCAATTGGTGGACATGACTTTATGGAACTGATTTTAAGTCTGATAGTTTCATTCAAAGAAAAAAAAAAAAAAAATTTGAACTTATTTAAAAGTTTTTGTATTTAAATTAATCATTTTATAATTAATTAGTTACTTCAAACTATTTTCTTTTAATTGTAATAAGATAGTTTTAGATCAAGATAAAAGTTAAAGTATTGAAATAATCAAATCAAAACTCAGATTTATAAAGATCTTAATTTATAGATTTTTAAATTTACAAAATCTCTCAACTAAATAATTTTTAAAGGAAAGATTACCAATAACATGATCTTGTTTCTTGGTTTTATAAGTTGTATTGTAATTAGATATAGTATTAAATTAGTTATTCTTTAGTTATTATATAGAACCTTTTTTTATTGTTAATCACCCCCTTTTAAAACTATTTTTTATTTTTTTTCAAAACATCTAGAGTAGCAATTTATAAATAATAATCATTTAAATTAATAATAGAATTTAAGATAAATGATGCGACAGTAGAATTAGAGTACAAGATTCCAGTTGTAGATGAAGTATTCAATAGTTTGAGAGGATGTAAATATTTTAGCATCGGAGATGTAGTCAAAGGTTACTTTCATGTGAAGATGGATTTAGAGTCAAGGAAATATACAGCATTCAGGACCCGTAAAGGTATTTACTGGTATTTGCGTATGGCTATGGGTTTGAATGGAGCACCAGCAAGATTCGCAGAGTTTATCGAAGAATTTTAGTGATATAAGTAAAAGATTATTTCGATGATCTCATCAGTGGCGATGTGACGTTAGAAGAGAATGTAGTTAGAGTAATCAGAATGTTAATTAGATCTAGAGAGAGAGACAAATATATTTAAGTAGAAAGAAGTTAAAGTTATTAGATTAGAGATAGAAATATTAGGTTGAACAATAAGAGAGAATATCATTAATAGTAGTAGTAAGAAGACAGAGATATTGGATAGAATGGAGTATCCAACAACACCAAAACAAGTACAGCGAACTTTGGGATTTTTTAATTATTATCGAAAGTTTGTTGACAAGTTTGTTGAAAAGACCAAACACGCAGAAGAACTTAGAGTTTTCAAGACAGATTTCGAAATAAATGACGAAGCAAAGATTCGATTTATTGCGAAAAGAGTTGAAAAATACAGTAGATCTAATGTTGCCAGATCCAACAAAGGAGTACTTTGTTTATACAGATGCAAGCGACATCGGTATAAGCGTGGTGATCTGTCAGAAAGATGAGAAAGGAGTGTTGAAACCGGTATTGTTCAGTGGAAGGCGGTTGAAACCAGGAGATTAAGAACAGTTATAAGTCAAGTAAGGATGTGGAATTGGTAAAGCTACGTCACAAGGAATCATGGAGAGAAAGTAAAGGGTTAATTTTTATTTTGGATAAGAGTTTCAATAAAAGATTACTTTTGGTAGATGAAAAGCATATTAAAGAAGTAATAACGGAAGCTCATGGAAGTACTTACTGTGGTCATGGAGATACATTAAGAACGTGGGTTAGGTTGAAGTCGAATTAGTATGCTCGAAATCTATATGAAAAGATGAAGGATTACTGTGAGCATTGCGTGGAATGTCAACAGAATCGAGTGGAATTGAAAAGGAAGGTTAACATACAACCGTTGGGGTTACCAAAGAGCGTTAATGGTTATGATTATGTTTTGGTAGTGGTGGATCGATTTTCGAAATATACAACTATCATTCCAACTACAAAGGAAATCACAGCATTGGGTACAGCAAAGTTAATTCATCAACATGTGTTCTCATTGATTGGATTGCCGTTATCAATTGTAAGCGATCGTGATACTCGCTTTACAAGTGAAGTGTGGTTAGAACTCTTTAAGAAGGTAGGATCAAAATTGAGAATGTCCGTACCGAGACATTCGCAATCAGATGGCCAGAGTGAGCGCACGAACAGGAGAATCAGATCTATGCTCAGGAAGCTATCGTTGGAGTTCAAAGACAAGTGGGATGAAGAGATTAAGAATATTCAATTCGCGACCAATTCAACTTATAATTCAACATTCAAACTATCACCTTTCGAAGTAGTGCTGGGATACATTCCTGTATATCCAATTAACATGTTTAGAAACAATAATACATCGAATAGAGAATGGATCAGAGAGATGGTCAAAGACAGTTTGTTGGATAAACAATTAGATATGTTGGAAGATTACAAATTTTTTTGAAAATGAAACAGCAAAAATCTGAGAAACAGGACAGAGGTATCAAATCATCAGACATTTATTCATTTATTTTTAGAAAGTAACAAATATATTGGAGTATAGATCTTTGAAAATGATTAGTATTTATAAAAAAATTGAGACATTTAAATTTTTAAAAAAAAATAAAAAAAATAACAAACAAAAATTATTTGTGCAATATTTCTGAAGTAATAAAATACTTTTTGTTTTTATAGATTTAAATTTTTTTTCTTAAAAATCAAATAATAGGATTAAGATATACATAGTTTATGATTATTTGATTCAAATTGTTTCATAAAGATTCATAGGGTTTTGGCAATAACCAGGTTTCATTTCATATCACCACTATTAGCATTATTTAAGAGCTCTATTGAGTTTAGAATGAATGGCATCTAGTATATATTTATCTCATGAATACCCAAGAATTTTAAAAAAACATTCAGGTCCTGACTGGTTTGTTTATAAATCAAATTTAGTTAAGCATTCATTTGAAGTAAAAACTTATTAAGTGTTTTAGTTTATTGATGACAAGTGAGATGTCTTGTACAGTTGTGGAATATATTAGTTAAACAAAATTATTTATTAGAAGATCTATATCATACTCTAAAATTTCCAAAAAATCTGGGAATCTAGAGCTAAAGATAGTTTGTCTATGTATCTGGTTCCATATTAAATTACATCGAGTAAAGATTGAATTTGAATCTACCACTTTCAACTTAATGATAGAATATTAGTTGTTCTATAATCGGGAACTCCTTTAAAGAATAAACTTTCTTTAAACTATACTCTCCTTGTTTTATTTTCGTTTCATCTGTTAATATTACTTTTTCTAAAAAAAACTATAACTTTGTTTTGTAAAATCAGATAAAAACCTTTACAATATGAATATGAAGAAGAGTCTAAAAAGTTTTTGTTTTTATTTCTGAAGTAATTTTAATCCTTTATTATTCTTCTAATAATGTTATTGATTTATCTTTTTAAAAAATGTATTGATATCCTTTTTGTTTTTCAATGATGTAATAAAAAAATTTAAAATTAAATTTTAAATATAATTGTAATCTTTTAAATATATACTCTAAAGATAGTATTTGTACTGAGTTAGTTTTTGCTTAGTTTTTCTTTAGTCTTGAAACTGTTGAAAATTAGAATTGTATTTTAAACCAATAACTTCTTTTGCCAGAAATGGCAGAACCAAATGAACAATCAACTGATACAACTACAACTACAACAACAACAACTACAACGAATAACGAATCAACAGCATCAATGGATCCAACCATCACCACAAATGATCTAAGGATGAGTGATCTTGAAAATAATAATGAATAACAATCAAAGTCAATCAACTACCACTTTATTTCCTTATGATACTCCTACCAATGCTCGCCCGGATTCATTCCCAACTGATTTATTTATATCTAGCCTCACAGCATCTAAGCTCCCGATCTCTTCTACCATCGTTCCAGGTTAACCGGAAAGTAAACTACTCTGCTCTACAGCCAAAATCTGAGAAACAGGTCAGAGGTATCAATATTATCTGACAGATATACATTGTTATAGAAAGTAAGAAATATTTCTAAGATAGATCTTTGTAAATGATTAATATTAAAAAAAAATTGAAACATTTTAAAAAAAATTAAAAAAAATAAAAGGGTTAGAACGTAAATTGTTTAATAAACTTACCAGTACTGGAGCAATGACTTCTTTGTGAGGAATCAATTTTAGAATAGAGTTTAGAGTAAAAATCCCAAAAAGCATCTGATCTCATCGATGGTATTGGCTCGAGCTGAGATTTTTTTTTTTTTTTTTTTTTTTTTGCAAAAAAGATTTGTTGACTCATGATCAGTCAACAAATTGCAGGTATTGATATTAACCTGCTAGTTCGTGTTTTATATTATATTTACATTCTCACACAGGCCGTGAGAAATATAGCCAATAAAATGTTATTATTATTATTATTATTATTATTATTATTATTATTATTATTATTATTATTATTATTATTATTATTATTAATATTATTATTATTATTATTATTATTATTATTATTATAAATTATTAATTAATAAGTTGAGTAGTATTAGGATAGAATAGATCTAACAGTAGTTGCGTGTTGATGAACAACAGTATAAAGTGGTGGCACGTAGTTGGAAGGATTAAGATTCCAATCAGATTTAAATTTACGCGTTAATGCAGAGCAATCGACAGTGACTCCTTGGGAGATTGAATTAGCGATCGTGAAGTTAAGCTTGTGGTAATTGGCATCGATTAATTTGGTGTAATGGGTGACTGCTCTCTTGACGGTATTTTCCAGCTTGTAATGGGTACCATCACCAAACATTTCACAGGACAGCGCCTGCCATAACGAATGTACGATAGCAGCAGTAAGGTGGGTGAAGTGGACAGTAGTACAAATAGGACCGTCGAACTTGATGCACGAGTGCTTCCAATTACGAAGTCTATAGTTACAGTACTTGTGGTATATACTTTTGATAAAGGAAAGGAACTGCTGTGAGACTACAATCCTGCATTTGAAGAAGAAATGTTCATGTGGGTTGCAGAGTTCAGTGAAGGTGTCACCACAGAACTCACAGACATGACCAGTGCGCTTGTGGTTGATGGGGAAGGTGTGAGAGTACAGCCGGAATATGCTGTTACGTAGCATAGGCGCTTTGACCTTGGAAGAAAGTTGTCTAGAGAATCCATTGTAACAAAGAGAATACGTACTCCTGGTCTTATTTTTGTTGTTCCAAACTAGTACCGCATGCAGGGGTTATTTTAATTTAAGAGCTATCAAGTGTGAGGATTGAACTCACGACCTTAGGATTATGAGACCTACGCTCTGCCAGCTGAGCTAACCTGATTTCATGTTTAATTTAATTATAATTATTAATTTTATTTTTTAATTTTTTATATATATAATCATTTTACAAATTTGATGTGATTAGCTCGAACTAAATTAATTTTGACCAAAAATTAATCGATTTTTTTATTATCAACACCTTAGTATTAAATTTAGATGTAAGAATTTAATATTAAATTCTTTTAATTTAAACACACACTTTAAATAGCTGAAAATGATCAATGAATTTATAAATCATGAATTTTTAATAAAATAAAAATATATATAATGTTAAGAAGGAAATATTTATTATTATTTATAGCATTTATATCTCTTTTTATATTTTTAAATTCAATTTTTCTTAAATCAAGGATCACTGCTGAGCATGATATCAATCAAGATTTAGAAATAGAAGTCAATAGTTTGGAAAAAGAAAATAATCTTAAACCATCTTTTAATAAAGAGATTCCAAACAATAAAAAACTAAAATTTCCAATTCAAAATCAAACTAAAACAGCTTATTACAAAAGATATAAAGATGTAGAAACAAATGTTGAAATTGTCAAACTATACATTCAAGAGACAAATGTTCAATGGACTTGGGATCGTCCCGAGAAAAAGAAATGTCATTTCACCAATAAACGGGACTATATAAAACAACCTATTTTATTTGTTTCAGATTCAAATGATAACAATGTAAGTTTCAATTTATTCTTTAATTGTCGTTAAGAAAATAAAATAACAAATTTATTAGGACAATGATTGCGAAATTCAATGTCCTGGTAAATCAATGTCAGAAAGAGAGTCTTATACAGATGGGAGCATATTTCAAACAGGGAAAGGAAATTGTGTAAAATCAGTACATTTCTCAATGGAAAATGACCATGTAAAGAGAGCATACGATGTAGTAGCAGGAATATTTTTGGACTCTGATGTACCACTTCCAATGTTTGGTTGGGACCAATATACCTATGCCGAAAAACCATCACCAAAAGTATTACTATTGTAATTTTATTGTATTAATTTATATATTAATAAAGTGCTAAATAGGATAATAGAACTCAAGGATTGATTGCAGCTTTTATTTCAAATTGCGGACCTAAAAAGAGATTGGATTGGTTGAAAAGGTTGGACAACGCAGGTGTCAAGGTAGACTCCTACGGTCGTTGTGAAAATAACAAACTAGTTGAAAAGAAACATGGATTGTATTCATCTAACCTATTTGAAGAAAAGAACTTGGTAATGAAATCCTATAAATTTGTATTGGCATTTGAAAATTCCAATTCAAATGACTATGTTACAGAGAAACTATTTGGTGCATTATCTGTTGGAACAATACCATGTATGTATTGAAGATTTTTTTTTTTCTTTTAGTTTACTAATAGAATTGAATATTTGAAATATTAGTGTATGATGGTGCACCAAATGCAAAGAAATTTGCACCTGATAATAATTCAGTTATTTTCACAGAAGACTACGGTACACCCGAGAAATTGGCAGAATATCTCTTGTATTTAGATAGGAATGATGATGAATATCAAAAGTATTTCGAGTGGAAGAAAAAAGGACCAACAAAAGATTGGACTGCAATGGTAGATATAGCTAGAATAGGTGCTAGATGTCGTGTTTGCTATAGATTAGCTGATATGCATCGAAAAGATGTTGGTATGGTTTTTGGTGATAGTGATCATCGTGCTAAATATATAAGAGTACCTAATGATTGGGATCCGTCAAAAGGAATTGGTATGTAGTGAAGTTAACAAAAAAAACAATAACATTGGCAGTATAATACGATGTGTATGTAATCTAATTATGTTGTAAAGTTGTTTATATAAGACATAGAGGAACATTTTGGTTTTATTCGGTTCCGATTCCCTATGGTACAAATGCTAAAGAATTTCAAAGAATTATTGAAACGACTATTCCTTGTCCACATTGTCCAAATGAAAAAGGTGAATTTTATGAAGCCTATGAATACTGGACAAGATCACAGATTCTACATGAGAAAATAGATTCACCATTGGAGATTACACTCACTCAAGAGATGGAGATAGAAGTTGTCTTTATTGATATGAACTTTTATTTTACAAATCACAAATAATAAAAAAATAAAATAAACAATAATAGATAATTAATAAATAATAATTTTAAAAGATATATTCAAATCTAGATTCATTCTTGAAATTACACAAATCGATTGTATTTTTTTTTAGTAAAAATAAAAAAAATTTAAAAGTTAACTTTATTTTATTTGATATCATTCTTTTTTTTTTTCATTTGTTTCTTTTATTCAAAAGAAATTAGTAAGATGAGTCATAGGAATGGATCTAATTCATCAATGGATGAAGTAGATAGATCATCTGGAAAAAGAAAGAGTGATCTTGGTTCAAACAATGGAAGATCAAGTCGTGATAGAGATGATAATGACGTAGATGATAGAAAGAGACAAAGAAAAGATAGAGATAGAGATTATGATAGAGACTATAGAGATAGAGACTATAGAGATAGAGACAGAGATAGAGACTATAGAGAAAGAGAAAGAGATCACAGAGATAAGGAAAGAGATAGAGATAGGGATAGAGAAAGAGATAGAGATAGATATAGAGAAAAAGAATATGATAGAAGAGATAGAGATAGGTACTATAGAGATGAAAGAGATAGAGATAGAGATAGAGACAGAGATAGAGATAGAGATTATTCAAATAATAAGAGATCAAGCTCTGAAAGAACTAATAATGATAGTATTAGAACAAGTAAAGAAAGAGATGATAGTATTGCAATTAATAATAATAATAGTAATAATAATAATAACCATGGGGAATCAGTTAAATTACAAGAACAACAGAATATAGTTGAAGCAAATAGCAATGGCAATAATAATGGTAATGTTGTTGCTGCAACCTCAACCTCATCCACTTCAGTAGCAGATAGAATAGCTCAAGCAAAGGCGAGAATTGCTGCAAGAAAAACAGAATTGAAACAAGATGAACAACTTAGTAGTACAATCAAAAACAATAATCAAATATATGTATCACCAAATGTAGCCTCACCAATAATACAACAAGAATCACCAACACCATCTACTACAACAACTACACCAACTACCTCAGCAATCAATGAAAACGTATCAGAAGAACAACAACAACAACAAGCAGATGAAGATGAACCAGCCAGTTTGTTCTTTGATCCAAGATTAACAAAGGGACCAAAGAAGAAAAAGACACTCGATGCATTCACCTTTGTAAAACCAGGTAAATTCACAAAGAAAGCAGAGCAGATGAGAATCAAACAGCTACAAGAAGAGATTAGCAAGAGAGAGTTGATTTCATCGACAATCTTTGATCTAAAGCCAACATTCAAACTCGACGAAGTTCCAAACATTGAATGGTGGGACAAAGATCTATTAATAGAAACCGAAAGAGCCAAATTGGGTTCGACTAATGCCACTCCACAGCCAAATTCACCTTTGTCATCAACAACAGATACATCATCAGCATCATCATCAACTATGGATACAAGTGAAGATTCAAACACAGCTAATTTGGCTAAAGACGATATCTATAGCATTTTGACAGGTGACAATTTAGAACAGATGTTGGATCATGAGGATTGGAGTTATATTGAACATCCAGTTCAGATACCAGCGCCAGCAGAGAATGGTCCACCTCCAGTACTTCACATTATCCCACCACCTAAAGAAAGAAAGAGAATGAGACGTTTGCGAAGACAAGAACTCTTCAATGAGAGACAGGAACGTATCCTAGATGGACGTGAAGCACCACCAACCAACAAGGTCAAACTCAGCAACTTGATGCGTGTACTCACTACCCAAGCTGTGTTGGATCCAACTCAGATTGCTGCCACTGTACAAGCACAAGTGGAAGAGCGTCTACAATCACACACAATGCGTAACCACGAGCGCCGTCTCACACACGAACAACGAAAGGAAAAGAAACAACAAAAACTGATTGTCGACAACTCTCGAGAGATGAAATGCTCACTCTTCAAGATCAACGATCTCTCACATCCATTGCATCGTGCCACCATCAGCAAGTTTGCACGTCAGTCACTCTCGACAGGCTGTGCTATTCTGAACAGCAACTTTTGTTTGATCGTTGTGGAAGCTGGAAACAAGTCGATGAAGAAATTCAAAAAACTACTGACCAAGAGAATCAAGTGGGACGAACCACCTCCCGTCACCAAAGAACAAACCGAAGAAGATTCATCCACCATTCCGAAACCAAAAGATCCAAATCAACCAAACACATGTCAACTCATTTGGGAAGGTCCTATCGAGAAAGCAAATTTCAAGAAATTCGAACAACATATAACCCAAACCGAATCACAAGCCAGAAAACTGCTACAAGAACATAACATTCCACAGTATTGGGAAATGGCAAAAAATTATATTAGTTCGCAATACTCGTAAATCAAATAAAAATATTAACTTTTTTGTTATATATATAATTTGTTTTGTTATTATTTTATTAATTGTTTGTTTCTATTGGTTTATTTGATTTGAAATGCTTTTCAAATATATTTCTGTATTCTTCTTTCTTTTCTGGTTTTGTTTTTTCACCGAAATTCAATTCTAAGATGGATAATGATACATTTTTCATCTCGGTGACATCTTGATTGAATACCATTTCCAATTCCCATGTGAATTCGTAGTACTCTTCTTCTTTTCTGATATCGAAATGTTGTTGCTTCTTACTGTGAGCAACGATAATATTGTCTCCCTCTCTTCTAATCTTAATGGACCAACCACTGGATCCACCTGCATCCTTAAAGATCAACTTCATCATACAAATATTCATTCTACAATCAATCACGGATGGTGCAATAATTGATTGTGTACAAACTTTAAGTAAATTTAACTAAATAATAAAGTAATTAGATTAGTAAATGAAATTGAAATTAATTGAATTGATTGTATATACATACTATTTTCTCTGGATATTCAGCAGCAAGATATTCTATAAGTACTTTTGGTATAAAAGTACCGTCATCATTTCTCTCAAAACTATTATATTTCTCTTTAAATGGAGCGTCAGCAACAAACTCTGGGTTAAAGAATGTTTGGAGTGCGCAAAGAATATCGAAAACTGTCTTGTTGGAGGTGGCGCTTTTCGCAAGGTCTACATTGTCAGAAGAAAAAATAGAAATACAATTGGCTAAACGTGGCAGATCTACACCGACCGGGAGTGTAGGAAAAGCTCTATTCCATATAGACTTGGTGTCGTTGACTATATTTATCTTTGGAATTGCTGGTTTGGATATAGATGGTGTTGGTGTTGGTGTTGGTGTGGTAGTGGTGGCTGCTGGTTGTGTTGTGGATTGAAGGAGAAGTGATGAGTGTAGCGATCTTGGTTGATCATTAGATACTGAAAGTGGTGTGAAAGATTTCGATCCAGGATTTTCATCTTCGCTTGCTGTGTCTTTGTTTGGCAATTGCAACGAAGGTGAGGAAACAGAGGTGATCAGTGGTGGTGGAATAAACTTTTTGGTTGGTGTAGTGGATTTCTCTTCGGTGGTGGCGATTACTTCTGCAGAGTTGTTGCTTTCACTGTTGTTTTCTTTGGTTTCAACGGCTGGTGTTGGTTGTACTTCTAGTGTTTGCTGTAGAGCGACGGCAACAGGTGGCGCAACAACAACCTCTTCGACTGCTGTTGCTGCAGCTGGTTTAATCTCGACTGTTGGTTCAGCTTCAACTACCTTTGGTTTCTCTTCTTCAACTGCTACCTCTTTGATTGGTGTAATAACAACTGACGGCTCTTCAACTTTAACATCCTCTTGTTTAACTTGCTCAACCTCTGATTCTTCTACTTTCTCGACGACTTGATCTACATCATCTTCTTTTTTGATCTGTTCAATCTTTTTATGATTCTCTTTGTCATCATCTTCATCATCTCTCTCCTCATTATTTAATTGAATAGAGGTAGTTTCCTTTGCTCTTTCCGATGACTCTTGAGTATCGTTTTGTTGTTGTGATTGTTGATCTTGGTTGATTTCTTGCTTCTCTCTTACTGAATCGTCAACTGGTTGTTGTTGAGTTGATTCGAAAACTACTGTTGTTTCTTGTTGTTGTTGTTGTTGTTGTTGTTGTTGTTGTTGTTGTTGTTGTTGTTGTTGTTGTTGTTGTTGTTGTTGTGATGGTTCTTCCTCTTGTTGTTCAACGACAACTAGTTCAGTTGGTGTGTTGATAACGACCAGTTCCTCTGCTTTTGTTGCTTCGATAATCTCGTCTTGCAATGATTTAACTTGCTCTGCTGGTTGTATTGCTACTTCATCTACGACTTGATCTTTAACTATGTGGTTCTCTGAGTGGTTGACTGGGGCGGTAACGACTTCAACCTCTGGTTCAACATGTGATGGTTCAACGGCAGGTGGTGTAGAAACGGGTGGTATTGGAGAAACTGGTTTAGGTGATTGCGATGGTGATGATTGTGCAGAGTTTGTAGTGGATTTGTTTTTGTTTGGAAGATTTGAGAGTAGTGCAGTGGAAGACGATCTCTTGGTGAGTGTTGTAGGTGGTTTTCTATCTCTTGGTGTTGGTGAGGCTGATGTTCTTGGTGATGCCGATCTAGGTGTTGTGCTGGATGGTGATGGTGATTTGGAAGTTGAACTGCTAGTGCTGTTTGTGAGTCTTGAACTACTGTTTGAAGAGGATGGTCTACTGGTAGAGGAGGTAGTAGTGGTCGAAGTGGTACCAGTTGTTGTCTTTTTTCGTGCACTCATTGGTGAGACACTTGGTGAAGGAGTTGTAGTGGACTTTTTGGTTGCTGACGAGCCATTGGAAGTTGTTGTTGTGGTGGTGGTTGTTGTTTCAGATGCAGCTGCGGAGAGTGATTGTCCAATCTTTGGAAGTGGCGAAGCAGGTGGAGTGCCAGTTGACTTTGTCGAGGTTGGAGTTCGGCTGGACGAGGTAAGTGGCGAAGAACGTACTCTTGGCGAAGCTGGTGAACCACCCTTTGGCGAACCTTCAATCTCTTTTTGCTTCCAAAAATCGAGAAGATCTTTCTTTTGACCAGGAGATGCAGTGGAAGGTGAGCTTACCGGTGTTCTTGTGGTGGTCGGGGTGGATGGATTGCTGGTGTTGTTTGTACGTGGCAAGTAGGAACTCTGTGATTTAGTTGGTTCATTAGATGACGATGAACTGCCTGGCTTGGGCAGTGACGAGCTTGACACGGAACGGGTGGGTGTTTTAGGTGTGGAGGGCGATAACGATGTAGTTGGCGCAAATGATTTTGGAAGAGTGGCGCGTTGTGGCGATGACAATGCTCCAGTGGTTCTCAATGGTGATCCTCCAAATGTGCTGCTTGTACGAGTTGGAGTCGAAGTCAATGTTGAACTACGAGTCGTTGTACCATTTGGTGTAGTAGGTGTTGATTTACTAGTTGTTTTGACAACTGATGGCGATGATGTTGTTGATTTTGATGTTAATGAAGAAGATGTTGTTGTTGTTGTCGATTTACTTGGACTGGGAGTTGATGGTGCACTACTGAATATCGATTTTCTTGGTGTGGTGGAACCAGTTGTTGTGGTAGTGGCGGTGGTGGTGGTTGTTGTTGACGAACTGGATGATGATCTTGTCGATGACAAAGCAGACAGACTTGCTCTCTTTGGAGCGGTTGTGCTGGAAAGTGTACTGGTTGTGCTACCATTCAATGATTTCGCTGAATTTTGTTTTACCAAAACACTCTTTGTTGGTGCACTTACACTACTAGCTGTTTTCTTTGGTGCTACTGCTGTTGTCGTAGTGGATTTAGTTGTCACTGCAGCCATTGTATTTAGCTTTTCTTTTTCCTCATTGATTTCTTTCACTGTTTCTGATGATTTATTATCAGTTTCATCGCCTACTACAACATTGTGGTCAACTGAATCACCATTGATGGTAGATGATTCTTGTTGTTGTTGTTGTTGTTGTTGTTGTTGTTGTTGTTGTTGAGTGTGATCGACATCCTCATGTGAATGCTGTTGTTCTTGTCGACCACTTGATTCCATTGTTATCTTAACTTCTACCTATCTATCCTATCTATATTTTCATAAATAAAATAGACTATACTTTCTATCTAATTAAATTTTAAGAAAAAGTAATAGGTTAAAATAAAATTGTAAGATTTTTATTTTTTATTGCTATTTATTTTTATACCTTTTGTACTAGTACAGTATAGTATAGAAGATGAATTAATCTAATATATAATTAATCAATAGTCAAAAAAAAAAAACAATAATATGTGATAAAAATTTTGAGAGTTTTTCTTGAGCGCCAAACTTTAAACAAAAAAAAAATAAAAAAATAGATTTTTGTGTTTTTTTTTTTGCTGTTGATCAGTTACTGAAAAAAATTAATGATAATATTATATTTAATATTTGTATGGGAAATCAAACAAACTTTAAGCTATCAACTAAATGGTAATCATCAAAAATCAAGATTGTTTTATTAATGATAAAAAACATAAAACAAAAAAAATAAAAATTTCTTTTGTTGTAATACTTAAGTATTATACTAGAACTTTGGAATTCTGTTTATTCGTTTGTGTAAAATGTTTTAATTATAAATTTTATTTAACAAAGATGTAACAAATTATAAACTTGAATTCACGTTTATATATATTTTATTGATCAAAATGTTTATTGATGATTCTGATCTTTTTATTGATCAAAAATTGATAATAAATGATTTTATTATAAAAGCAATGAATTACTAATTTAAATTAGCTTTGAAAGAAAGAATAAAATAAAAGTTTTTTAAAAAATAAATTAAAAATAAAAGGTTATTTTTAAAATCTGTGGTGCAAGTTTGATTGACAGAAGAGGTAACCCCTTCAAGAAGACACCCATGAATTCACCACAGACCCATATCAAATAAATAATTTTTTCTATTTTTTTGTTTTTTGTCTTTTAAAAAAGGTAGACAAAATAAAAATTCTTCTTAAAAAAGTTACTTTGAGAGATCATTTATTTTTTGAAGAATCACCAACTTAATATCAGATGAGCACCTTGATCATTCAAAATTCTAACCTAATATAAAGGTCAGAATGATCTAACTGTTATTGAATTTATCAAAACTAAAAGAAACACCCCCTCTCAATCAGAAACTAACGATCAATTGAATTGCTTAATTTATCATTCAAATCAACTAGTAATAAATAATTTGATTAAAAACGAAACTTGTATATAAATTTAAAAAAAAACTACTAGCAACTTACACCCTTTTATATATATAAAATAATAAAAAATAAAAATACATACACCCACAAACAACCACGTTTGCAAACATTTAATAAATAACTACCACAACTCACAATAAAAAACAAAAACAAACCTTTATTAAATATTATGATATTATTTATTTGTTATCTGGATTTTGAACAAAAATTTTTTTATTAAACAAAAAAAGAATTCATAAATAGTTACTATTTATCCATATAAAACGATATCATCAATCACTTGGTTTATTGAAATCAATCAACAGATACAACACACATTATAGACTTGCTACTACTGAATCTATATTCTGTCTGTTTAATCATTAAAAATATCAATATAGAATAGAAAATAGTTGTAGATTGGAAAAAATTAAATTTCAATATTCAATTTTTTATTTTTATTTTGACAACATGAAGAAATAAATCAAAAAGTAATATAAAAGCTAAAAATAATAATAATAATAATCATTAATTAATTTCATAAGAGCAAAGTCACCTATCTTTATTTTATATCCTTCAGTCGATCAATAAATATTATATATATTGTTTAAAATTTTAAATGAAATAATAGAAATATTTATAAATATACAAGTCAGATGCTTTAAAATCAATCCAATTTACATTTATAAAATTATATTGTTACTCTACATTCAATCATTTAATTATTTTTAAAAAATCAATATCTATTTATTTTTATTATTTCTTTTATTAAGATACTTTTTGTAATAAAAAAAAAATTAAAAATAATAAAAATTTCAATATCCAAAATATTTATCTATCTACCTATATATATATATTTTATATAAAAAATAATAACAAATGAAACGAATATCAAGAGTGAACCAAAAATATTTAAAATTTGCATTGGTTAGTTTTATATTTGTAATATTATTCATATTTCTGCTGTATCCAAGTGAGAGTGACTTGGTTCAGATAGGTCAGAGAGTGCAGCTACAGCAGAATGATATCGATATAAATAGTAGAACTTCAATAAAGAAAGAGCTGACAGAGGCCGAACGTCACTGGCAACGAGTGCCAGGCAAAGATTTTTTCGATGGACTGACGCAGCAGTTCAAGACAGATGTTTTTTATTATAGAGCAACAAAATCGATGGACCCTCGCTACAAAGTCACCATTGTCACACAAGCAACTGTCAATCGTGTCGACCGTATCGTATTGATGGCCGACCGCTGGAAAGCACCGATTTCCACATCGATTTTCATCAGGGATCCCGACACAGAGTTAGACCAACTCAACCAAATGATTGCAAACAACCCGATCCTGATGAAATTCGTTGATTTCCATTTGTTGTATGCCAACAACACAAGATATCCAGTGAACAACCTCAGAAATCTCTCAATACGAAATTCGCATACCGACTATGTTTTGGTGATGGATGCCGACTTTATTCCGCCATATGGAATGCATGACTATCTCTTAAAATATATCGATAACACTGGCAATGAAGAAAAGGTTGCCTACATTGTACCATCATTTTCCAGTTCACAAGATCCTAGAATCTTGCCAAACGACAAACCAACTCTAGTGGAAATGGTAGAGAAGAATCTAGTGAATCCATCCAACTTGAATGTCTGTCCAAAGTGTCACTCACCTTCGGATTACAATCGATGGTTCGAAACAACTGTGCCCTACGAAGTCAAGTACAGTTGGATCTACGAGCCATACCTAATTTTCAATAGAAATAACACCGAGCTCTTTGATGAGCGATTCAAAGGTTACGGATTCGACAAGAACTCACATGTTTTTACGATGGCAGTTTCAGGTTATCGCTTTATCGTTCTACCAAATGCTTTCATCATTCATATAAACCATCCGACATCAACCTGGGAGGGTCCTCGTCTAGACGAACAACAATGGGATTGTCTGAGAATTGTTTGTGAATTGATCCCTGCTGTGAAAAAGAAAAACAACTATGATATTAACGATCGACTATTTAATGAACCATTACCGAATGAATGTTTCTCAAGTAGTCATTGGTAATCAATATATATAAATTATTATTAAAATAATAATATCAATCAAATCTTTATAAATAATAAATTTAACTAGATAAGTTAGATAATTATCTTTTGTTTTCTCTAGAGATTAATTTTATTTAGACTTTTTTTATTTTATTTTACTTTTAAAAATTAATTTATTATTATTATGATTTATAAAAAATTTTAACTACGAATAACCATTGCATCAAGTTCTCTTGAAATCTCTTCTTTGTATTGTAAGAAATCACCGTCATAGAGATTGACAGTACCATCCTTCTTGACGACCCAAATCTCATTAGCGACGAGAGTAATGAGATGTTGGTTGTGAGAGATCAGTACGACACCACCTTCGAATTCGTTGATACCTTCGGCCAAAGCCTCGATAGCATCGATATCCAAATGATTGGTTGGCTCATCGAGTAAGAGGATGTGTGGATGTGACCATGCAATCTCGGCGAGAATGACACGAGACTTTTGACCTCCGGACAATGTTGTGATCTTGTGGAGTGGCAAATTGCTGGTGATACCGAAACGACCGAGATGGTTACGAATCTCTTGGATGGGTGGATTGTTAAACTTCTCTTGGAAGTACTCGATCGGTGTTTGATCAGTGTTGAGTTGGTCGACGAAATGTTGTGAGAAACGGGCGACTCTGCACTTTCTGGAACGTTCAACATAACCTTCGGATGCTTCCAATTCACCTGCTAACAACTTGATCAGAGTGGACTTACCGACACCATTCATACCGACCAATGCAATCTTACGATCCATATCGATACCGATGTCCAGTTCCTTGAACATAGTTGGACGACCTGGGTAACCGAACGATACATTGTGGAAACGCAACAATGGTGGTGTGAGATGCTCTGGCTCTGGGAAGCTGACAACCAATGATTTGTCCTCCTTCTCTGCCTGGATGATCTCGACCTTGTCGATCTTCTTTTGACGTTGAGAAGCTTGCTTGGCGTTGGTGTTGTTCTTGTTCTTACTGATAAATTCTTTTTGCTTCTTGAGGTTTCTCTGTTGTTTGTCGATCTGCTTGTCGATGGCACGCAATGACATGTCACGTTGCTTGACGAAATCATCGTAGTTACCACGATATTGATCCAAACGTTGGTCGTGAATATGGATGATATTGTTGACAACCTCATTCAAGAAGGTAGCTTCGTGAGAAACTACCAACAATGTCTTGTCCCATGCATATAAATACTTTTCCAGCCAAACACAAGCATGCAAATCCAAATGATTCGATGGCTCATCGAGTAATAACACTTCAGGCTTACAGAACAATGCTCTAGCCAATGCAATTCTCATTCTCCAACCACCAGAGTAATCTTTCGATGGTTTAGTTGAAATCTCTTCCATTGTGAAACCAAGACCAACCAAAATAGCTGATGCTCTATATAATTTGATTAATTAATAATTATTTTGATTAGCTATTGATTTAATATGATTAGTTACCTTGTGATAGCTTTATCAGCATCGATTTCTTTGAGACGGTCATAGATATCACGAAGCGTGTAGTTTCTCTTTTCTCTTGGATTGTATGGCCAGTCTGGTTGTTCGAGATCTAACTTCTGGAGTACTTTCTCTTCTTGGAGTAACCAATCTCTTTCAGTGTCAGCCTTCATGACACAAACCAATGGAGTGTTGTCATCACCGGTGACCTCTTGTTCGACATAGAGTACACGAAGATGTGGAGCAATGTTAATTTCGTCACGTGCAGCAATCTTCTTGACGAGTGCAGATTTACCGATACCGTTACGACCGACGAAACCATACTTGTGTCCGTAGGCAAGTGTCAGGCTTGCATTCTGGAGGAGGATCTTTCCTGGTACAGAGAGTGTGAGGTTGTCGAATTTGATATCGTTACCGACCTTGGAACGGGCACTGGCACCAGACTTCAAATGAACGTAGGCTGGTGGATCACGACCTGGAACATCATCGATATCAACATTATCATAGTCAATCTCTACTACTTTGTTCTTCTTCATCTCTTCAAAGGCGTCACCTTCGTCGGCTTCTCTCTTCTTCTTGGCCTTCTCCTTCTTTGCTTCGAGCTTAGCTTGTTTCTTGGCGAGCTTTGCTGCTTTGGCTTCTGCAAGAGTCATTTGTTTTGGTTGTTCTTCTTCTTCTTCTTGTTGTTCTTCTTCTACTTCTTCTTCTTCTTCCTCCTCCTCTTGATGTTTTCCTTTGTTCTTGGACTTTGATGATCCCTTCTTTCCTTTAACAGAGAGATCGGACATCTTTGATGAGATTTCCTCTTCTTCCTCATCATCTTGCTGTTTGCTCTTTCCACTCTTCTTCTTGTCTTTTCCTTTCTTTGCTGGTTGTGGGATATCCTCTTCCTCTTCCTCTTCTTCTTCTTCTTGATGTTTGTTACCACCTTTCTTCTTATCTCTCTTTCCACCTTTCTTGGCTGGTTGTGGGATGTCTTCCTCTTCCTCCTCTTCCTCTTCTTCTTCTACTTGTTGCTTGCTCTTTCCACTCTTCTTCTTATCCTTTCCTTTCTTTGCTGGTTGTGGTATATCTTCTTCCTCTTCTTCCTCTTCCTCTTCTTCTACTTGTTGTTTCTTTCCAGCTTTCTTCTTATCGTTCTTACCACCCTTCTTTGCTGGCTGTGGGATGTCTTCCTCTTCTTCTTCCTCTTCCTCTTCTACTTGTTTTTTAGCAGACTTCTTCTTATCCTTTCCTTTCTTTGCTGGTTGTGGGATGTCTTCCTCTTCCTCCTCTTCTTCTTCTTCTTCCTCTACTTGTTGCTTTCCACCCTTCTTTTTATCTTTCTTTCCACCTTTCTTTGCTGGTTGTGGGATGTCTTCCTCCTCCGCTTCTTCTTCCTCTTCTACTTGTTTTTTAGCAGACTTCTTCTTATCCTTTCCTTTCTTTGCTGGTTGTGGGATGTCCTCTTCTTCTTCCTCATCTTCCTCTGCTTGTTGTTGTTGTTTTCCACCCTTCTTTTTATCGTTCTTTCCACCTTTCTTGGCTGGTTGTGGGATGTCCTCTTCTGCTTCCTCTTCCTCTTGTTGTTGTTTTACACCCTTCTTCTTATCGTTCTTTCCACCCTTCTTGGCTGGTTGTGGAATGTCCTCTTCGTCATCTTCTTCGACTTGTTGCTTTCCACCCTTCTTATTGTCATTCTTGTTTCCCCCTTTCTTGGCTGGTTGTGGGATGTCGTCTTCTACTTCATCATCATCTGCAGCTTGATTCTTGTTTCCACTCTTCTTCTTGTTGTCATTCTTGTTTCCCCCTTTCTTGGCTGGCTGTGGAATAGCAGGAACATTGTCTTCTTCCTCTGATTCATCACCTCTACCTTTCTTTCCACCCTTCTTTTGAGCAGGTTGTTTACCTCCTTTCTTCTCTGGTTGTGGGATATTATCAACAATATCATCGTCAGAATCAAATTGTTGTCCCTTTCCTTTCTTTCCTTTTGGTGGCATTTATAATGTATTTAAATTTTTTGAAAAACTCTACAGAAAGTTAAACTTCTACAGAATTCTGATTGATTATATATTTATTTATATAAAGATGTGAATATGATTTTATAATTTATAATAAATATATATTTAAGAAATTAAATATCTAATAATTTGGTATTAAAAAACAAACAAATAGAATTGATTTATTCAATAATAATACTAGTTTAAAATGATTTAATTTTGATTATTTTTGTTTAAGAAGACAAACAATGTAGTGTAGTTCGATTTTGTTCGAACAAAAAAAAAACTACAAAAAAAAACAATTATATTTATTTTTTTTTTTACTACGCAAGTGAAAAAAATAAATTAAAAAAAAATTAATTGTTAAAATGTTCAGAATCGATAATCTTGAGTTTATAGGTGCAAAGATAAATTATGTATTTTCAAAAGATAAAGAAAATCTAGGGAATTCTATTTTTATTTCTCACTAATAGTTTTTAAACTTATTGATTGGCTATCGCATTATTCTTGAGAAAAGCATGTTATGAAGTTGAAAAAAAGCCAAAATTATATTATCATCGACTTATAGACATTTCATCTAAAATTGAATTTAAGTTAAATGGTTTATAAAAACAGAAAAAATTTATAAACTGCTTTTGTTTTCAATACTTACTGCGTAAACGCAGTAACCAAATTTGCTCGAAGTCTTTCCAAGACCGGGGTATAATAATATTGACTTTGTTATCTCGGCTGGATACTTAAGTTGACCTGGCTTCCCACGATCCAAGTATACAGCAGCAATTTCCTGCAGAAACTGTCTTACAGAAATATAGATAATAAATTATCTTTGAATACCAGATGGTTTAAATAAAAAAAAAAAGTTAAATCTTAGACTTTGATTAGGGTGTATTTGGAATGTTGTTTATATATTTGATAAATTTCTTTTGTTTTTTTTTTTTATATCAAATTACTTTATTTAAATAAGTTTAATCTAATTCTTTTTTTTTTTAATTATTAAAAATGGATAAAAAAATTATAGTTAAAATACTGTTCATCTTCTTTGATACAAAATAATTTTATTTATTCAAGATTAGTAGTTCCCTTAAATATCATTTACATTTTTAAAATTATAATAAATAATAATAATAATTATTCAAAATCTTATAGAGTTGAATAAATAAACACAAACACAGCAAATTAAAATTGAAGTGTTAATTTTTTTGTTTTTTTTATTATTTTTTAATTATTTAAAACTATTTCTTTACTTTTGTATTTTTTTTTTAGTAATATATAATGAAATATATATAAAAAATAGTTATTCTATAGAAAAATATAATTTTGTTTAAATGAACAGCAGTAATAATAGTTATGAAAATAGTATGGCAGATCAACAGTTTTCGGATCTAGAGATTTTACAATTAGATCAGATTTCATTTGTTTCAGTTTCATTCGGATGTGTAGGTGCTTTGTTTATCATTATAACCTATATATTGTTTAGAGATGTTCGGTCGTTTGCTTCGACATTGATATTCTATCTCAGTATATGTGACTTGATGGCGGCACTATCATACCTACCATTTGGGAGAGGTTCTAAAATGGCATGCGACATACAGGCAATGGGATTACTCTTTTTTTTGACATCTTCCTACTTTTGGACAATGTGTATATCAATATCACTTTTCTTGGTATTCTTTACCAATCGATATGAACTAGGTTACCTAATGAAATATTTTCATTATATAAACTGGGGAATACCTTTAGTTTTAACATTAATCTCTTTAAAGTTTAATATATTTGGTATAACTGGATCTTGGTAAGTAATTCTTAAATATCCATCATTTATTTATCAATTTTATTTATATCTCCTTTTCTTTTCCCTTTCAAGGTGTTTTATAGAGAATCCAAAAAGTTTATTTAGATTATTATTTTATCTTCCTTTGTTAATAGTATTTTTAATGAATATAACTATATTTATATGTATTAGGTAAACTATATATTAAAAACTGTTTTAAATAATATTAATTGTTTAAATCAATGTTTTAGGTGGAAAATATCACAACACGCCAATACTATTGTGTCGAGGATGAATGTTATAGTTTCATTTTATATTATAGCCTTTGCAATCTCTCAATTACCATCGATTATCAATAGTATTCAGAATTTCTCATCACCAAACAATCCTGTTTTTGGTTTATTCGCTTTTCAATTAATGTTACAACCATTACAAGGTAAAATTATTGATATTTTGTTTTTTAAGCAAAAGTAGAATTAAAAATGTAACTAACAATATAATTGTACCTATAGGGTTTTTAAATTGTATAGTATATGGAGTGAATGAAGGATTTGTTTCAAGATATATCGAGTTTTTTGAAAAGTATGTTTGTAGATGTAGAAAGAGTAGAGAATATAAAGATACACTATTGGATATCGATAGGGAGAGTCTGATCATCACCTACGATGATGACGATGAGTTTGACTCACTCTTGAATAGCAACAGTAGTGGTAGTAGGAGATCATCTCAATCACATCAACAACTACAAAATATAAGTGAAATTGATGATTTCATAATTGATGACTATAACTATAATAATGATAATATTTAATAAACTAACCAAACTCTTTTAATAACACAAGTTACACATTTACATACTTTTTAATTCTTTGAATTGTTGGGGTAATGGATTATTTTGTTTGTTGTGAATATCTATAAATTTATTGATTAAATGAATTTATTTAGATTTCCAATGTGATTTGGGCGTTGTTATAAAAATTATGATCATCTTGTTGTCTATCTGAGAGAGTGGATTGGTCATTTGAACTGTATTTTGTTTTCACCAGTGATTGTAATCATTTAAAACTTGATTTTACCAGTCCAGATCGATTTGTACATTCTCATGTCACCTTGGAATGAGAACCATGGATATTTGAAGGTGGCTGGCTTATTCTTTTGGAAGAAGAAGTGTCCTACCCAGGCAAATCCATATCCAAGAACAAATGGTAACCAGAGCAATGAGAAACTACCAGTAGCGAAAATATACAAAAATGTCAATAATGCCAATGTAGTACCTACGAAATGTAAACGTCTATAGAATGATATTATAGTTGGTTGTTAGAAAAAGCTGTTAGTAAAAGAGTTGATTACTGAGTGATTATAATTAAAATTATGATTACCTGTTGGTACGATTGGTATGTTCCTTCAAATAGAATGGATAGAAATCTTCAAAAGTAGTATATACAACGATATCTTTGGTTGACATTTTATCTTATTGAGTTTATTCTTAAAATATAAATATTAATAGTTTATAAAACAAAAAGTCAATTATAAAAAAAAAAGTACAATTCTTTTGAATGTAAAAGGTTGGGGTTGTTTGCCAAACTAAGGTCAAATTTAAATTAATTAAATTCTTTTTTTACAAATAAATATCTTAAACAGTTTAGATTCTTTATTTACAAAAAAAAAAAGTCAACTTTGCAGAAAAAATAAAAGATTTTTTAAAAAATACGAAAGTCAATTGTTATAGTTATTTGAATAATAGTTTATCCAACCAAACTTGTTAATAGTAAAAAAAGTTTTTTAGAAAAAAAGCAAAGATCTATAAAGAAACTTTTTTGATAGAATATGGTACCAGTACCAGGTGTGAGAAATCTACAAAAATATCAAATGATATCATCAATATAAAAAATCGTTCGGCATACACAAGATATAATATCTAGATAGTCTTTTGGTCACCCCTCAAAGTTGTCATTGTTTTTGTTTTATATTTGATTTGGCTGTCACTGCACAACTGCTCAAACATATTTTTTTGTAAGTATTTAGTATAATTTTTCTTTCAAATGCATGAAATTAGCTTAAGGTTTCACTGGTTGTCATCAAATTCTCAATGCAATGCTTTCTATTCGTTCTTAATTTTTTTTTCCATTTTTTTTTAAACCTAAGTTATTTAGATATATATAATTTTTAATTATGAATATTATTTAAGAAAGTAATCAATTAGAAGATGTTCAAATTCAAATAAATTAGTTAGGTTGTCATTGTTTATTATATTGTTTTTGTCTATTATGTTGTATACTATGGATGTTGGTACTACTTAAGATAATTATTTAACAAAAGTTATTTGTTGTGATTTGGAGTTGATTATTAATGAATGGATTTATAATACAGTTTTGATAAACAAATACGACCATCAATCAGAATAGGTTTTGCTGATTTTGTTGTCATGATGCTTGAGATGAAGTGCCAATCGGTGCCACAGAGTAAAACATAGATTGAGATATGGCGAGGTGATAGATCTGCATTGGATTTGAGATATCCAACTGGTATAATAAGTAACAAACTTTGGAAGAATCAGAAGATGGTGAAACAATAGGAATCTGTTGAATATCCACACATGTTGCGCGTCATTACAAAGTTGCATGTCCCAAAGCGAGATGCCACCACGTAACCATGGTTGTACTGCTCTGGTCTTTTTCATTGTGTTTTTATTCATTGAACGGATTGGAGTTGGACGACCACAGGTAACAAGCTATTATGTTATCCAGTTTCTTGACTTCCTCATCGGTAAATCTATCGACGTACATGTTGTAGGTGAGCTTAGAGAGTGTGTAGCTTTTGACTATGGCCATCTTGGTTCGTAAAGTGACACCAGTTGTTTTCCAACGGATCAGGTGTCCTTTAATAGAGTTGATCAGAGAATCAAGTTAAAGATGCAATCCTTCGGACGTGAAGTACAGACCCAGGTATCTTTCAGTAGATCTAGATATTGGTATCTTCTAGTAGTAAATGATCGATGGGTACGTTTTCTCGTCTGTGTGGTCACCAATTTTGATAATGACTGACTTGGCTGGATTAACCAGGGACGAGGTGGCATCTCAGAGCATATCAAACATTCGCAGCTTGGTGTTGGATGAAGGTGAATAAGTGGCAGAATCTTCGGCGAATTGGTTGATTTTGAGTGTGTCCATGGTCGTTTATTGGTGGTCCAGCAGCAGGGCACAACCTGATGCAACAATACAAGCATTCAATGACTAGAAGGAACAGAGTGGCCGAATGTGGATCGCCGTGTTTGGTACCACGGATAAGTGCGATTGGGTCAGTGAGATAGCCATTGACTAGAACTTGAACAGTAGAGCCAGATCATGTTCATGATTAGATCAACGAGATGTACTGGTGTACCAACATGAAGTAGAGTACCCAGATTACATCGATCCTATTTGTTTGCAAAGTATAACACTTTACTTTATGTAAGAAACTAGAGTGTGGCCACGGCCAATGGATATATATATTTATATAAAAACAACATAAATATGTCATCAAGTAATATAAAAAAAACACACTTTTATACCTCATATAACATTAGAATTTATACAAATATCAGAACTTGAATGTCAACGAGTACAGGCCACTATTTAAACAAGCAATCCACACATATCACTTTAAGGTATGCCATTGATTGTTTAAATTAAAGTTGATATTCATTATGATAATAAGATAACTTAAGTATAATAGATAATAAAATAGTTTACAGATCGTAGAGACTTTATTTTATTAAATAAAATATTTATACATTGTTTAAATCATTAACAAGAAGTGTGTATTCAATGATGAGGAAATTAAATAATAAATGATAACCCAAGAGATCACGTTTCGACTGATTATGGCTTGAATATTTTGTTCGAAGTGATTGAAAATGAAAATAATTGTATTAGTACACTCCGGGGACTCGTACGTCTAAAAAAATGATTTAAACCCCTATCTCACACATTGTTAGCATGTTTTTTATAAAAATAATTGAAAAAAAGCACCTATATTTGGTAAAACGTAGTAGGTACTTTTGAACCCCAAGCAAGATTCTCATCCTCACTGAAAAACAAAAAAAATTTGGCAGTTGTGTGGTCACCCACAATTTTTTTTTAATTTTTTTTTTTAATTTTTTTTAATTTTTTTTTTTTTTTAATTGTTACCTGTATACAGAATATATTATATTATTCTAGTTATGATTTTTTTTTAAAAGATGGAAAACTATATGTTTAAGTTTAAGTTGGAGCAACCAGAGTCTACCAAAGAAAATGATAACAAGAAGTGTATATTCAATGATGAGGAAATTGAAATAATAAATTATGGCTTAAATATTTTGTTCGAAGTGATTGAAAATGAAAATAATTATATTAGTAGTATTAGTAGTAGTAGTAGTGGTAGTAGTAGTAGTAGTATTAGTAATAGTAATAGTTCAGTTTCTAAAATAAATACATACCACGTTAATAGTGTTAAATTCAAGTGTGAGCATTGTTTATATTCTTATAGTGAATTGACCAAACTCAATAGGCACAAGAGAGAAAAGCACCCCAATGAAATGAAAAAGTCACATTGGGAGCAGCCATTCCAAGTGAATGCAGATATAAATTCGAAGCAGTGTTGTCATAACAACTGTGAAGTAAAAGTGACTCTATCAAACTATGCAAAGCTCTGAAAACCAAACATCCTTGTTGGGAAACGAATAATAAACTGGAATTAGACGAAATCACATGTTAAGGGTGCAAAAACAATTGGATTGTTTTCAGATCAAAAGAGAGAGAAATAACCTTGCAGTGTCTACTCCTATTTGACATCTTAATAGATTTATTGTTTTCAGTGTGTTTACCTATTTATTTACAAAAAAAAAAAAAAAAAGTTAGAATTAATATATAAGTTTTCAAAGTATTTGAAGGTATTGGTGGATTGACATTTAATCAAATTGACATGTGTTTGGATCGATATTTAGAACAAAAGAATCTATTTGTAGAAGTAAGAAGTTACTAAGAACTCTTGACTGTAATACTACAGAAAGAGATGATGAATATTTGGATAAGGTATTCGAATTGGAGTTGTGCTTTGATGGTGATATATGTAGTCGAAATATCAATCGCCAAATGGAAATCAACAAACATCAGATTGGAAATCAACAACATTAAGAATATACTAGATGATATTATGAACCAAAAATGTGATGATATTAAGAACATAACATTCAACGATAATTTAATCGTTTTTTTGGAAATACATTTACAAAACAAATTAACACATCCAGCCATATTTCACTTCAGAAAGTCGTACCCCACTTATTTCAGTTTTTACAAATTTGGAATAATAAAAAATGAAAAAAAATTCGACTACATATCGAAATATTAATAGCCAAATGGAAATGAACAACATTAAGAATACTAGATGATATTATTAATATATTAAGAACATAACATTTAACGATAATTTAATCGCTTTTTTTGGAAATAGATTTACAAAACCTCAGGTATTGTATAATTACTACTTTACAAAATATTACACAACAACCTTTTTTTTTATAATAACTAAAGTGGTATACATGTTTTATTAAAAGTTGTATTAAAAGGATGGATTTACCATCAAGTTTTTTTCGTAGTCTATTTTTTTTCTTTTTAGTTGTTGGTTGATTTAATTAATTAGTTGGCAGGTTGGGAAGAGAGTTAATTTCATTTACTTGATTAGTTGGCTGGTGTTGGAGTGTTGTTTATTAATTTTAGAATGTTTCTGTGGATATCGAAGTCGGATATAATAGATTGGTTGGAGAAATCGAGTATTTTGTCATCTTGACTGAATAGAATTGAACTGACATGTTTCCAAATGTTGTGGTAGATGATCGCTGTTAGGTCTGATGATTCATCGCAGAGGTAGAAGTGAGTAGTAGATTTTTCCAGTGACCATTCGTCTTCGTAGTTGGCAATTTGTAGATGTTGTATTACACAACAACCAAAATTATATTTACCGCCTGCGGGAATAAATTTTTATAGAGGTAACAGGCGGGATTGAACCGTCGACCAAAGGATTTGCAGTCCTCTACTCTACCACTGAGCTATGTCACCTTTTTTGAAATGAATGATTTCATAAACCTGCTTTTATATGAATTTCACCAAGTTGACATAGCAGCTGTCGTGGCACATCAAGCAAAATTTCATCTTATATAGAAATAAAAATCTGTTTATTTGTAGAATCATAATTACACTTGATATTGACAAAGTTAAATAAAAGATCACGCTTTTAAAAAAACAAAACCAAAATTGTTTGCGCATCGTTCGCACTGTGATTTAGAAAAAATTTATCATGGTGTTGCGTTGATAGCGTTATTATCTCGAAAGCACACCCAAAATAGAAAAAAAACGCAGTTTTTAATTGAATAACGATGTTTTAAATTAAAATATTTTTAGAAAGTTTAAATAAACATATCTATAATTAAGTTTATGACTGTATCGTGGTTATTTTTGTTTAAAGACTTATTGTTTTTTTTTCTCTTTTCAGTGACTTATTATTGATCAACAAAATATATATATTTATAATAATAAAGAAACTAAATCTTTTTTCGATTATTTTATTGAAATAATAACAGAATAAGCATTTCTTGTTTCTTCAAGATATAAATATGTGTGTATACAATTAAACACCACAACTAAATTGTTTTCATCTATTTTTTTATTAAAAAGATAAGCTCATCACCACTCACACTCAACACTTTCTATTCTTATTTTTACTATCACAAAGAATAATGTGATTACCTTCTTATGTGTTTCTTGTTCAAAACACACAATCCAATCAAACAAAAAGGTTCAACAGCCAACACTCACCAACTAATGTCATTATCAACCAATCAATTGATGAATGTAAAATCTATTCTTTTCTCTTAATTGTTTGTTGTTTTAGTTTTATTTTGTTTTATTTTGTTTAATTTTGCTTTGTTTTGTATTATCACTACCTTACTTTTATAAAAAGATTACAATATTAATACTAATTTTTATTTAATTTTAAATCTATAGTATATTTATAGATTATAATAATAATAGATATTTATTTATTTGTTTATTTTATATTATTATTGTTGTATTATTAGATCGATAAGAGTAAAGTGAGATAATATAGATAGATCGATTTGCACAAGATGTCTATTCCAATGACAGAGATGTCCCATTTGGGTGGGGATCACCATGGTGCATCATCATCTCCCTCAAGCAATAATAGTGGACCCATCAGTTATGCACAAACCGACCAAATGGTCAGGGATCCAAATGAGCTCGACACCAAGCGAAACTTTGGCAATCAGTTCAATGCACTCTTTAGAAAGAGTTCTACCTACCAATGGCGTCAATACAAAACGAATGCATGTCAAATTTCGATGCCTCTCTTACTTGTAAGTAAAACTAACCTATAAAGCATATAGGTATCATCATCATCGATCATCATCGATCAAGTAGCTCATAAACATTTCCATTCATATCTATCGTTTCTAGATTATTTTGTTATTCATTTTACAAAAGATTGTAGATAACTATATTGGTGATATGCAAGGTACAAAGATTCCTGCGATTCTCAATCCCAATGCTACTATGCCATCCATTTAGTAAGTACAGTACATGTTCAAACATTTATAAATAGTATTATTAACTTTATTATAATCAAATAGTGATACAAATAGTACGATCGCTGGAGATTGTCTAAAGTATTTACCAAGTGTATATGCAAAGGATCTCTACTATATCAATGAATTGAAATCAAATACAACCAATGAAATTGCTAAATTAATTCCATCCTATGTAAATTCACAACAAATGGTAGTACCAGTAAGTATTTAAAATAGATATGAAATAATAATTAGTTAATATATATTGATTGTTTTTTTTTTAAAAGTTGATTTTCTCAGAGTACATACTTGGTGATTTTGCGCAATATTGTTCAGATACACCTAGTTTTGTTTATCCAATGGGTATTGTTGAAGGACCTGCTACCTATGATGAATTCAAAACACAGATATTCGACAAGTGGAAGACACAGACAGTCAATGGCGCATATAACTTTGGAACTGTTGATAACAATAAACTTGAAGTTACATTAATGTACAACAGATCGATTTCCTACGGTAAGGATCTAGGTTTGTTTTACACTCTTGTTACCAGATCGTATCGTCTCATCACCGGTAATAACATCACACAATTCATTTTCGATGGTGTCAAAGATTTCCCAACCAAAAAAACAACCATTGGATTCGATTTAATTTCATTGATTGGACGTATGTATAAAACAGATAATATTAGATTATACAATAGCCAACTAAATATATATTTTTATTTTTAGCAACATTATATATTTTCATTTTCCAATTGATTCTACCTGTTGTATTAAGAATTATTCTTTATGAAAAGGAAAACAAGTTAAGAGAAATCATGAAAATGATGGGTCTTGAAATGAAAACATACTGGCTTGTAACTTATATATTCTCATATTCCATATACTTGTTTGCTATGTTATTAGTTTGGTTACTTGGTGCAATATTCAGTAAGTTTTTAACCCTGTATAGTAGCTTTTGACATGGTAATTAATTTAACCTTATTATTCAATTAATAGGATTTAGATATTTCACTATGAATTCACCTTTGGCAATATTCTTTTTAATTTTCTTATGGGGACATCTTTTGGTTAGTTTTGCATTCTTTGCATCGGTATTCTTTACCAAGACTGACACAGGCACTGTCGTTGGATATATCTGGGTATTCGGTACTGGTATTCTCGCATCGAATGTAATTAATAACATTTTGGCCAACACCTCGACTCCAGCCAGCTCAATATTTGTCATCTCGCTGTTCCCGCCATTCTCGCTGTTTAGAGGTCTGAAGATTCTAGCCACCTCTGTAACCTTTGGTGAGAACGGTTTAAAGGCAGCCGATATTGTTAGCTCTGGAATGGCCGACGTCTATGGATTCTTCATTATAGAATCAATCATTTTCTTGATTTTGGCACTCTACTTGGAAGAGGTATTACCATCAGACTATGGTGTAAAACGTCACCCACTCTTCTTCTTGAAGCCATCCTACTGGAGAGGTGATAAAGTTGTTGTCGCTCCAATCGACTTGAATCCAACAATGGAAGGTGAGCCAGCCGATGTTGCCGAAGAGCGTAGACGTGTAATGGAAACCAAGGAGCTGTTGGCTTTGGAAGTATTAGATTTGAACAAGGTATATCCAGCTCAAGGTGGTGCCAAGAGAAAGGTTGCAGTAAAGGCACTGGCACTCGGAGTCGACCAGGGTATTTGTTTTGGTTTCCTGGGTCCAAACGGTGCCGGTAAATCAACTACTATCTCTTGTGTCTCTGGTTTGTTCCCACCAACCAACGGTACCGCCAAGGTATTTGGTATGGATATTCGTAATGATATCGATCGTATTCACATGGTCATGGGTGTATGTCCACAGGATAATGTACTCTGGGACGATTTGACAGGTGAAGAGCATCTTTTGTTCTACGGAAGAATCAAGAATATGAAGGGTAAACAATTGTCAAATGCCGTCTACGAGGGTTTGAAACAGGTTAATCTACATGAAGAAACTGGAAAGAGATCGGTCGCCTACTCTGGAGGTATGAGACGTCGTCTGTCTGTGGCATGCTCACTCATGGGAAATCCAAAGATTGTTCTTCTCGATGAGCCATCTACCGGTTTAGATCCAGCATCACGTAAACAACTCTGGGACATCATCAACGCCTACAAGAGAAAGTGTGCCATGTTGTTGACTACTCACGCTATGGAGGAAGCTGATGCATTGTGCGATCGTCTCGGTTTGTTTGTTGGTGGACAACTCAAGTGTATTGGAAGCAGCTCTGAATTGAAATCACGTTTCGGAAAGGGTTACAAGGTGATGATGACTGTCGAACATGGTTATGAAACTGAAGCACAGAAATTCTTGTTCCAACAGATTCCACAGGCCAATCTTCTCAATGCTCTTGCTGGAACATTCAACTACGAGGTTCCAAGAAACTCTGTTGAGCTATCAACTCTCTTCTCGGAATTTGAACAAAACAAAGAAAGATTGCATATCACAGATTGGGGTATCAGTAACTCTACCCTCGAGGAAGTATTTATCAAGATCACCATGGGTAGACAGAATGAAAGAGGCGAATACATCATGGATGATAAACCAGTTGATCTCTCTCATATAACAAATGCATAAAAAAAAAAAAAAAAAAAAAAAATCGATCGATCGACTAATCATTAAAAAAAATAATATTTAATTTAGTTCCGACAAAAATAGTAATAATAATTATACAATTATACCTTTGTATTAGTAAAAATAATAGCATTATATAGTTAGTAAATAAATATCTTTATATAAAAACATTTATTTAGACAATCAACATTTTGATAAAATTACCAAACATTTAACTGTTTGATTTTTTTTCTTGATATCAATAACTTTGAAACCAGATTTTTTAGCAATATAATTATTTTTTTAATATTCGGATAAAGTTCTAATATTTTCTTTACAGGTCTAAAAAAATAATTAAAAATGAATAAATATTTTTACATTTGTATTACCTCCCCCAAGATCTGTTACAGTTTCAAACTCTGAAAAATCAACTAAATCCATCCATGAGTCAAAAATTTCAAGTGCATATGTATTCATTGTAATGTTGAATTGAGAAAACTCTTCTTGGTGGACTTTTAAATAACTCCAAAAATTTGGATAATGTTTTTGGTAAATCTGATACTCCATTCATTCCACTATCCTCTAATCCATCAAGTCCAATATTAACCAATAGTTTGGAAGTTGAGAATAGTATTAACGTTCTAACACTTTCTTTTCTTAATAATAATGACATTGGTGTCAAAGAATCCATCTTTACCATTGGTTTTGGTTCGATCATCTTCACCAAAGAAATCAAGTGTAGACATTGTCTTCATTAATCTAAAGAGTCTTTCTGGATCCGCTTTTATCTTTTGCAATTTCTTTTACATCTTTACACTCAACCTCTTTAATATGATTTGCCAAATCTAATTTCACTCCTATCCTAAAACATTGAGAGTATTGAAATCCATTCAATAAGATGAATTCATTTTTTTCAAATCTATATAAATATTAAAGATTATTTCTATAAAACTAATTAAGTTTTTGAAATTCTACCAAAATTCTCAGTTGATTAATGAGAGATTCTTTAATTGGAGAAAAAAATTCAAATACTAATTTTATGTTTCTCACCGATTTTTTTTTTTTTTTCAATTTACATTGTCATCTTTCGTGTTTTTTGAATCAATTATTTTGAAATTAACTGCACATTCAAACAATAACCATGACAGACTTAAATAATAATAATAATACAAATAATACATCTACATCAAATAGAAAGAGAACATCAAAGTTGTGTGAGATATGCAATGTACAAAGACCAGTTCTAAAGAGACCAAAAACATCTCAAATGATCTGTAAAGAATGTTTCTATCAGGTATTTGAAGATGAAATTCACAACACAATCGTTTCAAATCAACTCTTTCAAAGAGGTGATAAAGTTGCAATCGGTGCATCTGGTGGTAAAGGTACTGTGCTAATAAGATTTCAATAATTAAAGGAATCACTATTAACATCGTGTTTAACTTGATAGATTCAACCGTATTAGCAGAGATTATGACATTATTAAATAAAAGACATGATTATGGATTGGATCTATTTTTATTATCAATTGATGAAGGTATTACAGGTTATCGTGACGACTCGTTGGAAACAGTGAAGCGAAATCAACAACAATACCAAATACCACTAAAGATCCTTTCGTACAAGGAACTTTACGATTGGACAATGGATGAGATCGTCAAGGAAATTGGATTAAAGAATAACTGTACATTCTGTGGTGTATTTCGTAGACAAGCACTCGACCGAGGTGCTGTCCTTCTAGGTGCCAACAAAATAGTTACAGGTCACAATGCCGATGATATCGCAGAGACTATCTTGATGAATTGTATGTACATGACACACACATTATTAGTTCTCAGCAGCAGATTGCAATTATTAACTTGTTTTTTATTTTGTACAGTGCTAAGAGGTGATGTACCAAGATTACAAAGATGTGTTAATATAGTCACTGGATCAGAAGGTACACTACCACGTTCCAAGCCCTTTAAATATACCTATCAAAAAGAGATCGTAATGTATGCATACTTTAAGAAATTGGATTACTTTACCACCGAATGTATCTATGCACCGAATGCTTATCGTGGACACGCACGTGACTTTTTAAAGGATCTAGAGGCTGCAAGACCATCAGTGATCATTGACATTATACACTCTGCCGAGAACTTTGCATTCAGAGATGAAACTAGAATGCCAGTACAAAGAAATTGCAATAGATGTGGATATATCTGTTCCAATGACATCTGTATGGCATGTGATCTACTAAGAAATCTCAACGCAGGAATGGCTAAAGTTGCTCTAACAAGCAATTCATTATTAAAATATAACCAATCATCTACTTTAACAAATAATAATAATAATACATCAAATAATACATCAAATACAAATAATACATCAAATACAAACAATACGACAAACACTACAGCAAATAGTTAATTAAAAAAAAAATAAAGTTAATACATATATTTATTATTTATTTTGTTATTGTTATTTATTTTTTTATTGTTATTGACTTTATAGGTTGTTTGTTGTTGTTGTGCTTAGTTTTTAGTATTCTTAAGACGAAGTAATACTTCTTTCATTCTTGTGGTATCTTTAGCTGGAGTAACTGGTTGTTGTTTTTCACCGTCTTTGTTGGATGAAGAGCTGCTTGAAGCAGTGGAGTGGTGTGCGGATGCTGGCTTGCTAGAGATATCGATCATCTGTACAACGGCTTCCCATGAGTCGTCTTTTACGGATGAAGCAGCGAGGTTCGATGACTCCAAAGTCTTGTTGTGATCTCTGTTGTTCTTCAAAGCAGTCTTTTTCTTTGAGTCTCTCTCTGTGTAGAAGTTCTCCAATGACTTTTTGGCTTCATCAATCTTTTTCTTTTTCTTTTCCTCAGATATTCTCTTCTTCTCTGCTAAATCCTTTTCATGCTTCTCGTTAAAGTCTCTATAGAGATATTGAATCTTGTATTAGTTATATAGGTTCTTGTCATTGTGGTTTATATGTTCTGATGTAATTTACCTCATTGCAGCAGTTACTTCTGATACCTTTGGTTTATTTATATCATTATTAAAGTTTGATGTGTGGTTGTTGTTGTTGTTGTTGGATTGTGGTGATGTGGCAGTGGCAACTGGAGCAGAGGTTGACCATGAGTCATCTTCAACAACTTGTATAGTTTCACCATCGGCAGGTTCGTAGTCACCCTCGAATAATTCCTCATGAACTTCAACACTCTCTACATTTTCATCAAAAATCTGTTCAGACATCTTTTTTTATCCAAATTTTTATAATCTACAAAAATATAACTTTTAAACCTTTAAAAAAATTAATAATAATAATACAAATGAAATTACAAATAATATCTAATAATTAAATGATTGTAAAAAAATAATAATCAAAAAAAAATATTGGTGTTCAATTATTTTCATTTGAATAGTTTTTTTAAATAAATAAAAAATTTTAAAAATTTTGTACCAGCACCACATTCATGACACTCCTAATTAAAACAGCTTTACTGCTCGAACTTCTAATAGTCTAGTTTTCATTGTTAAACTTTTAATAATATAAATTATAAATAAATATAGAAATTGTATAATAGTAAATCAAACATATATATATATAAAATATTACAAAATGAAGATACAAATAGAAGGATCTGAATTGGTAGATTCATTACCATATATCGATGCACCTATTACCGAAGGTAATTAATTATATTAATAATGTTGTTTTTATCAATCTTTTTATTAATGAATATCAAACTATAGGTGAGCAAGCAATTATAAATGAAATGATAAGAGAAGAAATGACAAAGTTTGTACCACCAGATTACCTATCACAATTACCTTTACCACATAGTTTTAATTTCAATGTACGTAGTCACTATAAATCATTCGATTAATCATAGTATTTGTATTTTTAATACTACATTTAGAATTTTCAATGTTTAGAGAATGAATTTAGTAGAATGGAAAATGGAAAAGCAATGGAAACATTGAATCTGACGAGATACAAAGTAGAGGCACCTAAAGATACAGCAAAGCATGATGAGAGTGCGTGGAAGTCAGCGGTTGATAATGCCAAAGCACAATCAGAGCATCAAGAAACTCGTGTGATGAACTTGCAACTGCTGCAGCGTTTCGGTTTGCAGTCATGGCAGAAATACATCGAGAGTAAGGAGCAATTACTGAAGGAACTCGATGCAAAACAACGTGACAATCTTCATCAGATCGAACAGATCAACATCAATCGTAAACTTGATCAAGAACAAATCCTTCAGACACTACAGTCTAACCAGAACAAATGGTTTGAACTCGTACACAAGAATCATGCCATCGAAACAGAATGTTTAAAGTTGGAGGATGATATAGACAGACTGCAGTTAATAAAAGATGAAAATCAAAAATTATAACAAGACAATCAGAGTTTGATGTATAGAATAATTATTTGAGTAAAGAGTATCATTTTATCAATTTGGAAGTCATCAAATATTATAAAAAAAACAACCTAAATAATAATTATGTTCACTGTTCGGAAATTTATATGTTCAAATGTTTAATTTTCAAAAGAAAAAATTCATTATATTTATTTTATTTAATTACTAATATCAACAAATCTCTCACATCATACATGTCAATGACCAGTTTAAATTAAATATTGTATAGAGAATATCTGTTATTGGTTTTTTTAAATATAGATATAACAACACTATTTTCTCCTATACAAATTAATTAGAGATTAAGAACTCAAATGAAGACAAATATAAAAAGTAAAAAGCAAAAAAAAATAGTGTAAAACTACAAATTTATTTGATATGTTTTTCAATGTGAACGAATAATTTTATTTTTAGATTCAAACCGATAAGCACACTTTATGATACTAATTTATTTGATATATCATATAATTAATTTAATAGGGTTATTAATGTTTATTACTCCTGAAACAATTGTTTCTTTCATATTATATTGATTTAATCTTGTGGAATTAATTTTAATTTATTTCTATATACACTCTTTTCCAAAATAATCAAAGGAATAATTATTTTAAAAAATTAGTTTTAATATAAATATAGATGGTGATAGTAGATAATAATTTAAATGAAAATGAAATTGAGGATGTAAAAAAAGAAATTAAATTTACACCAATCCAAGCTTTTGGAAACACGGTAAAAGCATTTGCAGGTGCAGGTTCCTTTGCATTACCGTAACCATTAAAATAATTATAAATAAAATCAAATAAAATATTTACAAAATATACTTTTAATTTTATAGATGGGCAATGGAACAAGCAGGAATTTTTATTGGATCAATAGGTTTGGTTTTAATTGCTTTGTTATCCAACTATACTATGATATTACTTTTAAAATGTAATATTAAATTAACAGAAAAGAGAGGACCAGATGTTCCACCACCATCCTACGCAGATATCGCTGCATTTGCATATGGCCGTGTCGGAGAATTAGCTCTTTGTTTTATGAACTTCTCTGTTACTATGGCAATTTGTATTGCATATCTCATTTTGATTGGCCAAAACTTTGGTGAACTGTGCCACTATAATCAACAAATAATCATCTGGTTTACGATGCCTGTCATGGTATTCTTGTGTTTCCTATCTGATATGTATGTAAAAATTAAAACAGTATGGAGTATCAAAAATACATATTTACTTATTATTTACTTTTAGGAAATATTTATCATACACCAGTATTTTTGGCGCACTTTCATTATTGTTTGCGATGGGAACGATTATGGTTTATGGTGGCATTGATTACAGTATTAAACCATACCAAGAATACAATGTAGATTATTCAAAAGTCCCATTGTGGTTTGGTGTGGCTGCTTTCTTTTTTGGTAGTCATATTGTTGTTGTACCGATCTCACATGCTAGTGGTGATGCTCGACGTTATCCAAAGGTTCTTAATTATGGAATGCTTTTCATTACCATTGTAAACTTGGTATTCGCTATCCTTGGATACCTTTATTTTTACTTCTATGTAGATCCGGTAACTGGTGTAGTAGGAGTGCCATCCGCCATTACCCAAGTATTACCAAAAGGTGCTTTTGCTAATGTTGTACGTGTCTGTATCGTTCTTGAGTTGATTTGCTCGTATCCACTTATCTTTGGTGCTGGAATGAACGTAGTAGAATCTTCTGTTAGTGTATTCTTCAAACATTTCTCACCATTCCCAGTCTCTGATCGAGACAAAGATGGAAAGAAGTTATTTATTTCAAGAAATTGGAAATTCTATATACTTCGTTTACTAATAAATGTTGCATTGGCAGCAGTAGCAACAACCATAAAAAAGTTTGGATCGTACACATCATTGATTGGATCTTTGATGCTTGCACTCACTGGATTCGTTGTACCACCATTGCTATACATTAGATATTTTCCAGAGCAATCAAGACTGTTATTTGTTTCACATATTGCTATAGCCATATTTGGTTTAGGTGCAACTGTTTATGGTACTTACCAATCCATTGTTGATCTTATTAATCAATAGATGTGATTCTACTAATAAAATTAATTTATATAATTTAACAAAAAATATTACAAAAGAAGTAGTCATAATACTAATAAGATTCTCGTTGATTGAGTTATAAAATAACAAAGATAAGATATCTTTTTAAATTTAAATTGTAAAAATCAAACAATTGTAAAAATCAAACAACGCGCCAAAACATAAAATTATTTTTTAATCTTTAAAGAAATTCAGTCACATGATTTAAATCGAAATATAATAATAAATGTTTAGAGACTTTAGATTCTTTATTTTCAAAAAAGGTATTGGGAGTATACAATTGAATATCATCACTAAAAAGATCATTGAGAACAATGGTATAATACATCAATCACCATCTTTAGAAACTACACACTTTATCATATCAGAAAACGAATCAATTTTACTGATACCTGATGATCTTAAAGATAAAATATCAATTAGAGTATGAAGTTATTTGAAACCTATTTCTTTTAGTTAATTTTAAACTAATCTATCATTTTTTTTTTTGTGTTTAGAATATAAGAGTATATACACTAGATTGGATTACTCAATCTATATTGAATAAAAAGAAGATCGTTGATGATATCATATATCAAAGACCATTCAGATTTAGATCATCTTTAAACGATGATATTCTAATAAAAGAAAATAATAGTAATATTAATGTAAATAATAATAATAATAATAAAAGATCTTTAAATAATGTAAATAATAACCAAAGAGAAAAGAAATGTAAATTTAATGATAGTAATAATAATATTAATAGCAATCAAAATAACATATCATGGCTATCATATGATTCTGATGAGGATTTGGATGTTAGTTTGAATTATAATATTAATTTAAGTTTTAATAATAATAATATAAATAGTCATATTAATAATAATGATAAAGAAAAAGATATAGAAATTAGTTTATCAGAAACTTTTATGTTTGATGACAGCACAGATAAATCGATTTGGTTTAATTATAACTCTGATTCTTCAGACTCTGATAACAATGAAGATCATAAAAATAGTAATAATAAATCATTAATATTCGACAGTCCATTCTCATCACAACTTCCGTTGGCACTCTCACCAATTAAATTAAAAAACAATGATCATAGCAATAATAATAATGATAGTCCAATCAAATCACTAGTTAAAAATTCAAATTATAAGAATTTTGTTTGTCAATCAACAAAAATTAATTATAATGAACATTTAACGAGTGTTTTGGTGAAGCTACAAACAAAAGCAGAGGCAGACGGTGACAACTGGCGACAATATGCATATAAAAGAGCAATTGGTATTTTGAGAAATCTCACATTCAAGGTGACCTCTGATAAACAGGTTGGTCACATCAAAGGCATCGGTTCAAAGATCAGTGATAAAATTAAGGAGATACTACTGACTGGAACTCTAAAGAAAGTGGAAATGGTGCAATCCGATGCACATACCATTGCTTCGGAACAACTCTCAAAGATACATGGCACAGGTCCAGAGACTGTAAAACGATGGTTGGCCAAAGGGATCAATTCCATTCAGAAACTACAGGTGATTGCCAACAACGATCCAAGCTTTCTTACCAATCAGCAACAGATTGGACTAAAGTATTACAATGACTTTCAACACCGTATCCCAAGAGAAGAAGTTCAAGACATTGCAAACATCGTACAGCTCGTAGCAAATGAAATAGATCAAAAGATAATCATGCAGGTTTGTGGATCGTTCAGAAGAAACAAGTCGACTTGCGGTGATATCGATATCCTATTTACACATTCTAAAGGTGAACTACTAACTGGATTCCTAGGTAGATTGGTACAGAAACTTGTTGATTGTAAATTACTTACCGATCATCTTACAAATCTAAATACGAATAGTGATAAAGTATGTATTCTATTAATAAATTGATTAATTATAATTATTAGTTTTTAATATCATAAGTATATGGGAGTATGTAGACTTGATGAAAATAGTAGACACAGAAGAATTGATTTTCAATCGATTGTAAGAGAGGAGTGGCCATTTGCTTTATTATATTTCACTGGCTCCGATCACTTTAATCGATCAATGAGACTGTGGGCAAGAAAGAATGGATTCTCATTGAGCGAATCACACTTGGTCAGACGTTGGGGTACTGCTCAAGATGAAATCAAAGGTGAACCGATTCCTGCTGCGAATGAACGAGATATATTTCAACTTTTAGGATTAGAATATAAAGAGCCTCATCAAAGAGAAATATAAATAAAATAGATCAAAATTTTAATATTTTGGTACAATAAACCCTATATTGAGTCTAACCAAAATGATTTTAGTGAATTCGCATAAAGTGGAGTTTTGTCTTTTGAGATTAAAATAAAGTACTACTCAAATAAAACAAATCAATATTTTCTTAGCGGATAATTATCCTGTAGTTCATCTTGAGGGAGGATAAATAATTTTTTTTTTATTTTAAATTTTTTTTTACTTTAAAAAGTTATTAGTATTGTTGAAATCAAAGTAAAATGAAAAATATGAATGATAATAATATAAATCATTTATTAGTAAATACACCTCTTCATATTTTAAACAATATAATAAAATTATTAGATGATAATCTAGACAGAATATGTTTTAGTATCGTTTGTAAGAGATGGTATCAAGAAAAAGAGCATTATTTAGTATTTTTACATGATAACAGTTTTATAGATAAATTATGTTTAAATGTAGATAATAACTATTTAAATTGTTTTAAATCTTTTCAAAATATTATCGAATATACTGTAAATAAACATTTAAATAATGGTATGCACTTTTACTTCAATAATAATTATAATAAATCTTTTATTTATTTTTGACCTCAGAAAATCTTAGATTAAACGACAATGAGAATAGAGTATATAATGATACCAATGTAAAATTAGATGTCTATGATGGTAGAGATAGAAACACTGTTTTCAATCATGATATAGATTATGAATATATTAAAATAAATATATGCGATTGGTTCATCACAGAGGGTTACTTTCCTCCAAAAGTTAGAGAATTACATATCGGATCGGTGGAGATGGATAGTCTTAATTTTGGATATGGAGTTATACCAAAAACCGTTAAAATATTGCGATTTACTGAACAGCCTGACCATCATTCTTACATTCCACCATCAGTAGAACTCTTACAAATTGACCACAGACCACCATGGTACAAAGAAATCAGCTTTCTATACAAATTTAAATTTCCAAAATCACTTCGAGAATTATTTATAAATTCAAAAGATTTAACCAATGACCATCCAATCAATTCATTACCAGAACACATTGTAACAATAAGAGTAAAGTTTGATGAAGGTCCCCATTATATTAATTATAGAAGATTGGATTCAAAGAATTATATTGTTTATTCGAATGGAATTAATGATCCATATTTTAATGCAGGTTTCTTACAAATTAATAATAACAATAATGATAAATCTATCTCTTCATTTTTCAAAAAATTATTTTCTATAAAATAAAATATGGTTGGTGCAACAAAATGACATTGTAGTGTTATGATTTTTAATAAAAGATATTTGTTTAAGAAAATAAAAAATTAGATTAGATTCAATGAAAGCTCAGTCAATGTTATCAGTATTGTAAGTTTATTATGTCGCACTTACTCTTCAAGTTTACTTATTTATTTTTCCAAAAGATAGATATTGATAAATCCAAGTGTAATATTGATAATTATGATCATTCTTATAAAACTAAAACTATTTTTAATAATAATAATAATTATAGAATGTTTAAATGGATTGGCATTAGATTGTTGAGTGCGAATCTTATATTTAGATATTTTTTGTTGTCGATTCGACGAGTGGTTATGACATGCTCTCAGAGGTACTTGAATCGAAGCTCCTGAGAATACGACAATATTGGTGCAATCATTACAAGGATCAACGTGATTAAAGATACTATCAGAGTGACAGCACTTTAGATGTTACAAGAGCAAGATATAACCAGCACATCCAACGTTTGCCATGTCAACAAGAATGTTCTCCAATTCTACCGCCGACATTCACTATTTGAACATACAACTGTATCACATGAATATCATTTCAACACCAAAAGCGAGACCTTAGAACTGGTATCTATTTGTAACATAGAAATCATCGAGGTATGTTAATTTAATTTAATTTGCTCTAATATTAAGATACATCTATATCTATAGAATATGGATTTATCATTGATTTTGAAAATATAAACTAATAATAATCGATCAATATTATTATTAATAGTTTTAATTTTATTTGTTATTACCTAGTTAAAAAATAATTAAAGAATTAATCAATTTTAAAAAAACAACAATAATAATATTTAACTTACATCGTACTCGATCTTTATACAATACAGAGTATCCACAATAAACACACCCAGTATTAAAGGAGCTGCTGTTACAATTTAATCATAGACTACAACAACATCAACTCAAGTTCTCTTTATCGACAATCACTATCAAAACAACATACAGACGATAATGATCGAGACAAACATACTTTCAACAACTCTACTTTCTCAAATAAAAATAAATAAAAAAAAACTTATTTAGATAGTTTATTTATAATTATTTATTTGAATTGTAATTCTCGTTGTTTACATTGTTATTATTACTATTGAATAGTTTGATAGGTGAAATTGGTTGGTGTCAAAGGGTGTTCTTCAAAATATCAGATGAAGTGTGAATTGATTATAAATTGTATATTCTTAATATGTTGATCCGATACATCTTTCTAATAATCTGAAAGTCTCCTTAACCGATTTCTTATCACTATGTTGTTTCGATAGGTGTGATCACCACTTTCATAGTCAAATTGATATGACACCTCCAATTGAGTTGCTCTAAAAATTAATGAATAAATCATAAAGATTAGATGAATCGATGTTGGTTGATTGCTTGAATGAGTGAGTGTATAGGTGTGTTGTGATGGTTTTAAATGATTATATAATTTAGAATATAAAATATGATATATATTATTATTATTATTATTATTATTATTATTATTATTAATATTATTATTATTATTATTAATGATTATTATCAATATTGCTATTTCATCAATATATTGCTAATATGTCTTTAACTATAGTTAGTTATTTAGTTATTCATTAATAAATAATTTACAAAACATACCAAATAATAGCATAGGTGTTCATATGCTTCTTGCTTGAGCTTTGGAAGTAGATAGTAGAGGAATTGCATTATTTTAGAGTTCTACAATGATTTAATCGATTAATTGTGGCCAAACTGTCATCTCTGTGACCAGAAAAAGAACAACAGATCCAATATGTTCTTCAATCAGTGTACGTGCGGTCAATGAGCTATTTGAATTGATCGAATAATTATGATGACATTCATTAACTTGAAATCATTATGTGTGATAGAGAAATGAGGAGTGTATAATCAAAGTATAGGTTTCTCTGTTATGTTATTTTTAATAATTGTGTAATTGTGATTCACGATAGTTGGTATAAGATTATTTTGTTGGTGTGTAATTATGTTAAAGTTTAAATATTGATAATTCCAAGGTACGAACATGATTAATATTGTATTTTGTGTATGAGTAAGTTAAATCGATATTATATTGAATAAAAAACAGTAAAAATAGAGTGTAGAATAAATAAGAATAAAAGTTAACTAACCTTTTAAATTATCTTTACAAGAGTTTGCATGATAATAGGTAAATATAAAATATGCTAATTTTTGTTTAATAAAGCTAAAGTTTAGTTAAAATGATAAATGATTGAAAGTTGTTGTTAACAACAATGAAACTAAACAACAATTAAAATAATAAAAATAATACTTTTGATGTTCAGTGTTTATGATCAACAAATTGTTTTTTTTTTTTTTTTTTTCAATTTTAGATCTTAAGATATCATAATCAATAGTAATAATAATATCAATATTTATTTATTTTATAATTTTAAAAGATGTTACAGCTTTAGAATATAATAATTATATAAGAAAGTAATGAGTTATAAGATTCAATTCAAATGTAAGCTCATTCAATGATTTCAGTATTATAAGTCTATTATATTGTTGCCAACTTTACTTTTGTTCTAAAAAGATACATATTGAAGAGTAATATTGAGATAATGATCATTCCTATAATGCTAAACTAAACTAACAAACTAATTTTAATTTATTAATAGATACAGTGTTCGACTCTTTGGCTAAATCATGACAAGGATCAACGTGATTAAAGATACTATCAGTGTAAAAGAACTATTGCAATAGTAATGCATTTCAAGTACAACCAATTAATAGTATGATCATCAAGATTATCAAGACAGAGGGTTCAGCGATGCCAAAGAAAGTACAGTTGGAGACGGGCCTGCTACACAAAGCCAAGGTGTGCTATTGAGTTATGTAAATTTATATTTTTAAACATTTTTAAATATACTGCAATTATCTAATATACATCACAATCATATAGAGAGTCAAGTTAGTTTATAAATAGATTTTATTTCAACAAGCATTGGAAAATGATATTGATCAAGTACAACTTGTTGTTCTAAAGCTTATTTGCTTACCTATTAGGTGAAACATACACCAACACTTTGATCAAAGTTAATGCAGCCACTACCATCTTACAAGAAGATATGGTCACTATCGAACAAGCGAGATCGAATGTTTCAAATCATTTACATTTGGAGTACAATTATAGACGCCAACAATCTTTAAATTGCTTCAAATAGATTAACAGTAAGATAAGAAATAATAATTTATATTAATTAATAGAATTTTACTAACATTTATTGATTATTATTATTGATTATTATTATTGATTATTGGGAAATTATAAATTTAGATAACAGATATTTAAAGAAGATTACATTCAAAAAGATATATTTAATATCAACAACAACGACAATAACTACAACAACAACATTTGGAAATATTATCTATTAGATTATTAACAATAGAAATTTTATAAATGTAACGCATAAACAATAACATTTCGTGCAGATCTCAAGATATCAATGACAATTGTCAATAGTGGTGATTAAAAATGTATATAGTTACAGCTTTAAAATAATAAATGTTTATTTTATTTATTCGATTCACATGACTTGATATGATTCATTCACTTTGGAATCTA